TAATAGAAGACCTATATTTATCTTAATATAATAACTAAAGTTAATATTCTTAGTCTAAAATTTATTTAGAAGTAGTATTTCAAAATTTATATAAAACTTTAATATCTAAATAGTCAGAAATCTCTTAATTCCTGATTATAGAGCTTTTATTATATTTACTATCTTAATATATAAAGATATAGGCCTATATTATCATTAAAAGATATTTAAACTATAATTAAAGTCTTATTTTATTACTAATAATAACCTTCACTAAATTAAAAATTTATTGATAATTATAAAAGAGAATATAGTACTTTAAAAAATCCTATCTTTGTAATTATCATAGCTTACTAGTGTTATTAGTAGAGAGAAAGAGAAATAAATCTAAAGTAAGCTTAATTCAAGATTAGAATAATATTATAAATAATAAACTATTAATTCTATCTAATCTATATAAATATAAATCTATCTTTTTTTGAAATAGATTTAGAACCTTCTAGAATTTTTTGAATAAATAATTAATATAATTCCTTATTTAATTAATAGATAATAGATTAAAATTACTTTAAGATTATTTAGTAGAAAATCTTAAAACTAATAGATTTCAATGTTTAAAAAATCCTATAAGAGCTTCTATTCTTTTTATACTAAAGAAATATAGAACTCTTTATTTATATATTAATTATAGAGATCTAGATAGGATTTTAATAAAGAATTAATGTCTATTATCTCTTATTACTTAGATTCTAAATAGATTATCTAGCTCTTAATACTTTAGTAAAATTAATATATAAGGTATATATTATTAAATTTAAGTTAAAAATAGAGATAAGTATAAAATAGGATTTTAAATCTAATATAATTCTTTTAATATATACTTATATTATCTAGATTAATTAATATATCTACTATGTTTTAGAACTATATATATCTATATTATATTATATAGAATTCTAGATAAACTTTTTTATTTACTTAGATAATTAATATTCTTAAATTCTCTAAAATAAGAAATATATATATAAGTTATATTGAATAAGTACTAAAGTAAAGTACTTATAAAAAGCTTAGCTATATATTAAGCTATTAAAATATATCTTATGTTAATCTAAAGCTAAATTTCTTAGATATATTATCTTTATAGAGAGTAATTTAATAGATTAAGAGTAAAGTCTAGCTTATTTGAACCCTAAAATTACTTATTAGACTAAAAACTAATATTTAAAAATAGGTCATGGCTAGTATATTATGCTAAGTAAAAGAAAACATGGAATTTTTGTCTTATAGTATCTTAGTCTTAAAGTTTTACTAATTTAAAAGTAAACTATAGTATTTCTAAGTAAGGGCTATATGTTATAATATATTATTTTAGAATATGGTATTATTATTTGAAAGAACTTAACTATATAATTAAAGTAATCTTAGATTATATTAATTTATATTTAATAGTAATAATTAGCTTGTAAATTATACTAGGAAAATATAATAAGAGAAATGGAGGAATCTTATCTCTTTCTTATAGAAAACCTCTAATTAAAGATTTTAGTAAAGAAGCTTATTCTAAAATTTATTAATATATTTTAAATTCCAGATTAAATTAGCTAATAAGCCTATTAAACTACTATATTTATAAAATATCATAGAATCTATAATATCTTTTATATTTTATTATTTAAATTATAATAATTTTAAATATAAAAATTAAAATAAAGTAAAATTATATTATTTCTACTTCTAGAAGGTAAGAATTATGAAGAAATAAAAGAAGTTAAAGAAAAGATAAAAATTAATAAAGAAGATTACTTTTTATTAAAATAAAAAGATTAGTGTTCTAAATATAATTAAAACATACTAAAAGTAAACATTAATATACTAGCTTATATTAATAAATTTAAAATACTAAGGAAATACATGTTATCCTACTATCTTTAATTAGTCTTATTTTTATCTTATCTCTAATTCAATTCTATTTTACTTTAATCTTAAATATTCATTAATTCTTAAAGATTATCTTCTTAACAATCTCTATTAATATTAATAGACTTTTTTTTATCTTAGATAGTAAAAATAGCTTATTTAATCTTTTTTCAAAATATATATTTTATAATTAATTAATAATCATATCTAATTTTATCTTTTTAAAACTAAAATAAGCGCTTATATTAAAGTATAAATATTATAACTAAATAGTATTAAATAATATTCTTTATATACTAAAAAATGTATCTTTAATAATTTACTTTAGGATTTTAAGAAAGTAAAGTATTATTACTTTATTAAAATTAAATAAATTAACTTTTTACATATTAGAATTACTATTTTCTTTACTATTAAATTATACTTAAGTATAATAGATTATTAATAAATCTTTAAAGCTCTAATCTAGATTATAGATTATATACTTTAATCTATCATGAAATTAAATTTACTCCTATTCTAGGCTTTTTTGTAATAATATTAAAATTAGCTATATATCTTACTATTCTAGTATCTATCTAATTATGAATCTTGTAAAGAAGAATATAATAATTAACTTATTAAGATTAGTAAAAGCTTTAATTCTAGCTATAATATCTATTATAGTTTTAAATAGAGTCTAATTCTTTAATTAATTATTAAGGTATAATATATACTATAATTATATTATAATAATTACTCTAAGGTAGTGAATTTTAAAAAATTATAATATAGATATAATACTAAACAAATTAAAAAGTGAGAGATAGCTAAGAATAAGCTAAAAATTTTAAAGTTACTATATATTATATATTACTAGAATCTTCTTTAATATCTCTTTCTTAACTTCTTATTCACTTTCTATATTATTCTCTAACTAAAAGTAATATTAAAAGAGAGAATATTTATTATAAAAAAAAGATAATTATCTAAGATATAAATTATAAAATACCTTAGATATCCTAGAATAATACTAAATTACTTCTAATCTAGTATCTAGATTAAGAGTAAGCTCTAGATATACCTAGAGCTAATCTATAATAAAGAGATAGATAGAGTATAATTATTATAAATTACTCACTTAGGTCCTACTTCCTCTATATTTAGGAAGAAGAAGAATCTCTCTCTTTTAATTCTTTTCTTCTTTAAGAATTAGTTTTAGAAATAATATGATATATAATATCTTAGACTTTAAATCTATACTATATTAGTACTATTTTATATTTTATTTATTTCTCCTTCACTATCTTCTTACCTAGCCCTTTTATTCCTTACATAAATATTCTATGGTTAACCATTATTCAAATTGAACTATAAGACCTAAAATCAAATATAGACTATAAGATACCGATTCCCACCTATTATAAGCGAGTCGCGACTTCGTAACTAAGTTAGTAAAAGCCTTATATAGATGCTTTTAGAAAGACATAAGCCATGACTCTACTCCTCTGCTCTTGAAGCTTCACGGAATTCCCACCATAGGACTAATTAGAATCTAGGAAAGCGGCGTTGTGGGAGTCACCTCCTGGTTCGCGTTCTATGGGCGGGGCTATAAGAAATCGGGGGGGGGGGGAAATATGTTACAACCCTTCTAAGGGGCTTCACGACATGGGCTTGATGTTATATTGAATAATCAATAGCCACATCCATGGAGCAGAGAGATTAGACACGGCCATGTAGGTCATCTATAGCACCTTTATTCAAATATGCTTGGTTTCTCTAGAACTTCTAATGCAAAAGCTTCCTGGTCAGCCTCAGTGAAGGCCGGAAGAGGGTTTGCACCAGATCTACGAAGCCAGCAATTGAGCAAATCCGAGTATTATTCTACTTGCTCCCTATGTATTCACTTCTTTCCGAACTCGCAAGCCGACAATCTATGTCATGTGTCGAGAATGCGAAGGGCTATGATCAGTTTTATATGGCCCTCCACGGACCACGTCACCACGGTAGGCCAAAAGTAGGAATATTTATTTTGGAACATAGTTTATCAATCAAACTATAGACTTGAAGAACCTCGGGACAAAGCCCCTAGCATATTAGTAGGCGACGGGGCGCATTCTAGCCATGGTTTCAATCAATAATGCTCACCAGGCTATACCATAATCTCTTAGTGAGAATACTACGTGGTCAAGGTCATAATGGCAGAGAACAACTTTAGGCTGAAGCTTAGTGAGATCGAGCTAAGATAATATGAACATGCCCAATTTCCTCAAACTCTGACTGGGGGACAGCACCATAATTCCCTCCATAAGGATAAGATGACGCTGTCGGTTGCTCATTGTGGCGAGACATTCCTGTGAAAACCTCTTATTATTTAAGTAATATCCAGTCGCAGGGCTGCCGCTGCCAGTCGAAGGTCTACCGAGCTCGACAGAGGAGTCTAAGTGGTAAGGAGTCGCCACTTGACTCTGTGCCAGGGTGCTAGGCTCTATATTGCATCAAGGCGGACGACTGGATCTACCAGTCATTTTCCATGTGGCATGATGCAGACTGCCCAAGACTTTCTCGAGAGTAATGGCGTGCCGGACGTACTCAGTCACGGTGTGCCTTAGTTGCCTTGTCGTTGCATCAGTCGTGGTGCCGACATCGAGTACCAATGGAACAAGATCAAGGAGTGGAGAGTGCGCCAGGTGTTGCAAACCTTTTGCGATTGTTATGATTGTTGCGACCGTCAAGTCTCTTCCCAGATTCCCCAGTCGTACAATAAGACCTGTCGAGTATCCGAGAATAAACTTGATCTTGGATTGAATCAGGAACGTGCATGTATCAAATATATCGAAGCTAAGGGTGTAGGTAAGCTGACTCCAGTCCAACTGCATGTTAAAAGATTACTGAGAGTACGCTCTTAGGTCCTTTCCCTCCAATGTCATGAGGTGTTAGGAGATAGAGGAAACTCCAGTCAAAGGCCACTGAGAATATGGAGGCAAATAGATGTAGTCGGTTCTGGACAGGAGGGCATATATAACAGCCCTTTCATACATCGGGAGATACACCCTGTCCATGGATCATAGGTAGGGATTTACTGAAGTCATTAGACAGAGGGTCACAGTTTGATTTGATTATTATTTCCCCGTCATCGCCTTCTTGGCAGCGATGACTTGAGAGATCAGTGATGTATTCAGTAGGGCAGTTCGAGCGGCTTCGTCCCCTGCCTCCACTTTACTAGAGCCTTGCCCTGAGCCAAGATGCGTTTTTTCCCAGCCCCAGCCTGTGAGATAGACCCCAATGAAAAACATCTGAGTACCGCTGCCCTTTACTTGAATCGGATCACGCTCCGGGAGATATTCCAGCTTGATACCTTTGCCCATGACTCTCTTTGCAAGCTCCTCCTTAGAACGTAACTCCGCTTTCTGATGCCCTAACTTGTCTAAAAGTGGCGACCACAATCCGATCAGCCACTCTTCCACCATCCCATAGCCCTTTTGTGGATCAGATAATACGACCGCAGCCACATAAGCTTCGAAAATATCGCCTTTGGTCTTTACCCATCGTTTCGGCTGGTCGGAGTAGGTCGCTGGGACCGATGCTTTATGATCAAATCCATATTTCTCGGCAAATTTCGCAAGCGTCTCATTCTTGACTAAGCCTTCTCGAATCTGTGATATTCTCCCAGCAGGAATGCCCGGAAATCTCTCCCACACCAATTTGGTTGCTATCAGTTCGATATATGCGTCCCCCAGTACCTCTAGTCGGTCGTAGCTGGCATCACTTGACTTTCCACAAGCCGGGTGCATAAAAACAGCTCGCTGAAGTAAAATATCCTGAATCGGTGGCAAGCTAGGCATTCCGGATTGATTGCGCTGTGGTTTTGGGGTTGAAAACTTGGGCTCTGCGCCTTGAGAAGCTTGGCGAGATTCATGATCAAGCACTAAAGGCCCATGTGAATCCTGAAAAGCGCTATACAGCATTGCTATCGCTTGCGCAATTTTAGGTTCAGCCTCGGTAATCTCGAGATCATTTGTTGCTTCTTCAACGAGGGTCTTTAGAAGAGACAGCCGAGAGTTGCTGCTTGAGGCGTGGATCGGACGATTTTCTCCTACAGGATTCGCAGTTTGGTCCTTCTCCGACAAATGGCTGTTCTTCATACCACAGGTTAGTTATATCACAGGCGAGACCGACAGAGAATTTCTGGGGAGAAGATAGTCATAATTACCTTGGATCGTTTTGTGCACGGGTGGGATACATTGCTGCCCACAGAAGGCGCCGATCGTTTGGAGCTCATGGCGGAGAAAACCTGGTGTTTTTCTTCTTCTCCAATTCAGATTGTATTCGGAAAGCAAAAAGGCCGCTGGAGCAATTTGAGATTCGTTGATATCATCTCCAGTGGTGGAATGATGGAAACGGTCACATGATCAGAAACTCTCGACTTTCAACGGCACCAGTCGGCAATCTTCCTCGTTCCTTCGCGTCCACTGCAGCACCGTGAAGATGTCTCAAGGCCGGTTATTGGACCTGGTCAAGGTATGAGATTCCCTAATAATGTGAGATGCTCTCTAATATTAATTTTCCTTCACCCACAGTCACAATGTCGTATCTTCTCGCTCAACTTCAACCCGCAAAGACTCCGATTGGGAAATAAGATCCTCAGACAGCGACTTCGTGGCCCTGCACTTGCAGCATGGTACCCCAAGCAGGAAGTGTCTTTCCGCGATCTCCAGAACACATACAAGCCTCTTGGATTGACGACTTTCGACGAGGCTGAAGATGACCGAGAGGAGGCTATTCAAATGTGGGTACCCTCCGGTCTTATTACCCTCTTGTTACCATACTTAATGATTTGTCCAGTGCAAAGCTTCGAGGAAAGGGCCGACCGAAGAAGAAGCGGACCGCTGCAGGTAAGATTGGCCCTTATACAATGTCGTCAATCTTAGGAGATGCCCTAACCAGTCTCTTCCGTATTAGAATCCCGATCAGCAAAAAAGAAGAAATAGATGTACCACCGCCCGTGGTGAATCGAACAATGCCGTCACACCTGGTAGTGTGTCTCGGGTTGCGAATAGGACGAGCTCTGCAAGAATGGAAGTATGGAACGGGATTTCACCGGTCAGGGCTCTTTGGTCGCCTATCATATCTATCTACTTGTGTTCAAGATCTCGCCTTTGGTTGTACTATATACACACATGTACTTTAAGCGTTTATCATCATCTACATGTAGAGAATTGGACCTGGTCTTCCACAGAACATCCCTAAGCTGGTTAAGGACAGTCTTATTCCGTCCAGCAAGGCTCTAGGATCGGACTTAAATTTCAATCAATAAGAGCTCATATGTATACCTCAAAAACACATTGAAAGAACTCAAGATCCACAGACTTCAAAGGAAACATTGACCTCATGAACTCCGTACATGCAGCTGGGGTAAAGGCGGTGAGTGCTGTTGAACCAATCAGACTAAATCATTGGCATTTTATCGCGACTTGGTCTTGATCGCGACTCATCTCTTAATCCTGCGACAGCCAACTTCTTTCCCCACCGGTGATAGCTTTTCGATCAAAGAAAGCGGAAGCTGCGGCGTCATCAGCAACGATGAAACAAAGCAAGAACCAACTTCGGAGGGCTCGGAAAAAGCTTCAAAAGGCAGAGGTGAGTTTGCGCCCCTGCTTCCGAATGCCTACAGGCGCTGACATATTTCCCAGGCTGTTAGCGAGGCGACTGAAGATACACCCCAAGAACAACCAATCCAACCAGCTACAGTCTCTGATACCCCGAAAGCACCGAGCGCCCCCGCTGATGGGGCTTCCCTCGAGGAGAACGATCCATTATGGGAGATGTACAAGGGCATCGTCAGTAAATTTGACGAGACCGCCGGCGAGGTTGCTACAAACAAGGATGCCGAGAAGCCAGAAGTCTACTTTAGCGACGCAGATGATATCCCGGACGAGGAAAATGAACAAGAGCCGAAGATATCGAAAAAGAAGCGCAAGGAAATGAACAAGTTATCGGTGGCCGAACTCAAAGCCATGGTTCAGAAACCTGAAATTGTGGAATGGACAGACACATCTGCGAATGATCCTCGACTTCTAATCCACATCAAAGCCCATCGCAATGTGGTTCCGGTTCCCTTACACTGGTCGCTCAAACGGGAATACCTTTCCTCTAAACGAGGCGTGGAAAAGGCGCCCTTCGCCCTCCCCAAGTTCATCCAGGAAACCGGTATCGCAGAAATGCGTGATGCCGCTTTGGACAAGCAGGACCAGTCGAGCCTAAAGCAAAAACAACGGGAAAGAGTGGCACCCAAGATGGGACGGTTAGATATCGACTACCAGAAGCTATACGAGGCGTTCTTCCGTTTTCAAACCAAGCCAGAGCTGACTCGATATGGTGAGATTTATTACGAGGGCAAGGAATATGAAACCAATCTCAAGCACCTTCGCCCCGGCGAGTTGAGCGACGAACTCAAAGAGGCCCTCAATATGCCACCGGGGGCTCCTCCGCCTTGGCTCATCAATCAGCAACGTTATGGGCCACCTCCCTCCTATCCTGCCTTGAAAGTCCCTGGTCTGAATGCACCACCCCCACCAGGTGCGATGTGGGGCTATCACCCTGGAGGATACGGAAAACCTCCGGTTGATGAGCACAACCGACCGCTTTATGGAGGTGACATCTTCGGGGTCTTGCAGCCCCAGCAAAATGACCAGCAGGGAGAGCCGATCGAGAAAGATCTCTGGGGAGAGCTACAGGCATCAGAGGAATCTGAGGAGGAAAGTGAGGAAGACGAGGATGAAGACGAAGAAGACGCCGATGAGGAGGAGGCTGAAGCTGGGACCCACTCTCCCAGTGGCCTGGATACTCCAAGCGGTATGGCCTCGGCGGCCCCGTCTGAATTTGTGGGCACAGAGAGTGTTGCCGGAGAATTTGACGTCCGGAAGCACCACCGGGGAACAGAGACTGAAGAGACCGTTCATCCCCGGAGCGCATATCAGGTTATCCCAGAGAAACAGACGAGTGTTCAGGGATTTTTCGGTGGAGATCGAGCCTATGATCTCAGTACGTCCTCCGGCAATCCTCCACTTCTTGGAGTCGATGACCAATCCCGAAAACGCAAGAAGCCTGGGGATGTGGACGTCTCAGTGGACCTGGATGCGATTCAAGCTGGCGATGGTCTCAGCAAAGAGAGTCTTCAAAACATGTACGAAGTTCAACGACAGCAGCAAAACCAGCCGCAATGGGGATTTCAAGAGGATCTCAGTGATATGATCGCACAAGAGAGTCGCAAGCGATTGCGCAAAGAAGAAGAGCGACGGGGCAAGCACTGAAGCTCACTGTTATCTCTCTGATTATATTTGCTTTTTTCTTTAACCCTGAAGGATAACCCTGATAGCTTTACAAATCAAACATTGTCCCTTTTTCCCGTTAATGTATTAATATTGATGTTGATACCCATAGATATTGTTCTGAAAGGTAGTTTGATGTACCGAAAGTGGTTTAGCTTTCTCCCGTATCTCCGATCTCTCCTTGGCAACATCATCATTTTTCCTTTTCTTGCACCAACATCTCAAAACTTCTCCACCCAGTCATCATGGATTGGGATCGTAGAAGGTATGTACCGTCTCATCCACCGAAAGTGACTTTACTAATAGGCTTGCAGATTCGATGACCGGCGAGGGGGGAAAGTTATCGACCGGCTGACCGACCAGGTCGGTCACCCTCGCGAGGATACGACCCCCGACACCGACGCTCGCCTCCTCGGAATCGATCTCGCCTACGTGGTGATACTTGGCTGCCATCTAGTCGAGGCTATGGACGTCCAAGAAGTCGTTCTCCTCCCGATTACCGGCGTCGCTCCAGAACCCCTCCCTTCCAAGGCCGAGGTTTTGGGCCTGGTTCGTACGGGAGAAGGCGTTCTCCTCCTCGACGATTCTCTCCGCGGAGAGAGGATCGACCCCGATCCCCTCTTCCATCATGGCGCTCCAAGTCTCCTTACAGCGAAGGGCGATCGCGTGACGTATCTCGTGGCCGCAGCAGCCCAAGGCGCAATCGAGATGCGTCCCTCGGGAGTCAAGATTTGCGCCCAATTCGGCGGACTACCCCTCCCAAAGGCCCGACCGGTGACAGAAGCATCCGAGCCGTCTCTCCGAGAGCGCAAGTCACCTCTACGCTTCGCTCGCAGAGCCCGTCTCATGCCCTTCCCCGTCGAGACCTGCCTCCGGACTTCAGCCGGGCCCGACCTTTTTCGCAGTCTAGGCCAGTTTCGCCTGTCCATGTTGCGCGGCCCGATTCCAGTACTACATCACGGCGGTCCTCTCCAGTGACGGGTCCGGACCGTCGCCCAGCGACTCGCAAAAGCCGTAGTCGATCCCCTATTCGCTCTTCGCCTCCTCGTCGACCTTCTGGGCTCTCGGGGCCCCAATTCTACCGAGATCGCGATTCGACGCGACACCCAGAGGCTATCCACTCCGAAAGGGGACCCAGCAATGCGGATCGCCCAGAAAGTGAATTGTCGCAGCCCGTTCAATCCCGATCTGGCAGTCATATTCCAACACAGCCAAGGAATACAGGGATTCGCCAGTCACCACCGTCAGGGCCATCCCACGGACCTAAGACAATACCCTCACAACCTCGAGGCTCTCATAATACGTCCTTTCTATCGGCACCAACCCGCCCACGTCGTGGCCCCCCCGGTTCTCGAGACGGGCCGTGGCCCAGTGCTCCGATGGCTCGTCGCGGACCACCTATGACTGCACCGCACCCCACTCCTTCTGGTCCTCGAGCGTCCTTCACCCCTCCGGTGCCTGGAGGAAACTTTCGTCATCCCGGATCCCGACAGAATAGTACTGCTCCTGTAGTATCCTCCTCGCCCGTGTCTAAACCTCCAAATCACCTGGTCGGACTGTATACTCTGATCCCAGGTGGCCGGACTCTACCATCGGCATTGGATGGGGCAACGGAGAAACGTCTATCCCAACTTGAGTCTGACCAAGAAAAACTACTTGAGCAGATGGCCGAGTCCCAACGATTGAAGCGCGCAGGACTCCGTGATTGGGATCGGCTGGATCATGAAAGCTCCATCTGTGCGCTCAAGAGCGATTTGGCCGAAGGACACTTACAACGTATGGCAGACGAGGCCATTGGAGGTGGCATCCCGTTCTGACGTGGCCAATGTGATTTATGTATTTGTATCAATTAGGCGTTAACCTTGGCTTTTTGGGGGGTTCTTATGGTGATATGAGGAATAGGGAATATGGGAAGCATGGAATACGGCGTGAATCTGATGAATTTGTAATTTCTTTTCTCATTCTCCTTTCTTTTAATGTGGGAAATTGGTTTCTATTACATTCAATCCCTCTATCTTCATCTATGAATCATATACATTAGGGTGCAGGTTCCGGTTCCACTCTTAAAGTGCCGCTTGGCCCGCGTGTACCTGATCGGCAATGTAGCCCCTTCCTGGTTTCGTGTCAACAACTCTTCCCTTTACAACTCCTCTCAGCTCTACGCAATCATGAATCTCTTCAGGCTTTTAGGTTAGTTGCTTCTCTCTACATCATGCGCACCATACTGACTTCAATCGCAGCCGATTTCTCCCATCTGGCCTCTATCTTCGTTCTTCTGCAGAAGATGAAGTCTACCAGTGTATGTCAACTTCTGGCCTTCTTACGCCTATCGCTAATGGATCATAGAGCTGCTCCGGTCTATCTTTCAAGTCGCAAGTCCTCTACCTTCTGGTTTTTGTCACTCGCTATCTTGGTGCGTTCCAACGTTCCCAGTTGGAGGCTCTTGAAATTCGATGGAAATGCCATGCTAACGTGGTCACGTTATTTAGATTTGTTTTGGACTTTCTTCGATTCGCTTTACCTCACGACCTTCAAGCTCCTCTTCATTGGCTCCTCCGGCTACATTATCTACCTCATGCTGAACGATTACAAGCCCACCCATGACCCGAACATTGACACCTTCAAGGTTCAATACCTTCTGGGAATCAGCGCGATCCTCGCGGTCCTTTTCCCGCACGACTATCGGTTCTCCGAGGTTGGTCTACACTCTAAGACATTTGGCGCCCACGTGTCTAATAACGAATAGATTCTCTGGACCTTCTCGATCTGGTTGGAATCCGTCGCCATCTTGCCGCAGCTCTTCATGTTACAGCGGACGGGAGAAGCCGATACAATCACCACGCACTACTTATTCGCCCTGGGTCTGTACCGGGCCCTCTATATCCCGAATTGGATGTACCGCTACTTCACCGAGGCTCACTTCCAACGATCTTTCCAACCTGTCCCCATCATTGCTGGCATCATCCAGACCTTACTTTACTCGGATTTCTTCTACATCTACTACAACAAGTAAGCCATGATCCGCGTGCCGCGTGCCCAGTCTTGCCAATGCTAATCGTTCAAAGGGTGTTGAAAGGAAAGCGGTTCTCCCTTCCCGTCTAAAAAAGAGGTTACTGGAAGGTATACGGTCTTCTGAGCTTCGTGAAAGAGTTTCTTCTCCGTGGCTTGCCCTCGCAAATGCCGGTGTATAACTCTAGGGGCATGGGCCTTGGAGCAATCCACCTAAGATAAGCATGTTCCGCTTCCTTCCCTTGGTTTTGAATGTTTGATCAATCGGATCTGGTCTACGAATGTCATGACGCCTTTCACATCGCTTCAGCTATACGAATATGCTTTTAGATTCGTATTTCGTACGCAAATGGATACCGCTGTGAATGGGAGCGGTTTGGGCAGCTTCGCCCATTACCAGGTTAACCGACACCTTTGGTATCGGGGATATTCATTCCCCCCAATTTTTGTTTAAAAAAAAAACGCACGGAATGGTTATATTTAGATGTATCAATGTTTTCAATGCATTCAACTTTTCTACATTCAGCTTTTCTACATCGTATTGATGCCTTTTCTCCTTCTCTCTTTGCTTCAGATCCCCAGGTCGAACAAACCACATACTCCATACCCATTATCAAAACCGAAACTTCACTTTTTAGAGGGGCGATTGGGTTTCGTGGGAAATGACAGTAGACGAATTTCAAAGGAGAGAACGCATGTCAAAGAATGACCTCAAGCAGTGACCACATGGCCTTCAATATCCAGCTCCAAGTGATCAGTACTCACGCTGAGGAGGCGGACCATAGGATGGACCATATCCGGCGGTGTAGCTGAGTTGCGAGCCCGGTACGGAAATATCACCGAAATGGTCTAATGATCCTGTCATCGAGTGGGTGAGACTGCCCATAGATCCATGGGCTGGCCGGATCCCAGGGCTCAAGGTGGACCGGCCCTGTAAACTTTGGTGATTCTCAATCCACCCATGACCATGCAACTGGCCAAAGTAGTCAGACTGGGCCCGGTCAATGGATACTTGCCCAAACGTTGATTCCCGTCTTGAGATCGGGGGTGAAGGCAGTTTCGGAGATCGGGACACCCGATCTAGGCGGGGGGAGCTTCGCCGAGAACTGGGGGGTGTGAGACGAGATCCCCCACGACGCACTTGACATGTTGGACAGATCTTCACGAAGCGAGAGATCAGTTCCTTTGGAACCCTGGAACAAAAAGAGATGTAGTCAGTGGCCAAAGCTCTCGGATCATTCTGGGGAACCCTACCAGGAGTAGATGCGTCGGACTTGAGCAGAGGTCTTATCCCGTCCACCATGTTGGCATTGCTTGTGCGCCTGCGTCAGGATTTTGAAAAGTTTCTCGCGGATGGCGACGGGCTTCCCCTCATGGCAGATCATCTTGCGACACTGGAGGATTTGATTAGAACTATATTGCAATGGCATGCAGACGCATGGAACCTACATCGGCGGTTCCGATCCCGGCACTTTGGAGTTTGAACATCTTTTTAACCCAGAAGCTATGAATGGATCAGTCTTGATCTTGCGGGACGGTTGTGAAAGAGCGTACCGAAACTGAGCGGATTCAATCGCCGTATCTTTCGGTTCCATTAGCACGTTCTTGATGTTTCGCGCCCTTTTGGCATGAATTAACGCCTTGTCCTGTTTCTTCACCGACAATTCATTGACGTAACTGACCCGAAGCCACACCATTAGCTTCCAGATCGTCAGAGCAGGCTATCTTGGGGCGTAGACATACCTCTGCATCAATTGGTCAAATTCTTTGACATCCGGGAACCCATCCAATGGAGGAACGACAGCTTCTGACAGCATGGTACCCTCGTTATGAGATCCTTGATCCTCAATCTCCGTCTCACTGAGAGCCTCCCGAAGGGGCAAGTATCTGGTAGGCAGGTATCGTGGCTCTGGCATGTATTGTGAAGACGAACTGTGCAGCCTCATATCATCAGAGGGGGGCATTGAAGGAATGGTGTGATCCGGATACTGCAAATGCTGTATGCCAGCAGAGAGGCCAGATTGTTGCCCATAGGAGGGGGCAAATTGAGATCCATAAGGGGTAAACGAATGCTGGGGGAAATGATATGAGCCAGATCCTGTCGTGTTGAACTCATGACCGCCTGTATGGCTGTAACTTCCAGGAACAGTCATCTGTTGGTTGATGATATAGCTATCGTTTCCTTCATTCCGTCTCGTGAAGTTGCCCATTGTGTTAGATGCTTTCCAGAATCAGGTCAACAATTCAATGTTCTCACGAGTACACGAAGATTTGGTATAGAGTGGAATTGAAAGAGGGAAATGAATAAAGAACGAGTGAATAGGGAAAGAGACAAAAAGATATCACAAAGTACCCAGTGAAGGCGGGTGGCTCAATGATATAGAAAGCGAGACAAAGGGTCAGGATGAAGACGATGATTATGGGGTAGCAATTGCATTAAAAAGGACCTGCAAGACGCCCCCCAGACCAATCTTGCAGGACATGACCGATGCCCAAGAAAGTGCACGAGACCATGTCGAAACAGAGTAGGGTAGAAGCAACAGAGGGTATCCCTGAAAGCCAGACTGCGAAGATTCCACAGAAAAACAAAACAGTAAGTCAAGCAAAGCTCTGTAAGGTACGGGGTATTACCCAGGTCTGCAAGGTAGGAAAGTCGACATGGAGGAGAAACAGGTAAAATCATCGAAATCAAAAATACATTTTCACATTTCTGAATTGGTTTTCTGGCCCAAAAAAAATTAAATGAAAATAAGAATAAACCAACAAAAAGAAAAGAAAGCAAATGTCAGAGGAAAATAGAGAAGCAAAGAAGGACTAGGGTTCGTGGTCGAATTCTTTCCGACCCGCCGAGGGGATTGAAGGGTGAAAGCAGGCTGATACGACAGCGCACACAAGCAATGGTGATACGGATTCCTGCCTCGATGCCCGGCGCCACCATTTGCCTCATGGAGAGCCACGTTGGGCCCTGTCGAGGCCACCTATAGTAGGAGAGTGGGGGGGGGGGAAGAAGGGAAGATCGGCCCCATGTCAATGGTGACAAGCACCCGGGGGGCCAAGTAGGACCTCCCCGATTATGACGGCGGAACAAACTCCCCGGGAAACGAACAAGAGGCGAACGTAGAGCTTTGTTTCTGCAGGTTTGCCTTCGTCAAACAAAAGTCGGGCTGGAGATTGCTCCGGCAAAAGTCCAAACATGCACGTAGCCGTCCGTAAGGAACATGGATTGGGAGAGAACTTCCACTGTACGGGCTATGCAGAATGGGCATGAATAAGGCCGAAGAATTCCCCCACCGCTTCGTATGTCATGGTGATTTGTGTTCAGTTGGTTAGGTGAGCTGTCAGGGAAACGCTGGGGCGTGACCTTGACGTGGCGTCGATGCCAGGGCATGGCGGGATTGGGTCTGATGGGCAATCAAATGCATCATGCGGGATGACAGGATTGCATGCGTTTGGCCCGACCGCGACAGGTGAGACACCGTGTTCAAAGGACTTGGCGGCCGGACCCTCGCAGCACCGCATCTGGGCCAGTCGCGAAACCGAAAAGGGGCTCGAAGCCAGCAGGAGTTATACAATCTATCACCCGGTGTCACGCTGTTGCTTCCCGAGGATCTCTGGGAGAGCTGTCAGAAAGGACAGGAGGAGAAGCAGAGAAGCGCGCGTATACCCTGGAAACACCGAATCCGAGTGGTTTCGGATCTGCCTGGGGTGCTGCGGTTGTCGATCATTGCAGCATGGATCTTCCTTGTTCATCGAAGCAAAAAAAAATGCAGGTCATGGAGCATAGTTGCCGGTAACAAACTGTATATCTCATAAGGGGGGAAGGGGAAGTAGTACAAGCAAAAACTATCATGGAAGAGAGAGAAGTTCTCAGGGAGTTTCTCATCCCCCCTTCCTCGCATTAGGTGCAGTATGTACTATGGGAAAAGACACAAATATAGTTACAAAACAGCAAGAACCGTAAATTCGTGCTGGCCAGTTTCATCAAGGCCATGAAAGACAAGGGTCTTCGCGTCATTAGTTCGTGTATCCTCCTCTTTAAGAGCTCCTTTTATACTGTGGGATGCTCCATACCATCAGTCAGGTCACGGATCGCCCATCGCCAGTGAGTATCACCTCCACGGTCAAAATCGATCCACTTGTCGACTTTCCGCCTCCATTTCTCTTCCTCGGCTCTTTGTCGGCGGATGAATTCGGGGCCCACGTCAAATTCTTCGGTGATGGGCCCTTCATCGGAAGATTCGCCTGCACTCGGATCATCCCTGGCGGTATTAGGGGTGGAGCCGGTCACGGTCTCGGGGTCTCGTTTGGTGCCGATGGTTTTATCATCCAAGTCATCTAAGCCTGCAAAAACATCGTCCTCGTCTTCAAGGGCGATTCCACCGTGCTGTCCGGATGCAAGCGGCGTGGCTCGAAGCCAGCACATGCGCTGTGGATCAAAAATCATCCCACCGACCGCCTGAGCATTATTCGCAGCACCTACATTACTGATAAGAGCTGGAGCGGGTTTCGGCGATTTGGGGGCAGTGGCGACGTCAAACTCCTGCACAAGGTTTTCATTACCTTCCCAACGATAAGTGTCGGGGTTATAGTGCATGCCTCTCACGGCTATAACGTTCAGTATTAGTTTCTGTCCAGTGCCAACGGAAAAGTGTTGATGATGCTCTTACATTTAGATTCCTGCACCCCAGATCCCATAGGCTTGATCAGATGAGGCTTGGATTGCGGTTTGATTCCACTTTTGCGGCTGCGAATCGGCGCGGCAATTGGGGATATCCGAGGGATGGGGTGGGCCTTCCAATTAGGGTTAAAAGAACCAAGTGGGGTTATGTCGCGATTGCGGGGGTTCATGGATGCGATCCGCTGCTCTCGCGCATTCCGGGAGGCATTCGTGTCTCGGGCAAACCGTGGCGTAGACGCCAGAGGCTTAGAGGCCGAGGGTGGTGTAGAGGATTGGGTCGGGGATTCGCCAGGAGGAATAATGCGGCTCTGGCTCAGTCTGGCGCGCACTGATCGGGGGGCACCGCGGCCGGCAGGGTTCTTGGTAAATCTGCTCTCTGTTGAGACAGACGTAGGCAAGTCGTCAAAGGATTCTAACTCGGTTCCATCTCCAAAATTGCGCCGTCGAGTTGGTCGGGTAAGTGTGCGTTTAGCCGTTGGGCTAGCACTCTCCGTTTTGCTGTCATCGAGGCTCAGGCGGAAAGATTCCGGTCGATTTGATCGCGAAAATCGAGAGAAGGTGCCTTGGGGGCTAAGTAGGTCACTGGAGCTATCAGAGTTGTGGCGGCGAGGGGGGCGGTATGTTTTGATGTTGGCATGCTGCGATTGCCTTTCCGATGCGCCTGCTGGAATGAGCGGAGCTGGTGTCCTTCGGCTGGATGTTCTTCCAGCCACGATGGTGCGCTCCACTGGTGTCTTTGGTCGGTTTACCGATGGACGAATAAACCCATCTGGATGAGATGGCAATCGTTGCGGGACCTGAGCTGAAGTAGCGGATGCAATGCCACGAATGGAAGGTAAGGACCTCTTCGTTCGCAATTGTTTGGGAGGAGCACCGGAATCGCCCACGGGAGCAACGGCTTGGGGAGCTCGTGCTCCAAGAAGCCTTCGGCCTGCAGGGTTTGGGTGTGGGGAAGTTGAAACCACACTGGCAGACTGGATACTAGAAATTGAAGACTGGGACGAATGCCCAAGGCGGGACTGGGGTCTTTGGAATTTAGATATTGGAGCACCACTTTCTGAAACGGTCTCCAGATGAGTCGAATGGTTCCTGTCATGGCCAGATAGGCGTGGGATGCGAGTATTCTGCCGGGGGGAGCCTGCTGTGTTGACTGCGCCGGTACCGGTAGTGGTGAAGGTCAAGGTTGTTGAAGACCGCCTTGTTGGGCTGGCTGGCCACTCTGTCTTTCGTTTCACATTGGGGTTCAATGTTAGTTTCTTGGATGCGAAAGCTCTCCCGTTGTCAACCTCGATGCCAGAGAAAAAGTCATCCGACTCCGACGACTTCAAAGCCTGCGATTCTTGCTTGGCTTCTGCGGCATCATTCTCGGTGGTTTCCTCTTCTCGTCGTTTGAGGGACGCGGTAAAATCCAATGGGCCATCTGGGAATACTAGGCCGTCCAGACCATCCTCTTCACTTTCCCCGGTCAGACAACTTGACACACTAGGGCTGGCGATAGATATCGAGGAACTAGGAATCGAGCGGCCATCGCGGGCCGTCCCACCCACTCGGACACCTATGCTCCCTTCGGACCATTCTAGATCAAAATCCTCTAGAACGGGGCTAGAGATGCCAGTGGTATCTTTTCGATTTGATAGTTTCAAGGGTTGATAATCCGGCGGCAACTCGAGGTCTTGATCAAAATCGTCTTCCTGTTCCATATTTGGGTTCCTTCCGGTCACCTTGGTAGCAATCTTCTGTGGGGATCGTGGGGTGGGTGCTTTGATGGTTGGAACATCCCAGTTGATAGGGCCATCATCGTCATCGTCCCGAAACCGGTCTAGATTTCCCAGTGCTGAATGTAGGCGAGTTGAGATGTTCTCATTCCAAGAAGAGGAAGCTGTAGACTTCACCGGACTTGTAACTGCTGAGCTTATCTGTCTGATTGATTCTGGAAATGTCACTTCTTGAGCTGTTCTGAGTTGCAGTATGGCATCCGGGCCCGGGAGCTCTACATCTTCAGACCAGTCATCTACAAAGCTCCTCTTGGGCTTTCGAGTGGACAGGCGTTTGATGGCACCTCCAAGAAGAGCAGAGCTAGGTATATTGGCGGGGATCGGGATCCCTGCGTTTTTGGCTGAGGCGAGAGCTTCTTCTTTAGCAAACTCATCATCGTGCAAAGGAACCTGCCAGTCTTCGTCTCCAACATTCGAGTCCAGATCGGACCGAGCAGACCGCCGCGACGAAATCGAATCGCGATGTCCTGATGGCCGGAATGAAGAATTGGCCATCGATCCTGTACTAGATGCCGCACGGGATTGAATGCCCTCGATGAACTGCAGATCATCATCATCATCCCAACATTCGATTTGCTCCTCCTCCTCCGGTCGTATTTGGGGAGCCGTCGACTCCATTGTGAGCGGCACGTGTAGTTGATAGGGTAATAGTGTCACACTGGGCAAGTTTAATGACTAAGAAGTAAACTCCGTGCTTTGCGGCGCTGACACAAGTCGAAGATGGGGCGTCATCCCGTGATGATAGGGCGGAATGAATGCAGGGTCTTTCTCTTTCTCTTTCTCTGTCTTCGCTTGCTTGCTTTGATGGTCTTTTGATTGTCACCCTTTATCTTTTTATCGCGCGTATGTAGGTGAGGGTGGCTTCTGGTGAGTTCCTCAATTTGAAGGGGTTGAGGAGATAGACGGTATTCGGGGTTCAGGGGTAATGATTTCAACGATACTTGACCAAAAATCACCCCTCCCGACAGGAACCCTAGGAAGTCAATAGATGTTGGAATATTCCAGAGACGGCGCGGTGGAAAGAGGCTGGAAGAGAGGAGAGAGAGATTCCCGGGAGAGGAACGTGCTAGTGGACGCGGTGGGGAACTGCCCACTGTAGGATTCCCAAGACCTCAGCTGAAGGCAACTTGGATATCAATATATATCCATTGTACATTGTCAGGAGCTAATAAATAATAATAAAAAAGTAATTAAGATCATTCCCGATCTATTTTGAAGGGATAATACTGCCAGTTTGAATTGTACTGGAACCATGGTATATATATCCAGAATAGATGCCTATGCGGGAGCATTGTTGCCTGGGCAAAATGATTGTCATCAAGGACAGTTACCACCATATAGAACTCTTCCCAACCCTGGAATTGCAGATCATTTACCAGTCCAAATGTCTCGAGTTTTGCGGTTCGCTCGCTCGGACGAGCAAAACGAGTTCATTCTTCTCCATGTGGTGAAGTTGGGACCAGCTCCACTGGACCTCACCCTCACTGCCACTGAAGGCGAAAGCCCATACACAGCCAGGGGTAAAGTCTTCGTGCATGATCCACATCACTACTACGATCATTAATACTCGCATAGTACAAGAGTCTCACATAAAGGAACTACGCGCCAAAAACTACCAGGGCGTAGATGAAGAGTGGACGCAGATCATCGCCCATGTGTTGGGACAAGGCCCCCCTACCCAGCAGCTGCCAGCATTGTCGGGCGTGGAGGCCTCCACTCACATCACAGATCCGGGGGAGGAGAACAAAGAGATGGTAATCACAATTCGCAAAAGGGTCCAATCTATCACGGTATGTGAAACCTCCCAGGGGGCAAGCTACATATACATTCTGACTTCATTTTTGTTCTCAGCAAAGGCTTGGTGCAATCATCCTCAAGCAAAATGATGAGCAAGCGATAGAGCTGTTTGAATGGTCGGGTCTTGCTGCCGCTAGGGCCGGCGAGTTGGAAAGTCAGGTCATTGACTTGACGGATCGACACCGCGCTGCAGTGGACACGGTACAAAAACTGGAAGAACAACTGGAGGAACTGATACGGGCCAAATCCCAGCATGAAACCCAGCTGGTGGCTAATTTCGTTCAACTGTTGAATGAGAAAAAGCTCAAGATACGTAACCAGCAACGGCTTCTAGCATGCGCAACAGCCGACCCCACAAAAGGTATGCTCCCTTCACTCGGCCCTACCTGAACTTTCTGATAAGACTGTCAACAAAGTTACCTATACCTAGCTAATACACACGCCCTGGGAGCCAGTCTCAGAGATACAAGCAGCCACTGCGAATGTCCATGCAGCTGGGGGAGAGCAGCAGTCTACAAAACGAAATGCTCATGATATGAGTGATGGAGATGGTGATACAGAATTCGAGAGAATGGACATTGATCAAGGCAAAGGCGAAGATTCCTTGATTGACCAAGACACTGACGCTGAAGGCCAATCTACGCCACAGCAGCTGGAGGAAGGGAATGCGACCACGGATGATGAGTCCGGGGACCCAGAGACAGCACAGGCGCCTGCCGATTCAGATCAGACCAAGGAACTGGAGGGTTCATCGTCCAAAACAGCGGCCCCGCCACCGCGCAGAGAGCTACCTTTCACCAGACGAGAGCCATCGGCGAAGGCAGGGGCAGCCCCTGCTCCCAATGAAGTTGCCGAAGAAACTGCTGGAGAGACCGATGATGATGAGCTATGATCATTGCTGCAGCCATGTACACCAAGAGATGGTTGGTTCATGTTGAACGATTCAATCAAAATTGTGGACATGCAAGACCTAAATTCAAAATAAATTGACTGATTCCAGCAGTAACAGTAACCTCTTATATGGCAAGGCCTAACAGTATACAATCGAGGCCCATGAATGCAAGCCTTGCGAAAAAGTCGTTATCTCAAACGAGCATGTGTTCTCCGAGACGGAAATAGAATTTTGTGGGTCTCAATCATTTTATGTACAAGTCAACCCCGACCGATTATTCCCAGGCAACATCCGGAGAGTGGGCGAAAGAGGTCAACCACGGAAACAAGATGAATCGGCGTTGAACGTGATGGGAGAAAACAGAATATGGAAAGGAAATGGGTACATCAAAGGGAGGTTTAATGTGGTACAAATAACAACGCCTGCAACCATTAGTCAAAACATGGAATCAATCAGCGGCTACCGAAGGAGAGTGATCTCCATTCCATTTAGCCGTACAATGCCTGAGGAGACATTTCGCCGGCGGCCATGAAGTTGGTCTCCGGGTTGCCGGTGGCCTTGGAAGCCGAGCAGCGGGCCATGGTGGGTGAGCTGAAAGAAAAGAGTCAGTATAGAGTCAATACCAAAAGATAAATCAGGGCGCGAACCTTCGGGAGATTGCGTCAGTAAAGAAGAAGTCCTCGATAACCTTCTTGAAAGGAGCTCCGGTAGCAGAGGAGCCCTTGTTCTGATCAGCCAGCTGCACCTTGCTCAATGCGCTGACGGAGGTGGGTTCAAGAACATCGTAGCGGCGCATGACAGGGCTGATCTCTTCCATACGGTCACGCAGGGCCTCAATATCATCATAGGGAAGGGGAACGCCAAGGAACTCGCTGGTGGCGCGAATGATCTTCCAATCATCACGGGCTGCCCCAGGTAACGATGTAGCAGCACGAGTCACTTGCACACGGCCTTCGGTATTGACATAGGTGGCAGACTTCTCGGTGTAGGCTGCACCAGGCAGAACGACGTCGGCCAACTGAGCACCCCGGTCACCGTGGTGACCCTGGTAGATGACAAACGCATCCTTCGGGATTTCACTCTGGGCAATCTCATCGGCGCCCAAGAGCCAAACCATCTTCGGGGTGGTCTGGGCAACCTCGGGGGATGGAGCAGTGAATCCCACTTCGTAGGCACCAGCCCGAGAGGCGGCACGCTGCAAGACATTGTAACCTTGCCACTCCGGGGTGTTGAAGCTAGCATTGTGCTTCTCGACGAAGCTGCCGACAGCCTCGAAGATGGCCTTAGCATCGGGGTGCTCAGCAGCTGCACTACCAACGACGATCATGGGCCGTTGAGCAGAGCCGAGCTTCTTGCCAAATTCACCAGACAGAGTAGCCTTCAGAGCGGACACATCGGCACCCAGGTGGTCATAGTCAAAAGTGCTCTCAAACTCCTCACCCACTAGTCCAACTTCCAGATCCGAGCGCAGGTACTGCTTACGAATGCGGGCGTTGAGAACAGAGGCCTCATGACGGGGGTTAGTGGCGACCAGCAGGATAGCATCGGCCTCCTCAATGCCGTAAATCTTAGAGTTGAACAGGTAGTTGGATCGTACATCGATACCGTGGGCGATAGGGTCACTGCCACCGGGTTGATCGAGCGCAAGGTTGTCGGAGCCCAACTTGTTGGCCATGTCTTTCATGGCGACAAGGGATTCGGTGTCGACGAGGTGTCCGGCGACAGCCTTGAACTCATTAGGTTGCAGCTGAAGTTTCTGCTGAGCCGATGAGATTTCTACCAAGGCCTGTTCCCAAGTAGCAGGGACGAATTTGCCATCACGACGGATCAGAGGAGTAGTGAGTCGCTGAGTCTTCAAGCCGTCGCACGCGAAACGTGACTTGTCGTTAATCCATTCCTCGTTGATGTCATCGTTCAGTCTCGGGATGATGCGCATCACCTCCATACCCCGACTATCAATGCGGATGTTGGAGCCAAGTGCGTCAAGAACATCGATGGATTCGGTGTGCTTCAGCTCCCAAGGGCGAGCCCGGAAAGCGTAAGGCTTGGAGGTCAGGGCACCAACGGGGCAGAGATCGATGATGTTGCCTGATAACTCCGAGTCAAGGCTTTGCTCCAGGTAGGTTCCAATCTGCATTTCGTTTCCACGGCCGCTGGTTCCCAGCTCGGGAGCACCCGCGACATCGTTCATGAATCGAACACAGCGAGTGCATTGAATGCATCGGTTCATCGAGGTTTTCACGAGGGGGCCGATGTTCTTGTCTTCAACGGCACGCTTACCACTGACCTCATGGAAACGACCACGATCCGCACCGTAACGCATCGACTGGTCTTGGAGATCACATTCTCCTCCCTGGTCACAGACAGGGCAGTCCAGAGGGTGGTTGGCGAGGAGGAACTCCATCACACCCTCCCTGGCCTTGTGCACTAGCGGCGAATTTGTCTTGACCACCATACCTGGCTGGACCGGCCAAGCGCATGATGCCACTGGCTTCGGGGCTTTCTCAACTTCGACGAGACACATACGGCCTAATATAAATGCACGTTAGTACTGCGGTAACAAGACATCCAAGGTGAGAAATGATTGCGACGCACAGTTTCCCGCAATCAATAGTTTTCTTTATCACTGTGTTAGCACTGTGAAATATCGGATGCATCGGCATTGGAACACATACTCGTGGTAGCAATATCTGTAAGCTAAGTCAGCATAGAGAAGATGAAACCCTGGGCTAATTCAAGGGTGACATACCTTGGGATAGTAGCACCTGCTTGTTCGCAAGCCTGGATGAGAGCCGAACCGGCTGTTGAGGAAGTGAGCATTGGACCAATGGCGATGGGTGAAAAGAGTATTACCTTCGACGGAAACCTTCTTGCCATCTAAAGGAGAGATTAGCATATGATTGGCACCTTATAGAAGATGTTTAGGCCATACCAATGGTGAGTTCCACCTCGGCCGCGCGAGGGGCTGTCGTTGCGAAGGGCCGGGCTCGGGGCACCCGGAGAGACCGGGCGGCCGCACGAAACAGCTGCGGCCGCATAATTGGAAGAGGTCGATGAGGGGAGGGGGGAAGGTTGGGGAAGGGTTTGATGCGGACGAGGGGGTGGGAGAGAAGAAGGGAGCTTGTTCAGACGGGCTTCGAATCTGCTTTGGATTACATAATGCAAATGCTGACCATCCCTGGGCTGAGTAAGGCAGTCTTCGCAAATGGCTTTGCGCGGATTGGCTCGGTTACTTTGCCCCGGATCAATGGTAGTTCCGGGCCTCGTTTTCCCCTTTATAAGCCCCGTCTCCCCTTGAACCCTCTTTTGGAAATCATCTCATTCACGGGCATCATTTATTGTAGGAGACAGGCTCGACCTTTCCCGTTTCCTCTACAGCATAGTCCAAGAACAATGTCCCGAACTGGAGCAGTCAAGGGGTTTCCCCGATTATGATATTGTTCTTTACCGACGGCGACTACACACTACCGCTCATGATGAAGAGCGTCTGTGATATTTTTTTTTCCTTCCATCACGGGACACGTATACGGACCGTCAAGCGTAAATATAATATTATATATATCGCCCAAAACATATAGGCCAATGATTATTACCTACTACTCAAAATTTATTCTCCTTGGACCATCCTCTCAATGCTTCTGTTTCAGAAATGTAATCATATAATAGCCACATCTTGAATGTGTCAATCCGATCCATTCTTGGCATTTTCAGCGTGGTAAGTATTTCATTCATTGAAGCACACTTAAAATCAAAGAATCTCCAAGATACACACTGCTGTTGCCTCTGCTTTCGATCTACTCTGGTGCGTAGGTTAGAAGTGTCATGTCAAGAGTCACGGATTACAACCGTATACATTCCACACATACAAATGGCCCCGGTTAGATGCTAGCGACAAAGCATATTCAAAGGACCGGTCTGGCAGATAGCATGACTTGAAATTCGTGCTCAAAATACCACAACGCCATAGTATAATACACCGGATTCCCCCCCAATATGGTTTAACCCGGCAATAAAGGGGGCAAAGGAAGATCAAAAAGGGAGAGAGAGAAGAACTAGGATAAGATACTATGTAGCAACGGGAGAATCATTTCTCTGCCATGTTGATTCTTGTTTGGTTCCCGGGAGCCAAGTCCGGGAAACACTAGCTCCGCGAGGTCGGGCGCGTCCGTGGCCATCGTCTTCCTTCTTGGAGCTGTTGGTGGGATGGCCATTATTAGAAGTGAAGGATTCAAACGATCGTGGGCCGGGGAAAGAATAGCCATTCGAGTCCCACGGCTTGCTGGAGTGTTGGACATTTGTGGGGAGAATCGACTCCCGCGCGCGAAAGTGGTCTGCATTCGCGCGCTGGTCAGCCACATCGTCGTGGCTATTGCGATCATACAGGTAAAGGCCCACAAAAGTGAGGCCAATTCCAACAGCCTGAATGGAGGTGGTGGTGCTTCCAAACCACACAATCGCGACCACGATGACGAACACCCGCTTGACCAAGGAGGCAACTGAATAAGAGACGGGTGACACCATAGACAACAGCACAAAGGCCAGGATATTTTGAGCGAAATGTGAGACGCCGTTGAAGACAAATTCAAGCACCAGAGCCCCATGGTCCAGCGACCCTTGTTTGCCGGACAGAGAAATCACTCCGTCATTGATGAAATCGGACACTAAGGGGTAGCCCTCACTGACGAACCAAATGGGTAAAGTTAGGAAAAATGCCAGGCCGGAGCAATAGCAAAGCAGATTCAGCTTGTCCAGCTTTCGCCTTGCCGGGTTTGCATCGGACTCGGCTCGGTCTGCCTCATTGAAGAGTTTCTTCGAAAAAATGTTCTGTGACACAAAGACCAACGCAGCCAGGAATGCACAAGAAATCCCAAAGAAATTCGTTGACAGTCCCGTGGAGCATGCAAGCATAACCCCAAAGGTGAGGGGAATTAGCGACAAATAGGTAGCTCGTGCATATCGAATGCGAAACAGGAATCGGTACGCCAGAACAGTGAACAAAGGTGAGAGTCCCTTGATCGTATGAACCAATGAAACGGGGATTTGAGAGGTTGCCATAGAGCTGAGAATATGTCCGGCTAGCTGGAAGACGGCCAGGGGCAACGCAGTGGAGATCACCTCGCGGGAGGGATAGCGGATGCCGTGCCTGAGAATCGGCACGCTCTGTCGCAGTCTGGGTATCACTGTGGACAGGTATACGAGTAGCAGACACCAAAATGATACAAATGCAAATTGGATGATGGTCAACGTGATGGGCATTGGGAGGGCATTCAAGATGGATTTCGAGGACGTGTTGGTGAGCGCGGACGTTAGGTACCAAATCATACAGAGGCCCTACACAGACATTAGCTCGGCATCAGCAGCTCATTATCCCTCGAAGCATACAATCAATCGATATGATACCGGGGCGCGAAGAGCCTCCGCTAACTCATGTGCGTTGGCACTCATACTGCCGTTGCGAGCCCGGATCGTGGTGATAGCCTCGCTGATACTTTTTCGAGGCCGATGTTTGGGGTTTCTTATGGAACTGACGGAATGGTCTCTCGAATAGAAGGTCGATTTCCGTGGTTCCCACAGATCATTGGATGCGTATTTCACGGAGGGACTTGGATTCGGGCGGCCGGTCCCCACGGCGGAGTCGAGAGTTTCTTCGTAGGGAGGGAATTCATCGATTGGACTACTCGTCGGTTGAGAAGAGGGTTTCGCTTGCGCTTGTAGTTCCGCTTGTCGCATGGATGCCCGACGCCCATGACCGGTGACTGTGGTTGTGGCCATCGCCAATAGCCTTTAGTATCCCCGGCTTTCTTCGCCGCTGGCCCTCGTTAGCATTTCTTCCGAGGAAATAAGCATTCCGGTCCACCTACCCAAGCGAATGACAAAAAAGGACGATCGAGACTTAGGGTCAATCCCTCTCCAGATTGAATCTTTCTCGCGGTCGATTGTTCTGGTCCTAAATTCACAACGGGTAATGAGCGCAGGTGGTTCGTGGGTGATGAATCAGCTTGAGCGAATGGGGGTGGAGAACGGCACAAGATGTAATTCTCGGTGCAAAGCAACAGAGATCCACGAAGCCAGAGCGTATCAACCAAGTAGAGAGAGAGGCTATTTTATAGGAAAGAGATGGGGGGATGGGGGGTGGAGTGGACAGAAGGGAGGGAAATTGAAGGTTGGCCCGTGTCGAGTGCTACCGCCACCGGCCGTTACATTACATACGCGGAGGGCGCCGAATGGGGATCTCTAATATACCCGTAGGCAACGGCGATTTAAATAGAAATGCAAATATATAGATTGATACACCTAGGTACGTAAGAGAATATTCCACAGGGTAGTCTCAGAGTAAAGAAGAATAGTACTACGCGAGGATCTCGTTATTTGATAATTTACTACAAATACTTCCGGGGATGTAGCTATCTACAGTGTTGTTGACACGAGATCACGTGGATATGAAGGTGAATGGAATCCAGTCACAGTCATACCTCTATAATGCCAAGGGGTCTAGAATTTCAAGCTTGTGCTGCTCCACTCGCTACGGCCCGAAGCCCCCGAAATCTTTGTCCTATTCTAAAGCCTTGCAAGTTCAGATCACGAAAGCCTTGTACCATACGCAGATACATACTGTATGTGATATGCCTGCCCCCATTTCATGCATACAAGAATCATTGGAAGCTTGAATATCACTTGGGAAGGTCATCGCCTTGTCGTAATTTATATCTCCAAGCTCCAATCATGTCTCCTCTATTTCCACCTATTTGAACTTCAAGGCTGCATAGATCCAAAACCCTGCTATTGGCATGAGCTCAGTTTAGGGGAATCTTTTACCTTGAGGACAAAAGTTGGAGCAACCCTATGTTTGACTTCCCAAATAACTAAGACTTCAACAATTATACTAATGATATAATTCGTCGTATTTACCCTTGAGTACGAACTTGAAGATATCCGTGCCTTCCTATTAGAGAGCGTCCTTACCCTAATTTGACTCAGTTCTCGCGTTGTAGTCTTTCCTCATCCTCACCCTCCCAATCTACCTCTTCTTCTGTCTCTCTCCATCTTCCTCAATCTGCTTCCCTCTTCGTTTTTCTTTTTTTACATACATTCAATTCTCAAGCTCCAAGTCAACGGTCATTCCCAAGTTGACCGTTATTTAGTGAGAATCTGACTGCCCTGACATTCTGTGTGATTTTGATACCTAAAGAAACACGTCCGCGCGTTTCTACTAGTTCCAGCCCACTCAAGCTAGCACCATGTCCTCTCTCGTCGTTCCGTCCAAGCTTGCCCGCATTAACAAAGATGCAAGACTCAGCAACGCAGTCGCGGATGCACGGAACCTCACATTGGGTCGAGAATTGTCGGTAAGTCTCCTGAGTTATTGAAAATGTTAGGCCCGTGAAAAACAAGACATAGCACTTATATTCTTGATCTTCCCCCCTCCCTCAGAGCCTCGGGCATTCCAACGCTCGTCATGGCTCAGCGGATGCTATCGACGCCACCAGAAACGGAGATCCCCAAAGCTCTTCGAGCGAAGATTTCGAGCCTCCATCTTACAAGGTCAGTGTCCCTCCTGATGCCGCAGAGGACATTGTGGCCGTGGCCTGACAGTCCTAGAAGCCGAGATTGGAGCACATGAAACCCGAATCTATCGCTGAGCATTCTTCAAAACTGGAGATAATCGTCGCCAGACATCCTCCCAAAGTTTTTTTGACGACTCATGCAGAGGCCGGCCGATCCTTAGGTCCATCACAGGCTACGACATCAAATGAGACGCAACATCCTGTGGCTTCCGACGCTGTGGATCACCATGGCCCCGATGACAAGATGGTGGAACTTGTTCGACTTCAACAGCAGCTCCTTGCTGCAAACTCCAAAATTGCTCTCCAGGAGCAAGAGCTTGCTCAGACACGGGTTATCAAGCATACTCTGGACCAAGCTCTTGGGCCACCATCCGAGGCAGATTTCGGTGGTCGTGAGATCACGGAACAAACAATCAGTCATCTTCAAAGTGCTTTCAATGCTTCAAACCCTGCATTCGGTCAGATCCAGGATGCGTGGAATTCGCAAGAGGACTCCCAGTCCGATATCTCCGACGCCTTGTCTGCTGGGGGCTACAATCGTGCTCGGGCACCATGGAATCCGCAGGGTCAGACCTCATTCGGAGTCGCAACCAACGATACTCCTTTCGACAAAGCCTATGGCGAAGCTTTCCACGGCCCTAATGTTACTGCCCAGGAGTTGAATCGATTTTGGGGTGGACCGGGTGGCTCAACTGCATATCCTGCATTCGGGTCCCACGGGACGATAAAACCGCAGAGGGTTCTATCAGGCCCTTCGACCGGTGCATACGGCTTTTACTCGAGATCCCCAAGCGACCCATCTCGATACGTTCAGGCCCCGAGCCCTGTACACCGTCGGCCTATATCTCAGGTAAGCCGGACTGGCTTGTTTCTGCCAGCTCAGAGTTCTGCTTGGGGCGGCCTTGTTCCAGGATCTCCTACAAACCCTGCTCCCAAATCTCCCTCACCACCTACTGCAAGACCATCCAGTACTTTCCAGCCCATCAATACCTACACAATGACGCCTTATCACACCAGGTCCATGTCAACCGCTCTTTCTCCAACTGCTACCGAGTTCACAGCCGGAAACACGAACGGAGGAGCCCCGTGGACAGCTTCTTCTGTGAGTATTCTAATATTAACTTGATGGACATGAACTAAAGCTATACAGCCTGGTGGAAATTCTACTCAAACCTACCTTTCACCTCTTGAACCTCTCAATTACCGTCGTCTCCTGGACAAGAACGTTTCATGTGACTGGAGATACATCATGGACAAAATCGTTTGCAACAACGATCAACAAGCCTCTATTTTCCTACAACAGAAACTCAAAGTCGGTACAACGGAACAGAAATATGAGATAATCGAAGCGATTGTCAGTCAAGCCTACCCTTTGATGGTGAACCGGTTTGGGAATTTTCTGGTCCAACGATGCTTTGAGCATGGAACCCCCGAGCAGATTGTAGCCATTGCCAATGCAATCAGAGGCAATACTCTCAGCCTGAGTATGGACCCGTTTGGCTGCCATGTGATTCAAAAGGCGTTTGACTGCGTTCCCGAGGAAGACAAGGCTGTCATGGTACATGAACTTCTTCGCCGAATCCCAGAGACGGTGATTCATCGGTATGCATGCCATGTCTGGCAGAAACTTTTTGAACTGCGATGGACCGGCGAGCCACCGCAAGTAATGGCCAAAGTGAACGAAGCTCTACGTGGAATGTGGCATGAGGTCGCTCTAGGAGAGACGGGGAGCTTGGTAGTTCAGAATATTTTCGAAAACTGCGTTGAGGAGGAGAAGGTAGGATCTTGCTATCCCATAAAAGGAGTTTCCTTCATCGGATGCTAATATCTAACAGCGACCGGCAATTGAAGAAGTATTGGGGAAAGTAGATGTACTCGCACATGGCCAATTCGGCAACTGGTGCATTCAACATGTCTGTGAGCACGGTGCACCCCATGACAAGAGTCGCGCGATTGAGCACGTCCTTCACCATGCGGTCGAGTATAGCATGGATCAATTTGCGTCCAAGATCGTCGAAAAGTGTTTGAAAATTGGAGGCTCGGAATTTCTAGATCGTTTTCTCTCCCGCGTTTGCACAGGTCGTGCCGACCGACCTCGGATGCCTTTGATCGACAGTGAGTGGTACCCCATCTCTTGCTATTGAAGCCAACTCTCACATAGTCTACAGTTGCAGGTGATCAATATGGAAACTACTTGATCCAATGGATTCTCATGAATGCTGCACCTCATCAGCGTGAGCTCGTTGCTAGCCACATCCGGTATGTTTCTCTCCCTCCCTTCTTCAGCTCCAGCTTCGTTTCCAGAGCTCATTGTTCTTTTTAGCAAGCATATGGTTTCCCTTCGTGGTTCGAAGTTTGGTTCCCGTGTTGCCATGCTCTGTTGCAACCCATCCCATGCCACGCGTCCTGGACCTGGCACCGGCATCCAAATCGGACGATTCAATCAATTCAATGAAGACAGGTTTCCCTCAACCGGTCAAAGTGGCAATCGGTTCAATCGGGGAAACCAATGGAATGCCAACTATGCGGCTTTCCGTTAGATTTACCCAGATCTCCTCAAGGCTCAACACATGACACTTGATATGCTCATTTACCTACGTTACCGGAACGAAAGAGAAAACGAAACCGATTCCTTAACGAGGAATACCCATTACCCCAAAGAAAAGAAGAGAAAATCGACAAAGCATTGATAATATCAATTATTTTCATCTTCGGTGTCCACCAGTCTGGTGGCAATGAGGTGCTGCCAAGATCGCCTTGTTTTATCTCTATGGATTCAATCTCGTCCGTTCACTGTGTCCGCCGATCTATTTTCTTGGTCTGTCACGCGTCCATTGTTCAGTCATCCAGGCTTTTTGTGTCAAGTGACGAACATGGCCCGAAGAACCTCCAAGGCGTCAATCTGCTTGTGATGGTAGCTTATATTTCACTTTCCAAGTAGGGAGTAGTTATGGGGTGTTTATTGTGTCGGAGGTTCGGTTCGCGAATGGCCTTATTACATGCTTCTGCGATATCTACTGCCGACCTTTCTTGTCTGTCTTTGCATGTTTAACCCTCGGGGATACTTTTCTATTGTGTTATTCAGCCACCCGGGTTTTTATGGCCACTGTTTGTCATCTGTTATCGCACGAGCGGAGGACTGGTATCTTTATAAACCCAGTTACATATATTCCCCTTTGCAGAGCATCTGCTTTCTCTATCTGAGCCCCCCAAAAGCGTTCATAATATGATCATGCAGATGAAACTTCAGTTGTAGATTCATCCTGCGTTTGTTCCAATCCATCCTTCTCCCATGGCTTGCGTCGCCGAGGCTTCTCACTTGAGATGTCATGCCCTGTCAACACAGTGTCTGGAATCTGTTCAATCCCCGGGATTGGCTGCCCTGTGGTAATAAGCTCGACTATATGCGCAAACGAAGATGGATACGTAGGTTCCGTGTCCGCTGGTCGCTCGGAACCGGGGGCATTAGAGGAATCAGCTGGACCACTCGATTCATGAGGCTCGCAAGGCGATGATGCAATTAGCCACGATTTATAGGCAGTGAAGTCAATGGGTGGAGAGATGTTTTCTTTCCTGTATATTGAATCAGTGGATGGCCCTGATAAATGTCGGTGACAAAGTGATACCGTGAGAAGAAGAAACATTTGGCCTGTAAAACAAGATCATCTTCGCGACTCATCTCGGTCTCCGAGGCGGGCGTATTGGGATGACCAAGGATAATGGCGAGACCATTTGCGAATTCGGGATCATTCTGAAAAGAATACATCCGTAGTCGTTCGAACAAATCCGACGATGCCATTTTGCCTTCTGTCTTGACCTCAATACAGTGATGCGGAGGGGTGGGGCAGAGAGAGAGAAATGGATTGTAGCCGAGGTTGACGCGATAAGCCGTATCTTATAGCTTCTTGGAGCTTGCTTTACATCTTCAGTTACATGCTTGAGTGATAGTCAAAATTTTTATATCCATTGTTATTCATCTAATTTTAGTTTTCCCTCTGCCTAGAAAGACTTCACATGACGCCGAACGATGCATATATAATAAAATTTCAAATGCTCGTGTCCATTCCATCTACCTTCGCCACGCTGTCCAAGACCCGGTTATTTTTACTCTGGCATCCCGGACAATTATGCACCACTTCATGAGCGAAGAGATCGCAGTCAATGCAGAAATGGTTCTGACACGCTGTACATTCGTAACGACTACTCACACTCATTCCTTTGGTGTGGGTTTCAGCCGCTTGCCATTGGTCCTCGGGTGGAACAGCAGGAAAAGGTAGGCCACATGCAAAACACCCGGTACTTCGGGAAGCCCGGCGCCATGGCACCTCAACCCAATTTATCAAGGGGAATAGATGGTGGTATGAACGGGCAAGGTGCGTCGAAAGAATCAGGGTAAGCCCGCAAGAAGGGCACTCTGCGGGTAGACTACATACCTTGCTGCCACAGCGAGAGCATAAGTACCCACCCCGGGATGGTTTCGAGTGGCAAGCGCAGAGAGAGAATTTTGACTCTACTGTTCGAGATGGAAACCCCATCATTAACAGTGAGCTAGCAGATTGTTTCTGAGAATATACGGCGGGTGGTGTGGTCACATCCATCATCAGCTCCCGGAAATGCTGCTCATTAAGCGCCACACCGTAGGCTGTTTCATCACCTCCGTTCGTTTTCGTGCAAAGCTCGCGACAAATCGCGACCTGTGCAGCGAGTCCGACAATGCGGACTCGTACCTTGTCACTGATCAAGGTATTGATGGTCTGGTGAATATCACCCGGGTCCGAGGACAAAAGAGAGCCAAAAATCACCAACACTTCCCTAGTGCCATGGTTGGGGGTGTGACTATAGCCACAAGTTAGCTCAGATAAAAGAAGGTAGAACAGACAACGTACAACAGGGCACCTCGCGCCATGTCTAGACCATTTTGCAAACTGGGCAGACCTTTTGGATCTTGGGTCTTGAGCGATTGGATGGCTGTCATGTGTTCCGTGGGATTTCCACTCATATCGCTGATTCGAAGAGCCAGGCCATCCCGTAGGCCCAAGACACCCAGTTGGGAGATGGGGTTTTGTTCAAAGAATTCTCGAACGAATTCCTGCGCATATCGCAGGGTCAGCAGGTAGCGTGTCGGACGTAGATCCTTTTCGGACATGGACTGTGAAAGATCGAGGACAAGGATCAGATGTCGTATAATACCGCGTTGGAGAGGAGTTGTATCCTTTAACAATCTAGTCGTAATGAGGTCAGTCTACCGGACATCTCGACGTCTCAGCAAGTCAAGTGTAACTACCTTTTCCGCTTCCCAGCTTCCAGCAGCCCCTCCACAGTCGCACTGATTGTACCATCTGCGCCTTCGACGAGCGTTTCCCAGGTCCTGGACAACTCCCACTCAGCTCCTCCCCGCTGTTTTCTCTTCCTGGTCCCGACCTGATCTTTCCGGGTTACCTGGAGATCATCCTCATCCTCGGTGACGTCTCCGACGTATTCCTCGTCCGAGTCGGCCATTCTGGTAAATATCGGTACCGGCCCAAAGTGGGTGAAAGGTGGATTCGTAGCGCGGGAATGCTAGCCGCCTTTGAAGATGGTCCAAGCTCCGACGGAGCTCCGTCTGGAGAAACTTCTCTTCACTTCTTTGACGCGCATCAAACGGGAAAATTCGTGAAATTAGGGTATCAGGAACTGAGACTGCAAGGAGAAAAATAAAAAAGACCCGAAAATCTTTCAGATCCCATCCGACAATAGCCGGGATTTGGGGAGAGGCAATTGGAAGAGATGTGGGGGAGAAGATCCATAGCGGCGACCAGACGCGCTGGAGTCGCCATTGCAGAGCGGCGAGTGCCTTTCTGCCCCTCCCCCTCCTTCCTCTCCTCTTTTCCTTCTCGCTCCCCTCGTCTGCGCCCTCGATTATCTCCGATCACTGCGCCTAGACTTCACTTAGTCTTTCCTCGTTATTGCTCCGCCGAGGCTCGCATGATGGCCTCCACCGACAGAGATACCTTGCCTGACGTGTGAGTGATGTCTTCTTCAATGCTCTTACCGTTTCGTTCAGGTCCCTTGAAAACGGTGACACATGAAAGGGGCTGACATGAGAGCTATGGAATACATGAAACAGTAGGCTAACGTGAAATCAGGGCCAAACCAACCAACTACCATGTCTCGCTTTTCGACTTGCAGCTCGAGGGCTCGTGGGGATACAAGGGTCTGCTGAAGATCGATACCAAGGTCACTCGTACCACCAAGGAAATTGTGCTGAATGCCAAGGAGATCGAAGTTCAGAGTGCCGAAGTACTGGGAGAGGATGGTTCGTGTCGAAAATCACCTTGGATGCACCTTAGATGCGCAGTGATGGATAAGACTAATCGTGTCCTCATTCTTTTTTAAACAGGTGCTCTTTTGGCAAAGGCTTCTGATATCACCTACGACAAGACGTCCGAACGAGTATCTTTGAAGTTCTCGCAGGAACTTGCACCTTCCGATGTGGTCCTGTCGATCAACTTCACTGGCACTATGAACAATGCTATGTCGGGCTTTTACCGATCCAAGTATACGCCCGTGGGGGAACCGGCCGCTGATACGCCCAAGGACGGTGACTTTTACTATATGCTGAGCACCCAGTTCGAATCTTGCGATGCCCGGAGGGCCTTCCCTTGCTTTGATGAGCCAAACCTGAAGGCCACTTTTGATTTTGAAATAGAAATCCCCAAAGGCCAGACTGCTCTCAGTAACATGCCTGTTCAATCCGAAAGAGACGGAAGTCATCCCGGACTCAAGTTCGTCACGTTTGAGAAAACACCCGTCATGAGCACTTACGTGAGTACAAGGCCCTGCACACCATGATCAAAGGTCGTTAACAAACCATTCTGGCCTGTAGCTCCTCGCTTGGGCAGTAGGTGATTTCGAATATGTTGAGGCCATGACAGAGCGCAAGTACCAGGGAAAGAGCATCCCTGTCCGGGTCTATACCACTCGGGGTCTCAAAGAGCAGGCTCGCTTTGCTCTCGAATGTGCTTCTCGGACAGTTGATTATTTCTCGGAAATTTTTGAGATTGAATATCCGCTTCCTAAGGCTGATCTCCTGGCTGTGCACGAGTTTGTGAGTGATTGAGCCTTTTCAATCATGGCCAAGAACTTGGCGTTTAACTGACTAAATTCTTGTCAGGCCATGGGAGCTATGGAGAACTGGGGACTGGTCACCTACCGGACCACTGCCGTTCTTTTCGACGAAGGAAAATCAGACAACCGGTACAAGAACCGGATTGCTTATGTAGTCGCTCACGGTCAGTCTTCCTCTCTCACCTCATATATAGAACTTGGGTTGTATCTAACACATTGAATCATAGAGCTGGCTCACCAGTGGTTCGGCAACCTTGTCACCATGGACTGGTGGAATGAGCTTTGGTTGAACGAAGGGTTTGCAACCTGGGTTGGTTGGCTTGCCGTGGACCACTTTCACCCGGGTAGGCATCGTCCAGACTCCTTATCCATGTCATAATCTAACATGTTCGGCAGATTGGAACATCTGGTCTCAGTTTGTCGTACGAAATGCCCGAGGTAAAGCCGTTCTTCCCCATAGATCACCATTGACGTTCTTCCCAGGCTGAGGGTGTGCAACAAGCATTCCATCTTGACTCGCTACGAGCCTCCCACCCTATCGAGGTGCCAGTCCGGAACGCCCTCGAGGTGGACCAGATCTTTGATCACATCAGCTATCTCAAGGGAAGTTCGGTAATTCGCATGCTGAGTGTTCACCTTGGCCGCGAGACATTCCTCCGGGGTGTCGCTGACTACCTTAAGTCTCATGCATACGGTAAGGGAGGAGGAATGGGAACTGAGTAGAACAATGATCGATGCTAATCCCTGACGTTGAAGGAAACGCGACTACGAATGATCTGTGGTCTGCTTTGAGTAAGGCTTCTGGTCAAGATGTGCACGGATTCATGGTAAGTCTCTCCAAGATTTATACATATGGTTTCACGAGGAAGCCAAACTCTGACGACATTATCTAGGATCCCTGGATTCGCAATATTGGTTTCCCAGTCGTCACTGTGACAGAAGAACCCGGTCAGATCAGTGTTCGTCAAAATCGATTCTTGTCGACCGGAGACGCGAAGTCCGAAGAGGACGAGACCACTTGGTGGATTCCTCTAGGAATCAAGTCCGGCCAAAACCTAGCTACTGTGGATACCCGTGCCCTGACCCAAAAATCCGACAATGTGTCAGGCATCGGAGAGCATACTTTCTACAAGATTAATAAGGACCTGGCTGGTTTCTACCGGACAAACTACTCTCCTGCTCGCCTAGAGAAGCTGGGTCAATCCCTTGAGCTTCTGAGCACTGAAGATAAGATCGGATTGCTGGGAGATGCCGCTGCTCTTGCAGTTTCTGGCGAAGGCTCTACACCAGCCCTGTTGGCTCTTCTGGAAGGGTTCAAGGCGGAGACAAACTATCTGTAAGATCCTATTCGTTTTGGCGGTCTTTTTTACCCCCCGCTAATCCTGACGTCTGAATATACAGTGTCTGGTCGCAGGTGTCTTCATCTCTGGCAAACCTCCGCTCTGTTTTCTCCCAAAACGAACCTGTGGCAGAGGGATTGAAGAAATTCACCAAGAACTTGGCTTCTCCGGCCGCAGAGAAAATTGGCTGGGAATTCCAACCCAATGAGGACTATCTCACTGTTCAGCTCCGCAAGCTGCTGATCGCTATGGCTGGTAATGCTGGTGATGAAGGGTAAGCTATGTGCTGTCTTCTCAAGCGAAATTCGTAGATCATTCTTGCTGACGAGAGTATCAAGTATCATCGCTGAAGCCAAGAGGCGATTCGACCTGTGGGCCACAGGCCAAGACAAGAATGCCATCCACACCAATCTTCGATCAGTGATCTTCAGCCTCAATGTGTCGGAAGGCAGCCGCAAAGAATATGATGCTGTCAAGGCTGAGTACCTGCGCACCGATTCTGTTGATGGCAAGGAGATTTGTCTGGCTGCCATGGGACGCACCAAGGAACCCGCACTTGTGACGGACTACTTGGACTTCGTTTTCTCTGACAAGGTAGCCATCCAGGACATGCACAGTGGTGCAGTGTCTCTGGCTGCCAATTCCCGGGTCCGACACCTGCTGTGGGAGTACATTAAGACGAACTGGACATCGGTGGAAGCCCGACTGTCCTCTAACAATGTAGTCTTTGAGCGATTCATCCGCATGGGTTTGTCCAAGTTTGCTGATCACCAGATTGGGGATGATATTGCCACTTTCTTCCAGAGCAAGAACACTGGTTCTTATGAGCGTGCTCTCGTCATTATCTCTGATAACATTCGTACCAACGCCTCCTACAAGGAGCGGGACCAGGCGCTGGCTCTTGAGTGGCTGCGGGCCCATGGCTTCGCATGAGGCATTCATTACGTTCCTTAGTTGTGATTTCAAGGCAACATGATGGGAAATGGAACCAGCGAGGGGAATCCTTGGCATGGATGATCACCTTGGTCACCTGCCAGGGGCAACTGAGGTCCGCACGAGGCGGAGAACATGTGCGGTGAGGAAGGTCACTTGGATGACATGTAGTTTCAATCATAGTCCAACCTAAAGGAAATCATCTTCAGTTGTATGAAGTGAAGAAATAATGGGAAATAAAGAACAAAGGAACTTGAACTAATGAATTCAACAATTAATTTGAAGGAGAGATTCGAGACGACCTATAGGCTATAGGTATATAATTTCGTGAATTAACAAAGCGGTGACGGTGAAACAAAGCTGCACATCAGGTGCGTGTGCCCACCTGCACCTCCTATCATCCATTTCAGGCGTTCATCATTCAACTCCCCTCCAACTTGGACACCTCCTTCACCTCCCATCTCTCTTCCTTCTTTTTGCTATATTCAACTGCATTTTGGTGCTTGGTCCAACTTTCCTCCCTTCATCATGAATCCTGAGTGGTAAGCCTCTATGTTCCCTCGGTCGGGACGCATCTCCCCCGTGTCCCATGCTGTTATTGCAAAACCTTCATTATGGGAAGCCACGATTTGGAGGACTCAACTGATGTTGTTTTGATTTTCTAGAGTATTCTTCTAAGCCGCTGATATCCCCCCCCTTGGTTGCGACTTTCCAAACGTCATCTCGCCGATCTGCCTATCCTAACTTCAAATCCCAACAATAGATACGATTACCTCTTCAAGCTGTTGCTCATCGGAGACTCCGGTGTTGGAAAGTCTTGTCTGCTGCTTCGTTTCGCCGATGACACCTACACGGAGAGCTACATCTCGACTATCGGAGTGGACTTTGTATGTTGACCTGGACTCCGGTGGGGCTCCCGGAATGACATGCTAATGCACCCGTTGCAGAAAATCCGCACCATCGAACTGGATGGCAAGACCGTGAAACTTCAGATTGTACGTGAAATCTAATATAGCGCTTATGGTACATGGCTAACTAGTGCAATTTAGTGGGACACTGCTGGCCAGGAACGTTTCCGTACCATCACCTCATCTTACTACCGTGGCGCCCACGGAATCTGTGTGGTGTATGATGTGACCGACATGGACTCCTTCAACAATGTCAAGCAGTGGCTTCAGGAGATTGACCGATACGCCACCGAGGGTGTGAACAAACTGTTGGTGGGCAACAAGAGTGATATGGAGGACAAGAAGGTCGTGGAGTACACCGTGGCAAAGGTATGGCTTTTTTGGATCCACATCTCAACACATTTCACCCCTTCTTGATATAATTTTGTCCGTTGCTGACCCATGGGATTTTCCATCTGGTATAGGAGTTTGCCGATAGCCTCGGAATCCCCTTCCTCGAGACCTCCGCTAAGAACGCATCGAACGTCGAGCAGGCATTCTTGACAATGGCACGACAGATCAAGGAGCGTATGGGAACAGCCACCGTCAACAACAAGCCCACTGTGCAGGTTGGCCAGGGCCAGGGTGTTCAGTCTGGGTCGGGAGGTGGCTGCTGTTAGACCCATGCGATATGATGCTTCTCATTTGGCGCAATGTTACACGAATTGAGGGTCCTCTCGAAGCGGTATGCTAGGTGTCTTCGATGGCTAGGCTTCACACCCGGCATTGAGGACTTGACGAGGCTTGAGGGTCCTTGGTTTCTTCTTCCTGTCTTTAGACGGCCCTGCGTTCTGTCTTTCTGCGTTTGCTTCGTGATCACCGGTGTTTTCTTTTTTTTTTCTCTTTTCTCCTCCCCTTACCCCCCTTTCTATCCTTCCCTGGCCACGTATTTCTGGGCCTTCGCTGTGACATGTTCTACTTTTCCCTCTATCTCTCTCTATTCTCTTTCTTGTAGGTTGGATTCATCTCTGAATGGATTAATGGCGAGAATTTTTGTCTCTTTGGAGTGGATCATGTGCGTAGTAATAAATCAATCCGGGTTGATTGGATATCTAATCCCCAGTCATGTGTTGGAATTCTTTTAGAAATCACATGCCATCGCTTTCGGACAGAAGAAGTCGTTTATTACCTAAAAAGACCGGACAATTTCTACTATTCGGTCAGTCCCGACATCCTCCTGGATTTGGTACTGGATCATCTGTCGCATCGACCCCGGAATGTAGTGGAGTTGGGCACGAGCCGAGGCTCACTCGGCACGTCATGAAACTCTCCTTCCCTCATCAAAGCCGATTCATTATCGCACCCTTTTTGCTCCTGAATCCCATACGATCATCTTTTTAATCCTTGACCTCCTCAACCTTTCATCGTGACTTCCAACTAACCCGCCTTTCCTTTCCACTGCAACCATGTCCGAACGTCCACAGCAGAAGCCCGCCCCCTCTGTGGCCGTTCAGCAAAGTGATAACATTGCGCACGCGCTGGCCGGTGCCGGAGGAGGAGTTTTGTCGATGATCTTGACGTAGGTTATATTCCATGTTGCTTTCCCATGGGCCATCTTTAATATCTACTTACTAGATACCCCCTCATCACCTTGTCTACCAGAGCGCAGGTCGAGTCTAAGCGTGCGCACTCCACCAATCTCGATGCGATTCGACGGATCGTCCAGCGAGAGGGTATCTCTGGACTCTACTCAGGTCTGGAGTCCGCTCTCTTCGGAATCAGCGTCACCAACTTTGTTTACTACTACTGGTATGAGTGGACCCGGGCGGCCTTTGAGAAGGCCGCCGTTCAGGCGGGTCGCGCTTCTAAGAAGCTTACCACCGTGGAGTCCATGATTGCAGGGGCAATTGCAGGCAGTGCCACAGTGATGATCACCAACCCAATCTGGGTGATCAATACCCGTATGACGGCTCGCAAGTCCGAGTCGGAGGAACAAGGTCTCCCCGGAGCGCCTAAAAGCAAGGCGTCGACCCTCAGTACCTTGATGGACCTGTTACGACAAGAAGGTCCCAAGGCCCTGTTTGCCGGTGTTCTGCCAGCGTTGATTCTCGTGATCAACCCAATTCTGCAATACACTATTTTTGAGCAGCTAAAGAATATGGTGGAACGTCGTCGCCGGATGACTCCCAAGGACGCCTTTTACCTAGGGGCCTTGGGCAAGATTTTGGCCACCAGTATCACTTACCCATACATCACGATCAAGAGTCGGATGCATGTGGCCAGTAAGGATGGTCCTAAGGAGAGTTTGAATGGAAGTCTTAAGAGAATTATTCAGGAAGAGGGGTGGAAGGGTCTATACAAGGGTAAGTTGAATTCTTTGCTCCTCTCATTCTTTTTTTTATATTATATATATATCTGTATGTATTATCCTTTACTAATCTATTGAACTAGGAATTGGCCCTAAGGTGACCCAGAGTGCCATCACAGCTGCCTTCCTGTTTGCTTTCAAGGATGTGCTGTATGATACAATGATCGCCATGCGCAAGAGAAGTGCGATCCGCAAGTAGGGTGGTATGCCATTCCACCCCCAAGCTTCTAGTAACAGAAGAGGGTTGTATCTAAGCATCCACGTTGACGGGTGATTTGAGGTAAAAATATTTACCAATTCATTTTCCAAATGGCTATGGTTCAAAATGAGGTGAGATAGCCTGTTTTGCACATCTATAATAAGCTCTACAAAGTTGTACATATACGTTCTTTATCTTTATGTCATGCCCTTATCAACATAAAAGTACTTCAAGAAAGCGATAAGCATGTTTATAGTCGTAGATAATTTCTGGGTCTCACCGCCTTGTCTCCGCGTTGATTGTGGCGCGACTTCGCGATTGCGAATCCCTCATACCTGAACAATTTGGTGTCTCACCTGGGCATATTGTGTTGGCACATTGCTTCTCTACGTCGGTTTGTTTACGTCCTTTGTTCATTGAGCCCCGCTAACAATCATTGAGATCCACCCTTTCCTCAAACCCTTGGATGTCCGGAACCACCCAATTGTATCCCCCCATTGCCCTCTTAGATTTGCATCGCGTCACCATTGTCAAGCTTCCCGAAGCATGTCACTGGATGCTCTCGGAGAACCTTGGAATGTGATCGGGCAATAATCTTTGGGGATATCGGATAGTTGTCCAATGCCTTCCTAGACACGCCATCAAGATACATGCCTCAAACAATGGTGTGAGGAAGTCAACGAAATGCTTCATACCTTACGTGCTAGAGACAAGGGCCAGATTGCTGGCTTTGGCCTAGAAGATAGCGCTGAGTATGTCGAATATGTCTCCCAGGAGGCTCATCGTTTACTTGCAAAATTTACACAGCTCTCCACCAAACCGCCACGTGAACAAGCCGTGCCCTCAAATACTGTTACCCATGGCCATACGGTGTTCCACCTGGAAAGTGTCAAAGATGCCTGGCGAACACCACGAAGCGCTCCGGAGACAATAGAGACATCTACCAAAAACCTCCCTTCAAAGCAATCAAATTTACCCAGTCACTCATTCTCCAACCCTGCTCTACAACAAAATGACCAAGCAATTCTGCAGAATGGCTTGGCTGCGTTGAAACCAAACCAGATATTGGAAGAAAACCCCTCATTTTCAGATTCGCTTGTGGGTCCACTTCCTCAGACAGACTCGTTCCCAGGACGAAGGGTCATAAGTCCCCACCCTCCGAATCAAGCTATCGACTTGCACATGTCCCCTTCAGAGTCTAGGTTAACTCCAACTTCCTCTGGGCCACTCCTACAGAGCCCTGACGGCCTAGCTCCTAGGCGTTCTGGCCGGGCCAAAAACAAACCGACCACATACAATGTACGTGTATTGCTTGGCCTGGAAACCAACGAGACCCGAAGGAGTTCGAGAGAAGCGTTGACTCGGACCTCTCGAATCTCCTCGCGAGTCCCTTCTGAGCTTGCATCAGAACTTTCGCTGTCTCCGGATCCTCCCTCGGTATTCAATCTGCTCAAAAAAGACCCCTCTCGCAGATCTCCTAATATTCAAAGACTGTTGTGGGATCGAGAATTGCGCGGTTGCAGCCATAGCAGCCGGATTCGCACAGCGATGACATCCGATCTCAGGCCCTGGAAGTCTTGGAAAGGCGCCTCGAGTGATGTGACCGTCCTCGCCTGGTCGCCTGATTCCACAAAGTTTGCTGCGGGAGCAACGGCGCAACCGGAGTACAATCGAAGGTATAATTTGCTTCTGGGCGACCTTGTCAATAGTGCCCTATACGAGCTTCCAGACCATTGGACCCCTTCACAGATTGCTACCGATGAGCGCTTGTACACAAGTGTCACTGATATGCAGTGGGTTGGTAACCGACTATACACCGCGAGTTATGACAACACTGTCAAGATCTGGGATGCCGCTGCTCACAAACATCCTTCATGCCTTCAAACCTTGGAGCATAGCTCCAAAGTCGTAGTCATGGCTCTGTCAAAATCCATGCCTAACCTCATTGCTACCGGGACCGATAGGTTCCATCTCTGGGATGTTCAGGAGGGTCAGGCTCCTATTTGCGTGGATTTGTCTATTGTTCGGCACCCTCGCCAGAAGAACATTGATCTGGTGCCCACCACTCTTGCATGGGGCCACACGGCATCAACAAATCATGTTCTAGTCGGTGGCATGGCGGAGCGAAGTCTAGATGAGTACAAGGTTCCCAATCATGGTCATTTAGGGCTGTGGACTATCAATCAGGGCTCAGTGACACCACGGAAGCTGGTCCCGGACTCTCAAAATGTTTTTGATATCAAATGGCATCCATTTTTGCCGAAATTTGTTGCTGCCACGACATACAGCCAGGCAATGCAGCTTCCACTGAAGACGAGAACTGTTCTGCAGCTGTATGACTGCATAGACGGTAATTTCACCTTCACTGGCCGATTTCCCTGTCCAGCGGCGGATGTGATGGAAACGAGCTTTTGCCCGATGGATTCGACCTATATCACCGCCAGCTGTACGGATGGTCGGACGTATGTTTGGGATGTCCGTTTTCCCGACAAAAATAGCATTCTTCAACTTCCTCATGGCGCCCCACTCCACCCACTCAACCATAAGCAGCCCCGGGAGCTGACTGACTATGGAGTCTCTTTTGCTCTGTGGGGAAGATCTATGGATCAGCTCTACACGGGTGGTTCTGATGGATTTGTGAAACAATGGGATATTCGTCGAGCCCCCGAAGATGTGCTAGTGGCTGACATTGCCAAGTTCGACGAGGGGATCACGAGTGGGGCCTTTTCGGAGGATGGATCCCACCTTCTTATTGGGTCTCATGGTGGAGGCATTCGGGTGTTGTCTACCGGGCCTTGCTCCGATCCTGAAAACATAGGGTTTGGGTTAAGGCGTGCCCCAGAGCCGCCCTCTCAGGATATTTCTGGGCGTGAGGCTAGTAGTGTGCTTCTCTCTAACGCCGAGATCGAACTGCATCCGATCTACGGCCCGGGGCAGGGATCTAATTACCAAGGCCCTTATGCTCGCTGGGCACGTGATACCAATGAGGATACACCCCTGGACCAGCTGAAAAGAATACCTTTAAAAGACGAGTACCGAGTCCGTCAACTTTGGGGTCCAGAGGTCCTACATCAGGGTGAAGTAGATTCAAATGCGCAATGTGAACTCATGAATCAAAGAAAAGTCGCTAGAATACGGAATAGCCAGCCCGATCATTTGCTAAGGGAGAAGCCTAAGCGCAAAGGGACTGGGGTCGAATTATCTGCAGGAGATCGAAAGAAGAAGAAAAGGCACAACAATGAGAAAGACAAGGAGAAGCGAAAGAAGCGGCGCCATGGTCCAGTGGTCGGTAACATTGAAGTGGTTCATATCGACCTGACCGGCGATTCCCCGGAACCCGAGTCAACCACAGAACCTCAGACAAAGCGAGACTCAAGACTTCCATTTTCTCTTGAACATCTGGAAGATGGCCTAGAAGATGACTATTGGTGGCCAGATAGTGGACGCTATGATGCGAATATTTGTGATAGCGACTGAAGGCGAAGTCATCATGTACTATTAGAAGTGTTGAATAGGCCTATGTGTCTGCCTCCTAGAGAGACATAGAATGAGATTTCAGGTCTTGACAAATCTTGTACAACTAGTAATATCTTTGTTAGGTACAGTATGTCCTAAAAATGGTGCGACTACCTGCTTAGTATTATTGTCGAAACTTATCTAATACTGTACGACTAATATGCTCAGTAGATTTTGGAGAGGTCTAGCACCACTGAATAATCATATACACACTTACGTATATCAGTGACGGAGCGCTCGCTACACTTCGATTGAAAATTTGTGATATAGTGAACTGTCCCTGCTTTTTACCTCTAGTCCATCATTTGCATTATGGGATGAATGACGTAACATACCCTCTACAATAGCGAGAGATATATGAGGAGAAGTGAACTCATACAACATTCGTTAGTATATAATACATTGTTTGTAAGAGTTTGTTCCGCTGAACGGATAACCAATAAATACAAGAATTATCATTGAAGGGCCTGCAATATTAATATAGCCACGCCTATAGCCAATGGATTAGTGAGCGAAGGGCTAATAGGCGCAGAATTCTCGCTGCTAGTAGTCGAGCTCGTAGTATTGTCTGCGGTTCCAGTGCCATTAGAACCCGTCGCAGCGCTAGTAGTTGAGCCCGAAGTAGTGCCTGCAGTTCCTGTGCCACTAGAGCGTTCCGCAGATGATGAAAGGGAGGACGATGAAACCGATGGCTTGGGACACAAGTTGTTATACACAAACTGTTCAGCAGCCCCACTACAAGCGGTCACAGACCCAGTGTTAAATGTGCCGTTCGGATAGATCCAGCAATTTCCCGAGGCATATGGCGAGTTACTTCCATCCTCCGGATTGAAGACGACATAGCTGCACGAATCGGCCTTTGCACATTGACTTAAGCAGTCCGATGCACCCGTACTAGCGATACAATCGTCAAAGCAGTCATCAGGCGCCGGGTACCCACAGACCGAGGCAATAGCAGAGGGAGTCGCAGTGGCGGCGCAGGCGCCAGAAGTGGTGGTTGCGCTCCCGCCAGCACACACGGGCTGACTGTAGACGGACAGGTTGGGATTGGCGCAATCCGTACTACCTTCGCTCGCATTGAAGGTTTCACCCGGGTACAGCCAGCAAGTGCCGGTACCCGTGTTAGGGTTACCGGCAGAGAAGACAACAAAGCTGCAGGGAGGGTGGGCGTTACAGTAGTCCCAGCAGAAGGCTCTACCGTCGCTGGCGACGGCAAAGTCCGAGCCAGGCTCCGGGTAGCTGCAGAGGCTAGTGACGAGGGAAGCGGTACAGCTCGATGCCGCGGCAGTAGAGGTAGACGTAGCAGATGTCGCTGTGGACTCAGCTAGAGCCAGGGGAACAAACAGGGCCATGGAGACCCAGAAAGGAGTGATCTTCATGGTAGCGAGCGTAGGTAAGAAAATTAACGCGTCCGAAACTGGGAGAAGTAGTAATAGGTAACTGTTATGGTGACCCCTGGCCGTATACCCCAGGTAACTTTTTTTTTGGGACGAATTTTACTTATTAAGCCGCATTATTGTTACGCAGTATCGTAAGGAACTATTGTGTGTCAGTAAGCTATTATCATAGGCCTTGTATATTCCCTCAGCACCTACAGTACACCCCCTATATTCCTTATATCGCGATAGCTTCACCGATCCTAGACAGATATAGCCTAGTTTTCCACCACACATACAGCTTGCCCTGCCATATAACTTGTAGCTTTATCAGCTAGATACAATCATAGTTAAATATAGTAAACGTGACGGGCCTAGAGCGAAGAAATAGAAATATAATGGGGTGAAATTACCGTACTATCTTACCAAGTCCGCGCTTGTATAGGTAATTTCGTCCAAAAAGAGTAATAGGGTATACGGCTAGGGGTCAGAGTCTGTCAAGCGGACCCTGGAAATCCATGGTTCGACCCCTCCCACTAAGCTGTATTGGGATAGCGCGGTATTTGTACAGTCACGATTGATGGAGTAAACGATTGTATAGGTGTTCATACAGAAAAGTTGCCATCCTGGGGCTATTCCACCTATAGCATAGTGTGTCTTGGCATTAGGCTTGGAGAATCGATCGAAGGCTGTAACCACGGAATTCTTACATAAGATGACGTCGCACTGCCACGCTGTGGCGCAGCTTCTAGTTCTAGGCGGGGACTGTGGAGCCGGTATGTAGTTACTACCTCACTTTCCCTGATTGCTCCGCCCATCTTTCTATTTCTCTTTCTTTCATCCATTTGATCTGTTCTTTTAGAACTCACCAAGTCTTGCATTTTCTTCACCCCAATGTCGGCTCCATTTACACCACCTCCCGGGCCTCCCCCACCCTCTCTTCCGGAAGGATGGAAGGCGCAGTACGATGAGCGATATCAGTCATGGTACGTCGGTATCCTACCTCCTTGATGCCTTTCAATCCAGAAAACGAGTTGGGGAACTGACTTAATGACTATAGGTTCTTCGTAAATCTCATCACCGGAAAATCGCAATGGGAACGTCCAGAGACACCAGCTCCGTCCACTGACGGAGCTTCTAGCGAGCTACCACCATCATACGATAACGCAGGCTCTGCTGACCCTGCTGCACTCGCCAATGCTGGGGACCAGAAGCGGCCACTGGCCTCAAATAACCCATATAACCCGACTACTTCCTCACGCGGTACTGCCAGCCCTATGATCGATGATGACGCCCGCCTCGCCGCTAAGCTCCAGGCGGAGGAGGATGCACGGGCTAGCAGTGGTAGCAGAGGTCCCGGGACGCCAGGTGCCGCGGCTGATTTTTACAGCGGGCAAAATGCGCCTCAATCCACCGGTTCCTATGCCTCCGAGCAAATCGCCGGGGGCTCGGCACCAGAGCAGAAGTCTCGCAGTAGAGGCTTCCTGAGTAAGTTGATGGGCAAGAGCTCCAGCAGCTCCCGCCCACCACAACAATCGCGTCCCCAGTATGCTTCATACCCGCAGCAGCCACCACCGAATGCCGGATACGGGCGTTACCCGCAGCAGCAGGCGCCAGGATACGGATACCAGGCAGCCGGATATGGAGGATACCCTTCCCAAGGCGGGTACTACCAGCAGCAGCCGCAACAGAAACATGGCATGGGAACAGCCGGTGCCGCTGCACTGGGCGTGGGTGGTGGATTGCTGGGTGGACTTTTGATTGCTGATGCCGTGGAAGGGATGGAGGACCATCATGATTATGATAATGGAGGCTATGGTGGAGATGACTATGGTGGTGGAGGTGGTGGAGGTGGTGACTTTGGTGGAGGCGGTTTTGACGACGGTGGTGGTGATTTTGGCGGAGGCGATTTCTAAACCGTTTCCCCACCATTTGTTCTATTTGGAGGGGCTTGCTTTCATGAGTTTTTCTGTGTTTGACCGCCACTGAACCTGGGCAAGTCTTATGAGCTCTGGGTCTCATATCTTTTTTCCTCCGATTTTTGACGCGGAATGACAGCTATGTTGGGAGGATTAGGTTCCACTAGGTTCGATTTGGAAGGGATTCACTACGGGCTTAGGATGTGATGGATTTATGATTTTACGAGCATTTATTGAATCACTTTGTAATTCTATGAGTTTATTATGTATTGACAAGATCCGCCGTAGTGTACCCACTCAAAGCTAACGTCGCCGTGTGGCCGCACCTGTATCACGGCCGGTGACCCCAGCGGGGGCAGCATCGGCATTGGCCATGGGGTTAGGCGAGGTGCCTGCCATCCAGCCCGCCAGATCAAATCCACCTCCAGCAAGGGCATTGCTGGCCCCTCCCGTCAAGGGTGAGGAGCGGGAGTGCTCCTCAAATTCGGCGCGCATTTCCGGATCCACTAAAGCAATTAGTCAGTCAAAGGGGGTTCTCGATTTCTCAACACAAAGGGTCTATCATACTGCTTTCCATCAGCTTGGGCATGCCGAGAGTGAAACCCAAGGCAACAATAGCCAGCAAGATCATGGGGTTCTTAACGAGACTCAAAGGTGAAACTATGTACGAGCTATGTTAGCAATCATAGTGAGAATATCACTCACCACATCACTCACATTTGGCGCGTTCCTCGAAGAAACCCCTCCGACCCACGAGCTTGGCCTCGACAACGACATCTGATTGTTTCTTGGCAGCCACATCAACGACATATTTCTCAGCACCACGGTTGTCCCATGGATTTCCACGGAAGGTCTCCCAGATTCCTAGAACGGACCCATCGGCAGCCACGTCGACCCGATAAGGGGCGAAGATGTATTCGCTGGAGCGAATGTCCAACAAATATGATTCCTGCTGAGCCGGAATATCATGGAAGACCAATGTCGATGCGTGCGTGAGTGATGCAGTCAAGAGGTGATCGTTGCCGGAGGGGAGCGTGGTCAGAGTGGCATGGGTGGATGCGGGGAGCCCATGTGGGTTAGGGAGGAGATTTGTGGCGGGGATGGTGATGGTGAGGGAGGCTGCCGCCAAATGGCAGAGCAGAAGAACCACCACGAGCGACATGGTGGGCTTGGAAGTATTCGTGGATTTGAGATTGAGAGATCGACTACTCCGTAGAGATTCGCATCAACTTAAGAAGCTTGGACCAGGTGTGGTATATTGGTTCAGGTCTCGTGACCTAACTAAGCGTTGAGTTATAACCGGGTAAAGGGAAGGCACATGACAGCATCATGAATATTACAATTACAGTACTTGGGAACTACCAAGTCATATAGATTAGTGCATCTTCATGAGAATCCAATCTCTAGTTGAAATCCTCGGTCACTCATCCCTCTCGACTCCATAATAGGCAGCTCGGTTAGCAGTCACGGACAAGAGCCGAGCTGGGCTGGACTGCTTTCCCCACTTGGTGGACTCGGGAATTGACCCTGGGCTTTGCTTTTTTAATGGAGACTTGACAGATGGAGACACTGGGGAAGTCAAGTGCTCTCAAATCCAAGTGCTTAAGAGGATTCTCTCTATATTGAAATATTAAGTTTGTTGCATGCATATGGAAAGCCGCTATACTGGATTCTCTCGAATCTCACTCGCACTAGACTACATTCTTCGGTTAGAGAGACACCAGGCGCCTTTAGCGCCAACGAGAAATTAATTGTTCACGGAGCTGGAAGTACCGTTTCCGCCCGAAAAGTAATAAGTAGAGTAAAAGTAGAAACTAAGAGAAATAGAGCCAAAAAAAAAAAAAGAGGCAAAAGAGTTCCAAGGTTGGTTCCTCTTACCCAACCTTTTCCCCTTCCCCCATTGCCCACTCTCGTTCCTCTTTCCCCTTTTCCCCAGTCCCTCACATGTTCAACGGGCTTCAACTATTGCTTTTTTCACGACTTGGCTGTATGGTCGCATCGGAAATCCCGTTCCTGTAACACCCCTCGTTGATTGGCTCGATCCCTCTGCCACCTCCAATCACTTTCCCCTCTTTACTTGCCGACTTTCTCTTCTCCCCTCCCACCCCAGAAGGCATCATGGAGCCACAATCGGCCATGCCGTGGCCGGAGCAGCTTCATGAGAATCCCCTCATCTCGCCGGGGGAAGATGAATTCTCCAACTTCCTCGAGTTCGACATGCATTTCACAGACCTAGAAGGGCACGGACCAGCACATTCCCAGATGCAGGAGCAACATTCAATGGGACACCCTCCCACCACCTCGGCGCCCTCAACCATGGCCTCTGACCCCCGATCACATCCATATGCCACTGCAATGGAGGGGATGTCAATGGACTATGGTCACCATGCGACCCAGTCGCAACCCGCCATGCCCTACACCACCACTCCCAGCATGACCCCGGGCTTCTGCGCCCAGGATTCCTCCCACCAGACCATGCCACAACAGTCGGGCCAGCACTACATGCAAGGACCCTCGATGATCCCTCCGACCCCGAACAGTATTGAGATGCATGGGAACGCCGTCCGATATTCACAACGCATGGACGAAAATCCGGAGATGTATGATCCTCGATACTCGCGCGTCGAGGACCAGGTATGTATCAGATATGATATACCTAACCCTTTTTCCCCGGGCTTCTCTTGCTCACCAGCTCGCCAGGCGCTCTACACTCCTCTCGTATCGCCTGCGATGACACCGCTGGAAACCCAATTCCAACTGGACTCGTATGCGATTCCCGGGGAATATAGCATCACTCCCCTCACCTCGCCCGCGCTGGAGGCGCAACCACACTCCACCAATGGCTTTTACCACTCAAGACAGATGTCGGATGTCGGCTTCGTAGCCAACGTCGACGGAAATACACTGCCAGGGACGTCAGCTCCGGGCTCCCCGGGTATCATTCGCAAGACCAATCGCCGACGAACATCAACCGCCTCCCGTCTTTCGGGACGAAGTAAGGTCAAACAGTCGCCTTCCCTGCGGGCTCAGACCCAGCGAAGGGGAAGGCCGGTCCCGAATTCGGATGAATTCTACAATAGCCTATCCCAGGAATTGAACAAGCCACAGAATAATGATGTCCGCTCGCTCCAGGCCAGCAGCACCGAGGGCTCGGGCCAGGATTCGGTCTCGCCAGAACCATTGTCAGAACCATTGATGCTACCTCCAGCGCTCCCTTCGTCACGCAAGTCCCCGGCCATCGCTCCTCAGCCGGCACAGCCTCCCAGTGCCGCAACCCCCGCCACTCTCATGCGCATCCAACGTTCCCAACACACCCAGGACCCCTCTGGCCAATTTATGGGACGAGCGCAACTGGAGTACCATGACGAGACCATGGAGGACATCACTTTGCCTGAGGCGGTGGCAACCTCGCAGGCCCGTCCTAAGATGAATCGCATTGACACGAGTGTCCGGGCTAGTCCAGCCATTTCTGCAAACTTGACTCCTTTGCTAGAAGCCAGGTCGGGCTCCGCAAATGGGTCCGTCCCCATGAGCCCTCGGACGGCTGCCATGCCATCTCCCAGTGGGCCGATCCCGAAGAGATCAGACCCATCCCGGTCTTCCATCTCCAGTCGGAAACGGCCCAGTGTATCCTCCACACATGCTAGTCCGCAACTACGACCGAAGATTAGCCCTAGTATCCAGCCTTTGATGCGGGCCGGCAGTGAAAGTGAGTCCAATATTTGTTCCTTTATCTCTCTCGCATAACTCATACTAATCATATTCTATAGATTTCGCGCAAGATGCACTCTTTGCCTCCAAATCGAATTACCAGCATATTCTTGATGGCACTTTGCCCTCGGGTGTTTCATATCCAGAGGCCCTGGCCGAAAACCTCAGCTCCAAACGGACCAACCACAAATTGGCCGAACAGGGCCGGCGAAACCGCATCAACAGTGCTCTTAAGGAAATTGAGGCTTTGGTTCCCCCAGACTTTGTTCAAGCTCGATTAGCCAAGGAGGCTGCATTGACAGGGACCAAGCCTGGCGACAAGGAAAAAGATAAAGCGACCAACCAGGCTATCAGCAAGGCTAGTGCGGTGGAAATGGCCATTGACTATATCAAGTCCTTGCAAAGGAGCCTCAAGGAGACTAATGAGAAATTGGTTGCGACCGAAGCCAAGCTCGCGGGCTTCACCCTTAATGATGGGAGCAGCACTCCGACTGCGAGCACAGCGGAGCTGACTAGCAAGAACGAGTCGGAAGACAAGAGTTCATGACCAGACTGTATATTTTAAAAAGACGGGGATCAGGGGTTGACTTACATTGTATATTTTGGTCGGGAAAAGGAATCGGATAACCCTAGGATCTTTATCGACAGTCTCGCTATGTGGATGCGTAATGATCTGTTTTTTTTCCTGCTATCTTTTTCTGGATGTGGGTGTGATAGCGTTGGCGTTGATGTCTTGTTCTTGCTCGGTGTCTATTGTGGTTCTATACGTGGCTCTATTCCCTTTTTTTTTTTGATATCTTTATGAATTCGTATATCCAGATAGACTTCACATATATATTTATTTTATTTTTTGAAATCCTTGGGGATAAGATTATAGCTAGGTAGATAGATACTTGACAGTGTGCCTATACTGTAACTATATGTATATCTTGGCAGTGAAAGAAGACGAAAATCACCAACACCTTCAAATGCTGCCTGGGTTTCGTCGCTCATGAGGCTGTACAGATGCAAAGAGAAACCCGCCTATGACTTCGGAGTAGATGAATCAATAGTCGCGGAACACCGCCACCATGTCATCCAAGCGAGCCACTTCGGCAAGTAAGAGAGCTTCCTTGTCTTTCCAGCGTTGCAAGAGTTCCAACTCCTCTTCGGTGAGGTACTCCTCCTCGTGGCCCTTAACATCGCTCCGCTCGGTTTTCTCGAGGAAATCCTTGAGTCGACCTCGCTCGACTTTGATGCGCTGCAGGGTCCGCGACATGGCCTTGTATGTGTCCTCCAAAATACTGCTGCAGACTCGATCGGGATCATAGTACCAGAGGAAAATGGTCTTGGAAGGTTGGCGCTGTGCGTCCTTGGGCACCTCCTGCAAATCCACAAACCCACCAGACTGCATGCTAGCAAGGGTTTGCCGCAGATCCTTGAATGGAAGCAAGCTGATTTCTTGTAGTCGCTTCTCATCTAGTTTGCCCTTCGCATGAAGCACACGGATCACACGGATGGCAACGTCACCATATCTGGATTCAATCATTCGTTCCAGCTCCAGGTGCCGTAACTTGCGAGCCAAGCCACGGAAGCCAATCCGCCACTTGGGGACACCATACAACTCAACACAAGACGTGAGGTTGTGAGGTGGCTGTGCAAGAAGTTGAAGGTGCTGGTTAATCTCCCAGACTCGATTTGGGCCACTGGACTCGTCGTCAGAACCCTCATGATCCCCGTTGACCCCATTCTCCAAGGGCCGTTTCCCGCCTCGATTTACCGATTGTGAAGATGACTCTAACGGGGCAAACGCCCCGGACAGATCCAGACAAGGGTCGATATCCCCTAGAATCCTTTCTGCATCAATGGGGATAGTCCATTGCTCTCCTTCTTCACGCTCACGTGGAATCTCGTCTGTGTCTCGGCATCGAAGCGTAGCGTACTCAACATGTCGAAGGAGACAGTCATATACCTCTGCGGTCGCCGGAGGTGCATCCTGCTCAGCAAGGGTGACAAACCTAGCGTTTCGTAATGCCACATCCAACTTTTCATAATTCACCCGCACGACCAGTCCGGACTACAGGGAAACGTCAGCTTCCAGTCTGAAAGATGTGGCTATTTGGATGATAGCAGGGATCTTACCTCCATGGGGGTATTATCGAATCCGTCTCCATCTTCTGACCAGTGGTTCTCCTCATTCGTCATTTGATGCTCGCTTACTCCGTTTTCTAACCCATTAGAACTGTGTCCGAACTTCCTTTTGATCCCTCGAGGAAGACCATTCACCATGAGCTCCTGGGAAAGATCGGCATGTGTCCGATTATGTACCAATTCCTGGATCTCAGACGCGACCGTCTCTTGTTGCCTCTTTCCCTTCAGCGCCTTGATATCCGAACGGGAAGACACTGTGCGTTGTGCTTCGAGCAGATTGTCCCCGGGGCTCTGAAAGTGGGCGTCACGAACACGCATCAAGTATCCATGAGATGCAAGAGCTTTGATGGTGGCATGGAAAGGTGCGGGTTTTCTTTCTGACGCATGATCACCGTTGGTCTTGCCGGGTTGGTCCTCGGCTTCCATTTCATCTTCCTGTAGTTCTTCGTTGTCGTTTGCAACCCCATTCGGGACTGTGGGCGTTAAGGATTGAAGCTCGGGAAGAGTTTCAAGATGGCTGACAGAGGCGTGACCGAGGAATAGAATTGCCTCCATGACTCGGGCCGCATATTCCCCAAGCCGATCTTCGACCAGATTGAGAATCTTCCCGGAGCGCACGAGGTAGTATGCGGCATGAGGGTTTGATTCGTAGTAGGTATTGTTATCTTCGAGAGAGGTGAAGTAGTAGACGAGATGATGCTGAATCATGGCTGTCAAGCCATGGCGCAGTTGGCGATCAGTAAGGCGAGAATAAAATTTTAATCGAGGAAGAGAAAGCCGTTCATAGCGTTGTAAGGTTGAGAAGATGCGCTGTAAAACATCAAGCTAATGATCAGCATTGCTCTTGAACTGAAATGCCACCACAACGAGGCTATTTCCGCATGCCTGTATGTTGCATGCATTGTTTCAGGATCACTTACTGCGAACAGCTCTCCGAAGTGATCCTCGATGAGGAGCGTACAGAGCTCCACGGCATGCTGCGCAGAGACGAATCAGTACTGGACCGAAGTCAGTGGAGGGGCTGTAGCGAACCTGGGACATCATCATGGCGTTTTAAGAAGGCTTGCCAGCCTCCAGTCCTCACGAGGAGCAATTGAGGTCACCGCGACAAGTTCATGGAGGGGAAGTGGTATAGTTGCGAAAGAGTAATAACGGCGGGCACTTTTTTGCTTATCAGTCACGTGTACAATCAGCTGATCCTGCATCTACACAGGAATTCGATCTTCTATTCTAGCCACACTTGATGGAAATGATCTTGAATGGATTTTCGAAGCTATTTTGTTTTGATCTAAATTAAATCTATAAACAAGCAGAGATTTTCATAATTTTCTAAATCAGAACTCTTCCTCAACAGGACTATATAAAACCAATCTTCAATTGTAGAAAAGTTCTTCCGAGTCCGTCCGACTCGTCACGGCAGCCAATCAGAGTCTGAGTAATCAACCCAGCCCCGGCATCTTGAAGCTTTTCGTAACCCGTCTGCTTCCCTCTCCCGACGCATCTCCCCCCCCTCCCCTCAATTGCTTCCTTCAAAGCCCGTCCGGGTTCCCCTTTCTTACCCTTTTTCAATTGTCCCTGGCACATCATGCTGTCGCGGTCTTCCCTGAGCCGAAATGCGCCGCGTGCGCTCTCCGCCGGCCGTCGGGCCATGGCCTCTGCTGCCAACCCGACTTTCCAGTACGATGTCACCGAGGCTGCCGGCGTGAAGGTTGCCAACCGTGAGGTCAACGGTGCCACTGGCACTTTGGCGCTGGTGGCCAAGGCTGGCTCCCGTTACCAGCCCTTCCCTGGCTTCTCCGATGCCCTTGACAAGTTCGCCTTCAAGGTTGGTTCCGCATCCATTGTTTGATCAACTTGCCCAATGCTAATCTGTCCGTTTATAGACCACACTTAAGCGTTCCGCACTGCGCATCACTCGGGAGGTTGAGCTGCTCGGCGGTCAGATCTCTTCGACACACTCGCGCGAAAACGTCGTTCTCCGCGCCAAGTTCCTCGCCAATGATCTCCCTTACTTCACAGAGCTGCTGGCTGAGGTTGCTGGCAAGCCCAAGTTCACTGGTAAGTAACTTGATATGATGGTTTGAGGAGGCGACATGAGCTTGGAAAAAAGGTGGAGGAGGATGATGATGATGATGATGGCATATGAGAAACTTTTTTTGGGGTTGCCAACTGACATTGAATTTTCGTTTGACACTAGACCACGAACTGAACGAGGTTGTTAGCCAACTCCTCAAGTACCAGCAGGACGCCGTTTACTCCAGCGCTGAGACCGTCGCCATTGATGCTGCTCACGGCGTTGCCTTCCACCGCGGCCTGGGTGCTCCCATCACCCCCAGCCAGTCCACCCCCTATGAGAAGTACCTGTCCGGCGACGCCCTGACCCAGTTTGCTCAGGATGCCTACTCCAAGTCCAACATCGCTTTGGTTGCCACCGGTCCCAACTCCGCCGAGGTCTCCAAGTGGGTCGGCCAATTCTTCCAGGATCTCCCCACCGGTGCCTCCGCCGGCCAGTACAAGCTCCAGGCCAGCGAGCCCACCAAGTACTTCGGTGGTGAGCAGCGTCTTCCCTCCAAGACCGGCAACGCCGTCGTGATTGCCTTCCCCGGCTCCAGCGCTTTCGGCACTGCTGGCTACAAGCCCGAGGCTTCCGTCCTGGCAGCTCTTCTGGGCGGCGAGTCCTCCATCAAGTGGACCCCCGGTTTCTCGCTCCTGTCTAAGGCCACCGAGGGCTTCTCTTTCCTTAACGTCTCGACCAAGAACCTCGCCTACTCCGATGCTGGTCTCTTCACCGTCACTCTTACCGGTGCCGCTGACCAGATCGGTGCCGCCAGCAAGAATGTCGTCGATGCCTTGAAGAAGGCCGCCGCCGGCGAGGTCGCCAGCGAGGACATTCAGAAGGCCATTGCCCTGGCCAAGTTCAGTGCTCTGGAGTCTGTCCAGACCCTGGAGACTGGCCTTGAGGCCACTGGCTCCGGTCTGGTTCACGGCAGCAAGGCCTACCAGATTGGCGAGATCGCCCAGGCTCTTGAGAAGGTTACTGAGCAGCAGGTCAAGGAGGTATGTTCTAATTCTCTAGCATTTCCCAATCAATCCATTTGTACTGACCAACATGTTCTACAGGCTGCCCAGACTTTCCTCTCCGGAAAGGCCACTCTCGTCAGCGTCGGCGATGTCCACCACCTCCCTTACGCTGAGGACATTGGTCTGTCTGCTTAAATATCCCTTGTATACCATACAACCCCTAGACCGAGGGAAAAGCGTGTTTCCTCGTTTGGATTTGATGTGATCACTTGTGCCTAGATTCCTTCCCGATATCTCCTTTGTGTTTGGGTGTAGTTGACTGTAATACAATTGTACCTTATTCGATGCAGTTCTCGCTATAATCCTTTTTTCTTTGTTCTCTGGGTTCTTATCCTGTAAAACACCAATATCTAGGAGTATGTCTTAGAAACAAGACAGCATGGCCATCTGATCAGATTCCATTTAGCATGTCTTTCGCATGAGCTAAATAGTCCTGGGAGGGCTCTTCGAAAGTACCGGGTGACGGGAGATACCAAACACCGAAAAGTCCTGTCAACTGAACACATCTGCATCGCAACAGTAGGTTTTGTAATGCTTCTGTCCTCCATTCTACCGAGTGTGGAGACCTTCAAGTATGAAATGACATAACGGAATATCTGGTAGTCACGATCATAAGACGTCCATGGTATATGTCATTACAGCCGAGGTCAAGCCGTATGTACAGGGCTGATCCTCATTAGAATATAAAGCCTCGGTCGAAATCGAACGGATGAATGGAAGACAGACTCATGCAGTGACGTCTCAGCCGATTTACGCCCCCGAGATCGGATGATTTCACATGAAGATATGGGGCAAGATTTCCCCGAAAACTGGGGATTTTCAATCGAACATAACATGTCCCTGAAATCGGATTTTAGGAAGTCATTTCTAGGTTGGGTCTCTTCACAGGTTTAGTAATATCTAGTCTATTTCATTTCCAATAAATATAGAATTAATTAAATCACCATGGGCCATGCCAAGGAGTGTTTGAGTATCACAATCACAAATGCATTCAGTGGGTATCGGGGTGTTTCAAATTATGTATGAACGATGAGATTCTTGTCTCGCTCTTTTCCGACAACCGCTGCATAGCAGAAGGGTATCTCAAACCTTCTCTTTAGTGCTTAGCGGTGACGGTATCGCCAGTCAGTTTTTCGACTGCTTCCTTGGCCCTAACAGTCACAGAGGTTAGTCCCGAGGTATCACTTGGGGGTAAAGAAAACCAAAACGTACATATCACCAAGAGCCACCATGCAGACGGTCTGCCAGATACCGAGACCAATACGGGGAGCGACACCGCGGTAAAGACCGCGAACACCGTTAGAATCGTAGATGTACTTGAAGGCCTTGCCGACAGTGAGATTCTTGGGGCGGTTAGGGTCAACGGTCTTGCTCTGCATCTCGACACGAATGACCTCAATGGGCTGGTTCCAGGCGGAAAGACCACCACCGAGACCGGAGGCGAGGATCTTCTCCCAGGGGGACAGCTTCTGGCCATCCTCCTTGTGGGTGACCTTGCGGATGGCCGACTCAGCCAGACGCGAAAGACCGAAGCGAGAACCCCAGTTGGTAGTCTGACGAATGGCCACGGCGTTGACACCACGGTTGATACCCCGGATACCCTCCTTGCGGTAGATATCCATGAAGGTTCCGAAGGTACTGGCGGGCTGGACGCCAGCAGCAGCCATCTTGTGCTTGGTGATCTCGACAGTCTTCATGCAGGTGCAGAAGCCCATGGTGGCATAGGCCTGGGCGATACCACCAGCCATACCACCGCTGATACCGCTAACGAAATCATTGGCACCGAACCGGCGAGCTTGCCACTCCGCTTCGGAGGCAACGAACAGGAGGACGGCGCCCTTGGTGGAGGCCTCAATCCAGGCCCACGGAATGAGTCCTTGATAGTCTAAGGGTCGGAAGATCGTCAGTCAGCTTGGTTTCATTCCCACAGGATTGGCTGGAAGGTTCTCCACCCGCAGGTTGCGCGCATCGGAGGAAAAGCGAAGGGGGTTACATACAACCGAGGATCCCGCCACGGCCCCAAATCCGACCCATAGCACTGCCGAAGCTGTCGCCCCGATTGGCGGCCATGGTTGTCTTGATCACTTCCAACGGCTAGAAAGGGATGGATGTTAGTTGATGGATTGGCTTTCAGGCGCCCCTCAAGAGCTAGGGCGGGAAGCTGTGAAGCTTCGAAAGACTAACCTGTCCCAAGGTGGTGACCTCAAACAAGTTCAAACCAGCGCCCAGCAACAGGTTGCTGAACTTGACGGGCTTCTTCTCAAGCTGAGGCGCGGCGGCCATCTCTGGAGTAGTCGACATTTCTGGAATGGGGTGCTGCTGAAAGGGGCCCTGACCAAGGGAAATAGGGGCTTCGTCGCCTAAGGGATGGAGGAGAGGAGAGGAGTAAGAGACTCAAGGGGGAGTCTGTGGAAAATGCAGAAGGTGGTTGGAAAAGAAAGGAACAGATCGAGGCGCCAATTGTCTTATAGGGGAAATCAGCTCAGGCCAGAGCGGAGTTCCCACTCATACTATTGGGTACGGGGTACCTTCCATACCGCCTTGGGCTTTCACAACAACCGATGGGTTGAATGTCGGCCTTTGCTACTCCGCGAATTCCCCCAAATTCCGATAATCGCCAATTAATCCTACTATGAGTATTTTCCAGAGTAAAAGTGATTTCTATGGCGTCCCTGACTTTTGTGATTTCATCTCATATCTACATACCATATATATTGTTGTTATTTTTTTTTTTGAGTGGGTCAAGAAGGTTGAGCCCCAACAATTCACGTGTGATCCATTCTCCTCAGTAGCCGTGAGACCATTCTTCGTACGGCGCATACTGCATACTTGGCTTATCTTGACTTGCTTACGATATGCATGCAGTACAATATGCACTTCACATCCAGTCCATTCTGGATTTACGCAATCATACAGTTACGTGATGAATCATGCTTTCGAGGAAGTGCTGTTACAAGGCCCGCTCGAACCCAAGTCCTATCATACATGACAAACAAATCACAGGACTAGATATAATAAAAGGAATAATACATGTCTTAACGTAGAAACACCCCCCGAAAACCAAGGCTGTTACATTTACAGCTTGGCACCGACGAGCTTGGCGTAGGCCTCAGTGCTGAAAGACTTGGGGCGCTCAATGGGCATACCAAGAGCACGGTCGATGATCAGCTGGGGCAGGACACCAAGAGCACGGGACACACCGAACAGGACGGTGTAGTAGTTGGCCTCGGTCAAGCCGTAGTACTGGAGGAGGACACCAGAGTGGGCATCAACGTTGGGGTAGGGGTTCTTGGTCTTGCCGTGCTCGGTCAGAACACCGGGGGCGATCTTGTAGACCTGGCTGACCAGCTTGAACATGGGGTCATCGGGCAGCTTGCGGAGGGCAAACTCGCGCTGAGACACGTAACGGGGGTCAGTCTTGCGGAGAACGGCGTGGCCGTAACCGGGAACGACCTGGCCGGCGTTCAGGGTGGACCAGAGGTAGTTCTTGATGGACTCATCAGTCAGGTCGTTGCCAACGGCCTGCTTCATCTTGGTGAGCCAGTTCAGGACCTCCTGGTTGGCCAGACCGTGCAGGGGACCGGCCAGACCCTGGAGACCGGCAGAGAGGGAGAGCATGGGGGAGCTCAGGGCGGAGCCGACCAGGTGAGTGGTGTGGGCGCTAACGTTACCACCCTCGTGGTCGGAGTGGATGGTCAGGTACAGACGCATCAGCTCAACAAAGTCCTTGTTGCCACCGAAGCCAAGCTGGTTGGCCAAGTTGAAGGAGTAATCCTTGTCCTTCTGGATGGGAGCGACCTTGCCGTCCTGGAAGACGTTACGGTAGATCTTGGCGGCGATGGTGGGCAGCTTGGCGATCAGGTCCATGGAGTCCTCGAAGGTGTAGTTCCAGTACTCCTTCTTGTTGACACCCTTAGCGTAAGCCTTGGCGAAGGAAGACTCGTGCTCAAGAGCAGTCACGGCCAGGGAGAACTGAGCCATGGGGTGGAGGGTGCTGGGGCAGCGGTCGATGAGCTCCTCAACGAACTTGGGGACATCGGAACGGGCAGCCCACTCGGCAGACAGGTCACGGACCTGCTGCTCGGAAGGAATCTCGCCAGTCAAGAGCAGCCAGAAGAGACCCTCGGGAAGGGGCTCCTCACCACCGGGAGCCTTGGGAAGAAGCTCCTGGATCTCGGGGATCTAGATTTGGGGTGTTAGTGGCCCATCGGTATTCAACGTCCCTATTCCAATCACTTACGGTACGGCCACGGAAACGGATACCCTCCTCAGAGTCAAGGACGGAACCCTATACCGAGAAAAAAAAAGTCAGTCTCACTGCGGAGGCGCATCATGGAGCTATCAGGATATGAAACTCACTTCCCAGACGAGAGACTTGATACCACGGGCACCACCGTAAGCCTGGTCGAGGGTGACCTCACCGATGACGGTGCTACCGTAGTCCCTGTAATTGTATCAGCAACTGACACGTAGTTTGGTTGACGCGGAATGACATACTTGCGGAGCTTCTTGACCTTCTCGATCTCGGCGGGCAGGTTGTCGGCGAAGGTGTCCTTGAGAGACTATCCGAGAGATTAGTATCATTGATACTCGTGATGCGAGATGCGACAACGTACCTTAGCCTTGGCGGAGGAGTAGCAGCGCGCGCCGTTCAGGGCGGCAGTCTGCACGGGCTTAGCCATGGAGGACCGCAAAGCGGAGGTACCAATTCGGATGGAGGCCATTGTGAAATGTCAATCTCAACACGACAGAGAAGTGTGGGAAAGAGAGGAGTGGGATGGGGGAGAGGAAGAGGAAAGAAAAGAAATCATCCGGGAGCTCCCTTTTTTCGGATTGGATTTTTCCCGTAATACACCCGGTACGGGTCGGGCTGATCAGTATGTAATTTACTCCCAACGGTACTCTCGGGCTGCCGTGGATCGTCGAGTCCGACCATTTCCGTCTCGTTTGATTTCATTTTGATCTAATCCCATAGCCTATATTCTGTACAATACGTATAGGTGCAGTATTTGTCCCATCTGATTAGGACCGAGGTATAAACTCAGCAATATCAGGGGGTACAGGTATACCGTATATTACCCACTATCCCTGATGGGGGGCCATGGCAGTGACGTCGGCAAGTCGCCATCCCATACCCGCCATCCGGATCCCCGAAAGTGCGGGTTGGGGCCCTCGGCATCAGATTAGCACCTTTGGGGGCTATATTTGACCTTCCCCATGATCACATTCTGCAGATGACTCGCTGACTCGGTTCATCTATATCTGAATAATCGAAATCTACATGTAGACACTGCATTCTCAGCTCCGTTTATAGCCGGTCCTCTGCCCCAAAAGCTCACCGAAATTCGGGAGCTCCACGGGGCAAGAAAAGAGGACAACGAAGATGGGGAAGCAACTAATACTAAAACAGTAAGGAATCGAGCCAAAAGAAGCCGATTTTCGCCAACGGAAATCTTCCGACCCCATCCTAGCTCTCAGAGTGGGTTTCCTGCCCATACTCCGTGTGATGAGTTAATGCCTTTTTATTTTATTTTATTTTTTATTCTATTTTTTTTCAATCAAATTGTAGCTCCATCAACAACAGTAGCCGGGGGAACCGATTTCCGCGTGGCCCGTGTGGGAACGGGAGACCAGACAGACCTCACGCGAAGTGACACGTGATATATATCACGTGCACATTAGTAGCCCAATCCAGCCTAGCGGGAACAGGCCACACCTTTCACTCCTTTTTTTCACTTGAAGTTCCTTCCCGTCGACTCATCAACTCGCCAACGTTCTCATCTCGGAAATATCGGATTCTCCCCCACGGATAGTACTCTGTAAATCCGTGGATTCTTATCTTTCCCTCTCACCAGTACGCCTCTAGGTCCCCGTACTCGTACTTCATCAAGGGCATACCCCCCTAGGCTGTATTCCAGCTGTAGGCGACTTCTATTCTGGCCTGGTTCGACAGTGATTCCTATGCTGTAGTGAAGAAGACGGCTAGATATTGAAATCTCTCGAACCTAATCTTGTCACCAAAAACCAAAAAGAAGACATTTTTGCCCTTTACTCCTGTTCGCAATTCTACAGTAGCGGGACTTGGGCCGACCTTTCCTTCTCTCTTCGGGTCGACGGCAATAGACCCCTTCACTTGCTGAGAATTCTCTCTTTTCTTTCTATTTTTCCACCGTCATGTCGTCAGCTGTAGCGGAGCTGGAGAACTATCTCCAGTCCATGCTGGCCTTGAAACCACCTGGCGTATCAGGCTCCAAGATTCACAGCATCACCACATTGTGCACTGCCAATGTTCAGGTACGCGTTGAACCCTCCCTACCACCTCAGGTTATCCTCAAAACTAACTCACCTACTGCAGAATGAATCCGTTCTTATTCAAAAGATCTACACACACTTCAAAAAGGCACCGGGCACCCACAAGCTGGGCGTACTCTATGTCGTAGACTCTGTAACCCGACAGTGGGTAGAAGCTGCACGCAAAGCTGGTCAACCTCCAGGAAGCTCGGCTCCCGATGGAACTTTCGCCGCTGGTGTTAACCGAGTCACCGAATTGCTGCCCGTTTTGATGGGAGATATTATAAACACATCCCCGCAGGATCAAAAGGTACGCGCTAGATATGCATTCGAATCAGCCCCACCGCTTGGGGGCGTAGATGGGGAAACCCTCATCTACATCGCCAACTCTGATTCCTTAGAGGAACCGTATGATTAACGTATCCCTTTTTTTCTTAATCGTATAGGACAAGATCAAGAAACTCATCGACATCTGGGAGCGAGGATGCACGTTCCCTCTTCCTATGCTCGCCTCCATTCGAGAGAAAATGAACACCCCCCAAAGTAAGCTTGCTCCCTTCTGTATAGCAACTGGATCATCTCGCTTTTATTATTCCCTTGCTTTCTTGTCATCTTCAGACTTGGCATTGCCTGCAGTGCTAACCGCTTGTTCAGACATTGAGTCAACCACTCCCGAAGGATCACCTGCTCCCGGTTCGAACCCTCTCGGAGCGAGTAACTCTGCAGCTGCTCCAGATACTTCGAGTATCTTGAAGGCGTTGGCCGACATGGCCAAGCAGAATACCGCTGCCCCCGCTGCCCCAGCCAACCCGCTGGCGGCTTTGAACCCGTCCGCCCCGTTGCCCATCTCTTCGGCCGATGCCTCGATTCCCCCTTCGGCTCCAAATCAATTTGCCGCTCCCAATGCCATGAACCCGTTCGCTGCCCTGGGTGCTCTTGGTCAAAACCCTGCCTTGGGCCAACAGACTCATAGCCCCACCCCGAACCCGATGACCCAGAACCCGATGGCAGCTATGCTCCCACAAGCTGCGGCTCCAGCCATGCCCGATGGAGGTGCGATGGCGCAGCAGCTTCAGCTGCTCCAAATGCTTGCCGCCCAGGGAATCCCTCAAGACCAATGGGCCACCGCCTTGCAACTCTTCACCATGAGCAACATGGGCGCGAACCCGGCTCAGCCTGGTTTCAATGCCATGCCGGGAATGCCTCCAATGCCCGGGATGCCTTCGATGCCTGGAATGCCCGGTATGCCCGGTATGCCCGGTATGCCCGGATGGGGCCAGCAAGAGAATCAGAATCGGGATGAACGCGATCGTGACCGTCAATACGACCGTTCTCCAGGCGGATATCGCCGTCGCTCGCGCTCTCCTGGTGCTGGCTGGGACCGACGCCGCACTGCCTCTCCCCCCTCGTCGCCGCGATAGCCCTGTCTATGGCGAATACCATGGTGAATCGCCCGGTCGTCGAGGTGACCCTCGAGATGCCCGTGGCCGTCGGGGCAATGAGTACCGCCAGCGCAGTCCGCCGGCTGGACGTAGACGCCGTTCTCCTTCGCCTCCTCGCAATGATCCCAACCTGCCACCTCCGGGTCCTAAGCTGATCGAATGGGACTATTCCATCGGCCAAAACAACATGAAAGTCCTCAGCCGCACCCTTTTCGTCGGCGGTGTCACCTCCTCCGAGGCCAATCTGCGTGCCTTGTTTGGCAAGTTTGGTGTCGTTCAAACGTGCATCGTCAACGTTGACAAGCGCCATGCCTTCATCAAGATGATCACCCGCCAGGATGCGATTGCCGCACGCGATGGAATGGAATCTTACCGCGCGGGAGAGATGCAACTACGTACCCGATGGGGTGTGGGATTCGGTCCCCGTGACTGCAGTGATTACCAGACGGGTGTTAGTATCATTCCGATCGAACGTTTGACCGAGGCAGACCGCAAGTGGATGCTTACTGCGGAGTACGGTGGCACTGGTGGCCGTCAGATTGAATCTGGCATGGTGGTGGAGGAGCCCGATATTGAGATCGGTGCGGGTGTCTCTTCCAAGGCCATCAGCCGTCGCATCGCAACCGACACTGGTGGCAAGCGGGGCCCAATCTCCACTCGCACCCAAGGTGACCGTTTCACTGGTGGTCGTCGCCCGGAGCGTGATGGTTTCGGTGGCGGTCACCACTCTGGTCCTCCTCAGGGTGACCGTGACATGCCCAACAACGTGAACTCCGCCGTTCCTCCTGCCGTTCCTGCTTACGGATTCAGTTTCCCTGGCATGCCCATGCTCCCCCCTGGTTTCATGATGGGTCAGGGTTCCATGCAGACTTCTCAACCTCCGGCTCCGGGCCAGGGTGAGTAAAGCATTCGGCCACTGTTTTTTTTGCAAATCGTCTCCCTTTACCTTATCTCTTTTCCATTTCCATTTCCATTTCTTATTCCGATTCTTGGCCTGTCGGCCTTTCTGACCACTGTCTTCTATTTCACCATTTTTGCATGGACATTCGGTGTTGTCCGCGGGCAACTGGCGTTTTGATGGGCTGGCATGATCTGTATCAAAATGACTGAAGAGGGAGGTTTTCTTTTTTTTCTTTTTTCTTGCGACTGGGGGGTTTCAATTATTTCTTCTTTCCATTTCTTTGCTTTCCTTTCAAACTTTTGCATATGCCTATTGCGAACTGTATGACGTTGTCATGAATGCCCATTGTAGGCAAGAAAGAATCTTATTACGGACTCATATTTCTGGCCGCATCCTTTTCTCCCCTGTTGTAGCTGCCGTCCAAACCTGGATATTTCTTCTACTGTATCACATAAGTCTTTCAAATTGATTGTGGTTCGTTAAATTAGCTAGCTCATCATCAAGAATGTTACCCAATGTACTATTCGAAGCCCAGATATTAAAACCCACTGCTGTGGTTACAATTAACCAACTACATGTCAATGAATATTGTGGTATTATCGTAACTTAATTGCCATCTCGTAGGTAATAAAAAGGCCAAAAGTAGATCTGGAATTCCTCCAGACCTTGTTACTGGCCAGGTCAACCTTCATTTTGGCATGTTCCTAGCTCATTATAGAGATATTTGCTCCTAAACTTCCAGCCTTCCACCTGAAATGAGAGATTACACCCTTTCAAGCCGTGCGGTCCGACAGCACAGCCTTGGAGGCACGGAAGGACTGTTCGAAATCAGCGATGATATCGTCAATGTGCTCGGTGCCGACGGAAATTCGGATTCCATCTTCAGTCACGCCAGAATCCCGGCGCTCCTGCTCGGTCAACTGCTCGTGAGTCGTAGACCAAGGGTGAATAGCCAGGGTCTTAGAGTCTCCGACACTGGAAGGTGTTAGTCAATACCAAAACATGAACCAGGAAAAACTTACTTGGCAAGGTTAGAGATCAGCTTAAAATTATCAACCACCTGGCTACCACCAGCAGCACCACCCTTAATACCCACGGACAGAACACCACCAAAGCCGCGCGGGAGGTACTTCTTCGCAAGAGCATGAGAAGGATGATCCTCCAGACCTGGATAAGATACCCAGCTCACATTCTCATTCTTCTGCAGCCACTTAGCCAAAGCCAATGCATTGGTGGCATGACGCTCCGACCGCAGACTCAAGGTTTCGATTCCCAAGAGCAGTTGCTGCGCGGCGAAGGGATTCAAGGCCGAGCCCAAATCACGCAGGATTTCGACTCGAACCCGGATGGCATAAGCAGCGGCACCAAAAGTCTCCCAGAACTTCAAGCCATGATAACCCTCCGAAGGCTCGACGAACTGCGGGAAGCGGGCACTATTCTTGCCCCAGTCGAACTTGCCGCTGTCGATAACGACGCCTCCAATAGTGGTACCGTGACCACCGATCCATTTAGTGGCACTGTGTACAACGATATCAGCGCCGTGGTCGATGGGGCGAGCAAAGTAACCACCCGCGCCGAAGGTGTTGTCAACCTGTATCTACGTGAGTGTCCCAATCATATTCATTCAGTGGGTTTCAACCTACGACAAGCGGAACGCCCTTCTCATGAGCTACCTTGGCAATTGCCTCAAAATCCGGCACATTATAACGCGGGTTGCCAATGGTCTCCAAGAATACAGCCTTGGTACGGTCATCAATGGCAGCCGCAATATCGGCAGGGTCATCGCCCTTGACGAACTTAGTATTGATACCCAGGCGTGGGAAGAACACCTTGAATTGGTTGTAGGTGCCTCCGTAGAGATTGCTGGTAGCGACGATATTATCTCCAGCATGCGCGAGGGCTGAAATGGCCATGAACTGGGCGGCCTGGCCTGATGAGGCGGCGACGGCAGCGATACCACCCTCTAGAGCTGCAATGCGCTTCTCGAAGACATCTACGGTGGGGTTCATGATACGGCTGTAAATATTTCCGAACTCCTTGAGGCCAAAGAGCCTGGCGCCATGAGCGGAATCATCGAAGGTGAAGGAGGTGGTGGCATAGATGGGCACAGCGCGGGATTTAGTGGTTGGGTCAGGTTCATGACTATTGACTTGTAAGCATTGGAAGCGCGGAAAGGTCGCGGGGGAAGGCTTACCCCGCATGAAGCTGAAGAGTCTCGAAATGTAAGTTCTGCTCTGACATGGTGGAAATATGGAGTTGGTATCAGCAAAAGGAAGAAGGCTCTATAAGTACGATCGAGAGGGGCAATGGCGGGGAAGACTCGATGGCGTGATGGAAGGTTATTTCTCGGGCGAGTTAACAACACGAAGTTGCGGGATTGCGACATGCAGAATTCAGACCCCGAGTCACCATAATCCGTATCCAAATTAGGAATAGGAGGCATAATTGAAAAGATCACATGTATCATATAGTAACTGCAAATAGGTCCACGGGTCAAAGCGACCGAATGTATCCATGACCTGATACACTTATACCTAAAGTCAAAAGCATACAGTCTTTGATTCGTATTAGACTATAGTGATATATGATTGTAAATATACTCCACAATCCGTACTAACTGTTACAAGTGGCGTTAATTAACCTTTGTGGAGATTCAGGCGATAAGCCGTCACCCCAACTTGACCCCCGAAAATAAAGCCAAAAAACCGTGCAATCTTAGACTTTGTATACCAGTACTTCCAAATACTACTCACTAACTGGTGTGTCTAAAATGAAGTCCATAGTGAGCATTGCCCGACGGCCGCGCTGAACCTCTTAGCTGAGTTTTAATACAGAGTATTCCACGATCATCGGATAAGACTCTTTTATCCACCGCAGATTACGCCTTTGACAATTGCAATTTATAGACAAGAAAAAATAAGAATAATACAGGAGATCAAACACGAACTTTCCCTTTCTTTCAAATTTTCCAAGTCCACGGCTAGTAGTGCGTATTCCTACTTGAAAGTGCGGTTATAGAGCAGAAACATTGAGCTATTCCTGCTGTATGAAATGAGAGTTTCTCATTGTTTTAGGAGGTTGAGAATGAGATATTAATGGCTTTTTTCTCTCGTACTTAGTTTCTACATACTAGTTGCCTGGTGTGGGCGTTGTAGACTTCTAACTCAATCTGGTCGCAGTTATTGGAGTTATTTGACTATTTTTATTGAATACAGCTTTTTATGTTAACATATACATGAAGAGCGGCGCTTAGGACGGTAAAACCAATTATCCGTGGGCAACCTGATAAGTGACTGTTCTGGGTCATCGTATGTACAAGGTCAGAGAAGGTGGGACGCATTTGGGGTGATCCCATATCATCATAATGGAAAACCCCATTTCTTGTCGACTTTTCCTTCTCCAAATTCGATTTCTCCTAGCTATTGCCTGTTCCGGGATTTTTTCCCGACATGGACCTCTAACAGATGGGTTTCTGTTCTGATCATCCTCCTTCGGCACCCTAGTTTCATCTCTGATGATCTTGTGCCGTAGCTAGGATAAAGAAAACTCCCCCCCTTGTGTCTCGTGACCGTCAAGAATAACTCCTGACTCAAGAATATGAATAATTTTCTTTACACTATGAGGTCTGGGTGTTGATAGAAATGAAGCAATGTTAGTCCGCTATAGTCCTGTCATGTAGCTCGGAAGTTGCAAGCCATGCACATTCAATTCTTCGAGGTATTGTGTCAATAGCGTCTCGAGATCCAATAACACGAATTTCTGTTTATCTTGGATCTCTTCTATATTCTCTGAATCGATCTTTCTGTATTCGTGCAAGCAGGTATGAGGGATATTCAAGGTTTTAAATGTGATGAAGCGAAGTATGCCAACACCCAAATGGCTTTTGAAGTGTTCATCAGGCTCGGGCTCGGATTTTGAGTGAAGAAGGACAACCCTGGTTCGCGTGGGTAAAAGTCCGCTCAAAAGGGTCGTCAGTGGAGAGCATCCGTTCAGAGAACAGGCACTTTTACAATCATCTCGAGTATTGTCGGATAAGACTGTTGTCAACAAGGCCTTTGAATGTTGACTCAAAGAATGAATCTTTGAAGAAGAGTGTTATTGTCCTTCATCCAGTTCAAAATTGATCCCACGTTATTTCCCATGCAAGACCGATCCAGACGAAGTTTGGTGATAGACATCAGCACCTTTGCTAATCAGCCAGTGAGTCTTTTGCAGGAAGACTTATAAATCACGGGATGGGGTGTTTGTCCAAGCTTTTGTCAGACATGTCTTGTTCTCATCATCGATTTCATCCACGCCTCGGAAGCTAGCACTTCTTAAACGGTTCGCTAAATCAAGATTGACATCGATACAGTCGAAAGCTGACATCTGGAGAGTAAAGAACAGGCGGATCTACATGGAAGCCCAACCGCCGATGGCTAGCCGCAAGCTATTCCAGCCCAAGGGCTAATTTTTGAGCTGCCAGTAGATGGTCCAATGCAGAAAGTCTTATTAGGGTTTAGTTAGGGTGTTTGTGGTCTTCGCAGATCATGTGAAGTACTAGAGTTGAAGTCTTTGTTTGGATAAATGGGGAAGATTGTAGCACCGCAGGACCAGAATGGCGGCAAGGTATTTTCTCTATATAAATGTCAACAAATCAGGTCAGAATCCAACCATTCCTGCTTTTCCAAACCTAATATGTTGATCACCTGATTAGAACTAGTGCCTCTATCCTATCGCTACTTAGGCTTCATCTTGGTCGACCCTCTCCTCCTTGTCACTACCTAACATTACACTACGCACCATATCATATTGCTTCCATTCAATTCACATAATATGGCTAAAATATCCTTATAGGCAGTAGTGGTAGCGCAGGGAATGGTTAAGTAAAACCAGTCTCAGTCTAATGACGTGGGTTCAATGAATATCAGAACAGGTGAAAAGACAAAAACAAACACCAGACCGGATTGACAGGCAGCCAACCGGATATAGGCTATGTCCAATTGACAGCGACAATCAGCTATCTAAACAAGAGTGTTTTGGGAGGACCAAGAAGACATTAGGCAACTGAGTATGATGTTCTCTACACAGAGCAATGTGCAGTTTACCAGCCATTGTGCGAGGACCATGGAATCAGAGCCACCGACAGGAATGCCAGCTATGATTATACGAAAATTGGGCCACAGGGCAAACATACCTAGGCAGAATCAGTTTTCATTATCAGCTCTAATGAGGATCAGTTCAGGCACTAAAGAAGCAGAGAAAAGAGGAGGGACGTGAGCAGGAAGAAGGATAAGAAAGAGGAATAGTATAGCCGAGGGGGTACGTCAGCACTTCAGGTGAACGGGTGGGTGGAGGGGAATGGTAGGGCGATAAGTGCACTTTTTGGCTCAAATAGAAGAGAAATAAAAACAAAAACATACAACAGTTAGGATTCGCATGTGGTCACCCACCATACTACTAACTAACCGGCGTGTGGCTTAAGTACGGCTGAGCGGACGGGAAGCCCTGTTCTCCACACCCTATGGTCGTATGTACTAGATAGTATGCGAGGAAGAACTATATACTTCAATCTAGAGAGCTCTATGTGGTACGCCTGCGACCGGGGTGAGAAGCCTGGTGAGTGCGCAATAACTAGGGTGGAATCCTCTGGGCCGGCGGAATCATCACAAAGGCCGCCTAATAATGGATGAGTGATCGAGTGATTTAGGTGTTCGTTGGTTCCTGCGCCTCTGAAAATAGTCTGCCCTTAGGGCTTGGGCCGCTTGGCCTTGATATAGATATTCGTAGATTTCAGGGCGGATTGGGTCTTAATAGCTAATTGTATTGGGGTATTTAGGCACTCAGAATCAAATTTAGGACTTATTAGTTTAAGCTTGTGTTGGCTGGCTTGAGGGTCATGTTACGAGTAATACGCACACATCAGCCTCACCTATGAGGTAGCTTACTATATGCAACTATATTTCCACTCTGCATCTATTATTGAGCCCGCGTGAGCCTTGGAAGTCAGTGTGCAAGGTCTCTCGCGTTGCAGTTTGCATCCCTTGCGGGAAGAAAGTTCTAACATCCGACGGGCTTACATTTTATTTTACTCAGCTGAACATTACCCAGACCACATTTAGTCTGGTTTCTTTATGAAGAACTACCTACGCTGACACTTTTCTGGAACCGACTTGTTATTACTCGAATATATAAATGTCACTCTATGGGCTATATGCAGCTGGTCTTTGACGGGAAGAGATTAGGTTGTAAAGTTGTGGGGCGGACCGGTCCGCGCGGATCGACGTATGGCCCTAAGTTTTGTCACAAGAATTGGAAGTTAAACCCGGGCGCGCAATCATCGTGAATCTCATCTATGTCAATCCAGAGACCATTGAATGGCAGACGCGTTTAATTCGCAAGCTGATCGACCAGGGCATGCCTATAGATGGGATCACCATTGGCGCCGGTGTACCCTCTCTCGAGGTTGCTCGAGGATACATTGACGATATTGGCTTGAAATACATTTCCTTCAAGCCTGGTTCTGTCGACGCCATCATAGCCGTGTTAAAAATTACAGATGACCGCCCAGATTTTCCAATCATTCTTCAGTGGACAGGAGGGCGCGGTGGTGGTCATCACTCATTTGAGGACTTTCATGCGCCCATTTTCGCCATATATCACGAATGCCGGAAGAGAGAGAATGTGATCCTCGTTGCCGGAAGTGACTTTGGTGCTGGAGAGGATACATATCCGTATATGTTAGGCACATGGTCGAAGCAATTTGGGTATCCTGCGATGCCTTCCGATGGAGTTTTACTGGGTAGTCGCCTGATGGTTTGCCGGGAAGCTCATACGAGCCTACAGGTCAAAAAACTCATCTGCGACACGCCTGGCGTGGGGGACAGCGACTGGGAGCGAACCTACACCGGGAATGCCGGAGGCGTGATAACAGTGAAGTCTGAAATGGGGCAGCCGATCCACAAGATTGCTAATCGCGGTGTGCGTCTCTGGGCTGAGCTGGACCAGAGTGTCTTTGCTCTTCCACGCCCGAAGATGGTTGAAGAGATCAACAAAAAGAAGCAGTACATTATCTCTCGACTGAACAGAGACTACGCAAAGCCCTGGTTTGGGCAAGACAATACTGGAACCCCCCTTGATCTCATTGACATGACATACACGGCTGTTTTGAAGAGAATGATCCAGCTGATGTATATCAGCCACTAGAAGCGTTGGATCCACGGCTCGTACATGCGCCTGGTTTATGATCTTGCTCTGCGTTTCCTCAGCAGAACTTCCTCTAATTTTTACTTCGATATTGATGCATTGGAAGATCCGAACGCCTTCGTTGAGTCATTCGCAGCGCATTGCCCGGAGTGCAACACGCGGCAGTTGCATCCAGACGATGCAACCTTTTCCATTCAGAGATGCAAAGCCCGAACGCAGAAACCCGTTAATTTCATCCCCGTTCTCGATGAGAACTTCGAGTTCTGGTTCAAAAAAGACTCACTCTGGCAGTCGGAAGACATTGAGGCGGTTGTCAATCAAGATGTTGAACGAGTCTGTGTTCTGCAGGGACCAGTCGCCGTCAGACATTCTGTCAACCTAGATGAGTCGGCCCAGGAAATCTTGAAGAGCATATCAGACTTCCATACAAGCAATCTCCTTCGTGAACGTTACGGTGGAGACTTGAAGCGCATCCCGAGGACCGAGGACCCTGCTTCTACGTCCCCACTGTCTGGACCACTTGGTTATACTGATGAAAATACTGCCTGCACACAGACTTTTTGTGCTCTTCCCGGTGACTCTGTTGACTGGTTAGGCGTTTTGGCTGCGAACTCATTTGGATGGGTGCACGATCTTGTGTGCGAGTCCCATACTATCCGCAACGGAGTTCGCAGGAAGAATCCTTTCAAGAAAATATTCGACTTGAAACCAGGGCAGATGCTGCTACTGGAACACAAAGTACAGCGGATCGTGTTAAGCGATACTACAAGTGGGCATACGCTCGCTGTGATACACCGATCCGACGCCGACATGACCATTTGCTTTGATTTATACCAACCGCGTAATTTCACGGCCGCGCCAGCTATTTTGTCCCTCCAGTATAGGCACCTTTCAACCGGTTTATCATCTGCTCTGGAAGAGCTTACTAATGACCGGGATGCTCGCATCAAATCATTTTACAGCAATGTGTGGCTCGGCTACGAAATGAATGCCTGCTCTCCCGATGCGACATTTACTGGGCCAACGATCACCCTGACTCAAGAGTTGATTCATATGTAGGGTGGTCGGTGTTAGATCTTGTTCGAAACAATCCCAAGTCACTTACGGTATATTACAGAGGTCAGCGTGGCAGACAGGCACGATCAAACTATATGGCGATGACGATCGACTCATATCATCCGGATAGAAAGATCATCAAAAAGCCGATCATTGAGGACCTGACGAGCGAGAGCATGTCTTAAACCTTTTCTGATCCCCGGGGATTGTTATTCTCTACCCAGTTCGCACAGCCAATTATCATGTTACTCGAGCAGGCGGCCATGGCAGACTTGAAGCACCGCGGAGTCATCCAGGAGGGCGCATGCTTTGCCGGCCATTCTCTGGGAGAATATGCTGCGCTGTCAGCCTTTGCTGAACTCATGCGCTTTGAAGATCTGCTCCAAGTCGTGTTCTATCGAAGGACTCGCGATGCAATTGGTCATTGAGCGCGATGACCAGGGACGCACCAACTTCTCCATGGTTGCTGTTAATCCCGCACGCGTCGGCAAGTGTAAGTTGGAGGCCAATTTCTTGCAAAACTAGCTAATTTGCTAACCTGTCGCTGTAGTCTTCACGGAACGGGCCTTAAGAAATCTGGTGGAGATGATCGCGACGACGACCAATGCACTGCTGGAGATTGTCAACTTCAACGTGGAAGGCGAACAGTATGTCTGTGCAGGAATGGTAAGTCTCCTTCTATTTCAGGGCCTTATCCAGGTACTGATATTGTCTTGACAGCTGGGTAACCTTCATGCCTTGGGGGCTATCCTCAACTACATTGCCAAAGCTCCTAATGGCGCAGCCATTTCCCGGGGGTGGCGGAAAATCCTCAGTCAGAGGATAGCCTCAGCATCGTGTCGCGGCGTGTTTCCGAAGCCCAACGGCTGGCTAGTCCCATCACTCTCCAGCGTGGCACGACCACGATACCACTGCAGGGGATCGATGTGCCGTTTCATTTGGCGCATCTACGCGCCGGGGTGCCTTCGTACCGCAGCTTTTGGAGGAACGAATTCGCGACGGCGACGTCGACCCTCAGCGGCTGGTTGGGAAGTGGATTCCCAATGTTATGGGTAAGCCATTCACATTGAGCCCAGAGTACAATTCAGGAAGCACATCGGTTGACCGCCAGTCCCATCCTGGGCGAGGTTCTGGCCGCTTAACTTGTTTTTGTATGACTATCACCTTAGAATGCCGTTCATGTGCTTATCAATTCCCTCTCTGTGTATGCCGTACTTCCGACTAGTAGTCTCCACCCCTGAAAATTGCCAATCAATGGATCATAAATGCCTATTCCTTGTATGCGCACGTAATTCTCCTCGGGCGCGGCAGCCGAGCTCCGCAGGACGGACACATATAGGCGAACACCTTCAATTAAAACTCGCCTCTGTCAATTATCTTCTCACATCATCAATCCAAATCTTATTATAGCATATTGCGAGCTTCCACAATGAAGGTCAACGCGATGCCCGACACCGAGAAGGGGCCCGACCCCCCAGAGCCGACGTGGGTGGTACAATGGGATGGCCCCTGTGACTCGGGAAACCCCCATAACTGGTCCCTCCGGTACAAATTGTTCGTCAGTGTTGTACTCGTTGCTTTACCCTTGATCGTCAACATCGGGTCCAGCATAATGAGTGGTACTCTTACCTCGCTGGAGGAAGAATTCCACATCAGCTCCGAGGTGGCCATTCTAACGACCACTACCATATTCTTGATGGTACGTCCTCCCTATTTTTGTTTACCCTAACATTGTTTAAATATAACAACCGTTGTTTACATATAGGGGTTTGTCACCGGTCCCTTGATCTTTGGCCCACTGTCTGAGAAGTACGGGAGGCGATGGCCCATTCTCAGCGGTGTCGTGCTCTTCTCGACCTTCTGCATTCCGGTCGCAGTGGCACAGAACTTCTATACCATTCTGATCTCACGCTTCTTCAGCGGCGCCTTCGGCGCGTCGTCAATGGCTGTGACAGGGGGAGCCTTGACAGACGTGTGGAACACCGCAGTCAGTCGAGGCATCTCGCTAGACTGCTTCGTGGCCACAGCCTTCGTAGGTCCCGTTATCGGGCCCATTGTCGGCGACTTTATCACGGAGAGCTATTTAGGCTGGCGATGGACCATGTGGATCACGATGATCGCCGCCTATAGCTTTTCCATCCTCGCGTGGGTCGTCTTGCCCGAGACTTATGCACCCACGCTGCTCACAGCCAAGGCGGCGCGACTACGATTTCAAACCAAGAATTGGGCGCTCCATAGTAAGATGGAAGAGGAAGGGGAGACAACGTTCATGTCCTTCGCGCAGACTTATCTGTTGCGCCCGTGGAGTAAGTTGTGACCCTCGAGATCATGCCCCCACACCTACTCACTCTCCATACAGCTCTTCTTGCGACGGAGCCCATCATGATGTTGGTCACCCTGTATATGAGCTTCCTCTATGGACTGCTATTCCTATTCTTCGAGGGCTTCCCCATCTCATTCGTAGAGGAACGTGGCTGGGCGCCACAAATCGGGTCACTTTCCTTCCTCAGTCTCTTCGTCGGCATCATCCTGGGACTGATGGGCATGGTGACTTGGTCAATGACCATCTTCGCGCGGCAGGTCAACTCGACCCCGGGTAAGGTGGTGCCGGAGCGTCGTCTGCCGCCGATGATCGTGGGCGCCGTCGGACTGCCCATCGGACTGTTCTGGTTCGCGTGGACAAGCAATCCTAGTATCCCCTGGGGTGCGGAGATCATTGCGCCGGCGGTGGTGTCGGCATCGATGTTCGCAACCTTTATCTCGGGTCTAAAATATATCGTCGACGTGTACTTGATCTACGCGAACAGCGCCATCTCCGCCAATACCGTCGTCCGAAGCTGCTTCGGGGCCGGATTTCCTCTCTTTGCCAATGCTATGTACCACCGGCTGGGCTTTCCCTGGGCGACCAGTCTGTTGGCGTTTCTGGCCGTCGCTTTAGCCCCAGTCCCAGTCATCTTCTATCTGTTTGGGCAGAGGATTCGACTGTGGTCGCGCATGTCGGCCAACAAAACCTGAAAGATGACGCTAGAGGGATATTGCGCAGGACGGAACGAGGGCTGGCATCAGTGGTATTGCAGGCTCACCTGTTTCAGGTGTTGCCAACGGCTTCTGGACAGATCCCTTATCCCGATGAATGACTAGCCTCCCATGTGCAATAAGGTGGTTATTTATTCGGTTTCTACGATAAAAATCATATAGTGTACGGTGATACCAGCCACTTCATGGTGCCTGAGAAATCATCTAGGTCGCACGTCTGAAACTCATGTACTATTTTTAAAGAGAGCGTAAACAAATTCAAAATCATAAATTCGGCATCTACGTGGCGAAATGCCCTTCTGAGAGCAGAACTTCAAGAAGTGCCGGGTCGAAGAAGTAATCGGGCGAATCAAATGTCTCGAAGATGTCCTCTTGCTCCCGAGTCAGCGTGTTGCTAGTACCAGGCGAGTAAGTTGCGGAGTCATGCCCGATCGACCCAGATGGCCGAAAGTCTCCCATATCAGTAATGGTCGACGGGGTCAGCAGGTATGTTGTTGGCTCCAAGGCCTCACTCGAGGCAGTGATCATGCTCATCAATTCGGTGCACCAAGCGACACCCAGATGTAGCTTCGTCACATATGCATTTGGTATGTCCTTATTCTCTAAGGAGCTCAGTTGGTGGCGGACGCTGATCAGCTGCGGGACAATGGCCGCGAGGTCGATTGCACCCTCCCCCGTCAGGTATCGCGCGCAGAGGTCGTGAAAAGCAACAAGTGGGTAGTTTTGGAACATCCTACAAGTAATTGATCAGCTTCAAGTGGATGTGAGGGGTGTGAAAGCACCTACCGGCCCAGGACCATACAACTGCCTGGTGTCACAGGCTCCTCGAAGACATCAGTTATGGTCTTGAGAGCGGATACGGCATGTTCGCGGGTTATCTGCCATTCCTCGGCTGTCCGATGGCAACGGTGGATCAGAATCTTGCTGACATGGTAGCAGTATTTGATCTCCAGCTGCATCAGGCGCAAGCCAGGGTCACGAGACACCAGCGACGGATGTGACGGTAAACGCTCGTCGCACATGCGATTTAACCGATGCAACTGCTCGCGCCGATGTTCTGCCCCCAAGAACACTGCTCGCGCCGAGTATAGCCCGATATAGATTTCCTCCCAAACAGCCATCATGTGTGCCGCGGTAGAGTGGAGTTGCATTTCAACGGGCATCAGCGGGGTGGAGGGCAGGGGCTGGAACTCAGAGTCAAAGAGATATAGATCGGGGGAATGTCCGCTAAGGAAGACACGGGTTTTATCCATGGCGTACAAGATCCAGAAGAGTCGCTGGCGGGCTTGCAGTGCACTGTCATTCACAGTCCCGACGCACCGGTGGAGGCCGATGGACCGTGCTATTTTACAGGCTGCAGAGCAGACCTTCTCGAATACCGCGTTGAAGAAGAATTCCCGCGCCACTAGAGCCTGTAATGATCAACTTGGCCGTTCGTGAATTATCTACAGGGCCCTATTCCTTACCAGCATGATGAGAGCCTGAATGTTGACCACTGTTGGCTGCGACAGCACGTCTAAATCGGCCAAGGCACGGCGACAATTGTTCAAGGCGTCTGAAATTACCTGTGAATGCTTTGTCCATGGGTCGATATCAAGGCCAGATCGTCGGGCCACACGGGCGTCGAGATGCAAGGTAAGCAGGACAATACTGTTCAAACACACCAGCCAGGCGCGGTGGTCAGAGGGACCATTGGATCGATAGCACTCCGGAATGGTCTCATACAGTACACCAGCCTCGAACACAGGAGTATGAAGGTTAATGTGGTTCAGGTAGCGATCGAGTACGGAATACAAGACATCCTGGGGAGGCGGCGTGATGGGCCTTTGGTCACTGGTGATGGGCGGCTCGGTACACCCCTGTCGAAACGGAAACATCTCGTAATGACGCCGCAGCGATGGTCGTAAGGCGGGATTCCCCACGCTTTCTGCCAGCGGACCGTGCAGCGATGGGGGTTCGGTATGCAGGGCTGCCCTCAGCAGCTTCTGCGAGGCACGGAACAGGCATAGTGCGGCGGGATAGCTATACAGACGCTCACCACACCCCACGGTTAAGAGATCCTGTTTCGAGGCCATATCATCAGGGGGCCCTTCTTCCCTGTTCATCTCTGGTCCATTCCGATCCGTGATGGTGGGCAAGGGTAGCGGCTCTGTGGTCACGATGCAATTTGCGGTCAACGACTTGACTTGCTCCGACAGGCGCGCCAAGGACCGATCTACGTGGTCTAATCGGCTGAGGACGGACGAGAAGTCATGTAATCTGACTAGGTTAGCCTATTACATTATTGCATAAGAACAATAATGAGAGAAATCGCACAGCTGTCTGGCAGGGTTGGTCCTTTTGAACGAGGCGGAAAAATCACAGGGGACGCCAGCTTTGCAACAGGCGGAACATTCCGGCTGGTTACGATCGCATCGAATCTGAATGGAGCTGATTTACTATTCGATCCATTTATACAGTATGATGAGAGGACTGACCTTGCGTGACCGACATTGATTGCAGGCAGGTGTCGTGAAGTCGGCTTCAGAACTGAGACGAGGGCGCTTCCTGGTCTGCATGATGAAACGCAAGGGAAATTACGATGATATTGGAAGAGCAGATGGATTGGAGGATGAATGATGGATTGATGATAATGATTGTGGTGGTGATAAGTGGCGGGGTTCGGCACGCGAGGTCCGAGTTGTATTACCATCGCTGAACTCACAAGCGGTCCTCTACGTCTCCAGGACCTGTGCGTTCAACCTGATCAACGTAATAGATGCTGTCAATAATTCAGAATCAGGTCAGCTTCAGCCTTTCACATATGTCTTCACTAGACTTACAGTAAAATTCGGAAACAGTTTACCCCTTCGGCAGCTTGTTTCTCGGCTCGTAACCGGTAACATCCTAAGCTATGCTTGGCTAGGTTGTAAGTTATATAGATGTGTAAGTGGCTAATAACTTACCGCTTGTCCTAATAAATATCAGCCTGGTTTCGGGTACGGGCCATCGTAACGCGGCGTTGACGATAAGGTTAATAAGGTCATTGGCGAGAGGTCAACAGTATTGCATCTTTCACACAGGCTGGAAGACATTGTGCACAGCAAATGATGGATCTACCGGACATAACTCTTGCTGACTGGGTTTTTCAATTTGATGCTTCCCAATGGCGACTCAGCTGCACTGATCAAGCTGGGACCGACAACATACATGCCATTCAAGGCTTTATACAACATGAAGAGAAATGCTCGGGTGAGGTTGCTAATACGTCAATTGATGCGATTTATCTTAAATAATTGATGTTCTTGCTCTTACCAACTCATTATCGAATTATTGAAGACTCCCTTGTTCCATCATCGTCTAAACGCTTCATGACCACAGGAATCTCGTTTAAAGAGCTGTGGATGACCTAAAGCTCGATTTAACTAGGAAACATACAATCAACTAAACTTCGAGACTATAGATCTTAGCATAGAACGTGAAAAGATTGAGCAAGACCTAAGCTTGATTGCCCCTGGCCTAGATGTAGCGGCTTTGCATTGCATCTATTAGTTACGTGTGTTGTACTGAAGAGGTAATAAATTGTAAACAAAAACAAAAACATACAACAGTCAGGATTCGCATGTGGTCACCCACCATACTACTAACTAACCGGCGTGTGGCTTAAGTACGGCTGAGCGGACGGGAAGCCCTGTTCTCCACACCCTATGGTCGTATGTACCAGACATACCTTTGAATAGGAATATATAGTGAAAGTGCGCAAGTGGTGAAGGGTGACATGAACAGAGAGCATGGTCCGCGTGATAGCAAGCGTTTAAGCCGGGAGCTCTAAATTAAGTACAGTCAAGGGATTTTCCAAGCCATTAAAGAAATAACATGGTTGATTTTGATTTCTGATTATTTCGCTGTAAAAGGATTCTATCTTGAGGGTTCCACTTGCTCCATAACTGCAAGGAATTTAAAATATGAATAACTCTTAGATGTGCTCATTGTGCAAGATTGAAACCAACTCCCAATATTTTCCATTCTAGGAAGTTGATGGTAGTGGGGCCATCTGTGGCATAACCTCAACATCTGGCCAATTGGCTTCCCGCTTTACCAGAATATATATCACCGGGTCCGCATTTCGAAATCACACTACCACGATCCTAAAAGGAATACTTTTTTTTCCATTTTTTTCCCCACTAAGTTAGAATACTTACCGGGCCAAGTCGTCAAGGTGGATGCGGCATTACGATTCTAATGTTTTTCATCCTCATCTTTCCAATAGAATGATAAGACAGCATGAGTGTAGATAGATTGGTCAAAGTAAGTCATAATTCAATTTGAAGAAGTAACAACAAAGTACGCTTCTTTATTCCCTTCCTAATGGCTAGGCTTCTCAATCAATTGGTCCCTACTCCATTTGCTTCAGCAATGTTGCCTTCATGTCAACGTGATCACCTTAGAATGCAGGTTCATGATCCAGTAAATACATGTCAGGGTGAGCTCAAGCGGAATGAGCAATGATTCGGGTTGTCGTTTTCACCTCTGGAGATAGGCGTTTCAATGCTGAGGCAAGCTCGTCGGCAGCTTGTACCAGGGCATCGTCAGAAAGCGGCTCTAATGCATCCAGAATGAATAGAACACGTGTGCTCTCATCCGTCAATGCGGTCCGTGGACCCTGTCGCCAATTCCAGCGGCGGCAAGTGACGCCAGTCTCATCACACCAGATAGGCTCCCCAGGAGCTGCGAGTTCCGTTTGAGGTTCCCCGCCAGAAAATGTCTGGAAGGGTTCCTGCCCAGTGGCGCGGATCAGAAACGGCGAGCCATTGTATTTATCAAGGTCTTCGCCGCCAAGTGGAATTTGATGCTTGACTGAGATAGCATTGTAAATGTCCGTCAGCCGGTTTACGCGCGGTAAGCCATTCTCGGCGCGACGCGTCAATGCCTCTAGACTGTTGCGGGTCTTCTGCGGCTTAGCTCCAAAAGCCTTGTAAGCGTCTCTCCATGCGGCGATATGTGGAAACTCGGTGATGGTGTGTTTCAACAGCAACTCTTTGACGCAAGATTCGGCTTCCCGTAACATGTTTTCGCTGAAATCATCACTAGGGCCCGGAGGGATGCCCTCAACCACCATCAGCAGGGCTCGATAATCAGGACGTAGCTCATAGATTTGTGGCGCCACGCGCGCAGCTTCCAGCAGCTTATGTGCCATTTATGTCCCGGGGTAATGTGTTGAAGATGTGTGAGTTGGTACAGATCCAAGCTAGAGCAATTTAAAAAGGTGAAAATAATTTGAAGACTGTGAGCGCAGACAGGCAAATTTCATGGGTTGTCCTGATATATATATGCAGCCGTGGGGCGGCCAGCGCTCGGTTATACTCATAGTAAAAGACAACATCTATGGTTGCTTCGTGTCAGCTAACCAATCAGTCTTTCTTTGTGGACTCAAGGAAACATCTGAAGAATTCGACTTTCGCCACTTTGCAAATGATAATGTAGAATGCACCGGGAATGCCAAGAAACGGGTTCCTGTAGAGCCCCACACCAGACAACTTCCATTTTCAGTTAGAATAACTGTCAGTGAAGCTTTCACTGACCCACCTGTAAATATCCACGGGTATGACGACTTGGAGTGGGGGGGTCCACCAGGTGCGATCAGGGCCTTTTCATCTACTTCACACCCGTTTTGTAATTATTGAATTCTTCGATCTTAGCCATGCTGAGATCCGTTCAACACTGGCCGGGGGGAACTCTCAGGTCCATCAAATCACTCAAAAACAAATTTATATTTGGACCAGATCAAAGAGGAAGTCAAGGGCTGGCTACTTTTTGTACAGGTATGTTATCATAAGAATATATTGATAGCCACGCCTTCAAATAATGCCAAATTGTAAAAGATCTATCACAATGATACGAGAGTATTACATGCAAATTTGTCGCTTGTGTTTTGATTTTTTTTGTTCATTCTTGAGATGTGTATAGTTCCCCTCCAAAGGGTGTTTGTTTACCGAGAGAAACTCGGTAATGGCTCCACACGACATTTGTTTAGTAGAATGATCCCATTGGTCGTACATGTTCTCACCAGCCTCAGTTAACCTCCATAACGCTTCACAACACAAATCACAGAAGAACAAGGATATGCAGCATAAGTATGGCCCTAGTAATTTAGCGCCTACGATTCTGTGTCGTAGGTGGCTCACCGCTCTAGCAGCCCAGTCCCCTTAACCGTAGTTTGGGTAGATATTCAGCCAGAGTGGGACAAGGAATATGTGGGGGGACATTAATCAGTGATTCGTGGATCACCAGCCTTTTAAGTCACATGCTGCAGCAATTTAGGACCAAGATGAAGACCTGCAGCCATTTTTCCAGTCCTCATTTTGGTCAATCTTGCTCCTGTACTTGGCTCGAATTTCATGTCGTCATATATTGTGATAGCCTGTTTATCGCATAGACGTGACCTTCTGTCTTCTGTATCGGAGTATATATTTACGTAGTATCCTGCAAATCTCCGCTATAGCTAGTTTTAAAACTAAGCTTTACCCATCCCGACCATAATCAGCAATGCCACATTCATTACTACAATGAGCAGCCAGACGAGCACCACAGTTATTGAGAGCACTAAGCTGTTTCGCATCGAAACTTGTTCCACCTGAACGTCATCCTCACGATCACCGACCTCCACCGGGACGCTCATGTAACGGTTGAAACATGTAAAGTAAATCAGTGGAGCGGAGACAAACGGTAAGATAGCACTCAAAACAACTTGGCTGGCGTTAAGGGTCTGGTCTAGTCCAGGCTTCCCGACGGCAGCGGCAATTATGATACTGGGAGCAATGCTGATAGAACGAGTAATGAGTCTGCGAAGCCAGGGCTGCAGGCTCCAATTCAACATTCCCTCACTCACCATCTGACCCGCCATAGTGCAGACAATGCCAGCAGATAATCCTGACAGTAACAAGGCCAGGGCGAAAACCAGACCAGCGGCGGGCGCGATCGACTGGGAAAGTAGCCTGTGGATTCCGAAAAGGTCTGCATCGTTTTTGTCAGGACGACCGTATAGAGAAGCACCGGCGATAATGAGTATGGCGCTGTTAACAAACAGTGCGAATGTGAATAACGCTAGCACCAACTCAATGATCGAGTATTTCATGCATCCTCGGATAGCGTGGATAGAAGGCCGGTATTCTACCGCGCCGCCGTTACTTCCAAGTGGAACAGAGGCGTCCACATAGCCTGTTGTGACATCAAATTCCTTCAGGCGAGACTGGACAACCCCACTCCCAAGAAATAGGGAATGTGGCATAACGGTAGCCCCGAGGATGCCACAGCTCTGATAGAGGCTAATGACAACACACATTAGCATATTTATCTCAAATAGAAGCTCACTACTCGGACAAGGCAAAAACTCACCCTTCTGATTGGACAATGGCAGTTGATGGCAAGTAGCCTCGGAAGACTTCCCCGACTGACTGGTTCTTGATAAGGGAGAGTTGGATGCAGAAGCATATGACGACTCCCAGAACGAGGGCCATAACAAAGAATTCGAACCAGCGCAACCCCCGCATTGACCCGTTTGGCCGATAGAAGAGGAGCAGAAAGAGGACATCCACCAAAGTGATGGCGCATCCGGCCACCAATGGGATATTTAGAAGCAGATTTAGCGCGATTGCCGATCCGACCACCTGTCAAAGGTGTCAGCAAGCAGGGCTCTCACCTATCCCGGTAATCAGAGGAAAGGTATCCATACCTCTGCAATATCGGTTGCAATTATAGCCACCTCCGCGAAGATATAGAGAATGATGACCAGCCATCGCGGAAGGTGCTCTCGACAATTCTCCGCTAAATTTAGGCCTGTCACAGTACCTAGCTTAATGCACAGGGACTGCAAGAGTATAGCGAAGAGATTAGACATGAGAACAACGAACAGCAAGCTGTACTTGAAATCCGCTCCGGCAGAGACGTCTGTGGAGTAGTTTCCCGGATCAATGTAGGCGACCGCAATAAGGAATCCAGGCCCCACGAAGCGAGCAAACTTGGCCATGCTGCCCGTGAATTGAAGATATGAAGATGTAAGGATGGGTTGGAGAAAACGGTGAGGTAGTTTTCTAGTCCTCGAGGGTGGTTCCCACCCTGTGACTCTAGCAGCGACCGAATCACCGTCGACGGTCTTCTCATTTTCGGGGTCTTGCTCTTTCCGGCTTTGCTGTTGTGGAGTTGTGGACAAAGTATCATCGCCGGCTGTACATCCGGTGTTGGTCGCGTCATTATGGTGGATTTTGGAGTTTCGATGACCATTTAACAGACTTGGTGTGATGGTTTCTGAATTTGAACGTAGTGGATTGAAATTCCAACTTGGGTGCTGGACTGTATCGTCGGTTCGGGGGCAATTCATGGCGGGGTGTTGTGTTTTTGCCACTGTTTGGATATGGTCACCACACTTGAGACTTTCAGTTGAGGGCGCTTCGAACATTTGTGACTATGAATCGCCGGCGATCTGGAAGACAAGAAACCGAGTACTCTACGAGAGAGCCGTGCCCGGAAAGTCCAATTCACAATGCTCTGCAATCTGGGGAAGACCAAAAGGAGCAGCTTGGACAAACTCATGAAAGCAGGAGTACACCGCAACTTGCGTAAGGAGAACCTGGAAGCTGAAATGCCTGAAGGCCCAAAGTGCTGCCTAAGATAGTTATGCGCGCTACAAAGGCCAGACTCTAAGAGACACAGTAACAAAAACTACCCCCCACTATTCTACATTTGGGTACAGTTCTTGATTCAGACCCAGACAAACAAGAACAACAGAACGAAAAGTCAAAAACAAATCCTTAATAGGGAATATGTTGGATTTGGAATTATGCTTTCAAAAACGCCGATGATGTCGGTCTCCAACAGGTTCAAGATTCATGGTTCTATTGTTTGTCGGAAAGTGCATGCAAACAAATAATTTTTCTAGAAAGTTGACCTGTTCCTTCGAAGTTGATTTCATTGTATATTTTTCCAATTGAATTCAATTCATTCATGCCCGCCAAGGGCCGTTCACAAGCAACATTCTAAATACGGGGAAAGGGGAAGGGATAGTCTCGACTCTGTTCTTTTTTTTCGCTCTCGTTCTCGCTCCCGTTGGGACCTCGTAGTTAAACTTTCGGGTTACGTGATCCCGGGGAAGTAGTTTAAAGGAAAAGGGGTTAGCGCCCAAATAAGCTTGGCTTTCATGCTCCATTGCGGGGGGAATTCCTGCCGGGTTCAACTCTGAGGATCCGAGCACATTCTCGAAACCAAATTTCAGTTGAGCCCCATAACAGACTTGTCACACATTCCTTGATTTGACAGGAATTTAGTCATTCAGTTCATACCTCAATGATGTCTTAGGTATCTCCAACGTCAAGCGAATATTTGGATGCCTGCTTCGGGCGGTCCGCTGCAAAGCTAGGTTAGGAAACACATACATCGCCCACAAATTCAATGTCAGTTGTGATCACCTCTGAACGAGCACAGAATGCTTCGCCGTTAACGTGTAAGCCCCGGCCGCCAAATGAATGATTTATACCACTCTCCGCCTTCTATCTGTTCTCAACGAACGCTCTACGCTTCCGGCATGTCAAACTGCCATTCTATATGTCTAGAGGCCAAGCTTGGAGTTGTTCCCAGCACCTTTAGGAAAGTAAAAATAAACCTCTGAAGCATTTCTCATCTTCATAGCCTAGTCAGTGAAGACTAAAGTGACAGATGCAGAAGGGGAGTTGTAAATCGGAGAAAAGAGTCCAAGTTTGCACGGGGAAAGCCATGTTTCCAGGGCATGCAAACAGCCATGGAGTCACGAAACGTTAGGCCAACAGGAAGGTATAAGAAGGGTTGTAGTTGCTTGTGTACTCAGTCTATCATGTTCTACTTGCTATTCAATCAACCTAAGCTCAACTGAGGTCTCTTATCTATTTGTCGATCTTAATTTTCAGTTATCCGTCGAAATGAAGTCGTCTTCCTACGCCGCGCTTATTGCTGCTATCAGCACTGTCCAAGCTAATCCTGTCTCCAAGCGTGCTGTCACCGATGCCGACATTCTTAACTACGCTCTAACTCTCGAGCACCTTGAGGCAACTTTCTACGCTCAGGGTCTCCAAAACTACTCGCAGGCAGACTTTGTCAATGCCGGATACGCCGATCCATTCTACAACAACCTCTTGAAGGTTGCCTCTGATGAGAAAGAGCACGTCAGCTTTCTGACCAGTGCTCTTCAGGGTATGCTAAATGCCATCTAAGTGAAGTTTCGAGATCGCCTAACTAACATTTGACCAGCCGCTGGCGCTCCCGCCACTGCCGAATGCACTTATGCTTTCCCGGCCACCGATGTAGACAATTTTGTGGCCCTCGCCAACGTACTTGAGGGGGTAGGTGTCAGTGCCTACCTTGGAGCTGCAGCCTCTATTGCAAACAAGCAGTACCTCACTGATGCGGGCTCTATCCTAACTGTCGAGGCCCGACACAGCTCTTACCTCCGCGCTGCTGCTGGCGAGGTCCCCTTTGCCCAGCCTTTCGACAACCCCCTTGACTTTGATGAAGTCTACACCGTTGCGTCTCCATTTATCGTTTCTTGCCCAAGCAGCAATCCTGCTCTGCCCGTCAAGGCATTCCCTTCTTTGACCAGTATCTCCAGTGGCACCCTTTTGGCCGGCTCTCAGGTCTCCCTCGCCACAGGAGAGGGATTCACTGCTAGCGGGCATATCTACGCCGCCTTCATCACCGTAACCGGTCCAGTCTGGGCTACTGTCAGCCCGACTACAGGTGGCTATTCCGTTACAATCCCCCAAGGTGTGGAGGGTCAAAGCTATGTGGTTTTGACCTCCTCTAATAAGAACGTCTCTGATGATAACATCCTTGCCGGGCCCGCAATTTTAGAGGTACGTGAAGGGTGAATTTTCTTTCCTAGCAAATGGTGTTTATTATATCATTTCTTGGTTTACAATTTAGTCACTGGCTTATTGAGGGGTTGGCTGACAAATCATTGCTTTACTTCACAGATTGGTGCCAAAAACGGCCGCCTCACCACTGGTTGCACAGGTGGGAGCAGCAATACTACTTCTAACATGACCTCGGCCCAGGCTGCTCAATCTAGCGCGTCTGAGCATTCTGCTGGGAAGCCAATGAGTACCTCTCAGGCCCAGTCTTCCGCGATCCCTGCGCAACCAAGCTCAAGCCTTACTGCCACTGAGGGCGGGGCCTTCTTCACTGGTGCCGCCTCCAGTGTCCAGCCTGCCTTTGGCTGCCTTGCTGTTGCTATTGCTTTCATGGCTCTCCTGTAAATTATTATCGCGTCATAAAGCCAGTCTGTATCATCTGACTGTCATCGATGCCATATGGTGTTTGCGACTTGTTGTTTTGGGTCAAGCCCCTCGGAGTCTCCGAAATATATCAATAGGCTCCATAGGAATGGCTATCTTCCATGTTTTCAATCTCGGTGATAAGAGCGTTTTGTTTCTGGGTTCAAAAGCTGTGCAATAAGAGAGTTTCCTTGGTTATTTCGAGGTTACGATTTCAGTCGAAGCTATGAGGGCCAATAAAGATATTCAAGAAACTTCTCTTTGCCACTAACAAACAAACTCCTGCTATACTATACAAAGTCGCGCCTTACTGAAACAAACAAAGATCGTGCTTTGTACCTACAGACTCCCATTTTCTACCAACGCTTATGTAGGCAGAATAGGCGAAGAATTGTATATTGGAAGAATAAGTCACATAGAAAGAATCTAATAGGAAACCAATAAAAGATGAAAGCCCACGTAAAGAAGGATGACAAGGAAAATCAAATGTCCCATTTGGCGCTGTACCATTCTACCCCTGGGTTCGCTTTACATGCCCTTTCTCCGGATTCAATAAATGGATTTGGGCCAGACAAATAGACCCAATTGGACCCTTCAGACGGTTCAGGGCAAATCGAAGCTAAACTTTCCTCGAAATCCAGCCGAGATCTTCCTTCTCCAGTGAGGTGCACATGTACTTCGAGAGATGCTGTCGGATCGGCTACCATACTGCGTCAGTATACATGTGTGGAGGTGAAGATCATGGAACTTTGCACTACCTTTCAAAAATGGTAGGTCGGTATAGTCTGTCGCTTTCACGCTCCAAAAAACGACACACTTCTCCCATACGGAAACAGCTTTTGTCCCTTTTTCATTTCCTAGCTCACGAGGATCTGTAGTAAGAGTCGCTTGCTGTCTCTTCCTTTCAAGGAAATCCCGGGCTATGGCTATGGCCCCACTCACACCAGTACCAGCGACAAAACATATGACGGTCCTGTACAGCGAGGGATCTGCCTCGGAGAAGTACGGACCTTCAAGCCTCAGAGAAATATCCACCCCCTGTGACGGATAAGTGCGTCTTAGACTCTTGCTAGCAGGCTCAATAAGAGGCGTGCTGATTTGCTGGCTGTTGCTGCTGCTATTATCTCCATCCCCGGACAATTGTCTGTATCTATCGGCGAGACCGGCTAGTTTATCTGTCCACTGAAAGGTCTGCTTGGTGGATTTGTAGAACAATCTCAGCCCGGTCGACCGTTTATGGTTTCTGACCTGTGGGCCCGGGAGGCTGTCTGGATTGCCACGCTTACGGAAGAGAAATTGGATCGGTATATCATCTCGGGACTCGGAATTGACTTCTTTCTGAGAGGCAAGAGGGGTAATAGTGGTGAAAGGATGGAGCTCCCGGGAGGAGGATAACGAATGGCGAATGTAGAAATGGGCAACTGGGGACTTGCACGCACATCCGTCGATTCGATGTCTAGGGAGTAGCATATCGATACTGAAAAATAACTTAGCGACCGGGTTTGGAAGAAGAATGGCTTCACTTACCAATACCATCCTTTACCTAGATGCGCCACTTTGCCTGGCACACACTCTCTCAACTCGTAAAGTCGCATACCCCAGTCGAGCACCCACATGGCAAGCCCTGGAGCTACACAGTAAAAGACCGTACTGGCGTGCAGACAGATTATTATGACGGCCACAATACTCAGGAGGTGAGTAAAATAAAAGAGATTGAAATGCTTTAACCGAATTCTTGGTAACGTGGTGACAAAAATGAGACCCATGATCATGGCGGAGGCGAGACCAGTGAATATTAGGGAGGCTCGCCAGATACCCAAGGCAGATGAGTCTCCCGGCCAAGTCTGGAAGTATAGATATGTTGGGTTTAAGACGGGGAATACTGGCCGAAGCTTCTCCGAGAGGGTGTAGAAGACCGGTACCCAGGATACATAAAGGAATCCATGGATCAGGACAAGGATAAAGAGAGTGTATGCTGCCAACATATGAAAAGTAAGCGTGGTTGAGACGGAGAGTTTGAAGAATGACGCTAATGCGCTGTGTCGAGAGACGGGGATAAGGACCATCCCCATTGTGACATCGCAGAGGTGGCCAGTTAATGCAACCGCAGCAAGACGGCGATTTCCATCAAAAACGCCATTTTCATGACCTCTACCATCAAAGTAATCTCGCAGGCGAATCCACCAGACACCTACGATGATGCCGTATAGGCTGGTAACCCAGATGGATCCAAGTAGCGCGCTGATAGCCAACCGCTCACCCACCAAGGGGATCTTGCAATCAACTAACTGTTGCTGGAGAAAGCGACGCAACTGGGGCTGAAAAGCACGAACGGTGAAGAACACCATGGACAGCAATACCCAGGAATACCAGATCACCACATGTAGTCGGGCCTGGAGAGGAAAAAGCCATTCTCCACAGGTACCAGCATAGCAATGATGATCTGATCGAAATGTCAAACCGATCGAGAGACCAAAGGTGAGAAGAATACTCCCCGCGAGAGGATAGAGACACGTTCTCGGAGTGATTCTCGTCATTCCAAAAAGTAGCAGCACAAAGAGAGGTGGAAATTGGAGGCCACATCGATTGTACTAATATCACTAGTGGGTCTCAAACTGCGCAATGTAGAGTTGACGCCAATCTACCAGCAGCCTTAAGTGAGAGTGTAAGGGATCTTCATTTGTCTCTGATAAACACTACAACTCCCGCGTCTTCGTTCCCGTTCTCGTTCTCGTTCTCGGTCGGAGATTTCTCCCGGAATTTATCATGTCGGATGGCGCCATCACCATCATTCTAGGTGAATATCAACCTTGATACTGCGCTCTTTAGCTAGTATCGCTTTCTGTACCCCTCATTGTACCTGCAGTTTCTGATCCGTGAAGACTTGTGCCTCCTTACCTCCCTATTCTTGGCGCAGTTTGTTGTTTAATTGTTCTCTACCACCGATCTTTTAGTGAGCATTTTTGGATCTTTTATCTTAATTAGATGAGAAATAGCTAGAAAAGAGAATCGTTGAAAACCCAAAACAGAAGGGTTCGCGATCAAGTATGGAGACCCTGTCTGCTTGTCACAGGCATATATCTGTCCATTCTATTCAAAGCTCACGATTTGATCTATTGGGTGATGCCCGAGCTTCAAATTTCTTTACAATGTGAGCCCTCACCTTCGCCATGGCTGGTGAGGTCTTTTGTCTGCACCAATCATGTAGCCATCACTAATAGTATGTCGTTCCCGCAAACAAAACAATTGGCTTGGCGGTCTGAAATGATTTCGTTATCAGCCAGGGTGGAATCAGTTCTTTGGGCAATAATTTCAATGGCTTAAGCCGACAAACCAGGCTTTGCTGTTGTGGAACTAGAATCGCCGCCAATGGGTCTACTTTTGCCCGCAGCTGACACCTCCCATTGATTCATGCACCGCACTAATCCACAGTTGAGCTCAACAACTGGCTGCCATGATGGTAATACTTTACGAACGCTTTATAGATATCGCTTTATATGGCACCAATGGCTAAGTCCTTCTCAAAGGCTTATTCCCTGTCTAGATCCTCACTCCAGTTAGTTCTCCCACCAGACTTTCCACAGCGCAATCTGGGGCTGTTTTAAGCCTGACGATTCTTGTCCTCAGCAAATCATTAGATTGAGAAAGGCCACTGTGCATCTTCTGATAAAATGGAATATAAATAGATGAGAGATCAGAAAGTCAAACTATATGTGTTGGTGGAATCTGTGTCAGACTCATCATTCTAATGTTCTTGATATTATCGGACAATCGTACCCCATTTGAATAACATTAAAACAAAAAGGAATTAGTGATGAACTTTCTCACCTAAACAATCTTTCAATGAGTGCGAGGTACTCAATTGCATCAAGTTCTGAATTTGATGATTCATCTCATGGCAAACCTTCATATCTCCAAAAGCGCCCATAAGAATGACTGTCGAAGGGTCGCTTTTTCTCCCAGATTTATTCTCCTCATCTCTGGAGAATGAACTTCTCCACGTAAGGGTGGCTTGGTCTTGCTTTTTTGCATTCTCTTTTTGGAAGATAGTAGCGCATGATAATCTTAATCTTCAAATTCTGCAGCGTCGGACTCGCTCTCGCTCTCGCTTTCCTCCGGACTCATCTCATCAACCTAACCCTTCCACTAGCTTTGCCTAGATATGGAAATTTTGGCGCCGATCGCAATCCCTTGTCCAATATGTTTATACCGAGTATGAAGACGCCCGAATTCTAAGAAGGACAGGTACCAGGGAAGTACTATTGGCTAGTCAAGACATAGCAGAGCATGAACCCCTTCTAACAATTTGATAACTCAAGGGACTCGGTCGCTATTAGGTATAAAATGCTCTCGCTCGCCTGTCAATAATAAATTTTTTTTTTTAGTCTAACACCTACGATTCAATCTACTTAAACAATTTACCAAAGCCTCTACATCCTCACGCAATGAAGGTCAGCAACATTGCCCTGACCGGTGCGGTGCTCGGCATGGCCCAGGCTAGCCCTATTGCTACCCGTGAAGCTATCACCGACGGTATGTTGTCCCCATAAATTCACACTTGATACGAATTTATAATAATCTTGAATTATCCAGCCGATATCCTCAACTATGCCCTCACACTCGAGCACCTCGAGGCTACCTTCTACGCGGAGGGTCTCAAGAACTACACCCACGAAGATTTCATGAAAGCTGGCTTCAAAGACCCATTCTACGCCAACCTGCAAGAGGTCGCTTCGGACGAGAAGAAACATGTGGACTTCCTGACACAGGCGCTAACCGGTGAGTATCAAATATCATATTAAGAGTCAAATCTAACAACAATTTCTAGCTGCCGGTGCTTCTCCCGTCAAACAATGCACCTACTCCTTCCCCTCGACCGATGTAAAGACCTTCCTAGCCCTTGCTAGCGTCCTTGAAGGTTTTTTTTTTCTATCCATGATAGCCATTCGATCTCCACTAATATCTATGACTAGGTGTCGGTGTTAGCGCCTATCTCGGTGCTGCTGCGTCCATTGCCAACAAAGACTATCTTACCGCTGCTGGTAGCATTCTGACAGTTGAAGCCCGCCATAGCGCCTACCTACGCGCCACTATTGGCGAAGTTCCCTTCCCCCAGCCTTTTGACGATCCTCTCGACCTTGACGAGGTGTACACCGTTGCATCGCCTTTCATTACCTCATGCCCCTCCAGCAACGGAAAGCTCCCGGTGAAGGCATTCCCTTCGCTGACGTTGAAGTCAACCCACACCGTCACCAGTGGCTCTAAAGTCAGCTTAGTGGCCGGCAGTGGCTTCGACGATTCCAACCCAAGCAACCTACACGCTGCTTTCATTACTGTCACTGGACCTATCTGGACTCCTCTCCACTTCACGGGTGATAACTCCTTTACTGCGACTATCCCTAATGGTATTTCGGGCCAGAGCTACGTCGTAATCACCAAGGGCAAGAGCCAGGTTACCGACGACAATATTGTCGCCGGCCCTGCTATTATTGAGGTAATCTAGATGTCTCTCTTGTTTTCCTGCCAAGTCGAGTTTTTGTGAGACTGACCTTGATTTTTCAATAGATTGCTACCCCAAAGAGCACAAAATAAGCCGACCGAGGGCTTTTTAGCTAGCAAGGGCGATATGGACTACTGTTTTGTCTCGCCTGAGAGCAGCTCCCTGAGTCAACTCCAATCCTCAAGGGGGCTGATACCATAAAGCTGGCATTGTCACCATAAACTTCTATTCTTTTCTTCAATCAGGCTCTTCTGCGGTGAATGGTTGAGCTTTGATACGATCTTTGGCACGTACTGCTGTATGGCAGAACAATTATAATCAAATATTTTTCTCGATTCGCTACAACAATATCATTGAGTCCTGTGATAGCAACTATGTATTTCTTGTCGCAGCTCAGAAGTGGGCAATCCAGACGTGTATGAGCAGTAATTTGGAATGGGACATGATTCTGCACCTCAACCAAGCAAAATAAAAGAGCGAAAATAACAAGCGGAAGTATAATTCGGCCCTGCCACACTAAATACGCTTCTGACATTTGAACTTAACGAATCCCCAGTCTGATCATCACGCCCCGAAAGAACGCTCGGCTTTCAAGCCTTTCGACTACTGTGTCCTTCGTATTCTAAGAAGAGATCGTGACACTAGCACTACCAGCACCACTCCATGCCTCCACCGCCACGACCTGATAATTGAAATTGCTGTTGCCGAACCCATGCTGCGCCCAGAAGTTGAAATGGTTGGCAACAGTCACCGTTCCAGACGTGCGCCCGCCCTCTCGAACAGAGAAGAACTGCGTGAACGTGCTCGTTCCCGTGATAGATGGCTGGTTGGTCCGGATGTCGGTGCAGACTTGGTAGGTGCCTCCATCAGAGGATACGGTACCAAGGCTTGTAGCCGAGCTCGAGCTGCAAGGGTTGTAACTTCCATAGTCTTCGACGATGTAGTACTCAGCCTGAGGGGAGTTGACCCAGCCATACACTGCGAGGTAGGAGCCAGAGCCAGAGGCGCTGTATTGGGCAGAGTAGGTGATTGATCTGATAAAGGTTAGATCCGAGCTTAATGTTGAAGGATATAGTCACCCACTTAGAGGAGCCAGTGGTCCAGCCCAGTCCAACGACGAAATCGGAGCTAACTCCATCCTCCCAGTACATAGAATATGTTCCGGCACTCTCGCTGTAGGTGAAGTCACCAAGGTTGCCGTTATAATTCTGGACGTAGTTAATACCAGCACTTCGCGGCACCAAAACAGGCTCAGCGGCAGGTGCAGCGAGTGCCGTGGCTAAGAGGCCTGCGAAAGCTGCAGTGACTTTCATGACGATTGAAGAGAATAAAATGTTGCTGAATGGATGCGTGTAGCTACAAAAGAAGCCTATGCTGTAATATTAGTCTTGCTGTGAGCTGTTTCTACCTCTATTTGTAATCTGTAAAAAATACTATTTATCCTTTTCCCCCGCTCGACGAAGCGGTTTGGATATGTGGATTTTGCCGCGTGACCTTTGTTGAACGGAATAGAGGACATTGCTTTGAGCCTGTTTCCAGGGACAGCTCTATGGTTCTAGGTTTCCGGTGTAGCTACTAATCTTGGCACTGCATTTAGCTAGAAAGACTACAGTGGGCTAGGACTGCACTTGGCTAAAAGATCAAAGTTGGCTAGAAGATCAAAGTTGGCTAAAAGGACTACAGGAGGCTAAAATGACTATAGTTGGCTAAAATGACTATAGTTGGCTAAAATGACTATAGTTGGCTAAAATGACTGTACTTGGCTAAATGGACTACAGTTGGCTAGAAGGACTGCAGTAGGCTAAAAGGTGCGTTAGGGTAACATTTGGGTTGAAAGTGTGGAGGTGGGGAAGTGGGGATTCTTCACAGGTTTCCCCGCAGAAGTTTTGCCGGCTCAGAAATCATGATCGCCGGCTAGCAGTAAGGAAAATCCCTATGATTGTAGCTGATGGCGACTCCCGGCTCTTCTCGCCCTAATCTCATGCTATTTGACTTGAGCTTTTTGACCTTGGATTCAATGCTACTAACAACGGAAAAGATCATTCCATCTAGGCCGCGGCAGTATCCAAGAAATATATGTGTATCCATGGATACTTGACAGGACAGACTGTGTGACATTGACTGGTCTACCATAGAAGGTAAGCACAACGTCCAAATGTTATAAAGGAAAACATGTAATACAAAATGGGACACTCTAATATCCATCTAATATCGGCTATAGCAGGAGTTGGAAACACCTTGCCCCTCAGATACTTACTCTTTATTTCTCGGCTGTGTATTTCAAAAGGAAAACTGCTTAGAAAAGCCACCTTCCAAAGATTGTAATTTGTTGCTATGCTCAAATAGAGCTAAGGGGAAGGCCATGTGCAGGCAAAGCAGAACATTATTTCCGGTCCCATGATGCGGTCTCTTAGATTCCAATTGACATTCCAATTAACAATGCAAATTTCCCATTTTCTTGCTTGGTCTGTCATAGTTCAAAGCCTGGACTATATGCGTATTCATCTTCCATCTGAGCCGCACGGGATATTGTCGTATATTTTCTAAACATATTGCAAACTAATCTATTTGACCAGTACTTTTGATCGAATCAATTATAGTATCGTCTGTCATGGGAAGCGAAGACAATATATCTATCTGCTGTTAGTCGAAACTTGATTTGTATAGATCACACAGCGCAATTAAATCTTTGTCACTCACAATGCATGAATAATACCAGGAATATCACCCAATAAGGTCAGTAATATGTTAATGCAGAAGTCTGCTCCACATCCTCTTTTTAAAAGGACTGCAATTGGTGGCAGGAAAACAGCTAAAATGCCAAGACAGATATCCCTAGCGAATAATGTCAGACCTGGAAGTGTTCTCTCTTTACATCCGTAAAATGTTGTAGATCTGCATTTCCGCACTTACGAAGCTGTCACTGGCATTTTGCAGGAAACACGCCGTTAAAATCGCGTTCTGTAGTTGTGAAAAGTTTCTGAAATAGCGGGCAGGCGATACATTAATAAGTAGATTCTAATCTGCGATTTAAGACTGATTAAGTTGACGTCACTATTTTTCCCTTCTTTCGATTACAAAAGCACGTAATCAACCACGTAACCACTTTTATGTTCGAGAGTACACTGAAACAGTGTTAGCAAGATTTTAGGTTACTCATGGCCTACGTTCATAAAGGGTTTGGCTGTACGCGGTGGATATTCATTGTACCATCAAAGGTTCAACAGGAATGGAACCCACTCCACGCTTTCTCCCATACTGTACAAAGCATTTTGCCGGTCGGAGAAAAACAAATAACTTTTAATAAGTAAACACTTTATTCCACACTCGCATGCTTTGCTCAAAAATATGCGAAACGTCATTAAATCACTATTCCGGCCATCGCTTTCGATCACGGTCACTCCACGGAACTTTCACGCTTGTACCCCGAATCTACGAGTGAAGCGTAGGGCAAGGGAGTTCCCTCGACGAAACAAAGATCAAGAATGAAAGAACAAAAGAACAAAAACAAATACAACAGATATTGTATGCCGGTGGTCAGCTAGCGCTCACGACTTTGTCCCTAGGCGGCTTGCCGCCCTAGCGGGCGCCGCTTCAGCCCTTCACCTGCATGGCCGAATCTGACATCCAAAAGTCGCATTCGAGATACGACAGGGAATAATATCAAAAGCATCATGTGAACTTAGGCTTTCTCATGCTTTATAAAAGTCCGTTGTCGCGACACTTCAGAACTAGATCCAAGGGATTCGGTGTATAGCTCGTAATGGAACCGAATACGTGAAATACGAAGACGCTTTGATAGCTTTATACCTCGCGAGAATGGTACTATGGCATTCTTAGTATGGGTGGAAGACAAACTAATTAGATCGCCCGGGAGCATGGTTTAGGTTTGCTTAATTGTAGATCATACATATATTAAGAAAACTATGCCGACGAAGCGTATAGATTCGATGCCAAAGGTTTTCATGGACGTCATGGTTTATCTTGCTAATGGGAGTTTGACGGTAAATCTTGCGCAAATGCTCCTAGGATCATTAGTCATATTCTTGATCATAGCCCCTGTTATAATATAGATCTCACTTCAGGGTATACTCTCACGTTTGATTACTATCTCTTTCTATCCAACTTTCTTCATCGCATCGCTTTCCGGTGGAATGCAGGCAAAAATAGTCGAGATATCTGCCGCAGGTGCTGTGTACGTAACATTCCACTTTTCGTCAATCTGACTCGACTTCCAAAAGTGAAGCTAATAATTAAGCGCTTGAGTGCTACTGTTTCGATTGTCTTCATAACGCAGGGTGGTGCCTGAATCAAAGTTGTGGTTTGATAGATGTATATTAATCCTCCAGTTGGCGCAAAATATTACGCTCATTTCCAAAGTGCACTCGAGGATGAGCTAGTTAATTTAATGTGCAAGTGCACCACCTAGTGTAGTGAGTAAAGCAAGTCGATATTGTAACACCGACTCGCTATAGTGTTAAGTAGAAGAAACGCCTTCGAACAACCGAGGTACTATTTAAGACGATACTGAATATGGTACGCAGAATGAAGATGAAAGGATGTTATTCACAGCTACAGACAGCCACGTGTATGTTGGTCTGCAGTATCCGCGGACTCAACATGACTGATATCGAGGACAGCTTTATATATGGTTTAGTATCGCTTTCTGAATTCTATGGGATTTTTCATTCGGGGCTTAGTATAGAGAAGTACACGTTACCTAGGTTGATGCCAAGTGCTAATAAAAAAACTCTCATTAAACTGCATCTCTTATAAGATGATTGAGAGTATCTGTGATTGCGCTTGAGTTCATGTTGCACTCCACGACGAAGTCACTCGTGTTTCAATTTTTGAGTCTCCTAACGCTTCTCGTTCACTGCTTTCCACTCTCCATACGCACCCTTGATACCCAGCGCGGTGAGACCGATGCTCGCCTCATCAATCCTGTTGGATTTAATGCGCTCCTCGCGCGCCTCATCGGCCGTGATCTCTCCATATTCCAGCTGATCCATGCGTTGCTTGTGCTAATCGACTGAGCGGTAGACTTTGTGAGCGGCGTGAACGGTTGCCGTAGTGGCTAGCCCGGAGGACAACAGCATATCACGCTTCATTTTCTTTTCCTTTCTCTTTTCATCTGAGCTATCCCCAAATCGGAATCGCGCTTAGAGCTCGACCAGTCCTCATGTGGGTAATTATCAGGGTACCTGTTCAAGGAACGTGGTCGGGCCAGATCTCGAGAGCCTCGTTGTCGTCCGTAATCATCTTCATGATAGTTGTTTTCGATATCCGAGCTCGAATACCCATCAGAGCTATAATCCCAATTCCTGGAGTCGGGATCGCGCCTAGAATAACTTGCTCCGTGGTTGGATTGACCATCTCTGTCTTTGAATCGAGCGCTTCTTTGATCATCGCTTTCTTCATGGTCTGAAAACTTCGTTCCACGGTGCCAGTCATCCGAAACACTCTGACTGCGTTTGTTCGATCTGTAACGGTCATTGTTGTAGTCTTGTGCCGGAGATCTCGAGCGAACAAATCGGTCATAGAGCTCCTTTCCCGCGAAGGCCACCGCACCTACTGCAGCAGCTTTCTTAAGGTTGCTCGATGTATGGCTTCCGCCAACTCGACGCTGAATCTCAGCTCTCTCTTCACGGCTCGGGGCACCTTCATGTAAGCCCCGAAGTGTAGTACCCACGATGTGGTGTTTCTGAGACTTGCTTGGATCCTTATTAATCAATCCATTGGTGATAGCTGCCGTCACAACATGCTTCCCTTTGTCTCCCTTCCATTCTCCAGGTTCTTTGCGCGTCGAGAAGGCCTCTGCAGCACCGGCGGCTATGAGGGGAAGAGCAGCATGCATTAAAAGCTGCCCGCCCTTGCCGCGTAAGAAGCCACTGTGGCCCTGATCACGGTTACTATCATTGGGGCCTTGATCATAACTACAATGCCGGTCTTGGTAGCCATTGGCTCTCGAGGCATCATCCGTGGATCGGCGATAATTTTGATCGCGGGATGAGTGGCTGGGCCTAGATGAAGAACCGCTGGGCCATTCCAAATCTACGGGTCTTCCAGTCAGCAGAGTATTTTTGAACCCCGAGCGAAGCATAAGAACCTTTGTTTAGACGAGATGAGTTCCGCTGGGAACGATTTTCTAGGTGATAGGCAGGGTCCCCACCAACTGACGATGATCGACGTTGAAATTCGTGTCGTGGACGGTGTGAGCCATAGCCGCGTTTTGCATCGTATCGCCGACTATCGGGGTTTTCATCATAATAACCTGCAGCATATCCACGGTTGCGACCATGGGCTTCGCCATAGCGGTGGTCATCGTGGTACGACATTAAGTTTCGATGGAGGCGGGGGAAGTGGTATCATTCGTAAAACATGGATCCACAGGAGGCAAAGCGATCAATAAACTTGGTACTAAGTAGGAGAATATAGTAGACACGGTTTCTAGATTGATTTGTTCTAGAGCCAGCTGTGGGGTTTCAGATAAGGCTAAGAACAAAAGTCCCGGTCGCTAAGGACTTGATTAATTTATATCAGCCATAGAGATTGAAAATGACGTCGTGTCAGCCCACATCGTGTGGAGATGCCATTGCTTCTTGGCATCTGTCGGGTTGCTTAGCTCGTGCTTGTGTGTGGTGCACGAACCTGTCACTTCCATTCAAACAACGTCATCCCGCATTGATCAGTTCAAGGAAACACTAGTAATTCCCAGCCTCCGTCATATCTGCCATATGTCATATCAATGTTTTTTTTACAGACTCTACGTCGCCCATTAACGTAATCCACGGTTTCGCCGGTCTCAGGGTCGGCCCGGTCACCGAACCAAAATCGCGTCTCTCTCATTACACCTACCGATTCGACCAGCACCCATGCCACCAAATCGCTCTGAATCCAGTCATAAATTGGCCAGACAGGAGGATAAGATCCTGTTAGCTCTTAATGATATGAAACTTGGCACTCTCTACCCGCCGTAGCGAAGCTATACGAAATACCGATTTCCAAAAAAAGAAAAAAAAAAAAAAAAAGAAAAAGAAACGAAACATACAACAGTCAGGATTCGCATGTGGTCACCCACCATACTACTAACTAACCGGCGTGTGGCTTAAGTACGGCTGAGCGGACGGGAAGCCCTGTTCTCCACACCCTATGGTCGTATGTAGAAGGATATGTACTGAGGAAAATAATATAGCGCAAAACATAAGGTGAGTGGAATAGTGACAATATATGTAAAGGGAAACGACAAAACGAGGAAGGTGAGGAATCAAGGTTGACCACTGAGCCTTGGATATAGTCAGCACATGAAAAGCTTACACCTTGGCGGAAAGACGAAGCGAAGGCCTGATAACTTGATATAGTTAGGCAAAAAAAAGGAATTGAAATGAAATAAAAAGAACTGTTAGCTATATAAAGTTTAGCGATACCTGGCGATGTACCTTTTCATCGCTAAGAGTATTTGCTCAATAGCCTCATTATCAGTAACTAAGTGGTAGATCAATCCATCTTGATCATAATCCTCAAGCACGTCATTATCAGTAACTAAGTGGTAGATCAATCCATCTTGATCATAATCCTCAAGCACGGTATTTGCTTGCCGGAGCCTAAAGAACTTAACATACCTTCCAATACCTACTATTCCAAATAGACTTGCAAGGCCCCGCGGCTGTTCAGATCGGCGGGATAGCATGTATCCTAGAAGTTGACTAGTGGCATGAATCCAGGAGGTAGGTGGTGGAAATCCAGTTTGGGAGGACGAAGCCCTTTTGTTCTCCACGATGATTGCCTTGAACATGAGATTTCGACTCAGGGTACTAACGCAAACGTTTGCCTTTGTCTGTGATCGTGATCGGATATAGGCTTCCCGTTCAACTCCATAGCGTTCCGAGATAGGGAAATAGTATGCGAGGATGTTCGTCCAGAGATGATCAACATCAGCCTCTAGGCTTCCAGGTACAATATTCGCTATGTAAGCCGCCAGTATGGGCTGCGTTAGATACTGCGGTCCTATGTTAGTGCCATCAAATCATATTCCAAACTCTTGTGGACTTACAGCCATCTCGCTGAGTTTGGTGGCAGAGGTATGGGTGCTTCTGGCGTTTGGAGGGCTGTAGAGGGACAATTGCTGTTTGAGATGATGCAACTGAGCTGAAATGACGGGGATCTTCGTTTGGTTGGCGTTTTACAGATTGATGGAGACTTGAAAGATCTTTGGGCTGATGTCCGTTGCTTCGACGAGTAGTTCAGCGGTTGTTGGCTTGACCAAGTATTGGAGATCTCTGGATTGGTGTAATTGAAGTACGTAGATAGAGGTTGGTGAATAGTTTGTCTGAATCAGTGGTATAAAAGAGAGGTATTGCTGTAGAGGAGAAAGAGAAATATGGGTATAAGCTCCTTGAACGATTGAGTAGGAGCAGGAAACATAAGGGCAGCAGACGAGCACAAATAGTACGTGAGAGGATACGCGAAAAGTGAAGCCTAAGTGCAATTCAGAATGTCCACAAAGAGATGAGCAGATCAGTAGGGAGCATATAGTGTTAGAGATATCTGGATTGAGACGTCCATAAGGAAAAGGATTATATTGAATTTAGTCCCCAAAGTGAGAAAAGACTGAATCTAATTTGATTTAAAGAGCATTGTTTACTTTCCAGTCTGGTGGATCTCTGGATCTAGTGTCTATCAATTCCATTTGTCTAGGCTCACGGCAGATGTCCATAAGGAGCAAATAAGTAATCAAGCTCTTTCGTGGTAGGAGAAGAGATAAGAATTAGGAGGAGACGAGTGAAGATTTTCTAACCTAGCGGCATAGAGTGGATAGATACTAGGAAGCCAGAGGAGAGGAATCAGAACTGCGAAGATATAGGTCGAGTTACTAGACCAGGGAAGTTCAAGAATGAATGACAATCATGAAAGAATTGGAACACTTGTACCAAATACTAAGAACTTGAGATAGTAATTCTGTAAATTCCCATTTGCTTTTGTAGAAAACTTATCTAATATATTGGTTGGTAACCAGCACTTCTACTCCGTAGCTATCTTATTACTTGATCTACCCTGTAGAATCTCTGCTTTTCTTTTCATCCTGGCCGTAAATTTCAAATGCGTATACCTTGATGAGAGAAAATAGTCAGCGTAGATAAGGGTAGGAGTAGGAGTAGGCGTGGGAACAGTATCGTTGATAAGGAAAGGGTCGAGGTCCAGCCCGTGGAAAACACAAAAAAACAATAAAGTATTAGGTGGCAGGAGTGGGTATCAGGAAATGCATTGAGATCTTCTCCAGATTATTGAAATTCGCGGTTTTGGGGGGTGGTTTTAAATAGTGCCAGAAGTAACACTGGTAGTGCTCAGAAGCGAATATAGGCAAATTAAATGATAACTAATAACAGCCACTCAAGGCGTTTAACTGCCAGCAAGTAATAGGAAATAATGACTCAGATCATGGTGTCTGGCGCCTGCTTGATTTTGGACGCAATGAACCTACTCCAAATCCTACCATCCTGCAATGCTACAATTGAGTCAGTAAACTGCGCATGTGACGGAATAGCACATTGATATTTGACTCACATCAAAATCCCCAGCAAAGGCTTTCAACTCTCCATCTGGAGTGAGTAGTACTGCTTGGCAAGTTGTATTAGGCTTACCAATCATACTATGGCTAAGTTCATATTTCTGATCGAAGATTGGACGTATGGCCTGGATGCCCCCTTCTCCAGCGAATACTTCAAAGCCTCTCAGCTGGTGACCGCGAAGATCAATCTTGATCTGCTTTTGAGGGATTTGATAGCCAAAATTGATGCCTGACATACTTTCGCCGTAGACAAGCTTGAACCCGGTGATGAATGAATGTTCATCTTCAGCAAGAACAGAGACATCGATTTCCAAAAGCTCGCCAGAGATGGTGATCATCTGAGGTGGTAATAGTTTATGCACTCCACGACACCGCTTGCAGATGTCGTTGCCGAGTGGAACTGGAGTAGTGCTGAATTTGTAAGGTCTATCACATTGGACATTCCCAGCAGCTCTCTCCCAGAGTAGGCCATCAAGTCGACTATCGCTCTCAGGCGATATAGTTAGAGGAGCTCCAATCATCATACACCTATCTTTAATCCACTCATTATGAAGCCATTGCAGCCTTCTAAAACGTAATGTTTTGGGAAGACGTCCCGGTCTGCTAGTGCAGCGGTACATCAATCTCCAGTCTTTACAGCCTTCTTCGCAGAGATAGTTGAGATATCCCCGCTCCCGATGTAAAAAGAAGCGTGATTTCCAAAATTTCTGATATCCAAATATGTGGACCATAGCTTTTGACGCAAGTCTCAAGCTGAGGTATTCAGGCGTTGGAAGAAGATAGGCGATTTCAAAGCGGATTTCGAGTGGCAGGAGACAAAAGAAATCATTTACTTGGGTCCCCTCCGTCGAAGATTCTGCAAGTTCCAAGTTGACTGCCTTTGGGAATGTCTTGGCCTCAGCCCGGAAGCCAATGTATCGAAAGCATCTCGGGCTAGGAGTCCCGGTCTCTGGGATCACATGATCTAACAATACCCATCAATTATTCGAGCTTGCTCATGGGTGCGAAACACGGCAAAAGGAGTGGAAAATGACGTACAGACACGATACTGTGGCCAAGGTGCTTCTTCAACTACATTGGCCAATTTGTCGATAGGCACAACTCCTCTGTTGAAGTGTTGTATCAATAATTTCCAGCAGCCTTTATGAAACACGCATGATTTGGAAACGCCACTATTCCAATCCTTGAACCAAGTATGTCTTTCTCTATCACCACAATATTCTTCGATGAGTGCTCGAACTGGCATGAGTTGACCTTCAGTGACCCACTACTATATAAACTTCAAGTCGCAACTGGGTAGGACTTACAGTTTTGTACGTCTTCAGGCTCAAGAGCAGTTCCACAAGACGCACATGGAGGGTCAGGGTAGTAATAAGAATACTCACGTGTCTTTCCCATGATTAAAATGAAGTAATTCTCTTCGCTTCAAACTGCATTTGCTGGGGCCGATGCAGTATGTAAGTGTAGGCTGTCCTTAGCTTTTGGCAATTAGATAGCCATATAGTGTGTCGATCATGATTGCATCATTGACATCAATTCATCATTGTATCTACGAAACCTTGGAAGCCTTTCAATTTTCCCGGGTGGTCTATCAAAGTCACATGACTAAATACATCAATATTGCCATGTTGGATATAATTGGTCGCATATAGCCATATAACGTATTCGCATTGGTCATAACCTCGGCTTGTAAGGCTTTATCCGGGTGTTTCGTGTTTGACTTGAATATTTCATGCACCGTTCAAGCCATTCCTGAGCGAGAATAGATAGTCATTATGAATAATGATTGCCCATATGCATAGGATCACCCGAAGTACCCCCGATAGAAGCACTCGGTTCTATGTGTACTATCCTCCAAGGCCCGCCTCGCCATATATGTAAGACTTCAGATTGTAGAACTGGATCGCTCCACGATGGCATGTAATTGCACATTAGCCATGTCACCGCAATCATGTAGTGAGTAAAGATTCTGCTCTGCCTCGTCCAAGCACATTCGGAGAAAGACTGTGATCTTTTCGCGGGCTAATCATCTAATATACAGTAATTACACTCACGATAAATTGTCAGAAAATGACTCTCGTATCTTCGCTCGCATTTCTCGCGGCACTCCGTTTCCATCTGGACGGACCTTTATCGTCGGGACAGATTCAAGACGAGATCAAGGGCTGGGTACAGTTTGTGACTGAAGAATGAGTCTCTGATTTGGACGATGAGCATGAGCTACGTCAGCGATATAAGCTATTGGGGCGATGGGCTACAACCGATCAAAGCTCCCGTGACGTCTGTAATCACCTTTCTTTTCGCTTTTTTCAAACTAAAATATCGATCTAGTCTTACCATCTCCGAGCAACGCCATCTTAATACCTACCGGCTGTTGTCTCAGCCGACGAAGCCGACATCAACAGATTCGCCTGTCTTGCTCCTGTGGACGGGAAAACCAACCCTAGCAACTACTGCCACCTTCTCAGGGTCCTGATCCTTCAATATATGGACCAGGATGGCTTTAGGACTAGATATCCATTTGGCTCTGGAAACATTGGGCGCCCAACCCCGCAGATTCCTACTACTCTTAGCTCTGACCGCGAGATTGCCCTCAAAAATATCTTAGTTGCGCGATTTCTCCGGACCGCGAATTTCAAGGTTGTATGTATGACACGTAACGGCAATGTGCTTTTCAATAAGCTATATAACCGTCTTTGGTTCGCAATCGATCAGTTAGGTCTAGAGACAGGTCGTCTTACCGCACTCGAATTCCAGCCTAACGGAAAGATTAAGCATTCTGTCCTTTGGAGAGCGTTCGATCTAGGACGGGTGATGATATTCTACTATGGTCAGGGGTATGCGGTATACACTTGATGCTCTTATTGACGAGCATATTGGTAGTTCACCTTGGGTAGATGAACCGTACGCCCCCCTCCCCTATATTCCCGTGGCTAGACTAGTATCAGGTATCTGATTAGTTCACTCACTTATGGCAGCTTGGATATAAATTTGCCCATCCTAGATATCTTAGACATGACCAACCAATAGATTTCAGGTTCGCTAATTGGGGAAACCGAGAGTCATGGACAAGAAGCATTGAGCAGTATGCACCAGGATACTTGGAGCTCGAGGCGAGGGGCCTGGCAGTGGAGTTTGCTCTTGCCAATCTTCAGGAAGTGCATCCACAATGATTAGAGATGGCATCCGGAAAACCTCGAGGAGCTCGGGATTCTCCCTGCGCTTGCAATAGTGCGTGTATTTGCGGGCATTATTGGTGTGGTGTGGAGGGCCACTCGGACCATTGTGAGTATCCAACCTAGTATTGTCGTTTCATAAAGGCCAAATGCAGCGGAAGTAATTTCTTCTTGGGTTGTCATAGGTATATTCTCCACTCAAGCTTCATGGGAGCTCCAAGGCTATCTTTCTCTAGTAAAATTGGTATCATCTCGAATGTGTCTAGGCTGATGATATGCGCGATCGTTACCGACGAGACATGCATAACAGACATTGCCGAGCAACCCCTTACATCAGTTGACCAAGAATGTTACTTACTTAAGGGATACAACATCTACAGAAGAGGAAAAGAAGAGGGCTTTAGACTCAGTGGCAAGTTACAAGAGGCTGTCTATAATCATGAGGAACCTGACTTGGCTGTTCATCTTTGCATCCGTAGTCTTGACTCATGGCACTCATCTTCCACCGCCCACAGCTATTACGCGAAATGGAACCATACGAGGCGTACAGCTCCCTTCCTTCCAGCAGGATCTCTTCCTGGGGATTCCTTATGCTCAAGCCCCTCGACTAGTCAATCCCAAGCCTATCAACAATACCTACGATCGCGACAATCCATTTGACGCTTCTCGCTACGGTGACACATGCTACGGCTTCGGTTCCAACGAACTTCTGGGACTGACCCAAAGTGAAGACTGTTTGAATTTGAATATCATCCGACCCTCCAGAACAGCTGAGAACAAAGATGCTGACCCTCTCCCTGTTTTATTCTGGTTATATGGCGGAGGCCTGCACCAGGGTTCTTCCGCAGACCCAATGTGGAACCTATCGTATATTGTGCAACGATCCGTAATGGAGGAACAGCCCCTCATCGCCGTGAGTATCAACTACCGTCTCTCTTTTCTTGGATTTCCAGGAGGGCAGGAGGCTTTGAATGCCGGGGTGACCAACCTGGGACTGAAGGACCAGCGATTGGCCCTGGCTTGGATCCAGGAGAATATCATCGCATTTGGTGGTGATCCGCTCCGGGTTACAATCTGGGGCGAGTCTGCGGGTGGAATCAGTGTTGTACAACATCTAACAGCCTATGGAGGCCATGGTGGCACTGAGCTGTTCAGTGGTGCCATTGCAGTTAGCGGGTTTGCAACGGGAGCTGCTTTGCCAGACACGGAGAAGATGCAAGCTGGGTTTGATCAGTTGGTGGAAGGGGCTAATTGTACGATGGCAGAGGATAAGCTTGATTGTCTTCGCAGGACCTCATTGTATAACCTATACCCCATTGAAGGGAGCATAGATGGGGGATGGGGTCCGATAATAGACGGTGATTTCCTCCGGAGACCTCCTGCGTGGGAGATTCATGATGGAAACTGTGCTCGTGTGCCTCTCCTTCTGGGCAGTAATTCGGACGAGGGCCTGATCAAAGTCACGGCGTCGGAATACTTTCCCAACTCGACGAATGAGACTGCAGCTTTACTAGAAACCAATTTTCCTCTCCTGCAACATTCGGTCATTGAGCAGCTACTAGATTCATACCCAGAAGATGGACAAGGAGAAGCACCGCCATACTCCCTGCCGCCAGACTTCGCCTGGTGCAAGGCTATGCACGCTGCCAATCTTCCCTGTGGCTCTCAATACCGTCGCGCTGCAGCCCTGTTGGGGGATTATGTCTCGCACGCGCCCCGAAGGTATATGGCCCAGCTGTGGTCGAGACTCGGTCTGCCAACGTACAGCTTCCACTTCAAAGCGGCCACAACGGGTATTCCAATCCAATACTTCTACGGCCTGGGGCCTGGCTTTGCGAACCACGGCGCCGATTTGGCGTATGAGATGGGATTGCCAGGAGGCTTCACTACGCCCATTCGGTTCTACCCACCGGTCAAGAATGTTTCTGGGCATGTGGCCCTGTCGATGGAGATGAATCGACGGTGGATTGCGTTCGTGACGAGAAGGGATCCGAATGAATTGAGAGGTATGTATATTTGAGGCTTGGCTGTGATAGTGACTTGAGAGGCTACTAGGACTAAAAGCTTGAGTAGATGGAAAATCGTCACTTATGTGGCGGGGGTATAACACATCAGGATCAAATTTTGTTTTTGATGCCACCGACGAGGATCTTAGATTGTATTTGGAGACAGATGACTATCGTGAACATGCATGTCAAATATGGACGGACAATGTCGCTGATACAGATTACAATGGGCAAGGGCTGTAGGAGACTTGAACTAGAAATGATTAGAGAATCCGAAAATCATTTCGTTGATGATCTGTAACAGACCTCTCGGTTTGGAAAGAAGTGGTTGGAAATGGCCTGCAAAAAAAGTACTATATGTTGCTGTAGTTGGAGATTTCCAGTTCGAAGCTGAACAGTAGGGCATGATATTATGACCTATTAAGCTCAATGGAGTTAACTAGAAAGTAGCGTAGGAAACCAAATAGTAACGAGTTACAGTTGCGTTGTGGAAAATCTTGTTTACTTTCGTAATGGGAGAGTTCTAGATAAAGAAAAGGAAGACCAGGTATCTTTCAAGATCAGAAAAAAGAGGTTCATGTCTCAACGCCTGATGCGCTTTGCAATAACGCTTGGAGTAGATATACAGGATAGCCAGGTATTCTACCGTGGCCATATGAGAAGAAGATATGAGAAAAGGGGCAGTAAAAAAAAAAAATGCCAAAAGCAAAACCGTAGATCTATCCAAACAGATCAGCCACGCACCTTGCGGTAGCTAGGGGGCTTCACAGACTGCTTGATGAGTTTGCCAGCCCATACAGGTACCAATGAAACGGCTAGCACGGCAACAACACGCCAAAGCCAGTCGAGGGTAATGACATAGCTGAGATTGAAGTAGTCCCCAAGGAAAGGAACGCTGCCTGCGTACAGGAGCAGTGTGCCTAGTAGGGATATGATCATGAGTGGGTGCCAAGTAGTGATGGCAATTGCCACCATGCCCAGTTCGTTAAGTACCAAGGCTGTAAAGGAGATACTGATCAGACGAGGACCTGTGATGGTGTCCAATAATATCTGGGACAGGCCTTGGATGACAGCTCCCTGGTAGACCGAGATAAGGACCCAGGTGAAGAACGAACGATAGCTTAAGCTCTTGCCGGTCTTCAGCTCCTTATATAGCTCTGGGTAAAGATTGGCAAGCCGCTCATCCACGTCTCGATCAAAGACAAGTGAGAAAACAGGTGCGTTGGTGTAGACAGTGGCGTAGCCGATCATGAGCCAATCAATGAATAAACCCTTGGGATCGAAATGTCCCGCAATGCTATACATTGTTTGACATACGCTGATGATCAAACCACGATGCATGATGAATTGTGCTAATTTTGCGGACCGCTTGTATGAATTTCGGCCATGCCAAACTAACAACTTGGTCAAGTGATGGAACTGCGTGATACTGAAGTCGGCAGCCAAAGACGCCTGACGACCTTCTTTGCCCACAATACCAATTCCAACATCGGCAGCTTGGATCATGGACACATCGTTACCTCCGTCGCCAATACAGCAAACACGCTTCTTGGTGTGCTGACGGATCAAGTTGGCGACCTCGGCTTTCTGTGTCGGTGAGCATCGACATGCGATTACTGCAGGAAGAAGCACTGCAACAGAAATGAATGCAGTGCGGAAAGGACCAAGCATCAACGTCAACGATTCACCGTCGATCAGCAAGCAACAGTCGGTTTTGTTGCGTAAGAAATCAAGTGCTTCTTGGGCGGCAGACTTGTCTGTCACTTTCGAAACAGTATGGATGTACTGACCCCGGGATACCAGCTTGGCAGAAATGGCAACACATCGTGCCGTCTCAACCTTGTCGCCGGTCAACATCCAAATTTTGATGCCTGCATTGCGCATCAACTCCAAGGAAGACTTAACATCACGTTGTAAGCGATCTTCGACACCAGTCACACCAAGCAGTTCCAGATCCCGTTCCAGGTATTCACCGACAACCTTGGCCAAGCCAGCGTCACGGTCTTGAAAGGACATAGATGCCTGCTTATACTTGGCGGAGAAGTCCTGGTACTGTTGAAGCGAGAGACGCTTGCGTCCGATAACCAGGGTTCGAAGACCTTCACGCGCCATATTTGCAGTCTCCTCATCAAGCCAGTCATTCGTCGCAACAATTGATGACATGACAGTGTCTGCACCCTTTTGATAAAACCAAATCTCCGGGTCCGATATGCTCTCTGTTTCGGATATTTTTTCACCCTGCTCGAATTGCACAATGATGCCCATTCGTTTGCTATCAGATGTGAAAGGGAATATGTCCATGATGCGAACACGAACCACCACTTGCTTGGAGTCTGTGGATTCGAGAACAACATTTTGTCGGTCACGGTAGGATAGCTTCAGTCCAACCTCTTCGGTGTATCGGACAATTGCGATTTCATCCGGTGATGATGCTTGATAGCTTGTCACTTTTTGACCATCTTCTTCCTCGGTGGTCGGTGTGACGTTGTGACAGAGAGCAAGGGCCAAAATGAGATCTCGGACTCGAGAGCCAATTTCTCGTCGTGTACGAGGTGCAGCTCCTTGGCCAGCCTGGTTTCCAAACACAGTCGAAGGAGTCGTCAAAGCGTTACCGGCAAAGCCTTGGCGGATGAAAGATGCAACCTCATCCATTGCCTCATTGGCATAGGATACAGTACCAACGTGGATCTTCTTCAATTCCATCTCTGCAAAAAAGGGTCAGTGATTTATTGGTTGTAACAGAGGTATGTGGTACTCACCATTCTGGGTCAGAGTCCCTGTCTTGTCAGAGAGCAAGTACTCTATTCTCCCCAAATCCTCCGGAATTGTACTGGTCCGAACAACAGTGCCTGGAATATCCTTATCACGCTCTATGAATCGGCCGTAAACAGACTTGGCCATGTCCAGGTTGACTCGAAGACTCATCGGAATAATGGTTGAGAAGAGAATCAAGTAGATCATTATAGCAACATACCACACCTTGTCATTCGTTGGCTCAAACCCTTCAAACGCTACCAAAACGATGGAGAGGGCAAGAGTAAGAATGCACAGAATTTTGGTGAGGTTATTAATCTCGTATTCCAACAGGCCTACCTTGGATCGCGAAGGGGAAGTGGAAAGAGCAGCGCGTGTTTGAGATCCGGTGTAGATGATAGCAGCATATGTGATTGTGTTAGATGCCAGAACTGTATTAGCCCACGCAGTGTTGTCGATACTCAAGGGTGCTGAGTTAGACCTCTGGCTATCATCATCTTGAGCTGGATCATTTGGCAATTGACTGGATGATTTGTCCACATGAGCGTCGTAAAAGCCAGTTGGGGGTCCAAGTTCGATCGTGCCCACAAATTCGTTGACTCTCTGGTCAGGAGGACTCGCAGTAATCTTTAGTCGAGTGAAGTCGTTGAACGAGAGTGATTGAGACAATGCAGAAGGAACACGCAATTTCCAGTCAGTTTCGCCGTCTAGCTGATCGGTCCGGATGAATGTGTCACTGGCGGACGAAGCCTCAACAAGGTTGGATGTGGCATCGGCGGCCGGCCCCGAGGCCTCGTGGTCCGCGTCAAGCAGATCGGCAGATGCTCCAGCGGCAGGTCCTTCTAACGAGTGTTGGCGAGATGGGCCCGAGTCATTCGAAACGCTCTTAAGGATTACCACATCCGCAGGCAGGCGTTGGTTCTTTCGAACCTTAAGGACGTCCCCTACCTTCAAGTCACGCGATTTCTTGATCATGTCCATGGCATTTCTCTCGAGGGAGACAACTGTAAATTCTTCCGCATTTGCTTCAGCATCCCGTCGTCGTCGCCCGATGTCGTCCAGTGCTTCTTTGCCTAACGAGATAGAAACCACAAAGGCCAAAGGTGCAATATATGATGACATGTAGCCGATTCGCAACATGGGAAGAACTTGTGAAAGTGCCACAAGAAGGAAGTATATGTTGAAAAAGAAGGAGAACTCGTTGTACAAGGTTCGCGGCAGAAAGCTCCATGGTGTGTATTTGGCGTTGGAGACGATGTTAGGGGGTATTTGGTGGACTGATGCTGACCGACAAGAACTCCTCGGGGAGGCGCGTTTTCGTTGTCGGTATCGTTTCCTCGTAGCCGATCCAACATATTTTGTAGAAATCCTAGGCCTTTGAAACTAGGCAGCCGTAGCCGGCTCCTTTCAAATTGTTCCTCGTCATTGAACATACGGATAGAGCCCCGCCGATCCAGCAGCGGCGCATCAGCATCCGTCATGTTTCGAGAGCTCCCATTTGACTGGCGAATCCCATCCTCACCCCGTTCTTCCAACAGCGCAGCTGTATCTTCCTCCAGGTCCCTATGACCAGACGCACTTCGCCGCCAACGACTACCCACGCCCACTCGCAGATTTCTCAGTGCTATTCCTGGTCCATAGTTTCGTGAGCGACTCGCATAGTCTCGAGAGACTCGATCTGTCTGTGTTGGCGCTGTGTTGGGGTCCAGCTCCTCAAGGTCCAAGTCGTCATCGGATCCGTCGAAGTCATCGGGGTCGTCTGTTCGCAAGGGATGAAGATAGTCGGGTGAAGAAGGCATCGTTATCGTGATGCCCTTCGAGCCTCACAGTAGGCTGGTCATGAGCTGAGATCCAAGTTATCGCGTGTGGACAAATAAAGGATTTGAGATCGGCGGTTCACACGGCATTGAAGTGACGCGGCAGCATAGTGGGGACGAAATGGAACTTCAAGGGGTTCGAGGGAGCCCTGTAGAATGAGTTCCGATAGCAGAGGAAAAAAAAGTTGGTATATCGGTGGTTCTCAATGGTAATCAATTCCTGCCTCTGAATCGTGGGAAATAATTTAAGCACCGCGACTGCCTGATGCCCATGATGCTGCAGCATCACCTGACTGCATAAGGAGGAGGTTATGTCATTTGTTTACATAATCATGCATAAATAGCATCACGTGTTGCACTGCAACGGTGTTCAATTCGGAAGAATGTTTGTCCTTCGCAGTGCATAGCGATGCTGAGTCAGGCCCCCAAATGGGGCCAATAACAGAGAGCAAGTCAATCTGGGGGCGTCGCGACTTCGGGACATTCATCCTTATTCATTTCTTGGCTGTCCGGCAACTTGATGCATTCATGGTTTATTTCTTTCTAATTTAATATCATATTTTCCTCTTTGACGCCTGCCCTACGCCGTTTAATGGATTTTCAACTTTGATATCGCTTTTGTTCTGTTTGCTGGGATTGTTGACCCTGAACGTCATTGGAGAGACGTGTCAGGTAACCTCCGAACTCCTCGAACCGAGTCGAAAATCAAGGGCCTGATAAACAGATCATGGCCCAAACAATATCACCTGGCGCGGCCACTGGTGCCTGGAATCCGGCATCGCTACCAGAAAGTGGCTTTACGGCGACTGCAACCGAAGCTGCTTCGTCCGATAAACTAGTCGCAGACAACGCGCAAGAACCTCCTCAGTCCAGCTTAAAATCACCGCTTAGTGACGACGACTATTCTGCGTGGGATATGCCTGAGGATACACCAGCTGCCCAACCGCAGCCTACGTCCTTGGATTCTGTTCTAGCGGCTGTGCACCCGACCCCCGACGACACCGCGGACGATGTCAGCCCAGCGGTTTTTGACCATGCAGATGATGCTAGCGCGATTGTCACCTCGGGCGCTCATTCCGAACCCTCCACCGACCATAGTCAAATAACGCAATCCGAGCCTAGCGAGCCCGAGCCCCCAACAACCGCTGAAAGCCTGGAAATAGAGAGTACTGGACCTGATGGGATCTTTGCATCGAATGAAGACTCAGTGGACTTCTCGGAGCTGTTGACGAAAGAGCCGGTAGTGGAGGAACCTCTAGATCAACCACAAGACCCTGAAGCGAAAGCCGCTCGTGAATATGCGCCTGTTGAAACTCTACCCGTGGAAGCCCCTCTGGTGGAATCTCAGCCGGCCGCAGAAGCACCAACTGAGCATCCGCAACCCGAAACAATCCCAGCAGAACCCTCGTCTATTGCCGCAGTGTTCGAGTCCAGTGAGGGGCCAGACGACTTTTCCGCTTTGCTTTCTGACAATGTCGAGTCCACGCCTATTCTACCAGATGCTGACCCAGCTGAAGCGATTGTCGCGTCTAGCGAAGCTGCTCAAGAGGTGACACAGTCCTTCCCGGTAGACTCATGGCCCGCACCGCCCTCGACGGAGCAGGAAGCGCCCTCGTTTGAAGAAGACAATCAATTCCGAGATAAAATGATCGTCGAGGAGTCGGAACAGTCGACTGCTCCCATGGAAGTGACTTTCGACACACCTTTTGCGGATGTAAGTGCAGATGGCAGTGGTATCTGGGCAAATCAAGGCGACGGGGAATTGGATTCCGATGGCGATGATTTCTTCAACCAACTTAAAACCCAGACCAAACCCATTTTTGCACCAGAAGCGGAGTCGAGGTTTGAAGAGGGTGTCCCCTTATTAGAAGAAGACAGCCAAGCTTTCCCAGAACATGCAGGGCACGACGATAATGTGACGAAGGATCTGTTTGCCAATGACAATGATGATGCGGAAGATTTCTTCAGCTCTGTCAAACCGTCGGGCGCCAATGCAGAGCCTTTCCATCTTACTCGCAAGAGCACGTCTCAGGTACTGGAATCAGTTGGGTTTGATGTCAGCTCCCCGACAAGCGATATCTCGGCAGCGGCGCAATTCGAAGATGTTATCAAGGCCGCGACTTCTGAACCTCAGGAGCTTCAAGCACATTCTAGCCTGCCTGCGCCTTCGGAGGATGATCTTGCCGCAAGGTGGGAGGCGGAGCTGAGCGATGCAGAGGAAGATGACCTTGCAGCTCGCTGGGAAGCCGCACTGGATCTGGACGATGATATGGAAGAAGATCTCACGGGGCCTACCCATAATGTCCCACAAAGCCCAATGGCCATTGGCTTGAATAGTCCGTTCGAGACACCTCAGCAGCGGCAAACTCCGCCCAGGCTCATCCCTGGTGTATATGCACCTCATCAGCCGTCTACGGCGGATCTGGTAGGAGGTGTGGAATTCCCAGGAGCTCCTCCTACAAACGCGAGCATTCCGCCATACTATACCCAACAGCCGCCCAATCCAGTCACTAGCAGAGGAGAAAGCTTTGCTGAACGGTCAAAAGAAGGTTACAAATCTCCTTATGATCTTCCCGATGACTTGTCAGTGCCTCGGCGGCCTGTTCTCACCCATAAGCCTACCCCTCCGAAGGTGGACAATAGTATGCCGCCGCCACCACCTCCAGGGTGTAACACGATGCAACGCTCTACTTCTTATGCTGCTCCTCCCCCTGCATCCACAGCTGCTGTCGGGTCTGTGGCAGCCGCTCCTCCGCCGGCGCCGAAGAACTTCTTTGAGGAACTTCCATTGCCTCCCCCACGCTCTAGACCTGCCAGCTCGGGGCGGTATACTCCAGGGCCCACCGGTCCCGCGATGGCTGGTTCATCAGTCGGTGCGGGGTCCCAGAGCCCATATGCGCCCCTGCCAGCTACAGCGCCTGTTCCTCCAACGGCTTCCACTGGCGCCCCGTCTCTTCAGCCTTCGCTCCAGCCGCCAGAGCTCTTGGATCCGTATGGTCCCGTTGGAACATTGGCCTCGAGTGCTCCTCCTGGTCCTCCTGCGGCTTCCAGGTATTCTCCTATGCCTCCTTCTCTGCAGCATGCGGGGAAACCCTCTTCGGGACCAAGATACTCGCCTGCGCCTCCGCCTTCGTCAGCTGGTCGCAACCGTTATGCCTCTCAGCCGCTTGGTGTACCTGGTCAAGGTGCTAATCTGCCTTTCCAACCCCGTACATCAAGTCCTCTGGCCTACCACGAAAAGGTCTCCTATCAACCCGACGGTGCTCAGCAGCAGCTGCCGCCTTCCCTTCAGCCTTCTGTAGATTTATCCCCTCCTCGTCAGCGTCACAGTATTGACCAAGGGTCGCTCTATGCTCCGCAGCTACCTAATGGTTCTACCGATGCTGTGAACCAGGGAGCCGGAAGTCCGCCAGGTGGTCCGCAACAGAAGGGCCGGTATGCACCTCAGGAGTACTTGAACCAGTTTACTCAACGTATGGCACCAAACAATACCTACGCTCCTGCCCCTGCTCCTGCTGCCGCCGATGTTCAACCTTATGCCCAACCAAATGAACCCGAAGTTGTTTCTCCTCGCAGATCTCAGACTCAGTCCCCTGGTCAGCAACTGACAAGCCCGCGAGCTTTTGTACCACCCCTTGACACACTACCTCGTCCTGCTTCGGTGCACGGGTCGAGCTCACCGACCAAAATCGCAAACCCGTATGCACCTCAGCAAGCCGCTGCAAGCCGTGCTCGGGCTGTTTCTCGAGTTTCTCAGCAGCTTGATTTCATTGCTCCTACTGATGGTCAAGAGCAAGATCCTCTGCAACGTTGGAAGGGTGCTCCTATATTTAAATTTGGATTTGGCGGAGCTGTGGTGTCGTGCTTCCCCAAGCATATCCCTCGTTACTCTGCCGGTGTAGCAACACCCATGATAAAGCCTACGCTTGGTGAACCTAGGCATTCTCAGCTTGATGCATGGTTACCGACTGGCGAGACCATTGTGCCGCATCCTGGACCTCTCAAAGCCAAATCCAAGAAGAAGGATGTCCTGGCATGGCTGTCTAGCAAGATCGCAGCTTTCGAAAATGAGGAAACACCTGGCTTCAACCCGCAGCAACCTGATGTCCAGAAGCGCCACGAAGAGAAGATTTTACTCTGGAAGGTCACGAAGGTTTTGGTCGAGAGTGATGGTACTTTTGAAGGATCACCTGAAGCTCAGAAATCTCTGCGCCAGGCCATCTTCCCGAATCTTGCGGACCCTCAACCCGAGGGCTCTTATGGGAACTCATTCTCGACGCCATGTGGCTCTGGGGCATCTGGTCTGCCGTCTCAGCCAGATGCTGTCGATGCTCAGTGGAGTGAGGAGCTCCGCAATCATCTGCTGCTTGGTGAGCGAGAGAAGGCTGTTTGGGCCGCTGTCGATCGGCGCCTCTGGGGCCACGCGATGGTGATTGCTTCTACTATGGAGAAGACTATTTGGAAGCAGGTTGTTCAGGAATTTGTCCGACGTGAGGTTCGATCTAGTGGAGGCAATACTGAGTCGATTGCGGCTCTTTATGAAATCTTCGCCGGGAATGTTGAGGAGAGTATCGACGAGCTTGTTCCACCATCTGCCCGGGCTGGTCATCATTTGATCAGCAAAGCAGATGGTCAGGGTGCCTCTAAGAATGCACTCGATGGGCTCGAGAGCTGGAGAGATACTCTTGGTCTGGTATTGAGTAACCGGAGCTCTGAGGATCATCAAGCTCTGCTAGCTCTTGGAAACCTATTAGCCTCTTATGGCCGTACGGAGGCTGCCCACATTTGCTTCATCTTCTCTCGGGGTGCTGTCTTCGGTGGTCCCGACGATCCACAGGCAAACATTGTGCTCCTTGGTGCTGACCACCAACGCCTTCCCTGTTCTTTGCTGGATGACGACTCTATCCTCTTGACTGAAATCTATGAGTTTGCCACATCTATGCTTAGCAATTCCCCAGCAGCCAATTTGCCGCACCTGTTAGCCTTCAAGCTTATGCATGCCAAGTACCTTGCTGATCGTGGACGCAAGACAGAGGCACAGAACTATTGTGATGCGTTTGCTACATCTCTCAAGGCAACCACTCGCCCCTCGCCTTATCATCATCAGCAATTGTTCACTGAAATCGATGAGCTATCAGCGCGCCTGCGTCAAGCTGCCAGCGATGGGTCTTCATCCTGGATATCAAAGCCCAGTATGGAGAAAGTGTCCGGGTCGATGTGGGCTCGGTTCAATAGTTTCGTCGTTGGTGATGACAATGACGCAGCTTCAACAGGCTCTGGCAAGGCAGGTGAGACTTCTGACTTTGGGCCGTTTGCCAATGTGGCCGGAACACCTACTGTGAGCCGATCGCCATCTGTGTCAGATCTATACGGCTCCTATCCTGGAGCTGGTGCGCAGCAAATACCCCCCGCCGCGATTCCAGCCGCTGGTTCCTCCAGGTACCTTCCATCCAACCAGTACGCGGCCAATGGCTCTCCAGAGAATTTGCGTGGTCGGTCCTCGATGGATTCCCAGCGGTCTGTGTCTGGTGGACTTTCCTTTGGACAGCGTAGACTCTCACAGGAGCCTGAAACTCCAGTGGACTCGATATTCCAGGGGGCACCAATGTATGGATCACCAGGCAATGTTGCTTACCAGCCCACACCGCCTCAGCAATCTTACATGCCTTTGGCTCCAGTTAAGGAGGATGCCACGCAATCACCGGCTGATGCGACCCAACCTCAAGTGAATGGTCTATTCTATAAGCCACCCGGACAGGAAATCGGCTCCAACAGTCAATCGCCTTATTACCAAGGCCCACCCGGCATGCCTCAAGCTGAAAACTCTGGCTATATGCCCCCAGCTGCTCCTGATTCATATGAGCCTCCGTCCTACGCTCCAGTCATGAACCTTGCGCCAGAGGAAATTGACCCACAGGAAGAAGAGGAGTTAAAGCCTAAGAAGTCATTCATGGACGGTGACGACGATGATGATCTCGCGGCTCGAGTAGCGAACCTGAAGATATCCCAAAAGGAAGAGAATGATCGCAAGGCAGACGAGGCATTCCGAAAGGCCGCCGAAGAGGATGGTAAGTTGCATTCCCTTGTTTCACTGGTTTATTTTTCTAACATGGACTACAGCCAAACGCGGTGAGCAGCAAGCTCAAAAGAAGGGTTGGTTTGGTGGATGGTTCGGCGGAGCTGCCAAAAAGGACGCCGACAATTCAGGTGGCGGTCCTATCAAAGCCAAGCTCGGCGAGGAGAGCTCATTCTACTACGATAATGATTTGAAGAAATGGGTCAACAAGAAGGATCCCAACTCAAGTGCTAGCGTTCGTGCCACGCCCCCGCCTCCGCGAAGCTCTGCTCCTCCCAGTCGAGCCAGCTCTGGTAGCATGCCGCCTCCTCCTGCTCCAATGTCCGCTGCATCTGGCAGTCGACCCCAATCGTCGTCTAGTGATGCAGCGCATCTGTCCTCAAGCCCCGCTTTTCCCGGACTCGCTGTTCCTCCGCCAATGCCACGATCTGTTTCTACTAGCGGGGCCATTTCGTCGACCCCGCCTAGACCTACTTCTTCCCTCAGCCATGCCCAATCTATCGATGATCTTTTGGGCGCCCCCTCGGCTCGCAAGGGTGCCAACACCGTCCGAGGCAAAAAGAAGGGTCGGTATGTTGATGTCATGGCTCAATGATCATTTGATCATCAAGCTGTAATGGTGTCTAAGCAGGCAATGCCTGGCTGAAATCTTTTCTTTGTTCTTTTCCTTTGTTTCATTATGCCTCATGCCTTTTTTTATTTCTGTATTCCCCTGCCCCATGTCCCTACCCTCTATAATAGATTCCCCGTGATTAAGGTTCATTCCTCGCCCAGCATCTTGCATGTTTGTTGTTTTGCTTGTCTTCAAGACTGAGCAGATCATTCATTCCCCGGAGTTTCTTGCAGACCGAACTATCATCGCAAAGCCCTGCACATAGCTTGCTTTTTTGTTCTTTGCTGCCTATTCCTTCGTCTGCGAAGCGAGGGGGACGATTCTCCTTGCATCATGTATATCACTTGTCCTGCAGATATACTCCGGTATACATTGGATGATCCTTGTTTCTCTTCATACCTTCAAGTTGAAGGTCACTATTAGCATGCCTACTTACTTTCATGCACTTGTCTTAATAACGAATTCTGGTATTGTTACCGCGGCTTTTGGCCTTGAAAATCATGTTAAACCATCACACGTAGCGTCATTTGCCATCATGTCGTAAATGAATTGATGTAGTACTAGCGCAAATTAGATCATCAGTGCGTTCGCGTCGAGTGACTAGCATGTACTCACAGTCAGGCAGGATTCTTCGCCATTCCAGCTACCAGGCAGGTAGACGTAAAGAACCAACGCCATATCGTTAATGAAGCCTAGTGTGTCACGATGAGCAATCGATCATACCCCCTTTCGCATCGGAAAAAAACAAACTCACAAGCAACCACCTTGGGACTCAACCTCCCAACACTTAACACCCGACCCCAATCCTTCGCATCAATCCGCACCCTCGCCCACCCTGACTCATCATCATCACCAACCTCTCGCATCCGCTCACTCGGTAATTGCGAATACTCGTCACGATTTAAATGACCCGGATCCAGAGGCGGGTTAACAAGCCCAGACCAAGAACTTGCAATCTTCAGGTCATCTGTAGAAATCGACAATCGCAACTTCCCATGCATATTAGCACTCAACTCCAATTTGGGTGCACTACTCGCAGAAAGCGCCGCAACCCCAGATCCCGTAGCAGTCGAAGCCGCATCCGCCGCCACAACCCCCATCTGACCACCCTTCGCATCCGAAGCAGCAATCTTAGTAAATCGATCCGAAATACTTTTCAGCTGCGCAAGCCCAGGGAGAATGATATGCACATCTGGATCAGGACAGTGCGGTTCATGAAGATCTTCCACGGTTCCCTCGTGCAAAATTTTAATAGGAATCTCCTGAGTAATCCGTGTTTCGCGATCGCGGGCCCGTCGTCCCCCTATCACCTCTCCTGTCGTTGAATCCGATTGAACTGATTTGTCCGTCGCAAGGGCCATGTTGCCCTCGGTCCATTCGGTTGTTAGGACCGTGAGAGCTAGGAGGGGATATTTGTCTTTCTTCGTGAGACGTAATTGGGCGTGTGTGGCACCCATAGCGGAGCGGAGGGCACGATTCAGTATGCTGATGTTGACTTCAATGTTGATGCCATCGGAGTTAGATTGTAATGCGTAGGACTCTTCGTCAAAGATGGTTTCCTGGAAGTAATGGGGTTAAGGTTGATTCGGATTACCAATGGTCTTGATGAAATGGGTTTGACACGTACAACTGGAATCTGGGACCATACTTGGGTGCCTTGCTCTGGGATGATGGTGAAGCGCACCACATCGTGTTCTAGGCGCATCCAACATATCTTGCCCAGAGATGATAGGGAGGCGGTTAATTCTGCCTTTGTAAGTATTATATTGTCTATTTCGTGGATTCCACTTACTGTAAAAGACGTTAGTGTTCTTTAAGTGGGCCTTGAAACGCATTGTGTTGGTGAGATGTGTCGATGGAAGGAACAAGTCGTGAATTGTGGAGATACTTTCTTATCGCTATCGCTATCGTTATCTTGTTCGCGACTCGGCGCGTCGACACGTGATTCTTCTGTTGTCTAAAACGATCTATTATTTTGCACTGATGGGTGTGTTGGTTGACGAGATCTGTAAATTCTATGGTCGAGGGTGGCCATCCAGCTCTGGGCCTGTAAGGGCTGTTTGTGATGGTTATTGGGGATCTAGAGGGTATTGCCCCGTTCTCATGGGCCAGGCATATTACCTTGGATGATTTCATGTTTTCAATTATAGTACTGGGCGGAGGGCTAGGTCTTTCAAGCGAGTCAATTTCTACTGGGGAGGAGAAGTAAACGGACAACAAGAACAAGAAATGAGGTGAGAGAGTCTATACAGCTCACTGTAATCGAAGAGATCTCATGCGACGCAATGCCATATTCTTCGCATGCTATCTCAGCGTTAAGAACGTTCTCAAATACACTAGCCGCCTGGCTATAGGTAGTTACATGGCTGAGATGACAACCTACTCTGCTAGTTATGATAGGTATCATCTCCTTGCCAATAGCACATCCCTTTCTCCTCTCTATCCACAGACCCTGTATTTAGTCCAATATATGTTAGTATTTCGGCCTCTTCTCCCTTTCTTCTTCTTGCTAAAGGAACTTCTCATATCAAATATTCATGTTTTTAGTCAGTCATGCGTCATGACTGGGTTGGTGGAAGATGCATATCAGAGTGATCCCTGCATATTCTTGACCACCTGGGCACTAGTCTATCGTCACGGAAGATATTCTATTTGCAATTTGTAATGTACCTTGCATGATACCCTCGATTGATAATTGAAATTCCATCATCACTGGAAAGCCTTCTGATATGATGTATGCGTGGCGCTATATGATTTCAAGTCAATATATTACCATTGAATTGATGTGATGTATCTTCTTTCGAACGACGATACCACGGCAACGATCTCAAGTCCACGAGCATATTCAGCAACGAGGCAAGGGCCATGATGGGATCATAACTCATATCATCGAATGAATTATACGCAGTGGGATTGTTTGATTTTTTTTCCATTTTTGGGGGGTTCATAGGTCCTCAGTAGTCGTCATGACATACGTGTACCTATTTTAGGACACTATGTTAGCTGTATGTAGTGACTGTAATTTGATTTAATTTTCCCACAAAGAAATATGTGAACAAAATGATTAAAACTTGGTATAACCTTGGAAAGCCAGCTAAATCCGATCATTATGAATATCAAAACACGCTAAAGCGAGTTCGTGCCGATTAGCAATCCGATTCACGAACCAAAGACTTCGCGGATCATCGGAAGTGGTCCACTTCGTGCCCCTTTTGGAAGCTCCACCACAATTATTATTCCGATTGTTTACTGCTTTTCTTCTTTATATTTATTCCAGGAATAACCTCTCGAGACTCAGGTTAAAAGTGAAGCTAAAACGGATCATTTTGCTTACCGCTGTTTGTCTCGCGCGTCCTGCAAGTCTCGTGAGAGAAATTCAATTGCTCCGGACCCAACCACTCCCATTGCATCGCGTCTCAGCATGCGGGCTCGTCAGTGCTCTCTACGTCCGCCTGCTGCTCCTTCTCGATATTTATTGTTCCTATGCCATCCGGAGCCGGTTGAAGCTCCCTGTATCCCCTGTGTCTCCCTTTGTTGAGCTGGGCTGCCCAGCCTGTCATTCGGAATGGCAGCTAACCAACAAGTCACCCCTCTTCGCCCATCCATCCGCCTCTCCCCCGCTCATTCCCGAGACAACTCACGATCTACTTCCCCGGAACGAATTCCTGGATCGTTATATCCCAAGACCGACCCTCTACTCAGTAATCTCTCTCCCGAATCGACCCTACATGCCCTCACCTCCACTGAAGCCGTGCCGGCCAACGGGAACTTCTCACACCTCCTATCACGAAGTATCTCGCAAGTCTCGCCTGCTGAACGCGCCCTGGGCATCCGTGCTGCCATAGCGGCCCGTAACCTTAATCTTTGGCACAAGGAGGTGCAGGCGTGGGCGTGGCCGAAAGTCAACGAGGCCGCGGCTGGAAAGGGCTTCATGCCTCCGGCATCATCCCTTGTTGAGCCGAGCTCCCCATTGACCGATACTGGCATCATATATTATGGCAGCTTGCCAGCTGAAGTGGTGGAGGAATACGAGAAGAGAATCGAAGAGATCCGCGACGGAATGGATAGCTTGGATGTGGACGAATTAAAGGAACACGTTCTTAACGCCCACATTCCATCCCGGTCTCGCCCTTCCTCCTCGACCAGCACCGTGTCTGTGCCCCCTCCGCTCAGCTATGTACAGCTCAGTGACTTTACCGCCATCGTTACTGCCACAATCCTACGCGCCCTGCCCTATCTGGCGCGATTGAACCATCTATTGACCATCTGGGAGGTTCGCCTTTTAGTTTTACGCCACATCCCAGGTCTTCTAAGAGAGTTACGGTCAACGAGAATCGCTTTGAATACTTCCAGCAGCTCAATTCAGTCATCAAACGCTTCCGAAGACGTTGAGGCCCGATTTTCAAGCTCTTATCTACGCGATCAACATGTCCAACTCGAGTCCGCAGTCATTGCTGTGGGGAAACGGGTGGACCGTGCTCTCGATGCGTTGGAAGGTCGAAATGATTCTTTGCCTGAACAATGGCTTGATGATCTAGAAAGTATTGAGTCTGACTTCGCTGCATGGGTGGTTGAAACGGAGCGATACAAGCTTCGCACCGAATGGCTTCGCGCGAAGGACCAGTCTACGTCAGCCGAATTATGTGAAGAATCCAAGTCTTCGCCTGAAGAGGTCTTCGAGAAGAAAAACAATGTTGAGCCAGTCATAGCTCCCGTTGAATCTGAGCCTGACCAAATCGCTCCAATGGAGACTCTCCGAGAGGAAGCTAGACTCTCATTCCAACCCGCTCACTCTGCAAATTGTCATGTTCAGGAGCAGCCCGATCAAAGTTCTACGCCATCTGTAGATATAGGCCTAACGGTTGTGACCTCTGGCCCCGAGGCTTCACTCGGCAGTGTGCTCGAATCATGCCCTCGAACAGAGACCAGCGAAAAGCCTGAAAGTCGATCAAATCTTCTAGTTGCAGAAGACATTGAAACCCCAACGCAATTAACATTTCTCCGAGGCCTGTCACTTGGAACACCAGAAGTCCAGTCGCCATCTCGGATTCCTTTGCCGGTGTCGCCTGATGTGGAGAACAAAGAAAACATCCCGCCGCAAGGTTTTGTGCCCCAGCAGTCATCATCCGTCCGAGAATCCGGAGCTAAGCCGGCTGTCTTGGGCGAGCATAAAGACGAGGATGCATTCGCCCAGAAGCCTGTTCCCCATGTGCCTGAGAGCGAGCAGGAGTCCAGCACTGCTGATACTGCTCCTCTAGCCCCAAGACAAGAAGCTCTGCTTGGAGGCGAGGGCCTCCAATATGAGGCAGGTCCGGACCTGAAGGAAGAAATGAATGAAGATCTGACCAAGTCTGCGGAGCATGTTTCATATGATGCGAATACTGTGACAACGGCCTTGCCGGTAGAAAAACCGACACAGTCCGCGACCGATGAGGAAGAAATGCCAACCATGGAAACTCCAGCGACCCCGGCTGAACCATCAAGAGATACGATCAAGGGTTCATCAACAAAATCCACACCCCAGCAACCTGGAAACACAAAGTCAAGGATTCCTAAGCCACAGCCTGCTCGAGCGACATCACCACCGGCGCCAATCAAAGAGCATGTCCCAGAACAGCAGGCTGCTTCCAAGAAGAAGCCATTACAAAGCCCGATCAAGCTATCCAAGTCCCGCCAAGGAATCTCAAGCCACGAGAAGGGCTCCCCGAAGCCTCGCTCTCGTCGGCCATCGACAGGATCTGTGGGCTCTTTTCTGTCAGACAGCTCTCTTGCTAGTCCTCGTCCAACCGAGCCACACACCGGATCATCAAATGGGGAACTTCGCCGGGAATTTACGAAGTCTGTCTCTCCACGTGGTGACTATATGCTTCGGGCAGACCGTCTTCGCCGACTCGAAAATATTAAAATGTCTGCCAATCCTGCTTTCCAACCAAGTCGCTCTGTGAGCCTGCCTCTTCAGCGGTTTATAAACGAGAAGCTGGACTTGGACTTGAGTACTGAATCAGTGCCTGAGATTCCCGAGCGCTTCAAGTCGAAGAGCTCAGTCATTTCAAGCATTCCTGGCGTTTCTTCTACACCTAGTCAGATTCCACATGTTCCTAGGCGCCGTCCTGCTCTCGTGCGTGGAAAGTCCGCATCGGACTTGAAAAACAGTGACACTTCATCAAACCCGCCTGACCGCAGCCTGCCTGCTTTTGGTGGAAATACCGCCCGGAGGGCCATGCAGCATCAAGACCAACCCAAATCTGCGCGCTTGCGCCAGCGGCTGACCGCCCATCCAAGCTTGGAGAGTCTTGGAGTCAAGAAGCAGGAACTTTCCTACGTTGAAGAGGACGAGTCAGAGCTCATAGATAGTGGTTCTCGATCATCATCTCCGAACAAGCTGTCCAAGAAGCCTAGAGATCAGCTTGATGAAAAGATCAATTCTATCCTCAGCACACTCCCTGGCCGCATCCACCTCGTTGACCCTAGTAACGAGGCGGATAGTTCATCATCCTCCTCATCCATGGATCGAAAGATGCGAGAACGATACCTCTCCGAGTCACCACACGGCCCTCCTTCCCGGAGTTTCACTCCTGCTCCTTCTTTGACGCTTATGCCTGCCGCCAGAAGGCGCTTGTCACATGCGCATAAGACTGAGGACAGCTACGTTAAGCTTTACCATCTGCATCACGGCGGCCAAACCGCACCCACCAAGTTATTCGTTCGTACTGTCGGCGAAGACGGCCAACGAGTGATGGTTCGAGTTGGTGGTGGTTGGGCAGATCTTGGCGAATATCTCCGCGAATACGTAGTCCATCATGGCCGTCGCAAGGTCTCCGAAACTCCTCGAGTCGAAGTGCAAGGTCTCCCAACTCGCTCGTCTCCTGGCTACTCTTCCGCTGCCAATCTTCTTCCTCCCGCCGCTCCTTCCCTTAACTCTGGTCGTGCCACCCCATCTCGACCCGCCTCCGTTCTCAGTGCTCGTCCACCATCTTCTCTTACCGTGCGCAAATCACGACGCGACTCCACCGCGTCGGAGGCCGTGGCTCCTAGATCCGTGACGACAGGAAACCTCGGCTCCTTTACATCACCCCCATCCGCCGGAGCTCCAGGTCGTCGTCTTTCAATGTCTTCCAGCTACTCATTCGGAGATCTCCATTCTCCTGCTCAACTCCCTCTGCCATCCCACGACAACTCAACACCCCTTGGTCTCGCCGGCCCTAAGCCTCGTTCGCGACAAATCTCAATGAGTCCCGAGGGCGAAGCCTGGGTCGAGAATGTCCTCCAAAAAACCCGTCGATCAACCTCTTTCAACCCTTCTCCCTTCGATTCAAACCACTCGCCTGAGATTGACGAAACCGACCACTATGATCTACCTCACCACGACCACACTGGTCGTTCTTTGCCCAAAGTACGAAGCATCGGCGATATCAGTATAGGTGGCACGGGCAGACGAGTCGTGCTTCGGGGTCTGGGCAACCACAGATAATCCCCTGGCCAGGAGAGACATTTGCGTTATTCGGAGTCTACTGTGGAAATACCTTTTTGCTTCTTGTGATTATCTTCTTCCTTTCTTAACATCTTATTTCTCTGCACACATTTTGGAATATGTTCCTTACAGCATCATTTGCATCAGCGCGGCGAAATTTGAATCTGGCTTGATCATCTTACTTTGGATATACGGGGTTGGCTGGGTTAAAAACTTACATTTGGTTGTTTCATTTTCAAATTTGTTGTTTTTATTTCAGGGGTTTGATTTTAACTTCGACCTGTACATATACCATATCTTGTTGCTTCTTGCTCGATACCCTGTTGAGGTTCTTATCATACACGTTAATAGATTAAAGTGCCTATTAATATCTTGCTATGCCTTGAATGCGTCGTGGGGGCTTCTATCCGTTAAGTAGCTTATGTATCCCTGCCCGGTAAAGATCTTACCAGCCATTTACAATGCCTACTCGTATCTTGTTGTCTAGCTCATCAAGTTTCTTTTGATCTCATGCAACAGGTCATGGCAATGGCAAGTACGCCCTTAATCCGACTCATTCCAACGCCGCCTATCCCCTGCCAAATGCCTTCCATGACCACTCCAATGATCAGACAATGTGTCCTGGGCGTCCATGCTCCATTGATAGAAGCCTCGTTCGACTGCAAGCCTACAGTCAAAGAGGGTTTTGATGTTGTATCTCACGATTCGAGACGGCTGAGCCAGAACCTAGACTCCAAGCCTTGGAGCCCTGGGCAGAACGGGTCTGAGAGGCCTATTGCAGACCATTGGTGTGCACAGATCTGGACTTTGGTGTAAGTCATTCAGTACATTTCCTGGTAATTGTCCTTATAAAGGATTTCCATGTTCTTACCAGGTTGGACATCAGTAGTTGACGATTGGTTATTTCTTGGGCTTGGCTGGCATTCTTGTTCTCAAGCTTTTTGACATGACACTGGGGATTGACCATGGCTGTGGGCTTCACAGCACATAAAAAACAATATTTTGTCAAGAACAAAAAATACAACAGATAATGTATGCGACGGTGGTTACCTAGCGCCCACGATTTTGTCCTAGCCGGCTCGCCGCCCTAGCGGGCGCCGCTTCAGTCCTTCACCTGAAGGGCCGAATCTGACGTACAAAAGTCGCATTCGTGACTTTTGACAGGGAAAGAATTAATGAGGCACCTCAATGTAGCGGAGAGATAAAATAGATGGTTTTCACTCTTCTTTACCGGCCTGTACTTACCTAACTGCTACTATTAATTATTATTCCTTACTATTCTACTAAACCATACTATAAAGAATAGATAAAGTAACTATCTTTTGGTTAATTTTAACAGTTTTAATAATAGAGTATTATCTCACAATATTTTACCATAAACAGAGAAGCAGGATGAAAATGCGCATAGAGCACGACCCCACGCTGACTTATATGAGTAGACCTGTGCATTTGGGACCGGGACCCATGGCATCTTGGTAACTAGTTGGAAGTTGGTGGAGAATCGAATCCCATAGGATCCCATGGGACTTGGGCTACGCCGGATTAGGCAATATCATTTGTATGTATAACTTATTTTCTTACACTTGGCGTACTGACTATGTAATGAAAAGAAGGTATGAATCTGAATCCTAAACTAGTATTTGGAGAGGAAGCTATTCGCCTAATACTGTCGCTCGAAAAAGCCAAAAGCTATTCTAATGTTTTACCGGTAGATGCTGTGGCTAAGGGGTCACAGATAGCTACTGATGCGCTGACTTTTTACCCGGGTATCGGCCCATAAGTAAAGTGGGCACTGTTCCGCCGTACTATGAGCGGAAGTTGACCGTATATATTCGCGACTTCCGAGGCCCCCTAAGCCTTCCAAAATATTTGGACTAGGTAATTCTGACGGGGACTGGGTATATGACCATCCTAAACACGACCTTACCACCGGGTAATTTGTAGTATAAATCAGGAACAAAACAACGCCCGTCTTTGGATCATTTGGAAAACATAATAAAAACAACAACAATAATGAATCACCACACGTCGGACGGACAACACTCCTCCTGGATAGGAAAGCTTTGATTCGCTTCCAATCCGCTTCCAAAGTTGGTTCAACGAAGCCTACCATCTTAATAATTCTCAACGCTTTCCATTAACCCCTCATCAAAGCCATACTCATCGGGATCATCTTCATCATTTTCTCCGCGAAAGTTATGGTCCCTAGTGCTATAGCCCTCCCCACGATGCGACTGCCCTTTCCATCTCGACTCTTCCTGACCCATGAGACCGGTTGACGAATCGTAGGTTCTGCCAGGGGTAAAAGAGCGAGAGGGTCCTGGTGCACCCCGTCGGAGTGTACCTTGGCGACCATGCTCACGGCCAACCGAGCGTACAGGCGACGGTGTCGATAATGGGTTGCCATATCGTGCCCCTTCATTTCTCAGTGAACTGGTTCGCCCCGTTCCCCTGCGATGTGCTGAGCCACGTGAATTATGCACGTATTCATGGCGCTCAAACCTACGCGATCGAGGACGATACATTGGACTTTCATTCAAATGGCTAGGGTCATGCTCGTCGGCACGTAAGCCCCAGCTAGAAGCTGCCTCGGCTTCCGATTCGCCAATCGCTTCAGTTAGGTACTGATCAAATCGCTTGACCGTATTGGCTACTAGCTGGAAGTGCCGCCAGTCAAGCACTGGGTCTACTGTGTCACCACTCTTCCGCTCAAGTTGATCGATATCCTTTTCATCTGGAGTATTCTGCCAGGCGTCCACTGAGCTATTCCACATATCAAACTGCGCAAAGGAGTTAGCAGTTTGGAAGGCATTGCGAATTTGCCTTCCATTCCAGCGGTGGTCTGGCATATTCTCATAATGCCACTCCGCATAGTCGAGGATACTCTCCTGGTCAATTTTTAACCCTGGCCGCCGTCCAGTATCTGACTCGGTAGATTGCTGTAGCTTCTTCTCTTGGGCTTCCCGCAACTTGCGAATGTTGGTTTCAAATATTGCGAGAGTCTGTTCTTTGGTGAGAGCAGAGTAGTGTAAGCTGATGTGGATTCGAGACTTGAAGGCTTCATCAAGAATTCCAACTCGGTTTGTTGTCAAAAACAAGACGCCGCTGTAGTACTCTAGAACCCGAAGAAAGACTGCGAAATAGTAAGCCTGATAGAAGTTATATCAGATAAGGGCCACATACCAGAGACGAGGGCGTTTCTCTTCAGATCACTCAAGTCCCGACGAGCCAAGAAAACGTCAGCCTCGTCCAGTAGGAGGACACAGTCCCAAATATGCGCAAGTCGGAAAATTTCCCTGAGGTTTTCTTCCACCTCAGCAGGTTCAAATCCAAGATGGCCGCATGTGATCACAAACAGAGGCTTATTGTTTGCCTGGGCAACTGCCTCTGCGGTTGCTGTTTTGCCCACTCCTGGAGGTCCATGCAATAAAATAACCAGGCCAGATCCTTTACCCTGAATCAAGTCTAGGCTCGGCCTTTCATCCTGAAAGTGTGCCTTGATCAGAGCTCGTATCATTCGCTTGTGTTCCTGATCAATTTTGAGATCTCTGAAGACATGCTCCGATTTTACGATTGGTCTCAGTAATTCCACATTCAGCCGAACGAACTTTCGGTCTCGAAACGCATAACCGATCACACGACGAGGAAGCAAAACGTAATCTTCCGGGTCTACCTTGGTTGACGTTTCTGTGATCAAAGCATGCAAAGATTCGCTTTTCTCTATTTGCCGTGTGCAAAGCATCAAAGACAGGTGCTCTTCTATCTGCGCGATTTCAGTCACTTCTGCCATCACTTCGGACGTCGCTTCCCCATCCCAGTGTTTTATCGGCAATGAAGTATCCTCAGACTCTTTCCAGTAGGAATTATCCCATTCTGTCATGGTGAATTCCGATTTTGCAGCGAGTTCACTGTTTGTCTTGTGACCTTGAGCGAAGTCAATCATGACATGACTGTCGATGTATTCGCCATTACTCTCGGCACCAGAATCAGTCTTTTCGGCAGGATCATGCACCAACGTCCATCCGTCGTAATAGAGATACCGGAAGTTGAGCACATTCGCAAAAGATTCTCCAAGCTTTTGTTGAGTCTTCAAGATCAGATCCTTGTTCTTATGAAAGCGTAGTGGATATGCACGAAGTGTGGTAATGTCTTTCACACCAGAAAACATGGGTATGTATATATTGTCGAGATATGGCGTGTATGACTTCCCATTAAAGTCGATGAAATAGCACCACAAAAACAGTCCTTGATCGGACCGTTCGCCCACATCGCTCAAAGGACCAGCTTCATGGTCTGTTTTTTCGATTATATAGACTCGCCAGATTTTTTGGGGCATATTTATTGCCTTGGACTGGGCTTTTGCTGTCGTATTCTCTGATGTTGATGGGATGTAGAGCAGTTCCCCAATCTGGAAGGACATCCACAGGTTCGCGAACTGAACTTGTCGCTGATTACTTCCGGCTGCACGTGTCCATAAAGGACTAAGGCTCTCCTCTATAAACTCCACATACTTGCGAACATGGCGAAGCCCAGTGACGGAGTTGACGATAAATCCAGTCGTTGCCTCCGCGGGGGTTTTCATATCCAATGTCTGGCTATCATTTGCTTCGTCCCTGTTTCTCCTCGTGGGAATCCTTAGTCCAGTCATAGTAGCCCCATCGGTATTAAGTGTATCATATCCCGACCACCTGTCCTCCAAGATTTTCAAACATTCTCTCACTTGGGACAACGTATGGTAGAAAGTCGCGAAGGGCCGGTAGAACACGCGCGGTCCTGCACTCTCCCAACTGTCACCATGCCCAGTGAGTCTTGAGAGTAACAAAAGAAGCTCGGGAGATTGAATTCGCACGCGATGTGCCCATGTCTCCTCCTCGTCTCTAAGTTCATATGGCTTGACTTTCGAACGCTGACCGTTCTCCTCTCTTTCGTTCTCATTCCGTTCCCAAACTTCCTGCCGGATTTCCCGCTCCAAGGCGTGGTGCCCACGTAGGACTTCAATTATTGCATGGCCTTCTTGTTCGGTATACCGATTCTTGAAGTGATTGAAATCAAGCCATGCCACTTCAACCTTGAGTGGAATAGCCTCTCTTGCCTTTTTCCATTTTAATTTTCTTTCTTTTTTAGCTGTATCTTCCTTGTCGTCTACTTTCGAATCGACCAACTTCTTGGCTGTCTCGTCTTTTGTTGTCTCAGAAGATGTTTTTGTAGGCTCCGCCATTTTGAAAATAAACAATGAGACTATCTGGTGACTGTTGAAATTCAAGTGACGAGATCCGGAGCTGTCAGCTGGGGCGGTATTTTGAATATAAGAAACTTCACAAAAGAAAGGAATTTCACCCTGAAGACCGGCCCTGAAAATATGTATTTGAATTCAAATCCATTCCCAAGGGCATTTGAGCACGCACATGAAAGAGGCTATGCGTATGGTCCAAATAGGTGCGACACTAATGCAGTGAGATTGCTCGGGGCGTCCCGTCACCTAGAGGGCCGGACCGGGAATCTAAAATTGCAGTCCATGCGATGGCTACTTGCGTATCTCCGATTAATAATATCTAAAATTGGTTCCCATCCTGGCTGGGTTTAAGAATGAATAATTATAGATCAGCGGGCGCAAAAAGCTATGTTTGGTTGGTATATACCACGTTTGATCCAGGCGCTTATGCAGTCAGCCTACTCCAGGAGAGACGGTCCGTGTTGCGCCTTCGAACCCCGTGAGGCCGAGAGCTGAAAGATAAACGAAAGCAAAGCCAATGGGCTTTACCCACGGATCCACCTTGCCTACCAGAAAGTATATTGAAGCGGGGCAATCACATGAGGCTCTTTAGCCAGGATTTGCAACTTTCCGCAGTTATAGTCCAACATTTATTTTCTAAATTGTTCATTCTGTGCATCATCTTTCCATTACGGTGATAAAAGCTGGTCCAAGATATGCTGAGGTTATCTAGAGACTCTGATCAAGATCGGGTGGCCAATTCTGCTGCTGCGTTCATAACTTCCCATGGCCCCGAAATTCACATAAGCCTTGCCGGCTCATCACGCTACAATAAGGATCTGAGCCGCTTTGAACCCAACGACACGTATAGGTGAGCTCTCCTTTTAAAACCTTGAGGTTGATGTTTACCAGAGAACATGATGAGGCTGATTTCATGTGACTAGTTCGCTTGAACAACTTTTAATGCGTTATTTGCCTGATAATCTCGGCGTCAATTTCGAAAATGATGCAAAGAAACTTGAAGAGCTCTCGGAGACGCTCACAAACACAGAACAAAATTTTGACAATCAAAATAGCGGGTTTTGGCGTTCATTATGGGGCGGCATAGGAGAAGGGAGATCGGTTCTTGATGGATGGGTTGCTCTGATACCGAATGAATATGGTCTTTCAGTAGTCAAAATGGGACTGGCCATCGTTTTCAAAGTGGGCTTCTGCCCTGTACACTGGATGACAGTCCTCGCTAATGTTGACACAGCTAGCCGAAAGATCTGTCGAGAAGCGTATGAAAATATTCCAAGTATTTTCACGCATTCGGGATGCCCTTGCATGCGCCGATCCTGCAAGAAGAAGTTTTCGCGGAGATAAGGATGTAAGTGCGAGGGCTGATGATCTGACACAAACCATTGTGGACTCAATAGAAGACATGATACTGTTGACGACAAAGAACAGGCCCTCCTGGCGAAAGAAACTATCAAATATTCCCAAGTTCAGCCAGAAACCTTCACCTTCGGACCTTGAAGGTATATTGACAAAAATTGAAAGATCCACTGCGGAGTTCGAACGAGTGGTCAATCTGGTTCGGGATCAAACTATAGAAGCCACAGGCCTTATGACACATGCCATGACTTCACAAATGTCTGTTGTCCAGGATGATATGCATCAGGCGAGAGATATATTAGAAAGATCCATCGAGAAAGACGACCGCCGACATGAAGACACTGTCACTTTATGCAAGTTCATTTTCAGTGCCTTCCATCAAATTGCGGAACGAGAAATTGCCTTGCAGAGAAGTCAATTACAAGCTAGGAATGGTTTGATGGAGGTGCTACAACAGGGCCAGAGTAAGCAAAATCTATCACATTCGCTCTACTGAGCAGTGACTAGAACGCTTTAAACTGAGGAACAATCTTAGTGCATCGGTTGGAAATGAAAAAGATTCAGCAAAAACTTGGCAAAGTTGCAAGACCCAGCAGCATGATTACGGAAGATGAACTTCTCCAAATCCTTCTGAACTCGTCCTCTGATCCTGCAGAGCTTAGTCTTTCTCTACAACAGCCAAACAAAGATCTGGATCGGGTTCTTTCGAATAAAGGTCGACATAGTGAGGATATCCAAGTGGAAATCCAAACGTGTCTCCTTCATCACAGGCGAATTCTACAGTGGATTGAGAGCATTAATTCGGACCTTGTACTTGTGGACGCGCATCTCTACAATGCAAGCATGCCCAAGATCTCTGCTGCTTCGGTTTTTAGTGCGTCTTTCATCACTACCTTGCTCAGCACCAGTTCAGATGCTGTAGTTGTCCATTACTTCTGTGGCGTTCATCTTACCCCTAACGATAAATGGCTTGGTCCAAAGGGGCTTATTCGATTCATCACCATTCAGCTCCTACTGAGGCTTATGGCAACTCACAAAATTGACCTTGATTTCATCGACAGTCGGGAGTTTGTTCAAGATTTGGAAGACCATGACCTTTCCCGTCTCTGTGACCTGCTATACACAATTATAGAGCAGTTCTCGGAAGAAGTCACGATATGGTGTGTGATCGATTCCATTCAACGCTTCGATAAGCCGAGTACCTTGGCAGATCTGAGATCTGTCATGGATTTTTTGCACTGTCTTGTGAACGACACAACGCTCGGTCCGGTCGTAAAGATCTTCATGACGAATCCAAATCACAGCAAAAGGAGCATTACTCAGCTTCCGACTTTCCAGTCTGACCCAACTCGACTTATTAGCTTGAGACCAAGTAGTGCAAAGGCAGCGAGGAGATTATCTGATCGAGTGATCGGCGATCAGCTCTCTCGAGCTTTGGATTACAGACTGTCTGAAAACGACGCAGAATATTGATTCTTATCAGTCGGTTAAACCCACCATGTCGTGTAGCATGATCACATTTTGATATCACCACGTCGGCTAACGTCGCCCCATGACCTAGCTTAGGGGGTTGATCAGCAGCTTGGAAGTGCCTGGAATTGACTACAAAGCCCACACAGTGCAATACTCTATTGCTCCTCCATAATGCGGATTTTATCTCGGCTAGGGTGTCAATCCCAGAATAGATTGTATATAGGCATTCCCTTGTATTCCTTGCCGAAGTGCTTTATTTGTTATGTCTGAATCCAATTCAGGCCTTGTCTCCCCCACCATCCACGGGACTATTTTACTTACCACGGCCATCTTTTTTTGTAGCAAGGGCTTCTTTTATCTCTCCTAGGCACTATCTACCTTCAGCCAATGACATAATGCTAGCCGGTGGTCTCCCTCAAGCTTGGAAACAAAGCGGAGCTTGAAGCTGCCGGTGAGACAAATAAGCACCCTATTTGGGTGTTGGATATAAACATTCATCTTACTCGACACAGGATACCTAGATCTATCGTGGCAACGTTTATAGCTTCGTTCGAAACGACAAGGAAATTAGCACCTATATCAAAGTATTGCAAGAAGGTGTCACATAAAACCTCCAACTATGACAAAATTGCTATCATTCCCATCCCGGACCAACTAAAAATACATTCTTACATGAATTGAAACAGGATGGCATGATCAGGGATCAATGGACCCAATAGTGCATTTTTAACATCTGCATACAAATAGCGAACAAACCGGGTTGTTTGAAATGTCGTGTGTATAAGGATGGACGGTCAACCACCAGGTCCCCGGCAACGAAGCGATAGTGCTTCTTCATACATACGGTAACGGGCTGGATTTCGCAGAGGTCGCGGTAACCTGTAAAACCTGAAAGTCATTAAGAGACAAAGGGGGCATTATAGAAACGTAGTTATCGGCAATGCATAAGAGATCATGGAATAAGACCCAATCAACTTGGGGCTATGAAGGGGCTTGCTAGTGAAGCAGGTGACCCGCCCTAACACTGGCTAAGCCAGATCCCATGATTCCCATCTTATTCAAGAAGAATGGATTAGGGATCACAGCCTACTCATTTCCGCCATTACTTAGTTCTTGACGTTCATTTTACATCATTGTCATGCGGGACTTACGTCAAGGTTCACTAATCGCTTCGTGTACTGACTACTCTTATCCTACAGGAGGGGTATACTTGGATAGCCAGACTTGACAGAATTTCCTCGGTAAATCAAAAAAGAGTACGAGTTAGCAAAAACATACAACAGTCAGGATTCGCATGTGGTCACCCACCATACTACTAACTAACCGGCGTGTGGCTTAAGTACGGCTGAGCGGACGGGAAGCCCTGTTCTCCACACCCTATGGTCGTATGTGTTAGAACATGTCAAAGATGAAACTATAAAGTGTGGATACTGTTCGAGGATACCGGTTGGACCGTAAAAGGCTTTCGCGACGCAAATTGGTAACGGGAAGGAGGGGAAATTTGTGAAGCGATTTGGAATGAGGCCTCGAACAATGAACAAGCCAAATATTACACCTAGTGGTAAATGGTTGATTAATCTTGATTTCAAAGCTTTTGGTTTTGTTATGGTGTTACCTAGGTCAGGTGCTCATACCTATACGGTCTTATGACGACGAAACTCTTGACATGAAATGATAATATGCGAATAGAAAGTATTGAACTGCCGTATTATTGTAATTAAAAGCTGCATTGTTCACCTTGGTTGCAATAGATCCAATTTGTGTTCCCATCGGCCAACCGCAAAGCATGCCAGCTCTTGCTTGGGGGGGCCTATAAAAACCAAAAAAGCACTTAACTTGGGGGGTGAAACGGCCAAAGTGGCGTCAGAGGATGCAAGTAAATAAACAGAATCAGTAGGTAACATCTTCGAAGCCTTGTCGCAGAAGAAACCTACAACTTGGGAACAGACTAAATCCTCGGTCACCTTTATCCTCTATCTTGGTAGCGTGAGGATCCGTTTCATGCACATCCTACTCTAGCTGTGCATTTTCATATATACACCCTAGCACTCATTGAGAATTGAGAACCGCTGAGAATGAAATGACTACTTTCACTGATTGCGCGAATGTAAAGTTATGCTGTTCTTGCAGAGCTCACACAGGTCTACAATAACGACTTGACCCCATTAGGCGAAGCATTAGAGAGGCTTTCCAGCACATCAGCCGCAAGTTCAACGGCATCCAGCGCCATTCCATACCCCGCCTGAAATCCTGTCCCACCAGCACCGTAGTTGTGAATAATGATGCCTTGTTTTTCGGAACCATCAAACGGCAAATTCTCCTTAGCAACACGCGCTCCGTCGTCTCGAGATGGTCGCAGACCCGCAAAGGCGCCAGATATCTCTATGTTATGCGATTCAAGCTCAGGGAGAATTGCCTTGGTACGGGACAGGATGGAATCCGTCTCGTATCCGAAAGTATCACCGGTACTGCTGCGGTGTAAGTCTGTGAAGATTGGATTTGGAATGTATTCTCTGCTCGTTCTCGCTTACCTAGATCCTCTCTGCATGTAGCCACCCAAAACTACGTTCCCATTCGAGTATGGCCGTGGAATAATATAGGTCTCATAGTCCTTGCCGTGTCTCATGATGTTTTTTTGAACTTGACTTGCCTTGGCAAGCAAAATCTGCCCTCTAGTCGGATAGCATTTTGAGTCCGCCACACCCTCCAAGTGTTTTGCCGCGTTTCCGGTACAGTTGAATACTACCTGGGTGTCACTGCCAAGGAAAGCCGAAGAGATATTGGGGACTTTTCTGCGAATCACCTGGACTCCATACTTTACAAGTCTCAAGAGCAAATAACGAATGTGCATGGGAGCGTTGATGGTAATTGTGATGAATGTGATACCGAAAGAAACGCCATTTGGAAGCTGATGCGTGGGGATTTCTTTGAACTGGGACGATACTTTGTTAGAAATTGCAAGAACCCTGAGTGCAAATTGAAGAAAATACTAACATTCTTCAGATAGCCAGCCATTGAGTTAATCTTTTCGCGAGATGGCATCTCATCCCAATACTCGGTCGATGGGGTTTCTTGAACAAATGCATTTGCACCGTCTTCCGCGGCAAGTTTTAGGAGATGTCTATATCCGAGACGGTCCCAGCGCAATGCGTTGTTGTCGCTTGCTGAGATGGCGGAAAAGTTTGCTCCAGCCCTAAATTACAGGTGAGCATCAGGTAGTAAATAAATGCTAAATACGATCATTTTATATTGCTCACATACCATGGCGATGTAAAGTTGATAGAGGTATCACCTGGAAGGTGCTCAGCGACGATAGTGGTTCGTTTCGCATGACCTTTCTCTGCAAGGACCAAAGCAACATTCAACCCAATCACACCGGCACTATAGTCATATACACACTTGTTAATCGAAAGCAAAGTACCGCATCCTTCACTATGAAGACTTACCCGACAATGACCACTGGGCGGCTTTTCATTATCATCAGAATGAGACTGAAGATGGTAGTTCACACCAATTCCTTGTATCGAGACTTTTTCAATTCTTTCCCAAGAATCCAATGAAAGGCTAGCGAGAGCGTAAATATACTTCTCGGCTTTATCTATAAGTTTTGCACGGCTGAATATTACTTGAATGCGATCAGCTGAGACCCTTGCTTCTTCGTGCGAAAGCGACGAATCTGTCAACATTTCAATGCCTATCTTGCTCTGGGTCAGGACTTGGCTGTGATTGGCGGCATTCGGGGGTGGGGACGGAGCGGTGTTGCTTGTGATTGGTGAGATCGCGCGATAATCACCACCAAATTGACAACATGTGAGATTGTGGACTATTTCCTTGGATATGACTGATTCTTATCGACCGATCTTCATGGATATGATCACACGATAGTAATGATGAAAAAGGTCTAGATACTTGCACATGTCCCCAAGAATTGTCTTCACAGGTAGTTCAATTAGTTGATCGAAAATGTTGAAGTTTGAACTACCTGCAAGTCTATAGTCAAATTGTGAAGCTGTAACTAAATGTGAAATGGGCTTACCAGAGAACTCGTCCAGCTACCATGACACTATTGTTGTAACATACCTATAGCGAAGATAGGAGTCCGTAGGAGTACCCGAGTAAGGACTCTATCTATCCGTCTACGTTCAGATCGGTTATTAGAGGCAGTGGTATCCTAGGAGAGAATAAAGAAAGGGCTAATCTTGGGCAACAGTTTGCTGGTTTGGTATTCGCCGCGCAGAAAATCCTACTTACTAGAGAATGCTGAATCATCCCATCGATCGTCACTTCATCCAGTGAACGTTGGACTGTGCCTATATGTTACGCTTATTGTATTGGAAATAGTGTAGAGATCAAGTTTAATATTTGCCGGATGTTCTAGCTCATAATTTGAGTCTTCTAAATGATCTTGGTTCTAAAGCATCGCTAAGATTGCAGATTAGACTTCTCATTGTTCGCCTTGGTAGGAGACACCGTTGCGTCTGCTTCGATAGAAATGCCTTCGACCAGCGATTGGTCACATGGATCAATTTTCCGAAAGCATAGTAAGAATGCGCACCCAGCCACAAAGCCCACGATTGCCAGAGACCCATACATCCAAACAAGGTAGGGGTTTTGGGATACAGGGCTAAGACCAATACAGATTGCCGCCGCTATACCGATAGTCAACCAGAATAGTGCAGAGACAAAAGACCTTAAACTACAGTTGTAATTCTATCAGCATGGGCTCGAATTGTTGATGGGTGGATAAACCAACCTCTTTGGGGCATGAGTGAAGGCCAGCTCGAGACCCGTAATGACGATGAATGCCTCAGATAAAGCCACAAAGATGTATGCCGGAGCCTGTATCCAGACATGAATACTGTCTATTGGTGAGATATAAATATAGTGCTGAAGAACACTAGCATAGGCCATAGCTAAAGATGCGAGAACAAAGCCTGCGAAGATTCGGTAGACCGGGTTGAAGTTGATGTTCCATTTCCGAAGTAGGGGATAAACGCCCACTGTGAACCAAGATTGTCAGTAGTTTTCCTAGAGATAAAATTTGGAACCAGTGTAGATTACAGTCAAGGAGAGGAATAAAGATGCATAATGCAATTGGGTCAAGGTTTTGCAGGAGATCATTTGGGGTTCCATGCAGAGCCATTGTTCCAGCTTGTGAGATCAGGTTGTTCCATATCTGAACCCAGCAAATAAAGTAGAAAGGGAAGAAGGCAAACATCTAGAGATTTTTATTAGCATTAGCCAAGATACAAATGCAGAAAGAAGGCTCACTCTGCAGCTTCTGAAGCCACGGCGTACGTCTAAAACATACTGATCCGTGTATTGAGGTGACGATGCGAATGGATATTTCTCTAGTCGCCCTGATGCTTCCAAAGCTGATGGTAGCGCGTCATTGAAGTGCTTCTCTTGCCGAACAATATTCAGTACCTTGCATGCGTCAACGATGGCAGATCCCTGTGGAGGGATTCTGATATAGCGTTTCTGGCCAGATATAAATACAATCGCTGACAACACGATCACACTAGACTATATTAGCAAGATTCACATGACCAAGGGTACTTGTATACATACATCAAGGGAATCAGATATGCCACCCAGAAAGACACTTTCGACTCAACGGTCGTCGTGATCAAAGGTGAGAGGGCTCCGACATTAACAACCCAGTAGAACCACATGAAAAGCCGCTGAACAGTTAGCTCTGGATCAACGACAACCTTTTCTCCGGTTTTAAGAACTCTCAACACCGGTTTCGCATTTTGATATTGCTCGGCACACATCGGAGTGACGTTAGCTTTGATTCCACCTGTACCAAGGCCAATGACGACCATTGCGGTGATCAAACCACCATATGCAGCACCATTCTCAATTCCAGCCGGCGTGGAAGTACCAACAAGGATAATGAGGCCGACAATGTAAATTCCCAGCGCAAGTGTGATAGTCTTGAATTTGCCGAGATATTGATCTGATGAAACGTGAGCTATGGTTATCTGGAAAAGATTCAAGTAGTAAAGCATACCTGCAATAATTGCACCAATTATGGTAGAGGCATACGCCCAAAACTTGAAGAAGTCACCGAGAGCAGTGGCGACAGATTGGCCTTTGCCTAGGGCGCCAGGAAGGTTTGACTCGGGACTATAAGGGTTGCTGATAGAATGAACGAGTCAGAGACTGTTGTCCTAGGGGGCTCAGAAATTCAAAGTCGGACTTTAGCTTACTTTATGTAGTTCTGGATTGGCCCACTGACGCCAAAGTATGTGAAACGCTCTCCAAGCTGTTAATGTTATTGTGTGATCTTAAATACGTTCACAGGGTACAGAGGGCCGTACTTCAACAATGAGGATCAATAGTGCAAGAGGTGGGAATTTTCCAGGGACGCGACGAAGCCCAGCGAAGACATCAGTGGTAGTTCCTGGCTCAGTGTTCTCGGGGTCTTCGGTATTGTAGTCGATCACGACGGACTCCATGGCATAGTATACGCAAGTGAGTGAGATTGCACAGTATGATTGTGTCAATAAGTGAATCCTTGTGACAGAATATATCTATCTGCGCTATCTCATCCTGAGCACGAGGCATACAACGCTCATTTAATAGCTTTTTGGCGAGGGGAAGGGTTGGGAAGGTCTGGGGTTGTACGGCCCTCATTGGTCAAAAAAGAGCCAAGTTGCTCCACGAAAAGCCCCACACAAGGATAAACTCCTATCGGCGCGAGATTAGATACGTAACGATACATCCGAATGCCGCCAATCGGAGTCAAGAATTCCCGCCGGCTTAGAATTGAAAGCATTGTAGATCGAGCATGTTCCAATCCCTTTAATGACCACAAATTCGAGTTCAAGAATTGCTTAGCCGCTGGTGGAATTGAGCGATTACTTTACTTTCCAGTTTTCAAAGTAACGACTTCGTCTCAGCACATCACTATGTCGGGGAATACTACAATTGCAACAATGGTCTCAATCCACGAGCAAAAGCCGCGCCTGTCCATTCCAGGGAGACTTCGCACCAGGCTAGATCCCCAATGGATAGAGTTGTGGGAGAAGCACGGAAGCTCCATGATCAGAGCTGACGAACTCTCCATCGAAGAGTATCGTAAAACGCCAGCAAATTTCGCCTTCACCTACCCCGTATACTCCGGTGAGTTCACCACACAAGAGGAAATATTTGGTGTATTTTGCAAGTCTGACCGTCGTATTGGACAACTTGAAGGGCCACCCGTTTTCCATGTCGAAGACATATTGATTCCTGTCACCCAGCCCTCTGGGAATATCACAATCAGAGTTTACTCGCCAGAAGGACCGGGGCCATTCCCCGTTCATTTGAACTTTCATGGAGGTATGTGTTCCCGTGTTCGAGATTCCAAGGTTTCGAGCTCACTTGCAACATGTCGCTGATTGGATTTAGGGGGTGGGTCCTTGGAAACCTCAACTCCGAGGCAGCCTGGTGTCGCCATATGTGCAACAATGCCCGAATTAAAGTGATAGATGTTGACTACCGGCTGGCTCCAGAGTTTGTCTACCCCACGAGCACCTATGACTGCTGGGATGCTGTGAAATGGGCAAGTGCAATCATTCAGCCATTGAGTATGCATCATAACTAATACACGGGAAGTAAATAGACTATTGCAAACGCATCCCTCCTCAACATTCTACCAACAAGTGTATCGATTGGTGGTCTTTCAGCAGGGGGGCAGATGTCTGCGGTACTGGCACATTTTGCTCGCGACGAAGGTGTGGATTTGAGGCTTCAGCTGATGATAGTTCCGGCAACCGACATGCGATACTGTCTTAAAAACCGCACACTGGAAAAGACAACGTGCCCTTATGAAAGTGTACTACTCTACCAAGATGTACCTTGGGGCCCACTTTGTAGAGAGCAGTGGTTTCTCAAGTACTGGCTTGGTGACGATAATGGTTGAGACTCCTGTTCCGGACCACGTGATATACTCTTATGTTCTATTGCTAATTGCTTATAGATATTCAAGAAGAGATCCTGACCAAGGATTGGATTTGCACTCCCGTGCTCGCTCCTTCTTTCAAAAATCTTGCGAGAGCACATATCATTACGGCAGAGTGTGATCTTGAGCGAGATGAAGGTGAATTTTATGGCCGGCTGCTGGGTGAGGCTGGTAATGAAGTTACTATAAAAAGGTACCCAGGCATGCCTCATGCCTTTGGCCATTACAATCATCCCGAGAGGGGACTCTCGCAAAGCTTTGCTTTTATCAAGGACACAAGTCAAATTCTTCGGGAGGTTCACTTTAGCCATACAACAGTCTAGTTTGAAGTTGACATGCAGAAACGAAAAGCTATATAAAAATAAAATTTCGTTGCCTAATCTGTTTCTGTCTTTCTCCGACTGCCCAGGTGCTATTACTCCCTCAAGTTCTAAAGATTAATCGTTTGCCAAAATTCTGAATTCTTTTCTTATCTAGTCTTTCTAGTGTGCAGCTGGTCCAATTTTGGAATTAAGGAGCGCGCGCTTCGTCAGATAATTCCAGCCCCCCCCCCAATTTATATCATGTGCGAGAAACAGGCTGTTTGGAGATCACCATGTGAGATTTGGCTTCATATTGAGTATATTTCCTTTTGGAAACAATATCAGAATCCCAATTAAGTACGATTTACAAGTGCTGTTGATCTTCACATCGAGCCTTGCTGTAGCCGACTGAACATGAGCTAGTGCAGGTGCCTACCAGGTGTGAGATAGATTAATGTGTTTCAACAGGAAAGCGCATCTCTCCACCAAAAGCCCAAAAACATATCATTGGTTTCTTCTAAATCGACGTGCGAGATTGTAGGATGGCTGAGTCTGGCCAATCAGCGTCGGCATGTAGTTATCTCCCAGAACAATATTCATGACTAATACTCTTCAACCCCGACAATCTTGCTCATTCTAGGCTTTTGGACACGCTGTGAGAATATTCCTGTGAAACTGTCCAATTGACGAACTATTTAGTAGACATACAAAGAGGATTTCTTCTATTATTCTATTGACTTTCGTTGGTCTCGCCATTTCTATGCCTTGCAAGTTGAGATCTTGGTCGGTGTCGGATAAACTTCCCCGCCCTCAACGTTACCGGTAAAGTCAATCAACCGTTAAATCTACGACGCACCTTTTGCCTCAATTCAAATACCGGAATTCAAATCTCATAATTACGAGATGCCCGACAGAAGTCGAACATATATGAGCAAGAGAAACCGAGCGTGTGACTACTGTCGGGCTAAGAAGGCGGCTTGCCGGATCGACCGTGGCGCCCCTTGTTACCTTTGCACCTTGCATAAGAAAGAATGCACCTTCTTGCATCCAGCATCAAAGCCCCGCCGATACTTGTTGAAGCAGACTTCTGGCAGCAAGACCCAACAAGACAGACCAGTCTCATATTCAGAACCTCAGTTTACAAGTTTGCCAGTGGTAATGGATGAGTCAGCTCAGTACGAGACTTTGATGCCGACTGATAACAACGGGGCCAATGACGCCATTCAGGCATCCCCCGTAGGTCTCGAATCTTTATTTGAGAATAATAATGATGTTCTCTCTGATGACTTCGAGGACGGCATTTGGCAAACTGGATTCAGCCCAGGAAACATCTTTTTCCATTCTCTTGATATGCCATTAGAAGCACGTTCTAGGACCACAGACTCCTCCTTGCCTCCAGCTGGTGTTTTCTCACCAGTGCTTCCTTCGGGAAATGAAACTGCTCCTCATCTTGATACACAAGATGTCATGACCCCTTATTTACTTGGTAGTAGTGGGGACATGGACCCTTCTTTATTGAATCGCTATCAATATGGTGCCTCGGGGACATTTCATTTCAAAAATCTCCGAATCCATTCTGTCACTCAAGAGAGTAGTCCAGTTCAATTTTTGCTGTCCGAACAATCCATGTTTGCTGCCGGCAGAGAAGAGACTGGTTGTACAGAGCTTTCTTTGCGTGACTTGCAACAGGAACTTGAGTCATTAGTCTCACCAGATATTGGTTTACGCTTGATTGAACTTTATAAAAGAATCATTGCGCCACATTATCCGATATTCTTCTCACATGATCAACCCAATCCAAACAACAGCCCACCATACCTTCTTGCAAGTGTTTACTTGATAGTGCAGCCGTTCACCAAGTTCGATGATAAGCTGTGCGTGGACCTCGCATACGACAGGCCGTCAGGCGCGGCCCTATACAAAATTATCAACAAGGCGATAATGCATGAAACACACGCCCCCAGACTTTCTATCGTCCAGTCCATGCTTCTTCTGGCTATTCGACCATTCTCAAATCCAATTTCGCTAGAAAGTGCCTTTAAGTGGTCTCAGCTCACTTCTCTTGTCGCATGCGCTCACGCTCTCGGGCTACATCTGGATCCAACACTATGGAAAATCCCCCCTTGGCAAGTCGCCCAGCGGCGTTATCTGTCATACTGCATCTACTCGGTAGACAAATGGCTTGCTCTAAGTTTGGGACGACCACCTTTGCTCAACCTGGACACGTGGTTGGTGAAAAGCCCTAATCGGGATGATCACCTCTTCAGCGAGCTAGATCCGCTAGCTTGGTCAAGAATAATAAAGCAAGCAGAGCTTGTCTCTCTCCTGGACCGTGTTCTCGTCCATTTATAGTAAGTACTTGAGTAGCCCATCGTATTCACATTAACTGGACTCATTCAAATTGTAGCTCACCCCGTGCTATGAGTATATTTTTAATTGATCAGAAACAAGTTCTGAAGTCAGCCGAGCTTCTACTTGAATATTTACACGAATGGACTCGAGATGTGGATTTCGCATCGCCAGGGCAAAGTCGACCTACGGCATTGCAGAGGGTTGTCGAGATGAACTATCATTATATTCACTTGACTATATGCCGCTCTATCATGCGACCGTTCATCGATTCCGATTTAAACGATGCTATAAGCCCAGATTATGCTATAGCATGTGAGCAAGCTCGACGTAAAGCAAAAGATTGCCTCATAGCGGCGGCTGAGTTCATCCAGGATCTGCGGACTGATGATCTTGAAGTGCTTTGGCCGGCTTGGAGCGTGACCGGATTCTCGTCAATCTGTTTCCAAATCCTGCTGATGGCCGTGAGCTCTCCCAATAGATGTGAAGCTACAGAATGGGTTGCATGTCTACGTAAGGTGCGAAAAGATATGCGTCTCAAGGCCGAGGCTTTACCATTTCTTCGTCTTGCCCTGCTAAGGATCGACTCGATATTCTGGAAAGGCATTCACAATGTGTTGCTTTTGAAGGACCATGTGTCGGACGCTTTTTCATCTGGCTCGTGCTAAAAAAGGCATCATCGGTGAACCAGTCTGAAAACATCGGCAGCCCCAGGATCTCATCTTGCAAGTATCGGATTTATTAAATCCTGGATTTGATCTTTCAAGCCTTCATAATGACTGATTTAAATCTCGATTTGCTCACAGGTCCTTATCCTCGCGGCTTATTTCCGTAATTAGTCCAATAATCACCTCAACACTGTCAGTATGACTGTGCGTTATCTCTACCACCTTGCATGTCATGACATATCCGAGGGATCGTTACAAATTCTCAAGTTCTTTGATCATTTTAGTAATTTTGTTATTTCCAGTATCATAACGTCTGCGTCGGCTCAGCAATCATGCATTAGTCATCTGACCTCGGGGCGGGTTCCCGTCGCTCTGTCCTGGAAGTACATTTTGATTAACTGTTTATTCCTGCTCATACTCCTGGAAGTCAACGCGAGTCACGGTTACGTATTACTGACCGTCTAGTTTGAGAGGATGGTATCAGTTATGCTGATGAGACAGCCAGAATGGCGCCGGGCAATGATGGATAGTCTAGTGCAAAATAGTAGTGTTCATGGTATATAGGTGAATGGCCTGAAAGGGCTGAAGGGTAGAGCGGCATGGGAGTTTCCTCGATGAAGCAAAATAAGAACATTCAAAAAACAAGATACAAAAACATACAACAGTCAGGATTCGCATGTGGTCACCCACCATACTACTAACTAACCGGCGTGTGGCTTAAGTACGGCTGAGCGGACGGGAAGCCCTGTTCTCCACACCCTATGGTCGTATGTATCAGAATATGTCATAGGTCAGTTTATCTAGTGAATATTGAAATGAAAAATGTGCGCAATATACAGGGTGAGATGAAGGGTGAGAGCGCATGAGAAACCATTATCCGTCGCGCGATGGGTCGTATTGACCCTCCTAGCTGGGCATCTGTAGATCATCATTGAACCACATACCCCTATCTGAAACAGCTACTTCGAGTAACCAGCAATAGAGATCTACATGGCAAAAAGGGCTTAAGGGAATTGGGCTATGCTGGACCTCGGTATCTCTCAACCCAACTAAAAGCTGCTGTATATCCGGATACCGGACTACCCTGCGGACCGTCGCAATCGGTCTTTTCGTGTTGACTGGTCCCCTCATCCCCTTCTTGAAATCACGCTTGCCATCTTTCACACACACCGTAACTGCCAGAGCAGACTGGACTCTCTTGAAAATGTCTTTGTGCTGGGTATACACGGTCTCTAATGTCGGGCAAGGGCTGGGGTATTTCTTTCCATCACTTTATCTTCCTTCATATGCCAGGTCTATTAGGATGAGTAATGCCGAGGGCGCACTTCTTCTGGCGTTCATGAGTTTCTCGCAGGTGGCTGGTCAGTTCACATTTGGCTTTTAGTCTGACCAGGAAATTCGGTTGATCTCCTTCTTACGCCCTCCAGTGTTATTGCGGCGGCTGCTTCGTTTGCTTTGTGGGGGCTGGCCGACTCCTTGGCGCCTCTAGTTGCATTTGCTTTGGTATATGGATTCTTCGGTGCTGGCTATGTCGCTATGTGGGCCAGGATGTCCACGGCTATCAGCGCTGATCCGACTGCTTCAAACATGAATTACAAGGAAATTGGCAATGTTCTCACAGGCCCACTCAGTGGAAGTCTATATCGTCAATGGTTTTGATAGGGAGCTACAGGCTAACAAACTACATGGCTGTCGTGGTTTTCACAGGTGGTTGCATGGCTCTTAGTGCTCTGACTGTCTGCTCTTGGTACATGGGGAGGTTGACCCTACTGCTAATCTAGATTCTTAGGACTATGGTCGCCCTTGAACACTAGCAGAGTTCAAATTGAAATCTGTTTGGAATTTTTAGTAGACGGAAGTATTCAAAATTATAGCTAATTGCGTCCCTCTAACCCTTAGGCTCTAGAGCCATATGCCCTGCGTGTGTCAGCCACTGGGCGTGAATTACTGCATAAAGTCAAATCTCCTTACTTTATATATCTTCCTCCCTGGGGCCCCTACCTCATTTTTCCCTCCTTACTTCCCCCTCCACTATTCTCTTCAGCTACCAATCATGATATTTTCCTTCACATAAACCTTCCATAAAATACCAACTCTCCTACCCAACAACATTGAGCCTCTCATGTCAGAATGCGAGTACGCAGAATTTCAGGACGACGGTGGCACCGACCTCGAGAAACCATCAAACCCCCCTCTCTGCACTCATAACACTTGCGATACCATGGTTACCATGACCACCAAATTGTCTGACAGGATGTTCAGCCTCGAGTCAAGATTCAGCAAGCTTGAGAGTGTGCAAGCCAGCCAAGCCCAGCAGATCGCCCATCTAAAGCTCCTATCGGAGATTTTCAGCCTCAAAGTCTTGGTGGCCAATCTTATAACCGACCGGGTAAGAATATACCATAGTATCCATTCTCTAGGTACTGATATACTGAATACTAATCAACACTTAAGACCACGAACATGCAGAGCCTTCAGAGGCAGCATCATGGAATAGGCGAATAAGACAACAAGCTCACTGATGATGTTAGTTTAGTCGATCGAGATGTTGGATTATCTCACTAATTAGTTATGAGCTAGTGATGCTTTGCCTTGTTTTTTTTTTTTTTACTTTTGGCTTCATGATGCATGAGATAGTGAGTGGTGATGTTTCCACATGGGTTTCCATGCTGGTATGCGAGGGACTTGATTATTCTTTTTCTTTTGGAAAATTCCATGACGCAATGTGGCATGAGAGGACTGCTGCGATTACTTGCTGCGAAGAGTCCCTAGCTTGGATCAAATAGATTGGACTAAATGACATGTTCCTCCCGAGGTCATTCTCAACCAGCAGTCCAATGACCCAAATCAAAGAAACAAATCCAGTAACTCCCAAACTAGGTCTTTCCTGATATGAACGAACTACATACATAATAAAATGGACAAGTGGATGGTATACATTTGCAAATCATTATTTCATGAACTGGAAAGAACTAAGTCCATCACAGCAATCACAGCATAAAAGTGGTAGTAACAGCCGATCACCGAAAACAAGAAAGCTGGCCAAAGCAATTCTATGATTGGTGCTGACGCCTCCATGGGATATCCTTTCTAAGCAGCTCTCTTAGTTCTGGTGAAATGACCTTGGGCTTGTCGGTGTCCATGATTTTCTGTAAAGCTGATGAACCCGCGTTGGAGCCAGTTGTAGAGCCAATCGAAGAGTTCTGTGGGGCCTTGCCCTTTCCGGAAGCCGGGCTGTTGACGCCTGATGTATGACGCTGAGTGGCAGAGGGTGCAGATGGGAAATTGTCTTTCTTATCAATAGCCTGAACGGAGCGCTCGAAGCGACGGAAGAGCGATTCAGCGCGAGTGAGAATGGGGACAAGCTCCATTGTGTTGGAGAGTTCGTTGACTGGATCATGTTAGTTGCTAGATTAACATTGGTCCAGCTGGGTCGACTTACTGTATTTCAGAACCTCGTCAAAATGCTTCAGGTGGTCCATGATGACATCACGATGTTTCTCGAGAATGGCCAGTGCAATGAACAAATGGAAGCTGCTGGAGAAATAATCTGTCCAGAGTGTCTCCCAGAGACGAAGGACATCTCCCCACTCAAACTCGCGCTTGTACCAGACCAGCAACATGCGGAAGAAGAAAAAGAAGTTGGTGCTATCGGCGGATTGCAGATGCAGATAGAGCTGGGGATCCATCAGCTGAACGAGATGATCAAGGGCCAGAAGTTGGGACCGCATCCCTGATTGATCTCTCAGGAAATTTTGTTCCTGATTGATTGTTAGCTTCTGACATTTTTATCTCATGTCTTATCACGTACCATCCGATCCATAAAGCCCACAAATGCCCAGAAGGCCACGGCATCATCTTGCATAACTGCGTACAGTGGGGCAAGAAGATCGCTCATTCCTTGCACGTAACCCAAGTCGGGGTTATATTCATTGTACGTCAAGAGCATGTCCTTCATCTGCTCAAGATGAACATTGGTGCCCACATCGGCGAATGGGGAATCCGGGTCAGGGTGAGGAATGTCTTCTCCGGCAAACAGCGGAATCGTCCGGTCTGTGCGATGAACATCCTTCTCTGTGCGAACGTTAGTAATAGGCTTCGCAAAAGAGACTGTTGATATTACCTATACGGTTCCGCTGCTCTTTCCAATTCTCGTACTCTTCTGGGGTCGAGTTGCCATCGACCATTCGTTCCCACCAGCCGGCCTTCAGCCTGATGTACTCGTCACGCTTCGAATTCATAATCGCTTGGCGTTCCTCGTGGTTACTATCCCACGGAAACACTTCCAAAAGGTAAAGCCATGCTTCTTTCCGTGCACCATCGTTGGGATCCAGTCCACCATGGAAGATGCGCTCCTTGACCTCATCAACAGTAAGTTGTAGCCTTCCAGATGTTGGGTCGAAGAAACTCTCCCATTCGGAAAGCGTCAGAGTGCGTCGCCGCTCCTGGAGTCCCAGGTTACCAGTCTCGAGCTCCAAGATCTCAAAGTCTCCAACAGCGCTATTCTCCGACTCAAGCATATCCTGAGCCGTGTAGATTCTCTGGTTTCTTTCCTTGTCACTCTGCTCGGCGATGCTCATCGCCCAACGAGCCAGATATATTCTGGCGCTGTCGAACTCATCTTGGAGGGTTTGGATTTCCGGGTTCTTCATTAGACGTCGTACCTGCGGTGGAATGCGCGGGTTTTCGGCAAGGTCATTCGCAGTTCGACGGGTGAATGTCGTGATTTTGCTCAGTTGCTCAAGTACCTTCCAACGGGTCTCTTTGAGAGTCCGCGTAAAGGGATCCATGCTGGCATCGCCCTTGCCACCACTCGGACCCGCAGCAGCTTGCGGCTGTGCTTTGGATGGCAGGGATGCATCCCCACTAGATAACGCTCTCCCAAAAGAGAGCTGATCTTCTTGGGACGGGTTGACCAGGTACACATTCTTGTCGACAGCGGAGCGCTCCACCTCCACGTATCTTCGCAACCACCGAAGAACTTCGTCGCCACCCCAAAACAGGCCTCCCTCACTGTCAAATGGGTCGAAGCTATCCTTGACCCGCTTCTTCTTTTGCAGAATGGTTGATTCGCACTCACTATCATGGAAAAAGAGGGCTGGAAAGCTGTCACCTGCACGTGTATTGATCACTAGGCTTCCGAACCACCACCCGAGGCTTGGAGGGCGTACCAGGATCGAATAGATTTCCGACATGGGCACTGCGAAGGAGTACAGACCGATGGGGTCCTTAAGTGTGGTGGTGGTCGGAAGGGCCGGGACGAGGTATCTCTGATGCGGCGATGAGGCATCATCCGATAGATCGACTTTAACATATGTACTGTATGCATCGCCTAGCGATGACTCGGGCACCCAGGCCAGCAGGTATGACGCCGCGTCATTGCTATTCGATGAGGAGGGGTAGGAGCCGGATTGAGGCTTTTGTTGGATGAGGGCAATGAAGCCAGGGATGTTATCTTTTGCGGAGGACGATGGATGGACATAGACCTGGTTTCTTGCGAGTTAGTTCTGCATCTGCTAGCAACTTAGCAGGGTGCCTACCTTGCTCTTGGAATAGAGGAGCTTCACGCCACGGCCCGTGCGGGAATGAGCGATAGTATTGTACTCATCCTCATCATCATCGCTCATGTCATAATACGACGCCGATGGTGACGGGGGCGTGGGTGGAGGCGTGTATTTGACCGGATTCGCCATGATGTTGGATGTTGGAAGAGTTAAGATCAAGGCTGAAGACGTAATGATCTAATCGATAAACTTATCGATAAGCGCCCCTCTTTGTAGATCAATCAACCCAGCTCTTCAGCTCTTTAGCTCTTCAAGTCTGCAACGTCTCTGTCAATGAATAATTTCTCTTGAAAGATAATTTTTCTTCTTGTTTGATAAATTTGGGTTGAAAGATGTCATGTCGTTTTCAAGTTTCCACTCTGTTCGCCACTGCTTATGCCGCGGTCCAGGCAGCAGCAAACTCCTTGCAGAACGGGAATAGCTTCAACTAAAACCTGAATTTGACTTGAGAAAGCTGTTTTCTGCAGTTTGAATCCATGAGAAGGGATTTTTTTTGCTGTGTGGTCAGCTGCCCATGCCAGGTGCCATGGTCTTGTATGGTCTTGTGGGACGATAATACGATACTCTTCCCCAACACGTACGAAGCGACCGATCGGAATAACGGGAGAACTACTTCAAGACTATTGAATCATATTCCAAAATCAGATATCAAGATCCTACATTTTTCAAATCCCATGAAGATCAGTGGCATTTCTAGTTCTAGTCCCAGTGCCGCCGATGTCCATGAGTCAACCGTAATCCCGCCAATCATGTGAACATCAAACATGCCGGGACTCGATAACTACTTCAGGAAAGGATAAACAGCTCCAGTCAAATCAGCTAAGGTTTAACCACACCAATAGCGAAGACCCAAGACATATTGTTCAAAACACAGACAAGTTACGATATAAAGTCGTGGCTTCGTCACCGCTATCAAATTAATCGTGTCTCCAGATTGAGTCCGAGTATCCATCATGTCTGAACTCGCGAGAACCCTGCCAGCTTCTTGGTATTGCAATGAGCCGCTCTATCAGATGGAGCGTCGTGCCGTCTTTCTCAAGGTGGGAACCTTCTATCATCATTGATAGAAGAGAAGCTAATGTATTCCAGTCTTGGTACCTCCTCGGACCTGTGACGAGATTCCAGACTGTGGGAGAGCATGTTGATTATGAGGTTGCACAAACACCCATCTATGCTATTCGCACCGGAGGAGATGATCTGAATCCAGGTCGTGATAATTTGAAGGTGTTCTGCGCAAAGACGGTATGGCGAGCATGGACATCTAGCAGGCAGGTTACTGACAATTACAGGACAAAGAATTGCGCTTCCATGTCACCCCAACTGGTCTCCTTTTCTCCACAATATCGGATGATGCACCCAGCTTCTATGAGTTCTTCCCGGAGCTGGAGGAGCTACTGGGGAGGGTCGACTTCACTAGGCTCCCGCATCGTCGCAGCATTCGCTATGAAGGTCGGTTCAACTGGAAGACCATGTAAGCACCATTAAAGACTCTTACTGTTTGATTCTCACGTTTGCTAGGGTGGATGGATATCAGGAGTGTCTGCATTGCCAGTACACTCATCCATCATTCTCAGTCTACTACCCGCCCACTTTCTACGCCGTGCACAACAAGCATAATTTCTCCCAGCATATCGCTGATCCTAAGAAGCCAGACGATGGACTGTTTCTCTACTTCTTCCCCAACTGTACGCTCAATGTGTACGGCGGGGGCATGTCCTCGTTCCGCGTGTGTCCCACTGCAGATCCCCATGTAACCCGGATGGAGTTCGACTACTACCACCTGGAATCCGGAGATAAATTCGAAGAATACTTCAAGTTTGTCCGCCAGGTCGCAATGGAAGACTTCGAGCTGTGTGAGAAGGCACAAGATAATCTAGCCAAGGGTGTCTACCACGAGGGCATCCTGAACCCCATCCAGGAGAATGGCGTATCCTGTAAGTACAATCATCACCCTTCACCTATTTGTCAAGCTAATACTAACCCGTCCAAGACTACCAGAAACGGGTCTTTGACTTGGTCCTCGAACAACACCAAGCCGACCGAAAGGCCCAAAGCGAGGAATCCACCCTGGAAGAACATGCAGCACCATCCACTGTCGAAACGGCAGCGTAGAATAAAACTTTGACCATGGAGATCCCAGTGTCTATTTCATCATATTTAAACACCTAAATTGAAATTGAGATTCTTGTTTGTCACGAAGTGGGGAACATTAGTTGTATGACTGCAGCCACTAAAATTAAGATCTGCCACGTCGGAGGATAAGCTCAATAGCCACTAATCGAAGCCCGATACCCTCAATTTTGATAGTGCCGAAGCATTATCGGCGATGCGTAAACCTCCGAGAGCTGGAAATTGCAACTCAATCGGGTAATACCCCTGCAAGAGGGGGCGATGCGCGTGGTTCCGTTATTCAAAGTGTATAATGTGGGGATGGGGCACTTGGGCCTCTATCGATGATGGTATATGAAGTGACGATGCCGACAGGGGAGAGACAAATATCCGAGTCAATCAGATTTGCTCAATTACATACTCTAAAGAATATACGATGGACTTCATTCATGCTTATCTCTTATCTCCCGGCTCTATCTTGGTGGCCGTCGTGACTGTTGTCTTCTTGGTCAACGGATCATGGCCACTCCGACAAAAGCAAGATAAGATCGCCGATCTTGCTGTGCCAGATCATGACTCTAGTGGACAATTATCAGTCTCGAAAGAGCCTGACGTTCCGGAGGGGTGGTATCAGAGCCAGGAAGTCTTCGAGCTGGAACGTCGGGCACTATTCAGCAAAGTAACCGATGACCCTTTGAATGTCTATCGATTATGGTGACTAACTCCAGATATAGTCTTGGCTATACCTTGCCCATGTCACCCAGTTTAGTAAGCCAGGAGCCTACCAAACCTTCGATGTGGCAGGCTTCCCCGTTTTCTTAATCAGAGGAAAGGATGATAAGATTCGTGCATTCCACAATGTTTGCCGTCATCGCGCATACACGATCACCAGGAAGGAGACTGGTACGTCTACTGTACTCGGATGTCGGTATCATGGCTGGAGCTATGATACGTACGGGCGGCTGGTGAAAGCACCGAAGTTTGACGATGTCCCTGGATTTGAGATGTCAGAGAATAGCCTGTTTGAGATCCATACATATACTACCAGCCAAGGGTGGGTATTCGTGAACCTGAATTCTGGGGAACCTGCCCCCATGGAGGAGTCTACTTTATCTATTCTAAGCGACTTCACGCGAAATGCCGATTTGGGGACGAGATCTGAGTGGCTGGCCGGACAAACACTGACTGGAGCTTTCAATTGGAAACTGGGAAGTATGTTTGACTGGCGACCATGTTTATCAAAAGTTACTGACATTAAATAGTAAATACCCGTTATTCTGCTGACATCAGTACAAAACTCGAGCAAAATATGCCTAAGGTCCTGAACCCATCTATCGCTACTCAGATAGCGCGGACTATCTGGCAGAAGAATCGGAAAGCAAACTGCGTTTTGTTCCCTGGCACATTTCTCTACTCGTTTGAACAAGACGATATATGGTTATCTTTGACTATTATACCATCATCGGAGACAATCACGCAAGTTCGATATGATCTCTTTACTTCTTCGCCAAAGACCGGCATAGATCAGGATGCTTTCAGCAGTGTTGTTGGAGAAGTTATCCAGGATTCCATCAAGAGTAACGAGATTGAGCTCCAATCTACCACTGAAAAGCCAGCTGGGAGCTCCCCAAATATTCACGGCCTCTTAAAGCAACTGCAAGAGCACCAAAAGCTGGAGCGCACTAGTGGTAGTCTGATTCGCCCTGCCATGCGTCAGCCCAAGGGTAGCTCACTTTTCCAACAGGCTGAACAATGTGAGTGACTTTACTTGAATTTTTTTTTCTATTTCTTTACTCTTCTAATATAATACAGTGTGCAAGGAAATCGATTGTTCTGGCCCTGGATCACAGGGTGGATCTGGTATTTCTTCCAGTGGGCTAGACTGGTAGACGCCAGATTGTTGCGAATTACTAGGAGAGCTTGTTGGCGGACCTTTGCGTGGCCGAATATGGCTTGTGGCTTTTTATCATAGATAGGTGGAACTAGTCCCATTCACACAATCGTGAAATGTTTATGCTACATAGTTGCCATTGTAGAGAGATAAACATGGAAATCTAGGTACTCGAACTCATATCAGCTAGTCCAGCTTAATATTGCGTTAATATGACTCTATGTTATGTGATTGGCAAGATGGCCGAGTTGGTCTAAGGCGTCAGGTTAAGGTCCACCTTGACATCATTTCCTGATCTACGTTTGTAGGCGTGGGTTCAAATCCCACTCTTGTCATATCTTTTTGTTTTTCTTCTGCCACGAATTTGTTGGTTTCCTTCGAAGGATATCTATATATTTTTTTTATTTCAGAGCTTTTCATGTGATTGAAGTTTGGATTGGCGATCTCTCTATATAAGGTGACATGACTCCTTAGTTTAGGTGCGCCGGACTGTTAATACTAAGCAATCCGAACGTGATACACTACCTATTCAAAAGAATTGTCCCGAGTGCCATTTTGGCCCCACACCCATTAAATATATATATCTACAATACAGTACACCACACCACCATATTATATATATATACACATATGATTATATGATTACAAAGCTTAAATCACACACAATATTTCGGTTAAATTTCAACGTTTAATATCGCGTATAATACCCCCTAGCTCTCATAACTGCCACCAACCGTCTCGGCATGCTTCTGATTAAACCATCAATCTGCTCCTGCGAAATTGCCCACCAAGCTTCCGTTATATAGGCCTTAAAATAGGTCCAATCCATCTCCGATCGGCCTATGCTAATTAGCTCTGGGTGGAGCTGGAATAGCTTACGCTTTAACCAACCCTATACCGGTTCAATCGGGTTGAGGTTAGGCGAGTGCGCGGGCTAATCTTCAACGTATATTCTATGCTCTTCAAACCAGTCTCTTATTACGTATGCGTTATAAATACTCGCGTTATCTTGCTAAAAGACTCTTCTAGGTTCATAGATTGGAAGAAGACCTTCTTCAAGCGCATCCATATATGAATTCGCGGTATATCCTCCTCGAGAACCCTCGCTATGATCCCGCTCCATAATGATCAACTCCGACCGTCCTCCAAGCCAGATTGCACCCTAAACCATTTGGGAAATATCCTTCACATAGACTTTAGCGTTCACCAAATCCCTCTAATAAGTTTTAGATACGAATCTCTAGCACCATTTCGGACCAGTGTTCGAAGTTCGTTGCACGGAACACTCGTCCGAAAAGATCCAGTTTTGAATCGCGTTTTCTCCACGAATCCGGCCCTATTTTCGACAAAAAGCACGCCGTTTTAATGCCAATCGGGGCCCGATCGGGATTTTCTTTTTAGATAAGCGTTTCGAGAGCCCGTGGGGAAGTAGAATACGTCGAATTATGGATCGAGATGGATAGCTAGTAACGCTCGCGGAGAGCTGCTTATAGGTCCAGAACGGATTTCTTCGGGCTTGAATTTTAACGGAATTACAAGCCCGATCGTTAAAGACCTTAGGCCTTCCAGACCGAGGAAGAGAGATAATTCGTTGTTCTTCTTCAAAGCGTTGAAGTGTACGGTAGATTGTTCTACGGGCGCACTTAAAATCGTTAGCTAATTTAGTCTGTGATGCTCCATGCTGGTGTATATATATGATTATAGCACGTTGCTCGGGGGTTAACTCAGCTTTAGGCCTTCTTTTTCCAACATATCCCAGCTCCATAAGAGCAATTGGGGTGGTGTAAGAAGAGAAAAAAAATGAGGGGTCGTTATTGGGGCGACCTACCGAAAAGTGGATCGGGACAATTCTTCTGGACGGGTATGTATCTCTCTCCACTTCTTCCGGCTGCATACTCGTCCAAAGCATAATTTACCTTCTCAACATTCAGCCCCTCGATAATCTTGTATTCCAGCGGCTTAATCTGACCACGAGCAAGCCACCCTGGAATTTTCTCCCAAAGCGATTTCCCAAACGAAGGGATAAAATGCGAGAATCCCAGAATCCGCTTGTCCTCAAGGCCCTCCTGCTTCATCGCCAACACAGTATCAGGAATCTGACCAATCCCATTATGCGCAAAAATGCCCTTTTTCGAATTCGAAAGCAAAGAGGCACCCAAACTCAAATCGCCGAACGTAAACGTATCGTAGACGTATTGCAAATCATCACCAACAATACCCCTAACCTGCTCTTCAACATCCGTATCCTGTCTCGCAATGAAATGCGTAGCTCCAAGTTTCTTCAGTAAGTCCCCGTTCGCAGGACCGGCGATAACAACTATCGTCCCAATACCCGCAAGATTGCACAGCTGCACAGCAAGCTTCCCGGTGTTGGTCCCACCGCCAATAATGACAACATGTTGCGCTGCGTAATCAAATTCCACCGCTTCATCTGTTTCCGGGAGCGGAAAGCCGAACCCAGCAGATGAGAAAATACTCATTGCTGCAGTCACGATATTGATCGGGTATAGTGCCGCCTCGATATCTGGGATACCATCCGGGACGGCGGCAGCATATTCTCCATTCAAGATGGTGTACTCCTGTAATCCGCCTCCTTGGGGCAAATTGAAGAGCGCTTGCGAGACAACGTGCGTTCCCGGAGAGAATTTGTTGCTCGGTCCTCCTTTAATCACCTCGCCGACGATTTCGCCCGATATGACAGCTGGTAGACGCGATCCGATACCGAGATGACCGTTATCACGGAATTTCTGGTCAAGCGGTGCGACTAGCATGTAAGATTGCTGTTAGAAGAATTTTTGCGTCTCTTTAATGGAGCTAGGGCTCTACTTGCGGCCTGCGGCGGTGATTTTCACCAAGATCTCCTGGTCTTTCAACTCATACCCAGAGGGGATGGGTAAAGATCCCCTACTCACAGGCTTGCCAATTTCCGTGAGGATCAGGGCGGTTTGAGAAGACATTGTGTTGAATGATATATTCAGAGGAATCGTAAAGCTCATAGTCTTGGAAGGTTCTTGTCCTGAGCAGAATTGAGAACAACTGGTAGAACTCTCTTTTTTGTATGGTTTTTCCAGGCTCGCAACTCACGGGGTAAAGGAGAGCGGGTCATCTCATTTCCGATGGAAATCAAAATGAATTTCCGACAATACGATCCCATGTCTCGTGTAGAGCTCGGGGCAAGGGTCGTATCGTATAGTCGTGTCGAGCCGTATGATCAATCACTTCCGAGTTGCGTATTAATCGTTATCCGCGATGGCTCATGGTTCGTTCAACGCTAGCCCTACGTTTACGGTCAGCGGTAGATGTTCCGGAAATACCTTCACATTCAGCATGCCTTGTCGGAGAAACGTTTTCAACATTCACATAGTGTGCGTATAATTTACTCCGCGAGTCACTTAAAATCCGTTTATCGTGCACCCGAGAATTCTGTAAAGAATTGTCACTTGTATGTCATGCCATCGTCGTTCCGGTTTGTTATTATTGGTAGGTCAGGTGACCCATATGCCACTTTATCCTTCCACTTAGAGCAGCTCGGACTTCTTCCTTCTCCATACCAGAAGTTAATACCACATACGTTCTGTACACTTCCACTTGTGCGTTCGTAGAGATATCGGCCAGCATGCATGATTCCCACGGGCCTGCGATCGTGCTTATAACTTACTGTAATCTGCAAAATCCATGGAAGTGTTCCTTTCCTTGATCTGATTCTTTGCCAGCTACGCGATGATCCGACTCTAAGCCTGCGTTGACAGACCTGTCATTGCCACGCTAACCAGACACCTTAAACTAGGCTGAGAAGAACCTGATAAGCACAGACAGCAGAGAGGGACAGTAGAGAGTAGATGCCAAAGATTATCAAATAAAATACATAGCGAACACGGTAGACATAGCTATCACCAGCATAGACACGAACACGACACGAACATGATTGTACGTCTATCATACAATCCCTCGTTATGATGACAAGCCGCACTCAATATTTTCACATGGCGTTAAGGGTACATGGGGCTCAGAGTCGACCACGCAGAGCACTGAGGACTCATTCTCTGCTTTCTCTACCCCTCTCCTCCAAGGCCCGAATGCGGTGGTCCAAGTTTTGGAGAATCGCGATCATCTCTTGGACGGATTCAAACAGCATGAGCAACCGATCATGCGTCACATCGGCATGATATCCGAGCAAAAACAGGCGCTCGGTTGCTTCTGCATGGATATTGAATGCTGAGTCTGGCGGCTCCCCATGAACTGCTTGCTCCAGTTGGCCCACCCGGGATCGCAGAAGTGAAAGTTCATCGGGGAAGGGTCTGCTCACTGGGTGCTCATTCTCACGATTACCGTCTTCCCTAATTGAGGGGTCGATTCGATTGGAGTCATTGTCATCTTCCCTTTTGATAATGGGATCAGGGCATTGAGATCGTCGCATGATAGTGACACCCTCAGCGTGAAACCTCGTGTACCCCCATTGCGTTTTAAAATACCCATGCGGGTACTCATTATGGAGCTCACGGATTATATCTGGAATCCCCAGATCAATCAGGAGCTGGACAACGAGTTTTTCGGCAAGGGGCTGGATGTCAGACCCAAAACGCTGGAAGATACGGCGAATTTCGCTCCAGTATGAGATTGACACAAACTCTTGCATGATATCGATCAGGAAAGTCGACCATGACAGGGGAGGAACGCAATATTGAACGGCAACCAGCCAGGCGTGCAGGGCAATCTGGAACTCAATGGCACTGAAAGCCTTGATACCGTTTGTATAGCGAGCGAAAATGCCAAGAAGAACGGAGTTCACCTCGGTATTTCCAAGAATACGATATTCGTGATCTTCTTGGAATTGCATGCCCTCTATAACATGGCCCACGGCGGAGTTCAGTCTTCCTTCAACGCGAATCTCCTGTTCCATCCTATTTTGGAAGAGATTCTCTCGGGTATTCGATTCACTGAACATGAGGGGATGATCAATAATTTCCTGGATAAAATCGATGGACGCAACACAACGAGAACAGTCACAGCTTTGAGTGTGAGACGACATTGCAAGACCTGAAAAAGGGGATGAAAAAGATCAGTTTTGCGACGCTTTGTCTCATTGGATCGAACTTACTGAGAGTAAGATTTCAATAGATTTCAATATCAAATTGAAAAGGCGATCTGGAGTAAAGCACAACTGGGTTTGCAAAAGACGGTTAGATTGAGATGGTTCAGTGGAAAAAGATATCCTTCAAATACGCGTATGTGCCGGAATAAAATACGCCATGTGAAGATTGGGGGATAGGGATGGAAGAGAGGAAACAGTCGAAATCTCTCAGCTTGTTGTGCACAACGGTTACGTTCCCTACCTTCCAGGAACGCTCCCCGCCTACTTAACATGTATCTACATTATTATAGTATTCTTTCCCCTTTTGGACAGTTTGTATGGCACCTCAATGGTTATCTAGACAGGACTTACCTTGTCTTGAATATAAGAGGCGCCATACGCCCAGAAGTGTCTTCTATGAAGCTCTTGCCTTTAATGAAAGGTCCAACTTTATCTGTAGGCTTGATTGGAAAATTTGAACTTGTGTTATCTTCAATTTTCATGTGACACTTGAGCAGCCTAATAGCTAAACTTCATGTCCTTTGGGTGACCAATCTATCGATTTGAAGTTTAGAAGCTGCAGGTTGCCCTATTTGCGTGTCATTAGCCTCATGGAGAAAGATATCGATGACAGGAAACCATGAAAGGAAACGATTGACACAGATTTAAGATGCGGACAGCAGGACCAAAATGGGAGCAATAGATCTTTAGATAGGAGCAATACGATCAACGACAGAAGGGCGATGGAAAATAATGGCTTACCTTGAAGCATGGTGTCTGGCTGCATAGAAATCATTCGGTGATGAATGTACTCCGAAGTCTTTCAGAGGCAGCCCTACACCTCTCCAGAGAAGTGGAAAGCTCCAGAATCATCTTCCCCTCAGACTCGGCCATCTCCCGTGAGAAGTCTTCATGCTGCCATTTAAGCAATATGAATTTCTGAATCTTGGCCATGGACTCGGTATGAACTTCGCTGAGATTCTGCTGCAATGCCTTTTGGCCCACAGATTGGACCGCAAGGTCAGTCTCAGAAAGTTTTTCAAGCTCTTCGTATTCTTCAAGGAGTTCTGGAAGCCAAGCATCGAAGACCATATTATTCCCATCCTCCTTGTTGGCCATACTGTCACGATAATCTGCTTGTTTCCGATTGCGTTTCAAGAACTTAAGGAAACTTTCCTTGAACTGAAGTTTGATCTGATTGATTGGCAGAACTTCCTGTGTGTCACTTGTATTCATGAGATTACCGACAGGGGGCAAAGTTGGTCTCATATATTGACGTTGATGGGGTTCAAGGGACCTTGGACAAACTTTGTTAGCTGTGTGAGGGTTTGATAGGTCATAATAGCATTTTTACTCACGATGAAGGCTCCTGGCTTTGTGTGAATACCATCTCTTCATCGCTGCAGTTTGATTCAACCGAGGTTTTCGAGCTCCTCAAGCCATTGGACCGTTCCTGTAGGCGAGTGGATCTCTTGTTGGGCACGTCATGCTGGGTATCTTCATCTGGGTAAGCCCGTTTACTGCCTCGACCATTTGCGTTCTTCTTTTGTGCGTCATTCTGGGTGCTATCCGGCGCCTTGAGCCTTTCTGTGGGAGTCTTTGGATTGCCCATACTCTGGATAATGTCTGAGGCATGCTTGCTAGGCCACGAAAGATTCAATCCTTTCAGCTTGTCTTTTTCCTTTATCAACCAGTCACTCCAGCCACTCTTCCATATATTGTGACGTGGGTTGAGCTGTCTCCTTTGAGTTAGGTAAGCCTTCCAGGGCGGCAGGACCTTATTCAAGAGTGCATCTGATAGGTATCTGACACCATCTGGGTTCGTAGCCAACGCGACGGGGTAAAATTGAACCTTCAGTGTGCCTTTCGACCCGTTCCCAGTAGTGTGGAAGATCTCTGGATACTTTTGCCAGTCTGAGTCATTGGATTTGATCATGGTCCGGATTTGGCGGTCGGTAATTTCGCATTGGCTCATGGATGAGCTAGCTTTCAATCGTGTAGTCGCCATTCTGTAATGATCGTCATTAGCTTTAATTGCCACTTCTAAATAATATCATAGTGGACATAGCGGAAACTCACGAAGCGAGCATGTGGGGAGATGTAGGTTCAAAAAGGGGGAGGGGGACGAGGCTGGGGGGGAGCAAGAAACCGAGCTAAAGTGACCAGGGTAGGCAAACAAAGAAATATTGAATATGAGGATTCCCTCATCTAATAAAACTCAATTGTACAGCTTGGCCTACAATATGCAGAGAATGTTGATTGCTTCATAAGCTGTTCCGTTGCTCTTTTCCGAGGATATTTGCTTGTTGCGAGCCCCATCCGTATACTTCGCATACTTCGCATTCGTATTCATGCTCATATTAATCTTAGCGTGACTCGTGAATACTAGCGGTTTTAAATACCACGCTAGCCTTGTCGGGAGAATGGTCCCGCCCCACCTTGGTGATCCTCCATGACTTTCTATGCCCAACGTACAGCAACCATTATCCGACCGAGGATCTGTATGTAGCTAATAGCCGGGTCGCGGAGGCGGATGCGCCTCAATGTCCAGAAGTCCGCTTGATGAATCTCCCAGAGGGCTCAAGGGCTACGGCATATGGCTGAGGTGGCCTGGTAAGTACCCAATTTGCTACGTGTTCGTTTGTTGTTGCTTATTTGCTTCGCTATTTCTCTTAATTTTCCCCCTCTCATCACGTCCTTCTCTATCTTGGGAGGTATTACCTAAGTCATTGCATTATCGAGCCGTCAGCAACCAGCACGTAAAAAGCTTCATCGGCCTACGGCACAGTTTTTATGTAAGAAGTTTCCTGGACATAACCCTGGAGTACATGATTCATCACGGACCTCCAATCAGTCATACAGGTATCTCAATAGCCTGCTGCCACCTGAGCCTATTTTGCACACATTCTCAAAGCAAACCGCATCTCCCACACGCCACATGTACAAAGGAGATGTACACGTGAAGTTCTCCTGCACGTATTTCCCGATAGCGTTTCGTTCATCCCACTAAGGCTAACATACCGAAATCTTCAATAAGCTTAAGTGTTTCCCAAAAATCAGGTCTCCCGTGATAACCTCCACATTTTCGAAATTTCAATCTTGCTTGTGGGCACGAGCCACCTGGCGATCAAAGAGTGCTTTGACACAACCAAGCCTCTTATCTTTTGTTGAACAGTGTTAATTGCAGGCCCCAGGATACAATTAGTCTCCTGGTATAACAGTTTGGAGCTTCCAAGTCAATTCTAACTTGAAGACAGTCAGGGGCCAACTTCACGTAGTGTTAATATAGAGATTGCGCGTCTCAAGCTGTGTCTGGATACATTCTCCATAATTATTCTGGTCAATTGAAACGCCACTTATATCAGCGAAACGGGGGACTTCTGGCTATATATCCACCGCAGAGTCCAGATTAATATATATGACTCCGGTCTTCCAAGGTTTTCCGTCCGAGGTCGAGTGACCGGTGTGGGGTTGCGACATCATGACCCTATATTCAGAATGCACGCACATACGGGATTTAATTAGCCGAACTTAATGTTGGCGCATGGCAGTCATAAAACCTTAAAGACTTTTCTAGTAAATAAAGTGCTTAATCAATACTGAAGATATGACGTTCATAAGGCTATTATTAGCCCCATAATCCACTTTCATCTACTTGAATCGCTAGGTGATGAACGCTATGATCCTTTTTTAATTAGTTTGCTATTGTTCAGGCCATTATGTAGCATTGATGCATGACAGTGACCTTGTGGAACATCGTTTAAGTGTGGGGACTCTGCCGATATTTAGTGCAGACGCACAAGTGATCATAAACATCCTAGTCAGTTGCATAATGGGTAAGGCGAGGGTGGGCCAGACTAGTCCTGCAACACGGCCCCACCAATAAAAGCTGTCTTATTATGTATGCCAATGCAGATCATAGACCTGCGGCGGAGACTTTTCTGACATTTCTCCGGCCGCTTAGACAGTGGCGTAACCACCCGCAACTGCAAGTCTTTCATTCTCACTATGATGAAATCTTTAGCTTCAATTCCTATTCAAAGAAAATTTCCTGAGATTTAATTCTTAGATTTAAAGAAATAATTTAACTGAAAGAAATTTCTAGCGCTAAAGCTTTTTTCCGCCACGTGGATTCTATGCTTCACATCAGATGTTTCAGAACTTCCGACGAAAGAGTGGCCTCGGGCGCTCTCTCCGCCCCCTCTTCTTCAGGCTACGTAGGGCTTGCATGACGCGGGGCATGAATACTTCTGTTTCCCGGGGTCCGGTCTAATGATGCAATCCACGGGTGCTGGAAACTATTCTTTCCGGTCCCGTGTCTCTATGCCAAAAGAGGGGGTATAAATGTTGTCTCGTCTGTTCAATAGACCAGATATTCCTAAGAAACCAAAGCCAATATTCTCCCACTCTTGCTCAAGAGTCTATTTCTTTTAGCATCTGTGCCATGGCAGTTATTCCAGGCATGTCCGACTACTCGGGCAGCTCGCCTTTCCACCTTGGCATCACACTTCTACTGTCCTGTCTATCAATGGTAGGTACTTCCTCTAGCTCATTGCTTAACTCAATCAGATGGACTACTTGCTCAACACTTTTCATGGCTTAGATGCCCATATATTTGATCGGTCTCGTCGTTTATAATGTCTACTTCCACCCGCTGGCCAAGTATCCAGGCCCAAAGTCCATGGCAGCAACACGCATTCCCAACATGTATATGGTCGCATCCGGTCAAATACATCGAGTTATAACACGGCTACATGAAAAGTACGGTCCTGTTGTTCGGGTTGCCCCGAACGAACTTTCTTTCGTCACCAACGGCGAGGCCTGGAAGCCAATCTATGGTAGTAGACCCGGCCACAGCCAAAAGCCAAAAGATGCTCTATTCTATCAAGAGACCATCGGTGGCTTCCCTAGCATCATTTCTTCCAATGATGCAGATCACACTCGCTTCCGTCGCTCACTATCTCATGCATTCTCCGATGGTTCTCTTCGTGGTCAGGAACCCATCATCAAGGGCTATGTTGATCTATTAATCCAGCGGTTGCACGAGACCATAAATAGGGGAACAATATCCGTGGATGCCGTCTCGTGGTACAACTTTACCACTTTTGACATCATCGGAGATCTAGCATTCGGTGAACCATTCAACTGTCTTCAGGACTCGAGCTATCACCCGTGGGTAAGCATGATATTTGCAGGTGTCAAGGCCGGGGCTATAATCAGTTTGGTTCGCCGCGTACCCTACCTAGAATCTTTGAAACGGCTCTTCACTCCTCAAAAGCTTATGCACGCTAGACTGGACCATCAAAGATTGACCAAGGAGAAAGTCCAGATTAGAATGGGAAAATCAAATGATCGGCCTGATTTCTTTGCAAACATTCTCAAACAGAAGGACCCGTCTAAAGCATTCAGTGAGGGCGAACTATATACCAATGCAGATCTGTTGATTATCGCTGGCTCGGAGACCACTGCTACTTTACTCTCGGGAGCGACATATCTCCTGCTGAGAAGCCCACGCGCCTTTGCCAAGCTGAAGGAGGAGATAAGAGGCGCCTTCAGGTCTGATGCGGATGTTACTCTAGAGGCCTGTAACCGGCTGGTTTATCTGCAGGCCTGCTTGAATGAAGCGTTGAGAATGTACCCGCCGGTTCCTGTTGGATTACCTCGTGTTGTTGATGCTCAAGGTGACACTATCGATGGACATTTTGTACCAGGAGGCGTAAGTTTGATTGATTTTGTGTTCTATCATTTTGAACACAGTCTAACACATCTATAGACAACTGTCTCGGTCTCTCACCTGACAACATATCACTCGGAGAAGAACTTCAAGGACGCAAGGCACTTTTTACCTGAGCGTCATCTCGATGATCCTCGATATGCGTCTGACAATAAAAATGCACTACAGCCCTTTAGCTTTGGTCCAAGGAATTGCATTGGTCGCAAGTACGGATCTTCATGCGTCTTTAGCTGTTTCAGAGGCCTTGCTGACATCCATTCTTCTCTATAGCCTTGCGTATGTGGAGATGCGCTTGATACTCGCTCGACTGATTATCAACTTTGAAATGGAGCTTGCTGAGCCCGACTTTGACTGGATAGACCAAAAGGTGTATACTCTGTGGGAGAAACCGCCACTAATGCTCAAGCTTCTTCCAAGAGATATAGCGAAGTCGGAGAAAGCTTGATCATGGAGCCATCATTATTTCTGGTGTCATTTTCTTCTGGTGTGCAAATTACGTTTGATCTTGCGACTATCTCTTGGGTGCATAATTTTGAAGATATAGCTCGCTACAGAGAAGGGATACTATTTGAGTTCTCAAGCCTCGTCAATTTACATTTGATAAGCCTTTGGCCGAAATTCAGTCTACAAATCTTGTCAAATATTCCCGTACACTTTTTAGGTGGGCTTTGTTGCTTACAGTGGTCTAATTATGAAGCGTAATTACCTTAGAATTCCAGAGGATCAATGTTGAAAGGAGATTATGTATTTCTTGATCAATGCGGCTGAAACTTTTGTTCAATATCATACAGCAGGACAGCGATGTTCAAGAGCTCTAGAAAGTGTACACAATCCTGTATCCGAGGCAGACACGGAAATTAAAATTCGCGTATGTTCACGATCCGAATGTGAAAAGAGAAAAAGAATCACAAAGAAAGAAATGAGATCCCAGAGACATTAAACGCCACCCCGACTAGGCTTGCGGGAGATGCTTCGAGAACCCGACGATAGGGTTGATATGCCTAGTGTGTGCTTCGAATGCAACGCTTGAAAACAATAAGAATAGGAAAAAATCGAATGTAGCCGTGACAACGTATCCGTAGCTGCAAAATCACCTTCAAGCTGAGAGAAGCTCGGCTAGTCTGTGTCGGACTTGAAGCTTGCGTTATCAGGCAAGCCATCGGCTTCAAGAGCCTGGCCACGGATGCCAAAACTCAAGAGAAATCCGACGAAAGACACGGCCCCGAAGACACCAAAGGCCCAGGCTTCACCATATGGTTGGATCTTGGCTGTCAGTGTGAAGAGGCCTCCAGATAAGAAGGGTCCAACAGAGCGTCCAGCAGCAGAAAGAGTCTGCGCAAGGCCATTGAGAGCACCCAAGACGGCATGGTTCGGTGCGGTGTTGGTGATTAGCAATAGAGCACTGGTCAGACCACCTACAGAGGCGACAGTCTTAATCAGAAGCACTGAGCATAACTCAACAGCCAACACTATGTATTGGCGTGTGAATCCATCGCCGGTCTCGCCCTTGTACCCGACGAAAGGCATCAATAGGAAAGAAATTCCAAAGCCGAAAAGGCCAGCACGATACGACCACCGATTACCCATCTTGCCACGAAGGCGATTAAAGACGCAGATCTGAAAAAGTATCGTCACCAGACCAGCAAAGCCCTGAGACAGGCCAATCTCCCTTGGAGTGAGATTGCGTCCCGCTGGTGGTTTGGCTTGCGTAAAGATGGGGAACAAAGAATTGAATGAGACGTTACACAAGGCAAATATCAGGTAAGTCAATAGCAGTAGGACGGTGTCGCGCGTAAACAATTCGCTCCATGTCAATGGTTCGTGCAGCATGACTCGGTCAGAAATCTCCGAAGCCGAATCCAAGTCACTGTCGTGATCTTCGCCCTCCTCGGCTGTATCGGTATCGTCGAGAGTAGGGTTTGAAACCCGAAGGTAGGTCGGATGCTGCGAGAGTCCAGTAAATTGCCATAGCCAGGTGAAAAGATGGCGGACCTTCCTGCTGATCTTTTTGCCAAACTGAGGTAACGGCCCTGCGTCTTCCAAGCTTTCCTCCATGAAAAAGGCCGTCACTCCGAAATCCACAAGAAGGACAGCGGCAGAGAACAGATTCGGAGCAAGGTAGGGGTATGGATTCGCTTTCTTGGTGAATGGAATTTTGTCAAACACCAACAGCCCTCCTACGAGTGGGCCCGTTATACCTCCGATTCCATATAGAACGGGAAGGTAAGTGAAGGCCTTTGACTGGTTGCTGCGGTCTGTAATTTCGCCCAGACAGGTTGATACTAAGCCCTGGTTGCCATTTACCAGTCCCATCAGTGCTTGGACCGCAATTGCTTGGCCCAGAGTCTTGCAGAATCCGAAGCCAACGAAACACATTGCGGTCAGAAGGGTGCCGAGAAGTATGACAGGCTTTCGGCCAATACGGTCGGACAGTGCGCCCCAGAAGTAGTTTGTGGCAAATTGGGCTAACGCAAATGCCGATGCGATTGTTCCCACATAGACACCAACTTGGCTAGGCTCCACTTCGGGAAAGGCCGAAGCCATGTCTGGCAAATATGGACTGATCGAATTCAAGGCGGTTTGCTCAGCCAGAGCGATAAACGCCAGTACAGCCATCTGTTTCATAGGCAATGGGGACCGAGCTTGCTGGTGGCTAGGCGCCGGGGCCTCATTGGAAGGCGCACAGTCATCGCCGGGAGATCCCATCGGCGAAATAGGACGGCCACGCGACTTGGGTGGGGTTGTATCAAAGGTTTGGTAATGCAGGGTCGACGAGCGGCGACGGCCCTGGATGCGACGTTCACTCATCTTGGAAACGGAGGTATTGAGGCTAAATCGGAGTATTTCACAGCCTAACCAGACGATTGAAGGCTGGAGCACCGATCGTAGCCGCAATGCTGGGTTCGTGCGAGGTTCGTGGATGTGATCGCAATGGATGATTGCAGGGCTAAGGAAAGCGCAAAAAAGGACAAAATAGACTCGAAAGGGGTCTCAAAGATCTGCCGGAGAGAAAATGTGTCTTGAAAAGTAAGCTATGCACGAAGGTGAACCTTGGCCGGGGAACGCTTTGGGGATGGAATTAATGATGTAAGCGGCATGCGGGTCTCGCTGAGTAATCGCAAATCTAGGCAAATCGTATGAATCGTTGGATCATGAGACCGCATCGTCAATACGCTGAGATTTAGTATAAATGATACGACGTGACGACGAGGCTGGCGAGCACTACGATTCACAAATTACTGTCTCTGGCACAGTATAACCCTAGTGTGTGACGCCGGGACAAGGGCAATTACCGCAGGCCGAGCTTCCTGGCATCTATACCCGATATCAGTGGCTTCAGTCCTAACCGTTATTACGTTATCGCCCAGGGTGGGGGTTCGTGGAGAACCACTAGGCCATTTCCACCGGCTGTCTCTATTGTAGCTAGAATCCCCATTTATATGCCGCTATCACGAGTAGGTATTGGGTCAGGTGCAGTCATCACGGTTCAACTTGTCTGCACGCATGTTAAGGTAAGGAAATGCATTGGAATTGTGGACTGCGGTGTATCTAATTGTAATTGGTTGGTGTGCGGTTTTCTCCAGCCTTACCATGGAAATCTGGGGATGTGAAATCAGTAGTCATGCGGTTCAGTCAATCCATTGCCCTGATTGGCTGCCCCTTTCACCAGGAGAAGTCGCCTCTTCCAAGGAAGGGGCACAGTATGTTGTGAATGTTCGTGAACTAGGTCGTATTTCCCTAGAGAGAAAAGGTTTTGCCCAATCGCATGATCATACCGTTTGATGACGCTTTATATCGGCGCTGACTGTCCAATAATGCTGCCTTGGTAATCATATTACGTCATCGGGCTATATGGAAGGCGAGATAGATCGTAAATGAATACGATTTCAGTCGGCAACGGTATTCTACTAGAATATAACTATCGCCAATAAATCTCATTGTTAAGTCTTTGGAGTTTTGGTGGTTGAAAATCTTCATACCTGTCAGGATCTATCAATCATGTCGGAGATTATGCGGAAGGTTGAAAAGGTCGTCCACGGGCACCAGTATGAGACAGATGACACGGGTCAAGGTGATTTACACGATTCAGATTTAGCGAACAAGCTTGATCCACGTGTTCGGACGGAAAATGGTGAGTACTGAATCAAAACCATCGGGCTTTCTCCTTTGATACCCTAACGATCAAACTTACAGGTGATGCCCATTCGCCGCAACCCACCACTGTCTCCAGGGGTGTTCAAACATCCGGAAGTATCATGACAGATGGATCCACGGGTGCCGAAACGACTGATGACGCCAACCAGGATGATCAAAATGATTACTCAGGAGAAGACTGCAATACCCAGAATAAGTCGGATGCAAGGCCAGTAAGGCCTATCAAACAGGATACCTTGGTCGGTTGTTGAGCATACTGTAGGGATTGGTGAGCCTCGGAAGGGACTGGAGAGCAATGCTTGACTTGGTGACCCTAGGGGGCCCACAATGAGAATTGTACTGGATGTTTTGCAGCCCAGAATGGTATCGCATTCAGAAGCAATACTGGAAATTTTCGGATTGGTTAAATGAGATTTAAATATATTTTATTCAAGAGGGTTCTTGTAAGTATTTGATTCCCGGTAGGCCATTATTCTTCTCATCCATAAATCACGGTTCTGTTACGTCCAGTGCTGCACGTACGTACAGGTGCCTCAAATATATATTAATACTCCAACCGCAAATTACGAACAATGTCGGGAGAATAAGCTCAAATTCGGCAGGCGGTTATTAAGACATTATATATTCTCTACACGACATAATTGCATATTTTTCAAATTCAAAATCGACCTCTTCCGTGTATGATGATCGCAATGTGGTGACTTAAGAGATTGGCGGCGGTAGAAGAAAAGATTGTGAAAAATGAGATTATAATACCAAAACATGGAAAATCAACATCAACCAGTGCCAAGTGGTCGAGCGGAAACTCGACTATTTCATCTTCCTTGGTCTAGTGGTCATGATTTCCGCTTGTCATTAACACCGATAAGCGCGGGAGACCGGGGTTCGATTCCCCGAGGGAGAGATTTCTTTTTTGTCTTTTTGGTGTTTTCAACGTGCTGATCGGGCTAGTGTGAAGAAACCAAGGCCTTTTATTATGCAGCATAAGGAACCGTGCATGCATCCTTACTAGTGAATATTCTATAGTAACGATAAAATGAAATATAACCGTGGAGATCTGATCCCCTTAAAAAGGCTTTGTTTGGTCTGATTGACTTGTTTCAAACATCTCTTAGATGCAACCATCGGCAGATTGCTTCCGTCAGGCTGTTCTATCCATCCATCATATTGTGGTTCCATATAAACGTAGAAGCGCGACATAGAAACTTGTAGGTGGACCGTACGAATCAAGCGCAGGCGCTTCTATTGAACAATCAAATTGTCGCATGAAGCCCATCTTATACTCGGTGTACTTGCCCGTCTCAGGCAATTTTTTGGAGCTCAATACCGCGGTCAGAGTTGTGAAATAACTTTGATAGTGTAGCCCTGCATAACGGTTACTACGCTCAATCAGAATCTCCACTACAATGTAGGCGGTTAGACCTGTCGGCCGCAAAAGGAAATGTGGGGCCAAAGAATTTTCAGGAACTCAAAGCATTATTGGGCATCCATTTTCAACAAGGCCGGCTGGCCCAATGGCAAGGCGCTTGACTACGAATCAAGAGATTGCAGGTTCGACCCCTGCGTCGGTCAATTTTTTGGACTTTTTGCATCCGCTATGGTTTTTGTTTAAATGAGTGGGTAGAATTGTGTTGGTAGGTGGATCGGCTGTGCCTAAGCTTCCGTAACAAGCCTCCAAACCACCTATACAAGAAACTGGCATATTTCTACGGAGGGAGCCAATGATTTTGATTGAACAAATTACACTTTTGCTTTACTGGTCACATACCCAAAAAGAAAGCAAAAAGAGAAGCTTGTCAATTCTCGGAAAGCTCGTTGTTTTGGCAGTGTGTTAGTCCGAAAAGACTACCATCGCTCGCCGCATGAGCATGAGATTACGCATATATTGGACTATCAACAGTAGCGCGTGAGACTACATCGAGGCTCCAGTATGAATCGCTTTGAAGGCTCGACTGAGGTAGGAGATGCAAAAGAGAACCGTGTCAATCACACTTTTGATTATGCTGTGAGTAAGGGACAATCATATATCACTCGGATTCCAAGGCTAGAACTATCATTTACGAACTCTAGTATCTTCCATTGACACATTCGGTTAAATCAGGGACTCTAAATAACAATTGAATTCAGGGCATCTCCTTTGGATCTATTAAAAAAACCAAGAATCAGTGGTGACTGCTGAAAAACTGAGATCTATACAACGTGGAGTATCAGAAGGCCTGTCCAAAGTAGTTGCTCTGCTTGCTAGATACAGAATTATACAGAATTGTATTTTATAAATCAGCAACATCCAAGGCATTGAACAGTTAAAGAATGCGAACCCTAGAGGTTATGTGCCTCATGTGGGTTATACTGACTGCACTTGTGGAGTTAAAAACGGCAGACCCACACGATCTCCACTCCTACCAAACTGCCATACGGCACACAAAAGTGAAAGTGAAAATTCAGAAATAAAAGACCACTTGAGCCAGATACCATTAGTATCTCTATTTAGGTGACAAGAAATTTAAGCTAGATATAAACCAGGTAGAACGCGGCCTATATAAGCTAATCCCACCTCCCCGGACTCAAAATGATGAGCACAACCGAAGATTCTGTGGCCACCAAAAAAATCCACAATGTGGATGTAAAACACCAAAAAAATTGACCGACGCAGGGGTCGAACCTGCAATCTCTTGATTCGTAGTCAAGCGCCTTGCCATTGGGCCAGCCGGCCTTGTTATATGATACCGGATGGATATATGGTTATATCAGGGCTAGCTAACCGACAAGGTGGAATGGTGCGCTTGCGCAGCATATCCCGGGTAGACAACATGGCCAGTTGACAACAGAATACAACACAATCACAAAGCCTTATGAGTGCAAGTTGCTGAAGAAATGACATCGAAGTAAGTTCCAAAGCCTTGAATTATTTCCAATCAAGCTCACTACACTTTTATACCAGCGACCTTCAACGTTCCCCACCCCTTGGCCTTGACTATCTTGTATAGCAAATTCCATCTTCGACGAATCAAAGAAGAAATACATGTGCACAAGTATTACAGGCTACAGCAGCTGATATAAGTAGTCAATATAAAAAAGTAATGAAATATTAATGGGTACCTGCGTAAATCAAACTTTTCTTCACATCTCTTAGCCTTGACTCGCAAGTTAGAAGCCAACTGGTATGAATGAAGTTTACATTTAACCTTTCATTTGAACAAGATCTATAGGCCCTGCTAGTAAAATAGCCCTATGCCTGATGACTAGCTCCGTGAGCAACTTGCTGTTTCCTATAGACACAGAACCGATCTTGAGCCAAGTATTATCTTTGTGACAGGCGAAGTGGAAGGTCCCTTCATGGCAACAATTCTCAAATTCTTCACAAATCTCACACATTTTCCACCTATAACAACACAGAAACCTGTCATTGTGTCGTATTGCGAAGTATGAATTCCAAAGAGAAACACGACTTAGACGGATATTGGCACAGCACCTTTGTTCCTTAAATATACTCGTTTTATCATATACCAATTTGATTGCTACCCAAATAATGGCGTAATTAGATGATTTGAATTGTTGGATCAAATGTTCATTCCTGATTACGTAGCAAGGGCTACAGACGGTATCACAAGAGAGAAACACAAAAACATATTGAAAGGTATAAGTCATAATTGCATATGATCACTTCATCAACAGGTCCACGGCCCAAGGAACACTCAGTCCACGCAAATCACCATAATGCTGTCCAACACCCAAGAAGACAATGGGGATACCAGTGGCATGGACCATGCTAACTAGCGTACCGACCATATCGCCCACGGTATCACACTTGCTGATGATGAAACCGTCCAGACTTCTGCCAGTTCCAAAGGCCTGGTTGAAGTTACGAGCCTGCATAACACTGTCTGTTCCAACCAAGGCCTCGCCAACCATGAAGATCTTGTCCGGGTTAGCGAACTTGGCAAACTTCTCTAGCGAAGACATGAGGCGCTGGTCATTGTGGCGTCGGCCAGCGGTGTCAATCAAGACAACGTCGAACTTTTGGCTAGCAGCATAGTCGACTGCGTCCTTGGCGACGTTGGCGGCATCTTTGCCATAGCCCTTCTCGTACAGCTCGACTTTACCGACGTTCTCACGGGAACTGAGTTCGTTCAAATTGCGAGCATGGACGCGGAGTTGCTCTACTGCACCTGAACGGAAGGTGTCACAAGCAGCAATGAGAACTCGATAGTTGTTCTGCAAGAGGAAAAAGCAGATCTTGCTGAGATTGGTGGATTTGCCAACACCGTTGACACCAACGATAGACATGACATAGGGACGAGGAGCTTGCTGTTTAGTGGTCGGGGCGGTCACGGCATTGATCTCGCGTAGCAGATCCAAGGAGGATGTTGGAGTCAGGATCTTCCGCAGGGAAGCTTCCATAGCAACACGCAAAGCGGCATCAACACTCTGGAAATTTGCGGTTTTCTTGCCAACCAATTCGCGCTCCACACCTTCGCAAAGACGCACAGCAGCTTCACGAGCCACGTTCTTCTCCAGAAGATGATCCTCCATCGCCTTGAGCGGCTTCTGGAGGTCACCCTCCGTGAGTGTCTTACCACCAACAATGTTGCGGAATAAGCCTCCAACGGCGTTGAAGCCAGAACCCAAGAAGCCAGAAGACGTAGTTTCCTTGCTCTTTTCAGCATCAGCATTGTCCAGTATGTTGTGGACCTCATCTCCCAAGTCCTTCAGGACAAACTGGCCTTTGCCAGTTTTGCGACCCCAGTCTTCCGGCGCGACAGCCTCTACTGCAGGTGTAGAAGTCTCCGCATCACCAGCTGGGGCAGAGTAATCTAAAATTTCCCCATCATCCTCGTCAGCGAATCCGCTGTCGTCCCATTTACGCATCTTCTTGGCAGATCCCTTTGCAGGCTTTGCCTTGCGCGAAACTTCATCGCCAGACGAAGCATTGGCGCTCGCATTCGCAGCTTTGCGCGAACGGCGAGAGCCTCGGCCGCCAGGTCCGGCTTTTCCGGTGAGGATGTGGCCGGCAAGGGGAGTTGAAGACCTAGAAATATCAGGAGTTGCCGGTGGCGTGCCCTCGTCAGAGGGAGCCCCGGCTAGCGCAGCACCAAGCTGCGCTGGAAGATGTCAGCTTTTATAATGTCCAAATTCCGTGAGTCATTTTATCCATACCCTTCATAAGGCCGGGGATCGGCGGTGGTGGCGGACCTCCATTATCCGATGAGACAAGCGGATCCTTTTTTTCTCCGGTCTCGACGGTATAGGCCTCTGAGGCACCGCCGGTATTATCCTCGAGCTCCCGCACTTGTTGTTCGAAGTAAGGCTCGAATCGGTAGGTGGTGATTCTGTTGCGATTGCCTAGGAGCTGATCCTTGTAGACGTCGGTGAAAATCGTCGAGATGTTTTCCAGCAGTTTATCAATCCATCCAAGGTGGAGCAATGATTGGTAGACAGCCTGTAGAGAGCGTGGTCAGTCATGCGACATATGATCGACATGCGATAAGCGGGACATACGACGAAAATCAAGTTGAACTCCTTGACCTGCTTCCATTTGAGTGTGTATTTCTCCTTCTTGAATGTCGGAGAAGCTCCTGTAGTCAAGGCGCTTTGCGGCGCAACTTTCTCCTCGATAAAAACGTCGTTGATCAGGCTATTAATGACATGCGACCCCACAGGAGCGTAGGACTTGGACCACAGCACCACACCGGAGGTGGTTAAGATTTCGAAAGCCTCAAGCATTTTGAAGCTCGTTCGAATGTGAAAAATTAGAGCGAAACGGGGGTATCTGTGGAGAAAATGAGTGGAAGAGAAGAAAGTTCGTGGTGGCGGACCGGGCAAAAGTGATGGTCGAGAGCTCGGAGACACAACGGGATCTTCAGCCACGTATAAACACTTCTCTCGACTTCCACCTACCCTCCTCACCCCCCAAACTCCGCCCCCTCGACGCAGCACGCAGTCATTTGACTCACTTGGTGCTTTTATCTCTTCTCTCCCCTGTCTCATCAGGAGCATTATGTATCGGGGCTCTTTCGCACCGCCGCCCGCGCAGTCGCCGCCTCTTCACCACCCCGTCCCGCAGCATGTGTCGACCGTGCCTATGATGCGCTCACCACCCCCACCTACATCTCAACAGACCCCTAATGCCGGATATGGAGGTAATCCATACCAGCCCTCGCCTGCCCAGGGTGGTAACCCAAATTATGCCGGTGGCCCCGGCTTTGGTCAATTTATGACCGACCCAACAGCCCAGATGGGTTTCCAGGTTGGTAAGAGTGCGATGATGGCAGGACAGGAGTATATGGAAAGCAATGTAAGTCTATGGAACTCACAAGCTAGCCGTCGCGTGTCTTTAACCCTCTGCCCATAGTTCAATCGCTATATTTCCATACCAGCCCTGAAGCACTACTTCAACGTCTCCAACTCCTACGTCCTGAACAAGCTCATCCTCGTCCTATTTCCTTGGCGACACAAGCCCTGGTCCCGCCAGCAAGCCCGAATGCCCGCTTCTGCCGGCCCAGATGGCCAGATCACGCAGCAACAATACTCGTCCATGTTCCTGCCACCGCGAGACGATCTGAACTCACCTGACATGTATATCCCCGTCATGGCTGTCGTCACATACATTCTGTTGTCAGTATTGTTGGCCGGGTTCCGAGGCAACTTCCACCCGGAGCTGCTGGGCTCGATCACCACCACGGCCATCGCGGTTATCGTCTTCGAAATTCTTTGCTTGAAGATGGCCATGTACATCCTCAGCATCAACAATGACTCGCAGCTGCTGGACCTCGTGGCGTACTCGGGATATAAGTTTGTAGGTATCATTGCCACTTTGGTTGCATCAGAGGTCCTGATGCCTGGCCGCGGAACTGGAGGCTGGGTTGGTTGGACGGTCTTTATGTACACATTCTTGGCGAATGCGTTCTTCCTGGTCAGTTGATCTATAACCCCCACTCGTAGGCGATACTCTTTTCGTGACCTACGCTGACTACTTTGTATTAGCTCCGTTCGTTGAAGTACGTCTTGCTCCCAGACTCGACCGACTCTACTATGCAGACTGGCATGCACACTGTGGCCCGGGGACAGCGTAACCGTCGCACGCAGTTCTTGTTTGTCTACTCCTATGTCATTCAATTCATTTTCATGTGGATTCTCAGTCGGGAGGGTCCGTCGGCGTTGGCATCGAAGGCAAGCTCTTGATCAGTCTAGGTACTGTGGGGAAGCTTCATTTTGGGTATAGACGGGAACAGGCGGGGGAGGTGTGGCTGGTATGGGCAGGATGGAAGGCTGAGGAGCAGCAGTCTGACGTCTTGGGACCATACTACACGGCCTCAATAGTCACGATATAGCACGACTTATTGTAATCAAAACTATTCACACGTTCAAGCAAGTTACTAAGGGTATTATACATATGTAAAGACGAGGATAGACTAGGAAGATGAAGGTGGTCATAGAGAAGAATATTGTATTTGAGACATAAGCTAAACTGATGGGCATTTGGTCGACAAGTGAGAATCCTATAAATAGTCAGAGGCAGGTCCAACTAGAGCATGAGACAAACAAAAGTGTAGCATGTGTATGGTTCTCAGAGATCTTGGTGATAAAGGTAATATCATTGCCAGAGGCATCAATTACTATCTAGGCGTGATAAAGTTTATAATCATTGAACCGGGGGTGGATGGTATGGAATGAGAAGAAACGATAGTGAAACATACCCATTGAGAGATCGATGTCGAATTTTTGTAAGGCGGGAGACTGGCAATATCTAAAGGTCTTCGAGCAGTCAGCAGGATGCTCCAGCAACATAATCAAGTATCACAATGGTTTGAGAAACAAGGAGTCAGAATATGTAAGAAATTAAATATCAATCCGACAGAGCTGCATAAGAAACCCCGGCGAGGGTTCCACAGACACTGGGTCAATCGCAAATTACCGCATCATTCGAGGTAGAGCAGGTGCAAGAACAGTTTCAACGATAAAACGTACCATTAGTGTACTCTGTATCAAGCAGAGACGTTAGTTGTGCATTGTTGATGATTTGGAGTGATTTGAAGTGATGAAGAGCACCATTTTGCTCATGAGATAGATCATGAAGATCAACTAAGTATTGAAGAAGAAAAAAAAAAACGAAGAAAAGCAGCGCGTCGGAGAAATAGAAAGTCCGACGCGATCTGGGTCGCTGACATAAGTGAACCCTAGACCAGCCGCGAGTGGCCCGCTAAGCGAGAATTGTGTGGGCACATCCGAAATTCGCAGAGCCAACTTGGACTATCCGACTTTCTTCGACAACAACCCTCCGACTCATCCTAACCCGTCGACCGTGAGTGTGATCGCATGCACATCAGTTAAAAGAAACAACCGCTGAATTCGTTAAATTCTACAGACAGCCTTCGCCATGGCCGATATCGATGTCAAGCTCGCTTCGTGGAAGTTGGTCGAGGTTGGCCGCCTTGTCCTGATCCGCAGCGGTCCCTTCGCTGGCAAACTCGCCGCCATCGTTGAGATCGTCGACCACCGCCGTGTATGTTGAAAAATCCGCATATCCCAGTCGTCAAAGTCACCCCCGAAAGAGTCCGCGAAAGATACACATGTGGGACACAGGAGTCCACCAAGAAGAGGATCCTCTCGGGGAGGCGCACAGGCGACAAATCAGTTGAGAAATGTGTTATTGACTGTCTTTTCTGTACAGGTTTTGGTTGACGGTCCCTCCGGTGAGGAGCAGAAGATCGTGCCCCGTCACGTTCTTGCCCTCGCTCACGCCACCCTGACTCCCTTCACCATCCCCCAGCTTCCCCGTGCTGCCGGTACCGGCCCCGTCAAGAAGCTCTGGGCTAAGAACGAGATCGACGCCAAGTGGACCAAGAGCAACTTCGCCCAGAAGACCGACCGTGTCCAGCGACGGAAGAACCTCACCGACTTCGAGCGCTTCAAGGTCCTGCGTCTCCGCAAGCAGGTACGTTCACGATGATCTATACATGAACTGGGATCGGCAGATACTCCACCGATCCAGGTCGCATTCTACTATTCAACCCAGCAGCATTCTAACTATTCTACCAGGCCCGCTACGAGGTCCAGAAGTCCTTCGCTAAGGTCCGGGCTACCAAGGCATAGATGTTTTACGACGGATTTGGTGCATAGGATGAAGGAGGTGTCCTGGGATGGTTTCCATGGCTGGAATTATTGCCAGCAAAATCGCTGTATGCATTAATCATCTACAGCAAAAATGATTCAAAATCCTTGATGTCCCAGCAAGGCCCCTGTGTCATTGTTTTGCGTTCTAGGCCCGTTGGCTACTTTTTTTTTTCTATAGAATCGGGATTCTTTCCTGGGCTGAAAAAGAATCAAGGAAAGCAAATCTGTGTAGAACCCAAAAGTTCTGTGTATTCCAATGTAAAATGTCAAAAAAAAAATCGAAAATAAATGTACATTTGATTGTAATAGTAAAGTGACGTTGCGAGCATATACTGTGGTCTATCTTGCATGGGCACAGTTATAGGGCAATGTGTGGGAGTCCGGGGTGGGTGTAACCGCCTCGCTAACGATTTTCGGTCAGTCTTGCCGCACAGCTCACGGCTTCTTCGATCTTACGCCTTGACAAAATCCACCCTTTTCCACCACAGCTCTATATCTGTTTTTCAGGTGCGTTGAATGGCTCTATAGCCCTCGAAATCGAATTCCCACAACCCGAAATCGTCATTTTCCGCCCGTTGTGCGATTCCTGGGCGGGGGTTGTTCGGTTCTCCCACTATACGCCCACCTCCCACTTCCCACCATCTCTCGCCCACTCGATGCTTAAATTGAGCTTCCACTAACCTTGTACATCGATTTCCGTCTTCTAGAATCCCTCACATACATTCACAATGGCCGACCCCCGCGTTGAAGAGCTTCCCGATGAGGAGGTCCCCAACACCAACGTTGAGAGCGACTCCGAGTCCGAGGGTGAGGTTGAGCCCTCTATCCCCGGCGGTGCCTCTGTCATGATCCACTCTCGCAACGAGAAGAAGGCTCGCAAGGCCATTGCCAAGCTTGGCCTCAAGCACGTCCCCGGCATCACCCGTGTCACCCTCCGCCGCCCCAAGAACGTATGTGCATATAGTGTGGTCATTTTGGTCTCGAGAAGAGTGCTCTAGCATTAGCGCACTCCTCCACCAATGACCTGCAGCCAGCTCCATGGAAATTTCCTGCCCGGGAGACTAATTCGATTCTCTGCAGGTCCTCTTCGTCGTTAGCCAGCCCGATGTCTACCGTTCCCCCAACAGCAACACCTGGATGTATGTGATCGCTTACGCAACCAATGTAACATGAAATGAAAATACTAATGCATCTTTTCAGCATCTTCGGTGAGGCCAAGATTGAGGACTTGAACGCCCAGGCTCAGGCTTCCGCTGCTCAGCAGCTCGCTGCCGCTGAGGCTGCTGGTGAGCACGCTGGTCACGACCACGATCACGACCACGAGCACGACCACGAGAACGAGCTTGGCGCTCCTCTCGAGCCCAAGAAGGAGGATGAGGAGGATGATGGTGAGGAGGTTGACGAGACTGGCCTTGAGGGCAAGGACATTGACCTTGTCATGGCTCAGGCTAGTGTTTCCCGCAAGAAGGCCGTCAAGGCTCTGCGGGAGAACGACAACGATATTGTCAACTCCATTATGGCTCTCAGCATTTGATAAACTACCCTTAGCGTGAATAAGTCGAGATTCTCGTGAGTGGCTTGGGTTTTGCAACCAGAGTTGCCCTAGTGTAAACAATTCGAACTCAAAAAAAGAATTGAACGAACCCAAAGTGACTTCCAAACCTGCTTCAAATCCGTAAAGTGCTCGAATAAGAAATAAATATCGTATCCATCACAATCAAGGGATCTAGTGGTGTCATGTATACAAGTGGCCGATGCTCGGATGCCGGGTGGTCACGTGTTTCCCGCATCCAAACCTTTCCGAGTCAAACTCGCCTGTCCGGCACCTCCCTGCACATCGAACTCTCCCCCCTCTTCCCTCCACCACCACCCCATATCTCCTCCCGTCACAATGGCAGCTGTACGTTCTCCTCCCTGCTGATCTGCGCAACATTCTCCGTCGGCCCGGAACCAACACCCGCTAACCCCCCTTACCCGAACAACAGCGCAGCGCCGCTCTCAAGGTCGACTGGACCAAGGTGACCAGCTCCCTCGGTCTGCGCGGCCAGACCGCCGCCTCCCTGCAGGCTTTCAAGAAGCGCAACGATGATGCCCGCCGCAAGGTCCAGATCCTGTCCGAGCAGCCCCAGGCCATCGACTTCGCCCACTACCGCAAGACTCTCAAGAACCAGGCTATTGTCGACGAGATCGAGAACCACTTCAAGACCTTCAAGCCCGCTTCCTACGACGTCAGCCGCCAGCTGAAGGCCATCGACGCCTTCGAGGCCCAGGCCGTCCAGAACGCCGAGCAGACCAAGGGCAAGGTTGAGGCCGAGCTTGTCAACCTCCAGAAGACCCTCGAGAACATCGAGACTGCCCGTCCCTTCGAGGACCTCACTGTCGTACGTATCTGTGGTGTACAAAATCTGTCTGGGTGTATTTACTTATCACTTTTTGTGTTCAGGACGAGGTTGCCTCCGCTCAGCCCGAGATCGACGAGAAGACCGCTTCCCTCGTCTCCAAGGGCAAGTGGATGCCCCCGGGTTACAAGGTACGTACAGCTCCGGAAATTTACCGCTTTCAAAGCGGAATACTGATTATTTTTTCGTTGTGTAGGAGCGCTTCGGCGATCTGTCCGCTGTCTAAATGTTGGACATCGTGTACAACTTCATTTATTCCCCGCCTCATCTCACTGCACAAGATATTTGTTTGGTGTCAAGCATATGGCCTTTACGCCCGGTTTCGGTTAGATTCCCATCCATGGTGCGATGGGGCGGCTGGGATGTGTATAGAAACAATTCAATTCAAATGGTTTCTGCGTTCTCGTGAACAGAGGCTTTCTTATGTCGTTTTCAAATTTGAACTGGTAAAACTGTAGTCCAGAATGTTAATGGTAATTTATTTAAGAATGCTTCAATCAATCAAGTTCCAAGGTTTTCAAGATCTAACCTTGGAAGGTTCGGATGATGCTTGTATATATTTTGTCGGAATATATATGCAGGTCCACTTCAGCATTCAAACACCGAACCCTTGAAAAGTCGACAGGCAGTTCAAAGTTTGTAGAAATACATAAAAAAATAATTACAATCAACCACCCATACAGGAAATCCAATTCAAAGCTAAGTAACAATTGAAGCGCATATTCCAATCTCGCACCTGGGCATGTCGTTATCAATACCATGCCCAGATAAACTCTCCGCAATCTTCTTCATGTAGAGATATGCACTCTGCACAACTAACGACAACCATGGACAGACCTGAATCCATTAATTCCGCGTCGTCTCAAAACAAAGCAGCCTCATTCATGACACGATTCATGTTTAAGCGGCATAATGCCAAGACCTGTTGATTCAAGTGCTAGCCTTATCCACTCCCCCTCTATGACTTCGTTCCGCCGTACCCCCACAACAGGAGACACTGTAATTCGACATGCCCACGCTGTCATCAACACACGGTGGACCTTGTTACCATTAAAATGAGCCAGATTCTATCCCAGACCACAAAACTCCTTCGCCACACTTGCAGCGTTCCCCCCGGTGTCTACGGGTGTACCTGAACAGTGACGAAACCACCCCGCAAAAAACCCAGGCTTACATAGCATCTATATTTGCCTGATGAGCACCACCTCTCAAACACCACCTTCTCAAGCTGTTTACCGCAGATGGTTCACTCCGATATACTGGCCGACCACCCGCGTTCGTGCCTGGAGTCGCTCCCCGTAGAGATCATCCAATTGATCTTCCTCCACAGCCTAGAAATCAACCTCCCGCGTGCCTCACCGCATCTGAGTCGTGCCCTATCCAGCCCACTCCTCTACACCTGGCTCATCCGCTTAGTCTTCAGCTCCACGAATTCAGGCTCCCGGAGTGGATTCTTCACCCCAGACTTCTTACCCCCACCACTCGATTTCTGGGATCTATCATGGGAACAACGGCAGCAGCTACAAACCACCCTGCTCGCATGTCGATGGTGCACACTTCCGCTGATGCGAAAATGTCAACGTGAATACGTAGATCATGTCATACGACGCAAGTGTGCAGATCTACTATTTTCCCCAGAAGACGAAGAGACAATTAAATGCCTAAGTCCCCGATTCGACGATCTAGAAGTCCATGATCGTCCGCGCATGAATGATCGCCGTGGAAAAGGCGATCTAGTCTTCCACGCCCAACTGCCAGAAAATCAAATCAAGACTCAAGATGCAACGAAACAAAGACACCGAGCTTCATCATCACGGAGCAATATCGATCGCAAGGTCGCAATCTGGTTCCACTATGGTGCAGTACAGGTTCGTGAACCAAGCGACGTATACTACGAAAACGATCTTTTCCGTCTTCCTTCCTCCACAGCAATCGGCCCCGGTCGAATCCCTGATAAACTACTGCAACCTCCGTGGTCTGATTCGCAATTCGATTTCCTTCATCTCTTGTCTACGGACTTTTACATAGATGAAGATGAGTACTTGAACGATCGATCGAGCGAGATTACAAGTCGGTTAATACGCAAGCGGAAAAGCAAGCCTTTTCGTCAGCTGCTGCAGATGTCATTTCGCGCCGCAAATTGTCGGGTCCCGGCACCGTGGCCGTTACAGAGCTCACATTATCACTTGGTTAGACGGTACGCCGAGGGGGAAGGGGATCCTTTTGCAAGGGCCATTTTGGAGGAGAGATGGGATGATTTAATGGCAAATGTGGAGGGGGATTTAATGCGGTTTTATGAAATGCAGGCTGGGGTCGAGATGACCTAAGTTGATATATCATATGTGGAGTATGGTGATGCCCGAGTAAATATGATGATGACGCACAGTGCCAAGAAAGGTTGCTACTTGGACCCTTCAATAGATTCCAGGCCCACATGAGCACCTGGATGTACATTGCATTATCAAGCCCTTTACGTATGCTACAAATCAAGAGAACGAACAGTATTCAGTGTTAAAAATTCAGTAGCAAGTTGAATTTAGCTAGCCTCATGGACGCCTGGGTATGAGATACAAAGGAAAAAGAAAGCAGGATATCCCAGTCGCAACAAATCAAGAATCAAGAATCGTAACTCATAGCCGCGAGGGCATGGTGGTCATGATTGATCAAACCGCCGCCCTACGACGACGGCCGCCGCCTCTTCTTCCGCATCCACCGCAAGTCAGGCAGGAGATGATCGCATCGAGGACGGTGACGACGCCGTCAATGATAGCGCGGAGGACAGCACCGATGGTATTGACGATGGCCATCAGGCAAGCGCCGATGGAATGGAAGACAGCTTGGACCTGTGAGAAGAGTAATGTTAGTAACGCGACCTTGAGATATGTAGGCCAAGCAAGGGGTAGTGACGACATACACAAGATACAACGCAACCCATTTTGACGGAATCGACGCGTTTATTGTGTTGAGGTGTGTAAAGGTATAGTTTGAGGTGGTTTAGGCTTCGAAATGGAGATAGGCGTTGAGCTGGAAGCAGTAGAGCGGACAGATGTATCACTGAAAGGGCGCATATTGAAAAAAGAAAAGAGGCAAGGAGCCTGATATTTATCTAGAAAGGGTCCAAGGTGAAAAAAAACCCGGTTTGCAGCTCAGCCAACGAGATCGTCAATCGAACCAGCGAGCAATTTCGAGTGTCGTAAAGGTACGTAACAATATGGCTGAAAGGGGATAAAGATAGACAGAATTGGCAAGCCACAACAAGCTTGACGTGAGGAATGATAGGGCTGAGCAGCTCTGACGTCGTTCAGGGACTTTTCGTTAGGCAGGAGAGAGATATGTGCAGGAGGAAAAAAGGCTTTTCCAATTTTAACTTCCAAGGATCAAATGGAGAATGATCAAAAGATCTGCTTCTGGTGACAGGTTACCGGTTGGATTTAAGCCTATTCCGTCATCTCGACGCTGGACCCGGGTTGCTTCCTTGATTTGAGGACGATCCTGGTCTCTCACGACCGGCCTCATGTGGTCGCTGTCGCCCCTCTGTGGCTTACTTCGTGCATGAACATGAACTATCTAGGTGCTATGCAGGGTAAATGAGCTCCAAGGGGCCTCTATCAGGTTCGCGAGGTACACTTGTTCCTGTGAAGCTTTATTCTGGTTGCAGGGCCGCGACCGTGCTTTTGCTATCGATGACATCACCACTCGAGCTTCTAGAATTGCCGTTTTGGGACGTGAAAGTGGGGGTAAGTCTCACCACGTGAGACATTCTGCCCTGAAAATTATGTAACCTGCGGTCGGTGTCCCACCAATCACAGATGGCTACTGCTGGCAGGGGTAGTCACACGTGACCTCGCTCCAGTCAATGATAATGTACGGTGGCCATACAGCTAGAGGACCAAAAGAGGGCGAATCCTCATGCTTCTGGTGATCACTTGTCATTCACGTGCAGGTGGTCAGATTTTGCTGTAGAATTGAGGATCGCCGCATGCGAATGGGCACCAGAGAGCAAAAGGCAGTACTAGCAGCAGGTCATATCTAACGCCCATAATTGGTTAACATGAAGAACAAGAACCCACAACCATACGTCAGTTTGGAAAGGGTCTATCAATACTGTTACAATTTGCATAATCATGTCATCGATACCCGATTTTAGAACAGTCCGGAACGGCCCGTGTCCTGAAATATCACTCAAAGTGGGTATAGGGGCGCATACATACCCACCTGCCCAGTTGATTCAAGATACCCACCTGCCCAGGGTATCATCGCCCACCGCCTTTGGCTCTCCACTAGAGGAGGATGCATAATACTAGAAGGATTAGCACTGGCTTTGCCCAATCTAGAATTTGTGCCATGGCATGATGACTTGCAAATTTAGCCATGGCCAAAGAAAGATTTCCAGGCCATCTTGGACCAATGTGGCCTCTTTATTATCCTTAACGAGGAATGCTATGGCTCATTCACCAAAGCTGCGGAATTGTTCACAAATAATCAGTGGGGAGGATGGGGCAGGTGGAAGGGAGAGCCAGCATGCCAGAGTCCCAAAATCGAATGACTCTTATCTCGACGGAGTACTTGGAAAACCTGATTATATCCTAGTAGATTGATTTAATTCGCGGAAGCTTGGTAAAAGTCATCAACGCTTGTTTAGTGCGTCGGATTGGTTTGCATTTCCGTAGAATGCGCGATTCAGACATTTTAGGAAGACGCGTATTTCGAGTATAACCCCCCGTCTTTTTCAGAATCCAAATCCTCTCTTTTACTCTTGTTCTTGGTTCTTTTCGCTAATTCTTGTCCTTGTAAGCCCCATTATATTAGGTTCATATCTGAACGTACCCATCGTTTAGACTGCAAGACAAGACATCAAACGAGGATGAGTGACGATAGTTGGTTGGATCAGGACTTGAGTTGAAGTAAAGGTACATACATTGGGTTGGAGTCTCTAAGATTCCAAACACACATGGAGAGTTTAGCCAGAGCGATATAGGGGATATATAGCATTTTAGAGTATCCGTGCTGGCGTTCTTAGATCATGACAATGCAGCCGCTAACGGAACCCGAGATCGGCCGAAATTCCGAGAAGTTAATTTCCCCGCAACGAAGAGCGACTTCCCCAGACAATTATCCCCGCAGATTCACTTTTTACATGAGCACCGGTAGCATCGGCATTTTCGATTTTTCGGCCATATTACTAGCCAAATTTGCGGAGATATCCCACAATCGTTGGAATAAAAGTTCCGAACAAAATGCCGCAGTGCATTGATGAACAAGAAAGTGGGAAGCGGGACAAGTATACTTCTCATGCATGGTCAGTTCGGCTACCATGAAGCGGAGATCCGCGGGATCTCAGTGCTGATTGTTTCACAGCTATGAATGTCATAGACGGAAAGTAAAGGTTTGTTGACTACCTGGTTTGGTTGACTAAGCAGGAAAGAGATGTTGATGGAGAACACAGTGTTCGGGCGGAGTGATGTGTACGAATTGTGATGCTAGAGGCATGGAATGCACATATGAGGAGTATAAGCCACGGGGCCGGAAACCGAAGAAGCGTACCTTGAACTCTGTGGAGTATGCTAAACCCCTCAAAAAGCCAGTTGTGTAGCTGACGGTAGATTTGGAATGAAAAGTGAAGGAAAATGCCCTAAAAGGAAAAGGCAATCCTCAACAATGATGAATCAATTGGCTCAACTGCAACAAAAGGTCGATGACTTATACAAGAATCGCAATGCAACTCCAAACCTGGACTCCGACAAATCCCAAGCATTATTGTCGACCGAGAAATCTTCACCATTCAACGGACAGCTATCCATTGAATCTACTAGTCAGCCTTTTGACAGTAGCCAGCATTTTGGTATCTTTCAGCCAACAGACACTTTCGTTACAAGCACATCATCACCTGGCTATATCGCATCAAGCTCTCAGATCCGGGCCCTTCGTGGGCTCAGGAACACCAAGCGCTCCTCAGAATCGGGCCATAATCCCACAGAAAAGATAATCTCGGTCAAACTCCCAGAGAAATCCATTCTATGGTCCCAAGTGGAAGCTTTCTTCGAAGAATTCGGATGTTTCTGGCCATTCTTGCGCGAGGAAAAAGTTCGCCAACGATTATCTGCGGTATTGGATAACCTTGACTATGGGGATAAGCAAAGGGAGATCAAAGTGACCGCTGAAAATTGCAAGATCATTGCAATATTACTGAATATGCTGGCATATGCATCGCTTATGACCGAGCCATATACATCTGAAGACTCTACACCGGGATCCCAAACGTACTGCAAAGGGCTGAGTCTAATGGAGACCTTTGCGAAGCTGCATGATAATGATCTGGATACCATGATCTACCATACACTATCCGCAGCTTTCTTCCTCGGGGCAGAGAAGCTACAAATGGCGCTGCAAAGTGCCTCACAAGGATTCTATATTGCGCGTCGCACCGAGCTCAATAACCAGAAACAGTGGCCCACAAATGTACAAGACGAGATAGTCTGCCGGCAGTCCTTGTGGTGGACGCTATACTTCCTTGACAAGCGGATTACACAAAAGATTGGAATAACATATTCCGTTCGAGAAAATGAATGTGGTGTGAGAGACTTCTTCGATGCAGAAGACGATCGTGGCTTGCAGGATCATCATCAGCTACTCCAGAGCATGATTGCATTCAGTCAGCTCTGGTCATATATTTGGGATTGCTTCTTCTCTCCACGGGCCTTTGAGAAGCAGGATGATTGGGAGGACCTTGAATTGACAGATACCCGGATTATGTTGGCTTATCGCCGACTACCTTCAACGCTTCATTGGAGTTCAGAAAATGTTTTCAATTATATGACCGAGGAGAGCGAGAGGCATATTCGTCGCCGGATTCTTGTTTTCCTGGTAAGTCATTAGGAAAGATTCAAAAGGGGATATCCTAATTTGCATGACAGAGATTTTCTTTCCTTCGTTTGAGCATTCGGCATCATACCTTGATATCTGATACTCACGATTGCCAGCGCCGTGAATCGTGTGTCTCTCTCTGCAAGGGGATGGTCGATGCGGTGCAAGCCTACACTGATACATTCGGATGTCCCAAGCCAAGCGGCTACTTCTTAACATCTGCTTTAGTAGAAAGCTTATACTGGGTTGAGCTTGAGCGTCGGCAAGATGTTCCGATTCTTCCAGAGTCCCTCCTCAATAGCACCAAGTCTCTTGCCACGAAGCTACTTCGAAATCTGTCATCCGAAAGTGGAGCGGCTGCAAGAGCATACGAAGCGTTGGGTGATGTTCTTTCCACGGAAAGTTTGGGGAGTCTCCACCTTGGGAATTTTGATGAGCTGATAGAGTCTCCGAGATACATGGAAAACATGTTTGACCTGGGAGAAATGTGGAATGACAAAGATCCTTTCTCATTGGACTTTGGTGCAATGATGACTGACTCCAAAGCTATTAGTGATCAGCATTCCAAAAGCACCCCGAGCCCATCTACACGAAGAACTGTGGAGACACATGGGAGCCATTTCAATCATTTTTCCGAGGACTTTGATTGGTATTCTCTGATGCAGTCACTGCCTTCGGGTGAGTCTGACCCGCTCGATCTTTTCTAGGTGGTCTATTACTAGGAAAATAAACAACGGACAGAATCAAAAACCAGATAACGAAACTTATTCAACCAAGCAAATTATAGTTTGGGCCCCAAAACTCTCTCTTTGTCACTGTTTGCAGCCTTGTTTTTTAACACCTTCTTCAAGACTTTCCCTGTAGTATTTCTTGGCAATGCATCGATAGCTACCACTCCGCCCCTCAACCTTTTGTAATTTGATACTTTGTCAGACACGAAATTGGAGATCTCCTGTAGGACTGCTGCGTTGGAACATCTACGACTATCTTCCTTAAGTACTACATACGCGCGTGGAAGCTCGGTGTCTTGGCTGGCAGACCAGATACCAATGACTGCTGCCTCTTCAACCAGTGGATGTTGAATTATAATGTTCTCCAACTCGGCTGGTGCAACTTGAAACCTTTAGAAAAAATGGGATTAGACGAGAGCTTTGGAGGCCTTGCAGTTGACTTGCCCTTTGTACTTGATCAATTCCTTGAGCCGACCATAGATATAAAGATACCCTTTGGAATCTAGGTAACCTAGATCACCGGTACGAAGCCATCCGCCTTCCAAAATTGTTTCGGCGGTCTCTTTTACATTATGCATGTAGGCCCTAGCACTGTATGAGAACTGGCTGGCGCATGGTGAGTCCAGGTAAGGACACTCACATCATAACATTTGGCGCTCGACAGACAATCTCTCCTGGACCTCGAGATCCAACATCCTTGCCATCTGGATCGAGGAAACGTATCTCGGTATTTGAAATCACCGCACCCGAGGCAGATAGCGGAAGATCCTTGTCTCGTACACCGCTCTGGACACATGGACCAGTCAATTCGGTGCATCCATAAGCTGCAAAGATATGTTAGCGTACGACTTAACTGAAAGGCTGGAGGAAAGAAAAACAAAACAGACTTTGACACAATGCAACGCCAGGAAACACCTTTCGAAGCTTCGCAGCTGTTTCTTCCTATATTGATAGAAGTTAGAGAACGAGGTAACTGAAAAAAGCTTTGGAAGTAATACATGCAACGGGGCAGCAGCGCAGCTAAAGTACTCCAAGTCCGGGTATCGATATTCCCTAACAACAGGGCTCTCGGCCAGAACTCTAGCCACGGCTGGTACAATTCGTGCAAGTGTAGCCGATCGATCTTGCAACAAGCGGCAATATAGTCTCACGTCAAAGCGAGGCATAAGACAGACATAAGCACCCAGCCAGAGATTCATAGTAAAGCACACATAGAGCGCATAAACATGAGAAAGTGGCGGGAAAAATATCTCTCGCTGTGAGCCACGCCAATTTTGTGGGTTATCGGTCCGAAGCTGGAAGCATGCTGCCACGAGATTATAGTGTGACAGCATTACTGCCTTAGGAGCGCCAGTTGTCCCGCTCGACAGAAGGATTGCAGCGCATGTAGCCTTGGAATTGAAGCCAGCGATGGTGATGGGCGTGTGTAGCTCGAGGTCTCCGCTGGTATATGAAGATTGATTGAGTGGCAGTAGTGGCCATTCAGTATTGGGTAGATTTCCAATCGTGTATATAGCGAAAGAGGTATTGTTTTTCTCTAAGGCTTTTGGAAGCTTGTCGTAGACGGTTTCGTCAACCACCACAAACCGAGGTTTGATGAGATCGAGTGCATGAGAAATCTCGTCGGGGTGTAGACTGTTATTGATTGGGCTTACAATGCCGCCTGCCCACCAAACTGCCTGTGCTGTGAGGATATAATCGATGCAGCTGGAAGCAATGATTGATACAATATCTCCGGGCTGTAGAGACAGAGCATGGCGCAGATGATACGCAGTTTGACGAACTTGACAACGAAAGGGCTCATATGCGACCGTCTTTCCGGTGATGGCTTCTTCATAGATTGTCTTATGTGGGGAGATATTCCCGACACCAGATGCCATCAGTTGAGAGATGGATAAATTGTCCGGAATGTGAGTCCATGTTGGCGAGTAGTAGGTTGACATTTTGACATGTGGCGTATCGTGAAAGGCAGAATATTGCTGACCATTAAATCTAACTTCAATGAAGGATTCTACTACTAATGATGCTGTTGTTTCCAAACCTTTTACCAGTGAGCCGATTCTCGGAATATTGTGGGTGATACCACTCGGAATATTGTTGGATGCTAATGTACCGAGCTTCAGTTCCGCAATTTGTGAATTTCCGGCAATCAATGCAAAGTTCTCATGCATTATTGACATGAAACGATATGATCTAAATTACTTCATACATCATAAAATTCAAAAAGCCTTGATAAGACGAATGAGAACAATGATGATCAAGACGAAAGTTGAGTTCCGCCCGTGATGTTCCCAACTGGCGCTTCCGATACTTCCGTATTTTTAATAACAGAGTCACCTGGCGAGAAGCCTTCTTCAGGCAGACTGGGACTGAGTGGAGGAGTTAATGTGTCATCGTTCAACGTGATCTGATCCGTGGATGTTGAGTCGCCGGTCGAGCTAATTGAACGCGTAGATATGTCATTTCCACCGTGGGCCAAAGGCGACTCCGATGTAAGAGGATTAAGCCTGGCTGAATCTGACGAAATATGTGGTGGCAGCTGCTGAGTCGCATAATTGGCAATATCGGAGACTGTTGATCCACTGAGAATCTCCAACAGAGGAACCTCAACGCTTAGGCTCTTCATAAACCAAGAGCGAATGTCGAGCGCAACCAGGGAATCAACTCCTAGACCAATCAGTGGTGATATAGTATCTATGCTATCCATGGAAAGCTGAAGGATGACTGAGAGCTTGATTGTGAAGGCATCTGAATAGCTTGATCAGCATCACGATGTAGCGCACGTAAAATCATCCATAGAAAATATATACCCAAAATAACATGCTGCATGTCTTCAAGGCAGTTTGCCTCTAGTAGCTGCTCCTTGACTGACATGGGGCTTCCATTTCCCTCATTAGCAATAGTACTACCTTTATGGAGCTGTAGATGCGATAACCGGGGATTGTGAATCCAGGAGACCCGCGGATTGCTGACAGGGTCAACGTCCCTTAGTCCTGAAATGATTTCATGATTGCCTCCCTGAATGACTGGGCTTGCCAATACAGCCTCCGCAAAGTTCTCGAGAAAATCGGACTCAGAAATCGGATACAATCCGACATCGTCGATATCGTCTCCCGAAAACAGACCCGCACGGGTGATATAGCCAAGCCCAAGAATTGGGCCCAGATTCATGACAGATGCTGGGAGGCCACGACTTTGTCTTTGAGCAGCAAGAGCAGTGAGGTATGCATTTGCTGCATTGTAGCTTGTCTGACCGCCATTTCCAGTGATGACACCAAGGGACGAAAAGAGGATAAAGAAGTCAAGACCTGGATCATGGAAAAGCTCGTCCAGATACCTGCTTCCGTTGACTTTGGGTGCAAGTACTTCATTGAGCATATCTAAATTTGTGTTCATAAACAATGAGTCCCTGAGGACCATAGCTGCATTGGCCACACCAGCTACAGGTGGTAGGTCCGCAATAATCTCGTCGTACAATTCACGAACTTCTTGCTTTTTGGTGACATCGCTTTGAATAAAAAAAATGGTTAGCCCTCATGGTCTGAAAAAGGTTCGTTGTGGCTTATCACTTACGTGGTGTAAATATGAATTTTTGCGCCTTTTCTCTCTTGCGCGTCTAGCCAACTCTGTTCTACCCGTGGGTTTCGGCTTACTAGCACAATGATGCGAGCCCCACGACTGATCATCCACTCACATAGTAACTGACCGAGGTCAGTAGTCAGACCGACTAGCAAGTAAGTTTTGTTGTGACGTAGGTTGACATGAGCAGTTGCCGGCTGAGCTTGTACAGTCACTTCGGAACTTGCTTTCCAGTCAACTATCAACTGAAGATTATGTCCTGGGATCTGTTTTGTACACTCCTCTGGCGATTTGAACATCATGTTCCAAGCTGAATGTGCAGTGACCAGGATTTCCAGAGCAGCAGTCACTGCTGTCGTCAAATCCGAGATCGCAAACTCTGAATCCTCGCAATCCAACATAGAAAAACCAGCCCCAGTGCCAAAAAGATCACTTGAGTATAGCTTATTGCATTTAGAAGGCAGACAGGCACGGAGGCAGCTTGCAAAGCCACCGGGACCCCCTTCCGCAGAGAAGTCTACAAAAAGTTTTATGTTTTTGGGGATAAGATTTTTGATGTGATGTACCATCGCTCTTGGAGGTATGATAATTTGCCTTGCCTCAGGGTGTGAAGTTGGAATATGCGCAATCTCAACAAGCTCTATGCTTGTCTTTGATAACGTGCGAACGAGCACAGGAAGCAGAGCCCGTGGCGGCTGATATAATAAGATATTGCCCAGGCTGGATGAGCTCTGTAGCAATACATTGGCAATCAACTGCCAGACAACCGTTTCCAAGACTTGCTCTCCGGTAATCGTGTGAGTGCCGCAGTAAGACATTGCTTCGCGAGGGACGTGTAAGATTGAAGCGTTAGAACGTGTGGGCACAATGAATGCCTCGGAGGTACCTTTGACCACGCCATAGGAGATGTAAGCCGAACTGAACGATGGGAAGAAGACGGCGGATAAAGTTGACTTCAACACTTCAATTGTGACTATTCCCTCTGTCTCCCAGGGCGCCGGATATCCCTCAGTGAGAATATAAGATGTGTCGCGCACCTCTAGATGAACAGGCAATGTGGCAGCGTTGGCTCTACGAGTGACAATTCGCTGTCGAGTATTATAGCGCTCGTTGCGAGATTTGTCGTGCATCACGCGGGGAATGTACTCATTGCCGCCCTGAAGGTAGATCTCCGGCTCAGACGTCCAGAGCAAATTGTCAAGCTGTCCTGTCTCTGCCCAGTTACCGAGCGCACACAATCTTAATAGCAGTTGCGCAACATAGAGAGAATCCATAGCTTGGGGATCATTGATATCGAGAAACTGAAGGCGCATGTCAGGCATCTCATAGACCAGAGATCGACCAAATCCAATGCTCATATTGTTATAAGGCTCACTACCCTGGCTGCCAGATGTCAGCCAGAGCATGTTTCGCGTCCCACTGGTCATCCGTTTGATGCTGTTGAACTCAGCTTCGGTGATAGACTCGAATGTTGGATGATCCAAGTCTCCTAGAAAAACAATACTTGCGGGAATCGGTCCTGAAAATTGAGCAACATCATCGAGGCTCTTCACCATGGAAACCTTGATGAACTTTGTCGAAAGGACCAGAGACAGCCGTTGAACAAGCTTGGAAGTACGTAGGGCTTTCCCACCCACAATCAACAGCTCACCAAGATTACCCGCCGCGCCTGGATATGGATCGGGGCAGAAGACGGGCTCTCTTAAAAACTCCACACGGGGATCGATAGCCTGGGAAACCATGATAGAGACTGGATACAGCAAGGAATGCTTCGTAGGTGGCATGGCATCCACCCCGGAGAAGCCCGACTTGCGCAGAAGGTCATCCCACTGGGCTGTTTCGAGAGGTGGAGCGAATTGTCGCCCATCATCAAGTCCGCACCATAGTGCTGGTAATGCATTCATGAATAGGTGATCTCGAATGGATGTGCTGTTCGTGAGTCCTGATATAATGAGATACCCACCAGGTCGTAGGAGATTTCGAACCTTTGATAATGCCGCTTCAATAGACTTAGTGATGTGGACGATATTGGATGCAATAATGAGGTCAAAGCTATACTCTTCGAAGCCTTGGAGTGCAAGGTCCGCTTCAAGATCTAGAGTGCGATACCGTACTTTGCTGAAAGGCTCCCTAAATTGCTCCTGCGCAGAGTCAAGAAAACCAGGAGAGCAATTGGCGAACGTATAGGATGCGAACTGGAGGCCGGTAGACCGAAAAATATTCTCAGTGGTGATGCCAGTCCCAGCGCCTAGAGTTACGGTCAGCATGAAGAAGAAAACACCAACATCTAATCTCTCAGTCTTACCAAATTCCAAAATGTGCATTTGCGGAAAGCGATGAATGAGCCGATGTACAGTCTCTGCTAGCCAATTGTTCAAAATTGAAAAGCCCAAACCGTTGCGGTAGTAGTCATGCAGCATATTGCTCTTCGTCAGGTATTCCAGCGCTGTTTTTCCTCCATGAAACACAGATAAAATATTCTCTCCCACATAATGCATGATGTGAAAGTCGATGATGTGTGCAAATCTAAAGTGAAAACGAAGGAAAGATATGTTAGCAATGCCATATTGAATCCTCGGCTTCGACCAAACTTACTCTTTCCCCGCCTCCATGATATCTTCCTTCGTATCCGCAATCCACTCTTGTTTAGCCCAAATATGTTTGCCTGTTGAAACCTGATTCATAATGCGTGCTAAAATGCTCAAAGTGTCCTGCTGATGCAGCCAGGTGTCTGATTCTTCATGTGTAGCGACAGTCTGAAATAGCTGGCGAAGATAGTAGTGGGCAATCCGCTCTAGGAGATGAGCCAGCTGGTAGTCTTCCGTGAAAGCTACATGTTCGCCTGCACCCAAATCACCATCAATTGAAGATTGCTTGAGGACAATCTTCGAAAAGAGCCTTCGGTCATCCGCTTCAGTCATCGAATGGATTGGCTTTGCAGTGATACCTTCCATCTGGAAGACAGCATTCGAACCTCCTTGCGGATACACTTGAACCGTACCCTCGCTATGCATAGCGCCAGAATCCTTGAGCGTACCCTCAAAACACCAAGTTTTATCACGTTTATCATCCATGGTGGCAAAATATGGATTGAGACTGACATAGCGCACCGAGATTGGGGTATAAACTGCCCACAGGGCTCCATCACCAGGATAGCTTGTTGCCGCTAATACTGCCTGGAAGGCAGCGTCCAGGGTAGCGGGATGAATGACCAAATCTGTGGGTACCCTTCGTATCATGCCCGATGAATAGTTCCGTTTCCTCTTGAGGGAGACCATGCTCTTGAAATCTCCCGAATAGCCATATCCCACTCTATTAAAAGCAATGTAGAGCTCCTCAGTATCTGTCTCCACCAGATTTGGCACGTGGGAATGGATTGCGGGGAGCTCAGAAACCGAAGGCGTGCCGTATGTCATTAGTATCTCTCCCTCAGCATTAAGGACCAGCAAACTCTCATCTTTATTGATACAGGAATGGCAGAGAAATCGAGCATGCAAGGTATTCGTGACCTTGGAAGGTTTCATGATGTTGGTGAGAGTAAAGATGACTTCAATGCCGGCGGACGTGTCATTTAAAAGAATCCCATGGCCAATTTTGATGTCGCGCAACTCGAACAATTGGATGGAGCGTCCGTCCGAGATTTTCAGAGCCGCCTCCCAGGCCATACACATGTAGGCAGTTGTGGGAAAGACGGGCTGATCATGAATTTGGTGATGTTCAAGCCAAGGTATTTCCTTGAGGCGGAGAAAGTTTCGCCATTTGACTTCGGTTTCGGTCCTGCCTCCCAAAATTACTCCAAGTAATGAGTGACGTCCACCTTGAGGGTGCCATTTTTCACGGACGACCCTCGATTCAAACCAGTATGGGCGCTCATAGTTCCATGGATGAGGGGGAAGACCCCGGAGAAAAGCTCGATCAGCAACGTGAGGGGCCGCACCACGTTCAAAGGCATCAAGGTTCACAGCCGAGGGACCAAGAAGAGACCAAATAGACCCAAGTGTCTCCGAGAATGCCTCCAAGCCATCTTTCCCACGAGTTAAACATCCGATGTATGGAATCTCGTTTTGTGATAGTGCATTGAGAGTTTGTTGGAAAGGTCCTCGAAGTGCCGAGTGTGGCCCAATCTCAATGGCGATGTCGAATGGACCGGCGGAAGTCACTGCGTTCTCCACAGCTTCATTGAACAAGACTGACTGGACCATGTTGTCTTTCCAGTACTCGATATCAAGCTCTTTCGTGAACTTCACATGCCCAACGCTTGGATGCACACTTGACCACCAACGAGGGTGACCACTTCCAGGCATAATCGCTTCGACCCCACAGTCCTCAAGGGCTTGAACATACACCGGTACAATAGGGTTCATGTGATGTGAATGATAACCCGCCTCAACACGCAGTGGACGACAGAACTTCTTTGTTTCGTCTAAATGGAATTTCAGACTCTCGATCGCATCGATGTCCCCAGAAAGAGTCACGCTGACAGGCGAGTTGCTGGCTGCAACCATAGCCCGGTACCTATAATAAGGGTGACTGCACAGCTCTTTAGCCTCATCCAAGGAAATACCTGCTGCTAACATCCCTCCCTTTTCCTGATTTGGCCCAGCTGCGAGTTTTGCGAAGAGACCCCGGTAGTAGGCATTGCGAATAGCATCCGCAGCGGTAATGAAACCCGCCGCATAAGCTGCTGCGATCTCACCAGATGAATGACCAACCACTGCGGTGAGCTCGACATCAGCTTGTCGGAGTAAACAGACCAATATTATTTGGATGGCTGTAATTAATGGTTGGGAGATTGCGGTCTCGTTGAGGCGTGAAGTCTCAGGGTCAGCAAATAACTGGTCACGAAGGGACCATGATGGTTTGTCTACATCTGGTAAGGTGTCCAGATTTTGTTGGAGTTGGTGCAAAATTTCTTGAGCATAGGGTAAGTGCGCGATGAGTTCTTTGCCCATGCCCATCCATTGTGCTCCCTGGCCTGTGAAAACACCAAGTATCTTCTTGTTGGGATTCGACAGTGCGCGAACTCCGATTGCAGAACTGTTACTCTCTTTAGAGATCTCCAGCTCTGAATGAATCTTTTTACACAGTTCAATGGCATTGAGAGCCGAGAGTGTTGTGCGAAAGGGGAAAATAGACCGACGGACTTGTAGTGTGTAGGCGAGATCACGCATGTTGGTGTCGGGGAAATCTTGGAGATGCTCTGCTGTGCGACGCAGGACTGCCCTGAGGCTCTTCTCAGATGGGGCTGAGAATGTGAAAGGGGATAAAGGACTTTGGAAAGGAGCGTCCTGCTTGATGATTTGCGTCACGGGATTAAAGGACTCCAAAATGGCATGCGCATTTGAACCGCCAAATCCTGTACAATGAGCCATGTCAGCGAGAGAGAAACAGCTATTGACGCGAAAAATTACCGAAGCTATTAACACTGGCTCTTCTTGGACCACCATCTGGGATCGAAGGCCAAGGGAGCAGAGACGTGGGAATTTCCAAATTTTCGGCAAATGGAGCGACTGAAGAGCTGAGAGAGTTGAAGTGCTGGTTGGGAGGGAGATATCCATGTTGAAGAGCCAATGATGTTTTCAGAATGCCCGCAATACCTGCTGCACCCTCAGTGTGACCAATGACTGTTTTAACAGATCCAACGTACAGCGGACTCTCAATAGACACAGTATTATCTGCACCAAAGAAAGCCCTGGAAATTGCCTGTGCTTCCTGGGGATCACCAGCTGGAGTACCAGTACCATGAGCCTCAAAGTACTGTGGACGGTCGAGTACACGATTGAGATCTAGACCAGCACGTCTGTATGTTTGACGGATGAGATCTGCTTGAGCACTCCCATTTGGCACAGTGACTCCCTGGGTACGGCCATCCTGGTTGACAAAGACTTCACGAATGACACATTCTATTGAATCTCCATCTTTCAGTGCTGCACTGAGTGGCTTGAGAACCACAACGCCGATGCCTTCACCACGCGCATAGCCATCGGCTTCTGCATCCCACATCTTGGATCGACCGTCAGGCGCCACCATGTTTAGATTACTCAGAACTATAAAGTTACCTATAATCTCTTTTAGCTCCACTGTGTTTTCTATACTCACATAACGAAAGATTTACCAGGTCCAATAATCAATGAGGCTCCAGCCGCGATTGCCATTGAAGCATCCCCGTTCCGCAAAGCCTGCACTGCCAAATAGATGGCCATCATGCTTGAGGAGCACGCCGTGTCAATACTCATCGATGGTCCATGCCAGTCAAAAAAATACGAAATTCTGTTTGCATGCATACTACGCTCGATTCCTGTACCGGTGTATGTGGGCACAGACTCCAAGTCTTCGAGCAAAATGTCATCATAGTCACAGCTCATCATGCCTAGAAAAACTCCTGTCCGCGTGCCTCGCAATCCTTGAAGAGTCATGCCAGCTGATTCTATAGCTTCGTAAACAACCTCGAGTAACAAACGCTGCTGTGGATCCATTGTGTCTGCTTCTGAGGGAGGAATATTAAAAAACTTAGGGTCGAAGTCGCGAATGCCTTCTTCGAGGAAATATCCTCGTGCTGTGTTTGTCGTACCATGGTGAGCACCGTCGGGATGGTAAAAGCTTTGCCAGTTAAATCGATCCTCGGGAATTTTGCTTGACACATCTCGAGGCTGGCTAAGTAGTTCCCATAGTTTTGCTGGGGATGAAGATCCACCAGGGAAGCGACAGCCACTTCCCACGATAGCGATTGGCTCACTTCCTCTGATGTCCATCCTAAAGGTTTTGTCGAATAAATTACTCGGTGTCGATAAAACCCATCAAGGAGACATTTTTAAAGAGATTCAAAATGCTTTGCGCAAGGTAATTTCGCTTCCGTGGGGATTTATTATGGAATATACCTAATGAACTGCCCTCTATTCTCTGAAAGCCAATCTGCCCCACCTGGGCACCTGGGCAGGTGGCCTCGCCCCTCATATCTTGATGTTGATTCTGAAGCACTACCATTCAATAGGTTGGCCACCGGAGTTGGGCCCCTTCTAAGTGGCGAACAAAAAGACAAGTGTCGGAAGCGCCCGAATCCTGCAGACTTTCCCTACAGTCACATTTCTAGAGGCCTAGAACTGCCTAGTACCTCCTAGTGCCTCCTAGTGCCTTTCGAAAACCCTGAAAGTCTACACACAAGGGAATTGTGCAATAATTGGCACATAGTCAAAACATCCTTCGGGTACTAGTTTCAGCACTAGATCTTCGAAAGTACATAATATTAATTTAGTATCATATGACGGGCCAAAAGTGATTTGGGGAAGGATAAGTGATCGTGTGTGTCAACAAACGGGCTGTGCAGAACAGTGTAGTAACTATGCTGGGACAAACGAACGTTGCAGTTCGCCGCTGGAATGGTTCTCTATCGGTTAGCTCTGGCGTGATTCACTCGAACACGAGACGGGTCAGCTAGTCGGAGACTTTCCCAAAAGAGTCTAACCCTAAATAGCAAGGCAAGGCTGACACCAATCAGCGAGGTATGCCCGTGACAGCCTGCATTTTTGTATTTGCATCTGGTTTTGAAGTCTATGATAGTCGTCAGTGGGGGTTTAATAGAGCGGTAGAAGGAAACCAAATAGAAATGAAAAGCTCTTCAATAAACATGGGTCACTTGTCGCGTGAGTTCGCTGTGGCTCGAGCCTCTCTGGGGCGACTGTCTTCGGCCCGTAAGCGCTGGCCCATGGGTAGTGGGATGAATAATGCCATGGTCTTGCATTTCTAGATATGTCTCCACATCCGATGTTCTAAAATTGATGCGAGGCTTTTAAATACGATACTTGAATTATAAAGGGTGACATTCGCGCTATTTTGAGGTGTAGACTCTCCCTAAGATGACAAAATTAATGTCACTTTGATGTTATTTTGGAGATTCTCACCCCTAGAGCTTGGAAGACATAGCCAAGACCAGATCAGAATGTTGTGACTAAATGGAAAGGTCAGCATGGAGAGGGGAAGGACACGTCAGCATTCTAGGGTCGTGCAGTATTTTAGCAACAAATAGGTATTCCTGGGCATCCGGGTGAAGCGACTAAAGGAGCCGATGAGTAGGGCGGTAGGCGGGGTTTCCTCGTCGAATCAACAAAGACGGGTGGATACTAACACACAACATTCAGTCAGGACTCGTATGTGGGCACCATGCTACTAACTGACGTGTGGCTTATCGACGATTAGTAAACAGTGGGGTCTGGGGTGCCGCCCTGGGAGTTTAGGATAGGTAATACATTAGCTAGGTTATTATATAACCTCCCTGGTTATATATAGGCTTCGGCAAATAGGCCCCTAATAGGCCCGCGTTTCAAAGACTAATACCTGATTCTACCTAATTTTAGCCTAATTTCTATCTATTTCTATGTTATGAAAGAAAAGATGGTTACCAATATTCTAAGGCAGAAATCATGGGATACCTCAGATATCCCGAAACGGTACTGAATCATTTCTGATTCAGCATCTAGACCAAGAGTAAGCTCTAGGCTTGTCTAGAGCTAGTCCATGACGAAGAGATATTCAGAGTGAGATCATTATGAATCGCTCACTTAGCTCTCACTTCCTCTATATTAAGGGAGAAGAAGATTCTTTCTCTTTTGATTCTTTCCTTCCTTAAGAATTAGTTTTGAAACCAATATGATCTATATTGCCTTGGACTTCAAATCCATACCATATTAGTATTATTTTATATTCCTCTCAGATCTCCTTCACTATCTTCTTACCTGGCCCTTTTACTCCTTACACCCAGCCTGGGTCGAAAATCATAACCCGGACCCAACATTAGATCGAAGGTCTCGACCCAAAACCCAACCCAGCCCGGGTTGGGTCCGGGTTGGGCTAGGTTCTGTGGAAGCCTGTAGCTAAGTGGCTTTACAAAGAATTAGTATCTTATAACTGGAACGATAATTCATAAACTGCGGTACTCTGGTGTTTAGGAACTATTGGTATGGGTAGGATAGTGCTTATATCTAATGTGAAGGATAATAGGAACGACAATGGTGGAACATCGAGTCAATCACGTTGCCCCGCCAAGTCACGGGGTATCCACTCTTGGACCCCTGTCGAACCCACACAGCTTGGAAGATTGTAGGGGATCTCTGACTGATTCTGAAGGAATCAGTCTCTGTTTGGAGCGGAGGATATTTACAACGCAACGCGTATTCACTATACTTCCAATCCGACTCCAGTACTGTTGCGTCAATTTTACCTGACCTAAAACCTCAGCGTTATAATCAGTGTGGTGGCTTAGCTATATACGGTGCGTCAGAGTCACGAGATCCTATCCTACTACTTCTGTTACGTCGACATTAAAGCATCTTCATCTACGAGGAATATTCTTGGAAGTCTTGCTTGTTAAATAATAAATGTGTCATAGTGAGTATCGCTAGGTGAATTATACGTACTGCTCGATGCTCAATCCTCAAAAATACCGGTTCGCAACTGTACCGTTGCCAGTTGGCCTCATACGGACTTGGGTCTGTATTTCGTTTTTTCGAGGGCGAACGCGCCCCCGGAGATAATCATCGCAACAGTGAATAGCGTGAATCTGATTACGATTATCTCCATGCCAAAGTGAACACACGGCTCACAGCGATCCATAACCTTCAAAAGTAAAGGAAATGTGACCAAGATACCATGAGCTATGTAGTCTCCACCATCCGTAGGTTTTTTAGTACTGGTTGCTGGGGTTTGACTCATTGCACCCAGGCACTTGTTTACCCACATAAATATTCTTCACCTGAATTTTCAGCCCGTGTCACAAAATACGCCTTTACAGGCCTTTATAATAAGTAAAATGGCTATTAGTTAAAGGAATGAAATAAGTTGTCCAACCGCGGAAGCAGTTGAACCAGCTACTAGAGTATCCGCTGTGCTACCCCGCAACCTTGGGATCCGCCAGCTAGCTCTCGAAGGAGCCGTTGCCCGTCTCAGAAGGTGTACCCAAAGAGCAGGAAGATGAGAGGTCAAGATAGCAGCTTATTGGCTCCAGGGAAAATAAGGACAAGAGAGAGCTGCTTTTTCTCGTCCAAAAATGATCGTCAGCCACATCTTGAAATCCCAAAAGAATCATAGGAGACTCAATAGAAGGCAATGTTGTAAATGACCGTCTGTTCAGAAACAGCTTCCAGCGCGATTGGATATGATTAAGTTGAGTGCGTCGACTCAACGGTATACCCAGATATATCACATCACCCAGACAAAAACTCGCCAATGGCAGACAAAACCAATTCAGGTGCTTCCTCGGGTATGGAATGACCTGAATCAAGACTGTAGCCCTGTACGGCAACCCCTTGTGCCACCACTGCTTGCCATTCTTCAATTGCCTTGAAGGACTTCTCAATAACACCATGCTTACTCCATATAACCAACAATGGACATTGCACCAACCTATGATTTTTCATATCTTCCCGAGCCTCGTCTAGGTCCAATGAGGCACTCGCTCGGTAGTCATTGCACATGGCTTGAACAGTAGCAGGATCTTCCAGATTTTTAACATAGGTGTCGAAACATTCTGGGTCGAAAATTTTCAATCCCTCGCCAGGTCGTTCGCCCATCATCAATGCCATCACTTCTCTAGGACGTCCTGACAAGAATGTCTCGGGAAGCGGCGCATCCTGAATCAATAAGAACCAGTGGAAATAAGCTTTGGCGAAATGAAAGTCTGTTTTGGTAAACATCGCCAGTGTTGGACAAATGTCGATAAGAATTGTTTTTTTCACGCGACTGGGGAAGTCAACACAGAGTTTGTGCGCTACTCGGGCACCCCGATCGTGAGCACAGACGTAGAAAGAATCGGCGAAGCCTAGGCTGTCCATTACTGTAATGCAATCACGAGCCATAGCGCTTTTTGCGTAGGCCGACACGCCTGTGGGCTTGCAAGATTGTCCATAACCGCGAAGATCGATCAATATGACTGTGTACTTGTCGGTAAGCTGGGGTGCAATGCGGTGCCAGGCGTATAGCGTCTGAGGGAATCCATGTAGCAAAATAAGTGGTGGAAGGGAAGACGAGGCATCACCACTCTGCAGACCATGGATATTTATAGCTGGGTCTGCTTGAGTTTGGACCGAAAATGCGTTGAATCCATGAAAGAGACCCATTGTTGCAGGAAGTCTATTATCTGATCGAGTCTGACGTCGTGGAGTCTGAATTGTGTATGCGATTAATCAACCTTGCCTCTGACCATGTTATGCAATTGCTGACTAACCAAACACCGATAACTAACTAATCTGGGAACTTTGCAAGCACGGTGTCCGGCTTCAGCGACTTAATCTACTTAGAGAGCTACATGTGTCACTGTTACCCTTCTAAGACTATTACCGTCACGGTAGAGATCCACGCGGCCTAGTTTTTTCCATCCATACTCCTTCAAAAAGCCAAAGGGCAAAGGTATTTGCCCGGACAACGAAGAAGAACCAAATGTCTCTAATGATCTTCGTAAGCCCGTAAGGCAGGGGATAGGGGGAAAAAGAGAAGAAACCTACTGGTAAGTTCGGTTGGGTGGGGGGAGGTGGGGACAGTTCCTGAAAATTTTCAAATCGACGCTTCTTCAGCTCTAGTGGACGCCATACCGGGTCCAGCCGATCATGAAATCAATTTCGATTCTCGATCCTAACAAGCGGTGTGTACAGGTATCGCAAATGGTATTGTGTATTTAAAGTATCTAAATCTCCACCCGGGCATACTGTACAACCTCGGGGGCTTAATAAATCTCAATTTTGTCTGTTTCTGTAATCTGATTATGTGCAGATGCCTAGAAATCCGTATTTTTCTCAGTTTCCCACGGATTCTCACCAATTTCCTAGTTCTTCTGCGTCTTGCAGCACACCTGCATCGCTTACAGATTACGTTAGTTAATCTCTGACAGAAAGAGATATAAATGGCGAGTGCCTGGGATAGGATATCAGTTGGCTTGCAGCTGAATGTCACCTCTAAATTTGAAAATACTGCGAATGACCTTCATTGTAAACTATCGGAAAGCCCTCGGAGAGGGTATCTAAACAGGAACTTCTACTCCAGTGCAATTGTCTTTGTCCATTTGCAATTGCCGTTTTTATTGCCTGTTCCTTGAACCCATCGTCAAGGGACACTACTCGAGGCAAATTCATGGGTCTGGCCAATCAATCCTCCTTCATGTAAGCGCCTCATGGAATTTTCATCTCCCAGTACCTTTGGCCACTTGGTTTCCCAATCAATCAAGCTTTCGCCATTATCAGATACTAAGGATGGAACACATCCACGATGCTCCCTGAGAAATGGCACAGATGCGAGCTTGACTGGCACGCCATATTCCCAGACCAAAGTATTGACCGTTGATGACAAGATATGTACCAACCAAACGCACCTGTTTGCTCTCGTCACCATCCCTTGAAACCACATCGTAGACTGCTTGAGGAACAGTCCGTTGAACAATATATGAGGTGCGATCCGGGGAGATCATTGCACATACACAACCCTCTATTTTGCTTTGCCAATCTTCTGGGGACAGTTCATCGCCGAAGAGAATACCTGCACCTTTCCCGCCCCTTATGGGTTTCAAAAGAAACTGGTTCTTGAGATTGGGATTGATGCGAGAAATGTCAATGAACTGTTTCATTTCCAAAGAGCCGGGAACCAAAGTCGTCGAGATACCTTCTCGGAGAATTGTAGCCTGAGCCGGGGTCAGGACCTTGTGCCGAGAAACGAGCGAATCAAGTTCCTGAAGAATGAGGCCCAACATCCGTTTGTCGTGGACGAGAAGGATGGTGCGCATATCGTTAAAACAGCGTAGTGACAAATGGCGGAGTATATCAGTCGGCATTGCCCGCAATTCTCTTTGGCGAAGCTCAAGATTGACTTGGTGAATCTCTTCGAGTCGCTCACCATTTGATCGGAAGACAGTCGATGTCGACGAAACATGCGCTTCATCCGGGATTACACAACACAACTTTTGACCAAAAAGCGACACCTTGCACGGGACTAAACGCAGGTCCTCAGGTTTGATGAATCGAGGAGGTATCCCTGTCCGCCTTTCGACGGCCCAGGCCAACATTCCGATATCAATTCCTGATTCTTGCCCTTTGAGAAGATGAAGAGTCTTGGATGTGTCGAATAGAGTGAATAATCCATCGATAATCTACCGTAGTTTGATTTTCGTAAGCGTTTATTCTCCTTCTTTCTTCTTCATATCTTTCAACCGCGCTGAAACAACAACTGATGTCAGACTCACTTCTTCGCAGTTCGCAGCTCCCCGGAACCCCTTCTCTTTCGCACCCATATCAACTAAAGCCTGTTGGCCATAGGCGCTATGGAAGAAGCCGTTCCAGCAAAAACGAGCGTTGATCTCGCAAATGCGAAATTTCTCGCGAGTCTGTTTAGACTCGGTCGAATTGGGTACTTCTTCAATCAGAAAATCAGGCCGCCAGGATCCTAGGCACTGATCGAACGGGGGAACTGTTCCCGTTGGCAAGTTTTCCATCCACTGCAGAATCAATCAACAAATGGGGATCGATGAAAAAAAAACATTCGAGATATAATTTACTTTCAAAAGATCCTCTTCATAAGGCTCAAGCGGCATCCGACTCGGGAAATCCGTCTCAGGATCCCACCACCGACCAACAATATTCACAATTGCTAATGTGAGTGCTTCTTGGAGATCTTTGATTTGATCAATATGATCCTCGACATTCACCAGCATCGGATGAGAGTGCGAAGTGATAGAGCCTTCCGGCCATACCGAAGCCGGATTGGACTGTAAAATGCTGGTTGTGTATGCCTCGCGATCTCGCACTCTTTCAGAGTGACCCACTTCCGTGGGTGTTATTAACGCCGCATGATTACTTGCATCAAGGCATATTTGCTGCATCCCGATTCGGGGAATCTGCATTTTGAGACCAGTTTGTATGAATATAGAGATGAGTTGGAGGAGACGGATGGCCAGAAATATCGTACATCGTAAAGAGTGGCTTTTAACTTCGGCTAAGAGAATCACCTACCCATATAGGGGCTAGGGTTTCAATATGTGTAAATTACGTATGATACAATCGATTCCCCATACCTGTATGTCTGTATTGTAAATACTAAGGGGCGTATGTAAAGATCGGTGGCTAGCTGGAACGATGGCGCCGATCGATTGATAGATCCAGATTCCTCAAAATCGAATGTTTGTCCCATGAGAACATCTTACCGAACCGAACAGATTGCTATCTGATCAATTTCTGTATCATCTTTCAAGATGCAGCGATTAATACGTCCTCGCCCTTTTGCCAGTCAGTTCAACACCGTGAAGGTTATTTCGCGTCAGCATTCTGTTTCATCATTGACAACAGGTTCAGTATCATCTATTCCCTACGTTACGGTCCCGCACCCAGACATTGCCTCTCATCAAACTCACCTCTCTACTATCGATCAACATCTCCAACGCGACGCCATTATCCACATCAAACTTGACTTCGATGACCACGATAGCAACTACATCCAATCCCTCGTGAGAGGCCTTCACAAAACCAATGGTCACGGCCTACCGATCACTCACAGTGCTGACCGAGGATGGATGTGGGACATTCGTCCAACACCGGCAAGTCTTCAACATTGCCAGGCTCGATCCGAAACAATGAACGAATTCCCCTGGCATACGGACTGCAGCTACGAGAAATGTCCGCCGCGGTTTTTTGCCTTGCATGTTCTTCAACCGGATACATGTGGCGGTGGTACTTTGTCTGTTTTGAAAGTTGAGCAGTTGCTCGCTCTGCTCTCGCCATTCGCTAAAAAGTGGCTCTTCGCCCCGAATTATCGAATTGCCGTCCCACCCGAGTTCAAGAAAAGCCCAGAGGATCAATATATCGTTGGGGGCTTACTTGCGACAAGTGCAGATGGAAAGACATCTCAACTTCGTTTTCGTGAAGATATCATCACCCCGCTGGATAAACAGGCCGCGGAAGCCTTGGAGGAGCTAAAATCTGTTCTCCTTGGGCCAGCTGCCAATGCAAATACTTTACACCTGACGGCCCAAGATTTATCTCGAGGATCGATCATTCTCATGGATAACCGTCGCTGGCTACATGCGCGAAATCACGTCAAGGATCCGAATCGACATTTACGACGAGTTCGGTGGGATGCAAGAGCATTCGGCGCTTCTTCATTTGCACCCTGACCAAGTGCCTCATAAAGAATGAATACAAATTTGCTTCCTGATGTTTCGCCTGTAGGAGTGGAGTACAGCTCTAGCTTTGCGATGTTCCTTTAAAAGCCAAAATGGGAGTTGGATAAACCATTTCCATATTGGAAGGCAGACTTGGTGTTCTGCCGGCATCGCACTAATAATTAACCTGTACAATGAGCTGTTGAATATCCAAATGCATCCAAAATGCAACTGTATATCTCGTTGCCACTTGTTCCACTAGTCACACTTATAAGAACCTGCAGATGCTCAGAAATACCTAATTGATACGCTACGATACGTACATGATATTTCTGGGATCTTCAGGATTATCCCTGTGTAAATAAGGTATTCTGCTCTGCTACTATGCAGATAGAAGTTATAATATGCGACAAAATGTGCTTCTGGTGTCCAGATCGTTTCCAAAGTAACCGGATACGCCGTGACGTAACTTTCATTCGATCGCGTGACCGCAAAATAGGAGTTGGTCTCCGAGTTATCGGGGATCCGATCTGTCATTTTTGCGGGAAAGTACATGGAAGAAAGCCGATCTTATCCTATTAGGTGTCGTGTGGATCTTAGATAATACTCCGCCCTGTTCCAAGACTTGGGTCAGATGAGACTGGTCTCTCTGTACAGTACTGTACTCCAAGATTTAGCAGAGTGGATGGACATTGTAATTTTCCTTTCTCGTATATTTTTGTTTTCTTTTTTTCTCCCCACGACTCACGGGCTGACCCGCACGAAGACATCTCTTCAAGTTGTCAGTTGATCTAATCCCTCACCATTGATTCAACACTCCGTACACGGCCACAGGATCATCAATTCAGGATGAAAGAACCGGTTTCAGTCCGCGTGGTTTCACACCCCTTCGCCAGCATCACTGCCCCGGAAATCGAATCAGCAGTAGAAATCACGCTCCCATTAGCAACAGTCCGCCACAATGTGAACAAGGACCAAATTGCGTTCAAGTCAATTAGTCTCATAGAGCCTCCAAAGAGCGACATGATTCCATATCTGGAATTGGAACATGCCGGGGAACCACCAGCCAGTCGGCCTAAATTGCCTCGTCGTGTGGAACTTCTTTACTACATCAAAAACACGACAAAAATCTACGAGGAAATTGTCTCTCTAGACGATAAGAGTGAACTTGCCCATTTTTCAGTACCTAACATCCACCAAGGGTTCATGGATGCACTGGAAAATAGAGGCGGCATTGAAGTTGTTCGCCAATCGAAGCTGTGGGCCGATGCTCTTAAGGAGCTCGGTTTAAATGACGACATAGAGCTTCTGTATGATGCATGGCCACATGGCGCAGACAAAGACACCGCGAAGATACCACCTCGTCATTTGAGAGCCATTGCCTACGTCAAGGGACCAAAAGGATCTCATCCGGAGAATAATCGATATGCATTCCCGCTTCCTATTTCTCCCGTGGTGGATATCTTGACTCGCGAGGTGATTTCGATCAATCCGCTACCAACAGCTGGGATAGAGCCAAAAGAGTGGCTAGGCTCAGCATTTAAGCAGGAAGAAAGAGGAGAAGGCAAGAAGGAAAAACACGAAGTATCAGGGAAATGGTGGGAGAAAACCGCCCTCAAGGACTGCCGGCCAAGCAACTTTGTCGACGACCTTCAACCTCAGCGCCGAAAAGACGTTAAACCCATCGTCGTTACCCAACCAGAAGGTGTGAGCTTTACCGTCAAAGACGCATCATTGGTGGAGTGGCAGAAATGGAGCTTCCGAGTGAGTTTCAATTTTCGCGAAGGAATGGTGGTTCATGATGTCCGATATGACAATCGGAGTCTGTTCTACCGACTCAGTTTGAGTGAGATGACTGTTCCTTATGGTGATCCTCGCTCGCCGTATCATACCAAGCAGGCGTTCGACGTGGGAGATGCTGGTGCTGGTGCACTTGCCAATACTCTCCGATTGGGCTGTGACTGCCTGGGGTCGATCTATTATTTCCATGGACTGTGCAATGGATCGAGTGGACAGCCGATTGAACTGCCAAATGTGGTATGCTTACATGAGGAAGACAATGGGATTTCCTGGAAGCATACGAATGATGCCACTCATGCCAGCGTCTCTGCTCGATCAAGGGTCTTGATCCTGCAAACCATGATCACCGTTGGAAATTACGATTATATCATGGCTTGGAAGTTTGATGAAGCGGCCAATCTTTCTTACGATGTCAAAGCCACCGGAATCTTGTCTACTCATCTTATTGAGTCTGGCAAGGTGTCGCCATGGGGAAATGTCGTTGCTCCCGGCATCTTCGCTCAGAATCATCAGCATCTTTTCTGTCTTCGATTAGACACGGCAATCGACGGATATAAAAACTCCGTCCAAACTGAAGAATGTCATCCATTGGAAATGGATGATTCTCTGAACATCCACGGGAATGCATGGGAAGTGCGAAAGGACATCATCGAACAGCCCGGCTTTCGCGATGCAAACCCCCTGCAAAACCGCGTCTTCAAAATAATCAACGAAAATAGCGTGAATCCATACTCCAAGAACCCGGTGGGATACAAATTTATGCCTCCACCGTCCCAAATGCTTCTCGCTCATCCGTCCTCGGTTAACGCGAAACGCGCCAAATTCGCGCAGCATCATGTTTGGGTGACGCGGCATCAAGAGGGGGATCTGTGGGCTGGCGGGAAATGGACCACCAACTCATCAGAGGAAATCGACGGAATATCGAAGTATGTTGCAAGCAGTGGTTCTGTGCGAAATGAGGATGTGATTGTGTGGATTACCTTCGGAATGACGCACTCACCGCGCGTGGAAGAGTTTCCCGTCATGCCGACAGAGTCAATGTCAGTGATGCTGAAACCAGTCGACTTTTTCACACACAATCCTGCGTTAGATATGCCTCGAAACTATACCGGCGAGGGATCCGTACACGTTAAACAACCTCTATGTCATTAAATGAATATTAAACCCCATTCCACATGGAGGAATTTACAGGTATAATGTCACGTTTCTTTAATTCGCAGGGAGAGTAAATCATCCTCCACAATCCTCCCTTCTAACGCACACAATTCATCCACATCCCACTGACAATCCACATACCGCCCAGACAGAAAGTAAGCCCTGTCCGATGTAGCTAGCCAAACGGAGACCGCAGCCGGCAATGTCACATCGGCAGTTAAATACGGGTGGAACCTTTCCGGACAGGCAAGGCCCAACTCGGTGGGGATGCCGCCGGGGTTGATGCTAAATGCTTTGATAACTTCCTTGTTTTCAGCTTCAGCGTATTCAATAATGCGATTTATGGCAGTTTTGGTGATGCAGTGCGCCGAGTAACCCTATATAGTATCAGCACACGGATACTCCCTTTTTTGATTCAGTTCTTACCGGGAACAACTGGGTACAAGCCTGATCGGATGTAGCAATAATTACACCGGGAGCGGAATCATTCTCGAGGCTCTTGCGATGCTGAATAAAAGACTGACAGAGATTGAATGTTCCTCTCAGATTGACCTCCTAGAGACTGTAAGCAGGAGCACAAAATCATATATGTATACTCAAGTTCCAAAGATAGTAGACAGAACATACACAGACGCCCCACCACGCAGACGGATCAGCTTCATCAAGTGTACCACTGAATGGTTCCATAATTCCCGCATTCGCCATAAGAACATGAACTTCGCCAAAAGCGGCTACACTCTGCTTGAACATCTCCTGAACGGCATCTGGCTGGCTAATATCTAGAGCAAATGTCTTGATCTCACAAGCTGGATGTGCAGACTGAATCTCTGACCCTGTTTGCTCCAATTGGCCTTTGGTTCGTGATATGAGAACTAGGCCTCGGGCACCGGTGGCTGCGAAGGTGTGTGCCATAGCCTGTGCAATTTTAATTAGTCTGGTGACATAGAGGTGCATCATTAGGATTAGCAATGGCACAAACCTTGCCAATCCCCCTACCGGCGCCGGCTATAATCACCACCTTGCCGCTGCTGGCATCTTTGAGTGGTCCTGCTGGATCAACGGCTGGGTATACAGTGGTATGTTTCTGAGGTAAAAACATGTTGAGGTTTGCGGCAGTTTGTGGAATAGCTAATGGTAAAATGGAGACAATCGATCGTCAAATTTCGCGGTGAAGAATTCACTATTAAATTGAAGTTGGGAATCGGGGTTGCGCTGAAGGAGTGGAGAGAGTGGACCCATTCATGGTTTTGTAATACTGTCAGGACTAATTAATTAATTAATTTACATGGCTAGGGAAGGCCCCACGGATTTAAGCCACATTTTAGTGCTCCACTTTCAAACCCCTGTTTTCAATACAGTATACCCATTATAATGGGAATACCATACAGATACGGTGAGGTAAATGAATATCTTTGCCAAATCGAATCCGACTAGTTCAATCGCTTTTGTCTTCGGTATTAAAAAGGCCTTTCTTAGCTTCCTTTCCGTAGATGTATTTCCCACCCAGGGTCTTTCTTTTCTGGCTATCGTCATGGATTTCTGCACGGCACCAAAGTATACACTCAAGGAAATCCTGGCAGTGTCGACTATTCATCCGTTTTATAACTCCAGCAGTCGATTTCCACCAACACAAGCTCAAATAGATGCAATTATCGGTGATAAACAAGACAAACAATGTCCAGATCTGACCAATTTGCCTCTCACTCAGAAAGACAATCTGTACGCTGCTACTTAAAATTGTATCAGATCTTTGCTAATAATGACGAGGTATCAAATAATCCAACGGTTGATAGCAGATGACGCACCAGACAATCTTTTTCGACATGCCTCCTATATCAGCACCACTGGCGGTGGGTCAGGTGGTCTCCCAATGTTGTTTCTAACCGATGCAAGGGAAAACCGCATCCAAAGAATCTCAATGGGGAAATTACTCCGGCAATGCGGCATTATCGTGCCTGGTGATTGTGTTTTGACGATGCATGCCTCTGGGAACTTGTACCGGTATCTATCTCTCATATCGTTGTGCACCTTATAATCAACATACTGATGATCGTCAGATCTCTTGACCTAATGTCGGAGGTCATGGAGAATGCCGGTGGAACAGTATTCTGTGCCGGCCATCACATGCCTCATGCTGAAGTTATCCGTTTGGTTTCTACCTTTCGCATCAACGTTATCTGCGGTGATTCTAGCCAGATTCTCCAATTTACCATGTATGTCTCCTCCTTGCCAGAGACACAGCGAGAAGCAATCAAAATCAAAAAGGTCATATATACCTCTGAGCCATTGGTGCGATCCCAGCGAGCGTATATCAAATCGGTGTTTGGCGATGTGCCGATTTGCTCCGTATTCGCAAGTGCCGAGTCTGGTCCGTGGGCTGTGATGAACCATGCCGTGACGAACCATGAAGACGACGAGTCGGCCGATTTTATTTTCGATACTCGGAATGTTATCATCGAAGTGTTGCCTCAATGCGCAGCTGAACGCAGCATCCATTCTCCAGAGGATATAAAACCCCTTGCAGATGGTGAAATAGGCGTTATCGCAGCCACCTCTCTCCAGCGTCTGCGTAATCCTCTCATCCGATATCTATCAGGGGATATCGGTTCGTTACATCCTCTGCCGGAGAACAATGTCATTGATCCTGGGGTATCACAGCACTTTAGGGTCCTTCGGTTGCACGGGCGTGATCAGCGTTTCAGCTTCAACTGGCAAGGCGAATATTTCGACTTCAAGGCTATCCTTCGATTGATGCAATCTGATGAGATATCTGTACTGCAGTGGCAGGTCATTCGCACTCAAATGTCCACTTCTACTCATAACCTGGAATTGCGTGTGCTGAGGGGACAATCTGGCGGTCGGACGTTATCTGATGGGGACCTTGTTCAGAAGTTGAAGCGTTTCTTCCACGTCGTTCATGACACAGAAGCCTATTTCCATGTCGTCTTTGTTTCAGGATTGCAGGGCTTTGAGCGCAGCAAGACTGGTAATAAAGTGATGCGCTTTGTGGATATTTAGAAACCTCGGTGGCAAATATGTTTTCACGTTTGCAATTTATTTATGGTTGGATTGGGCACATACTGAATTAGGGACCTGGTGGTAAGATACCACTCGCCAGGGCTCCAGATCGTAAGTCTCATAATCCATTGTCTTCGGTACCTATTGTAGTGGGGTGCGCCCACACAGAGATAGTAGATTGAGTAGATATCACCGCCTAGTGTGGGCACATGTACCTAGCCTATGACATCTGCCAGTAGGACACTCATCGACATACACCTCCCTGGTGTAGTCCCTCCGAATACACATTCTTTGGTCCTCCGATCTCTTGTTGCGTGGTTGTGTTTGATTGTCTTCTCCTAGCTGACCGCGTCCGACCGTACTGGACTAGCCTCGAGCTGTGGCAGGAGCGCCTCCTTTGACACTATGTAATATTATATGCAAAGGCTATCGGGGTTTTAGTTATTCATTCGCCATCCTTAAAATAGGTGAATTAACATCGTCTTTGGTGTGCAGTTCGAAGTTGATGTATATACCTGGGCGCAAACGCCAAATGAACATTTCATTGTGGTATATCACCTAGTTCATTTCCTCAGTTGCTTTCTTTTCTGGTGGTTGCCAGGTTGCACTGTATCAATTTATTTATCCCGCGGAGTCATTCTGCCAAAGCCTTTGCCGTGTCGTTCAAGAAAAATATTGACAACTCCTCCCATAGATTAAATAGCAATATGTCCTTCTGTTCGCCATTTATGCCCCCAAGCATATACCACCCATATCAACGGAGTAGATGCTATACAAGTGAAAGCAAACAGAGTGCCCATCCACCCAATGGAGATTAGATTGATTAAAGGAATAGCAGCAGCATTGGCCCCAGCTCCCAAAAGACATCGCACTAAATTTGCTGCCGCCATCGCCGTGGCTGGCCTTTCGGTATGGCAGTCGATAACCAAGGTGGTCAGGGTACTGCTTACACCAGCCATGCCATGCCCAATAAAGAAGAGCATAACCAGCGGTATGGAGACATGAACTTCGTAATTAATGACCCAGCTATAGGCGGCAACAAAGATTGCAGTAGAGTATGCCAATGGGAGGGTGACCTGCAATCGAGCTTTCTCAAATGGAGGCTCACCATTGAGATATTCTACTTCGTTGCGCGTATTTTGTGAGCGGGCAACAAGACGGGCAAGGTTCAGATCACCTAGTGAGCCAGCTGTCCAGCGGGATGTCAAGCTCCCAAGTCCATATGGAAGATAGGAAATCCCAATTTGCATCGCATTCAAGCTGTAGTGCCCCCCAAGCTCATAGGGTAACGTTGTTGTGATCGAGAGATAACAAGCGTAAAAGATAGCACTGAAGAAAACAATGCACGCAGTCTCCTTCTCTCGAAGAAGTCTTATCGTACTCCAAGGGCTGATATATCTCCCAGAGTTCTCAATCGTCTGGTCCGAACCTTTATTGCTAGAACTGCCGGGTGATTGCGTCGGAGATACCCACCCCGTCTGTCTAGGAAGAGGGGGATTGCGGTGAAACGTCTCCGGAAGGAATAACACAGTGACTGACAGAACCACTGTACCAAAGAGAACAAGGAACCAGAAAACGCTGCGCCATCCCAGAAAATGGGACAGTGTGCCTCCGATAAGTGGGCCAAGCGCAGGACCAACTGTAGCCCCCAGAATTGTGTAAGCTAGATATCTCCCTCGCTCGGTCTTTGCCACAACATCCGCCGTGGTTGCAGTCCCCACAATTGAGATCGTACTGCAACAGATGCTCTGTAAGGACCGAAGGACTATCAACATGGCAAAGTCTGTCTGGAGAGCCAGTCCAAAATTGGTTGCGACGTAGAAGATCAAACTTGGGATTAGAACTGTGCGACGTCCAATTCGATCTGACAGATTCCCAGTCACCAATGGAGCGATTCCTTGAAACACCTACATATTGACATTAAAGCAGTGACATCGCGATGAGAGGGAACGCCACAACTCACCTTGAATGAGGTATTGGTATAATTAATCATGGTGTTAGACACATGCAGGTTCCTCGCCAAAGCGTCAACACCGGGATAAAAAATGCTCGCTGATATTGGGGAAATAAATGTCGCCAGGGAAGCAACAAACACTGTCAAAAGCTTTTCACGTGTTGAGAGCACGCGATGGGCAGATAGGCCGGATAATTCTCGATCCCACTCATTTTCTATATCCTGCACCGCCTGTTCTTGCGTGACAGTCATAATGCTCGTTGCAATTTCTCTGGTCTGTATGATGGCAAATGGTTTCTTTCCCTAGATATTGGCGCCAACCTGAAATAAATCCGTAATGTCAGCTTCATTTTCCACTAGTTGGAATGATATCGATTTACTTTCCCAGGGCTAGTAGACAGAAAAGCCTTTGATTCCCAACTGCGTCCAAGGTGGTTGGGTGTAAGTACGAACGATTCTTCCGATTAGCGTTGATTTCTTGCAGGGGTAGGAAAGTCGAGGAACGAAATAGCTTGCAAAGAATCCACTGATTCTGCTCCACTAAGGCAGAGCTGCAAAATTAACATACATTTCACCCTGGGTCCTGCAATCGTGGATGGATGGATTAGGTGTACTATATACGCTGTATTCTATATGTATCAGGCTACTAGCGTGGTGAAGCAGTGCGTTCCACTTGTTGGTTCGATAGATCCCGAGAGATGCCCTTGGATTGACCCAGGTGACACCAGTGCTGGTCATAATGGGCTAGTGTGGATCATACTGTTCATTTTCAGCGCACCTTGCGATTTATAAGACCCACTTTCGTGCGTATACGACTCTCGAACTCCTGATCGCCATAGAAACCCCCGGCTAGAACATTTCCCGAATCTTCCCCCTCCCCCCAACTGACGAAAATACGTTGTTTGGCCACGAACTGTGTCACTAGCGTCTGATTTGTGTACTTGAGGATTTCATACTGTATTTTACAGCAGTCCAAGCCCTTGCTTGTGTATTAAAGTGGCTGCATATTACAATACGGCTGAGCGTGTGGGTCCGGCTATCGCCAAGCCTTGAAATCGCGCATTTTTGTCGATTTGGTGGCAGTGGAACTCTAGACTAGGATTACTAGTACAATACGACTATTTCTGGTATAGTCACCTATCTTAACGCTGTGTTTAAAGGGGTCTCTTTTACGGCATTCTCAGGCCAAATCAAGGCATGCATGCGAAGCATGGCGTCGATTGGGCAGTTGGGTATCTGCCACCATTCACGCCCGGCTCAAATAAAACAATTTCCCCTTTGTGCCCCCTCGTTGACCACGTCAAAAATCGTTTTCATGCTTTTTCACAGTCTCCTTTTTAGTCTCTCGAACGTTGTCGCTTCGACGCTCGGGGCCACAGATGATCGATGGCCTGCTCAGTCATATGAATCCTGCAGCCTGAGCGTTCCATTCATCAATATCACTCGCACTGGCTCTGGCTCCACAAGCCCAGGGCTTCTTTTTTTGGCTCCAGGGAACAGCACCACACTAAGCCAAACCCCCACTATCTTTGACGGCGATGAATTAGTCTGGCAAGGACAAGCAACCGGGAATGTATCCAATTTCCTCCCGCAAATCCTCAATTCTCAACCCGTTTTGACCTACTGGGCAGGCAACGAGAGTCTCGCAGGATCAGGAGCGGGGTCGATACATGTTTTGAACGCTTCCTACCATGAGATTCACACTGTCACTTTAGCTGGAAATGAGACCTGGGTCTCTCCTTTACTTGTTCAATTCCCATCTTACATCGATAAACATGAAATTCTTATCACGGAAAATGGGACGATCTTGATCACAGCATACAATGTGACAAGAATGGACTTGCGACCTTTCAATGGTCCGAGGAATGGGTGGATACAAGACAGCCTGTTTTATGAGATCGATGTCACGACAAATGAAGTCCTTTTCCGGTGGAGTGCGGTTGAGAACCCGGGCACCATCGATCCGAAAGAATCAGTGCGAGAATTGGATGGCACTTTGGAGGGAAGTTCTCAAAGCACACCATGGGACTATGCCCACATCAATTCTGTCGCACGATATGGGGATGACTATCTCGTTTCGTTTAAATGCTTAAACACCATTTACTTGATAAACAAGAACGGCTCGGTACAGTGGAAATTAAATGTTAGTCTCATCTCGCCCATTCTTCCAGCTGGTGGTTATCTAAGATAGGGGACTATGCAGGGGCTTACCGGAGGCGACTTTGCACTTGGGCAAGGTACACAATTCATCGCCCAGCACAATGCACGCATCCAAAGCCGTACTGCCGACGTCATCTCGATCTCGCTCCACAACAACGGCGTGAGCTGTAACGAGACCTATTTCTTCCCAAGCAACGGCCTCCTTTTAGATGTGAATCTCAAAACTAAGAAAGTGACGGTGAGACGCAAACTTGTTGATTCCCAAGATCTAGTTTCCGCTAGCGCTCGCGGAAACTACCAAGCTCTACCGGGCGGCCATGTCCTGGTTGGTCAAGGTATAGTTCCCAAGTATGAGGAATATGATGAAGATAACATTTGCGTTACGAGAGCTTGGTTTGGTCTCAGTCATAATGATGGAAGCTACACTGCGATCAAGTCGAACTGGACTGGGACACCACAAACAGCGCCAGACGTTTTCGCTCACTCCGCTGGTGGTATGGCTTCCCTGTACATCAGTTGGAATGGCGCGACAGGAGTGGAGGCATGGCAAATCAGCGCTGGTAACAAGAAGGATGAGCTAAATCTTGTGACAACTGTGCCGAAAAGTGGGTTTGAGACCAAGGTCGCGCTTGAAGTGGTTGCGGCGTTTGTAAGGGTAATGGCAATTGGAGGCCCTAATCATGGGACAAGGTCTGATCTCATCGATGTTGTCAGAATAGAAGGGAAGGCAAAGAAGGGTCCAGGAAAGACGGAACTAAAGAAATGATCAGATCTTGATCAACCTTAGACTGGAAAAATTTCCGATTAAGCAATGTAACTAGCCTGACGACCATTGAATGAGATTGGTGTTGTATGCACACTAGTGCATCAATTTGGCGTTATTTCAAAATCCTCACTACTGTTTAATGTTGGAAGATGTAGCCTAGAGACCAGAGAAACATGCATATGACCCCGCCCTTGTTGCAATGTTATTGCTCCATAGCAGCATGCTAGTTTGGGATTTTTCTTATTGGCCAGGCAAGCTATGCCGCTCACTAGAGGGCCCCTGACTTCCACCCCATTGGAAAGCTTAGCTTTGTATTTGTATTACCACCTGTGTAACAAAACCAAAAAAATCTCAAGAATTTGGAAATGTCTCCTGCAGCTTGCTATTTTAGCGTTGATGTCAGGATGCAATGAAGTTTGAGTGTTTCTCAGAGATTCCAGCCCCGCAACATCCACTCCGCCAAGTGCAAGCATTATCCAACGATACAGATTCATGTAGATCTTCGTGCTCGTGGCTGGCTGAAGTGGATACATCTGAGATTGATTCAGACGTGTACAATACGAGGTCCGTTTCCAAAGTTTTGTCTTTCTAGTGAGAGTAAGGGTGAATTTAGGGGTCAAAACCACATTTTTAAAGCCGGGCCTATACCCACTTGGTCGACCGGGTTGATATATCACTGTGGTCCGATATATCGGTTATCGTTATACTAGATACTCTCATCATAGCAAGCGCCGCGCGCATAGCAAGATTATGCTTAAGCATATTGGTAGTGGTGGTGGTGTGGAAAAGGGGTAAGAAGGGGTTATATGCTTGTATAACGCTAGACGGAGTACAACGCTAGTAATTATAGAAAAAGCAAAGAAAGACAAAACTTTTGAAATAGACCCCCGTATGTAATGTGTCATAAAATCGAAAAAAGATCTCCAAGGAAAGTGCGACCCACCTCGACCCACAAGCATGATCTTCGAAGGCCCCTGCGTCTTCAGACTTCTTCAGAAGATGTCTATTACATATCTCAAAGTCGCTCTCTTGGCCAATCTGAGGTAGGCGCAGTCTTTTCACACTCTTGCAAATAATCCAGACAATGGGCGATACAATGCCTATAGGTTACAAATGGCGCTCTTCAACATGGTTCATTGTCACGACTGTTGCGATCGCCTTGTTTAGTGGTTCGTTTGCCACCACTGCCATTTGTCAACAGCCACTGATCGCGCTCAGAAACATTCCTTTACGGTTTTCTTGTCCCCATCCTAGGCCATATGCTCCGAACTCGACTGCATATCGATTTCTCTAAGATTCAAGAGTTTACTTCTGCTGTTCTCGCCTTATATGGCGCTGCCGCGGTCATCTCCGGTCCTATTATCGGACATTTCGCTGATAAGACCTCTAATCGCAAAATTCCATTGTTACTATCTCTCATCGGTTGCATTTTAGGGACTGGTATGGTTGCTGGCGCCTATTCCGTCACTGTACTCTTCATAGGTCGTGCGTTGCAAAGTGTCTCTGGGTCTGCGGTGTGGATTGTCGGTCTTGCAACCGTCGCGGATGCCGTCGACCAAGATAAAATGGGCAGAGTGATGGGGGCGATGAACTCCTTTGTCAACTTTGGAATGATTAGTGGGCCTGTGGTCTCCGGGTTACTGTTGGATATTGCTGGATACTGGATAACCTGGTCGGTTCCACTGCTGGTTTTGTCTCTAGACCTTATGGCACGTCTGTTGATGGTCGAGCGTACATTGGAGCTTTCTTCGAAACCTGAAGATACAACCGAGACCACTAGCCTTCTTTCTTCGGAGGGAAACCCTCCAACTCCATCCACAACAGATAGCTTCTGGCGCATTTTGTTATGTGACAGTCGTGTGCTCGCGGTCTTGCTCGTTACAACCACAAGCGCAGCCGTTGGCACCAGCTTCCATGCGACACTTCCCCTGTACGTGCAGGAGACTTTTGGATGGAAGTCAGGTTCTGTTGGTCTGATGTTTTCTTGTCTCATCTTTCCGAGTCTGGTGATTAGTCCCCTCGCGGGATGGGTCCGTGACCGTGTCGGGGTTAGAATGCCTGCCGTAGTATCGTTGATCCTACAGGCAGGGGCGCTGGGCATGCTGGGTATTGGCGGGAACGATCAATTCGCCTGGGCTAGCATTCATAATCGCGGCGAGATACTTTACATATTGTCTATTATTGCTATAGGTACATTACGGCCGTTCGTTTCTAATATCGGAACCGTTGAACTAGCCGGTAAGTACAGTCCGCTCTTACAGAGTGTTAACTTTGTTACATTAACGAACATATCCCAGGGATCGTCAAAGCGCACCAGGAAAAGTCACCCGGTATATTTGGGCCAGAGGGGGGTCTTTCCCGTGTATTCTCCATGACTGATGTTGCTACTTCTCTTGGAATGGCTATTGGCCCTGTCGTCAGTGGTTCCCTGAAAGAGTTGGTAGGCTATACATATATGAATTGGACGTGCAGTAAGTCATTCAGCCTCTCCAGTGTGACATATAGTTAACACCCATAGGTATATTCTATCTCATACTCGCTCTGTTTGTAATCTGCCTTTTCTGATTCAAGGACTGCTCTGAAGCACCGCTCTGCGAAGGGATCTGCTAGAATTACCGTACATAAGATTTGTAAAGTTCGCACATGGCGTTCTCCTCAATACCGTTCCTTACGCCGCTCAAGATGTCCGTAGTTTGTAAAGTGCTTCCTGAATATGAGTTTGAGTATTTGTGATTTATAGAGCCCAACAACCTTGGAAGCTTGCATGACAGTTCCTAGACTTCTTGCACTTTAATTTTGGAAGGCTACCCATTGAGCTAGGTAACTGAATATGTCGAAGACAAAATATTCTAGAAAGCTCCCCTAGCAATTCTCGGGCACATCTGTTCTTCTCGCCAATCGCTCCCGTCCAAAAGAAAGACGCAATGGAACAATACGCAGAAATGAAGAAGAGATGCCACGAAGCAGGTCTAGACTTTATCGGGACATTCACAGTTGGCATGCGAGAGATGCGTAAGTCCCCTCTTCCCCTTACATACTGTCTGTCAACCTTTTTACTGATCCCGGCCATCAGATCACACCGTCTGCATCGTGTTCAACAAAGAGGACGCCGTGGAAAAGAAGAAGGCACACTGGCTTATCAAAACACTGATTGGTGATTGTGCAGCTAAGGGCCGGGAAGAACATCCTACGCATCTCGCTGTTATGGACCAAATTATGGGTACGTATAACTGGAATGATGGTGCTTTCTTGAAGTTCAATGAGCTTCTCAAGAATGCTGTTGATCCTAATGGGATGGTGGCGCCTGGAACATAAAGTGTTTGGCCTCGGCAGTACAGAAAGGATGAGTGGGAAGCTATGATTCAAATATATGTGAAGCGGGTCTGTATTTGCTTCTTGACTACTCGTCATATAGACCTGATCAGCAGCTATTATGCATAAATATTATGTGATGTCTGAGTAGTATAGCACAGTGAATCTTCGTCGGTGCTGATTAGAGTTTCTGAAACTGGAATATCTGCAAATTACCTCGCTTCTTGGATTTAAGGATGGTCCATTCTTCCTCTTTAGTTCTTCCAGATGAGGTAAGTGGCTGTCATGGCTGCGCACGGTCTCCTGTGAAGACACGAAATCTTGGCGAGGCAGTGACCAACCCCAATCTGGCAGTTTTCTGTCTTGGCTATCCTTTGGGTTTGGCTGGCGGTGGTATGGTTATGGACTCCAGATAAGCACGATAATATTCATGCTGAATACCGTGGAAATGTTACCACTTCATAGAGACAACTTTTTGTGAGACATTGAAAGAGAGCGCAGATTAAGAAAAGGGCATACTGAACTCTCTAATGATTTTTGATCAGCGGCCATATATTCATAATATGCAAGGTACACCCATTTTTCTTCTTTTGTCTCCGGTGAAAACCGCTATTGTAAAAGCGGAAAATAGTCTGTGACTGTGCCATGACGTACATCCACAAATTATCTCGCATGCCATTTCCGTGATCTATATCAAGCCTCCAATTCTTAGGTCCAGCGATTCCTTCCACGGGCCACTCGAGGGTACTCTGTAACATGTAGTGGATCTGACGAGGGTGGGTCAGCAGAACCCTTGCAGAATAATACGAGGCCCATTACTGAATTTCAGAAAACCTCAAACGGCCTCTAGAAGAAGGTTTGTATTGCTTACTTGCTGACGAAAAGCCACCATTCAATCGAAACACTCGTGGCGAAGACTGTGCCATTGTGGCAACCATGCTACCTACTCTAGCATCGCACTTATAATTCCATTCTAAATCGCGACAATGATTAAGCATCAGACATTAACAGACGACTTTTGTCGTTCATCCAGCAATTTCTTATCTCTGCGTGAACCGAGCAACTGGATAGGCGTAAGCTACATCTAGCATGTCACGGCCCCCACAGGATCAACAGGTACACCGCCACGAGAATTGACGCACCAACCCTGTAAAGATGGGCACGCACCCATCCCAACAGACGATCAGGTTTTCATTTATGAGAGCACTGGGGCCATCGCGTTAAACCTCCCAATCCTGCGCGTCTACATCCCAGTCGCTTCCAGGCATTCTCGATATATGGCCCCAATGTGACTTTTAAATCAAATCCCTACTTGAACCGTGACAACATGTTCTAACAGTGTCCCCTTTTTCATAGCAACATGCATTTCAAAGATTTTCGTCGCAGTTTACACATTTACAAAATCCGGAATCATAATGCTTGCCCCAATCCTTCAGGATCGGAGTCTCCTAACCAATCAAAGCGCTAGAAAGTATACTTCCGCCCCCCATACTAGTAAGCAGATGCAGAAACCAATACATACCTGCACCATCTGGGGGTCAAAAACCCAAACTGTATGCAAGGTTGAACTGGCCCCCAAACTGACAGGATCGGCCCCAACATCCCTCTTTTTCCTGTTTGTGTCATTGATTCCGCGCGTGGGTCCCAGCCGGGGAGGTGCCACATGGCCATGTATCTATTTCTGACCTTCTGCCATAAGATGAAGGCTATTCGGCATGCACAATCAAATAATGTGACCCTTGCTGTACCTAGCTTATCTTCGGGATATCATACGTCTTTCGTTATACCTGGGATAAGGAAGGTTGTCGATAGGAGTGATCGGTCCATAAAAGAAAGAGAGACGACAAGAAAAGAAAGACTTGATCCCCGTGTATGCGGGGCATGGCGCAAACACTCGCTCGCGTCTTGCACTACCTCACCGCATTTGCCGTCGCGCTGAATCTTTTGCTTAGGCCACCCCGCCTTGCAAAGCACTGCTGAGCGAGCGCGCCACACTCAATGCCTACCAACCATTCCTCGTTTAGGCGGGATGTGCTCTAGAGACAATGGCTTGTCGCCAATTCCAGCCTCGACGTCTTCGGAGACACCACACTATCTTTCCACCAAATGAGGATGGGAGCACCGACATTAAGTGACGTTTTTGCTCACGACGAGTAGCTCACCATTGACAAGTCTTGTCCTCTCTGCGAAACGAAGAACTCTATGTGCCGAGTGACCTACACCCACCGATCTCAGTCGGCTGTCCTCTCTGCAAGAGTTGAGCTAATGTGCATTCCAGTCGCCATCCGCTTGGCCTTTGCGATGGCATGGATACATATGCCCGCGGGTACCCGTCCCCGTGCTTTCACAAAACCGAGACAAAACGAATTCTGAGAATTCCAGGTGCAGAAAAATGGCCCTCATATTCAATGAGTACTTCAATGGATAAGCCCGCTCCAATGTGCCCAATAGACTTGTCCACCAAGCGACCCGTACCCGAGTGTGCCCGCTGGTACTTCAAGGCATACAAGCGAAGCGACTAGCCCTTGTATGGGTAGCAAAAAGGCTAGTATTTGATGGGGAAGTTTGTCGTTAAGTCTGCGTGCTTGGCAACTCTAAGCCGACTATCGGCATACCAAGCCAACCTCAACAAAGCATGGCCACCGACGAATTACGTTCGGCCGGCAAGGCCCAGTGGGGCTTTGAGTGTCAAGGAGAGGGGAAGGCATCACTGCTTGTTCACATCAGTCCCTAGTGTGCTAAGGACTAAGAACTATTTCTCTTTCCCATCCCCTGGCTTCTCAACCCTTCACCACTCTTCCGGCATCTCAATTTGTTCTGCTCCCCGAACCCCGAAGAGCCACTGCTTAATTTCTCGATACTCCCCTTATCTCAGAATAATCATAGAATCTAATGAACAGGGATCGAGAGATGACTTGTGAAAGAGATACCTGCTTATATAGGTATCACGTTATGTATTTCTATATGTTAATCTACCAATTCCCAAATTGCATGTCCAGATGTGTCATGTCTCCAATGATGTCCGTTAACCGGAATATCATTCAATTTCCCTTAGATCTTAAATTCTCCCACTCATGCTCCAGCATAGAAAACAACACCACATCATACCAAGCACGACGATAAAATACAGATTCGCGTTCACGCCCTTCCTCCACAAAGCCGAGTCTCGGGTACAGCCCCAAGGCATGATGATTAAATCCAAAACAACCTAAAGACACCTTGTGGAGCCCAGCACATTGGAATGCCCAGTCCAGCGCCCAATTAATCGCCTCAGGACCGTACCCTTTACCACGAGATTCCTCTTTGAGTGACAAACCCAACGATGCACGACGATGGCGATTGAAGCCCGAGCCCCAGTTAGAAATTGCTAGCAGACCGATAGGAACATGTTTAGCTTCCTTGGAAGCTTGATCGGATGTTTGAGCATCGTTGTTGGGAGATGAGCTTTCTTCAGACCGTTCAGGGCGAAGACAAATAATCACCCCAAGGAGACATCCTTCTATGTCTTTAATGAAGCTTTCGATGTTCTTTTTACTCGCGGGACGTTGGAGGGCTGGGGACATGAGTGCCTGAGTGGTAGGATCGTTTTCGAACTCTTTTTGGAAAAATGCTTTATCTTCGTCTGAATCCTCCACTGCACGATAGAGCAGGCGCTTGGATACAAAGCCCTTGGTGACTGATTCATTCGCAGCCATGGTAAGGATTGAGGTTCAAATCTGTTGGGGGACCGTGATGGGAATCGTACTGCTGAGTATAAGAATCCATTGATGTAGGCTTACACGGCATTTAAGCCAACCTAGCTATTCGGGGGCCTGATAGAAGCATCCCAGGCAGCAAAAAAAGGAACCAGTGAGTCCGAAAGATGAGAGATAAGCAAAGCTTCCACTAAATACACAACAGACAGCAATCTTAGTCAGACAGACGAAGAGTAGAACGAAACTAAATTGAAAAGCATTGAGATTCTGTACTGGTGAGGGCCCGAGGGCAGACAAGTATGTTTGAAAAAAATAAGCGGGACCGGCTTACGGACTTATTCAGGAAGAAGCGCCGACGATGAGTGCCAATTAGGAGGAAAACCCAGGCAACATCATACAGTATAAGTCAAGGCGACTGGCAATGCAGACTGAGGAGACGGCGGGGCAGCTTACATAACCTTGATAAGAACATTGCAGATCCACCATCACTTCACGTCTCGCGTTCCAAGTTAACTGCAGAGATATCTCCCCAAGGCACATTACCAGCCTGTGTACCCAAGGTCATTGACCTGCCAGATCCTCAGCCACTATGGCTCCTCCCCCCGCCAACTCCCCCGAACGCGTCGCAACCATCATGCTATCATGGCACTCTCTCGAACTCGTCTCGTGCAGCACCCTACAGACATTATGGGCAGGGTATGGACGTATATGTGCCATCAATGCCCGCGCAACGACCGAAAACGCAGCTCGGAAACTCGACAAGCTTTGCGGGCTGGACTCAGGCGTCGCAGGGACCATATACCCGCTCGTCCTGAAGCTCATATCACCCCCAAGGAATAACGCCAGAAATGGGGATGAAGGACATCTGCGGAAAATGCTGAGCTACGAGGTGGAGCAATATTTCTACACTGATGTGGTACCGCTGCTGGGTGACAATGTTGGCGTTGCCAAGTGCCTTGCCTCGACGCGTGGCATGCATGACGACCGTGAGGGCGAAAAGGAACTTGGAGGTCTGATGGCTACTATTATGGTTGATCTGCGCCCGAAGTTTCCCGTCGCTGGGGGAAAGAGGAGCGCTTTGAATCGCACACAAGTACAGGGGGCACTAGACTGGCTTGCGGGATTCCACGGCCGCTCGTTGGGGTTGAAGCCGGATACCCTTGATAAATATCTCTTGCCACCCCTTGAGGAATTCAATAGAAGACAGAGCCTAGAAAAGGCTGGGAGTAGCTTATGGCTCAATGGAGGATATACATATCTTGCGACACGACGTACAGAGTACGCTTCCCTGGTCGATGACGACTCGGAGTGGTCAGAAGCACTGTGCAGCACTTTCGAAGGCACCTCATTGTCCGTAGCCGAAACGGCTGCACTTTTCTTAAAACCGTGTGGAAGGCCGTTTGAGTCTTATATTCATGGCGATGTCAAGTCGGAGAATCTTTTCACGACTACTAACGGAAAGGACGTGGCGTTCTTTGATTTCCAATACGTCGGACTTGGCCTTGGGGTGTGCGACCTTGCCAAGCTTTTCACGTGCTCGGTCCCTTTACATATACTTATTGATGGGCATGAACCTTTACCCAATAAACTGACCATGCGTGAAGGAGAAAGGCAGCTGCTGGAGCGGTACCGCGCCTGTCTCCTCCAAAACAAGACTGCTGACCCGTATGAATGGGAAACGTTCAAGCGACACTGGGAAACGGCCCTGGTTGACTGGTGTAGATTCCAGGCGTCTTGGGGCTTCTGGGGAAACACTGAGTGGCTTGAGGCCCGCGTGAGATCAATCCTGAGCGACCGGAAGTGGAGAGACTGGCTTCATGAAAATACCAGCGGTCGAAACTGTCAACCGAAGTAGACAGAAGACAATATAAAGCAACAAAGGCAAGGACATTTATTCCTCTATACACTTGATCCATATTGAAAGATACCCAAGTGCTCTCTGACAGGGCTATGCTATTCGCGTGCAACTCAATCCGGCACAGAGAGTCCAAGTCCGTCAGCCAAACCAGCAACGATCTCATACATACGACCTAGGGCGGGGAGGACAGCTTCCCGTCCGCTCACTTAATGGTGGCTTACGCTAGTGAAAAGGCCGATTCAGGCAATGTTTTGGGCGTGAGCCTACTTAGTCACCCAAGCCTCTACAAGGTAACTAACTAAGGTGTGTCCCAATTAGATAAAGCGTCGGACGTGCGTGTGGAAGTTTCTGACATCAGACGCACCGGGCCGGGGTAGTGCCAGATCGACTAGCCAATAACAGCCCGTCGTACTTACTACAGTAGAGGCACCGGGTTGGCGTAAAGGGGAAAGTATTAGTGGATCATCTCCAAGAACAGAATAGTTAGCTGAAAACTACGGAAAAAGCAAAAGTCCCAGGTAGTTTCTCCCCACTCGCCCCCAGACAAGCTCGTATGGCTATTCCTTGCCCCGACGCAGAATGGAGGCATCCGGGAAAAACTCCATAATCGAACTCATAGACTTGCCAGAGGAAGGTGACAAAAGGTTTCGCGATGTAATCCAGCGTAAGTACCGAGGCAGAATTTGCCGGTAATGGTATTGCAGGAAATAACCAGTCTCCGCAGCCCCACGATTAGAGACGCCTTTCCACAGAGCAGCAACTCTGCAGTCTGATAACAAGAAACAGCCGCGACAAACCACAACAAGACATCATGCCCCATACGTGTCCTTCGGTGACCGGGGTACAACTGCAAGTGCAGGCGCATACGGCTCCCTGCTTCGTATTTGTCGCCCTGTACCGAGTGATCACCTCCAGTCGGGGATTCTTGGCCTGGGAATGCCCGATGATCCGGAGGCATGGTATGTCTACTGGCGCTCATCGCAGTTCCTAGAAAATGCCCAGCTTATGGCCAACGGTTTCGGCCTGCAAATCCTAAACGCCGCATCCTCACGGCCACCGAGCGTGGAGTTTGTGGGAGACCGTTGGCCAGTCATTTCATATAGCACCAATGAGCGATTCATGGTCACTGTGAGGTTATGGTGTCAGAACAATGTGGTCGTCCAGCAAACCCAGATCACGAACGAGTATCTATCTTTCGAGCCCTTGAATATGCAACTGAACCCCAATTGTCATATGCAAGATTTGGACTATCTGGAGAAACGAAATAATCTGCAAGTAGATTTTCTGAGGGCACCCCATGGCTACGGAATGGTTGCCATGGAAAATAGTCCAGACTTGAGGGTCGAAAAAGAACGCATGTGCGTGCTAATCGGGGTTTTCAAAGATGGGATCGCGCAAGAATTGAATTTACAAAAGGAAGGAGGAGCAATAAAGCCGATCCCAATCACGCATAATTTCAAGAAGAGGAATACAGTTGAAATAGCCGTGGCTTTCAAAATCCAGATGAGTACAGCCAAGGAGGACTGGCGGAACTTCATCCTTTCAAGCACCGACCTGAAATTTGACCCTCAACCGGAATCTGTTACAACCACTAGGCCTTCTGCTTCAAACCCAGAGATAAATTGGCTTCTCCGTCGCAACCTTGAACATATACTTTCGGTCTGCAGTATTCCAACTGCCGAACAACCTAATTTGGATTTCGAGTCTTCATCAGTGCCTGTCACTGTGGAAAATGACAGACCAGTCATAACACTCACAACACCTGATCAAAAGGATGGCACTCCTCTCTACAGAACTACGGTTCAGGATCAAGAAAGTCTGAAATCCGATTCTGAATTCAGCCCAGAACCCCCAAGAGATTTTCAAGGCCCAATGATTACGCTCAGCGCACCTGATGGCAAAGAGGATGTTCTTCATCGAAGTGCATCAATCCAAGATCATATAGGTCCCATAGCTCTTACATGTGGTGACTTTGGTGATCATCGAGTTAGTGTCTCAGGAAGCTAGTGAGTACATTTCTGATTGGAAGTTGCGTTTCTTGAAGCTGATAATATACTCAAGCTTTGCATTCATTTTTATGTTGGAGATGCATGGTGTACTTTCAGATGCACCAGAACTATGCGAGAAAATTCACATGACATGCAAAGGACATCTTGAGTGGGTCTCACAGTTGAGCAGCGATGAGGCATGCTCGTCTAATATCAGCATCCAGGGCAGGATCATGAATCAATCAGAAGAGACAGATCTGCCGCCCGATGGGCCTATGAACATGCCGAGTCACATTATCAAAGCCACAGAATACCTTCGGGTATTTAATGATATAGAGGATCTACTTTCTGTGTGCAGTTGGTTGGGTGACTTTGCGGTGACGTGGTTTCGCCAGCTTATTGAGACTAAGAATCATCTCACACCAACATGGCAACATCTGGCCGACTCGGAGCTTCCATTGTATCGTCTCAGTGACCACGTGTGGATTTGGAAGGCATTGAATAATCTGGAATACCTAATTCAGCATGTCAAAGAAACACTACAGAATATGCCGAACGAAACTCTAAAAGACTTTCTTCGAATAGCTGATCACTTACCTCATCGTGGAGCGCGGAAGTCAACATCAGGCCCAATGTTGAATTTCACAGCAGAGGAGCTGCGCAGACAGAATCTGCGACGTTTTACGCTTGAGAACGATGTGCTACGGAAGCGCATGCTGAGTGTCACCCGAACCTCCCGAGAGACAAGATTTTTATTTCATTCGCGGGATACCATCCTTTACTATGGACTTGATTGGGGCTTCTTCAGAGGAGAAGAAGAAATTTGGAAACAATTGGTCAGTGCGCAGGTTTTACACGATGAAGGAAATGATGAATCCCAATGGGACAACCCTCTGCGCTACGGTCTGGCGATGGAGATGGCCAAGCAAGGCCATCAGCTCGAGCGAAGCTTTACGCCAACTGAGATGTTTACTCATGCAACACAAATTATTCTCAACTCCTCTTCCGAAAATGGTCTGTTTCCTGGCCAGCTTGACGACTTCAGCAAGGAGCCCGTTCTCTTCGACCGTGAGCTCTTCCGTGATTTCTATTTTCACGTCGGCTTTGAAATCCCTTACATTATTCTGCGTACCATTGTGAAAGTGAAACCGGACCAGCCTGAAGTCACTGGAGAAGCAGATATTGATCCTGGATCATCAAGAGCAGGGCCCAGAATCCCGCTTGTTAGTGAACGAGAACTACCTTCACAAGGCCAGCCAACAGATCTGTCCCCCATCCCGGACACCAATTTTACTGCCGTACAAGGGTATATTGATTTTCAAACGGACGGGCGAGCAGTTGCAGTCCAAAGAACATTGAAACGTCAAGTTCCATACGGCAGGCTCGTCGAACTCGGCAATATCGTCGATGTACCGGAAGAATGGGTGTATAAATATCCCGACTTTCTGGACTTTACACCACCGGCAACTGAGCAAGATTTTGATACGATCCAAGAAGAAGCGCGTGGGGTGATTCAAGAAACATTGAAAGATCGAGACTTTAGGCGAATCGTCGAGAATTACCAGATATCAAGCATTTCGACGCGTGCTTCGGACTGCTATGTAATAGTCGACGATATCCGTAGGGGACGAAAGCAACGAAAGTGGTCGGTCGAGGAGAAGTCCATAACAAGTGATTGTCCCACCTATATAGACTTATGGAATCGACTCCGGGAATCGCGGAGTGCTGAGACCAGCAAAAAGCGCTTGATTTACCTCAGAGCTCCGGACTACACGGTCGCTACCATGTGTTACCTGGCATCACCCGAGCTCGAGCGAGTACACATGGCGCAATTCTTCGATCGACATGCCAAAGTGCATGCGAACTACTTTTATGATGATACCGCGGCCGTGGTCAATAGTTGGGTGACCGAAGTTCATTTCCGCTTTTTCCAGCTGTATAGGCCCAATGGAGACGAGACACTCCCTGCAGACCTCCATTGCGTGCGACAACTGAAATCGCAAGAATGTGGCCTGTTCGGCAGTGATACCTATCTCATTGATGCTGTAATTAGCTTTCGTATCGTGGGCGATTTCTTTGATCGCTACTGGACGTGTCATATTATTCAATATTTTGCAGACGCGACAGAGCTTGCTAATTATCCGCCACTTGATGACTACGATCGCAGCCAAAGTGCAAATTGGCAGCAACGCAAGGTTTTGGAGCTGGTTTTCATCAATCGCATTCTGAAAAAGGTGTCTAGTAGCATGGATTCGATTTTACGGCGCATCGAACAAGGTCCTCGGTCGACCACGTCGGATGCGGGAGAAAAATACTTTTCCAGAGACAGCTTCGAAGATCGCAAGCCAGGGGAGTTGCGGGAAATCTTCCAGCTTCTGGTTATTTTGAAGAATAACATTACCAATCTGCAAGGCTTGATTGAGCAATGGAATTCCCGAGAGAGCTCTCAAGGCCGATCGCGACCACGCTGGACAAGAATGGATGAGCAGAAATATCGGAAGTCCATTAAGCAGAAGCTGGTTCACTTTGAGGACCATGTTCGAGAGATCAAAGCAACAGCCGCGCGCATTGAGTTCCTAATCGCGTTGGTAACTAATGCCCAAGACGCCATCCGATCTAAAAAATCGCTCAAGGAAGCAGAGAATATCACCCTCTTCACTTATGTCACCGTATTCTTTCTACCAGTGGGACTTGCTGTTAGTATCTTCAGCATGAGCAATGCACCCGATCATAGCGTTCTGGTTTACATGATCGCTACAGCGGCGGTGGCTCTTCTGATCACAATTGGCGTATTATGGTGCGTCCTTAGCCACTTAATTCCTACAAAGTTGCAGATTATCCGGACAGCACTCAAAAGTACACGAGGCCCACCAATCATGCCAGAAGATGCATTAGCCGATGAAACTCTTTTAAACCAGCGACTTTTGCGGCGGCTATCGATGAGATCAAAGGATCATCGAAAAGCTGGACGGAAGATTGATGATCTTGAAGGGCAGACTGGACCTGAAATCGATATGGAATCCCTACGAGCAAAATGGACTTACAATAAATGATGATTAGTGCCACTATATCAACTATGGATCCCTCCTTTGCTTTACATATTACCCCTCGTAGATATCTCCGAGGTTTTTCACCTTAGTATAGTGGCGAACCTTTACTCCGTAATACATCCACCATCTGATTAGATATCATTCCTAGTACCGCTTCTACTCAGCCAGGTGTCAACTGCAGCAAATCTTCATAATCGAGCTCCGCGCCTTTGTGTGGGTCATCGCGTCGTACACACGGAACAGCTTGCTTTATTTAAAGCCTTCATATTCACATTCTTGATACAATGATACTTGTCTGTAATCTTGTCATTAAAAAATGCTTAGATCCAGCAGTCTGAAAAGTATTCATGTCCCCTAACAAGTCAGCGGCCCGCAAATGTGGACCAGGCTATTTGGGGGCCAGGCTGGGTAGACAATAAATGCCAAGAGGGGCTAGATAAAACCGCATGATATCCCCCTGGACTATTATAATATCACAACCATAATTTTCAGCCATCATGAGAAGAAAAGCTACCCGCCCTCAAAAGATTGAATCAAGGCAGCCAGGGCCACTGGTTTAATGGAGTACGTCATCGCCAAGGAAGCCTATAGCTTTAAAGCATTGTCTAAATTATCATAGGAATCGGCACACTCTCTAACATTCTTGCGATTTGTTTGATCATCTCTGTTTTATGGACTGAAACTCCTCGCCATAAGCTTTGTGCGTATCGATGACAATTTTATTATATCAACGACTAATATTATATAGATGAAGTGACGGGTGCGTCATTAGTCACGCTTATCACGCACTCTTCCCTTCTATATTATGCTCCACCCGGCCATGATGAACTGCCTTCCATAATATTGTGTTTTATTTCAGGACCTCTGCTGTTATGGTCATATCTTACATTCCTCTGGTGAATATACGCGATAGCACCTCGAGCCTAAAATTACTAGTACCTTTTAGTAATAAAGTCTCTGGCTAAATAAGCTGCGGCCTTTTTATCACACACTAGAATATATCACTATAGTAAATTTAAGATAAGCTGTTATTGATGCTGTAAAATCAAATGATACGTGTTGTGGATGGTCATAGGGGGTATTTAGTTATTCTAAAACGGCCTGACTGGCCATGTAGGCGGTTACTGTTTCATGTCTAAAGATGGCGAGATCCTGTGTTTTTCCTTTCCGACTGCTGCCTAATTCTTGGTGGGTTTGCCTGTTAAGCGCAAAGTGTGATTTGGGATTTTTGGGAGCTAAGAAGCAAAATCTTCACTAGATCTAAGACATTGCCAAGACCCTCTACAGTAGGCTAGTCACCCTATTTTGATAATAGCATACTCACTCAAGAGGTCATGCACACGAATAACTAGCTTTGATAAAGCAATACAGTCAGTGCTTATATTATCCTAACAATCCACGAGAATCAAGAGCTGGGCGCGCTTTCGGGTCAGAAAAGAAAACCCGATCTTAATTTTTAATATAATCGCAACGATCATCTAAAGGTTTCGCGCTTTGGAGCTTGGCGCTACCTTTCTCAATTGCTTCTTCTTCGCTTTTTTGCTAAGCCCATAACTAAGCTGAACTAAGCTAGTTAGATAAGTTGGGTTTCCCGGTAATGGTAATGCTATTGTAGAAATATCGTTTCCGTTCTCCCACCAGGTTAGGACCGAGGCTACGCACTACTGAGATTATGAAGGATATACTTTCTAGAGAAAAGTATAATGATCACAGTCCGCAGATCAGCATTTTTGAGGAGCAATAATATATGTAGATATGAAAGAGAGTGGCACCCAACTGCTTGCTAAATGCTACGGTGTGTGCTGTTGGTCCGCTTCTCCCCGGTCGTGCGACTAAAGCGGCACTTACCTATTCCTTATATGGAACAAGTGTGGAGAGCTCTTTGGATTGAAGTATGTAGTATGTTCTGGAAATACACCCAGTACATACGACCATAGGGTGTGGAGAACAGGGCTTCCCGTCCGCTCAGCCGTACTTAAGCCACACGCCGGTTAGTTAGTAGTATGGTGGGTGACCACATGCGAATCCTGACTGTTGTATGTTTTTGTTTTTTGCATGACCTACAAGCACAAAAATAACTGAATTTGGGTTTGAAGCACGGACTCTTATGGAGGTAGAGCCGACTCGTCGTCACAGTCGGTAAGTTTGCTGTCTGATCTATTTGACCTGCCTTAACACCATATCCTGAGTAGGATATAATTGGATTGCAGGGATAAAGTAGAAAAAATTGGATAGCGAAACATGTCTAAGATAATTCATTTCTATTCTCGCACACAGTGTGACTCCATGTAGTGTCTTTAAAATACAGCATTCATTAGTTCCCATATCCGCCCGGAGGGAGTAAATTCCTGCAGTAGACGGAACTACGTCCAGCCTTGTCTGGCCAGCAACAGATCCTCGCAATCAATTGCCGTGACAACTACGCCCCCGAGGTGAATGAATGCCGCTTGTGACTACCCATCCATAGAAGCAGCGGCCCCTGTAGATATACAATGATTGATTGCCAAATCCGGAATCCAGGGGCCAAAGTAGCATGGATTGGTTTCTCAAGAAGGAGGCAACATGCCCAGTATAGAGGAGATGCGGAGGCTCTCTGCGGTTCTTCGACGATTGAGCAGAGATCTACAACGTCGATGTGACTGACTTATTACACTACGATTACCTTATTGAGTCTCCTTGACAAAGGCAACCGGAAAGGGAACGTTAAGCAGATCAGCGCAGATATTGGTCGCCAGCTCTATTTCTCAGCTTCTATCGGGCGTGGCCTCAAGCGGGAATGGCCTATACAATAAGAAAAGCTGCTGTCACTCACTTGACTGAAGGGTGGAGAGCTTTTTGATTCTATGCCAGGTAGAGTGAATGTCATTGCTCTAGGAAGTAAGCTTGGAACTGATCCTTCTCCCACTCTTTTCTCCCTTGCATGATCTGCCTTGTAACGAGTCAGAGCTAACATGTAATCGTATTGGCTATTCTTCCGGTCGGGAATGACAATGCAACCACTGAAATGGGAGGTGGAGGCGAGGAGATTGGAGGAACTGTCCTTTATTTGCATCAGAGGCAGGCGCGGTTTGCCCTGGCTCGATCCATGAAGTTGATGCCCAAAGGGTATTCAGCCTGGGGGTAACGTACTAGCATAGAAGAGTAATAAGGAAAGTGTCTCAAACATTTAAACTTGCAATACTACGGGAAATTGGCACTTTGTTGACTGCTAGCCGACGTATCCACAGCGAGGAAAAATTAGCCGACCGCAATATAACATCATTTGCCAAATTCAAACTAATAAAGGTTGAGAGGAAATAGAGGATATTGGCTACGGTAAAATGATTACAAATGCAGTCAGCAATTGACCCGCGTAACCTTTCCACGTATCAAATTTCTGTTTCAAACAAGATGCTTCTGCAGTCATATCGTTAGTGTAGCAAACAAACCTAATCCGCCGCGCTCCGTGTGGCGCCAAGACCCGACCTGAAGATTCATCTAATTATACAACACTGCGGCCAATTAGAACCAGAGATTTCTCATAGATAGCCAGGGAGAAAGGTCCGAGGTCGGCACAAAGTTTCTAGGATCAGTCTATATTGCGGCAGATGCGATGATCCCGTCAGCAATCACTCAAGGCCGGGAGCTTCGTCCAGATGCATCAAATTCCCATTTAGGAAGTCTCACGCCTTTCGAGATGATCATATCTCGAGGTCTAGGTATCGTAGATACACATTGTGAATTTCAATGCATATAAGGCCTTAGCCTCTACACAAATATGGTGTTGACTCTGTTGAGCATAATTTTAAGCTATTTGAAGTTCACAAAATCATTGTAAATGATAAATTCATCTGCTAGAATGAAGAAAGGTTCAGACAACATCAATCCCACTGGGGAGAACCATCCAGACAGAGTATTTGGAGCAGATATCCCTATCGCCATTGTTGGATTGTCTTGTAAATTTCCTGGGGATGCAAGCTCCCCAGAAAAGTTCTGGGAGCTTCTTGAAAATGGCCGCAGTGCTTGGACTTCAGATGCCGGTTTTCGCTTTAACATGGCGGCTCATCACCATCCCAAGAGAGAACAAAATGGCAGTTTCAATCCCATTGGTGCTCACTTCATTAAGCAGAATCTAGCCGAGTTTGACGCCCCATTCTTCAGCATATCCGCTACCGAGGCAAAGGCAATGGACCCACAGCAGCGCCATACTCTGGAGAGTGTCTATGAGGCCATCGAGAGTGCCGGAATTACCATGTCCTCTCTTGCTGGTAGCAAAACAGCTGTATTTGCTAACACATACAACCGAGACTGGTTTTCGATTGTGCTTCGAGATCCAGAAGCAATACCTAAATACCAAGCTCTCGGCACGGGAGACGCCTTGATATCCAACAGAGTTTCTTACTTTTTTGACCTTCGGGGTCCGTCGATGACCTTGGATACTGGGTCTTCCGGCAGCATGGTTGCCTTGCATCAGGCATGTCAGAGTATACGCTGCGGTGAAAGCTCCCAAGCCATTGTTTCTGCTGCCAATCTCATCTTAGACCCTGAACTTCTGGTCGGAATGAGCAATCTGGGGTACATATTCCCAATCCCATGAGTTTCAAGTAAATCATCACATTTCTGACGTGGAACAGATTTTTGTCAGACAACGGTCGGTGTTTGACGTTTGATGCCCGAGGAAATGGCTATGGGCGTGGCGAGGGCGTCGCATCTATTTTCCTCAAACCCCTTGATGATGCACTGAGAGATGGCAATCCTATTCGCTCTATCATTCGGGGTACCTTCGCGAACCAAGATGGACGCACCCCGGGTATCACGATGCCTTCGACAAAAGCCCAGATTGACATGATTCGTGGTGCTTACCACAATGCTGAGCTCGATATGTCGCTGACGGCCTATGCAAGTTGAAGCCCACCTCCAATAACAGGACACCCATGCACCTCCCCGCTGACTCATGCAACCATAGTGCGAATCCCATGGAACAGGTACGCCCGCCGGAGATCCGGTGGAAGCTGAGGCTATCGCGTCAACACTTGCCAAATTGCATTCCAAAAAGGACCCATTGATTGTGGGTAGCGTGAAAACCAACATTGGGCATCTGGAAAGCTGCGCGAGTATGGCAGGCCTGATCAAGGTCACATTAATGCTCGAGAAGGGGGTGATTGTACCAAATCACGACTTCCAGTCGCCTAATCCCAAGATCCATTTGGAAGAATGGCATATGATGGTAAGCAGAAAGAAAGAGCCTCACAATCCGTCTAACTTTGACCAATTTGCTTGTTAGGTCCCTACCAAAACGATGAATTGGCCGAACTCAACGTACAAGCGAGCCAGTGTCAACGCCTTTGGATACGGCGGAACCAATTGTCATGCTATTCTGGACGCCGCGGACAGTTACCTGACGCTACTTGGTGATAACTCAGTTCCAAGGACTCTGTGTTCTGAAGACTCTTGTGTCAGGTTGAACCTCCAGAACGGCAGTATTATTTCCAACAACTTGACCAAGTCTCCTGTCTCACGTAGCTATCGACTCTTTGTGCTCAGCGCTAGAAATGAGAAGGTGCTTCAGAGAATGATACAGAACCTGGCATCTTATGTCGAGAAATGCTCCAAATCTGAGGCTGATGTGCTAGATAGCTTATCATATACGCTATGTCTGAGACGCACCCACCTCCCAAGGCGTATTGCGGTTGTGGCATCATCACTACAAGAGCTTGTTCAAGCGCTTGAAACTGCCAAAATCTCAACACGGGCAGTTTTATTGAGCGCAGAAGATCGTCTCGGCTTTTGCTTTACTGGCCAGGGTGCTCAATGGCCGACAATGGGAAGGGAGCTTCTTCAGCACTACTCAGCATTCCAATCATCTCTATTGAGGGCCGACGAATATCTCATCTCGTTTGGTGCATCCTGGTCGCTTACAGGTGAGAAAGATCTCCCTGCTTCATCTCTTCAATATCGCTGGAATAGTCTGGCTAAAGACTGAGCAGAGGAATTACTTAAAGATAGTCAGAAAAGTCTTGTCTATCAGGCAGAGTATTCACAACCTATTTGTACCGCGGTACAAATTGCACTGACGGATCTGCTATCCTCATGGGGAGTAAGGCCTGCAGCAGTCACAGGACATTCATCTGGTGAGATAGCTGCTGCATATGCATGCGGCGTATTGTCCGCCCGCGACGCAATGTTGGTGGCATATTTTCGGGGACTGTGTGCCACACAAGCTACAAAACGAAATACTTGTCCAGGAGCAATGTTAGTCACCAATGCTTCCGAATTGAAAGTAAAAGAATACATCACGGCGATGCCTATCGGAATGGGCAAAGCTGTGGTGGCCTGTATCAACAGCCCTTCTAGTGTGACTATCTCCGGAGATGAGAACGCGATTGATTATCTTCAAGAGGCTCTGAGTAGCTCATCCCACTTTACCAGGAAGCTTAATGTCGACACAGCCTACCACTCACATCATATGGAAACCATTGCGACAGAATACTACGAATCCCTCCGGGATATAAATCCACAGGAGTCCAATGTTCCATTCTTCTCTTCTGTGTACGGTTGTCCCCTCCAAGGGTCTCAACTAGACCCCGAATACTGGGTGAAGAACCTGCTGTCTCAAGTGAAATTTTCCGCAGCAATCATGGCAATGTGCAGCCACCATACGGAGATTACTTCGGATCTTGACGGGCCGTTTATCAATACCATTGTGGAAATTGGACCTCACTCCGCTCTCAGAGGAGCTATCCAGCAGACCATCCGATCCTCCAATATTGCCGCAAATGTGGAGTACAAACCAAGCTTGATACGCAAGGAAGACGGAGCTAAGACAGTCCTTACCCTTGCCGGTGCGCTATTTGTGCAGAATTACCCTCTCAATCTTGATGAATTAACAAAGTCTCGTGACCACATTTCGAATTTAATCGCCCTGTCAGACCTTCCAGCATATCCCTGGGATCACTCCACCACATACTGGGCAGAGTCCCGATTGAGCTCAGACTACCGGCTGCGATCGCAACCGCGCCATCAGCTTCTTGGTGTCCCGTCAATGGATTGGAATCACCTTGAACCAAGCTGGCGTCACATTATCAGACCAATCGAACTTCCGTGGATTCGGGGACATTCTCTTGGTGGACAAATCATCTACCCTGCAGCAGGATACATAGCGGTCATACTTCAAGCATGTCTCGAACAACACATCTATCGGAAAAATGATGAAGGGAAGAAGATCTCCTTGTTTAGACTCAAGGGTGTGAACATATCCAAGGCTCTTGTCGTGCCGGATGATTCGGATGGCATTGAGATGGTGACCAAGTTACGCCCCTACAGGGTGTCTGAACACGAGAACTCCTCAAGCTGGCAGGAGTTCCTCATCTGCTCCTACTCAAACAATGGTACATGGAGTGAGCATTGCCAAGGTCTTGTGTCTGTTCAATTCGAGAAAGATTACACCCTTGAGAGTATCATTACGAATGACGTCGACCATCGCCAGACCGAAGACTTTCTGGGATTCTATGAAAAGCTCACTGATCTTGGCTATCAATTTTCGCCACCTTTCAAGAATGTACAAGATGTCAGAACAGGATACCACGAGGCCTTTGCCTCTATCAAAGTACCCGATACTTCCAAACACATGACTGAGGGCTATGAACTACCACAAATGCTACATCCCGCGACGCTCGACAGTGTTTTTCAAGTTCCCCTCGCGGCATTAGATGCCTCCGGGTCGCTCCTTTCTGCAATGGTCCCAGTACACTGCGATATGATCACAATTGCCGGAGATATCCTGCATGTTCATGGAGAAGAACTCCGCGCCCATTCGAAGACCACATCCGACGGGCCGAGGAAATGCAAAGTACATGCTTCAGTCACAAATGCAGGAGGTGCAACCCAGATACTCATCGAGGGACTCTCCTACACTGCGTTGAATAGTGCTGCTATAATGGATGATCAAGAATCAACGAGGCAGATCTGTCACAAAATTCACTACATCGAAGACATCGACAAGCTAATGGACGGGGCTTTGAAGAGGGTCGCCATGTCCAAACTTTCTCAGAGTAAGCCATCGACACACTTCAAACTGATCCATGAGGCATGCTTGATCTTGATGGAAAGGGCACTAGAGACATTGAGGGACAAGGAGATATCGGAAGGCTCAGCTGAACATCATCGCTTTTTGTATGATTGGATGCAAGCTTCAGTAGCTGATGCAGACTCTATCCGTCCCCTTGCCAATAATGCCAACTTCCAAGCTCGTGTTGAATCTCTAGGCTCTACCGGGTTAATGGTTTATCGGGTCGGCAGCAATTTAAGTCGGATCATCTTAGGTGAAGTTGAGCCTCTTGAACTCATGACGGCAGGCGGTCTCCTCGATGAATTCTACCAGGAGGACTCAATCAGAAGATGCTACAGCACAATGCAAACATACGTGGATATCCTAAGCCGGAAAGATCCTAATATGAAGGTAATTGAAATTGGTGCAGGTACAGGAGGTGCCACACAAGCGGTGCTTGAATCGCTGCATGGCCAATTCTCCCAATATGATTTCACAGATATTTCTGCTGGGTTTTTTGAAAACGCCCATAAGAAGCTCTCGCAGTGGGGCTCAGCTATTGTCTATAAAAAGCTTGATATCGAGAAAAACCCGGTGGAGCAAGGATTTGATGAGTGCTCATACGATCTTGTTATTGCGTCAAACGTCCTACATGCCACAAGAAGCATTCACGAAACCATGCTCAATGTGCATAAACTGCTCAAGCCAAATGGAAGGCTCTTCCTGCTTGAGATTCCCAAACCTATGGTCTACATCCAAATGATATTTGGCACGTTACCGGGATGGTGGATGGGTAAGTTATTTATCCAGTTTACTGATCATACTTACCAGATGCTAAGCAAAGTCACAGGTCGTGAGGAAGGCCGAGTGGTTAGCCCTTGTCTGGACATTCCCCAATGGCACTCTGTCCTGCAAGAAACAGGCTTCTCCGGAGTTGACACTCATATTCCTGACTACGAAATCGATGAGTTCGCACAGTACGAGGTTATCATCTCTAAGGCCCAACCAAAAATCTCAGAAGGCTCAAAGTATGGTGTGGAAATCATCACCAGTTCCGAGAGTTCTCAACACGTGGATGAGCTTTCCGAGTCCTTATACAACATCCTCGGCGATGGCGTTGCTCACGAAACCACGCTAACTGAGTGTGAGCCACAGGGAAAAATTTGCATCTTCCTTTCAGAGATGGTGCAGCCTCTGCTTTACTCTTGTGACAAAATACAATTTGATCAAGTGAAAAAAATACTGGCACACGCGGCTGGGATCATTTGGCTCACTAACCATGACCCTAAAAATGCGCTTGTCACTGGATTAGCGAGAACGGCCCGGTCAGAAAACAGTGGTATGCGATTCATCACACTGAAGACTGACCCAGATAGTACATCATGTTCAGCAACAGGGGATATCATTCGTGGCTTCTGCGAAGACATTTTCCGAGGTCAGAATACAGATGATGATTCTGAATACATTGAGCATAACGGACAGTTGCTTATTCCACGCCTCGTTAATGATGAGGATACTGCAGGCTACCTCACAGGCTCTGTAACCAGGCCCGAACAGGAGGTAGAGTTCAATCCAGCACAATCTAATTTGACTCTGGAAGTTGCCTCGCCTGGAAAACTTGACAGCGTGCAGTGGCATGAACAGCAAATCTTTAATGCGGGTCCCGCTGCAGATGAAGTATTTGTGGAGGTTAGAGCTTCTGGATTGAACTTCCGAGATCTCATGATTGCTTTGGGTCAGTTTGGAAATGCTTCTCTCATGACAGGTGAATGTAGCGGCTTCATACAAGCCGTGGGATCCGATATTCGGGACTCTTTCAAGGTTGGTGACCGAGTTTGCGGCTGGTCAGCCACAGGTTTCTCCTCGATTGCACGGATGAAAGGAGCCGGGGTGCATCGTTTGGACGACCTCACCTCATTTGAGGAAGGGGCTTCGCTGGTTGTTGCTTACACCACAGCTTACTATGCACTGGTTAACCTTGCGCATCTACAAAAAGGTGAGAAGGTTCTCATTCACAGTGCAGCAGGGGCTGTGGGGCAAGTCGCCATCATGCTAGCTCAGTATATTGGTGCAGAGATATTCGTCACTGTGGGAAATGATGAGAAAGCAAGTTTCTTGCAGAAAGAGTACCATATCCTGCCCGATCACATTTTCTCCAGCCGCTCAATTGGACTCTTGGCACGTCTCCAGAAAGCGACAGGAGGATGTGGTATTGATGTCGTGCTGAACTCTTTAACTGGTGACATTGCTCGCGAATCCCATGCATGCCTTGCAACCTTCGGCCGGTTTGTGGAGATCGGTATTCAAGACTTTCTGCAAAATTCTAGAATGGACACATCCTTCATGCAACAGAACATCTCGTTCTTTTCTGTTGACATGACGAAGGTTCTGAAACAAAATCCACGTCTCTTTGCACAGCTGTTGTCATCAGTATTCTGCCTCCGAGAAAGTGGTGCCCTGAAATCTGTTCATCCTATCACGCAATTTGAGCCAAACGAGCTTGAATCTGCATTCAGGACGCTGCAGACGGGAAAGCACATTGGAAAAGTCGTTATAAATAGCAGACAGGGTAGTCGATTTAAAGTTTGTCCTCCTCCAAGTCCCAGGTGCTTGGTGCATTCATTAATCCAAATTCCAGGTGGTACCAAGGCCCGTTCCTGCAGTTCAGTTCGCAGGGAACATCTCCTATATGATTTCTGGTGGTCTCGGAGGCCTGGGCCGCGCCATCGTCAAGTGGATGTGTCAATCAGGAGCCAGGAACATCGTCATTCTGACTCGTTTTGGCTTACGAGGTGCTGTGCTGGAAGATTGGGCAGCGGAGGTGAGAGAGATGGGAGTCAAACTCGCCATTTATATCTGTGACATTGTAAATGAGGGTTCACTCAAAATCGCAATCCAGCAAGCATCGGAAGAGATGCCTCCAATCCGCGGTGTGATTCAAGCAGCCATGGTGCTCAAGGTAAGCGCTCATAAATTACACGAGAAGCAAAGTTTATTGACTCTTTGTTCAGGACTGCCTGCTGGAGAACATGTCTCATGCGGAATACTTCGATGCAGTTGAACCAAAAACTATCGGTTCACAGAATTTACATGAAGCATTTCTCTCTCAGCCACTTGATTTCTTTATTCTACTATCATCGGCCGCTGGAATTGTTGGCAATACCGGTCAAGCCAACTACGCATCTGGTTGCACGTTCCAGGACGCGCTAGCTCGTCATCGTATCAGTCTTGGATTACGGGCTCATTCAATTGATTTGGGTATGATAAAGTCCGCAGGCTACGTAGCCGAAAACCCTGAAGCAGTCCAATTCCTCAGGGAACAGGGATATGTGCCAGTCGAGTTAGACCAGGTCTTCCGAATGATCAATAAGGCCATCCAAGAGCCTGCGACCGAGTCCCAGGATGCTCAAACTGTGCTGGGACTACGATATGACCACTCAAAAAATAATGGAGCCGTGATGCAGCACTTGTTAGATCCGAAATTTAGGCATCTATTGTCTTCCCGCCGCATAAGCGGTGATTCCGTCGCCATACAAGAGCAGGACATATCGAAGTCTATTGCTACTGCAAAGTCTCTTCACGAGGCTATCACGGTCATTGCTGATGCTCTGGCCTCTCGTCTACGGCGGCTGCTTGCCATAGAATCAGAAGAAATATCTCACTCCCAGTCTATCGCGGATCTAGGTACAGACTCTTTGGTTGCAGTCGAGTTGAGGAGCTGGATTAGCAGAGAGATGCATGTTAACGTACAGGTTTTGGAGATCCTTCAGTCCACGTCAATCAAGAGCTTCGCAGCTACCCTGGCTGCTAGAAGCAAGCTGGTAATGGAAGCAATAGAGCAAGGTCAAGATCAAAAAGAAACCCAAGCAATGGCGGTGATGACATCTGTGGCCAGAGCAGGTCAACTTGTAAGGTAGGAAAAGGGGCTTAGAGAACCTTGAAAGAGGGAGTTAGTAGATCGTATGTGTGTTATCCTATCTAGCAGAACTAAGCCACATACCCCAGTCTACTAGAAGATTATATAACAATATTTCATTCCAGATATGCATTGGGAACAACTATTGAAGAACGTGTAAAGATAATGCCACACCTGAGTCGGAGCCATGGCATAGTCTCTACCATCTCGTACTCCGCATCTGCCCACGCAATTTTCTAGGCAGCTTGATTCTTGTTTTCTTCGTTCACGACATTGATTCCTTCACTGAATTCACTCCGATCCCGCCCCCACAGTCTTCAGCGCCCTAATACTTCCCTCGTCTGTTTATGCAATGTCCGATGAACCTCTTGACATCAGCAATGCCGGTCAATTTGACGTTCATGAAGAGAAGGACTACCTCAACAAGATCCATGAAGTAGTCAGTTCAGACTTCAAGGCGAGAGGAATGACCGAGTGTGTTGATGCAAGCGATGTGAGCATCAATCTGGACTGGACAGACTACCTCTCCGTCATGGTGTGCTAATTGGGCCAATTTAGGCCTGCTCACCTTTTTCTTCCAAAAACAAAGATTTCATTCTTTCCATTCATACAGCTCTTATTGATGTGTAAATATAAATAGGATCCGCAGAGTGGGAGTGGGGCTAGTGCAGGCCAGTTTGATAAGACACAGCTGAATCCTTAATGCACACTTAACTACATTCATTCCGTCTCCTCCCGTGTGGCAAGACCAATCCCAACTATATTATAATCAAAGACTTGCCATCTAACTACCTACTTAGTCAACCACCGACAATGCATCACGATGAGGAACCTCTCTCTGCGCGAGCCTTCAACTCCTCGTTAAACTGACAATATTGACCAAGCATTTTCCTCCCCAACAGAGAAGGGCTCATCAGGAAGGCAATTAGACCTGAAAAGTCCTCTGACTGTGTAAAGATTGTACCCCCAGACTCGGTTGCTTCGAAGCGGAAGCTGTGTAGCCCAGCAATCAGACCCATCACGGGGGGTCCTTGCCATTGAAACAGATGCTCCGAATTCTCCTGTCATCAGCATCACGTCAGCGCATGCGATTTTGTAGACCAATATCTGGCATATATAGGAAGGGAAACCTTGATCTCGGCCGTGAACTTCATGCCATCAATATCACACTTGATCTTATCGCCGGGTTGCAAGGTAGCCAAAGTCCGAGTCGAATCCTCGGGTTCTAATAAGCGGACAAGGCCCGATTTTTGCCAGTCTGGGTAAGTTGCAAAGTCGAGGAGCTATCAAAGGAGTGGCAGTAGACTAGAGTTAGCCAAATCTAGGCGGTAGCACAGGATGCGTCAATCTTACCACATCCCGCACTTGGCTGGGTGGAGCCGCAATCTCGATTTGAGTTTCGATCATTTCGAGTCAAGCGGGTAAGGCAAATAGTGGGTATTGGGAAAGGATCTACCGACTGCGGCAGTATTATGGGATACTGGAGGAGCTCGAGGGTCGAAGATGACAAAGAAATATGAAAATTTTGGGAATGCTGAAAGCATATTACGGTGGGCGATCCTAGGGGGCCTAATTTGGGGGCCGTAAGTAATCGCGCTAATGCTACCGCCAATGCCCGCCAATGCACACCAATCCGGGAACATCTTTGTGCCTTCCTGCACTAAACTCTTTTAAAGATACTCCGAAATTAAGGTCATAGAATTCGAGCCACTTCGGAGTGTTTTGAGCATCTCGCTTCGTTTCAGCGCCCATGAGGGTTTGATGAATTTGCATATATAGTCATGAGATGTTTAACAACTTTGGAAGGCGAGGACACGAGTGCCCCAATTTCCCCAATTTCCACACCAGTTCGCCCAGCGTCCGTGATGGTCTCGGTATTTCGGTAGTTTTGCCAGCTAATGAGATCTGCTCAGGATTAATAAAACTTGCTAAGTAGCTTCACATGGAGGGTTCCACAATATCGGGTCGATACACAGTTTCAACCAGCCTTAAGCCACATTACCCCCAACCTGCATGAATACCATGAGGACTGCGGAATAGCTTAGAGGAGAAATCAGTTCTTGTTGAAAGACATAGCAAGCGCATCGGGGGATGGGATTTACATACGCCGCAGTGGCTGCCAAGCTTTCAAATGGCTTTGCACCTGTAAGAGTCCCCACCAGTGCAAGGAAGAGTATTATGAAGCCCGTGATAATCCCAAGCTGATAGGTTTTCTTTTCGACGAAAATCAACCACCATGGCGGTGCAATCAACATGACTAGGCCAAGGATGATAATGATAGATCGGGCGCAGGACTCCATCAAATTATCGTCGTAATAGCTCGTGGATTCTGGATCGTAGCCTTTAATATTGGTTTTCTTGTTCTATTAGCCCTTATTATCTGCGTGAAAGTTCTCAATGCTGACCGACTTCATAAGCAAAAGAACCAGCAGAAACAAACTCACAATATTCTTCCTGAAAAACAGGCTTTGTGTAATGCTTGAAAATCGTTCCATCTTTCTAAGCAGAGGAGACTTTTTCTCTTCCACGAATCGTATCAAATCATCCACTGCTGTCACATAATTTCTTTCTGCCGAAAATATGGCCTCCGGGTAACAATGTAAAAGCCAATTCTTCACATTGGATATTTCATGTTTGTCAGCCGGAGGCCGTGACCTAAGTTTGGAATATGTGATCACATATTCATCTTGGATCGTTCGTTAGGCCGAATTGTCATCCAATAACCAGAGCAATGAAACGCAGTAAGGCGAGAAAGGAGAGACATGGGTCAACATACTATAATCTTTCAATTTTGACTGTGCCTCAGCCAGTATTGCCTCCCTTCTCATTACAGTATCATGCCTGAATGACCCATTGTTCACAGGCGAGGTGCCCAATTGAGAGTTTTCGCTGTCTATCGCAGCTAGTTCCTCTTCCAACTGAGATATAGAATCTTGCATTCTCAATAGCACTCGCGTGTTGAGCACTTTAAAGCGACGAAGAACAAAGAAGTCATTGTCGGAAGCAGACCATTCGCAAAAAGCTGGATACCCAAGGTACTGCCATGGTCTCTTGTGCAGGTCAAGCTCTTTCGATTCCCAGGAGTCTGCTGGTCGAATCGTAGACTCCGGCAATTTATATTCAGACATTCTTCAACAATGATAAAAGTCGCTCATACGTCTTTGAAAAAAGGCTCAGGCTGGGAGAGGTAAATCAACAGTAGACCGCCTACAAGTATATTTGGGCTCAGGTGTGTAGGAAGTGGCGCAGTAAGTTGTAACAGCCTCGGCGGCTCTTCCACCATTCATGGTCGTCAATACCATTGCAAAGCCCCACTGCTTAGCCAGGCTAACAAATCCTTCCCAATACATTTTGAGAGCGGGGGTCTGTGCGGCACGGCCGCATACAATTGGCTGCTTCATGTATCCTTGGATATGAGGGGGCGGTAGCTTCCGGTGGCTTTCGCTTCGCGCCAATGATGGTCCACTGCCATAACAGTTCCAAGGCTGCCACATAATATAACAACTCATCTGATGCTTCACTACTTTCCGAAGAGCCTCACTGTTGCAAGGACAAAATGTCTCAAGTCCTCCATGAGCATCGTTTCTCGGGAAATATAATGTTAAACCGCGTGGTCTTTTGAATCTATGTCACCCGGCTCCCACTTGAGAAACAGACATCAAATTAGCTGGTCCATTTATATCCTGCACTAGAATTACTGCATGTATTAACCCATATCACCAACCCAATACAGCCATATCGTTTGCTTTGACATGACCTTTCTCCACAGGCACGGGAAAACGAAGCTCATTGGAAGATTTCAGTCCAACCTAGCCGCCGGTCTGACGGGAGATCATCCAGGTGAGGCACTCATGTCCCCTCTTCAAGGCTGATTTTCAATATTCCACTTCCCGAAGTCATTCATTTTCACCGTACTTTATGTTCATATTGCACTGCCTTCATATGAAGGTTTCATCAATCATCCTTCCATTTATCACAGGCAGAGATCTTCAACTTTGAACTTTGTTATTTTTCTTGTACGGAACATGCAGCGGTCCTTGCTGGAAAGCTGTACATTTCGTGTCTATAAATAATGCGCTTAATAGATCACAATACTGTGGACTCAGACTATTTTCAATCTTTATCACAAATTGAGAAAAATAACTGGGCGGCTCTTGGGCTTGTTCAATACTTCGGTCCTAAACCATAATCGGATTAGGCCATTATTTTCCTCCGAGATCAGCAAGCGGCCTATTACCGCTGACGCGTCAGTGCGAGACCCCCGCCTTGCCTCGTTCGGGGCTTGAGACGGTCATAATAATACTGGTCGGCTAATGAACCTTTCTTATTGAAGCACTTCTCCTTGTTTCGGCGGTTCGAAATAATAATCGTCACTTTCGAACTCTGAATCGTAAGGCTATTTTGAAATTAGCCTTACCCGAGGGGATGAAGGTACCCAGCCTCCTTTACCGCAATCCCCTTGATTCTTCAAGTGATGTTGATGATTGGGTTGCGGAAGGTCCAGTACAGGCTAAGTGTGTGACCACAAAGGATGGTAAGAATGCAATCGAGCTCTCTTCTGCTGGTGAAATAAATGACCACTTCACCTTCTGGTGCCCGGAGACGTTTCCATCCCGGATTCGCATCAAGTGGGAGTTCTCACCTACATCTGAGTTAGGTCTCGCTATGCTTTTCTTTGGTGCTACAGCGGCGGCGTCTTCATCCGGAGGAAGTGGTGATGATTCATCTATCTTCTCGCCCTCGCTCCACCGACGAAACGGCGAGTACCCTCAATACCACTCAAGTGACATCCGCACTCTGCATGTCTCGTATTTCCGTCGGCGATGGGAAGATGAACGCGCATTCCATACTTGCAACTTGCGCAAGAGCCCCGGCTTTCACCTTGTAGTGCAGGGTGCGGACCCGCTACCGCCAGCGGTGGACGCACGCGGTGCCTTCTATCAGATCGAACTCTTCAAAGATGGCAACCACGTTAAGTTCTCCATCAATGGACTTCCTTTATTCGAATGGGTGGATTTGGATGGTAAGACTGGACCAGTCGTGGAGGGCGGCAGTATTGGCTTTCGACAGATGGCGCCGCTGGTGGCACGGTATCGGAATTTGGAAGTGTGGGAGCTTTAGCAGCTCGTGTGCGCGGATGGTAATTTCCATGTGTGGAGCCCATCTCAAGATTTCGATACTGAATGAATTCCCGTCGCTAAGCATATATTCGAACAAATCAAGGGAGAGGGAAAAGTACAGGACGGCGGATTATATAGTGACAAATTCTTGTCAGACACTGCACGAGATTCAAAATATGATAAAAGACTACTTGGAACGAAAGACACCTGGGCATCTGGAAGAGCAACGATCCACTTCAAAAACAATCATATGTTCTATATGCACATGGATATCAAGGTTTTTCAACACTCTCGCTCGTGAGGTTTACCTGAGCTTTCTTGAAATCCCGGGCGGACACTTTGTTCTTGAACAAGATATCAATCTCCACAAAGGCTCTATCTTTCGTCTCGGGCAGGCGATAGTACACCCATATCAGGATCATCAGCATGAAAGCCCCCCAGAAAAAAGCCATTTTAGCGCCCCAGTTCCAGGAAGCAGTTGAAATCATGCGAGGTAAGATCTGGCCCTTTATCAGTGCGATTGTGTTGTATGTGGCTCGAGCGACCACGATGGTCTTGGATCGGAGGGTGTTGGATGGAATCTCTGCTACTATCGTATAGACGACAGGGCCGATAGAGATGAAGTAAACGAAATATTCAACTAGGAGGATACTTCCAATTGCATAGGCCAGTGCAGGATGATTGGTGGTGCCAGGTATCCCAAGAAATCCGATCACAAACGTTGTCACCACCATAAAGAGGATACCAGACAGAAGAAGTCTGCGTCGCCCAACCCGAGGAACAAAATAGAATGCAACAAAGACACCTACAATGGCTAGTGCATACTCTCCCATTCCGAAATCGAAAGATGCGCTATCAGGAAGTCCTGCTTCCTCCAAGAAATAAACAATATATGCCACAAGTGCTGCACACCAAACCTGGGCAGAATATGTCCAGATGCAAATTTCTGTGCGCCGAAGGTCAACGCCTTTGAAGAGATCCCAGTATGTGCTAGATTGCTTCATCTCGGCTTCGATTTGATATGTATATTCCATCATGGCGAGGGTCTCGGAAATTTCACCGTCGTCAATATATTTTTTCGATCGAAGCCTTCGTAGTGACTTTTCGGCATCGTCGCGACGCCCCTTTCGAATATACCACCAAGGAGACTCGGGAGCGAAATAAATCCCGATGATCAGGGGAACAGGAAAAACCCACTGCAGTGCAAACGGGATTTTATAAGCAGCGGAGGTTGTCATGCCAAGGAAGCCTCGCAACACACCAGTGCCGATTAAGTAGCCGATACTCCAGAACATAGATACAAGCATTGTAAGGTATGATCTGAGAGTGCCAGGGCAAACCTCCACGGCGTAAGCATTTGTGAGTGACTGGAATGCGCCCCACGGTACGCCCAGAAGAATCTCGGCACCAAGATACATGTTGATATTTGCGGCGAAGAACTGCAAGAAGACAAAGCAGATCAACAAAAAGAGGCAGGCTATCATGATCCATCGCGAGCCAAACCGGTCGACAAGCAGACCACAAATAAGCAATCCGATGATCTCACCTGCTTGAGTACCATTGGAGATGCCAGATTGCATCTCTGCGGGGATTTCAAATTCGCCGGGCGACACTTCAACCCCATAGCGCTTTTGAAATGCGGGGAATGAAATGAATCCCGAGATGAATGAGTGGTCAAAGCCTTCCATAATGACAGCTGCTGAGAACCATGAAGACCAAAAGATAGCTTGAGGGTATTTGCGGATCGCATCTCGAAGGCTCATCTCATGCTCCTTCTGAACTGCATTCTCTGTATCCTTCAAAATTGCCTTGCCAGTCGTGTCAAAGCACTGCTCTTCGTCCTTGCATTGCATCACGACGGCTGGTTTGTTACCAGCAGCCGGCTTGAGCTCAATCTTCGGTCGGTCAAGGCTAGACATTGTTCTACTGATAATTTCTTGAGTGAGTCCAAACTTTCTTCTAATCAAATTGACCACCACTTTGATATTTATCTCCTTTTCGATTTGATAGGACATTCCCAGGCTGGAAAGTCTTCCTGGCCATCTAACATGGCATCAATCACGCAAAATCCATCCGAAAATGGATGAAATAACGCGAAATTAGAGAAACAGGCGACATCAAGGCTAAATCCACGCAATCGACACGCTATAACCTCTAAGACAGGCCTTAGGGCATGTTTCGATCTAAACAAAAAAGGATATGTACACGCGGTCGTAGCACAGTGATAGGAATGCGAGATTCCGGCCGGAGTGATGATATACCGAACCCCGCACAGAAGTGAATCGCGAGATTCGGGCTTGTGTCATGGAAATCTTGTAAGCATTGCATCCTTCGGTGTCCTGTAATCTATTTCAGACCCTTATGCTCATAGTGAATTGACCTAAGAACATTTCAATCGTATAACTAAGCAACTGAATATGACTTGAATTCATGGTGACTGCCAAGTTCCTTGCTGCCGTAAGTGACACATGAATATATCTTATGTTCCGTATTTTCCAGCTGTCATGTGAGCGGTGATGCACCTTTTACTCAGCAACTCCCTCTAGGCTGTCATCCATGCTGATTGATCATGCTTCACTTACTGCCCAATGCTTATAGTAATTGCGATGGATTGAAGGTTTTGAGCCATTTAGGGGTCCCAAAAAACCTATGATCATTCGCGGGTTAGGGTGTGGATGATAACGTAGCAACAATACGAGTATGAACATATAATGTAATCCACATCTTCTGATATACTATTGCTAGAAGATTCTTTAGAGCAACTAAAAGCCAGCTACATGATTAATGCCCGTGCCTTTCAATGATTCGGTCGTGTCGAGTCACGTGATATGCGACTTGGTCGTTAAACAAACAGCACGTGCAGCTCATTGCCAACATCGTCAGTCAATGCCATCTCAGCCGATAAGCTGTATGATGACCCCCAAAAAGATATCGATGACTCATGTCCGTTGATTTGATAATCCTATACCAGGGATATATGTACAGAAACAAAAACATAAATGACAAATGTTCGCGACGGGAGCGACGGACTACCCTGCGCGACGCCCTTGCGACCGCTGCCGTCGTCGCAAGTCGAGATGTATAAGGGAACCGGAGAAAGACAACTGCACATTTTGTAACTTGAATGGTCTAGAATGCACGTTTCTTCATGGCCCCCGACCGCGGAAAAGGACTGAGAAGTCACCAAGCGCAGTAGAACCCAAGTATGTTTCGGAGTATCCCGAAGAACAATACTCTTTCAAGCTAACCTCATCAAAGAACGAAGAGACCCCGGAGCTCCCCAACACCATCAACAGTTGGCTCTATCGAAGAACAGGCCACCGCTGATCTGATAAGTTCACGCCTGAATGGTACATTAGGTCTAGAGCTTCATCTGCATTCAGAGTATATTGGCCCCGCTAGCTATCATGAACCTCAACTTCTTGACCTGCGGCCATCAGCAATCTCGCTTGGCGACCATGAGGGATGCTATCCGCGACGTGTGAATCAATCCACCACATTCATCACCTACCCTGACAAGGACTCGGCTTCTGAAATGCAACGCATCGCTGATCTGGATCGCATTGAGGAATCGATACGTCCACTGGGACCAACCTTGGTAAATCTTTATTTCCGCATTATGCACCGCACATTTCCGATCCTGGACAAGGGTGTGTTTCTTGAGAAATATGCCCGGTCCTATCGCGAGTTCTCACCACCACTACTCGCTGCCGTTTACCTTGTCGCGTTGGACTGGAAGCTCTTCGATCGAACTCTTGCTACTGCATCTTCGACACCAGATGCTAAGGCCCTGGAGAGTCTGGCAATGCGAGCCATGGACGAAGATATGAAGCGGCCGAAGCTCTCCACGTTACAGGCTGGCCTGTTGTTATTGCAAAGAATGAGGTCTTCCCATAACACTCTTCCAGCTCAACTTGTATCCCTCGGGCAAACATTGGGAATACATATCGACTGTACGGAATGGAGAATCCCGGAATGGGAGAAAGGTCTACGACGACGTTTAGCGTGGGCGCTATACATGCAGGACAAATGGGGCGTTCTTGTGCACGGCCGACCTTCTCTCATTCCTGCCCAGATTGACGGAGATGAGGGGACAAGCGACTGGGATGTTGCCCCTTGTACTTTAGAAGACTTTCCAGAAGAAGCGACTGGGCAAGATGAGAAGGGGGCCGGAGGTGTCGACGAAGCAGCCGGTCAGGCGGCGTTTCTGCAATCCATTGAATTAACTAAGATTTTTAGTTGCATCGTGTCCACATTGTGTTCAATAAGCGCAACCAAAAAAGGCGGACTACTTGAGCGGATTGGACCGTCAGGCGCGATGAGTCTGGCAAAACCCCTCGCAGTGGAGTTACGGGAATGGCATGCCGCCTTGCCCACCAGCCTCCAATTGGAATCAACACCCTCATTACGGCTATCGACTAACGGCGCCTTGCATCTGTCACATATGGCAACAGAACTTACTATCCACCGCGCATTGCTACGCGCTCTGTCACCAGATACCGTGCCGTCTCTTCGTTCGGCGATTCGAGCCGCTGCTCGCGCCCGTCTGACATCAGCCATGAGCTTGATTGAATCTTTTCAACCTGAGCACATTCAATCATTTTGGGGCTTTGCAGCCGCTGCTCAGGTGACTTTGATCGGTTCCTTTGCAGGTCTGCTGTGGGCAACGAGCCCTCAAATGGATGAAGCAGCCGGGTACGTTGAACACCTCGAAAAGCTGTGCTGGATCCTGCAAGTTCGCGCATCCGCTGCTCCATTTGCCCGTGAGGCACTTCGAATGCTCCATGAAGAGGTCGGTGATTTGGCTGCCGTGAAGGCAGCTACATTTCGGGACCCTTAGCACAAGTGAGCTCTTGCACTCCGCTGGCCTATGAGGAGCTTTCGGTAGATGCCCAGGATGACGGTAGGTGCTTAGATTGTCTGTGATATAATCCACTATTGCCCGAATCACGCAGTAGGTCCTGCTAATAGCACGTACCGAACGAGCTTGACGGACCTCCACAAAGGAGTCTTTATGTGGGATGCTCAAAATCCAAAAGTTCGAGCCTTTCTACCTTTGGAAACAAGCTGTGGCTCCTTTGCATTATATTGCTTCATTTATAAATCTGATAATACTTACTGAATAATAATAACATCGTCACTGGGCCCAAGAATGTCTCCCTCTTCCACCAGCACTCTCACACATTTCCCACTGACTGGTGCACAAATTTTGACCTCCATTTTATTGGACTCAATCCAGAACTAAAGATTGTGAGCTCGGTTCCCGGTAGTTCTGACATTTGTTGTACTCACCAGAGCGTCTCCTGCTTGAACATGGTCTCCCTCCTCGACAGTGCAACGGAAACATCGTCCAGGTAAAAGTGCCTTCACCCGCTCTCCATTCATGGATTCATAGCTTCCCTGTCCCAGACTTGGTCGCATTGCGATCGGATCGTATGGTTTGAGTAGATCGTCAAAGAATTTCGCTTCATGGACTGACTTTGATCGTTGCTCCCGCACAGCGGTGATATCCTCCTCGTTCTCTCCCAACCACTTTTCATATTCGTCGAGGTCGAGCTCAGTGTCAGAAATCTTGATGAGATCGCTAGAAGTTCCATTTGCTTCTGCTGCAGAAAGTTCTTCTTCGCTCACGGGGTAGAAACGAATCTGATCCAGAAGTGAAAATGTCCACGGGGACTTCTCGCCCAGTTCGGACTTGTGGAACTCATCCCAGATGGGAACCGTACGACCTACGAGCTGATACCCGCCAGGCGAGTCTGTCGCATAAATGCATAGGTATTGACCGGCAATACCGACAGCACCACGAGGAGTAAATGAACGGGACGGGTTGTACTTCGTTCCGAAGAGTCGATGACGGGGATCTAGTGGAATGGCACACGGAGACCCTTGGTACACATCACCAAGGCCCAATACGAGAAATGCGCCTTCATACAAACTGCTTTCCACCTGATCGGGACTTTCAAGTCCGTTCAGTTTCTGCAAGAACTCGATGTTGCTGGGCAGATACGGTGCCGACGAACGAATTGTCGATGTATAGCGGGCGATTGCTTTGCGGCTCCTCTCGTCATCGAAAACAAGAGGCATACGCACGATCCGTGAGGGTAGTCGAGATGGAAGCTCCGTTCCAAGCGAGACCTCGTGTGCGGTTAGCGCATCAAGGACTTGAGGTAATGAGAAATTCGCTTCTAAGCGAACATGCAGGCTTCGAACCCCCGAGGTGAGCTCCTCAACACCTAAAATTGGAGAGGATCGGTGTTTGTCAATGAAGCTCATCATGTGAAATGTCTGCCGCATCGTGAAATTATCTTCGGTGCCAAAATCAAGTAGCAAGGCTCGATCACCTGCCTGGCTGCATCGAATGAAGCGGCCAGCTTCGGAAATATCCTTTACTATCGCACTGGTTATGGCCACAGAGTTTGTCTGCTGGAGATATGTGTTTTTCAGTGGGCTCAGAGTAGCGATTGAGTGATCAAAATTTCTTGCAAGCGTCTTTGCATCATCAAGAGATATCGGGTGCAACCGAAGGTGATCGCCCGGTCGCATCTGACCAAATTTCCACATCTCGGCCTCCGCGATCGTGGCAAAGGCGACAAACCCACCCAGACTCGGCCCGTCTGCTGTCAAAACAACTGCTTCGTCACCTGTGAAACTCACATTTCCGATCGAATAAGGGCTATCGTGGATGTTGGAGGGATGCAAACCAGCATCACCACCGGTTTCCCTTGCCCATTCTGGACGGGGCCCGGTTAAACGGATGCCCAGACGGTTGCTATTATAGTGGACGGTCCATATTCCATTGAAAAGTTCTCCAAGCCCATCTTGTGTGAAATGAGTCGGACTACCGTGTGGCCCAGGAATCGCACCAACGACCCATTCTCGGTTCTCAATTGACGGCAGGACCATAAGTGGAGCCTTGAGCAACGGGAATTCCTTCTTGGTAGCAGGCGCCATTGGAAGGAGATCACCGATGCGAAGACTACGTCCATTGTGTCCTCCGAGATGGCCGATAGCAAATGTTGAACGGCTGCCTAGAACTTCCGGGACCTGGATGCCGCCTCGAATAGCGAGATAAACTCGAGAGCCGTTGGTGGCTGTCCCGATGGAAAGTTTCTGTCCGGCTCCAACACTTATAGCCATTCCGTGCTCCCTTTCCTCCTCGTCCAATGTGACAGGGGCATTGGCACCAACGACAGCCACGATAGTAGGGGAGTGGAAGAGCAGTGTCGGGCCCTGGAACGAGCACTCGAGTCCTGCAGCATGCTCATCATTGCCCACTATTTTGTTGGCGAGACGGAATGAGTAGGAATCCATTGGACCGGAGGGTGGCACGCCGATATGCCATAGACCTTGCCGGCCAGGGAAGTCCTGTACAGCTGTGTCGGACCCACCATCGATAACTTCGACTACTTGAGCCTCGTATGGGAAGCTATTGAGCGACCCTGTCGTAAAGGCTCCGGAATGGAACGCGTCCCAAGCAATTATTTGCTGCAGGTATCTCATGTTTGTTTCCACGCCTGTGATTGTTGTCTTTGTCAGAGCTTCTGAGAGCTTTCGAAGAGCTGCAGAACGGTCATCACCGTGTGCGATTATCTTTGCAATCATTGGATCAAAAGATGACGATAACTCCTGGCCCGAACTGACCCAAGTGTCAACGCGGACACCGGATGGAAACTCCACGTTCAAGAGCGTTCCAGGGGAAGGTCGAAATTCTTGAAGAGGACTTTCGGCATAGACACGAACTTCAACTGCTGCACCGGAGACAGGAATCTCGTTTACTTGCTGTGGGAAAAGAGTTGTACAATCATCCATGGCAATGCGCATCATACACTCAACAAGGTCAAGACCCGTCACAGCCTCAGTCACCGGATGCTCGACCTGCAGACGCGTGTTCATCTCCAGAAAGTAGAACTTCTCGGTATCGATGTCGAAGATAAATTCAACGGTACCAACATTGCGGTATTGCAAGGAAGCTACCAGGGCAGCGGCAGCGCGGCGCATATCCGCTCGTACTTCGACTGGAACAAATCCAGCAGGAGATTCTTCTACCACTTTCTGGTTTCGACGCTGTAGCGAACAGTCCCGCTCACCAGCACAAATAACTCGACCAGCCCCATCACCCAGTATTTGGACCTCGATGTGTCGGGCCCGATCAATGAAGTGCTCGATGAAAACCCCATCATCTCCAAAATTGGCCTGTCCTAATAGACGAACACCATCAAATGCCTCTCGGAGTGCATCAATGTCCGCACATCTCTGGAGGCCGATTCCACCTCCACCAGCGGTGCTTTTAACCATCACTGGATAACCGATTCTCTCTGCTTCTGCCAGTGCATCTTCTAGGCTGATGACCAGACCTTTGCTTCCGGGAACAATAGGAATTCCGGCCGTAAGAGCGATTTCACGAGCACGGTGCTTCAAGCCCAAATCACTCATCTGCTGTGGAGTTGGTCCAACCCACACCAGACCTGCAGCTTCAACGGCGGTAGCAAAGTCGGCATTCTCTGAAAGGAACCCATATCCGGGAATGACAGCATCGGCATTGGCTTTCATGGCTAAGTTCAGGATCTGCTTGCTGTTCAAATAAGTGTGAGATACCGTGTTTCCAACCAGCGGAAGTGCAGCATCGGCTTCGGTGACATGTGGCGCGCGTGCATCGGCACTTGAATAAATAGCAACGGACATAATTCCCATCGCACGAAGAGTTTGAATGATGCGCAGTGCAATTTCCCCGCGGTTTGCCACTAAGACAGTTCTGATCCGCTTCTCACCAAGACTCGTTGCAGGCGTAGCAGATGCAGCCCGAGATGATTCGTTGGTAGAAGTGTTGAGCGACTGGCTGTAACCTCGCCATCCACCAAAGCTAGTGACATCCTCTGCATTCTCGAGACCGATTGGCTCACAGATAAACCCGTGAACCCATTGGCCGTCTTTCAACTCAATCGAACCGATGCCCAAGGGTGCTGTAACAGTACCGAGAAAGCTGCCCATTTTGTTGGCCGGCATGTTCCAAACCTCCACTTCGATGGACTCTCCACAATCAGCAACCCTTTTTAGCCCAGGTTTGGATACTGCGTTTGAGTCCATTTTTTGCAGTGCGAATAGCTGATAACACGGCGCTGTGGTCGTAGCAGTGATCAAGGTTGCGCCGCGCGAGACCAAGTCCTCGTTCAGAGGGAAGCCAGAAAGATGGGCACCGACTACCGCCAATTGCATAGCATCGGAGGCGACAGTGCGCTCAAAGCAAGCCTCTTGATGTTTCACACCCGTTGCTCCCAGCAAGCACGGTGTATCGGACATCCAGCGGCGAGCGAGATCCAACAATCGGGGCTCTTCCCACGCTTCTCCTATCAGTGTAATACCGAAAGGCAGACCGTCTTCTCTCCAACCAGCAGGAATTGCTAGGGCAGACCAGTCCATGAAATTCACGAAGTTTGTATACGTACCCAGCTGGCTGTTGGCCTTGACCGGCTCATCCTTGAGATCTTGCATCGAAGGGAAAGTAGGAGTCGTGGGCACCAGCAGCGCATCATATCGCCCGAAGATCTGCTCGATTTCACGGGACAGGTCTTTACGACGGTACTCGCATGTGAAAAGGTCTGTAGCAGAAAAGTTCTCAGCTTTCATGAGGATGTTCCGAACGACCGGGTCCATGGCCTCGGCTGGCATGGAGCGGATGAACTTGTCGATTGCAGCATATCGCTCGGCAACCCACGGGCCCTCGTAGAGGAAGCTGGCAAGAGAGAATAGGGGTGTGAAATCAACAGGCTCTAGCTTCCATCCAAGCGCTTCAGCCTTAGTCAATGCCATCTGGTATGCAGCAGCCTGCTCAGAACGGCCGAACCACTCAGGATGGGAACATATAGCTAATGTCGGCTGTGAAGGCAAGGCTCCTCGGGGAGACCTGTCAGTCGCACAGCGGGCACGATCTCTCGAGTACGCATCTTGAGCATCGTAGCCCTCTGACAGTTGCAGTACGAGTTCAGCATCATCGAGAGTCAAGGCGAAGATAGAAACACAATCAAGAGAACGGCACGCTGGTACCACGCCATGTGCACTCAAAGCGCCACGCGTGGGCTTGAGTCCGACAAGATTATTGAACCCTGCTGGGACCCGACCTGATCCTGCTGTATCTGTGCCAAGAGAGAACGGGACCAGGCCTTGAGCGACAACCACGCTACTCCCCGAGCTGCTGCCGCCACTGACTCGATTTGGATCGAAGGAATTGGCTACAGCCCCATACGGTGAACGCGTACCGACAAGTCCCGTGGCGAACTGGTCAAGGTTTGTTTTGCCAATGATAATTGCTCCTCGCGACTTCAACCTTTGCACAACTGTTGAGTCGGTAGTGACAGGCTCAGTCCCAAAAGACGGACATGCAGCCGTCGTGCAGAACCCGGCGGCGTCAATGTTATCCTTCGCAGCGAATGGCACGCCGAATAGTGGAAGATCTTTCCCCTGGGCTCGAAGCTCAGTGATATTCTCCCATTGTGTAATAAGTTGTTCCGGCGTGGCCAACGAGATCCACGCATTTGATGTATTCGGCTTTGCTCGCTCGAGCAAAGATAAAAGGTGCGTTGGCTCAGAAATAGTCTCTTGTAGTTCACGCCATTCGCGAATTGTCAGAGGCCGCTCTTCACTTCCGGTGAAAGTTTTTGAAGCCATGGACGTCCTATGAGATCTTGGCACCCTTATCAGTCAAAGTAAACAATCAAAACACAGGTGTACACTGACCAGCGATGAGGAGATATCGAGTGAAATGCAGTTCTGTGGACCTCGTCATGGATAAAGAGAGGTATATATCTTTCGAATAATTATCCATGTGTCTATTACTTGTCCGAAGTTGTCCGATATCGATATCTACGCACGTCATGGAAATTGCAAATGAGGATGAGCCGCGTTATCTGCCCCGGGCCAAGAAGGCCCACTAGATTGGCCGTCGCGCGCCGTCGCGCGCCGTCGCCGCGATCGATTTGCACTAGGTCACTGTACCCCACAAAATCAAATACCAACTAAACAGCTCAGGATTTCTTCTCCGGTCGCTGCCGCCGTATTGGTGCCAACATTGGTAGGCTTGGAAAATGGCAACGCATGACGACTACGTGGAAAGAGATACCTCGGTCGCCTCCTATTTCTGCTTATATGAACCTGTTCTGCACGTTGTTCAAATTTGTATTTTAAAAAGCTTTAGAATTTATGAATCCTTCGCAGTGTATGACTCGCAAGAATTGACACTGCTCAACTGCACCTTCATTCCCCATAAAGTAAAAGAAAATCAAGATGAGATGCGGTATCTCTTGGACGAATAAAAACCTCAAACATGCAGACACTGCTTTCGATGCGCCATTCATTTCACCATACTGCGCAGGCTACCATGTAGACAGTCCTAGACACACACGCCAAGCAATGCGCAAACACGCTCAGGGTCACCTTCTTCAACCAAAATGCTGACTAATTCGTTCGAGTATTGCTCAAGGAATGTATCGCACTCTGATTTGTCCGATTTAAACTTCGAACAGACATTTTCCAAAGTTGAGATGATGTCTTCCTCAGTGGCAGACTCGGGCAAGTCGTTGACAACCTGGCCATTTACTTTTTTGCAAAGGTCGCACTCTCGGTCTCGCCGAGATAAGATATTATCTGCGCCAGGAGTAGCTATGAATTGGAAAGAAAATACATGTTAGTATCTCTGAAATAGGAATGGATAGAAGGTAAATGTAGCAATACAGGAATAGGGTCAGAAGGGGCGGGACACTGACAAGATGTGGCTAGGACAACAGTCAAGGCGCTCAAGATAGTGGGAATGATGAACTTCATGGTGGTAATGGAGGGGACGGATGATTATGCCACGAAGCTAATATGAATTTGGGACTTAAAAAAGTACTTATAGTTCGCACATCTCATTTATAAAGTAGATAGCAAGCTGAATTCCTAAGGGGCTAATGACATCAATAAGCAGTGGAACGCGGCTAGTGCAACACAAGACATATTGATCGATCGGATCGGATCGAAAGAGGTGATCTTTACTGTGTTTAGGCCTACGGGTGATGTTCAGCTTCCACAAATATCCACTGAAGAATTTGAACTCAATAGCGCTTTGCCGATCACTAACATGCGGATCACTAGCGAAAAAAGAAAATCAAGACTCTACTAACATTCTGCATTGTCCCCCTTGCACCATCGCCGTCCAGGAACCTTTCTTTTCCAAAACGAGCTTGAGAAGCAGCGTGTTTGGGTCTACAGCTTCGTTTGTACACGTCAGGTTCTGTCCACTAGGCATCCATGTCCTTGTAATGCCAAGACCTAATAACTGAAACAGGGCTCAATCCCCACATCTATGGATCGTGAATTCATTCACCCTTCAGATATGGAGAACTATGTCATTCTCAGAACATCGGATAAAGTAGGAATTTTATTTTACATCTGTGGTCAACTTTTTTCGATTCTCAGATTCAAGGCCAAGAGTCAAATAAGAAAAAAAAAAAAAATTTCCCAAGGCTTACCCGGCAAAGTGAGAAATCGAGGCACTGGAAAGTTCGGTCCAGATCCTCCGAGATCCTCATTCTCTTCCATATTCCAATGCTGGCACAGTCGCTAAACCGGCTTTAGAGGCCATGTACCTTAGCCTGTTCCATTTTTACTGAACTGCTATGGGTGGAGTAAGACCCATGCTGAATCAATCATTATCTTATCTTAAGTTCCATGTGGCTCTCTTGATCACCCGTGGATTACACTGGTCTATCCGTGGAAGCAGCATGAGGAGAAAATAATCCCGCATATGATCTCTATTTGCTCCTTTTTCTCTCCATCTACCCAGCACAAACACGAAAAAGAGTCCGTGCACCAATAAGAAGTCTCCGTGGCGCAATTGGCTAGCGCGTCTGACTGTTAATCAGGAGGTTGGAAGTTCGAGCCTTCCCGGGGACGCTTTTTTGGTCTTTTTGTCGTTGGCATTGGATAAGGAAGAGTATCCTTCGCTCCATTATAGAACGTCGCACGTTCGAATCCTGCTGCTGTCACATATATGTACCCGTAAACCCACAACGTGGCTTGAACTAACTCTGAAACCTCTGCCTGTATAGAAGCCCGGTTCAGTCACCATCACCGTCCGATTTTATAAAAGCTGAGTGTGGGCAAGTACGTCCTTGAGTATATTCACCGAATATTATTACCACTCCAGATACTACCATATCCACGTAATCTACTTCAACTGATGAACATTTTTCTGCTTGTTTAGGCGACTGATACCAGATAATTTTTAATCGTTGTTAGTCTACTTCCTACATTTTGTGATGGATTGAATGAAGCTTTTCAGTAACTTCATCACTCATCGAGACAAATTCTACAGTGGCTCAATTTTTCATTTAAAAAACCTGGCAACACGGATTCAGTAGAAGGTGCAAAAAAGGGATGTAGTCAAGGTAGAGGTGTAGTGACTGTTAACACCCTGGACAGAAGAGCTCTGCTCCTGACAATTTGGGGAGCTTAGTGAGCTTACTTGCCTTTTCATCAGCACCTATTTTAAGGCACCCAAGCAACCTCTGCTCTGTACTTTCCAATTGTAGGCTGCTCCCCAATAAAGGTGTGTGTTGCTGTTAACTTTGCTATCACTTAGATCTCTACTCTCTTTGTTTTTCTCATCATAATCATTGCAATCTCTGCTTGATATCAATAACGATTTCCCCCATCCCCCTTTCTTTTTTCCCGTTCTGCCTTTGTGGAGGCTTGTATTATATAAATGCCGAGTGAGTCAACAACATGTGAGCCCACTAAATCGCTGCCTTGAAATTTGAACCTAAATAACATGGATGCTCATGAGTCAGCAAGCCCCGAGTTCCAGACAAGGCTTAGCATAAAGAGCTTAGGTTCGGATACATCGACTAGTACCTACCTGGCCCTCATTCATTTACACCCATATTACATTCCCTCATATCTTGCACTTTTGAACTTTTCAAGTTTTCGAATTTCCTCTCACTTCCTCCACATTCTACACCCTCTACAGTCTCTCAGAACAGTCTTGAATCCCACCGGTGACCACCACTTCGACGCAATGGCTACATGTCTGGCCCAACTTGGCACTTTTTCAGGACTGCCAATCGAAATCCGCTTGATGATATGGGAGTATCTCATCTCCGAGCACTTTTTTGCTCGATTTATTGGACTCCTTAAAAAGCGGCGAACACCCCACGCATTATCCATCTCATATTGCAGTCGGTACCTTTATGAAGAGATTTCAGATTTCATTTATAAAGACCTCGTGCAAGTGATCAAGATTGCAGGATGTCATGGTTTAAATGAGCTCAGTGTCGAAGTGTATTTCAAGAATCACAGTTATCGGAACGATCTGAAAGGATTTGACATGATACAAAGCTACCTGCACAACTCTCGTTATTGGAGAGTCACCGGAAAACCATTACAAGTCGAAATTCTTCCGCCATACCCAGAGGACCGGGGTATAATTGTGGGCCTCTGGCGAGATATCAATCAGTTCATTGATATCCTGCAAGATGCGCCTTATACCCCTTGCGTGAGGGTCGCCTTGGTCATGAAATGGCATGAAAACGGAGATCCTCTTCAAGTCACAGGTTACCATAAGCTTCCGCGGGCCGATTATGACATTGTATTATTGCCCTTCACCCGCCTATCGAGTTTCATGGTGCATGTTCCACCACCACTTCGTATTGCCTTGGAAAATGAGCCGAATCTCAAACACCGCTCCTTGCTACACAATCTTATAGAGAATCCTACATTCAGACAGTCTCACCACAAAGACATTGAAAAGTGGCTTACAGATACCCGAATATTCCTTGACACAAAGCTTGACTTTCTTTCCGGAGAGACCGCGGGAGTCCTTCGCTTTCAACGGTATCAGAATTGGTACGAGGACGGCGATAGCTGGAAATCAAGCTACGAGGAACAATTCCTGGCCGACCTTTCCGAAAACTGTGATATCGTCTTGAAATATGATCCTGGTCTCCGAAAGGCTCGTCATAGGAATCGTGTTCTACTACGCATACACCATAGGTTCCATGAAAACCATGAGGATACATTGAGAGTGCGAATTGATCCAAATGATATGAGTCCTCGCCTCTATAAGACCTGGGATTCCCAAGCTTGGCCCAAACGCTTTGACTCAGGGAAGATACCCGGGTTGCACCGCATTGAGTATAGATTTGATGGGAATGTTGAAAAGGAGCAACTTTGGCAAAAATATGCGAAGTTGTCAGGTTTCATTCCGAAACTACACTGGTGGGCTAAAGACGAAGCACCCTTGTCTAGAATACGTCGGGAGGATTATCTACCTATGGCTAGTGAGAAATACTCTCATGCCTGCCGTTCTTGCCATTGGTGCCAAATATTTGACTTTGCTCAGGCATGTCGGCTTTGTAGTGACCACAGGCTGCCTGACCAGCCTGCGGGCCCCAGTGGTAGTGATGCAGATGTGTCCAACTCCTCTTTCCTTTGGTTATTCTTCCTTTTCGCATTTGTCGTATTTATTTCCTAGCCTTCTATTATGTATCCTCTCGTTCATCGCCTATGACCTTAGCTATGAATGTATATCGAGCAACACAATTTATTGGGGTTCTCTTTGGCGCAAATTCTAGCCCCGGGAATCATTAGAGAACATTCTTGCATGTCGCTGACGGCCTTCATTGACTGGATAATCTTTGCTTTCTTCATCAATCTGTGCTCTACAGACAGTATATATGTATTCATGAAAGCCTGGCTTGGGATATTCTCGTAATCTCTAGGAGATCCCCAGGGCTACAGGCTTCGTCTGTTCGTCGCCTTGACAGTGTGATTGGGGAACCCCAAAACTCCATGAAAAAGAGAGGAAAATAGCACCCGAGATCAATTGAAACTAGGAACACATTTTCAGCACTGATACCATCAATGCGAATAGTGGCAAGTTTGTAACATGACTTCAACCACGGGATGGCTTGGACATCGAAATTAACCTCTGTAGTGGTGCGTTATGCAAATTGCTATTGGAGCAGGACAAGATCCATCGATTCATTTCAAGTGACTTTATCGGCTTGAATACTTTGGAATTAAAGATCAAAAGTTCCAGCCCTGCTCTATATGGCTTCATTGATCATGCTGGATCTGCATTATCTGATGGATTCAGCCTCATTTTCACTGCATGAGGGATCAAGCCGGAAAATTATCCATACTTGAACTCGGCAGCGGTATGTACTGAGCCTCGCCTATGAAAACGCAGCGATGGATGTCAACGTGTCGAGCCACGACACCGAAGGTGTTCGGGTCGTCGCTGGAGCTGCCAGTTGCATCTGCGGGGATACGATACGTTGCCCCGCAATGACGCTTCGCTTTGCGGCCCGAGCACCGCTAATGGAAGAGCTGAAATGGCCAGCGTACGAATCCTGCAAACCTCCCCGTTTGCATATTTCTACGAATAGGAGCTTTTATCGTTTCTGTGCATCATCTTTGGGAAGCCATCACGTTGATATGCGGCTTGTCTGTAAACGCCAACCAATTCTGCTACAACCCTCTGAACCATGGAACCGTTAAGCTTTGCGGTCGGCATCATAGGGCTTGCCGGTCTATTCAGTACTTGCTTAGACGTGCTGAACAGATTTGACTCCTGGCAAGACTTTGGAAGTGACTCGCGTAATCTATCTGCTCAATTCAAAGCCCATAAGTTACGCCTTGAAAACTGGGGACAGGCCGTGGGATTCAAAGATGGAGGAATATCGGATGTGCATGACAAGGCATTAGATGACCCGCGGGTAATGTCTACAGTCAAGGAGCTTCTTTCGGCTGTGAAAGATGTCTGTTGTTTTGGCGAAGAGCTATTTTCCCCATCTGAACTTACATCTGATAGGATGGCCAAAAGACATATGCTGTCCCGAAGTCACACTCGTCCGAATCTCATCAAGGAGTCCAAGGTTCACAAACTTAACTGGGCACTAAGAGATAAAGCAAAAAGAATTACCCAAGTTGAACAATTTGCATCCTTGGTCAACATTCTTTACAACTTGGTTCCGATTGGAAATGAGAAAGAGACACCCTTTCAGATTGGGTTATACAAAGCTAGCGGTGGCTCATTGATACATTCGAACGGTAAGTAGTACCATGTGCCCTTTTTGACTTATGCTAACATCCGATCTAGGTATTTTGTTTGATCGACAGGACTTGAACGCACAATTCAGGGGCATGATGATCAGGTTAGAAACTGAAATGGAAGGTACGTTTACCTGATTTCCTGAAGAGACTCCAGAAAAGTTAATAAAAATAGTTGAGGTCAAACGGGATATACATAAGTGGCTGCTGGGTGGACACTTGCCAAATGAAACCTATGCGCGCTCCACCGAAAGGAGAATCGAGGGGACATGTGATTGGATCCTAAGCACGCCTTGGTTTCTACACTGGTACTCCCACGATTTTCCAGTGGGCCATCCTAAGATCCTGTGGGTAAACGCCCCAGCCGGATTCGGAAAGTCTGTCCTATGCGCTAAAGTGGTTGATCATTTGGCCTTTAACCTCAAAGAGCCTGTCTCCCATTTCTTTTTTTCCACCGACGCTGAGAGAGAAGATCACTTTGTGGCTATCAGAACATGGCTTTCTCAGATGATGTCGCATCCGAGAATCTTTGCGATAATTCGTGATGTTTGGGCGCTTCAACAAGGAGTGAAGGCAACGCGCCACGAAATCATTGGCCTTTTGAGAGATATAGTGATAGCTGTCCCAGGATGCACTTTGATCCTGGATGGTCTGGATGAATGTAGTCGGATGGGCGATCGTCGGGACGACTCTATTGCGGGGTTCTTGGATACGATAGCACAAGTTACCGCTCAAACACGAACTCGTCTGTTGATCTTCAGCCGCGATGAGCCCGAGATCAGAGATTCCCTTTCCGCCATAGAGGATGTGTTGCTTATCCAGCAAAAGATTACGCCCAACCTCGTTCGGCCGGACATCGATATATACTCTCGGTCGGTCGTCCGAAGAAAATTGGCAAAGAAGACGGAAGCAATTCAAGAGGATATATCTCAGAAGCTTGCTGATCGTTGCAATGGGCAATTCCTCTGGATTAAGCTACAGGAGGGCGAGCTACGGAGCACAACCAATCAAAAGGCCCTACAAAGAATCATTAACGCCACTCCTGCAGGGCTCGAGGATGCATATGAGCGTAATTGGGTGAGAATATCGCGACTTTCTGATGAAAATCGGATGCGGGCTTTCCGCATACTTCGATGGGCAGCGTTTGCCCTGCGACCGTTGACGATAAGCGAGATGGCTGGAGCTCTGCTTGTGGGCGAGGAGGAGGATGAAGTCCTCGTTGATGACATACCAGATGAGATAGACGAAGACTACATTGGGTTTGAGATATTGAAAGATTGCAATTCTCTTCTGGAGATTCGAAGCCCCTACGCAGAATGCCTTGCTGGCATGAAGACGGTTCACCTTGCACATTTCTCAGTGAAAGAATATCTTCTGCTTCATATCCCAACTCGAAGTCGACTGCTACAACTCAATTCGACCTTAGGATCATCGAGCGAACTGGCAGAGAGCATTCAACTAGCCAAGATGTGTCTCCGATATTTGAACTGTGTAACGATTTGGGATTCGACGACCGAGCAATCTGAATTGTTTAGCTCTTTCCGAAACTACGCGGCTGAGTTATGGCAACAGCACTCTTCACTGCATGATGAAAAAGACGGTCAATTGACAGATCTCATTCGCCGTCTCTTTGATACAGAAAATCCAACCTGGTCTTACTGGAAGGAGTGGTTTGATTCGAATGACAAAGATGCCAAGAAAGATGACCGAAACCCTGAATTCACCTCATCAAGCCCTATGTGGTATGCAGCTTCCCTTGGAATAACCGATGTCGTGCAGGGCTTTATCAATTCTGGCCATGATGACATTGATCAAAGGGGAAACAGAGGACTCACTGCCTTGGCAGCAGCTTGCTCAAGAGGACATTTGGAAACCTCAAAGATATTACTCAATGCGGGAGCAGATATGGCAAGCACGACAATTCAAGGCTCATCGCCTTTATACCTAGCTGCAGTCAATGGTCATGTAGAAGTGGTTCAACTTCTGGTTGACGAGGGGGCAGACGTTAAAAAGTCTCAGCATATCAAAGGGTTCACACCACTCCATGCAGCCACTCATTCAGGACACAGGAAGATCGTTCAATTGCTCCTTGAAAATGGCGCAGAGCCCTCGACTGTGAATGCCAACGGAGGAACACCTTTGTACACTGCATCGGTGAAAGGCTACACGGGAATTGTATCTCTCCTCATCAAGGCAGAAGCGAATATCGATGCTGCAGTTAGCACCGGATACACACCATTGAATGCAGCTTTGTCTGAGGGCCACTTGGATATAGCCAAAACACTTCTCATCAATGGTGCGTGTATTCAAGGTTCAACTGAATTTGGATGGAGTTCGTTACACTTTGCGTCTAGAAACGGATCTCTCGACATAGTGAAGATATTGATTGATATGGGTGCCAACTTGAATTTAGATGAAAGCGGCAAGGAGACCCCACTCTTCATTGCTTGCTGCTATGGCCATTTTGATGTGGCTTTTTTGCTCATCAGCCATGGAGCTAATGTCAATATCAGGGATGAACTCGACAGAACCCCATTAGACTCCGCATCGCATAAAGGTCATGTTGATGTAGTCAAGCTTCTTCTTGAGCATGGTGCTAAAAAAGAAGCCACCGATAGTGATGGGTGGACCGCACTAATCAACGCTTCTGATCAAGGTCATCTTGAAGTTGTTCAGTTGCTGCTTGACAATGGTGCGGAGATGGAAGCGACTGACAACCAGGGGTGGACCGCACTATGTAGCGCCTCATATAGAGGTCATACCGAGATAGTTTCATTGCTTCTTGACAGGGGTGCCGAAATCGATGCCGCAGACAATCTTGGGTGGAGTGCATTACTGAACGCTTCGAATGGAGGTCACTACGAAGTTATTCAGTTGCTTCTTGATAATAGCGCTGACATCGAAGCTAAGACTAAGCATGGTTGGACTGCGCTTAATAATGCGTCATTTGAAGGTCGTCTCGACATAGTCAAGTTGCTCCTTGGACATGGTGCAGATACCAAGGCAGCTAATCGCTTGGGGCTCACTGCTCTGCATACGGCCGCGACCAAAGGTCACGTTGAAGTTGTTAGACTGCTTCTTGATAATGGTGCAGATACTGAGGCAGCTAATAGCTTTGGACACACTGCCCTGAGTGCGGCCGCGACCAAAGGTCACGTTGAAGTTGCTAGATTGCTCCTTGAACATGGTGCAGATCCTGAAGCGACCGGCAATGCTGGCCTCACCGCATTGTCCTATGCCTCTGAGAATGGTCACCTTGGAGTGGTTAGGCTGTTTTTCGAGGCATCAGCTACAACGATTCAAGCTTTGGACAAATGGGGTCGTACAATACTGTGGTATGCCGCTTCGAGAGGTCAAATAGCCATGGTTAACTTATGTCTTGCCAACAATGTCCCGGTGGACCTTGCAGATCATTGGGGCTCAACATGCCTGTTCGCAGCTGTGAGGAATGGATGTTTGGAAGTGGCCAAACAATTGATCACTGCCACAAGTCTCACAGTTCGGACTCGAGATGGCCTGGATCGTACGTTATTCTGGTGGGCCAAGAGGAGTGGGAGCATTGATGTTGTAGAGCTTCTGCTTCAACATGCCGAGAATACCAGCGTCAAGATCCCGGAGGAGGAATTGCAGATGGAGATTTCTTTTTGTGACTATGGAAAGGCGACTAGACGCTGTGACGTGTGCTTTCGCTATATTGGAAGCGGTGATTATTATCGCAAGTGCCAGGCATGCTTTGATTTTGATATTTGCCTGGAGTGCTTTGGGCTTGGTGCTCGATGTCTTGAACCCTCCCACGAGATGAACCTTAACGAACCAAATGGTCTTCCAGAGAAGAAAAATTAGCTCGGTGTGTTACGAAATCATGGCTTTTGTCATCACTGAAACATCTTCTATCACAAATGTCGCATTACTCTTGGTAACTTCGTGGTCTTTTCGAGATGGGCCCGCCTCCTATTCCCATCGGCGATATCGACCAATATATGATGTTTGGCATTAGAGTATGATACCTGAAAATGGCCCAACACGACCGTAGCTGAATTCCGCTTGTGAAAATTTGTATTGATAGCATTGTGACACCCAACGCTACCTAGCCGGTAGTCAATTGATGCCCTGTAGGTAACCTTGGAACCCCTAGCATTGTCTGCATTGTCTGATTTCTGAATAGCAATACCCGGCGAACACGTAGCTCTATATTGTATATCAATACACATGAAGACTTCATTGCATGTGATGGGACTGGGTTGATATAATAAGGGAGATTTACAGATTGAGGGAAAAACACCAATATTGGTTTAACATCACCTTTCGAAAGAGCTGCCGCAATATCGAATTATTGGAGGAACGGATAAATCTTTTAAATTCCCAAAAACCTCCAGGGGACTTTGAACAATAAAAGTCTCGAAGATAAATAGATAGATGGAAATATAGAGTGTATCCGATGTTGACTGGTATTCAGCGGATGTCACATTTGCAGGGACACAACAACGAGACCTTGGGAGAGAGACCGAAAAAAGTAAGAAGTACTCGTTACCTCAGAATAAGGTGCTAATGGCCTGTATAGCATAGACGTGGAGTGGTTTATGGGGCGCATTGGAAATCATATCTTAGGGTCCTGTTGTGTGTTGTTCCTTGCATTTCCTCGGAACAATAGCACCACGAGCCCGTTAGAATCCTTTGAAAATTTGATCATGTGTAATAAGAAGAACCTCAGAAAGACCACAAGAGCCCGGGCCTGTCCCAGTCGGGATTTGCCGGTGACTACTTGGTGCTATAATCGGCGACATATCCAGGGTGCTGAGAGACAGTTTGCTCTATTCAGGCTGCTCTGGGGCAGAATCGTATCTAAAATACAGGTCATGTGTTATGTATCTATTTTAGTGAGAGAAGGAAAATATTTGAGTTTAAGGTCCAAACATAAATGTGTTATTGGTTCTTTGCATTCTAACAGGACGCGTAGGAATTTCTGCGCTCTCGTCGCCAACCTTGGAATGTGTCTCACATAAAGCGCCCACCAGTACACTCAACGCATGTTCCACTAACATAAGAAGAAAGCGGACTAGCCAAGAAAAGCATAACTCTCGCAGCCTCATCCGCAGTCCCAGGCCGCGAAAGCGGAATATCGGAAACATCCCGCCACTTCTTAGCATTTATTGGAATACCAACCTTGATTTCTTGTCCATCAAGAGACAGTACTTTAGACTCAGTCGGGGGCTGCGTGATACGAGTATCAATCCACCCATAAGCAACGGCATTGGCACGAACATTGTATCTAAAAAGAGTAAGCATGTGATGTTTAATTCAGTCATTTGGAGTATAGATACCGGCCCCATTCAGCAGCGACAGTCTTGGTGAGGCCAACTATGCCTGCTTTTGCAGTAGCATAGTTGATCTGCCCCATTGCACCGTGTAGACCGGATGTTGATGAAACGTTGATGATGCACTTGGGCATATCGCGAACAGATGGGTCCATCCAGTGTGGCGATAAGGCACGAAGAAGACGGAATGGTGCGTAATTGTGGATTTTCAAGATCACGTCAAACTTTGCATCGTCCATCTTGTGTATTGCGCTATCGTGACAGAACCCTGTGGTTGTTAGCCATGAAAGAGGGGTCAGGTAAGATGATATTCACCTGCGTTGTTAATTAGGCAATTGATCTTGCCCCATTTTGATAAGACATCGGCCACTAATTTTGCTGGGAAGGTCTCATCCAGCATATTGCCCGGAAAGGCTTCAGCAATGCCTCCTAGATTTCGGATTTCTTGAACCACTTCTTGTGCCTTGTTGGAGTCAAGATCGTTGATTGCGACCTTAGCTCCCTTTTGAGCAAGAAGTATTGCGGCCGACCGACCAATGCCTTATTGTTTGATTAGTTCGATGGATCTTCATCGGTGCAGTGTTTTGCTTTACCTTGGGCAGCTCCAGTGATGATAATGACATGCCCGTCAACTCGAGTGGGATCTATATCCGAGCTCACGAGATGGTTCTGTATCTGGTTCAAGCGGTGGTTTGCCATGATTTGTTGAAGTCAAGTAAAATATCAAGAGCGAAAATTTAATCTTGCTCTTCTTCATCACCTTTTGTGAGTGTTTCATCATGTCAGCTTGTCAATTTGGCCTCGGGATCTACAAGTTCGGAATATTTCATGTTTGGAAAATTGCCGAACCGCCACTTAGGAAAATTAGATCATTCAACACAACTCGTTAATTCCGTATACGGAAAGGAAAAGTTTCCGTCTATTTTGTATCCATTTAAATAATCTCCGTACAAAAGTGGATATGAATCTGTACCACAAAATCAAATCAAATCACTATCAAACACAGCTTCAAAATGGCTTCGGCACTTACCTCTGACATCCCATCCGCGGACCCAGCATGGCACCGCCGCCATGACCACCCTTATTTCAAAGAAAGCCATCACAAGCTGCAACGCTTTGTTCGCGAATATGTGAATCGAGATATCGCGCCCAATGTCGAGGAATGGGAAAAGCAAGGATTTGTACCGGAAGCTGTTAGTCAAGCCGGCCCTCATCATTATTGATCTAACACACAACCAGGCATTCAAAAGACATGCATCGTTGGGCTTCTTAGCAGCCTCTGCATTCCCCCTTCCGAAGGACTATGTAAAGGGCTTGACATTGCCGGCCGGACTTAGTGTTGATGGTAAGTCCCCGTCTTGTGAACGAGAGGCACAGCTACTGACTTGACCCAGAGTGGGATGAATTCCATGATGCGGTGGTAAGTACTGCTTAAAATTACCAATCAAAAAAACTGATATATCTGTAGATCATCGACGAAATGGCCCGTTGCGCCTGTCTAGGAACGGTGTGGGGTATAAACGGCGGTGCGACGGTCGGAGGACCACCGATTGATCACTATGGTACCCCGATACAGAAGGAAAAATACCTAGCACCTCTCCTGAGAGGCGAACAAAGACATTGCCTTTGCGTCACGGAGCCTGCCGGTAAGAGTCTTAGCTTCTGTTGACTCATGTTGGAATTGAAATGGCTGACTTATCTCAGCCGGCTCTGATGTCGCTGGGTTGACCACCACTGCCAAGAAAACACCTGATGGGAAGCATTATGTCCTCAACGGAGAGAAGAAGTGGGTGACGCAGGGACAATGGGCCGATCACGGCTTGGTTGCTGCTCGAACAGGCCCAGCTAATGCCAAGGGCCTCTCGGTGTTTATCGTCCCACTGGCAAGCAAGGGAATTTCGCGAAGAAAGATTGAGAATTCCGGTGTCAGCTCAAGTGGTACTCTCATAGCCCAGAGGAAACTTAACCAAGTGACCCCTGTGATTAACTTTCGACAGGCTCGACTTTCATGGAGTTTGACGAGGTACTTGTGCCAGCTGAAAACCTACTCGGGCAAGAAAACCACGGATTCGAAATCATCATGTCAAGTAAGGACATCTTCCCATTCCATACTATTCATATTAACTCATTTCCTCCCTAGCCTTCGCTCACGAGCGCCTTTGGGTGGGCATAACCGCCCTGCGACTCGGCCGAATCGCATACGAAGACTCTTACCGCCACGCGTTGAAGCGCGAGACCTTCGGAAAGCCACTTTTCGAAAACCAGGTAATCCGGCAGAAATTCTCGCGTATGGCAAATCTGCTCGAGCCGACCCAAGCATTCATGGAGGAGTTGGTATATCGGTCGATCCGAATGCCGTCTCTGAATTTCTCGCCGCTGGCTGCGATGCTCAAGGTGCAAGCTGCTCATAATTTGGAGAAAATCTCCCGAGAGTCCCAGCAGGTATTTGGTGGACTTGGATACTCTCGTCAAGGACAAGGACAGCGTGTGGAGCAGATCAGTCGTGATGTCCGGGTTTTGGTGGTAAGTGGAGGTAGTGAAGAGATTCTGCTTGATATGATTGCCAAGCAGCAGCGGAAGCTGGCTCATCTATGATATGCATGTCTTTTTCATATTGCTGCAGGTGGCTGTGCTTCATTTGGAATCATATCTTTGATTACTCGATGTATATCTTCCTTTAAATGCATAATCAAACTTTAGGTATTTCCTGCACACCTTCCATCATGAAGCTTCGTCTACAACCCCAACGAGAAATACTAAACAAGTGGAGTAGAGGGTATCGAGGGGCTAATGCTTGTAGAAGAAGAGCGAAACAAGCCGGTGGTAAAAGGGCAAGGGGGTATCAAATTGTCTTGAAAACACATGAAAAGCAGGTAAAGCTACCGAACAGGTGACATCAGCGTCAAGCTGGACCACAGCAATATAAAAACAGTCACAAGCAAGAGAAGTTTCAAAAACACCTTTAAGCATAAGAACCATATCAACCAAACTCCTAAGCGCCTCCACGGTATTAGCAAATTGAGTACGCCGTGGCAAACCAACAGTCACACCCACAAACTCAGTCAGACACATCATCAAGCACCGTATCCGAGATATCCGAAAGCTCGACATCCTCAGTCTCGTCCTCCTCAGCAGGTGTCTGCAAATCTGCTGTCTTGGTCCTTTTTGCAGGACGAGCAGAACTTGCAGGAGGCTTCTTCCGCTTCTTGGCTGCAGTCTTTGCCTTGCTTTTCTTCGCAACCTTGGTAAGAGCACCTCCCTTGCGTGGGCCGGTCCGTTTCACTAAGTGGTCAATCACACATCCATCGTCCCAACCTGCAGATCCCTGGCCGGTAATGGCACGGCAACGAGGGCAGTCCTTTCCATGACGAATGAAAAGTTGGTGTAATGAGTACTTTAGGTGATCGGGGATTCGAGCTTCCAGGTGGTTGAATGCGGTGACTTCGTTGACTCCTGTAGGTGGGATCCAGCCAAGCCATTTGGTGAGCCGAAAGATGTGGGTGTCGACTGCGAAGCAGGGGCGCTGTAGGCAGAAGAGGACGACACAGGCTGCGGTCTTGGGACCGATTCCGGGGTATTTGGTCAGTTCAATCATGGCATCTTCTGTGGATAGGCTGTGGATGTGGTTGAGAGATAGGCGGTTCTGGTCAGCGCAGGCGAGATCAAATTCCGTGGGCATCTTGGATACTTCATTGGGTGATGCGGCAGATTTAGCAACTTTGGACTCTTTACCCGCTTCTAAAATCTCGTCGGATGCCTTGGGTAAGTCGCCGGTCAGAGTAGTAGAACCGTCTGCAGTTGTAATAAGGGCCTTGGAGTCTTCGTTGGTTGGGGCAGTAGAGCCATTTGCAGCCGTGAGGACACCGAGGCGTTGCTGGCTTTCCTCATACACAAGGTCGAGGACTTCCTTCAAGCGCTTGCTCTTGACAGTAGCCAGTCCACCACTCTTGATAGCATTGAAAACATCGGCCATTGAGGCTCGGCGAACGGCATCCCAGTCGACACTTCCTTTGCCGATTCCTTCATTAAGAATACCGAAGCGCTGCACAAGACCGTTGAATGCTCTGCTGGAGTTGCTGGATGTAGTAGCCCCGCTGAGAAGAGTCCGAATAAGAGCATCCAATACAGATGGGACTTCGCCACAGCCAGTGACAGTGAGAGATGGCGCAGGAATGACTTTGGGAGCAATGACCTCTCCATGGATAGAAGAGAGAAGTTTGTTCACAACTTCACATTCCTCGGTAGTCGGTTGAGCCCAAGATGGGAACGGTGTAACACCTGGAGTAGGACGATATCGAATCTTCTTACTCTCAGCTTTCTTGGGGGGGTGAGAAGCCAGGTTGACTTCAATCTCATTTTCCAACTTAGTCACAGAAGCCTGAAGTTCAGAAGCAGCCTTGTCGACAGCTGCATCACCGCGAAGTTGGTTTTCTTTGTTCAGACCATTAGGCGTAGTTTTAGGCAAAGGGACTGAGTCGGGACCCATGTTGTGCGGGAGTTCTTCATCAGCAACTTGCTTGAGCACCGCCTTCTGGGCCTTTCTCTGGGCCCTGGCCTTCCTCGCCGATGCCGCCTTGGCGGTCTTCATTGTTGCTGTCTGCTTCGCCTGGGCCAATGAATTTCGGGCTGTGACCTTTGACTTTGCGCGGGAATTGGTCTTCTTGGCGGCATTCTTCTTCCCTTTCACGGTCTTTGTCTTGGTAGGGGTTTGGGTAGTCACTGGACCAGTAGCGGGAGAGGTGACGGATTGTGGTGTAGTTGGTGCTGCTGCAGCCCGAGCAGCAGCACGAGTGAGAGGAGCATCAGCCATGGTGTAAGACTGTTGTGAAAAACTGGGGTTTCACGGGGAAAAAAGAGTTGGGGAAATCTTGAGAAGTAGAGTCGGTGGGTATGACGTCAGAGGTCTGATACTGGCCGAGGGCGCGAGAATTCCTTCTTCCAAACACTGGTTAATCAGATTTTGGATGAATTGGCGCGAGGTTTGAGATGAGAGTTTCAATCATAAGAGTAATCCTAAGTTGAAGAGTGATGTGGTAAGAAAGGTGGAAAGGAAGTGAAGGGACAATTATATTTATACCAGTTGGTACGTGACACTTGGAGTAAATGAAATATGGATATTTTCTATTCAGTAAGGTATCTCTTCCCATGTGCGAACAGTCGAGATCACAGGAAATAATCCGACACGAGTATATGGGTCACTTCAGATAACATGCGTTTTCACATCACACATCACTTTTCTCATCAAAAGGGAATCATTCCCGGTCTAAGGTATGCCGCCCGATACATAACTCCAAAGACTCCGAATGCAAATCAAACCCGAGTGGCTCTAATAAAATATTGAAAATGGTCATAATTATGGGTGGTCAGCCATGTTGTGGATGCTGATGTCCATGCGGTCGTCCACCTTGGGGTTGGATCGCTCCTCATGGGAGGGCTTGGTGCGGGTTTGTTGCACATCATCCTCGGCAGGGATGATCTTGCCATTAGTGTCAACTGCGACTCCCTTGGTGGCAATCTGGTAATCAGTGGTGCTGGCAAAGCCGTGAGCAACGGCCTCCTTGGCCTTGTCCAGAGCCTTGTTCTTGCGGCCTTCACCGCGGACCTCCTCTAGGTGATCGAAGTAGCCCTCACCCACAGGGGTGACGTAACTACCGCAGAAAACACCAACTTCGAAGTTGACAGGTTCTGTTTGGCCGTTCTCGATGGCGATCTCGGCACAGGCGCCCTTGAGATCGTCCAGAGTTTGGAACACAACGCTCTCAGCGCCGATGTGGCGGGCGATGGCTGCGGTATCACGGTTGTGAGCAACCAGCTCCTGCGGAGAAGCCAAATCGATACCGTAGATGTGGGGGTGTGTGATCTCAGGAGCACAACTGGCCAGGTAGACCTTCTTAGCTCCAGCCTCACGAGCCATGCTGACAATCTCGCGACTGGTGGTACCACGGACAATGCTGTCATCAACAAGCAGGACATTGCGGTCTTTGAACTCAGCCTTCATAGCATTGAGCTTGCGGCGGACACCCTTCTGGCGAGTCTTCTGCTCAGGCATAATGAACGTGCGGAACACATAACGGTTTTTCACGAAACCATGGCAGTAGGGCTTATTCAAGTATTGAGCAACATGGCTGGCGGAAGTAGTTGAGGTCTCAGGAATGGGAATAACCACGTCAATATCCTTGACGACCTCGGGTCCGAGAACCTTCAGAATACGGGCACCAAGACGGTCACCCATGCGCTGACGGCTGCGGTACACACTGATTCCATCCATAACGGAGTCTGGCCGAGCAAAGTAGACATACTCGAAAATATCAGGGGCGTAGTCCCGCTTGGGGGCCACTTGCTGGAAGACCGGCTCGCAACCCTTCTCCAGGATAACAGCCTCACCGGGCTGAATGTCACGGTGGTTGTTGAAACCAAGCTGGTCCAGAGCAACGGACTCAGATGCCATCATGTAATCAGTGCCTTCGCCATCCAGGGATTGACGAGAGCCAAGAATCAGGGGACGGATACCGTAGGAGTCACGGAAACCGATGAGTCCAAAGCCTAGAACAAAGATGTCAGCGGATTGCTCGGATGTACTGGAATTAGTGACGAAGATAAAGACTTACCAGCAAGCAGAGCAGTGCAGGCCCAGCCACCCTCACAGCGCTCATAGACACGGCTTAAACTGGCAAAGAGATCCTCTTTGTTCACGCGGGCCTTCTTGGTCTCGCTCAGCTCATCAGCGAAGATGTTGAGCATAAGTTCACTGTCACTATCAGTGTTGATATGACGGTGTGCCTCCAGGTCCAGGTGCTTCTTAAGTGCGGGCGCATTAATCAGGTTTCCGTTGTGCGCAAAGCAGATACCATAAGGACTGTTCACATAGAAGGGCTGTGCCTCGGCATTGGCACTGCTACCAGCCGTAGGGTAACGCAGGTGAGCGATACCCATTGAACCAGGAAGGTTGGCAATCTTGGCACCATCATGGAAAACCTTAGCAGCCATACCGTTGGCCTTCAGCTGGTAGATTCGGCCACCAGAGGCGCAGGTCGCAATACCAGCAGCATCCTGACCACGATCTGTGTTACACAGCAGACTTTAGCCTTTGCTCCCTTGTCTTCATTGCATAGGTCGCAGGCACTCACGTTGGAGGAGATACAGGGCCTCGTGAAGGTCGACCGCAGCAGCGGCGGAGGGGTTTGCCAGGATCAAAGCGATAATTCCACACATGATGACGATGAGGAGGTTTCCTAAGCACCCGGTCGGGAACAGATTAGCACATGTCCTTGTTCACACTTGTGGCAAAAAATGCATCGCGGGGTTATTTCTCAAATCAGTTCGGATGTTTCTCCGCAAAAATAGCTAGGAAGTCTAACATCTATAAAAATATCCAAGTTCATCATAGAGAGGGGTGGTGCAGATGAAGATAACAAAAAGAACACAACTCACCAGAACCAGGAAGTGGTTGATAAGGGCGCAATGGTCAACAATGACCCCCAGGAACAAGAGAGGAGGGGAAAAGGAAGAGAATTTCTTTCCAGTGCTCTGGTCCCGCCAAAGGAGAGTTCGTCTCCACCGAATTTTTTTTTTCCGCCGACGCCGGCCCGGTGCTGACTCATCACACCCTAATCCGGCTGTTCTCTGTATAGATTCATCATGTCTGTATAGATGTAAAAATAGATCACAATAACTTGCACTTTCTGGTCACTCCAATGTCGATAATCATGCAGCCTGCTGTGATAAGTACTCTTTGCAAAGTAGACAATGGGTTGAATGTAGTATTGATCATGATCTTCACTTTGTTCCTATGCTGGCCGCTGAGGCTTTGTTCTGTTGACATGCAAAGGGTATTTCTGAAAAATTGCCAACGCTTGAAGTTCAATATCGAAGTGACATATCGTCTCATATGCTCTGGTTTGAAAAGCTTCGTCTTCCCCAGCACACCAAAACACCAACACTTCTTCCAGCTCCTATCGAGGAGCATCATCACTTGCTCTTTGATATTGCCATCCTTCTTATTCTCTTGATCCCAGCTGCTTCAGAACACTTTAAAATCTCTGAGAATGTCTTCAAACATGATAGATCTTGTTTCGGGGACGCGTCTGCCGGGTGCGAGCTCAGCTGAGTATACCATACCCCGCTGCGCGCTCGACGGCACCCCAGCAGATTTAAGAGACGAGCCCTCCATCATGGGCTCTGTGCCCCCGAATAGCCTTTCTTTCCAGCTTCAATCTTCATCCTCTTCGGTGAGCTCGCCCCAGAGCTCAGGCTCCTCATCTCAAGCAGTCTCAACTCCCCTTGGAAGTTCGCAGGAACTCCCCATCGACCTCACAGAAGATCCACCAAAGAATATCATCGATCTTACTGACGAGCCTCTCGCACACTCACAAGTAAGAGCACAAGTCCCCAGCAATCCAGCGGTGGCCGATATCCGCGAACAAACTGCGCGACTAACTCTGGAGCCCCGACGACACCCTTCATCAGTGATTGTCAATGGCATCATCTATGGACAAGGCTCATCGGTTGAGCTCCATGATGGAAACTTTCTCCACATCGACTATGTCAGTCAGCGTGGGGGTGAAAACTTTTTCCATGGCCGCCACTTGGTATCATCAGATAGCCAAAGCGTAGGAGATTACATCCCTAGAACAGCCCGCGAAGTGATTTGGATGCCTCACCTCGATGGAGTCTGTTCACTAGACCAGATCAAATGTTTTCGTCGCATCCGCTTCACCAACTTGCGACGAAAAGACGAGATTTTCGATACAGAAGCCCATGGAGAAGATGCTCTCACATGTCGATTGAAGCTCACGCTCAAGTTCCGGCCAGTCCTGCGACAAGGTGCTCGAACCGGAGGAACAGATGATCAGGAGTTTGCGGTCGAGTATCTCACGTTCGAGGAGGCATCCGGAGGCCATAATGTTCGACTCTCTGCCCGGGAGTTGCGCGGCCAATGGCGAGGTCGCAATCAGACCACCCCATTCGGTGCATTCGCACTCGCACCTCGAGCTGAAAGACTGGAAATTGATATGATGAACCCTGATCCGCAATTCTGGAATCCCGATGATACTAGTCGCAACCGTACATACACCTTCGGCGATGCATACTGCGGTGCAGGTGGCGCCTCCTGTGGCGCCAAAAAAGCCGGATTGGCCTTGACTTGGGCTGTCGATATGGATGCGAATGCCGTACAAACTTATCGGCGCAATTTCCCAGAATCCTTGGTGGAGCAATCCACCTTCGACATCTTTATGACGCAGAATCCAGATGAGCTGCGTATCGATGTGTGCCATACATCACCTCCATGTCAGCCATTTTCGCCGGCACATACTATTCATAACCAGGTCCGTGACGAGCAAAATTCGGCATGCATCTTCACCTCGCTCAATTTGATCAACAAGGCTCGTCCGCGAGTGTTGACCATGGAAGAGACATTCGGATTACGAGGGCGGCACACTGAAACATTCAATCGACTGATCATGGATTTCATTGAAGTTGGATATTCCGTGCGCTGGGCGGTGTTGGATTGCCTGAATTATGGTGTTCCACAGACGCGTCGTCGCTTGATCATCATTGCTGCGGGGTAAGATGGATCCTCCCTTGAATGTTGAACTTCACTAACAGGACTGTATAATAAAAGCCCCGGGGAGACTCTCCCTCAAATGCCAACACCCACACATGGTCCATTCGGCTCTGGCCTCAGGGCCTTCGAAACCATCCATCGGGCGATCAGCGAGATCCCCGACCCCTGGATGGACCATGACACGAGAGCATTGTTGGAGCGTACCAGAAACGCTCACCGCGAGCCATACAGCCCACACCAACCGGCAAAGACCATCACTTGCAGTGGTGGTGAAGCCAACTACCATCCCTCGGGAAAGCGGGGATTGACGCCTCGCGAAGTTGCCTGCATCCAGACATTTCCTATGGGGTTTGTGTTCTGCGGCACAAACAGGCGTAAGCAAATTGGGAATGCTGTCCCAGCTCGGCTTGCCGAGGCGATTTTCAAAGAAGTCCGCAAATCATTGCGGAGAACAGATGCGATGGAGGAGGAGGAAGCTCGGACCGGAGCTTGAAATTGGGGCATGTGATGCCCGAGGGGACGAAAAAACACGAAATCCCGAAAATTGAACGCTGGGAGGAGCGTTCGAACTGTACATTAGAATTTCGAGAAAAGAGCAGTAACACCGATGATCGCGGTGATTAATGGAAAGTCCGATTTCGCAGATTTCTTTTCTCGTGCAGCATATTAGTCCCTCATGAACTGTACTGCGTACCTGAGATAGGCTTCACATTTGTATTACCGTCCGATTTTCGGCACTATCACTAAAACATGCAAGCACATAGCTAGATCATAACTCAAAGTGATGTACTAGTCTGTACCGTTATTTTGTGAATTTCATAGTTCAAAATCTGTAGCTATACGGTACTAAGTATCATGTCGTACTAACCGACACTAACCGACTGGCCTCGGCAATATGAAGTCAGCCTGCGATCACCCTTTCTCTTACCCCAAACTCTCCACATTCTTGACTTCTGTGATCACCCTTTTCCCCATTTAATCCCTTCTTCCTCCTCAACTCTTCCCCGAATCCGTAGAAATTGGATTCTTCTTGATCCTTCCCAATTGCTCTTTCCCACATCATGTCCCTTCCCGTGAGACGGTTGACCCACACGGCTCCCCGCACTTTGGCCCGCATCCCCATCTCGAGAATCCCCTCCACCTTCTCCTCTTCCTCCATTACTCGTGCTGTTCGCACTACTGCTCCCAAATTCTCTACCATGGCTGCTCGTCAATCTGCTGCACCGGCTGCCCCGGCCGACAAGTCCTATGATCCGGAGATCCAGGACATGGCCAAGTATATCCACCAATACAATGTGGATTCCGACCTGGCGGTAAGTTTGTTTGTTTCTTTCCACAAAGGGCTGAAATTGGACTTGAGACTGATGCATTCTGGCAATCGGAATAGATGGATACTGCCCGCCTGGTTTTCCTGGACACTCTAGGCTGCGGTCTGGAGGCCCTGAAATTCAAGGAGTGCGCAAAGCTCCTTGGCCCCACCGTGGAGGGAACTGTGGTCCCCAACGGAACCCGCGTTCCGGGTACCCCATACCAGCTGGACCCTATCAATGGCGCCTTCAACATTGGTGCCATGATCCGCTGGCTCGACTACAATGACTGCTGGCTCGCTGCTGAATGGGGCCACCCCTCCGATAACCTTGGTGGTATCTTGGCCGTGGCCGACTGGATCTCTCGCACCAACCGTGCGGGCGGAAACCTTGGAAATGGCAAGATCTTGACCATCCGTGATGTTTTGGAGGCTATGATCAAGGCCCACGAAATCCAGGGTGTTTTGGCGCTGGAGAACTCCTTTAACAAGGTCGGCCTGGACCACGTTGTCCTCGTCAAGGTTGCCACTACTGCTGTGGTCTCCAAGATGATGGGTCTCACTGAGAAGCAGACCGCCGATGCCATCACCCAGGCTTGGGTTGATGGCCAGTCTCTCCGCACTTACCGCCACTCTCCTAACACCATGTCGCGCAAGTCGTGGGCTGCTGGTGATGCTTGCCAGCGTGCGGTGAACCTTGTTCTGAAGGTGCAGAAGGGCGAGGGTGGTCTTCACACCGTTCTCTCCGCTCCTGTCTGGGGTTTCTACGATGTTCTATTCAAGGGCAAGAAGTTTGAGTACCAGCGCCCCTACGGCAGCTACGTCATGGAGAACGTTCTCTTCAAGGTTTCCTACCCTGGTAAGTTCCGACCGACAGCAAATTCGATCTATGAGCTAACTGTTTTCAGCTGAGTTCCACTCCCAGACTGCCATTGAGGCTGCCCAGAAGATCAACATCAAGCTGGCGGAGATGGGCAAGAGTGCCAAGGACATCAAGGAGATCGTCAACCGTACCCACGAGGCTTGCATTCGCATCATTGACAAGCAGTTCAAGGCCATGGACAACTTTGCCGACCGTGACCACTGTGTCCAGGTGAGCCACAACTTTGCGGTCAATTTTTAGGATCGATATCTAATTCCTTACAGTACATGGTTGCCACCATGCTGGTGTTCAACCGCCTGACCGCCACCGATTACGCCGATGGCTCCGAGGCCGCTACCTCCCCCTCTTCTGGAGGACCTCCGCCAGCGCATCCGCTGCGTTGAGGACGAGCAGTTCACCAAGGACTACCACAACCCCAACATGCGTACCATCCCCAACGCTCTGACTGTCACCCTGAATGACGGCACTGTCCTTGAGGAGGTCGTCGTTGAGGCTCCCCTGGGCCACCGTCTCCGTCGTGAGGAGGCCAAGCCTGAGATTCTGGCCAAGTACAAGCGTCACCTCCAGGCGCACTTCGACCAGGCTCGCATCGATGAGCTGCTCCAGGTGGGCTGGGACCGCCAGCAGCTCGAGAACTACGAGGTTGACAAGTACGTTGACCTTTACGTGAAGGACAAGATGGTTGCCTCTTCCTAGAGGAACCCAAGAACGAACTATCTGTATGATGAACATATTTTTTGACTGCCTAGTATACACCGCAAAATTCCAATAGACCGTGGGTTCTTTAAATTATTCTCTCCAAGTCCTATAGTATCTTACCAATATCCTTATCCCGAAGCCCCAGATGTACAAGTAACCCCCAAATCTTCCGTATTCGCACAAAGGACCTCACTCTCCCCATCCGGCGCGACAACCGTATAGTCACTAACAGTCACCCCACAAGTCCCATCAGCACCACAATCCATATTCCCAGTGACATCCCCATACTTCCCACTAGTCGTCCCGCTAAACCCCTCAAAAACCACATCCGACAAAACAGCATCACCCGGATATTCCTCACAATAACTCGCATCTTCCCCGTAACAACTCTGAATCTGAATCGCATAGTCACACCCGTCAACAACAACCCCGCTCCAGGTTACATTAGTAACAGTAGATAGCCCATGGTCCCCACCAGAGGGGTAAGTCTTGATTCCAGCCGCCTTGGTCGAATTGATCATCGTCGCACCAGATACATACACATTCTTCACCGTGTCATCGCCAGAAGAACCGAGTGATCCAACGCTTATCCCATGGCTCCCTGTGCATGTGATATCTGAAACGGTCACGTAGTTTGCGCCTGGCTTGAAGGCTACGCAGTCGTCATCGTTAATTACCGAGACGGATGTGATGCTTACAGTTGTGCAAGAGCCGATATCGAAGCCGTCGGTGTTCTTTGCTGCATTGGTGCTTTTGGACGTTGCTGTCATTGTCAAGTCTGAGAAATGGATGTCGCTGCTTGAGCCTGTGACGGAGTTGAAGACGTTTGGTGGGTTCTTTTGGGTTAGACCACTTATTTTGATGTTGCTGCTTGATGTTATGTAGAGGAGGGTTGGGCGTTGGTAGCTGCTGTCTGAAGCGAAGAGGTCATATCTATACGAGGTCAGTATTATGATTGTAAAGAGGTAGTACACGAGGGTTAGGGCGTTCATACGCATCTTGTCCATTGCCATTGATAACTCCACTCCCAGTGAGCGATCGCATGGTCATGCCAGTAACATCCTTCACATACATCATAGCGGTGCGACCTTCCCAGTAGTCTGTATCAGAGGCGAACTTGAGGGTTCCCTCGATCTGGAAGTCGCAACCACTGCATGATGAGAAATCGAGAACACTTTTGATGTAATATGTGGTTCCGGTAGGAATGACAATTACACCACCGTCACCACATGTTGATAGCGCCGACGCTATAGCGGGCACATCGTCTGTGGTGGATGTACCTCCGGCGACGGGTGTGCAGGTTGAGGCACTAGTGTTAAGGGTACGGGTTGGGGAGCGAGGAGAGAGGGCGGCGGTCAGAGACAGGAATGGGAGAAAAAAGGACGGTCCTCGCATTGTGAATTAGATGACCTTTGCGATGTGAATTAATCCCATAGGTTGTTTGCGCTGTGAATTCCAAGGCCTTGGAGAAACTTCTCCGACATGAATCGGCCAAGTTGTTATATATAGATATAGATACCGACAATAAACTATAGTGGCTGTTTGACTAAGAGACTAGCTGTCAGTGGTTTCAAGACACACGGAGCATTTTCCGGATCAGCGTTAGACAAACCTTGGCAGTAAAGCATTGTATCTCCATTCGAGGAACATCTAGCGGACTGTTTCTCCAGTTTCAAATAAGGGCATATGCAGGTCCAGCGGCCCCACTTGGGTGAAACCAGTAGCAGCCTTGTAATTCCCAATCGGTTCTTCACATGCGCATCCGGCTAATGATGCTCTAATGCCATTTGGCTCGGGCCTAGTGACAGGAGGTGTACGCATATAGGGGTCGGTTAAAAACTGTGGCTTTTCCGTTCGTCCTGGCCGGTTAAATGAGATGCACGGTACGGGTATAGCCGATATGCGAAAGCAACCCTGAAATAAGCGGGGTTAAGGGTCCAATCCAGATTAAATCAGATGGAGGTCTCAGAAGGAATCCCCATTGATGGATTTACGAAACGCAGGTCAAACTTTCCACCGTCTTTACGGGAGTGGATAATCCTTCGTTCTAATGAGGGTTGTGGAAAGGGGGAATCATAATAAAGAAGTTATGATTTCGTTCTTTAAGCAAGGAAACCGAAAGTCGCACATCGTTTCGTACATGCCCAAATGAAACTGTTCCCCTTTTTCATCTCAGCCCTGTGCCTCGGCACCGCTGTCTTCGGTGCGCCAGCGAAGCTAAATCGACGCAACAGCGTAAGCAGAACTACACCACCATCAGGATGTCTCTCTGTGGGCTCGAGTGGAACATACTCGACCATATCTGCCGCACTGACCGCATTGGGCTCATCGACCTCTTCAGCCTGCATCTTTATCTATAGTGGCACTTATGCTGAACAAATCAAAATCGACTATGCTGGGTCCCTCATCATCTATGGTGAAACGACCGATTCTGGAACGTACAAGGATAACACTGTGACCATCACAAACACGATATCTTCAGAAGATGCTGGGTCTTTGGACCTGAGTGCCACGGTGAACATCGTCTCCGATAGCGTTAGTATGTATAACATCAATGTTGTGAATGGGTATGGCAAGGGAGCACAAGCTGTCGCGTGAGTAGATCAGCATTTTCCAACATGTAAAGGCTTCAGCTAACATACTCTAGTCTCGTTGCAAATGCAGATGAGCTGGGCTTTTACGGGTGTCAATTCTCCGGATATCAGGATACCCTCTACGCGAAGGCCGGGACACAATATTATTCCAACTGCATGATTGAAGGTACCCAGACCCATCCACATTCTAGCATATACCCTGCTACAATTGGACACTCGCTGATCTGATACAGGAGCCGTAGACTACATATTTGGCGACGCCTCAGCCTGGTTCGGCGAATGCGACATCGTTTCCAACGGCCCCGGCGCCATAACCGCCAGCTCGCGCGAAGAATCCACCGATACCTCCTGGTACGCGATTGATTCTTGTAATATCAGGGCTGCGTCGGGTCTTGATCTCGACGGTGAAGTGTACCTCGGTCGGCCGTGGCGCGTTCTTGCGCGTGTTATCTACCAGAATTCAGACTTGGGTTCTTTGATCAATGCGGCTGGTTGGGCGACTATGGCTGATGACGCGACTCCGCTTTATTATGAGTATGATAATACTGGAGATGGGTCGGATACTTCTGATCGGTTGTATGAGACGTCTATTACTGCTGGTGTTACGAAGACGACGGTTCTTGGGAGTGGCTATGGAAACTGGATTGATGAGACTTACTGAGCATGAGCATTAGCCCGTGTGACAGGAAAATATCTGGCTGCTAACTATTCCCTTTGGTAAGTGCCCAAGTCTATATGGACGCTGAGAAGATATGTCTACGTCGAAAGCTTATAGCTAATTTCAAGATTTACTTATTAAGTTCAACGTTCCTTTGTCCATCTATTTCAGTACAACTAAAGACAGAAGTGAGTTAAGGTTTAGTTCCAGTATATATTCCTAGAAACGCCGCCTACGAGGTATTTAGACGTCTTACCCTCCGAAATGAACCCTTAGCATTTGAAGATTGAATGAGCTCAATGGTTGCCCAAATGGTAAGCGAGTGTACTATTGAAAGTTATGTGAGGTAGTAAATAAAGTACAAGAATCATGAGTGATGAAAATAATCGTGAAGTCCGAGCGACAGCCGTTAAACTGTATCAGCGGGCGAGTAAGAAGCTTGACAGATTGGACACTTGTAATGCCGATATTCAAACCAAGACGTGAGACAGGTCGAATGGAAGGCGTGATGACATCGATTCAAGACAATAATGCTGTTGTCAATCCCAATGTCCGGTATGAATGTGTCATCTGACCTAACTGGAGAGTGATGGCGTGGACTACCAGGTAGATGAACAGACTCAGGAGAGGAGAGATAGGCAGGTGATGATAGGGATGAGAGGCATATGGGGCTAGAAACATATTAGTCCAAGCCAAAGATAAGCCATGGGGTGATGAGTGTTAATTGGGTAGTGAAAGCCTGAGGCCAAGAAATGAACACTTGGCTCGGGAAGTATTGGCCATGGCATCATGTAAAGGAAACTCAAAGAAGTGCCCGAGTCCAAATTGCCCAGAGCAGGATCAAAGACACAGTATGGAGCACGCCCTATGAGGCAGGAGAATCCTGTGCCTAGCCTAGGCATTCCCCACACTGTATCACTCTACCCCTCGTAGCCAAGACACGTGCGAGTCGGGCGTGGGAGATAACAGAAAAAGGACTTACCACATATCCTGTGCGTAGCGTGTAGTTTCGCTCGGCTCATTCTGCTCCTCGACCCATCTCGTCACAGATACCTGCTGCATTGATGAAGTGAGGTTGGCAGTTTCACTAGCACGGCGGGAAGCATCACGTCGCCGATGTTGCCACATGATAGCACTGATACACGTTAGAAACTTGTCACATGAGGAAATGTTCCAGATAATTCTGCTGCAGGGGCATATGTAGCCAAGCCCGACAGTGCCCAAGAACTCACATAGGAATGAGGCTGATCAAGGAAAACAGGGCCACAGCACCAATGATGATCCCAATCACCTCGCCCCGCGGCAGGTTATCGTCTACCATAGCGGGGAACAAGGGTCACGGGCCTCAGATCAGGGATGATGAAGTGCGAATACGAGCAGGGCGAGAAACAGATGTCCAATAACCAACAGCTTGTTTTCCCCGGATTCGCGGGGAGAGCCAGGTAACAATGTCGATCGGACTATTCGGCACACTGCTGAATAAAGCACATCCCCATAAAGATTAAACAAAGACCATTCTCTGACGCGATCAAGGTAAATTCACAGCTAGCCAGAGTTCGCCACCAAGATAACGTATCTCAGAGAGGGGGTACCAGAAACACAAAAAATAGAACGGGAAAGGAGAGCAGATTTGAACTCTGCAGTGGACCCTCAGACCTCGCAGAAGGCAGGATGCCAAGAAGCGTCCAAGATCAGCCAAGCATGACACATTATCTCAGGTGTTGGAGGTGTCCAGCGCGGAGTTTCCTTGCCCAGACTACAGCCCAGAATCCCGCTCTTGGTATTCCGCTGCACCAATCACGATCCAGTGGCGGCTCACGGCCGAGCCAACGCCGAGACCAGTCGTGTGCGTCATTACGCCTCGGCAGGAGTCGCAAACACAATGCCAAGCTGGTCCGCCATAGACCGAACTTTGGTAGGAGTACGCGATTGGGTAATAGAATTATCGTTCCCCAGATTTCATGCCGTGCGATATCTGAGATTCGGAGAAGATGCCGTTCACAGGAGCGGAATTTGCCATCAATCCCGGTAGGGAAACTTATTTAAGGATCGCAATACCCCGGAATGGAAAGGGAAATAAAAAAAGTACCAAGGGATTTAGACTATATTGTACTTAAGAATCAAAGTCTAGAGTCTAGATCTTATCATCTCGGGAATTGCATCTTGCTTGAACCCGTGTATGGACTCCCACTCTGTCGAAGATACTTTCTATATGACACCTCCTTGAGCAAAGTCTTTTAGAAGTATATACAACTACAACACTTAGACTCCCAGACATCCACGCCATGTCTCCGGAGAAAGCCCAACCCCTTGGCGACACCACTTCCCACCCCTACCTCTCCAGCCCACCTCATAATCTCACATTTGAAGAAGTGATCAATGAGCTAGGCACAAACTCCGATGATGGTCTCACTACAGAGAATGTGAAGCAGCGCCTTGAAAAATATGGCCAGAATATGCTAGAGGGAGGCGAAAGCGTCTCCTTCGCAAAGATCATTATCCGCCAAATCGCCAACGCGATGATGCTTGTAAGTATTCACATCTTCAATAGCACACACAACTTGCTTACCACATCATAGATCCTTATCATCGCCATGGCAGTCAGCTTCGGCATCCAGTCCTGGATCGAAGGCGGCTTTATTGCAGCTGTCATTGTTCTTAACGTAGTCGTTGGTGTTTACCAAGACTTCGCCGCCGAGAAGACAATGGACTCCCTCCGCTCCCTGAGTTCGCCCACAGGAGTAGTGACCCGCGACGGCAAGACTACCACAGTCCCCGCAAATGAGATCGTTCCTGGCGATATGGTAGAACTGAAAGTTGGCGATACCGTCCCTGCAGATCTGAGGTACGAACACCCCCTAAACTCCCAGATGTCTGAAACTAACCTTTCGCAGATTGGTCGAAGCTTTCAACTTTGAGACTGACGAAGCATTGCTCACGGGTGAATCTCTCCCAGTACAAAAAGAAGCCGAATCCACATTCGATGCCGATACTGGTCCAGGAGACCGTCTCAATATCGCCTATAGCTCGTCAACTGTCACCCGCGGCCGCGGCAGAGGCGTGGTAGTCGGCACAGGCATGCAAACCGAAATCGGCGCCATCGCCGCCGCACTTCATGGTAGCGATACTAAGCGTCGGCCAGTGAAGCGCGGACCGGAAGGCGAGACTAAAAAGCGTTGGTACATCGAGGCGTGGACATTAACCACCACGGACGCGATTGGTCGTTTCCTCGGTATCAACGTTGGTACACCACTACAGCGCAAACTATCAAAGCTCGCACTACTTCTCTTCGGAATTGCGGTTATCTGTGCTGTTGTGGTTGCAGCAGCCAATGACTGGCGCGGAGACAATGAAGTCATCATCTATGCGGTCGCGACTGGCTTGGCCATGATTCCTGCATGCTTGGTTGTTGTTTTGACGATCACCATGGCAGTCGGAACGAGGCAGATGGTTCAGAGACATGTTATTGTCCGCAAGCTGGACTCTCTGGAGGCACTGGGTGCTGTTACCAATATCTGTTCTGATAAGACTGGTACTTTGACGCAGGGCCGAATGGTGGCTCGTCGTGCCTGGATTCCGTCCGTGGGAACTTATTCCGTGGGATCTTCTAATGATCCCCTGAATCCTCAGGATGGAGATCTCATTTTGACAGCCGAGCCACCGATGAAGTTGCACGCTGACTCCAAGGGCGGCGATCCCGCGAATCCTGCCGATTTGCTTAAGGATAATGAGGAGTTGAAGTCATTCCTTAATGTCGCTGCTATGGCAAACCTGGCTCATCTGCACAAATCGTCCAATGATGAGTGGCAGGCCCGTGGTGAGCCAACAGATATTGCTATCCAGGTCTTCGCCACTCGTTTTGACTGGGGTTCTGATCATTGGACCAAGGGTGACAAGCCGATCTGGCAGCAGAAGGCCGAATACCCCTTCGATTCGAGCGTGAAAAAGATGTCCGTCATTTTTGCCAAACAGGACGGCGAGTCAGAGAAGGCACAGGAGATGATTTTCACCAAAGGAGCCGTTGAGAGAGTTCTTGAAGCTTGCACATCCATCAAGTGGAGTCCTGACTCCCCTGCCGTTCCATTGGATGAGGATATCCACGATGAAATCTTGGAGAACATGGAAGCACTCGCAAAAGAGGGCCTTCGCGTTCTCGCTCTAGCCGGACGAGAGCACACCTCTGACTCTAACACCGATGAGACCCTTCCACGGGAGGAAGTTGAGAAGGACCTCACTTTCTACGGATTGATCGGTCTATACGACCCTCCTCGCCCCGAAACCGCCGGCGCAATCAGCCAGTGCTACAAGGCCGGAATCTCCGTGCACATGGTAACGGGAGACCATCCCGGGACAGCACGCGCAATCGCCGCTCAAGTCGGAATCATTCCATCGAACATGGACACTCTCGCAAAGGATGTCGCGGACGCGATGGTCATGACGGCGAGTGAATTTGACAAGTTATCCGAAGATGAGATCGACAACCTACCTACTCTCCCCTTGGTTATCGCACGTTGTGCACCAAACACGAAGGTCCGCATGATCGAAGCATTGCATCGACGTGGTCGCTATGTCGCGATGACGGGTGACGGTGTGAATGATTCCCCCTCGCTGAAGCGCGCCGATGTCGGTATCGCCATGGGTCAAAACGGGTCTGATGTTGCAAAGGATGCCTCAGAACTTGTTCTGACAGATGATAACTTTGCTTCAATGATTAATGGTATTGAAGAGGGACGTCGTATTTTCGACAATATTCAGAAATTCATTCTGCATCTTTTGGCGGAGAACGTGGCTCTTGCTTTGACGCTGCTCATTGGTCTGGCCTTCAAGGATAACACTGGGCAATCAGTTTTCCCAATCTCCCCCGTCGAGATTATCTGGATTATCATGATCACTTCTGGTCTACCAGATATGGGCTTGGGGATGGAGATTGCCGCTCCGGATGTGATGGATCGCCCTCCACAAAGCGTATGTACCCCCAATAACCGCACCCCTTGCATGAACATATACTGACTCGTTCGATAGAAACAAGGTATCTTCACCTGGGAGATCATCATTGACACCCTAGTCTACGGCGTTTGGATGGCAGCCCTCTGCCTCGCAGCCTTTGCACTGGTCATGTTCCAGTGGGGCGATGGCAACCTAGGAGAAGGCTGCAACACACAATACAACGACCCAAACAAACCATACACTTGCGACACGGTATTCCGTGCCCGCGCAACAACATTCACTTGCATGACATGGTTCGCCCTGTTCCTTGCATGGGAGATGCTGAACCTGCGCCGCAGCTTCTTTTGCATGCAGCCCGACTCCAAGCGCCATTTCACTCAGTGGATGCACGATATCTGGCGTAACCAATTCCTGTTCTATGGTATCATGGCAGGATTCGTGCTTGCTTTCCCGATTCTTTATATCCCGGTCATCAATCACAGTGTGTTTAAGCATACTGCTATCAGTTGGGAGTGGGGAATTGTGTTCGTCGAGACTATTTTGTTCTTCTTGGGTATTGAGTCCTGGAAGTGGTGCAAGAGGGTTTATTTCCGTCGCCAGGCGCATAGAGCAGAGAAGAAGGGTGAGGTTCCGAGAGATGAGAGGCGGAGACTGAAGGATTTCAGTCGTCAGCCCACTATGAGTCGGTCGGAGACTCAGGCTACTGGTGACATGAAGGTTGAGCAGTCCCTGGTTTGAATGCATTAGTTGCCGAGTTCGTGGGGAATATTGCATAATCGGAATTCAGCTAGATGAAGATTTTAGCGCGAAATGATCGATAGACATAGATCAAATGAAGTATATTTCACTCTATTGCATTAATATTAAACAGTAGGCAAGGATTGTCCTGGGCGGCGGGAGTTTTATTTCACCGTAGAATGTCACCTCTTGCTATCATCAAGTATGTTCAGCGACTTAAGCAGCGGCAGTCTTGCCATCTTCCATGAAATCATCTCTGTGGCAGTGATCTGGGTAATCCGTCTCTGTCCAAGGCTCCCAGAAATGGGCCCCACTCTTGAGAGAACTGACACTCTCCCAGACCGTGCAAAGCACAAACAGTGCCATTATGATGGAAAGAATAGAGGTAGCTCCAAGATGGTGAGCAAGAGGCAGCAAAATGACGATGATTCCAGTGATCGGTCTCATAATCAAGCGAACCGGCTAGACAAAACATCAGCAAATGAACCCGCAAAATAAAACCTCCATAGCCTCATACCTTTTCGACACACAACGCGCCGCTCTCATCCTTCGACCCATGCATTAATGCAAAGGCATACAAGCAAAGCATCCCAACGCCCAATCCCCCACACAGCAACCACCTCTGCGCATCCTCAAAATCCTCCTCCTCAACCGAAGCAGCAGCAACATGCCCACCAGCCAGCAGACTAGCAATAAGCGGCAGGTGCACAATCGCAAAGCCAAAGGCCGTATAAATATTATGCCTCAACGGATGAGCCGAATCAACAGACCCATCAGCATGAACATACAACCAGTTCAAACAAAAAGCAATGATAAGCGTCCAAATCGCCCTCAACAGCCGCTCATTCAAGCCAATAGCAGCATGATTCCCCACAATAATCAAATACAAAAACTCACCCAGCGCAATAATATAAAACGCCGCGAACCGATCTGCTTCATGTGGGATATCAACAGCAGTAGAATACTTAACTCGCAGCAATTTCTTCGCAGCAGGCGAGTAACAAAACACCCAAGCAATCTCCTCCAACACCACAGCCACGGCTGTCGCAGCAATCTTACCACGCATAGGAACAGATTCGAAATATAACGGGATGTACACTGCCAGCGTGACGACTGATAGACCGGCCCAAAGACGCAGCTGTGGGCGGTGCTGGTAGCTTGCGAAAGAGTTGTAGATATGCATGACTGTTAGTGAGAGCCTAGCAGCCATGTATGAGCCAACAGCTGAGCGCATTGCACCGATGTCTTCGTCGACTAGTGGGGCGTTGTTCCCGTATACGACCATTAAAGCCATGATCCACAGGATCAGGATGCGCTGGAGTAGATCGTCATTGTAGAATGAGTTCATCACTTCGCGAAGATCGCTCCAGACGTGCCATGATGGTGCCAGGGTAAGCTGTAGGATGATTCAGCCAACTGATTTTTTTTTTCCGTGAGATGGTCAGAATCTTACGATGTACTTGGCGAGCTTTGCACCGGAAATGTCTTCGGTAAGTGTATCGGCGAAATTAGAAAGAATTGCGATGTAGAGCAAATCGAGGAAAAGTTCAAAGCGACCTGTATCCTGAATGAGTATTCTGTTTTCGTCTTTTTTATGCCCACGCGCCGTATCTGAGACAGATAGGTGGGTGGGTTCTTACCTGATTGGCGTTCCTCGTCACGACGTTTTACCAGCCTCCCGTTCTCGAACCATTGTAGAGCGCGCGGTTGGCGGATGAGGTAACGAGAATCCGACTGGACCTGGAGCCCGTTGGTGTCGATTCCTGATGGACCAGCCATTTTCGGTGGATTGACAAAATGCGCGGGACAAGCACGGTCGCGAAATCGTAAGGGGTGAGCTTTCGCGATCTGCCCCACGGTTCTTGGCACCTTATCTCACCACTTAATCTGGACCCTTGGCTCCATTATGAGGCTCTGTACTTTTATGCCTCGAATTTTCTTCCCCATTTCTTTAATACTTTCGTCAATTCTTAATACTTTTTGCCATTTTCCATCCAAAAAGAGTTTTTGATCAGTTTTCAATTTCTAGGTGATATCCTTAAGAAATCGGTATAGGTCGCTAATTGCGCAGTCTCCTAAAAGCTTTTCCAAGGTAGCCATTGCTTCAAAAAAGCCCACTATACAAAAGGTTTCGCTGTATATTTTTGATCGAGTCGTAATTCATACTGAGTAAACGGATCTGGGAAATCATAATTTTGTTCCCCTTTGAGCCGGAGCTATATCCAACCACGACTGGATCGTTTGTACCAGTCCTTCGACCTCTTCTTCGGTATTGCCAGCATGCAGACAAACACGCACACGCTCCTTGCCATCGGGAATCGTGGGAGGCATTATAGCCCGAACGATAAATCCCGCTTTCTGACAAAAGCTTGCTAATTCACGGGGTTGGGATGTTCGAAGCGAAAAGATGGGAGATGTCGGGAAATGATCCACTTCGAACATGACCGACTGGCGAATCTGTAGCGATGCCAAAGACTTATGGAGATGTCCGATCAGTTTTTGAACTCGGTCTTGCAACTGTTAAGAAGTGTCAGCAAGTATCCGTTGAAGCAGGATGAATGCGCCCATACCGATTCTGTCTCTCCAGAGGACAGAAGCTCATAGGCCGTTCTAATCGAGGCAAGGAAGGGAAACCCGAGGGCCGTGGTATAAATCAGGCTTCGAGCATAATTTATCAAATAGTCTCTTGTTTCTGGGCCGCACAGTACCATCGCTAAGAAATGTGTAAGCCAAATACATCAATGAAGATTGTGTAGGGAACCCACCACCATGACTAGCCAAAGCTTTGCCAAAAGTGTGAACGCGAATGAAAATGCGATCCTGGACTCCCAGTGCCTGAACCACACCGGCGCCCTTTGGTCCACAAACACCAGTCGCATGTGCCTCATCAACAATAAAATACCCATTCCCCAAAGGGAGAAGCTCATCCACAACATCAAGAAACTCCTTAATGGGAGCCACATCTCCATCCATACTATAGATAGACTCAATAACCACAAAGACATTCCGCGACCCATCCTTCACTTTGGGATCCTGTTCGATTTGCGCTTCAAGAACCTCCCTCAAGCTGACAGGACAGCTATGCAGAAACATCTCCCGTTGTCCAGCCCGAGAGAGACGCATACCCTCATGTGAACTAGCATGAATAAGCTCATCATATAAGATCAAATCACCTGGCTGCGGAATACTAGACAAAATGCCAATATTCGCATCATAGCCGGAATTGAATAGAAGCGCCGCGGGCGCTTCATGAAAATCGGCCACGAAACGCTCCAATTCCTCTGCATAAGCTGAGTTGCCATCTAGCAATCGCGATCCTCCGCTGGCGAATGGGAAGAATTCAGGCGTGTTGTTCACGTGCGCCAGGTACCGATTGCGGTATGCTGGGGCTGTGGAGAGTGAGAGAAAATCATTGGATGAGAAGTCGACTGCCGTTTGTGGTAGGATTGTCAGTCTGCGACGTGCAGATTTGGCCTCTCTGCGCGATAACGCGTCTTTGAATGAGTCGACGAGTGTTTTTCCATTGGAAGATGCCCCGATGCTGCGTTGTGAACTCATTGTGACTGAAGAAGTGTGTATGAAGGAATGAGTCAGGTGTGTTGAGACGTTGCAACGGCTAAGAACGGGACAATCTGGGCACGGTGGTGATCATCCCGCACTTTAATCGTCTAGCTCCAGGACTGCAGATTCGAACAATCTGCAGGTAACACGTAAACCTATTGCAAGACGTGTTGAGTACAGACTAATTAAATGGGGAGTTATAATTGGGTTTGTTTTTTTTCCCTCTATTTTTGTTCTGACGTAGACAATTCTGGAGTTCGTTGGGGCTCAACGGAGAAGTCATGGACCTCGGTGAAAGGGGAACCTGAACAATTGTGGGTCCGCGGGGGAAAGTTGATTCGCCAATTGACGTCAAACTTCCCGGTAAACGCAACCAGCGCGGAGTTGACTTTACCACTCGTGACTCTCCTTCATCAACCCACACACAATGGCTCCTGTCGGTTCGGGGCTTTGGCGCACATTGCGCGCGCATCAGGTCTACGGTGCTAATACCGACGTTGGCAAGACAATTGTCTCGACGGTATTGTGTAATGCTGTACAGAGACAAAAGCAGCGGGCCGCGTTCCTTAAGCCCGTGTCTACTGGGGCATTGGATGATGCTGATAACCGGTACGATGAGTCACATAAACTATCTGAAAGGATAGGTGCTAATTAAACTGCAGGCACTTAGAAAGGTACGGAGCTGGAGCATTGACCAAGTGCTTGTATCAGTTCGATGAACCAGTCAGCCCGCATCTCGCGGCGAAATCGAAGACTGTAAGTGCGATGATATCGCGGGCGGAAGACCATTTCTAACAGTCGTAGATTCCACGAGATGAGGATCTCCTTGCATCTATTCATCAGACACTGTCCGGGTGGGCACGCTCGGACATTGATTTTGCGCTGGTCGAGACCGCCGGCGGCGTGCATTCTCCCGGTCCCAATGGCAATTCCCAAGCGGATCTATATCGCCCTCTCAGATTACCCATTGTCCTTGTCGCAGATTCTCGACTAGGCGGTATCTCCTCTTCGATATCCGCCTATGAGTCTCTGTTGATCCGTGGATACGATGTTCAATCCGTATTACTGTTCCGCGATGAGTATTATCAAAACCATGAATACCTTGGTGATTACTTCCGCAATAAAAGCATTCCTTTGGTGCATTTGCCAGCTCCGCCTGCAAAGCCAATGCAGACGGACCCCGATGCCCAGCAAAGGGATGAAGAAGCTATGCTGGCCTATTACGGCCAAGCTTCTCGGGAGTCAGAGATCCTGCGTCTCCTCGAAGAAATGACCATCAAAAATAAGCAGCGGATTGAGAGGCTAGAAGAAATGACCGACCGCGCGCAAGAGCTGATTTGGTATCCCTTCACTCAACACCAGGGTATGCAGGCCAAGGATATCACAGTCATTGATTCTGCCCACGACGACTATTTCCACACCTTCGGTTCCAAAGGCACTGCCAACCAGGAAGGAGAGCTCCGGCCAACCTTTGACGGTTCCGCATCTTGGTGGACTCAGGGACTGGGTCATGGAAACCCCGAGCTATCCCTCTCAGCCGCCTACGCAGCTGGTCGATACGGCCATGTGATGTTTGCGGGCACGGTTCACGAGCCAGCACTTTCCCTTGCAGAAAGCCTACTGAAGACCCTCGACAACCCCCGCTTCAGCAAGGTATTCTACACCGATAACGGTAGCACGGGAATGGAAGTGGCGATCAAGATGGGTCTCCGGGCTGCGTGCGATAGATATGGCTGGGATGCCAGCCAAGAGAAAATCAATATCCTTGGACTTAAGGGCAGTTATCATGGTGATACCATCGGTGTGATGGATTGCTCCGAGCCATCAACCTACAACAAAAAGGTGGAGTGGTACCGCGGTCGCGGTCACTGGTTTGACTTCCCTCTGGTCAAAATGGTTGATGGTCAATGGAAGGTGGAAGTTCCCGTGGAGCTTCGAGAAGACCTCGGCCCCGACGCAGAGTTCAGTTCCTTGGGATCAGTATTCGATTTGAACAGCCGACTTGAATCTGACGCCAGTCAGCGCTACAAGAAGTACATACACCGCACGATCAAGGATCTTGTCGAAACCCACGGCATGAAGTTCGGTGCTCTCATTTTAGAGCCTGTTATCCTCGGTGCTGGTGGAATGCTTTTCTGGTTCGTGATCAGCACTCTGACATGACTTACATTACCATCTGCTAACCAGATTCTTTAGTGACCCCCTATTCCAGCGATGCCTGACCGACGTCGTTCGTGAGCATCCAGAACTCTTTTCCCCCAACGCAACATCACCCAAGGCCTCTCCATCCTGGTCCGGTCTACCAGTGGTCTTCGATGAAGTGTTCACTGGACTTTACAGACTCGGTCGCCCAACGTCTGCATCCTTCTTAGACGTCCACCCTGACATTGCCGTGAACGCAAAGCTTCTCACTGGCGGTCTTATTCCTCTCTGCACCACAGTAGCAAGCCAGGAGATCTTCGACACATTCTCTAGTCCTGAGAAGAGTGACGCACTTCTTCACGGCCACAGTTACACGGCTCATGCCTCGGGCTGCACAGTTGCTGTTGACTCACTGCGGGCGATGTCTAAAATGGACAAAGATGGGTCCTGGGATGGATACCGTGCAGACTGGCAGAACACTCCATCGTCAGCTGCTTCTGCGCCTGAAGTGTGGAGTGTCTGGTCGAATGGCCTTCTGAAGGACCTTTCTTGTGCGGAGTCAGTAGAAAGTGTTTTCGCTATCGGAACTGTATTGAGTATTTCCTTACGCGATGCAGAGGGTGCTGGTAAGTCCTATTTTGACTCCATGCAGAGACTCCCAATTAACAGTATCTTAGGTTATAATTCAACCGCTGCGAAGGGCTTGCAGCAGAAGCTCGCCGCCGGTGGAGATCAATTCAACGTTCATTCCCGGGTATTGGGCAATGTGTTGTACTTGATGTCTAGCGTCACCTCGAAGCCCGAGTCATTGCAGGAGCTGGAGAGCCTTCTCCGGTCCGCCCTTGTCTGATCAGCACTTATTTCCTGTCTCTTTTTGTTTAGCCACCTGGTGTCGATTACCATAGCGCGCCGTGCACATATCTGAATATACTTTATGCAAATAACTTTGAATAACTCGACTCGGGAGTGAAAATGATCATCACCGGCAGACATCGGGAGAGCCTCTATCGAAGCTTTTACCTAATATCATGGCCCCCAATCCACGTAGTCAACAAGAAACCTCTCCAGTGACGACAATTCTCGGATATGAAACCGATAAACCCCGGCTTTCCCAACCCCGCGTGGAGACCGTGACGTCCGAAGCTAGATCATTGGAGAAGAATTCTTCGAAGCCTTTCTGGTGGAAACCTATCTTCCGTATTGACTGGGAAAGGCGGACATGACTCCAAGTTTTTCGAGGGGTTGACCTTCCCCACAAGAGCGAGTGGGGCGATGTAGTCATAGAAATTGACGTTCTGGGCCACGACCCTTCTCAACCGCACTGACGTGTCTGTCCTGGGGTTTGAACTTTGGAGTTGTGGAATTTGTGGTGGAGAGAATCCTTCAGAATATTCTCAGGCCCACTGCATTGTTGACAGAGAATTGCTACTAATACTAGTAGCACGGAGACTAGATTGTCAAAGCATGGAATTGGGGTTTAAGTATCTTTATCAATAATCGAGTAGTTCATGCTTCACATCATGTTACATGTGCTGCTCAGAATGAAATTTGAGGACGCGAGGTGCTTTGATGGTACATGTTGGCGGTTACCAATTCCCTATTTGGTAACTCAAATATTGTTCGCGTGCGAGCATCTATGGTCCAATTCGGCATTTGGAATGTCATGTAATGAACGGCAAATAAAACCCGGTTATTCAAGGCTGAGGTGTGGAGACTCAGAGAGAAATAGATTGCAATCCCGCCCAAGACTTGAACGGAAATCATTCTCTGGTCAACGATAAAATTTTGTCATACAATATCTTGGCAGCAACTGGGCTGGGAGCTTAAAGGTTCCCCTGACTAAAATTTTCCTTTCTTGGTGGCGATGATGCGCATCGAGCCGCAGGCACCTACCAGAGTTGGAGTATGCATCTCCCGTCTTGTACCCCTAGCGCTTATTTGCAATTGGCAAGGACGTACTTGCAAAATAGTCTCAATTAACACCAAACAGCATGATCTACACATTCACACTTATTGCGAACAATCATCATGCCACAAATAAACCAATCTCCTAAACGAACAATGTCTTGGCGTTGGAGTTGAGATTTGAACCTGGTCATTGAAAACTCCGGCTACCGTCGGCCAGCCACAAAGGGTCCCGGGATTTCCGTTAGATAATATCAAGTCAGCCCGAGAATATCATTGGTGAACAGATGCAATAAAGTGGAGTGGTAGACCCACAATCGCGCGCCTGAGTGGACCGAAAGACGCTTATATGTCGACGATCTTGACCGAGCTACATTTGCATCACTAAGACAGTTTCCTTCCATAATAAGATGTACAAAGAAAATCATTTTACGTCAGATAAGCAGATAGATTTTGCCTTTCCAGAACTTCCGGCCCCAGAGTTTTCCCCATAAAAAGTGTTCACCGCGGGGGTTTCGGTTGGCTCATTGTAACGTTGGGATCCACTTAGGGATTTTTTTGCACACATACATATCAAGGCTGGGGTCCTGTCTTAGTTCTTTTTTTGTTCGTTCGTTCGCCTCGCCTTCCTTCTCATCCTTAGTCCGAGGTTCTATTTACCGCCATAATGACTTTCGACGGTATTACGCAGCATGATTCGGAGTCGGGATATGATGAGAAGAAGGTGGACGATTCCATGCCGCAGTATGTGGATGCGTTTGGTGATGAGTCCAATGCGGAGGTTAAATATAAGACTATGGAGTGGTGGTATGTTATGCGCGTATCACAATGCATGTCGAATCTATCGCTAATTATTGATGTTTTAGGCAAACCGGAATGTGTATGTCAATATCGCGAATTGGGCTCTGGATAGGATTTTAACATATTACAGTCATGATTGCCGAGTCTGTTTCACTTGGTGTCCTTTCATTGCCAGCAACTCTCGCTCAACTGGGTCTCGCCCCGGCCCTCGTCCTGATCATCGGCTTGGGTCTTCTCGCTACTTATACCGGATATGTCATCGGACAATTCCACCAGCGCTACCCTCACATCCAGAACCTCGCAGATGCGGGTGAGGTTCTTATGGGAGCATTCGGTCGTGAGCTTTTTGGAATTGGCCAGCTATTATTCTCCATCTTCATCATGGGCAGCCACATTCTCACATTCAGTGTGATGATGAACACCATTACCGATCACGGCACCTGCACTATGGTTTTCACTACTGTTGGATTCCTGATTTGCATGGTCTGCTCTCTGCCACGCACCATGAAGAACATGACCTACATCTCATGCATGTCCTTCGTCAGTATCCTGACTGCCGTCATCATCACCATGATCGGTGTCGGTGTCCAAGACCATGGATACACTACTCTCCAGGCTACTGTGGACACTAATCTCTACAAGGCTTTCACTGCCGTGACTAACATCGTGTTCGCTTACTGCGCGCACGTTGCTTTCTTCGGTCTTCTCGCTGAGATGCGTGATCCCCGTGACTTCCCTAAGGCTCTGTATATGCTGCAGACCTTTGAGATTATCTTCTACACCGTTGCTGCCGTTGTTATCTATTATTACGCTGGACAAGACGTCACATCACCTGCCTTGGGCTCTGCTGGACCTGTTCTCAAGAAGGTCGCGTACGGAATTGCCATTCCCACCGTATGTCATCCATGCTCCAGCTACCCTTTCCCGTTACTAACATTTCCCAGATTGTCGGTGCCGGAGTTGTGAACGGCCACATTGGTTTGAAATACATCTACGTCCGTCTCTTCCGCGGAACAGACCGCATGCACCGCCGCGACCTCACATCCATCGGAACCTGGGTAGCCATCGGCGTGAGCTGCTGGGTCATCGCTTGGATCATTGCAGATGCCATCCCAGTCTTCAGCGACCTTCTCAGTCTGATCAGTTCGCTCTTCGCTAGTTGGTTCAGTTACGGCCTTGCTGGTGTTTACTGGCTACACATCAACAAGGGCAAATGGTTCTCTTCTCCCCGGAAGATCGCCCTCACCATCCTGAATGTCCTGATTGTTTTGATTGGTGGCTGCATGTGTGGACTTGGTCTCTACGTCTCTGGTCGGGCGATTCACGATGATGCGTCCAGCAACAGCTTCTCTTGTGCCAACAATGCAGAGGTATAGGTGTATCCCTGCCTGTCACGGTTAATGTTATACGGTTCTTTGCATGTGACGATTATGCTATTTCATTACGTTGTATATAGAATTGGTTATGATAGATATTAGATTTGGCTTTGCTAGCTTTGAACATTCTATTCCTCTTCGCACTCTTTCAGTTCATTACCACTCTAACGCTTGATTGCTCAGCCTTCATGCGTCATTCTGCCTCCATCGATCCACCCATAGACACCGCGCTCATTTGGGTGGATAACCACCCTCATAAGGCGACGCCTTATTCTCCTCAACCCAAACCTGCTCCTCGGGACTCTTAAAAGGCGGAGGAATCAGGCTATTAATCTTCCAAAGCCGTCTCTCCGTTTCGCCAACATGGTACTCAAAGTCGTAACCCTTATCCAGAAGATGGGGCTTCACAATCTCATCCAGACGAGAGGTAGTGCGAAGGTAGGCGGCATCGGCATCAGGAACGTGGAGCGCAACGTGGTTGATCACGACGCGAACAAATGGTGTATCGGTAGCAATTCTCATTTTTCCGCCAACGAAGACGTCATTATGTTCCATCTTATGGAATTGTGTCACCACGTAAAACGCCGGTAGGCCCAATGTCACGTACATCTTCGTGATGTCGTCTGCGAAGGCTTGCTTGGACGCATGGTCCTCGAACGTGCCGTGAGGGTGATATATTTGCCAAAGAGGCATTGTGTATATGATTTGGAAATTAGATTGGAGACTTGTGTGGATCTAGGAAATGTTCCAGATAGGAATAAACAACTAGAAGAACCTCGGATCCTTGATGAATGCTGGTTTGCAGTGGATGTGGCGCCATCCGCGTGGCTTTATACTAGCCCGGTCGGTCTAATAGAAGCCAGATCACATTCTGTTGTCCCACTCCGATCGGAGATCGATGTAATCATTATTTCCTCATTCACGTATCGCACTCGTCAAACGTAAGGATGAATAATAAAGCGAATGACGAAATAGTTTTTGATGATGTTGATGCCGAGATGGTTTGGTGGGTCTCGGCATTTCCCTGACAAATAAGAATTAAAGATTATTCAACATTCTTCTCGCTCTTCACACTCTCGTTACCCGCGAATTGATGAATAAACGACTTTAAACATCCCCGTGTTCAACCTTAACCACGAGCCAAAACAACTAATATCCGATTATTCATATATCATTGGTAATGCTCAGATTTGTAAATACGATGGAATCTTCCAAGGATTCCAGGTCCCAATCCTCAGGTATAAGTAGACATTAAAGAATCGATTTTCAAAAATCAATCTCAACAACCAAGCATCTCAACCCCTCATCTCAGAGACCTCAGGATCACCTAACCTAACAATCAATATGTCCAAGTCCCTTGTCTTTATCACCGGTGCTACCGGGTTCATTGGCGCCCATGTTGTGGCCGTGACCCTGCAAGCCGGATACCGCGTTCGACTGAGCATCCGCAAACCGGAGCAAGAAGCCGTCATCAGAAAGCGTTATGCCGAGTATAATAACGACATTGAGATATTTCTTATTCCAGATCTATCCAATGTCGATGCTTTGAGATCCGCGCTCAATGGCGTTGACTATGTCTTCCACATTGCCTCTCCCATGCCAGGAAGTGGTACGGATTTACAACGCGACTATATCGACCCAGCCGTCCAGGCAACTATTTCAATGCTCAAGGCCGCATTGGCACATAAGCAGATCCAGAAAGTCGTCATTGTCTCCTCTGCGCTGTCGTTGACTCCCGTGGATGCACTGATTGCGAAGACAGTGGTCGCGAAAGGTCAGTTTGCCCAACAATACAGTCTTCAAGGTTAGCTGCTAATGATAAACAGAGAACACTGGCGAGGTCATTCCCGTCGATCTCAACATGACCTTCCCCGAAGGCTTTGGAGGTCACGGACTGATGTACGCCGCATCCAAGATCAAGGCTCACCAGGCTACCCGAGACTTCCTCAAAGAAGTAAACCCCCACTACAAAGTCTTAACTTTGCACCCTGTCTTCGTCCTCGGTGACGACATGATTCAGGAAACTGCCGATGGCCTTGCGGGTATGAACAAGTTCTTCTACAACTCCTTCCTCAGCGAAAAGCCTCTCATCGGAAATGTATGGGTTCATGTTCGCGATGTGGCGGATGCGCACGTGAAGGCTTTGCAAGCCGACGCCAAAAGTGGCACGGAATTCATTCTTTCGCATCCCGCGGCTTCTTGGGCAGAGACGGCGGAGTTTGTTAGGGAGAAGTATCCCGCGCTGCCTGTTAAGCTGCAGCCTCCCTTTGACGTGACTTGGGACGTTGAGAATGCTGCTGCTGAGAAGATCCTTGGAATGAAGTGGCGCTCAACTGAAAAGATCACTAGTGATGTTATCGATCAGCAATTGTCTTACTAGTAAAGGGCGCTGTCTGGAGATTGAGAGTGCTACTATGTTGTTCCGAATTATAGTCTGTTTTGATTGTATCCAATCTAATAATATAAATTTGTTTTTTAAAGCAAACGATATGAATACAGATAAATTCAGAAGTAAACAGTCAAATATATTGCGTCATCATCATTGCGCTTCAATGCGCGATCTTGAAAATTTATTTAAAACAGGGGCATTCTTGCCACATTGTTATAATCAACATTATCCGCCGCTGACTCGATTCGATCAGTGGTAGTGCCAAAGATCTGGTCCCAAAGACGAGTCTGTTTACCATAGTTGTGGCTCTTCCTCCATCCCTTCCGGTGATGAAGATCATGGTCCTCGATAACGATATCACAGTTGAATATTTGCAACAACCAACTCAGTGTAGATGGCACGGTCAAATGCATTCGCAGTCCGCTGTGACCGAAAACCTCCGCGAACGCCACATATTGGTGGCAGATCCACCACTCATAGAAACCCATCGGTAATCCCATAAGGTGAAGGCTGACATATGTCATAAACGGCACGCCGACCATATCGAAGAATTCTTGTTCATGGTCTGCGTAGGCAGCAAGCAGAGGGTTCGGATGCTTGGTCAGGTGGTGGGTGCGGTGGAATTTCCAAAGGAAGCTCACATCGTGCATCATACGATGGTACCAGTAGAACCAAAAGTCGAGCACAATTCCGTAGAGTCCGATCATGAGTGGCAGCCAGAGCCAGTTCATTTGGCTAGGGAGTTGATCTCTGTTGTAGGTCAAGTAGACAGCCATCACGAGTCGGGAGCCGGTAGTCTTATAAAGTGAGGTAACGACTTTGCCTACACCAACATCAGGGACTCCATCACGCTCGTGTTTATCGCCATCTAGGAAGCCGTAGATATGACCCAGGCGTCGCAGGACATGCACTTGGTAGATGACAGTAGCGTTGAAGGCGAGGAAATAAAAGTTGAACGTAGCGATCGGTCCCAATGTACGGCCAGTGTAGGTCATATAGGCCTGATGCAGAAGCAGAGGTATGGCAGAGTAGAATAGCACCCATCGCTGGAGAGACCATTGCGGCATGAATGGGATCTTCTCTTCTTTGGCGTGAACTGGTACCTCTTTACCTAATTCGATCGGATGGGCATTTAACAGTTCCAATGCCCAGTGCTGATGCGTCCATTCTGACCGGTCGGCAGTGCGCCAGGTGGATCTCATAGAATCCTTCGATGCTGGTTTGGTATCCATGGTGGCGTTAGATCCCGTGCTTGGGCTTCATGGTGGATGGGGGACATGGTTTATATCAATTGTCCCCCGGATATAGAGATCAGACTGCAATACACATGTGAAGTGGTTCATGGCGCCAATGATCCCTGGGTGGATCTGGTTTCCCCAACAAAATCTCACATCAAATGAAGAGTAGATCAAGAGAACCTGAAGTATCCACAATGGATCCGCGCTCCCACGTGAAATTCCCCCCGCACAAACATGCCGAGGGCTTGCGACTGGCCATTGCAAGAGTTTAGTGGTGCAAATTATGTCTTCATGACGTGTAAAATGTGAATAATCCAACAGTGATGGTTTTTTTGGCGCGTTACAACACTGTTATGCACACTTGGGTGGTGTTCGAGATGCAGGGGTAGAGTTGAGCCTCGGCTTTGCGATCGTGCGACGCTATCTTAGATCACGCTTGACAGAAAATTACCGGTGAAATGGGTACTCGCCTAAGTGATCGACATCCTTCTATCCAATACCGGCGCATTTTCACCCTTTTCAGATGATGATCTCAGTCCTAAATTGGTAACCTCTGCGATACTTGAGGGACTAGTGGTAATGTCATGGTGCTCTAGTTATTTATGGTCGCCCGGGGTGAGAAGGTACCCGGGCCAATCGCGTTCCACTGGGACTTCTTCATGAACATGTTTGTATATTGAAACGATTATCATGAATCATAATTGGTGGGATGCTACTGTGCATAATTCGGTCGATCTTATCTAATGCTCTGATCATGGACATATGATGCAAGTTATCTCCTCATCTACTCCCTCGGTCGATATTTGTTGGGATTCCAAGTCGGCTATATACTTTCCTCTACTCTCCTACAATCAATGGATGATGAAAACATGAAAACTTGGAAAGAAGGTTCATTGCGGTCATATTCATATATTCACATGTGTATCGTTATACCCTCTCGGTTCTTCGAACGACAGCCTTGTCTTGTGTACCCGTCCAGCACGATCCAACCAAAGCAACAAACAGAAACAACATAAAACTTGACCATGGTCCAATCAGTACGTACATGAACTGGCCTAATGCAACAAACAAGGGAAAGATAGCCCATGGGGATGTGAGAATTTCCGACAGGGTAAGATCCATGCCAAATATAAGTTTGAACCGAAGACGCGACTCTGTCCGCTTATTGCCGGCACCATCACGAGATATAAAGGTCCCATATTGTATTTGAAAGAATGCGCATAATTGAAGACCGAAGTGTAAGATAATGTTGATCATTTCCAGTTGATTGGGACTGAAAAACACAGTAAGTCCCAGGCTCTCATGAGATGATGTTTGATTTGGCGCAAGTGGCCCGTCATACCCAACGACACTGGGTTGAGATGCTGTAGCAACCTCAGCCCTTTGATCACTGACATCTTCCGTAATATCCAAGGTGACTGTGCGGTTGAGGTAGGAAGCGATGGCCGTGGTATGGAATGAAGTATCTGTGGGCACTTGCGAGGTTTCGAGCGGAAGTGTGGGGTATCCTACATTGGCAGGAAGTTGTGCGATTGCATCAGGTTCGTGGTATTGGGTCATTGCCCCTTCGGATGGAAATTGCTCAGGTTCGTCAACATCAGCGGCACTACCATTACTCTCAGCGCGGTGTTTCAGCTCAGCGCGCCAGAGATCGAGCCATTTCGTTTCTTGCTCTTTCATTTGGCCTTTAATATTGGGATGCTGGATACCATTATGGAAGAGAAGATTCACAAGCTGTTTTATGTGAAATCCAATGAGATCATGCTCTGATTCTTGGAAAGTCATCTTGTGTTGCAAAATTGCTCTTGCCTTATCGCATTTGCTTGTAGCCACGACATGCTGACAACGGCGTTGCTGCTTGGTTTTTGCAAGACATGTCCACTTTTTGTTGGCGGGAATCTCAAGACCAATAATGTCGCCAAGCTTGATGGTTTGCTCTGCCATTGGGAGTAAGGACAATATAAAGTAAATTGTAGAAATTGTGGACGTCGATTGGGCGGTGCTCAATCAGGCCAGTCGACTGAATCTGCCTTGAGTACAAACTATGGTTGATGCTGGAATAGAAGACGAATCCCCCCGGCAACACTGCTATATTATATCCATTGGTGGGCACAGCCATTGCATTCCGTAAATACTGCCTTGTGCACAGCCTGAGGACACTACCCTCATTCTTGTTAGCCTCGCATGCACCGCCACGGGCAGCGAACAGACCTCAGGCGTAAATCGGGGCTGAAACTCGGGAATTTGCAGGGGTCTACGTGGCTAGAGAGTCGAAAGATGGAAAACTAGCCATTAGCTTCTGTTCGACGACGTCAGTGTAGATCACGGGCCAGTAAAAACCAACAAGCCTTTACAGCGGGCCGAACCATCGGTGGATCCCAGATAGATGGGCGCTTACATTTCCAATGGAAAAATAACAAATGATTGATGCCTAGGTCAGATCATTGGGGCCATTTCAGGTGTCTTTTCAACGGTAAAATATCGTCGGCTTACGGAACATGCGGCAGCAACCCAGATACGAGGCCCCGGGACCTTCATCAAAAGTTTTCTACCAGTCTGTTGAAATGGTGCAAATCACGAAGGGGTAAGATGCATAATGAACGCGTGGTACTTTTGTATTCTTGTGGTCTATTCTTAGACTCAGAAATGCAGCTAACACTTGGTCGCTGTTTAGCGTGGGTTTACCTTGTCCGAGCCACACATTCACCCGAAGTCGGCGAAAAGATGTAACGGGACTACAAGTTTGATTGTGATCTAATAGGATTGATCCTGTGCGGTCATCAGAAGGCGGAATCTGAGCTTTCAATTATCTGATCTTTATACAAGGTTGAAAACAACCAACTACCAATTAATTTACCAGCTGCCAGTATTGGTCCCGAGATGAACAAAATCACTCAACCCTAGCTTTCATACAAGGTTATCTTATAAACTTGTAGTAACTGGGTTTCCAGTTTTTATTTACTTGTTAGGTAAGGGCTGCCTTGTTCGGTAACGAGAAAAATTTGGAGCCTTCTAACATAGGGACTCAATCTTATATACCAACTTCGAAGGTTGCTAATGGCAGGTAATGATCTAATGCCCCAGGATGCCAAGTTACTAACTACACCTAAACGCCCGGGTAGGGGAGGGGGGGGGGATTGTATACCCAAGTCCTTAGCGAAACACTGTATAGTATGCATTGAGAACAGAACATCAAGGTCAGATATAGACACCGGATTATGCACTTGTAACCCAACCCATGAATGTTGGCGGACTGTTCGAAATCTATGGAAAGTACATGTAGATCTCTGGTGTTCTATTGATTTGTAACAGGGTTGTACAAGTGTGCTCTGGTATAAGCCGATAATATATATCTCACATTGCCACAAAAAAAAAAAAAAAAACCTTGGAAGTGCTCCAGGGTACACCGGAGCACAACGGTCCATGTAAAATATGCGCGGGTGTCGTACATAAGCATAAATTTTTCGATAGGACCCATGGATTTCTCAAGGGCTGTGGGTTCTAGATGTTATCATTAAGGTAGCCACCCAAGTAAGGAACAGTTATCCCTTGCATCCGAAATCGTAGACATCTGATTGGTGGACGTATGACATAATTCGCCTGCCTCGTTTGAAATTTTCAACCTGTGCCTGAGGTGTACCAACTGATAAGGCTAGCCAGATCAGGGTAAGTGGTGACCCATGGCAATAGCCTGCACTGTGATTGGTGCAGACCCGCTGTCGCCGCCCAAACAAAAAAAAATTGTGTGGATAAGCCCGCTGATACGCCTCTCTTTTGAATTCCCCTCTCCCCCTCTACCCCCTCTATCCCTTCGCTGTTCAAGTTAAGTGGATTGGAGTATCGACCGCCGTCTCTGGACTTTGTACAGCTTCTTCCAGATCGCGCCTGGTACGATTTTCCGTCTTTTATTCTGATTTCTCGTGCTTTCGAGTTTTCGCCCCCTCGGCGCCTTTGTTTAAGGACACCCCGCCAACTTGTCGCACAATCTGGTATATACAAAAGCCAGATTCTTTTCTTGAATCTCTATCAAAAAGACAATGCCACACACGGTCTCCCCATCTGAGTCGCCCGCTATGCCGACCGTTGTCTCTAAAACCCCCCTCCGGGGTCGCCCCCACATCCGAAGAGATTTCCTCTATTCTCAACACCATCTTCACAGCAGAGAGCTCCCAGCAGTCCCTGGATGCCTCTTATGCCTTGACAAATCTGCTTATTCAGAGCGTTGGTGCTGCCGGTCTGCTGAACTACAATGTTCTCGCCGAGGCCCGGAAGGCTGCCACCGACAAGAAGAGCGGATCCCGCCGTGAGAGTGCCATGTTGATCATTGGTGCTTTGTTCGAGCGCTTCCCCCAGGAGTACCCCCTCAGTGAGGCCGTCTTCTGCTTGAAGGATGGAGGTATCTTCAACGTTGTCTTGGACTCCCTCGCCGACAAGGGTACCGTCGTTCGCGATGCCGCCCAGTATGCCGTCGATGCCCTTTACAACGGCCTGAGCCCCGAGGCCAAGGTCAACGCTTTGCTCCCGGCCCTCGAGTCTTACCTCAGCACGGGCTCTGGAAAATGGCAAGGTTTCGTTGGTGGTTTCAAGCTGCTGGAGAAGATGGCTTCCAGTGCTCAGATGGGCACTGGCTCTTTGGAAGAGGAGCGCCAGAAGGATGTGCTGCGCGACGCCATGGGAAAGACCCTGAAGGAGTTGATCCCCGTTGTCGAGTCCGGCATGCATGACCTTAAGGCCGAAGTCGCCAAGCAGGCCACCAAGACCATGACCGCTCTCACCACCCTTCTGTCCAACGACGATGTGGCCCCCCGTATTCCCCTCCTGATGAAGACCATGGAGCAGCCCTCTGCCCAGACCCAGCAGAAGGCTATCCACGCCCTCTCGCAGACTACCTTCGTTGCCATTGTCACATCCCCCGTGCTGGCCCTCCTTACTCCCCTGCTGGAGCGCTCCCTCAACACCCCCACTACTCCCCAGGAGACTCTTCGTCAAACCGTCGTCGTTGTCGAGAACTTGACCAAGTTGGTCCACGACCCTGCCGAGGCCCGTACCTTCCTGCCCAAGCTGCAGCCTGGTGTGAAGGCTGTCAAGGACCGTGCCTCTCTCCCCGAGGTCCGTGAGCTCGCTACCCGGGCCCTGAATGTCATGGACACAGCTATGAGCGACGACAACGTTGCTTCTGGTTCTATCTCTAAGGTCACCCCTGAGGAGGTCCTGTCTATCATGAACCCTAAGCTCCAGGAGCACGGCGGCCTGACTGGCGACGCCCAGTTCGTCGAGATGGCCAAGATGTTCGTTGCTAGCATGGTCCGTGAGGATGTCAACGTCCGTATGCACGACCGTATTCCCTCTTGCATTACTCCTTACCTGCGCGGTATGATGGCCGATGAGCATCTCGAGGCTGTCGCCACCGCTGTCCAGGCCCACTTCGTTGAGGAGGATGAGCGCAAGTACGGCAAGCCTATTCCCGATGACCCCAACGAGGTTGAGATCGTCAATGCCAACTTCTCCCTCGCTTACGGTGGTATGCTCCTGTTGTCCCACACCAACCTTCGTCTGCTGAAGGGTCACCGTTACGGCCTGTGTGGTCGCAACGGTGCTGGAAAGTCCACTCTCATGCGCAGTATTGCCAATGAGAAGCTCGAAGGCTTCCCCCCTCAGTCTGAGGTCCGTACCTGCTTTGTGGAGCACAACCAGGGTGAGGATGCCGACCTTAGCATCCTGGAATACGTTTCCAAGGACCCCCAGATTGCTTCTGAGGGCAAGGAGGCTATCTCCAGCGTTCTTCTCGAGTTCGGTTTCACCGATGGACCGGAAGGTCGCCAAGCCCAGCCCGTTGGCTCTCTGTCGGGTGGTTGGAAGATGAAGCTGGCGCTTGCCCGTGCTATGCTTATGAAGGCCGATGTCCTCCTGCTCGACGAGCCGACTAACCACCTCGATGTTGCCAACGTCAAGTGGCTGCAGGAGTACCTCAAGAAGCACACCGATATCACTTCTTTGATCGTCTCTCACGACTCCGGTTTCCTCGATGAGGTCTGCACAGACATCTACCACTACGAGACCAAGAAGCTTGTCTGCTACCCTGGCAACCTTGCTGCTTTCGTCAAGGTCAAGCCCGAGGGTAAGAGCTACTACACTCTGTCCGCCTCAACTGTTCAGTTCAAGTTCCCCCCTCCTGGTATCCTGTCCGGTATCAAGTCTGCCACCCGCTCCATCATGCGCATGACCAATGTTTCCTACCAATACCCGGGCGCCCCTAAGCCCTCTTTGCACGATGCTTCCCTGTCGCTGACCCTTTCCTCCCGTGTTGCCATCATTGGAGGAAACGGTGCCGGAAAGTCCACTTTCATCAAGATCTTGACTGGTGAGACCATTCCTTCCAGTGGTAAGGTCGAGAAGCACCCCAACCTGCGTATTGGTTACATCAAGCAGCACGCTCTTGAGCACGTTGAGATGCACTTGGAGAAGACTCCTAGCCAGTACCTGCAGTGGCGTTACGCCAACGGTGATGATCGTGAGGTCTTCTTGAAGCAGACCCGTATCTTGACCGAGGCCGACAAGAAGCTGTTGGATACTCCCATTGACCTTGGCGATGGCCGTGGCCCCCGCCGTATTGAGGCTATCATGGGTCGTCAGAAGTGGAAGAAGTCCTTCCAGTATGAAGTGTAAGTTATCACCGAGTCTCTTTTAATTGATCACTGCTAATTTGGATAGGAAATGGGTTGGCTTGCTCCCCAAGAACAACGTCATGATCTCTCGCGAGACCCTGACTGAGCTTGGATTCTTCAAGATGGTCCAGGAGTTCGACGATCACGAGGCTTCCCGTGAGGGTCTGGGATTCCGTGTCCTTGATCCCCCTACCATCTCCAAGCACTTCGAGGACATTGGTCTCGACCCCGAGATTGCCAACCACAACGAGATCTCCGGTCTCTCCGGTGGTCAGAAGGTCAAGGTCGTTCTTGCCGGTGCCATGTGGAACAACCCCCACTTGCTGGTGCTTGACGAGCCTACTAACTTCTTGGATCGTGACTCTCTGGGTGGTCTGGCCGTCGCCATTCGCGATTTCAAGGGTGGTGTGGTCATGATTTCTCACAACGAGGAGTTCGTCGGTGCCCTGTGCCCCGAGCAGCTGCACATTGCCGATGGCCGTGTTGTCAGCCGTACCAACACCGCTATCAGCCTCGACCGCTTCGAGGACAGCGCCAACAACACTCCCTCGACCCCTGGTACCCCTGCCGCTCTCTCGGCCGCCACTAGCGCCGCGCCCTCTGCCGTCAACTCCGGTGCCGAGGATCAGGGCGAGCTCAAGTTCCGTGCCAAGAAGAAGAAGAAGATGACTCGTGCTCAGCAGAAGGACCGTGAGGTCCGTCGCCGTCTGCGTCACATTGAGTGGCTCAACTCCCCCAAGGGTACTCCCAAGCCCGTCGACAGTGACGATGAGTAATTGTGCCCGGCTATTGACCTGGTAAATTTTGACGTGTAATGGGCTTTGTCATGTTCATGTTCATGTTGGTTATTTTGCTTGCATGCGTGCCTGATCAGAGAGGTACATTGTTTTTGGATTTGCATGGGACTTAGATAGACGGCGCTCGGAGTTTATTTCTTTCTCCAATTCTAGTAGATATGCATTCTTAGCTTGTAGACTGGGATAAACCTGCCAGTCATTGCTTGAACAAAAGTTATTTCGAATATTGAGAACATTTTATGATAATTTATTGTTGTAAATCGAATTCTATAAATGCAGCAGCGACCCGTAAACTACCTATTCCAAGAGTGAGACGTCGGTCCACAGGTCCGTGTACTCTATTTGCAACCGATCCATGCAGCATGGACATGAGTAGAGAGCTTTAGTTACAAATTGGGGTGAGTAAGAATGATTAGAATGGTGGATTTATTATCCGTAAGCCATTGAAGCTTTTACCCATGTATCCTCCGAAACAGGGCAGCGCAACCGAGGTCTATGGAACCAATGTACGACATAGAATGTGACGCATGCTTAGTGGGCCGATGTCATTACGGATGAAATTAGCTTTAGAAAGTCTCGAATGGTTCGATAAGCAGGCAGCTTTGACCTGTGCAGTTCTGTTCGTAGGGCTGGATCTAGGATCGTGGTGTTCAACGAATAAGAATCCGCAGGAGCTGCACGATTCTTAGTCCGGGGATTAGTCTTGCCGAGACGTTAAGCCAACCACTAGCACTATGAATATACGCCCTGTCACTTGGGCTGGGTGTTCGCTTTGTTAGTAGAGGCTGCGACTGAAGGCCTTTCTTCTTAAATAAGTTCCATGATCTACCATACCGTAGTTCTCTGTTAGCCTTGAAGTAGAGTTTGTCTTTCGGCCATGTTAGCAGACAACCTAGGGTCAGCAAGCTAGTTCTAGAAAACAACGCGCATCAAGCCACCATGTACCAAGTACCTTGGCATCTAGAGATCCACTAGCCCTGGATACCCAAATCGTTCAACATCGAAATGTCGGCTACGTGCAGGTGCATCGGTCGAACCACTCAATTGGACATTAATTTGCCTCCGCCGTATCCAACCGGACTCTCCATACGATATGCTAGAATACCCCGACGGCAATTGTTGGAGACAATTTCGTCGGGAAAATTGCAGGATTCTTACGCTAGCATCCAAAAGTTATCAGCCGATATAGCCGTCTGGTCCAAGCCACCAATCGGCGCTACAAGCGAAATGAGGGTCATAGTCTAGAGCCACAAAGGCCAAGGACGGCACAACCGTCCTTGGCCGAAGGGCGAATATGCTTGGTAAAGCTTGTCCCGCCATGTTGTTGTCGCTTATGCGATTTATAGCCGGATAATCTGACGGATCCACATCTTGAACCAGTTAAGACGCTTTGGTATGGAACGTGCCAGGCACAATGGGCCCCACCTCATACCTCGTCCAATCGCATTTAAAGCAACCAACTTCCCATTCCCCACTTAATCGGTGCCCCATGCGAGCCTGCGCTTTTCGAGAACGCGGGATTCAGCCAGTCACTTGCTCGAGAGATGCAGCGTGCTGCATCATGCGGCCATTGTGGAGATACTTTTTTGACCGGCTTGTTTACCGTCGCACCGAAGAAAAAGAGCCCCGCGTGGGAAGTAATCTAGAAATATGTGATCTCCGACTGGTTATCGATATCTCCGCAGCGAGTATAAGATCGCGTGCGTTACCCAAAGATCATCTCTTTTTTTTCTTCTCCAGTGCACCATCGGTTGATAAGCATAAGAGACGCCATGTTCAACAAGCAGACTCTCGCCGCCTTCATTGGCGCCATGTCCTTGGCTTCGGCCAGGACTATCCCCGCCTCCGATGACATGCCCTCGTTGGCTGAGGTTGAGGCTGCCGCCGCTAAGGCTGTGCCTTACTCCCCTGTCTCCAATGTCAAGGGTCTGGCTTTCGACAAGTTCCACCAGATCTGGTTCGAGAACCAGGTTAGTTAATTTGATCAATTGTTAATGTTACTCTCTAACTCATTTAAAAAGGACTACAAAACCGTCTCCGAAGATGCCAACTTTGCTAAGATCGCAAAGGAGGGTATCCTCTTGACCAACTACTTTGCCACCACTCACCCTTCGCAGCCCAACTACGTTGCCTCGGCTGCTGGTGACAACTTTGGTATGGACAATGACGATTTCCACCAGATCCCCGCCAATGTGTCCACCATTGCCGATCTGTTCGACGTCAAGGGCATCTCTTGGGGTCAGTACCAGGAGGCTCTGCCTTACGCCGGTTACCAGGTTAGTCTTTTTTGATATCGGCCTCTATCTCTAGCTCCAATCTAATATCGAAACAGGGATACAACTTCTCTAACCAGAAGACCTATGCCAACGACTACATGCGCAAGCACGATCCTCTGATCATCTTCGAGTCTGTCACCAACGATGACACTCGTCCCCGTCAGATCAAGAACTTCAGCTCTTTCTACGATGACCTTGACAACCACCGCATCCCCCAGTACTCCTTCATCACCCCTAGTATGTTTCCAATACCTTCCCTCAAAACCAAAGCTAACAAATATAGACATGACCAACGACTGCCACGACACTGACATCGAGGTCGGCGGAGATTTCCTCGCCAGCTTCCTCCCCCCTCTCCTCAAGAACGAGTACTTCAGCAAGGACACTCTCATCCTCGTCACCTTCGACGAGACTGGCAACTACACCGAGGAGAACCGCGTGTACAGCATCCTCCTCGGCGGTGCCGTCCCCGAGCACCTTAAGGGAACCACCGATGACACCTTCTACACCCACTACTCCATCATTGCCTCCCTCAGCGCCAACTTCGGTCTCCCCTCCCTCGGCCGCTGGGATTGCGGTGCCAACATCCTCCAGCTCGTCGCTGATAAGACCGGTTTCGTTAACTGGGAGGTTGACCTCACTGCCGTTCCTAACCTCATGAACGAGACCTACCCCGGCCCCATGTCTGAGAACGAGTACTCTGACTACGAGCCTTTCTGGCCCATTCCCGAGACCGAGCGTGCTTGCAACGCTGGTCACGGTATTGTTGATGTTGTCAAGGAGACTTACAACCGTCGCCAGCCTTCTTACAACTACATCAGCCCTGTCCCCTATGACCTGCGCAGCAAGTACAACGTTGGTATTCCTTACTCGCGTACTGTAAGTGATCCCATGTCTTAATCTGGATGATTGAATGTCTGCTAACTCATTGAATAGGTCAACGGAAAGAAGGAGACTGGTATTACCAACTAAGTGGTTGAACATACTTAATCTTGACTGATGTATCCGATGATATAAAAGAGGGCTGTTTCTTTTCTTTTGCCCGCCCGGGCATTTATATAGCTCTATTGTGATGATAATTGTTAATATGTTGTGCAATACAAATCACCTGGCTGGTGTTTTTGAATATTTCTCAAACCATTCAACACCCGTATTTCAAGGGTATCCGTCTAAGATTTGATGCGCACATTACTATATAGTCATTGACAAGAATGAGCCTGGATCGCGTAATTTGGCGTTTGTCGTGCAGTCAGGTGACCGTGACTGAGTCCAGGCTTTGAATGATTATTTGGGTTCCCTGCAAGTCTCCTCCCCTGATCAAATCAATCAATCAATTGTTTTGTACGCCCAGTACTGTCTGGTTGTCTTCAGCCCCATGATGTATCCTACGCGTCACCGATAATTGAACCCTTCTCCACCGCCAAGACCCCTACGCGATAGCTTCAAACCACCCCACACCAAGCGCGGATCCTCAAACATGGCTCGAAAAGGGTACGAGTCGTTGGGACCCAACAATCCGAACGAACACGCGGCAACCGACTCAGACGATGAATTCCACAATGAACACACAAGCAAGCTGATCGAAGCCCGAGACGATGCCGCGGACACGCCCCTATCGAGCGATGACGAATACCCACTCGAGGACGAAGCCAACGTAAAGCTCCTCCCAATAAAAGCTGACGACGGATCCAAATTGAAATCGCGTCGCCCTCGACGAAATACAGCTACGAGGAACCGAAGGATATCTTCAAGTGACTCGGATGATGGGGCAGCCAATGACGACCCCCATGCTGTCGGGGAGCGGATCGAGCAGCTCCTGCAAAAGGACCAAAGGGAGAGGAACGCGTTATCGGAATCATTCAATCTGGATCTCGAGGATGGTGACTCTCTTCTTGCCTTGAGTGACGAGGATAATGAGTTATATGGGTTCCCAGCTGATAAACGACCCTACGCCGACGACGAGAACAGTAGAAATGCGACTTTCCGGTCCAAGATCCAGGCAGTCGTTCATAAGCGGCCTTGGTGGCAGATATGTGCTCTGCTTGCAATTGGCTTGGGGGTGATGTGGCTCTCAGCTGTTGGATTGAGGAGGTCGTTCAGTAAGAAAGTGGTGGCGGAATTTGTACGACCCTCCGTTTTGATCTTGACCGGCCTGAACGGCCTGCATTGTGGAATATGCTAATGATTCTAGGATTCTGTGCCTTGGTACCCTACTCCCCTCGGTGGTACAGATCCTGCGTGGCAGGAAAGCTACAGCAAGGCCCATGATCTTGTACAGCGGATGAGTATATTGGAGAAGGTTAATGTCACAACGGGCACGGGCTGGATGATGGGGCTATGTGTAGGAAACACTGGTAAATCTCAATGATTTGTTCATCGTGATATTTGATGCTAATTCATTCTTGTTCCAGGCCCTGCTACCCGTGTCAACTTCCCATCCCTTTGTCTACAAGATGGTCCCTTGGGCCTTCGATTTGCGGAAAACATCTCTGCGTTCCCAGCTGGTATCACAACTGGCGCAACATGGAATCGTGAGCTCATGCGAGCCCGAGGTGTTGCGCTCGGTCGGGAAGCTCGCTTGAAAGGAGTGAATGTGATTCTTGGTCCTTCCATGGGCGCATTGGGAATGAACCCCGCCGGCGGCCGTAACTGGGAGTCCTTTGGCTCGGACCCCGTCCTGCAGGGCGTTGCCGCGGCCGAGACCATTCGAGGTATTCAGCGCAACGGTGTGATGGCAACAGCCAAGCACTTTGTGCTTAATGAGCAAGAACATTTCCGTCAACCCTTTGAGTGGGGCATCCCGACGGCGATGTCATCTAATATTGATGATCGGGCATTGCACGAAGTATTCGTCTGGCCGTTCGCTGAAAGTGTTCGAGCGGACGTGGCGAGCGTGATGTGTTCATACCAGATGGTAAATAACAGTCACGCTTGTGAGAATAGTAAGCTTCTTAATGGCATTCTCAAGGATGAACTTGGATTCCAAGGGTTCGTTCAATCCGATTGGCTTGCTCAGCGGTCGGGTGTTCAAAGTGCTTTGAGTGGTCTTGACATGAGTATGCCAGGAGATGGTTTACATTGGCAAGATGGAGACTCACTGTGGGGTCCTCATCTGACTCGCGCAGCTTTGAATACTTCTGTTCCCATGGACCGGCTTAACGATATGGTTACTCGTATCGTGGCGGCTTACTATCACTTCCGTCAAGATACGTGGGAAGGCTCTCCAACGAATGACATCGTTGGTCCCAATTTCTCATCTTGGACTCATGAGAGGAATGGTAGCCTTCATCCCGGTAGCCCAGATGACCACACCATTGAGGTGGTTAACTATTTTGTCAATGCACAGGGGAAAGCACCCCATACGCACGGAAATGTGGCTCGCAAGGTAGCAGCAGAGGGGATTGTTTTGTTGAAAAACGTCGACGGCATTCTTCCACTTTCACGCAATGCATCTCGTTCCACTGGAAAGTACCGTGTCGGTATCTATGGGGAAGATGCGGGCCCTGGACAAGGCCCCAACTTCTGCGCCGACCGAGGCTGTAACCAGGGTACCTTGGCTTCTGGCTGGGGAAGCGGTGCCGTGAACTTCCCGTATCTTGTCAATCCTTGGGACGCTCTGAAGTCTGCTTGGTCATCGGAAACAGTAGATGCCCGGGCATATCTGACCAACAACGTGGCTGTGCAGGATCTGGTTGAACAAGATCTCTGCCTTGTTTTTGCCAACGCTGACGGAGGCGAAGGTTTCATCAAGATCGACGGCGTCAATGGAGACCGTAACGATCTTTTCCTGCAGCGAAATGGGACCGGTCTGATCGAGGGGGTGGCTCACCATTGCGGTGGTGGTCGCGGCAAAACCATTGTGGTGGTGCACTCCATCGGACCCGTAATCTTAGACCCCTGGATTGATCTTCCTGGCGTCGATGCCGTTCTGTATGCCAACCTGCCGGGCCAAGAAAGCGGAAATGCGCTAGCCGATGTTCTTTTCGGGGATGTTGACGCTAGCGGACGGCTACCATATACCATTGGCCGCTCATTGGAAGACTACGGACCTGGCGCGCAGATATTGTACGAGTCCAGTGAGCCCGTGCCGCAAGTATTCCTTACCCAGGGCCTCTATCTCGATTACCGGTACTTTGACAAGTTCAACGTCACTCCTCACTACGAGTTTGGCTTTGGTCTTTCCTACACTACCTTCGAGTTCGGATCACTCCAAATCGAGCAGTTGCAGGACAAGTCACGACTCCCTACAAAGCGTCTCAAGAACCAGATCGATCCTCCAAAGTATGAGAACGTGCCCGAAAGTCCTTCTTCATCTCTCTTCCCTTCGGACTTCAACATCCTCGGCAAATATATCTACCCCTACTTGAAGACTAGGGAAGGAACCAACGCCGGGAAATACCCCTATCCTGACGGATACAAAGACAAACAACATCCATCCGCTGCAGGAGGCGGCCCTGGCGGAAATCCTTCCCTCTACGAACCCATGCTGCAGCTCTCCGTCGAGCTCACAAACACAGGCTCCCGGCCCGGAAAGGAAGTCATCCAGATCTACGTCTCCTTCCCCGCCAACGTCGTCGAATCTCGCGGGTTTGGAAGAACCCCCGAACCAATCGAGTTCCCCGACCGTGTTCTCCGAAACTTTGAAAAGGTGTCACTAGAGCCTAACGAAAAGAGGGTTGTCAATATGACATTGACGCGGAAGGATCTCAGCTATTGGAGCGTCAGGCAACAGAACTGGGTACTTCCGACTGAGAATTCGTTCCGTATCTGGGCAGGGAGAAGCTCTCGGGATCTACCGTTGGTGGCTGAATTTTAGGTGCTTAGGCTCCCCTTTTCTTTGTGGATATTAGCGTTGTTCTTGTATTAATTCAACTGCCCAAGCGATAGATGATGTTTTGTTTATTATGGGCTATCCGGGATCCCGGGATATCATCGGTACCATTAGTACACAAAACATATACCGGATAATTTTTTCACGTTAGATGTGCGGGCCTACTGCGTACTCATGACAACATCGAAACCTTATCACCGGGTTTATTTGGACAAACCTTGCCCTGTCTAAAGGATAGTGGCTTGGACTAAGACACTGTTTTTATCTTTCAACTGCGCCTCAATTCTTAGCTCCACACGGCCATTTAGCCGGGGAAACATTCCGCAGCCTGTGGCGGTGCCGCACTCGCATTGACTCCTTTTCGGCTCCCCTGCGGAGTCCGCGGTCACAGGCAGATTACTTTTGATTGAGTCGAGACCGCGAAGGCTCCACCCCAGCGATTCATCATATCACAGAACATTCCACCCTATGACGAGAAGTTAATATGCATCCCGATGTGTGCCGCCACCAGATCATAACCACGCAATACACATCCCGCAATACATCCCGCAGTATAATACGGGGAGCTCCGTTGGCGATCGGGACCAGCATCGGATGTGATGTCAAAACCGTCTTCGCCGAGACACTGTGGGTCTTAATGGAGACATTCTGACCATTCATCGGGGACAGTTGCCTTGAACCACAGTATCGTCCAAGATATGGGTATTTACAATTTTTCTGGTCTGCGCCTTTATCGTGATTCTATATTTGCCACTGTACAGTACGGTAAGACAACCGTCGATCCCTTCTCCTAACTGCTGTGACACTATTTCCATGAAACAACTTTCCCGTCAGGGTCTTCGCTTTGATCGCTTGATCGAACCATCAAAAAAATCTCCGATGCGAAATTTTCCTCGCAATTGATGTCTAATCTAGTGAAATGATAAGATTTCAGCTTTCCATGTGTCGAATGGAAATACAGTATGGAGCTTGTCCCTGAGTGAGATGTTATCGCTGCCCAATCTTGCTCTACAACCTGCTAAACCCTGGTTGTGGCTGTCGATCACTTCATCTCAAAGTGGAGACCCTGCAGCATGTTTCAGGGCCCGTCAGTAATCATCCAATAGGAGTCCACGGTTCCTGATTATGGACCCTGAAATAGAGCCACAGTCCTCCAGGCAGGCAGTCACTAAGAAACGGCTATTGGTTTCCATGCCTGTAAGCTCGACGCTATTCCCAACAAGGACCCTGCCGATGGAGTTTCCTCTGGAGCTCGCGTCGAAGAAGCAGGTGCGCTAAGCTTAGCCCGTGCATAGATGTACATAGAATTCAATGGTACCGTGGCAGCCAAGTCAAAGCACTGCCGATCAGAAGACCCTAGACGGCACATGGAAAATTCTATGGATCCAGGATGAAGAATGATATCCATCCCGCATCCGAGCTGCATTTAAGACCTGCTTGATTCCTCCTCATTCCCTTTCCTCACTATCACAATTCCAATAATTACCAATTACACTCGCTATTTCTTCACACTCTTTCACAATGAAGATTTCCGCTCTGCTCTCCCTTGTCCCCCTCGTCGCTGCCCTCCCGGGCTCGCGCGTCGGCACCACTAAGGCTAAGGACGTCAACACTCCCTTCGGCGTCACTGCCGCCCGCTCCGGCTCTCCCATCCACTTCCTCCCCCTGACTGCCTCCGGCAGCCACTTCTTCCTCGGCGGCAAGAGCTCCACCTACTGCCCCAGCGAGGTCGTCCCCGGCTGCGCCGGCCGCACCAACGACACCATCATCTACGGCCAGTCCGCTCTTGTAAGCATATCTCCAAATCCCTCTCACTACCCCCAATGAGCAACCCAACTAACAGACATCCAGGATGTTGTCGTTCCCGGTGGCCAAAGCATCTACGTCGCTCCCTCCGGCGCTCTGAGCTTCACCACCCCCCACTCCGGCTACATCCCCGCCGGCTCGTCCCAGGGTCCTTTCGTGTACACCCCCGGTGCCTCCGGTAACCCTCTCGGTACCTGGACTTACTCCGGCCAGGGCGCTTCCGGCTTCATGGCTTGCCCCGTGCCTGCTTCTAACTCTGGCTCTGCTGCTGCCCGCCGTGCTGCTGCTGCTGCTCCTCCCACTTGGCAGGTGTATGCTGCTCAGCAGAATGCCACCGTCCCTACTGGTAACGTTACTGACTGCCTGGGCTTCGATGCTCTTGCTGTTGGCATGAACGTTACTTCTAACAGCCTTGCCTGGGAGTACATCTAAACGCGTTGTTCACTTTTAATTGAGTCGGTTCCCGGTTTGAAAGAGCTGGATTGTTTATATTACGTCTTGGTCTTGGGATCAAACAGATACGTGACTGATGAATAGAATGTATATTTCGGTATTTTATAGCTTTTCACGAATTGGTGTTGCTACTTTCATTACTATACTATACAACACCCGTTGAAATGCGAAATACTTGTCCACACCGAGTGCATCCTCACTTCGATTTGATTTTGTACGTAGATGTACGTAGATGTACATAATCTATGACCATCATAGTTGAAACTCACTAGTTGGCCTTGCCTTCATCCCAGCCTTCTTATAAACCAAGTCAATAGCCTCCATCTGTTTAATACTGTCCTCCCCATCAACCCAAACGCCACTTCCCGAGCGTCCTTTGACCCTATTCACGAACTCTTCAAGCTGATAAAAATATGTCGACCACCACTCCTTCCCACCCCCACTCGTCCCAGCTCTTTTGTCCCCAGTAGGCCATGTATATGCATTCAGATTTCGTGCATCCTTCCACGTCCTCAAAACTTCACTTCCCCTGCGCACAGAATAAGTATCCTCGACATCAATGCGATGATAAATACTCGGCATAAGATGATTCCAAATCACAACCTTCCTCTTCACGAAACAGCTTCGCCCACCCCCCTCCTCGCCTGCATCAACCTCAACTTCCTTCTCATCACATTCAACCTCACACTTCGGCCACGCAATACTAGGAAGGTTTCCCGACAAAAACCCCGGAAGAACAGGCCACCCGCCCGCAAACCTTAAATCGGCATTCATCCTCCCAACAGCCCCACTGCTAGTCACATAAGTAGCCCTCATAGCCTCATCAACCTGCTCTTTAAATGGAAGCCCGGGAAACGAAACTTGTCTTCCCTCCGCAGAAAGCGATTCCTCGGTCGGTTCTTCTTTCAGAACCTGCCTCAGTAGATTCATCGGGTATGTCCCGAAGTCCATCATACACCCACCAGAAAGCTCATACTGCCATCTTATATCGGTCGCGCCGAACGCATATTTCGGGAAATACTGTTCCGCAGATACAGATTTAATTTTACCTGCTTGCGGCGCTTTGTGAACTAGATCCAAGAATGTTTGCCACGCAGGGTGGAAGCGGTAGTGGAATGCTTCTAGAAGAACTGGGGCACCGGGCTTTGTAGCCAGTGGATGTGTGAATAGAGCCCTGGCTTCTGTGGCATTTGAGCAGCTGGGCTTTTCTAAGAGAACGTGCTTCTTTGCTGCTAGGGATCGAAGCGCCCATTCGTAGTGTGTGCTGTCTGGGAGAGCAATGTAGATCGCGTCTATGCTTGGGTCGTCGAGAAGGTCTTGGATTTGTTAGATTTTTGGGGACTTTTTGTTTGAATTTGGTATGGAGAAATGTGTAGTTTACCTTCATATGTGGAGTGCACGATTGGAATGTTATGTTTTTTGGCATACTTCTCGGCTCGATCCCGGTCTCGTGCTGCGACTGCTGCTATGATTACTTCCGAGTGAGAAGCGGCAGGAGCGATCAGTGCAACTGGACTAAAGGGTTGTCAATACTAATACTTGCTTCGATAGCGTGGGAAGACTGATAATTGAAACTTACGCGATGTTCGATGCTCCGAGGAGTCCAAAGCGAATGGCGTCATCCTTTTTGGTGCTTGCGGGTGGATTTATGAATCCGTACCAGATGCGATATACTACGTCGAAGACCATATTTCTTGATATAGTTTTACAGGCTTGTGGTGAATGGTTGGTGAGCGCGTTGGTGTCTGATCTGCGGACAGATGTGTTTCCCGAGTGAAAGCTGAGTGACCTAATGATGACGATATCCGGACTTTCCGCTTTCCTGCCCTAAGTTGACAGCATTACTCTCGAGCTTTATAAAAAAAGAAGAACATTGTGAAATGGGTTGGATATTGAATTTGGTGCACTTTTTCCTTGAATGAGTCGCCCACGATTTTCGTGACTGAACAATGTCCGATTGAGGTAGGTCTCGCGAAGTCATGTCTTATTCAAACGATCTCTATAGGAACAGTAAACACATACTTGGCGCCACATATATTAGTCCTTTGGAAGCTAATCGCCAAAACTTTGGGCCTCGGTCACATCAAGAAAGTGTAGCCAGCTGAGTAATTTACGTTAGTCAAATTATTCAGCTTGATCATCTTGTCAAGGTTTCGGGCCGTGGCGAAGACTTTTAAATTTAATTTATATCATTTTCAAAAAGAAAGATCTGATAGCCTTGCTTTTGGGAAGTCAGGGCCAGACCATATCCAATTCCATCGTCGCTAGATCCAGTAATCAAAACCGCTTTGATTTCCATGTTTGCGGGTATTTTGGGTGTAAGGATGCTTGGGGGGTGTTATTTTGCGATGTCAAGGGGAAGAGTGAGAAGGGGAAAGAGGATGAAATTTGCGCATTTTAGTTTACCCACTCCACTGACGGACATGAGCTAAGCCTCTTTGATAGGTAATGCGGAGTGCAAAGGGCGCTTTATCGTAGGGGCCATTTATCTTCTTGATCCTTGTCGACCGATCCCTGTCTTTACAGCAGACTGGTCAACAACCTTGCCAACAACCAGGGTTGCCATACCCGCAGATAGCCTCACAAAGCCACTACCGATGATTGCCTACTGACACTTCGCTGTTTCTATTATTTATATGCCTAATGAGAGCAATTCCAGCGATTGAAGAAATTCGACATGGCTCCTGTCACAATTCCAATCGCTATTTCAGAAAGTCTGCATCGATCTGACACTAGGTTATATATTCAATGACAGTATTGACTATCTTCATCCATTTAGGTATGAGACCTCTCGGCATAAGCAAATAGTCGCCGCCTCGTATAGTATTCGTTGGTGGGGCATGATTGGCTCTGTAGACGCCCGAATCGAGTCAAGCGTTTTCCAGCCCCTCACCACTTTCAGCTCCGAGACATCCGTGATAAAGTCACAGAGACACTTGACGGGCTTTTCATGTATATGGGCTTACGATGACAGAACCAAAAGCTCTTGCGTGTACAGATTACTCGTTGGCATGGATCTGTGCGTTACCACTGGAGTTGGCAGCGGCACAAGCGATGTTGGAGGAGACGCATCCCAGTCTCACATCCACCGCTATCACCAACATCACGTACACGCTTGGCAAAATCGCGGGTCATAATATCGTTATAGCCTGTTTGCCATCCGGCGTATATGGCACAATTTCGGCCACCTCGGTCGTGTCACAAATCCAATCCATCTTCCCGAATGTTCGCTACGGGGTCATGGTAGGCATTGGAGGCGGGGTGCCGAGTGAAACTGCCGATATTCGACTGGGCGATGTTGTCGTGAGCAAGCCAAGTGGAAGGTTAGGTGGTGTCGTACACTATGACTTAGGGAAGACCGTTAGCGGTGGACATTTTGAACACACTGGCATGCTAAATCAGCCACCGACCATCCTTTTGACAGCTGTTTCCAAAATTCAGGCAAGGGATATGATGAGAAAAGATGAGCGAATCTTGGAAGAGGTGTCAAAAGTATTTAGGCTGCATCCGGATATGGAGGCTAAGTTTTCACGACCTTTCAAAGAAGACTGTCTCTTTCCTTCGACATATTCTCATTTGGAGTCACAGAATTCCTGTGTCAGCTGTGATTTCAAGCAGAAGGTTGAGCGCGAAGTGCGAGTATCAAAAGAGCCTCAGATACATTATGGACTTATCGCATCCGGCAACCGCGTGATCAAAGACGGCGGTGAACGAGACAAACTTGCACAGGATTTTGGTGCTCTTTGTTTTGAAATGGAAGCAGCCGGTATCATGAATCACCTCCCCTGTCTTGTGGTTCGTGGCATTTGTGATTATTGCGACTCTCACAAAAATAAAGAGTGGCAGGAATTTGCAGCTCTAGTCGCAGCGATACACACAAAGGACCTCCTCTCCATGATAGCGGTGGCCACATGTCAACCCGACGAAAGCCAAAAGCGCCGTGCGTGGACGGTACCTTTTGATCGGAATCCACGATTCTTGGGCCGGAATGACGAAATCCGTCAGCTCAAACAACAGATTCTTTCCAAGGACCATGTCAGAAAAGCTGCGATTTCAGGATTGGGAGGCATGGGTAAGACTCATATTGCACTTGAACTGGCCTATCAGGTTCGCGAAGATTCTACACTCTCCATTCTCTGGATACCGGCAACTAGCATCGAAGCTGTTGAGCAAGCGTTCATGAGCATCAATGAGCTGTTGGGTTTACCAAGTGGACCCACCATCGATGTGAAGTCCCAAGTGAAAACATATCTCAGCTCTCAAGAAGTCGATCCATGGCTACTGATCATCGATAATGCTGATGATGCGGATATGTGGATGTCCTCGCATACCGTACCTGCACTCAAAAATTTTCTTCCCCAGTGCCACAAAGGTTTCATCCTGTTCACATCACGAAATCAACAACTGGCAATCAGATTAGCTGGGCCTAACATCATCGAACTGTCGGAATTGAGTGGTGCGACCGCACTTGATCTATTGAAAGAATTACTTGTCCACAAAGATCAGATAGAGGATTCAAAATCAGCCACTGTATTAGTACAACAGCTCTGTGGCTTGCCCTTGGCTCTGATTCAAGCAGCAGGCTTCATCAACGAGAACTGTGTCTCTCTAGAGGCGTATCTTACCCTACTTTGCGAACAAGAAGACACAATGATCGACTTGCTCAGCGAAGACTTCGAGGATAGCTATCGGTACACAGAAAGCAAGAACCCGGTAGCAGTCACCTGGATGATCTCTTTCCAACAAGTAAAAAGGTTAAGTGATCTGGCAGCGGATATCCTATCATTCATCGCTTGCATTGATCATCGAGACATACCTTTATCTCTTCTTCCACCCAGACAATCAAAGCTGGAGGAGCACAAGGCCTTAGGAATACTTAAAGCCTACTCATTCGTTACAGCGCAAACTAACGACGAATTCATCAGCATGCACCGACTTGTCCATTTAGCTACAAAGAACTGGCTCAGGAATGGATGTTTGCTGCAAGAGTGGACGGGGAAAGTCGGTGAACGTTTCAACACAGTCTTTCCATCAAATGACCCGATAAATCGATTCAGATGGCGAGCGTACTTACCCCATGCTCAACTTTGGCTTCAAGGAAAAGAGTCTCAACTGGATGTAGACATCAAAGAGAATCTCGCCCAAAGTGTTGGGAAGTGCCTTAGCGCCGATGGAAGGGAAGATGAAGCAGAAACCATGTTTCTGAAAGTCTTGGAAACAAGAGGCGAGCGACTCGCCTTAACTGATGAAAGACTCCTCGCTACTTTGGCTTGCATGGCATCAACATATTCTATGCAGGGCCGGTTAACTGAAGCTGAAGAGGTTCTGCTCGAGGTGGTGGCGATAAATAAGAAGGTGCAAGGGCTTGACCATTGTTTCACACTGACTAGTATGAGCGACCTCGCGCTCATATATAGAGATCAGGGACGATTGAAGGAGAGCGAAGAGCTTGGGCTACAAGTGATGGAGACAAGAAAGAAGATTCTAGGTATTGAACATCTGGACACGTTAACGAGCATGGGCAATATCACAGCAATATATTACCATCATGGGCGTTTGAAGGAGAGCGAGGAGCTTGAGCTACAAATATTGGAGGCAAGAACAAGATTGCAGGGCATTGACCATCCTAAAACACTGCTTAGCATGAGCAACCTTGCGATGATTTATTGGGTTCAGGGAAAATTGGAGGAGGGCGAAAAATTTGGGATGCAATCAGCGGACGCAACACAGAGGGTCCTAGGCGTTGATCATCCTGAAACACTGAGAACCATGAGCAATCTCGCGCTCATATACAAGGATCAGGGACGATTCAAGGAAAGCGAGGAGCTAGAATTACAAGTAATGGAGGCAAGAAAAAGTTTGCTAGGCGTTGAGCATCCTGACACACTTACGAGCATGGGCAATCTCATGTTAGTTTACGCGGAGCAGGGACGCTTAAAAGAGAGCGGGGATATTGGTCTTAAATTGATGAAGGCAAGACAGAAGCAGTTGGGTATGGAACACTTAACCACACTGACAAGCATGAGCAACCTCGCCTTGGTGCTTGGGAGACATGGGCGATTAAAGGAGGCCGAAGAGCTTTTGAAGTACACCCTGGAGACAAGAAAAAAGGTCCTCGGTACCAATCATCTCTCCACGCTGACCAGTATGTCAAATCTGGCCTGGAACTGGATATATCAAGACCGCCTAGTAGAGGCTATCGCCATTCTTGATTTGTGTGGTCGGAAACAAGAACAATACCTTGGAAAGACCCACCCCTATACAATCGACACCATGGCAATGCTACAGTCCTTGCAAGAGGCTGCTGTCCGCAATCCTGTTCTTGAAAAGTATGAGGAAAAGCCAGTTACATCTACGTGGATGGGCCTAGCTAGCCCCAATAGCTACCCATTCCGACCTCAAGGCAGCTCAAAGCTTTCAAGACTGCACGAGTTGGGCAGCTTGCATCCCTTGCTCTCCTTACTCAGCGCCCCTGGTCAACAAGTGAGGGATAACGATGATGATATTGAGTGAGAAAGAACTCCTGTTTGGTGATAAGCTATAGCTGTTTCATTCAGCAGTGTTGAGATATTCGGCCCAAATCATCTTATTCGACAAAGAAGTTGAAGGCGATAAGAATTACTCTCTATGCATTTCAGGTAGTAATCTCTTAAGTACTGGAGTAAAAACTACTAACCGACCACCCGTCAAAAACACTATAATCCGCCAACGGCGAAGATCCATAAAGCGTCTCATAATGACGAAGATTCCCACAAGCCTCACTCGTATCAGTTATATTCGCACACTCATCCTGCAAAAGCGCAGCAATCTGCTCTCCGGCATTCCTTCCCTCAAACCAAGCGCCATGCAGGAATCCAAAGTACTGCGCACTCGTAGCCTCTCCCGCGAACCAGAGACGGTTGAGGTTGGCACGGAAATTCTCATGCATCTCCAGCGTGGTAGATGGCGGCCAGTTGGAGTAACTACCGTATGCCCAGGGTGTAGTACTCCAGCGCGGGTACATGAATGCCGTTGGCTCGGGGATGGTGATGTCGGGATACATCTCGCGCAGAACCTTCATGACTTCTTCTTTGGTTTGCTCATCTGTCTGTCGCTCCACGCGGTAGGCTTGTTCGTGGACGAGTGTGACGAAGATGATGTTTGAGTCCTGGATGAAGCCTGGTGCTGAGAGGGACTGCCAGACGGGGTAGGAGCCGCGGGTTGTTGGGGAGGCGTATAGGAAATATTGGGTGTCCTCAGGCCAGAAGGTCTCGTTGAATTGGAGGAAGATCTTTGTGTAGGTTCCCATGCTGAATTTTTCGATCGAGGTCTTCTTCCAGTCCGGCAGATTTGGGGTAAAGGAGACAGTTTCGCTTTGGAGAACACCAAGTGAGAAGGTGCAGACTGCGTAGGCGGCTGAGACGCAGCTGCCGTCGTCTTTGTAGATTGTGACGCCATCGTCAGAGTAGCTGATCTTGGTCACCTTGGAGTTGAGGTGGACACGTGGATCGTTCTCCTTTAGGAAGGTTGAAGCCTCGCCCGTAATGATGCGGTTGAAGCCCCGCTGGTCCCAGACGTAGTTGTTCTCATCGCTGAATTGATTGAAGGTGAGGTTGCTACCGGCAACGCCGAAGACTAGAGAGCTCTGCTCGGGAGAGTAGGCATCCTCCCAGTCTGCGGGGTTAGTCAGAACGTGAAAATATTGTATCGGCAGACAGACTTACCCCATTCCCACCACTCCACAGCCTGCGCAGTCATATCATCACGTTTGGGCTTCCAGTCGGCCAAGGAAAGACCAGAGCGGACAGTCATATCCTGGTAATTCTCCTTCAAGATAGTACCAGCAAGATCGGAAGCTGTCTCAAACTTTGTTTCATATTCATCCAGGAGGGCGGAGAAGTCTGTATAGCCAGTCTCGTTGTAGGTGAGAATTGAGCTGTAATTTGAGTAGGTGTTATTTAACCCCCACTTCTTTGCAAGCGTCCATATTGGGTTCTCTGGGAGTGAAGTCAGTATAAATGCATTTGGCTCAAAGTATTATTAACGCACCTGGACCACCGGGGGATCCCAGTCCTTGCACCTGTTGCTGTTAGTACAGTTCCCAGAGCCTTAGAACGGTATGCCTTACCCAGTTTGCACCCAACTCCACCGTGTACGGATCCCCGTTTTTGTCCTTGCCAAAGGTTGTGTGGTGGACACGTCCTCCAAGCTTATCTTGATACTCGATGATAACGAAATCATTTATGGAAGAGTTGGATAGAGCTTGCTATGAATTTTGGATCAGTATATCTTCAACAATTACAACTTTCAAAGTGGGTAGCTTACTGCTGCAGCAACACCAGCCATTCCACCACCACTAATACGTGTCAGTGAAAGTAAAAAGCTACGACATAACGCAGCTTGATGAAATGACTTACAGAATCGCGACCGTTGTTTTGGTACATTGCGCACCATGATCTCGAGCGGCCGATACAGCTGCACTGCACGTTTGGGCGGCTAGTGCCGCAACTAAAATTCGTTTGGAATGCATCCTCAAACTGTGAAAGAAAAAAAGGAAATAAAAGCAGAGTCAAGGAAGATACAGCGACCGGAGTCTTCGAAGCACTTATATTGCCGGCGATACCAATAACCTCGGGATGTGAAAGCAATATTTATAATTGTTAATTGTAAGACAATTTTCCCATAATCGTAAACCAAGAAACAACATGTCCATCCGATATCTCTCACGATCGACGTAATCACTGTGCAGGGATCCTAGTTTTGGGGAAGACGCCACGATGCCGCTAATGCAACCACGCAAATTTGGGTAAGTCCATGCGGCTACTGACCAAACAGGGAGGACAAGCCGGGCCGCTGCCGAACGTAATTGATAAACTTAATTCAATGTCCAAGTCCAAGACAAGAGCAGCTGATAAGACCATTCTTGTTCGGTTCTTTGGGTCCACAGCGTGTCTCCACCTTGTATCTTAATTCGCCGTGATTGGTGCGCCCCTGATTACTGATCTTTTCCCCGCAATCCTAGGCCGCTGCAACCCTGTCGGAGAGATCCGCATGTACTTGACATAGTTATGCTGCATGGTAGCGGATGTGTGAGATACTTAGACTGCATTCCTGCCGAGGTTGCGTTGCCTTTTCGTTGCTTTGATTCATTCCAGCGTATTTTATCTATCTTGCTGTGGTTTTGTGAATATGAATAAAGAAGAACCGATACAGGATGATGATGCGCAGTTGGCTGCTATGGGCCATAGGCCTGAGTTGAAGCGACAATTTTCGACATGGTGAGATCAGCATGTGGACTGAGAATCAAAATGCCCAAATACTAATCATATTATAGGGCGATGTTGGGGCTGGCTTTTGCTGTCCTGAATGTGAGTCATACTGTCCTGTACTCTGCACAGAAAGCAATCTCTCCAGAATTTAACACATACTTTAGTCATGGACTGCTCTATCGGCGAGCTTATCAATCAGCCTCACATCTGGTGGTAGCACAAGCGTCATATGGGGTATGTGAATTTGATCCAATGGCACCGGGTGGGGATTTCGGATAACACTCCATAGGTCTCGTCACTGCGGGGTTCTGCAATCTATGTATCGCAACTTCACTCGCCGAGTTTCTATCTGCTTACCCAACGTATGTATCATTTTCATGGCCTAAATTCAATTACTCATTTCTCATAGGGCTGGTGGACAATATCATTGGGTTGCAGGTAAGTTCATGTGTTGGTTCATAACATAACAACAAAGGTATACTAATACAATCATAGTCAGTACGTCTACCACGATGGCCCTTGTTTTTGGCAGATTCTAATCATGTTAGTTTCCTGGCCTAAATGGGTTCCTATCCTCTCCTGGATCACGGGTTGGATCAATGTCGCCGGATGGGTAAGCTCTACATAATGCGTTTCAATTCAGGTGAATAATGAGTTTATAGGTTGCCCTTGTTGCTACAAACTCCCTGCTTTCAAGTCAATTGATTGTAGGAGTAATTTCGGCTATGCATCCGGTATAATTCTAAGAATCATGATTCATATTAGTCTTACTAACAGAAATATCTAGAATTATGAGTCTACTCGCTGGCAACAGTTCCTCATATATATCGGTCTGACCCTCGGTGCTTTTATAATCAACGCGTTCATGAACTCCATCTTACCTGTCATTTACCGCGGTGCTTGTATGGGTCAATTGTCTCCTTTGGTTTCGTGGCTAATATGAGACAGTTGCTTGGTCTATCGGTGGATTCGCGATTGTATCCATCACAGTCTTGGCCTGTGCCTCACCCGACTATAATACTGCCTAGTAGGTCAAAGATTGTGGCATGCTTGAATCACTACTAATTTTCAAAGCTTCGTGTTTTGCAACTTCGTCAATAAAACAGGATGTGAGTATCCAATCGAGGCCACGAGAATAATTGTACTGATGTGAACAGGGCCTGATGGTGTTGCTTGGCTGCTTGGCGTATGTTCTACTCGGTGGGACATCCAAGCAAGATGGCTAACAAATATTTATAGCTCCTTCAAGGAGGGCTCGGTGTGACCGCATTTGTAGGTTCATTTTTTGATAATATAGAATTTGAAGCTGACATAATTAGGATGCGGTTGTCCACATGATTGAAGGTATGACCATCTGAGTCAGTGGTTTTTTGACACGTCTAATTTTAGCAGAGGTACCAAATCCATCCGTTGAAGGCCCAAAGATCATGGTGACATGTGTCGGAATTGGCACTGTAACGGGCTGCATCTTTTTGATTGTCCTGCTATTTGTCGCCGGCAACATGGAGCAGGTTACCACTTCGGCAGCCGGACCTCTTCTGCAGATATTGATTGATGCAACCAAGAACAAAGCCGGTGCAATTTGCCTTCTGATGTACATTGACCCCTTCCCTTGGTTGAATACCAGCTAATAGCTGAACTAGGCTACCCCTCATCTGCCTGATTCTTGCTATCCTCAGTGTCATGACTACCAGTAGCCGAATGATTTTCGCTTTTGCTCGGTAAGATGTCCATCGAAGCCATCCTTCAAACTACGGCTGACAACTATAGTGATGGCGGTCTACCCGCCTCCAAGTTCTTTGCCAAGGTTCACCCGACTCTTCAGTTGCCTCTCAACGCCCTGATTTTGACAGTGGTCGTGGTTATTTGCTTTGGATGTATATTCCTCGGTTCTTCCAGGTAGGAATCTTCTCCCAATGAATGAAAAACCGGCTAACCAATCAGTGCATTCAACGCTATCATCTCCGCATCTGTCGTGGCACTTGATCTGTCATATGGCATTCCCATCCTCATCAACTGCCTACAGGGACGGAATGCTCTACCTGAGAGAAAGTGGAAGCTACCCCGTGCCGTGGGATGGTTTACCGACATTGTAAGATGCTAAAAGCTGAATTAGATCAATTCATCTAGCTGACTTATACTAGGTCTCCCTATCATATATCGCTCTGACTACTGTGCTGTTTGTCTTTCCTCCGTCCAGCACTGTCACGGGCAGCAGCATGAGTAAGTGGGTTACACCCCCAAACGAAAATTTACTAACGTGAAGATCAGATTACTGCATAGCTGCATTTGCAGTCATTATCATTATATCTGCCTTCCAGTGGATTGTCGATGGACGAAAGAACTATACTGGTCCTCGCATTGACCTGGGCGTCGAGTAAATGGAGAATATGCTTGTCTAGGGAACAGATCCACCGACACATGGGTATCAGTATCGAGGCGTCATGTAGCTAGCTTTGCAGTATGTCAGATGATGCCTCATTTCTGGAGCCTTAATGCCTGGTTTTGTAGATCCTGCTGATTCATCCGGTTCAATCACACACGTTCTCGACAACCTTGAAATTTACCCCTTTGAAGCTTTTAATATTTATTTTGCATTTGCCATTTTCGAATGTAAGCTCGTCGGTGTATATTTCGCTCGGTGCTTTGGTTTTGAAGTATCAATATTTGGAAGTCATGTGTTGCATGTTCCGACATTGTGCGCAAAATATATGTTTGAAGCAGATTAGTCTTCACCATTTTCTCCATTTTTTATGTCTACTACAAGTTTGGCCCAAAGCGCAAAATTTTCATCATTTGGGACGTAATTAATATATATTCAGCGTCATTTTACCCATAAATAAGGTCACTTGACGATTCTACTGTGCTTGCAGGTAGTAAAACTGGGCTAAAAGTGTAGGATGAGAGGAAAAGATGCCGTATTGAGCTCCCTTTTTCGGAAGTTGGACCCCCGCTTTGGGAAAATCGAACCCTCTTCTTTGTATTAAACATCCCACGGTCGCATCTCTACCTTTGCCTGTACAATAGTCAAATAACATGTTTATGAGTAATGAAATAGAAGAATCTATGTGAATACCTTCAGTTATAGATAACTGAAGTATTTAAAGTGAAGATGATACATAAAATGATAATTATAGTCATGATTGTTCCGCACATCATCGGTAGGTATCTTACCACAATATAACCAAAAATACTGCACGCTTTTCACTCATGATGCTTACTTGACACATTATGAAGACTCAAAAAGCCATCGATCGGCAACATGCATAAAACCTGCAGGACCAAATCAAAGAATCCCAGGAATAACTCTCTTGGTCTTAGCATGCCATTCTTCCCACTCGTTCCCAAATTTGCGGTTTAGCATGTCTTCTTCATCCCTCACTCGCAAAGCCAAGAGAAACACCTGAAAGCTCACAGCAGTAGAAATGATGGGAATACCCCACCCATCAAGTATTGCCAGCGTAGACTCTGGAATCCAACACGCAAACAGACCATCCCAACGAACAAACAACATGAATGTCGCCACATTAATAAGCGTCAACCCCGAGTAGCTTGGGTGCTGAATCCAGCGATAGATACCAGAGGTAACAAGTCGGTCCGGCGGCGCAAGATGAAAGGTAAATAACCGACCCAAGCCACCGTACGCCATGATGCGGACTGTAGCACCGATATAGATCATCGCTAAAGCAAGGGTGGTGGTTGGGCTCCATTCGAAGATTGCGGGGTTGAGGTTCCTCGTGTTCGGACACACCTGCGCCATGTACTCGGGCGCATAAACCGGTAAAACAGTTATCAAAGTGTGGTACATGATGCAGGATATGGATGCATAGCGCATGGCAGTGATTCGACTCCCTGCGCCCAACAAGCTCCCTATTTGATCTTTGATTTGCCGATCCTTTTGCGGGGTTGAGGGGTTTGGTGGCGTGGCGCATATGTTAAACAGGTACGCGGCCAGCATCAATGCGGCGCCTAGCAGCGCTGTACTTAGCTGAGCCATGGTTGATTCGTCTTCAATGGAATATATGAGCTCACTATCACGGTCGGCCCCGCGAGAGTGTCGGGATGAGGGGAAGCTGACTGTATTTAAATTAATGTGGTGTCACTGCGGTAACTCCCGGTTGGGGTGGAGACGTCTGATGACATCCGAGGCAGTTGTCTTGTCAATGATAGGGGCTTGGATTATGGTTGTCCGTGAAAAGCGTAGCTGCAATATACTATTGAGAGGATATGAAGCTTTCATACTCTTCCTCGATACTAATTTGACCATATGATCGAATTTGAACGCATAAGTGTCGTGACTAAAGTAGTCTAAGTCGAGCAATTGAATTCAGTGTTTAGAATACCAGATGATCATTATTGGATATTGCATGATCAGTCAATGCTAGTAAAATCTGGGTAACCAACTTCCAACCTTAAAAGAGAGCAAAGACAAGTAGAACTACAGAAGCCAGTGTGGTCCAAATATGTACATCCTTAGCAATAGCCGTACCTGTTTGAGTACTATCCGCACCGGTCTGTGTCGAGGTACTAGTTTGGCCTTGAGTGCCCGTAGACGTAGCCGTAGCTGTAGTAGCGGCAACAACATGATCCGTCGAGACAGCGGTAACAATATGCGGGATGGTCCCGAATGTCCAAGTAAAGGTAGCTCCACTAACCGGTGTGGTCAAAGAACCGGTGTTATAAAGCGTCCCGGTTCCATTCTTCGGTAAACCACCCAGCTTGTAGAATGTTGTAGTTCCACCCGCATCTTCAGCACCGAAGCCAAGATCACCAGCGCAATCATATGCATCAAGGTAATCGCCACATGTGGGCCAATCGTTCTGTCCAATGAATCCGTTGTACCAACCATCGACATCAAGGAGGGAAGGCTTCGTGTTCGGGCAGGTATCCCAGATCCTGTTTTCAAGACGTTAGTAGTGTGATGGTAGTGAAGCGGAGGTGGACTCAACATACGTAGATAAAATAGCACTTTCTGCACAGCAAATACAAGCCTGACCGTAATCGTTGACAGCATCAACAGAAGACATCTGGTCAAGATTGGTCATGTTATTTGTGCACGTCGTCATCTGATCCACAATCAATAGTTCTTTCTTATCCATCTTGCCTATGTTGCAGGAGCATCCGGAGGCAGCATCGTCGGGCGGAGGCCAGAACGGGAATTGATCCATGTCTGGCAATGCACATAGATTGAGGACGTCTTCGATTGTTCGTTGGTATTCGCACGAGTAGACCTACGATCAATTAGCATATGCGTATATACACATCCGAATATAAGGAAGGAGATTCGAACCTGATTCCAGCAGCTTGACGCAATGCAATCAATCTGATTCACCGCCTGAACGCACGAGCAAGCGTTCATACAATCAGTCCCCAAATTGGGACATTGCGATTGCATACACGTCGTATCCCCATTGCAATACTTATAACAGTCCGCATCACCCCCAGCGCAGTTGTTGTTGATGCAGCTGCTCAAGCTAGTGTCTGCTTTATCATAACACTTTGAAAGCCCCTTTGGATCTGCACATATGGACGTATCATCGAAGTAACCGACTGAATCCGCAGCTACCGAGCCGGCGGATACCAGCAAAGAAAGCACCAATTTGGACGTTAGAGACATCGTCACACAGAGCAGACTAATTGAAGAAAACACATGCGCCACCCGGGAGGGAGTGGTAAAACGTATTAAAGGGTCCATGGCTTAGGGCTATGCCTGCTCGGGACTAGCCGAAGGGTTCAATACTGCATTGCTAGTGCTTACCCTGTCTCTATCCGGTCGAATGGGAGGAGCTGTCCTGCCGTGGCTGGATCTTGGCACTTGGCGATCTTACTTCTCCGGGGAAATCCGGTTTGTACCTTGGAGCGCGATGGAGCGCGATAATTGAACACTCCATTTCTATATCCTGTATGGTGCAGTACCTGTAATTCAGAAAAACCACTATCTCAAGTATTAAAGTACTTTGCATCACCTCGTTGAATCCACGTCAATATACGAGATAACGCTTCATTAGAGTCATAATATAAGTAGTTCAAGGTAACTTAACGGGTGTCACTCTTTGATCACCTTCAAATTCTAGTGCAGTCTATAGGATAATGTAATCAAGTAGGTACTTGGGTATGTACTCAATAATATTACTCTCTGAATCTTGAATACTACGCTACTTTGAATGCGGTTAGTGAGGGTGTTCAACTAATTCAAAGGTGTTCAATTAGAAAGCTCCTGTACCTTCGTTTAGTTTTCCCTGATTGGGCTTACCGAGAATTGCCAAGGTGGATAAAGCAAGCATGGTCTTGGCGGGCGCCTTCCAAGATTGCGGTCTTGTTCGTTGACGGATGTCGGCCGAGAATCGGCGTTTGCGATGCGGCTCTGATGTTTGTGGGGCTGGCATGGGACAAGGAACATGAATCATTAGCTACGTATTACGGACGAAAACTGATTCAATGCATTGGATACGATTTGGCTTGAAGGTTATATCAAATAACATCTCTGAAGATTAGTAGCTCTTCGGATTGACACCCGTCTGAAGTTATAAGTGCATTCACACCAATATAGCTGGGGGTGTATTAATGATGAAGCCCGCTTCAATTCCCATGTATTTTCCAATGCGTATTTGGCTCAAATGCTGAGTGCGCATAGAAGCTGGGGGATGAAATTACGACAAGACAAGTTTTTAATACGATCTTGACAAAATGAGCCTGTAGGTGTGCGTAATCTGTTTTATCAGTTAGCTGAGGATTGAAGCCATGCGACAACATCGCAACAAAACGATCCTTCAATGCGACTATGCCCGAATAGGTCGTTTGCCCCTATCTCTTGCCGGAGACTATCTCACGATCTACTCTTCATCGTTGTTAACCACTCTTCTTCTCTGATATATGTAAGAGAAACAATGTTCCTGAAGTTCATCATATCTACTCTACCAATCCTCGACCCCCTAATGAGCGATCCTGCCAGTCCGAGTACCCACGAGCACGAACTGAACATGATTGATGCTGAGGTGGAGGAAAGGTACCAAGTTGAACGCCAAAAATGACTCCATCCCAAGGACATGGACCAGTAGGAAGAATCCCTTTCACAAGAATAGCTGGACAACGATGACTTCACAAGAAATTGTAACGTCTGTCACATACTCAAAAAATGTTGCATAGTCATCGTCGGCGCCGGCTTCGGAGGACTCCTATTTGCCGTTCGTCTCATCCAAACTGGATTCCGCACCGTCGATGAGATCAAAATCGTGGATGAAGGCAGAGACTTCGGCGGCACCTGGCACTGGAACCAGTAATCAGGTTTGAAATGCGACATCGAGAGCTACACATACCTGCCCCTGCTGGAAGAAACAGGATACATGCCAGTGCGAAACACATCGTGGTATCGAGATCCAGGAGCATGCTGCTCAAATTGCCAAGAAATGGGATCTTGTTCGGCGGACTTCGTTCAAGACCAGTGTGAATAATCTGGCATGGCACGAGCCGAATTGTTTTTTGTATGCGACCATGAAGATTTCCGGTGCGTGTGGGTTTGTGCAGGTGAACTTCGTCTACCTTGCAACGAATTGTTGCATACAGCCAAGATACCGGATATTCAGGGCATGAATTCCTTCAAGAGAAAGGTGATACATAGTTCCTGCTGGGACTAGACTTTCACCGGTGGATGTCAGGCGCAACCAGATATGACCGAAATAAGGAACAAGCGGGTTGGAGCTATTGGTACCGGAGCAACTGCTGTTCAGGTCCTTCCTGAGTTAGCCAGGTGGGCAAAGGAAGTTATTGTTTTCCAGCATACTACCGCCAATGTGTACCCGCGCCACAATGAAGTTGCTCATGCGGAAAGTAAGTTCATGGGTCCAGGATGGCAGCGTAACGTGCCGAGAACTTCAATGCATTCCTCTCCAACGAGAACCCCCTTCCAAAAGTGAACATTATCAACAAATGGTTCAAGATGCCATCATACAGCGTATTGATTGGTGGTCCGTCAGACCTCGAGCCTGGGTACCTGGGAAAATCATCGAAAAGGACATGGTGCACCAGAAGGCAGATCGCGACCGGCTCTCGGAAATCATGGACGATCCAAAGGCAGCCGAATCGCTCATCCTATGGTATTGTTCATGGTGCAAGAGACCGTGCTTCAGCGACGAGTACCTCCAGACCTTCAACAAACCTAATATCACTCTCATTACACCAAAGGCGAGGGTACCGCGATGACTGAGAAAGGCATCATGGCAAGCCAATCGAGCATGAGCTGGACGTCATTGTGTTCCGCACTGGATATCGTCTCGCAATTGCGGTCAACCAAGGAAAGATGATCGTTACCCTCGGTGAAAATCAGTCTCTCCATGAAAAGTGGCGCAAAGAAGGCATATCAACTATTCATAGAGACTTGAGCAGCGAGGTTTCAAACCTGTTCTCCTCCAGGCCGTGGCAGGCACCGACCAGTGCCAATTACCCGTACATGCTTGACCAGCTAACCATCCACGTCGCAAGCATTTTGTCGGAGATGGACAAGGAGGCTCGGTCACGAAACCCTTGTACCCAAGGATAACATCTGTTCGTAACTGAACCGTATGGGAAAGACGAGGATGCGTGGGCTGCGGAGGTGCTGTCTCGAGCGCGAGGCCTCGCCCGTGTGAAGCTGTGTACCCCGAGCTACATGAACGCGGAGGGGTCGGTCGATCACATGAAACCAGAGAAAGCGCTGCAGGCGGCTGGGGCTTCCATCTGGGGAACGGGCATGACAAATTTCGTGGGGACTCTGGAGAAGTGGGGAGAGGGATTGTGAACAATCTCTGGGTACCATGAAAGATGATGAGTGTACGAGTAATGAGGGGAGAACCCCAGAAAAGTGTCTCATTTGAGGCACCGGTGAGAAAGGACTCGTCATTATGTGAGAGAAAGCATGTTTAGCAATCTCCCCAAACAGAAATCGAAAAAAGTCTATTATCACTTTATTTCCATGCCAAGGCCGAGTAACATGTGGGCAAGTGCCGACTCGTTCACCTTTCAGAATGCTGCCTTGGCGAAGCTCGGTTCCGATGATTCACTCTGGGGCCCCGGCTTTGCAAACTTTTACTCTAACGGAAACCTCTCACCGGGATGTCTTGGATTCTCGGTTCATTTGGAGAACATGGGGATAGAGATCCCGATGACAGAAAATCATCGACCCCGGGATCCCCGGGATTTGTAAAATTAATACACAGGAAATACTTGATCACTAGATGTCAAATTTCTTGGTAAACCTTCCAGAAACATGGAGATGCCTTGGCCTGCCAAGTAAATGATATCCCAAATTTGAACCAATCACCGGAGTAGCGTCCTTAAACGCGGCTCACAACCCAATTCCTCAACAGTCGACCCCTATGTTCGAGGGTCAAGATCCCATAACGTTAAACCTGCCATCGGCTCACGCCGGATGACCTTCATCCTCCAAGCTCCTAGATTTCTATTAGAAAAGGAAGGTGGGCGTTTCAATTTGCGGGACAGTGTTTAGTCTATAGACGCCAAGGGGTGCGCCAAGTACCTTTCCCAAGAAACGGCAAAGAGCGGATGCAACCAAACGCCTGTTTTTCCCGTAAGAACAAAAGGTGATTTACATTTTTACTGGTTCATATCCCCGCGTAGACTCTTCTTCATCCTTGGGGGTGGGGCGGTGCGGGGCAGAGTCTCCAGAAAAAGCCCTATTGAGCAGATTGAAACTTTCTTTTTACGTTTCCAGGCAAGCCATAGTCCTGGCGAAAGATGGTTCGCTAAATTGTGGCGGACACTGTAACTAAACCTTGTGCCAGCCGTGTTTTGTTCTGTGCGGTCGGCTACAGGGCCAGATTAAGCGATATTAGAGTAGCGATAGAAAAAAGCTAAAGCCCAGAGCTAGCCGGATGGGCTGCGATCTGCTACAGGGATTACTAAATAAAACTCACGGACATAGCCGTGGGTTCATGGGGTCACCCGATCGGATCACACGACTCGGGGTGTGGCTAAGCAGCAAGCAAGTAAGTGAAGAATTCACGGGCCGAGAATGACTGTGGCCGAGACGCACGAAAGCAGGTCACGCAGCGAAAAAAAGAGCGAAAAAAGAGTATTTCGGGTTGTGGCGCAGTTAGCTCCGGGGTGTGGGCCAATCAGCGTTGAGATACCACGGGCCTCTTGTCCGGTTCAGGGACTGACCCCGAGGGGCCCGAGAGACCAGTTCGGCCTGGACCCGAGAATCTGTTTGGCCAGTTTAATTTTGGTGGCTTTTTATTGGCGCAGGGTCTTTTCCATAGCTTTGTCACCCGCATCCAGGCCTTTCCCCAGGTTCTTGCCCACATGGCTCTCCTGCTTTCGGGGAAATCTCTGCCCACGTTATGCTCAATTGGATCTAGCGGGGTTTATTCCAGCTCGGTCCGTGGTATGGCATCGCTTCGGACGACCATTTTCTTGGGCCGAAACATCGGTAGTACCGTCTAGCTCCGTCTGGGGATTTTTTTTCCTGCTATTTTTGTTTGCGGGGATTTGTGGTATAGGGCGTTTTCTCAAGGATATAAACCACCATGTTTCCCCCTCTACTTTGCTTTTCTCCATCATCCTTCAATACAATCATCACAATCAACCTACTCATCTTTCTATCTTACTTCTCTCTTGACTAAGATTACTCGACTACACTTCTTCCAATCTACATCCCCAACCACAACTATACCTTCAAAGATCTTCACACCTACATCTGATCTCAATCAAATGCCAGGTGGTGCTGTTTCCCCTATCGGGGGCGTCGATGCTGCTCGCATCGAGGCCCCTGTCACCTTCAAGACTTACTTGATGTGTGCTTTTGCTGCCTTTGGTGGTATCTTCTTCGGATATGACTCCGGATACATTGGTGGTGTTCTCGACATGGACTACTTCATCTCCACCTTCGAGGGCTTGGACCAAGCCAGTACTGACCCCGCCAACTTTGTGATTCCTGCCTCAAGGAAGTCTCTCATCGTCTCTATCCTCTCTGCTGGTACCTTCTTCGGTGCTATCCTGGCTGGTGATCTTGCCGACTGGTTTGGCCGTCGCATCACTATCATCGCTGGTTGTATTGTCTTCCTCATCGGTGTCGCTCTGCAGACTGCCTCTAGCAGCATCGGTCTGCTCGTCGCTGGTCGTTTGGTTGCTGGTTTCGGTGTTGGTTTTGTGTCTGCAGTTATCATTCTTTACATGTCTGAGATTGCTCCTCGCAAGGTCCGCGGTGCCATTGTTTCCTCTTACCAGTTCTGCATTACCATTGGTCTGATGTTGGCTACTTGCGTCGACTATGCCACTGAGAACCGCGCTGACTCTGGCTCTTACCGCATCCCCATTGCTATCCAGATGGTCTGGGCTCTTATTCTTGGTACCGGCCTTCTCTTCCTGCCCGAGTCTCCCCGTTACTTCATTCGCAAGGGTGAACAGGAGAAGGCCCGTGATGCTCTTGCCCGTGTTCGCGGACAGGCCCCTGACTCTGAGTACATCAACATTGAGCTCAATGAGATCCAGGCCAACCACCTCTACGAGCTCCAGGCTACCCCCCAGGGTGGATACTTCGCTAGCTGGGCTGCTTGCTTCAGTGGCTCCCTCTGGGAGCCCAACAGCAACCTCCGCCGCACTATCCTTGGTACCTCTTTGCAGATGATGCAGCAGTGGACCGGTGTCAACTTCGTCTTCTACTTCGGAACCACCTTCTTCTCCCAGCTTGGCACGATCCAGAACCCCTTCCTCCTGTCCATCATCACCACCATCGTCAACGTCTGCTCCACTCCTCTCTCTTTCTACGCCATTGAGAAGTTCGGACGTCGCCCTCTCCTCCTCTACGGTTCCCTTGGCATGATCGTCTGCCAATTCATCGTTGCCATCCTCGGTGTCACCGACTACGACAACCAGCAGGCTGTCGCTGCCATGATCGCCTTTATCTGTATCTACATCTTCTTCTTTGCCAGCACCTGGGGCCCTGGTGCCTGGGTCGTTATCGGCGAAATCTTCCCTCTGCCCATCCGTTCCCGCGGTGTTGCCCTCTCCACCGCCTCCAACTGGCTCTGGAACTGCATTATCGCTGTCATCACCCCCTACATGGTCTACAGTGATGAGGGTAACCTTGGTCCCAAGGTCTTCTTCATTTGGGGCTCCCTCTGCACCTGTGCTTTCGTGTACACCTACTTCCTCATTCCCGAGACCAAGGGATTGACTCTGGAGCAGGTCGACAAGATGATGGAGGAGACTACTCCTCGCACTTCCGCCAAGTGGAAGCCCCACTCCACCTTCGCTGGTGAGATGGGTCTTACCATGGACAAGGCTGCCATTGCCCCTGTTGTCAGCCACCAGGAGGTCTAAGCCGTGACGATTACTTTCCGGCGAAATATCATGTCTTTCCTTTCTTTTTGCTTTTGGCTGGTCCCACATTCAGCGGAAATACCAATGTTTCATGTGCTATGCTACGATGTTGATGTTTGATTGTTACTCTGGTTGATGAATCTAGTGACTCAATGTACTTATATTCGAATATTTAATTTTATCACATTCTAAAAACTTCTTCCTATTCCATGTGTAGATTTTCAAGCCGTTTATTTGCCAGTGCGGAATTTTGGAATAAGAATCGCAATGCCCTCAAGCAAGCGTTCCAACGCGAATGCCAAGCCCTTCCGCAGCCTTGGCATCACTATACACTTCCGACATTTTACCGCCACACATGGCATCACACACTGGCGACACGTGCCTAAATTGACTTTGATTGCGAATCAAATCCTTCCTACCCCTGTAAGCTGCTTGGCATTCACAACATTAAATGCGCCCGTCAGGCTTTTTTGGTGGAGGGATATTTCCCGGCATGATGCCATCCTGCCAACGGGTTGCCAAGAAGGGGTACGTATGCTTCTGTATGCTCCGCGGCGAATACGCCATCAGGGACCAGACCCTAAAACAGGGCCTAGCATATTAACACCGTGATGCGCATGCAGCAAGAATAACTCGCATATCAGAAGGCGCGAATTAATAACAAGGATCGACTTTATCCAACCCCTTGACCAATCTGGAAACATACTATACCAAACTGAGCCACTGATATTGCATCTGGAATATCTCAGACCCCAAAACCACCAATTGATATTCAAAGACTCGTCATCACTGCAGATCAACACAGCAATCCTCCACATGCCGAACCCATTCATCCAAATAAACTTGGATCAGCGTTTCCTTAAAGCCCTCCATTGAGGACGTGCGCTGCATGACTCGTCAACTTGTTCTTGGCTTAACCCCCTGTGGACCCATGATCGGCGGACTGATCCATCACGGATCATCCGAGGCTAGAATTCTCAAAGTACTAATCCCGGGAGTTGCTTCCTGGCCCAATACCGAGACATATGATCGGCTTACCATGTACCGTTTTGGCTCATTATCCGGCTTCTGGGTCTCCCCAGACCACGATTGGTGATCCACTGCGGGCCCGGTACATGAATTAGGGACTCGGTACCTTTGAGATGAGAAATATTGAGACTCTGATTCGTGTGTTATGGGAATGGTGGCTCCATACCTTTCGTCAGCGTCCCCTAGTCTTGTTTGATGTATCATCACCCTGTTGGGGTATGGGCAAATCAACTGGGTACCCCAAGAGAGGACGACTTTCGTGGTATAAAAGGATGGAGGGCGACATCTAAATCCGATTATTATCGCTGCAATTCTCTCCATTTCATTCCAGTGTCTTGACTATATAAGTCATCATGGTGCAACTCACCTCTGCTCTTACCGTCGGCCTGGTCGGTCTAGCTGGTCTTGTTTCCGCTCACCCTGGCCACAATGTCAAGGCTGAAGCTGCTGAGCGCGCTGCCTTCTTGAAGAGCTCCAGCATTCAGACTCGCAGCCTCTCTCAATGTGCCTCGAAGCTCAAGGCTCGTGGTCTCGAGAGCAAGAATGTCGCTCGTCGCGAGCATGCTGTTAAGCATATTCGTCGCCGTCGCGGTCTCAAGAACGGTAAGTCTTTCAGAAAAAATGAGACGATAGTGCAAATCTAATTGTTTCACAGAGTCTCGGTTTCTCAAGGCCCGCGATCTTGACACTGTCGTGAACACCTCGCACAAGTCGAACTTGACTAACGTCGACATGTCAACTGATGCCAGCGTTCTGTTTGGATCCGAAGCTACCTGCATTTTGGGACCGGATGTCACTCAGGGTCCTTACTGTAAGTATTGATCGCAATTCGGCCAATCGAACCAGGGCTAATGACCCCTAGATGTCTCCGGCGAGTTGATCCGTGAGAACCTCGTCGAGGACCAAGAGGGTGTCCCACTGTACATGGACATCCAGGTCCTCGACACCAATACCTGCGAGCCGTTGCCCAACGTCTACATGGACCTTTGGCACTGCAACGCTACCGTAAGTCCCATGTGTTCTTCTCATTTGAAATGTCTACTCGATTCTAATCCGAAACCCAACAGGGTGTCTACTCCGGCATCCAGGCCAGCGGAAACGGCGACTCATCCGACGCAACCAACCTTGACGCCACTTTCCTCCGCGGTATCCAGGCCAGCAACAGCGATGGAGTCGTGCAGTTCGAGTCTATTTTCCCGGGCCACTACACCAGCCGTGCCACCCACATCCACGGTAAGACACGAAAAATTCCCTCACAACTCCCCATACACATCCATAGCAGTGAAACTCAGTCTAACTAATGTACTCAGTGCTCACCCACTCCTCAAACGACACCGTCCTCGCAAACGATACCCTCTCTGGCCTCTACACCGCTCACTCCTCGCACGTTGGCCAGCTCTTCTTCGACCAAGACCTCATTACTGAAGTCGAGGCCACATCTCCCTACTCCACCAACACTCAGGATATAACCACAAACGCCAATGACAGCATCCTATCCGAGGAGGCTGATACCATTGATCCGTTCATGGAGTACGTCTTGCTTGGTGATGATATATCTGATGGTGTCTTTGCTTGGATCACCGTTGGTATTGATTCTACTGAGAGTACCGATATTACTCCTGCTGCTTACTATACTGAGGAGGGTGGCGTTGAGAATGATAGCTCCAGCTCTGGAGGTGGTGGCGGTGGTGGCGGTGGTTCTCCTCCTGGTTCTTCTTCTACCACTACTGCTCGGGGTGGTAGCCGCACGCAGAGCGTTTAGGAGACTGGAATGAGTATATTTGTCTGCCATTAAGCATGAAATAGTGTACCTTTTTTGATCTAGTGAGATCTTGGAACAGGTTATTACTGTGAACCCTCTTGTTGAAAAGTCCAATTTTCCCCATTTTCTGTAGCCCGTTCTCATCTATATTATGAAAACATCATTTAGTTTATTAATTTGGTTCTCGCCCTGCACGAATTTAGTGTTATTGGTAAGTTAAAGTTGAACCATAAATCTTGATTTCCTATTTGCTACTATTCATCAAATATTGTGCCTAGTGCTTCCATACTAAGACTGGCTTGATAACCTCCCCGCTTTCCAATTTGTGGACAGCAATATCGTAGTCCGTGGCCTAATTACTCCGTTAACATATAGATATCAAAAACATTGAATCTACTCACATCGAAATAGCGAATAAAGGGCTCAAGGGGAAATTTCCCTTCACGGTACCATTTAATAAGCTGTGGAATGGCCTGAATCCAGATCAGTAAGATACTTTGTTAGTTTCTCGATGTATCAGTAAAACTCACAATTTGAGCATTACAGTCGCCCAGAACACATCCCATAATAGCTCGACCACTCTAGAACATATCCATAAACATCAGAATTATCTCCAGCCGGTATTCACGGTCAAGACTCACGTTTAGATGTTGTCCAGCTCGAACCTTCAGTTCCCAGCCCATTGGCGGCGAGCCAACAATTACCATTTTACCACGAGCGCGCGTAGCCTGAACACACTGTTCAATTATCGTTGGTACGCCGGTAGTATCAATAGCAATTGATACTCCGGTAGAAACAAATTTCCGAACAGCTTCGTCTAGCGTCGTGAAGCCCACTTCGCTCGTATCAATCGTATACGTAGCACCGAGCTGCTTCGCAAGATCCAGTCGAGACTTGACGCGATCAACTGCGATAATGGTCTTGCATTCCACGATGCCAGCGGTCTATTCCGATATCAGTACATTCCATCTTCGGTTATATAATAGGCAGTAGGGGAGACTTACTAACACAGACCCCATCCCCACAGCCCCAAGACCAGTAACCAGCACAGTATCGTTTGGCATAGCCATAGTGATATTCTGAATAACACCCATACCCGTCTGGAACCCGCAGCCCAATGGGGCAAACAGCTTCAACTCATCCAGATCATTGATGAGATCCTTAGCATTGACAACACTAGATTTGTTGACAATGCTATGTTTGGCAAAACTAGATTGTCCAAAGAACTGGGACCAAATCTTCTTCTCAGGATCCATGGACATTGATTTGTCGTGTCCGACGTAATTTCGATATGCGAATGTATCGCAGTATGCGGGGTGAGATTCCTGACATTGAATACATGCAGAGCAAGAGCTGAATGATAGGAGTACAGGATCTCCTACGCTGACAGATTGAACATTCTTGCCCACTGCACGGGCAATTCCGGCCCCTATGCTGCGTGTTAGTGACGTATTCCAGGGTTTGGATAGTTGCGGGGTAGGATTCAGAGTGAGTATTAAAGATACCTTCATGTCCGACAACTTTGGGGTATTGAACACCAAGTGTGCCGGCGGGAACGGAGGAGAGTAGAATATCTGTGTGGCAGATCCCCGAGGCGTACATTTCTATTAAAATTTCATCGTCGCCTGGGGCAGTGAGGGTGACTTCTTCAAGGGACCATTCCCATTTCATGAGCTCTTTAGGCTCGTGAGATACAATTGCGGTTGTGGATGTCATTTTTGTAGTGGTGTTTGGATTTGTGGAAAGGAAACAAAGTGATTGATTGAAATACTCTTATTTGTATTTCTGCTCGTCTATTGTTGTTGTTTCCCCTCGGGACCCCGCTCATCAGCCACGCGATCTCAATTAGTGCATGTGGGCCTATATTGCCGCGGTCCGAAGTACATCCCTCTCCCCTGGATATCATGTTCAATTAGAATATCAGTGTGTGCTCAATAGGTCGAACAAATATACCCAAGTGGATCCAAGGTCTTCATTTCCCAAGGTACTTCCCGGCACGGCCCGTACAAAACAGATCTCTGCGGTCGTAGCTGGTTTCGTGCCAAGATAAGAATATGCGAGCCGATCGACCCCACTTAGGTACTCACGAATCACAATCTTTCCACAGCTCCCGGTAAGGAAAGCACCGATTATCCAGTTCTGTGGGGTTCTTTTCAGCTACTTGCGGGGCCCATGAAAAGTTCAAACATCCTTAAATAATTCAACTCGTCTGAAATGCTGTATATTAAGTAGCGCTTCAAAGACAACAGATGATGAATGAGAAGATGACGCCGGTTGAAAATAGATAAATAAATGTACTATACAGTAGCAAATCAATTTAAGACCTTGATTATTAGTTCTTTACCTACTGTAGGTCCACTGAGCTTGAAGCTTGACAATAGTTGTCAGGATTTCTTGGCCCGGTTGAATGAGAATGTATCCACAGCAAGACCCTTGCTTTAGGCTACGAGATAAGCCTCAAAACCTCAAGTCTCCCGAAGATCCCGAGAGCTTGTCCGAGTCATGAGCTGCGCTAGTGAAGAGGTCACTTGAAAGGCGCACAGATCTCGACTCTGTGGCGCAGTAGTACTAGCAAAAATACCAGTAAAGTGAGTTTACGCCTTTGTATCTTTAGGATGCACGTGAATCCAGCAAAAGATAACAAACAAACGATAGTCATCGGATTCATCGGAAAAGTCTTCCACCAACGAAGTCTGTACAAGTAAAACCTCCATCACGAGCCCTATTCTTCACAACCAAATATACGGGACTCTCGGCGAAAACAGCATGAGCACTCTGACGTGCAATGCGAGTAGAAATACATATCAGGTCTTTCTCTTTGGTTTCCAGTGACAGCTCGATTCTTCTCACAACAACCACAACTGAACGCGCAACAACCTTTTCGATATTTGCATGCCGTTTTCTCTTCTTGGGAGGTCTGCCGGCTAGACTGATTTCTCTCGTCCTCGCGGATCCAGGCACCACCTGGACATTCGTGCAAGAGATCTTTGTACTGTCGCCAATTCTTGAACAGCAAATCCGATGCCTCTTTTGACTCTTGTCGGTGCTTTTCGAGTTTTTCTTGCTGGGAAGGTATCGGCTTTTTGCCAAGATCTTCAATCTCCTCTAGATCTTTGATCTCCTCAGTCTGATAAACGTCCCGTTGCGCCAGAACTCGTCCCTCTTGGAGCAGGGCTTTCTTTTTATTGAGGAAAGTAACTTGTTTCTGTTTTTCATCCTCCCCGCAAACGGCCTTGGCCATTGAATTTGCGCCTGTGGCGAGCCATTTTTGGTTTCTTTGGTCGAAAAACTCCTCCAGGTTTTTGCAGAGGTCGATGCCGAAGAATGTAAAAGCACCTATCACCGACACGAGGCAGAGGAAAAGTAAACCAGATATTAGAGCAGTAAAGACGGCGCCGATCATCAAGACCAGCATGTACAGAAGTACCAGAATAGCTGTGTCACCGTCGATACCAGCGACGCTAGGCAAAATATCCATTTTGAGCGCTAGGAGGGAGATTTTCCGAGACGGCGAATGCGTGACAAGAAATCGACCTTGGAGAAACCTGTATGACTATCGAACATGAAGCGACCATATATTATTGTTGCGACTTCCTTTATATATTCGAGACTACAAGGCAGAATTTAGGAAGGTGCGGCTGCGATCGGGATCACCTCGGCGAGGCTTAGATGACGCGTGTTAGCTCCCACCATAACAACGCTAAGTCACGCTAAGTTTCGCCTTATCGTCCTATTACGTAGCAGATAACTAACAACCATCGTCAAGAGCCTCATGGGCCTTGAGTTGCACAGGCTGCGTCGTTCAAGTCCGAATACCCACTTTCCACTTCGTTGAATGGCATCTCACATCAGGTGGAGTCTCCCTATGTTGAGATCCAATGAGAGTTTTGTGAGATTTGTAGCAGAAGTAATCTGAGATACCATTTGGTAGCTTCGCATCAAAGCCTTCGGATCTTAGCGTAGTCATGGCCTTGAAATAAAGAAGCCACACCTGCGATGTCATTGACGCTGCCAACAAAGAAACAGGTCACGTGTTTAAGGTACTCCAGTTGTATGCCACTGCTCAGAAAACATATTGCCTCATCTTCAGAAAATATTTTCCTCTACAACTAAACATGCTACCACATACTTGACATCGTTATCCTCCCCATGTGCAGCAAGTTGAAAATCTAGGCAGCAGCGCACCGAAACATCCATGGATATATAAAGAGAAATATCTTGCTCTTTCTTCTTTGCTTCTCTACCATCTCCCAAGGTCAACTTTCCCCGGCAGCCAAACTGGTGGGGAAATACAACCACATCATCAAAGTGAATCGAGAATGAAGCAGAGACTTACATGCGAGCTAAGACAAGAAGTGTCCGGGCGAAAGTCATGTGAGTTTCATTTGTCATTTACTTACACGCCAGACCTTCCAAATAATAACTTGAAGTGCAATGCTGACTTGGGTTTCAGTGAGAGAAATGACTAGGATTCGCCATGATGAGCTACCGAATGATTGAATTAGGGATGACAAGTAAGGCTATCAACGGTTTTCTGACCTGTAATTCTCTTATGAAAAGGACAAGAAACCCTATGGAATAAACTCAGTCTACAACCAGAAAGGGGACATCAATACTGCTGTTTTCACTCAAACAGCGAGCGCCGCTGATTGCCTTGCGAAATTCTAGCCTCATGATAGGAACGGGCTGCCTCTCTGATGAGTGGGAGAGCTTGATGAAATGTGTTGGCCTTCAAATGCAGTCCTACAGAATGGAAGATTGCCAGTATGTGCGCGGATTTGAGACTGGAACTCGAATTATGGGTTGTGCGATTCTTACGAAGAAGAGAAACCAGAAAAAAGGGTTCAGTGAAATAGCACACTTTCATGGATATGAAAAGTGCTGCGCGCGAAGCAAGAAGTAAGTCTAAGTGAGCTTGGGTTGACCTTTGATTTTGGTTTTCTGACTCTCTGCATCTTTCTAGCTGCCTCCAATTGCTCGATGGAGGTAGAGTTTCATGCGACTTAGGCCTCGAAATCACGGAATTGGATGAGAAAAGAGGCCCAGGTTCCAATACTCGATTATCAACCCGCCATGTGGCTGGTAGCTCAATCAATGGTGTCATTTTCATTTTACACTGAGATGTGGAGGAAGTGGTCAGTAATGAACAACCACGGCTATGGAGTTGGGCCGGTCCGGCTGACAAAACAACATTTAGAATGCTATGAATATGGCAAAGGTATTCTCCGACTAACAGAAAGGCTCAAACACCCTACCAGACGACCTCGCCAGAGACGCGATTAAGCGCATCTGACGCTCATTCACGGCAGACGTATACATTTTCAGCTGTGACAGAAATGAGGTCACGTCGCTCGTTCGCTTTGATGAATCAGAACGAGACCCACAAACCAACCGGCATTGTATACAACGCGCTTAAGAACCTCGCCGTGCCACTTTTCTAACGTCTTTACCGCGGATAATATATTTTTCGCTAGTATACCGCACTTGGCCCGCTGGGTGGGGGCCCCTCCACCAACTTGCTCCAGTCGATCGAAAGCCTCGCGGGCTAATCCTATGCTTCTAGCTTTCCATACCTCCCTCACCTATCATGCTTGGTGGCACTATTCTCTGCGTCAGGGATTCCTTATCTACCCTCGATGAATGGCGGCAAACTGGTAATCTTCAACATCGTTGCCCGCGTTACTCGCGCCACTCCTGGACCTACCGTCGGCTTACACGTTCGGTGTCTCCCTCTGCTATGGCGACCCTGACCACAAGAAATCGCATCTCATTTGCCTTCGGGATGAGAGACTTTGCGGTATGCCAACAATTCGCTTCTATCAGTAAGAGATGTGGCATACCGTTGCTCGGACCAATGACTTTCAGCGGGTCCATTACTTTGCTTTTAATACTGTTCGCAGTCAGCACACACAATACTTCGCACGTCGAGGACGATGCTTTCTTCAGGTTAAGGCAGACGTTAAGCACTTCCCTATTTATATTTTTATTTTGGGAAGAAAGGTATAGTGATCAACTCAGTGATGTTTTAGACAACTCAACAGGCTAATTGGTCAACAGTGGGCTCAGGCCGTTGTGCTGAAGCACGTCCGGAGTTATATACACAGCCCAATGACGCTTTGCTAGGCTTACTTCATGGTGCAACATGCGAACTAAGGGCCCAGCGAGAAAGATCTCTGCTGAGGTTGCACCCAAAATAGGTCAGGCTATAGTGGGATGCTCGAAGACAATACTTGACTCTGATCTTACATGAAGAAGCCGACCCAAAGACTACATCACGGCGTGACTGGGCTACAGTATAGGTCAGTAGTTGGACTAATATACTAACAAGGATCGATCACTACGAGGCACGGGGCAATTCTGAGCCAAAAGTGATAGGCGATGACTTATCAAGCCTGAAAACTTTAGCAGGGTATTTATACCTAATCTCTGTCCATGCAAGTGTGCTCGCGGTTCTGGTCGTTGACTTGTGAAGAGACAACTTATCCTTGCTACTGGAAAGAAAGTGGCAACTGCGGGACGAAAGGAAGATCCTGGTGTTCCTGATAAGGAAAGACACAAGAAACATCCCTGCCCACGCACGGAGGAAGAAAAGTGCAGTAAAAATGTATCTTCCAATTGCACAACAAGAAGCCACTGCTGGAGGAAACATGGAAAAGCCGAGGCATTGGAGGGCCCTTTGGTTTGCGACAAGCCAACGGCGAAATACGATGGCCGAGGCGACTTTCGGGAGAGCGGCTCAACAGACTGAAGTGAGCGAAGGATTAGGTTGGTGATGCTGAAGCGCTGAAAACCAGGAACAGTCAATGGATTCCTGTGCCGAAACTTATACCATTTAATTTGTTGAGCCTCACTTTTCACTCATGCTTGAGTCGCCCATTTGTGAGATAGTGCGAGACAATGGACATGAGTTTCATTCAGGGGTACGAGTGGGTTAAGAAATTCAACGAAAGGGTAGATCGAAATCCAGATGTTCGTTTCCGAAGAAATTGATGAGTATGCTACTATTCTTGCCTTTTCAGGGAGGCACATTCTTTTGATAAAAAACCTCGTTGTCGCTAAAAAAGTCCACTTCATGAAGGTATACCCCGCAATTTTCATTAGACTGATTTTGATTGGAGGAGACATGTCACACTGCAGCATGGATAAACCGACCTGCATGAGTGTCGCAAATGAGGGGAATGCTAGCTGGGGTGTGCTGGGGTATTTGACTTGTTAGTCCCTCCCACACTGACCCTAAAATTGATTTGTCTACAACCATGTTGTTAAAATCCTTTGAGGCGCTGCCGGTCATTGCTGGCCTAACAGGCGTTAGTATCCATGCTCTGCTATACCGCCACGGAGAGTGGGACACGAAGGCACCAGCTGTCGTGATTAACTACGCCATTATATCGGCAATATTGATTAGCGTGGAGTACCTCGGCATTTTGGAGAAGAGTGACATCCCAACCACCCCAAATTGGTCTTTGAGGCTCGTCGCATATCATTTATTGGGAGTCTATAGTAGTATGGCCTTCTACCGAGGCGCATTACATCGACTGAATAAATTCCCTGGGCCGTTCCTTGCGCGACTTTCAAACTTCTATGTCACTTTTTTATCGGCCAAGAACTTTCGTTTGTACGAGGAGACACAAAAGCTTCATAAGAGATATGGTGATTATGTGCGGATTGGTCAGTATCACATATGTGTCATCGTTGAAAGTCGCTGACTCTCGCAAACAAGGCCCTACGGAACTCTCCATCTCTGACCCGGCCGCCGTCAAGCTAATTTACAGCTCTCAAGCGAAGACTCAGAAAGGACCGTGGTACAATTGCATTGAGCCTCGAGTTTCACTTCAAACTGACCGAGATAAGGCATCTCATGCACGCCGGCGAAAGACCTGGGATCAAGGGTTTAGCTCACAAGGTAACACCGACCAAGCGCGAATGCGACCGACATACTAACGAATCTTTGCGGACAGCATTACGTGATTATGAGCCCCGCGTGGTCCACTATACCGCCCAACTGATGCAGGCCATTGAAAAGGGACTGAACGAACCGATGAACATGACCAAATGGTTCAACCTCTATTCGATCGACGTGATGGGGGATCTTTCATTCGGACGGTCTTTTGACATGCTCGCAGATAACGAGGACAAGTACTTCCTTAACCAATTGCATGCCGACATGAAAATGATTGGGCTGTTCAGCCATTTGATGTGGCTGTTCCCGTTCTTCAAGCGCATTCCTGGAATCAATGCCGATTACCTCAAATTTTGGGGGTGGCTTGATAATAATGTCCAAAATCGTATCAAGGTAAGCCTGTGAAAATATACACAGAGATTAAAAACAAAAAAACTCTGATGATTTGATACTCTTAGAACCCTCCAAGTCGCCCAGATGTCTTCTCATGGCTTCTGAAGTCATTTGAGCAAGGCGCTAAGACCGAGCAGGACCATCATAACCTACACGGAGACACGTACCTCATCAGCGTGGCTGGAAGGTATAGAGCTGTGGAGGGCCCATTTTAGTTCGCGAGGCTAACTGCTTGCATTAGCGATACAACCGCAGCGACTTTGACGAATTTGTTCTTTGAGCTGGTAAAGGACCCTCAACTACAAAAATCACTTCAATCAGAATTAGATGCGCTACCGAACATATCCACAGACCAATTGACAGGCCTGAAGTTTCTTGATGCTATCATCAATGAAACTCTTCGCATGCACCCTGTAATTCCCTCTGGATTACAGAGACAAACTCCCCCGAAGGTCTTCAGATAGGCGAGACATACATCCCTGGCGATGTTATGGTCGCAGTGCCTATGCATGCATTATTCAGAGGTATTGCCATCCGGGTAACACTTATCTCAGTTTCATCGCTGATCTTTGATATGAACTACACAGATGATAGGGCATTTGAGTATCCGAACGAGTTCAGGCCAGAGAGATGGACGACGAAACCCGAGCTTGTGAAAGATGCTTCGGTATTCATTCCGTTCGGAGCCGGTACGTCTCATACCATGTCGTACGCACCAAGTACTAATATACTTTAGGTCCATACGTTTGCGTTGGGAAACAGCTCGCATTGATGGAGATTCGCCGAGTGACTGCCGAGATTTTGACTCGGTATGACGTTTCTTTCGTGTCTGGATTTAGTGAGACATCTTTCTGGAATGGGAAGCGCGACGCATTCACTTTGGTTGCGGCACCTATGGAGTTGACTTTCAAGCGTAGGAATTAGGTGGGGAGGAGGTTACGTTGCGAGAGATCATGGCACTAGAACGCGAAAGGGAAGTTGTATTTGAACTGGAATGGTATCAACATGTTGACCGTGAAAGTACTTGAAGCCTCGTGTTCCAAAAGAGTCCGGCTTAAATCCGAACTTTTTTGGAAAGGATTTTGAACGCTTTTTCGTAGATCTCCTTCGTTTCTGGCCCTGCTTCAAGCTCTGCACTGCCTCAGTCCATATGCCACATTGTGGAGTAGATCTCCGGGGCGTAGCGTGGCGCTGAGCTCTGACTCATTCGTGTGCGTCGCAGGAGAGGTCTACTCAGATTAGGGTCTTTCGAAAGTTGTGAGAGCTGAAACCCTTGTGGTAATTAGGCGGTTAGACATCAAGCCAACCAGAGTCGCCTGGCTGATTTCTGGCTGCAACCTTCATAGGTGCTACGTGTCATGCATAACCCTTTACCTGTCGGCGCTTACAGGTGAAATTCCACCTGCAAGCACGAATTTGGGATGCTCTAAGGGCACTCATGACTAGATAGAGCAAACATTAGGACATAGTACACAAACCTCAAGAAGCGATGCTTCAAGTCAATTTTGGTCATTATTTCATCCCGCCTCATCCAATTCCCCGATGTCGGCAAAACACCCCACCTGAGCCGCACAAAGTTCTCCACCTTTTTTGCTCACCTCAACCATAATCAAGCATAATTATTCCTTATTATATTCAGGATCGCACATTGCATCAGCGTACTGGCACTCTACTTCAAACAATATGAGCGCCCTTTCAGACCCCTTTAGGACATTGTTTATCTCCCCGTCCGAACTCCATGATGCCGTGTCAAACAGCCAGGAAAAACAACGCATTATCCCAGTAGCTGCCGGCCGAAGCGCTACACTGGCCTCTTATGAATCAAAACACATCCCGAACTCCATGTACGCCGATCTTTGGCATTGACCAAAAACGAGACCCGCCGCTGACAAGATCAAGCTTCTTCAACATGGACTCCATCAGCGATACTAGTTCCAAGTATCCGGTAATGATGCCTACCGCTTCCCATTTCTCCGACTGCATGGCCGATCTTGGTATTCAATCAGAAGATGTCATTGTTGTTTATGACACTTACGAAATTGGATTATATTCCTCGCCGCGTGTCGCGTGGACATCCCTTCATTTCGGCTTCAAAAATGTCCATGTCCTGAACAACTTCCCTCAATATGTTCAACAAGGGTTCCCTGTTTCCAGTGGTCAATTACGAGGACTATCACGCTCGCTGTCTCATTCGAAAACAACTTCTGTCCATGGATCGCTGTGCCCAGGAGAAATCATTTCCTTCGAGGAGTTGCGCGACGAGATTCTTGCGCAGCCCAACGAAAGACCTTACCAAATTCTTGACGCCAGACCTTTCAACCAATTTTCCGGCCTTGATAAGGCCGCATATGCATCTTTGCGGCCGGGACATATGCCGGATGCTGTGAGCATTCCGCTAGCCTCCTTTTTGACGGAGGAGAAATGTCTACGACAAGTGGACGAGCTTCGGGCTCTTTTTACGAAGGCTGGTGTGGTTGAAAGCATGCCTGCTGTGCTGACGTGCAACTCTGGCGTCACTGCCTCTGCATTGGGCTTTGCATTGCGTGTATGCGGCTACAGTATGGACTTGAGGCTTTACGATGGTAGCTGGATGGAGTGGGCTGACAGAGTAAACGAAAATGGCTTGATAGTTACCAACTAGACTGTCTTTACATATTTCGACCATGTAAATAACCTATAACCCAAAGATGATGCCCAATATAAAACTGATGGATTGATTTGACACTAACAGCCGCCGACAACTCAAACAATCCAGTGCCATTTCATTCCCAGCCTCTGGAAATACCCAAATAACCTTCCCTTGGGTACATACCCAGCGAATGTCCTTTGCCAAGCAGCTGCAAAGGAGCCCTCAATGGGACCCAGCTCCCCAAAGCCGATTAATTCCAGAGCCCATGGCATCAACAGGGCTAAGATTCCCAATGCAATCAAGGTAGCGTACTCAGGATGATCGGTCGCAAACTTGACAGCAGCATCCTTGCTCTTGGCCGCTGCGTCAGCAGCTGCCTTTGCCATTTCTGTGCCAGCATTGATTGCGTTCTTCAAGCCTTCCAGTATAGCTTTCGCGATGGCCTCCGACCAACTATCGATGAATACTTCCTCTCTCAACTGTTTGCGGAGTGATTCGACAGAATCGGCGTTCAGGATTCTGGTGACGATATCGGAAGCGATGGACTCGGGAGATCGACCGTCGGCGGGAGGGAGTGGGTCATCTGCCAGAGTTCCGAAGATGCAGTCCCGGATAAAGTCGAGCATGTTGGAATCGATGATCGTTAATTTGAACAGAATAATGATCGGTCTGAATTCCGTGATGTTTGAAGAGGGGCTCCTATTGATGACGGAAATATATCCGATGGTAAGAGCGAGGAGGATTAAAACTTCGAGGATGAAGGTATGAACTTTGGAAAGAAGGGAATGGAGGGGTTGCGTGCTCCCTATTTAACGTACTTCATTTTGTTACGGCGTGCCGTAGCGATCATTGGCTTCAATGCGCGATTTCCTGTTTTGTCAGCCAATTTCAAACTGGGCTGCAGTGCGGCTTGCAGCGCGTATTTAACTAAATAGATTCAATTTTAGATTTTTTTTTTTCACCATCGAATGTAGAATATTCAATCGGGAAAACATAGTCTTACTGATGCGCTGGTGGTATTGACTTGAAACAAGCCAGCCTAAACTCCTACACAGTATTTATAGAATCTGTCTGTCTATCTCTTTCTCCCTCTCGCGCGCGCTAAATTAAGCCCATGCTTGGTCCTACGTCAGCCACGCTCTGACATCCCATCTCCTTTAAACATCGCGCAGTCCTGCCTCATGCGCAATTCCCGACTTCCTCGCCTCCAGAATCTGCAGCGTCTGCTCAAACACTTTCTTCTGTGCCCGCTGCCCGACCTCTGTATATATCCACGCTTCTACATCCTGGTTCGACCCATCGCTCTGAAACTCGCCGTGCGAACTGGCGGGAGCTGACGCGCCGAGGACGAGGGTGCGGCTGCCAACCTCGGTAGTTCGATCTAAGATGCGCCGTATTAAGCGTAGCACCATGGGAGCTTTGCCGCTGTTGCGCTCTAGGTTGGAGGTGCATAGACCAGGGTTAACGAGATTAATAATCACGCTAGTTGAACCAAGGCGAGCGACAAGTTCACGCGTGAAGAGGACTTCTATAAGCTTAGTAGCTTGGTATCTATAGTAAGAAGATAGATATTAGTAACTATATATAAGTGAACAAAGAAAACTAACCTTGGTTGCTGACTAAAGTTACTCTTATTATTCAGCTTCGTATATAGCTCAGGGAAATTGATCTCCGGGAATCTAGTCAATCGGTGCGCCTCAGAGCTCACAATCACTAGATGTGGGTATGGCTCCTTCTCCGCTAATACAGCACTCGTCGCCTCAAGCTTAGGTAAGAGGGATAGTGCTAGTAAAAAGGTATTAAGAACATTAACCTGGACGGCTTGTTCATAGCCCTCGTAGACCTTCCACTCAGGCGAATTTATTCCTGCGTTGTTTACCAAAACATCTAACCGTGGAAGGTCTGTCTTCACGCGATCAGCGAATGCTAACGTTGACTTAGTGCTCGAGAGATCGAGGGGCCATATCTCGATAGCATCCGGCTCGGAGCGTTGCGGATTGTTCCGCAAAATATACTCTTTAGCCCCTTGACCCTTGGCAATAGAGCGAACGGCGAGGATCAATCTGGCGGAGTTGAGGCGGTAGAAGTGCTGTGCGGATTCGAGGCCTAGCCCGGAGTTGGCACCGGTGACGATCACGGTTTGCTTGGCGAAAGACTGGGTTGGGAGCTTGGGGGTGACGAATAATTGCGAGTAGAAGAAAAGACGAAGCCCATAGCCGAGATTGGGGCTAATGGGGAAATCCTCCCGATTGGAGTTGGCGGACATGTGTACGGATCAGCGAAATGAAGTGAGAATTGTTAGTACAAGAAGGCCGAAAGAATTCATTACCGATCAGATGTATATATACAGTCGCGCGAATGGATGTAAAATATCTGTGGAATCCGTAATGATTAATAATTGATTCGCTAATCAAAGAGATTAATTCACCCAGATTGTAGCCTACCGAAAACCCTAGAAGTGGGGGATAATTCCACCGAACAACTACTCTGCTCCTGAATGCACCCGAGCCCGACGGAGAGCGGGATAATTCGTAGCCCGGGAGAGCAGAAACGCGCAAGGATGATTGACATGGTGCTTTACGCGAACAAAAAAAAATTCTCTTGCCTGCGTACCCTGCACTAATAAGAAGGCGCCCCGAGAAGCCAAAGAAACGAGCGGAGAAGAGATGGTTACAAACGAGGTTGGCTTCGCACCATGGATTGATTGCCTTGTCAAGAGCTGTTGAATTACGTACCTTTGCGTCCACTGAAATTGGGAGAGCATGGCCTCCCTATCTAATCACTGATCCATTCAGGTCTGGAGGAGCAGCTCCTGCTCCCTTCCCACTGGAGTATCACACCCTGCAAGCTGGCTCTTGGTCTAAGAGCGCCCGATTGAGCCCAGCGGCTATCCTGCGCCCGCAATCGGCTTCGGAAGTATCAACAGCGCTCCACCCCCCTGATTAACGCGGGCCGAAGATTCGCCATCCGCAGTGGAGGCTACACGCAGTATTTCTTGGGCCAATGACATCGACGGAGATGGGGCGACCATCGACTTGTAGAGCTACTCGATGCAATATAGCTTATAATATTCATGAAATTACACATAAACCTCGTGAAAACAATCAGAGGGCTGGAGATACCAGCCCTTCGCCCGACCCGTCTTTATCTACACTGCTCGTCAAATGGGTATGTAAATCATCTGACGAGACAGATACGTCGAGATCGTTGAATCGTGCGTCCCGCTTGCTGTCCCCACTTTCCTAACGAGCTATGTAATTGCAGCCTTCCACACAACTTAAACCCTCTAGTTTATATGCTATTTCTTGGCCCTAATAAGGGTCATTTCGGTCTAATAGACGGAGTACGGCTGCTAGCTCCAAGTAGTTGGATTCGCGTGTGCTAATTCAAGTCTTACTTCCCCCCTCACGACACGAGTTAATCACCATACGAAGACGCCTCTACATATCAAGAGTCAACGAAAATACAGAAATTTACAAGACGACTGGTCTCTCTCAGCCGCAAGTTCCCCGACTGCCGCACTGACCCCCTCAGTCGAACTAGGACATAACATAATATCATTGGATCATGGCCCCCTCAAAGGCTCGTCTCTCGACATCGGCAAATGGCAACATGTCAGCCCAAGATCGGCAGAGAATAGTCAGACCGGCTTGATCCCTGAAGCGATGGGCTTCTGTCATCTGATCCCCGAATGTCAGACCGGCGCTCGATCCAAAATGAAAGCCAAGAGTGCCAAGAGACGGCGCACTTGTCCCTGAATCCGGGCGAATGAGAGCCCCCCAGTCCCTTCTTGGCGCCAGAAAAGACCCTGAGGCTACTCACCACAACCAAGTATGGGGACAGCCAAGACGGTCCGTGTAGACCTAGCGGCGGATGGGGCAATCTCGATTACAGTCCGCACTGTTCCTGCGGCTGTGAGTGGAAGAGTCTCCACTCGCCATTTTATTTAAACGGCTGATTTCCCTGTTGGGTTTTGTTTTTCCTGCGTTGGTAATCATCGGCGACTATGAAGTATTCGCATATTTTGTTAGCACTCGCCTTTGGCGGATCGCCGTCATATATTGGTATAATTTTGTTTTTGCTGGTAATGAACTTGCGTGCTAATCTCGGTTATTAGGCGCCGAGGCACGGGATTGCGACACTGTTGCCAATGTCGACGGGGACGCCCCGACAACACTTGAACTACACACTCCCGAGCAACTAGATTCATTTGAAGGATGTACGACGCTCAACGGCCATATCGTCATTCAATCTGACTACGAAGGCGACTTCATCCTCAATGATGTGACAGAATTCCATGGAAACATCTCCACTGCCGAGGACAGCCCGAAAGCGCTCAATCAGTTTGAGATGAGTAATCTCGAAAATATTGAAAACATCCATCTGCTTGGTCTGTCTGGTAATGTTTCTCTACCGCAGCTCGAGGTGGCAGGAGATGTGGAGCTCGTTCAGACGTCGGATAGTGGGGCGGTCGATTTGAGATCGCTGTCCGAGGCTAACAGTTTGTTATTCCGGGGAAGTTGGACAAAGTATGAGTGCACTTAGCTCGGTGGACACATACTAGAATTTCTGCTCACACTTACAATAGTACGGACCTTTCCTTGCTCAAAACAGTTACTACGAGAGTTGAATTCTGTGGCGCGCAGACCTGTGGAATTTATGGTGACTCAAGGACTTTCCCCTATATCCTTGTCAATCTACCATCACTCGAGGAGACAGACTACCTCATGGTCGAAGGGGCCGTGAAAAGGTTCGTTACTTCCCTTGAGCACCAAGACTCCTGCTGATATACAACTTACTTAGTGTATCTGTGCCGAAGCTAGAAGTAGCGGGCTACATAGAATCAACCGAGCTTGTTTACGGTCAGGGGCTACGAATCAATATAGAAGAAGGCTATGACAAAACTCTTGATTTCGACGCTCCGAATTTACACACGCTGAACGGCCAACTTGAGGTTTACGGCGGTGTATCTAGGTCGGCCTCCCCAGAAACCCGGTCAATAACACGTTTCGAATTTCTTTTTTGGCTGACAACTTTGTAGTCTCAGCTTAGGCTCCTTGGGAAAGACAAGCCTGAGCATCACACTGAATACAGGGGCAGCCCTTGATGTCTATTCAACTATTCAGACTGCGAGATATTTCTATCTCTGGGGGAAGCTGAACAGGTCCGTCAACACGTCTTGCCTGTTCGATTGTCAGCCTAATAATCTTCAAATAGTATTTATCTGCCCGATATGGACGATTTAGGACCGATCGGTTTGGCCTATTCTCCCAAGATACCTTGTAACGATACACTATACCAGCTGTGGCTTACTCAGCCGAGTTACTCGAGTGACTGGGAGAATATTAATTCTTGCAAATCCTACGATTTCCCGCAGGATGTTGAAGCGACGGACCAAAGCACGACGACGACAGGTGCTACCACCACATCTACCACTACGACTACTGCTGCTACTACTAGTGGTACTAGTAGTAGTTCAGTAAGCACAGGAAGCACGGGGGAGGAGAGCTCGAATGGTAGTGCCACGGTGTCTGAGACGCCTGCTCAGAGTAATGAAACCGATGCAAACAGGCCAGACAGCACCGATGTTGCGACTCAGATAAACGGGACTCCCCGGGCCTTTTCCATAACCTTTATTAGCGGTGCTGCACCGCTGATCATGGCTGTCATGTGGGCTTTTCTCTATTAGCTAAGGACTGAATCCTTCTCCCTTTCTCATAGTTCGTTCTCGGACTGTGGGTATAGGAGACTTGTGACGGCTTATCTGAATTTCCGTGCATTTCGATTGCTCTAGGCGACTTTTTATCTCAATCTAGGGATTTTATCTTTTGAAAAGTGGCATTTTCTATTCACAATCCCAGATATCAAGGCAGGACAATCAGTAGAATCGGTTTTCCTTGCAAATACTCTGCAGATACATTGCCGGTATGTTCTGTCTCTTCAGAGCTTATTGTGGCCATCAACTCCTTTCGGCCTTTACTGTATACTATTTGTAGCCATGAAAGCCAGGCAAGTGAAATGACTTTAGTAGAAAGCCTCGCAAAATTACTTTAAGTCAAAGATAACAGGATTTCTCAATAGGTTTCTACAAAAACTGCGGGAATAAATGAAAGAAAGAAAAGCATCGAAAATAATCACGCAAATTCCAAAATATTACCACAACTTTGGACAACTATAAAAAACATCACCGATAGTCTCTCACCAAGTGACATTGTGGCGGAGACGCACTAGTCGCATCCAACTCACTCGGTCCCCGCTGATTACGAGGATGAGCATCCCAGTTCCACTGCCCAGAACCACGTTGCAGCGCCAGCGCTCCATACATGGACCTGGTATCCGTAACTTCCGAGACCCCCCGATGACTTAAATCAGGACTCGAGTAATGGCTTGGCTTGAGACTAGAAAAATGGCTATGCTCGGATCGTGGTGCTGTGTATGTAGTGCCGCTGTCCAGTTCACTTTGCTGAGTTGGGGTGACACCACCATTGCGGGATTGGAATAGAGCCCACTTGGCCGTCCGCTCAGTTCGTCCGACCTCTGAGGATCTCCATTTTTGATATATGCGGTTGCGACCCAGAGTCCAGAATAGTGCAATTAGGATCGCGACGAAGGCTACACACGCCACTGCTATCCCGGCGATTGCGCCCGTGCTAAGACCGTGCTCGGTGGGACTGCTGGATGATGAGCTGGAGCTTGAGCCTGAGGCGGATGTTTCGGCGGGCATGGATTGGCCAGGCAGTAGCATGTAAGGATATGTAAGGGCTCGCTTGTACTGTGCTTCCCAAGTCTGGCTTGAATTCTGGAATGGATTATTAGAGATCGGGTCAAATTCAAGTCACCAGGTAAAACGTACCGCGTTTATAACGCCTACCATCCCGTTGTCCAGACATGATCCCGGTGCGGTGCAGTAGAAGAATGTTGGCTAGATTTTGATGCATTAGTGTCGGCTTGTAGTTCCCAGAATGAAGAAGGCATACTTCTGTGTCATTGACGGTAATGGACCAAGTTGGAGCCTGGTGATATGGATTTTAGTTAGCTCCAAGGTGATAGGATTTCTTTGACTTACTGGACCAACAAGGTCACCGTCCTCCTCGGTGAAGGTGTTAAATTCGCCGGACCAAAATTCATCAGAGCCGGCTGGCACACAGGGTGCGAGGTAGTCTGCCTTGGCAACAGAGTGATTTGTAGGATAGAATTCGAAGACAAGAATATCACCCGGGTTCGCAGTGATATTGTGCGGGACGTAAGCGTGCGGGCTGACCTTTGGTCCCACCTGAATAGTATGAGTGGTGATGCCGGTGGATGTTGTAGTTGTGGAGATGCTTGTTGTGTATGGACCGGATGTCGACGTGCTGGCGGCGGTAGTCGTAGAAGAAATGGTACTCGAAACTGTTGAGCTTGCTGTTCCATCGTCATCAGTGGTAAAGTCGGCGGTGTCCTCAAGTCCATTGTGGACTGTCACTCCCTGTGCAAGCACCCATAGTTTCACAATGAGCGACCCCAAGAGTGGTCGCAAGAACCGATTTGGGAGCCACATTATGGGCTAATACTCTCTATACAGATGTTTGGAAGTGTTATTGTCGAGTAAATGGTAGAAGAAGAGAGGAGAGGAATAGAGTTCTGGATAATCAAAGACAAGACAGTCCACGTGTGAGACTTTGATTACGCGGATTAAAAATTGGCCTTTGTCTCCGATGTTCTTGTTCTTTGTGTCAGCAAACACATTTTTGTTATAAAAAGATGGATTTGGTTAACTCAACTGTGTTATATTGGTGGCCGTCTGAACTCCCAGGGTTCTTAATGTTCGACTTCTCATTCGCACAAACAGGAGACACATAGCGAAGATCTCCTTGTTCCACTACTCGTAGACACTCTTGCTGTATTTTGCCACTTGAAACAAGTTCGAAGAAGGATTTTGGATTGTATAAAGAATCCCGCCAAGGCTCTTTGTTATGCTAGTGTTAAGTTCGTTCCCCTATCGCTTAGGTTTGACTTGAGTTCTTCGATGGGCAGGTTCCACTAATCGGCTTTCACAAACGTGGCTGATAACGAGAAATATATGTTTCTATTGGCCAAATAGTGAATCTTGGGCTTCCACGAAGCCTTTGAACATTCCAGACCTTCATAATAGAGGATAGGTGAAATCGGGACAGACACGAATTATTGACGAAATAGATAACTTAGAGCTATTGATGCTGAGCGCTACACACACGTCAAGGCGAGACATGCGGAATATCTTGGGATAGATTGATCAGAGCGTAAATCGGAAATGCGGATGATCATCTCCCATGTTCTCGACCTCACGATCTGGCTCCCCAAGTCTCCAGTCTCGTTTGCCTTGATCTCTCATTTTGTTCTCATGCTTCAAGCCAAACAAGAAAGCCGTCGCTGTGATGCTCGTTAAAAGAAGCATACCCAAGCTCACACCGTATCCCACTGGATAAAGGGGAGCTTGATTGGATATGAAGACATTGGACGCGATGATTCCTCCACAGTTTCCAAGGCCCACCTGCAATGCCGAGGATATCGATCGCTTGTAGTGACCTCCAACATTGTTTGACAGCCACACTAAAGTCACAGGCTGTGCCATGTAGCCACCGCTGGTGATGAAGAAGCAGGCCATATACTTGACTCCGGTGGGTAGACCATTCTGGCCCAAACAGATAGAATAGCCGACCGTGCCAAATGCCACGCCAAGCATGATAAAGGCATATCGATGACGAACACGGTCTGCCACCCAGCCTACCGTGAGGGACAGGACGGCCGCGACAACAAATATCGGGATTGAACGGACTTGAGCAGCTGTAGAGGTGAATCCAAGCTCTTTTATGATTGTCGGAAGGAAGAAAGATGAAGCATATCCTGTTGTCAATGCTCCCATGTACATAAAGGTGCTAGAACTGCTCAGTATTATTCGAACATGGGGCATTTCTTTTCCGGAGAATTCGACTCACCCGCACCAAATTTTCCAGTCGCCATATATCCTTTTGTTTGCAGCGCGGTCCAGGCGATCCATTTTAGCTGTGGCGACATCTGCCGTCAGCCGCCGAGATAACAAGGCGCGCTCTTCTTCAGTCAGAAACTTGGCAGTTTCAGGCCAATCAACGACAAAGTATTTGAGAATGACGGCAACCACGCAGGTCAATAGGCCTTCGATAATGAAGATCCAGCGCCAGCCAGCATAGCCACCTTTGCCATCCAGATTTGCGATGAGGTAGGCAAGAAGACCGCCGAACGCGCCGGCGAGAATACTAGCCGAGAAGAAAAGACTCATCCGCCATTGAAGCTCGTGACGTTTGTAGTACATTGATATAAGATAAACACACCCTACTTCAAGTAAGCAAAGACAATTTTTCGAAGTTCACGTGCAACAATCACCTGGAAAAAGCCCTGCCTCAAAGGCTCCTAGTAGGAGTCTCATGGCAATCAAGCCGCCAAAGTTTCGGATCAAACCCATACCGATCGTCGCGATACCTGATATCTAGTGATCAGATCCGGTTCCTATAGGTATTTGTGAGATACCCACCCCAGAGAAACATAATTCCACAGAGCCAGGTTGAGGGTGCAATCTTTCGTATCATAATATTGCTTGGGACTTCCAAGATAATATACCTATTCTTGCAGTCAGTATTTGACATTACCTGTAGTCGAATCGAATATCCCTTACGGTACGAAGAACACCATCAAGCCAATACTGTACTGTGAGCCAGTCATCCCCAATTCTTCTTCAAGGCCGAAGATCTTGGCATTTCCGATGTTGACACGATCGAGAAAGGCGAGTAGAAACAGAGCGAATAGAGCAGGAACAACGTGAAGATCTACCTTGCGTAGTAATTTCTTCTCTGCAGCTGAGTCTATGTCATCAATATCTGCAAACTCAGCATGCTTGATATCGCTCTTCTCGTCAAGAATATTTCCCGACATATCGGGGTTGGGCTAGCGAAGTGAGATTTGGTCCTCACTAATGTTGTTGGGAGAAGGACGATGAGACGAAAAGACCGAAGACTGGCACCTAAAATGCCACCATTTGAAACATAAATAACATCCAAAGTAACTAATACCCGGGCCAAGATGTCAGCTCTGAAGGGAAAACACAGCTAACCAGAGGAGCAAAGAGAGCCTCGGGGAGGCGACGGGAGCTTTCCGCCCCTTAGGAGATAATGTGATTTCATATATCATCTGCTATTCGCTCAAATTCAGTCACCGGAGACTAAAAAGCTCGGCGAGGATACATTAGCTTGGCATCTTCGTATCTTTCCCCGCATTAATACCTAGTTCGCGGGGTAAAGTCTGGGGCACGGAAGTCTACCCTTGGTCTATTATCATGGCCCCACCTTGGTCAACCACGCGGTGTTTATCGAGTCCTGGATTCCAGGCTTGACAAACTCATATGACTATTTAGAAAGTCATTGTTGGGTTTTAGTAATAGATAAAATCTTCGGAAATCCAACGTAGTCCACAAATTCGAGCGCTCTAGATATCCTCTTGAGCCCAGATGTATTCGCTTTGAGCCATTTAGTCGGAATCGAGCACAACGATATTTTTATGTACACTTTGATATTTTTGATTGTAGACCTGGGATTAGTTATATCTCCTTTATTACAAAGCAGTTAAAGCCTCGCAATCATTCTTATGTACCGCGCTAATGAGCGGAACTTCATGAACAGAAGTGCGGATATAACCTTTAGATTAGCGGAACGAAATAGCGGACATGCCGATGCGCGAACCTTAGTACCGTGGATCAATTCCGCATCGAGTCGACTACTCCCAATCAAGTCTTCTTGATAGACCGGTCACGGTACTCATTTTCAACTGGATTCACTAAATTTTGGTGCTCACTGTTAGATACAAAGGTATGGAATGAAGTTGTACACTGCCTATGAACGGATAATTGCGGAACCAAAATGCGTCCGTGAGGTTCTCACAGAGGCACTCACTGCTGTCCAAAACGCGGCCCTATCTCAGCCGAAGCCCACAGTCAGAAGAAATGGTTGATTGAAACTGCAGATATATTTTTGCCCCGCAAAGCAGAGTCAAATGGCTACAGGCGAGAAGAAATTTTCCTCAAATGGCCCAGTCCACATGTAGTAAGACTCGAGCTATCGCACCCCGCTCATATGCCGAGATCTCTCCAGTCGCCATGTTCAGTCACCAACGAGGAGCAACTTCATTCCATAGACATACCACGTTGACTTTTCGGATCTTCCAACCTCTGCGAAAGCTGTTTTCCACGTTGACGCAGTGGTGTAATCTTCACCCCAATGACATAAGTACACACACCGATGATAGCAACCTCGGGCAGCATCGTCATAACCAAGTAGGCAGTAGAGTTGCCCTTGATAGCATTGAAGTCCATATCTCCCGTAATTATAAAGATCAATGAGTATGCCAAGCGGATTGCGAGTAAAGGGATGCAAATTGTCACGCCCTTTAATGCCCAGCGCTCTTCTTCGCAGTATTCGTTCCGTCGATGCCAGAAAATGGCAAACACACCAACCAAATATAGATATATGACAGTCAACAGGGCCATACTGGCTTGACTGTAAGGCGTCGGGGCGAGGGGATGTTCGACATGCATGACAGCGACCCACCCGGCGATTGAGATCGCGATGTCTATCCAGGTGATGATCGATGGGATCCAAAATATTTTTGCAGCTGCAACGGAGACGACTCGATTTCTATGAATAGGTGACTTGGTTAGCTTTGAACCCTACCAAGATTCATAATGGCGGTTGAACACTCACATCCTCTCAAGCATCTCCAGCAAAAGAAATATGATAAGAATCATTCCAAGAGACTCACAAACGAGAATAGCAGCCCGAAGCCCGTGAGAGTCATGCCGGATCAGAGTAAGCTTGCAGCTCGCACTGATGAGTCTGAGGATTGTGAAGACACCGATGCAGAACCACCCAAGTTGATGGTGGAATTTAAAGTATATAGCGCCGAACAGAGGGAACGAAAATGCCACTATTTGAGCAATAGCAATGCCGTCACGATATCCAAATGACTTGCTCCCAGACATTTTATTATACCATGAGAAGCTCACACCTAGCTGCCAAAGATACTGTAGTGAGAACTTCACAAAGTGGCATTCGATCTAGAAAATCGAATCAACTTAATGGACAGAAGATTGTTGAAAGGTTTGAGGACCATATCCTTTAAATATGAGATGTTCCACCTTTGATAGATTTTCTCTTTGCCATGGTCATAAATACACTTGGCCCTACCGGACTCCTTCCGCCAAGGTTGTCAACAATGATCCTATTTTGATGTACGAGGAGACGTGGGTTCTGATTGGTCAGTCTCGGCTCCATTCAGTCCGTTTTGGCAGGCCCCGCGAGATCACGTGATGAACGGTGTAATCTCTCGCCGACTGCAACGATCGGCGAAGGATTAGTGTAGCTAGCCTGGGGGCCATTTCTGCGCCAAAACCTTGATAACTTGTAGGATTCCACATTAATTTGGGAGCAAGTGGGCTATTTTTAACCCGCAATCTCTAAATCATACGGAAGCTTCACTTTAGACCCAGACATACAATTTATTGGCCAAGGTTAGAGGCCAGTCAATGTTCGAGGCCACTAAACAACTACCTACAAAGCCTGCAGTTCCTCATTCTTCTTTGATTCCTGTCAAAAGACTAGCACAATAAAATGAACCCAAGGCAAAGGTGACATTGCCAGCAAAATCTAACCACAACAATGGGGTAAACATCCCTTGTCCAGGGCCAATCCCAAACCAAGCGTTGAATGCAAGATACGGAATCATGGCAAGACCAAAGGCAGTGAAACTTCGCTTCGTCATAGTAGCTGCCCCAAGGAGTAGACCACAGGTTGCCGCTTGCGCTCCAAAGCAACGCATAAGTAGCAATGTAGTGCGGTCATAAGAGACATGTTGAGGAGCGAGGGACAAGCCGATGACTGACGATGGAAGCAAAAGACACCTAGGCAGAGTCATTAATAACTTGATTTGGTAACGACCAATATTCTTCAATTCATTGGCAGTACTTACCATGCACCCATGCCTGAATATCCTATAGACATAATTTGCTGGACACGCCAGGCTGTCTCAAGCCTCTGTACTGAGCCTGCCGGGGCCATTCTCTTAAGCAGACAGAGTCTTTCGATTTCCCTTTTCTTATTTTCAGGCTAATGGAACTTTCCGGGGGAAAGGAGTATCTTGGGACGGAGGAACCTTTCCCCGCAAAGGCCCGTGGTTCCCGACGTCTTCATGTTATATATTTAACGTACAGTATTTGGTAAAGGAGGGGCCACAAACCATGGTTTTAGTCTACAGCGATCCTTCACTTGGAAGATTGCCCAGGTAGGTACTCATCTCAAGCTGCGGGGTTCAAAATATGCTCAGTGACATTTTTTCCTTATCTTGATGAAACTGCCCAGGTGCTTGCTACTTCTCTCATTTCTCTGTTCTCATCCCCTTCTCTATTGCAACCCCCCTGGCTGAAATATCGTCCGTGAAATGCTACCACGTATTTCCATCTTCATGGCTCATCATGCTGAACTGACATCTCATCCCTCGTCACTAGAGTCACCATCTTCGGTGAGTCCCTCATTGCTGCTACTGCCCCAAGACGATGCGTCTGCCTGTTGGGTCGCTTTAAAAGTCTGGCATAGTTGCATTGTCGCTCCTGGCACCAGAGATTTCATGTCGTTATCACATGGACGGTGCTCGAATGTTGTACCGTTCATAATGGACTCTGGGAGCTCAAGTCCTGCCGTTCGCGCAACCGCCAGCAATGTCGACTTTTCCAGGTACGGGCCTGGCGAAGCCCAAAAGTCTTTGTGTACCTCCACCGCATCGGTAAAACGTGTGTATCCCCGTTTTTTGGCCCACATGTACGTTGCAAGGAACCGCAAGTAAAGGTATCGTCGAGCAGGGCGAGAGGCTGTGAGGAACATAAGGGGCTTTTCATGGAGATCCTATTGAAGAGAGATGCATGTTAGCTATGTTTATAAGCCAGGCGTTATTTCGGATACTTACCCGCCAACGAATGCATTCCTCGCCGTAGTACGTTGCAATATTGTCAAGCATCTCGTCCACAACAACAAAGCACTTCCACTGTGAGCTCTCGACGCCCACTGGAAATTGGGCTGGGAGAATTGCAATATTTCCTAGGTCCATTTGTTGCTCCACGCATTTGTGAAGGGTCAAACCATTTCGGGGATCTTTTCTGACAAACTCGGCTTCTCCAAACAAGAACGCAATTTCGTCACCTCCCAGACCTTTTGGCACGATGTGGGCAGCCCTTACAGATTCTGCACCCCATGCACGGCAGGTGACATGGCACCAAAGTTCCTTCTTACCTCTAGCAGTGTAAAACCCCCCGTATCGCTCAACAACGTCTGCTCGGAATCTTTGCTGGTCATGTTTGGAAAACGCAGTCTTTTCCTGATTGCCCGAGAGCGCTTGAATGCGACCCATCAAAGTCTTCGTGTATGCATTCTCCATGAACTTCAGCTTGGCTTCCTCATCGGGATTGGGGAGGTCTTCCAGCTCATCATCGATGTCCCGCTCTACGGTGACAGCAAACCGTTCAATGAATCTCAGCTCCCTCAGAACCATAGTCAAGTGTTCGAGCACACCTGTAATGACCGCATCAGACTTTTCATCATTCTCACTCACGTTCTCATCCACGTTCTCATCCACGTTCTCATCCACGTTCTCATTCACCTTTTCATTCACCTTTTCATTCACTTTTTCATTCACTTTCTCATTCACTTTCTCATTCACTTTCTTATTCACTTTCTTATTCAAATTCCTCTGGCACTTCAGCTCAACCAAACCACCGTGATACATGCGGTAATAATCCGCTTCCGATGATAGATGATTCACTCTCGCTTCCAAAAAATCCGAAACATTCGATAGCGCAGAGATGTTCGAGGACTGGGATGTTCCACTTACTGAACGCTCATGGGCAGCAGAGATGCGACGCTGGCAGTCTTCGGACATGCGGCTTAGTAAAGCTTGGTCCGGCGAGTCTGGATGATTGGAGACGCCACCTAGAAGGCTTCGCGGTGATCCTGGTTGATCTGCCATGCGGTCGAGTGAACTTGGCTCCTGTAACCCTGGATGATGTGCCATGCGGTCGAGTAAGGCTGGCTCCGGCGACCCTGGACGGTTATTCTCATCGTCGGCGCGGTCTGACCGACCCATATTCACCCGGATATTGGATCTCAGAGCTCTGTATGATTTCTTGATGCCGCCCATGATTAAGCTCGGAAAGTAAACTGCTCGGCACGAGCATGAGGTGAAGGAAGATGTTGTTCTGTTCATAAAGCAGTCAAGATGCCAGCAAGAGTATGATCTGGCAGTTGAAGGCTCACAACCTTGGCAACAGGCGAAAAGATATGCTGTGCCTGTAATCAAGGAAGTCCGGACGCGAGAAAGATTATGTGTTAGTTTGATTAAGGGAGTCAAGGTGCCAGCAAGCAAGATTGTGATCTCGCAGTTGAAAGCTCACTGCCCTAGAGACGTGAAGTGTGGAGAGAAAATGTTTTTGTGATCAAGCAACTCAAGACCCCAACACGAGTACGTGTTCTGGTGGTCAAGCGAGTCAATATGTAAGAGCGAACACCGATCAAAGAGAGGGAGGGGTATAGAGTAGACCTTCGATGTTATGACAAGTGAATCAAGCGTTTGGTACGCGTAGATCAAGGCGCGTGTACGATGAACATGAAGGTTGGGGACAAGGAAGAGAAGAGAAGAAAGCAAAACTTATGAAGGGAAAAACCATATAGCCTGTTCATTACTTCCAAGGTTGTTGTAACACGCAACCACCAGATCATAGTAGTCATTTAGCTCTTGATTTTGGGTTCTGTGGTGCTCGAAACTTCATCGAGGATGTACTGGAGGATGTGCACATGCATGTTCTTGCGAATGTTCACCTTCTATGTAATAATGACCTAAACCTTAGAAATCGAATTTGCAATGGATTCATAGCTATGTAAGAACAATGACAATGGAAGCGAAGAAAGCGGAATATACCCAGAGAGATACATCTCTTCCAAGGTTGCAATAACATATATCAACTACAGGATTTCACTTCGAGCTCGGAAGAAGATTATGAACGATAGATATCCATCCGGTACTATGTATCCAAGATCTCTATAGATCTAAGTGAGCTCACTTGGTCCAACACGCACGGACCTTCCTAAATAGGCTTAGTTAAAGTCCACTTGCTCTCATGTCCACGTCAGAATGTCATGAAGCGGCTCGACCCATTCCACTGTAATCTCCAAAGCGACTGAGGCTGCTTTGGGGTCAGTGTCATCTACAATTAACCGTAGAATCAAAGTTAATCTCGTCGCTGGACGGCCACCAAGCATAACACCAATTATCCGAGAATGCCTTCACCGCTTGGAATTGTTGAGTGAGAAACATTTCTACTGGAAGCAAGTCAGATTGTAGGTCAGGTGACAGTGGGGGCCATCGAGCATCGCTCAGCTTGGTGGTTTGCAACCATGGCTCCATGGTCAACACCACCATGGCATACACAATATCGTATGACGGTCAAAACTCTGGGCTACAAGCTGGGAGTATCTATGGTGACGTTAACACAGAATTCAACATCTCCTCTGGTATGTTCTGCAAGGACCGTTCGAGATTATTACTAACAATTGCTTCACGACTTAGAGCGACCAGAAGCGTCACTGAATCAAGCATGCATGCGTGATCTGCGGACGACCGATCCTCGTGATGACAAAAATCGTATCGAACAGGTCAAAGGCGGGCTGCTCAAAGACTCATACCGTTGGATCATTGACAACGAAAGCTTCAAACAATGGCGGTACGGCCAAGACAGCCGTCTGCTCTGGATCAGAGGGGATCCTGGCAAAGGAAAAACAATGCTATTATGCGGCATCATCGACGAATTGACACAATCTGAGGCTGCGAATGTCTCATTCTTCTTTTGTCAGGCTACCGATGTGCGCATAAACAGCGCTACTGCTGTTCTACGTGGGCTGATCTATTCGCTCGTTGACAAGCAGCCAGATCTCCTCTCCCATGTGCGACGCGGGTACGATCAAGTCGGCAAACAAATCTTTGAAGATACGAATGCGTGGGAGGCTCTGTCGAAAATCCTCATAGGTATCTTAGGAGACCCGAGTCTGCCAAGCACTTATCTGATAATTGATGCGCTCGATGAATGCAGCACCGGGCTACCTCTGCTTCTTGATTTTATCATTCGAAACTCTTGTATCTTCTCCAGTGTTAAATGGATTGCCTCTAGTCGCAACTGGCCTAGCATCGAAGAACACCTTGAGACTGTAAACCAGAAAACTACGATCGGTCTAGAGCTGAACGAGGCATCTATCGCCGAGGCAGTCGAAATATACATCCAGCACCGGGTTCGTCAATTAACGGAGCTCAAGCAGTACAATTTCGAGATTTCCCAGGCAGTTTTGCAACACCTTTCGCAAAATTCCCAACGAACCTTTTTATGGGTGGCCTTGGTTTCACAGGAGCTTGCTAAAACGTCACGATGGAATACTCTCGCGAAGCTCAATACGCTACCGCCCGGACTTACAGCTCTATACAACCGGATGTTGGATCACATTCTTAACATTGAAGAAGCCCGACTATGCCAAAATATCCTGGCTGTCATACTCAATGTGTATCGGCCTATCACGTTGGACGAACTGATAGGTTTTATTGACATGCCACATGGTGTCTCTGATGACTATAAAGCTCTGTTAGAAATCATAGCGCTATGTGGCTCGTTTCTAACAATTCGGAAGCACACGATCTCCTTCATCCATCAATCCGCAAAAGAATTTCTGATTGAGATGGCTCCAGTCCACTTGTTCAAATCAAGGATCAACGAGAAACATCTCCTCATTTTTCAACTGTCTTTGAAAGTTATGTTCACAAACCTTCGTTGGAATATATACGGCGTCAATTCCCCTGGGGCCCCTATCAATCAATTACGGCGACCTGACCCTGACCCCTTAGCAGCAGCGCGATATCAATGTCTCTTTTGGGTGGACCACGTCCAGGAGGGCGCTTCTGAGGCGAGTGATGATCTAGAGGACGGTGGATTAGTAGATGAATTTCTGCAACAAAAATATCTGAACTGGATCGAAGCGATCAGCCTTCTTGGAGATATCTCAGAGGGGATTGGTGTGATACTAAAGCTTGACTGTTTGCTCAAGGTCAGAGACTACTCCAGTTTATGGATGATGTTTCTACGATCGACTACTAAGATACATCATAGAAGATGGGCACTTCATCACAATCACTTTCGAAGCGTGTCCATGATTGCTACCGGCTTATTAGATATCATAGGTCGGCGATTGAGAGTGCCCCACTTCAAATATACAACTCATGCCTTGTGTTCAGCCCAGTCCAGAGCATAAACAAGGTACACTATCAACACGACAGACCACAGTGGGTTCTCAATGAACCCGCGATAGAAGAAGACTGGAGTCCATGTCTTCAAATTTTTGAGGGACATACAAATCCAGTCACTTCGGTTGCCTGGTCGCCAGATGGAAGTCGGCTCGCATCAGGAACGCGTTCAGGCAGTTCGAGGGTATGGGACTCATCCACTGGGCATTCTCTGTGTAAATTGAGTCTTGGAAAACACAGAACTTCAATGGGGGTGACTGTTTGGTCACCAGATGGAAGCCAGCTCGCTTCAGGATCGGCGGATCGCAAAATCACTATCTGGGATTCGGCGACTGGGCAGTGCAAGTCGGTTCTCGAGGGGGAATATGATCATACAGTTTATTCGATTGACTGGTCCCCTTGTGGATGTTACATTGCATCGGGATCGGATGATCAAAAAATGAGGATCTGGAATGTTTTCACTGGGCAATGCATCGCAACTCTCGAGCATTGGTCCGGTCCAGTCTACTCAATTGACTGGTCGCCAGACGGAAAAAACATCGCATCGTCAGCATCTATTGGAGTAATCGGGATCTGGGATCCGTTCACTAGAGATTGCACAACGATTCCTGGGGATAATTATCGAGTTTTTTCGATTGATTGGTCGCCGGATGGAAGTCATATCGCATTAGGATCACGGGATCATACGGTCAGAATTATTGATCGGTTCACTCTGCAATGTGTATTGGTTCTTGAGGGGCATAGCAAGCATGTTAATTCCGTTGCGTGGTCGCCGGATGGACGCCAGCTTGCATCGGGGTCACACGATAAATCAGTAAGAATATGGGACCCAGCGACTGGGCAGTGCATGTCAGCTCTTGAAGGGCATGGTGAGTCAGTCACGTCGGTTGCCTGGTCGCCGGATGGAAGCCAGCTCGCATCAGGATCAGATGATGAATCAGTGAGGATATGGGACCCAACCGTTAAACAGTATGTGACGACACTCAATGTGCATAGCGATAAAGTAATATCGGTCTCATGGTCACCAGATGGGAGCCAAGTTGCATCCTATTCAAGCGACAAAACAGTCAAACTTTGGGATCTAGCTTCCGGACAGTGCGTTTCGACTTTCCAAGGACATAGCGAGTCGGTCTGGTCAATTGCTTGGTCACCGGATGGGAAGCGCCTCGCATCAGGATCCATTGATTACACAGTCCGGATCTGGGACCTGGTGACTAAACAGTGCATTTCGATTATCCGGCATGGTAACATCGTCTCGTCAATTGCCTGGTCGCCAGATGGGAGTCATATCGCATCAGGGTCGGATGATCGAAAAGTAAAGATCTGGGACATGGTAGATATGCAACTCACGTCGATACTTGAAGGGCATGGTGACTGGGTCAGATCTATCTCCTGGTCACCAGATGGGAGGCGACTTACTTCGGGGTCAGTAGGCCTAGTCAAAGTATGGGACCTAGTCACTGGAAATTGTACTTCAAACCTCCAGGGTCATCGCAGTTCAGTCAACTCGATTGCTTGGTCGTCGGACGGAAAAAGACTCGCAACAGGATCAACAGACAACACAGTTAGAATATGGGATTTAGCAAGTGAGCAGTGCCTGTCAATTTTTGACATTCCATCTCTTGGTCTACTTCGAGTTGGCAAGGGGAACCCATGCCAGCTGCAGACAGATATCGGCGTGTTTGATCTGGAATTTCATGGCCCTTGCTTGACACCTGTTGATGAATCAACTCCTCTACCACGGCAGGTGGGCTATGGCCTCAGCCGTGATCGTAAGTGGATTACCTTTGATGGAGAAACCACTTTGTGGTTGCCCTCAGAGTATCGATCAGCTGTCTCGTCTCTCTTTGTCACACCTAACACAACAGCGGTGGCAATTGGCAGCCTAAAAGGCCGTGTCTTGTTTCTGAATCTCTCTAACGACTACCCGGACAATGAAACATCGAAGATTTTTGATAGCAACGGGAACAGGCCAAAACGGCCGAGTTCTCGATGACTCATACTGAAGAATTTGTGACCAAGGATATTAAGGGCTGGCATTATCGACTAGGATAGAATCTCATGGATCACACAGTTATAGTACTTCTCATGGGCGGTCCAAGAGCCTCGGGGAAATAAAGCGATCTCAAATGTCCCCACATCCATGCGCAAAATTACACCCACGTTTCTCAACTTTCGATGGAGTCTTCCGCGTATTTCCGGTGAGGCCCGGTATTCATGAAAGATTCAATTCCCTCGATGGTTCAGAAGATGCTATAAACAGTAGTAACTTAAATTGTGGAACTGAATGGCTCATATGCGCAATCATATCTACCTATCAGACAGCACCACCTAAATTGTGCGAATTAATGTCTTCAGATATTGCTCCACACGCCTGACGTCACCCAATTCTGCTACAACGCCAACATATCCATCTGGTCGAACAACAGCCAGCGCACCTAGAGCTGGATCAACGCCAAAGGTGCTATAAACATCATCCAGCTCATATCCATTATAGAATGACATCTCGGAGTACTGCTTCAATTCCCTTGGAATTTCATTCCACATAAAATCTTTTTCAAGTTTCGGGTGAACGACAACCTGCTCAAGAACAGTCTGTGGGAACCGAGGAATGATAGCACCAAGAGCGGCTAGCGTACGAGCGGAAATCCCCTGGGGATTCAGCAGATCCGAGGATGTTAGACACAGGATACGGAAACGACCAATGGAAGTGAAGTCTAATGAACAGTCAGAGAAGTCGCGGAATAATTTGTTCGAATCAGACTCACCGTCTTGTAAATCACGGCGGTACCCATCAGCATGTCGAACAAGGCGCACATTCAATAGCCTTCTGCCTGGGCGCAGGAGTCCAGACAGGTAGTCAGTGCCGCTGATTGGGTTTTTGTCACCGTTCAAATTCCGGACTACGGCCATGTTTTCGGGATATTCAATTCCACACCCGCTGGTGAATCCATTGCCACGACTGAATACTTCGAGGAACTCTTCGTGGGTCAATCCTTCGACGCCGTCCTCTGATGCACCAATCTGACCAGAGAACATAGAAGAGAAGGCGCGGTCGAATTCAATCAGCTCTTGGGCAATGGTGTGACGCTCAGCTTGGTATGTGTCGAGGATAGGGTCGGGTTGTCCGCTGACGGATGCGGGAGTGAGACCGTGAATTGAGTATGCGAGTTTCCATGCCAGGTTGTATGAGTCCATCATGGACACGTTCATTCCTTGGCCAGCCTGTAAAATTGATTCTGTCAGAAATTGATTCAAAAAGCGAACATATGATATTCGGATTACCTTTGGACTGTGTGTATGGCAAGCTAAACAATTGATATTAGCATACGAACAGTACCACTGATGCATTGGGAACATACCATCTCCAGCAATAAATACCCGATTCACACCATTCGAATCCTTCACCGCAAAATTATCGGTAACACGCTGTCCAATCTGGTAAGCCGCCCACCAGTCAACAGCACCATCCGTCTTCGGTCGGATATAATATGGCTTAAATGCCTTAGCAGCATTTTCAAAAATAGTTTTCTCAGTCACTTTACTTCTCCGCGCTCTGGTATCACCCGCCTGCTGATCGTTATCCGGGTCCACATCGCCAGGCACCTGGACATATAATCGCGTCAAATAATCACCAGTCGCGGTACGCTCACGCGGAATAACCATCACAGATCCAGCAGGAGAGTGAATAGCACAACGGCGTCTGATATCAGGGAAATCAGTATCCACAATAAGATCCACCACACCCCAGATATGATCAAGTGATTCGCCCTCGAGTGTAAGTCCCATGCAACGACGAACCATTGAGTGCGCGCCATCAGCGCCGACCAAGTACTTCGAGCGCACGGTGCGACGCTGACCGTCTGTTTCGATCTCTGCCAAGACGGGGTATTCCGCATCGCCCTCCTCATCGATCTTCACGTCGATGAGCTTTGTGTTGCGCTGCACACCTCGCTTCGAATACCGGAGCAAATCTGTTTCTAGGATTCGCTCAATTCGACCTTGGTGGATTGTGACTTCGTGCGGGAAACGGGCTGGAACAGCGACGTCGGATACGATGGAGGTACGTTCGATGATCTTGTCTTTATCGGCAGATGGGTTCCAAAAGGCAACCTGCGTTATTTGTTAGAACAGAGCTTCGCCACACGGGAAAGAAGCAGATGTCCTTACCTGCCACATCTGACAACCCTCGGTCAAAATTTCGTCTGCCAAGCCCAATGATTTCAGTGTCTCCAGAGTGCGTGGCTGAAGGCCATCGGCTTGCCCGGACTTGAGTGTTGTTGGCTTGGAGTCGACGCATAGGAGGGAGTCGTCGCTGAGTCCGTATCGCGCGAGTAGGAGGTCCAGCATAAGTCCTGCCGGACCAGCTCCTACGATCACAACCTCATACTTCTCTGTCTTGCTGTCCAGAGGAACAGAGGGTGCCAGACGGGGCAGTGGTGGTGCAAATGAAGGGAGGACGCGGAGTTCACGCGACGCGGAGGAATATTCGGTGAAGACGGGCATGCTGAGTGTACCCGCGCTGGCGAGCCCGTTACGAATATATGATTGAGTACGCGATTCCAACTCAGAATTGAAGTCAGGGTGTGAATTTATATCTGTGTTCCGTGGCGTCGACGGACCATTGACCTGGACCCATTGAGAACGCGGTGTAGACGTGTCGCGAGCAACAATTTCTTGAATAGCGGGGAATCGAGGGGTAAGGTGAATGCGCGATGAGCGATAACTCGTTCTAGCTAATGGGTCGGGTGGATCCAACGCTGCTCATTAGCCAGTCAGAAATAGCCGCAGATCCATGACTGTGGATTGGTGAGATTCGAGTAATCAACAGTAATGCCGGAGGGGTGTTTGTGGGGTAAATGCCGAAGTTTGGACCAAAGTTCGGATATACATATTTCGGAAATAGACTTGCGGGGTGTGATCTATCTTGTCCAAGCATATTGCAAGGTATTGTCATCATCCTCTTGTCATTGCCCAAGGACTGTTTTATGAATCATTCCTAGATTTTTGACGTCATGTCTCAAATCGACACCGTTGATGAGACGCATATTAATCCTGAGTATTTCATTCATTGTAAAATAATTCATATATCCCCAAATTATTGATACATCTCCATGAATAGCTTATTGTTAACCTATGGTACGGAGTAAAAACGTATTGGATTTGCCTTGCGTATTTTCCAAGGTTTCCGAGGTTAGTTTTTTGTTATTGAACGTTGTATAATCTTGCAAATGGACAGGAATACATAGGTGGAGAACCTCAGGCATTAGCAATATTCTAGGGCAGCGATGGACCAAGTGAACTGGTCCGCCAACTGATTATATGCCAACGTGACGAGTTGACAGACTGAAAGGTGAATAGTCCCAAAATGTGCATCGTACCAGAACTGGCCAGATTCGTTGCCATTCAACGCATGGGAAACTCTGAAGCCTCGAAGTGTGGTCTGTAGAGGTACATACTGGACGCCTTGAAAGACGAAGAAGATACGCTAGGAATGACAGTGGAGACCATGGAGGTACATGACTGTCGACCACTCTAAGAAGTCCACGATGCTTCTGGGTCTCGCAATTATCCGCGCATGGAAGTGGGGGACTATTTTACTGGTATCATGTCACTGTAAGCATGAGCAAGGTCAAGGTTTGATCATCGATCGTGTATGCGAGCCTCAGCACGTTCTCATTCCACATTCGTAGTTGCATGCATAAGGCTGCAATGCGACACCAATAGTAAAAGGCTAAGCGATCGATCAACGACGACGAGGGCCTTGGCTGAGGCGGTGCATTGAACGAGCAAACATCTATCGAATCATTACTCGTTTGGCTAAAGATAAGTGGAGTTCTGCGGTTAAGTAAAGTCCAGGGAGTCGGTTATTGATGCATGCCCCCGTATTAATAGCAAGGAATGACCCCGCACTCTCAGCCGCGTGGGGCTCTTGACCGGGGGATTTCCGGGCTGTCCAGTCATATCAAGCGGTGCGGCTTTATTCCGATGCGCTACGACCCAGTGACTGATGATCTTACAAGTTCATGGGCGTTGATAGCAAACAATAATTTGCGCGGAAGTGGGGCATTGCCAGTATGCCGGGTCCATTCAGCGTACATTAAACTAGGGAAATAGAGGGGTTTTGCCGATCTAGCCATAGAAACCAGTGGCAATGAACTATATTCCACTAAAATTGGTAGTTGGACCCAGTTTAAGATTTGGGGGGCGGAACTTATTGGTTTCCATGAAACTTTAGTTGGCGATAGCCTCGGAGCTGGAGTTTGCCCATCGATGATTAATTGAGAGGCTTAAGAGGAGCAAAATGCCCCGGGCTTTGGCGATCTTCTGGAAATCATTTTACCATTCTCTATTCAGATCTCTTCTATTGATTTCATATCACTATGACACGCTCTCGAGTCGTGAATGGCCCGACGGTCGTTACTGTGCCGGTTGACACCCCCGCGTCCGTTGTTGAGAATCGCTCAGTGGATGAAAGCCGACCTTTAAGGGTTGTTGTGATTGGCGCTGGCATTACAGGAATCTTGTCTTGTATTCGATTCATCCAGAGGGTTCCCAACCTTGACTTGTGCATATATGACAAGAACCCCGATATTGGGGGTACTTGGTTGGAAAACAAATATCCTGGTTGCGCATGCGGTACGTTATTCTGCTTCCAATTTTAGGACCCTCTGGGACCTGATGCTAATTTTTGATTCTGCAGATGTTCCAGCCCACACCTATCAAGCAAGCTTCGAGCCCAACAAAGAGTGGTCCGCATTCTACGCACCCGCTCCCGAGATCCATGAATATTGGAAGCGAGTCGTGCATAAGTATGGCTGTCGGAAGTTCATGAAGCTAAAGCAACAAGTATTGGGAGCACACTGGGACGAGAAAGATGCTAAATGGAGATTAGAGGTGAGCGAGGATTACCCTACCAGGATTAGGCAAGGTCTAACAAATTGTTGAAGCTCGAAGATGTTGATAGTGGCTCAAAGTACCAAGATCAATGCGATATCTTGGTCCAAGCCACCGGCTGCTTGAACAACTGGAAATGGCCGAGTATCCCGGGCATTCATGACTTTAAAGGCAAAATAATGCACACCGCCGATTGGGATACAGAATATGATTATACAGTATGTTGATCTATCTACACTTTATGGCATGGCATCTGATCCGTTGAATAGGGTCAAAACATCGCCGTCATTGGAAATGGCTCTAGTGGCATCCAGGTCGTACCCGGAACCTTGCCAAAGGTAGCACATATCGATCACTACGTCCGCAGTCGTACCTGGATAGCTCCAGCATATGCTAGAGAAGTCCTTGATCGGCGCGGTATAAGTGGTGATAACTGTGCGTGTTTGATCTTGCATACGGAATAAGCACTAATGTTTTCCAGATTCGTTTTCTCCCGAGGAGCTTGAAAAATTCAAGAATGACCCTGCAGCATTGTTGAAATTTCGCAAAGGCAAGGCCACATGCTTCCCCCGAAATGGCTGCCTCTAACTAGAATACAGAGGTTGAGCTCCACTTGCAGTCTGTCCATGAAGCCACTCTCAATGGCACACCCATGCAATTGGGCGCCATCCCATTTTTCACCGAGAACATGAAGCGACGCCTAGCAAACAAGCCCGAGCTACTAGATGAACTCGTTCCATCTTTCCCACCAACCTGCCGTCGTCTCACCCCCGGTCCGGGCTACCTCGAAGCATTGACAGACCCGAGAGTGGACATCATCAAGTCCGAGATTGTCAAGGTCGACGAGACCGGTGTCATCACCGCAGATGGTCAGCACCGACCCGTCGATATGATTGTTTGTGCAACTGGCTTCGATACCAGCTACACACCCCGATTCCCCATCACAGGAGTTAACGGACTATCTCTCGCCGAGCGGTGGAAGGCATCTCCCGAAACCTATCTCTCAATCGCGACGGACGGTTTCCCGAACTATTTCATTTGCTTCGGGCCGAATTCAGGTCTGGGTGAAGGAAACCTTATCATGCTGTTTGAGAAAGAGATTGAATATTTCGCCGAGTGCTTACGCAAGATTCAGCGTGATAATATTCGGTCTATGAGTGTGCGCCCTGAGTCTGTGAAGCGGTTTACTCGGTACTGCGATGACTATTTCAAGAATACTGTTTACAGTAGTAAATGTCGCAGTTGGTATAAGGGTGGAAAAGAGGAAGGACGCGTGACGGGTGTCTGGCCTGGTGAGTATTCGCGTTTCTTTATCTTGCAAGCTTGTGATTGGCTGGCTGATTGTGCTACGTTAGGCTCGTCGATTCACTCTATGAAGGTATTCTCCAATCCTCGTTGGGAAGACTATCAGTACGAATATCTTAATGATAACCCGATGGGCTGGATTGGTGATGGGTGGACTGAAAATGAGAAGTACAAGAAGATTAACGTTGATTACTTGGATGATGACCAGATCGACTTTCCAACCCCGGCGGTACAGAATGGGGCAGAGTAAGTCTCACGTAGATACGACAACCCATGTTTTGTATATAGCGATATTCATTTCAAAAGGAATGCGATTTCTCTTGCGGCCACATTCAACTTCCTTAGTAAGGAACGTCATGCTGGATAAACATCGAGTGTAAAGTCTTCAAGTGCATTTGGGACGTTCCGCTCGAGACGAACGGGCTCATATGTCTCGTGGTATGTAATGGCGCAATTGACACCCATGGTACCATTCTGGCCAAATCAATCAGTCAGAACAACAAATAAAGTAGATAGCAACATGGACTCGCCAGAATGTAGTCAAGCAATGGCTGATCTCGCACACGAGAACAAAGAGGAACGACTGCAAGTTGGCAGTCATCCTGCTTTAACTTTCGCGAGGTGCTACGGGACGACCCGAAGGTGGAATTATCGTTCAACTCAGCCTTGAATTATCAACAACGACCGCGTGGTGTCTAGATCGATGGGATGAAGGATTATAATCATTCCTTGGCATGTAAGCTGACTTGTCCTACCGCCATTTCTATGGGTTTATTCCTTTCTCTTCGCTAAAGCCTCTCAAACAGTTCAATATCCTGGTCCGCATCCTGTATATTATGGATGATGACATCGTCCGGTCGTCTATATACTCTGAAATGAGACTTTTTGATGAGCAGAAGATGAATGGTGTGGCTAAGGTATTTTGGAGCAAAGTTCAATTGACCTGTCAATTGTCGGAGAAAATTACCGCTGTACGACAGACAGTCAGCTTGTATCACCGGATAAAAGATCCGAGGACATCGGGAGGTAAAATATATAATAGTGAAGCAATGAATGTACAACTACTTGGAATGAGAAACTTAGTTTTGCGATACAATGGACCTTTGAGCAAGGTTAATGCATCCTGTGTATGACCAATGTAGCTGATTCATCATAGTTTTCCATGGATTATAAGACAATGATTAACCTACGCGTTTAATTCATGTCGCAGCTGGATTAAGTTCGTGATGATATCATGCATATTACCGTACCATACGGGCCTTTGTATCAAAACCGCGTACACTCACCGCATTTAACTCGCGCACGAGGTACTTCAGCCCGCAATACCAATACCAGACAGACCTGCACCTTTTCCTCCCCAGACTCAATCACTCTCTCTCCCAATACCCCAGATCTCCTCCCCGATGGACAACCATGAAGCCCGCCGAGAAGCATTTTCGCTGCACGATCTGTCAGCGGGGCTTCACACGCATTGATCACTTGAAAAGGCACCATTTAAGACGTATGTATTGTTTCCTGCATCCTGACCAGCTCGCTTATGCCTGGGCAGATTCCGGCCAGAAGCCATACTCCTGCGTCTTCTGCAATGAGGCGTTTGCTCGATGGTACGTGCGCGAAAATTCTCGGAATTTTCTCATCTCACACCCTTATTCTTTAGTGATAATCTTCGCGACCACTATGCGGAGTGCGCCCAACGGGGGGATCGCCAGATCCCCGAGACCGGCCAGAGGGGTCGTCGTCGCCATGCATGTCTTTCGGTAAGCAACCATTGCGCACGAAGAGGCCTACCTACCCTGCTAATTGTTTTTCGCGCTTAGTGTACCTCCATGAAATTACGCTGCGATGGTCAGAGTCCCTGCGGAGCGTGCGTGAAACGGGGCCTTGACTGTAACAATGAACGGATCGGCCGATCGCAACATCCTGGTTTAGATGAAGGTATGATACGAGATATTTCAGCCTGGACCAAGTAGCTTATGACATGCAGGATCGCCGACAACCACAACCGAGACGTACGCTGAACAATCTGACCGTGGGTCGATCAAGTTTCTCCTGAATGCGGGGCTTGATAGCTTCACGGAGCACTTTCGCCTCCCCCCACGCAACGACCGAGCTCGCAACCTCATTCTCAAAGAACAAGAGGCACAGGAGGATACAGGTGGAGTGTTCCCATACGATGTGCCAGGCAACCGACCGGCGTATACCCCAGCCACGGCGGACCCCGACCCGTCCACCATGCAATATTTCCCTAATTCATTCCTCGATTTCTTCAACACATCATTCGGTGAGCAGAAGCCCGTCGAGGACCCATACACAGGGCATGCCCTCCCGGCAGGGCTTCCTTCCACACAAGATTCCCACTCAACAATAATCCCCGATCAAGCTGTCTTTGAGCCAGAGCGCCCATTTGCTATGGCCCTCGTTCAATCGATACTAGCTCGAGCATGGACCGTTCCATTGGATAGCAAGGGTCAAGAAGAGATATCAGCGAACCTCAATTTCCTTTTGACGACCGCGCGCATAAGGAAATTCGCTGCATTATACTTCAAGTTCTGGCAACCCAGCTGCCCTATGATTCATTTACCTTCTTTCGACCCAGAGACGGTGTCTTTGCCGCTACTGGCCGCGGTGGTTTTCATGGGGGCCATGTATAGCACCGACCAAAGGGAGGTATTCGTGGCCAAACGAGTCCTTGACTTCGCCGAGATGTTTATTTATTCCAGTCAAGTCTACTCGGCCGAAAGCGAGATTGCGAGTATATTTCTAGGAAATCGGACCACTGTTGATGAGGGAGACGATTGGGTCAAATTTCAAAACTTCCTAGCCGGGTTCATCATGGTTGCAGCTCAATACTGGGCAGGGAATCAAACAGCTCGGGCCCGCGCGATGGAGAATCGCTTCGGCGAAGTTGTGAAAGTGAGTTTCATTCCTATATTGGAGGTATATGATGCTAATTGTGAGCAAGGTGGCTCGACGCCTTCGTCTCATAAAGTGCCGACATATGCCGCATGAACAATCAAACGAAACACTTTGGATCCAGACAGAATGCCGCATTCGGTGAGTATCCCGAACTTGAGCGCAGACAGCACTGTTCTAACATAGCAACAGGGCTATTTCCATTGTTTCATTAATGGACTGCGCATTTTACTTCTATCAAAACTACCCCTACCGTCTTACAACTTCCGAAATGGAAAACGACTTCCCCTGTGAACAATCTATCTTTCAAGCCGAGCATCCATTCGCAGAACCAAACTTCCGTCTTTCTCGCAATCTCACATTATACGAAGCGTTCCAAAATCTGTTTGCCCGGCCGCAAGATTCTCATGTGCAGACCCCAGACTCGATGGATCTGACTGTTCTCGACATGTTCATGCTCATTCACGGTATGCAAATATCACATCGTCTACAATGAACTTATGCTAACGCATCCGACCCAGTTCTATTTGCTTTCATAAATACCCACATGATGCTTGTTGGATTCCTAGGACGCCACGGTGAAGTCATACAATTGCATCAGAACTCGTCCAACGGCAAGAGCACAATCCCCGAAGACTCGCTTCTATCTTCTATTATGATAGCCCTGAATCGCTGGCGTGATTACTGGTTTGCATTGCGCAGTCAAACCTCGAACGACGAATGGGCTTCAATGGGTTTCTACAAGAACAGTTACAATTTCTGGCTCGTCTCACACCTACTCGTTACTAAAAAGGATGCTGTCGATGTTCTTATGGAGATGGAGGTGAGCTGCGAGGATAAGTTGGAGAAGTTAAAGGTTTTGTTACAGGATGAGACAGAGTAGTCTCTTTTTTCGGCTGGCCGGTTATACTCTTACTCTCTAAGTCTTCCTTGAATCGCTTTTCACTGTCTTTTAAGTGCTTTGATCATTCCTGGTGTTTTGGTGGTAATTATAAGGGGTTAGAGGAGGCGTTGATCAAGTACTTTGATATCCTGGATGATCACATTCTATGGTTCACTGACAAGATGAACTATTCTACATTTTTATATATATATACCTATAATTATACCACTGTCACCTACAGGTTTTTGCGTTTCTACATGGTATCAAACATTGGATGGCCATAGCTGATCGATAAATTCCTTTGTCTCAAATTGAGTTTTGGTACTTGGTCTATCACTAGTCCAAGCAAAAATCTCAGGCATACCCAAGATTCCAAAACGTCTCAATGTTCTTCCCAGTATCCTCATCCACATACGCCGGCGGTTCTGCAAGAGTAACATGCTCCCCATGCAGCTCCGCGACCTTCCCTGTCAAGGATTCATCATCCACGAACTGCGCCACGGCTTTGGATACAGTGGACATAGGCGTAAGCACCATAGACTTGAACAAATCCGAACTGGGTGCGATATTCGTTTCTGTAAAGATTAGAAGCCTTTCATCATCGAACCGGATTCAAAATGGAGAGAAAAACTCACCAATAACGGCAGGAGCCAAGGCATTAATACGAATGCCCTCAGGAATCAATATTCGAGCTAGCGAACGTACCAATCCAATTACACCATGCTTTGTAGCTGCATACATAGGCGCCATAGGAAAGGGATATAACCCCGCATTCGAGGCAGTGCAGCAGATAAGTCCCTTTGAACCCTGGCCATTTCCGGATGAGTTCCTAGACATATAGTGAATGGCAAGTTGCACCGCTAATCCGGTCATTAGCCTGAAGCCTCCCCAAACAAATGGGTATTCGCATGACCACTCACAATAGATAACCCCAACAAGGTTCACGTTCAAAGTAGCCAAATTTGGCTTCACGGGTCCATCCTTAGCAGCATCACGCGGCAGCAAACTACCCTTCTCCGTAATGCCAGCGTTGGCAAATACGATATCAATCCGACCCTGCTCTGTGAAGATTTTCTCAAAGGCCGCTGCTTGACTCTCCCAATACGAAACGTCGCATACTTCGAACGAAACCCCTGCGGACGGGAACTCTGCTCGAAGTTGGGCAAGTGTTTGTGCGCCGGTTTGGGAGTTGACATCTATAATAGTTATATGTGTATTTGCATCTTGGATGAGGTGCTTCGTTATTCCCAGTCCTATGCCTGATGCCCCTCCTAGATACTGTGTCAGTGGCGGACTCTGGCGCGATGGGCATTGTGTATTATATCCTACCAGTGACAACCACGCTGCGTTTTGGAGACATAGAGCTTTGTGATTTACGATTTCGCGATTAAGGTGGGTTTCTTGGAATTATGCTGCGCTTTGTTATCTCGTGTCTTATGAAATGGTTTGCAGACTTCAGTGACTGTGTTCGGCAGAGGCGTGCGCACCTACCCCTCATGTGCTTCCCCACATTGGCATAGAGTTGGCACTGGGGGATTTCCGGAGGCTCGAGAGCCCGTGAACCGTGATTTATCATCCAGATGATTGAATGCCTTATTTCTGAGGTCCTTCAGGGCTTGGGTGAACTTAATGTTTTGGGTTCTCTAGCTGTTGAGCAGTCCTGACGGTTTTACCCCGCATTATAATTTCTTCAGCCCTGGGGTGGGGACGATCACTATCTCCCAATGACAAGAAATAACTTAAATATATCTATGCAGCTTGAGAATTTCTTTCGTACATCGCGAGAGATCAGGATTTGTCTTTCTGTAAGATGCCCGGATAAAATGACATATTATAATGTTTAGTCTAAAGTAGAATAGCTTGACAAATATTGTTGCAAGGAGAAAAGAACCTTGGTATGGAATACAGATATCCATGGTTCAGGCCGATTTTTTAAATGCGCAGTCAAATAATTTTAGGCACAAAATAGACCGCGATCGATTCCAGCCTTAAACACAGAAAACCTTGGAATCATAAGATTCTGTCTCTGGAAGAACACGCTATACTCATTGTGGTTAGCCTTCCCCTGAGCCCCTTTTAACCATATTTCAGTATTTCAATACGAGTACGGAGTAAATAAAATCGTAAAATTAGCTTCGTGTCAGGCCCGTATGGCCTAGAACATTAATGCCTAGAAAATTAACGCTGCAAACAAGCCCGGCATATGACTGCCGTCTACTTTATTTGTCTTGGAGGCTGGGCGCTAGCTGGATCATAACAGGTATCAGATCGTATCACAGATATACCTAGCATTTGAAGGCTCTCAATCGTGACCGTTTCAACACGTGCTCTCAGGGACGGAAAAGGGTCTCACAAAAGGGGTCTGGGTCTGGTTATCTCGAGCCCTTGGAAGGGGTTTTTGACTCGGATCCGTCCGGCATCACATGACCTAGTGGGTCCCTAAGGCGAGAAGCTTACCTTTTTGCGCCTTTTCTCCCCCCTCAAAAACGAGCACTCTCCTCTTTGCAGATCTATTTACTACTTCACTGATCTGATCATCTCTCCTTGCTGGTGTCGATAAACTCTAACAACAATCATGGATGGGACCCACGGCTCGTAGTGGGGTGGTTCATTTCCCTCGTTAATGCATGCTTCCGCGCCGTTCACACACAAAATCTCAATCGCACTCACCCATTGGACCACTTCCTCGCTTATGTAGCTCCCACGGAATTCCGCTCTTCTTAAAATGACGACGCTAGCGCCGGGCTTTCTATCGGAGATAACGCTAGACCGAAAAAGTGACATTTAATACTGTAGCCTCCTAAACCAAATAGTGGGTTCCACTCCTGACAGTAATGTATTAGCGCTGCTATAATTAATTACCCTTTTCCCGGTGGCCCGATTTCATGTCCTTCTTTTTAAAGGAGGTTTTTTTCGAGGCCATCTGTGATCAATGATCGCTCTTGGCTCCTACGATCAATAGTGCCAAGGTTCACTACGGTTTACATGTTGATAATCCCCGTGCATTGTATACCAAACAGCTCAGTTCTGCTTCTGGAAGCTGATTGCTCGCGTTCGCGATGCGTTTCTGGGGGAACTGGCTTTCGTTGAAGGGCGCGTTAGTCACGCTACTCCTTTCCAATAGAGTAAATGCGATTACTTTGGATATCAGCGATGAACGTATGTGAAAGCGCGTGCTATCCGCCGGGATCCGCATGCCTTGCATAGTGGTCTGAAAAACTGAATACTGACCCCCGTTTACAGAGTCTATCAAAGATGCTGCTGGTACCAGCGCCTATGCTATGATGACCTACTACAAAGGCAACGAAACAGGTCACATTCCTGGTGCCTTTGCGAGTAAATGGTGGGAAGGAGCTGCTCTTTTCTTAGCTTTGCTCCAATACTGGCATTTCACGGGTGATACTTCCTATAATGATGAGTTGCGAGTCGGATTAGAGTGGCAAGCTGGTGATGGAGACTATATGCCTGCAAACTATAGTAGTTACCTGGTGAGAGATCTAGTCGCCCACTGATGCGAATTCCAATTTGCTAATCATTACTCAAGGGAAATGACGATCAAATGTTTTGGGGTCTTGCAGCTATCACTGCTGCTGAAGTCAAGTTTGCTGATTCTTCTACTGGATACTCTTGGCTTGCACTTGCCCAGGGTGTCTTTAACACCCAGATCGAGCGTTGGGATACTACCACTTGCTCGGGCGGCATGCGCTGGCAGATCTGGTGGTGGGAGTCTGGTTATACGATGAAGAACTCCATCGCCAACGGTGGATTATTTCAACTAGCTGCACGACTCTACCGTTACACAGGAGATGAGACTTACGGCACATGGGCTCGCAAGATCTGGGATTGGTCAGTGACCACTCCACTCCTAAGTAACTCCACCTGGAATGTTGCCGACTCGACAGCTATGGAGGACGGCTGCACAAGCCAGGGAAACACACAGTGGTCATATAACTACGGCACGTATCTGATGGGTGCCGCCTATATGTACAACTACGTAAGTTGGGATTCATCATTCACTTACTCCAATTCTAATTTGATATAGACAAACGGCACAGAGCAGACGACATGGGAAACGGCGGTCTCAGGCTTATTGACAAAAACATTCACCCATTTTGCCCCGGACAGCAACGGTGGAATTTTAGAAGAAGTCGTCTGTGAGCCCTCTGAGGCGTGCAACGACAACGAAATTCTCTTTAAGGGACTTGTCTCTTCTTGGCTCTCCTTCACAGCCTTGATTGTCCCGTCACTCTATGATACCATTCTGCCAAAGCTGCAAACATCCGCTACAGCAGCTGCTTTATCTTGCACCGGTCACAGTAACAATACTTGTGGCGTCCGCTGGTACAAGTCGGAATATGATGGCTGGATTGGCATGGAAGAGGAAATCAGCGCCACTAATATCTTTGTCGCCAATATGATTGCTTTCAGCAATGCTGCCCCTGTTACTTCAACAACGGGTGGAAACAGTACCAGTGACGCTACTGCTGGTCAGAATGACACGAGTACGGTTAAGACTACGACAAAAGTTACTTCTGGCGATCGAGCCGGTGCTGGCATTCTAACAGTGCTTTTCGTGGCGGGCTGGGTTGGCATCATGGGTTGGACCGTCTTAGGAGGTTGAGGTGTGTACTCTGTAGCTATCGGCCGTTCGTGGAGTTCGATGGATTGAGCTTGTGGTTTTATATTCTTTACCTTGAAAGCCTTTTGGTTTACATGGTATGATTTGTTCTAGTACATATTGTTAATACTTGGGGGCTTCATATAGCATAGATCAACCGAAAAGATATCGCACTGAATATAGAACTTTGAACTATTTGAATGATTGGTGCCCGGGGTCCAGGATGACACAAATCATGTTCAGAACTCAGGCGTTGTCTGGAAGACGTCGAAGTGAAAAATTTTATACAAATGTATCGAATTAACCCCAATATGACCCGTATGTCACATGAAATCGCGGATCGTACTTGGACCGGGAAGAGATCCCTCGGTCCATGTTGTTCCAAGATCTTCCGATACTAGCAGCTATGAGAACTAGGTATGAAGGCCTTCTCGGCTCTTAACGAGACTAGCCGCAGAGTAGATCCGGTGAGTCTGAGGTCTTGAATGGGGAATAGCTCCCGGGCGATCCCTGTCTAGACGACACTTTACTTTTTTCGTCCCAAAAGCAGGAGGAGAAATTAGGAAAGCTACCTTTCAGCATGAAAATGTATCTTGGCATCTCTTTACGGTATCCCTTTATTTCAAATTTAACCACTGGCAACACTAATCGCGAGATAACCCACCGGTACCATTTATTCAGGAACTGAAGTTTCTTTTGAGTATTGATTGTGGCTTGTGTTGAGATGATCTCGTATTAATACTGCTAATTGGCCAAAATTTACCCACAGTATTTCACATATAATAACATATTCTATCGTGATGAATGAACATGGTCCAATACTCGAGTCCTTCACGAGGAGCCACCGCCCGAGAACGCGTGAGCACCCTCATTTTCGTAGCCCCCATTAGCTCCAAGGTAAGCAGCAATGGCGTAGTCCGAATCGTTGGTGTAATCCGCAGTGGAATTGATACCAATTTCCTTCCATGCGAAAATGCCATCCGAAATATCATCGCCCAAATAGACATAGCGAATAAATGGATCATAACTCGAAGTTGCCTGCTCTGGCAACCACTGGTCTTCTTCATTGCTGGTAACCGCAATCGTGTTGGTGTTGTAAGGATTCGACGCCTCGACAGCAGATCGAAGGGCGTCGTCGTAGAACAATTGTCCGTTATGAGTGATTGAACCGGAGTTGATTTGGAGTGTACCATTCGCAAGAATTGTGGCGTTGGTGTGGACAAGCAGATGGGTATGGGTGGCTCGACCGGAATAATGGCCGGGAATGATAGTGTCAAACGCTGCGACTCCGTCACTGTCAGTCGGCTGAATGCCTCGCAAGTAAGTGCTGTTCCACCCTGCAGCGGCGTAGTTGCCACTTTCCGAGATACCACTGAAATAAAATTCGAGTCAGAGAAACTAGCATCAGATCATAAATAATTGAAGAGACGTACCTATACACTCCAGTAGCATTTGCATTCCATATATCCACGTAGAGATCTGGAAGAGGCTGGCAGGTGTCCACGTCGATGTATTGGATCTCAAGATACATTGGGACACCTCGAGAGTACTTCTTCTCGACAACATTTTGGCGAATCAACTCGCCCCAAACATAGTACGGGCCATCGGTGATGACAGGAGCCAGTATACAGGTGGTTTCTGTGTCAAAAACATTACCGAACGGAGTAATTTTTCCAGTCTTGTTGTGCTCAACAGCGGCCCATTTCTCCATGTCATCTGAGGTTCGACGAAAGTGGACGTTGGTCTCTGCAAATTTTCAGTTAGTAGTATGTTCATTTCATACCTTGTAGTAAGAATAAGAGAAGGAGAACTTGCTGTCACTGAGGCCGCGTTCCTGACGAATTCCTAGGGCTTTCAACTCGCGACGTTCGATGTTTCGCGCACGAAACGAACGGTAGGCCTGAGAGCGAGCACACTTAGCGAGAGCACGGTTGCCGTGAGTAGCCCGAGCTTCTTGCATGTTCAACTTGCGCTTGACAAGGGCATCATCATGATGTTCCCCGGGATGCGCGAGAATAACGCTGGCCAAACAGGTGGCAGCAACTGCAAGGCAGAGCGGCAACTGCATCGTGTCTGACAGATATGGACTGTTGGTTGGTGAATGAGGGATGTGCAAGATGGAATATGATTAGAGACTTCAAGTAAGGGGGACTTAGCTTCTTAAATACTTCTTGATTAATGAATCTGGCATTGCGCTAAATTTAGGCTGCGCGTTTTTCGGAGCGTCTCAACCTTTAGACTTGCATGAGTTATATGTCACCGACTTGATTGGCTGCAGTTACAGATTATAACATCCGAGAAGACATGAACTCCACGTTCGCGTAAATCTGGACAACGGCAAAGCAGGGCCAATATCCGCAGTTTCTGTACAAAGTAATAGATCTACTTCCAAGAAAAAGCCAGGGTCAAGGTACGCCATCCGGCTTGCGTAAGTGCATAGAATGAATGGCACGGGTCCACCTGGGCATAATGCTCTTGGCATCCTGTATCAGTCTCGAATTGGGAAATTTCTTATCGTCACTGTTCTGCTCTCGTCGCTCCTTGGGTCATATCGACAAGCTCGGCACATCTCTCATCGTGTATCCGCACGCGTGTATGTTAAATTTCGAAATTGATGTGATTGGGCCTATCTCTAAGTTGCAGATATGAAATACTGATAGGTCCAACACTAACAGTCTGAACATCGGATTTATACTTCGTACATTTGCTAGCGCCGGGGCAACCGGCAAGTTGGACGACCATTCATTAAACGGATACGTCCACAACACGTGCATGAATTGTAAAGCATCAAGTATGAGGAAGAAAACCAAATCCTAGTACGTCAGTCAGAAAGCTCACTCTCACCCAGCAAGTATGTTGTGCAAGATCATCTGACGTAGGGAACGAACAAATCAGGGGCCTCAAGTGAGGAGCAAGCCAATGAAAGGCTCTATCTGATAGGCGACTCCTGTACGAAGGTGGATCGCCTATACAAGATAGGACATGGCCTACACTTCTGTTTCATTACCGGAAATTTACTTGAATATACACTTGTTAAGTGAGAAACAAGAAAAACATCACCGGTACGCGTCTTTATGCATGCGATATACATAGACAATGAGATCATCAGGCTAATGTTAACCCAGAAGCAATAAATGATGGTTTTACAGATTGTGGCTGTTGCAAAGCCCCAGAATACAAAGTTTGGAGTGGTTGGGTGACCCACTCGCCTATATGGCCCAGAACAAATTGTGGGCTCTGGATTATCGATCCCGAAAGATCGACAGGACGAATGCCGACGTCCCGGCAGTTGAGCAGATCTTGTAATTAGATGAGGTCTTACAACGGGATGGCGGATGTATTGTGTGATCCCGCCAGGAGGAGGTGCTTAACCGTCAGCATCTAGCTATCGAAAAGTGCTGCGGGCAGTAGTGATTGGTGATACTGTTGAGTTGGTAGTCCTAAATTACTCTACTTCAAACAACAGCGAAACTAAAATGGTGTTATGATCTGCTTGGTCTATACTAGAATGAGACGTCGAGTCGGTTATTGTAGGGATTTTAGTTGCCGAGATATGACGTGGACAGCTAGGCGCAATGCTTGGCGTTCCAAAGTATACCCTCAGCAAAATATGAGGGTCGTTATAGGCAATCTTCGGATTTCGAGGACACGCGCCTAAGCCAAGGTATTACGTATATACCTTGGCAGCTGTTATGATACCTCTTGATATATAAAAATGCTTAATATATTCTGCTAGCCATATAGGAAGTTTTTAGATCGCGAGACTTGTGCACGTTACAACATTATACAATCAAATATTTAGAGCAATGCGTTTCCCTATTCTCTCAGCAGTTACTCTTGCGTCCGCATTGTCCCCTGCTATTGGTAAGTGGACAAGCGCACCAATTAGCTATTCACCGACTGATTCGGCCAGCACACCCGGAACTTGTCGATCATTCGAAAGTGCTCCATCACGAGGCTCATAAACTGAGCTCTCGCTCGACTGGCGCATGTAAAGCTCAGATTGAAGCTCGGCGACAGGCAACATTCGCCAAACGTGAGGCAAAGGCTCGGACACGTCGCGAAGCTAGAGGTCTAGAAGGTAGCCATGCCTTGTCAGACCAGTCAGTCTTTGGAACCATCCCGAACACCACCTGCATCCTGGCACCAGAAACCGTTTGGGGACCTTACGGTATTGACAATGAGATTCATCGCCATGATGTTCGAGAAGATCAATCAGGGGTCAACTTATATCTCGACATTGGCGTCATTGATGTTGAAACCTGTGAGCCTTTGCCAGATGCCTGGCTGACCATTTGGGTATGTTTTGTCACCAGATTATAGGCTATTGAGGCGATTACCCATCGCTAATTATCAAATTTTGTCATGTTCAAGGCTTGTAACGCCACAGGAAGTTACTCGGGCTTCACTGGCATTGATCCCGACACAAGTGATCTCCTGAGCGGGTTCGAAAAACGCACCGATGGGACCACTGATGACAAGACGTTCTTGCGAGGAATTTCAAGAACCGACTCGGAGGGTATGACGGAATTCCTCACCATTTTCCCTTGGCTACTACATTTCACGAACGACCCACATCCACGTTACCGTGCAAACAAATGTGACAGGCAAAGACACTAGCTACAACCAGGCTGGTGTTCAGCATCTGGGCCAGCTCTTCTTCGAAGAAGAGCTCATTAATTCAGTCTATCAGCTGCAGCCTTATAAAGACCACCTTTCCACTCTGAACAGGACAACCAATGCAGCGGATTCGCTTTATTCCACGGCAAACTCGGATGGTTATTCAGCGGTAGTTTCCACCGCCTTACTGGGACGTGTGATTGCGGACGGTCTGGTCGGGTCCATTACTATTGGTGTAAATAGGTCAGCGACCCCGGCAGAAACCACTGGTGGGAGTGTAAATGTTGTCGGGTATCTTCCTACTGCATCCCCAACGGCTGGAGCCCAATCAGCGGCGTACGCTATCGATGCCGAAGAAGGATTTTTTGAAAAGAGAAGGAAAATCTGATTTCATTCTCCTCAATGATTCGCCGCGGTGCTCCTGAGCCAGATTTTGTGAAGGTACAAATATTCAGATAGGGAATAGCTGAGCAAATAAGTCAAGCTCCTACTAAACTTGCCACACCCTCGAACAAACAAACAATTCTTCTGTAAGCTTCAAACCTAAGGTGCTAAGGCATGTCTATTACATTGACCAAATCTAAGTTCATCTGTCGTGGCTACTCAAAGATAAGATCGAAGCTATTACTGACTGGAAAATCTTTCTCTAGCCCTAAAACTTTCCCGTATCGTTGCATTTCAATGGCCCGGGGTATATGATATGGAGCTGACATCCACGTTCGCACAAAACGCCTCGTCGACGCGATTTTCGGGCGTTGGCTCGGTCTCCGAGAGTCTTGTAATTTTTTCAAAATAGTTCTCTTCTGTTTCTGTCATAGACATTTCCGTAACATCCTAGCTCTATGGTCTTATTCCTAATCAAAGATACATGGATAATGTTGAGATTGGAGAGCCAGTATTTGAGTGATCAAGATTTAAACTTTATACATAGTGTTTAAAATGTTCCTAGTCTTCTTTGCACCTCTCACTTCAAATCGAGCGTCGAAAGCGAGGAGATGAGCGTCTCTTCTCTTTGACAGGAGGCAAAGAAGGAGTTGAAGGTTTTGTATCAGTGCGACATAGATTAGCCAAATTTTCTCGTTCCGTGCTTTTCAGAATCCACTGCTCTTTTCCGTCTCGCATCTGTTTCTCATACGGCAGTGTCAACATCCAAGTCGACCACTTGCGAACAACCCCTATTGCAATATCCTTGGGAATCTCAAACCATTCTACGTGTGATTTTAAGCAACCAGGGCACTTTTTCTCAATTCTTCTGTGGCGTAGCAGTTCCAGGTGCACTAGAGCTTCAACGCGCGATATGTGTGGAACCTGTTGTGAATCAACCGTTTTGTCATCCTCTTCTTTCACGTTTTCCGGAAAGATAGTCTCCATAGTCTTCTTGCACTGCTTGTTCCATTGATCCAGCCGGCAAGGCACGTTTACCGATCCTCCAATTTTCAAATGACCAAAATTTCTAGGTTGCCAGAAGATGTACATCGAGCCCTGATGTTTCAGATCGCTTTGTGTGAGAGGCCTGGTAAGAAGCATTGCAAGCTCTTCAGATATTGTTCCAGATAAACGTTTACTGACATAATGCTTGAATTCTTGGATAGGGTTGATCGGAAGCGTTTCTTTTTCCACTGTATGTTGCAGCAAAGAGGTCGATATTGGTTGAGAAAGTGCCTCCTGTTTCAATAGACAGCCCCAGCGAAGAAGAGCCCATAAACGCTTGTTTTCAATCGTGATCATAGATTCATAATCTTGGATCTTTGAGACCTCTTCAAACTCTTCTTTCCATAATATTGTCTCTTTCAATGCAACTTTCTGATGTATTGCGCAGAATACCACTTCTATTAAATTTTGGATCACTGGTAAAAGTGCGCCTGGCTTCAGGGAGGCCAGACTTTGGAGTTGCGCCGACATAGATCCGATAGGGTGATTAAGTTTACATCGATTGCCCTGAGTTGTCCGAGCCGTACATCTCCTGCCATCCTCTTCTAAAAGCTGGAGCAATTCAAGCGGCATAATTTTGAGGAGCGACTTTGGAACCGCGCCCACTTCTTTCAAGGCTCCACAGAAAGACCTTCGTTCGAGCGCAACCCATGGAAAATCATCCTGGTTGGCTTTTTGCTTTGTTCCTGTGTGCGGCGAAGAGATTCTTTTACATTCAAGAAACGTCTCAGCAGTTCGGTTCCCTGCAGGCTGAGGCTGCTCACTACCATCTGTGGTGATGCTCTGCGGTCTTGAAGCTTGCTCCGGTCCGAGACCCTGCTTGGAAGCCATAACCCGCCGTGGTTTGGGAGCAAGAAGTATATTTTTGCGATCAGAGAACTCTGTGTTGATCTCACTGATGTTTGGCAATCTCCATAACACACAGCTCGTCTGCCGAAAGCGCTTGACTTTACTCAATCTGAAGGAAACAGAAAGCAAGCTAACATCCATCGGCGACGAAGGTGTCAGAGCCATCGCTCTACTGGTCTCTTCCGTGGTCTGGCCAAGATGGGTTCTTTTATATGGTTTTCGCCCGGTGTTCGATGAAGAGATATCTATAGTTGTTGGGTCTAAGCGTGTTTGAATTTTGACCAACTTGGCGCTAGCTTCATCTCGGCGTCTAGAAATGGACTTGGCTGGAGTCTTATCGGAATTAAGAGCAGACGGGGCGTGTTGTTTCGTAACGACTTGATTTATTGTGATCGCTTCCAGCCTGACGTGGGAAGCCTCTTGGGATATGGTCCGGTTTTGTTTTTCAGACATTATCTCGCTGTCATTGCGCTTTCTTAAATCATCGGTGCCTGATGGCATTATTCCACCGTTGAGGTTTGCTGAACTGGGTGGAGTAGGCATTGGTCGATTATGTACTAATATACAGCACATTAAGAAGTGAGCAATTTTTGGACGAGACTCTATTCGATGTGGCTTCAGAGATTTTTGCATAGCTTCGAAGCCAATGCAAGGTAACAGCGTAGTTATAAAACATCTCGGAAAATGCTCCGGAACCCGGGCAAAATTTCTAATTTCGGTTCGAAGTAGCGGCATCCATGTTGGTTCCTAGTTGGTATGGTGGCGCTGTCATGCGTGTGGTGGAGACGGGCTGCCCCCATTCTTCGGGGCGCAGTTGGTCGCTCAGGAAGTTTCGGTTCGCGCCGCAGCGGAGCTGCCCCCTCACAAACCAGTTCGATGCGCGTTCTTCCCTCCAGGAGCTCTGCAATAGACAGCCAAACGATGCATATGAATTTGCGATACTCAGTAACTTGGTATTATTCTAAACCATGAGTCCTTCATAAATGGAAGTTAAGGGGAAACATAGACGGCGAGGGGCGTGCATGGCATTCAGGTGACGGCAGGGCGGCAAAGGCACTTTCCCGAACAAATCAAGATTAGGAACATAAAAGACAAGAATAAAAAAACATACAATGGCTGGTGTAATTTTGTGGTTACTAGGCGCCGCATTGTTCAGCCCTGTTCAGGGCAGCCCGAGGGTTTATCAAGAAGGGCACTGCAACACTTGAAGGTGATATAAGCGAGCGAGGTCCCCACCTCTCTTGATGTCAGCTTTGGATATGAAACTTCTCCAGGAGGATAAGCCAAATGAGACTGGCACCACAGGCAGACACAGGTTACTCTAGGACAATGAATGTTCTTATCCGTTATCAGTGTGCTATTCTGTCATTATCCGCGACCCGCTAACGAAGCCGCAGCTACGTTTTAGCCCCCACGTAGCATGTTGCCCTCTTCTGTATTCAGGCGCAAATTTTGGCCAATGCTCACGAGATTGGTCATGCAGCGAGAGATGACTCCACCGCGCTGACTCTCGCTTACCCCTCTTCTGATCAGTTTTCAATATACACGCCCCTAGCGGAATGTAACATAATCTTTAGAATTTTGCATACCCCTGAGCTCATTTATGATTTTACTGGCGCGCCACCGCCAGAGATCTCAAAGGGACAAACCTGATCCAGTCGTAGCTTTTTGGGCTGAAGCTACCTCCTAGGTGAGATCCTCGGGGACGGAGAAGAGGGTACACAAATGACATCAAAAGACCCATTATATCAAGATTGTCACTACTATTGTCCGCAATATATGTGAAATCTCGAAAAATGTTGTCGCCCAGTGGAAGAATTGGAGAAGAGAAAAAGACAGACCCCAGCACAACAAACAATGGCAAGCCGTTGACTCACAACGACTACACAGTGGGGTGGGTCTGCGCTTTGTCGAAAGAGCAGACTGCAGCGACAGCAATGTTAGCTGAAATACATCCACCGCTATTGAAACCATCAGCCGATCACAATGTATACACATTAGGCTCGATTGCTGGCCATAACGTGGTCATTACCTGTCTCCCGAGTGGCGATTATGGTCTGGTCCCCGCATCAACTGTTGCAAAGCGCATGATCGACACTTTTCCAAACATCAAGGTTGGTCTAATGGTTGGAATCGGTGGCGGTGTGCCTTCTGCAAAGGTCCAACTGGGGGACGTTGTGGTCAGTAGCCCTATTGGCCAATATGCTGGGGTCGTCCAATACGATCGGGGCAAGGACACTGTCGATGGATTCGAAAGGACCGGAAGTTTGAACAGGCCACCAACTGTGCTTTTGACAGCGCTACAATCACTAAAAACCAAGCATGATCTGGAAGGGCCGCAGATATCTCAGATTCTTCGTGATGTCGAGGAAAGATATCCAAGGCTGATATTATCTGGTTACACGAGGTCCGACTCTCTGGAAGACCCATTATTCGCACCCCAACCAGAAACATATGGGAGGTGGAAGGCAATGTTCATTTTTGTCTATGCCTTTCTTGTCAACGCTTTCTGGCATCTCATAGGTGCGACGTCGTTTTCACCCGCTTCTAGGGCAGTGAATGCCACAGACAGGGCGCACATGGGCGGGTCAAAAAGGCATACCGGGGATGCCCATATACATTATGGTCTGATTGCATCTGGTAATAGGGTGATCAAAGATGCCGTGTCGCGAGATAAAGTGAATGAATATCTTGACGGGCACGTCTTATGTTTCGAAACGGAGGCAGCTGGATTAATGAATGAATTTCCCTGCATTGTTATTCGGGGTATTTGTGATTATGCAGATGCCGGAAAGAATAAAGATTGGCAGGAATATGCAGCCATGGTAGCGGCGGCATATACAAAGGAGCTTCTTCACTGTATCCAGCCAGGTCATATCGACGCTGAGTCTCCGGTGCGAGATATTTTACATAATGGTTAGTTGTCTTCAAAGTTCAATATATGGTGTTATGGGAATTCATCTGATTTCGTCTAATAATAGTTGGGGAAACACTGGGTACAATAAATACCGACATTCAAAGAATTAATGCCAGAATGGATCGAAAGGATGACTTGAAGATTCTTACCTGGCTCACAAAGGTCGACTATGGCCCACAACATAGTGATTTTTCGAGAAAGAGGCAACCTGGAACCGGCCAGTGGCTATTGAACTCAACGGAGTATCGAAGATTCATGGACTCAAAGGGGCAGACGTTATTCTGCCCAGGGGATCCTGGTGTCGGGAAAACAATTCTAACGGCAACGATTATCGATGATCTGATCGCACGATTTCCGCATATTCAATCGACAAGGATTGTTTATGTATACTGTAATTTCAATCGAGAACACGAACAGAGGCTGGAACACCTGATCGCGGCTTTGATCAAACAGCTGAGCCAGGCACGACCAACCTTACCAGAGAGCTTGACGGCTCTTTATAACAAGCATCAAATACGGAGAACAAGGCCGTCGGCAGAGGAACTCTCGAAGGTTCTTCTATCAGTCGCATCCTTATACACACGGATTTTTGTTGTTGTTGACGCGCTGGACGAGTGTCAACGGGCTCGCGGATGTCGATCAAGGTTCCTGTCACAAATTTTCGCTCTTCAGGATGCATTCTCAATAAACTTTTTCGCCACATCGCGACCGATCCCAGAAATTGAGGAGACATTCGAAGATTGTCTCCGGAAGCATATTATAGCTCCGGAAGAAGATATTCGCAACTTCCTCCATAGCGAGATACATATGCCTCAAATGCCAAAGCTGATCCAAAGAAACAATGATCTGCAGAAAGAGATCAGCACTCAGATCGTCGACCTTGCTGATGGAATGTGAGGATCTACCCTTCAGGCTCTACCCGTCTTCAAATCTGATTTACTAAATCTCTACTGAAGATTTCTACTTGCACAATTACACATAAACTCCCTAGTGGGGTCAACAACGCGAAGAGAAATCCGAAATGCACTCAAAGCAATACCGAAAGGGACTGACGGGTACGACTATGCATACAATCAAGCGGTAATGAGAATAAAATGTCAACCACCTTTGTCTCGGCGGCGGGCAAGAAAGGCTTTGTCCTGGTTGACCTGTGCCACGAGACAGCTCTCAATTCCCGAGCTTGAGCACGCATTGGCGACGGAAGGGGGCGATTCCGAATTTGATATGGATAACATCACGGCTTATGACGAAATCCTCTCTGTTTGCGCCGGGCTGGTTACGGTCGATGAGGAAAGCAACGTCATTCGCTTAGTTCACTATACGGTGCAGGAATATCTTGAGCGGACACAAGGTCATTGGTTTCCGGAAGATGACGAGAATAATCCTGTGAGATACGCAAATCCTGAGACGTACATAACGCGAATATCCCTGACTTACATGTCATTTGCTTCATTTGAAGAGCAAGAACTAAGATCTTGGGAGGACATCGAAGACCGCTTGGAGTCAAACAGGCTCTACGGCTACTCCGCCCAGAATTGGGGACACCATGCTCGCAAGGCCTCGAGTATCCTACCAGAGATTATGAAATTTCTCAATGGCGGCACTAAATTTGAGGCATCAAGCCATCTGCTGTGGTACGAGGACCGCCACTTCCAGGATTTTAAGGAGACGCATATGACGGGGCTGCACATGGCATCATACTTTGGGATACTAGATGCGGTTGAGTTATTGCTGCAGCTGCTCAAGGTCCCTGTAACTAGCGCTGGCCACCAATCATACAAGGCCTGTGACTTGGAGTCAAAGGACAGAGATGGTCAGACACCATTTGTATGGGCCGCAAGGAATGGGTACCTTGCGGTAGTTCATCGATTGTTTGAGGAGGGGGCCAACATGAATGCGAACAGCGAAGACAGTCTCACCCCATTGTCATGGTCCTCCGCAAATGGACATGAAATGGTTGTCAAGTTCCTCCTCGACAAAGGCGCCGATCGGGAATACAAAAGCGGGGGTCAAACACCGCTGCTATGGGCTGCAGACAATGGTCATACCGCGGTAGTGAAGGAGCTCCTTAAAAAGGGCGTGGCATTAGAGACCATTGATGAGTTCGGTCAAACTCCGCTTATAATGGCTGCTACAAAGGGACATCTCGCGATATCAGAGCTTCTTCTTGCCAAGGGCGCTTCCCCAGACCTTACCAATGATGGCATACCTCCAATCATATGGGCTGCAGGAAGTGGCCACAAAGACGTGGTTGAACTATTGCTCGCCCATGGTGTCAGTATAGAGTGCAGGGACGGTGATTGGGGTCACACGCCTCTTGCAAGGGCTGCTAATCAAGGAAAGAAGGCAGTAGTTCAGCTTTTGCTTGAAAAGGGCGCAGATATAGAATCCAAGGGTGAGGACGGTCTGACACCACTCCTCTGGGCAGCATGGGAAGGGCACGAGGCAGTGGTTAAGCTGTTACTTGACCACAATGCTGATATAGAGGTCAAAGATGAAAGGTATAACCGGACGGCACTTGCATGGGCCGCAAGAGAAGCAAAAAGTCCTGTGAACGAGGCTGTGGTCCAGCTACTGATAGATAGAGGAGCCAATATAGAATCAACGAGTGATAATGGGCAAACAGTACTTGAGTTAGCGGCAGAAAGAGGGAAGAAAGGCGTCGTTAAGCTGCTTCTTGACAATGGAGCGGTTGCCAGGTTAGGCGATGGTGACAGTGATGAAAAACTGCTGCTATCGACCACCAATGGGGATAAGGAGCAACTGATCGAGCTGCTCATGAGCATACGCGGCAAGGAAACAAAAAGCGCCATGTATCAGTATTGTCTTGATGACGACCAGTTACCCAGATAATTGCAACAAGTCTGTTGAGTCTGTCAGACCTTATAGTAGCAATCTATGGGAGGTTGCGCTGACTTGTTGGTTGGATGACGGCATTTCGGTCATTCTGGACACTAAGTCAAGTACATGTTACCTTCCATGGAATTTTTATAGACAGTACAAACGTGAATTGGATATCATCCGAGTCATTGATGAATCTGAACCGCCGGATATTGACTTCCGGAAAGAAAGTATGGCTCATCATGCTCCCAACTACCTTCAAAAAGTTATCGATGATATCCGAGATTTGGAGGTCGTATATTTCCCCGGTGGAGAACTTGGCTATATTCATCTGCCTGGGTCGCGGGAGCAGATTGAAATGAAGCGGGTTCTGACCCAGGATTTTGACTGGGGGACTGAAGAGTCCCGGGAGGAGGATTGGCGACGAGAGGGGAAGGAGATCTGTCAAGCTATTGGTGATGAGTGGTGGCAGGATAGGGAAGGAGTAGAACTCGAAACTTGATTAACGCCCCCAGCCCTTAGTACGGCACTTTGGCATAGGCGGCATTGCCGAATTAAGGGAGTTCTTCGGGCTGCCTTGTCATATTTGAATCTTAACTATGACAATACTTCATGGGTTTGTCAGCAAAGGCCTGTGGAAGAACAAGAAACAGACCGATGTAACGAAATAGTGCATAATGTTTGACTTTGTAACGAATGGTCTAATTAATAATAAAAATACATTTGGAATCCCTTCACAATGGTAACACCGAACATATTCCCTCTCACCGAATACCCCAAGAGGTGATCTTCACATCTTATTTAGAGCTGGCCTTGAGCTCACTCAGAATATCGTCAGCAGCTTTCTCGGCAACCATGTAGGTAGAGACAGCCGTGAAAGTACCCGGAATCTTGGGATAGACAGAAGCATCAACGACACGAAGACCAGAGACACCGCGCACACGGAACTTGGAGTCCAATACAGCCATCGGGTCGTCATCGGCACCAATGGGGCAGGTGCAAGAGGCGTGATGGCCCCAGGCACCATCTTTGATATAGGTCTCAATATCCTCCTTGGACTGGACAGCCGCACCTGGGAGGACTTCGGTGATGTTGACGAGCTGCCGATCAAAGGCATCGCGAGCGAGCTCAACGGCTTCGTAGAGAGCAGTGAGATCGGCTGCGTAGTCACCGACACCGGTATCGAAGTAATTGAAGGTGATTTTGGGCATATCAAGGGGGTCCGCGGACTGCAGGGCAACGGTACCGGCCGAGTTGCGGGGATGAGCTTTGAGGATAGCCCAGGTGAACCAGTTGTGTTCGTCGGTGGCGTTGATGCTGTAATCGGGGAAGTACCCGCGGAAGTTGACAGGTCCACCGAAACAGAAAATATCCCAGTTATCGTCGGCCGTGGAGCTCTTGTAGAGCATAGTCGCGGCTAAACCGGGGGATGAATAGATACCGCGGTCGCCGAGAATAGGAGACTCCCATTCGTTGATACAAGGATCCTCCTGGTCGTGGATGCTAAAGGTACATTTGTTCAAACAGGAGAAGTCCTTCTCAATCGTGCCCTGCACAGAGATCTCGTAGTGGTCTTGGAGGTTGGTGCCGACGCCAGGGAGATCCTTAATGACCTTAATACCAAATTTCTTAAGTTCATCGGCGGGGCCAATACCACTCAATTTGAGGATCTGGGGCGAATTGTAGACACCACCAGCGACGATAACCTCACGAGAAGCACTGGCGGAGCCGGGGATACCGTCCAGAGCAGAGTCAGACATAGGACTAGCCTTATAGAGATGTTCGCCATCGAGGAACTCGACACCGGTAGCACGAGGAGGGTTGGCGGTCTCATTGAAGGTCACCTTGGTGACGTGCGTGTTCATACGGACATCAAGGGGGTACTTCTTAGAGCCATCAGTGTTCTTAGCATCCCGTACAGCAATGATAAATTCGCGAGCGCCATTACGGTGGGCATCGTCCGTCGCGATAGGGATCTGGTAGTAGCCATCGTCGGTATCACGGGACTTCGTATCGGTATTAGCATCGCCAGCCAGTAGGGTGCCGATGTTCATAACATTATCGGTCAAGTTACCAAGAGCAAATGCACCACCGGTCAACATGCTTAGCAGCTGAGGGTCCTCCAAAACAATGCTAAGGGGTGCGGTCTCAGTTGACAGCCAGCCCTCATAACCGTGACCCTTAGCCCCAGGAAGCAAGTAACCATTGTTCTCCAGCTTGGCGAAATATTTGCGCATGTTGTCGGGTGTCCAAGAGCTATCACCAGTGAGGGTCGAGATATATTCGAAGTCGGATTGGTGAGGATAGACTGCAATCAAGGCGTTATGAGCAGTGCATCCACCCAGAGTGCCCGTACGAGGATAGAGCGTTCCCTTCAATGTTGAACCCTCGGGAGGATTCAGACCGGTGTATAGCCCCCCATCGGGTGTGTCGTAGCTTGCCTTCCAATCGCGAGCCTGGCGCTCATCATCTTCATAATGGTGTACGAAGAAGTTCCACGACATTTTCTCGTCCTCGGATGCTCTGGCAGAGTAGGCAGGGATCGTGTAGTTGTAATTTTCACCCTGATCATCACCAGCCTCAAGCAAAAGCGTCTTGTGACCGCCCATAGCGAGGCGGGCGGCCAAAGGACCACCACCAGCACCAGAACCAACGACAACATATTCATAGCCGGTGATATTGACGGCCTTGGCCAGGCCGGCCGTGGTGGCCAGGAGACCAAACAGATGAGTAAGAAACATAAGTGCAAAAAGAGCGACTAAGGGTGAAATGCTATCTCAAAGGGGGTATGAATGGGGCCCTATATTTTATACCTAGTTTCTGCTTTCCCCTGAAAATGGATCATTTCTTATACATGGAGAATCTTCACCAAAACCGTTGAAAACATGCCGCGGTCGTGGGGCAGCTGTCAAACCGTTACCTCCACTAGCTCGTGGTAATCCACTCGCAGAAAACTTGGCAGTTCAGGCTAGTACACTTATAGAGGCAATTCCCGAACGATCATCGGTAGTTTAATAGGCATTCTGCAACTTGACAAGTCATCCCTGCCGATCACCACCGGGATCCACATGGGCGGAAGGAGTTCGTCTTTCCGGACCAATTGCCACTGACAGTTTGATTTTGCCAAGACATTATGGATATTTTTTTTTTTCAATAGTGATCCGAGGCGTACAGAGTACACCGTCTTTCTACACTGATTCTTCCTCATCCATATCCACAGTCCCGACATATTCAAATACCGAAACGCTCACAATTGACTAGTATTTCGAGTATTCGCCATCTGTCCCCACTCAAGGTCTACTGCTAGGTTGAGTGATCCTCAATGGCCAAGGCAAGAACGAACAAGCTGAGACCACGGATCGGCGCAATCAATGGATTGCAAGAAGCTATCTTTTCCAATTTCCTTGGTTCTACCTTGGGGAAGAATTGCTTTGCTTGTATGCAGTATTCCTTTCGCGAACATCACCATCAAAATTTCAAGTTCCAGCTCCTGGATGACGACTTTTTCTCGTCTTTTTTTTTATCACTTAGCCCAATTTCAAACAATGCCCCTCTCTAAATTTGTCTCTGGGAAAAAAGCTTATCTCGAGGACCTAATTGAAATCTGTTCAAAAATCCTCACTACTGTAGTTTGGTAGAAGATGTAGCCAAGAGCAGGCCAGAAAGTTGTCACCGAAGTTGTCTATGAAGAAAAGTCAGCCATGGGAGGCGAATAAATGGAAAGGGCATACCAGAGTCAGGCGTCTACAGATTTCAGGTGCAAATTAGTGAGATATTCACCTGCCTAGATCCTCTTCACTAAGGTTTTTAGTCCGTGCAGAAAAGGGGGGTTTATGCACTTAGAGGTAAAGATCCTATTCGCTTTTCATTACTCTTCTCCTCCCCTCTCTAAGCTATCACTATTGTTTGAGTCCTAGAATTCCATCAACGTCCGAAGTTCTTTTTTCCCCCTATATAAGTAATGAATCATTCATGTTAAACAATTGACCAAGCCATCAATCATCAATTCGCTCTCGGCGTTTAGGTATATCTTGAATGATAATAACCGCTGTCGGCCCCATCAAAATTGACTTGGCAACATCATATGTAAGCCGGGCGACCAATATGCGCATTAAGAAGGATACGTTACGAATAGAGAGTTTAATAGGAGTAGATAATATCTATAGTATTTGCAATTGCTATGCGATATGTACATAACTAATATGCGATCAGCGTAAATTAATATATGACAATGCGGAGGGAAAAGATATAGAAGTCATCTATCTTATCTATATTAAAGTAGTAGGATGAATAGAGTAAGACAGATCAAACAGAAGGTTGATGCAGGGCAGGTATTGCATTCTTCGAGGGAAAGAAATTTGGATAATCGTAAAAGTCCACCATCGCCAGAGTATCCAGAGCACGGCGAATAGAAAAATCAGACTACAGTATGGACTTTTATACAAAGATTTCATGTCATTTTGAACGCCCCAGGAAAGAGCCTTCGTGCTGAAGAGCATGCTGGCGCTTTTGCTCAATCAAGTTAGAAAATATAAATAAATATAACTTGGTACTTCAACCCTTGTGGAATAACATACAAGGGGTTCGCTCGGGGCATATTGGTTCATCCAAGGCTCCTTAGTTTCTTAACGTAAAGAGCTAGGCTGTAGACATCGGGCGCTAAACAAAGTGCATTTTGCTTAGCCCCCAAAGATAGCGCATTAGTAGTGGCTTTCCTTATCATTATGAAATCATAATATTGAAAACAAAAAATGAACTTATGAAATAACAGAAAAAGGTTCTCAAGATTGACTATTCCAGGGGCCATATATTCCGTTTCAAGAAATTGCCCCAGGTTACCACTAAATCAAAGCCGTAAGGCTAACATACAGGTTGCGGGATTTTGTCATTTCTTTGGTTGGAGGGGTTGAGTGCAGGGATGTAGTCTTTGTACTGCATGGATGCGACATGCCGCATGGCCGTGACCATGCCTACGCCAACACTGCTGATTTCCATCACACTAAACGTGGTCACAGTTTGCGACAAAGAAACCTGCAGTTAAGAGTGCGGGGGGCTTTATGACTTGGCTTCGTGGTTTGCATATGGTACTGATGGGAAGACGGGCCACACATACCCTGAAATCAACCTAGAACGACAGGGATTCATGAGCACCCCTCAAAACTTCTTTCGCCCAAAACCTCTGTCTTCATCTATTCAATCTCTCTCCATTTGCTCCCAACTTCATTTGCATTCCCGACTCCAGATACTTTTATCATTATAATGATATTTCACTTGATTGGCCTGCTGGGCCTTGCCTATTTTGCTTGGAGCCTTGTTTCTATGGAGTTAAACTACCGCCGGGCATCCACAATGGGCATTCCTTTGGTGCGCCTCCCAGTTGATGGTCAGAATGTTCTGTGGGCATCTATCGAGGGTCAGCTATGGCCACTACTTGACCGACTACCTATTAATTGGGGTACCTTTGGGATATATTCTCGTCGCGGCTGGCTATTTAAGGATAACGGCGACTCCCATCGCCGATACGGTCCAATTTGGGCATTGGTTACCCCTATTGGCATTTATGTCCAGGTTGCTGATCCTGGTGCCATCAATGAGGTATTTCAAAGGCGAACTGACTTCATTCGCCCGGTTGAAATGTACAGTAGGTTTTTTCCCTTTGTTTCCTCCGATGATAAGCCTATGTTCCACACTTCTATTCGAGGCCAACTTACATTTGTTGTGATTCATTCTAGAGGTTTTAGAGGTCTACGGGCCATGTATCTCAACAGCGACCTGGGCAGAATGGCCACGCCACCGAAAGGTTCTCGCCACGCCGTTTAACGAGAAGATCATGTCATTTGTTTGGGATGAGAGTGTTGAGCAGACGCGTCAGCTTCTGGAGGCCTGGGCTGACGATCAAGTTTCGAGCGTTGCTAAAGACACTCGAAATCTATCATTAAACGTCCTTGCCGCTACGGGGTTTCGGAAGTCATATCGCTTCCATAGTGCGAATCATTCGCATGAAAAGGAGACAAATGAATCGAGTGGCTACCGCGATGCCTTGCAGACGGTACTTGATAATTGTATTCTGTTGATGGTTGCGCCACGAAGGTTATTGACTTTGTCATTTGCTCCTCAGTCCTGGAAGAATCTTGCAAAGGCTGCAGACAAATTCAAACAGTATATGGTCGATATGCTTGATGAAGAAACCAAAGCGCTGAAACATGGAAAAACTGGCTCCGGAAGCATTATGACGTCCTTTGTACGCGCCATGGATCTTAATCAGGCAGAAGCCGTGTCAGGCGAGAATGCGACTAGCGGCTCGATGTCAAAAGGTCTAACAGTGGATGAAATTTTGGGCAATATCTTTGCTATCAACTTCGCGGGTCATGATACAACAGCCAACACCCTCAGCTTTGCTACATACCTTCTAGCAGCCCATCCTGAGGTTCAGGACTGGGTGTCTGAAGAACTTCAGTCTGTTGCAGTCACACCCGGCAACTATAAGGACATATTTCCTCGCCTCAGTCGCTGTAAAGCAGTTTTGGTATGATCTCCCCTTATTCCTAATGTTGGATCGACTTTTGACCATCTCAGCTTGAAACTCTCCGTTTGTTCCCGCCGATTCCATCCCTACCAAAATGGACCAGTGACCAGCCCCAGCTGCTAAAGGTTGGTCAGAGGACATTCACCATCCTTCCCGACATAGGAATAAATCCTAGTCTCCTCGCCATGCAAGTAGATCCCCAATACTGGGAGGATTCATTTGTGTGGCAGCCATCGCGCTGGATACAGACATCTTCGAACACGTCCACAGTTGGCAATGAACAACTCGTTACCCCGCTCCCTAACACCTATTTCCCCTGGTCGGATGGGCCGCAGAACTGCCCAGGAGCCAAATTTTCTCAAGTGGAGTTCGTAGCAGTCGTGTGTATGCTACTGAAGAACCATCGAATCCATCCTATCGCAACCTCCGGGGAGACGCAAGAGCAGTTACGGAATAGGATTTGGGACGCAGTCAGGGACGTAGATATGGTGCTTCTCTTACGAATGAAGGACTCTCATCGAGTGCAATTGCGATGCGACCGTGTTTGAACATAAGTTCTCGCGTGACTAGATATAAGGACAGCAGTTAAATACATGGAGTAATGTTGCTTTGTATTGTTCCTTCTCGTATCCTCGGCTTCTTCGAACAAGTCCAGCAGGCCATCAATTAAAACATTAGCACGACACCAGACATAGTCCAGGGATTTTACATCAATTTTGAAAATCTCTCTGGCAGAATTTAGACAGCATACAGGTGTGGAGGAATAGGAGTAGATTGAAAGCATCATTCCATAAGAAGAAGCTTGGATCGAACAAGGAGACCGACTATCTGAGCGAGTGCTATTTACTCAACATGACAGACAAAGGCCAGGCAAGACTGAACAGGAACCGGGAACTTCATCCTCGTCACGACATGACCAGCGATTAGCGTAAAACACAGTCCATACAAGCCCACAAGCCTTGCAGCTAGGCACCCATCCACTCAGCCTCAATGATGCCCGTTCTTGCCCCCCGGTGCCACGGAAAACACCCCATAAATGGAATGTGCTGTCAGCCTTCTGGAACCACTCCACCCAAGCTTCAGTGTCTCTCTCACGCTCAATCCTTCCAGGGAAAGATCCATATATCCTCAGGTCCAGTGGGTGATGAGTCCTTAGTGCAACCTGAAGCCGGTAAATTGATTTTGACTTTGGACTATCTCGGGTGCTTCTTCAGCGACCATCACATCCACCGCATCTTCGGATCCAAAGGACTTCGGAATATCTTTCACCTTCTAGAAGTCATGTTACTTAACCATAAGTACTAATATCTTCATCACATGCATTTAGCAGCAGAACCTCAGGCCTTTTTAGCCTAGACTAGACTAGGACTTGAGTAGAAGTGCCCGACTCCGGATCTCCGAGACCGGCGAGATGAGAAGCGGGTTAAATCGGATTAAGCCCAGTAACATTCCAATAGAACCGATTATATTAGCTATATCGCGCATGATAAAGTAAAGCTTGCATGCCAATTATACGAAATCCATGATTGAAATTTAAGCTCCGTCAAAAAGGGGCTCTTTCGTCAATGACTCTTTTTTACCGAATTTAGCCTGCTGCCTGTGCCTCGATGCTACCTCACTGTAGCGGGAACTTCGCAGCCTTAAAGGATTCACAACTGTGGACCGTGCGGGATAAACACAAGTTTTCGGGCGATGGGGCGAAAGATTTCGCTAATGGTGATTGGGCTGGTTGTCTAGCACGGATCCAGGGTCTTCTTAGGGCGCTCCACACGGCGTTCGGCTACGAGTTCGAGCGATCGGCAGTCGCGTGTAGCCTCAAGTAGGTCCAAACTGAATTTAGTCTGTGGATTACAGCCCTTATTGCAAATGAACAGTTCCTCGGGGGCTGTGTACAGTACGAGGCTGCAGTACAAGGCTGCGGAACCAAAGATTTTTTCCCTCTCGTGCGTCCCATAGTGGACCCCAATATTGCGGCTAAACCAAGCAAGCGAGTAGCGGCGCAAGAATAGCACCGTGCCAAGACCAACCGTCTTTCTTGGCGCATTTATGGAGCAATACTCGATTGAATAAAATTAGTAGCCGCAAGACCCCTTAATTTTGAAATAAAATGGTCCACATGTCGCAATAAAATGTGCTGTTGTGAATCTCAAATCCATGAGTGAGGGTACTCTCGATCATGGCACCATCTCATTCTTATCCCAAAATGCCTGCATGGAAGGCTACTACGGTCTTTGTCATTTTGACCTTTGTTCTACTTGTGTCAGGAGCGTCAGAGCAGTCAAAAGTCGTCTCACTACCGCTGTACAAAAATAAAGATCGCCGTATTGGGAAACGTGATGCTGCAGCTGTGTCCCTAAATTACGCCTCTAGCGCCTTCTGGTTGAATGCCACTGTTGGCACCCCTCCGCAACAAGTCAAACTCGCAGTTGACACAGGAAGTAGCGACGCCTGGGTTTTTGGACCGGACGTATGTGACGAGGATGATTGTGATTATTGTGAGTACTTGAAATGCCTGCATCGTCCAGTCTGTAATCTTGTTGCTGACGTCTAGCTCATTAAGACGAAAGATCCAAATCAAGCACTTCCAGCTTGATAGAAGAAGAAGGGTTTTTGATATCGTATGGCGATGGGTCCGAGGTTGCCGGGGACTATGTCTCAGATGTCTTCCGGGTCGGTTCGCTCGCAGTCAAAAAGATGGAGTTCGCCGTTGCGACTGCCCAGTCCGATGTCGGTACTATGGGTATCATGGGGATTGGTTTCGACACGAACGAGGCGATCACAGATTTTGGAGACAAGCCCTATCGAAATATCATTGACTCCATGGCCGACCAAGGCCTCATCAACTCTCGCGCATACAGCCTCTGGCTGAACGATCTTGGTAAGTGTAAGAGCTCACTACGCGTGGAATCCCTGCACAAGCTAACTCAGTTATTATATTAAAGAGTCTGGAGAAGGTAATATCTTGTTTGGTGGTTACGACACTGAGAAATTCAAGGGAAATCTGACCCCAATCGCCATTCAACCCGACGAAGAATCGGGCGCAATCACAACCATGACTATTCCATGGACATCGCTTTCAATTACAGATCCCACTCAAGGCACCATCAGCCTGACTGGAGATAATTTCACAGAGGCTGCACTCCTCGACTCGGGCACGACGCTCTCTTATATCCCTGTGGACCTGTATAACAAACTTGCCTCCATTGCCAACGTCTATTCCGACACAGATGGAAATGCTTATGTCGATTGTGAGATTGTACAGGAATACAAAGGCACCCTCAACGTAGGATTCGGTGGTTCTGGTGGACCAGTGATTCCAGTACCGTTCTCAGAGTTCTGCCCTCCCATGTTGGACGTGGATGGAGATTCCTTTACCCTTAACAACGGTCACGACGCATGCTGGTTCGGATTCCAACCTAATATTGATTTTGAACCAACTATCTTGGGTGACACTTTCCTTCGCTCGGCATACGTTGTGTACAACATCGACCGCAAGGAAATCGCCATCGCTCCAACTGTTTTCGAAAGTGACAAAACCAATATTGTGGAAATCGACGCTCCGAGTTCTTCTGATAACTCAAGTTGGAGTCTCACTAGTGGGGCTGCTGTTCAGCAGACAGCAACTACTTCAACAGAAACCACAGGCGCGTATAGCTCTGTAACAATCACAGCGCTGTTTTCGTATACACCGACGGCCACTGCAACGCAAGCTGCAGAAACATCACACGGCGCAGCTACCTCTACTGGAACCACCAGCTCGGGTATCCTGGTAAGCCTTGTTGTTTCAATCATGTCACTTTTCCTCGCGCTCAAGTAATTGGCATGGTTGTGAAATTAGAAGAAGGTCATTATGGCAAATGGAATGAGGGCTAGTCAAGTCAGCTATAGGGTGAAATGGCCACGAGCACCTCCCAAATTAACAGCAAGATAATTAAGCTCACAACACTTCTGAGCCACGAAAAGTGCGAGGTTGACTGAATGGTATCATGACTGACATGTTATATTAAAAGAACTCTATTTAAAAAAAAAAAATAAAAAAAATAAAAGTCTAACCGTATCCAGAGGTTGTTGACGACTTTTTGAGGAACGATATATGCAATAATGGCCGAAAACTTACCCACAATATCGCAGGAAGAATGCCTCAATGATGGTTATTACACCATCAACCTGGAGTAATGTCTACTAGCTGTTTTCTACTACCTGAGGAGACTGTGGTCGAGATCATATTCCATGTAGTGATGGAATTCTTATTGGAACACTCCTTAGATTTCCACCCAAGTTTGAAAACTCGAAATTGGCAGCTCACGTGTATTGAATGAACTTTTTATTACCAAAAAAAAGATAAAAAAGATAAGATAAAATAACATACAACAGTCAGGATTCGCATGTGGTCACCCACCATACTACTAACTAACCGGCGTGTGGCTTAAGTACGGCTGAGCGGACGGGAAGCCCTGTTCTCCACACCCTATGGTCGTATGTGCCAGGATAATTACTGAATAAGATAATATAGTGCAAGTGAAAAGAAAAATAGAATACCATTTTGTATATCGATAGAGGATTAACGCGTTGAAGCAAGCCTTATGTTCATTTTAGAGAAGAAAGATCATCCATTGGCCCTAATGAAAACGACTTGCACCGCGGCAAACCTGATAATGTGTTAGAGGAGAAACTCAAAAAGTCTATCAACTTACGCCGAAGTTGCTGAGAACACTTCCACCATGTTTCCGTCATTCAAAAACCAGAGGCAGGCCGAGAAGAATGTACTGAAAAGAGCAACCAGTCCTAGACGGGCACCCATGCCTTCCACTAGATAGAGCACGAGGATGGTAATAACTGGTAATAGAGAGGTAAGAACTGCCCCGGAAAGGTTCGCTGCTTTGATGACATGTTTTCGAGAATACTCCTGGAAGTTTATGCTAAATTTGGAGTTGTCGCTTTGATTTTTGGTCTGGGATACGGCCATGGTTAGAGTTAACGAATACTGAGATACTAGAATTATATAAATCAATATACTATATGCTGTCCTCTTAATCTCTGGAATATGGGAAGAAGTGTTTTGGAAATCTAACTTATTAACGAGTTTGAGCGTTGCCTGTCTCTAATTGATATTAGGTTGGTGCCTTGATACTATATCTCTCTATCACGACTAGTGAGATAAATGGATCCTAAAGTTGGTCGTCGTAGCTATTCTCTCATTCCTTCTAGATCGTAGGAACTAGGATTTGGTATTATTGATATTTGATGGTACTGAAGCACCGCTTTATCTAAATATTCTCGTTAAGTAGCCTTCTAATGGTTACCCAAGAGAGGTATTATGGAGAGTGATATATACTATAATCTTTTAGTAGCTTCCGGAGCTTAATAAATTTCTACCATTGCTTATTTGTCTGCCCGTTGTCGTTCTGTGTACTAGCAAGCGTGAACTAGTTAAAGGAAAAGCTTTTTAATTCTTCTGATGAAGAGCTCTGGTTTTGCTTTTTAATGTGCCGCAGATCTTCTCTTAATCTATATATTTTAGCCTATAGGTAGAGGATGTTTTATAGACTAATATTACTGAAGCGTAGTACCTGGGTTGATTCCGAATGGCTGCTCATGAAGCTAGCAATTTTGGCGTAACCCTCTATACCTCTTTGTATTAAGCTGTTTCTTTACTGATTAAGATATGATGGTTTTAGGAGGCAAGTGCTATGATTATGAATGAGGAGATAAGTGTCGACATTCCGTGATAGGGCGCTGGTCAAGCATGAATATAACTAAGTTTTGGCTTCTACTTAGCCCCCCGGAACGCTAAATCTGGTATCTGTTGCTAGTAGAGACACGCTGACTCATGAGGTAGACACGAACTTCTAAATAGGAGTTGTAGGCGCCCAACCCCTTACTTGATAGGGATTACTACGGAGTAAGAGCAATAATATCATATAGCTAGTGATTGGTCTTCGCTTATTTTAGAGTTGAAAGTTCGTATCCATGTCTAAAGAGCTAAGTAATAGCAGAATGGATAGCCATCATCCGATCGGGTTTTATTGTTTTTCCGAGTTGAGGTAGGGAAGTCCGCAATGCGCCAAGGCAGGGCTAACTATAAGAGCTAATGGATTATATCGGCCTAAAGTGAGGCTATAAAACCGCCCCCACGAGACTCCTAGTAGGCTATGTAGTATATCTTGGCTTATAGGATAAATCTGGGCCCACTAGGAATCTATATCGATAGCTAAGGGGTGTTTGATGGTATTGTAAATACTAGATGTATTGTAGCTGATGACAATCATTTTTAGTTGTTTGTGGAGCAGCATTATTATCTTATTTCTAGCTAAATCTCATCCTCTTCACGTATGTCGTCTTAAAATCTCTCTATACTATAGCTATTTGTCCGTTAAGGGTAAATTCACGAAATTACTTATATATATCGACGCTAGGCTTGAGATATGGCTCGTTGTGACCAAGAAGATTATTTACCTTCACAGTTACCATCCAGAAATATCGTTCACCCTTTAAATACTCAGTCCAAGTTGATCAATAGTGGTTAGGTCCGTGGTAGAAGTATGAACGACACGCCTATGTCCCAAGACCAGCACCGCCCTCAAGCTATGGTTGGTGCCAGCGATGGGGCTTAGATATAGGATTCGCCTACCAGCTTTCCACCACAATCTTTCGAGGCTGCCCTAATGATCCCGAATGAGGCTTAAGTGGATAAGCTGTCGAACCCGCCATCAAAGAACTTTCTACCTATTTCCAAAACAGGGTCTGACCATGAGCTAATATCTGCTACTACCAGTGTAGTATTAGAAGGCTACAGGTTTTTCAAAGCAGATCCTATCCCGAGATAAATGCCGCGTTGGGTAAGAGTACAGCGCGATCGGATGTATCCCAGTTAAGTCGAATATGCCATCGAAAAAGTCCAGAATCGGGCAAATTTGATCTTTAAAGCTCAACAGTATCTAAAATTATCAGAGATTCGCCGGGCTCACGTCAAGCAGTTGATTGATGAGGAGCGTGGTATACTAAAACCCCAGAACGTGAATCAACGCCGTCGAGGTCGCGGTGCTTGTAAAAACGAAGCGTATTGGGCTGGTTATAATTCCACGGATAATAAAGTACGCTTCTGGTGCGAAGCAGCAAGAATTTTTAGCTAATAACACCCCTTAGGATATTTTTGACGGTCGCGAATATCTATTTGCCGATGGAAAGGGGAATTTGCGAATACCCGCCCTTGCGAATCTTGATACTGGTCTTAAGGTACAAGGCGGCTTGATAATGTCATCTCACTACGCTAAGGATATAAGCCGGTATCAGGATATATCGCAGGATTTCGACGACCCATGTCTAAGGAGTATCTCAGGGTATCCGACGCCGGTAAAAGGAATACTGCGGGATGTCACATTCCGGCTAAAAGGAGCATCTGTGACTTTCAAGAGAGACTTTTTTATTTGCGATGCTATTGATGGTCTAGCAGATATCATGTTCGGCGCAAACTTTATAACGAATCATTTCAGGGTATTGTTTGAACGGGTCAAAGAATGTATGTTTGCGTCATGGTTTTCGACCAAAAAAGAAAGCAAAGAAGAAAAAGCGGAAAGGGAGCGCCTTGAGCGTGATCAGAAAATAAAGGCTCATCAACGAGAGATAGCGCGCTTGCAGAAGGAGCAGTTGATATTAGAAGCCGCGCAGAGACAGGGCCAAGCTGCCACCAGTCACCCATAGGTGCACTATAGCGGAGTCGAAGTGATCCATTTATCTATCAAAAGGCCTTAAAGGGGACAAAGCAGGACCAGGCGGGTGATCATCTTTTGCAAATAAGCTGTTTGAGCATAAGATTGGATCCTCGGTTACTATATGGCTACTCTTCTTTGCCTTTAAAGAAAAGTGGGACACAATTCGGTTAGAGAGCTCTAGGAAACGCAACCAGTTCGATCCAGGAGGAATAGGGGAAGAGCGAGTTATGAGTCTTTATACATTCATATTCATTTATTTTACAGCTAAACGTAGCTATTGAGCCTTATTTCTTCATACCATAAGGAGCTATATCAACGTGCCTGAATCCCAAAATAGTACCCAACCAAGCCAAGCGATCTTTAACATTTAAAGCTCATGCAGGCTACCTTATTCTAATGGAGCAGTAAGACAAGCCGTTATTAAATTTAGCAGCTTGTGTTTGGGCCTTTATAGAATACTGTCTATAGTCTTAAACAAGGCAGACAAAACTTAGGAGTGCCAGGGTAGATATTATTACTCTGCTCTCACCCTGGCCTTAACTCTGTAACCTTAGTCTCTAGATTTCTCACCTATAGTAGCCACAATGATTCACCCTATGGTCACATGCACTAGATCTATGGTTAATGTACCCTACTACTTTATTTACATATTCTACATCAACTGTTATCAGTTAGACGCCGCCTTAGCGTTAAGTGGCCTATCAGTCTTTATAACCACTATAGACAGGATGAGTCCCCATCCTCAAGCTAAAATTAGGGGAAATGGAACTATAGCACGGGACACGAATAATTAAATTATCGATAAAAGTGTGATATCTTCTGATCTTCAAATTACGTCGCTTTATCTATTATAAATTTATCAATCTTTCATCCCCTAGATAGAGGCTTAAAGTTGATGGACTGTTATCAGGAAGGACACTATGGTTTTCATGGTTATAAATGGTAACTATTGTGCTTTGAAATTTGATAAACAGGACTTGAGAATCGTATTCCTTGTTATATTATGTGTCGTATCTATAAGTATGTCCATTCGCTCAAGAACATAGCATCCGGGATAGATACTGCAATAGTTTGTGCAATACAAACAAGAAGCTAAGTATACCGTATTATTGCTCAACACGGGAAGTAAGAGGCGAATATCACTAGAAGTAGATAACCATGCCGAGGTCTATCTTTCAGGCTGTAAGATGTAATCTTTATTTGAAATGTTCAGGGTGGACTACTCATAGACCAGCAAAAGAGCCTTACACCATTGCAATAGGTCTGGCCTCTTCATATCCATAATGTTATGAAGCCAAAAAAGAAAAAGAAAAGAAAAGAGCATAAAACAGTGTTTGTAAGAAGTAGTCACTGTGACAAACTATCCTCATAGTCTTAGCGTCATCCCATTAGCTAGTCTGAGACTTGTCTTCTTTGTCTCCTTTGCTCTACCTAAGGGTTTTCTCTCTGTTTGTCTTATCTGCCTCCTTAAATTTGTTTTTTTCCTTCTTACATTTGGTGCCTTGTTTCTCCTCTCAGTTAGTCACAACTTCATTTTTCACAACACGTCACAAGCAAAAACAAGGAAATAAACACAAAAAAAAAAAAAAAAAAAAAAACATACAACAGTCAGGATTCGCATGTGGTCACCCACCATACTACTAACTAACCGGCGTGTGGCTTAAGTACGGCTGAGCGGACGGGAAGCCCTGTTCTCCACACCCTATGGTCGTATGTACTTGAGTAAGTGTTAAGAAAGATTATATACTTTAAAAAGAAAGCTATCCAAGTGGTGCGGTACTGCGACCAAGATAGGAAATTGGTGAGTGGCATTTGAATGTGGCGCAACTAGGGGTAAGCAGGGTTCACAGGTGAGTGCCCAATAGAGAATGTGGGAGTCCGAAGAGAACTTGGCGAAATTTCTGCGGGCTGGCGCGACGCCACACTGATATTGAACCCTGTCAGCTGAGCTCAGATAAAGCGGTATCAGCTCTCGCTACTGTGTACTCATAGGTGAACATTAGTATGAATTCTGAATGAGAACTCTAAGTCCAATATGTCGACGAGGCTCTCCTGTAGACTATACAAAGCCTTTTAGATGGCACCGGAGAGCCTAAACAGGAAATGAGAATATAATTCAACAATGCCAGTCCCTAATCGCGCCGGAATAGTGATGATAATACGATAGGTCTCGTATATGCAGATGACCTGAAAGCGCCTCTAAAGCCCAGGATGTGACAATGATGCTCCTATTTGTGAGCTTACGCCGTAGCGATCCCTGTGGAAGAGCTGTTAGCTCCGCCTTGCAAGTGCGGGGCGATTGTTTAATGAACGTTCACGCATCGCGGCATCAGCTTTATCAATCTTTCCTCCGGGCCTTGGTCATCACAATTGGTCCCACTAAACTTGCTTTTCCATTTCTCACATTCGCTTACTGTATCTTACCGTATACGATGTCTGTCTTTTTGAGTCCTGTGTTTAGGGGGAATCGCGCAGGGCAAAGACCAGTAAAGATTCGATAATTGACTTGGTAGGAATCGGCTAGCTGGTGATTTCGTTCAAAGTACATAAAGGAGAGCAAATCTTCCAATTCATCAGTGCCTCTAACACATCGTCTACAGTATCCAATTCTTGGTCCCAAGTCTCACGAACAATAACATATCGTTCGATACTTTTACTTGAGAACTGCCACCTCTTGAATGCCAGTGAAAGTAAAAGTATTGGCAGATCGTAGGGTACGCTCAATCCTCCATCTCCTTGCATTTGCTATTAATTTCATTACCGTCGGCCTTCTTTTCAATCGAGCACAAATATCGGAAGGTGCCATCAAAAATGCGTGCTATGCTATCGGCTTGCTTGATCTTATGGCTATCAGCCTTCAGCTACAATGGGGTCTACGCACACTCTATTCAACCTCTAGACCAACCAATCAAAGCAATGTCGAGTGGTGAATTCGGTATGCCACAGGGAATTCATGTACAGCTGCACAGCTATCTCCTGGTGCATGGGCGTGAAGGTGAAGATATAGTGCGGGGAACCCACAGCGGACATTCGGAGGTCTCGACTACAGGGGCTGAACACCATAATGAACGTCGAGGACTTTGGTCATTCCTCTGGTCAGCCACTAAGGTTTTCATCAACCCGATGTCTTGGACATCTGGTATTCAACTCGGCGACCTGGCGTGTCAAGCCCTTGGGTGGTGGACTTCTGCACCGTCGTGGGTGTCGTGGACCTGTAATTCGTTTGGGATCATCTCGACCATGTTCTCTGTTTGGGATGGACGTGCCGACCTTGCCACTGCATGGAACGATTGGAAGAACGAAGGGTCTTATCAGGGCAACTTGGAAAGCCTGCAGCTATTGCCCTTCTACCGTGAATATGGTGACGTCGTCAACAATGTTGGTCGATCACTACCCGTCCTAGAACGTGGCTATGAATCTGGATACTACGATTGGTCCGTTCTCCACCCTCACCTGGCAAACAAGACAGTCAGGAACGCAATCTCTGGGGATGCAAGCATCTTGCATGATGTCGGTCGGGACTATGCAATCATCACCATGGCCCACGTGCTCAACAGTACCGATTCAAACCCTATCATGGTGCAGCGCTCCATGAACGGGACTCTACTGGGTGCACCTGTATCTATGTTTTTTGTGAATGGCACCGGGAGTTCGGCAGGTCTCGGTTCTCTCCATAACTTTGGTACAACTAAGAAGCCACACAAGCGCGAGGATGATGGAAACTGTGATGGATTTGGCAATGACAGTGGTAACATCTATACCGACAACACGGTGGTGTGTGGAGGAGATGGTACAAGCACAGAAGATGGTATTACAGGCGTGTACTACGGGATGGATTTCTACGGTACAGAGGCTCAATGGAAGGAGTACGACGCCGACGTCGGAGGTCAATACCCGGACAGCAACGGTGCTTGGCATCTCGCCAGTGAGCTTTCTAGCGACACGCAGAATAGCCAGTGGTGGCGCAGCTGCCTGTGCGATCAGGAGAGTGGGAAATATTCTTGGACTGGGGCACTTCAGTACACCTGGAATGGGAAATTCAATGGTTACAGCGACTGCTATGCTGGTACTTGCGGAGGAGCCACTTAGTAGTGAGATTCTGCGACGAAGGCAATAGCTCATAATGGGCACTCAGCTTCTTTCAGGACTAATAGTACAATTCTCGATGGAAATGGGATATATTATTGAGTAATTAAATTTATTTATTAAATATACTTTGAATATTCAATTAGACTATGCTCATGATTACTTATGCACTGTAAGAGTTCTGAGAAGCTATGTGAACGTCCACTTTCAAAAGATAAATATGGATGAATAAGTGCGAATAACAGCCATACTCACATTCGCACCTACGACTATGGATGGGGCAGTACAAAGCCTATCCCCATCTGCTTACACCCATCCCTTTGCCAGACACTGTCGACCGTGCTTTATGACTTTGGCTACATATTTTGATATTGAGAGGTCAAAATTCTATCTAGTCCAGTATTGAAACCTCTTGTTCAGCATTTAATAGAGCATAGCACCCATTACATACCAGCAGCATCTACTTCAAAGTATATTCGGGTTTCTCTCCGGTAAGTATAATACATTCATTTTGTTAGTGTTCAACTTTGGCTAACTCGGAGGGGATTGATCTCTGTATGGTAATCAAAATAAAGGAATACAATGTATCCTCCTGGACATGGTGATCTTTTTCCATCATGAATGATTGAGGTTCTATTATTCATCGAGAGCCCAAAGAAATGATCACATTATTCAGCCCGGAAAACCCCCGCGGGGAACCCCAGATCCAAGAAATAGGTTTCCCCATAATCCATTATGGGGCTTGACAGCCCCATATTCCTGTCCCACAAAACTCAAGTTGTCGCTGAAGTTCCTCCAGATCAACACAAGCTACAGTACCTCGTATCTTGAAAATGGAATAATAGGCGGGTCAATGATAGAAAAACCGTATATCAGTGTAACTATAACAAGACTTTACAAACCTATAAGAACCGAATGGCCAGTCCTTTCCCCTTGACTAGTAAGCGTACCAAGAGATCTGCAAGGAGCTTTTTAAATCCATTCCAGAGCCCACGTCAACGTCACTCGACATTGGTTTCTCCTCATTTCACCGTAGCTTTTGCATCCAAGAACATCCCACTCTCCCACCAGATTTTGCAACAAACCATCCCTAATACCCCCAACATGCCGTTTGGGATTCTCGAAGACACAAATCTGGAGCACATCCCAGGAACAGCTCCACTACACGGCCACTCAGACACAGACAATTATTCCGGCATAGATCCCGGTCTACTCAAATACGATCGCACAGACAAGATCGTCCTCGTGCCACAGCCATCTGACTCTCCTAACGATCCATACAACTGGTCTCGAACAAAGAAAGAGCTTTTCACAATTGCCTATGGATGGGGTTGTGGCTGTGTCGGAGGTAGGCTATTCGCGAAAATGAAAACGATATTGAGAGTCGAACGGTACTAATTTAGACACTCCTTCCCTTTTTAGCGGTCGGCCCTCTTCTTGGAGGCGCATTCGTTCCTTTAGCAGCTCAATTCGACGTCTCATTGACAACTTTCGTTTCAGCTGTGCAGGGCGGTGCCATTGCTGCGATCGCAGTGGGGAGTTTGTTGTTCAATTCCTTGGCTGTGAAATATGGGAAACGTCCGGTCTATTTGGGTACTACGCTTGGTTTGATGGTGTCATGTTTCTGGGCAGCTGAAGCGAAAAGCTTTGAGTCTTTCGTTGCTTCGAGGGTTTTCTGTGGATTGTGTATGGCACCCTTGGAGGCTCTTGTTCCGGCTTCCATCTCGGATATTTGGTAAGTGCGTCATATAGTTTGGAAGCTTGGAAGATTGATTTAACAATGTTTCCAGGTTTGTGCATGAGAGAGGATTTCGAACAGCGATATTCAATCTTGGTGTTTTGGGTGGTATCAACCTTGCCGTTCCGATCGGTGAGTGAATTAATGACTCTGACTTTTGGTTCTTTACTAATATTCAGATTCATAGCGGCCGTCATTATCCAGTACGCTTCGTATCACGAGGCACTATATGGTATGGGTGGAGCTTTCGCCCTAGCCTTCCTTTTGATCTTTTTCTGCATGCCCGAGTCAGCTTTCAAGCGGGAGGCTGTAAATATTGACACTGGAGAATCAAAGGTAAGTTTTGGTGATCCAATAGGTGTTTTCAGAAATTTGTCTGATATACCCAGATGGTTTTGGAAGGGAAAGCGAGTCTTGAACAGCTCGAGCATACCCCAAGCACAACCCCTACCTCTGAAGCCCGCGCCTCATGGCTCGAGGACTTGTTGCCTTATAGTGGTTATGTCAATCACGTCCCTTTCTGGAATACCCTGATCCGGCCGTTCTATCTCCTAGCATCACCGCCTGTTCTATGGGCTGTGCTACTATTCACTACGTGCATCTCATGGCTTGTCGGTATCTCTCTTACTTTATCACAAATTTTCTCGGCGCCCCCGTATAACTTCTCAGTCATCGGTGTGGGAGCAACCAATCTCTCTTCGTTTGTGGCATCAGTGCTGGGTACGATCGTCGCAGGGCCTCTTATCGACGGTCTTGTTACTAGGATGTCTATGAGAAATGGTGGTATATTTGGTACGTTTGCTTTGCTAGCTACTATTAGAGAGATTGCTGACTCTATCAGAACCTGAATTCCGTCTACCAATTATGGTTACATACCTGCTCTTCACCTCCACAGGCTTCTTTGCCTGGGGTCAATCCTCAGCTGCACAGGATCCTTGGCCCGTTCCCGTGGTTGTTTGCTTGGGGTTGATCAACTTTGGAGTTCAGCTTGGAACTACTGGAGTGGTAACGTATGTGGTAGACTGTCATCGTGAGAAGGCCGGAGAGGCCTTTGCGGCGATGAACTTTGTCAAAAATATGTTTGCATTTGGTCTGTCCTTCTATATCAATGATTGGATTTCTAACCAAGGTGTTCGTAATTGCTTCTTCGCTATTGGCGGGATCACTATGGGTGTCACCCTATTCACAATTCCGATGTAGGTTTTCCCTGGCACTTCTGAGTACTGGAGAGGTTGCTAACTTGTTTGAACTAGGTACATCTTTGGAAAGCGAGCTCGAGGCTGGGTTCATCGTCGTGGCTTTGCCGATCGACTATAACTAACCTAGAACTGAAAGCAAGCTTCAGACGCATATACTGAAATGGAAAAAGAGAAGCTTGTCTAGATAGTCAGCAATTTATACAGTCATCCCGAATTTGAACAGATTTCGCCCTACAATCTCCTCTCTTTTAGCCTCTATACCAGTCCAAATCCTTTGTTCCATATTCGAGCCAAAATCTTCTCAAATGAGCTAGCGTCATCAGAGGCTTTCCAAGACGTTGTATTGTTGCTATAGCTACTCATTTTATAGGCCTTTCTAACGGCGTCACTTGGCAGGGAGTCATATTCATGATTACGACAAAGTTCAAAATTGTCCTTTATCCATGATGCCTTTTGAATTCAGACTAGCATGATATATTAATAAAAACCATCTCTTAACTAGAAATGCAATTGACATCCAGCAAGGTGGTGTTGACCTAAATGATAGACACAGTCAGCAAAGCCTCAGTCTTTGGACTCGTTGGCAACCTACATTTGTGCAAACAAACTCATTGGCGTAAAGTCCATCTGGATTGGTGACATCAATATTGGTTGCATGGATATTCGAACAAACCTAGAAGGATTAGTCAAAGATCAGAAAAGATACCAATAGTTTGAAGTAACTCACAGATGGGCTTGAGCAAACGATGGTGCCAACGTCAGGGTCGTATTCGCCTGAGGTCGTACCATGAATATTGTTGAAGTAAACGTCGGAGATGGTGAGGCTACTCTGTAATTTGCAAACCGACAAGTTAGATGGTTGAACCATATACAAGGCTTGATAAGAAGTCGTACCGGGTACTCATTGCAAAGAGTCAGGTTGCTCTGTCCGTAGCACTGGGTGACTTCGATAGCATAGTCGACATTGTCAATGTACATGGTGTCATAAGTGATGTTTTTCACGATGCCCGAACCACCGCCGCCCTGTAAGTCAGTGGAGAGCTCCGAAGAAACGCCAGGCCAGACTTTGATGCGTGCGCCGTCCTATTCATTATTAGTATCCTAGTCTGAGGCCATTGTGAGCTTACTTACAGATGCATTGAACATCGAAATGTTATACACGAGCACATTCTCAACAATGTCGACTTCGCCCTCGTACTGTCCCAGAGAACCAACAGAGATACCGTGAGAGCCATTGCAGTGAAGATTCTGGACAATGATATCCGTAGTGTTGGGCTTGAAAGAGACGCAGTCTATAAAGCGGTTAGAATACAATATTCCAGAGATCGTCATGGATTCGTACCATCACCGTTGTTGATAACAGAATTCTGGATGACAATGTTAGATGAGCGGTAGACATCCCTATTCTCATTAGTCTAGTTACCGACACGCGAGAACGAAAATTTACCATCCATCAGTGTTCTTGGCAGTAACGTTGTCCTTGCTGTATCCCGAGATATCGATCCCGTCAAAGACAATATTGGTAGAGTTGGCAACAAAATGGTACCATTGGGGGGAATAGCGAAGGTTCAAAGGACCAATGGTACCACCATTAAGTCCAATAACTCCCACCAAGACAGGGCGCAGAATCAAAGCATCCTCGGCATATAAGTCGTACCACACCTGACCATTTCCGTCAAGCGTACCTCCACCATAGACATTGACGTCTTCGCCACCCAGTTCGAAAAATGTTGTGGCATTCTGATAGACCTGCTTGAAAGCATTTGCCTGCCAGTAATCTGTGTCGTTGGTAAACTGGACATAACCCTGAATATCTGTCCCAAATTATCAGCAAGATTCAATTGAAGAGATGTTCTGATTACCAGACATACCAAGATCCACATGCTTGAGGAAGGTCAGATCCAATGCTGTACCAATTGTGTAGAGCTTGTCGGCGTCGAAGACAACCTTTCCACCATTGTTGCACTTTTCAATGGCGGAAAGAATGTGCTTGGAGTCATCGCGTCCATTTCCATACGTAGCTACGTGACACGTCTTGGTCCGCGCCTGACTTGGAGGAAGAGGCTTGAATGGTGCATGCGGCTTGCACTTCTCACTCCGCGAGTAGCCTTTTGCAACTGGACTGACAGATCTCGCCTCAGTGGCAATACCCAGCGACAAAAGAAGGCATGTAGCCTGTGTTAAAGCATTGGAGATCCTCATTCTGTGCAACAAGAGAAGAACGTAGATGAGATATTTGGATCACCCTTGTGGGGCCAAGAAAGATCGGCGACAGTGCTTCTTTTATATTCAAAGCTATTCTGCAAAAGCATTATCCGTATGGTGAAACTTGCGTCCACGCTAAGCTATTTCCAAATGCGGGTGAGGTGGGGTAAGGCGCAATGCACTCTCTTCATCCGGGGAGCCGGCATCATGTGTGGGGAAGCTGGAGAGTGAAGCTGCTGTAAGTTGAACCGGCGTCTTGTTAGTGAGTTGCTCGGAAATTGGAGTACTATGTTTTATGGGAGGGAAGACCTTGGCATAAGTCCGATAGGAGGAAAGTTTGACTTGCATTTCACCGATTGGGAGGAAAAATCCGGGGAAATGACGATCATGCATGGACTACGGAATTAATCAACTGGTTGTCAAGCTAGATAGTCTTTCGCAGGTACTAGGGGGTAAACGTCTGGCTCAAGTAAACCCATTTGTTTACCCGATACGAACTTTCTATGTTCCTATGCTTTAAGGTTCTGGGTTACAGTGTGAGCGAGAATTGAGCACAAAACAAAGACTTTCCATAGTTATATGTACAGCGGATCCCGTAGAAAGTAGGACGGCACAAATGGCAAAATAAACACGATACACTCCCGTTTTTGGAGCGTATCGAGTGGCCGAGTGAACGCCCGAGCCTCTATAAAAACCGATCTACGTGCAATCCTGTCCCTCCACATCTTTCAGTACCCGCACCGTCACCGTGACTTCCAACACATCTGACTCATGAAGATGATGCAGTTTAGTTGGTCTTCTTCTCGACAGTCTTCACGGCATTCTCAGCGGCACCCTCAACGGCAGAAACGACATTCTTGGCGGAATCGGCGACCTCGCCCTCGAGCTCCTTGACGGTCTCAGTAGCGGAGCCATCGAGGCTGCGGCGGTAGTTGTAAATACGGGTGACCTGGACAACACCAACACATCCAAGGAAGAAGTTGACAGCGGCAAGCCTGTGAAGATTGAGTCAGCAAAATGTTTGTCGCCCGATCGGAACGACTAAGGCAGAAGTTGGAAACATACAGGACGTTACGGGGCTTGATGATCAAACACCAGCGAGTCCAGATAGCACCGGTAGCCATCAGGGCACCGTTCTGGGTAAGGGACAGCTTCTCAGCTGGGCGGTTGAAGTCGGAGATACCGGCGATGACGAGAGCCCACTGCACAAAGAATTAACGTCAGTCATTGATCTTGCGAAGTCTCCCCCATCCCAAATCCCATCGATGTTATCGCGAAATTTGGCAGATATCAAATCTTCGGCGGAAACGAGCGCTTATCGGGGCAGGGTGACTGGAGTCATAATCGTACCTTCATCACAGGGGCCCTATCAGACATCAAAGTTAGCGGGAACATCCATTTCAAGCAATTAAGCAGAGAGTCAGCGCCGATGACTTACCAGAAGTGCACAGTCTTCACACCAACGGGGCTGTTCCACATGCGCTGGAAGATGCTCTGCTGCTCCGCGGCGCCGGCCTCGGAGCTCTGGAAACGGAAGCCCTGGCCGGCCTGCCGGCGGAAGGGACCAGTGGCATTGCGGAAAGCAAAGCGAGTGTTGTTAAGGAAGCGGAATCCCACACGAGACGACATGATGGCGGTTTGAGATATGACGACTGAGGAAGTGAAGAGGGAAGAAGGGCGGGATCGGCCGGTGGTCGGGGCAGGTGAGTTTTCCGCCGGTTACAAGGTCACAACGATGGAATCGCACCACCACGAGAATAGAGATAAGCTTTGGATAAATGGATACAATACAAATAGCCTTAAATTATTAAAGGATCTATCTCTAGAGCTAGACTAGACCTGCTACGTTATGAATAACCGTGGTGAGCGGTTCTTTTCCGGATTATCTAATGTGATACGAGCTAGTCCACATGCAGTATAGCGGCAGCCATCTCTGCTCGAGCGAATCACGGGGCTCGTGAATAATGCTCTCATTCTCTTGAGAGACACGATACCCCCTCCTCTATCCTCCACTCCACACCATTACGCCATGTCGGGCAAATACGTTTTCACCAAGGGCCTCAAGGAGCTCCGCTTCCTTTTCTGCCAGACCTCTGAGCAGAGCGCTGCCACAAGGTGCGCCTTCCTAACAACCTGAAGATCCGATCCCAGTTTCAACGACAACATGCTCACCGGATCCATTGACTAATTCAATTCGTCGCTTGAACAGGACCTTCCTTAACCGCGCTTACCCTACCATGAAGAAGCACAATCCCCACACTCCCATCCTCATGCGCGAGGCCTCTGGCACCGTGCCGCGAGTCTTTGCCCGTTACGGTACGACATCGCAGCTTCCCTGGCAATTCCAGCCCACAACACCCAGCAAGAACTGGATCGCTGACTCAATGGATACGATACAGATTTCGGAAAGGAGACTCAAGAAGCGCTGTCCGGTAGGTCTTTTTGCTCTTCCCCGACAGATCCGAGGACATCGCTAACATTAATAAAGGTCTCTCCGACGCGCAGATCGAAGAGCGCATCACCCAATTGGTGAAGCAGACCTCATAACGACATTCACCATCATCTTCCCCTTCGCCCATCACCTGTCTTATGTCCCTGCCACAATCGCGAGTTTTGCCGTTCTACAATCCTGTGTACCTATAGATGAAAATCGAACCCGAGTCTCACACATCTCGTCCTCTGAAAAATCCAACTCAAACATGCATTCCGAATTATATTTGGATTCAATTGACTGATTTTGCCGAAATTTCTCAAAATTGTTCCACTCCGAAAAGAACTTTCTAATATAACAGCCGGCTCTATAACGAAGCACTAGCATTTCCAACCTCTCCAAACCGGTACTGCGACCAGCTCATACTTCCCTCAGGAAACTTCCAGAGGCGCTTTCCGAGATCAGCACCTGCAGCTCCAGCCCCAACATGAATAGGCAACAAGTGCTCGAAAGACGGATGCGCCTGTCTAGCATCCGGCCTCTTCAACAAATTCGCCATAGCAGCCTCCCGCTCCTCGGGCTTCGCCGTAGCAGCGTCCTTCAACGCCTCATCGAAGCTAACAGCGTAAGGCAATGGCTGCGGCTTTCCGAAAGTGAATCGCATATCGCGGAGGTTGTGCACTGCCATACCGGAGACGACGATCAGAATGTTTTCCTCGCGTAGACGGGCAACAGCCTGGCCAAGGCGGTAGTGTTGGTTCGGGTCTTCGGTGTCAAAGAGCGAAACCTGGACGATAGGGACATTGAGAGCATTAGAGTCCGGTTCGAAAGCTATACGCATTGTTAGTGTCATATTTTGCAAAATCAAGCTCTCCAATGAGACGTACCGCACTTGAAGCTCGCCCAAACACCATGATCCAGGCCCCGCTTCACGCCCTTTGCCTCGATACCAGCTTCCTTCAGCAGATCGAGCACTTTGTGCGCAACTTCCTTGCTTCCGACGTTCGGATATTTCTCTTTATAGTAATGATCGGGGAAACCATAGAAACTAAACAATATCAGCAACGCACACTATCTTCTGGAGTGTAACGAGGGCATAAACATACTCGTAGATCAAATCCGTCATCTCGGCCGTGTTGACATAGATCGTATCCCTACCACCTTGCCAATGCGCCGAGAAAACTACCACAGCACGAGGCTTAACCTTAGTAGTAATCTCACGTCCGATCTGACCTAGTTTACGATACGCAGGGTGATCCACGTCATACATGACGCTAGGCTGGGTAGAAGCGTCAGTATAAGATCCAAACCAACACGTATAGCGGACCAATAATGGCTTTCCGTAACACGAATGCAGAGATTATTACTTACCCCACCATGGCTAAGGAAATAGACTGGCGTCTTAGTCTTAGAAATCGAATCGTCCGCCATATTCCCTTTCACAGCTGTGCTAGCAGCAATAGATGCAGATGCAGAAGCCGATGCAGCAGATAAAGGACCAACGGCTGAACGGGCAGCACTTGAAGATCCGAATAGACGACGGAACGCAGACAGGTTGGCGGTGTCGCTAGCGAATAGTGCTATCAGAGCCGCGATGACTATTGTCACGAGCGAAGGAAACAAAGTTTTCCGACTGTTTTGAATCCCGGTTGCGCTTGTGTTGTCCGGATTGTTATTTGGGGTGTGGTGAGGTTCGGAAGACATGTATGAAATGGGCTTTGGCTTTTGAATGCTTTCAACTAAGCAAACTTCCAGGTCGGGTTTTGGTTGGAGACTGAAGATTATAAAATCAAGGGACCCAATTCAAGATGTGTTATAATTGGTTGAAATTGTCCATGTGGGATGAGGATTCGGTATTTGCATTAGAAATGCGCATCGGATGTTGAGCCGATTGTATAAGCCGAGCCGATGGTGTGTGTCAGCGCGGAATAGGCCCGCTCGGGAATACGGGTTCAGGTAGGTTATACAGGGGTTTTCTTTTTTCATACAAGTACTTCAACCCATAGAAAATCTACTAAAATGAGAACTAATATCTGCAAAGAAATATTGACATATCACAGCGATCCATTCTATTCCAACGCAAATGCAGCCAAGCCTAGCTCCAGGGTATTTGCCTAATGTGTTCGTACTAGTCATGTCTTTCTCCGTGAAGATCCATCATGCACCCCAAAACCGAGAATCAAAGAGAAAGAGAAAGCAAAAGAAGAAGAAGAAGAAGCATTGTGATCAAAACAAACCCCAAACCCCTTAGGAATCAAAAAAAAAAAAAAACAAGGGGCAGATGAGGTGGAAATTTGGAGAGAACAAAACAAGGAATTTTACAGCCCAGACCAAAAGGCGAGTCCTGTTCGAAATAACTGGTGGATGTCGTCATTGAAGCATTGGATCATTAAAAGATACATGTATGGGAGAGAGCCCGGGTATAGAAAGTAGCCGTGGAATCGAGTATCGGAGATGGGAATTTGGCAAGGTTAACAGGCAATGGTCAAACAGGAACAAAGGATTTACATCAAGACACAGTCCCCGTCACTTTGCTTGTTAACAGCTGCGCGAGAGAGACGAGTCTTTTGCATCCTGCCTCCACCCTTCTTAAGGTCTTCGAGACGTTCCCTTGCCTTGGGGAATCCTTGGGCTGTAAGAAAAGAAAGGTCAGCAAGATGTCAGTTAAAAACACAATCAGGTTATGCTTACCCGCTGCACGCCAATACCATCGCTTCGCATCATCCAGATTAGCGGCGGCACCGATTCCAACTTCAGTGAAGTAACCCATAGCATACTCAGCCTTGGCAAGACCAGCCGTAGCTGCTTTCCGTGCCCAGAGATATGCTTCCGTATCGCTCTGCTGCAGAACTCCCTCCGATCCAGTGAGGTACCAGCCACTAAGAGCAAGTTCACTTTGATGCTCGCCCTGAGCAGCAGCGCGGGTGTACCAAATGATACTCATGCGGTTGTCAGGGACACATCCCATCAAGCCATATTCGTACGCAGTACCGAGACGGAACTGGGAGAATTTGTAGCCCAGCTCGGCGGCCTGGTGGAAGAGTTGACTGGCATATGCCTCATCGCGAACAATCGAATCGTTACCGGAAGCGGTTTGATACATGAGAGCCAGCTCGTGGAGAGCATGTGGGTTCTCCTCGTCGGCTCGTTCAGCTGCGCGCTTGAGCCACGAAACACCTTCGCGAGGATTGCGGGCTTGGCCGAGTAAACCCTTGAGGTGGATCATGCCCATCTTGTACATCGCTGGTGTATCGCCCAGAGACGCTGCGCGCTTGTACCATTGCACAGCCTTGAAAGGATCTCGCTTTGTTCCACCGCCCTCTTCTGAGCCGATCTCGCAGCAGACAGCTACTCTGTACGCTGACTGGGCGTGGCCAGCCTTTGCGGCTGAATGATATAGGTTAAATGCCTCCTTTGGATCAGCTTCCAATCCCAGCTGACCTTCTCCATAGCAGTCGGCGAGGAAGAACTGTGCATCTGCGTATCCGGCCTGGGATAGTTTCTTCACTATTTTGAATGCATCACCAATATACTTCTCCTTTGCCTTTGCTTTTGTTTTGGGATCAAGTCGACTATTCTCTGCCACAAGAACGGTGGCAGCCTCCACCAATTTCTTGGCTAGTAGAAGCTGAAGAGCCTGGTCTGAAGGATTGCCTCGCGCTTTTTGTTGCAGTCGCTCAAGCTCATCGTGTGTAATGGGGGTTTGGCCATCAGGAGTCGCTGGCTGAGGAGCGGCAGCTGGGGCCTGCGCAGGCGCAGGGGCGTTGTTGTAATTCCGCACTGGTGCGGGCTTCGCGGCTTGGTCGTGACCCGGTCGGAAGGGTGTCCCGCGAGAGGGCATAGTCTCAGGAATTTGCTGGGCATCTGGTGACTTCTCATAAGGATACCCTTGTTGAACAGGCGGTCCGGGGGGGACAGGGCCCGGAGGAGCTGGAGTATACGCCGGTGCGGCTTCATGAGGGAAATAGCCACCAGATTGATCGTAACCATTAGGTGAATTTCCGTATCCAGAAGCAGCCGGTGAAATTTCACCACCAATACCGAAATTGAAGCCGGCATTTTCAAACTCGTTAGGGGCACTGCCTTGCCGAAGATTGTGGTGAGATTGAGACTGGGGGGTTACTTGACCACCCGGGGAGTAGGGTGCATATTGGCCGCTAGCTGGGGAGCCTGGAGAGCCGTGCGTCTGTATTTTAGGCTTCGGTGCATCCAGTCCCATCTCATCCACTGGGCCATTGCTATGCGGAATGGCATCAAAGTTGGGCATATCGGGCTCGTCATCATTGTTACTATCGTAGTAGGTATCCAGGAACTCCTTGGGCGCGTATGAAACTCGGTTTGTAGGGTCAGGAGGAGGAGCCGCCAACCCTGTACCGAGGCCGTTGCCAGGCACCCCAGGCACCCCAGGCGCAACCCGAGCCCGAGGAGGTCGCATGCTACCGGCGGTGTTGGGGCGCGGAGGCATTTCTCCGCCCATCGTGGCCGCTGGGTAATCATACTCGCTATACGGCGCTCCGGGAGGTGGCTCTCGCAATGGCATAGTTGCGCTTCTTGATGGAGGCCCCATTGGACCGTTGGGGTCCATGGGTGGTCGGCCGGATCGTGGAGGACCTGGATAGTAACCTCCTCGGCCGCGAGGCGGCATCCCACGTGGGGCCCCGCGTGGATCTGATCTTGCTGAATTTGATGTGTGTGGTCGAGGTGGTTGGCCATTGATATCCATCGCCGCCATACCCCTCTCTATTCCGCCAGGGGGAGCTCGTCCGTTTCGCGGGTCTCGCGGGTCTCTAGATCTCGGATCTCTAGGATCCCTAGGATCTCTAGCTCTCGGGTCTCGCGGGTCTCTAGCTCTCGGATCTCTGGGATCTCTGGGATCTCTAGCTCTCGGGTCTCGCGGGTCTCGGCCTGGGGGAACTGCAGGGAAAGGACTGTCGAAACCCTCGCCTTGTCGCGGAGGGCGAGATCCCGCTAGGGTCTGTCAGATGCCAACCGTAACAAAAGGGTATCCATTTCACTTACGAGGCCTGGAACTTTTCTGCGGAGGTGGTCTGCCACCAGGGTAGCCACGCCCATCGTTGTATCCGGGAGGTGGCCGTGCTGAGCCTGGCGGTCCCGGTGGGCGCATTGCACGGGGTTGCGACTGCGGCGGCGGAGGGCCAGGGGCAGCCGCTTGATAGCCATATGAAGGGTCATTGTATCCGGGGTCCGAGTAGCCAGAGTCTGGTGGGCCGTGACCACCATCTAGGCCGTACATAGCATCAGGCGCATAACCACCAGGGGCCGAGGCAGGAGATGGCGCAGAGTTATTGTACTGCCTCAGAGGCGGGGGTCTCTGGGCTGCCTGCGAAGGGTACGCCATGGCTCTGGCTTACGAAAGGTTGGACTTGTCTCTCTTTCTTTTTCAAGAATTCTTCCCCGGGGCGGTTGTGTTGTTGGCAAAACCGTCTGGTCGCATGCAAGGAGGGCTGAAAAGCTGCCAAAACGGTCAGTTTGTACCGAACACAAACCACAGGACTCCCCGCAAACCGGAGCACGTGCCCCGAGAAGCATTCAGAAGAATATCACATTCCAGAATCAACTTACCTTGAATCCCCTGGGAATTGCAATGCCTTCAAGGAATTAAGCGGGGGACACGGGATATCGATGGGGTGGAAAGGAAACAGGTGACTTTAATAAAACCCGGTGACCCACTTCTGCGCCGTCATCGTCTTTAAATTGTTAAATTTGCTTTCTAATTTCTATTGTTAAAGGAACTTAGAAACGGGGCTTGGCAACCATGGTTCAGCCCAGTGGAGTTTCAGGCGAGACACTCTGGCATCTTGCCCTTGGAAGCTACTGCGAGAACGCGCGCGGGTATTGCAAAGTTACTGTTTTGCCTGGAGAGAAAATGTACCTGACGATCAGGGGTCATAGTACGAATACGCGGTACTTCCAGTTTCAGTTAATCACTCAGGGCTGTCCAATGCCAATGCAAGCCCCATCACTTGCTAATGTTTTGTTCGTCGTCACGTCCTTAACCCCTCAATCTATTTCTTAACTTGCTAAAACGCCATTTTATACCATTCTACACGTTTGATTTGACTCGCTATGATTGAAATACATTGGTAAATGTGATCGGGATACAAGGCCCCCCACTGCCAGCTGGGACCCAAATAAAATTTCATGCCCAATGGGTCCGTTCATTGCACGAATTACGGTAGGAAACTGCATGCTGATCAAATCCATGGATGACTAAATGGACCCTGTGTCAGTATCCAAGAATAGGCAGAACAATATCGCGAGACGAATAGCATCAAAGAGTAGATAATTCTAATCCTACGTCACAGGAAACACTAGTGTGTGGAGAACGACAAAGAAACCTTGTAGTTAGAATTGTAATCGAAGAATCGAAGCTCCCGTGATTCCCGACTTGAGACATTGCTGCGCCACATAGCCTCTGACACCAGCCTCAACTGAGCCACATCGTTATCCCGCAAATGAGAGCCGCGATGATGCAGATGATGTTTGTTCACGCGGTGTCTCACCCTTGAATTCCAATCCCCACTACGACTCTACCTGCTGCCTCCGAACAGTCACAGATCCTGTTCACGCGCCTCTATCGTCTGCTCCGAGATATCCGAAACCTCCCACCAATCCCTGTTCTCCGCATCGGAGAAAACACTCCACACCATGTCTCGCGCTGGATTGTGGGTGAAGGTCATCATTGGGTAAGTGCCGAATAGCTGAATAGCATGTGAATCCTGGGTAATTATGGAACGGATCTGATGAACCGAGTCCGCTGACGCTGCTTGCCTTACAGCGGCATCGCCATTTCCGTTGGTGGCCCTGCCTTCGTCGAATACATCCGACCCACCGATGAGGAGCTTAGGAAGCGGTACAACCCAGAACTCCAGAAGCGCAGTGCGGAACAGGGAGAGCGCCGGGCGCAGGAGTTTGACGATTATGTTACCAAGCTGAAGGAGTGGTCCAAGTCTGACAAGTCCAGTATGTGTTTTTGGCTTTTTTTTGGAAGACGATTGCGCTTCAACCCCGAATCAGCGTCCATGTGATGTATTCAGGCTAACTTTTTCCTTTCTTTTAGTTTGGTACGCCGCACAGGAAGAATTGGATCAGAAGCGTGCGATTATCGAGGCTCAACGGGTCAAATCGAAGGAGGAGGACCGGATACAACGGGAGGAGATGCGCAAGGAGATGCTGGGCGAGGAGAAGAAATAATTGCAAAATACCTCAAATCATGGCACTCGAGGTGACTGCTCTTTAGGCTAGTCCATGCATTCCTCGTTGTGGCTAGTGAGATTCTGGCGCTCTAATTCTTCGCAAAATTCTCTTTGGAAAGAGATACCGTCCTTGCGACGGTACAGGCGCTTTGGATCGACCTGTATGATCATTATGGTGTGTACGATAAGTCTGTTGGCATCATTTGACGGAATATCTTCAAGGCTCTCGGTGACAGCCTCTGTATATTGATATCTATTTAACGGAAAATTGACTCCTCTTTCAAAGCCTCTTGGGATGGTGCATCTATCAATTAGGTCAATAAACATTCGTCTTTCTAACGAAAGTCTGATCTCGACGACTTTTTGGCTGTTAGAAAAGCTGTTACTACCTTTGGACCTCGGGAAGGTTGGAAGTGACAGTTTTATACACACCCCCACCTAAATATATCCAAAGCAAGAATCTCAACCTGATAGGGCTCCTCCCTTCTCAGGTGCTTCCAAGGAGGTTTAAAGCCCCTTATCTGAATATGTAAATGTCGAGTCCCCGACATATTTTCCCAGGAAGTAGTCACTACCTATGTCAGGCAACTTGACATCAGAAGGTATATATATATTTGTCGTATGAGCAACCCTGCAGAATATATATTTTTGGTTCAAAGATAGGGCGAGCTGCCAAGGAGGGTAGAAGGAGCCATTTTCGAACACTAAAGAAGGAAACTACAGGAAAGGGAGAGCCATGCATAGACTTTTCAACTCCCGAAGACCTCGGGAGTGTCGAGTCAATTTAGATGGGGTTCATGCCTATAGAGTGCTGGTCCTAGGTTGGTAGCCGTGCATTTTCGGCACCTTAATCCTACTGAGCATTCTCCGCGAGACCTAAAACTTGATAAATCTAATCAGCAATCTATTGACTGGAATTCAAAGAAAAAGAAAAAAACCAGTAAAGAGAAAATCTATTCCCAAATTCGTGGTTGGGTCTGATGAAAAAAAGACAAAAAAGAAATGAGGCGAGAGAGAATCGAACTCCCAATCTTCTGGATTTCCCAAGCTGGAATCAGACGCGTTACCATTGCGCCATCACCCCATTGGATGAAGGTTTGGATTTGAAACAAAATATAATGCAAAATTCAAGTTACAGCTAATAATCTTGGAAATTCTCTTAGTGCTGAAGATCCTTCGCCGGAAACATACTATAATGCAGGGGTGTAGCTGATTTACCAATGATTATTAAGATACAAGAACAAATAATTATTGATTAGAAATACGCCCCGGCATGTCTTTCCTCCCCCTGTACTTGCTTCGTAATATAAAATATCATTGAATATGTAAACAACTTTTCATAACGAGTAAAGCTGCCGTCCTTTTATGGAAAAAGGTACCCCTTTACCTTCACCTAGACGCTGAGCCTTCCTTACCAGAACTAAGATATACAAAATAATTATCATTCCCGGGAATTGAAATACCGTGACTTTCTTTCATCAGGTCGCAAAGCCTCTTAGTTTGTGTGTCCCGAACAATCGTGTTTTATCGGGTTCCCTACCGTGCGATGTCAGTGGCACTCCACCAACCAGACCAATACCCATCCCCTAGGGAACCACAGGCCAGCTTGGGCCATGATGCTGAAAAGCCATCCGACCAGCAATCTCCGCCAGAGGAAGCCCTAGCTGGGTCGGATGGGGGCAGAAAAATCCGTGGCTTTCGTTGGCTAATCATCTGTACCTCGCTCTATACAACTTGCTTCCTATACGGCCTCGACACCACAATCGCAGCAGACGTTCAAAGCGCCGTGATCACAAGATTCGGTCATGTCGATCAAATCGCCTGGATCGGAGCGGGTTTCCCATTGGGCTCTGTGTGTGTCATTCTATTCCTCAATACCCTTTTCAATACCTTCAATATGAAATGGGTATACTTTTCGACCGTCGTGCTCTTTGAGGCTGGCTCGGCTATATGTGGCGCCGCTCCAACCATGAGCGCTCTTATAGTTGGCCGTGTCATCGCTGGTGCTGGGGGCAGCGGCATTTACCTCGGATCTCTACAATACCTCGCGGTAATGACCACGGAAAAGGAACGAGGCTTTTATATGTCTCTGATTGCCATGTTTTGGGGCCTTGGTGCAGTTTTAGGACCCGTTGTTGGCGGGGCCTTTGCTGTATCCTCGGCAACCTGGCGTTGGGCCTTCTACATTAATTTGGTTATAGGTGCTGTATCGGCTCCGGCTTTTCTTTTCTGTCTTCCAGCTATTCATCCGATGAAAGGTGTCAGCGTCCGAAGTCGGTTGGCTTCCATCGATTTCGTGGGTCTCATTCTTGGAGCTGGTGTCTGGGTCAGTTTCCTTTTAGCATTCACAATGGCTGGAACTGAATGGCCATGGAAGGACGGTCGCACTATCGCTACATTTGTTGTCTTTGGGGTTGTATTGCTTCTCTATGTCTTGCAGCAATACTTCGCTGTTTTGACTAGCCCTGCCAGACGTGCTTTCCCAGGTCATCTTCTAGGCGACCGCACCCAGGTTCTTCTTTATATTGCGACAGCAGCTGGCACGACAACCCTTTATGTTGTGGTCTACTACATTCCCATATACTTCCAGTTCGTTAACAGTGATGCAGCCCTCATGGCTGCTGTGCGTTTGTTGCCCTTTGTTATCATTGCTGTCGCTGTCAACCTTGTTTCGGGGTCATTACTTCACTTCATCAAGTTATATAAGGTCATCTATATCATCGCCAGCATTTTCTTGGTAGCTGGTGGTGGTCCCTTGATGGTTTACCTCGACACCACTACGAAAACAGGCACTATATACGGCTTGACAATACTTGTGGCTGTTGGCACCGGTCTTTCAATGGTGACCGGCTATACGGTTGCTACCCTGACCACCAATCCAGAGGACACAGGCTCTGGCCTCAGTTTGCAAAACGTCTCACAGATCGGTGGACAGGTAATTGCGCTCGCTATTGCGTCACAAATCTACCAGGAAGTTGCCATCAAGAATCTGTCAACAGTGCTAGCCGGCAAAAGTTACTCGCAACAGGAAATTCAGAGCGCAGTGGCAGGAGCGCAGAGCACAATGTTCGACAATCTGAGCGGCGAGCTGCGAGACAAAGCGATTGTCGCCATTACTGATGCAATGAAAATGACCTTTGTGATGGTACCTGTTGCCGGGGCCATAATGCTGATTGCTGCTCTTTGCATGAAGAATGAGAAGCTTTTTGGTCGTGCCATCGCTGTCGGAGGCTAGTGAAGGAGAACTCGATGCGCACTTACTTTAAAGTGTAGGAGGACCAGTAGAGCTTGATCACCGACCCGGCCTCCGTGATACAGATCCCAAGGCCGATGTGGCCAGTTGTGTGACCATTTTCATCGTCATTGGACGGTGGACTCTCTGCAAATCTTTCTTTATACTAGCTGGATAAGCTCTTTCTTGTATGCAGTACCCGGTGTAACTTAGTGAGGCATTGCCAGCTTGATTACATAACAGCTCGCGTAGCTCAGTTGGTAGAGCGCGGCACTAGTAATGCCGAGGTCTTCAGTTCAAATCTGGACGTGAGCAGTGTCCTTTTTGCTGCCTGTCGAGAACTCTACACTTAATTTGCGGCACCCGTGACAGCGACATCCGATTATGTTAAGTAAATCGGTAGGGCCTTCCTGCATGTCGGGAATGGCCTTGGGCGACTAGCACGTCTGAAATAAGGAACAGTCAAGAGGAGGTGGAGCTAGTACTTGTTATGAATAGTACGGATTTACACATATATTCACTTTTCTCTTGATTCATGACGCTGATTTCAATATGGAAACTCGAAAGGCGTACAGCAGCAAAATGCGTACACCAGGACTTAAGTGACAAAATATGACTACCCAGTTGACACTCCATAAAATTTTGATAGAGTAAGTGGTAGATGAATGACTCGGCGACGAATCCAAGTATGAATTATCTACTTTATTCTAACGTCAACGTATGCGCCTCATAACTCGCGAGTGTATGCAAACACATCACAGCATGACCTGTTGTACCCATTGGCATGTTGAGGAGTCATATCTAAGCCTCCTATACCCAAGTGTAGACTTTCTATGTCCTTTCTAGTCAATTATGAGTCATAATATGTGATCGACGATCTGTATACACTTCTTTTTTTTGTTTTGGTTGGCCAGGTGTGGCGGGCGTCCTCAATGCAAGCTTGCCGATATGCACCTCGGAGTCCGTACCTGATGAAAATTACCCAAAACAGACTAGTGAAGGAAGTGGGGCGAGATCCTTCCACTGTATCGGTTCCACTTTGGAGCCTTGATGCCTACTATGTACGCGCGAATACCATGATAATATGGATGAAATTGGTTGTGTGGTGACCAAAATTAAGTTTTTCAAAATGTGTTTCAAAATTTGATACCGAGGATACCACCTGAACCTCTTCCTGCCCTAAGTCGTGACAGGTCTGCCTATTTAAACCTTCCTCCACCCCGTTTTGACCGACCATATTTACTGCTACCTGCAAACCTCTAAGCCATTTCCATTTTACGCCCAAGGAGTATCGATTAATTGAAATCCTTAATTTTTCACACTTTACCCACTGCAACAAATCACATCGAGAAAATGACACCGCCATCCCCCTCATACACCAAGGTCATTCACTCCTCTACATATGCTGGTATCAATCCAACTCAGCCCGGCCTCTCCACTGCAGACAAGGTTGTGTTGATCACTGGTGCATCTGGCGGCATAGGAAGGGCCACAGCTTCATCCTTTGCTGCATCCGGTCCCCGAGCCATCATCCTTCTCGGTCGACGCGCCGACGCCCTGGGGGAAACTGCCACGATAGTCCGCACCAGCAACGCAGAAGTGAAAATTCAAACTCACGAGGCTGAGCTGTGCGATGCTTCAAGCGTACGAAATGTCATGAATACGGTGGCTGCCGAATTTGGTGGCATCGACATCCTTGTTCACTGTGCCGGCGTCCTAGCCCCCGTTGTTCCACTTCTGGAAATTGATCCGAATACTTTTTTGGATGGCTACAAGACTACCGTTATTGGTACGCTGGCGACAGCACAGGCTATAGTCCTGGCAAACAAGATAGTCAGCCCCAACGAGGACAAACCGGTGACCTTCATCAATCTGACTACGGCGGGCATCATCTTTCCTCCGTTCACCGGCATGGGTGCCTATGTGAGCAGTAAGATGGCCGCCGTCAAGGTCTTAGAGTCCTTTGCTACTGAGAACCCCCAAGTGCGTCTGCACAATGTACATCCCGGATTCCTCGAAACGGCTATGTCTGCTAAGCTGTCGGAGTCAATTAACTTGCCATTTGCCTTTGATGAAAGTAAGTATAAGCTGATCTTGTTCATTGTGGCCGTATGTATTTGTACCCAAATAACTGACGATTGTTCTTTTTTCATTTCAACAGTCTCTCTTCCCGCCGATTTCCTTGTCTGGATTGTCTCACCCGAAGCGGAATTCCTGAGAAACAAGATTGTCTTCGCCGCTTGGGACGTTGATGAGCTCAAGGATCGCAAGAGGGAAATTATTGGTGGCCCACCAGGAACTGGTGAGCTTTGGCTCGGCTATCAAGGGTTCCCGCGATATATGGGTGGTCAGCCTTTGCCAGGCACCCAGTAGGCGATCGGTAACCTGTATGAGAAGTTGCCATTTTAGGTTGAATGGAATATACACGTGCGTGCTGTTTTCATAAGCACATAAGCCTTCACTATGGTGGATTGACAGCATGAAGACGCCAATAGAATAGAACCTAGAACCATGCTGCTCACCTGAAAGTTCCTTTCAAATTAAAAAGTTGAACAAAAAACATTCGTTGTAAACTTGCAACTCGAACGGGAGTACTTTGGGCCCCTTACAAATTGTAATATACATACTCTGGCGCTGCGGTTTCCTGACTACATTTTTTGGACTGAGCATCTGGGCAGGCCATCACACGGTGGACATAACGTAGTTAAGTAGGGCACTGGCTTGTAAAGAGGAAGTTGTGGTACGTGGGAAGCCTTTAGGATTACAGTATACACCATCAAGTCACGTGAAAATAGAGGGGACATGAATATATTCCTATTCCTCTGTAAGGCATTTATCTTCAGCAAGGCCCCATACATTCTGTCTGATTCGTGGCACGGAACTATCAGTCCAATATTCGAATATCAGGGGGTAGTCTTGATGATACTGATCAACATATAAGTCTGGGCCAACTCTTCGTAGCTTGAGACTTTACTCGTTGAATGCATAATCTTTGAGTTCTCTATTCTCCCCTTGTATAACCATAAAATCCCCTGTCCACTCTTTCCTTCTCCAACTGGCGGATTACATAATGTACATAAGGTATTCGAACACACGGGGGATCGGCAGATCGGCCCATCCCATTTGAGGGGTGCATATGTCAGGAGTATTATTTCTGAGAAATGACGTTGAAATTTCAATACTTTATGCATAAACCCGGAGCCGATCTAGCTGCGTTTGTTGCAGGGATATTGAGCGGCAATTGTTAGCCGTGGAGCCCGGAGCATGTTACTAAGTTTAGTATCCGCAACGCGTTTCTCGAGCAACGTGTATACTTTGGGGAAACTAATAGTAGGCAGCCATATATAATTCATTCCACCCCACAAAGACTACACGAGGATTAAAACAAGAGAATTGTGCTGCATTTGCGGAAATAGAAGATCCCGATATGAAATGATAACTTAAACGGCTTTTGAACAAGAAGGTTGGCATTATGCGATCGAGGGTTTTTCCGAGGCATGTTTGTAGTAAATTGCAGCTCATTTCCCCAGCTTTGTGATGACCATTTATTCGCCCAAAGACCCCAGAAATGTGCTTATAAATCTAATATATTGAAATTTATCCACTAGTCAACTGAGATTGAAGTCTGAAAGTAAATCCAAAAAAGAATTTGCCTGCTTCCGATCGCTTTGAGACAGCGCCACAATCACGTGACCACCGAACCCGCCATCAGCGGCAACTCCAACTTGTCAGCTTCACAGCCTAACAGTCTCCAGTCCATCCAAATCCCTCCCTCACGTCCTTTGAAACACTTGATCTCTACTCGCGTGCGATCACTCTCACACCACACACGTCCTCTACACCCTTTCCCGTCTCCTTGGCAACGAACCTGGTACGTTACCCCCGTCCAAACAAAGGGTCCCTGACTAGTCTGCTCGCCACCAACTTCCTTACCAAAGTCATATCTAACCCGTTTAATAACAGTCCCGACCCATCACGATGTCCAACGAACAGCCCTACGACCCCTATATCCCGGCCAACCAGACCGGTGCGCCCACTGCTGGTGCCTCCCAGCAGCAGAATGGAAACCAGCGCACCGCTGCGCTGCAAGCGGTTAGTTTCCTCCTTTGCCCCAGCAACCTACCCTCTCGACAGCAATCCAATATGATGTCGCATACATTTGAACGTGGTGGATGATATGCGCCGCTTTATTGATATCGCTCAAGAGACTCGGAGGGTTTATTACCAGTGACCGCGAGACTAACATATACTCTCCCTTCAGCAAATCGATGACACTGTCGGTGTTATGCGCGAGAACATCACAAAGGTTTCCCAGCGTGGTGAGCGTCTCGACTCCCTGCAGGATAAGACCGACAACCTTGCCGTATCAGCCCAGGGATTCCGCCGGGGTGCCAATCGCGTACGCAAGCAGATGTGGTGGAAGGATATGAAGATGCGTGTATGCCTGGTTATCTGTGTGATCATCCTACTGGTGGTCATCATTGTCCCTTGTAAGTCTTATGTTTGGTTCAATGGCTACATCCGACCCTCTGGGGCTTCGGATGTCGGAACGAGTGGGACGCTAACATTGATCGGCAGCTGTCGTAGCAACAAAGCATTAAAGGGGCGGGACACCATGAATGTGCCATGCGCGAAAGTTGTGCTTTTTCTTTTCTCTCTTGGGAATATGGGATCTTGTTTTTGACCGGGGTTTACTGTCGTTGAGGCCGAGCTCCGTCGTTTTCTTCCCCAGCTGCTAATACCTCCTCCTGTTTTGTTTTGGGCGTGTTTCTGAATGACCAATATGCTTCTTCACTTCATTTTCTTCCTGTTTCAGCGATGAAATGAACCGAGCTCCCAGTTCCTTGGGATTGGGTGCCCCCCTATGCGGAGTTTTTCATGATCAAAAACTCTGTACAGGGGTAAAGATGTAAATGATATCGCCTCTGATGCCGTGTTTGAGTATGTTACCATTATTATGTCACCTGAATTATTTTTGTGTCGGGAGTTGTTTCTCTTCTAAGAAAGTCCGGAGTCTCCGTCCGCCTGGTCTGATGTCTCCATTATGTCTCCATTTTGTTCGGCTTGCTCTTCCCGGTTTTCGCCATGCCAATTGACGGTGTGACCCGCCCTCGTGGAGGCCTCAAGGAAATCCTTTGGCCTAAGCCAATGTTGGGCCGCGGTAAGGTTCCGAAGCAAAATAATATCGGCAGGGCCTCGTGTTCTGGTATTTTGAACCGGCGGGACGAAGCGAATCCAGGCCAAGTAAGGCAAGGTGTGGAGGAAGTGGATAGTTGCGTGGCGGGATACGACGAGTAAGATTAATGGAGAGGATCAGATAACTGGGACTAGATCCAATTCGGATGACGTTTCAAGGGATCTCGGAGGCCCATAGTGGGTTCCCTCATCTACTATGGAAGCTAGACTTCGGTTGGAGGCTTGGAGACACGGATCAGATTTGACAATGACGATCTGTGGTGAAGAATTTGACCCCAAGGAGCCTTAGCGTGCAAAGTGCATGGTTCGCGTACTTTTTTTTCTACGTACGCACAAAGTTTTGTTGAGCTGCTGTATTTGCTTTTTCCCCTTAGATATAGACACCCTCTGATTCGCAAATAATTAACGCGCTTAAAGAGGGGAAAGAGCAAAAATAGGGTAAAAATCAAACGTAAAAAGAACCATATAACGAGGGAAAACGCAGTCATCTTATCGGCCAACGGTAAATGGCGCTCGCTAGAAAATTGAATGTGGCTCCACCGCCTTCTCCCCATCATTGGATGTGGCTCCGAGGGCCGGCCGATTACCTTGGTATCTGTAAAATCTGCTGTTAGTCACACTTCCCTCTTTACTTTACCCTCACCACCGCACCCACTTTCGCTTTCTATCTAAAAAGGGGGACACCTCCCTGCCTACCTGCAAGTTTCTCAATTGCAGCTGCCGCATGTTGGTGAGCAAGATGATGTCCCTTCGCTCCGCTGTGCGGAGAGCTTCCACCAAGCCCCTCCGATCCTTCTCCGCACCACACACTGTCTCCCCCCTTCGCAGTGTGATTGCCCGCGCCCCGGTGTCGACTCCTCAGCGCCAGAGCCGTGCCTACTCTCGTGCTACTGACCCTCACCTGACCTCTACTCGCAACACTGTCGTGCAGCTGTTGAGCAACATTGGCTCCAAGCGTGAGGTGCAGCAGTACCTCTCCCACTTCACCTCAGTCTCCTCCCAGCAATTCGCCGTTATCAAGGTCGGTGGTGCTATCATTACTGAGCACCTGCAGACCCTCTCTTCCGCTCTTGCATTCCTTAACCATGTCGGCCTCTACCCGATCGTCGTTCACGGCGCTGGCCCGCAACTGAACCGTATGCTGGAGGCCGCGGGCGTCGAGCCCCAGTTCGAGGATGGAATCCGAGTTACCGATGGTAAGACCCTGGCACTGGCTCGCAAGCTTTTCCTGGAGGAGAACATGAAGCTGGTTGAGGAGTTGGAGCGCATGGGTGTGCGTGCTCGTCCCTTGACCGCGGGTGTTTTCTCCGCCGACTACTTGGACAAGCCCAAGTACAACCTGGTCGGTAAGATCAATGGTGTCGACAAGAAGCCCATTGAGTCCGCTATCGCTGCGGGCTGCTTGCCTATCCTGACCTCCATGGCCGAGACCCCCGATGGACAGGTTCTCAACGTTAACGCGGACGTCGCGGCCGGCGAGCTGGCCCGCGCTCTGCAGCCATTGAAGATTGTCTACCTGGCTGAGAAGGGTGGTCTCTTCAACGGTGACACTGGCGAGAAGATCTCTGCCATTAACCTGGATGAGGAGTACGATCACCTGATGACTCAGTGGTGGGTGCGTCACGGTACTCGCCTCAAGATCAAGGAGATGAAGGACCTCCTGAGCGATCTTCCTCGCTCCTCCAGCGTGGCTATCATCCACCCTGCTGATCTCCAGAAGGAGTTGTTCACCGACTCCGGCGCTGGTACTCTGATCCGCCGCGGTAACAAGATCCACGTCAAGACCTCTCTCTCAGAGTTCGAGGACCTGCAGGCGCTCAAGGATGTTCTCATCCGTGATCGTGAGGGTCTTGATGCCCGTGCCGTTGTTGACCGTTACGTCGAGGGTCTCAAGGAGCACGAGTTCAAGATCTACTACGATGACCCCATGGAGGCCCTGGCTGTTGTTCTGCCCCCCAGAACGGCTCTGTCGTTGCCCAGATGGCTACTTTCACCATCACCAAGTCGGGTTGGTTGACTAACGTTGCTGATAACGTGCTCTCCAGCGTCATGAAGGACTTCCCCAAGCTGGCCTGGACTGTCAAGGAGGACGACGAGAACCTGACCTGGTTCTTCGACAAGGCCGATGGCAGCCTGAGCCGCGACGGCGAGGTTCTGTTCTGGTCTGGTGTTGAGGAGGGTGAGGAGGTCAAGCAGCTGGTCCAGGAGTTCACCAAGAACGGCCGCCAGATGTTCGGTGACATCAACCTCGAGTCACGCCTTCACCGTGCTCACCAGGCTGCTTCCCTGCCCAAGGGCTTTGGCGCCAGCGCTGCCTCTACTGAGCAGAAGCGTGCCTTCTCCACCAGCTCCAACGTCCTGCGTGCTAACCGTGCCGTGCGCCCTGCTGTTGCTGTCAAGGGTGTTCGCGCCTACTCCACCACCAACCCCAACCCTCCCCTCGGAGAGAAGAACGCCTCCAACTCTTCCCCCGCCAAGGTTGCTCTCATTGGCGCCCGTGGTTACACCGGTCAGGCTTTGATCAACCTGCTCAACGCCCACCCCAACATGGATCTCCGTCACGTTTCGTCGCGTGAGCTGGCCGGCCAGAAGCTCAAGGGTTACACCAAGCGCGAGATCATCTACGAGAACCTCAGCCCCGAGGATGTTCGCAAGATGTCCGCCAACGGTGAGGTCGACTGCTGGGTTATGGCTCTGCCTAACGGCGTCTGCAAGCCTTTCGTTGACGCCGTTGACGAGGGTGCTGCCAAGGGCAACGTCATCATTGACCTGAGTGCCGACTACCGCTTCGACTCTTCCTGGACCTACGGTCTGCCTGAGTTGGTCGACCGCTCCAAGATTGCCCGTGCCACTCGCATTGCCAACCCTGGATGCTATGCCACTGCTGCTCAGCTCGGAATCGCTCCTCTCGTTCCCTTCCTCGGTGGTCAGCCCACCTCCTTCGGTGTCTCTGGTTACTCCGGTGCTGGCACCAAGCCCAGCCCCAAGAACGACGTCAACTTCCTCACCAACAACCTCATCCCCTACAGCCTGACTGACCACATCCACGAGCGTGAGATCAGCTCTCAGCTGGGCGCCAGCGTTGCTTTCATTCCCCACGTCGCTGTCTGGTTCCAGGGTATCAGCCACTCCATCAGCATTCCCCTGAACAAGGAGATGACTTCTCGTGACATTCGCAACATCTACCAGGACCGTTACGCTGGTGAGAAGCTTGTCAAGATTGTTGGCGAGGCTCCCCTTGTCAAGGACATTGCCGGTCGCCACGGTGTTGACATTGGTGGCTTTGCTGTCCACTCCAGCGGCAAGCGTGTTGTTGTCTGTGCCACCATCGACAACCTGCTGAAGGGTGCCGCCACCCAGTGTCTCCGTAAGTTCTATTCTTCCTTCACTTGGTTAAAGCTATTACTAATACCCATTTACAGAGAACATGAACCTGGCTCTGGGTTACTCCGAGTACGAGGGTATTCCCCTGGAGTAAATGCTTAAATAAAGCAACTCTGTACGAAACAAAGTTATAGGGTGACCGTGTTGTGTTGTATGTGGTGTTGTATGGTGTTGTGCTATTGCCAGTTCTCCCGTTGTCTACCCCGAGTGCATCTATAGGTCACAATGGTGGAACTGGTTTCATGTCCTTTGGTATCGTCACCAGGTCTATCCTGTACTGCCCGTTTGTGTCTGTCTACATCGTTTTGCGCTGAAAGAGCCGCTGCTGTGGCTGTTGGTGTCTTGTCTCAATCTCGTCATTTTGCCTTGTTTAGATTCCATGGACTCTTGATGTTTCCTTTCCTTTTGTTTCCTATATTCGGTTATATATTGTGCTCTTGTTCCATGTCCTTTGGTACTAGATGATACTCCGGCTTTAGAGCACGTTGTTTAGCACTGAAAAGTAAATTTCCTATGCAATGTATCTGATCTACGACCAAATTGTTCACTGGTGCTCGGTTTCAAGGAATGATCGACTAGAGAGGAGTTGCAAACTCTTGTGGGAGAGTGACCCTCGGTTGCTCGCTGAAAGTCAAGGTTGGCGGGCACTAACAGTGAGTGAGATCGTGTGCCCTGGTGTTCTAACGTGATGCAGTGTGGTCCAGTTTGTAGACTGATAGGAACCGTTCTCACCTCCATTCATCAATTTCCCTTCTCCCCCATTCTCTACCAGTATCTACCCTTTTTTACCAGTCATCTCTGGAACTATTTATTTCTCATGATAACCCTTCTCGATGATCCTGATCCTCTCTGACTTACGACCTTGCCCTGCTTTGATGACCCAATCTGAACCATTCTCACATTTGAAAGCGCGAATTTCCTTGCACGCGTGCTTTATGCAAGTGACTCAATTCATAATCTCGAGTCTCCGGACATCGGGATAATATCAAGATTATCAAAATCATCAGAGCCTGTCCATCATCACGCCTAGATCAACTAAGCCGTCACCATGTTCTACAGTCATGAGAGTGAGCCACTATTTCACGTTGATCCAGGAGCCTCGAGCCTAGAGAAACATAAACTAACTTTCTAAAATAGTCCTTACTTCCCCTGAGCATGGAGTCGCGACAATCTGGTAAGTCGCGTTGATGAATCGTTGGTGGAGATCAACCACATCTTACAAGAATAGGCTCGTCGCAACACTCGGATCGCGTTCTATTACCAGACGATTCAATCGCAAAGCCATTCTCGAGGTTGATGTGCCTGGGGCATGCAATGTGATCGTTAATCCGGAGGCACCAATGGCACTACGACTCCAGGGGAATTTATTGTATGTCTGCAAACATCTTCCATATCCTCTCATACTCATTTAATATCACTGATACCAAATTTCACTTCAGGTTCGGCGTTTCAAGAGTCTATCACGAGCAGTGCGGATATGCTCTTCTCGACGCACAATCAATGCATGACAAAATGATCTCGACACTAAAGATCTTACCTGGTGGAGGACTGGATCCTTTTGCTGGCAAGGCGAAGTTAGTCGATCGATACCTTATGAATTGAAGAAAGCTTAGACCGAGAAACTGCTAACAAAACTTGTTTTAGACCTAATTCTCTTGTTTTACCATACGACCCGACTTTCCTCCCCGAGACTAATCTTCCAGGTCTCAACATTGACTTCAATATTCTAGATTTTATGAATGATGAGGGCTCGAGCCAGTGGTCTAGTCTCTGGTCCAAGTCACCAGCCGGCAGTCACTCGAGCTCATCTCGTGTCAGTGTTCACCTGGATCTGGGCTCGGACGATTTACTTCAGGATGGAACAATGACCGGTTTCAATGATAATAGAATGGAGTCTTCCCACAAGCATGGGCTCTCTGGAACGATGAGCAGAGACCGCTTAGGGGATGAAGAGGGTGTCTTGCTTCAACCAGATTTCGAGTTTGATGAGAACGGGAATATCGTGGAGCTTGATGCCACCAATATTTCGCCGAGAAAGAGACCGAAGCACAGCCTCCCAGAACAAGCGGGGAGTGAGGGCTTCACTGATGGCCAAACCGGGGAACTGATGGATCTCACCGAGGATGCGGCTTTGACCGGCGTGGATGCGGCGGTGGAGATCGATACCCACGCGAGGGAGCATGAGACTATACTTTCTGTGGAGGGTGGTCCAAACCAAGACGGACCAGCTGAACAGGAAGAAATTCGGTTTGTCGGGGAGCAACGAGCACGCCGCCAATACAACCGGGTGATCAGATCCATCGAAACTGACACCAACACAACTCTCCGCAACACGGACCTTGCACGATGGAACAACGAGTATATCATCAATATGGCCAATGCATCGAAGCAGAAACAACAGAACAGAGTGCAGACTACCGTGAAGAAGAACGCTGCATTCTGGGTCTTCGGTCAAGGCATTGGATCTGTGGGCATGGGATTAGGCGCACAGCGCGAAGACCACCCGCTGAAATGCTTCTCTGGCGAAGGTCTCGAGAACGCATTGTACGGTGACAAACAGCGCCCAGCGGCCAAAAAAGACTCTCGCAATCCCGAAGAAGAGAGCGACACAGATACAGAAACCGACACCATTGCAAACCAGCAACGCCGCAGTAACGAGAAAGGAATGAACACCATAGACATTGAGATAGGCCGTCACGCACCGCCTAGTCTAATGGACGAGCACTCCTCTCAAATGCCATGGAACCTAAACTCCGCCCAAAGTTCCCGAATCGGCCGCCTAGGAAGTCTAAGCGAACTCTCTTCCAAATTCCCCATCGGAGAATCAAGTCTACGACCTGGACGCCGAGGCCGCTTGACAAGCGCCAGTCCACTCTCAGGACGAGGCTACCGCGAGCGACTCGAAAGTCTATCTCTACAAGGCGAAGATGGCCTCGAAGGATTCGACGAAGATCTTGAAATTTCCCGATACCTTGAAGCCGAGCTTGCAACGGACAAGGAAGACATCACGACGCTATCACGGCGGGCATCTGCTATCCAGCGTATCGCGTCGCAGCTCGATCAGGAGAGCATTAATTTCTTCGATTTCATCCAAGATACGATGGATGAGGATGGGCAGGGTGAAATGGCATTTGCGGATCTTCTTCCGCCTGGGAAGACTTCGCGGACTGTGGCTACGCAGGGATTGATGAATGTGCTCACACTTGCTACTAAAGGAGTGTTGAGTGTTTCGCAGGAGCCGTATCGTGATACTGGGGCTGAGAATTGGGGAACGAGATATGATTATGGGGAGATATTTATGCGTATGGTGTGAACGGCAGTAGGTCACGGTTGACTTTCGGAGACTGATGGATAAGGGAGCGACATCGGCATGGATGACGTGTGATTTCATGGATCTTAGATTTTCTTCGGCCTGGCTGTGAAGAGTACTTTTTTATTATTTAGACCTCGGTATCTTATGCAATTTATTTTTACGACGCCTTTTGGTTTGTGCATTGCAATTATCATGTTAGGGTAGATTGCGATTAATTTTGTCTTTGTGGGTCACCGTAGAGAGGAGAGAAGAGTACTCAGATCAATGGCGCAGGTATCTCATTCTCAGATCTTGCGGAGATTTAGCCCTTCGGGGCTAGACATGTTTACGCCCACGTTTGTGTCGCGTATCGTTTATGCATCTAATTTTTATGACGCCCATTTTCTTCGTCCTTGCAATATATTCGGTACAACCCTGAAATTAGGTGCTGTTAATTTTGCCTTCGTGAGTGGCAATGGGGGAGAGAGATAGTCAGGTCAATGGAGCGGATCCAATTAGAATTGGTGAATGAACAAAAGCGATAGTTTCTACATTTTCAATTATATAGATCTGTTTACACTCGCGTGGTCAATCTTACCAGGAACCTGTAAGGGATCGGGACCGTTGACAGTATCGCGTACAGGATACAGGATACCTTACGGGAACGAGGAAGTCTTTGGAACAGTAATAATACTCGCGTACGTAGATCTATAAACATCGTCTGAATATTTACAATGTAAATAGAGAGATCTACAAATCTCAATTATTGGTTTTATTTCCCGACCGTGCTTTTTCTTCCCCCAGAGTCCCTCCTAATCGTTCCATCTCTCTGTGCGCTTACGATTTATTTCTAACCGAGCGCGTCCGGTCGGAGATGCCTTGGGCAGCCCGCTTGGCGCAAATATCCATGGATAACCGCCTCAACAGCCATGAGATGGCCCGCCAGTATGGATGACTCATGAGGCTTAATCTACTTACTCTCAACGTTTCTCTCTCTACCTGTCTCTTTCTAATCGCAGCATCTATTAACGTCTTCACACAAAATGACAGCTCTTACCCCCGACCTTCATTTTATCGGCCTTCACACCCGCTATTCCAGTGAGTCCCTTGTGTATTTTTATAGGCATTGGCTAAAATTTTCCAAGGTTGGACGGCGCGGGTAGAGTCTGTTCTGGAATACTTCCAAATTCCGCACACTTGCCAATTCGTAAAGCTTACCGATGTAAGCCGCCCAGGTCACATACTGGACGTATATTTAGGAGTCTAACGGATAAACAGGTGAAGACGGTGTCACCAACAGGTCTAGTTCCAGTCCTGGAATCTCGGTCTCTGAACACTACAATCTGTGACTCGCTCGCAATCTGCGAATTCCTCGCTGAATCCAACCCAGAACTACCTCTCTGGCCTCGTGATCGTCAGCTTCGAGCTCTAGCTCGCTCCACGGCTGCACAGATGCACTCCGGATTCTCAGCGATCCGGAATGCATTTCCCACGAACTTCATCGCCAAGTACACGGGGAATATCCCAATCCCCGCTGACGCAGCGAAAGAGATCGAGCGTATGCTGTCGCTCTGGGATGTCGCTCGCAAAGGCACTAAGGAGCGTCTTGCAGCCCTAGGAGAGAAGGATGATGGTTTTCTGTATGGAACATTCTCCATCGCCGATGCGTTTTTCTGGCCTGTTCTTTGGCGATTCCGTACCTATGGCTTGCCTCTGGATACTGCAAGCCCGGATGCTCTGGCTTGGATGGCGACGATGTGGAATGATCCTGTGTTTAAGGCATTGGGGGCTAAGTATTATCAGCAGGCGGAGGACCCGGAGACTTTGATTGCGCATTATGATGATATCTACCGGGGTAGAGATGATGTGCAGTATAGCATGTTTCCACAGGATTGGGAATTTCGCGGGAAGGAGTAACCTTGGGTTGAAAGTTACAATTTAGAGAATTTGCATCGCTTAGGTACGAGGCTCCTAGCGAGATTAGTAATTTAGATTGATACGTACTATATCAAGATAACATTGTTCTCGGCGCGGAGGAAACCCCTTATGCGATAACAGTAGCAGCAGGCAATCCGGCGAGATTCCTATTAATCAAATAGCCAAATATTATCTGCAATTATTTTAATCATCTAGAGAGCTAGAACCGCCAAAGGGAGTTCTATCTGAATCCACTGGTCTGTTCAAAAGACAAGCTCGTAAGATGGATGCTGTCCGTTCGCGCGTAATCGTCAAATAACCGGCGTTCCGGCCATGTCTGGAATCACACCACGAATTGAAGACATCTTGATTGGCAATAAAGTATATGAAATAAGACATTGAGTGTTTGTATAATTTAATAAATCAATGATCAATTGTGATGTATTAGAGTAGGCATACAAAGGAAATAAAATATCATACGAGTCTGAAATACTCCGAACCGGACTCATAATTACGCAGGCGCGTTATTTCCCGCGCCACTCGTATTCTGTCTTGGTCTTTCCATTTCTTCTTTCTCCCTCTCTCCCCTACGCAAAACCAACACCCCCACCCACATCAAAACCCTCGACCCCATCCCCGTCTTTCCCCCTCGCGTTATTACGCGTATTTGTCGTTTATAAGGTTCTCGTTTTTCATTCTGGTGCTTTCATTATGGGTCGCACTGTCGACCAGGAGGTGCACGCGGCGTTTGTCGAGTTCCGCGCCAAGGAAGATGACAAGGTGCGTGACTGCGTATTTCGTAATATTTCAAACCCACCACAAACACCAGGCTAACATACGAAACCCGGTTTTTGGGTGTTTCTTCATATAGTGTCTTTCCGTTCAGTGTATCTACTGTCAACAGATTCGCGCAAAGAATACCTCGCGACAGAAGCAGCATCTTCTCGAATGTCCCGGCCTGCGCGGTCATCCCAACGCGCCCCAACCTACTCAGCCCGCCCAAGCCCCCAATGGTATCGGACCTACCAATGGATACCCAGGCACCCCTAATGGACCTACTACTGCTGCACCGGGCCCAACTGGCCCTACCATCCCCACGCCCAATGGCTCCATGATCACCAACGGCGTCAATCCTCATGCCACCCCGCTCGGTACCCCGTTGTCCACCTTGCAGAACCGACCGCCGATGGCCACACCCGGCCCGCCAGCGGTCGGCGCGCCTCCAGGTTCCGCGCCTTCGTCACTACCTCCGCCTCGCTCAACCCCGAAACCCAAGTCCAAGCCAAGTACTTCCAGTTTGCCTGCGCCGCCGCTTGATGATGTGCACGCTGCGTTTGTTGAGTTCCGCGCTAAAGAAGAGGATAAGGTATGCGACCAATTTCTTTTGTCCGATTTTTTGTCGGATGTAAACATATGGAAGAGCGTTCATGCTAACAAAGACAGTGTCTGTCTGTGCAATGTATTTACTGTCAGCAAGTGCGCGCAAAGAACACTAGTCGCCAGCGTCAACATTTGCTGGAATGCCCTACCTATCTCAGTGTTATGAAGGATTCGATACCCGCCAACAACCTCCTGCACACATTCCCTGAGGGTGATGTTGCGCGATCACTCCAGATTCCTGCACCGACGCTCGAGCTTGATTTCCGCATGAGCATCAAGATGAATCCTAAGGTTCCTGTCGGCCAGAGCATCTGGGGCCACCGCGAGTGGGTCTCATTCATTGGTGGTCAGTGGGCTGGTCGATGGGGCAAGGGTATTGTTCTGGTAAGTTTCGTCACACTGTAGGTTTTGATGTGCAATATTAATTCTTAAAACAGCCCGGTGGTCAAGACACACAGATCGTGACGAAGGACCAAACTACTCACCTTCGTGCGAACTACTTGCTTCAGACTGCCGAAGACCCTCCCGCTTTCATCATGGTTAAGGCCGAGGGTTGGCTTACTGGTGCCAAGGACATCCTCGAGAAGGTCAATGATCAGGGCCAAGCTGACGGTATAAACCCTGGAAGTTATAAATACCGCATCAATCTTTCCATGGAGACAGGCGACGAACGGTTCACCTTCCTCAATACCCTCATGTGGATTGGCAGCGGTTGCCGTCGCGGTCAAGAAGGTATGTATAGGCATTGCTCATTGATATGACTTAATTACTAACGCCTCATACAGTTATCTTCGATGCATTCCGTGTCAACTAAATAACACGATATCTCGATGTCGATGTTTTGTCGTTCTTGAGCGAGTCTCTTTTCTTTTTGTGTCGGGAAAATGGTGTTTTCTTCAGTCAATGTTTTCATAGCGCTTTATGACCAGTGCTTTTGTACGGATGAATTTGTACCCTGGGCCGCTGATGGTTATCGCGATCCGTACATGAACCAAGCGGTGGTTCACTTGACCGTGTGGTGGCCACTCCCCTATTTCTATTCTGATGTATCTCTTTCTACGAACTTTGTGTGATTGTGATTGTGACACTGGCGATCTAGGGTCTCGGATTTCGTGATATTTAGTGTTATAAGGTTCCCATCTCTGCTATCAACTGTCTTATTTTAAGCACTGTTATCACTGGACTGCTTTTTCCTACTCTAGCTGGATGCAATATCTGCTCTGCGCTTTTCTGATTTCCTGATCTTAGTAATTTAACTTGGCTGTGAATTTTTTATTTTACTAGAATGACGATCGATCTGTTATTTATTTACCTAGAAATTAACGCGTACAGTATGAACGGATCGTTTGGTATTCGACGCTTAAAAGTGTACTCTGTAATCCGTCTTTACCCCGGACAACGGTTTTGAAGATCTTACAGTCTCCACATGACGTGCGTACAGAATGTCTGTAATATAGCTCGAGAGCCATAACCATTATTTACTAATACGAAACCAGAAACTATGATTTGTTTTGATATATTTCACATAGTTTCTATCCATGGTTAAGCAGACTCTGGTTATCTTATCACAATTCAGTGTCCAGTACTTTTTAGTAAGTTCTACTGTTTTCCCGGGCCCAGACTGGGATATACTTAGGTATCGAGTACCCCGTACATACGCGGGTTTAGTGCCCGGTACGCATGGTGGATCTATCGAAATATATATTTTTGCTTTCAGCAAACCATAGTTTCGGTTTTATTTCCATTATAATTCTTGCTTGCTCTGATACATATCAATGCCGGGAATCTTTTGGTATTCAAGGTTGAATATGACAAATGGTTATTCTTGTGCTAGAGACCTACGATAGTCTTGGGGTTTTAGCTAACAACCAAGCCAGAAATTTGCGCGACCGTGAAGAAGGAAAGAAATCAAAGAAAATTACGGAATATTCATAAAAAAAATTAAATACCCAAATAACCAGCTATAAAGTTCAATAACCCACATTGATAGATTGACGTATACTAATGTAAAGTCCTTTCCATACACTGATACTAATATCTTCCATTTCCATGGACCATCTCATCAATATCAGCATTGAGCTCCATGTCCGTATTTCGTCCTCTCTTCTCAGGCCCAACAATAATCAACAAAACAGTATAAGCATAAATGGCCCCCATGAAAATACAAATGACCTTACCATAATTATAGCGATCAACAACCGTTCCATCAGCCTTGACAAGCGGCGCAAGCGGATAATGCTCCCCAAGCGTCGCTTCAATAGTCGACGAAGCAGACGAAGCAAGGCTACCAAACTGATACGCAGACCCAACAACAAACGTTTGAAACGAGCCCGGTGCCAACTCCATCATATAAATAGGCATAACACTCCAAGCCCCCTGCACACAGAACTGCACGAAAAACGCAACAGCTGTCACAGCTTCAGTCTTCACATGAGTATACGGATATAACAACGCACCCCCAAAAACACAAACAACAAGCATGCTAAACCTCCGCCCAAATATCTGCGAGCAATACCCCGTCGTCGATCCACCAGCCATCGCGCCTAAATTAGCAACGACCTGCGTAACAGTTACCGCATTCGCTGAAAACCCACGCTCATTCTCCAGCATAGTTGGGTATAGATCCTGGGTACCATGCGACATGAAATTGAGCCCACTGGACAGAAGCACAAGGTAAATGAAAACAAGCCAATGGTTCCGCAGCGCAACGTGTCCTTCGGAAAGAAATGCACGAGCTGACTGCTCTTCCCCGTGAGCCTGTCGATTCCGAAAGGCCTTCGTCTCGGGAAGACACAGACGAAATATGATAATGAAAACGGGCGGACAAGCGGAAAACCAGAAATAGGGTCTCCAGCCGTGACTGGTTGTATCCACTAATGCGCGCGCAAAGGCCGTTGCGAGGAGGTACCCGAATGCGTAGCCCTGCTGCATTAATCCTGCGACTAGACCGCGGGCTTCGGTGGGACAATCTTCCAATGCGGTTACGGCTGCGTTACCGTATAGACCGCCCATTGCTATTCCCAGTAGTGCGCGGATAGCGAGGAACTGTTTGTAGGTTTTGCAGAATCCTGTTGCTAGTTCGAGGATTATGAATAGGAGCAGGGCGGTGATGAATGGCCTATACCGGATTAGCTGGAATATCTATGATGAGTTGGTGATATGGATGAAGCTTACCATTTTCGCCCATAGCGATCTGCTACTAGACCGAACAATGCCGAGCCGGCAGATCGAAGCATTAGGACAAGTGTGATACCCCAGGTTATGTCCGTGGTGGATTTTTGAAATGTCTCCGCTAGGTCATCGACTGTTAGGGATACGGTGAAGAAGTCGAAGGAGTCCCAGGACCAGGCGAGGAATGCAACAAGGAAGAAGGCCCATTGTTGTTTGTTTAGCATTGCTAGGAGTTTAATTGGATTGGCCACTTTGGCCATGGGTGGTTTTAGGGAAGTAAGTCTTGTGATGGCATATTTTCGGATTGAGAATTTATCTGGAAAGACTTCCCCTTGTTGGTAAGAAGGGGTCTTAATTGATTTTTCTTCATCCTTGAATATCTGACTAGAGTTCATCTTGATTTGATGGCAAGGGTAATATAGAAACGAAATTTCCTTTGGCTCGGATTGAGGGCATACTAAGCGTATTTAAAGGGCATCGTTGCATAGACCTTGCTTTGTTTACAGACTGGTGAGTGGTATCGAGAGCATGGATTTGCCTTGCCTAGAGATAACGACATTAGATGGGTTTCATCAGTCCATTGGCTGATATGTTCCCCGCATAAATCCAAAGGAACAGCTATATGCGGCTAATATCCGAGTCTAGACGTTGAGTTTTATCTAGTTGACTCACCATGAAGCCAGAAAAGTTCTAGGGGGCGCAATTTTTATCCTTTCTTTCCCAATATGGAATGTTGATGCATCCGAAGTGTTTATTGTATTGATCATGCTCAACTATAGAATTCAACTCACAAGTTCAATAAACAGCTAGCATGATAATAGCAGGAGATATTCGAATTTGAGGAAAGATAAGAACGCATATGACATGTTGATCAACGGTCTATCCCACCATAACGGGATGCTTATCAATTTACCCCACTGGGCGGGGGCTTTTCAACTCCAATAATTACATGTTGGAGTAGAAACTCCGATAACTGATAACGAGCTGCGGGGCTCGCTGGTAATTTGAACCAAGCTGTATTCTTTTCAAAACTTCTTCATGATGCCATGATTCTACCAGAGCGCGTTGAAACCGACATAATCACATCAATTGGCTCGGAAACTTGATTTCAGAAAATCGAAAACAAACACCACGGGGAATAAAGATGGGTTCAGATACAGACGCACCTCCCAGGCTAGTGACAGTAGCCGCTTGCCAGCTGAGTCCCATTCACCTCGCAGACACCCGCGAAGATGTATTGAAGCGAATGATCTCACTCCTGGATCAAGCCGCAGAACAGAGCGTCAAATTGGCCGTCTTCCCTGAACTTGCCTTTACCACCTTCTTCCCCCGATATTTATTAGAAGGACAAGACCTGGATCAATACTTCGACATCGAAGATCCTAGCAAAGGCGGCATTGAGCAGTCACCAAACATCAAACCTCTATTCGACCATGCTCGAAGTCTTGGGATCGACGTTTATGTTGGATATGCAGAGCGAAGCATTCAAAGTGACGGCTCTCACGTCGACTATAACTCAAGCGTCTACTACTCAGCAAAGGCGAACAAAATTGTAGGAAAATACCGCAAAGTCCACCTCCCCGGCTCCGTGGAACCCAAAACCGCACCGGGTGCCTTCCAACAACTAGAAAAACGCTACTTCAGACCCGGCGACCTTGGATTCCCTGCATTCAGAGCTCCAGGCCTCGTCGATGGCGCACTGAAAAAGGGCGACATGGGAAAGTCTACCACTGGCAAAGGAGATCCTATTATCGGAATGTTGATCTGCAACGATCGACGATGGCCCGAAGCATGGCGCGTGTACGGTCTACAGGGAATGGAAATCATGTGTTGCGGTTACAATACCACTGCTTTCCAGACTACTAGCAGCGGCCATGCAGTTGACATGAGTCCCGAGGCAGCTGAGGAGCTGGTGATGTTGCACCATAAACTTTCCTGCCAAGGAAATAGCTACATGAATGCTTGTTTCAGTATTAATGTTGCCAAAACTGGTGCGGAAGATGGAAATCCATTAGTTGGTGGAACTATTATTGTTCATCCACTTGGTCATATTATCAAAGAGGCTGCTACGAAAGAGGATGAGCTGGTGGTGGCTACTATTGATCTAGCGGACTGTGATCGGCCGAAAAGTACAGTTTTTGCTTTTGAGAAGCATCGGAGGACGGAGCATTATCATACTATTGTTGAACGGGCTGGGGTGGTTGAGCCAGAGCTTTTGGCTAGTGATTAATTGGAAAAAGATATTGAGATTGAAGTATAGAAGATTCCTGGATAGAGAAATCCATGGTCAGGGACCTAAATAACCCGAACAGCTTGAGCCTGGGTAAAGCTTGTCAGCCTAGTAGGTAAGATGTAAGGTCTACGGACTGTAATACATCAACAATTTGCATACTACTGTTATCACTGGCTCAATCACAGTACAGTATCAAACGTGTCATCCATAGACCTTTCTCAAATAAATTTTGTGACATTTCTCTGTTGACTTTCAAAACACAATGCTACCGGTTCTTCAAAATTCCCAAATCCAATGTTCCTTCTCCCGTGTGAAATCTGTTTTATTTGAGGACCGAGCCGAACTCGCTTGTTCTCTGTTCATTCTCCACTCCGCTAATTTGCCCTTCGAATCTCTGCTTCGATCTTCTCTTCTGCAGAGGAGATCCTGAGCATTTTGTTTTGAGAGTTTGAATCTCCATCCTTTTGAGCATGATCTGGTGTTGGTGCACGCTTTCAATTTTAATCATAATCAACCTCTCGTCCCCCCGTGTTCTTGTGCCTGCAAAGCAAGATACGCCGCTTTGTCTAGTGCAATAGAAAAAAAATTATCGCGACAATCACTCCTTTGTAGCTTTTTCTTCCACAATGCGTTCTCTCTTTTCGCTTAGACTGTCTCGCATCGCGACTAGTCTAGTCAGCTCCTTTTGTGCGCTGCACAATGAAGCTTTCAGCCCCTCAAAGCCATATTCGAGTTCTTGAAGCTTTTCGTTCAGACTCTAGTATTATTAGATTCTTGGTAGGCTCATGATGAGTTTCTGATTCATAAAACTCGTCGTACTTTCGGCGCTTGTCCATATCGCAAAGATGCTCGTAAGCTTCATCAAGCTAGTTATACACTTATCAATGATGACCCATGTTTCAAGGAAATATAACGCAAAAGAAAGGAACTAGCAACAAAATCTACAGGTTGAATTTTCGCAGTCGCATCGAAAGCCAGCCTTTTATATGCCGACTTGATGGCAGACGGACTCGCAGACTGGGAAACCTCGAGGATTGCATAATAATCTTGAAAGACTGTGTTGGACACCATGTCAAATACGAGCCTGGCTGGATGAACGAATTAGGTATCAAAATCCGGTGTACGAGAGGACCGATCCGCAAAGTAACGATAGTTGGTGGAGATTATTGGTGGTGATGGTTGACGGAGAGAAGCGAATGAGAAGTTTACGACAGGATTAGTATGGATAGATTAGTATGGATAACTCCAAGTGAGCAATAGCGCGTTTTGGCAAGTAGATGTTGGGATTAGAGAGTGTACGCGCGACTCCGATTTCCGGAGTCCTGTGCTGTAATATTGTAAGATAAGATTGAGGGGTTCAAGATAAAGGTAATTGGGGTAAATACTTTGGGAATAGCGTGAAGTAAACCAACCAAATGAAGATGCCTTCCATTATCTAGCACAAACTTCCTGACAATCTGGCTAATTCGTTGGATTCCAAAATAAGCAAAGATAATTCGGTACTCAAAACATTACCAATCATTATGGGTTTAGATACAATCGTGAAGAATGGGCTTATTGTAGGTTCTTTCCTTTCGAAGCAATTAGAGTAAAGTTCATGTCCGGATTAGAGAACTGACTTGAACAGGTCACAGAAAGCGGAGTGCTCCCTGCTGGGCAAAGTATAGGGATTTCGAAAGGGAAGATATCCGTCATAGGGTATGATCTTTCCGAAGGGCCCGAGACCAAGATCATTGATGCACAAGGGGCGTACATCACTCCCGGTGGTGTAGATTCACATGTGCACCTTGCCCAGAGAAATGCTCCCACCGGAGATAGCTGGGAAACTGGTACTCGCAGTGCTGTTGCCGGTGGAACAACAACAGTGTTGGCATTCACATCACAGACAAAAGAAATGACAACATTGTTTCCCGTCCTAGAAGAATACCATGAAAAAGCCCGAGGGCAGGCATACTGTGACTATGGATTCCATTTCATCATCACAAAGCCCAACCAAACAATCCTGCAACAGGAGCTCCCGTTACTGGTCAAGGAAGGAATTACAAGTGTGAAACTATACATGACTTACGAGCTGTATAAGCTATCCGATCATGAGCTTCTTGATACATTACTCGCCTGTCGCTCTTTGGGAATGACAACGATGATCCACGCAGAGAACGGCGACATGATTCAATTCTTAGTCGAAGGACTCGAAAGGAATGGTAACACAGCACCATTCTTCCATGCCATCGCGGGCCCAAAAATTGCAGAAGACGAAGCATCTTACCGAGCGATTAGACTCGCTGAGCTAGTCGATGCCCCTGTCCTCCTAGTACATGTATCCGCCGACGGAGCAATGAAGCACATCAGAGACGCGCAGACACGACTTCTTCCAATCCACGCCGAAACATGTCCCCACTACCTCTTCCTCCTTTCCGCCCGATTAGCCAACAAAGAGCATGATCATTTCCACGGAGCAAAGGGTGTATGCTCTCCGCCTCTTCGCCACAACATCGAAGACCTAGAAGCTCTCTGGCGGGGCATCGCCAACGACACATTTACCGTTTTCTCCTCCGACCATGCTCCGACCAAATATGACCATCCGGAAGGAAAGAAAGCCGGAATCATCAACGGGATTCCAAAATTCAGCAAGATCCCCAAGGGGATTCCTGGCATTGAAACCAGACTCTCTCTTTTGTTCAGTGAATCGGAGGGATGTCTTCCAAAGGACCGAGCAAGACTTAGCCTTGCGCGCTTTGTGCAGCTTACATCTGGCAATCCGGCGAGATTGTATGGATTGACGCAGAAGGGTTCCATTTTGCCAGGATTCGATGCGGATTTGGTGATCTGGCACCCGCAGGACGAGGGTGCAAGAACGATTTCTCAGGTTAATTTGCATCATGATGTTGATTATACACCATTTGAAGGGATGCAGGTGAGGAATTGGCCTCGCTTTACGATGTTGCGTGGTGAGATCGTCTGGAACGCAGATGAGAACTTTGTTAGTGGCGTGAAAGGATTTGGTCAATTTATCAAACGTGATACTGGGCGTGTGCTGGTTGGGAAGACGGGACAACTTCCCCCTGGTATGATTGAAGGAGAGAGGGACTTTTGGCTCCCCAAGAGTCTGAATTGATTGGAGGGCTAAATGAAAGCAAATATGACTTTAATAGGTAGTGAACCTAGGAAATATTGATCATGACTCGGACGCCATTTGGGCGTCATCTAGCGCTGTCTATAGCATTTACGAACCCAATCAAAGTAACTTATTTGCTTTTGGAAATGACAAGGGTCAACTTGGTATACTGCACAGGGATCTTATCAGTAATACCCGACCCCGCTCCATAGCGCTCAGTCATCATAGTTTTGTTCTCCAGCTTTAGTGCCCTTTTGATTCATTTCTACCCCAAATTCCTTTCAAGTAAATAACAGTGATTGACAGACAGTCATGTGACTCTGGCACCTATAACAAGAGACTCTTGTACTTGATTGTTTCTCCTTCCTTCCACCAAACCATATCACATATATTCCTCTGCCCCATACACTAGTACAGACTGTAGGATCTCACCAAAAATTTTTTCAATATCTTTTTAATCTTTAGAAATACCTTAAACCATGGACGCCATGGCCGAGCTTCCCAGTGTGTCCGGGCCTCCCAAAGAACGCAGAATCAACATTCTGTTAATCAACCCGAACTCCACCGAATACATGACACTGGACTGTTTAAAGACCATCGCGCCTAGTCTACCCCCAGATGTCACAGTCCACGGGTTTACTGCGCCACAACCCGCACCGACAGCAATCGAATCCCAAACAGATGCGGTGCTTTCCGCCGCAGCTTGCATAAGGGCAATCCAACCCATTGCAGACCACTATGACGCATTCCTAGTTGCATGCTTTCGAGACCACCCCCTTATCAGTGTCCTAAAGGAAGAATTCTCGCAGCCTGTTCTCGGCATAATGGAGGCTGCGATGTATGCTGCGCGCATGCTTGGAGACAAAATGGGAATTATCTGCATGTCCGACCGGTCTGTAATGGCCCATTCTCGCACTGTCTCCGTTCATGGGTTTTCGGATTACTTTGCTGGATGTGAATCTACCAAATTGGGTGTATTGGAGTTGGACTCGAAACCGAAAGAAGAAGTGAAGGCCAACCTAGCAGAGAAGCTTCGTCGGTTAGTGGAAGAAAAGGGTGCGGACTGTGTTTTGCTGGGCTGCGCAGGCATGACTGAGTTTCGAGATAACTGTAAGGAAGCTTCATTAAAAGGGACTGGGGCTGTGATCTTGGATGGTGTGACCATAGGAGTTCAGTTTCTTGTTGGATTGGTCAGAGAAGATCTGGTAACTGCTAAATATGGCGCGTATCGAAGTTCTGCCACAGATAGGCTGATGAGAAATCAAAATTGGCTATGAGACTGCATGACACGGAAAGTTGCATTGATCTTCAATAATACCTTCACTTTAGCTGGAAAAAATGCAGATAAAAGAACGCAGCGGAAGTGAGCGGTGAGAGACTAGTTTAAACACTCACACGGCTGCTTATCTATCCCCTCACCGGACACAACTGCGATCCGTCGTCCTATATATGACATGCGACCCCGTATCGAAGTCGCGCCTTGCAAGTTTTGCCGGAGGCGTTTCTCAAGAAGAGAACATCTGCTTCGCCATGAGCGCACTCGTGCGTGGTGCCTTTTTTGATCGATGCTTCCGAGGCTGAATGACTGATTGCTTAAAGATACACGTGAGAAACCTTTCAGTTGTCGTTGCAATAGGAAGTTTACGAGACGGTGAATATGATCATGCTTATCGTTTTGGGTTTGAAAATAACAAGTGACAGTGATCTGCTTTCTCGACACTTGAAAGTCAAAAATGATCCCTCATCTCACCAAGAGGTGCAAACCAATAATATTACACATTATGATGAAGTAGAGAGAACGTCTTTGGTCGCGGAATCAGAAGGCCAGGAAGCCCAGTCGGCGACTTATAGGACGACTGAACCTCTACGAGAAGAGGACCAGCACATACAAGCCACAGCAATGCAAAATCATTCCGAGGCAATGCAACTTCAGTTTCCAATAGATTCGTCGAACAAGATTTACCAGGCAGATATGATAGAGGTACCAGGAAACCCCACCCCTTCTCCAGATGCGACACGCCAGCTCTTTGACGAGAATCTACAAGACCTGAATATTCTTTGGGGCGGCATGGATGGGAACCTTTCTCTTGAAGAATATTACCCTCTGGGTGCTGAATTTCCGAATGACCTGATCTCGATTACTGGATTCGATATTTACGAGCCAGCAAGTTCTGCCTTGACTGGACCATCAAGTGGTGGCGATTCTGGTGATAAATTGCCCAATGGCCCTGATTATGATGATGATGAATCCCTATGCAATTACCAACTTCCATCATTAAACCAAAACGACGAGATCAATTCCCAGGACGCAGAGGACCTTTCAGAGCGCCCTGACACTCCCATGGGACAGACAGAGACCCATACGCAGTCTCCCTGGCGCATCGGAAAAGAGGAGTATCAATCTATTATTTTGCTAATTGATGATGTTCGGCATATTCTCGAGGCAGACTTCATCTTCCCCTCCAAGTATGTTTTATGCCGATACATCGAAGGCTTCTTTACTGGGAGTCATGCGCATTTGCCCTTCCTTCACCTTCCGACAGTATCAATTGCTAGCTTGAATCCTTCATTAATTCTAGCGATTATTGCAATGGGAGCGCAGTATCGATTTGAGAGTCAACGTGCTGCTTGCTTCTTTAGAGCATCGAAATCTCTCATTGATAACTATATCTCCGTCCACGCACTATTTTCGTGTCCCAAGCCAGGGGCTAACATTGATGTGGCCTGCTCCCAGAAAATTAAACTGGAGATCCTACAGTCGCAGATCATTCTCTCGACCTTAGGTATCTGGGGACATCATGACCTGTTAAATGATTCCATATCAATGACCGCACAAATGGCGCAAGCGTTTCGAGATGGCGGACTGCTCAATGACAATCATTCTGAGAGCGAAACATGGAACACGTGGATTCAAAAAGAGGGACGACGACGTACTACGTTCACTGCTTACATGCTCTCGAATAACCAATCAATTCTGTACAACTTGCCACCAAAGATGCTGAATAGCGAATTGACCTCGCTTTGTCTCCCCTGTCCCGAAGAACTTTGGAAAGCCTCCAGTGCCACTGAATGGAAGACCTTACGTTCAAAGCAGCCCCCCTGTGCTCCCTTCGGTACAGCGTATGCTCGATTATTCCGATCGAAGCAGACCCATCGACGAAGCCCCAGTCTATCATCATTTGGAAACCTCATCTTAATCCACGGCATCTTCCAACACATCTTCCTCGCCTGGGAACTGACCTCTTCGGCAACCCCAACAACCGAATCACCAACCCTACCAGTCGAAACGCTCTCAAATTTCCACACCGCACTTAGACGCTGGCAACGCAGCTGGGAAGCCACCTCAGACCCCTCATCAATAACCCCGTCATCCCCAAAGGGACCCCTAGGCTTCAACGCAACAGCCATTTTCCGCATAGCCTGCATTCGCCTTCACCTAAACCTGGGTCAACACCGCAAACTAGAAACATGGAACGCTGAAACAATCGCAAATTCATTCCTCAATGCCCCAAAGCCCCCGCAATCGACTCAAGTTTACCACGCAGTCCTCCAATCCATTCATGCACTTTCCATACCAGTCCGACTGGGTATCGAGTACGTTGCACGAACACAAACACTAACATGGAGCACGATCCACTCGCTATGCAACCTGGAGTGCGCGCTATTTCTGTGCAAATGGCTTGAGACCTTGGCGGCGGATCCGGGGGATCTTCATGCTGATACGAAGCGGCTTTTGAGGATTATTGCGAGTGTGCTTCGGGAGGCAGATTTGGCGGCGCCGAATAATGTGGCTTTCGGTGGGAATGGAGGGCAGCAATTGAGGCAGATGGGTGCTGTTCTCGTGCGGTTGCTTTCGGAGATACTGAAAGGGGAACATGTTTTCGGGATGATGCGGGTTTTTTGCGAGGCGCTTAGAATGTATGCTGGGTTTTTGGAGAGGAAACTTCATCTAGCCTGATGAGGTGATGTTGCTATTCGATTGGATGAATGATGGAAAATATCCACTCGATTTGTCAATGACCTCTCATCCCTCTCGCTCTGACCAGGCTCATATGTAACCGAGATCTCTCTCGTCTGCTTGATCCCCGAATCACCCAAGATACTCCTATCACTTGCATCTTCCCTGCGGTCGTTGAGCGTGATCATATCACCATTCATGTAATAGTATGGATCCGACCGGTCTTCGTTACTTCCGCTGCGTGTTGAAGTGCGCCCTTTCCTTGAGCTATAGTTCGCGGAGGAATAGTCTGTTCCTTCCTGTGAAGAGCGCATGCGTTTAAAGAGGATGCGGAGGGCTGGGATTGAGGCGGCCCAAATTGTCAAGCCCGTTTCAGCCGAGGCCCAGAGGATGATTGGAGTGCAGTAGTCTAATCGAGTTAATGTGGTCAGTCAATTTGGTTGGTTCATGCAGCGATTCTGTACATACAGGTGAAGTCCTTGAGTTGGGCGACGTTGACAAGCTTTGACGTTTTGATGAAGGCTGCTACTGAGGCACTGTTGTTGGTTTAGCAGAGGTTCTTTTGTATCATGATATCGCACTCACAAGACACCCATGCTCATAGCTATGAGTACACCGAACTTCTCACGCTTCTTCATCTGAATCTTCCAGAGAATCACCCAAGGGAATAACGCGAGAATCAAGTCCATGCACCCGGAGTAGGCTACAAAGTTATATCAGTACCCATACCATCTAAAGTTAGGTTGAGACTCAGCTCATACCTCCAGCTGTCAATGCGATGTTCTCAAAGACTATAATGGGCCAGCATTTGGCTGTAGGCATTAGCGCCGTATTCCAAAGTGCAGCAGTGGGCTTGCATTGAGCCAAGTAGCAAATTCCGCAAAGCCACATTATGGCGTTCATGCTGATCATGATAAACCACAGCACCATCTTTTGCCACGGACGGGTCACGATCCGCAACAAGGTGATGACAAATGAGGTCTTTGCAAATACGCAGCCAAAGATAATGATCACAAAGCCGATATAGACGAGCTTCAGTGCATGGGGTATCATATTTTGATTCTCGATGGCGTCAACATGTCTTCCAATCACACCCATTTGCACACCTCTAGTGACCAAGCCCGTGTAAACGAGTTGCAAGAGCTGATGTGATTAGGAAACAACCCGTCAGCTGGGCAAATTTAGAACTTACCCAAGAAAAGACGCAGACAGCGTCATCCCATCCGAGCCCTCTCGCCAGCATGATTTTACAATATAGTCGCAGCGCAACGAAAACACCAGGAATCGCAATCAGGATCCAGCCAACAGCCAATATCACCGGGCCCTTGTCTTGAGCCGCCTGCATGGCGGACAGAGCCATGGCTGCTCCAGAGGGTGATTCTGCAATGAATACAAAGCCCAAAATAAAAGCAGAAGTGGAGGTATTTTTCAGCAAAAAGTCAAAGTCAAAGTCGCATCGCGGAGATCAAAAGGAATTCAACCACCGAGTCCCCGATATCTGCGCCTTTATGTGGACGCCTTACTGTACCTGTACCACCCGGTGAATTTTGTGACTGCTCACCTCGGAAGAATTGATGCACGCTTGAATCCAGGATTCTGCACCTTGATACCCGATAGCAAGGCCCCGGGCTGCATTTCGTCCCAAGGCGTAACCAAAGCTGCAGATCCTCGTGTTTTGGGGCCTTGGTTCGCATGCGTCATGGGGGCCATGTACGGGCTTCGCATACATGGTCCAACTTTAGATCTGTCTAGACCTGTTTAGGTGCATGGTGCAAGGATAGCGCGCTACTTCCTCATGCTGGATTGGCCTAATGTATCCGTGCAATTTGAAACAAGCTGGGTGGGTCCGCTTTACGGGATGGACGCTATGGGGCCGGTCCGCGGCCCACACTTACCGTGCTCAGTTTAGCGGCGGGGCTGGTTTTTGGGAAAAGGTCAGTGCCGAGCGATAGGTCATTATCTTCCTTTGTTTCAGTTGAAAGAAGGCATAATTTTTTTTTTTTTTTTTTTTTTTTTTTTTTAGCATAGTATAGGAGACGGAATAGCGTACTCTCCTATCAAGATCAACGTTTATCCATCATAGTCTTCCGCCATCAGGTTAGACATTACTGCTACCAAAACGGCTGCTGATCCGAGGGGTCTGAGCCCGCTCAATATCTCTAGGCGCAGGGATGAAGCTGTTAAGGAATACAGTGATTGGCAGGTGTCTAATGTCACTGATAATACGCTCAAGGCTGCATTTCGACAAGCCTGTGACGGGATGCTCAAACATGGCCTTGACCTTGAGTAGGTCCATAAAGGTTAGACTCGGAGTTCTTCATCCGCAAGGGCATAAAATTGGGTATTGCTAGATCCTCCACCTCCACTATAGTAAGTGAAAACGTTAAGGGTATCAATCAAAAACCACCTGGGTTGGCTTCACTTCACCAATGCAATGTTTGCGACTCATATTCTCGGTGTCGCATAGGTTTTGGCCTTTGCACGAGCTACCCACTATAGACAGGTCAACGTGGCCCGAGGCCAAAATACAGTAGATAAAATAATAAGGCGGTAGCATATAGCTTGCACACCTACCAAGACCTGGCAGCATTTCGGCGTCTGTTTGCTACTAGACCATATAATAGAGTTCTGTCTCTCGGCGAGCGGAGACGCGAGGGCACAGACTATAATGATAAAAATAAAAACACCCAGTCTGATTTTAATCGATGAAGCGAGTAAATGATACATACCACTTCACTCTTGCAACTCGGTTCAGCAACCGTGAGTCCTGATAGGATAGACCTTGGAGGCTCCGCTTCCTAGACCGCTTTCTGACTGAGTAGGTACTTTTTATAATACCGTGGGTCGATAACAGAGGTTGTATTTCACACAAAAGTACTACAGTGCAGGATATTTGGAGAGAGATTTCCAGCCTACGCAAAGCATCACGAAATTCCTGCCTCTGACATAGACCGTGAAGTCGACACGAAAACCAAGAAAGTCTACGTAAACCCCCGTCACAAGGCTACGAACCTGCAAGGCTCTCTAGGCAACAGCAACCGGAATTGTCAGAGTCCCCAGCCAATTAGCGGAAGGCAAAGAACCAACAAGACAATGTCTCCCCAACAGGCGGTAGCCCGGACGAGCCGCAAGATTTGAGCCAGAAGGCGGGGGTTCCGTGATCAGCCTGTGTCCTCCACCCATTTAATCCTCTCTTCCTCCAAATAGCTCTCTAAATAGCACGGGAAAACCCTCAAGATGCAAGCACTTAGAGCGGGAGAAGAATCAATCGACCAACTCAAGGACCAAGTTCTCAAAGATAACGAAATTTGGCAGACCACTACGACAGACAGAGCACAGGAAGAATTGCCCCCATTTTGGAATGATGCGCTCTGGGCTCTTATCGCGGAAACATGGGCACCGCCGAGAGCAGAATGGGAGAAAGCCGAAGATGAGCGCAAGCTGCGAGCTTTCCATGAGAGACTAGAGACGATGTCTTTTGGACAGCTGACCTCGGAAGATATTGAACGAGCAGAAAAGAAAAAAGAGGATGCCAAATTGGCTCATCAGTGGAAAACAGTATGTTCGGCGAACTCATCGTGGACACCTTCAGCTTATTGAGAATCAGGTCGCCACCAGACACGTCTTGCTCGAAACCCTTGAGAAGTATCAACTACCATGGAAGTGGCATGAGGTGAGATTCCCATAATTCTCGATGCGAGCGATTCCTTACTCTTCGGTCGCTCATCCAGGGTCATCACGAATGCATTGTGATCAAGAAGAGTATAAGCCCTGATTTCTTAGTGGAGCTTTTCACTCACAGCCGCAATCTCGCCGAGGAAAAGCTTGAGGAGATGATCATTGCGGCAAGAAGTCAGATGGAGCACACGGGGGATTTGAATGATCCTTCGTCAAAGCTATAGTGGCGGAGTCAACAGCAGCAAGGAAAATCATGTACATCGCTTGAATTATCGAGTTTGTTAAGTTGGTTGTAAATTGTTTTCTTTGATGTATGCATCGTATGATCCATAAGGTCGATTCATCACCCGGAGCGCCGCACGCTAGCAATCACCGTGAAACCTGACCAAAGTTGCTTTTAAACATGGCAATTACCACATCCGATCAGTCAACCAAGGGGGAACTCGTGGAAACAGAACTCTAACACTAAAAAGTTCTAGCAAGGTTGACTCCTGTCAGAACTACAGTGGTTGCAGAATGTTGGTGAGTGCGATGAGGAGTATGAGGCTAGGCTTTCGAAGATAAGGGGGCGGAGTTTGCCTTTGGATCTGGGCCTAGGGCTTGCCTTGGAAGGTAAGCCTCGCAGGATCCTGAGGGGATATTTGTTAATCCCTGGTTTGTGAGGCAGTCGGGTATTCCGATCCGCACTACGGAGCGCGCGAATCGGATGTGGATATAATTCGCAATAAAGTATATACTACAAACCTAATTTACGAACGATTGTGGCTGGTGTTGATGTATGAGACTCGAAATTACAAGGCTTTGCGCATGAGTGAGAAGCTTGTTGAATTCTGTACAAACGTAAAATGATTTTAGACCTTAGGTCATTTTATCTTGGAAGGATTTAGAAGCCTAGATCATGCAGTCAGCATCGGTGCAATCAAATCGTTGAGATGACTTACCTTTCTCGGTGTTACCCTCGCCCATACTCTTACTGCTGCTGCTTCCGCTCTGAATTGCACCCAGGATGCCATCCATGTATGGCGCACCACTCCACTTCTGGTGAGTAAGAACGTCGACACCCATCTCCTTCTCGCGGGCTTGGATAAGTCGCACATAGGCGAGCATACCCTCATCCTTGAAGGCACGTGACAATTCCGTTGTGACAGTGGCGTTGCTGTGAAGACCTGCAAGGGAGATCAATTGCAGGACGAATCTGCGCCAATTAGTATCATCCCACTAGAAATGATCCAAAAAAAATGGTACATACCCATGCTTGGCAATATCCCAAATGAACGACTTGAGAGAAGCCTCGGTAAATCCTTGGCTCATCCAATTGAACGAAGGGCTCAAGTTGTAAACAAGCTTCTTGCCAGGGTAGACCTCGCGAATATCACCTGCCAGCTTGCCTGCCTTCTCAACATCTGGATCACCGGTCTCAACCCAGAGAAGATCGGCGTACGGAGCAAATTCCTTAGCACGCTTGGTGGCGGCTGGGAAACCTGCGCGGTAGTGATAGAATCCCTCGCGAGTGCGCGGGCTGTCGCATGACCAGACCACTGGAGTCTTGGTGTAGTCAGCAGCCAAGACGCGACGACGAGAGAAAGAAAGGTTAGGGTTCTTCTCGACTTGAGCCTTGTACGCGTCTCTGGTAGATTGGCTGGCACCCTCGGCCTCGAGGTGAGCATCGACAGCTGGGAATGTTAGTGTAGGTGCACAAAAATGTATTAGTATTGTCACATACCCTCATCAAAGGAGACAAGCTTGTGGTTCTTGACCCAGTCAAGTTCAAACGCATCAATTTCAGCTGGTGAAGCGCCCTCGCGCTCCATCGCCTGCAGAGTTTCGGCTAACGGCTCGACCTCTTCTGTGATACCGAGGATAAACTCATGGTCCCGCACATCAATAGCACTGCTAATAAGCTTGCCGCTTTCTGAATCTGTGCGCGCAATGACCAGGTTTTCACAGCCCATCATATCCCATTGGAATCGCGCAGCAGTCAGTCTGTTAATGTGCTCGCCAATGGGAACCAGAACTTTGCCAGCCAAGTGGCCGCACTTCTTACCACCGTGGAGCTGATCCTCAAAGTGCACAGCCGCAGCACCGTTCTCAGCGAATAATTTGGCCAGCTTCAAAACCGCCGATAAACCGCCATGTCTGTAAATCGCAATTAATTAGCGATATAGGCCCCAAATCGCATATAGCCGCAACATACCCGGTATCGCCATCTGCCACAATCGGTCGCATGTAATCCACGTAAGGGGTATTTTTGCGCTCCTCCGCAGTTAATTTACGTCGAGCATCCCACTGCTTCCGATCGTGCATCGATTGCGCCTTGAACAGGCGCTGGACCTGGTTCGGTACCGTATTATAGGGGTAATCGCCGAAATCGGGGGAAACCTCATTGGTGCTAGTAAGAAGGGATGAGCAAGCCCATCCGGAAATATACAAAATCTCCTGGTTGGGAGCTTGCTGTGTCATCTGGACAGGGTCAATGGCACCCACTATTTTACCCCACGTATTAGCCGGTCGGGTCCCACAGGTCGCAAAACAGCTCCACGTCACAACTCACTGGTGTGTACCGGCTCGCCAGCCGCAGCCCGCTCATTCAGCAAATTGAACAGTTTCCGCGCCATTAGTGAACTGGGATAGCTCTGTTGCAGCGATCCACGCTTGCTCACGACATCCTCAGCCGAATAGGGTCGCTTGATGCCCTCGTACCGAGGGGAGTCCCACCATGCTTGCACGTCGCGGATTTGTTGTTCATACAGGGCATCCTCTGCGGCGCCAGCTTTCTCAGCGGTCGACAGCAACTGGTATGCGTCGGATGGCAGTGTGGTGGACACTGGTTGAGCAGGTGGTGACGACATCCGAGGATAACCGCATGTGAACGCGCGTAGGGCGAGACGGGATGGCGCCGTTGGACGAGGAATTTGGTGAGGGAGCTGGCGTGGAACTCGTCGGCTTATGGAGCGAAACATTATGACAAGTTGCAATTGCCACAAAACTTGGGAATGGGAAAGAGAAGAGAATGAGATGATGGGGTATGTTTACTGTTCTCCGCCTCCGCTGCTGAACCTCGGGCCGTGACTTGGGGAAAATCCACTTTTAAGGGTTCCAAGTCCGATAACCGCAATGCCCGCAATAACCGGATCTATATTCGAACGCGCCGGAAGTGATTCAGACATTTCGCCACATTCGGTCAGCAGTAATTATAAATCAGAAAGAATTTAATATTATCTGGTTGTTCAAGTATTCAAAACATGTGACTTCTCTTTAAAATAATCCAACATATATGATAATACTTCATACGTGCCAGGATATACCAAGCATAATCAAATACTATCGGACATTATTGAAAAGCAGCATTAGGGAGATATATGGAATCAAAAACCGATTATAATGGCGGAAGTAGAGATTAGGACAGGCGGTTTACTACATACTGAGGGCCAATTTTGAACAGCAAAATATTAGGAGAAGTAAAGTGAATGCACGTTTAGACTAGGTTACAATAGGGAGAGAAGTAAACAATTGTTTAGAGCAGTTCTGAATGCATAAAGAAGTAAATAAGCGTCTTATTGAAGTGAATGATTATCTGATATGGTTTTAATTGGTCAGATGGTCACTTCACCTATATTTCAGGTGTCCATAGAATATTCACCATTTTCTAAGCTCTAGGTTGTCGTGGGTCTTATCTTCATAAAGTGAATGTCCTATTGTTATGACTGAAATGCCATAGTACTTCCGTGTATAGAATATGGTCATTTAATTGGACCTGACATTCACTCCGTCTGTAGAGTTAGATTCACTACATTTGCAAGGTATAAGATACATCACAGCTTCCGTAATTTCAGTACTGTAGTCCCACCGATCTTAACAATGTCTTCTCCCTATCCTCTTTCTTCAGACGCTGGTCGTCTGCCCATTCTCACCAAGGCCGGACTTCGATTGCTGGCCGCTCGCTACATCAGCGGCGAGTTTGAAGCACGTTCCTGGGGTAAAACCCAGCTGTTAGACGATTTCTGGGGCGAGGAGCCCACCGACGCCATCATCACTCCATTGGCGACGACGTTCGCCCCCCTCCTCGCGCAACTCATTTGCGCAATCAGCGCTGGAGGGCCCACGCCGGCGTGGGTCCTCCGCGTTGTGCTGACGCCAGAATTCCTCTGGCTGGGCCTCCATCAGACTTCATTCAGTAAGTTCAGTTCAAAAGAATTGCCATCAACCTCAAATTGTTCATGTCCACTAACAATTCGATTCAACAGGTCTGATGGAGGTCGGCAATATCTCACCGGCCGACATTTGTCGGGTTTCCCCGCTTATCACCGCGGGTGTAATCACAACAGGCCTCTCATACGATGAGAGCTGGGTCGCCCAAGGCGCTGCAATGGAGCAGCACCTTCGGGTTGACCCACCGGTCATATACAACATTGCCGTGGGGACGGGAGACCCTAACGACATCAACATGGACCGCCCATGGACGCCGGTCACACCGACCTTCCCTGATCCACTTACGGCTCCGCAAATAATTACTTTGCCGCCTATCATCACCCTTCCACCTCCCCCCACGAAGCCAAAGAGAGGCTGGCAGGATGGAAACCCCGGAGAGGCGGGGATCGAGACCGAGGAGAGGTCGATGGAGATGACTGGCGCCAAACTCGGCTGGGTGAATGCAGAATACAAGGAGTACGAGACCAGCTCGTGGAGACCCTCCGACGGTGGGACATCGAATCCTCCGAAGCGTAACTCGTATCGGGAGACGAGATGATTCCATCCTCGATGTTGTCTGGCGGAGAATGCATCTTCCGTGTAGCTGGGTGTCTGTATGCTCGTGTCTCTTTCTTCTGTTTTCTGTCTCGTTTTTTCTTTTTCTTTTCTTTTTCTTTTCTGGTTGTTTTGTTTGTGCCTGTCTGTCGCTGTGTCTCTGTCTCTTGTTTCGGTTTTTGTTATTTTCTTTCAGAGGCTGGCCTCGCATTGGATTTGCGTTCTGCATTTGCGATTGATTTGTGAGACTTCCAGTAAGCACCTTGTAATTTCCATGTATTTCCTTCGTAGTGCTCTGTAGTTCCCATAGTTATTAGTAGTTTTGACTAAATAAATTGTGGTTAACATTTGGAGTTCTGACATCATTAGCATCAAATGCCTCCTTGGCCAAGCGGTAAGGCGCTTCACTTGTAATGAAGAGATCACTCGTTCGATCCGGGTAGGGGGCATTTCTTTTTTGCATTTCTTTTTTTCCCACCCACAATTCATTTTAACACTGTTCTTTTGTACGACAAAAACATAATTAATTCCACCTCCTTTAATCGAAGGATTATGTACGCCGACTTGTCCTAGAAATTTATCCCTGGAGTTGGCGCTGTTGTGCTGTGTTTTGATTCCAGTGCATCCCCTGTGGGGAATATCACACCACGTTCCAAGGTTGAACACCACATTGATGATATGGGTAGAGCGCATTGTTCATAATTCGAAGAATTAGTATCACTAAATACATATCTAAGTACCTACTCATTCAGCTACGGACTCACACTAGGCCGAATATGGTTAGTGATATGTTCAACTAAAATTTGTTTTGTTTAATCATCGCACTCCTCCATGGTCCAGAACCCGGGTCGCGATGATTTCTACTAATTCGGCTACCTGCGTTGTAGCCAAAAATGACGTCTCTTTGAAGAAGTGCACGTAGCAAAGCGCATCAGGCATGGCCTTCGCGGAGGGTTTTTCGAGTAGTGCGAAGTACGAATATTTTCATTGTCTCCTGTTGACATAGTCCCACAGCTTGATATATTTATTTATCAACGTCGAACACCCGGGCTGACAGCCATCTCGAACAACGCACTCGGCTCAGATTGTAATCTCCCGGACTAACCCCTCACGGCTTTCTCCAAGATCGGCGCCCCCGCATCTTATCACTGTACTCCTCCCGGCTCGACTCGATTCCTATCTACTCTCTGTCATTCGCTGTGTTCCCCGTCTTATCTTCGTCATCCCATCACCCATCTATTTGCTTGTTCCTTTTTTCTCCGGACCACTCCTGAACATCTAAAACTACCTTGGTATGGAAACGATCAAAATTCCATCGCCGTCCACGTTTTTAAACTCGCCCGATCCGACCCCGGCGTCAGGGCGGGGAAAGGCTGCCGCATCATCCAAGGCAAAGCAGATCCCCAAGTCAACTCAGAAACCAAGGCAGACAAAGAGTCGTAATGGTACGGTGTTTATCTGATCGGAAGAAATAAAATATACAATTAAACTGGGCACATCGTGCCTAAATGTCTGCGCAGAACGCTGACCCGATTACTTCGTGACGCCCAGGTTGTATTACCTGCAAGGCAAAACGGTTGAAGTGCGATGAGACGAAACCATCCTGTTCCCAGTGCGATCGGCGCAAGGTGTCGTGTGGTGGGTATAAGAAGGACTTCAAATGGCGACCTTTCGAAGAGACGAACTTGGCTGTTGGTCGCCCGACTACCATCAAACCGACAAAGAAGGGTAATGACAAAAGTACCTCGCCAAGAAAAATATCTACAGTCCATATCTAATGCACTTTTTTCTAGCCAACAATCATTCTCACCTACTAAACTCCCTCGCAAATCCGGAGGACTTCCCTACTCCTCCAATTACTGAACTTGCAGTCTCGCCGAACCGAGCGCAGTCGAATCCTGCAAACACATCACCCAGAGAATCATCTTTGCTAGGCTCACCAGGAAGCATCAAAAGCTATGTATCTGGCGATGCCCATTCCCTTGATGAGTTCCAGGTGATGCCAGAGCATTTATCCGCAGCCGAGGATATAGTCCATGGCATCACTGCGTCCAACTCCATGGATACAGATTCATGTCATTTTCTGCCTTTTCTTGAGACGTTCCAAGGAGCTGCACCGTTTGACGACGAGATGGTCCTAGATACGAATGTTGAAACCACTTCAGGTCCAATGACCTTTGGCCCGGCATACCAACAACCACCTGACTTAGACTTCAACTTCTCCCAACTACTGGACGAGGATAATGGAGAAATCGAAGAGATAATTCGACAATCAAATGCAAGCTCAAACCAATGGGGCTTCCCATTCTCCGCCCAGGGCAATAACATCTTTGATTTTTCACGTCTCCCAGGCCAACCATCGTTGGCACCAGAAAGCCAAGAAATGCTGGCCATGCGCTTTGATAAGTTGACATGCGGTATTTTGTCAGTCAAGGATGGCAGGACAGAAAACCCATGGAGGACGCTGGTTTGGCCTCTTGCTAAGGAAACACCCGCTCTATATCATGCTCTGTTCGCACTATCTGCCTTCCACTCCGCCAAAGAAAACCCTTCTCTGCGAGTCCAAGGTGTCAAGCACATGCGAAAGAGCATGACATGTCTTCGAGAACAAATTCAAAGTATGAGGACTGAAACGGCGCTGGCGACTAGTCTTGCGCTAGCGTTTGCCGATACCTGGGACCACAATACTCGGACCTGTGTTCAGCATCTACGAGGGGCGAAGGTGTTGATGCAGCAGGTACTGAATGTGGGCGTCCAGGGTGGACAGAGCAACGACAGACTTGATCGCATTCGCTTCTTGTATAATACCTGGACCTATATGGATGTTCTTGCGCGGCTTACTTCTTTGGATGAGTCAGGGCAAGATGATCTTACTCAGGATATCTTTCAATTACCCGGTGATGCTGTCCATGAGATTGATCCGTTGATGGGATGTGCAGCCACTCTTTTCCCTCTCATCGGCCGAGTCGCAAGACTGGTCCAGCGAGTGCGAAAATGCTCCTCAAATTCGGTCTCTATCGTGTCGCAAGGAATGGAGCTCAAATCACTTGTGGAGCAGTGGGAGCCTCCGCATTGGTTTGAACCGCCAGAAGACCCAACATCCGAAGTGCAGCACAGCATCCAAGTGGCACATGCGTATCGCTGGGCCACATTGCTCTACCTTCATCAAGCCGTGCCGGAGATGCCATCCGAACCGGCCGAGGAACTAGCGAAGCGTGTATTGATATTGCTAGCCACAGTACCTCCTACGTCACGGACAACCATCATTCAAATGTTCCCTCTTATCGCTGCCGGGGCTGAAGTCGACGATGAGGATGATCGGAGATGGGTTATGGATAGATGGTTCACTGTTCAGTCTCGGCTAATGCTCGGTGGGATCGACCGTTGCCTTGATGTTGTACGTGAGGTGTGGGCTCGCCGTGACAAACTCAATGCCCAGAGGCAACGGCAGCAGAACCAATGTGCTACCTCATGTGCTGGATCTTTCTCTTGCGAGAGCAGAGGAAATACCAACCCCAAATTCGGATCTTCCGAGAGCAAAAACAATGGAAGAAACTTTCATAACCGTGGCAATTCCTGTGATCAGCTCGAGAAATCTACGGTAGGGGTACCAGGAGTTCCTGCCAAATCTGGGTCTTCTCGGCGGGGCTCTGCTCTTTCGCCTTTGGAGAATATCGAATTTGAGAGAACAGTCCGAAGCAGATTGCATTGGGTGAATGTTATGGGAGAATGGGGCTGGGAGGGTAAGTTATTTCTACGCCAATTCAATATAGCTAGTACTGATCTTTCTATTCACAGTTTTCCTTGGGTGAATTCATCTGTTGATGGAGCCCCACGAGATTGATATCTCAATTGTTCTACTAAACCAGCGCTCAGCCTGGAAAAGTCAAGTTCTCGAGAACTTCCCTTACCGTACTAATTACGACTGACACAGATAACTTTCATTCTTTATGTCTAGTACTATTTGAAATTGTGCTTTGTAGCTCAACTACGATTGAGCGGTCAGCGCGGCGTTAAGGATATTTATGTGAATCTTGATAGTGTTTTGATCGAACCCGGTATTTTCTGAACTCTGGTTCATTATCTGACTACAATGCTACCAGCTCTAGGTATTAAATCGGCAGATACATCTGCACCCATTATTCCAGCCATAACTGGAAAATCCACTCACCCACCCGGCCACATTATCCCGGACCCCATTACCATCCAACAACCGTCAAAGCCAGAAGCAACAAAAAGTCCCACAGATTCAAGACTCCTTCTCCCACTGCTTCCCACTCCACAAATCCGCCGTCGTCCAGAGCCAGTAATCCCGACCCTTGATCAACCAAACCAGGAAACTAGGCAGCCGGTACCCCATCGCTGCGCCAACACCTTTACTCCTCCCAATAGGAACCATCTGTGTCTCCCGCGTATCCTCCTTGAACGAACGCTCCGCTGCAGCATCATCCCCAGCCGCAAGAAGTAAATCCCGCTTGATGTTCGCACACACGACCGGCACAGCATTCAGAATCGAATGAACAGCCGGTCGTGCATAAGAGCCTACGTCACCAACAGCGTAGACCCGGTCCCCTGCTTTATCCACCCGGAGAGTAGAATGATTAGTCTCCACCCGTCCATCGGACATGAGTAGCGATTTATCCAGGAAGGATGTGTTAGGCGTCATACCCACAGCCGGGATATAGATATCCGCATTGAGCTCCGTTCCATCGGACAGTGATACAGTGGCTTTAGTCGGAAGTGCAAGATCAGTCCCTGATTCTGGCGGCGTTACGCCCCTGACTTTGGTACCCTTAATAACGGTCACACCCACGCACGCGAGATAATCCTCTGCTTTAACAGCGATACTGAGTCTCAGTAATGGGAGGATCTGAGATGCAGACGTCACGACCGTGATGTCTACTTTGGGATTCTCAAGTTTGCCTGCGAACCAGCCTGGCTGTCCATTAAGGTATTCGCCCAGTTCACCTGCAGTTTCAACCCCAGCCGGACCACCACCAGCAATAACGATGCTTTTCGCCTTCTTCATCGCATCCCGGAAAAGAGCCCATTGCGTGCGTAATTCCGCTGAGTCTTTGTTCAGGCCTAAGAGAGGTGATGGAGTCGAACAACCTGTTGCGATGACAAGTGCATGGAAAGGAATGGTTTTTTCATCATCCCCTTCCACTTCGTAGCGAATGGATACTGTCCGATTCGCGTGGTCTACATGCTCTGCCCGGGCGTGCTCGAACCGGAAGTTGGAAACGGGGTAATTCTTGAAGACCTCTGGAATTGATACCCAGAGTTTCTCCTGTGAGAGGAGGTCGTCTGAAATCATTGCACGAGGACAGGCGGGACGACATATTATCTCAGGTGAAGCGCTGACCAAGACGACTTGATAGGTGTGCGAGTCTGATAATTTTGGAATGGCATGTTTGAGGAGATAATGGGCTGTTGAGACGCCGGCGTAGGAACCTCCAAGGATGACAATGTTCTTGGTACTTGGTTCCGCCATTTGGGCGATGTCAAGTTTGAACAGAGTTTGGATCTTGTTTACATCTTTCTGGGGCGGGATGCTCCTTATATCTTCAGCTGGAGGACAGACTAATCTGGTTGGTTCTTTCCCTCGTAAGCAGCGCCTCCAATCTATGGATTCTTGGACAAAGGATCGTGACCCGTGGCATTTTTGGTGCGCCTCAAGTAGTAAGCCTGGGATGAAGTTGACTGATGCGGTTGGCAGCCTCGTTTCCCAGATCCTTGTACCAATCACATCGCGCTTGCTGGAGGTTTAAGGGTCGTGCGCTAGCCCCGCAGTAGCCCTGTGCTTTTCGGCCTAAAGTCTTGATAACGGATTCCGAGAGGCCGAATCCCTGATGCTATGTGCGACCCGCTATACTGGTTGGTCTGAATTCTCTGAATCCTTTTGGCAGTCCCAAGGTTGATTGAGATGGTGGAGGGTCCAAGCTCCAAGACACGGACGCCGCATGAACTCGAAGTTCCGCTTAGTAAGGCACATACGGAGAAGATGTTGCGGTCACCAATGGTTGCTCATGCTCTTACCTCCAAATCGAACACTAAGACGATAATTCTGGATGAGAATCTTGAATTGTACACAGACAATATGGAAAGTTCATGGTATATACTTCTAATAATCAACCAAACAACGCTACTAATGATTGTGCCTCGGGGCTTCGTTTTGTTGCGCCAGACGCTGGTATTTCACAGCCTTCCGCAGCACCATGCCGTCGGATAGCTGATTCGTTTCCTGACGGAAGATCTCCTGCCAAGGCGTAGCACTCGGGACAAGAGGATATTCCTTAGATAGCATCTCTTTTCTTCGTTCTTGCAATTCTTCATCACTGATAAGAATATCCACTCGTCGCTTTGGCAGATCAATCCGCAGCTTATCTCCATTGCGAAGGATAGCCAGATTTCCACCCGCAGCAGCCTCGGGACTGGCATTCAAAATGGAGGGGCTCCCTGATGTTCCCGATTGCCGTCCATCGCCAATACAGAACAGCGCGTCCACGCCTTGCTTCAAAAGTCTGCCTGGAGGGTGCATGTTCACAACCTCTGCAGCACCGGGGTATCCCAAAGGTCCAACACCGCGCATGACAAGGATGGTCTTGTCATCAATCTCTGGCAAGTGTTCCACTTTGCTGTGGTATTCTTCCGGTCCATCAAATACCATGACTGATCCTTCGAACGCCATAGGATCCTCCGGATTCGAGAGGTATCTTTCCCGGAAAGCAGGAGAGATAACGCAGGTCTTCATAATTGCCGAATCGAAAAGCGTACCCTTCAAATGGATGAATCCTGCTTCTTTCATAAGAGGATCATCATACGGACGAATCACGCGGCGATCCCAAGAATGTTTCCCACGGACATTCTGAGCCATCGTCTTTCCATTACATGTCAACACATCACCGTGGATCTTCCCAACATCCAAAAGCTCAGCCATAATTGCTGGAAGACCTCCGGCACGGAAGTACTCTTCACCAAGGTACTCGCCGGATGGCATCATATTCAGCAGAAGAGGAATCTGTGATCCGAGAGTATCCCAGTCATCCATTGATAGCTCGACGCCCACATGCTGGGCGATAGCGAGGAGATGAATGGGAGCGTTGGTACTTCCGCCAAATGCGGCGTTTGCCACGATTGCGTTCTCGAATGCTTCGCGGGTCATCAGGTCGCTTGGTTTGCGATCGGACTCCACCATCTCCACGATCTGCTTTCCGGTTTCGTAGGCGCATTGGCCTCTGTGGCGGTACGCTGCTGGAATGGCAGCTGAGCCTGGTAGTGCCATGCCGAGGGCTTCTGCGAGAGCATTCATAGTTGACGCAGTACCCATTGTGTTGCAGTGGCCGACAGAGGGGGTTCTAAAACAGTCAATTTTGAGCGAGTCTCAAGCCAGGAGAAAAACTTACCCTCTGGAGATATAATCCATAAATTCACCGTCGTCAATTTCGCCAGTGGCATACATCTCTCGTCCCTTCCAAAGTACGGTACCCGCGCCAGCTAAGGCGCCTTCAGAATACCCATTCAACATCGGGCCAACATTAAGACAGATAGCAGGAATATTCTAGCACAGTATCAGCAATGTCCCATTCATAATCCAAATGAAAAGAAAACATACCACAGTAGCCGCAGCCATTAAACAAGCCGGGGTAGTCTTATCACACCCAGTCAACATAACAACTCCATCAAGGAAGTACCCGGTCAAAACCTCCACCATACTCAAATACGCCAAATTGCGATCTAGCGTCGCAGTAGGTCGTCTGGAAGTCTCCTGAATAGGATGCGTAGGAAACTCAAAAGCAATACCACCCGCAGTCCGAATGCCCTCCCTGACTCGCTTGGATAACTCAATATGATGCCGATTACACGGCGCAATATCGGAACCAGTCTGGGCAATTCCAATCATCGGCTTGCCGGACATGAGTTCCTCGCGCGTAATGCCATAATTGAAATACCGCTCCATGTAAATGGCTGTCATACCGGGGTCACTGCGGCAGTCGAACCAGGCTGATGACCGCAGTGTTCGGCCCGGTTGCCGGATGATTGCTTTCGTGCCATTCTCGGCTGCGAGACTCAGTCTTGTCTCTAGTTCTTGGTTGCGTCTCCGGAGGGCTTTGAGTTCATCAATGCAGTCTTCTATTTGTGGCGGGGCTGAAGGCTTGGGGCATGCGCAGCCTTCGCATGATTTTTTGGAGGCACACGACATGTTTTGGTGAGTTGGAGAATGCGGGGTTGAGGGCGTCTTTTCGGCGGTTTTGTTCATGGGTCCAGGGTCCTTTTTGTATTTGCATCATCGATGTCCCCGGATGGTGAGGTTCCCATTGGAGACCCCGCAATATGGGGACCAACGTCTGATTTCGGATTTCTAAGTGCGTGGACCAATGGTCTCGGTTGTGATTTTTTCCCGTGGTTCGGGGTTCATTTCGGATTGTTACTTTCCGGTGTTTCTCCCCACTGCCGTGCCGGTGACGCAACCCTTGGATATCTTCAGTTTTGTTTCAATATTGTGAGTAATAGAAAGGGATTGGATCTATTAGTATATGTGCGATTAAGATTAGCGTGTTAGCATGTTAGCTAGTTATGACATGGATGCTAATTGGACATACCTTGGCCGATACTTCAGCCAGTAGGGGCATTTCCGCTTACTAGGTCCGAGTTATTATGTTTTGATCTCTTACTATGATATTCTATCTCATTATCCAAGGCTAATGTCGACGGCTAAAGCCTCCCCCAGCCAAATATCCACCGAATCCGGTGACTCCGGAAAGTCATCTCCCGACGCATCTCCACTCCCCGCACTCTTCCCGACACTACACGTCATCATATAAATGCCGATTATAGGAGCTTTGCTAAATATTAGAAATTGATTGGACATACCCTTTTTTTCCACATACCCCAACAACCCAGAACACCTTGTTCCCTAACAACACACGCTCAACGAGGTCGCAGTCCAACATCAAAATGGGCAAACGTATCATCGTCACTGGCGGCTCAGGCAAAGCTGGCCAACATATAATCGCATACCTCCTCGATCAAGGCCATGACATCTTGAACTTGGACCTAGTTCCTCTGCCTCCAAACCTAGGCGACCGCGTCCACACAATGCGCGTCGATTTAACAGACGCAGGCCAGGTTTATAGCGCATTTGGCTCCCACTTCCACTTAACAGAGCCATTCCGCGAACCACTAGGCCTTATCCCCGACGCCGTGATCCATTTGGCCTCATACGCACGCAACATGCTAGTTCCCGACACAGAAACCTTCCGCTGTAACACAACAGCCCAATACAACGTTATCGAAGCAGCCTCAAGACTAAACATCAAAAAGATCATCCTAGCCAGCTCGGTATCTGTCTATGGAATCGCGTACGGCGAGGGCGATCTCGAGTATCCGTCTTTCCCCGTCGATGAAGATGTCGACGCAAACCCGATGGATACGTATGCCATCTCGAAAATGTGCGGGGAGCGCATCGCGCGTGGCTTTGCGCGTAGGTATGGGTCAGATATTTACGTCTTGCGGATTGGGAGAATTGTGGCACCCGAGGAGTATAAGGAAGAGATGTTTGATTCTTATGTTAAGAAGCCCGAGGAATGGGCTGTGCATGGGTGGTCGTATACTGATACGAGGGATTTGGGACAGATTTGTGAGCTTGCGGTGCTCAAGGCAGGTCTTGGGTTCCAGGTTTTCAATGCGGTGAATGATGAGATTACGAACTATGAGCCTTCTACGACGGAGTTTTTGAAGCGCGTTGCGCCGAATACGCCGTTTACTAGGGAGATGGGGGCAAGGGATGCTCCTATCCCTAATCGGAAGATCAAGGAGTTGTTGGGCTTTAAGCAGCAGCATCCTTGGCAGAAGTACTACGAGTGTTAGACTTGCAATGCAAATTCATTCGAGTGGGATCATGTCTATTACTCCTGTGCTCAGGTGTCATGTGGAAGTGATGCAGACGATATTTGGTGAGGGCTCCACTTTTAGTTGAGCGCCCGGAATGGGACAATCCGATTGGTCAATACCAGATGCCATCAAGAGATCAATCTTTCCGACCCCTCAACATGCTATGTCATACTCGGAATTTATATACCGGAAGGGCGCATGAGATAATCTAGTTCACCCCCAAGACGGAATCCCTGGGCAATAGCCTCGAGATCCAGATCCGACAGCTCCCAATCCAACTGCGGAGATTGTAGCTCCATAGTCTGCGGCGCAAGATTAGAAGCACCAAAGGCCGGCAAGGGTTCCTGCACAACTAATTGTTGAGTTGCAGTATTTCCTACAGCCGCAGAGACCTGCTCATCATCCTCAGTAATACTGATGTCGAGATGCGCGACGAGCTTGTCCAAATTAGCTCGGGCTTTCCCCGCTGCCGCGTACAGACGCTGGTGCTCCAAAAGAATAGTCCGACAAAGCAGCAGCGACTGATATGAATTCGAGTTCCGTCCTTTTTGGGCAACAATTCTTGCGTGGATGGTCGCGCTGATGTATGTTGCGTATGATAGCATGTATGGTGCGCTGCTGATGGAGAAATGCTGAGAATAGTCACGGAGGATCTGAACGATTTGATTCGCGGCTGTTGTGCACACGTTCACGGATTCGTAGGCTGCTTCCTGACCGGCGGCTTGGCAGTAGCTTCCTGTGAACAATGGTCGTTGGGAGAGGATTATTAGGACATTGAATAGGGCTCTGTCGGGGTTTAGTAAATGGGTTGTCGTGGCGGTCGGGACACTCACAAGAGGCAGAATGCTTGGGGAAGAAGAACACATTCGCTGGGATGAGAAAGATAATCAAGCTGGGGTGGAAGGTTTTGTCGCCATTTTCCTAATTCTGAGTTGATGTCGTCAGAAATAACCTGGCTTTGGCTCTGGCTCATTTCCTGTGACTCTGAGTAGAGTTCGCACAGGATGCGATCGATGATGATTGATAGTTCGCATAGTTTTGTTAACAAGGAAACATTCAATGTCGGTATAACCGACTGGTGCTTGACAGGGGTATATGTTATTTCCTGGAAGGGGTCGAGCTCGTCATACTCGTCGAGAAAGTTCAACGACGCCTTGAAATTCGTGTAGCGAAGGAGTGGTGGCCTCCCTTGGTAGAGACACTGGATTTTGTCGATGGCTGAACGGACTCCTAATTAGGAAAATTACCACAAAGGTCGGTAGTTGACTCACAGTATGCCCCCCATACAACCCGCTTCCGAATCTCAAGATCCTCCGGTGACATCTTACTTGGAGAAGGAAGAACATGTAGTCCCAGGTCGATGATCATATTGAATGCATTCCCCGCATATAACCAAGATAAACTTCGCTCGTCACATCTGGAGAAAAGTGAGTTGGACATAATGAGCAGTGCTTGGAGAGTAGTGATATCGCTTTTGTCGAAGCTGTCCCGTAAAAGCTCCGTGAAACGCTGGCGAAAACTCCACCCGGTCGTTTTAATGTCGTCCGGATCTGAGCGTAATTCAGGCCGCGCACAATGCTTGGAAACAGTGAACAGAATCGCATTGAGAAGCAATTTTGAAAAATAAGGCCCGTTACAAGCCATATCTCGCATAAACGCCGGTCGGTAGATGATCTGCGCTGTATAGAGTTGGCGACACCAGTATATTGACAAGAGATGCATTCCAATTTCCGGATCAAGGCCGTCAAAATCGAGTTTTCCGGCGGAGAAATTCAACAGCTCCAATTGTCCTTGAGTTGTACATTAGTAGGATAGTTATTTTCGCGGGATCTGCCCTTACGTTGTCTTGCTGTTTCTGCAAACAAATGACTCCGGGTCCAGCCCTCATTCACCGGTGAATTGGTCCACTCTGTAGAATCATTATTTCTAGAGTGTTCAGTATCGTCGTAAACAGCGCTCGTCGGTCCATGGTAGAGCGAAGTTGAGCTTTTGAGATGATCGCTATCGGGCGCTTCCGGATGAGAAGAGCCATTGCTTAAAACAGTTGGTCGATCAATCGGCGAGGCCTCAGCCTGGGATATTGAGGTTTCCGCTTGACTACGAGATGGACTCATTGTAAAAGAAGCATCCGTTGACATCATGGATGGTTCGTCGCCTAAGGGAATATTTCTATCCGGTATTCGACCCCCCTGTTGACGCAATAACGCATTTTCACGCTCCAATTGTGCGATGCGCCGATTAGTCGGCCTTTCAGAAACTGTCAGTAAGTTTCAGTGCTGTCATACTTGCAAGTTGCCGACTCACCTTGGCTTGTGTCTGATTGGACCCTGTTGGCAATCGATGCCCTTGGCTGCGCAATGACCACATGTGGGTTTCTGAGCATCGCACTTGAGCTATGACACGCCAAGTGAAGATTAGAGTAGTCCTTGTTCCATGAGGTGGGAGTGTATACCTTTTTGTCGCGACAAAAATTGCAGGCTGCTGCCGCTCGGCTCTTTCGGAGGGGCATGGTGAAGATAGTGGTCGGGCCCCACCTGCGAATAATTATGATCAGGGCACCCACATAATCTCAGGGCCCGTGGAGTTGTCTTTGGCTGCAAGTTACAATGAAAATGCCTCGACGTCTAAAGGTTGAAGGATATCTAATCCGGGGCGGAGAAGCTTATTGGATCCGCCGGTGTCAGGAAAATCTCTTTTGCGGAGAAGATACGGGAAGCGATATCTCCATGACATTTAGAATTCTTAGTATTCTGAGCATGAGCTTTTGTTTGAAAACCAGGCTAAATCCGAATTTTTGAATTCAATCTTCTATTCCTTATAGAGAATCTGATCTGCCTGGGCACATGCACTCCTGTTGCGCCAACGGTCTTTCAATATCCATGTATTGAAATGAATTAGGTAATTCGACTAGAATAGGAAATGTAAGAAGTGGATTGCCAGATGTTGGTCTTCATTGAAGGTCTCATGCGTAGAACAATCCAGCAAACCAAAAAAAGAGGTCGCTAATGTTCTCTTCCACAGCATGTCTAATCCTCCTTTCCATCTCTTCCCTCAGACCATTTCACAACTGACCTCACGAAGACCCATATCTTTATTATTCACGTCTTCACTTCCAAATCAAATGCTCAAATATCACCATGATCCAGTTCTCTTCATCTGCCCCGAGAGATGTTGACTTCGCTGCGCAACACCTCTCATATCTTCTTCACTCGCAAGGAGTTAGCCACGCATATATTGGGTCCTATGCGACTGATCTTGTTGGAGGAAATTGTGCCGTACCAGTATATCTCTGTATTCATTCACCCATTAGATGGGCAGCCAAAAACTAACATACTACAGGATCTGGACCTTCTTGTGTCCCGGGACCCGGCCAAAGTACGGAAGCAACTTCTGGAAGATGATCAATTTTGGTTAAACAGTCAAAATGAGCTTTTATACCGCGGACTGGATAGCGACATTGGAATCGATCTCTTTCGAGGTGGTGGGGATGATGATGTACGGCTTCCAGATGTAAGATTGGTTCCACGGTCATCGGTCGATCCAAGTAATGATCGCAAAAAGGTACAGAGCGACTGTAAGTCTGTCCTTCAAGAATATTCTGTCAATTCTGTTATAATGATCGACCTCTGGCTCCTTAGGCCCATTTCTACACCCATCTGTGCTCTTATTAACGAAGATCACTCCCTGGTATTGCGTCGATGAGCCGATCCATTCGCCAAGAATGCAAAGAGCCATGAAGGACTTTGAACATATAAAGTTCATCCTGAAATGGCTTGCTGACCGCCGCGTCTTGATTGACTTCAATGCCTTTCCGCAAAAGCCTAAGGAGGAGCATTTGACCATCCTTCGTGCACTGAACGAAGCGTCCAAGGATGTAGAACCTTTGCTCCGTGCAGCACTGACTCCTGAGGATTACAGTAGCATCATTCGTCGTGCAAGGACTTAGCTTGTGCTTTCTTTATCATCAGAGTAAGTAGTTGGCTCCTACTGTTGATTGAGCTCATCGGAGCATTTCCACGCGATAGGACCTGAAATTGCTTTTTTCTTTTCTTTTCTTTTCTTTTCATTTCTTGCTTGACAACATGGCCAGTTGCTTGTTCCAAGCCCATGCCTTGAGGCTGCAGTTAGCTAGCGGAACAGAATCCTGGAAAACAATCAAAGCAGTAGAATGAGAAATATTGGATGCATTCTAGTCATATTTTCTCTACCAATCTTACTCATACCTTTCATGCAGAGGCCTTCGAATTTATGCTGATGCTCTGCAGTTGTATAGCCAGGGAACGCCTAACCGCATCGGGAAAAAATATCCACATCCTCTCAGAGCTACAAGTTACCCAGATATGCGCAACGATATCTGATCAACCATAGCTCTCAGACGCGATCGATGAAACAAAGATACCTCAATGGTTTCCGACCGTACAAACCTCACTTCGGGACCATCAATAGTCATTCTCCACATCTTCAATCGGACAAACTGCAGCCATGGCAGCTGCAGGCAAGCTACAAAGCTTCCCCTCACCGGATACAAAGTTCCCCGCCATGTTGATCTATGATTGAGCCTTATCATTCTCCTCTGGACTGCCTAGTCAGGACAACAGACCCGAATGCGTCCCGGCAAGGATCGAGTTGCCATCTATACGAACCGAGAGCATTATCAACTTCCCCTCATCTTGGATCTGGAAATCGCAATGGCATAGTTATAAGCAGTTGCTGACCCTCAGTTTCTGTCAGTCTCCAGATTCTCAGCAGTACCGAATATTGACCATTCTGCACCATGCCACCTGCATTTACCTACCACGCTAAGGCCCAGTCCACATTTAAGCCCCCGCTTATTGCGAACGAGAATGCCTTCCTAGGCGATGTCATCTCGAGGTATGGTGCACCATGATTAGTAGCGACACCTCACACCGAAGACTCACAATTGATCATAGTGACAAAGACAATGCCGAAAAGCCCATCTCCTGTGGATTTTATCGCCTGGAAAAGGGCACCCCACTCGTGTACACCTATACCTATGATGAGATGAAGATCATCTTGGAAGGACATTTCGTGATCTCTGATGAGACAGGGCAGAAGGTGACCGCGACTCCGGGGGATGTGTTTTATTTCCCCAAGGGAGCCAAAATTACCTTCACAACCGAAGATTATGGGCTAGCGTTCTACGTGAGTAACCACGGCTGAGTTTTCACGAAGTGGACTGACCAAAATATATAGACGGGCCAACGAGCCGAGGGAGCGGCGTGAATGTGATAGAGTGCGAGTGACAATTTCCGATATCAAATTATTGGCGATGCCGTGACAGCAGATCCATGGATCGATGTCGCCCCCACTGTCCCAATACGGTAGTTTGCTTACGCGAGTGGAGCTGGGAAATAATGGGATTGTATATTGGACTCCCTTGCGATCGTGATTCCATATCAATAAATCGTGAATTAAACTTCATCTGCAGCTCGTAAAGAAATAATTCAATAGTCTCGGCACTTGCATGCTCGGAGATTTTCTGTCAATTTATCACTGGCATATTCTGGGGCCGCACTATTGACCCAACTAGCGATCCCATTGACAAGGGACTAGTCGCGAATCAAATCGGTAAAATAACCAATGTGTCGGTGTCGGTGGCTTTTCGTACAGGTCCATTATCAGCCAGCCCTGAAACGGGGGGGGGAGATGTTTGGCACGGAGACAACAGCCACGACTGGGGCTACTGGAGCCGATCCTCGAGAGAAAATGACCTGCAGGGCGGCAAAACCCCGATCCTAGTGGATCACGTTCATTTGAGCTCAGCTCGAGTCGATAGACTCGTTGAGAGCCGGGTTGGCCATTCTCCATAACCAGCACTAGCGACCTTTGCACAGCCTGTATGACGTGGGGGAGTTGCCGGGGCAACTTTATACAAGGGGTAATGAGCAGCAGGAAGGCTGAAACTAATTTAGGAAGGTTTGGGATCGTGAAAAAGTGGGTTGTTCATCTTGTTCCTTGGAAAAACAAGAGAGGAGAGCAAGGCACAAACCAAGATCGTATTCAATAAGTGGAGTTCCGCGATCGTCGTGATTGCGCATCCAAAAGCATTATAAGCAAAGCCAGGCCCTTCAGGTGGGATTTGGTTCTTGTTTCCGATTTCGCGGGTTAGCGTGTCTTAGGCTTTTCTTATCAAGGGGGGACCACTTTCAAACCCCTCTATCGCTCGCTCTTCTCCATTTCACACCACGGTACTCCGTACTCAACCATGGCTGTCGACATTGCTGATGACCGTCTTGGTCTACGTCTCCCCAACCCCCCACCACTGCTACACACACGCGGTTCTGAGACCCTCGATCGCCCCTCCACTCCGTCGGGCCATGGATTCACCAGTCCCCCACAGACCCCTCACGGTAGTCCCAGCAAGTCGCGGGCGCCGCCGGGCGCGTTGGACCTGCCCAATGTTTTCGATAATGCTATGAAACTCACGCCCACATCTCCGTCCAAATCAACCCATAATCACTTCAATCATCCTATGTTTACGGCCGACAGGAGCAGCATTGAGGATTTTAATGAGAGCGTGATCCACCAGCGCCCAACCAGCCCAACGCGCAAGTCCAACAAGGAAAATACCCCCCCTACCACCCGCACTCCCAAGGACCTGGGATCAAAGCCGACCGCAGCAGCCATCTCTCGTCATGAACCATATCAGCCCCGCGATGCGGATACTTCCAAGCGGCAGGTCCAGCTGCGCGGCCTGACACCGGAGGAAATGGAGAAACTCCAACAGCCCCGTGTCAAACGCCTCACAAATGTCACACAACTTTGTATGTCTTAACCCGAAACGCTATATACGCATTTACTAACTTGCCCCGCGCTAGACTTCCTCGACCACTACTTCGACCTCCTTAGCTACGTTCACAATCGTCAAACTCGCCACTCACAATTCAAAGCCGCATATCCAGAACCCCCTGGAACACCCAATGAAGAATACGAGCCCGCGCTCCTGAAGTATCTCGGTCGCGAACGGGCGCATCTACGCAAGCGTCGCACACGGCTGCGCCAGCATGACTTCCAGATCCTGACGCAGGTCGGCCAGGGTGGATATGGACAGGTGTACCTTGCTCAGAAGAAGGATACACGGGAGGTCTGTGCGTTGAAGGTGATGAGCAAGAGACTGCTGTTCAAGCTGGACGAGATCCGACACATTCTCACAGAGCGCGATATTCTTACCGCTGCGAAGAGCGAATGGCTTGTCAGATTGTTGTATGCATTCCAAGATGATGACCAGATTTACTTGGCGATGGAGTATGTCCCCGGTGGAGATTTCCGCACGCTCTTGAATAACACCGGTGTCCTTCACAACCGGCACGCACGATTCTACATCGCAGAGATGTTCAGCTGTGTCGACGCTCTGCACATCCTGGGCTATATCCATCGTGATCTGAAACCGGAGAACTTCCTCATCGACTCTACCGGTCACGTCAAACTTACCGACTTCGGTCTCGCGGCTGGTATGTTAAGTCCCGGCAAGATCGAGTCAATGCGTGTGAAACTGGAAGAAGTCGGAAATACCCCCGTTCCCTTCGGTCGACCCATGGAGCAACGCACAATGGCCGAGCGACGACAGGGGTACCGAACTCTGCGGGAGCGGGAAGTCAACTACGCCAAATCCATTGTCGGGTCACCTGACTACATGGCACCCGAGGTGCTCAAGGGTGAAGAATATGATTTCACCGTCGACTACTGGAGTCTGGGTTGTATGCTTTTCGAAGCGCTAGCAGGATATCCACCTTTCGCCGGTGCGACTGTCGACGAGACATGGCAGAACCTGAAGCGTTGGCAGAAGGTACTCCGGAAGCCAGTTTACGAAGATCCGAACTACTTCCTTTCCCGGCGCACGTGGGATCTCATCACGAAGCTCGTTGCGGCGAAGGATACACGATTCAAGAATATCAATGAAATTCACGCACATGATTATTTCGCCGAGGTCGATTTCAATCATCTCCGCGAACAGCGAGCTCCTTTCGTCCCAGAATTGGATTCGGAGACTGATGCGGGTTACTTTGATGATTTCAGCAATGAGTCTGATATGGCCAAGTACAAGGAAGTTCATGATAAGCAACGCGCATTGGAGGATATGGCGGATCGCGATGATAAGATGAACAAGGGATTGTTTGTTGGATTTACCTTCCGGTGTGTATTACCTAGCCTCTTCCACTCTTTTGCTCCGATACTAACATTTTCCAGTCATCGCAAACCCGCTGTCGATAGCACAGGCCGCAGCTCCCCTCGCAAGCCTATCGCGACCGATGGCAGCTTCGGAACAATGTTCTAATCTGATCTTCTGAATGTGGAAGATGGTTTATCTTTTCTCCTCTTTTGTATCTCTTCTCTTCTCTCGTCATGCTAGAGCCCGCGAAACTCAAGCTGGATCTTGGTTTCTTGGTGCCCTGGTGGACGCCGCGTATGGTACGAGTATGAGTTTAATGGTGCATTTTTATTATTCTACGTTTCTTTTGAAACTTGCGATCGAGCTTGCCTGTTCTCATTTATTCATGGGGGATTAGGTGTGAACTCTACTTGTTACTGTACTAGGTTGGAGATATGAATAGACGAATATGTCGACTTAAAATTTATTGTGCTGTAGTGAGTACACATTGCAAGACTAATGTACTTATAAATTATCTACTGTCTACCTCTGCTCTGTTTATTGAGTTTCAATATCGTAGGATCCAGCATACATTGTGTATTTCTAATTAATAGCTCTACACTCATCCAGCGGAGCAACTCAAATCCAACGCACTACCTGCGTCTTCGTATCTCGGGTATACAGTAGAGCAGACGAAAAAATCCAAGACGCCTTAGTGGCTAGGCAACTGGCGGACCATCTTCAAAATTTCAGACTCATGGTCTCCAATAACAGCCCGACCGTTGACCCAGTCAACAGTCACAGGCCGCACAAAGCTGCTCTTATCCTCCTTGAACTTCTTGAGCGCATCCTCGGCATCCCTAGCTCCCTTGATCAAGTCGGAGATAGCATAAGTAGCCTTGTCGCCCTGACCGCCAACGCCGGAGGTAGGGTTGATGTAATCAATGATATTCCGGAGCTGATCGGTGGTGGGCTCGTTGGTGGTTACCTCGAGCTCGAACTCGCCACGCTGCTGCTTGGCGTGAGAGCTGTGGTCACTTGCTTGGTCTTCTGTGGCTGTCTCGGCGGCGGCTGAGGAGGCTTGCTTGAGGATTGTGAGGACGCGGGTGCTGTTGGGGACACTCGGGGAGTGGAAGAGGGTGATGGGGTCGAGGGTTTTGCTCTTTGTTTTGGTTAGTAGTGCGATTATGTTAGACTTGGGGATGGTCGATCTTACGAAGCGGAACATTTTGGCGGTTGAGGTTGTGATGGTTGATTGATGTGGTGTTGATTGATGGGGAAGATAGGTGGTTTTGAGGTTGGTTATGAGGAGCTTGCTGAATTGGATGATGTCATGTGCCGGGATCCCGATTGGGTTTGGTCGGGTATGTGGAACTTGGCATTGCTTCGAAACTGGATTGCATGTGTTCTAGTTGGCAAGAGGCTTTGCATGTTTCAAGTTATGAAATTGAGTTGTTTAGCTGTCGCTGTCGATTATTCCCCACATAGGAACAATTGGGTTTATGACGCTACAGTAACCAGGAACCCCAATGCCTATATCATTCAAGATCTTCATTCAAGATCTTCGGGAAATCGTCATTTCTTCCAATGTTGATGGATTATTGTTTCAATGTCACAATCCCAAAATGAACAGAGTATTGAGTATCCCTGCTACACTGTATTATTCTTGATTCTAAGCTATGTCTGCTTTCCTTGCAGGAGCTTTCCGGGGCGAGAAAATGATCGGTTAACCTCGGCTATGTACCCACATCGTTCGCACTACCGGGCCTTTTACCTCCACAGTCTACGTTCATAGGGTCCAAAAGTGTGGAGAAAGAATAAAATCTATACGGGCACATGGAGATATGGGCGTTGTGCGTCATATGGCGAGTCGCGAACAATGGAGATCGACCAGGTGTCGGGTTGCGGATGTAGTTTCTTCCACGTACAGTACTTTCATGTACAGGTACAACCTCGGGAAGCTTAGGAAGTATACTCCTATATTTAGTATTCATACGTACATTCAAGATCGTTCAAACCTTATGTGCTTTGGGCTGAGCAGCATTGGATTGCCGCATGCACAATTTACATGTCTCCTGCCTAACCGCTTGCGGCTTAGCGTCGCGCATTATGTATGCAACTGACCAGTTAACTAACGTGATGTGATCTGGTGCTTTCTATATGAGTGAACGGTCAAGCCAATTTGCTCGTGTAAATTGACTGAACAGAAAGGATTTCCATCAAAAGTCGTGTTCTCGTGATTTCATCATGCTGCGTAAACTAAAATTACAAACTATGTTACAATTTAACATCACATAATTTCCTGGCGAGTATTGAGCCGCGGCAGACTGTGGAGCATTTGGGTCAGCTGCTTAAGAGGCGTAGGTTTAGTTAGGAACTTATCGACACCGCTGATGGTCGCTTCCCTCTGTATCTCAGCAGAGAGTGCAGCCGTGAGGATGACGATATGGGCCGGTGTGAGTTTATCTACTCTTTCGAAGTGTCGCATTTCTCGAGTTGCGGAAAGTCCATCCATGTGAGGCATGGAAATATCTACATGTGGTCAGCAGGGGGGCGCAATGTCGTTTGGTGCTGGGACTTACCCATTACAACCGCATCGAACCTCTCGTTCTTGAATGCTTCCACTGCTTCCAGTCCATTGGTTGCTGTTTTGTATGCAAACCCGGTATTCTTGACACAGGTTTCAATGATCTAATCATCCGGTTAAATGGGCCGAGTGTAAAAGAGAAGGATCCACTGACCTTTAAGTTTACCGAGTTGTCCTCAACCAGAAGAATTTTCTTTCCGGCACTTGTTTTTTGTTGCTCTGGTGCTTCAATTTGCGCGTCGATTGTTTTCCGTGCCTTTTTGTTATCTTTGGGGGAGGGTCCCACACGTTTGAGATCTTGTGCAATCCCTTCCGGGTGCAAACAATTTTCAAATACTGTGGCTAGCGTCTTTGGGCTCACACTTTTAACCAGTCAGTAAAATGAGACGCAGAAATGGGAGATTATGACTCACGGTTGAGACAAGAAGATCGCATGGTCACGATCATTTTCTTTCACCACCTTCCAACTGCTTGCTTGGTCACTCAGGACGATTAACGGGTATTTTGCCCTGGATTCAATCAAGCGCCGAATATCTGACCCAGCCGAGTCCTTCATCATAGTTCGGTATTCATGCTCAGTCACGATCAGGAAATCTGCCACCTCTCCATCTTGAAGCTCATCAGAGCTCAAAACTTGCAGCCCGAACCAGTCGCTCACCATGCGACCCAGACTGAACCTAATATTATCAAAAACTTCCGGGCGAATACCGAGGTCGCCACGCTGCAGACTCTTTGTGAAGAACGAAGCTCTCTTGCCACGAAGCTGCTCTCTCAATGAATGGTACGGTGACGGTTGCTTCAGGGGTGGCTGTGGCTCTGACAAGGGAAAGACCACGTCAACATCCGTGCCACGATCTTTCTCACTCTTAAATTGGATTTGCCCATTGAGAGACTTGACGATTTGGTGGACTAGGTGAAGGCCAACCCCCAAGCCAGGCGACTGTGTATCTTCCTGGATGAATGGGATATAGAGGTTGTGAAGGAGGAAATCCTGGGACATGCCACGGCCCGAGTCACTGATCGTGAGTCGCACCGCCGGGACAACCTTGTTACCTTCTGTAACCATAGTGTCCTTCCTCATGAAGAGCCGGATATAGCCTGTCTGCGTGTATTTAAGGGCATTGCCGAAGAGATTCATCACAACACGGCGCCAGGCCCCCGCATATATGGAGTAGTTCCAGTTGTCTTGCCATTCGACGTCGACAATGGCCATAATACGGCCCTTCTTATCTTTCAACGAACTTGATGATATTCGCCAGTCATCGTGCTTGGGGTTATTGGCAGCGTTGGTCGCCTCTCGGCCGTAGAACTCGGCACCAGCGAGCAGACCCTCCACGACTTCTTGCACCAGTGCACTCAAGTCTTCCTTTTGTTCGAGGCCGGGGACTGCTAGCTTTGGCTGTGAGCCATTCGTGATCTCACTTCCGTCTTGCAGACTGGATCTCCTCGGTACGGTGAGAGTGTTGATTTTTGCATAATCCAGCAAATGGTTCAAAGTATCTAGGAGGGTACGTCCACAGCTGTGCACTGTCTCAACCAATCCTTGTTGAGTGTAGCTGGTCACTGTTTCTTGAAGCAGCTCGATAGTACCAAGAACACCATGCAATGGGGACCGCAACTCATGCGAAATGGACGAGATAAAGTCGCCCTTGGCACGGTCGGCAGCTTCGATATCCATCCGCGAAACCTCCGCCATGACAGTGTTACTGAATGCTGCCATGTATGTCAGATCTTTAGGTTCTGACAATACACGTCCAGGGTCATTAGTCCAAGACAGGCTCATTGTGAACCATCGACTTCGGTGGAAATCCCAAACAGGATAGATGGCAAGACAACGGGCGTCCGGTAGAATCTTATGGAAATATTTAATTTCCATGGTCTCTTGTCGATATTCCTCCTCTTTCGGTGACCCGGGTTTGACTTCATTCTCGTTTCCAGTGTAGGCCTGGCTGGTCACCTTCGACAATCCTTGATAGCTCAGTGCAATGCTGCCATCATTTTCGATATGGAATATCTTCCCCCGTGGATATCGATCTATGAGATGGTTCACAAAGGCACCCGGTAGAGGAACATAGTGGCTGTCTTGCTTGCTTTCGTCTTTACCTGAGCCGGAAGATGTGGAGTATCCCAGAACCAGACTTTTGGGGCCGTGAATGCCTTCATCGAGCTTTGGTTCGGCGCCATACATTTGTTCATCGTTATTGGACTCTTTATTGGGATGCGAGTCACTGTCGACTCCAATCACTTGCCGCCGAGCATACACACTTGCATCAATAAACATAGCACCCTCTGTCTCTAGCGCTTGATTCATGAGACAAGCAGCTCTATTGAGGACAGACTGCACATTCTGTGGGGCGATAGACTTCTGCAGTCGCTCGGTGGTAGGCGTGAGTGAAGGTCGCTGGTCGTTTTCCTCCTTTTCCACGCCCGACTCGCGTGGCCCGTCTTCCTTCGCCTTGAATTTTCGAACGGGTGATTGACTTCGACTTTGTTCCATACTCGGCGCTCCCTGCTTTAGCGACTCAGACCGTTTGCACCCGTCACCGTTGCGCCGAGTGTCCTGCTTATTGTCACTGCTTTCACCGGATATCTGAATTTCCTTAAGCTTTTCATCGACATGTGCAAGACCTTTAGGCTTGTCATCCGGGACTTCTAGACCATCAATTCCTTGACTCAGATCCGAATGGCCACGCACAAACAATCCAAGTGCGCGCACCATCTTCTCTTCACGATTCTCCTCGCGCATGGCGCGCTGCGAAAGCAGATAATCCATAACGGTTTCGCTGAGCTCTTTCAATAACTTCATATCCTGCTTGCTTAAGCCTTTCCGAGGTTTGTCATCCAGTACCGCGACACTGCCAATGATGTACTGTTCTGGTGATCGAATAGGCACGGAAATATAGAATCGGTGGCGCGGTGCCGCTGTCACGAAGGGAGCATTCTTGAACCGGTCATCTTGAGTGAGATCCGGGACCATGAAATGCTCCGACCCCTTACCAGTAAAAGCATGCATCGCACAATTACACATAGGTATATTCTCTCGAGGAAGTTGTTGCACGCCGCACCATAGCGATTCAGATCCCTCTCCACTTTCTGTACTGCGCAAGCCAAGCTTTGGCGTTGACTCGGCAACAACATGCTGCGTTGTGCGATCGAAGAGGGAGATGAGTGCGCACTTCGCATTTAATCGGAGACTCGCTATTTGCGCGAATGCTGTCAACGCGCTGTCGCGTGAGATATTGGGTTGCTGGCCGACTGAATGCTGGGCGAATTTTTCGGTTTCCGAGAATCCCCAATATGGAAGGTACCTGTAAACGAGTGATTAGTAGTCGTGTCTAGCGGTAAAATGTGTAGGTTGATCCCATACAGGTGCATTTCCCGTTCGCGGGCCGCGTCGATATTGTACGCATATTTGCGTGGACCGTCGTGGCCTCTCGTCTGGATGCCGGGCGTCATTGGATGATCATAACAATGTATTTTGATCGTGTCGACATCAACAAATATAGCGGAATGTAAATCTTGATCTGATAATCGCGTGCATAGTACAATAAGGCCTTCAGTAGACTCTGGGGGCGCGTGTATCTGGACGTGGTTGGTTTAAGGGTAGATAATGGCTTATGACCTCATAGGATTAGGAGGTCTGCCTTCCGGATCGAGGCGAGCCGTTTTCTGAGATCAGAGCGACCCGCTTTCTGAGATCAGAAACCCAGTCTGGGCTCCAGTAGTTGGACTTTCCAGGGCTTTTGAGAGACGCAGCTACTACGTAACAGGTTTAAACCAATGGATGTGCCGCAGTTGTGGGGCTTGGCGACGATCATTTCCAGGCCCTGTGACGTCATTTTCATCACCCCCCCCTCCCGAGGCAGTGCTGCAGATGCCTTGCATGTCTGAGAATCGTGAGATGGTCAGGTGGTGCCTTGGTAGATATCAACGCTGGAGGGCGCGGGTACCTACATTTTTCTCCGAGACTTGGTTACCCCTTTGCTCGGGTACAATTTGACTTTTTAACTATCCATATTCGTCATAAAGTTAGATTGCTGTATCCACCACGGATATCAAATATCCATGGATTTCCATTGGTTAATTATGCCATTTTTCAAAGCCTACCCTCAAGTGTTTTAGGGCCTAGTTGGGTTAGTAGATAATGGGCTCGCTCCCTCGCTGCTACACTTTATCATACTGAGCGGCAGGTTTCAACAGTCTACCCGGTTCATGGGTGTTTTAGGGCCAGTCTTGGAATCTTACAATCGAGAGAGAAAAAAATCAAATAGATTTAATGACTTTGGAACTCCAATAGAATACACATATCAAGTTTAAACATTTGATGATTCGGTAGAAAAAGTTTTGCTACGTGGGCCGCCCCGCCCACTACGCAAGATTACTCCACCAACCACGTTTTACGTTCCAAGGACCAACGAGACTGGCTGTTTCAGAAAAGCAACGGAATGTATCCGTTGCTCGTGACAGTACTCCATAACAAGTCATTAGTACCATTGCCATTCAATCCTCGGTACATGATAGCCGCTCTAATAAGACCAGATTCGACCATATGTTGTTTGATTGGCCATGGGTGATTTAGGATGATAAGATGCGTAAAACTTTGAACAATTAGACCTCTGCGCAGCTCGGTAACCTCATTCGTGTGACGAGAGCACACTTCCCATCTTCCAGGCCTTTCCAGTCGCCATGTTGCAAACTCGGTCACTCGAAACTACGGTCCTCCACGCTCCCAGTCCGAAGAATTCACCATTCAGGGAGTAGTAGGTCGCCACTCGTTGACACCTTTGCACGCCAATCTCCTCATCCAAAAACAAATCTTCCTCTACTTGCTTGACAATCCGCTGGATAACGTATGTCACTCTATCCAAACTCAGCCCTGGCTTCTGTAAATCGTCAAGAACTTTCTCCCACGCCGAAGTCTCTAGCTCATCGCCAAACTTTATCCCCTGTCCCCTGGCCCCCCGTGCCGGCTTAATAATGAAGTCATCCTTGGAGACTTTCCCTTGGCGGTACAACTCAAGCAGCTGATTTGATTCCCGCGAACCTGGTATGATTGTAGGCACGATTCGAGCCCGAAGGAGAGTAGCTTGGGCCTCTGTTAAGACACGATGTTTGGTAACCAAGTCATCCAGTTCTTGGTGGACAATTCCCAGAATACGTTTGTCGTGAACGATGTATCTGCTGCGGGTGTCATTGGCCCCGTGGAGCGCCAAATAGCGGCGCATGCCGGGTGCCAGGGCCGAATAATCATCCCCTGTCATCTGAAGACCCGCTTGATGGATCTTTTCTAGCACCTCCGTCTCTTGGCAATCAGATGAAGCTAGTTCACTGGCAGGCCGGGTACAGTAAAGAGCATAGCCAGTTTCCGAAGTAGCATCAGGGACAAGACGCAGATCTTCTGGTCTCACCGAGCGCGGCCTCATCCCGGTCCTTTTCTCCATCCAACCGCGAAACGCTTCCATAATGCTCGCTCGACCTTCAACAGCAAGAAATTGCCCAGACTGGAGCAAGTGAATAGGCAGCTCGGCCTTGAACAGCGTAAAGAAAGCTTCAATCATGTGGTCATTGTTGGTAGGTATATTGACGAAGGGGGGCTTGGTTTCTTCACTAGCCAAAGCCCTGTGAATCCAAGATGATAGATCAATGCTAAGTGAAAAGAATCTGGCGTTGATCTCGCACACTCTGAATTCATCCTTTTCATCAGCAGGGATGAGTAGGTCTGGTCTCCAAGTGCCCTGGTGTCCTTCAAACGCGTGCTCTGGATGCGTTTCACAATAACTAGATAGCCACTGGCAAAGCAATTGGGTGTAAGCAGGCTGTGAAATAATCTTTCTACATTATGTGAGTGATAGTGTACCTGTAGCAACTCTTCTTCATGAGGCTCAAGTGGCATCCGCGCAGGGAAATCAGCTTCCTTGTCTGTAAACCATCTTTGCACTATATTGCTCAATGCAATTGCAAGCGCCTCATGGAACTGCTTTAAATTGGCCAAGAATTGATCAGTGATCAATATGGGATGGGGACTCAGGAAACGCAGGTCATATGGCAGGTTGGTGTCATCTTCAGTATATTGCGAAATTGTAGAATAAAAGGCCTCCGCTGCGCATTTTCGATCTTCATACGATGCGTCGGCTGCCGAAACCACCGTTCCCTCTTTTTTGGAGGCACTGAGGCAAACTTGTAACGGCGGGGATGTCACACCAGAGCCGTCCATTGTGATTCTAATGAAGCCGTGAATGGAGGTGTAGGATATGGGGGTTGAGAAATTTGATCCTCGGGTCTTTGAACTATGATGCTCGCCTTTTATATCTCCAGTATAAACAATTGATGACTTCAGTAAGTAAGGGTCGGAAAGGAAATACATAGCAGAAACTAGGGAAGAGGGGCAGCTTGGTTTCAGCTGTATGCGGTTATCCCTGTCAGTTTCGCTGGTATTGTGAAACTTTGAAATACACGTTCTGTACTCAGTTTGCGATACTTGTAGTTCCTTTTACATGCACCTCGTGGGGGGAAATATGGATATTTGATGGATCTGATGCAAGTTCCGATGTAGCATTACATATATGTCTCGCGGTGGATCTCATCTTAAAACTCATGCCTAGCATTAAAATCGTCAGAACCGGTTCGCTGAATCGCTGCCTTAGATGAATTGTTTCATTTCTTTTTCTCAGAGAAACTGAACGGCTAATACACAGAGCCAGCGCCATTCATAAGTCTGCAGTTGTAACGGAGTTTACAAGCACACACCCGCCATTGAAAACGTTGCATATCTTCCCATTTCCCGAGCGCCAAGGTCCCAACCCGACAAAGCGACCGTTAACAGTATAATAAGTACCAACTACTTGACTGTTGCTCACTACTCTGTCTTTGTCTGCAAGGATGTCGAACTTGGGCTGTCGCACATATGGCTGAAGTACATATGATGTTACGTCTGCCCGAATGGCTTGATCTTGCATTCCGAGCAAGGCTGCTTCCCACTCTTCTGTGGAAAGCTCCTCTCCGATCAAATGACCAACACCTCGACTAGAGCGAGTTGCTTTCAGCATGAAAGCATTTTTTAAGGTGTTTCCCGGATTGATATTGCTTAGGAGGATTTTTTTGAGTTCCGGAGATCCAGGCAGGATCGTAGGCACAATCCCTTCCTGGAGAATTCTAGCTTGATCAGGAGTGAGGACTTTATGTTTCTCAACAAGACCATCCAATTCCTGCAAGATAATGCCTAGGAATCTCTGATCGTTCACGAATAGGCTGGTACGGAGATCATTCACCGATATTTTCGCCAGATGACAAAGCATGTCAAGCGGTAGAAGACTGTATTCCTCAGGAAAAAGCGCCAAAGCGACTTGATGAACTCTCTCTAGCTCTTGCTCATCCCCAGTTTCTTGCAACTTGCAATAAAGAGTATGTCCAGTGGAAGAAGAGGAGTCGGGCTCCAATTGTAGGTCAGATACGTTCACCAATCTCGGCCGTAATCCAGTTTTCTGCTCAGCTAATAGGGCGAATTCTTGCCTTTCGATGCTGTCTCTTCCCCTGACCAAATGTATCGGCAAGTTAAGGTTGAAGTGTTCGAACATGCCATCCACCATAGTCTTGAAATCGCCTGCTGGCTGAATAATAGAGTCCAACCCGAGCAGTCCCTTCATCATGCAATGCTTGTATGCAGTATGGATCAAGAAGTTATAGGGTGTTCGACTATTGATCTCACAGACCTGGAAACCTGGCCCTTGGACTGAAATGTCATTGTGGGTCAAAAGAAAGTCTGGTCTCCAATTACCCAGACAGTTTGCGAAAGCGGGCATTGAGCTATTCTTGCTTTGTTCATCAATCCACTATGTGTATATTTAGTGTTCGGTGCATCTAGTGAAAAGAGAAAGAGTGACTTACCTTTAACATATCTTCTGCCCGAGGCTCGAGGGGCATTCTCGAGGGGAAATCGGAAACGCTGTCATCCCACCATCGTTCCACGATATTCACGATGGCTTTGATCAAAGCTTCATGGAACTCCTGCAGGTGTATTAAAAAGCCTTTGTCGCTCAATATTGGATACACTGAAATATCCTGCTGGTTGGGGTCCACCCCGGGCTGCGGTAGGGATTTATCAGCCTTTTTATAAGCCAATTCATCTAGAGCTTTATTCACGTCGGTAGCGACTATGGCTGGCAATGGCGGCTCTCCGTTGGGGAGTGCTGACAAGCAGACTTGCTGATGTTGAGGTGGTTGATAGACACTTTTCATAACCACGATATTGGGATACAATGAATGAAGTATAAGATCACAAACAAACAAGGTGACACAGTTTGGGCTGGCTTATGGGTCAAAATTTGTATCTCGGTACGTATATACGACCAGTCATGACAAAATTTCTTTCCTTGACCGCAACTTTTGACTTTTTGTCTCTCCCGCTCATCATGCATGCATCACTGCAGATATTGATTTCAGGCAGCCAAGCACAGTGAGCCTTGCCTATATGGCCCGCACAACCTTGTATTTCTGGTTCGCATCTATCTACACTTAGTCCTGACGCTTCGGTAGATCCAATGGCAAATTCCCTCATCAGGGGTATTCAAAAGCGATCGACCTTTCCAAGACTTCACTAACACGTACACCGTAAAGTGGCTTCAGGTAGAAGCAACTCGGTATGCACTGATGCTGCGAGAAGCTCAATTTGTAGTCGCAAGTCATGCTGCATTTACTACATCTGACTTTAGGCCACACTCCTCGACTTCCATTTCCGGTTTAGTGCTCACCCCATGCCGCTTTTAATCCTAAAGGTTGTACGGAACAGGGTGCACGTGGGAGGGAGGGAAGAAGGGTTGAGTGCATACGAACGCCTCGTATTCAGTGGTATAGAAGAGGAAAAGACTGTCTGAGAGAGAGAAGTGATTAAGCCTCACCAGCGTGAATGCCTATAGCACCAAGCCCAGGTCCAATGTGCGAAGCAACCAGCCCAAAGAAACGTATGAAAACTCTGTCATTAATTACCCCTAGTTCTATCATGTTGCGACTGTGGATATTAAAGATGACCAAGGGGAGAACACAAAACAATACAAAAATATGGTGGGAAATTTTCAGTCAGTTACCCACAAAAAGCAGCAGCAGGTAAATAATAATGACATAGCCTGCCTGACTCGCTTAAGGTATCCCTTAATGAACCAGCCGGCCACCCCAAAACATATAGTAAATGCGGTAAATTCCCACCTCATATCTTAACAACCGTGACTTCTCCTAGATCTTCTTTATAGATATATATCCCTTATTCCAACAATAGTACATTCTTAGAGTCTATGGATTAAGTTGCTACACTTGGGCAGGCGATTGAGTCAAGGATATATTCTTGGAGCTCAAAGGGCCAAACTACCGCATCATGTGGTCTATGGTAAAGTCACAAAGTCTTACTTTGAAATTCACCAAAACTCTAATTCTACAAACCCATCATTATTCTGCAAATACGTTACTGAGCAGCCTGATCCGCTGTACGAGCAGTCATTACGTGGATCTCTTGACTCCGAATACGGTCTAGAACCTGGTATACCTGGTTTACTGAACCAATAATGATCCATTTTAGGTACCATGATGAGGCCCTTGCCGCGAATACTCAGATATATACATTGCGCCTCAGTAATACTCCCATAAGAAGCCTAGTGATCGACTTCCTACATTTCTAGAAACAACTTGAGCTAGCATGCAGAATTTTGGCCAATTGAACTGTAAATCAATGATCAATACCTAAGTAGCGGTGTGTAATCAAGTACAGCATCCAAGGATATGTAAGAGATAATTTCGTACCCAGTATCTATATTACAGGGTCTTTGCTAAATGAATAGCGTCCAGCCTACTTGAAATGTAATTTAGCAGTCCAAAATATCTCTAGCTGACTGGTGGATACCCGGGTCTCAGGGTAGCAACATCTGCCCCACTTAGTCGTACCATGCCAGTTGATGTTCTCATCGCGGGCGCTGGGTCTACGGAGTAAGTTTTTCTATGCCTTCGAATTCGTTTTATCTGAAGCCAGCCCACTTATTGAATGAACAGCCTGATGACAGCCCCTTGCTTGGCGCGTACTGGGATTCGGACTTTAGTGGCCGATCAAGAATTGAATCTAGTTGAAGCTGGGCATGCAGATGGACTCGAAAGCAGGATAATCTTAATTCTGGATTGCTTTGGTTTGGTCAGAAAGTCTAGAATGAGCCGAACTACATTACTGATATCTGCCTGTGGGTAATGATCCCCTTGGATGAATCTTTGATTTTGCACGCTATTCTGTCGACGTTAGAGAGAATGACTCAGCAGGATTGTGAACCTAAATTGTCAAATCCCTTTTTATAAATAGGGGCGGCAGCTCATGAGGGCGGAGGACGAGCGTCGGGCGGGAGATGCTGGCGCTCGATATGTTTCTTTTCCTAAGGTCTACTCTGGACCAATAATCCCTGGTCCGTTCCATATGCCATGAGATGGTCTATAATCGCAATATTTGTATATAGACTGGGTAATCCCCCTGGGCATGGGTTGGTTCAGAGCAAAACAGTACCCAGTTTTAGCGCGGATTTGGGTCAGGCTTTGGGTCTATCCACGGTCCCACGGGGTGTGTGGGCGAGGTCTACAAATGAGTGGCTAGTGGGTTTAGTAGTGGAGTTAAGTTAGCTAGATGGAGCTCCTCTCCTTATTTGGCTTTTTACTTCTAATTTCCTGACTTCCTACCCGCTATAATACGCTTGACTGCCGCTTTTTGCCCCTTTCTTCCCTAGTACGTAATCATGTAGCGCTTCAATGCTATCATCCAATTCTCTAATGCCTAAATCTTATCTGAAAGCGAGTGGGGGCAAGTGGCGAGACAGAAAGATGAGAGCTGTCTCAGAAATGTGGCGCCATCACCGTAACCATCGGCCCATCTTTATCTCGGCCCAACGTTTTCGGCCTTTGAACTTCCCGCAAATAAAGGACTTGATTCGGTGATCCTCACCGACATTAGCCGTTCACCATGTGATTCCGCCGCTAACCAATCTTATCTCGTATCCGCCAGCCACCACGGCAGCTGGCAAGTGGGCAGCGAAACAGGGTAATGGAGAAAGACCACCATGGACCGAACATTACTGGAGGAAAGAAAGTTTGCTTGCAGCAGTCATTTATCACCAACGACAGCCACCAATGATTAGCCCGAGACTAACATCAATTCAGGAATAATGACCGCATGATCCCTTCGGACAAAGCGGAGGCGTGGGGGAACGCGGGGAAACATGCCCCCACAAACTTAATTTAAGCGTGGGGGGACCCAGAGATAAAGCCCCGGAATCTTGTTTTGATCTGAGTTACAGCGTAGTTTCTGCGCACAACATTTACAGACGCGCAGCAACATGTCGAAGCCAAACGCCGTTCACGATGAAGACCCCCAGGCCTTGAAGGATGACCTGCCTATTGACCCACCGCACGTGCCCTTGACTGAGAAGGAGAACAAACGCATTTGTCACAAGACCGACCGTACCATTCTCCTTGTTCTTATCTGGGTCTACTTTCTACAGATTCTCGACAAGACCGTCCTTGGATATGGAGCCACATATGGAATGGAGACCGATACAGGGTTGACAGGAAACCAATACTCGTTGATTGGCTCCATTGCCCCTATCGCTCAACTGTGCTGGCAGCCGTTCTCCTCCTACCTCATCGTCAAAGTTCCTCCGAAGATTCTGATGCCGATTCTGTGTCTTGGCTGGGGTATTGCTCAGGCGTGCATGGCCGCTTGCCACAACTTCAGCGAGTTGATGGCTGCTCGCTTTTTCCTCGGACTCTTCGAAGCGGGATGTTTGCCACTCTTCGGTATCATTACTAGCCAATGGTACCTTCGATCGGAACAGCCAATTCGTATCGCAGCTTGGTATGGCACCAATGGTCTAGCTACTATTGTGGCCGCTGCTCTGTCTTATGGTTTAGCGCACATTAACTCGGATATTCTAGCGTCTTGGCAAATGTAAGTCAAAACAACCCAAGTCACGGTGGATTTTAACTAACAAGTCGTAGTATCTTCCTATTTGTAGGTCTAGTGACTATAGTCTCCGCTCCGATCGTCTACTGGCGCCTGGACAACGACGTCAGCACTGCTCGATTCCTGAACGAAACCGAAAGGCTCCAGGGTATGGAACGTCTCCGCGCCAACCAAACGGGTACTGGATCCACAGATTTTAAGCTCAGTCATGTCTACGAAGCCGTCCTCGAGCCCAAAACATACTTGTGGATCAGTATGGCAATGTTACTAAACATCGGTGCCAGCGTGACCAACACATTTGGTCCCTTGATTATTGGCGGCCTGGGCTACGGTAAATACCGCACCAGCCTATTGACAATGCCATTCGGAGCGATGCAACTTATCGCTATCTTGGTTTCCAGCTGGCTGGCTCAGACTGCTCGTGTCAAGGGAGCCATTCTCGCAACATTCATGCTTCCTGTGATCGCTGGCCTGGCCATTCTATATGCTGTGCCACGAACAGACGCGAACCAAGGTGCCCTTCTCGCAGGATATTACTTGCTTGCGTTCCTATTTGGCGGAAATCCATTGATCGTCACCTGGATTGTTGGTAATACTGCAGGAAGTACCAAAAAGTCGGTTGCCATGAGTCTATACAATGCGGCTACCTCTGCTGGCAACATTGTTGGCCCATTGTTATTTGACTCAAAGGATGCCCCGGACTATCACCCGGGTCTGCGTGCTTGTTTGGGAATTTTTTGTGCTTTGGCGTGCGTTGTCCTTATTCAGTGGGGTAATCTGTGGTTCCTCAACAAGCAGCAAGCTCGTCGCCGTGTTCGTAACGGTAAGAGCGCTATCATCGTTGATCATTCGATGCAATCTCACTTCCATGGTGTTGAGGAAGGTAATATGGATGGTGTGACTCATGCTGGTACGCAGGCGAATCAGGATATTACTGATAGGGAGAATGATGAGTTTGTATATATTTATTAGCTGTGATATCTTTCTCCCCAATCCATTTCTATTCAATATTCCCACATCAAACTTGATCACTATGCAGTATAACTCCTGAAATACTTTTTTTTGCGACTTCCTACCTACTCGGGGATCATCTGATTAGCAAAGATAGAGATTATCGCTCAATTGAAGCAAGCTTCCACTACCTGGATATCGCTTTGTTATTAGTAAATTGCCTTTAATAAATACATACCAAGTCTGTATATCCATCGCCCATTCACAGAAATAGATATTTCTTCAACCGCAACTCTGCGAGAATTCATAGCTTTTTCAAAGAGTAAGTTCACTAGTGCTTCCAGCGGCGTACGATTAGACTCAATCCCGTAAGGCCAAGGGTCACCACCAAATGACTCGTTGATCTCGTCTAAATCAGACGTGAGAAACGGCAACATATATCTGTAAGTAGACAACGAATTCATCGAATCTAGGGCCATGTATCTAGACTGATTCATTGCTTGGTATAGACTTTGTGGGACGATTGGGTGCTTTTTCACAACGTCTCTTTTGATGACAACGAGATGCATAATAGGAGATACTTCGGTTCTCTGATAGTATTCCTTCTCGGTCTCACGGACGTTAGGGAATAAACGTTGAATGTGAGTTGCGTCTCCAAAACACGTCGGAGCATGTGCACCAACAGTGGCTGCAATTTCGCCATCTTGGAGGAGTTGACTGAGCGACTTTAGACTTTCATTCGGCATTCGGGAAACCGGACGGAGGAGTGGCTTTGGCTTCGCTTTTCCGTGAGAGCCAGGCTTGACTAGGTCTCCTTCGATCCAAGTAATTGTGGATAGATCGACACCAACATCTTGCAGTATGCCTCTGATCCAGACAGCAACTGTCATAGTGTAGGCCTGAACACCTATCTTTTTCCCGTTGAGATCGGATGGCTTTGATATGATGTTCGAGTTGACCACAATGTTACAATGACGGAATGCCCTGGAAGGAAACACAGGAATGGCAACAAGGTTCCATTCACCGGCCGCATACCGGCAGATAAACTCCGAACTGGACATTTCACAAACATCGGACTCCAAGTCTGGGATCATCCGGTCGAATATTTCTCGCGGGCGATGGATGGTGATGTAGTACAGATCGCTCCCACCACAAATGTCGGCGGTGTTCTAGCCGACATTTGGACTCCAAAGTACCGTGCTCTCGCAGTAACAATGTATGCGCTCACCCTGGTGTCACCTGGTGTCAGGAACAGTGATTTCCCCCTTCATGGGCGGGGCAATTGGAGTGACAAATCTTGACTTGGAGTGGACTGAATATGTGAGTTTTAGTCTAGCATACTTAAAATATATGCGTTCTAACTACAGTGCAGATTACTGGAATGATTATGGCACTCTCGTGCATCCTCGGGATTGTTTTCTTGGGCGGAAGCTTTCCACCGGCGTTGTTGGTCTACAAGAGCCGTCAATTCCGCCTACGGTCAGGAGATTGGGCACTTCATGTCCAGCATGAAGACTGGGATGCCACATTGAGTGAGCTTTGAAGCAAATTTATCTTTTGCCCATTTCAGCTATTATTGACACCGATATGTTTTGCTGTCGCTCCATACGCGTCTTTTGTGTACGGCATCCTCTGCCTCAGTTTAGCTTCATTCCCGATCGAGTTTCAAGAGCTCCGCAGTTGGAATGCGCTAGTCGGAGCTTTGCCATTTCTAGCCCTTCTCGTCGGCATCTTACTTGGTACTGTGGTCAATATCGTCAATCAGACATTTTACAGTCAGCGATTTCAGGCAAACAACAATCGCCCCGTTCCCGAAGCCCGACTTGCACCCATAATGATCGATTCAATATTTTTTGCTGTGGGCTTGTTTGTATTGGGCTGGACTAGCGGACCGAATTTCTTTCGGTTAGGCCCCATTTGACGTGCTGTATCAACAGGACTTGGATTTTTTTACCATTTTCCAAGCCGCATGGAATTACCTGATTGACACATTCCAGAGATACTCTGCCAGTGCTGTTGCAGTCAATACGTTTCTTCCAAGTATTCTTGCAGGATGTTTTCCACTTATTGCATATGCGATGTCTCGTAAATTAGGGACTCCTTGTGCATTCAGTCTGTTGGGGTTTATTGCGGTCGCTCTCATTTTGATTCCATTTCTGTTGTATGTATACGGCCCGCGGATCAGAGCCAAGGGTAAATGGTCAAAAGCGTCCATTTAGTACCTGGTGGGTCTCTACAAATTTGTTTCTTAGGACAAGTGGACATGAAAACAGGAATTTGCGAAATGGACAATAATGGTTATATACACCCTTCGTTGAAAGTCGTTACACGTCTCTTCAAGGTTCAGAATCAGTTCTCACTTCACTCAAGCTTCCCGACTCACTATCCTTCAACTGAACGATTCTCTACAGTCAATGCTTGAACATGGTGCGGATGTATTCTATTCTGGAGCATCGACGACACAGACACGCCAGGGACGGAAGCCTCGAATCGGTACTCGAGCGAAGAAGGACTTAGATCGATGAATGAGACAAGCCCTATCAAGAGGGAATAATCCAGGGGCATGGAGGCAGAATATATCGCGGGGGCGAGGTGAAAGCGGATGAACCGCTTCGGACTTGCCCCGATGCCCGATCTGATTCTTGATGGACCGGCGAGCAGATCTTTATCGGGCGAAACCCCGGGGCCCACTTCTCTCATCTAGTCTACAAAGGTCTTTTGCGTCTACTTGATATCTCCCAAACAAAAAAAAAAAAAGCAAATGGTTAGAGAAAGAATGAAAATAAAAACTAAATATTCAACAGCATCAGTATGACCGTCGTCACCTAGCGTCCAAGGTTCGGTCATAGCATAGGTAGGCAGCTCGCCGCTCTTTTCAGGGCGCTCAAGGCGATTTCTCACCCACCTGAACTTTCTTCACTCGAATATTCAGCCCGTACAGCAAAATGTACATTTCCCGCTTCTGACAGAAGATGCTATAAGTAACCTTTCTTTCTCCGTCCGTGGTCACCTCTCAAGCCTCGCTCAATCACGAGCAAATAACGTACCAAGCGACCTCTAATGTCATATCAAAGCTAGAAGAATAATCTGAATAAATACATTTGACCGACCCATTTTGAATTGGGGGACAAATGATCAAAACCGAAGGGAAAGGAACGACCAGGTATGATGGTAAGCCAAGCACCATATATTGTAATCACACTTTACATTTTCCAAGTTGAGCAATGACATCCCTGTAAAATGCCACAGCACCTTCTTGGTCCATCGTCACATCTTGACGGTAGAAGTTTGCCGCGAGGCACTGAGACGTCACATTTGCATATATAGGACCCATGTTATTTTCGACCTCAGAGACAAGTTCTAGAAGATGTTCCTTGAATTTCTGAGGTCGATCTTCAAGTTCTGCGTTTTTATAGTCCTTTTTGGGATCTTTAAGATCCCTTTCTATCTTATGAGCTGGCTTGAGGACACCGAGTTCCACAAGTATCACGCCAAGGCTAAATATGTCGTGGTTTTTTGTGAAGCGACCTTTCTCCCCTAAGTATAAGCTTGAGTCGGTGGTGCTGGGTTCGCCTTGGGTGTCTGGGTGTCGATAGAGATTATGATCCGAGGTGTCGATTGTTTTTTCAGTACCTTCATCACGTGAGTTAATCCGGCTATATTCGAAGCCCACGAGGTAAGGGAGGCCGGACACCGCAAATTTGGGGCTCTCAGATTTCTCGGAGTCACGGGGCAAGTCTTTGTTTGTAGAGAAGACCACGTTGCTGCTTCTGATTCCTTTGTGAAGCCATTCAACAGCGTGCAGATAGAGAATTGATCGAGCGAGCGATCTAGCAATATCATATCGCGTGCGGAGCGAGATTTTCCATTTTTTAAACAGCGCATGTCGTAATGAATAACAGTTTTGCTCATCGAGGGAGTAAAGTATCTCATAAGTGCAACTCTCAGATGTATGAGATAACGTGCCCTCTCCCGGTGATGTATACATGTATCCCAAGCAGGGAGGCGTTCTGAGCTCTTTGATATTTTGTGAGGAACTCAACATTCGTACCAATTTTTCAATGCGGGCTCGCAGAACCGTATGATCAGTCATAATGGGAACTTGCTTTCTGCCCACAAGGACTGCGACTCCATTGTACTTTGCTAAGTAAGGGGCGCCCGCTCGAACTTCCCCCAGATCATCTAAGCTGCCAGTAAGTCTGGATGATTTGTCGAGTGGGGAAAGCTTGAACTCATTTACTTGGCTCAGACTTGTCGCCTTGAGCTCAGCAATAGATATGGTGAAAACGTCAAAATCTGATTGACGACTCAACCACCTCAGTTTCAAGGCACTAGCTCTAAGCGCTGGGTTGACAAGAATTGTGCCATTCAGGTCGGAGTCGGGAGCAGGAAGAAACCCCTCCAGATCTTGAATCAAGACAGAAAGTAGTTTCAAGTTTTCCATGGCCTTGCCGTTCTGTAAAGCCCATTCGAGACGTTCTCTGAGATTTGATGCATCGTTGTTCACGTTTTCGGTTCCAGTGCTTTGCAAATTTGATAGAGGTTTAAGCAGCATAACCAATCTGCTGAGGCTACTTGAGGCATTTGCAGTGTATAACCTTTTGAAAACTGAAGCAGTGTCTTCACATGCAGTTAGGTTTCGCAGTGTCTTTGAAATGAGTTGCAGATAATTTGCGACAGTAGCTGAATAAATTTCAAACCGAGGATCTGCAACTACTGAAGGAGATGTTTCATCATCCAAAAGGCCCCAGCACAGTGTCCACCAGTGTAGTCTGGCGCGCAAAAATTGAAGTCGAACAATGTATCGATCGGCCGACTCAGTCGCCTTTTCGACTTTGTCCCATAGTTCAAATGCGCTTAATGTATTTTGAACTAGCTGACCTAAGAACCCCGCAGCGCCAAACAGAGTGTTGACATGAGCTTCAGCCATCGATAAGCTTAGTACTGCAGTGTTGGGTATTTGCTCAAGGTAAACAGAAAACAGAAAACAGTCGCGATCACTGTCCGGATCACCGTCCCAAGCAAATCAAGAGTGTTTGATGTGGGTTGTGCCAACGCAGCAAAGGGGATAACACACTAAAAGGGATAACACACTAAAAGGGATAACACAGCAAAGGGGCCAACGTGTTCGGGTCACGTGAAGACTGCTAGCGTGTGTTGCTAGGTGCAAAAGTACCTGCTGCTTCAAATTTTGGGATTCCGCATACCACGTTGTGACGTTGGCGCTTACATGCTGAAAGCTGGGAAGAACCTCCTCGTTCAAATTTCTCCTCTTGATCATGGATTCTTCCGACTACAATTCTAGAAGTTCTTCTTCTGCTACTTCGTACTCCGACATTGCTGAGACGAGTGTCGAACAGCAGAATGACCTTGAAGTTGCAGTTGACAATGAGCACTACGACATCATTTCCTTCACATCCCTAGTATCTCAATTGATTGAAAGGGCGGGATTGATGGCACTATTGATAAACATGGTTCATATCAGCCCAAGCAACATCCAATTGTCCGATAAACGACGGAAGGGGTCATACTTCTCAGTCTCTCTAATAAACCGACAGAAGTTTCAGCGAGTTTTGCCAGAGGGGATTGCCGACATTGCGCTCCCTCAACTAATAGCTGTCAAGACACCAATACTCGACCAGAATCTGCAGTTGTATGAGAAGCGACAAATTTTCGCATCGATGATGAATGAATATCGAATCCTTAACCACAAATCTATTACAAAACACAAAAATATTGTCAAAATCCTTGGCTGCTGCTGGAGAACTGTTGATGTAGATACTGATCATGTGATCCCAAACCTGGTCCTTGAGGGCACCTCGTTGGGTGATCTTGACGCGTTCTATCGATTATTCCATGAAAAGACTTCCATGCGCAGGCGCCTCGGCCTCTGCATCGATATTGCAAAGGGAGTTGAGGCTCTGCATTTGGCTGGCATTGTGCATGGCGACATCAAACCGCAGAATGTATTGGTCTTCAAGGATAAGCATCAAGGATTCGTGGCTAAGATAGCGGACTTTGGGTCTTCAACATTTATTGACCATGATCAATTTCCCAGGAAGGCTTTTATTGGCACGCCTGCATTTACTGCTCCCGAATGTCTTGATCACAAGGCGGAATTCAGCGAACAAGGCCTGCTGAAAGCTGACATATTCGCATTGGCGATTACCCTGTTATTCTTGGTCAGAGGCCCCTTCATTTTGGACAAGCTACTCGCCGCATCTGATTCGGACCAAGAGAATCTGACACAATACAAACGCCGAGGAGAATTGAATGGCTGGCTCAACCGCGACGAACGGATTCTACCATCCACCCAAGCGGCGCGCAAGGCATTCGGAAAGGAAGCTCTGGAGCGAAAGCGCCAACAAAGTGTATGGGATTGGTTGAACAAACAAACCGATCTCATGAAACAAGCGCGGTTTGAAATGATGTCTCAACGACAAAAAGTACCTGAGGACATCAGCGGAAATTGGAATCCATTCGAGAAGATGACACTGCAAAATGAACGATGTGAAAATATGTTCAGCCATCTCATTGATCAGATGACGTGTGGAGAGCCTATGATGCGAATAGGATCAATGTGTCATATTGTGAGGGCTCTTCAGCAAGTCCTGCGCTTGGAACTACATGACCTATCCCAAATCAACCTAGCAGCTCGTGAAGAGCTGGAGAATGATGTTTCTATCATGATCGGTCTCGAAGAATCACTGCAACACAGGCAGTCCATGAAATTGGAGCTGAATCTCCGAGAAATAAACGACGTCATCTCAAGCACCACCAACCCTTTCAGAGAGTTACGTTTTATCTGGAAATTTGGGATGATAGCGAGCTTTCCACAAAAATGCCCATTATATCCCAAGTTATTTCACCGCAAAGGGAAACCGTCAAAGAGGAAGGGGTAAGTCAAAAATTACAAATAACTTCAGCTCATATCTAACGTCGCATAAATAGTCCTTCTGCATTCATCAAGTCACAGCGTGCTAAGGTAGTAACTCACATGTGGGATATCTGCAAAGCATGGGGGTGTGTATTTCAACATGAATTTGTCTAAAGGCCGTATTAACCAAGTGTAGGCGCAAACACGAGAGAACAAGACTGATTGGGATAAAAAAAGATGAAATGGTATTCCGAGTAAGTTTAAGGGCTTCCATCAAAAGCTTCTATAGCGTTCGGCTGAACAGAGTACCTAACCAAATCGTGATCTATGAATAGGCATCGATGAACGAAAAATACACATCATATCTGCCCGTTTCTGTTCGAAGAGAAATTACTAAGCAACTGAGGAATGTAGCAGACTCCGTTCAAGAAAGCGAAACAAGACGGGTCTTGGCAAGTTTTGAATATTCTGTCATGATTTTGTGTTATCCAGATACATGGAAGACTAAGCCCTCGCCCATCTCTACTGCCCTACACTGTCTGCATCTTGCGGCTGCGTCTGGATATCACCACGCGCAAAGCGTAGCTGGAAGGCTTCATTATGCCTTTGGTAGTGCGATGCCGGAAAGCGTTGAAACGGAAGTGGAATGGCTATCCCAAGCTTCTATGAAAGGCAGCCTAACAGCCATGCAACGCTTACGACTGCTTGATCCATCGCATCATCTGAAGATCTCTCGCTTGATTCGGTTTGAATACCAGGGGTCATTTTTCCGAGACGCACTGTGGTCCGATACAGAGCTACTATTGAGAGCGATACCTTCTGGCTATGATGTCCCACCTTACTTCATTCACAACCTTGCAGCACACGGTCAATCTGACAGCTTGAAACGCCTTTGCAGACTTCCTCCGAGACACTTCAACATGACGGACAGAGCAGGGGAAACCCCTCTAGTTACCGCATGCCGGTGTGGGCACGCTGATGTTGTTGAACTACTCCTTGAACTCGGAGCAGACCCGACAATTGCTACATACCGTGATATACACCCATTGCACTTTCTCGGTGCTTTTGAAGACAGGCATATTCCACGGGTGACAAAACTACTCTTAACGAATGGTGCAATCTTAGAAGCCCACTGTTCACAAGGAGATACTTATCGGCAAGGCATCGATGGGCGGTTTGATGTGGAAGCTGGAACACCGCTTCTTTGGGCTGTGATTGCTGGAAACATCCAAGCTATTAACAGCTTGCTAGATTGGGGGGCAAATATCTTTGCATATCAAAGGCTTGTTCCGCAGGACTTTACCAACGACGTGTATATCGACTCTTCCCCTCTCGAAAGTGCTATTACGAAATACCGATTTGATATCGTTGAGATTTTGCTGGCATCATGTAAAGACATTCAACTAATGCGAGGGAAACTCAATGAGCTCCGACTGGTCGGCCCGAACATTAGAGCGTCTCCGTTATTGCATGCCTTGAACAGGCCCAAGGAGGACCTTATGAGGATTGCCTTGACACATGGGTGGCGGGTGCAGGATGCTCAGTTGATGACAGTCGCAACATTGATGCGTTATGGTTCCAGCCTACTTGAAATCAGCCGAGAGGTATCAGGTCAATCCATTAACCCAACTGTCCTAATTTGCGAGGTGAACAACCTTCCACTGCTCCGCTTTATCTGGAACCGCGACGGTGGAATTTACCGGCCATCCAACACAAGAATATTCATTGAGTGCATTGGAACTGCAATACAGTACTCAAATAAAGATGTTTTTGACTTCTTGGTTACTCACAAAGATGATCTGCACCTTGATGATGATGAACAAATATTAGATGCTCTGGCAAAAGTTTGCAACATGTCCGATAACGAACATTACGTGTCTTCTCTTGTTGAATTGGCTTGTTCCACATCGCCATCATCAACTTCTGCTCGGAACATAGTCACCAACACTGGCCGCCCTAACTTTACCATTCCACTAATGGTGAGTCTTCTTGCGGGGAATCTGAGAACTGCAGTCCTATTGTGTTTGCATGGAGACTGTGATTTCATGTTCGAAGGGTTGTCGCTCTTAGCTGAAGTAATTTCTCTTGATGCCACTTCTCCCATTGCCAACGACAGAGTAGACACACTTCTCAGTCTAGCAACATTGGTCCTTTCGCCATCTTCTAGAGATGACCTTTTTTGGAGATGTGAGGTTCACCAAAGTCACGGGCGGCAAAGTTTCTTTACTGCCTTTCACTCTGCAGTCAGCCCCCAAGCAAATGGCGCCCGGATTGCCAGTGAAACGTTCATTCCTGCGGAGAGCAACAGAAAGGTCCTGGATCACGTTCTTCGCAATTTCCATGAGCCACAGTTTTTGAACGCTCAAGTTGACCGATTATCTGCAAGATTTCCCGGCGATACAGCTTTGCATATCGCTGCACGAGAGGGCTGTTTAAAGTCCATAGAAATGATCCTTCACGGGCCATATGGGCCTCAAATTGATTGCAGCTTGCTGAACGTCTACAATCAGACATTCTTGGACCTCTCCATCATCTACTATGAGAACGCTATCAATGAGTCAGAAGACTTGCTCATGTGTCTGGGAAACCTGTTCACCGCGACTGCAGCTGCTAAAAAAATTAAAAATCTTGCAAGTACGATATACTCTTTTCTTTTTGAGTACGAGTGCAATATCTCTGTATTCTGCCTGGTTGTTGTTAGACGGTCTGACAACTCATTTCTCTTCACTCGTCGACCTAGAGTACAATTCTTCGTCGCCTTCCCGAATGGTAAGCACTCTAAACTTCACCCATTCTTTCAAACCTGCAATTCGGTGTATCTAATCTATAACGCAGAAGATGTTCCGGAATGCCATACATTATTTTCTGGCGATGATAGTGATGGAGCCGAACTAATACAGCTCGAGATCGGTAGTCTGATTCCATTTGTTGATACACCGTCTGATTTTGGGAAGGTCTTGTCCGCGAAAACCAGAGAATTTATAGAAGGGTTCGAGTAAAATCATGTAAGGGATACAAAGTCCCTGAAAAGACACACAATGGATGTATGGAGTTAATTCCAGCCATTTGAGAACCCGGTAGTCTTCATCAAGCGTGAAAGCTGAGGCAGCCATGATTCCTGAAGTCTGCGACGAAGGCTGTTAGCAGCTAACCCCTACCAAATTTCCCTTCTGTTCTCAAGATCAAAAGTAAACCACTATAGATGAACTTACTTCATACGATCAGTGATGCATACCTGAGATGACTGCGCTGAAGCCATTGCACTTGCAACATTTGAACATTGTCGTCTCACCAATTCGAACTCGTAGTCATTCCTGCATGATGGAGAGTCTGATGTTTGCGAGTCATATCTCTGGTGGCTGCCCACAATTGTTGTTTGGAATTGTTGTTTCGCAAAATCCAGCATAAGGTTCGTAGCGACTTCAATGCTACCACCCGGAGCAAAATAGAAAGCATACATTTGCGGCCACAGTCGAGATTTCCGATAGATTGCCATCAAGTTCTCTTCTGTGGGGATATTTTTGCTCTGCAAACATTGAAGGATTGTTATAAAAAAGGCTCGAAATCCTCGTTGCAACACCTTGCTTTGTCTAAACATGCCTCTCACATTCTGAGGTATGTTCTCAAGGAGATCTCGATTTAGTTTATACCAAAGTCGATGGCTTTGAGCAACTTTTGTGTTTCCAAGTTGACTGAGGATACTTTCAGAGCCCAGTTGAAGACTTTCAATCATGCGACGACTTAGAAAACCCCCTAAACACAAACCACAGCTGCAGCCAAAACGTAATCGATTCATGCTTTCGGGGGTTTCATTATCATGTCCCTCAAGGGCAAGCAGGCATGCTGTTGCCTTTTCATCATATCCATCAAATTGATCTGCTTGAAATATGAAGCGCTGCCCGTAATACTTCCCAAGGCGACCCTCCTCCAATTTTGACTGTAAGGCTTCAAGAGGGGTGTACCCTTGTATGTTGCGACATTCTTTGGCGTCCCAGCCTTCAATGGCGAGTTTCAAGATCCACATCAAAGAATTTGGCATGAAGTGACAGGCTGCCATATGAAGGAGGGTATTCCCTCGGTCATCCGTCGTTCTGGCGAGTCTCTCCCGCGACTCGTTGTCACGGTCCTGTTCCAGAAGAAGTTCCAGACACTCTGCATCGGAAAGAGTCATAAAGGAATGATGAATCGGGTGATTTCTAATAAGCCTGCTTCGAGTATCTTGACGTTTTCTTTTGTCGTCGACAAAAGCCGTGGCTGCATTCATGGCTGACGACAATGAGGCCCCGCTGAAGTTGAAGTTCCCATCTTCGTGGATCGATCCGCTATGTAATATCGTTCGCGTCTTGGGGACTTCGGGCTGAGGGTCATCCGAATCGTAGTCGCTTTCCCACTGCTCAATTTCAGGGGGATCTATGTCATTCTCGGCTGTTATGGTTCGCGAAATGTGATTGGCATCTTTGCTTGATAAAGCGAACCAATTGGTCAACCCTACTCGCCGGAAACCCAAAGCCCTAAAGAAGCAAATGGCAACCGTGGCCTGGGCGCGCGCCATTTCAAATCTTTCCTTTTTAGTCATTCCCGCACGGTCCTGAAGGTCTTCCCCTTCATGCAAGCAGGTTGGATAGGCAAATATAAACCGAATGTCATCATTGAGTGCTATAGCCTTTTGGATCATGTTCATCACCATTTCCCGTCCAACGCTTCGGCGACGATGGTCTTTCATCACGGACACGGATTCAATAATCAAAAAGTTGCCCAGGGAAAGTTCGCCTTGCCAAATACCCAGTCCCTTCCGAATAGGATGATACATGAGTTCATACTTTAGGCGCCCGTGTCGATCAAATAGGTCACAAGCAAGTTGCATGGTCTCGGAGGAGGGTGGCTCCATTTTCTCAAAGAAAGATGCGCCAATAAGATCTCGGCGAACTAAAAGTCCAAAAGTTCCCCCTAGTTTGACCTCACGCTCGCTTTCATGTGAAATGAAAGCACGCCCTCTGATCGGCGTTAACCATTCTACGAACGGCTCATATTCGATACTGCCTTTCTCTATTTCACTCGAAATGGTCACATTTGTAGTTCTCACCATTGTGAGATGACTTTCTTGGAGGTCCAATAGCTGAGAAATTGTATATAGTGAGGGATAAACGCAAATAGACGGGAGATCGGGAAATGGATGTCCTTATCAAAAAGCGACCAAGGCGGTGTGGATGCTTGTACCCACCCCCGAAGTTATGAATGTAACAGATTAACCCTCCCTTTATTTTGCTACCCTGCTTCTTTCTTCCCAGTTGGCTGAGGCCTTTCAGCTAGAACTGGCCTTGGCTTGCTCTTTGCAAAGCGATTGCCTTGGAGTCTTAACTGCGAGGATTAGACTATATCTTTATTCCCTTCTCATTCTTCTGTTACTGAATAGCTCAACTTGAAGATTATTTGAGAATTTCCGAAATAGTGATGGGCTGTGCGAATAGCAACATTCGTTGGTTTCCACAGCAATGATGTACGACGGCGTAGTTGCTAAAGAATTGAGTCAGATCAAACACAATCCAATCTACATGCGGGTAGTGCGTCGCGCCGGCCGGAAAGTTTCTATACGGACATTTATTTCTACTATTGTGGATTTTACTAATACGCTCGCCGTAGTTGCTTATATCCAATAACAAGTTTGAATCTCCAAGGCGGCCCTTCTTCTCCATGTCGTCATTCGAATCCTAAGAGGAACGAGTCAACTAGTAGAAACTACTACGAGAGAATTGTGATCATAACAACACGCCTGCCGAAAAATCAAGATGGTATAGGAACGACACGTTCAGGGCATACAGAATATTCAATGTAGAATAGTACTGTGCAAGGGCATTCAGGTAAAAGGGCTAAAGGGGGTGAAGGGGCCGAAGAGCAATTCCGTCCATCGTGTCTACCAAAAATAAATGACTAAACGAAAAACAAAAACATACAACAGTCAGGATTCGCATGTGGTCACCCACCATACTACTAACTAACCGGCGTGTGGCTTAAGTACGGCTGAGCGGACGGGAAGCCCTGTTCTCCACACCCTATGGTCGTATGTACTTGAACAGGTGCTAAGAAAAAACATGTACTTCAATATGGATGGCTCCCTGGGGATGCGACCCCGACCCATATTGGAAATTGATGAGCGTGCCATTTCTTGCGTAGCGTCAGCAGTGGAGGAATTGGCTCCGTTCTGTATCTAGTCTTTTTGAGGAGACAGAACTAACTCAATGGGGTGTGCCTGACCTTTAATATAATATTAGGCCAGAGTCACCGAAAGATAACTTCACCAATTACTTGGAATCCAAGTCATCGGCAGCCTTTTCCATAATCTGATAGGCCTCCTGGCAGAAGCCACACTCAAGTAGTTGGTTCAAACCCTGATTAGGTAAAGTGGCCAACTGCTCCACGTGGCATAATGGAGTTCCTAGCGAAGCCCAGACCTGTGCGGTCTTTGGGCCTGGCAGATAGGGATCAGCACCATATTCGAGTAGTAGCTTAGTGAGCGGAATGTTCTCTTTCATGAAATCCGCTGGACCGTTGCCGTGAGCAACGCAATGGAGCGGGCGGCCGTAACTGCGACGATTATCGGGTTCGTGGTCCATTTCATTTGGGTTGGCACCGGCATGAAGGGCCGCCTTCATATTTGCGAGTTTGATGTCAATTGAATGAGCGGAAAGAGGCTCCCAGAAGAGGGGTGGCCTTTGTCAAACCCAGCACGCATCAGGGTGACATAGTGTATCGTGGTCTTTATCATCATTTCGCTTGGGGGGATCACAAGATCGTACTTAAACGGTTTGAGTGGAGAATTATTCATATCCACGGGTTATGTCAGGGTGTGCAGGTAGATAGGTTGTGTGTGTGGAAATTGGAGATGAAATATCCTGATTTGAATTTGAGGGGACGACCAGGCGCTATTTATCCATGGATGTTTACACTTTCACGCAACCTTCCACTTAGACAGTGCCTAATTCCATACTACAAAATCTATATACTAAACATGTATAAGACTTTCATATTTAGGTGTTCGTAGCGAGCTATTCTACCATTAAATTGACACATTTCCTTCCCCAAGTATCCCGACTGCCACAGACCCGCTTTTTGCGGACAGAACCGCGCGCCCGGCGGCTTGTTGCGGCCCGACCGCTGATCTAAACCAAAGAAAGTCAAAGCTTATCAGAAGCAGTAGGCAGCAACTTTGCGGCTGATTTCTCGCTTGTTTTCAATTTACCGAATTATTAGTAGAGGGTACAGTGGGACCATTTTCCAAAGCGTGCATTGCACGGCGGGGTCTAGCTGAGAGTTTTGTTAAGGCATTAGACCTTCCATGCTTTACGAATCATCTTCATCGTATTTACTATCTGTTGGGGGTGGACCAACGATGTCAGAGTCAAACTTTTGTATAATATCGAATTTTTCTCGGCAGAATAGAGGAGAATATTATAGCGTGGTGTACCTATTCAATCGGGTCTATTGATGCTATGACGACTGTAATGCCACTGGAAAAGTGAGCTCCGTGAATTCTAAAAGACACACGAGACTCAATAAAGACTCAAGAAGCCTAGATATCAGGACCATCAGAGCAAGGTATCCTATCAAGAGTTATACCTTATTTTGATACTCGTAGTCAGGCGATTTAGGTTAGATGCTGAATTAGGATCCAGCGGTAACCAACACTGGGAGGGTTGTGGTATTCTTTTCTATATTTTCTACTGGCCACTATCATTGGGTTGTTCTTTTGAATATTCATCAACGGCGGGCACTATCACAAGGCTCTTCTTTTGAATATTCATCGACGGGGGGCACACAGACCGAAGATACCAACGACAACGATAGCTTCCCAGGTGAACGTTACATTATCTGTTGCTACACTGACGCTAATTATTCTGTGAGACTAGGAGTGTACCTAGAACTGTGCAATGTTTTTTTCGGACGAGCATGACGCGGCGCAATACGCGGCGTCAAGCCTGTATCGAAAATTTCAGGATTTAGAGCGGACGGAATCATAATCAAGCGAGGCGTATCTTAGAGGGAGACCTGTATGGCTTTGTAGCATAATAAATAACCACTACCTTCAAAAGGAAGTAAAAGTGTCGACATGAGATGCTTATCATGCCGCTGCGGCTTGATCACTGCAGGCTCGGCGTTGGTTCGAGTGGCACCTCAGGTAGATAAGAGGATTAGTGCTTTAGGCTACAGAGTGTCGTTTTGAGGCGCTAAACTCGAAACGGCGAATTTGACTAGGCTCTGTATTCACAGGTCCGCTGTTTATATAAACCAAGGAAAATCTACGAGACGTGTCAACCTCAGTACTTTCGCTCTGTCTCTCGATATTTTCTCTCCACTTTACTCATCTTCCCCGGCAATATTTGGAACAAAACCCATAATTTCCCATGTCGCCCACGCTGGCTACGCTTGGCCTCCGTGCCCACAAAACCTTTACTATCTGTTTGCTCAGCCTTTGGATAATCGCCGCTCTGGGCTTTACCGCCCTGGAATTCACGGACAATGCATGGCACTTTCTCGATTCATTTCTTTCCACTAGCCTCCTCACCTACCTGGTTTGCCGCTTCATTGTGGTCTTCCAGGAATACCCTCGAGATGGTTCCATGGCATATCGCTTGACTAGCGCGCACCACCGCCAGTCGCGCCGTGAGGCACTCGCTACGATTCTGTTCTGCTGTGGCTGGATGTATGAAGTCATTTGGAAATTAGTGATTATGTTCTTCTTCACAATGATCTGTGGCGCGATGTTTGTACACGATGCCTTTGGCGATACGATGATCACAATGGAGAATGATTCAAAAGATGAGCCAAATATGGACGTGCAAAAGGCCCTGGAGAGTATGGAGAAGGCTAAACATGACCTTGGCTTCGACCCTGTCAAGCAGTTTGGTTGGGTATCGCCTAAAGTTTTACTTTTTTGCCTTTGTTTGGGCTGGGTGACAATTGTCACGCTGGGTCTCTATATACTGCGCATTACTGGTAGGCTGTTTAAAGTATTGTTTAGGCTCCCATCAGAGGAGCCTGCTGCTCACAAAGCATATACCGCTTGAGCCCTACACTTTTCCGTTTTATTGAAGTTTACGAATTATGTCAAATAGTGTGGGGCGCTGGAGGAGAAATAGGAGACATAACAATGTGGTATTGTGGTTGTTGACGAGAGAAGAAAGGGTGAAAAGGGAGAATCCCTGATCTATCTCCAGGGCTACAGAGGCAGACACATGATCTCTGACAACGTCGAATAAGATGCTCGGTGCACATACATCCAGCCCCAAGCGAGGCGAGAAAATCCTTACTCACTTTCTCTTTCCTTTATGCGCAGACCAAGTATGAATTTGAACTGGCAGTAAGGATACTAGCGTTCGCCCACATAATGTCCCGAACGAGCCAGGCTTTAAGGTAGAATCTTAAGCGCTTTTGGGTGGATAGATAATCCCTTCCCGTCAAGAAGCTCAACAGCTATGATAGCCCAACCGGGTAAAACCTAAATGTATCACGGGCTACTAGGCGGTATTTTTCGAAGAACGCTATCCTAATATTGAGAAGGCCAGACCAAAGAGTTGTGACTATATCAACATATCAGTAGTGAAGAGAAATGTCACCGCTTCAGGTTGTGTAGGGTGTTCGGTTGAAGAATATAGGAGCTTTAGGAGTTCAGGTAAAGGGGGTGCAGAGTAGGGCGGCAAAACAGTTTTTCTCGACGAAGCAAAATCAAGAATAGATGAACAAAAACATTTTACGGCGTTTGTATGACCGTGGGCGGCTCGCCGCTCTTTTCAACCCTCTCCAGGGCAATTCAGGTACCTCTTCAACCACCTGAACATTCCTCACCTTAATTTCAGCATTTACAGCAGAAGTGGCTTTGTTGAAATTTTGAGGGGAATCACTACAGTTATCCATTTCTTTATATCCTTCACTTAGTATTGATTAGGCTATACTATGAATGTAAAATGCCTTCCTACTAATATGTAGAGATAGACTACACGAAAGCTATTATAGATATCCCAGGTTATTAGTATACTAATCTTATATATGTTAGAGGTTATGTGACCGCCCTCTATAGTAGGTGACTTACTGGGATAGTGACGAAAGAACACAATTCATCGCTACTATTTTGCATTACATTGAGCGCAGCTATTATCTTAGCATAAGCAATGACTGATCGTAGGTATGAAGCCGCCACCATCGCCAATGAGTAAACTCCCACCGCGGTAGGCTACTTGTTGCACTGAGAAGGGAGAAGAATCATCTCTGTTGTGCATTTCACCTGCTCCTCAGGAAAGTCTCCCCAAAACTGCCGTCGATGTCAGTGTCAGGGTTTCCAGTACGGTGCCTGGCTAGCTCTAAACGGGACGGGGAAGTTCAACTCACTTTAGCGACATGCTGTCGGATGCGATGCATGTTCTTGCCCGGCTGGATCTGGCCTACCACCCCTGGACGGTCCGACTCGGTCCTCTTGGGCACAATCATGGGTCGTCCGACGAAGCACTCGAGCGTCAGCAGTGCAAATCCGAGAGCTTCTTTCGCGCCGATGGGGATCCCAATCTCAGAGATGGGGACGATGCGAGTGTTGGGCAAGCGCTGCTTCAGGTAATTGATGATGTTGGGGTTGAACGATCCACCACCGCCCATGTAGATCTCGTCTACGCCCCCAGGTGGACCCCAGCGTTCGTAGGCATCGGCCAGGGACTTGGCTGTGATGCGAGTTATGGTGGCAACACAGTCCTCAGGCGTAGCTCCGCCTGCAGTGCCACGTTTTGTCAGCCAAAAACCCTGTCTTGATTAGAGGAGTCAAACTTAACGGTTCAGCATCTCGTCGCAGATATCCTCCGCCATCCGATCTCCAAAGGTCTCTCGGCCAGTAGTCTTCGGTATATCATGCACGAAGTATGGTCCTTGGAGCACTTTATCTACAACAGACTGGTCAATACTGCCCTTCAAGCCCATTGCACCATCCTTGTCATATTCCTGTTGACCGCCGGTGAAGTACCGCACGGCCGCATCGATGAAGACGTTGCCAGGCCCGGTATCGAAGTCATAACATTCTTCGACAGCGCCTCGAGGTAGAATTGAAAAGTTTGCGATGCCGCCAATATTTTGCACAGCGCGGTTGAGCGTCGGGTGGCTTAGAAGGAGGGAATCGAGAGCCGCGAAAAGTGGGCAGCCTTGCCGGCCGAGAGCCATTTCTGACACCCGAAAATTGCCAAGCGAGGTGACGCCAGTGCTAGCGGCTATGATGGCAATCTCAGCCATGTCGAGATGTGCCCGGATTTGGTTGCCCTCAAATAACTCCGGCAGCGGTAGGTGCCAGATAGTCTGGCCCTGACCACCAATCAGGTCGACGTCCGTTGCCATGACGAGATCGTTCTTCTGCACAAACCAATTGACGGCGTCGCTAATGACCTCGCCTAGCTGGATGTTGACGATAGCTAATTCCTCGGGCGTTGTGATGTTCTCCTTAATGAGCCTCATGACCCGTGCCTTAAGTTTTTTAGGCATCGGATATTCTCCATAGTGCAGGAGCTGCATCTTTAACGGCGTTGTCGGGCTATCCTGGGTGAAATGGACATGAACGAGGTCGACCCCGTCCATGGACGTTCCCGCATTGTGGCCAATGACCTTAAGAGAACTGTTGGGGGTTCAGCCACGTAATTGCAATATTTTAAATGACCGTGTTATGCTGGTATTGACACCTACAGTGGGCTGCCATTGGACTGGTTTAAAGCGGAAGGCATCGTATGGTCCAGCGTGAAGGAAATGCGCAATTGAAGACACAAACCGTGAAACGAAAGAGTCTAGTGCGAACACAGAAACATGCACATTCATAGATTGAGCATACTTTATATATCTCGTCGGGAGAAATCTCGACAAAACCATGCTCCACCTCACCCTCAACAGTGGCACGGGCTCGGTTCCCTTCCAGAGACAGAGTCAACCGCACTGCCATCCCCGCACTCCCCATCCCAACCTTATTAGGTCCTTTGGTTCTTTAGAAATCCTCAATTGTTGCCACAGTCAACATGGACGTGTGGAGAAATACATACGAACCGTGGAGATACGGGGACTGAGCGTGGACAAATCACGGGGATCGTCCCCGGAAGGCAACTGATTCCGATATACTAAGGATACGTACGTTGCAATTGGTTTGGCTTCCCCACGCCAAGGCCGGATCTTCTGTCGGCGATGACTGCCTTCCGCGATATCCAACCCCACTTAGTACTTCCTCTGCCAATCATTTCTGCCGCAGCCTGTCCTGGCTTACTGTGAAAGGGTCTCGGAGTTAGGTGCCTTCCGGGTGCATTGAATCTTAAATCCCCCGACCTTGGCCTGCGGTCTCCCACGCCTCATCAAATCCTATGTTGAGACTTTATAAAGTCAAGTTAGAATCATGACTTTCAGATTGCTGCTATGTAATATGTCTCAAGTCTAAATCAATCTCATTTATCTCCAGCCGAGAGAAAATACCCCGTCCACGTTCACACTTCCCTTCGCAATGATGGCTTTCCTGCCATTAACCAAATACACAACCCACATGGGCACGTCAGGTCTGAAGCTCAACATTCTCGTTGCCGGCATTGCGGCATGTGCATTTTGGCTTTTCGGCTACGACATGAGCATCATGGTATTTTATCTTTCTTGAGTTTACCCCCTATAGCACGCCCAGTCTAAGAACAAATCCAGGGTGGTCTGATTACTGAGGAGTCCTTCACGACTGTCTTTCCCGAGATGAAAAACGCTAATGTCCAGGGCATCGTGATCGCCTCTTTTGAACTCGGTGCTCTTGTCGGTGCCCTCGCCTGCTTGGACCTTGGCGACCGCCTCGGGCGTCGTCTGACCGTTTGGTTCGGTATGCTGTTTATGCTGGTCGGCGGCACATTGCAGACGAGTGCCTGGGCAATACCTCAGTTGGTAGTGGGTCGCATTATCAGCGGCATCGGCCTCGGCTTGCAGGTTGCCACGGTGCCGTCATGGCAGTCCGAGTGTGCGAAAGCGCAAAGTCGCGGGCGTTGGGGTAAGCAGTAGTCCTCCGCCTTGCTCTCGCATTTGAAGACCAAAGGCTGACTTAATCTAGTCATGATTGAGGGTGGCTTGCAGACATTCGGCGTCGCTTGTGGCCAGCTCGTTGGTTATGGCTTCTTCTTTGTGAAGGGTCAAGCGCAATGGCGTACGCCCGTGGGTATTCAGCTTGTCCCGGCTTTGATCGTCTTCATATTTATCAATCTCCTTCCTGAGTCACCCCGTTGGCTGATCAAACATGGCCTGGTTGAAGAGGTATGTATTGTTCTTTTCTTGCCATACCCACGCTCCTCTGGTTGGTGAAGAGCCCCTCGCTGACAGGACACTGCTTGTGCAGGGCACATACAACCTGTCAAAGCTTCGGGGCCTGCCGGTCAGCCACCCCGAACTAGTGGCTGAACGAGAGGCAATCATCGCCTTGTTCGAAGCGCAGATTGAACTTGCTCCATTCTCCTACAGAGAAATGCTGGACATGGGAAAAAACAAGACGTTCCATCGCGTCGCCATTGGAGTCTTCATGCAATCGGCACAGCAAATATCTGGAGTCAACCTGGTCTCGACCTACGCCAACAAGATACTTCAAGAGTCGTTCGGCCTCAATGCTAGCACATCCCACCTCATCGCTGCCATGGGCGGGTTGGAATATGCTCTATGCTCGCTTCTATCCGTTTTGCTCATAGAAGGTCTCGGGCGTCGGAAGGCCTTTATGTGGACTACCATTGGCATGTCCAGCTGCTTTGCTGTCATCGCTGGGCTTCAAAGCACAGAGTCGCGCACCTGCCAATTGGTCGCTGCTGGATTTCTGTTTCTCTTCAATACCTTCTTTGGTCTCGCCTGGGTTGGAGGACCGTTCTTGTACAGCGCCGAGATTGCACCTCTGCGATGCCGCGCGCAGGCGAATGCCCTGGCGAGCGCTGGCAACTGGTTATTCTGCTTTGTGGTGGTCATGATTATCCCACCCGCTTTCCAAAATATCGGCTGGAAGACGGTATGCTTGTCTCCTTGTGCATTGCGGTCTGTGATCAACCTAACATGTGTCTAGTACATTATTTTTGCAATCCTGAATGCCAGCTTCGTTCCTATCATCTACTTCTTCCTGGTCGAAACGAGAAAGAGAAGTCTCGAGGAGATCGTGAGTATCATCCGAAGGAGAAAGGGTTGAAGTCGAACTTAACCTCCCATGAAGAGACCTAGTAGGCTAACAATTTGGCTTCTAGGATGTTATCTTCGCTGCGGGAGGTGACCCGGTCAAGACAGAAAAGACGATGCCGTATAATATACCTATTGAGGAGGCCCGGAGGATTCTTGGGCTTTCTGAGAGTCCTATTATCGCTGAAGTACTAGATCACGACATGAAGGCGGCCGATTGAACGCATTTTGTTCTTGTTGAAGGCAATGAGGCGTCGCTATGTCGTCATACGGGTTATCACTTTGCGAGATGTTAGGAAATGCAGGTGAAAAAGCCAATGTTAAGGGCCAAATGAATTGAGTCAATCCACATCAGGGATCGCTGCAACGGCTGACAGGAGCTGTATGCGGTAAAGCATCAAGGAACAGCAGCAGGCCGTAGTAATCACTGAATGACTTTGCGTGCATCGCCTACTTCTCAAACTTAAGAACAAGGGTAAATATAGAGAAAATGATAAAGCGAATTCTGCGAAGCAAAAATGAGAGTAGATCATCGGAGTAATGACGACAATGCGATATGCAAGCTGCTTTTTGGAGTCTTCGGTTATGAAAGTATACCCGGCTATGGACCAAGCAACTAGCCGAGCACTTACCCGCGGTTCTGCGTGCAAAGGGGAAACCCAATTAAATGAATTTCTTAAATGCGAAACTTGGAATGGCGCAGTGCCCGCTGCTAACTCCACACTTTCTCCTGACTAATCCCGCCTTTTTGCCGTTCGCACGGGCCAAAACATGAAAGCTAGTCCCCGCATCCAGTTCGCTTCTCTCTTAGGTAGATCAAAGAAAGCAAAAGCATGCACTATTTTTGATCAGCACTCTCCAATGCCGCCCTTTCGGGAATCCTTCTCAAAACAAGTGCGAGGGCCTAGCTCGAGATCTAAGCTAGGTAGGCATTGAATCACGAGATGCAATTATCTTTCAGAATAGAAACGCTGATATCTGATGTCAAGCCTGCGAGCACTGTCGCAAGAGCCACGTCAAGTGTGATCAATCGCGGCCTTGTGCTTCATGCAAGCGACGAGGGATTGAGTGTACCCTTTGTCAAGATGTTACCTTCACTGCGCTCGAGTTCAAAGCACCTGCAGGTTGCTTGTTAGAGGACTTTGTCTCCTCAAAGACAGTAGAAGGTCCAGGTAAGCAGGACCCACTGACGATGGCTCTCTCCGCGAGGAACAATCACTGGTCTAACGCCTTCTGAGTAATAACGACCTTTGTGCATGAAACGCAAGAAGTTTCCGACCTATACCAGGTCGTAGAAGCGAGCGACGAGGCCTCGAGCGTCTCATCAGACCAGCACCCGTCGCCACGGCCTGCATTATCCGGCAACGCCGCTCCCATCACAGATCCCATTGACGCCTTTTTTCTCTGGCGATATGTCGACTTCATCGGTCCACGCTTCGACATGTTCGACGATGCACCTCGATATTTCTCCACAGTCGTGCCGCAGCTCGCTCTAAACGACGAACTTGTGTTGCTAGCCTGTGTCGCGGTTGCAGCTCGCCAGTACTCCCTCGCCAATGAACAACAACAACAAAGTCACGAGCAGGCTTTGACATACTACAACGCGGCTATCAATCTGCTGTCCAAGCGGCTACAGAACAGTGGGCCCGACCCTGCGGTATTCGCGAGTTGTCTGCTTGTAGCGCACTGTGAGATGGTGGAGAGCAAGGCCACGGATTGGGGCCTGCACCTCAAGGGGACAGGAGATCTTATCAAGATGCATGGTTGGCATGGGGCGAGCGGTGGCTTGGCACAGGCTGTACGTCCTGTTCTTCATGCTGTGAGTATGTGGGCTAATTTGAAACTTAACACACAGTCATTCTGGATTTACTGCAGGATGATTATCCTTGCCTCTCTCTGTTCCGGCAAGCCGATAGCATTAGGACCCAAGGAATGGATCCCTGGGGGGGTGTTCCCTGATCCAGCCACGTGGACGCTCGAACTATGGCAGAAAAAGGTCGTTTTTCTTCTCGGGATGGTTCACGATTTCAGGAGTCGCACCCCCGATGACATAAACGAGCACGCTGTACAATTTCACGCTGCCCGATGGAAGGAGCTTGAAGCTGAGCTGGTGCGCCACCAGAGCCAAGCGCCAGCTGTGTGCTCACCTCTCAGTATTCTACCTCCGAAAGGAGAGGATAATCCCTTCCAGTCTGTGCGTTACTTGAACGGTTCCGTGTCCGCCTCGTGGCAAATGCTGCATACTGCGTTTCTCATTCTCACCATTTGCACACCTTGCTCGCATGCGAGTCGCCTATCAGTCCTCTCCAGTTCCGACGTGACTTCCCAAGCGCAGACTTACGCACGTCAGATTGTCTCCAACTCGCTGGCGAACCCATGCTCCATCGCATGGGCGAATGCCGTCCAACTCCTTACAATTGCGGGTCAGTGTCTCGTGGTAGAGCCGGAGCGGAAAGCATGCGTCCGCATTCTGCGAGATATCCAGCAACAAACGGGCTGGAACACGCGGGCAAGCGTCGATAGACTTGGCGCAGCGTGGGACAATAGTTGGAGATATGACTCCTTGGGGAGGCACGCGGCGGTCAGACAAGTTGATGCTGGGAAGCTGCTGTATTATGTCTGGCTTGGCCAGGAAAGAAGTCCAAGCTAAATGATTCGGGCTCGGATACGACGCTCAACTTGAAATGCATGTCCAGGAGATGAGGGCAGGACAAAAACTATCAACGCTAGCCCGTTACAGTACAAACAACCTGTAGGGGCTTGTCCCTTTTGGGTAAAGTCATTATGGACTCTCACTGATTGGACACTGAGTCTGAGGTCTGAGCCCTTGCTGACATATATTTACTCAGTGAGCCTGAACCTGAATACCCTCATGAAAGCAGCGGCAGCCCAGATAGTAGAGCCCTGCCTGGCAGACATTATCCGGTCTATATAGTCGCTTATGAAGACATAAATTCCCGTCACGAATCCACAGACCCTGGCTTTTCGAACGAGCCCGATCGAGCTCCTTGACCTGTGAACCTTTTCGCAAAGGACTACATCATATGAATGTCTATCATGATGCCTGATCGCAGAAGCTATTGTACAAAGACTTGAACGCCGATTCCTCCATCGACAAGAGAGCTTGAGGCTTATCGAACTCAACCACTCTACCTTGGTCCATAAATGCGATCTTATCATAATCCAGAATGGTGTCCAGTTTGTGTGCGATGGCAATGATAGTCTGGTCTTTGAAATGCTTGCGAATGACGCTCTGCATGAGTTTCTCGCTTTTCGAGTCCATACTATGGCCTTATTAGTGACTGATTGATAAGATCGATCCTGTATAGCCACTTACCTGCTTGTGGCCTCATCCATAATCACAATCTGGCTAGATTTGCAAATAGCCCGCGCGAGACAGAATAGCTGCTGCTGTCCATGGGAGAGTAGCTCTTCGGACATCTCTATATCAAGCCCTCCTTTAGATTCGATATGAGACCAAAGGTTGGTTTCTTGGAGGGCATCAATGATCTTCTCGTCCGATAAATCTTGTTGAGGATTGGCATTCAGCCGAACATTGCCGTGGAGGAAGAAGGCCTGCTGGGGAATCGTGTTCAATGAAGATCGAATGTGGGACCTCGAAAGCAGTGCTATGTTGACACCATCAATCAGGATGCTTCCACTGTCAATTTCAAGAGTCCGCAGGATTGTCGAGATGAGAGATGATTTCCCGCTAGGTAAAATTGGCCACAGAACCACATAGAGGACTTTTAAAGACAGCTCGACTAACCTTCCTGTTCGACCGCAGATCGCGATCTTCTGTCCTGGTGCAATCTTCAAATTGATTCTTTCTAGGGCCGGCGACAAAGAGGTCCTATAGTACATTAGTTTCTAATCTCCCGAGAAATGGAGTTCCATGGAACATACTCGTAATAAGCCGTCATATTGATAAACTCTACCTCCCCGTGTAGTGGCCATGAGCTTGGGACAGACTGAACCTCAGTATCCAAGTCCTCGGTTTTGGCATCACGTACATATGAGCGAATACGAGAAACAGCCCCGATTGATGTCTCAAGGCCAGTCCACTCGGAAATCAGCGATTGTAGAGTATAGCTAAAATTCACAATGTTGAACAAGGCAATGCCAAGAAGGCTGAGTGATGAGTTCCCTCTCAAAGACAGCGCAATTGCAATGACTATGACGGCGATAGCAGCGACGATTAAATCAAGAACCAGATTGAGCCAGCGCTGGATGCAGAAGAGAATATAGAATGGTCGTTGGGAAGTGTCCAGAGCAAATCGGCTCAGACGACGATATTCTTCAGTCCATCCATAAGCACGAATGCTGGATAGGCCACTCAGAGTTTCCAGAAAATGAGAGAATAGCGGAGCTTTCGTCTCAATATCTAGCAGACGGACTTGACGAGATGTTTTAACATAGAATGTTGCCACATAGTAGACTGCGATGATGCAGATGGGTATTACTGCCGCCGTGGCGTACGATGAGCCGAAGAAGATCAAGAAACCTTCCACGAGACAGCTTAGAGCCTCATCCATTGCCAACTCAAAAGCCGATGGGAGCTCTTCGTCAATCAGTTCCAGATCCTGAGTGAACCTGTTGGTTGTAGTTCCAATGTCCGTAGATGTTAAGAAAGAGGTGGTGGCACTCATCGTTGTACCCAGAAGGATTTCATGAAATTGGCGAGCCGTCTTGGGAATAACGAGCATATCGAAAAGGAAGATCGAGCAAAAGACGGCGAAAAGAGTCAAGAATCCCACAGCAGCGTAGCCACCGAGCCAGTACGGAATATCAGCATTCGGATGCTTTTCATTGGCACTAGTCCACAATTGTAGCCAGATTTCTGAAAGCTGGTCAGCTTGGGGAAAGGGAGCTTGAAGTATCAGGACAAAACTTACGTGGAATTGTAGACCCGGCAATATGGAATACGGAGCATGCAACTGCTAGGGATAGCAATGGGTATCCCATGACCTGGAAGTAGTACAAGTAGACTGTCCAGTCACCTGTTCTTCGACAGAGATCATCAGTGTCTTCGCCTTCTAGGTTTAGTTCTTGCAGCTGCTCATCATCGAATACAACATCTGGTGCCCTATCTGTATTGACTTGCTCTGGTGCGTGGTCGAACATGGCAATATAATCTTTATTCGCCATAAGCTCTTTGGATAAGATTTGCTGGGCGATCTGGCCTTGCTCATTGAGCGAGATAATGAAGTCAGAGTAAGCAATGTGGTGTACTGTGATGCTGTTAGTGGATTTATCTCTCAGCAGGAAAAAGTGAGAACGAACTCGAGTTTGTAGCAAGAATAACGGTTTGGCCGAGCTCCTTCACAATGCCACGGGCCCCAAAAACAGCGTCTAGAACGAGCTTCTCCGTCTCACGATCTAGTCCAGTCAAGACATCATCCAGGATCAAAACAGGTTCTCTTGAAAAAAGAGCTCGAGCAAGTGCCTGAAGAAGTCAATTTCTGCTGGAAGTCGAAACCGCTAGCATTGTTGTATGCTTACCACACGCATTTGTTGCCCGCCGCTAAGCCTCGATCCACGAACACCAACTTTGGTCTGATCTCCCGCTGGGAGTTGTTGCACGTCGAACTCTAGTGCACAAGCGTGGACGACACGATCGTACCAGGATTTATCCCACAGAGACGACCCAACAATATTCTCCTGAACAGTTCCAAATTTGACCCATGGAGATTGGCTACAATATGCAGCAGTTCTGTATGATGTGAACACCTGACCAGAGCACTCTTGGACTTCACCGAGCAGAACCTTGAGGAGAGTTGACTTTCCGCAGCCCACTGAGCCGATTATCATAGTCGTATTGCCTTGTTTGATATCGAAATTCAGGTCCTTGAGGATAGGCTCGTCGTCGACTGCCCATGCAACAGATAAATGGGAAGCCGTCACACACGATTTCCCCCCATTCTCATTCGTGTCAATAAGTATCGGTTCTTCTTCAGGCAGCTCTAAACGACGGTCTTTTTGCTCGGTTTCGTTCAGGTATTTCTGGATTCTTTGAAAGCAGTTGACAACCGTCATCAAATCTTCCGTTCCATAGACAATCGAGACAATTGGTGCATCGAGAAGAGAGAAAAGGGTCAATGCTGCAAATGCAGTTCCGTTAGTCAGCGTAGGTCCACCATTTGCCTTGGCAAGGATGATATAGAGTCCAAAGCCGACTACTGGAGCCAGCGCGTCAGAGATGTAAGCTGCTGGCAGGTTAGCTGAACTCTTCGATCTGGGTTATTCTACCCACAAATTGTATTATTGATGACTCGAATGACTCGCATCCTCTGCGACGCTCCAATTTCATCTCTTCTCAGCTTCCGGAGACTGTTGGCAACTATGTCCGTCAAGCCTGTCATCTTGACATTTTTCATGACGCCGAGGACCTTAGAAGTCACGGAAACACGCTCTTCAACGAACTCTAGCCATATGCCTTGAGCATTAGCCCTGGCTATAGAGACAAGCAATCCGGCAACCAAACAAGCTGTAGCTTTTATGTCAGAGGGACAATGATAGCACCAAAACGGAAAGCTAAGACGTACCGATGACGAGCACTGTAGAAGCGATGGTAGCAAGACCAAGAAGTCGCGCCAAGAAAATAAGAGCGAGCACAACCTCTGCGAAATTGGAGTACGTTTCATGCATATCGAGAAGACCATCTCCAATGCGTTCCATGTCTGTGCTCATCAGAGTAACCGCCGATGCATCTGACGCAGCCGATGAGCCCACACGGAGCGTTTTGTCAAAGATCATACTTACCAAGCTTCCTCTGACCATCGCAATAACCCTGTATACCTTTGAACGGTAGACATTGTGTGTAATCTGATTCGATGGTGAGTGTCGGATTAAGGAACGGGTTAATGAAACATACTGCAATTCCCACGTAGACGATGCCATATGCCGCGACAAGACCACGAGCGTAGTTTGCTGAATTGACATGTTCAGGCTCCGTCATGAAGTCCAGCACCCTTTGGACAAGGAACGGTTGTGTGAACAAGAAGCCAGTAAATGCCATACGTGGCAGGATGCCACCAAGGAATCCCCATTTATAATGTTTTATAAAGATCCATAGCAAAGCATTGCGGCCGTATTTGTTGGCTATTGAATAGTTAGATGACCTGACACGACACGGGCAAAGAAGCTAAATCTGACCTTTGTCCCATTTGTCAACTAGAGTCTCAGGACTTGAGGCTCCCTTGATATCGTCATCGAGAATAGGGAGGTCGTCGACAGTTAAGGTGGTTTTCGAGCCCTTCCACAGCAGACCGCTCAACCACAAGTACAGGCTGCGATTGAAGATTCCACTAGTGGCTTCAATAGCGCATTCGGAGAATGGCTTCTTCAACAGGGATCTTTTTTCTGTGGCCTCGAGGATGACAACACTAGCTCTGGAAAGCAAGGAGACAGCAAATATGATAGTCACAGTCCGATTATCCGGCAAGAGGGAGAGAGTTCGAAGACGCGGTAGGTCAAGAATCAGAGCAAATCCATGGAAGAGACACAGGGTAGTCGAGGGACGTAGTGAGCGAAAATGCTCCAAGTGTGACAAGTACAGACAAAAAAGCGACACCACTACCGCAGCGAAAGATGTTGGCACAGTTGCTCTTGTCGTGGGGGTGGATGATTGATACCACAAAATTAGCAGTATAAACTGAAGAGTTATATGCAGGAATGAAGCCATCTAAATATAAATTTGTTCAATTGTTAAAACAGACTCTTGTCGAGGGAGAATGTGTGGGCTATCAGACCTCTTTCGTGAAATAGAACCATGAACGGTTGACCTTCTCCGATACATTTCGAAGGCTCCATAATCGAATCAGAACAACAGGCGAGGTGATTAGAAGAGGCAGGAATGTGAGGACTGTCTCCTCGAACAAAAGAGTGAAATCAAAGCCATGGCGACACGAAGAGTCCACAAATGGGCCGAAGACGTCTTCGTCCGAAACAGCACACAGTAGGCTCAGGCCCTTCATAATTATGAATGTGAGAGCACACCAGACGAGCTGGTGCAATGCTTTTATTGCCCTCGACTTTACGATTAGCTCTCAATAACCAGCGGCTGAAAAGAAGCGGGAACGGGGCCGTTGTGAAATGGCGAACGCTGATTTGTTGATGTCTGCCCGACTGCGGGTCAGTAACTTGGAATCACGCGTTTTTATTGGAGAGAGTCTTGGCGAGCCTGCCAGAAACGGTCAGCCTTGACTCTTAATGACTCAAAGTTGAGAATTGTGGAGCTTTGCACGGTGCAGCGGGCTCCAGTAGGCCAGTTCGCTCCAGTGGTTACGAAGGCACGTGAGTGGGATTTTGCAAAGGAAGGCAACCACGTTCTACTTAGCCAATGGATATCCTATACCGCCCACCGCTCTATAATCTAACCCTTTTCGAAGATCACCAATTTCTACTTATTATTTTATATTTCCTTCCTTTTTAAATCCTGTGCTTCTAGCTTATGTATTACAGTAAAACCTAGAGAGAGCACGAGGCAAAGGTCGGCCGCTAATTGCCTACGCCAACCAGTAGGGATATAGTCGAAGTCCTATCAAGGCCGGAGGAATCGGCATGATCCCCACGACTTGAGTACTTTTCATGGATTGAATCAGACACGTTCATTATCCGTTATAACCAGGTTTCACTGTAGTATATTCTTGTTCGTTTAATTTACTTTAAGCTTACTTTAAGATTCGTACTACTATAGACCAATAGAACATATAGCTGAGGCCAAAATAAAGAGTAGTGACTATGACAACGCACCTATGAGGAAAAGGTCAGCACGGGAGAGGAAGGCCACGTCAGCGCTTTAGGCACGTGCAGGATGTTCAAGTGTAAAACAGTGAGTGGTGTTACAGGCATCTAGGTGAATGGGCTGAAGGGTAGGGCGGCAAGAGAGCTTTCCTAACGAAGTATAAAAGTAGAACAAAAAACATACAACAGTCAGGATTCGCATGTGGTCACCCACCATACTACTAACTAACCGGCGTGTGGCTTAAATGCGGCCAGTAGTTCGGTGGGTGCCGCTAGGGTGAGAAATGGGTGAGAGCCGCTTTAGCGTCGCGCGACCGGGGGTGAGTAGGGTGAGTGCGCAATAGACAGGGTGAGAGCTGGGTGAGGACGGGTGGTTCTCACCCTCCGTCGCGCGACCGCTGCACTGACCCCTCTCAGCTGAAATACGGTAGAACATGATTGGGTTTTCGTGAACCATCTGAAACACTTGGCCACTTGGCATCTGCACGCAGCCACCTAATGGAAGTTCGACATAGCCCGAAATTGGTCCCTTTGGATGCGGAAAATAGATTTACCGTGGCCACTACCAGTGTTTTGTCTTGACTCATCGCCAGAGGCGCATTGATGATCAAATTTGAATTGCACCTCCGTAAGCGAACGCATGATTGACTTCTCAGGTGGATGGACCACTTATCCATCAACGGCCCGAGCCTTCAATTGTGGAGGATAGATCTATTACGCTCTAGAAACTGTTGGATCGTGGTCCTTCTTGTTGTCCCCCGTAGTTATTTATTCACTGGTGCTTAACTTTATTGGCAAACTTTCTGGCCCATCCAGTATTCGCGTGAAATTATTACACGATCCTTTCCATCTAGAGCCAGCCAGCGACTTCTGGATGCTGGTTTAATTAATTCGCAGTTTCAGAGCTGATTTAAAGAAATGTGTATGTATTTCTCGTGTCCATTGTATTCGGCCTTTTTTAAGGTTTCTCCTAAAATGAATTGTAGTAACGGTTCCGTGCTTCATGTGAACGTAGAACAAATGTTGCCAAACGATGCAACGGAAAGCCGCTTATATTAAAGGTTGGGTAGGTGGAGAAAGAGCAATTCCTAGGTAGTCTAGGACAGAATAGGCTTCGCTACGGCAGTCACAGGAATCAGTAAGCAGGCTCAATTGCACAACCTAGTAAACAATGGTAACCAGAATGGATACCTGGGTCTTATTCGAGGTGAAAATTCTTGGCAGGGATATCGAGTATCATTGGTACAAGATTTGTCTTTTTTACGCGTTGGCTACCATTAACTAACCAGACGGGTATGCTCCTTCTTGATCCAATCCAAGATATTTCAATGCCTCTGTGAGGCCGATTCACCCTCCTCACTGAATCGGCAAATAGAGCTTCTTTGCGTGATTCGACGCCCTCCCTCAGATATAGTGAGATATATTATGCTTGGGCAAAAGCATGGCTAAACTGGTCGGCCGTGGATAAACAATTGGGGCCTATACTGAGCCGCGAATTGTTGGCACCCAAAGCACCCATTTCGGTCGGGACACGCACATGCGTATGTGCGTGGGAGACCTAGACATTCACGTCTGGTTCCACGAGGATCCTGGTAGTGGACCTGAGCAGGGACAGGGCTTACGGAAAGCCCTTGGTTGCCCCCAACTTGTGCACTAGGCCAGTAAAGAAGTCGTCGATCGTCTCGGCAAGACAATAACCTCCTGCGATATGGATGAAACCACAGTCTAGTAGTATTTCTTGGAAACACTGAGCAGCCACGCCGGCATTGTTGCCGGGAATGAGCGATATCGATGGTCCCGGTCAGTAGGTAGGTGGTCTGTTCCTATGTAAGTCAACAAGGCCTAGTGTGAAAATTTTTGATGATAACATACATGTTGTTGAGCCAGAAAAACTCGGTCTGCGCGTATTGGCCAACGGCGCATTGCCAGTGGCGAAGCATCCAGGTGTTCCTGCATTGAGCATTCCATAACCACAGCTCTCGGGACAGGTACTGCATTCATGACGGCACGAGCAATTCAATGTCCTTGATAATAGTGCAAAATTAGCATTGCTTTTGAAGTGGAAGAGAAAAATTGGCTTGATTAATTCGGAACAGCCAGACTATTTGTATTTCACTGCTGCGTTAAGTTCTCAGAAAGCTCAAAAGAGAAAGCTGTTTAAGCACTACCAGACTGGTCAATTAATCAATGCGGAGTATACAAACGAGCTTGAGAGGAAATTGCTCTCTCTTCAAGCTCGTCAACGTCCGATTCAGATCAAAAGGTCAAAAAAGCAGCTATCAAGCCTTACTGCTTCAACGCCTTTAGATGCCAACCGGCGAATTTGGAAGCGTGACGAAGAGGAGAAAAGAACGGAGCATATGCGTATGCTCCGAGCCGCTGCACAAGATTCGGTCTCAATTCCACAAAGGTTAGACTGACAATGCGAAGAACGTATCCCCTGTAAAGGAGCCCTGTAAGAACGCGTTTCGACTCACCAGAATAGGCATGGCCTTACTTGTCTATCGCCCTGGTATCATTGTTCGATGAGTTAGGTCTGAGAATACTAGGTTCTACTCTTGGACCTTCAATCGGCCTGTTTAGAGCAGCAATGGCTGGAAACTCTTGTTCTGGATAATTCATCATGTAGGGAAATAGATGTGCATTGAAAGCCGAAAATATGGACCCGAAGCTTATGATAGGTGAGTGGTTTCAGAAACCAAGCATATTCTAAAAAGGGACGTAGATATAAAATCAAATGAATAAATAATAAAGGTCTGCTAAATTCCCCGACACGCTATAATTATGAAATTGGCGGGTGGTAAAGTGGATTATCCAGCCCGTAATCTTATATTCTATGCCACGATGTATTTCAATCCTTTCTAAAATGCATATTTAAGTTTTTAGCCCCTTTGTATCTTCTCCGCAGAAAGGAGAAAGACCTGTTAAGGTTGGTTGCACAATAACTTCTCTTTAAGGTTTACGAGTAATCTTCGCTAGGGGAGCTTCCTTTAAGTCAAGAAATTCCTGCATTCTAAGCATCTGGTCTATGTATGTCTAAAGAGCATAGCCGATTTTAGTATTGAACGCGGCTTTTGGTGAGATTTCCACTATCGCTATGAATATTTTAGTTAGAGTGAACCAAAGTTCTGGTGGTCGGAATTTGCGCTCGCATTACTATAGAATAGGTGGGATGAAAGGCTAAAAGCCAGTACCTTCTGGATTCGGCCTTAACACTTTAGAAAACTTAGTATATGATAGACGATATTACTTAGTAGTAGTAAGAATCTTATAGAGGCAGAAGGGGGATAGAACCGTGGTATTTTTCACGACACTAAAGCTAGCTCTAGGGCCTATGGTCGATTGAAGTAAATTATTCGGGTTTGATTTTCTCGATTTTCAGGATTTGGAGAGAGCAGAGGCCTTAGAATATATAAATTTTACTATTAGTTTTTTTTAAAGTAGTACGTGTACAATATCTTATTTGTTGCCCTAATATATAGGATGGCTGGCGCTCTAACCTTCTATGTCTAGTTCTAGCTTTTGTAGTAAGCTCCGTTAGCTTATTGAGCATCCAGATGCTGCTTCTAGAGTAATAAAGCTAGACCTACCAAATAGGTAAATGGCTATTCGACGTCATTTGGCAGTTATCTAATTAGTACGGAGATAGTATATGTTTTTGAATAGGTTGCGATGAGAGTTCTCGACTTAATGAATTCATGAGGAGTACTAATACTGCTGACTGTTTCCTCAATTTGCATTTGCAGCTCTAATTTTATATTATATGTACTCTCTTTGAAAACACAGGCTGGTAGGTTGGAGTTAAGGTAATGTGTAAGTGAATAAATTCAAGAAATGGTAACCGTTAGAGGGCTAATATTCACGAGTGAAAAAGCGAGATCTTCCGATTGGCTACTTTGACTGATGTAAGATGCTGCAAAAGAAACCGATCCTATGTTTCATTCCGAAGCAATAATGTTAATATTTGAAATACTGGTGCAAAAGTTTGGCTATCTTGAACAGGTATTACTTCTTGACACTTTCGAGTGATAATAATCGAACAAACTACCCCGTAATCATAATCGGTATAGCATTCCAGTCTGCTATCTCTTCGACCAAGGGGCCGTTCGTTCCACCCATAAAATATCCCTGTCTAATTAAGAAACCACTTCCGTAAGTTAGCCTAATCATTAATATGCGTGCGAACTAGAAATATAAAATGGGCTTATAGGTAGTATGATAATTTTGCCGCTTCACGGGTATGGCTAAAATAGCCTTGAGTCAGTCTTCGACTAGCGTTGAGAGCATTGTCACTCACTTTATCGTTCCTACTAGATATAAGCCACCGATCACTGCTTTGTACCGAATTTTTTCGAAAACCATAGTATCATGGAATAGATGGTGGTAGTCGCCACTTCCACAATCGAGACGGCCATTGCTCAGTGTCACCCAAGCTCCGTGCAAGTCGCCTCTGAGAATGTATTAGCTTTTACTTCGGTCTCCTCATGAAGACCTACCCTGGTTCACCCCCTATGTTTAATTCTTGCCATTCAATCAAGAAGCCATTCTTTAAATCGAATTTTTGGCTATGGAATGGTTCCTGCACGACATTGACGCACCATACGTGTATACCTGGATTAAATGGACTGCAGCTGATGATTGTATCGCGAGGATCGAGGGTCTTGCGTGACCAAATGTAATAGGTCAATTCACCTTGGACCGTATTTTTGTGGCTTATCACTTGATAAGGCCCATGCGGCTGGATAGGGAAGCAATGTGCAGAGCCCATAGAGCCAATTATTTCGCCCTTCCGAATAAGTATGATACCAGCAAGAACCATCTGGAATCTTTCGGAATGCCAAAAACGGGGTATCTGATTTGCGGCATCACATAATTTGTCGAGAATAGCACTGTCGACCACCGAAGCGCACATTATGTACACCAGCTTTGAAGTATCTATTTGGATTAGATTTGAACTCAATACTAGAGCAAAAGGGTTGCAGACGAGTTTTGTAAATACCAGATGGCGGCCAGTCTTGCAAATTACCTGTGAGGGAGACTAAAGGAAGTATAATCTCGGTCCAACTCTCAAGCAAAGCTTCGCAATTCTCATTTGGGAGCAGTCCGAACCTCAATTCATAATAATCGGAGAACATTATGTAGCGACCCGGTGTGCTTGCTCATTGATTGATGTTGAAATTTTGATGGCTAAATCTTGGGTACGTGTCAACTTGAATTATTCCTATCTGGCTCCTGGGAGGAGGATCAATATATCCGTTTTGTATGTGGCGAAAGCTCTGTCAACTCGAACAAGGCCCCGGAGCACGAATTCAAATTTCCAATGCAGATCTTCCAGAGTGGAGCTAGCTCACGAGCTCATCTTTATTCAAGATCGTTACGCTAAATTGGAGACTGCCAATAAGAAGCAGGTGAAAAAAAAGGATTCTAGTAAGAAACAGATCAGGCATGAAGGCAGTCTACGAAGTTTGGAAGAGATTGTACCTGATATAGTGGAGGGAAATCCTGGTGGGAGTGAATATATATCTACAACGGAAGGTGCTGCAGATCCACCAGTAGAGCCTGAATTACCCCCTGTATCTACTATACGGCGCCAAATCACCTGTTCTGGATGCGGAACCAAAGGGCATACCTATGTTCGATGTCCTCAAAAAGTTATCTAGTCATTAATTGATGTTTTTCGTGTTAATATTTGGGATTGAAAATTTACAAAATTTGAAGTTCTCAAAGCATCGCTCGAGTAACCGGGACGCTCGGGTAGCCGGGAATCACGTTATCAGAAGACACTAGCGCCAACACATAAGCGAATCCTACGGCGCGAATCATTTCGACTTCAGCGACGACGAGATCTTTTCATCAAACACCACGACAAGCAACTTGAGTGTCTAAAACCTGCTGAAATCTAAATACCAAAACGAAATGGCAGGCACAATTAGCATGTATGACCTTGTCATAGTTGGTCACGGCGTGGCCGGTCTAGCCGCCGCAGTATCGGCGGCGGAACTCGTTCCAGCAGCTCAGATTGCCGTGCTAGAGCGCACGCCTGAGGATGCCAGCGGGGGGAACACGCGTTATAGCCCCGCCAATATGCGCATGCGATCTGTTAATGAGATATTGCCTGGTTTCGTGGATGATATGATGACCATCAGTGGCGTAGACGGCGACCGCGCCTATTTCGAAAAGTTGGCCGACCAGGCACCGCAGGCCGTCCAGTGGCTCGAGAGACAAGGTGTGCAATTCCATGCCATGGACTATTTCTTGAAGTCGTGGCCAGATAGGATTCAGCCCGTCGGCAAAGGTGCCGCCATAATCGAAGCGCTGCAGCGATCTGCCAGGGCAAAAGGCATCCAGCTGGTGTACGAATGCCGCGCCAAGCAACTGCACCTTGGGAAAGAAGGGGCCACCATTGAGGCGGCAGACGGGCGGCGATTCATTGCTAAATCCGTTGTTCTCGCCAGCGGTGGATTCCAAGGTAATCCAGACCTCCTGCATACCCATTTCGGGACCGGTGCGGAGTCTCTACGACCGATATGTCCAGGCACGCGGTGGAACACAGGAGATGGGATCCAAATGGCGCTGAATAACGGAGCTGCGGTAAATGGAAATTGGAATGGCATGCATAGCGAAATAATCGATCCGCGCAGCGATATGCCTGCACCACTAGTGCTCGTCTATCCATATGGTATTGTGGTGAATCGCAACGGAAAGCGATTCGTTGATGAGGGCGCAGGGCTCGTCCATGACACCTGGGAACAACTTTCACGAACTATCCACTTTGATGCTCCGGGCCAGTCAGCCTGGGTAGTTTGCGATTCAAGACTCTCTGAGGTGGAAGGCTATGAAGCGGCCATTCGCACCGACATCCCGCCTCTTACAGCGGACACAGTATCTGGCCTAGCAGTCCAGATGAAGGTGCCGGAACAGGCGCTCTTAGATACAATCTCAAGCTACAACGCAGCTTGTGACACAGACGTATCCCGTTTTTCTGCTGGCAGCCTTGATGGCCTTGCAACTGGCCCACACTTGGAACCTCCAAAGTCGAACTGGGCCCGCCCGCTCAACTCTCCGCCGTATTTAGCTTTTCCTTTAGCCGCTGCTATTGTATACACTTTTGGTGGACTTGCGACTGACACAGAAGCGCGAGTATTAACTCAGCAAGGCGCTATTCCTAACCTCTACGCCGCAGGTGAGATTACCGGCCATTTCCACGACACCGCGCCAAATGCTATTGCTGTTTTACGCGCGCTCGTCTTTGGGCGCATTGCTGGGCTCAATGCAATGAGCTCGAAGTAGATGGTGGGTTTAGTAGCTAGTGGAGATGTATGCATTAAGCAACCTTTCAACTTAGCATAACCTCATAGCTGGCTTGTGTGGTGGCCCGTGAAGTGCACTGTCAACGTTTTGTTGGTAGAAATATACGAAAGTGTCAGATTAAACCAATGAAGTCTTACTTACGTGAAGAACACCTTGTCGAGCTCTGAAACACACATCGGAGTTCTAGCAATCGATTGTGAAATTCTAGACATACAGTTTGAGTTTCCAGGTGGTCTTAAATGGTCGAAAGAAGCTGACATATGGGGTTGGGGCATGGTGGTATGTACAAACTTAACTTCGGAATCTTCTTCTTTCGCTAATTTATTTCTGTTTGTTTTAGTGCTTCAATATGATTTAGGTTTGCTATCCCGAATCCTAATCCGTTTAAAGAGACGCGCGGTTCGGAATCGATTTTACACTCGCAAATTCTACACTATAGACGAATATTATAACTAAGTTTACCTTAGGTACTCTTTCTATTAGAGTTATAGAGCCTAGAGATTAGGTGACCCTAGTAAATTAAATGTTTTAATTTCTACGAACTTTATCTTTCTCTCTTAAATTACTCTTCGAGCACAAACACTCTAATAAGCGTAAAGTTAGTGGCGAAGATATATCTATAGACCAGGAATCTTAAAATAGAGACATATCGCGAGGAAAAGCCCTTTGAATATCCTATTAGACTTAGGGCCTACAGGAGTGACCATCCTAAAAAAAGCGAGGTCTTTTGCGTTCTCATTCCATTGAAGCGTCCATGATTCTCTCCCTTTCGGGGGTCTCTCGGCAAGGACGTCCGCTACAGTACTGAGGCCTTTGAAAGCACCATCAGCAATGCCATGCACAATAACCCAAAATACGAAGTTCATCCCAAGAACTGGATGTTCCCGAAACCAATTTTTGGGCCTTTGTTTTATTATATTAGTATGGGAAAGTAGCTGGAAATCGGTTGCAAGACTTACAGGGTTGCATCATCACGGTACCGCCAACCTTTCAGAAATTCAGGGTCAATTGTCACCCAACGCTTTAAAGCACCCACTTCACGGCTCCATTTGAGATGAAATGAAAGGTGCTATTGATTATTAGTTAGCTTAGCTGGTTCAGGAGGCTTTAGACACGCACCCTGTAGTATAGACATTCGTTGGAGTCACGATAAGCACTGGATTCGACTACAGCACCTGCCCGAGCACCCGAGCCAGCAAATAGTGAGAGAGCACTCCCAGTCTGGACTCGCGCTCTTTCATGTATATAATCATGGCAATCGTCGCCAAAAAGGCGCCGAAGAAGGTACTCTATGTCCTTGGCCGTGACCATAAAACGTTCCCGAGGTTTCGTTGATAGCCCGTATTTAGGTGTCGAAGTGGTCCGGATATACTTTTAGATATTAGCAGTGAACACTGAAAGGATAGTCAGAGACGTCTTACGTTGAGAACATCTTGCTTGACTGTATCGGGGAGAGACCGAGAGGTTTCTCGCTCCCATCTTGAAGTAAAATTAATGAAATTAAGACATGCAGACTTCTCGCAGGGGAGCTTTCTCCTTGTCGCGATATAGTCCTCTACAAAGAGTTTCAGGAGGTTCGGGGTTGGGTCAGGTTCATCTTTGGAGAAGTTGGCATTTGTCGCTTCGTTGCGAGAAAGTCTCCATCTGCCATCTGTCAGAATTAGACGATACACTTTTCAGCAGAGAAACATACAAAGCCCAATTAAGTGCTGCATCCTCATATTTTCTGAGCGTAGCTGGCGCCAGCTCTCGGTAGCATGTAATATTTTCCTCTTGTTCGCGCTCATTCTGATACTCCTGGGTAAAGCCACGTGACGCGGCACGTGCAATGCGCTCTTCAAGGGCCTTCTGGAGATTCTTGGAAGACATACTTGTTGAAAATCCAAAAATGAATTGGGACAGACCGAAAGTGCGCCCAAGGTCAAATATTTATTAATTTTGCTTGGGGAGAGTCACTGACTCGAAGGGGGTGGCCCATATCACCCTGGGTGAGAATTCTCACCCCGTTCTCACCTCTCTCACCCCAGTCTCCAAACTTCTCACCCATATCACCCGCACTCACCCTGGAGTGCCGCTTTGGTGCTCAGGGCTCTTTAAGAATTGGCCGTGCAGAGTATGTGGCTTAAGTACGGCTGAGCGGACGGGAAGCCCTGTTCTCCACACCCTATGGTCATATGTACTAAAATAAACAGGAGATGGAACTATGTATTGCAAATATATAGAACAATGAGATGTTTCTCCGCCTACACTTTGATTGGTTCTCAGTTAACCTGCTCGTTAGGCTAGCTTTCCCATAGGGTACTGTCTTGCAGGGGTCCGTAACACCTAGGAATAGCGATTATAATGATATGATTGAAAGAATGCTCTACACGCAAATTTTACGAAATTTACTTGGCAGGCATCACCGAGAGACGTAAGCTTTTTGTAGTGGTACACTTCCAGTAAATTTAGTTAAAACATTTTTATCAACTCACTACCAGATATCAAGGTTTGTGTGTGAAAAGACAACTTCCCCCGCACTGGTCTCACCGCCTCAATTCCAAGGTTTCCCCGTTTCTCCTATATTCTGGCCTGACGCAATATTGTGTCGGCAAAATGGAACCTGCGACGACTTCAGTGAAATCGCGCGCTTCAAAGGCTTGTATCATTTGCCATAAAAAGAAGGTACGTCGTCAATAGACTACGTGCGTAGTATCGCACCATTAATCCTCTAGATCCGTTGCAACGTAAACGAAGAGCACCCGTGCTTGAATTGCCGTGAATTGGGTTATGAATGCAGGTAAGTCTGTAAATTTACTCATGGAGATTCTGTTATGCAATAGCACCGTCTTGACGTACGCAGACCTCGAGAAAGGAAGCGCAGAAGATATACCTACAGCCCATCGCCATCTCCGCGCACGGAAAGCTCGGATCTGCTCTATCGTAGTGGACGCCTCGAGTAAGTGAGCCAACTACCCTACAACCTCCACCTAGGATTCTATAACTAGTTTTCGATAATTCTAATAAACTCCCAGCCCTGTGGGCAACCTGTCACATCTAAATCAAGATGCACCGCACCTAGATTATGATACGTTGACTGAATGTGACACGACGTACCTCGGCAGGTCCACATATACTGGAGGGGGAATATCTATTGATGAGGGTTCTGCTAAAAGATATAAAGTGGAAATTGGAGGGCGTGCTCCGGTCGATAGAGCGATGCTCGAGCTTGTTCGTGCATTCGACTTACCACCACGAACGATCCGAAATGGTCTTTTGGACAGCTTTCTGCAAATCTGTCAGCCCTGGATGCCTATAGTTGATCGAATCGACTGCAATGGAACTCCCGACAGCGAACCGTCGATTCTGTTGCTTCAAGCCGTCTATATGGCGGGCGCCCGAGTGAGTTCGGCTCCTCTAGGGTATCAATCCTGTGAGGATATATATCGTCGTGCGAAAGTGTTATTCTTCTCCCAATATGAGACCAACCCCATGACGGTCATTAGAGCTGCCTGTATCCTGCAATGGTGGAATCCGACCGGCCCAGAACACATCTCCGTTGACAAAGCAAGCTTCTGGCTTCGCACTTGTGTCAGTCTTGCATTCGACGTTGGTCTACATCGGGAACCAAGACTAGGACAAGAACGGTCGTTGCGACGACGATTATGGTGGACGCTTTATGTATTTCCTCTCCGTGGGGTCCCTCATTAGTCCAGAGACTGGCTAACTCATCATAAAATATAGGCTAGAGATTCCCTCATTTCAGCCGCTCAAGGCAGACCGCGAGCGATCAACATTGAAGACTCTGACGTCCGACCCATCTCGTTAGATGATTTTACTTGCCAGGATAGGAATGCACACTTATTCGTCGCTCATGTTCGGATATGTTCAATCCTCGGGACGCTTGCGGAATTCTGCATCCGCAATGGGCTTACACATTCCAAACACGTAGCCATTGAAAGAGATCTCCGGCTGTGGATCAGCGAACTACCATCGTGCTTACGAATGTATCAACAAACTCCAGAAAAAAACCCTACGATGTACGATCTCGAGATCTGGCAGCTGCACGTGCCGTACTTCACGGCATTGACCATTTTATATCGGCCACTTTATAGTACCAGCATTCCGTCTCCGGTTCCATTACTCTCATCATCGTTTGTTGTGGGTATCTTTGAGGACTTCTTGGCGAGAGACGACGTGCGCCGGCTCAATTCAATCTTCACATTCCATCTCTTGATTGCCAGCTTCCCTCAATTAATGTGCTACAAATACTCGGCATTACGGTCATCCGTTGAAGATGAATTGAATGTCATCAAAATGGCCCTGCATGAGATGAGCAAGCAGTGGGACTCAGCACTCGGCCCGCTGCGTATTATTGAGGGCTGCTCGCGGGAGGTCATGACGGCACCTCCTGTGGGGACATTTGGTATTCCGAAACTGAGTCCAGATGAAATAGCTTTCTTCAACGCATTTGGCCCAGAGTCATGTCGCAAATGGAATTTGATCTTCAATTCTGGTAGTCTGAGTGTTGAGCCGGACACAGTGATTCAGAGGGAGCCTGGTAATCTTCTCTTTGATATGAATGATATCACAACTCCGATACCACAAGCTCCGTTGGAGAGTTTGCTGGAGTTCGATCTTTCTCAATATGGGTTTTTTATGGACTGGAATAGCCTTGATACACACTGATTGATCTTAAAAACCAACTGTGTTAGATCAATGGCTGAGCCTGTCCCAAGTTGCGAACGTAAGGTTAACCTCAAATCCGTCTACACGCATCACAAGTTTTGATTGTAAAAAAAGTGATTATGGCGCTGACTCACAGAACACGCTCTATGGCCGTGAAGTTGATTTGCATTTGGAACAGTCAATCGTGATCTAGTACTGGCCAAGCGTCTGTCACTTTGTGGGTATCCAGCACCTGAACAAAGTGGGAACCTTACCGTCTGCTCCAGACGAATGTTTTTGACAATTTGAATATTCTTTTGAATACTTATGCCACTCATGCATGGATCGCTATGTCTTTATTTCTGCCAAGATTTTCCAGGTTACCACTTCCTTCTAGCTGTCTGTCATGAAAGGCCTGGGGAACTTCTAAAGTTTCACGGTATCTATGAGGATATGTATGTAGTCAAGCAAGACAGACCTCATGTTATTTTGACATAAACGACGGAATTCATGCTGAGTATATGTACGCAGACAACAGGCTTACAAGGTCTTCAATATGAAAGCACAAAAGAAATGAGTGTCACAAGTGGTTGCAAAATCGAGAGGCCAATTTATAGAAGAGCAAAGCCACAATCATTCTATAATAACCTAATACCCAATTTAGGGTTTTTTCAACATACAAGCTAGGTGACTCATAAACTATGGGCAAGTAAAGGTTGCCAAGGGGTTGGGGGGAGGGCATTGAACCATAAAACGTAGAAAAATTGAATACTAGACCAGGATAACTTATAGAACACAAATTCAAAGTGAAGTTGATGAGGCCTATCAATGAAGAAAATTGCTGCTTGTTTCACTTCTTTGTTGATCTTTTCAAACCTGAGCAAATTCCAGGTGCTCAGAGCTGTCCTCTAGCTTTGAACTAACAGCCCCCTTGACATTTAGATTTCCATCGACCGTCGATTCGTCAAGCCCTCCAACGTTATCCTATAACCCAAAAAAGAAACAATCAGTACGGCTTTACATACTATCGTGCAAGGACTAAGCTTACCCCGAATAAGGCATCTATCTCCTCAAGACGTAGACCATGTGTGTCGGGCCACAGGAAAAGTATAGCAACGGCAGACAGTCCGCTTGTGATAATGAAGACGAGGTAGAACTTCCAACCAATGTGACTATATTTTCCAGATTAGTGCACCTACAGCAGGCAACGGACACGAATATTGGACAAACCTAAATGCAACGGGCGCAACGGTCAAGAAGAGAACATTTGTGAGATTTATGCCGGCGACCCCAAGCGACAATCCTTTGGCTCTCAAGGCTGATGGGAATAATTCGCCACAGTAAACGAACTGCGTTCCCGATAGTACTCCTGACCAGAAGAATGCATAAATGAAAATAAAAGCTACCGCGGCTCTCAGGATACTTGAACTGGCCTCCGGATTAACACTTGCAACAAGTGCAGAGAGAATTATAAGGCAACTCATGCACCCTACCAGACCGAAGGATAGCAGTCGTGGTCGAGTAAGTCGATCCACAAAGGTCAGGCCGGCGAAGCTGCAAAAAACACCAAAAGTTGACCAAACCGCGGAAAGCAGCAACTGCTTGTCATTATCGTATCCGAGGCTAGCGTAGATGGTTGGCCCGTAATCTGTCAGTAAATCAGTATTGTTTGCTTACATACTACTGAACACAGCCTTGTCAGAGGCGCTTACTGTTAACCACAAGAACTCCAGAGCATTGAGCCATTACGCAAGTACAAATTGCTAGAAAAGCACGTTTTCGGTAGCTTGATTTCCGAAAAATGTGCACATAGCTGCTATTCAACGATCGATCGATCTGCATTTGGGTGTGAATCTGCGCCAGCTCAATATTGCACTCTTCGATCGAGTGAGATCGTGACAGGATTTGGCGAGCCTCTTCGACCCGATCTTTCAGTAGAAGCCAACGAGGACTTTCGGGTAGAAATGGCAGAATGGCTAACGTTATTAGGGGCGCTAAACACTGAAAGGCTGTAATCAAGTTAGCATCGGGTTTGCTTCCTTGACAGCTTACATGTTTCAATCACATTTGCAATCTTCACATAGGAGATGGAAGGAACTATTAATAGTATCTTCGTGTTACTTGACATACCTTGAGGTGCTCTCCATGCATCAATGGTCCTTGAGGTTATGGAGTAGAATCCGTAACCCACCCACGAGGACATTGCGAAGCCAACCTGAAACATTGCTCCATGAATATCAACAAGTGGACCTCGGTCTTTCGCAGAAACAACTTCATTCATCCAGAGCGGAACACCAGCGAGAAGAATGGATGATCTTGTGTTGTCAGAATTGATATCCAGACCTGTAGATACTCTAATTGGAGGTGTTAAAACTCACCCTGCTCCACTGAGAAATCTGAAGGCAATGAACATTGCCACATTGACTGACGCGCTGAGAAGGGCACCCGAAATGAGAGTCAAAATGGCACCCTAAGAAAGAAAGTGAGAAGCCCTCATCCACGATACTTGGTCTGAATGCTCACCACAGCGATGGCCCTCTTTCTACCCCATCGGTCTGCCAAGATTCCCACGAAGAAAACTCCAATGAAAGCCGAGGCGTAATATCCTCCCTTTAAAGACCAGTTTCATTAGAAAGCCCATTCTTGGATGAAGTAATCTTTAACAGCACGTTGTAAGAGGGTAAATGTACAGTCATTACTCCCTTGAGTTGAGACGCATTGGTTCGCGTGTTTAGCTGAAAGTATTCATTGAACGAAGGCTGTGCTAAGAAGGCACTTTCTGTCAATGTGAGTTCAGTTATAACGCTTCGGAAAAGATCCATACCAAGTGTGCTAGCGATGATATTGTTGCTATACCCGAAACTCAGCGATCCAAAAGACATTGCTAATACAATAATTATATTATATAACTTGAGCTGACCACTTGAGGAGCTTGCAGCCGGCATCGTGCTGGTAGATATAGTGGAAGTGATGAAGACGTTTGGGATTCTCAAATGTATACTGAAAGTATGTTGTATCCGATAGATGAAAATCCGGGGTAAAGACACTTTTTTGTCCAAATTATATCATCGCATCTAACGGCATAACGGGGACCTACGGCAGCCCCACCCGAAGGAAGCCGACGGACTACCGAAAAGTACCGGGCACTGCCAGCATTTCAATCTTGCAATTCTTTTCTGGATATGGGATATAAAACTCTAGCACTGGAGGAAGCATCGATATTAAGTCACTTTCTGAGACTTGTTTGGGGACTTACGGACTGATCGATCCAAAACTGAGAATCCACTTTCGTGGCCGTTGAATTGCGTCCGCCCTGAAAAAAGACCGCGTGCTTCCACATTTTTGTCCTCTTTTTCAAAAATTTGTCATTCACAAAATCCGGTGTCACAAAGTTAAAGAGAACTATGGCGTTGTCTGCCAGAGTTATGACTCCGAAACTGCTGTCTTCGGTATCAACTCTCCCTGGACTTCCAGCTAATTCATGGTATATCATAGCGGCCTCCACATTGACCGTGTTGAACATGCCGGAAGAGATACCTCGAGTTTTCAAGTCCGCCATCGGCCCTGATCCCACGGATCATAGAGGGCATGTATTCATTGCGAGGAGGATGCGAGAGGCACTCGTCAAAACTGCCGCCGTTGGAGGTCTACCAAAGGTCGTCTCCCAAAGCCATATAGGTGCTTCAATGGTGTTTTAACAATACTGACAAGCTTTTATTCCCAGACAATCAATGCGTTACTTCATCTGAAGACCGAAACACCGACATCATTACTGGATACCCGCCCGGGGTCAACACCCACATCGCGTCAGGTAGACCTTGTTGAAACTGAACCTATGGAGATTATAAAGAGAGGGAGGGAATATTTTGACAAGACCTATGGAAAAATCGCACATCGGGTTATGGAACAGATGAGATTGTCGGGAACAGAGGACCTTGATGCGGTCGCTAGGTTGTTTTATGGTCATATTGTCAGCAATACGGATATCCTATCACCAGTTGAGACAAGCTATGCGTTAATTGCGGCTATCATTCCTCAAGACGTAAGTCCTAGTCAGAAACATTGTCAAAAAAGATATGCCTAGTCGATTCTAATAGTCTGTCCAGGTCAACCCACAACTAAAGGGGCATCTTAAGGGTGCACTGAATCATGGAGCTACCAACGAAGAAGTTCAAGCCGTTCGAAAGGCCGTCATTGAGATATGCAAGGCCGCAGGCATGAGCAGATTACCGCGTGGGACATTAGGCGGCTGGGGATGGAAAAGCGAAATCGCAACATAAAATTTGGATTGATGATTTACAAACGTCGGAAGTGATATGCAGAATTCAAAAATGTTCGCTTATTTTCACGAAATAGAGGCGAGTTGAAATAAAACAACCACCCTGCACCCCCACCCAAGAAACCGACTTATCCTCTTTGACTATTTCCAATGCACTAAGTTCTCAGAATATTATTTTATTAGGCAGAAGGCGTCCAAGATACATCGACAACGGGTATTAATGTCGTGTTTGATTCCATCGGTCTTTTTGATAGTGAATATTTAGCTTGTCATTTGTTTATTTCATATCAGAATATGCAGAGTGAAGGAATCTATTAACATATTTCCCATTTACACAACTCCCTCTCCCTGAAGAATATTGATCATTTCCGGTGAACGGTTGATTTGCTGGAGGATCTCGCGGGTATGCTCTCCTAATAAAGGTGGGCCATGGCGAACAGAGGCCTTCGTGTCGCTGAATTTCACTGGAATTCCTGATAGAGATTATATGTGTCAGTTCTAATAACCGTTTTGGTCCAATGGTGTCCAAGACTACAAAAGACCTACCGGTTACCCTGATATTTCCGTTCACTGTCTTGTCAGAGGGGATCGTCTCAATAAGTTCACGATTCTCAATCTGCGGGTGAGCTAATGCTTTCTGAATATTGTTAATGGGCGCATATGGCATTCCAGAGCCTGTGAACGTATCAATCCACTCCGATGTTGTCTTTCGCTGGAACTCTTTGTCAAGAATCTGTTTAAGCTCCGTGCGGTGTTGAACCCGACTAGTGTTGTCCATAAATCGAGGGTCATCCACAATTTCCGGTAGATCTAGATGTCCTGCCAGCGCCTTGAATTGACGGTCATTGACGGCTCCCAGAACAATGTAAGAGTCCTGAGTTGGAAAAGAAGAATAGGGAGCAATAGTCGGATGTCCCGTTCCCCATCGTCGGGCTTCTTGTCCCGTGTTCAGAAAGGTTGCAGCGACATTGGCAAGCAATCCGATCTGAGTCTCGAACAATGAACCATCTATCTTTTGACCTTTTCCAGTTCGGTTCCGTGCCTCGAGAGCGGCTAGAAGTGCACCATGCATATACAGACCTGTACAGAGGTCCACTATGGATATTCCTGGCTTGGTGGGCGGTCCGTCAGGCTCACCCGTGATATGCAACAACCCAGCTTCCGCTGCGGCAATAAGATCATACCCGGCACGTTTGGCATAGGGACCACTCGCTCCGTAGCCTGAATGTGAGTTGAAAGACCAGGTAACCAATTAGTGAAACATTCTGTGTTGTCAAAAGATTATTAGACGGACCTGATATGCTGCCATATATGATTCTGGGATTGACTTTCGAAATTACATCATATCCAATTCCAAGCTGCTCCACTTTTCCCGGAATAAAATTGTTAACCCTGAGGTGAGTTTAACGACTCAGCCAATATGTTATTTGTGACGGATGCCTTATTCTGACTTACATGACGTCGCATTCCTTCGCCAAGTCAAGGATAATTTCTCGTCCCTTTTCCTTCTTCAGATCAATTGTGATAGATCGCTTATTACGGTTGGTACTAGCGAAGTAAAAAGACATGGGTTCTGATGTTTTCCACTTCTCTTCCTCGGCAGGGCCTTTCCAGTGCCGAGAATCGTCCTAAGCTTCCAGTTAAAATGGCGCTTTTTGCAACTGAATAACTGTAGACTTATCGGTATGATACTCACACCAGTCCTAGGCTGTTCCACTTTGATGACGTCGGCTCCATAATCTGCTAGAATTTGTGTGCAGAAAGGCCCCTAATAATATATTGCCATCGACTTCGTTAGACCTGATATTGAGTTGGTTGGGTATAGAAAGGTACCACATATACATACAGCAAGAGCTCGAGTCAGATCCAGGACTTTGATCCCATGAAGGGCTCCAGCGGTGCTGGGTAGGCCACTTGGGCTTTGACGTGCCGTCGAAATACTCAAATTCCGGATACAATGTGATCGAACGGTGGTTAGAGAACGGGACTTCACGGAGAGCCCAATCCGGGCTCTGCTAGTGCATGTAATGAACGTCTGCATGGTTTTAAGATATTTGAATGATAGCCGCGATTGGGAGAAAAAGGATAAGAAAAAGTCAGATAGGTAGTATACATACTACCACATATGCAATTCCGTTTACGATTGATTTATTTTTATGATCCTCCATTCTAATGATAATTCAGAGGCTGTTTTCGGTTATTCGGTTTACAATCGGCGATAAAATGCCGAAGACCCACCGCGTTGTCCCACATCAACCTAAATCTAGCCAAGCTTTATAGGCTAATGCCGAAAATTCCCGTGACTTCTCTACGCTAGGCCGAGTCCACGTTATTTTTAGCTATTTGAGTGAATGTACGAAACCATAGTCACATGAGTTCGATAGCAACGTAAATTTAAATGATTAACGGCTTAAATGGACAAGTCTTGTCCAGCGAGACACTGAGTTTGCGATTTTGCATCACCCCGGAAGATAATTCTTCAAGCTTGAAGCGGAACACAATGACCTCGTACAAGATCTGCGATACTTCAAAGATGGCAGACGAACCGAGAAGTGACGCCATTCAATACCCTTGGTGGTTAGGTGGAGCTGCTTCTTGTTTCGCTGTCGTTATCTCGCACCCTATGGATCTAGGTACGACTATTCCTGCTGATTTTCGTGTTCAGTTATAGTTGCGATAATGATCTTGATCTCAGAGTGCTAACACGATAGTCTTGATAGTGAAGGTGAATCTTTAGTCATACATTGAGAAATCTAACAGTGAGTAAGTTTGCTGATCATCAGTGAGATAACATTTATAAAAAGGCACGAATGCAATCAGTACAAACCACAAGGGGATCATTTGCATCTATGGTATATTTGATAAAGACTGAAGGTCTCCAAGGATGGTACCGTGGTGTAAGTGATGAAACCTTTCACAGCTAAGCATTGGATAATCCATATGTTCGACTTAGGAGTCTATTACTTTTTCCTGGCTTATGTCGTTCGTGGTTTGAGCAGGTAACAGCCGGATTCGCGAGACAGGGTATGCCTCCACCACGATGACAAAAACGCGGAAGTTCATCTCCAAATGGACTCTACTGACACTTTCCTCCTTTCACTGCATAGCCTTGTATGGAACGTCACGATTTGCCGTTTATGATTCTCTGAAATGGTCTTTTGGAAGAGGTGAATCGGATTTAGATGCCAGTCGTCTCCTGCTATTTGCGAGTTTAGGCGGTGGGTTCGGGGCAATAGTGGGATGCCCAGCTGAGGTGGCGAACATCCGCATGCAAACCGACACGGTCCTACCACCCGAACAGCGTCGCAACTACAATCATGTTTTTGATGCTTGGAGAAGGATTGCCCAAGAAGACGGTATTCAAGCGCTATATCGCGGCGTTGGGGCAAATACAATTCGGTCCGCCATTGTCACTGGGGGGCAGTTGGCTTCTTATGATCTGTTCAAGAAGGCCCTGGTTTCATACAGCAGTCTGCATGAGGAGATGACCGTGACTCATCTCACAGCGTCAATTCTGGCTGGCACGGTGACGACCTGCATATCAAACCCGATCGACGTCATCAAAACCCAGATGATGAGAAATTTGCAAGTCGTCACCATCCCTGTCCTGATTCACCGCAATGTCCTGGCAGATGGCATTTGGTGGATTTTCCGTGGCTGGGTACCAAGTTTTCTACGTCTTGTTCCTCATACTACTGCGACGTTTCTCTTTCTGGAGCAGCTGCGTTCTCTCTATCGAACGCTCTATTATGACAGAATAGAATGTTGAGATAGTGATTTTATACTTCGCGATATAAGCGGGCGAGGCCAGTGACCCTATTAGCCTAGAATACAACTGTACGAAGGCTGTTCTATACTTCCTGAAAGCCAGTTTGTCCTGTTCAATAAGCTTCGGTGCAGTCTAGTAGACTTTATATCATTTTAGACTCGTGAAGCAATGTGGACTGCAAATACTTATCAAAAATAAGTTAAAAGTCCTTTTTCTCGTAAGATCGCGCTGAATGTGTAGGGAGCTCTTTGTGAACCCAATTTGTGGTTTTTAAAACATCAAGTTGTAATCTATCGCTGTTATCATATATTTGGGGGTGGCTCGCTCGCTTGTTAGATACATTAGTCATATATTTATGTTTATTGCAAACCCTTTGCAGTCAATTATTGACTAGGCTTATCTTATTAAACACATTACCTAGTTTTTAAACGACCTTTCAATATGGCACGAGTTGATTTTGAAGCATCAAAGCCCCTCGGAGATGTTCTCCTGGTTTGAAAACAGAGGCTTCGGACCACCCTTAAGCGAGGATCTATCAAGTTCTCTAGCCTTATTCGCCACTTCAAATGACCGCGTGGAGGCTGCACGTTGGTTGAACGACCATAGTACATGCATAGCTGAGCAGCGAGAATACGCACTTCAACTCTCCACCTGTCAGAGTCAGCAAAGTACGGAGATTTTCGATCATGTTATGGGTTGTTTAGCTCTCACGGATCCATTGTTTCGGATTTTCCGTCATTATCAGAAAAAATTATTGGTTGATTATTGGTTTACTAGTCCTGGTTCCTGAATGAATTTGTTAGGGGCCATTTTTTCAGTCGGCCTTTTTATATTTGTTTTCTGAAATATTTAAATGCAATCTTTGGCTGAGAGCCTTCGAATTACGTCTGCCATATAATAATCGATTTTCTTGATACATATAAGACGTAAGGACGAGCCTTCACGTATATGTATAATAAGTACGAGCGATACTTATTATGACTAGTTAGCACCGCGTAATAGCTAACCACGTAAAAGTTTCTAGCTAATTATCATTAGATCGCTAATAGCTCGTAGATATATATGTTATAAACTTATATAGTCTAAACTCGTTTTATAGAATCGTATCTATAACTTATAGCGGCGAGAGTAAGTAGGTTATAGGAGATAACGTTAGCTTCGGACTCTCTATTTTTAATACTTATAGGTAAATCTATGTGACTTAGCATATATAATATACTCTTCGAGCTCATCCTAGAAATTCTTCTTTAGTGGCATATTTCAAGCGGTTAAAAATTCATGGCTGACCGATTGAAGGGCCCTAGGGTGTTTCTCTATTTCTCCAAAATGCCCCAAGGCAAGGCCAGCAGGCGGGGCCGATCACCCCTAGGGTGAGAATTCTCACCCCGTTTTCACCCATATCACCCACACTCATCTAGCGTGGACCCGTCGCCGCTCTAGTGTAATAGGGCTCTAGAAAGGATTGACTATGCGAATACACTAGGGCTTCAATGCTGCCAATAGTTCGGTAGGTGCCGCCGGGGTGAGAGCCACTTTAGCGTTGCGCGACCAGGGGTGAGAAGGCTGAGTGCGTGGTAAACAGGGTGAGAAGTAAGGTGAGAGAGCGGGTGTGAGATTACCCTCCCTCGCGCGACTGCCGCATTGACCCTCCTAGCCAGTAGAACATTAGTGGGCCACGATCCCCCGTCTAAAACAGCCAGCCTCTTGGCATCTGCACATAGCCCCCACTCAGATCGCGCTAATCTCCAAATTAGACCTGGAAAAGTTCCCATCATCTTTTCTTGATGTAATTCTAGTAGATCACCAGAATTACCTTGATTATAGTTTCTGGCATTGGGCAGCCTTAGAATTCCCCGTGGCTACACCCCGGAATTTGAAAGACAAGTTATTTCTCAGCCGCAGGCTCTATCAGCCTAACTGATTAAAGGATGGCACCAAGCTATGGAGCCAAACGCATTGGGGGCCAAATTGACACGCCAATGAACATTGCGCTAGAACTTTGGCCTTTTGCCTGCATCATTGCCAGCCGCTTAGTGCCTCAAAAGAGGGGAAATATCTTAAGTTGATTCCAAAGGAAAATGCAAGTCTTAGGTTGACCCTCTACTGTTGACCCGGAAATGTCAAAAGCACGTCTAAAAACGATGTGGGAACAAATTCAACCATTTGGCCGGGATTCACCTAATTATAGAGTTCCCAAAGACCGACCGACCGAGATCAGGCTAAGCGAGCTTCATGACAAACAATCCTGTTTTTCGGAACCGTCAATTGCCGAAACAACACGGTCGTCGCTGGTCAGCTCATCTCAACTTGAGGAACATGCCTCATTGTTAAAAAGTCAGAGAATCGACCGAGAAACATCACACGATAATGAGGATAACAAAAGTCAGATTGTCGATCACCGATGGATTGATGGCGTATATCTCTGCGCAAAGGCTTCTGCATTGATTATGCTGCTCAATTTGGCCTTGATCACGACGGCCGCTGGCTTATCCCGCAAGTATGATAATAGCAAATTTCCGACCTCAGCAGTGTTCTACAGGGGCAATTGCACTTTGTGTAAACGATGGGACCTTGCACTCCACATCATCATCAACGTGCTGAGTACTTGCATTCTCGCTGCTAGCAATAACTGCATGCAGGCACTTGTCGCTCCAACTCGAGAGGAGATTAATAAGGCCCATGCACAACGCCGGTGGCTTGATATTGGGAATGCAAGTATGAGGAATCTTATTGCAGCAGGGCGGTGCCGGTTGGTTCTTTGGCTCTGTTTGTTGATTACAGCGACACCATTCCACCTACTGTATGTGTGTAATGTTCCACTCTGAATAGATAGGGCCTACTGACTCGCTTATTAGATATAACTCAATGGTGTTCCAGTCTTCATCTATCAATGACTACAAAGTTGTTATTGGACCTCACGATCTAAATTCGCAAAATATACAGGGTCTCACCACTCCAGCTCTGGAGCAATGCTATGACTTTCAGCCCGTCGGAGATTCTCCTGGTATTTCCTGGAATGAAACCGTTGATCTCATCGCAGAAGGAAATTATGAGCGACTCACGACTCGTCAATGCCTTCAAATACCTAATGTTGTCAATCAAGTAGATTATAGATTGATTGTTGCGCTCACGGAAGTATTATCCGTGAGCGATGGGGGAGATGCAGCAATACTCTGGACTGCATGCTCGATGGCGTACGGAGCTGATGATACATACTTTGGTCACGCCAAGCTTGATAAAGATGTGATTGGGAGACCATTTGCAATGCAGTACGAAATCACTTATGGTATAGACACAAAATGCGTCGACAACCTTGCTGTCTTCTTCAACAATTCTGCTGTCTTCAATAACAGCACAAACTACCAGCTAAGCGGTTGTCTTGCAATCAAAGCAGAGGAGCATTGTGAGTTGCTTTATAGCCCGCCGATTTGCATCGCTATTGTTCTCGCCTCATTAGTGAAAGTGATAGCTATGTTTCTATCGGCGCGAAGTAGCCGGTCACGATCGGTGCCTCTTCTTACTATTGGTGATGCGGTGGCGTCTTTTATTGAAGAGCCAGATCCTACAACAAAGGGTCTTTGTTGGATTTCCAGAACCGAGGTTCAAGGTGGAGACTGGGAAACCTCCGAACAAAAAGGAGCAAGAATGGGAACCTGGGAAGGTGGTCGAAACCAACCAGTGATCTACAAATCACTCTCACGATGTAAATTCTGGTTACAAGCACCGAGCTTGAAGCGATGGAGTATGGCATTAATTGGGTATGTTTCGAAATTCAAGCCGCTGCCTTTTGTCTACGCTGACTTATTTCATTAAGATGCTTGTCGGCTATCGCGGCCGGTTCTTACTTCACGGTGGAGAGTGGTGTTACATTGGACCTTGCCTATTACTGGCAGAGCGGAATTGGTAGTAACACATACAATGTTCTGGAGCAGACGGCGCGATTTTCAGTTGTGGCATGTGTAGTAGTGGCGAACATGCCGCAACTAATTGTCACTATGAGTTACTACTGCTACAACAACATCTTGACGAGCATGACGTTAGCAGCCGAGTACAGCTCTTATGGAGCTACTCGAAAACCACTTCGAGTTACCTGGCCAGTCAAAGGAAACGGCAGCAAGCAACGCTCAACATACTGGTTAAGTCTTCCGTATGCGTACAGCATTCCCATTCTGGTTATCTACATGGTGCTTCACTGGCTCGTATCACAGAGTCTATTCTATTTCCGGATGACTGTCTACACTTCAAGTGGCAAGTTCGCCAATGCTCTCACAAGCTGTGTTGCGTATTCACCGTTGCCTATTTTTTTATCTCTCCTTGTTGGGAGTCTTATGTTGGCAATTTTGCTTGGCCTTTCACTGCGCCGGTTCAAGTCTGAGATGCCTTTGGCGGGTTCATGTAGCGCCGTAATCAGTGCTGCTTGTCATCCACCGAGGGATGACTCGAATGCCGCCCTAGGGCTGGTGAGATGGGGCGAGACGATGACATCGCCAGAATGGATGATGAACCAACTTGGCAGAGCTGAGGAACGGAAAGGGCACTGCAGCTTCACATCCTTCGATACTGAAAGGCCGTCTTTGTTTAAATTGTATGCTTAGAATGACTGGTTAATCTATCGATTGATGTGTCTATTCGGTGAGCAACCGTAGCGAGGGAAGGCTACTGTCGAGAATGGTTGGCTCGTGGTGATATATCGTTTTTGAAAAGCCCCTCTATCAGCTGGCAGTTGCAGGGGTCGTCACAATTGTCTGTTTGACCCGGATAATACAATTTGTGCGAAGGTCAGATTCTGAGTGTTATGATCGTTGCATTCTTTAATTTGATCTAGAATGATCTGTCTTAAGTCATTTGTTCTTTAAGTCGAACAACGTGCTGCATCGGTCGGGAAGAAGGAACTTCGAATTGAAAGTAACACTAGTCATTTGAAACACAAATTTGTATTGCTACGCCCTATTTTCAGTAGTTAAGTATGGGGCCAACCACACTTTGGGTAAGAAGGACAGCTGTCAAGTCTATCCAGCATCGTCGAGGATCTCTTCAACGGTTTGTCCGAGATGGACGGTTTATCTTATCAGTGGCCCACTCATTACTGTCGTGCAGCAAGCGACGAGCAGTTTCAATTTGGGTTTCTCGCTGAATAAAAAGCCAGATTCTGGACCCTCGAGGACCAATATTCAGATCTAGGCGATTCTCCGAGGTGATTGATTCAGCATACTTCCCGAAAATAAGCTTTTTAAGCCTCGGTGGCACGCGACTCCAGCCATTCGCAGTGTTCTCTCGCGGCTGTTTCCCGAAGTCTTGGAATCACAAGATGCTCTACAGGTCAAGATATAGGAAGGGATGAAGTAATTTCTAAAGCATGCGCTGTTCATGCTGGCAAGATATTGAATCTGATCGGAGGCTAATAAAATAAATGCAATTAAATTGGATAAACTATATTGTACTAAATAGAATATAAATGCTTGTATTGATTCAACATGTCAATCCAGATGTCAAAGTACCAGCCTTTTTGGATTTCCTTCCTATCTGACTTTCCAGAATCATGTCTCGACAGATATCACCAGGAACGCCATCATGACCATCTAGGCTACCACCACTATCAACATGGTCAATAAGTCGTTCAAGATGTGGGGCCCTGAGTCCGTGATGTTTCTTATCCTTCTGGTCCTCTCATCACCAATCGGACTTGAGCGGGCACAAGCGGACATCACATCGCATGAGAACATAGGCAAGATTCCACAGGTCGCATAGTGGTCTCTTCCTCCGCATCAATGTATGCCTCATCTTCATCCAACATTCTATTGGCTGCTAACACATAACCTCTCTTTCGAGACTCCGTAATGTGGGCCTTAATTGATCGTCATCATCGTGACCATTATCAAGCGCAATAGTCATGATTTTGCACTGTTTCTTGAGCCTGAGAACTGGGTATTTAAAGACACGGTCTTTCGGCCGAATAGGAAGACTTTCAAGCCTTTTTCATCGCCACTTCAGTGCTACTCTTACTTCCTATTTGGTTAGTCTTTATCTGTTTATCATGTTCGTCGGCCCTCGAGCCGGCCGCGGGCATGAATAGCGCATCCTCCGCCCGCAAAAGTGCAGGTCCGTGGGCGGCCCTTAGAGGGCGGCTCGCGGGCGGTTCCAAGGTCTAGGTGGGGGGCGATCACCCCTTTCTCACCTCTATCACCTAGTCTGTAAAGTTCTCACCTACATCACCTACACTCACCTAGCATTATTTCATCGCCGCTTTACTGTGAAAGGGCTTTGAAGATAATTAACCATGCGGATATAATATGGCTCAAGTACGGCTGAGCGGACGGCAAGCCCTGTTCTCCACGCCCTATGGTCGTATGTACTTGGATATTTATTAAGTAGCATGATATAGTTCAATTTGGATAGCTCGCTAGGCATGCGGTCCGACTCGGATTGGAGATTGGTCAGGTTGCGATTCCCTGGGTTGCGTCAGCAGTCGAGTAATCAGCTCCATTTTGTATCTAGTCCTTTTAGGAAATTGAACTAACTTCTTGCAGTGTGCCTTTTCAGTTTGTTAGGTCATCGATTATTCCTTCTCGACCTGCACCTCACGAGTCCGGTGCTCGACTGCTGCGACTTCAGACAGAAAAAATTCATGAAACGCTGTCTGAAACAAATGGCATCACAAGGAGCAAGGCGATATTTTCCATACGAAGTCATGGAAGTTGCATATTGACTCTCGACGCCTTACGCGGTGAAAATACGGGGATTGGCTAGAAACGATAGATCTGACTTTGAAACATGGGCTTAAGGTGCCATAGGACGGTAAATTGAACGGCTATAAGTATTGAAGAGTCATCTGGCTATGTTCCACACAGATATAGACTACTTTACCAGGTTCAACAGAATGCACAGGATGTGAGAATCTCAAAATCAGGACCAGGAAACGTTTCCAATGAACTGCCAGCAGACCCTAGATGACTGAGCTACCCACTAACAACTGGTTAGCATAGACTAAAGTGAAAATACGTTAGATAGATATGTTAGGAAGTATATATATCTTTAGGTTGCTCGGCTGACCTTGCTTCGCAATGGCCCCCACGAAATGCCAAGATACCCCCCATAAAGCAAGAATATGACTCAGAATCAACGACAATCCCCACGGATATTCAATTCATCATACAAAGCTCTTGAACCAAACCATTCCATCATTCATACTATTACTGAAATCCATCTCAAAAAGACATGCACGCGAATGGTTCCCATCAGCAGAGGGCGCTGGAAATACCCGAAATCATGTTGTCAATCCTACGTCAAATGGACATGGCCACCCTGCTTACGTCTCAGCGAGTCTGCCATAGGTGGGCGGACTTGATCCGCGAGTCAAAGACCCTCCAACAAGACCTTTACTTCTCACCGAGTAGCCACGAAGGCAATGACGAGCCCCGATGTCGCAATCCATTGCTTGCCAAGAAATTTCCATTCCTAAAGCAACTGGTCAATTTGAAAAATGGCCAAAATGCCGGCTTTCGGAGGCCTTGGGGGCACGAGTGGGAAGACATCAAACTAGTGGATTTAGATTTGTTACGATCTCCAACCAAGCAAGACCAGTATATGCGCCCTGAAGCAAGCTGGCGCCGCATGCTGACGCACCAACCGCCTCTATACACGGTTGGAAGGTTCAGCGGACAGGCTGGAAGATTCGGCTCAAATTGGAGCCACTCAAAAGCTGCAAAACAATCTAACGGTCTCCAAATGGAAGCGCTGTTTCATTGGGTTGTCAGTCTACTGTTCGATAAGCCTAGAGGAACCCATATCTCGATTTATATCGGGAAGGGCTTGTCTGCTGAAGTCAAGCAGGGGTATGTGGGAGCCACAGGTCGGCGATGCCAGATGAGTGGTGACTTGGATAGGATGGTCAGGGAATTTGATATTGTCCTAGCTCGAGAGTTCCCCTTTGCGGGGGGCTGTGCGGTTTTCGATTCCGATGGCGAAGAAGTTGATGACCCGCCGACCGAAAATGAGAGAATTCTGGAGCAGCTTCGGGGGGGTTCACCGGGAGATGACTAGAACGTTACACAGTCTAGATTTTGAAACTTACAATGAGGTCCGGGATAATGATGATCATTAGGATATATAGTAGTTAGTCGATTTGAGCGATGCGTGAGAGATACGGGATCCAGGAGAGCCGTTTCAGCTTGCGCCACGTTCGAATAAGGCGCTGAGACCCAATGGCTGCTCTCCTGAAACGGATAGCTACTTCATCTTGAGACAGTTCTTTGTTTCAAGACGTATGTCGTTCGTCAGCGCCCAAGCCACTACGGGCCAGTCAGGCATAAAAGTATCTTTTAATGAGTTGCCAGCTTCACATGTAGCTCTTTCCGCAGAACGGAGGCGAGTGTTCAATGGACCCGGAGGGGGCAGGACTGAGAGGGCGCGTATTTGCTACTAAGAATATCAAACACGGTTCTAGACATGAAATTAGCTTCACAGCTGCGTTAATGGTATGATTGAAATCGGAAGCGAGATACCCAGGCGAAAGCAGTTGCGAAGCGCTTCGTGAGGGGAGGAAATACTGTAAGCGCTTGCGCTGGAGAAGGGCACTTATATAGATGGACCAGCGATCCTATCCGAAAATAGGACAACGGATGCTTTTTTTTAGCCCACAGGCCCTAAGATGCAGAGGGGATAACGGTCGGAACATTGCATGCATCGTTATATACATCGACAGCGTGGGAATATCACAACGGACTGAGTGGCGGGGGATAAAGTTGATAGCTCGAATATCCGCCTCCCCGAAAAGCCAAAACCTGGTCAAATTAAGGCAGGAGACTGATTGCCCTCATGCGAGATGGCAGACTATTCTACCGTCCCACAGTCAGAAATCATTGAACTCTCCTCTCGGTGTCAAATTGCGCTTGGTACGATCATTTACCGAAACGATAATGGCAGTGTCTTCAGCTGTCACTCTTCAGCTGTCACTCGACGATTGTGAGCAGCCTTTCTTCGCAAACCCTTTCTAAGCTTTTTCTCCAGCAAAATTTGCCAGAAGGCGCTTAGGGCTTCCAACTTATTGGTGAGGGTGCGCTGTGTCTACCACACGTCAAGGTTCACGAGAAGACTTCCTCTATCGCGTTCCTCGATGGAACGAATGCTACCCCCCATATTGTGACAAGTGACGGCTAAATGCATCTCCTTACGCTGTAAGGCGGCCTGTATCTGTTGGTATGAGATGGAGATACTGACAAAATATTGTAGTGTGCAGATGTTCAATTTACGTCCAATGTGATATACAGCCCGCTTGCCACTTGCTTGAATGATACTGGAGTTCGGGTTATGACTATCACAGACGATGATTCCAAGCACCTCCCAATGGGTCTACTAGTCGGGGTCACGGACCTTACCCGGATTCGATCTCTAGTCAGACGCGCACTTCAATCTCGAGGGGGGCTGCTGTTCTGACACAGACGGCTATCTGGGGTATGTTTAGTGCTGTTTTACTTGTGCAATTAGGCGCTCTCGCACGATAGGGTTATCAGGTCACAGAGATGCCAATGAAGGGATCTTTATGAGAAAAGTGTTGAAAACGGGGTGTGGACCGAGTTATGAAATCAAGAGTCACGAAATCAAAGTTAAGATTATGGTGATTCAAATGGTCAATTTGTAATTACAATCTCCCACTGCTTCTAAGCCATTCATGGGATTGAGGCGAATGTTCTGTCAATCTTTCACTATTAGATCTCAAGATACGCCGTCACTACATCGAATCATGAGGAGAGCCTTTTTCTGGCCTCATCCGGGAGGGTGCTAGCCTTCCATCGAAGTCCTATAAAAATCTTTCGATAGATGTCAAGATGTCAGCATAGTCATCATCTCATTAGTTTCTAATGGCCCCAAGTGATTTTCGATATGCCAATACAGCGAACATGGGTGTCGCGCATCCATCCAATCCTTCGATCTAATAGATTCCGCAGGCGGTGTACCAACCTAATAGCCTCGGTGGCAGAATAGTGGAGTCAACAAGCGCCTAGCGCTCATTTCTCCCTCCCATTCACACCCTTTACTGTAGATATCTCACCTCGATATCACCCACAAAATGGCAGCCCGCGCCCCCTATGTTGTTCCTGCGCTGAAGAAGCACACTGCGACGGTGATCATGGCCCACGGCCTGGGCGACTCGTACGTCCCCACCCCGCCAACAGTACCTCTCCAGCTAACCTAATCTCTCAACAGTGGTCAAGGATGGTATGTCTCGAATTCCTAAACCGAAACCCGGACTCGAATATTGACATTCGTCTCGAACCAGGATGGCCCTTGCTCAGAACTGGCGTCGCCGCAACAAGTTCGACGAGGTGGCTTTCATTTTCCCTAATGCTCCCAACATTCCCATCACAGTGGTATGAAACGACACTTGGTCCGGACACAGACAGTGCTGATGAAATTTAGAACTTTGGTATGGCTATGCCGGGATGGTATGATCTCGTCAAGCTGGGCGGTGATGTGAGACTCCCGATCCTTTCCTGGAAACGTACGCTGACATGTTGCTTTCCCGCATAGCTCGATATTCAAGAATCAGTCCGCACTCAAGATGAACCCGGTATCCTCCGTTCGCGCGAATACTTCAACACCCTTATCAAGGAAGAGATGGACAAGGGCATCAAGCCCTCCCGCATCGTGCTGGGCGGATTCTCGCAGGGTGGTGCTATGTCCATCTTCAGCGGTATTACAGGCAAGGAGAAGCTGGGCGGTGTCTTTGGACTGTCTTGTTACCTGCTGCTTAGCGACCGCATCAAGAACTATATTCCCGAGGGGTTCCCGAACAAGGAGACTCCGTTCTTCTTGGCGCACGGCAAGGACGATGGCGTTGTGAAGTTTGAGTTCGGCGAGAAGTCTTATGATATGGTCAAGGAATTGGGTGTGCAGGATGTTGCGTTCCACTCTTATGCGTATGTTCATTTGTTTGCTACTTGTGTGCGACATACTAACTGGCTATAGTGGTCTTGGACACTCGGCGGATCCCGATGAGATTAACGACCTCGAAAAGTTCTTGGAGAAGGTCCTCCCCACTGAGGAGTCCGCCGGCTTATGAATTGATGAACGCCCTACTACCGGGAATGCGAATTGGGGGCTCACGCTGGTTCTTGGGCTTGCAGTGCTCCTCGCCGCAGTAGCCTGGACCAAATCCCAATCCCAATCCCGATCCCCTCAGCAATCAGAAAAATCTCACTAGATGTCTTTTTGCTGAAATTATGTTTATTTTCGGTTATGGTCTGCTCATAGAAATGCATATTCCATAGAAATGATATCTGTCCCAGCAAACCTGCGGCATGCTAAAATATAAAATAAACCCAGCCGGGACTTCAACTCAACACACCCCGTGCATATCCCTAATACCCCACAGCCTTCGCAACAGCCTCCTCAATAACGCGAATCATAGCATCAGTGTTCACAGCATCAAACGGAACCATATGCTTCATCCCATGATCATAAAATCCAGCCTTAGACGGCTCACAAAGCTTATAAAGCTCCATTCCACTCTCATAGAGCGGGTCCAGCTTGCCCACCACGTTTGCCGTTGGAATATTAATCGGGTGGAAATCCGGCGCAGACTTGAACTGCATCAAACCAGATTGCTCCCAAGGCGCACCTCCGCACAAGAAGACAGCCGCACGGAAGAGGGGCGGGGCACCGGGGTTCGCCTTTGCGTGCTGGATAATCATTGCAGCGGCCAAAGCGGCGCCTTGCGAGAAGCCTAGGACCGCGTCGAAGGGTCCTTCCTTGGCGATTATGTTTTGGGTGTGCTCGATAGCCTGGGCTACTGTTGAGCCGGGGGTTGTGTCGCGATCATAGTGGTTAAAGAAAGGGCCGTCAACTACGCCTTCAAGCTCTGTGAATATTTTAGTCAATTGTTCTGTTTCGTCGCGTTATGTGTGATTTTTGGTATTCTGTTTAGGAATCTCGAGCGGGGTGAGCGGGGAAATTTTTGGAGATTGTTTCGTACCCCCCTCAACTGGCGCCACGAATTTGCCGTTCATGAATTTGAAGGTATGTCCCTTTTCTGAAAGCTTTTGTCTCAAGCCACCTGTTTGGATCTCGAGGATCTGAAAATTGGGTCAGTTTCAACGCGTACTCTTGTCGCATGTGCACGTACCTCAGTGTTGGTGCTCGCACCGTGCAAACACAGGAACTTCATGTTGTCGCGTTGTTTGAGTAGAGATTGGAGGATGCAAAGATTATATGAAGGTATTAAAGCACAAGTGAGGTGAGAATCGAGTTTTTAAGTCAGAAAGTGAGATTTGGGGGTTCAGCTGCGGTCTTGAGTCTTTTCTGCAGACATGGGGGCGATGACGGAGTTATAAAGGCGCTAGTGGATCTTCAATAGTCGCATGTGCATGCAGGGGGGTCCAATTGGGCTAGCCCTGCGAAAGTGGAAAGTCATTGCAGCGGAATCGGATCGGATAAATTCAATTCTTGGCAAGAACCATGTGAAAAGTGGAGGAAAGTACTCCGTAGTACTCTGTGGTTCAACGTAGTGATGTTAATCTGATTAAATCAAGATTAGATTTGGCGGACATTCCGAGATCTGGCCGAGTGGGACGCGTAATTGTTCAGCCTTTCCAAACGAAATTAGAGTTAGAACTCAATGTATAATTAGATTGTCACATTCAATCTCATGAGTAAAAGGTCTGATTCGATGGGGTATTAAAATATTTATGTCCAATCAAATGTTGATCAAGATCAATCATGTTCGTGCGATAAGAAGCGATTACAATAAAGCCACATAATGTCGGTGATCCACAGAGGTCTCATATTGTGTCATCAAAGGCTACCGAGATAGATACATGATCAGAACGGGTTAGGAGTCGCCCACTGCCAGTATTCCAGGAAAACGTTCTTCTCCTTAGCGATGGGGGTGATGGGAATCTTCTTCCACTTGTAGCCCAACTCGAACTGGTTGTTTTCCGATGGAACATTAGCAGCCCAATGAGGCAGTGATTCAGTAGCCGAGCCTCCCTTGTTGGGGTTTTGAGTCTTGACAAAGTTGGCCCAGTAGGACGACATCTTCTCGGCAACCTCATAATCAGTCTGGTTGTAGGTCGACGATTGAGCATAAAAGTTATTCAGGGCGAACGGAACCTCCGAGGCATGAGTGGGGCCGCTGCCGCTCGAGGGAGAGTAATTCCACAAGTAGTAGTAAATGTCCTTGTCGGAGGTGTTGCTCCATCGTTTAGCGTAGGACCAGGTGGAGGTGCAGAATCCGGCACGCAAGATGGCATTGTACGCATCCGTGGCCTCGGCAGTAGTGTTCGCCGGGTTGAGAGCCAGCAGCTCGTCAGCATACTTTCCATACAAAGACCTAATTCCCTCCTCGTACGCCGACACGTTGTACGTGGTGGACAGGTCGATTCCATCCTCGGCTGCGGCGTTGCCAACCAGAATTGGGACGTTGTTTGGCGCTCCCTCCTCCAAGCTGACGATGTACTTGTTTGGAATGGAATGGTAGTTCAGTGCAGGGTCGAAACCGCTCAAGTCACTTGCCCCAGTTGCAGTGAACATAGTCGTGAGATCCATTGCTCTCAGCTCGGCTAGGCTTGTGACATTCAACGAGTCAACGAACGTGTTGCTGAACTCGAGCAAAGTGCTCATATTGTGGTAGTCGCTGCCATATCCGTACACGTTCGGGTCGTATGGGTCCTTAATTCCACTCTCTGCGATAACTCCCTTGATCAAGCCCTTGGTGAGATGGCTGTTAAGAATATGGTAGCTCACTCCGGCACCGAATGACTGCCCAGCGGCCGTGATGGCATCAGGGTCACCACCAAAGGCGGCAATGTTTTCATGGACCCATTTCAGAGCTGCAATTGAATCCAACAGGCCATAGTTTCCTGTCGCGCCCGTTTCCTTCTCCAGTTCGGACAAAGTGAGCCAACCAAGGGCTCCAACACGGTAGTTGTAGCTAACGAAGACAATATCCTTGCCAGCCATACCTCCACCATCATAAGTTGATGTAGAGGATCCCTCACCACCGGCGTTCGACCAGAACATCACAGGCAGCTTGGCATCAGCTGAGGTGGCCGGGCTCCAGATATTGACGGTTAAACAGTCTTCGCCGATATCGTCACCAGTTTCCGTACTGGGGCAGGTAAGGCCGAAGGACGTGGTTTTTAAGGTTCCATTCCAGGCTGGGGCAGGCTGGGGCGGCCTCCAGCGATTGTCTCCAGCTGGGCTGGCGGCATAAGGAACACCCTTCCAAGTAGAGATATTCTTCCAGTTGGGGATGGTAGATGGGGCACTGCTGCTATTGAAAGCTGCAACACCTTGGATCTTTCCCTGAGGGAGCGTGATGGGCTTTTCCCACAGAGCTGCATCTGCCACGGATAGCAGAGCCAAGATGCTAGCCCCTCGGGCGAGGTCCCCAGCGATCTTCATCTTCTCGGTGACAAAAGGGACTGAACTGGCAAAAGGGACTGAACTGGCAAAAATCGGAATTAGGCGCGAGGGAGAGTGGGTTTATATAACCTTAGTGTTCGGGTAGGGCCACGGCGATGATATGATGTCGGAAATCAAGGACAATGCTGTGGAGACGTGTACAATGCCTTGGCAGATTAAGAATCATGATGCGAGGCCACATTTTGGCGACGATCCCTGGTGTGAGTGACGCGTCCCCACCGCTATAAATTCGGAGTATTATTCGGAATAGAGGATGGGCCCTGAAGAACTGCAGCAATGCTCAGCGTGTGGGGAACATGCAGAATAAGCTCCATCTAGCCGAAACTTGTACCTGTATCAGCAGGGATTGGCCTTACCAACCCGAGGAGCTAGACTTGGATAAGTATCTATTTCCTTTGAAATGTGTTGATGATGTCGGTGGACGGAAGTTATTAAGGCCCGACAATTTAATCCTGAAGATCAGTGGGGCTCATCGATTTCATGCATCGCACCCACCGATCGAAAACCTCCAGGGCTTTACATATTTGGCTTTGCAATAAGCTACATATCACAGTAATGCTCAAAATCAAAGGCCTTTATATCAATTCTCACTAATTCTATCTCTCAGTGCATCTGCCTTTCGAATGTAGCATTTTGATGAAACATAGGGTATTTACGCCATGCCCGAAGCCGGTGGTGTACTGGGGCTGGATGGTGCCACCTACCAGCTGCTAACTGAAATAACTGTCCGTATTAGCGGTACACGCTTCGTGCCCACGCCAGCCCACTAGCCGATTTCCGCCCATGCACAGAGAACCTTGTCCCCGAGCTGGACCAGGCGCCTCAGTGCCAGCCGATGTTTCCAGTCGCAGTAGAAAGATTGGGGCTTTAGAGCTCATCACTTCAGCACCGCATGGTTGATGTATTATGCGTGAGGTTGTAGCCCCGACACAAAAGCTCTTTTATACGGTCGCCCGCAACTGCTGAGCTTCTATGCTTCATATGCCATGCGAGGACGAACTCGCTGAAACTGGTGACTTCGCTTCACCATTATCGCCTCGCAAACTCACGGCTGGGCCCGTCTCCAGAATCCACGTCTACTATTTGATGGGTCAAATGAGGCTCAGAGCCGGCCAGTTCCAGGTATCACAAAGGAGCAGTCTACCGGACTTGAGTATGAAAGCCTGGCGCCATTGATAAGAAAGTCATTCTCCGCAGGGGAATGCTCCATGCTCTAAGTTGCCAAGATCGTTCGCTCTCAGGACCTGGGGCCTTTCGAGTTGAGGCTGGACATCATGCTCGACACTACAGAGGCATACCAAGGCTTTAAGGATGCAAGTGTTCTCCAATGAGCGTGTTATGGAGGGAGCTCTACCACCTCTAGGCCGACGATGTCATCACCAAAATATTCTTTGGGCTTGCTTCAGCTAGAGGTGCATTCTGGGGCGTCCTTGGGAGCAGGGCACAGTGAGTGAGCGGGATAAAGTTGGAATGAAGTAAGATGCTCCACTACTCTATATTGATCGGCAAACTAGAAGTCGCGTCTTGAGTCAAGATTTAGATACATGTTTTGACGATATATTTACACGCATCAGCATTTTGAGAATAAATTGGAAATGACAGTCAACGGTTAAGCCAACTTAGTCTTCATACATTTCTCTGTCATTTGTACAGCTTTTTAGAAATCATGGGGTATCATGTCAATAAACCCCCTAGCTTCTTCTTAGCAGCGGGAGGCTTTAGTGGGCTTTCAGTAAAGATCAACCCATCATTAAAAAATTCCTCAACATACATTCACTTACAAAATGGACATTCGCGACATGGTTGCCAGTAGCGGGTTTCTAAGCTACGGCTTGTGGCACCCTCTGGAGTCTCTCTCGAGCGTCGGCCCGACACTAAACGAGGCCACTTTCGGCCTTCTCGGTTCCTCCTTCAAGCCCGATCGCGACATCCCTAGCCTGGAAGGCAAGGTAATCCTACTCACAGGAGGTAAACAAAAACATTGAAATGACAATCGCACCCAAACCCAAGCTAACAGCTTCGTAATTCCAGGAAATGCAGGAATCGGCAAAGAAACAATCCGCCAGCTCTCCAAGCACAACCCATCGCGAATCTATCTCGCCGCGCGCACCGAAAGCAAAGCCCGCGTAGCGATAGAATCAATCCAGAATGAACTTTCCTCCCCTATCGACATCCGTTACCTCCCACTAGACCTAGGCTCCTTCAGATCGATCCGCGCGGCCGCGGCCCAGTTCCAGGCCGACAGCGACCGGCTAGACATCCTCATTCTCAACGCGGGCACAATGGGTAACCCGGCGGCAAAAACAGAAGAGGGATTTGAGGTGCAGCTGGGCACGAACCATGTGGGTCATTTCCTGCTCACGAAGCTACTTCTTCCTACGCTACAGGAGACTGTCGTGCGGGATCGCGCGAAAGGCGTCACACCGGATGTTCGCGTTCTGAGCTTGGCGTCCGTCGCGCATGCCGTTAGCCCGACAACGTTTGAGGGGATTACTTCTACAGAATCGCTTTTGGCGGGGAGTACTTGGTACCGGTATGGTGCATCTAAGGCTGCGAATATTTTCTTTGCAAAGGAGCTTGCGAGAAGGTATCCGGAGATTATGTCGGTTGCTGTGCATCCTGGTGCTGTAAATAGTGACTTGTATGGGCATGCTAAGGCTCTTGGCTTCTCCATGAAGCATGGTGTAGAGATGGTTGTGGGACTTTTCTTTAGGAGTACTCCTACCGGTGCTTTTAACTCCCTGTGGACTGCTACTACTGCCAAAGAGAACTTGGTTAATGGTGCTTATTATACGCCTGTTGGATATCGCAGTACAGGTACTGCTTTTGTTCAAAGTCCGGATATCCCTGAGAAGCTTTGGGACTGGACTGAGGCTCAAATTTCTAAGTGTGGCTAATCTCGTGATCTACAGCTATCTCATCCTGGGTTATACACTGCCTGGGCATGGAATGTAGATATTTCACTTACACCACATGCTTCTAGACCTGGAGAAACAAACCCCATCATTTTTGAGGAACGCCATTCAACGAATGCCATCATGTTTCAAATTTTTTAAGTGATTGGCCATTTAGGAGAAGTTACACCTCCGTTTACTGCTCTTGGACGCAAATGTCATCATGATGATTCGATAGAAGTCATGATTCGCTATCCTACTCGTGCCCCTTCCTCTGAGAATCCCAAGCATCCCTAAGCCTTGAAGTATTCACTTCATTCCCAATCCCACGTCGTTCAAATGTTCAGAGCCACTCTCGCAAAACTGGGCCGCATCGTCGTGACCGGCGGCTCTGGCAAAGCAGGCCAATCCATCATCACCGAACTTCTCGACAACGGACACCAGATCCTGAATCTAGATCTAGTCCCAACGTCCCGCCAAGGCGTGCACACCCTGAGGACCGACCTGGCCGACAGCGGCCAGGTCTTCAACGCACTCTCCGGACAATGGGCACTAACCGAGCCCTTCCCCGAAGGCCTCCCCCTCCGCCCGACGCCGTTATTCACATGGCCGGGTATCCACGCAATATGCTCGTACCAGACAACGAGCTCTTCCGCTCAAATACGCAAGGTACATACAACATCTGTGAAGCAGCCTGCAAGCTCGGAATCCGGAAAATCGTCGTCGCAAGCAGCACTACCGTGTACGGGGTAGCATTTGCTCAAGGCGATGCTAATTACTCATCCTTCCCCATCGAAGAAGATCACGACGTCTGTCCGACGGATACATATGCCATTGCGAAGCTGTGCAACGAGCGTGTGTCACGCGGCTTCGCAGCCCGGTTTGGGGCTGATATCTACGTTCTCCGTATTGGACATGTTATCGGGCCTGACGAGTACAATGAGGATACCTTTCACAGTTATGTTCATGAGCCCGAGCTGTGGAAGGTACATGGGTGGGCATACATTGATTCGCGGGATTTGGGTGGAATGTGTGAGGCAGCTTTGCGGAAGGATGGGTTGGGATTCCAGGTTTTTAATGCGACGAATGATTCAATTACGAATCTGAGCCCTACTAGGGAGTTGTTGCGGAAGTTGTTTCCTAATACGCCTATTACGCGGGAGATGGAGGAGTTTGAGGCACCGTTGACGAATGCGAAGATTAAGCGGTTGCTTGGATTTCAGGAGAAGCATAAGTGGCGGAATTATTTCAACTTGTGGGATAAGAAAAGGGGTATCGCCCCGGACTGAATGTTTCCAAGGCTTGAGCAGCCTTGAGACAATCTTGCGCAGGGAGAAAATGGCAGTTAATTAGAATGTAAAATTGAATATATATATTGCAAGACCAACTATGATGTCGATCAACTTGCCCCATTTTGTTTATGTAAATATGGTCGTTCAATTGGCTCTGGCCCATCTCAAGACCTTCACTTCTTCAAGTCAATACTATAGTCGCTTGGGTATACGTAGCGAGAACCTGAGTGGTGCTTGCCTGATAGAATATACCCAGCCTGACCTATGTAATTGGAGCTTGCAAGGTGCAACCCCAGGTGGAACCTCCAGGACAAAATCTTGGAACACTGTCAGGGAAACGTTTGGATTAGCATTGATATCATGTCGATGTTCTTAACGCTAATTCTCCTGCTTCCAATAGAAGAAACCGACTTGCTCAACAGGTGCCTGTATACTCTGTACTAACTTCCAGGCGCAGGTCATTTTCCAGTGCGGGCATATGCAAGGATGTCTATAACCACTGATATACTAGACGCTTTCACGTAGTAGCTCCCAAATTATTATACCTTTATCAAGCTGAGCATTGAATTCAGACGTTAGTAGTGAAATCTGACAAGACATTCCAGGATTCATATCCGAGTTGGCATGAAGCTCTCCCCGGGCGGTGGGGGAACATGACTCTTAGGGTTTAGCCGAGCTTCAGTTTTGTGTTCGCCCACAATCAATTCCACTGCAGACAAGAATACCAAAGAACATCACTTAGATGCGACATGTATAGCAAAATTATGATCTTATTGACAAGAAACAAGCTCTTCCCGTAGAATTGTAGAATTATAGCGGAGCTCGACAGTGGCGCATTAGCGAATCTTCCGTTTTTGTAACTCCCCACACAAAACTCTCCATAGTGCATCATCATCTTTCCCTCTCGAACTTGAATCCGATTACACACCTCCACACTCACCTTCAATTCCGGTAAGCCCACCACCATACCTCTAATTTCGCCTAGAATCTCTGCTGGATTTCGATTCTGCGTCCTGTCTTTCACCAGGGACATTCGCTTACTCGCCCTTCCCCGCTGCTCTTCGGTGATCATCGGCTAACCCGACGCTGTAGAAGACACCCCCTCACAACCATCAAGATGGACACAGCAAAGTTGGCTAGAATGCAGGCGAGCGCTCGCACCGGTATGTGAATTTGTCTTGCGGGGCTATTGGAAGTTGGTTGGTGTTTTATGAGTCGATGCTGGGATAGAGCTCTGAGCTAGTGGGCAGTTCATTGTGAACAATATGCGCTGCCAGAACTTGCTCTTTCTTGCATCTTGACTTATAGACATGTCAGCCGACTGTTATGGCCTCTGCGAACTCCCTACAGTTGTTTTGGAAGCGGAATGCTGACTTTGTTGACTCGACAGGGTACGTATAATCTCTAAATCCAGACTCTTCCCCGACCCCTCCATTCCGGTTCTTTCGTTTCGCTTCATGGATTCGGTGCGACAACAATTCGACTCAACTCCCACACCCCGAAATCAACTACGCTATTACAATCTCCGGCTTCTTTGAGACTTGCTATTTGATGGGGGACTACGCGACTACGTGATTTTCACCAACGGGATCAGGAACCTGCACCGAATCCATGCCGACCGATAATCACCAACCCGCATCACTACCACATCAAACTCGCACCCACAACCGCAACCGCAATTCAAATTCCAACACAGTCCGACTAACAATGTTTTCCTAACAGTGGTAAGGGTACCCCCCGCCGCGTCGTCAAGAAGGTCAACCGCAACTCCGGTGCCGACGACAAGAAGCTCCAGGCCACCCTTAAGAAGATGAACGTCCAGCCCATCCAGGGAATTGAGGAGGTCAACATGTTCAAGGAGGACGGCAACGTCATCCACTTCGCCAACCCCCGCGGTAAGCCCATCTCCACCACACCCCTCCGCGCACCACTAACAATTCCTCAGTCCACGCCTCCGTCCCCTCCAACACCTTCGCCCTCTACGGAAACGGTGAGGAGAAGGAGCTCACTGAGCTCGTCCCCGGCATCCTGAACCAGCTGGGTCCCGACTCCCTTGCCTCCCTCCGCAAGCTCGCCGAGAGCTACCAGAACATGCAGAAGGCTCAGGGTGGTGACAAGAACGATGACGAGGATGATATCCCCGAGCTTGTTGAGGGCGAGAACTTCGAGAGCAAGGCCGAATAAATAGATAACTTTGCAAAAATTTTTGGTCTATGATCAATCAATGATCAATGAAATGGTTTCATCCCGTTCTATTCGGTTGTTTTCAGTTTCTATTATGTTTTCCGATTTCCTTTGCGGATGGTTTTGCTATGGCTCATTCTGTCTGTTCCCTTGAGCTTTTTTCTTCCTCTGGGATTGAGTGGATCGTATCGACTTCTTTCTATCGGTGCGAAGAATCCATAACCTTAGGATTTATGGGCTTTGCTAGATTCGTGATTACGTAAGATATTTGAACGGGCTTGCAGGAAGCTGGAAAGTTGAAGCGTGAAAAGAGTCCTTGTAGGACGGTTCATAATGTCTACGTCAAATACCCAAGGACTATCGTACACCAAAAATAAATCCAACCACGACGCCTAGAATGCACTTTGAGTGGTGGTCTCCAATGAACGATGCCTCCAGAGGAAGCAATCACCAGGAGAAATGTCGACTGAAAGTCGCGTACGTGACAGTCATTTAAGACTCCTCCTTCAGTCCACAAATATCTGTTCCGAGAACCTTGTCCACCATGTACCAGAACCGCCAGTAGGAGTTTGACTTGTCATAGTCAAAGGCACCGTCCTCGCGGAATTGAGGTCCATCACCCACAATATCACCAGTGAACCAACTCAGAATCGGGATGGATCTTAGCACGCGCTCGGTAACTGTGGGCTGAGGGGGGAGGGCCTCGGCGAGAGGGCGTAGTTTCGTGCGTCGAACGGTAGGAATGTGCGTCATGTATTCGGATTCCGGCTTCGGCTCCACAGGAGTAGTAGGGACGTTGCGCTGGTGCAGCGATAAGGAGCGATCAAAGCTTGAGGATGCGCCAGTCGCAGTGACGGTTGTTCCGGTGGCAGTGCCGGTAGTGAAAGTTGCGGTTGACGAGTCAAAAGACGAGCCGTCTTCTGGTTCTGGGGCATCCATAACACTAGAGAGGTTGTTCATAGCGAAAGACCGCGGCAGGGTGAGACGGTCTTGGTCCTTGCTGGACAAGAAAGAGGTTGATTGTGTAGAGGTCAGGGTACGCGGCGCTCTCGTGCGCAAAGGGAATTCATCGTTTGAGTCGGCGGGAATAGCGGAATCCTCAGAAGGACCGTGGCCGTGGTAAAGCTCACAGAAAACAAGGTGGCCATCGACCTCTTGTGGTGAATAGAAGCATGCGCGATCCGCAGCCTGGGCCGAGTCGAATGTGATCTTGATCCAGTGGAAACCACCAGCATAGCGCTTAGACTTTCGGTTGGCATCGGCGGATAGGTTCGCGCGGATGACGACGTCGCCGCCGCTCAGCAGCTGGGCATACTGAGATGTGGAATTCGGGTCGCTGCGTGGGTAATCTTCACAAATCATGCCTTGTGAGATGCGCTCGTACTTGTCGATAACCTTCCACTCGCTGTCCTTGGCCTTGTACCCGTATAAGAAGCATTCGGTCGCGACTTTCTCTGTTTGCTTGCGTGGGTTGTCGAGGCTGGAGGATGAGTTTGATTTGGGGAGGCCGCTGATCTTCTCTTCATCGACTTGCTGGGCGAATAATCGACCGAATTCGGCGACATTGGGGTTCTCGCGCTTTGCTGGGGTGCCTGTTCGTGTTCGGGATCGAGCATGCTCATATCGTGCGTTTCTCCTCTTGCCGAAGGGCCCTGATTCCTCTGGTGGTCGTCGGGGATTGCGGGATTCACTAAGTTTGTTAGTTCATTCAACAGAGGAGACTTGTGATTAAAGCGGCATGGATTCCGACTCACTCTTTGTAAACATAACCCCAGGGCAAAAGGTTGCCCTGCTCATCTCTGGCGCGCTCCTCTGGAGGGACGGCGTGGTACTCCATTGTGGAAGGTACTCCGTGGGTGTATCTTGCAATATGGAGCTGCAGTAGTGGTAGAGAGAGGTAATATGTGGAGTTGAATAGGGATTGAATGGTCCCGCCTGGGATGGGGCAAAGCTCGAGTCAAGCAACAAAAAACGGGAAACTTTTGGTAAACAGTGGTTCGCTGGGATACCAGTCACATGACCCGCCATCACTATCACTTAGAATTCTGATCTATGTTCGATTCACCTCATCTGGCTTTCGAGTTGAATCTTTGTTTATGCTTTCAATGACCTGCTAAGTTCTTGCTTCATTTTTCGACAGTAGCACCGAAGACAATTTTTGGAGCATCCAATTGAAATATATTGACTATACATTCAGTCCTGACGCAGGAATGTGATCCTCTCCGCATGATCTTTTAACCCACACGCTTGTCCATAATCTTCAAAGGAGACTTCCTGAGAGTTAAGGTATTTGATAAAATTATCCAGCGAGCATGAGCTTCCTGGGCCCGCTCTACAAAACGGCAATGGCACTACCCGATCATTGATGTTGATCCGGATAAATTTGTCCTTCTCGTCCGAACAACTTAGTCGCTCCATTATCATTCGTCCACCCATAGGCAAAACTGATGAAGTGCGCCAGAGTCTGTCGGCGACAAAGTAGCTGGGTGGAAGGGGGCTTTCACCATGTGCAGATAGAACCCCCAAGGCTGTAAGAATGGGCACAATGTCTCCATCATGAGCGCTGGAACTGGTCAGCTAGGGAGGTTCCAAGGATGACATCAAAGTTATTGCACCTACAAACTCAAAAACATTGTCCCTGCTTCAATTCCTTTCTGCAACAAGGTAGACGTTGCATTCAACCAGAGCCATCCCATCGCCCGAGCATATGCATTTCCTGGCCCAGCACGGTAATAGTGCAACAAGTCACGGGCATATTCAAAGTGATCCCAGTCTTCCCTGGTAAACACATCACACCAGAGACTAGATCCACGAACCATAGTCTCAGATCCACACATCTCTTGCATACCGTAAACTTCCATATTGGCCAACGAACCCAAAGCAGGGTTATCTTTCAGTAGGCGCTGAGCGATACCGGGAATGTACCAATCCTGAAATAAAGCCAACTGTCTAGCACCCAGATCATGGCCATGCGACTTGTCCTCAACATAATTACGGCACGTTTCGCCCGGTGTCAGGGTATCCGCGCCTCGCTCAAACGTCTCCGGAATTATCTCTAGCACTGCATTTTTGTGGCTTTCCCATTCGAGCCCGAATAACCCAGAAGCGAAATATCGGGCTGTTTCTATGACGCGCTGGGAGTCGCTAGCCCAGAAACGGGTGATCGAGTCCTTGGGTAGTAGATTGGCATATCGGGTGCGAAATCTGACTCCCGTGGTGAATGCACCTAAGATGCCTGCATAAGGCCCGGTGCTGGTGAGCTGACCAAAGTCCTTGGAGGGGTCATCGGTGAAGTAAGTCCAGTTGTTGAGGAATGATAGCGAGCCATTCAATGGTACTTTGAGTGCTGTAATGCGCTCGAGGAGCTGCAGATGACCTGTGTGAAATTGTATGAGCTTGGCGCTCGGGGATCAAAATTCAAGATTGACATACGGTTGCCTGCAGATGGTGTCGGGTACCTCTCTCCATGTCGCGATATCTGTATTTTATTAGTGAGAATGGAACGTCAGCAACTTTATAGACACTTACCATATGCACTTGGTCAACCGAGCACCCCTTGGGAGGTGCAATGGACAACTCATCATTTGATCCTGATTTCTCAATCCAGGGGCCGTTTCCCCCTAGGTGCTGGAACAGATACCATTCCTCGCTGGATTCCCTGGTCGCATTTGGCTGGGCCTGGAGAGGATGGAACCATGTTTTCCAGCTCGCGCTGTGGGGCGTCGCAGCTCCGGGGACTTGGATTTGGGGTCCACGGGTTTGAGTAAGCCGGGCGACGAATACACTGCTGTAAACTGTCACTGCTAAATAAATTGCGCAGAAAGCGAATACTATTTTTAATAGAGGCCGTCTCAGGATCATGATCTCATCACTCGGCACGCAGAGATATGCTCAAGCGACAAGCATTGTTGTGGGTCAAAAGGATCACTCAAGGGGGAAGAGCTCCTGTAATCCCCGCCAAGACACGTATGAGACCAATCGCTGCATAAGTCCGCATTACGAGAAGAACAAATGTACAAGTGTAAACTGTTGATCATAACGCGTGAATAAGATATCATTTGGCCAGAAAGGAAGGATTTCTCCCACAGTGCAGGGCTATCTAAACTTCAATTGTAATATCTCATGTAGAGAGAGGTACATACATGAAGCAACACATGGATTTCTTTCTTTCTTTCTCTTTTTATTTTTTTTATTTTCTTTTTTTTTGACAGTAGAAAAGCCCAGGTTTTTACCGCTTCAATTCAAGAATCGATCTTTTGTCAAATTCTAGTACTTTATTTCAAAGAAAATGCATAACATAGAAAACCGAGATAGTTGCTCCGTTACCATCAATTCCAGCACCTTGACATTATTCGGCAGAACATTGGGCGGGGCACGATATAATCAATGTTGAACGAACTGTTCAGAATGAGCCAGTTCAACAGAAAAGTCATCCATAGATGGCGCTTGTGCGGTTCTGATGGTGAGTACGGCGGTGGAATGTTGAGTTGATTGAGTTGGAACGACCATTCCAACAAAGGATCCCATCGTGATAGGGCTCATAGCTCTTCTCCCACGGCCAAAAACCACCGCTCCATCACAAAACTCCTGCGGTTGCCCAGGTGTCTGCCTATCCTGAGGCCTCTGACTGTGATCCTTAATTTCCTGTAGGAAAGGGCTTGTGTTCCAGCAAGACACTTGACTTCCAATTGCATGTTGACACATTTGGAACGGAGACCCAGTCAAGAACCAGGAAAGCTGATCAGAAAGCCGGCATTCTATGCTCGTAGAACGATGACTGCCGTGTCGATTGTTCAATGCGTCTAGGCTGTGCATAGTTGTGGCCAGCCAGTCAAAGCCTTTAGGGAGCTTATTGCAGGGAGATTCGCGCATGTTGGCCTTCAACCCGGCAATCGCATCGCCCAGCCCTGAGCAGAAAAAGCAGTTCACCTGGCGCAGTAATGAAATCCACGCCAACCCCTCCTTGTCAGTGCGGCTTTCCTTGAGATGACCTTGGGGGGAGTCCATGACGATGTCCATGAATTCATACCCGTAAACTTTAGATCGCCATGGGGGACATATGGCTGTCTTGGACATATTGACTGAAAATCCAAGTATTAGATCACGTATGGTCAACTGGTCATCTCCTGATCCTTCAACTATACATCCACCACTACCGCTCAGTGCATCGAATGATGCCAGGGCACCATCAGCCGAAGGTACAGCTAATGGAATAGGCCCCTTCTGGTGGGCTTTCGGAATTTTCTGCCAGTATGCTAGCAGCATTTCATGGAAAACACAGATCAATGGCACAAGCCAAGCCCTAGATTCAATAACGTCATATAGAACAACTTGCTCCTTGACACTATTTGTTAAACATTTTTGATAGTTTTTCCCAGCGCTGAACTTCAATGTGTTGATTGTTCTTTTAAACTCGACACCAATCTGTCCACCAATCTGAAGGGGTGATGTGGTCGTTGCAGTAAACTGCAAATTGGCTCCCCTCCAGCTCCATGTAGAGTATTTGACTCTTGCATCTGACAGTCGCACAGAGGAACCTGAGTTGGAAGTTCCCAGGAGACTAATTGCTTGCGGGCACCAGCCAAGTAAAGCCCTTTTGAATTGTAGATCCTCCAGCTTCGTCTTCTTCAGCCAAGTCTTTCCCGTTGCCAATATCTCCGTTGTCTTGAACTGAAAGTCATGCTTTGCTGTCTCCAAGTGCCAGAGGATTGTCCGATGATCGAAGTCTTCAACAGGAACTAGAGCAGTTGAATATCCCATGAGTATCAGGCCATTGTCGACCATGACTGGATACTCGACAGCTGCTATTTGAAGCATCATATTGAAATCAACATCCAAAAAAGCCTGCGAGCTGCAGTTGATGCGGGGGTCCATTGCAACGATTGCGGTGTCAAAGAGACTGGACCAACAAGAGGTGTTTTCTGGTATCGCTGATGGTGTTAATTCTTGAAGTAACACAATATTTGCATCGATCGTGCACGTAGACAGGCAGATTTCCCCGACTTTTGATTGACGAAATGTCAAGCAAATCCACAGAAGCAGGTCCCAAAGGTAATCATATGATGGCGAGAATGATACAAAGACTCCGTTGGCTTGTATCTTCACCATGAAGTCAGCGCTCTCCAAATAATCATCTATGTCTCTATTAGAACCGACGATATTGTATTATGGTTAATAGCCAAGTCACCTCTCACCTTCTGTTTGGTCATCTTGCTCTATGACACTTATAAGCTTCATAAGAAGGCGGATGCCAGAGCCTCCAAACTCCTCCCGGATATATTGCCCACAAGTAGATACTTTTATCTTGTCTTCTGATCTCGTCAAGGTGATTGTATCCAATAAAAATGCCATTTTATCGGATATGCCGGCAACAACAAAAGGTAGATCCCAATTTGATTCAAAAAACCTTCCGTTCGTCACTCGTAGGGGCTCTATATATTCGTCTTATTCAGTCTGTTGATTTTGAATATGTGCTGTCCCGAAAATGATATATTTACCGTTTAATTCCAAGTGCAGTCGCATGTGGGACTCGATTTCATCCTTCCTGTTGAAAGTCTTTCGGCAGAGCTCCTCTGGACATTGGAAATTGGATGGGAATATGTGGGATATGTCTACATGTCGCTTCAAGTCTATTTTTCGATTGAAACTGCCCTGATGCTCACATCCTTTCCAGGCACATTTATACGTGCCAGGTGATTTGAGTGCTGGTGTCGAAGCACTTTCCTGGGATCCCGAAGAATCTCTCTGTTTTTCTTTGTGCCATATCGAACCACGACGATCTTTCTCCTCCAGAAATGTAGTAGTTGATAAGGAGGCCGGGACGGGGGCCTTTAGTGGAGGAGGAAGAAGCTGGTGTTGTTTTTGATGCACGAACCCAGGATCGCAAGGATCCTGCGATGGGTGAAGTCCGACAGGGTCAATCCTAGATTCAAGGACCAAAGGAAAATTAGGACAACTCATTCTTAGAATGTCGTAGCTAGATATGTTTTGTCGTGTAGATGATGATCCATGGGTTGGGCTTTGGAGGCAAGATAGGAAAGGAAAGTGGGGTTCAACAATCTAGGCCCCTCAGGTCTAAGCCACCCTGCCAATAACATTCGATTACATAGGTCGGCAGTACAGGAGGCTTACAACATTTGACATTCTCTCATTGGCCGATCAGACACAATACTATGAAATCAAATACGACCAAGAAGAGTTGCTTCCAAGATTGCGCGTAAAGAAAACCGTCACATACCACAGTCGTTTCGAACTTTGGATTATGGGCAGAGAAACAGTTACCCAATGTTCATGGAATCTTTTGTGAATAGAAAAGATACTGGGTCCTTAACAACGCCCCTTCAACAACCCAGTATGACCCCCGGACGCATACAGAATTCCAGAAACCCATCTCAACGCCCCAACAGCCCCAAACTGAAATTTGTATGAACATGATGACTATCACGCGACATAGTGCCAGCGATAACCAAAGCTAACAATGTGGCTATGCTGCGCAGCAGCAGGCAAAAATAGCAATGCTATACGCCCACACTTCCTCGATAGGATGTGTATAGAACACCCGAAGGGGAATTGTTCGGAATGGTCCTGCGCAAACCGATGATTTTTTTGGCAACAGTTTGTATAAGCGGCAATTGTCCATTAAGCGATGCCCAGTGTAGTAGAGGATATCGAAGATCGACATTGTGCCGACGAACTGGTATAATCATCAGTCGAAAGTTGGGAGGTCAGTTGTTGTTTCAGATAATGAGAAGCTGAGTGGCTAGGTTCCGGGGCACCAGCTGATTTTTATGGAATCTTGGACCATTGTGCCGAGTGGAAGGATGACTTTCCAGTATTTCGTATTGGGCACTGTGATGAAGTAGTATATGCCTAATGCGAGTGTTTAGATAGAATTTGTGATTATAGTGTCGCCGAGTGCAATCAAGCCGCGTGGAGAAGATGTAATGTGAAGTCCATCTTCGCGTAAAAGTTGTGGTATTGTGGGTAATTTTCAATGGCTAATAAAAGGAGTACCTAGTCTCAAGTCTGCTCAATCAGTCTCATGCTGCAGAATTGTATTCTTTCAACCTTGGTAAGTCGATTCAACTCAGTGCGATAGACATAATTCATGTCTATCTGGATCTCTTTATGACTCTCTAAAAGAAAAAGGGATGTGACCCGCGGCAATTCTTGTTGATTCGACAGATCTTCATTCTGCAATTGTTTGGCAAGATTTGGCCATAGCTGCAGCCACAGCGGGTAAAAGGGGGTCTGAAATTAAAGTTATTCTTGGAATGGAGGCTCATAACGAGATTTTTCGTTGAACCCAAGAAAGAGCACTGTCCCACCGAGGATCACCTCCCTGTAAAGCCTCCAGTAGCTCGGAAACCAATGCTTTCCCTGCATTGCGAGCCCACCACCGTTTCCCGTCCAGTTTCACGAGCAGTACACCCCAATACATAAGTATTAACAGTGAAAAATGCTGCCGGCATCTTACATTATCCACGAAATCCTTATCCACCGCCGCAAGCCAAGCCATAACAGGCGCCGGGTCCGGCGAACGAGCAAATTTCGCGTAGCAGTGGCGCAGATGCGCTAATACATCCTTGCAAATGTCATGCTGTTTCGCGTATACCCCCGTCATAACAAGATCATTCAATGAAGCGACATGTGCAAGGGCGGCATCTTCATCGGCGTTGAGCTCAGTAGAAGTCTTCTTCCAGAATTCACCCTGGGTAAACAACTCCAGCTTGACCCATGGCTTACAGGCCTGGAGAATTTTTTTGACGCCCTGTAACAACTCGAACAAAACGACTATGTTTTCTGTGATGCTTGAGCTTTCGTCCTTTGTGGCGGTGAGTCGGGGCGACGCGATGCTTATCGCGATCATCACAATAGAATGCGCGAAAACGGCATCGCAGTTCTGTGGTGTAATGTTGTCAATCGCGTGTCGAAACGGACTTAGACTGCGGTTATAATATTGGAGGCCTCTGTCCTGGTAAATAAGAGCCTCGGCAGGCTCGGCAGTTGTGGCTAGGTGCATGGAGGCTAAGGCCATAATGCCGTCCAGCAGATAGTGATGTTTGAGCGCCAAGCGAGGGATGGTGATTTGCCAAGTGATATTCTCAGAATCGCTCACACATAGACTTTTGTACGTGTCAGTAGAGAATTTATGCATTAATTCTAAGTTGTCGATTTCATGCGGGGTGGATAGATCTGACACGGGCGATCCGACGCCGTTCCGCGATCGTGTGGATCGTGTGTCGGAGTTCTCGCTGGCAGGTGGAGCTTGATATTTTGACGGTCGCGCATTGGTGACACGGGTGCGCGCAGCCTCAACTTTCAGGTATGTGCAGTTTAGCTGGCGGTTTGTGCAATTCGAGCAAGGTGGGCCATTTTCGTCACACTTGACCCGCCTTTCGCGACATCGGTCACACCCATTCCGAGATTTACGGTGTGGTCTCAGCGGGGGCATATTGCAGTACACATTGACTTCGATTTGTCAGATGTGACAGTCAAGGAGAGCTGGGGCAATTGATGGAAGAAGTAATGATCCGACGGAAATTTGATTACGTCATGGCCCGTTGGAATGGCTTCACCACTTTCTTTGATGATTCTTTATTCAAATCAAGGAAAAATGAAATCTGTTTAAGAAATCTAGAAAACTAGGAATTCCATAGCTCTACTCTGTACAGCGACATCAATGCTTAAAAGTGTAATCTTGCATTCAGAGTCTACATAAGCCATACCTCCCCATATATTCCTCTTATCTAACGCTAATAACTTCAATCATCACTTTGCTCCTTCACCGCGATATATCAACATGGACGGATCGGAAATCATATGTCCTATCTGCGACTAAACTAGTTATGGCAGTAAAGAGAGACGTGAGAGGGATTTCACATACTTCCCATAACCAGGCGTCCTGGTGATCGGTATCAGAATCTCTGATAACAGAAAATGCCTCCTTTGCGCTAAATCTTTTGTGCCTAACAAAGACTGAAAGGCAGTGATGAGTTTTATGTGACATCGATCACAAGACTTATTGTAATCATAATTCGGAAGATCTTGGAATATTTACGTCGCTGGAAGCGCGACCGAAAGTCCTTTAGGCCAAATCGAAAAAGTCTTGATTCAAAGTTGAAAGTTCAGGGTAGTATTAATGATTGAGCTCACCTGTGCATGATTTAGCAAGGTTATATTCACCTGATTTGGGCAAATCCAAGCAGCGTGTTACGATCTCTTGAGCTTCAATTCGAAAAGAAAGTCACACCTGTTGGAAACCGGAACAATCGAGAAGCGCCCCTCATCCTCCTGATTTTCTCCTCTCCGCCTACCATCCTCACTTCCCTCACTATGCCGGCTCCACCCCTTGCACAAATCTCTCTTCAAAGCCCGGCCTTTTTTCTTTTGTTCCCCGTCTACCATTATCGTTTGAGTTGACCATGCCCCACAATTATCGTCGACCATGGCGAACAGCTCCATAGAAATTCTAAGTGAAATGGTCGTACATATTCTCTTATCTTATTCATAATATTTTGTAGGCCACCTCTGTATGATCTCCATTTTGAGCGGTTTTGAGATTAGAGTTTCCAAAGCTTATCCCTCGCGTTCTGATAATCATTCTGTTGTATACCTTAACCTTAACTTTAAATTAATCTTCTTATTTCATACAGCTGAGTCTCTATATTCTATGTAAAGGCAAGGCCAGTAACTGTATGAGAACAACTGGTAGCCATGATTCGCTAGAGGCTCCAAGTTCGGTAATACGATATAAAGCTCTTACCTTTGGTAGCAGAGTCCTTGCACATGCTGTTACCCCTCTTGGCCTCTGACAGGTGGCGTTTCAAGTAATTGGATAGTGTCAAGGCTGATGATACCAGAGATTGGTTGGATGCGTGTGAGACAATAGTAGCCAATGACTGCATAACACTCAGCTCAAGGCCCTTCGGAATATGCAACGTGTGGTACCAGCATCCTGCCACATACGCAATGCGTTCTCTACTGCTGCTTACTGGTAGCCTCACGACCATCAAACCACTTGATATGCTGTAATGTTTAGCAAAAACGTCATCCAAACCAAGCCACACCAAGGATTCTTCGTATAGTTGCCTTGTAATAGCAATTTCACCCGACCAAACGAACCCCGCATTTGTGGTTGGGGTTTCGTTTAAAGCGTTGAACGTGGAATTTCTAAGGTATTAATACAGGCCTTTTCCTTTGATAATATATATCCTTTTGTGCGCCTACTATTGCAATATTCAAGACATTGGAAACTGTTCAACCATTCGCGGCAATAAACCCCCATCTATCATTATGGAAGAGGGACCGAAGGCTGTGTGTTTTGTTTGTGAACAGATGGCTACTCGTAAACTGAAGAAACAACCAAAGTTACCAGTGTCTTCTGATTCAAGCTCTCGCATAACGAATATATGTGTCCTTTGCGCTCGACCTTTCTGTGACAAACACAAGCTGCAAGGAGGTAACGGAGTTGTGTGCGAAGTCGATCACCTGACTTATTACGGCAAGCATCGGCAGATTCCAGGCATATTCCCTGACTTGCAAGCACGAGAAAGGCATCTTGAGGAAAACCAACCCGACTTACCATGTGAGTTGTAATCAGGCGTCTCGAAAAAGTACCTAAGCTCACCTGTGTACATAGTGATGTAGAGAGTTTGCTGTCATCTGATGCGAATAAGTCGTATAAAGGAGAGGGGAAGGGAACCGAGATGAGGAGAAACACAAAAGACAGCTTCCTCCAGAAAAATGTTACAAGAAAGATTCACCCATATCAAATTCCTTTTCTCTACTTTGCGGTCGAATGATTGGTTCTTGAGTTTTGTTATGTAATGCTTCCAGGGTTACCTACTTGATCGTCTAACCGAAAGACTAGAGGAGGCACTAAAGGCTTATCTAGTCAATTGAACCATGCAAGGGTCGTAAATAGAGCGGAGACTTCCGAATCTGCCAATGAATCCCGGGCCGGGGCCATTCCCTCTAGATTGCTCCGAGAATGCTCTGAGATTACTAAGTAGCGTGAGTCCGTTTCGTAACTCTTAATCACTTAGTCTCAGTCTAGGAGCAAAATATCTCATGGACTTATCAATGCTACCCCTAATAGGTGAAACGAGTCTAACGATCCACATGGTGGGTGTTGTTTCCCAAGCAAGCTTTATATAGCTAACTAGTGAGAAGCAGGGAACGCTCGTTGGTAGCATACTTATTGATATTCGGCGAAGAATTTAACTGATTTACCAGCACCTGGGGAGATATTCGGCAGGACAGCCAATTTAAATTATGGATGCAGCAAAGACTCGTGAGAGTTCGAGGAATTATGGTCACATCCATATCATGAAAAGACACAGAGTGTAAGAGTTCTGAATATGGCCAGACTCCGCTTCATGGGCTGCTAAAAATGGACGCAATTCTGTGGCCGAAGTACTGCTGGATACTGCAAAAGTGGAGCCAAGGCAGCCTATTCAGCCTACTGAACCATGAGTCTACTATGAACTCACTTTCACATCCATTCATATTCTGATTATACAAAATGGAACCCGCAAAATGATATACACCAGGTACCTAAGCTTACTCACAAAAATCAACTTGCGATTGTAAACCAGGACCTATATTCTAGAGCCAGCTTCAACATACATATCAGTCTCCCTTTGAATAATTCCATAAGGCCATTTATCCCGAGGTAACATGAAGAGGCCCATTGCCATCATCGACAGGACAACCGTCACTATCAGAATCAAACTCCACAACACAGCTAGCATCCTGGCCGATAGAAATACCGATGAAAGTAGTATCCGTCTCTCCATGACCAGTACCCAAGCTGTTTCCATCACCATCTTTTACCTCACAGGTATCAGGGTGGCCACCGAAGTCGGATTTGCACTTGAACTTACGAGGGGTACTCCAGCAGTCACCCTCGATCGTAAATTCGCGACCATCACCAGTGTTGTAGCAAGGCGAGTGGTCATCAGGGAAGCCCTGGTCGTAGATAGCTTCGCCCGCGTCGTTGATGATAGCGAAGCCGGAGTAGTGGCCGTTTGTGTTGCCGCCAGAGGGACCGGAGATGGTTGAGAAGTCGCCAGAGGACCAGACGACCTTCAAGTGCTCGGCGTAGACAGCTGTGGAGGTGGCCATTAGGCAGAGAAGAGTGTTGCGGATGGAAGGCATGGTGGAAGTGTAGGAGTTGAGAATTCAGGTGGGTTGAGCAAGTCTGTTTGTGGGCTGGTAGCTTTGCTTGCTCTGGTGGTTTTCATCTTGATGTTGCAATTCAGGGGTCTTTTATACTTCCTCTGGTCACCATCTTGTCTCAGGGAATTGATGCCAAGAATATTACAATCCTTCTATGCTTACTATGACATCATGAAGCTGTGGTATCCAAAACATAGAGCTGTAGTGGAGAAATATCAGCAATGCACCAAGGGACTACCAGGCTGAGTCTGTTTCCACCTTCCTAAGAGTACACAGATCTACCTTTCATTGTCGAACTAATATGTAGATCGTGCATGAAGGAGAAGGGAGAGAGGCAAACACTCCGTATATTTAGAGATGTTGTTGAATCCACTCATTAGGGGTCCAAATCCGACCGACTGATTAGGAAACGGACATTGCAAAGGGGGGTGACATGAGGGCAGATTGACGGCAAACCTCAAAAAGAACAATGAGACCGCCCTAACTCTGGATAATAATCTTAATCCTATATTCATAAGAAATATTTATTCTGATTATACGAGATAGCTTCAAGATGCTGTTAGACCGCTCAATGTTTAACATCATCACATTCGGGTCGAGGGTTATGGCCGAAGCTTACGACCGAAGCTTGAGGATCATGACTCTTGGTATCGCCAAGATGCTCTCATGTTACAAGCCAAGAGTACGATAGAAATCGCGCATTCTAACAAAAGTATCAAGACTGGGAAAGAAGAGAAGAAGTGGAGTAGCTCCAGTCTACGGGGCAAGATACGGGTGCAGACGGGACTCCTGATTGGTCGGATGATCAATGCCTCGCCCCTTTCCTGTCTGGACCCTGAAGATCGTCACACTTCCAACTCAATCGAGTGTGGGGGCCGTTCTGTACCTTCAGACTTATCACGTAAGTAACACGTCTGACACAATGTAGTTGGCGAGCGCATTATCCAAAGCCAAGAATTACTAAATGCATATACTCTTGGCACGGAACAAACCAAGACAGCCAAGACGTGAGAATGAATTGTCCTATTATGGATTGAATCCTGAATTAATTACTGAAGATAAAAAAAAATCACAAAATCAAGAATACATCTGTCCATCCATCCAACATGGTCTGCGGACCAATCTTGCAAGGCCAAGTCGCATGGTTAAACAAGCGCAGCAGCAACAAGTACACCCGCACCCAGAACGCCAAACATACTACCAGACATCTTCTGGACAGCGGCATTGTACAATGGGGACGACGAAGCCGGGGCTGTAGCCGAAGTGCTGCTCATTGCACCACTCTTGGTAGCAGTCATCGACGACGAGCACCCAGACATACCTACACCACCCATAGCCTTTCCAATCTATCAATCAAATCCCCACGTCAGTTTTGCGACAGAACAAAGCACAGGGTGAATAGCGATTCTTTTAGGATTGTACCTCAACGATAGCAGGACCCGCAACGATGTTATCGTCGGTTGCCGTGGTGTTTCCCTGTGTAAGAACAACATAGCTCTGGCCAGCAACTCCACTAGGAATAGTGACAGTGAACATGCCACTACCACTGGACTGCAAGGGGGCCCAAACGGGACCAGTGACGGTAATGAAAGCAGCGTACAGGTTGGTGCTGGAGGTGTTAAAACCACTTCCGGCTGTAAGCTGGACAGTAGATCCATTCATCAGTGTGTTTGTGGAGCTCATTGTGAGAGTAGGGAATGCCATCACGGGGAGCTTTCCGTTTGTGGAAGGGCAGGCAGTGATGAAGGGCGCGGCAAGGGTGTAGACTTCGTTGAAGTCGAGGGGGTTGTCGAAGGCCTGGGCAAATGGACTCTCGCCCAGGTAGGCTCGTAGGTATGCGCTGTGTCGTGCTTCGACGGTCAGAATGCTACCTGCGGCAGTAAGGTAGGTAGCGTCCATGATGCTGCTGGCAGCACCAAGGTAAGCGCTGACTCCGACGCCTATATTGCTGTCAGTATTCGTCCATGCTCATGTAGATGGATGTGTACGTACCCTCCAAGACACTGGCAAGAGCAAGGAAGCTCTTCACATCGGTGGATGGGAAAGTGTAGTTGCAGGCCGCGACTGGGGATGCACCAGCGGCTAGAGAAAGGGTCAATATTTCCCTACACTTTGTCTTATTGGAGATTTGCCTCACCTGTCAGAGCCTGAGTCAGGAAGCTCACGTGGGTCTGCTCATCAGAAGCAACTTCCATGAGGTTGGCATAGAAGGGGTCCATGTAGCCAGCGTTCACAAAGTCCGCTTGGGTGTAGTTCTGGAGACCTTCCTGGTAGAAGGAGGCCTCGAGATGCTCGAGCGTCAAAGCGTAGTTCAGGATATCAGCTAGTAAAGAGGAATATTAGATGTTTGCTCAAATATTTCGATCAACACTGATACAAAAGTATTTCTTGGAAAACATACCATCGCTTATTGCACGCTTGTTGACTGGGTTGGCCGTGGAAAGACCGACGGCAGCACCAGCCAGAACAACATTGGTGACCTTCATTATGAATGCAGTATTAAGATATGTATCGACAAGCTGAAGACTGATCCTGACAATTTTTTCCTCTGCAGTGCAGGAAAATACGAGATACTTATAAGTTTGCCGAGATGCCAATCTTAATTATTGATGTCATGGCCTTCGCTCTGCTTTGACCTGCTCGAATGGTAGGTCGTATTATTGTTCCTTGGTCGATAATCTTCTACCGGCTGGGAATGAATGAGTCTGACAATCAAATCCATGATCATCTATCTATGTTCCAAATCGAGATAAAGATACTTGCAAGACCGGAGAAATTCGATGAATGAGGGGTCGTCTTGGATTGGAGGGGAACGAAGCCCCGGAGCTAACAATGCAGGGACACTATTCGAAAGTCAGAACGTGGTTAGCGTGGGCGTAAATCATGGGCCGATCCTGCCTAAGAGGGCAAACGCTCGGTCATAGCTCTGCATAAAAGGTAGATTAGCAAGCTTGGGGAAAGTTATAACTTAACTAGCCGTAGTGTTTGTGTGGGGTTAAGAGCGAGAGCGGGCACGAGAGCGAAAGCGAAAGCGAGACCGAGCGAAGAACCACGGATGTCGACGTAGCTCAAGCGGGAATGTCAGGTTCCGACACTCAAGCTATTGAATTTTCGGAAATTTGTTGATCTAGACCAATCGTTCTCGTAACCGGATAGAATACTTTCCGAGATTGTACAGAGCAGCATGAACATAGTTCAGTCTAGTCACATATCTATGGTCTAACTAATCACAATTCGATATTTCAGACATTGATCGCGTCGACAATGACAAACTCTATTCACAAACTTGACCTCGGCTTCGTATTATTCTCAGGTGCTGTAGTGGAACCGAGGGTTTCGATCTCCAAGCTCCTGAATTTCTTCCTCCGTCAGGCCGGCAATCTTATCATCCTCGAGTCCTTGTTCACGACGCTTATTGATGAGATGAAGGCAGACCCACATCACACCATAGAGAACACCAGCGAAGCCTACCAAGCCCAGTGTGACGGCATTTCCTCGGACAAATCGTGGTCCCTCGGAGTTCTTGTACAAAAATGGTGACATGACACCACTAATATTGCCAAAGGTAAGCTGCAAACCTGTCGCAAATGTGCGTTTACCATATCGAGGCAGATTGGTAGGTAGCCAGGCAAGCGGCAATCCGACAGTCACATACAATCCCAGAGCAACCATCAGGGCTCCGAAGTAATGGACACCGGAAGAAGAATCGGAGATCAAGATCCCATATCCGATCACAGAGATCGCGCTGAAAAGACAAGTGAATAACGCACGATGCTGCGTTCTGTCGCTCAACCAAGCCACAGAAAGATAGGCAATCGCACCCAGTCCATAACAAGGGATCGTCAGAGCCTGGACCTGGGGAACAGACCAATCTCCCATTCCCTCGATAATGGTAGGAAGAAAAGTGCTATACCCGTACAGCATGGTATCAACACCAAACTGACCGATGCAGAACGCATAGATCTTCCAATCAAGCGCACCCTCCTTCACATCAGCCCAGTGGAACTTCTGCGCCGATTCTGTCTGACCAACATAACGGCTGCGAAGACGCACAACGAGCGCCCGCTCTTCTTCGTTGAGATAATATGCCGTATCGGGGTCATCTGCTAAGAAGAACCAGGTTGCTACCCCGAGTATGACGGTCGGGATGCCTTCGAGAATCATGATCCAACGCCATCCGCGCATCCCACAGATCCCGTCCATGAATCCGATGCCGTAGGCGAGTAGACCGCCAAAGGCACCGGCAATGGCGGCACTACTGAATAGGTACCCAGTTCGCAGGGCGATCTCGCGCTTGTTGTAGAAGATAGTGAGGTAAGTCAAGAATCCTGGGAAGAGTCCTGCCTCCACGACTCCGAGTAATACTCGGCATGCAATGAGGCCGCCATAATTCTGGGTAATCCCCGTCAGAGTGGCGATGATACCCCACAGTACAGCGATAGTCGCGATATACCGAGATGGCTTTAGCTTTTTGATCACCAGATTTGATGGTACTTCGAAGAACTGGCAAGGGGTTAGCTTGTCCTGTCAGTTCAGCGGGTGTGGCTACCACATACACAATATGTCACAAAGAGAATGGATACGGCAATCTGGTATTGGTCGCCCACTAAGCCCAGATCTTCTTCCAGACCATATAATCGGGCATTGCCAATGTTTACTGCAGAAATTAGCGATTGAGTCGTCTCCTGTGCCAGTGTAACACTTACCTCGATCTAGAAAGCTGAACAGATAAATCAACACGACAAATGGAAGGATGTGCAGATCAATCTTCCGAGTTAAGACGCGCTCTAGCCTCGCTTCTTCAGCCTTGGATGTCAAATTGATCTCATCAAGAAGCTCGGGGTCATTTGTCCGGGGTGGACCCACGTCCTTCTCGGCTCGTACGTGCCCCTCCATCCCTTGCAATTGGACCTTGCGACAATACGGTAACCAATATCACCGATTGATTCACGAAAACGACAGCCCCATGCTAGTAATTGAGCAATAAATTCGGTCTAGTAATGTGAAGAAAAAATCTCTGCAGAGCTGGCGATCTTCAAGCTCGAAGGTTAATGTTGCCAAGACAGGGTCCGGAATGCTGTCGGCGGTGATTGGGTGATTGCATTATGAAATTGAAATCTCGACCGAACCAAAAAGCAATATGCAATAATTTGTATTCGTGCGACAAATGAGGTCAATTTGTCAATCTTCAGGCTACCTAATCTTCTTTCGCGATTTTTCGAAGTCAATTGAATATCTCTTACATCACTCCCAAGTTGGGTGGATCTGAGCGTTCCGAACACCTACTCGCCCCACGTGTTAAACTTGTTCAATGGAGATTAATTTCTTTGATGCCAATCCTCGCGCCTCTGCTATTTGTGAATTAATTATCGAATAAGAACCGTTTTGTTCGTCCAAGTATTCCACACTTTCGGTCCCTTGGGACAGCGGTTACTCCGTTCGGTTTTGATCCGAAAGATCGCCGGTTCGACCCCGGCAGGGACCTTTATTTTTGATTTTGTATTTTTGAGTCAGCACACCAAGCACACCTCGTTGCTCTAGACATTGCTAGCTGAGAACGTCTCTATACGGCATGGGAGGTCAACGGGGCCACACTTGCCGTTTGCCACCTGGTGGACTACACCAAAGTACCGTATGCAGCCTAGTGCTCCCTAAGCACTTTCATCAATTATGCTTCGACATTTTATATATATCCATGGGTATACCCTCTATTTCTGATTGGATAATGGCTATAAAAAACTCTAGCCTCAGTAACCTTGACTATCTGTGACGTGATTAAGGATCTGCTCTATATCTCACCGCGAATCGTTTCCAGCTTGCGTGAAAAAAGGCCAAAGCGCCATCTTGAGAGACGCTGGGTATGATTTCTTATGTTTTATTGACATAAAGGACGATAACAGCTTTCTCTGAATTCATCCTAATAAACTTGCTAGTCGGTAAGCGGGCGAAATGGATTCTAATTTAAGGTTGAGGGATGCAACATACTTGCAATGCACGTGGCTACGGAGCAGGTGTCGTTTGTTTCATGCCCAGGTAGCGATTTTAGGCTCGAATCAAGATGCAGATACAGTAGTTTTCCACATGAAAAGCAGTTTACAGGCCTGAGGTCATTTTGAAAGATTATGAAATATTAGTGATCGGGTTTGCTCTGAAAATGCAAGAAATATGACATGACCGGATGAGCAGCTAATCGCCAATGCGGTTGCATGTTTAGCGAAATGAGAGGGAGACTTTGGGCGATACTCTGGAAGTAGCAATACGCAGTAGTGGAAAAAACTGTATACTTCCATCAAGAACTTTGGATTTACACTTATTCACTTTGGTGAAACAAGTACTCAACTACCAAGAAACCTTCTTGTTGTTTCTATTGGCTTCGCATACATACGATTCATCGGATGCTCACTGCGTCGGGGTCCTTGATCGAAGGGCGGTTGCAACTTCCCAAGTTGAGTCCTGAGCAAATATTTCCTCGTCTTCCATTGAAACAAAAGAGCCATTATGAGGGTCCTTCTGCGCCGCCTTCCACAGATCTTTCAAGGAGACCTCATCAGCATGCCAACGCCGGGCGACGTAAAAGTTGTGAATAATCTGTTGGAGACGAACGCGCAGGTAGCCTTGGTACCCACTCGAGCTTTGGTTTTTGGTATCTGTCACGTAGTCTGGACGACGGCCCAAATCCAATAGTCATCTGCTAACCGGTTTTCAAGAACAGAGGCTGCAGAGTTGCCATCTATGTATAGAAAAACATTCCGCAGAGTTCCCACTGTGAGCCTCTCGGGCATAGAGGCAATGCTCCCTGCCGCTAAATCGTTCATGAGATATGGAAGTTCCTTTTTTGGGGGGGGGACGATCGGAGATGGTTGAACTGCTTCCGCAATTCGCCGAGGGTCACGAGAAAGCTTTCGTCTCTAGTAGGCGTCAAGGAAGGCCAATCTAAAAACTCGGGGGTGTATATCGATTGGATTGTGAGACCGCAGGCGATCGCACTGAAAGCCATATGCATTGAATGCGACGACTTTCGATCATAAGAATCCCAACGGTCGGGATTTTCTGACTGCCAGTAAGGGTTCATATCCAGCTTTTGATTTGTGTAGATTGTTAGAACGTATATTGTAGTGGGGGTGAAGATTACGAAGTATATATAAGCGCTTACGCGCAGGGATCAGCATCCCAGATCATCATGCCTTCTACAAGCCACTTCTCTGGGTCTCCTTTCTTGTCTTCCACTATCTCCCGTGGCCGAACTAGATGTCACAAGTGGGTCGGTAGCAGTGGCGCGCTGGTTCGCAGACAGTACCCTGCTTCAATATTTAAGACCTGACTAGAGAATGATGACCAAGACAACCTACCTGGGAGGGAAGATCCCACGAACAAAAAGGAAGAAGAGCAAGAAATGTAAAAAAACATACAACAGTCAGGATTCGCATGTGGTCACCCACCATACTACTAACTAACCGGCGTGTGGCTTAAGTACGGCTGAGCGGACGGGAAGCCCTGTTCTCCACACCCTATGGTCGTATGTACTTGGGAATGGGTTGGAAATGTTTATATGGTGCAAATATTTGCTAGGAAAGTTCGAATAGTCCCATATTCGTTAGCCAATGAAATCAACTTTCTATTTTTACTGGTGCGCGGTTTTCATTGGGACATGGATGTTATGAATAAACTGGCGGCAGAAATATGTACGCAGCAACCTTGGGAGCGAACAACTGCCTTGAATTTCATTCTTCGCTAATCATAATGTTCCATTATATTCTTGTGCTATAAATTGATTGCCATCACTTTTCAGTGTAGTCTATGTACTGCACTATATTAAAAGCTCGAGTAGACACAGAAGAGTGTGTCTAGTGTGTAATGGTGTTTCGTTGCTTCACTAGGCAATTTCAGTGCCAAAGAGGAGATGTCGGGGATTGGAGGCGCGGAAACTATTACGCTTAAGGGGGAAAAGACCTTGAGTGGTAAGAAGTCGCTGTTCAGCAATTCCAAAATCCTGTCTATAATATAGTGACAACGCTCCTCGGAAACCAATTTTATCAGCCTGAAATACGGTATTGTCGCCGCTTGGTCGACTACTTCTGCCAAAAATTAATTCAATAGTATTGCTGCAAGCTAACTGTAATCCCATGCTTCATCCAATATTTTGTATCATACATTAGCAGGAAAATTGAACATGTCGGGGAAGAGAGCCAATGGACAGGAGCATTCTGTTAATCTGGGTGGTTTAATCAAGGCATATCTGAGCTAGCAATGCTGGTAGAACAATCCTGAAAAGAAAGAATAAAGCTATCAAGAATGGAAGACCAGTTCTAGACACCATTCAAATCAAGTACATGAGGTTAAGCTTTGTACAATAAACAATATCAACACAGGAACAAAGAATATAAGAGCATCACCCAGATTCTAGAAACTGGACCTTGAAAGCCATATGTTTACAAAACAAGCATCAGAGACCCAGTCAAAACAACTGTCACCAGCGAGGCAGCACTAACCCAGCCAGTCACAAAGACCGCAGCGGGGGCAACAGCGCCAGCAGCGGCGCCCTTAGACGTGGAGGTAGAAGCGCTGCTGCCAGAGGATGCTGTGCCAGTCCCAGCTGTACCACCCGCCTGGCTGATAAGCGAGCTACAGGAGCCCGTCGCACTACTGGCCGACTGAACCTTCGCGGCGCCTTTAAAGTCACAAGCAGTGCTTGCCTTTTTCTGACTAATGTAGTACTTGTTGAAAGCCTGGGACAGCTGGTCCTTGCTTGCACAGACACTGTAAGCGCCATAGTCACCAGTGGTTGCATTGTGGGCGATACCAGAACAGACGTCCGTGCCGTATCCGCAGACCTCGGCGAAGAGATCAGAGTACTTTGTGGAATCAACGCTGTCGCTGACAACACAGGACAGGCTAGCGACCATGCAGGAGCAGAGATCAGAGTCCGGGGTCGGGGGCAAGGGGCTGGCCTCTGCGAGCCAGTCGTCGTCTACGGTTGGGCATGCGCGAGGCGAATTAGTCGCGGTGTAGCTAGCGCTGTTGACTCCAGTTGCTGTTGCGCTCTGGATCTCCTTGGAGTAGTAGCTAAAGTCGACCTCGGTGGAGACAGAGTCGCCATCCACCGAGACGAGGCCATAGTCGTTGGTGGTCTCGAAGTACATGTAGACAATGCCACCGCTCCAGACGTCGTTCATTTCGGAGCCGAAGAGGACGGGGACATCTTCGAAAGTGCGGGGCTGTACGGTGTTGCAGCCGTACTCGGAGAAGAAAACAGGGATAGAGTAGTTGGAGTATTCCTCGGTTCGGGCCTCGTAGCCGGAGGTTTGATAAGTCTGGTCGCCGCACCATTCGTAAATGTTGTAGCCGAAAAAGTCGATGGCCGTGGTTTGGTCTCCGCAGTTCAAATAGTTAGAGAGAGAAAGACGGATGTCGGACTGATCGGTGGTTGCATAGCCCAGGCCCAGCGAGGTTCGGTATCCCTTCTGCTTGATGTAGGCCTTCATATCTCTCGCCGCAGCTCTGACAAAGGCGGCAGCGTTGGTTTGGTTCGGCTGGTTGACGACTTCGTTGCCAGCGAAGAATCCAATCACGTTATCATACTTCTGGAAAGCGTCAACGACGGCGGTATAGCGCTCGTACTGTTCAACAGTCCAGACAGGCGAATCGGCTTCGATCGAAATATCAGGGGACGAGAGATCAGTGATGACATAGATTCCGGCATCGGCCAACTGCTGCATACAGTCATCGTGGTCTTTGGTGGGGTCCACGGTGTACGTGCGGATGACGTTGGTACGCAGCTGGGTCAGATAAGGGATATCGCGCGCGCAGCTGGAGGAGTTGGCGAGAGGATCGGTGTAGCCGGTATCGCTGGTCTGACCGGTTCCCGTAGATCCGCCACCGGTATAACCCTCTAGGAGATAGTCAGAATTGACAGCATGGGAAAGAGAGTCATATCAACTCAACCCTGATAGGCAACTCCGCGAATAAAACTGGTCGCAACATCAGTACTCAGGACGTTGAAACGGATCTGGTGGAAACTCACAATTCGCTGCCATTGTTGGAGTAGAAGAATTTAGAGCCCTGAGAAAATTTTACGGTTCCATTAGCACGAAGGTCTCCTGTCTAAAGAGGTAAGTATAATCACCTTGATCTCAATCGCGGGGACACTAGCTAGAGCGGACCCGCATAGCAGGGCGATTGCCGACACAATTGAGAGCTGCATCTTGAAAGAACGATAAGCAGTCCCGGGCCGAGAGCCTCGTGAAAAGCCAAGCGAAAGTGGATTTTTTTTTCCTTGCAAAGCCAGGGAACGAGCGGACAGGCTTTAAAGAGAAGTGAGAGACGGGGAAAAGAGAAACAAAGGCCATTTATGTAAAAGAGGCGACCCAGGTTTAAAATAGGCACAGCCGTCAAAATCCGGCAAATTGGCCAATAGGTGAAGTGCGCACGATTTCCACTATGCGATTTTGGGCCATACTTTCAAGACACTCGATCCAATGGGCCCTTGGTGGGTCCGTCAAATTGCTTGATTTCTGGTGTTGTGGGGTCCGTTGGCCCATGCGATGAACCCCGAAAAGGGTTCAAGGGACTGGTCAGGGTCGTTGTTGGGGTCACGCTAGTAGTGTGGCTTGCTTCAACAGGTTGGAACATGGCATTTTGCACCAATCAACGGCCCGTAAATCCAGTAGTACGATTATGGCGTCGCACTCATTTAGCCGTCGCCCGGAGTAAGCAGAATAGTAGTCAGGAGTCCCATTCTTCCCTTTTCACTCCACTCGGCCAGGCAACAATCTTTTAAGTCATCCTCTGGTGCCGATCAAAAGGCAGGGTTTATGTTTCACAGAGAAACAACGTTACACGCTGATTCCTCGCCTGGGAAGACGAGTAAAGTGGCAGGAACAAAGAAAAAAGTGGACGGGTGTCGGGGAGGGGCAAAAGAAAAAGTCATGTCTGCCGATGATCACCCAGCGCCCATGGCTGCCGACACTTTGGGCGTGAGCGGCTCGCCGCTCTATTCACCCACCTGCATATTATCCACCTGAATCTTCGGTGCATAACAATTTACATCTTCGTAGTTTGACGGAAAGCTTAATAAGCGAGCGAGATGTCCTCCCCACCCTCTCTCTTTCCCCTTTCCATCACTCGAAGGAAACTGTGTACCTCGAGCCGCCCAGCGCGGGACATGATTCATGTTGTCTACTTGGACGAGCACGGCAATGATCTAATTCTAAGCACTTTGTTGCCACGAACAAAGGAGGCTTACGCCGGTAAACTGTATCTGTTCGACAGGCATGGAATCTCTGGAACTGCGGGAATCAAGCACACTTAATCTCAACACTCGATGAATCATGACACTTTATCCTGCTGCTATCTACCTCCCTCATATATACCTTAGGAGACTTCTTGTCTTCAAGGCCCTTGAATTTCATTCTATTGTGGCTCTCGGCAAGGAAACATATATGAGATATTTTCCTTCCTGTAGGAACTATAGTCGAGAACTTGAAATATGAGCCACCAAGTAAACCAAAATTCTGACCCTACTTATAGGGCCTTATACTGACGCATATCGATCCGAGGCTCAAATACGGCAGAGGATGAAATGGCAGATAGAACATAGTGGAAAAGCTACATCAATTGAGTGCGAGAATTCGTTTTTCTTCAAAGATATAATGAAAATCCTTGACGCAGTTTGCTGCTCCTGTACTGGTCGGTGGGCTCGCATACAATTTTTGAGCGATGTCATGGTTGATCGACAACATTGAATCTACGGTTCTGATGCTTGGATGGGGCTGTAATTGCCTGTCTTAACACTGATCAATACCAGCGCTTCGGCGCGTGAGTAAACCCCGCCAATGCGGTGCGTGGGGGGCGAAAATGTTACATGGTCTCAAGGTCTTGCCCAATAAATTACACCAAAGCTGTAGATGCGGCACAAATTTAAGGAAAACCCAACAGGGGGACCAATATGCTTATTTAATATTCTCGCGATCTTGGTCAATCTGCAAGTAGAACCCGCTAATGCGCTGCATGGGGCCGAAATATTTGTTAAATTCAGCGAAGTGGGGCGCGGAACGCGCAAGCCGGAAGGCACGGCTATAAGCTCAGAAATCTCCAATACAGGATATCGAATATGAAATCGGCGATTGAACCGATGCGGGTGTGGTTTAAACTATGATAATCTCATCTCAGTTGGGTTTAACCTTCAGCTGAGCCGTGTCTGTAATCTGAGATGCATCACCAGGTTAAGCTCAAATCAGCTAGATGTCTGACGGTTGTCCAGGCGGAATGTTCCCCTCCCGCCCCCAAACTCCGCTCTCTAGGTCTGCATGTTCGTAATCAGTGCAGACATTGGAAGGTCCAATTGTCCTTTGTTTTGGTTTCTCGGCGCTTTTATCACATCTATTTAGTCTCTGCCTCCCTTCTCAGTCCTTCATAATATTCATTTTCCATCAAGAATTTATTCCCCTTTTCTGTCCATCTTCCCACAGCTTTCTCAACAGCTGTCAACCAAAACAAACTGGTTGAAACTCCAAAAAACTCCACACAAGCACTCGCTATCATGTCTGTGAAGGCATTCATCTACGCTTACCGCAAACCCGGCCTTTCTCTTGAGGATTTCAAGAAGCACTACGAGAATCACGCTGAACTCGTTAAGCGTATCTCTGGGGAACATTTTCCTCTCGTACACAAGCGCACCTACATCGCACGCAACACCGTCGAGGTCATTCCTGAAGGTGCCAGTGAGCGCAACGCCCTGACTCCTGCCACCGTTCTGGTTGGAAAGCAGTCCGACTTTGATTTCGATGCTTACGCGGAGCTTACCTTCGCTGATCAGGCTGCTTTCCAAGCCTTCAGTGCGAGTATCTACGCCCCCGACGCTGCCGCTGAGATTGCAGCCGATGAGGAAAAGTTCCTTGATAAGTCGAAGTTTGGGATTGTCTTGCTTGGGGACGTCATTGAGACCTTTAAATAAAGAATAGATGAGTATAGGCAGAGCGCCTATAGGTCGTTTGTTAGCGGGAGGAAGCTGGTAAGGTCCCGGCACTGACCAGGTATAAAGAGAGGCATGATGCCAGACCTAGCAGGATTTGAAATGAGCTATTACCTCCATGACTCAAAGGGATTCGGGGATCTAGAGAGTAGTTCCCTGAGATTTAGTTTCTTTTTTAAATAACTTTTTTTTTTATCAATTTATATCTATTAGCTATCTATGATCTCTACACTTATAGTCTATTCACGACAATGTTACGTTAGCATTACCTTCTCTTATACACACCTACTATAGGTGCTAGCGACGTGATTTCTTCTAGTATAAAATTATTCAATATCGCCAAATATAACTTAGCTGTTGGGATACTTGATTCGGTTTAAGAGCACCATACCTAAACAGCCCTTGAAATATGTTGGCATCGGCTTATAAGGCGAAAGAGAGAACATACTGGCGGATATGTATGGGAATTTAGGTGGTGATTTTGTGCATCCGTTGAATTACCTGGTATACATTCTTTGTTAACTTTCATTATGGAAATTTTATGCTGTAGTCTCAAGTGAGCTAGGTAGGCTGTGATTTAAACAAGTTTAAGTTCAAATAACTGTCTTCGATAGTCATATCGCGGTATTTTAATAGGGTAAGCATAAAAGGACTACGCCCTGGCGGAAAAGGTACCCCAGCCTAGACCATAGCGTCGTGACCGCGATAATGCATCTAGGAGGAGAAGTCAGCATGGAATGAAGAGGGCTAAGTCAACAACAGTAATTTTATTTAGGTGAAGGGGGCCGAAGAGCTAAATGGTAGGGCGACAAGGACACTTTCTTCAACAAAAAAACAAGAAATAAACAAAAAAAAATACATACAACAGTCAGGATTCGCATGTGGTCACCCACCATACTACTAACTAACCGGCGTGTGGCTTAAGTACGGCTGAGCGGACGGGAAGCCCTGTTTTCCACACCCTATGGTCGTATGTACTATATTGTTGAACAAACAGAGCTGTATAATTGAAAAAATATCACTGTGCATGTGGGTGGTGCGGCACTGCGGCACAGATGAGAAATTTGGGATGCCGCTTTAGCGTCGCGTGGGGTTGAGAGTGGGGGTGAGAAAATAACCTCCGTCACAGGGTTCTGTTCAAGTTTTGATTAGCTGAGAAACTTTTACTTCTCCTGCCACTGGTTTCGAAGATTGCGAAAAGGTGAAGATGGCTTTGGCTGGAAGAGATTGGCAGTCTCATGATGATACTGAATTCGTCCCCTTTGAGGCGTAGTGCTGTATTGGCTAAGCACAAACTGCATTTTTTCAATTGGAAGCGGCTGGGACATTGAATATAGAACGTCACTCAATCTGATATAGGTCTCAAATTCAAGCAGTTGTCATCATTTCCCAGAGTTCCACACTCCCTGGGGATCCCATTCCACTTCCAGGGAATTCACTCGACAAGCAGGAACTCTCGGCCACCCTGTAGAGTCCCACCATTTGCAACAGTAGCGTCCATACGAACTCTGCGCCGGAATGCTCGAACATGGGTTTTCGCATTCCAAGGTGGGATCTGTATCCATTTATGATCGACGCGGCAAAGCGGCGTTTTGAACTCCTCGTTCTTGAAACGCTGGGTCCGATGTTATAACAAAATGTGCATGCGTATATGCTCCTGCTCGTATCTAGGAAGTAGTCACACTCATCACATACATGATCGTTGTTGGCATCGTCAAAGGCGTCCTCATATCGAGACATGGATTCAAACAGTGTCTCGTAAGACTTCCTTTTGGCTGCATCGTCATCAGTGTGGGATATGTCCTCCATCGATTCCATTCTGCTTTCCAAGAAATCGGTAATCTGTTCAATTTTAATATAAAGGTACAATTTTCCTGGAGAGATTCCCAGACGATGGCTTCCGGTGTTCTGGATTTCACCTCAGACTGTAGCCATTCTTTCAGAAGATCAGTATCTAGCGCACGACGAGCTAGAAGCGAAAAGGCAATATGGAATGTATAGGAATTTATGAAACAATAGCGTGAAGCCGCGATTGTCATTACCAGTTGTGTCATCAGATAATAAGCCAAATACCTCTTTAACGTCTTCTTGAAAGAGCTCTGCGGCAGCCGTTTTTTCCCCTTTGCAGACGAGGTCGCTGCCAGGTATGTCTTTGCAGCAGACATGCCATGAATACCGCCCTTCTGGCTCTGGTAAACTTCCTCCAACTTTTGAGAATAAAAGTCGGCCTTTTCGGGCTCCTTGAGGAATCTGGGGGCCTGTGTGAAGTAATAAAGGCTCAGCTGTCGCCCAACCTTTTCCAACAAGATTACTCCTGTAGACTGGTGCTTGATCTTGGCCCGGATTATTTCAGCGCATTCTTCCCATGCTTTGATGGCCTGATCTGTATGACGAGACTTTCCGGAATAGCATGCATGCGTGATCCCTCTATGCAAAAGCAATGTAGCGCACAACTTATCCTGGTTCTAGGCCTTCGCATTATCAATGGCTATCTGCATGTCTTCCAGCAGGTAATGGAGGTCCTCTGCAGAGGAGTAGCATGTTGAGCTAATTATAAATAGCAGGCGCATCCTCGGTGGCCATCTACATCACTAGACCAAGGTGTCTCATAGGCCCTGAAACGATTCTGAGCTTCAGTACCTCGTGAATCCGGACCTCTAGCTCTTGCTTGCGGTCGCAAAGAAAGAAGGCTTTTATTAGCTCATATCGGGAACTAATATTGCTAGCGCTAAGTTCCAAGGCTTTCTTGAGAAATTCCAACGCTTGGTCTTTTTTCCTGGCCAGTCACGCTAAACAAACCAATACTTTCCCATGTCGATCTCGGTCGATGTCCCCATACTCTCAAGTAAGTCACTGGTCTTTGAGTTGGAAAAGAGACAAAAGTGTTAGTTGGCAGGACATGAGAAAAGAAATAGGAAACTTGGGCAAAAAAACCTCCTGATATTTGTTGAAAGCTTTTTTGCGACTATGAGCGTACGCTTACGATTCGGCTAGCCGCTGTACCCAAACATCTTGTTCACGCATCCGGCTTGGTCCCAGTGCCTTCTCGCACCATTTCTCAGCCTTTGTAACATCATCGCCCTCCTCGCCATCTTCGATGCTATTGCCGTCCTCGGTGCTATTTCCATCCTCGGTGCTATTGTCATCATCGGTACTACAGCCATCATCGGTACTATAGCCATCCTCAGAGCGGTCGTCGTACTCCTCAGAGTCATCTTCCTCCTTTTCGGAGCCAAGCTGAGAATTTTGACTACAAGACACTCTGTCCTGCAGAAATCAAAATCAACGGCTTGACATCTTGATCTTGGTTGAATACCCAGATCTTGTAAATTCCTGCCTCGAGGAAGAAACATTTTAGATCTTTGATTCGTTAACGGATAGACCTGGAAGGTAGAGGTTGAGCCACGAACGATCCAAGTCATGCGTTTGCCGGGGAGTAAAAATCGCGGCCCGATGGTTCTAGGCTGATACCTAAAGGCTATACAGAAAATAAATCTCGGGCACCTATGCTCAAGGAAGCTTACGTGTCCCCGCCACAAAGCTTGAGCACACTTTATCAGGGAAGATTCATGGAAACGACCTCCAACGTCGATACGAACGCACAAGACAGATAAGGGACCTTAAAAGGGTGATTTAGGCGTCTCGCCAGGCAGTTGCGGTCACTTTACATAGCCATTACAATTTTGTAACGTACTTATGAAAGTAGAAGTGTTGGGAGGAACCACGGTAGGTGACTGAGAGCTCCCGATACAGAAATCCCGATACAGAAAGATAATCATTTTGCGTGCAATTGTGCCAACTGGTCAACTATTTTGTGGGGCGAGAATTCAGCCTGATACCGGTGGCTGTAGCGCGGGATAAGAGCTTCCGAAAACTTTGGCATGTTTTACTCAGCGCCTTCTATGATTTGAATTGGAAGTAGATACCACAATTTCCCTATTGAGAATGAAATAAGACTGGCAAAATAAAATTCCGATAGGGAGATATCAGGTTGTCTCCTTTCTATGTTATTTATATATCAAAACACACGAGCACCGACAAACATAAAATCTATTGCGAATTTATCGTTTATCTGCCCTCTCACCGGTGGTATGAACAGGCTTTGTTAGTCGCAAAGCCCAGCAAATTGCATATTCGACAGGAAGAAAGAGTAAAAGAACCCGGTTGAAGCGAAAGCATAGGGTAACCGAGAAAATGGCCACGACAGCATCCAACCAGTAATGGTTGGCGGTAGCAACAATAACGCTCAGGACGAGGATCGGGTAGAGTATAGAGAGCACCAAGAAAGAAATCTGAGTCAGACATGACTTCTTCGTTGGCTTGCCAAAAAGTCTTTGCACCACTCCAGAATGATAAAGAAACGTGCAGCCAATCACAAACGCATATGTAAAGTGTAGACTGGGCATGGCAGCGAATTGGTTCACAGATTCGCCACCAACCCATACACTTTCGGCATTCCCTTGTCGGACGGTGTCGTAGAATCCATAGGACTTGGGAAGTAGCCGAGGGGGCATGCACGGGTAGACGCAGAACACTAAAAAGGCCACAAAGTTCCCAAGGGTCATAGTTCGACGAGCCACAGCAAAGGAATCATGTTCTTTCGCGGCGTAGTAATACCAAGAGAGGAACCTATCGGATTGATTAATATGTTGATGGACAAGTCGGAATACTAGAAAGTCAACGACACTCACAACACAGTCCCCGGAATATGCACCAAGGAATAGATTCGATTGAACACAGTCAAGATTGATGGGTGATTTTGGATAAAAAATGATTGAAAATCCACTTCCTTGATGGGGAACATCCAACGGGCGCTTTGTTGTTCGAAGTCGAGGATGTTGATGGCGTGGTCTCGCGCAACCTGGACAACTCCTATCTGGGCCGGCGACAACCACTGAGCCGTGCTCTTGGTCACAGAATAAAACAAATAATTCATAATCCAGTAGAACATTTCCACCAAGAATGGAAATTTGTGCAAGATCCTACTGTGGATGTGGTGTGACCAGCGGGAGGAGTCTCGGGTTTTGATAGTAATGCCGTACACATTCTCGGTATTTGAAGGAAGTTCGTTGGTGATATGGGTATCGCCGTCCTCTAGTATATCGTAGCTACCTCGACCTCGGTGTAAATGCTCAAAGTGTGGCAGTTCCAGTGAGTTTCTGTTGGAGTTCCTTCTGCGGTTCACGATTAAAGATCCAACCATGATACTGACAACCACCTATGGGTCTCAAGATTATTAACAAGCCTAACCACACATATGCATATGTCGAACTTACAATAGGCTCAAGCCATGCGTGAGATGCCATTTGTGGCTTCCCTAGGTCGGGTGAAGCGCGGCCAGTGAGATTTGCGAAAGTCGCCATGTTTGAATTGATGGCCGCTATCGTGGACATCACTGATTAAAGTGACTGAAAGGCAGGGTGAGGCCTGTTGTCTCTTGTGTGAGTTCCGTTGGATATATTCGATCTGGAGTACAGCCTAAAGCAATCTTATGCGCTAAAAAACAGAAAATTGAGGAAAATAAGAGACTCCTAGACAGGGCGATTCACGTACAGTCGTGTATCACGTGTCTATTAGAACTGCCTCCCCCTGACCGAATGTTCTACCTCTTTAAAATTTCAGCTTGGGGAGGATAAGCGGAATGACCGGAAGGCGTGTCTCCCCGAACCCCGTTACCCGATGGTACCAGCGGCAGTGGCAATGGCGTCAAGTAAGCCGAGATAATAGCTAATGAATGGGTTTTTGAGTGTCAGGATCTCGATGGTTGTGGGCGAAGTAATGCATATGTAAAATGCATAGACTTTCGATATATTTCGGTGCTCGTCCTCATCCGAGGTCTTTGAGGTTTATTGCCTCTCGGGGTCATTGTCCACGCGACACATGCCAGCTTCCTAACGCAAGATTTGTACGGTCTTTCGTCAGACCTAAGATTGCCAACGACAGGAATGAACCAATCAAGCTAAAGTGGATGTCTTCCGCTCAAAATAATCCAAGAGCAAAACTTGCCGACCATTCTACCGCCTACTATTCCATTCCTCTCCGTCACCTTTCATTGCATGTTATATCTAATGTGTTCACTATATTCTTATGCAGATGATGGCCTGGTTTCTAGCCTCTACTTGGGCTTATGTATCCGCACATGAATGATTACCTATTGACCCTGTATCTGTCGCGGGGATCGATTGTGGAGATTAATCATTAATCAAGGAGGAAAAGTCTAGGGTAGAACAGTGGGCCCACTACTGATAGTTTGAAAACTCAAACTTAAAATGAAACTTGCAGACATCGTATTCGTACATCTAGACCACGAGCGTGACAATCTTGCTCTCGCTATTCCTTCTATGGTGAGCAGTATCCAGCGAATGCACCAATTAGTCGAATAAGTTAAAGAAATGGCTTTCCCATTCAGGCAAGTATACTAGAGCAGGACCTGAGTGAAGGAAAAGCGTTTGTAAATTGGGAGGAGATCTCACCCGCTTAGTCATTTAAGCTTTCTGGACGGTAACTAAATAACAACTAGTATTTAATGCCAGTGACATATTACCCATGATAGATCGGATCCGCTTCAAGCCGAGGACGGATGCCACAAACGCCGAGAAGTCCGAGTGAGTAGTTAGCTGTTAGCAGACGAATGACTCAAGAGCAAACTTCGGCCTCTGATTAGTTCACCAGCTCGGTCTATCCGGTAACGGAAAAGAGATTCATTTTGATCGCAATCCTCGTATCGCGGGATCGGAACATTGCCAAGTCTTCCTACTACTATCCGAAGCATCCGGAATCAGGGCCAGCGACCCTTCTTTCTCTTCCTTTAATTTCCATTTCGCCACTGCCTCACAATCGGCGAGTCAATGCTTGGCGCTTTTTTTTGATGGTTTTATTGATTCTTCAAACCCCGCCCCATCGACTACACGGCTGCTACTTTGTACTACTGTCGTCTCCTCCAAGGACACACGCGTAGGGTAATATGTGGTGGCAGCGATCATTGGCTCGGATCTGTTCCAGCTACTGATTTTACTTCAAGAAAAATCTAGAAGCAGGCGGGGCCTTATAGTGCCCAAATTTGGCAGTCTAAGTCACGTCAAACTCTCTAGGAGTGGAGTAACGATCGTCCGTTGTGGGAGTTCTTCAGCCCCTTTCTTTTTGTTCCTTTCTCATACTCTTTTTTAAAAATCGCAATACCTTGGTGGAGATTGCATCTTAGATCGAGAACATCTTGGTTTAAGCTGTGGGCTCGATGCGATTAATAGCTACTAGAGCTGCCTGGCAGGTATTTTCTGATATCGTTCACGACTGCCGTTCCTCATGATGACTGAGGACATGGACGCTGGCGCTGCGGCGACAATTATCGTGTCGCATATCAACAGCAATGGACGCATGAGCTATTTCACCTACGGCAAGCACTCGGATACGATTATAGCACATATAGCGCTGATGATGCTGGGTTGGTGCCTTATTCTACCTGCAGGTAAGAAAACTTCAATATTGTTCAGTTCGATGGAGGAAATGAGAGCAGCAATTAACTTATCGCAACAGCGGTCGTTCTGAGCATTACACGATCGCGATTTGCGCTCCTGTCGCAGTTTGTTTTCCTGCTCTTCAATACACTTGGTCTCCTCCTGGGCATTGTCTATAATAGCCAAACACCGGATCTATATAAGAACAACGTCCACCACAAGATAGGCTGGATTGGGACATGGGTAATTGGAGCCCATTTCATTCTGGCACTGATTTTCACCTACTCTGGGCGCGGCGAGTCTCAGTCGATATACAAGTCGGTATTATATCGTACGACTGGCGCGATGCACGATTACTATTCGTCTAAAGATAACTGCCAGAGTAATGAGTCGAAATCGCCGAGCCATGGACTTGAGTCGTCATTCTGCGGGTCCATCACCGAGTATGACGGACTCGAGAAGAACAAGGATGAGCCTCTAGAACAGCTGGCTGCTCCGCGTGTCTGGTTTCGCAACACTCTTGTTGACCACTTTTTCTCCATCCGCGTCCCGGGCATGGTCAATTGCGCCCTCCACATATTCAACGTGGTATATAATTTGATTGACCGCACTATCCTACCATTCGGGCTCATCGCGATAACAACTGGTGCTGTGACCTATGGCGGTATCATGCGCGACTGTAACGTCTTGGATAGACTGGTGCAACTCTTAAAAGATGAGATTCTATTTTGGTATGGTATACCCATGCCGGGACGCTTTCTGATTTCCTGGGCAGACCTGGGTAGGGCATGAAACAGGGACCTCCCAGCGTCTGTCGTGAGCACTTAAAGTCAATATTTCCTCCGAGCAAGTTTACCGAGTCTTTAATAATTCTATACAAGGCTGCATCAATGCTTCATGGAGCAACTTTGTACATCTGTCATATTCCTTGGCAGTGTGGTAGTCAATATCGAAAGAAGGTTCTTCCAAATATATTACAGAAAAATCTCATGTTCTAGTACATAAACTCAGAAAGATTTAGAATGTTTTGACCATGCGTCTCACCTAGGTCCCATATTGCTAACCGAATGCTTTTATTAGTAAGTCCAGTGAAAATCAAAAGCAGAGACACATAATAACATTTCATTAGTGTGGTAATAATGCGCCTCCGCTTCAGGCGGGGGTGGCCCGCCGCTCTGCGTACTCAGCCCTCTCCAGGACAATACGGGTGGGCCTTCACCTAGCTGAATACTCTTTTCCTGAATATGCACCCTAGACAGAAAAATTCACTTTCTAAAAATTTCCAGACAATTCCATAGGTGCAAATTACTCGTAGTAGAAGCTTCGATCTTTCCCACTTTTCCATGCCCTTGGAGAAAGAATATGGAGGTAGAATATATATTGAGTATAATTTACTATTGATAATAGCCTTAGAGCCCCAAAAAGATATACATATTGAAGTATGACTACTTCCTGAAAGGGCTTGATAATTACGCTAAATATAGTAGTCTGCCTTATATAATTTGATCTATAATTAGATGGTATATTAGATCTAGCCACTTGAGACTTAGCTACATGTATACAGCTGAGTTCATGATCATGAATGATATTATTCAAGCCTTTACTGCTGCTGTTGCCCTGGGATTTTTTAGGGTATAAATATACCTGACTGTCACTACCCAATACTGAGTCAGGCCCGTTTGGGAGATTGCGGAACTGCACTATGCGACTGTGATAGGGCTTATTATGCCGTTTTCTAAAAGACTATTGGAGAGCAAGGGGAATGCTACCACGAATCCTGTGTTGACTATCACCGATAACACGGAATGGGGGCCAATGAGGTCCCAAAAGTACAAGAAGCTATAAGGACCGAGTGAAGGCGAGTGCGGGTACAGCAATTTTCAAAGTCAGTTGGATATGTACCTCCACACACTTCTTACCATATACAATGATTGTCTCGGCCCGCCAAAACTAGGCCAGAGAGCTATGATCGAAGAAGAACGCATATGTAAGGAAAAGTCAGCATGGGAGGGGATGGACATGTCGGCGCTTCCAGGGCTTGCAGGATATCCAGGTGCAGAATAGTGCTGTTCAAGGCGTTCAGATAAAGGTTAAAGCGGCAAGAGACCTTGCTCGCACGAACAAAAAGGAAGAAGAGCAAGAAATGTAAAAAAACATACAACAGTCAGGATTCGCATGTGGTCACCCACCATACTACTAACTAACCGGCGTGTGGCTTAAGTACGGCTGAGCGGACGGGAAGCCCTGTTCTCCACACCCTATGGTCGTATGTACTTGATTATGCGATGAAAGAAATCATATCGACCAAGTTGTTTCTGAAGTATGAATGTGAATAGACAGGGCGAAAGGGGGAAAGCGGGTGATATATCATCCTCCGTCGCGCGACAATGTATGAGCTCGTACGCCTATTGGCGAAGGAGAGAACGATACCAGATACTTATTGATTAGATCAAATTTTATCCCTGGGCGTTGTAACGGAGTATTCGAGTGACCTTACCAGTATGTATTGAGTTGTTACCCGCTGAGTACTGTACATACAAATACAAATACAAAATAAGGTTCGGTGGCGAATGAACCAATTCCAGCTTAATGTACTGAATGAACCCACTCTTGTCTTGACAGATGTCTACCACGCCAGAGTATGTTCTTGGCTCTCTCTTAACGTATAAACCTCATTAAGCGGTTATGCTATCGAAAAACTACTCGGGAAAACTACAGGTGGCCAAGGCAAGCATTCTCGTTCGCGGCAGAGAGTGGAGAATTCAACCGGAATAGATGATGGGGCTCTGCTTTTTCTGCATCCGACGGGCAGTTTAATGCTCCGGAACGAATTGAGTTTGATTTGTCAAACGCCTCGATTTTCATTCAAAACCGCAATTCCTTCACTTCATTTGCTATCTAGTTACTCTCACTACTCTGACGGTAGGCAAGATGCTTTCCATCAACATTCCAAAGCATGCTACGCCCGATCAGTATGAATTGGGCGAAGTTCCTTCCCTTGCCGTAGAACGCCCAACCGATATCTTAATTAAAGTCCATGCTGCGAGTGTCAACCCGATCGACGTCAAGAAAGCGGCGGGGGCAACCAAAGCTGTTCTCAAGGACAGGTAAGAGTCTTCTTTTTCCTGGGCCTTTTTTTTTCATACTAAATGTTCCGGGAAGCTTTCCATACAAAATCGGCTATGATTGCGCGGGCACAGTCTTGGATACCGGATCCCAAGTGACACGATTTAAAGCTGGCGATGAAGTTTTTGTTAGATTGCCAGAATGTCATCGGGGATCGTGGAGTGAGCTGGCAAGGTCAACTGAAGACTTTGTTGCATTGAAACCGAGCACTATCTCGATGGAAGATGCTGCCTCCATTCCTTTGGCGTGCATGACGGCACTCCAGGCGCTTCGGGGTTACGAAGGGAATCTCCAAGGAAAGACTGTCTTTATACCTGCCGGTTGTAAGTCTTTCCCTGACCTCCCTTTTGTAGACCGGATGCTAACCTTGTCACAGTGGGTGGGACTGGTATATTCGCATGTCAACTAGCGAAGAATATTTTCAAGGCTGGCAAGGTAATTACCACGGTCTCCACCAGCAAAGTGGAAAAAGTGAAGGAGCTCTTAGGCGAAGGGGTCGTTGATGAAAGTGAGTCGACTTCATTCTAGTAGTATACCGCACAGAAGCTCATACTTGTCCTACCAGTCATTGACTATAAGAAGTCTGATCCTATGACTGTGATTCCCTCGCGATCCGTGGATTTCATTTTTGACACCACAGGGAGTGCGATGGAGTATCTATCATTGGTGCGCCCGAAGGGAGCCATTGTTACAGTTTCCATACTCACCTCGGGGGACGTGCTCCAAAATTCTAGCGTTATGCGACGATCGCCTGGCAAGCAAGACAAGGTGACTGTGCCCTTCCCAATCCGCACAGCTCTGAACGTTATGGACTGGACCCGAAGGGCGCGTGCATCTCGCTACGGGGTCAAGTATTCATCTATCTTTTTGGAACCAAACGCGACCGATTTGAACTCCATCCGAGAATGGGTGGAAACAGGAAAGATGAGAACGATCGTGGGAACAAAAGCGCACTTCAAGGACCTTACGGCGGTCCGTGATGCATGTCAAGTGGTATATGATGGGAAAGGGGGCATTGGAAAATCCGTTATTGTGTTCGTTTGAAATGCTTTTGGATTCAATGAGGCATGGAACCTCCCAATCTTAATAATATTCAGGACACAGCTCCCTCATTGATGTCTGATATTCATCTTTGTCTGATTGATGTATAACAATATTGAACATATACACGGGCGTTCTATCTTCCGAGTTTGACCTGAAACGTTGATGGAGAATTCTGCACACACCGATGTTACAGGAAGGCGAGGTAAATGGTAAGGCAAATGGAAATTTACTAGTATAAGATACAGTTGTAGATTGCGTAGAGCGGGCTTTCCCGGTATGAAATGATAGAACAGGACATACCTGAGGAACGATATTCTCAAAACATGTCCACTGGAATATAATCAGTACCACGCGTCGACTTTATTATCATGCTTCATTTCTCACAAGGTCTACAACCCTTTAAAAGCATGCACAGGTGCAAATATTAATTCAAATCTAAAAGAAATTGGCTTCTGCAAATACATGGACTTAGGGTGCCAGCCTTGAACGTCCATTCAGAGGAAATTCACTGTGCGATCCTGGCGCTAATCACTAATTCGAGTTCCTATATCTCAAACCAAAAGTGAGTATGTAAGGAGACAATTATATGTCGTCCATTGGCTTTTTCTCACGGACTAGACTTTGACTACAGCTTATGACACAGAATCGAGAAAGAACGCATGAGCAGAACATAGGGTTGGCTTAGAAAGAAAAGCTAGACTAATATTCAAGCAGTTACACACTTAACTTAGGACTTTCGACCACCTTGACAGTCGCCTTACATTCACATAAAGGCTGCTGAGTATTCCAAGAGAAATCCGGCTCCGCAGTACAGCAACCCAAGATATCTCCTCCATAGAGCGGTAGCCTTCTTTTGTTTTTTCACGCTGACCTGAGTAAGTCATTGCATAGAAAGCTGCAACTCACATTTCGATCGCACTGCATCGGTTGGAGCGCGTCACAGGTTCACTTTGTAGTCTCCATAGTCTCTTCAATCTCATTCGCCACTTTGTTGTAAACTTCTTGCCGCAGCCTTTTCTCGTCTACTGTCTTCACTAAATGGTCCCAATAGTGGGGTACATTCTCAATGGTCTCAACACCAACCTGCTTCCCCGCGGCCTTGAGTCTAGCAGCTGCAGCTTCACCTTCAACCAGCAAGGGGTCCAATCCCGCAAGCTTCAGAAAGATCCGGCGGGGCAAAGCCATATTCATCATATCCGGAGAAGCAAGTCCTGGAGAGATGTACATTTGGTTTTTGTCTGGCGTTGGTTGCACATTCCAGAAGTATGCCCGGTCAAAGATGTCACCGATGAGCTTGGAAGACGATGCAGGCTTTTTCTTTAGCGCAACAAATGCTGGATTGGAGGCAGCACGCGCAGCTCTGGATTTGGTCAGATCCATTGGCGGGTAAAACGCAGTGATACCCTTGACTGTGCCCATTACCGCAGAATCGACTAGCGGGTCTCTGTCCTGTAGTGCCTTCCACAGCATGAATAGCGAAGCAAACGCCATCTGACCACCGACACTGAAGCCGGTGATGAACGTACGGTGCTTGTCTAGCCCCATGGCAGCAGCGTTTCTCCAGACATAGAGCATAGCATCAAGGCAATCGGCCACGGGAGCAGGATATGGACACTCGGGTGCAAGGCGATAGTTGACTGCAATGACAAAATGACCGCGTGCGGTAAGTGTAGCGATGAATCGCTCGTCATGGCGAGCATGTCCGACACACCAGCCTCCTCCATGCAGGACTATGACGATAGGATATTGACCTTTGTTCGCAGCTTCTTTGTTGTAACCAGGTGGATAGTAGAAAAAAAGGTCAAAATTGCCCGGTGAAGTGGACAGAGTCGATGGGATGAAAACTCGGGAGCTCGGAGTGAGTGATAAAGCAGGACTTCTCTTACGATCCAGCCAAGCAAGAAGCCGCGTTAGCCACCTCAGGATGCGCAATTTGAAGTAGAACGTGAGCCAATCCAACGCCATCGCTTGGTGATAATTTGCGTCAAAAAATTCCAGTCAAATCCTAGCTGACATAAAGTGTTGGGTGAAAAACGAAAGATGGAAGAGTGATTTTGCCTAGCATGATGGCGCATAGTCTGTGAGCCTTTGGACTTTAACATCTTTCCATTCGACTCAATGGTAGATTGATAATCACAGGACGAAAGAAATACCTTCTACCGAGGCAAATACGGGCTTGAGAAAGAAAGGGCCGATTTAAAAGTGGAGATTGTTGACCTCGGGCGTTGGGGTCCCATTGCCTGGTAACGGATAGTTTGTTCCTCCGAGTATCGAGTTATGAACAGACAACATCAACGACTTAGGCCTTTGCCGGCAATGGGAACTGATTATCCATTCACATTGATATATAATCAGTATCCAATGTGACGGAGGGAAGAAGACACGAAATGCTATCTGCTAACACCTCTCGTCAACTTCGATTCTAGTTTGGAGGCTGCTGTGGGCCCAATAACCTTACTCAGTATGGCAATGTGTATATAAGGATTCTACTTTGGACATGAATTAGTCTTTTTGGCACAGCTTGGTAAAACAATGACATTATTATTACAGGACAGCTCACTTCACCGTAATTAATTATTAAATACCAAAAACTAGCCCAAAAATGACAATACAAGCTTGGAAACGCTGTTTACCAGCTTTCCAAGCCCTCCCCACCCGCTGTGAATCACCTCACAAGTGTTGACGATAGTTCCTACATTTGGCAAAATCAAGCAGGGATAGCTAAATAATCTTGGGAAAGGGCGGGGTGATTGAACTATCCGAAAATGATCAACTAGCGTTATTGAATGACGTCATGACTTGCCTTAGCTAGTCATATATTTACGGCAGTAAAATAACCAATTCAATCCATCCTTCACACTACCTTCTAAAATCAGACCGTCTTGAGATCGAGATATTCAGAAAATTGGATCATACTGTGAACAATTATGCCATACTTCAAGCTTCGTGATGAAGCTGAGCTTTACTACAAGGACTGGGGCAATCCCGGAGGGGCCATCGTCACCTTCTCCCATGGGTGGCCCTTGAGCAGTGACAACTGGGAAAATCAGATGATGTATCTCGCTGATCATGGCTACCGTGTTATTGCACACGACCGGCGTGGTCATGGGCGATCTACTCAGACCTGGGATGGGAATAACATGGATACCTTTGTCGATGACCTCGAGGAGCTATTTGCCCATCTAAAGGTCAAAGATGCAGTGATGGTTGGCCACTCGCATGGTGGAGGAGAGGTTACCCATTACCTTGGAAAGCATGGCACAAGCCGCTTTAAGAAAGCTGTTCTGGTCGGTGCCGTGCCCCCCTTGATGGTAAAGACTAGTGCCAATCCCGAGGGAACTGAAAAGTCCGTTTTTGATTCGTTCCGAGAGGCAATGCGTAAAGATCGCGCTCAATTCTTCCTGGACGTCCCTAGCGGGCCGTTCTTCGGATTTAACCGATCTGGTGCACAGCAAAGCGAAGGGCAAATTCGTAGCTGGTGGCAGCAGGGAATGAACACCAGCTTCAAGTCAGCATACGACTCAATCAAAGATTTCTCGGAAACAGATTTCACGGAAGATCTGAAGAAAATCGATATCCCAGTGCTGGTTCTGCATGGGGATGATGATCAAGTTGTACCCATTGAGGCATCAGGATTGAAGTCAGCAAAACTTCTGCCTCAAAGCAGCCTGAAGATCTACAAAGGAGGATCTCACGCTATCCACAACATCAATGTTGACGAAGTTAACAAAGACCTTCTCGATTTTATCAAGTCTTGAATCCCTCATTTTAGTCTTGACTTCGGAAATAACTTTGAGATCAACTGTTATATCTAGTGCTATATATTAAATGCTAGTCACGTAATCTAGCAAGTGCTGCTCGTTCTAATGACATGATATGGTCAATTTTTCTGTCTGAACCTGCAGCCTCTATATGTCTTAAATCATTATATTGAGATGATCAAAAAAAGGGTGGAAATAGAGGTAGATTTACGTACTAGTCTCTAGTGATTACGCTGATGCTACTTGACTGACGTATGCTTATGCATGGAAGTAGAAAGAATATGGTGTACCGGCTCTCCATATGTTTATGATTCTAGTCTTTACCTCACTCATCTACCATAAATATCTCCTGCTATTACCGTTTAAGGGCAACATAAACAACCCCTAAATGATTGCTATAGATTAGTGTAAAAGATGTGACCTATCGATGATAGTTTTGTAGCCCGGACTATCTTGGTCAATCCTCTCTGGATAACGCGGTACGCTTTCATGTGATATAAATAGAGACTATTTATTATTAGAGGATCACATTAAGCAATTAATCACTTTTTTGACTGCCAAGCTATATGCACAATGACGAATTTTGTCGAGACATGGAGCGGTAATTTACCGCCTAAATAAGGGTTATATAGTGGCGTCTAATAAGTCTGAGACAACCCATTTTACCGCTTTTACCACCGCCTTCTATATATAGTTAGCCTACCTAGGCACGCGTTATAACACGCTAGTTTAAATAATAATAAGTTATTATAATACCTATTCTAACCCCTATATTATACATAAGCTCTATTTAATATACCTCTAATTCGCCGTGATAATATGGCAGTATGTCGCCGTGGGTGCGAATTAGCCCTATATAAACGTACGAAGCTTATAGAGCTTAAATCAATTAGCTGGTTATATAAAGAGATTCACGATCGATATCCTTCAATTCTAATCTCTATAATTAAGTCTATATAGCTTAGATCTAATCAAAAAGGGCCCTCGTAAGAGACATTACCTCGTTCTAGCCCACTAAAGAAGCTAAACGAGGAGGATAAGGAGAATATCCTTTAAGCGATTAATAATAACCCACGCGTTAAATATAATGAACTTCTTGCAATAGTTAACTATAAGGTCTGTCGAGATACGATGTGGAGACTTCTTCGCGAAGAGAATAAACGGAAATAGCTTCGTCTTCGACGCCTAGCGCTTACTAAAGATCAAGCTCGAAAGCGATTTGAATGGGCTCGACGAGTCCAAGATTATGACTCTGAAAAATGGACAAAGATCTTCTGGTCTAACGAATCAACTATCGAAAAAGGTAAAGGTACTCGCCGAGAGTATACCTTTAACCGACCCTCGACTTAAATTCCACTCTAAGATATCGACGTAGTTGATTATCATAAGGCTAAGTCCTAGATGTTTTAGGCCGCCTTTTTAGGAAGTGGTCGAAGAACAGGCCTTATTCCCCTCTTTGGAGACCCGGATTCGCCTTATAGAGGGGTTAATCGATAGGTAATCCTCGAGCTTTACTAACGAGTTCTTCTAACTTTATTAGATGGAGTTTATGGCGCTATCTTCTAATAAGATAACGCTCCTATGTATACTATATACGTCGTATATGATTGGTTAGTGGATTAAGACTTCGAAATCATGGCCTGGCCTCCTTATTTACCTGATTTAAACCCTATTAAGAACCTTTGGTCGCTCTTAAAGGTAAAAATCTATGAATTATACCCTGAAATTAGAGGTATGCTAGATAACGACGAGACCCTTGAATTCGTGGTTTCTGTGGTATAAGAAGCTTGGTTAGAGATGGATATAGATATGCTGGAAAACCTTGCTATAACCATACCTCACCGGGTGTAGTAAGTGCTTTAAAACGAAGGCTGGTATACTAGTTATTAAATTTAGAGGTTTTGAACTGGTAGAAAACGCGGTAGAATATAAGGCGGTAAAATAGGTTGTCTTAGACTAGTCAGACGCCACTGTACTGATCTACTTTGATTCAAGTTTTGTACAGTAATTTGGTATCCTTGGCATTACGACTGGCGTAACATCGTGAAACACGAAAGTTCAATCTGTGCTGTATTTGAATCGGCCCTTTCACAGTTTACCATTCATTACGAATCCTATAGCGAGGATACTAGAGTAGGGTATCAGGGTCCGTAAAGAGTGGTAATTTATGAGAGGGTCGGTCATTCGTTCTTTCTTCACTCAAGCAACTTTCCCTTCCAAAATTGGTTCCACTAGGCCTCGCCTTTCGCTTATTCTTGCGAAAGGATCAGTAGCCTATACTATTTCAGCTTGCTCAGCTGTAAGTCCTTCGGCCATTCGGAACACCCTAAATCATCATACTGAATAGAACATCTTATGACTTTGTCACTCAACGCTTTGGGCTCAGTATATAGGCTTTCGGATATCTTAGTGTCTGTCCAAGATATCACACTAGGTATTTTCCTAGATGACGAAGTATTTGAAGCGTCATAAGATAGCCTCTATGTATCTTCGGTACTTGATAGCGGTGTGTTTTTGGTAATATATAATAATGATCTTCTGTATGCCTCACTTACGCTCTCCTATTTCAAATGCTAAGGAACGCTATCGCGTTGAAACCAAGCAAAGCCGGATTACAGCATTTTCCAGTAGTTTTGCCTCGGAACATTTGGACGTTGAAATTTTGGTAGCCCAGGCGCGCCGGCTTTCCAAGGTTGAGGAGACATCCACGGCCCGACGCATCGGCGCAACCAACCACCCGGCCCAAGCAATGATGCTAGCCCTTGCCAAACTCATAATTCTCAACACAGTATGCAACCCGTACCCTCTAACCAAAGCTCGCGTGTTTACCTCGGTAGATTAAGCTCACAGTCGCTATATAACTTTCAAAACAGGAATGGACATTTGCCTTTGCCATCTTCTTTATACTACCATCGCAAGTACATCATGCATTCTGTCGCATCATCAAAGACCTCTGGTTCGTAAGTGAGATTCAGATTTAATTCCTACGCTGGCATTATACTGACTCTCTCGATGGCCTAACAGACATCCTAAGTGTCCGACTGTCCAAGTCGAGTTTGGAAGTCAGAAGGTCGATGTACCCAAGGGCGGTTACTACGACCGTTATCGTATGAACCCGAACCTAGACGAGGTAGCCCGCGACCCAGCCGTTGGACCCGACATCGATTTCTTCCGGAAAATCCCAAAGAGCCTGGTCGATTCGAGAGTGGGTCAGATTTATGCTCCTAACTTCTATTATCGCACCAAGAGTGTCCAGCTTGTCCTTCTCGCGCCCCTTGAGAGCTTAAGGTCGAAGCTTCCAGCGCCTTTAGAGCCTATCACGGCATTTCCTGGCTATGGCTTGGTTGCGTTGACGTTTTACTCGTACCTCGTTTGCGACAACGATCCTTACAATGAGGTATCGATCGCCATTATCGTCCGCCAGCCGGGTAAAGGTAGCTACAGTACGACACAACTGCTTAGCTCTATATGGAACCGAACCTTCTATGGGTATGTGTTGGCGCTGCCTGTCGATACTGAGATCGCTCGAGTCCGCGGTGTATACGGATACCAACTCCCCAAATGGCTCGCCCATATCAATTTGGAGATGGACGAACACAATATTAAAGCCGGTGTCACCGCGACTGACGGAAAGCCCGATCTGACGTTAGAAGTACCACTTCCAGCCCTGAAAAACATCCCGTCGCAATCCTCGATCGGCATCAACAACGCGATCAACGAGATCGATGGGAAATGGCACCAGGTAACAGTTCAGACGAACCCACTCCTGGGGTCACAGCGTCTTCTACCTGGCGACGTCAAGCTCTCTCGGGGCCAAGGTCCACTCAGCAAACTTCTTGGCGAATTGAGCGTCTCGACCATCCTGCGAATGGACGTTCTCAAGGATGCACAGATGATCTTGAACATGCCCACACCCTTAAAGGCGTTTGATAATATCAAGCTGTGATGATCATCATTCGACCTTCCTTTTAGCTAAGTTATGAGGATGCGAGCAGCACTGTTAAAGTATCTGTTACGGACGAGGCCGTTAAGGATGTCGGGTCAGCATAAATAGCAGCTCTGCGGAGTGATTGTACTGTATCTGATCTCACGCATCACTGCTCAGGATTTAGAGGAGTACTTCGCTTAATTACGTATGCAGATTGTTGAGATTCCATTAGGAGTAGGGCTTCAGGATTCCAGACCATCTGGGATACCCAAACACTCGTCAAGTAGATGTTATTATAGGCTTCTAGACATGACAGATATAGGCTCAACTAGCTACCTTTATTCTCCCTTAAACACTAAATTTTGCTATCTCCAGACCTAACGAAGACTCCTGCGATTCGGTGTCAGGACGACATCGGTGAAACATCAAGCACCAGTGTTTTCCTACCAGGCGGCCAGTGATATCACTCATGACCGGCTGAGGGCGGTGACGACCTTCATCGCGGTCTCTTTCGCCGAGCCTGGGTTCTGCCCAGTCACCAGGTTGGCGTCCACCACGGTGTAAGAAATAAAAGGCAGCTTGGCCTTTTTATAGTGCGCGCCACGCTTCTTCACCTCTTCTTCGGCGTTGTAGGGCACAAGCTTATTCACACGAGCAAGCACCTCTTCCCGCCAGGCAAAACCGGTCATGTTACGTCCGGCTACCAGGTACGAGCCATCAGAGAGCTTGGTATTAAGCAGCCCGCAGTAGCCGTGGCAAACAGAGGAGACAATACCACCCCGTTCGAAGATCTCCCGGGTGATCCGCTGCAGACCCTCATCGTCGGGAAAATCAAACATCACCCCATGCCCACCAGTGAAATAAATAGCGTCGAAATCAGCCGAGTTAATTTGGCTAGGTCGAGCAGTGTTCTTCAGCAACAACATTCGGCTCGGATCGGCCCTCCAGGCTTTCGCAGTCTTATCGTAGTTGGGGAATTTCAGCGACTTGGGCTCTATTGGAGAGAGACCCCCTGCCGGGCTGACGATGGTCTGCTCATAACCGTGCTCTTCGAAAACGTGCCAAGCGTGCGTGAGTTCGGATAACCACAAGCCGGTCGGATGGGATGGATCGTTGTAATGCGCGGCGTTGGTGACGACATGCAAGACTCGCTTAGCCATGCTTGGCAATTCTTAAAGCGTAATGGTACTGGGTGGGTGAGATGTACAGCGCGATGTCAGAGCTGTCTGCACAAACTTGGTGCATGTCCCCTTTGCGAGGGCGCCGGAGGCGGCCATTTGGAGCTTATGACTTAGACTGGAGGAGAAAGAGATCGTCGGAGAGACTAGTGATCTTATGGATCAACCAAACTTTTCCGGGGCCCATAAATTAAACATTTCAGCTCGCAAGCCAAGGGATAGCTTGAAAATGAAGGGGCGAGGCGGGTGAACAAACTATCCGGCTAGTCCCAAGGAGGCCGCATCGCCAAACCTTAAAATTCTCCACACCTCGATGGACCTAAAATTCTCCTCAGGGAGTCACGTGTTTGCCTCGGTAGAAGAATCTACATTGTCGTCTTGTCCTTTCCGGTACAACAATCCGGCCGAATTGATACAGATCCTAGTCACCGGACAGTCGCAAGATTACAATCGCATCGAAGATAGGGTCACTGACAATAACACACTCGTAATTTCCCGTATGATGCCTCTTATGCCTAGACTATAAAAACTAGTCTAAACGTCTAACACCAAATCGCAAAGTAATACGAAGAAATTTCCTTCACAATCTTAACGGGCTATCTCCCTTTCTACATTTCACTGCTTTGCCCTCTTTAGCTATCGTTATGACGGACGACCACCCCAATCTTCAATTTAGCTCGCTCGACGCCATCTCCGGAAGCATTTCCACCACCCGCAAGTCGTTCTTGGAGCACAAGACTCGCGATGTCGAGTTCCGTCTCGTCCAGCTTCGCAAGCTCTACTGGGCGTACGTGATACACCTTCTACTAATTCAACGCAACACGCTTCATGAAAAAAGAGACTAACTGACAATTTCTGTAGAATAAAGGACCATGAGGCAGATATCATCCGGGCCTGCGCTCAGGACTTGAGGAAGCCGCGTTTCGAGGCCGAAATTGCCGAAATCGACTGGCTGCTCAACGACATCGTCTTTACTACTCGCAACCTTCATAAGTGGGTGAAAGATGAGAAAGCCCCTGATATCGACCTGCAGTTCAAGTTGATGAGGCCCAAGATTCGGAAGGATCCTCTCGGTTGTGTGTTGGTGATCGGGTATGTTGCGCTCTTCTGCCCAAGCCTGCGACGTGAGTGGTGAGAGAATCTAATAGCTTTCTTCTACATTATCTAGCACTTTCAACTTTCCCTTCCAGCTGACCTTGGGCCCCGCTATTGGGGCTATTGCTGCGGGGAATACTGTCGTTATCAAGCCCTCCGAAAACGCACCCCATAGCGCCGTTGTTATACAAAAGATCTGCGAGGCATCCCTTGACCCCCTATGCTACTCCGTTGTCCAAGGAGGTGTATCCGAGACTCAGGCTTTATTGGCCGAGCGCTGGGATAAGATCTTTTTTACAGGCGGTGCTAATGTTGGCCGCATTATCGCCAAGGCAGCCGCACCTTACTTAACCCCTGTGGTCCTCGAGCTAGGCGGTATCAACCCGGCTATAGTCAGTAAGACAGCTGACCCACGCTTAGTTGCGCGCCGTATGCTCTGGGGCAAAACGGTGAATGCAGGTCAGCTTTGCACTTCACAAAATTACCTGCTCGTCGATAAATCACTTGTGCCTCGGGTGGTAGAGGAATTTGAAAAAGCTTATAAGATCTTCTACCCCCAGGGCGCTAAGAAGTCGCCGGACTACTCGCGCATTATCAACAAGGGCCATTTTCAGCGCCTCAAGTCAATGCTTGACAGTAGCAAGGGCAAGATCCTGCTTGGCGGCACTATAGATGAGGAAGAGCTATTCATTGAGCCTACAGTTGTCTTAGTAAACTCTATCGAGGACTCACTATGCACAGAGGAGAGTTTCGGCCCTTTTATTCCGATTCTATCCGTCGAGAACCTAGACGAGGCTATCAGCCTCGCCAATGGGGTGCAGAGTACCCCCCTTGGTCTATATCCTTTCGGCTCAAAGGCCGATGTTGCTAAAAGTATTTCCTACCTCCTAGTCCTGTCCCCTAGGCTCTCTCATATGGCAACATCTAACGAATATACTCTCCAGTCATCTCCTCCACTCGGTCCGGCGGTGTCTCTTGTAATGACGCTGCCCTACACATCCCCACCTTACCTTTCGGTGGTGTCGGCGAAAGCGGCTACGGTGCTTACCGCGGTCGCTCCAGTTTCGACGTCTGGGTGCACCGACGGCCTATCACTAGCAGCCCCAGCTGGCTCGAGTCTATCCTTGCCGTCCGCTACCCACCATACGCGGGTAAGCTGAGCAAGCTCAAGGCTGCCAGCACCCTAGTGCCGGACTTTGACCGCAGAGGCCAAAAGTTGACTCTCGGCTGGTTGCGCTATATCCTGACGCTTGGTAGTGGAAGCGGGAAGGCCGGTGCTGGACGTGCCCTTGTTATCACTGCTAGTAAGTAGATCCCGTTCGTTATAGATTTTAAATTCATTGTGTTTAATGAATCCCTTCTCGCAATATCTTTCATATCTGATGACTCGTATCCTCTTACCTAATTTTCTTTCTGGCGACGAGGGCTGCATGCATGCTGAAGTTATCGCTCTAGCATAGCATGTATACACGTCTTAATCTTTGTTCCATTTTGCGCTGGCTATCATGGGTAGTGGGTCTGGAGCCTTGACATTGTTTCGATTTGTTTCGATCTTTCTTTTACTATGATCTTCACTAGAGCGTTCCCGTTGGGTACAAGCCTAAACAAATTGGATAGCATAATGGTGGCGAACTCCTAATACCGGATCCTTTGGGGCGAACCCTAAGTTTATTACAATACTAGTCGAGTATTGCTTCGAATACGCTTACGAAAATGTAGTGTGGATTATCCCTCGGTAAAATACGATAGATGAACAATCACTGCCGTGCAAGTGGAGTCTGATGATACAGACCAGTCGGGGTCGGGTCGGCAATCGGCCCGATTTTACGCTTGCCATTGTGGAAATGTGATTCGATCGGGTATTACCAAAAGCCTGGCCATCTTTCCCGTGAAATAAGCTAAATAAGCTTAAGATCTAGAGGGGCTCAACCTGTATCATCTAATTTTGATATTGGTTTCACTTTTAGAAACTAACACGGCGAAAATACCCAAATTGTGGCGCTCAGGTCACGTGTGGAACCATGAACAACAGGGACAGCTCCAGGCTCAAATACAACGCATGCGCCATGTGCCGGAGCAGAAAATCAAAATGTGATAGGATACAACCTCGTTGTAGCCTTTGCTCACGTCTAGGGAAAGACTGTACTTACAGTGCAATGCGCAAGAAGAGTGGTCCGAAAAGAAATGTCTTGGAAGAGCTAGAAATACGACTGAGTATGTTAATGCGGTAGCTCGCGCGGCTTTTAGACGTTCACGACACGACTAATAATCACCGTTTTTTAGCCAAAGTCGAAGGGCTCCTTGAAGAGAACAGTACTTCACATAGGCTGCCAACAGCCTCTTCTCATTTTCCAAAGGATCAACCCAACATGCCTATGTCTGAATCCTTCCGCATGCCTTCATCAGAGTCAACGCGGGTTGAATATTCAATGTTTGGCCCGATGCAGCCTCATACAAATGGCAAAGAAGCTTCTCAAGTTAGCCACACGCCTTTTCCGTTGATACCTGGTAATTCGAGCAATTTCCAATCGAGCTCCATCGGCCTGGCCTTCAGGGAACAACTCCCGTCCGAGGACATCATTTATGATCTGTAAGCATTTCAGTTTGAATAAATTGGAAGCTAAATTCTCACATTCATTCAAGGGACAATATCTTCTTTGAAAAAGTTTACCCGTCTATACCCATCATCCACCCTAACCGCTTTTTGATCAACTCGAGTCTCTCTGCCCATTTACGCCTGCCGCTTTCCTTGCGATACATGATTTGGTGTCATGCATCATTATTCTGCGATAGATACTACTCATTTCATTCTGAGTTCTATCAGCGTGCTCGCCAGTATGCTGAAGTCGACGAGACAACGGAAAGCTTTGGGCGCGGGATCGTCACCCTGTCACACTGCCAAGCGTGGATACTAATGTCCATCTACGAGTTGCGAATGGTTCTCATCCCGCGGGCGTGGGTTAGTATAGGTAAAGCGTGCAGTCTCTCCTTGATTATTGGTCTCAATCAATTGGACGGGCCAAGCCAAAGTGTCAAGCTGTGTATGCCCCCTCCAAAAGATTGGGTCGAAGGAGAGGAACGCCGGAGGGTGTTTTGGATGGCGTTTTGTATTGATCAGTATGCAAGTATTGCAACGGGACGGCCTATGCTTATTAACGAAACCGATGTGTGTGCTCCTTTGCTCGACTATCATGATCTTTCAATGGCGCTGACCGATCGTACGCAGGTTATGACCACCCTTCCCGCTTTCGAGCAGTCTTTCCTGGAGAACAAGCCACAACTCACCCTTCAGCTATACGAGATTTTAACCAGTGAAGATCTATCTAGCTTGTCATCATTAGCTTATGTTTGTGTTTCGGCCAGTCTGCTCGGACGTAGCCTGTCCCATATCCGCCGAATCCAAACATATGGTAATTATTGTGGCTTGGACGAGCAATATTCAAAACAACATCAGAGTTACTATGACGTTCCCATCCGCATTCTTCAACGTCTTCCCATGCACCTTCGATTATCCAGCAGCATGCATGATACAAATGTGATCTTTGCCAATCTGTGCGTGCATGCCTCTACGATTTGGTACCACCAACAAGCAATCTTCTCGAGTAAAACGTGCAGGGTGCTGGATTGGTATATGATGGAAAACCACCATCGTTGCTTACTAGCGGCGAGTCAGATATCTAGTCTCACAAGGATGATCGGCAATTTTGACCTGTTAAAGGTATTTAGCGCCCCTCTTCGATGCACAACAGAGCTGACCCCGAATAGTGCAACACCTTTGTTCCATTTCCCTTATTTCTGGCGGCAAGGGTTTTTGTGCTGCACTTAGACTCCCAGCCTAATGATCCAACAATCAGATCATTGCTACAATATCTCGTGTCGATTCTGAAAATCATGAAGTCAAGCAATCCTTCAGCTGGAATGTTTCTCAGTCGACTGAATGTTTCTAATGTACCCGCTTCTGGATAAATAGTAAGACATAACTGATTAATTCACAACTGGCACCATGATTATCGTGACACCGGCCTATCTTACCATCTCCGTCAAAACCGTTTCCTCTTCGACAAATCAGCATTTTTTATCCAAGATTGATCTCGCTTGGTCTTGCCTGCTTGCCTGCTTGCCTGCTCGTCTAAGGTGTTACTAGCCAATACTATCTCAGCTCAGCCCGATTTACTCATATTACCTAGTCTACGTGCACGGATCTTGATGCGATAACCGAGTAGGGTTCAGAGGAGTTCGGCTGGTCTCTTCTTGGTACGTCGTCTGTCCGTCAAGTATCGAAGTTCCATCGCGATGAACAGTGTCAGTTTATCTCTGCTTATGCCCAGAATGGCAATATACTGTTCTAATACCCCAAGGCTCGGCAGATGCCTCACCCTTTGACAAATATCATACCAAGGAATCTTCACAGCACTGTGGGAAATAACTAGAGTCGTAGTCAGTTCACATCATGGAGAAAGCTCTTTCTATCATTCTGAGAGGATTGAGAAAATGTCTGACAAGCTGAATATAGTGGTAAGCGAGGTCATGATTATTTTGAAAGTTAGCCAGAAATTGTATAATATTATTCGTGCTATCAGGTTCCGAAGAATTGCATGAAGTACCACTGGGCCGTAGGCGTACTGTGCTACAATCTCGTCATTAAATAGCGAGATACTGAGATTCACTCTTCTGACAAGAAAGCTGGGAGACCTACGTTTGCCAAGATCTTCGACCTCAGGGCAATTGGCCCTGCTTAGCGCCGTGGTGAACTCGCTGCGTCTGATCGATTTCTTTTGCCGCTCTGCAAAAGTTGATATAGGAGTATGATATCGATTTCCGCCCTACGTAGGCATAAGCCTTCATCCAAGTCATTTTCTCGAGGCCCCAACCGCATGAGCCATTATTCCAAGGTTACACCGGTGGAGAGCCCGAGATGATCGCCCAGATATAATGGATCATAAATTTATTGTGGGGACGTCTGGTTGAGACATTATCTGCAGGTGAGTGAATGGGTTGCATCACTAGTCTACTGCATGCTTTCGGCTAGAAAGTCTCAGCCAAAATACTGCCCGTACATCATGTCCAATCCAACGCGTCTGTGGCGCCATTATGTACATGGTGAGGTAAATTCTTCCCTCGGTCAGTCAGCGCTGATGATATCTAAATTACTCCCAGGGGTTGATCAGATCGGATATATCACCTAAAAATAGAATTGTAAGCTATATAATTTGCGTTACCAGTCAGGCAGTTTGACTTCAATTTTTCATTGCACCATGAAACGCCCTAACTCTACCCGCTTCCTGCAAATCCACGCCGCTGTGAACGGGCATGATTACGAGCCTGTCGCATCTTACAAGCCAGACAAGATTGTTGATACTCAGGACCATGCGTCCCTTCACTCCAGGCTCCAGCAACTTTGTTCTGCAGAGTTCTGGCCACGCAACTCTCATACAAGCTGCTGCCCGCGTCCCATTCTCATCAGCCCCGAGCACCAGAAACAAGTGAAGAATCTACACGAAGGCTTGGTCCTCGCAATTACGGATATTGTCGAAAGATGGTGGACTGACGACGTGGCTCGATTCCCGGAGCGCATGCCCTTATCAGAGTCAGAGGAGGATCTGCTCCGAGTATGTTCCCCTGATGAGAGGAGGTATATAAATTACTTACCCCAATCTACGTATGCAGTGGATGGATGCTCAGCCTGACGCCATACTTCCTCCTTACAGAGGGCGTTTGGGCTCGTGGCGACCGGACTTTCTCATTGAGCAGGATAGCGCCGGGGATGAGAATTTCCGCATCAGCGAGATTAATTCCCGCTTCTCGTTCAATGGACTCATGCACGAGGCATATGCTCAACAGGCATTACAAGACATTGGCGTCAGCAACGGGCGGAATGGCCTCATGGGAACATCAGATGTTTCCAAGGTAGGTAAAATGCGAGCCACACGTGGATGATCGATGCTAACTGGTGTTAGATGGTCGGGGGGTTGCTGCGTCTCTTCCAGCCGAGTCAACCCCTGCACCTGCTGAAGGGTAAAGAGAAGGGCATGGACATCCATATGTTTGTAGATTTCGCGCGGCGTCATTTAGGACTGACTCCACGGTTCATTACACCCGAGGATCTTCGACTGGTTCCGGATCCACACTCCACTGGGCACTTCAAGCTTTGCTGCTTGGCACAAAGCGATGCGAGTCCCCTGAGCCCGAACCTGGTAAACAGCGAGGGAGAAGTCTTGGAGGAGATCCAGCAAGTCGGACTGGAGCTGCATCAACATGAGCTCCTCAGCCTGCAGCCTGAAATGCTGCGTCAGCTCAGTCTCCGGTGTTTCAACGATCTGCGCACAGTTCTACTGGTCCACGACAAGCGAATGCTCGGCATTGTCAGAGAAGAAGTTCAGCCTCTGGTTGCCAGGGGTGTGCTGACCCCCTTGCAGGCCACCTGCCTGGACCGGGGCATCGCAGAAACACTCCTCCCCGGATCACCGGACCTGGAGGCCCTACTGCAGCGCTGTCGGGTCTCCCCCACCCTTAAAGCCGATTATATTCTCAAGCCAATTCGCAGTGGCAAGGGGGATGGCATCATCTTCGGAGACGACCTGAGCCCGGCGCAGTGGATTTCGTGTGTTGAGGGTCTGAGTTTCGCCGCGCTACTTCCGGGTAGCACTAAGTTTGTCGTCCAACGCAAGATCACCCCTGTTCTGTACGATGTGTTCCTGCGGGAGTCGGGTACCAAGATGCAATATCCCCTCGTTGGGACATACCATTCGATCGATGGGGAATACCTGGGATTTGGGGTGTGGCGCAGTAGCGCGGATCGAGTGGTCGCCATCAGCCATGGAGGTGCATGGATGTGCTCTGTCATGCATCGTGATTGATATTTGTTTAGCCTCTGATATTTGACTACAATATGCCTAGTATTCACGACCGGCTTTTTATTCAAGGGTATTCCATCGTATACGAATTAAAATCTATCATGGGTTGGTCTGCCTATCTTCATTTCATCAGTTCCCCTGTAGACCGGGCCGTAGAATAGCCAGTGGGTCTAGAACGGGTAACTTTTGATGCTCTGCGCCTGAGAGAATGCACTACTTACTCGATTGCCTCAATTTGTCATTCAAGACATGGCTCAGCTGAACCGTATGTCGACAGATGGATACACCCGTCAGCTGACGGTCTAACGAGCAGCAAACATGTTCAGTATTCGCTTGCCATGAAATTTCGTTTCTACCTGCGGCTTAAGCTACCTATCTCATGCGCCCGCAATTAATAATTAATGGAATGTAGTTCACTGCAGTATCTGTCGTAGTGAAACACCAAATGGGGCCACTTCGACTTCGACTCGGAGCAGTGGACCCACCAAGCTGTAATTGATTTAGTACTTCGGTGAAATAGAACCTTAGAGGTATTTATACTGATCTTCTTCGGTGCACCTTTTGATCGTACTGCGCCTGTCTAGAGAGCACATCACACAATGAAACGATTTGTTGCCAATCTGAGCTCCTTTGCTCGTAAGTCCGGCGCCGGAAAGCCTCGTAATGAAGGCTAATTCGATATAGGTCTTTCGCCTCCTGTACCTACTGTGAGAGTAGGTAATCTGGGCTTTGCCAATCAGCCACGCCATGTTGCCCAAGTTGCTCAGGCCCTTCGAGAAAGCGGTATCTTGAAGATCAGCCTCCAGTTCACAGATGACACCAGCCAATACCTTCATAACATGCTCTTGAGCCTTCATAAACACCATGGTCACGGTCTTCCCATCACTCATAGTGCATCCCACGGCTGGTTTTGGGATGTACGCCCCAACCCAATCACTTTTCAAAGTCAAAATTACCAGGCCCGATCCGAGACGATGCAGGAGTTCCCATGGCATACCGACTGCAGCTACGAAGAGTCACCTCCGCGTTTTTTCGCCCTGCAGGTGCTTCAACCCGACCGTTGTGGCGGTGGTACCCTCTCTGTCATGAATGTCGAACGCCTCAGCCACTTGCTCTCGGCAACGGCTACCGCCGCCCTCATCAAACCACACTTCCGCATCGCCATTCCGCCCGAGTTCATCAAGAAGGACAATCAGTGCCACATAATTTCCAATCTCATGGCGGCGAGCAAGCCCGGGCGGCCTGCCATGGTGCGCTTCCGTGAAGACATAGTCACCCCATTGAACCATGACGCTGCCGCCGGCCTTGCAGAGCTCAGGCAGTGTCTGCGCATCCTGGATAGGCGGGAAAATGCCCTGCATCTCACCCCTGAGCACCTACCTCGAGGATCGATTTTAATCATGGACAATAGCCAATGGATGCATGCGCGCAACGCAGTTCAAGATCCTGACCGCCACTTGCGGCGAGTGCGCTGGGATGCCCGTCCATTTCCGGGAGCTTGTCATTAACTTCGCTTTGGAGTAGTGTTGGGATTTTGGGAGGGGCAACGACTGCATAGAGCTAGATGATGCGAGATGTAGCTTAGGTTACAGCGCATGAGTGTGGGTCTTGTATGCTTGCTGTACCTTTTCCTCGTCTCCATGAGAAAAAAGCACAAAGAAAACCCATAAAAACAAAACGATGCCAAGTGAGAGCTATCACATCATGCAGCTCGGTCCATGTAGATGTAATTCGAATCTAATATAAGCCCCTCCGTCATTATGCATTTCCAGGAATTATTGCTTATTCATTAGATGCAAGGGATTTCGGAAGCGTCCGCTTTGCCATTCATACATCCATCCTCATGCAGTCTACTTCACGAGCTTGAAAATTTCGACCTGAGCTTCTTGGAGACCCACTCTGGTATCTGATCAGTACTGAAAAATTGATGTTCTATTCTATGTGATTGATCTGACCTGGAGAATACAGATGCGCACGGATGAAGATGCTCCATTCTCACTCGCTAAAATAACAGGTGACTGGCAGAGTAGTGGAGTGCTTCAGACTCTGCTTTCTGTGGAATGAAATTGGCTCCCTGTCAATAGCACGCATTCTTACAGTGAACCTTCTAAGATGGTTGACAAAGTGTATTCTTTATCACAGGTCCTGGGAGTCGCGAAAATCCATCCGATCTACAACCCCAGTGTGGAATATCCCCCAGACACAGACGCTATCCAAGAGGTCTTTGAACTCACTGCGGTGGAAAAGGAACCGGACCTTAGATTGCAACCGATACTCCAAAAGGAAGACCTGTAAGTTTGCCGCTACCATATACTAGACTTTTCATCTAATTACCAAATTCAGGTATAAGGTCATTAAGCGCCTCACGAATGACCTGAATCAAAAGAATGGCTACCGGCGTAGCGCCTACATCAGCACCACCGGAGGAGGCTCGGGTGGTCTACCGCTGATGTTTGCGACAGACAACAAGGAAAACCGTACCCAGAGAGAAGTATTTGGCACGTTGTTGAAGACTTGTGGTGTGGTCGAGTCCCAAGACTGGGTTCTTACGATGCATACTTCGGGGTATCTTTACCGGTACGAGTCCTCGACGACCAAGAGAACGAGGTCCGGGTAACAGCAGCTCATAATTCTATATAGGTCTCTCGATCTCATCAGCGAGCTGTTTGAAAACGCTGGAGCGTCGGTGCTCTGTGCCGGGAGCCGCATGGAGCCCGCCGAGGTCGTCCGGGCTCTGGTGCACTACCATGCCAACGTACTGACTGGAGACAGCAGCCAGATTATCCAAATCATGCATCACATCTTGGCCCTTCCTGATCATCAACGAGAGCAGATTAGCCTCAACAAAGTGGTTTACACTTCAGAGCCCCTGACCGAGGCCCAGCGAGGCCACATTATCGCCACCCTTGGTCCAGTCCAGATTTTCTCTATCCTGGGAAGCGCCGAAGCAGGGCCTTACGCACTCAGCAATCCAAAAATCACCGGAGAAAACACTCCTCCGGGTACACGAGACTTCATCATTGACACGAGGCTCGTCCGGATCGAGATATTGGATCCGTCTGCTGTCCACGACGTTGCTGCTCGCAGTACTTTGATGCCCGAGTCCAAACAGGGCATTATAGTTTTGACCTCCCTCCAGCGCCTGCGAAATCCGCTCGTGCGGTACATCACCGGCGATATGGGGTCACTGCATCCGATGCCCGAGGCTGCCATCGGTGTCATTCCCGACGCTGAACGGCCGCACTTTCGCGTCCTTCGTCTAGCGGGCCGAGACCGACGGTTCAGCTTCAAATGGTACGGTGAACATTTTGAGTTCCACAATATCGTAAGTCTGATGCAGACTGCCAACATGGGCATTTTGCAGTGGCAGATAATCCTAGGTTGTCTGGACTCTGCTCCCCAAGCGACTCTTGAGATTCGTCTGCTTCGTGCCGTTGCGGGCGAAGATCTCCTTCCCCAAGCTACGCTGGTGGAGTTGTTGGAGGAGTTCTTCTACGTCTTTCCAGAGAATCGAACCCTATTTAGCATTAACTTTCTCAATAGCTTGGAGAAATTTGAGAAGAGTAGCACTGGGAATAAGGTCATGAATTTTGTGGATCGATTTAATTAGTGTCATTCGCTTGACGACTACAAAGGGGGAAGGGGAAATGACAAAAAAGCTCGGCATCTCCTCAATTGCAAATAGATGAATCGTTAATCTTTGCGCACGTATAGGACCACCTTCCTTCATGAAAGATCTCATGTCTAAATTGTCGCTGGCTCGTCCACCGGCTAATTCCATACTGTAGCTTCAACCTTCCCCGAATTAACCTGAGTCCCTGTCTACCAGCTCCAAAGCGCCTGGATTCAGCCTGATGTGATTCACAGCAGACGTGCTATTGATCATACAGGAGACCCGTAGATTCGGGAAGATCCATGTACACCAGCAGCAGGTTGTGCTCGGGTTGCTTGGGAGCTGCATCTACAAGCGTCAGCTTGTCAGCCACGAACCAAGCGGCTGCAATCTCGTACGAGTCTAATTCGAAGGTACCCCAGTGAAAGGCCTGTTCATTAGTGAGGAAGTGGTTGAATCGGGAGACAGTCTCTTCAATTGGCGTGTGTGTGTCCGGGCGGTACGCGCCCGAGAGTCAAATCGCAATCTGCTCAAAATTTCTAATTCTGGTATTGAAGACACTGTACAATCCCACCTTACATCAAAATATTGACTTCCCGCAGCAGGTGTGAAAATCTTACGAGATAATTAGAATTGGAACACTCAAGCCGACATAATATTGAAAAGGCAATGCGGAACTCCGACTGCAGCCAGCCGACTCTCCGCCAAGCCTGGAAAACGTGTCAATAATATGTAGGGTACAGGGACTATGTGACACAGAGAATCCGTAACTCATAATGCTCCGCTCAAGGTTACTCACCCTCACAAGTTCACATCAGGCTAACCAAGCGGACAGTATTTTACGCAGGTCTTAATAGTGGGGAAGGGATTATTGGCGAGCTGAAGGACAGCAAGGTCCGCCCCTAGTCAATTCTACCTAAGTGGGTCCCTTTGTTGCACAGATGATGCAAGGTAAACACACAGGAGACAAAAGAAAAACTGTGAGCACTCCACTCACAGTGCACGTAAAATGCGGATACACGTCATTTTCGCCATCTTTTCTTACTGTAGAGAGACGAATTAGGTAAATTACAATAACAGCAAGGATCCTACTTCCACTAAATTGATGGCTAGTCGCTTGTAGAAAATGACGGAGGCAGTTTTGATTTCACCAACCAGGCAGCCGTTCCAGGGATAGAATCCCATCTCCAATGTCACAAAGCTCTTCGTTGTCAAATCGCCGGAATCTCAAATGTGTCATCGAGACTAAAAAATCATGAGCAGCTCTCTTGAAAGGCCTATAGGCTACGAATGGCGGTCTTCAGGGTGGTTTATAGTATCCACCATCTCTATTGCCTTGTTCGCTGGTTTGTCTGTCTTGTTTCCTGTGGAGACCTCGCTAACCTGTAAAGAAACATTCCTTTATGGATTCCTTGTCCCTATTCTAGGATTTATTTTTGAAAGTCGCCTAGGCATAGAGCCTTCGCAAAGGCAGCGCTTGACCTCTGTTGTTCTTGCCATGCATGGTGTCTGCTCCGCTATCTCAGGCCCAGTCATTGGGCATTTTGTCGATCAATTACCCAACCGCAAATCGCCACTATTACTGTCATTATTGGGATGTATTGTGGGTACTGCTATCGTCGCTTGCTCCCGTTCACTCTCCTTGTTCTTCCTAGGGCGTTGTTTGCAGGGTGTCGCGGGGTCGTTTGTATGGATTGTTGGGCTTGCAACTGTCGCAGAAACCACGAGTCAAGATAGGTTAGGCACGGTGATGGGCCTGGTCAACTCATTTGCTCATACGGGGATAATGAGTGGCCCTATAGTATCAGGACTACTCTTAGAAACTGTGGGATACTGGGCTACATGGTCCGTACCTGTAGTGATTTTGACCATTGATATCATTGCTCGTCTGCTTATGATCGAGAAGATCGATGATCCTAAATCAAATTGTACGAGCGAGAGGACAGATGCGTCAGAAACGACCGGCCTTCTTACCTCATCCGAAGATCAGCAAGGCACACCTACCACTCTTGGTTTCTGGCGCACCATGTTAAGCAATGGCCGTGTCTTCACGGCTTTGCTGGTCTCCCTTTCAATAGTATCCTTGAGCACTGGCTTTGATACGACAATGCCCCTGCACGTGGATGAGGCCTTCGGGTGGGGAACAGGCACTACTGGGTTTCTATTCTTCTGCCTCTCCGTTCCGGCAATTCTCATCAGTCCACTCGCTGGTTGGCTACGCGATCGTATTGGCATACGAGCCCCTACAACAGTTGGCTTCATCATCCAGGCTATATTAATGGTCATATTGGGTATTGCTGGAAACAGTCACTTCTCCTGGGCTAGCGCTGAAACTGCAGGTCCAGCCATTTACATGACCAGTATTGTTGCTATAGGCATTGTGCAGCCCTTTATACTTGGTGTTGCAAACATCGAATTGACCGGTAAGTGTCATTCTCGGGTGACCCAGCTCCAACAAAATACAAAATACTAATCAGGTAATATTGTAGCTGTGCTCAAAGAGAAGCAAGAGGAGAATCCCGAGAGCTTTGGCCCTGGTGGAGGCTTCTCGCGCATATTCTCTATGGCGGAAGTGGCTTCTACACTCGGATTGATCCTAGGCCCGATACTTTCTGGCTCTCTTACTGAAATTTGTGGCTATACATACATGAGTTGGACCTGGAGTAAGTGGATTAATGTTTCTGTGGCATCTACACTACTGACAAACCAGACAGGTGTACTCTGTATAATCCTCGCCACTCTTGCCTGCCGTTTCTTAGGTTCCCAAAGATGAATCAAAACTGCCAATCAAACCCAGAAATCTTTTATATACACAACATGCACGATGATGGTCATTTCCGCCTTAAGAATACATTTTGAGCTTCCTTGGCTCCTAAGAGCCCTGACTATAATAGCACGCCGAGGTGGAAAAAACCAGCACGGGTGAAGAAAGACCCGTTAGCGCTTCAGTGCGTGCAGAGCATTCGGGTCAAGAATATAGGAAGGAATTTAGGCGAAAGACTGAAGGATAGGGCGGCAACGGCGATTTCCTGGACAATTCAAAAAGTAAAAGCACACAACAATTAGGCTTCGCATGTGGTCACCCGCCATATTACTAAGTAACCGGCGTGTAGCTTCAATGCAGCTAGTAGTCGGGTGGGGTGAAAAGGATAAGTGCGCAATAGACAGGTCGCTACAGACCTGCCTTACGCTATCTTAGCTCTCATCTGGTAGTGCAAGTATATAACACACATTCCTATTAAATTGCATGGTCTTAGTAAAACCATCGGAAGTCTATACTGGCAGGCCCATCCTGGAGAGACTCTGTCGGGATGTCTTCAGCTTTTAAATTAATACCCTGTACTGTGTCTCGCCTCTTATTGTCCATTATCATCCAAAAACTAAGACACAAGGTCAGGATAACTCCAGTTCCACCAAATGCAGCAAGGGTGATCAAAGCCGGGAGGTATGTCGGCGCATCATGGTCGCGAAAAATGTTGGAGCTCACAACTCCCATTAGGTTGGCCACTGGGACAGAGATACATGTCAGAACAACACGGCGGCTCTCACTAGCAATGTTGTTATTATACCAGACGTCAAGCAAGACAGATGGGGCCGATGTGCCCCAGGTCATCATGAAGCACGCGAAGTAAGCGACATTCAAGTCTATCTTGACATCAATAGTAGCGTAGATGATAAAGCCAATGAATGTAAACAAGAAGCCTAGGGCAATAAATGGGAAACCGCATCTTGTCCAGTCGCTGCAGAAAGCCAGGATAAGCAACATTACGGCGCCTGAAACATTGGGTGTCACGGTGTATAAGTTAGTCTTGACAATGCTGTATCCAAGGCGTTTGATGATGACCGGCAAAAACAACTGGACGCCCTAAAGAGGTACTCCAAGGCAAATTTGAATGGCGAGGATCGCCCAGCTAGTTCCGTGCTTGAGTATTCGGAAACCGTCTCGGATGTTACGCTTCTCATCTGCCACAGCGGAACTATTCATTCGAAGTCGGAGACAGGCCAGGTTTTTCTCTTCAGGTGTCAGAAAGCCTGCTTTGGCGGCTGACTTTGGTAAGAGCCATAATGCAATTATAGCAGAGACGACAGTTCCACAACCTTCCTAGAGAAAAAGATATCGCCACGGGGCTAATGGACCGGATTGGATACGGTAGATACCGAAGGCCAATAGACCAGAGAATGCAGAGGCAATGCTTTGTGCGGCGCCGTCTTTTGGTCAAAGGATGAGCATGGCTAAAAGCCGCTGTCATATGGTGGTGTAAATGCCGCTCCACGCCCTGTCGTCGCTTTCAAAGAAATACTAGAGTGCGTATGGTCGTGGCCTCGATAAGATGTACCCGTACAGCGTACATATAAAATCGAAGTCTAGCTGTCTCAACTAACCAGCACCAGCATTATAGGGGGTTGGAATTATTTACTGGTAAGTACGCTGAATTATATGCGTCATCGTGGTCATGATTCCCACCGGGGAGTATATCATTCAATTTCAGATCATTTCCAGCCGAGTGAGCCGTATATACCAACAAAATGTAGCTATATCCAGCTTAATCTCGCTCTAAACATGATTCTTTATCTAAGATTGTGTCGTCAGATCATCAATGCTATCGAAGATGGTACAGTCGTCATCATCCTCGCACATGGTAGTCCGGCCGAGGTTCTTGTCCACGGGGCCTGTCGGCCCGCTTGTGTAGTGGCACTCGGACGAGATGCAGTACTGGCCGGTCTCGATGTCATCTAGAAGCCCATCTGGATACTCCTCGTCACCCCAATATCCTAGCCAGTTCAGCCAATCGGCCGACTCGTCCGCCTCCTCAGTGGCGCCTGTTCCCGCTCCAGATGCGATGGAGAAGGTGTCTGCGTCCACGTCGTACAAGTAGCCCCGGTAGTTGAGCGTCATATCCCACAGGTACCCAGCGTCAGTTGTGTCGGAGATGATACCTAGCGCGATAGTGTAATCTTGGCTACCTGCGGTCACGTAGTTGGCGTGTCCACCGTACGCAACGTAAGTAATTGGGCGATCACCCGAAAAGTCCACCACATCCCAATAATAGGCCGATCCAGCGCTATGCTGGGAGCAATAGATGGCGTATGGCTCTTCATCGACGAAGCGGATCTGCAGAGAAGATTGTTAGAGTAGATGCAATCTAAACGCGTGGAAGATTTGAAATTCGAGCGGCAAATGTTCATGTGCTTACCATAACGTGCTCCCAGTCGCCAACGTGGTCGTCGAAATTGATATCCAGGACCCTGTGGATTAGTCAGATTTAGCAAACCATATTCGCATGCAGCGTTGGGAGGGGCTTGGGCACTCACTTTCCCCCATAATTATACGAATAGAAATAGAAGTAGAAGACGTCGGTCGTAGTGCTGTTTTTCTCCGCGGCAATGATAAGTCCAGGAGCGGCGCTAAGGCCATCGCTGTCGGGGATACCGTAGTCTGAAGAGAGCCAGGCCGGGGTGCCGTCCAATGGGTCCAGGATGGGGCCATCAGAAGCAGTCAGATAGACATCCGAAGAGAGCGAATCGAGGGTGTCGAGCGTGACCGATCCATTAGTCCCGATAGCGGTATAGTCCTCCTCGGGCTCGACGTTGGCCAGGTGCGTCGTGATATCGGACGGAAACCACTTCTCGCCACTATAGAGGTACGATAGGGGCGCGTAAGTGATGGCATAGTCCGGAAGCGTGTCGCGTTTGCGCAGCTTCCGGTCAGCCTTCTTGGCAGGCGCTGCAGCTGCGAGGCTGGCAAGCGTGAGGAAGGTGAACACTTGGAGAGTTGAGGGCATTTTTGTGACCCTGGTAGTAGGTAGCCTGTGGTATAAAGTCACGCACCCAGGCAGATCGACATGGTCGGGCGATCGCGGCCAAACTTATAGGCCTTGTTCGCTCGCACTAGAACTTGCATCTGCCAGGATATCGTGCTGGGTTGTGACCAGGTGAGACTATCCCAACTGGGTCACTTCCCCGGGCTAGTGTCCGTGAAGAGTCGATGGTTCTAAAAGCTTGACGCAAATTAACGCAAATGTCAGATTTAGCATATTCAAGGAACGTGCCGTCAGGCACAAGGGGCGAGATAGGGCGGGCGTGGGGGCACGTGGACCAGGCTTGAGGGGTATTGGTATCTCTGAAGATCATAGATGAACAGGTGGAACTAGATCAATTACTGACCTTGATCATCGCGAGGGGTAAGGACCAATCAGATCTGTCTAAGGAGTGTCGTGCGATGCATTAAACTCCTCCTAGCAACCATGTGAACAGTCGATAGGTCAGCACATACTTATGCATGGCTGTCAGCATAAGCTGCACTATCACCTGCTCCGATGGTACTAATGTAACCCGGCACGGAGCGGCCTAACTATAATCAATCAATTCATAAATCTTTCCGCACGTATTAGTCCGTGACACGTAGCTAGACGCGTAATATTAATATCGACAGTCCCTCTTCTTGAAAGATAAAAAAAGGGAGGGGGAAAGATTAAATTATTTAAGCTGCTAGACTGTGAAGGACTCGCTGCAACACTATGCCATTTCCCCACATTCCTGTAAATTGTCTTTTGAAATGATTGCGGGTATCGGCACAACCGGTGCCGAGCTCGACCAATCGGACTTCGGCGTTCCAACATGGACTACGGTAATTCATCGACCATTCATAGTAGTCGGAATCAAAGCCAATTAAGTAGCAGAGGTATAATGAAGTCAACGGACTTTAGTGCAGGCCGTGTTTCATCCCCAACGCCCTTCTCCATCGCCCTGTGGAATGCGCCATGTGCAAAATGTAGATATCCAACACCTTTTTAGATTCCCCTGGTAGAGTAATTTTCTTGTGAGGTTCAAGGGGAGGTGGTAAATCCTGCTAATTTGCTGACCGTAGCTATTTTAGCGCTGAGGGTCGTGATGGTATCAGTCCCTGTGATGTCCAATAAAGGAATTTCTGCGCCCAAATCCTTCACCAGCCATGTTCGGAACTCGGTAGCCACTAAGGAGTCCACACCGTTTGAACTGATGGACTTTGAGGGATCGATATTCTCAACGGGTATTGCAAGTAGCTACAAGAGTTTGTTTTAGATTCCTTCTGTGACAATGCCGACCGCTTCCTCTAACGTCGTAGCTGCCTGGAGAAGAGACTGGACGCGACTGGATGGATTTGTTTCGGAGGTCATCTTCCTGACAGTGGAAGGTTTTCGAAGATGGGCAAAGAAGAGGAAGGCAAAATAGCTCGGAGGCAACACATCTTGCCCATTGTAAAGAGTCTCATCGCTTAGCCCTGCAATGACCTGGCAAGCTGAATGTGATACTTTCTCACTCAAAAGGTATTCCAAGATGGAATGAACTTCGTCTTCCCGCAGTGATCTCAGCGTGGCCGTGGTATGGCGCGCGTATTGCATGTTCTCAGCGACAAAACCGACCTGGAGGATACTTCCCAAGTCCACACTACTGCCTCGGAGGCCTTGGGATACACGATATTGAGCCAAAGCATCTTGATATGTGTTTCCAGTAGCGTAGTTAGCTTGGCTCTTGTTGCCGATGATACCAGTAGCTGATGAAAGCATGACAAAGGAATCAACATCCTTTGGGGGACTATTGTGAAGGTTCCACGATCCTTTCACTTTGGGTCTGACTGCCGTTTGCCAATCATTGTATGACATGCTCCCAAACATCGAATCCTAATTTAGAGGACCCGTTAGCCAGTTTCTTGACCCTAGTATGAAAAAAAGAGTGCAAAAAAAATGTTATAAATCAGTGAGGCGATCTTTTCACATCGGAATGCCGAAAGCACAAACAGGGAAGAAAAGAAAAAGGCTCTTGAGTTATTCACCTTCAAGATCATTGCACACTGTATGCAGCCCTTGATCAACGGGAGTGATCGGGTACATGCTTGGAACACTTCTTCAACAGAACCTTTGTCTGTGATGTCGCAGCTAAAGATCACAGCTCGACAACTCGATTTCCGTATATCCTCAAGCATATCACGAACCACGTCTGATTCAGCGCGGCCAGAACGGGATAAGAATATCAACTGTTTGGCTCCACGGGATACCATCCATCGTGCAATGCTTCGACCAATTCCCCCAAGAGCACCGGCCAAGATGTAGGACGCATTTGGGTCTAAAAATAATGGCGACGATAAATCCGGTATCAACGGGATGCGATCTTCTTGCTCAGGAACAAGTATCATTTTCCCTGTTCCCTTCCCAGATTGCAATAATCGAAGTCCTTCTTCAACCTGGGAGTACTTCAAAATAGTTGTTGGCGTTGCCTCTCGAATCTTTCCTTCTTCAAATAAACGGATGGCGTCTGCTGTTAGCTGGCCAATCATAGACGGCTTGTGGCGCATTGTCGGAAGCTCCACACTAGTCATGGTGACATTTCGCAAGAACGGTGTCAATTCTATACGCCCATAGCTCTGCGCGTCCCTCTTCCCGATCTCAACAAAGCGACCCAGAGGTGCAATGAGTTCCCAAGAATTCTCAAATACTCTCCAGAGAGCGAGTTGAGAATCACATCTACTCCCCGGCCTCTCGTGCATCGCTTGATAGCAGTAGCAAATGTGAGGTCTCTGCTACAGAAGACATGATCTTCGGCTATACCGTATTTTGAGATGATGAGTTGACGCTTTTCCAAGGTAGAAACGGTAGCGTATATTTCCGCTCCCACAATCTTGGCATATTGTATAGCGGCCTGGCCAACTCCAACGGCAGCAGCGTGGATCAGAATCGTTTCGCCTTTTGACAAGTGAGCGGCCTCCCTGAGACCATATAGGACAGTTGAGTAGACACAAGGAAGCCCGGCAGCGGTTTCGAAGCTGATACTGTCGGGCAATGGGACCACAACATCTTGGTCGATCCTTCCAAATGTATGGAAGCAACCAGTGTCCACCCCACCAAGAAAGACAACCCGCTCTCCTGGCTTCAATCTATCTACCTTGATGCCGACTCTGCTCACAATTCCAGCGGCTTCATTTCCCAGGCTGTTTGCCAGATATTCCCCCATAGTGATCATGACGTCGCGGAAGTTTAGACCAACGGCCTTAATCTCAACTTCGACCTGGGTATCTCCTAATGGCTGATGATAAATCTCGTCTGTGACCCACTCCAAGTTTTATCCTTGGTACCCGGGCGTGTCATAGTCATCCTCGGGGCTAAAGGTAGGGTCGACCATCACCACATAGGGCTTCAACATGATATACCCACCCTGCTCGATAACAAACCCTCCCTTAGGCCCTCCCCGGTTTGCACTCTCCTTCGGATCTTCGAAGGCACTCACGATCGACTTCAAGCATTGATTGTCTATCACGAGACAGGCTTTTGACCATGGAACATGTGACCCATCTTCCATTCCCAAAGATTCGGAATATCGTTGGAAATCCTCACGAATCTGGTCCAAGGATGCCCCGTCCCATCGCTGTCGATCCTCGAAAACAAAATTCTTATAGGTTTCCTGCACGAACTTCTCAGGACATCGGTCGCCGTCAGGGTATTCATCCTTGTCGATTTTTTCAATACTCCATTGCACATAACGGTCGATTTTTGCGAGGCAGGCAGACCAGAGCCGGTCGGATTCTGCCGTGTAAACAGTGCGGTAGATCACAAAGCCCCAGGGTAAGTAACGGAGCCATTTAATGAACATGACAGAAGGGCGAGTCTCGTTTTTATACCAGGGCTGCTTGCACCAGCGCTTCCGAAGTTCGTGAGGCGAATCAGTATATTCCGGATGCGACCAGCGTTCAGGCCATGATGGGTGATGGAGGTTGCATTCTTGGTGGGCATCAACGCTAGATCCCTCATGTTGAGTCATTATAATAGGAAATATGAGGGTAATGGCTACCTGGTGTGAATAGAGATCATAGGTTGACCACTTTAAACGCGACGGGAGACCCCGAGGTATCTATGCCTTTTTTGATCCGCGTAGCCCACTCACTCACCCCTGAATCCACTTCCCCCTCCTGTTGGACCTGACTATATTTGGCATATAGTAAGACATCCCGTATATCCGTCAGGCTGTCTCGGCAGGTTGAGACTGTCGCGTCACATTAAAGAACGGGAGATGAAAAATGACGCAACTGCTATGTAGAATCGTTGCACTTAAATCCCTTGCTATGGAGCTTTCTCCCTTTCTCCTTCTACTATGAAAGCTTCTAACATTGATGCCTCACCCCTCGAGCGTGATAATCCTGGCCAAATACGGCCATATACCGCTCTGTTCTTTAGAAGCTCCAGGCAAGAATTGCTCCAAATATACCTCTTCGTGATGGCGCATGAAAGCCCCGTAGGTAATCTACACCAAGTCAAATCGACTATCGAATCTAAAAGCGGTTGGCCAAAGAAACTCTATTATTTCTCTTGCGTATGCCACCTGAGCAGCCTTATCTCATACGGCGTATAACGGCAAGGTGTACACTAGAAAATCCCGGATAGTGCTTAACAACACTTGATCTATTGATCGAAGAGCCGTAGACCTAAAGCGAGCCAGTTATCCTTTCTACTAGGGCATTAGACTACGAAAGCTAGGTCATTACTTATGTTCGAGACTCCTTAAGCGCTCAAGGAAATTATAATCCTGGTAGAATTGCCTACAAATGCTGCCTGCGGACCTCCTGAAATGAGAAGACGGAGTCACGAATTTCCGATTGCCAGGGCATCCAATATACCATAAGCTATGAGGTCAGATCCCTTCTACGAAAACCGTTTTAGGATGCTGCCTGATTCCACCGTAATGATCGCAAAAACGCATATAGGGGTAGAAGTCAGTATAGGGGCGGAAACGCAATGTTAGCGCTTTAGGCACGTGTAGGATGTTTAAGTGCAAAATAGTGGTGTTCAGGGTGTTCAGGTGAAGGGGACTCAATGGGCTGAAGGGTAGGGCGACAAGTACACTTTTTGGCTCAAATAGAAGAGAAACAAAAACAAAGACATACAACAGCATGTCTAAGGTTATGGTCACCTAGAGCCCACGGATCGGGCGTGGGCGGCTCGCTGCTCTATTCAGCCCACTTCAGGTTAGTCCAGGCAGATATTCACCCGCGTCTGAATATTCTTCACCCGATGATTCAGGCTGTGTAGTAAAAGTAACTGGTGAACGGACAATCGATTGGTTATGCCTCTATCGCTAGATGCCTAGTTTCCCATTCAAGCAAAGCCTTAGAATTAGATACAATTTGATGATGCTCGGGACCCAGAATTCGTCGCTGCTTAGCCACGCAGCTCCTGAGTAAATCAATTGCATCAGCAAGCCGACCCATAGATTCCCATGTGAAGGCAAGGTTAACCATGCCCGTTATTGTGTCGGGGTGGTCCACGCCGAGCTTCGTCTTGCTCATCTCCATGACCTGTATAAAGAGCTGCTCGGCCTCTTCCAATCGGTGCTGATTTCTATACGTCCACGCTATGTTGCCCATGCTTGTAAGCGTGTCAGGATGGTCCGCGCCGAGCTTAGTCTTGCGAGCCTCCATGACATGCACCTCGAGTTTCTCAGCCTCCTTCCACCGGCCTTGGTTTTGGTATGTCACCGCTAGGTTGGCCATGCTCGTTAGTGTGTCGGGATGGTCCAGGCCGAGCTTTGTCTTGCGAGCCTCCATGATTTGCACCTCAAGGAGCTCGGCCTCTTCTAACCGGCCCTGGTTCCAGAAAGTTGATGCTAAGTTGGCGATGCTTATTAGCGTATTGGGATGGTCGGCACCGAGCTTTGTCTTTTGAGTCTCCATGATCTGTGTAAGGAGTCGCTCTGTTGACTCCAATCTGCCCTGGTTCCAGTATATCGACGCTAGGCTATTAATACTTAATAGCGTGTTGGGATGATCTGTGCCAAGCCTTTTCTTGCGGGTCTCCACGACATCAATCTGTAGCCGCTCTGCCTTTTCCCACTGGCCCATATTCCCGTAAGTTAACGCGAGGTTGCTCATGCTTGAAAGTGTACTAGGATGGTCTGACATGCCGGGCTCCTTCTTGCTTATCTCCAGAACCTTATTTAAAAGCTGCTCGGCCTTCTTCCACTGGCCTTGGTTCTGGTATATCGACGCAAGATTGTTCATACTTGATAGTGTGTTGGCATGGTCCGATCCGAAACTCGTCTCGCTCCTCTCCATCACTTCCTCAAAGAGCTGCTCTGAATCCTTCCATCGGCCTTGGTTCTGGTATATCAATGCTAGATTGTTCATACTTAAAAGTGTAGAGGGATGGTCTAAGCCGAGCTTCGTCTTGCTCATCTTCATGACCTCCACTTCGATTTTTTCAGCCGCTCCCCAGAGTCCCCCAAGCCTATATGCAGTTGCTAGAATAGTAGCGCTTTTTAGTGTCTCTTTACTATCTACTCCCAAAGACTTCAAGTTCTCATTTGTTGACTTAGACGCCATTTCAACCGATTCTGCAATATTCCCGGTTGCTTGTGCATACCACGCTGCTCTAGAAAGCAACGTTGCCCATTTCTGTCGCGAATCGTGTGATTTTGGGCATTGAGACGCCGCAAGTTTAACATGAGGAAACAGCGAATGGCACTGTTCCCAGTTCGTATATTCCCCGATCGGAAAGTCACGACATAGATTATTGATGAATCTTTCATTCCACTGCGCGTCCTTTTTGTGTGCCTTCAACCATGTACGCACTGTTAATTGCACTAGTCGATGCATTGTGAGTATTGAGTTGTTCTCTCCAAACGAGATTAATGAAAAGTCGCAAAGTGTCGTTATATCATCTTCGAACGACTGGTCTGCGCTAGACTCATCGTCAGACCTACTAGCCCCATCCTCTTCGCTCGAACTATCTGTAATATTCCCTGTACTCAAATTGTCCTTGATTGCTCGGCTTGGTGAGTCGCGAAGGATGCTTAGAGGGATTCCTTGCCGCTCAAAAAAGCTCATCAAAGAAAGCAAGTCTGTGGCGGATGGTCTGGTGCTCTGAATACTGTCAAATGATATTTGCCAGGTGAGAATAATCGAGCTTTTGGCCTCCCAGTCTTGATAGAGAAGACCTGCCTGGCGTTGAAGTAGTCGCACGGCCTGGAGGTCATCTTTTCGAATCTTCTCAAGGTACTGCGATACCGAGCAACGAGATGAACAACGTGTGATATAACTGGCAGCCTGTATAATTGCCAGTGGCATATATTCAAGTGCTTCAGTCAGCTGCTGTATGTCCTCATGATCCGTAGATATATTCAATTTCTTCTTGAGTAGATCCAAAGCTTCGGCCTTCTCCATTGGTGGTACTTCGATAATATCATTTGGACTAGCGATGTCCAACGCTACCCCTTTGTTCCGACTAGTGACAATGATAGACCCATTGGAGCATTCGAGGAGATATCTTAGCGGTGGCTGCGGCGTGATGATACTTCGGTCGTTTGCCTGGCCCTCGGACCTAGTCGCGTAAGTCTCGCGAAGGAGACTGTCATCGTCAACATTATCGAGAACAAGAATCCATCCCCCGATCTTCTCGTCTTGTAGCCAATTCCTGAAAAGTCGAAAAATATTGGCAGTAGGGTCTTCCCGTCCAGGAATCTTAACTCGATCGGCAAGGTCACGGAGACTTTGTTCACAACGTGCGGAGTTACTTGCGTGGATCCAGAAGACCCAAGTTTCAGGCGAAAGTTGCCGAATTCGGTTGCAGTGTTCGATGGCAAGCTGTGTTTTTCTAGTGCCTTGTCAGCGTTGAACGGACCGCCCTTGGTCATACTCACCCAACGCCCCCAAGGCCGACGAGTACCACTCTGGACCCTGAGTTCGAGGATCTATCGTGAATCTGGCTGAGTAGTGCATCACGGCTGATGAAGTCTTCGTGGGAAAGCGATATGTTCGAAAAGGGATCAGGGCGCTTTGGTAGCTCTGAGGAAGGCGCTATCAGCACATGTGACCTGGTTCCATTTCAGAGCAACTAGAAACTCACCCGCTGGAAGATATATTTGCCCATGATTGATCCCTACCTGAACCCCCAAATTCGCGTCGCCAAACGACACATTTATAGAGCTCATGTTCGACACACTTACGACGTGAAGTGTCTATGTTAGAGAAAGGACAGTTTATCAATAGCGGGGTCGGTCCTTGGCGCCGCCTCGCCATCAGCTGACCCCATGTATCCTGAGCAATGGGTCCTTCTAGAAGGCATACTACCTGAAGCTGAATTCGTCGGATCTAGTAATGGCCGTGTTAATTATGACGGCTGCAAAATGGGTCAACCGAGCCCAAGTAACCTATGAAACCCTACAACAGCATGTGATGACACTTTTCTAGGGCTGAAGCTAAATAATTGAACACCACAAACTCAAGAAGGGATAGGCCAACTCGCAGATCCTAAAAACAAAAATCGGAGCTCTATAAAAGGACCTAAATGCAATTTTAGCAGCCAAGAGCTATATTCTCTAACATTACCAACCAAATGCTTGAAATATCGCAGGAGCGACACTTGAGCAGAGCCTTCATGAATTTAAAATCTCTCTTGCGCCAATATGAGGAGCAATCAAAATGGGCCTCCCTAACATCTTCTCCTGAGAGGCCAGTGTATCGAAGTGTTTTACCAGCGAGATTAGGTCGGAAACATCAATATGAATAGCAAACTCTGCAAGTTTCAACTCGGTATTCCGCTTTTGAAGCTCCAGGTCTGTAGGTTCTTTCTCTAGGGGGTTTCACGATTTATCATACAGATTGCCATTCAGCAGGTGAAGCTTACTCTTGAAATCGCCGCCCAGATTCTTTGCCCTTGCCATGCTTAGAGGCTCAGCGAAATTTCAAGTCTTTGAAAACTGAACAGCCTGTTGCGATCTCATGAAATATCACAGTCAGTAATTTCATCCCTGAGATAAGAACCTAAACGCAATGGTAGTTCAAGATCAGCCGCGTGCAGGGTAGCTGACACTTGACCCTCAGGCAATAAGCGTTTAACGAGCATGATATGAAGCACGTGATATTAACAATTTGATTCAAGCAGCCTATCTACTCTCTCTTACCACGATCATAGAATCATGCGATCTTCCCGACCACATGGCTAAGCCATACCTGCGACTGCAGAGCCAAAAAGAACATTCAGAACAATCTGATGTATTGTGGGATGTTGGAGAGAAGGACCTATCTACAGAGAGCGGCCATATGACAAATATAAGAATAAAAACACACAACAGTCAGGATTCGCATGTGGTCACCCACCATACTACTAACTAACCGGCGTGTGGCTTAAGTACGGCTGAGCGGACGGGAAGCCCTGTTCTCCACACCCTATGGTCGTATGTACTGGGTATAAGTCGGGAAAAACCCATATACTTCAATCCCGTATGGCTCTCCACGTGATGCACTATGGCCCAAATTTGAAATAGTGCGTGCCGCTTTAGCGACGCGCGACTCAGGATGAGAAGGGTGAGTGCGCAATATGCACAGAGAGAGATGTCGGATCCAATAATAAACAACATTCGGATTCGTCTCGGTCAATCACAACCAGCCATCGCCTTTCTATTGTACATAATTTGCCATATCTAGCCGAATTGTGCATGTATCTACTAGCAAATGATATACCACCAACGCCGATTTCCCTCTTTCTCACACCTTTTGCAATGCACCATGCAAAATAGTAATAATTAACACTTGTTTCTATATTTCTGGTCGAGCGATTCTCGTGATATTCAAAGGAAGTTGGTGAATCATATTAATTTATTGACAATGGCAATTCTAGCGCTGAGGGCCTTGCGAAATTAACCTATGAAAGGACATTGTGATTTAAGCTATTTGATGTCATTAATGATGTAATCAGCCTTTCCTGCTGACTATATCTCATTATAACGAAATTGAACCTATAGGAAATCAAGGCTCACACACAAGGGGTTCGGCTCTGGAAAGGTTAGCCAGACTCTATAAGTGCTTACGTCATCAATTGTTAGAGTGCTTCTTGACTCCGAGCTCATTGCCGGCGTAGCCGTGCACGTCATATATAATTGAAGATGGCAAAGAAGTACGGCAATTTGACACATATAAGTATACCTACATAGTCCAGAAATCATCATGTATGTCACAAATATTGAGTGACTTACAATTGCTTTCTCATCTTATACATTATTTTTACGACACAAAACTTGTGCATTACAATACAAAAGAATGATGGATGACTTCAAGGACACTTTTAGTTGGAACTTCACCGCCAAGCACCCCTTGAAAGTGATTATCGTTGGTGCTGGTATCGCCGGCTTAACGGTAGCGCTGGGACTCAAGAAGGCTGGCCATGAAGTTCTGATCCTGGAACGCGTCCATGAGATCTCAGAAGTTGGTGCTGGCATTCAAGTGGCCCCCAATGCTGCTCGTATTCTACATCGTCTAGGTTTGTTAAACCAGGTCATGGAGAAGGCGAATATTTTAGAGGAAAATTCTCTGCGGCGGTATGCGAACAACCAAGAACTTGGAACTGCGCCTTTGATGCCCGAGGTATGTCTCAACTTTTGACTATTGATTGGTTCGTGTCCAACCTCATCTGTCTATAGGTAGGCGAGAAGTATCATGCACCCTTGGCTGTTATCCACCGAGGCGATCTACAACTCATCCTGCTACATGGGTGCGAGGCTGCCGGGATCGAAATTCGAAAAAGCTCGCTCGTGGTTCGAGTCCCTGACGATTTTGAGGCCAAGGTACAGCTGGAGTCGGGTGAATGGATTTCTGGCGACGTGGTGATTGCGGCCGACGGGATCAAATCAAGCATACGCCAACAAATGGCTTCCCATCATGGAGTTCGCGATACGTGCCAACCGACTGGAGATGCAGCCTATCGAGTCATGATCCCGAAAGAGAAAATGCTAGAAGACAAGCGCGCATTGGATCTTTTGAACCATAACGTTGGTATGCGGTGGATGGGACCAGGTGGTCATATCATGGCCTATCCCATTAAAAACAACTCTGTGTACAACATGGTGTTGCTACACCCTCAAAAGAAAGATGCGCCCAATGAGGAGAGCTGGACCAACAAAGGCGACAAGAAAGAGATGCTTTCTTTTTACCATGATTGGAATGATTTGGTTCGCAGCCTGCTCACTTATGTCCCGGATGGTGAGGTGATGGAGTGGACTCTCAATTCCCACTTGCCCTTGCCATCTTGGGTTGAGAACAAATGCGTCCTAATGGGTGACGCTTGTCACCCGATGCTTCCATATGTAGCTCAGGGTGCTGCGCAAGCCATTGAAGACGCTGGTGTCCTCACATGTGCGCTCTCTTTGACTGACTCGGTCCCTACGGCGCTTTCTGTTTACGAAGCGGTGCGCAAAGAGCGCGCAGAGCGCATTCAAAATAGCGCCGCCGTGACAAGGAAGGCTTTACACTTACCTGATGGCGAAGAACAACGCAAGCGTGATGAGGCTATCCGAGGCCCGGGTAAGAATCCAGATCTCTGGGCCGATCACAGCTGGCAGGACTTTATGTGGGGTGAGTCTACGGCCTACCGACATTTTATGAGGACCAATATTGACCGAAGATTCAGGAACCGATGTCATGAAGGAAACAGTGGAGAACTGGAGTGATTTGGTAGCCCGTTGTAAGGGGTATCATCTTCATTCGTTGAAGGCTGTCGGCTACTGAGATGCAGCAATGAAACTGAAAGACTGATATAGTATCCTACTCAATGCTTTTTGCGTATATTATATCTCCTTACAAACCTCAATCATAGACCTAAGAAGTTGCCTTTTATCTGTGTACATGCTAGTGTATATTCACATGTCCATTGTATACTTGCTCTCATTTCTTTCCCGGGTTTGGCCTTTACTGTAGAGACATTTCCCAGACTCCGATCTCAACAAAATGAATGTGAAAATTATCTTTTACATTTTGGCAGATACAGGCTTTGAGTGGGCTTCATATAGTCCGCCGGCCTCCTCCTCACCTCGTCAGCGATGTTCAGCTAGGATACTAAGTCTGATAAGGCCTGATTTCGAGAAGCTTGGGATCATCAGCAAATTTTTGAATTTTTGAGTTAATTTGTCTAGCAGGCTGACCGTGTGGGTTCTTGTAAACAACGTATCATGCTTCTCTGCCGCACACAGCGCAAAACTGTTGGTGGTGGAGCGGTTGACGTCATTCTACTTCTACATAGGTGTCGAAGCAGCAAATGCCCATATACTCAAGTTCTATATAACCAAACTTGTGACGTGTAATGGGCGATGATGACTCCGTGCTAAGGGAAAGTGCCGCTTTCAATGTCACTAACTACCAATAGAGCCGAGAACAAATCGGAAAATCTTTGTGAAATAGTTCTATGATCGGATATCTTATTCGGCACGTAGAGACTATTCTAGTATCTCTGAACTTTCAAAAACCAGTTTCCCGAGCCGGGAGAAAGTTGAGCCAGATATCGGGTCCGCATTCGGTAAGCAATAGCAGTGAGCTCATATGCTATCTTTTCACGTGATTTGACTATAAGTCGTTGTGTCCCAAAGAAATCAGAGCATGGCAAGTTCCCTGAAGTCACCCGATGCATATGCATGGAATGACAAGTCAGCTTTACATGACTTGGCCCGTCTCCGTGCTTTTAGTACGATTCACTGCACGGCTCAACTATCATTGCAGATGCGCACAATGTTTTCGCGGACATGGTTAGAGCCAAAAATCCAGAGATTGTCATGTGCTGCTTCAAGACAGAGACCCACAACGCCCTTGTTCAACAGCTTAGCCATCGCGGAGTAGGCATGAGCTTCAACGATCACAAATCGGCACCAAAACCAATTGAGGCGGGACTGTTTTTTATGCGCGTCAATGCATTTCACCCAAGCTACGCGAACAATCAGTATCCGATATTCTGCTCTCCCACCCTCGCTTTATGAATGTAGGCCCTTAGAATTTGACTTCTCAAGGAACAACGAACGCATGTCTGACCCGACCTTGAACAAACAATCATGCTTTAACCAAGTTGTCAAGGCCTACCTTATTACTCAAGAGGTAGTCCTAATTACCTTTATCAGCATAAAGTGTTTCAAGCATGTCGACTACATACTTACCCACAGCCATTGAGGCATCCATTTGGACGCAAACCAGAGTAATTTACTATTGGGTCCTCTCCATATCATCCCAGATTTCCCCATAATATCATCCATAATAGAATCCGCAAACGCTTGGACTGGGCATCCTTTGGGTCCTGCTTGGCCAGAGGCCCACTGTGTGATGATGTCCCTAGCGCCTAGGAAGAGGGAAGAACTGGGTAGCAATACTTCCGGTTCGTTGGAATGGAATGAGGTTGTGACTGTACCGACCATTACGGTGAGTACATTGATCCCAATAGGAGCAAGCTCAAGCCTGAGCGTCTCTGAGATAGTCGTTATGGCTGACTTGGAAGACGAATAGATGCCTAGACTGTGTGAGTAACCACTTGATATTGATCGACTGGATTGTAGAACTATACCAATCCAGGGAGTATTAGTCACTCCCCCAATACTACTTAACGTGACAATCTTGCCCCTACTCCTGAGAAGCAAGGGCACGAAGGCTTGAGACATCCTCAGTACACCCCACACATTTGTGTCATACGTCCGTTGCGCAATTTCGATATCCACATCTATCAAGGGCATCGTATAACCAATGCCAGCGTTGTTTATCAGGACATCGAGACCCACGCCATGGCCTTCCACGACTCAGACAGCCTTCGTAATAGACTCGGGAGATGTCACATCTAGCTGAACAGACGTCACATTGCTAAGTGAGACAAGCGATTCTATAATCTTTGACAATGTACGTGCAGTCGCAAAAATATGATGGCCTGTTCGGGCCAGCGCCAGGGCTAGTGCAGCGCCAATCCCATTGGCTGAGCAGCCAGTAATGAGAATGCGCTTTTTAGAGGACACTAGTGAAAATTATTTACGAGGAACAGAGAGCGAGAAAAACCGAAGTCGCAAGTGCGTGGATAATGGACACCGAGCAGAGATAAAGTTTATAATCAGTCTGGAATCTGACCACATGAGCATAGTCTTACATGGTGAACACGGTAATTTATGATGACTTAAAAGTCAAATCTGAGCAGTACGTTATATACCGCGATACAGCTGAATAGGAGTTGTCTCCCAATACAAACCTCGACGACATTTCGGGTCAAGGTACAAAGTGTGCATGGGTGTCTGTGGGGTAGTCCGTTTTCGAATTTGAATCTATTACTGCGGGACGTTTCGGCAAATCTGGTCTGCCACCAGCTGGACCCTGTAATAAGGTACTTTTGGTGATTTCACTTGAAATACATCAAGACAAGATGGTGGGACTTTCTCTGACCTAATGCAAATTAGTGCGATCGGAGTGAGGCGCTGTGAAAGAAAGCGTGTCTGGGGATAATATGTTTTCGAATTCTACTGTAGAACGACATCTCCATCTCTTTTTATCTGCCGGTGGTCCAGGCCTCCTACGATCGGAGAGCACTACTAATTCATCAAAAGAGACACCAGTGAAGGTAGTGAAGGGAGGATCTCAGGGCGAATGGGAGATCAGCAGATAGATCAAAGCAAGGTTATCAGTTCATGACCCGCCAAGGGACGAACCATGATGCAAGAAAGGAACAGAAGTGATGATGAATCGAACCATCTATGACAAGAGGACTCCAGCAAGACCTAATTATTTGCCTCGGCAGAAGGCCTGATCTTTCAGGCGTATATCATATCGAATTTCCGACCTAATACTGAATCCCGCCGGAGAGGAGTAACCCACCCCCGCCGGAACAAGCCACCAGAACGTGACCGTGAGAAACAGGAGTGCAGTCACATTTCTAAGGGTCATCAGAAGACTCCGAGAAAAAAGATGGTATGACCTATCAGTCTGCACAATTTGACTGGCTCAAATGTATAGCTGCTGTAAACAATCAGTGGCCACTGCTTATGGCCTGAGTCCAAAAGCACGCAACATCTATGGATATTAATAATTTTCCTCGATATTTTGAATAAGGCAGAAGTTTTCATAAGAGCTTGCCGTGCTGATCACCGAGTCTACTGTTGATCAAACGTTTTGAAAAGATTTTGCGGGGTCGGAGCAGCCGATAGCTTAATTTAGAATCCGATGATCCTTCTCCCCGCATTATCGGGCCATACCCCCTGATTTCTCACCAGGCGAATTTCTTGAATCAGCAAAATCGTGGCCTGACCGAGAAATTTAGGGAATGAACCGACCCGACGGCAATGCGCAGGAGGGTTCTGAACACATTCCGAAGTGAGGCGGGGTCCGGGTGCCGGGATGTATTCCTGCAGGGTAAAACTTCAAGTGTCTGTTATTCGCGCCCCGATATCCAATTATCTCCAATGAATGCAATTCTGACATGCTCCAAGCCTCTCGCCTCTTTACTATTGCATGGAATCCTCGTATATCACATTAGTCCTACAGACTCGATTGATTGGCGTAGAATGCACTTATTTAAGAAAAATAGAGCCTACGCCGTAGCCAATCAAGCCATTCCAAACACAAGTAATCTCCGGTGGGGGAGGTCAAGCTTTCAATCCGGACTGGATCACCAGGACTGTTCTCCGGGCAGCGTGGGGATACAACCGAATAAGGGGCTGGGTCTTGCTCATCCCACTTCTGATTAGCTCCGGAATGCACAACCCCACACAAAATGCACTTGAGAAATATTTTATACAAGTCTAATCCTCGGCCGCGTTAGTGGATCTCCGGTGGGGAGATCTGGCTGCATGAAGACCGGAGCTTCTTTCTTGGTTATATATGATCACTAGCTCCCCCGCAATTTCACAGTATGAGTTATCTCGACTACACATATCGAAAAGCGTGACTGCTGATCGACTGCCTGATATTTTTATTTTGAGGTCCGAACCTGATACAAGATGGCGACAGAGAAGGTCGCCCCGACCAAACGGGAGCTTGAAGCCTTTGAACTGAGCAACCCCGACGTCGTTGAGCTCATTCATCAAGCAGAGCAAAGCGATGCAGCTGACCGGAAGTTGACTATCCGCCAAGCACTGAAGAAATATAAGAAAGCTGTATTCTGGGCCATGTTCCTATCTACTAGTTTGATCATGGAAGGCTATGATTTGGTCATTGTACGCAAGCCTCATATGTATACCCGAACAGAATACCTCACTGATATCAAAAGCACAGATAACTTCATTTTACGGCCAAACACAGTTCAGAACGAGGTTTGGAGTGTGGGATCCCGTGTCGAAGAGCAACCTAATACCCGCTTCGTGGCAATCCGGGCTGTCCAATTCATCTCTTGTCGGCCAACTTGCCGGCTTAATAGTTAACTCATATACCCAAGATCGATTTGGTTGTCGACCGACCATGATGTTTTTCATGGCTTGGATGCTTATCATGATCTTCATTCCGGTTTTTGCGCCATCCTTGCCTGTCTTGGCATTTGGAGAGGCGATGTGTGGTGTTTCTTGGGGTGTTTTCCAGGTAACCTATCTGCCTCCAATATACCTTTTAGCATTGTGACTGATGTGATTTGATGTGACATTATGCAGACTCTTTCTACGTCCTACGCTTGTGAGGTGGTTCCCACAGTCCTCCGACCCTATGTGACCGCCTACGTTTGCATGTGCTGGGGTGCCGGTATCCTTCTATCTTCTGGAGTCGTCCGAGCTGTAGCCAGCATTGAAGGTGACCTAGGATGGAGACTTCCATTTGTTCTTCAGTGGATCTGGCCGGTTCCTCTCTTCATTGGAGCTTACTTTGCCCCCGAATCACCTTGGAACGCAGTCCGCCGTGATAAGCTCGATCTCGCCAGAAAGAGTCTGATGGCGTTGCAGCAAGATGGCCCCGATAAGGAACGTAATGTCGATGTCATCCTTGCATACATTAGACACACCACCGAATTGGAAAAGGGAGAGACGTCGAATGCTAGCTTCCTCGATTGTTTCAAGGGAACCAATTTACGGCGCACGGAGATCGTGAGTATTTACGTTTGCCGCTTCACCTCACTTGGATCTAAACTTACAATCCCCAGAACTGTGTCGTCTGGGCAGCCCAGCTCCTGTGTGGCAATACCATCCTCGGCTATGCCGTTACCTTCCTCGAAGCAGCAGGCTTCACCGAGCTTCAGGCCTTCGACGTGAATATCTCCCTCTCGGCATGCTACATCATCGGTGGAATTATCTGCTGGTTCCTTTTCCCGCACGTCGGCCGAGCGACTATCTATATGACTGGCATGGCCTTCATGTTTGTCTGTCTCATCGTGATCGGCGGTCTTGGCTTCGCCCACGATAATAGTTCAAAACTTGCGGTTGGCATTCTCCTCGTCATCTCCACGCTAGCAAACATGATCACCGTCGGCCCAGCCTGCTATCCCATCGTGGCCGAGACACCCTCGGGTCGGTTGAGGTATAAGACTATTAGTATTGGGCGATTTGTGTATAATCTGACGGGAATTGTGCATAATACCATTACGCCACGCATGATCTCATCGACAGGTGAGTCTTCCTTTGTTAATTATTACATTACCAAGGGCTATGCTAACGAATACATAAGCCTGGAATTGGGGAGCCAAGGCCGGTCTATTCTATGCAGGAACCAACCTTCTCTGCAATATTTGGTGCTGGTTCCGTCTCCCAGAGACAAAGGATCGAACATTCGGTGAGATCGATGTGCTGTTTGATAACAATATTCCTGCAAGAATGTTTAAGCATACCAAGGCCGAACGTAAGTGTCAATTGAAAAGACTCCTTACTGGAGTATACTAACATGCAAAATAGAATTCGCCCATCAACAGACCTACGAGCGCAAGGAACCTAGTGAGCACGTAGAGAGCGTCGCCTAGGAGAATCATGATTTCTATTGGAACGAATTAAATTTTATGTGCTACTTTTTATGGAAATGCTTGCAATATGGCATCCGATTGTCGAATTGAAAAGAATATAAAACAATCTCGTATCAAGAGTTCCAAGCAGCAGTCATGACCTAAAGCATAATCACGCAACGGTCAAAAAGCCAAAGGCCAAGGTGAAATTTCCAGGCGATGAAGAATAATCGGGTTCGATCAACTTCAGTATGACTGAGCGAACGGGAAGCCCTATTTTCAAGACCTATGGTCATATGTATCAGAAACACCCTGGAAATTTATTATAGGGTACAAATAAGGTGACATAGAGGAAAGCCACTTAGGCGTCGCGCGATCCACATGAGAAGGGTACGAACCAATAGACAGGTGAGAAGCAAGCCGAGAGCGGATGAAAAACAACACCGGCCCTCATCGCACGACAGCTGAGTTTGCCTTCCTATCCAGGCGAGAATAGAACATCATTGAGCCACGGTCTCCCATTTAAACAATCAGCCTCTTGGCATCTACACATAGCCTATAGTAGGATGTGTCCGACTGGGGACTAAATGCGGTGGTTATCTAATGCTAGTTCGTGTAGATATGAGGCCAAAGTAGGTTTTGAATATACGAGTGCTATATATAAATCAAATGGCAATCTCGCGCGTCATGCCTGACGCACTGACCATTTCAATCGGCAGTCGTTAGCCTTTGTAGCACTAATTCATCTAAAGACTCCATAGACTTAGGTACGTTAAGTTGAGCTCTTTTTGATCAAGTCTCCCTAATGTCTGTTGTGCATACCGCGCGCAGCCTTTTGGAAATGGAAAACATTTTGAAAGCACCGAATACTATCCGTAGAACCTACTTTAGTTTGACATGAAATTTCAAAGCGGACTAAAGAGGCTTATATTACACCTCACAGTTTATGCAGATGCCGTCAATTCCAAGTTCTTCCATCAGGCTCATGCCAAATGGAGCATCAGCGACCTGGCGCGTAGCAGTGCTCAGTACTGCAGCAAATGTGGAGGAGTAGGGCCAGTCTCCTACATACAACAGCACCTTGAGGTTTCGGTCCCAAAGGAGAAACAATCCTTCGACACAGCCACAAACATCATTTTCTACTTCAGCTCAGGGATTTCCACGGAATTACTTTTCAATATGGGCCTAACAGTCAGACAAGTAAACTTTCCCAGTGTCCTCGTGTACATTGGCGAAAGCGTCTAGAATACAGGTAAGCTTATTAGCAGGGAGACCACTTGGGTGAAATTCTTGCTTGTCTAATTATCTTCACACATCCCAACATGTAGAACTGAAGCGATTCAAAAACTAGTGCTCACCAGGCGTGCCAGCCTTCAGCTGCCTCGCTTCAATATTGAGTGAGGTTGACTATGTAATCTCTGCTTGGCTGCATATTAGGGCTTTTCAACTGATCAGGTGTGTCGGGCTCATGAATTTTTACTAGCCAATCAGGAAGAGAGCTACGTCGGCAACGGCAGCAGCTCTTCTGGACCCTCGAAACAGGGCTGAAGTTAGATCACGCTAGCGATACCCGAGCCGTCATAGATGGTGGGTTGCCTGAGCTTACTCCTTCTGAGCATCGGGAGTCGGGGTACATGCACATAAGCAGGCTGTTTGGTTACTGACGAATTATCAAATCATGGCCGGTGATCCAGCTCGTATAGGCCAATATTGGCATATTTTGACGAATTTTATTTGTATGCTCACCGCAAGAGTATTGTGTTGAGGAGACAGAAAAGAGGGCATCCCATCAAATTAATCTCCACCATCTGAGGTATAAATACCGGGACATTACAGCACCATTTTTCTCTGCTCAAGCTTTCAAGTCAAACATTCAATACACTCTGAACACAGTCGCCAGTCCAACAAGAAGTTCGTGTCTACTCAATCAATATGCTTTTCAAACCAATTGCCAGCTTGCTTTTCCTCGGCTATGCCAACGCTGCCATTGTGGTGTCGCTGGTCAGCACCAGTGGAGTCACTGTTCCTTACAACGTGGATCCTGATGGCAGTTGCTGTAAGTGAATCGAACCCTCACTTCTCTTCCCCTGATCCCAAACACCTCCGAAGAGAAAGGGTAGCTGAACAGATCCAACAGTCTCCCTGAATGGCGGTAGTCTTACGCAGTTCAACGACCATCTCCAGCAAATGGAGATTCCCAGTGGCTATGAATGCACAATCTGGGAGTAAGTCCACCCTCCCACCAGGGTGTCATGTTGAAATTCACCTGAGGGCTAACACGACTTAGGAACTTCAATTGTAATGGCAAACACACTAACGCTCTCATCGGCTCTCCGCGTATTGCTGAAGTCTGCCCAAAGCTTACTTGGAACTGGGCCTTGGCGGCGTCATCTTTCAGGTGCTGCAAAACGACGTCTAATGGAAGTTGGTGCGCAGGGGGAATTCCAACATGTACATGAAGCGTTTTATAATGCGGAATGATTGGTTCTAGTGGGTCTATTAGCGACAACTAGGCGGCCAGCTGCTGGACAAGTTCAGTGCTCTAAGCTATTCAACCCTGTGGGAACTCTCTCAACAGATTCCCCCTACTATTCCTTCTCGGGCATCGACCAACTCCTTCTGTTTTTCTCCCTGTCATTTTCTCTCACTGACTCTGTATGCAATTTATTTTGTGCGTATAAGACTAGAATTGTGGTTATCTTTCATAGGGAAATTCAAGATCTTCATACAATGTAGCTACTTTGCAGACAGTATCACTGAATTCCGAATGAAAAGTCTTGCCTAGATATTACCCAGCTCTCTGTTCTAGCTGAATGTCATAGACTTTGAAGTAAGCTGGGAAACTAGCAGGGAAGAGGGAAGAGAAGAATGAAGGGGATTGGAATTCCAGTCATGCCATTCCGGTGGAACTCTGGTCACCCCTGTAGACCATGTCGCCTGAAATCAAGTTTCTTCTAACAAGCGCATACATTGATTAGCTATTGACAAAGAATCAAGGATAGAACAAGTATCCTAATGTCCATTGCGTTATACCGAGGTCTCTATAAAGTAAGCTTAGCTTACTTACGGCGATAGAGGTTAGATGACTTCTCGTGATCTTCTACCCTCCTACTTACCCCGCTGCTATTATATACCCAGAAGCTACAAGGTTAATTTATTTAGACTCTACCTAAGTGTAACCCCTGCTTCCAGGACCAGTGTCAATTGGTAATTATAATAGTTAGGTCCGTAATAGCGTAACAGGCGGGTCGATTACCCCTTAGATGATGTTTCTTACCCGTTCGCGCCCTATCCTATGCTATTATCCACACGTTATGGTGGTATGTTCTGGATATATCAAAGGAAGACACCATATAGTTGAACCAAGATAGCGTGCGGCGCTACGGCCTATATAAGAAATTGGTGAGTGCCGCTTTAGCGACGCGCGACCGGACATCAATTATACAATTTAATAACCTTGCGCAAGAGCCCTCCAACCTGGAAAATAAGACTATACAGGACTAATACAAGATCTCATTATAAGCCCCGTTATATCAGCCTATCATATTTCTGAAAAGAGATATGTGGAATATTATTTCGGGGTATAGGGGGTTTCGCGATTGGGTTCAAGACAAGGTTCTCGATGTAAGAAGTATTGATGATCATTCCCGAGGTCGAGAATTTGTTGTTGCCTACACATTTTATAACTAATTAATCAGGGTTGCAAATTTTCCAGACGCCAACACTGTCGTGTTGGGTCTGACATGTCCGAACTACGCCACACGCGGTGAAGATTGGGGGCTAATTGTACCCAAGTCTGATTTTGCTCATAGTAATCCTCCACCAGTTACAATAATATGCATTCGAAGCTTCCTTATTTCAATAAAATCAATTTTGGAACTTAGACAACGTAGCTGGAGTCATGAACAACTGTTGTGGACTTGAAATTATGCGGAGCGTATAGAGAATCTCATGAAAGCTCACTCATTGGCCCCAGTGAGATGTTGGCTGGAATAGTATTTGGCCCCGATATTAACATGACTAGAATGATCTTCGGCCCCATTTCATAATTTGGGAATTCTGTATTCGGTATATTAGTAGGTTTGACCTTCCCAGTGTCATGATCTTGGGATAGGTTGCGTAGGAAAAATACAGAAGCGGAGTATACCAAATCTCACATACTCCGAGAATGGCAAGGTTTGGGGGCTCGTGTTTCATAAACCCAATCAGGCTATCTCGTATTGTCGATGGAATATAAATTGTCTCTTCTTGGGTCAGACTTGCCCAGCTTTTTAGTTCGCAATCTTTACTTCGCAATCTCCAAGCTTTATTTCTTTCGATCATTATCAACATGGCGACTAATTACGGAAGCTACCAGAATGTTGTCTTTGCCAAGGGTACCCTGATGGGTATCAAGCCGACCGTCACAACTGATCCGAGGATGCTGGAAGAACAAGCGAAAAAGGCTCTCAGCGAGGAGACGTATAACTTTGTATCTGGGGGTGCTGGTGAGAAGGCGACTATGGATAGTAACCGGTTGGCCTTTCGGCAGTGGAAGATGTAAGTCTGACCTACTCGCGACATGTGATTTGTAGCGTAAGGCTAATTTCTCTAGGATCCCACGGATGATGCCCGATGTTGGTTACGCCTGTTATGGCTTCTCACTATGTTTGTTAGCTGACAAAAGTGGTTGTTTCTATTAGGTCACGGAGCAGGACGTTTCAGTGGAATTATTCGGTCAGAAGTACGACACTCCACTGATCGTGGCCCCACTTGGAGTTCAGCGTATTTTCCACGAAGATAAGGACACTGGGCTGGCCAAGGTCTGCGCAGAGGAAGGCATTCCTTTCACTATGAGCACGGCTGGTACCAGCTCTATTGAGGAGCTCGCAGAAGCCAGCGGCAATGGTAAACGCTGGTACCAGCTCTACTGGCCTAAAGATAACGATGTCACCGTGTCAATCCTGCAGCGGGCAAAGGCTAGCGGCTTCTCGGTCCTGGTCATCACTTTGGACTGCTGGACTCAGGGCTGGCGACCGGCTGATCTTGACAACGGGTACATCCCGTTCCTCAAGGGAACCGGGTGCCAGGTCGGGTTCAGTGATCCAGTTTTCCGGGCCAAGTTTGAGAAGAAGTCTGGAAAGCCAGTCGAAGAGGATATCGTTGGTGCTGCGGTCGCATGGTTGGCCGATGTGCATATGGGTCAACCTCATTCTTGGGAAGATATCGCTTTTCTGAAGGAGCACTGGGACGGTCCCATCGTCTTGAAGGGTATCCAGCATGTGGAGGATGCGAAGTTGGCACTCAAACATGGCTGCGAAGGAATCGTGGTTTCTAATCACGGTGGTATGTTTCAATCTGCACTCCATGGATTTACAATTGCTGACTATCTGCAGGCCGCCAGGTTGATGGTGCGATCGGTTCGCTAGATGTTCTCCCCGAGATCGTTGAGGCGGTCGGCGACCAGATGACAGTGCTATTCGACTCCGGTATCCGAACAGGAATGGATGTCGTCAAAGCACTGTGCCTGGGAGCTAAAGCCGTGATGGTAGGACGACCCATTGTTTATGGACTCAGCATCGATGGAAAAGAAGGTGCTCGGCAGGTGATTAAGAACATGCTTGGTGATCTGTGGCAGAACATGACGCTGTCAGGAATTCGCTCGGTGAAAGAGTGTAACCCGAAACAGATTCGCCGAGTCACATACGGAGGAGATTCGAAGGTGATGATGTAGATATGAAGATATACCCGATGGACGATTGGCTACGTCATTTCCCAACAAAGTGGAAATCACATGTCAAATGATCTAGATTCCATTAGATGCCCAATGTTGATTTCATTGTATTCTTGTTCTTTCTATCTTTTACATCTTTATCATTGAATCTACTCATGGCTCATTATGACTGCAAATGCTGATGAACCAAACGAATCTAATGCTTTAACAAGCCATGTCCCCGCAACCTCGGGCACAACGCTCCTCCCGCGTCCAGTCGCGTCCTTGGTATCTCTGCTGACCCAATCAACCTCACTTACGCTACGCATCGGGTCATTCTTTGGTGGAGTTGCCCTAGATGGCGCGCGAGTGACAACCTTAACGAGCTTAGAATTGGGCCGTGCTGTGGTTGAAGGCATTCTGACGCGTGCCGGTCGCGATGTCGCGATTCGTAGTGGGGATGATCATGGACGAATGGAGGCTGAATCACTGTTAGAACGAAGTGTAAGTGAAAAAAATTTACTTCAGGCGAGATCTACTACTCACATCAAATCAGTTAGCAACATTACATACAACCGTAACCTCCGCATCCTTCTTCGCCGCGGCTACTTTTCATTTCTCGTCAACCACGTTGGCTTCCGTGGCGAACTTCTCGCAGGCACTTCTATCAACCCTTGATGCGATTTTAGGATCGACCGAGAGTTCCAGGGCCATTGCGGCTATTATTACCCTAATTCGGCGTGAGTTCAGATCCGTCGACACCGGCGCCAGCATCGAGAAGATCGGTGTGGGGGACCTGTTGATTGGCTCAGTGGGCTTTGCACTTCTGCAGCGCTGGGGTAAAAGGAATACCGAAAGACGACTGCGAGAGAATGGCGGTGATGAAGTCATTTGGGATACCGTCATCCTTGACAATGGAGCCCGGGCAGATGTTGTTGGAACACATCAACTACAATTCCCAAATGAAGCGCGTGAAGAAGGCCCTGACGAGCAGGAGGGCGCTTCATTCGTGATGCCGGGCACTGGGGATCAATCCTTCAATGCCGTGCAGCGACGCTCGAGTAACTCGGATTCATATACAGGGGCTCGTCTTTCGTTCCCACTGGACAGTCAACAACAGGTCTCAGACGAAGATATCCGAGCGTACATCATGAGCCAGTTACCACCAGGCTGTCATGCTTCCATAAGATCCGAGGCTCTGACTGCAAGAACAATCACGGTGGATATTTTCGATGACGAGATGGCTGAAATCGCAGCACCTCCTGGGACTACAATGGTTGAAGAACGATTTCACCATCATGACCATGCAAGTCCTAGTGTGCCGGAATTTTCGAAACTCCCGAAGCACACTGTCGTATTTCGCACAGCCTTCAATAAGTCGCAGAGCACACAGCTGCGACCCCAGGGTCCATCCATCCCGGATTTCATTGAGCCTGATTACCAGCGGCCTTCACAAGTAAATTCGGCATTGGCCGGGAATCCGAGGAGCCAGCTCAAGCGAGCTCAGTCGGAAGGCTCGACGAGTGATGCGACTATCAAAGATGGATTCTCGATATCGAGGTCTTCAACTGGCCAGACTGAAAAGGCCGCAGGCAGAGGCTCTAAATTTGCCCAGCGCTTCAAGCCCGCTGGTCACGAGAAGACCAGCAGCGTGAAGCCACCGCTCCCCAAAAGGCCGGCTGTCAAAGCACCAGGATCCTCTGGCACATCCGCCAGTAGACAGCCTACAAAGCTTGCTCGAGGAGCGGCGTCGATGAAAGAAGCGACCGCACGAGAGAAAGCAAATCGACCAGTCCCAGTCAGACCAAGTCAAACAGCAGAGTATCGGCCTTCCACCCCTGGTCCGAATAGTGGATTACGAAGATCGCCTTTCTCCAACTCTCCCCAAGGCCACTCTCCACGGTCGCAAGCCAAACATGCTCCTGCCCATGGTATGCATGATAGGAACAATTCCAGAGCAGGTCACTATGTTTCGCATGAAAGAAGTCAAGAGTCTCTTCTTACACATACTGATGCCTTCTCACGTCGTGCTGGAGACCTGCGCCCGGGATCTCCTGCCACATCTCGAACTCATGTTCGCAGCACCAGTTCCTTGTCGGTATCAAGGTCTGAAACGGACGGGCCTGTGTCCAATGATTGCCCGGGCTCATCAGCACTGCACAGAAGATCGCAGTCGTATACCCCTAGCATGTACTCTGTCGCGACTGCTGGTTCTGAAACATCGCTTTTGCTAGCTCATCGCTCGCGCAAAAGCGCTTATGAAGATATAGACACCATTCAAGCACTAAATCGTGATGGCATCGTGCCAGGAATCTTTCCAAAGAGGCATTTTGTTCAAAACATACGCCGATTCTGTCGCTTTTCCTCTGCTTCATACGGTTCCAGTGCGTTGAAGGTCATGGGCGTACCTAAGGATGCGAAAAGCATCCCGCATAAAATGTCGGACAGCCATGAACATAGTGCCTTCGAACACAATGCCGGCCTCCCACCATCAACAATTCTACTCTCCTCCTTTGTGGATCCAGCTGGAGGCTCAAATGCGGCCGGTGAAACTGAAAGCGGGTTCCCTCTCGTACACTACCTGTCCATCGACCACGAGTCCAAGGCAGTAGTTCTCACCCTCCGAGGAACCTGGGGCTTTGAAGACATCCTCACAGACATGACCTGCGACTACGACGACCTGGAATGGCAAGGCAAAAATTGGAAGGTACACAAAGGAATGCACGCCTCCGCGAAGCGACTCCTCGAAGGCGGCGGCGGCCGAGTGATGATCACTCTCCGCGCAGCACTGGAAGAGTTCACGGATTACGGCGTCGTACTCTGCGGCCACTCCCTCGGCGGCGGCGTGGCAGCTCTACTCGCAACCATGATCTCGGAGCCAAGCAGCTCTCTTGCAGGCCCATCCTTCGTCACAGCACCTTGCCATCCAATTTCAACCCGCCTTCTAACCGACAGCAACACACAAACCTCAGAATCCACACCACATTACGACCTACCCCCAGGCCGCCCAATCCACGTCTACGCCTACGGTCCCCCAGCCGTAATGTCCCCTTTCCTTCGCCTCGCAACCCGAAACCTAATAACAACAATCGTAAACGGCTCCGACATAGTCCCAAGTCTATCCCTCGGCATCCTTCACGATATGCATACAGCATCCCACCTCTTCAAGACAGACGTCTCCCAGGCAAAAACACATATTCGCCAACGTCTCCACGAAACACTCCGTCAAAGTATCGTGCACAAATTCTATGTCAACCAGCCGCCTCTAGTGGTAAACGCCGGCGATGGCGTAGGCGAAGACGCCTGGGCCTGGAAAACGCTCGCCCTCCTCCGCGACGCGATGCGAGCACCAAAACTGATGCCGCCAGGCGAGGTATTCGTGGTTGAGACTATGCGCGTATTACAGCGCGAAGCATTCACGCCGCAGCCGGAGTTTGGGGATGGGTATCCGAGGCTTGGACGACCTGCTACGAGGGTTCAAATGAGGTTTATTCGGGATGTGGAGAAATGGTTTGGGGAATTGAGATTTGCATCGGGGATGTTGAGTGATCATAATCCGGCTAGGTACGAGACTAGTCTTGCTGCTTTGGTTAGGGGGGTTTTGGATGAGTGATTCATTTGGCTATGTGGTGGATGATCTATGATTTTGGATGAAATTATGATTTACGATGGGATCTATGGTATTTCGGATATACTGGAATTTCGGGTTTGTTAGAATGTCGGATCGATTACGGTATACAGTGGATATAATTTGGATAGATCGTAGAGTAGTACAGACATCAATCATTAAGCTCGGGAATGTTCCGTTTCAGCAACCTTGGGATCCTGCACAGCCGTCAAAGAACCTTAAACCTGAAACACTCCCCCTTGAATCACAAACCTTCGAAGGTTTACATCATAAATAACTGGATCAGGCCGGACATCGCACCTGGTAAGGCACATATCAGCGCGCCAAGAAGATCTACACTGGACCGCAGATGGATACATAGAAAGTCAGCTTGGCCATGTGAGCAAACCCCGAACACGCAGATACTTTCCAAATGTTCTAATCAACTTGAATTGATTCAACCCTGGACTGATGTTTACCGTAGATCAGATACGGTGTGTCTGTAATTGATTATCTGACAATGTTGGTTGGGATTGTTATCGCGAAAGGCGGCGGGTGAGAAGTGAGAACTCACCCCAGTGGCTTATCCCTAACTCCCCGACCTCTATGATGAAACACAACTCTGCAAACATCCAATCCTCCGTGTTCCGTTTATTTCCATTTATGGTACTCCATAGATCCTGTCAATTCTAAACTGCCTGACTTCACCATATTTTCCATTTTTGCGTGATTCGCTGTAGAATGGCTAAACGCATTCCATCCATTACCGACGTCTGGGTCCGGGGAACATCCGAGCGGAGTTAGGATTGGAACTCGCGAACCATAAGCTTTCATTCACCCCAAAATTAAGAAATAGTTAAAATCTAATACCTCCTCCCTATTTGGTATAGATTGGATATTTGGGACAAAGGGGTTCGAAAAGAGTTCGCTAGAAAAGAAATAGCCTTGGCTTAGTCTAGTCTGGTAAGGCTGATCCATCCCAAAATATATATCGCGCAAACTGAGGTCCACCGCTACGAAATGCATGACCAATGTAGGAGACTAAAGTACGAGGATACGTACCTCGCTATAGGAGATTTCGAAACAGTCAAGAAGTAAATGTTTGTCTTCGGAGCTTTACTACTTGAATAGGGTGAGGACTGGGTGGAATCTGAATATGTCAAAGGCGGATGGCTACATTGGATAGGTCATATTATACCTCCCTAGGTGGATGGTAGTATGGATCTAGAGGTTAAAATCGAGTTTAAATTGGAGATATTTGTGATTATCTTCTATAGGTATACCCCGTGGCCTGTAGATTACGCAAGTTATTCCAGTTTCTCCTGGTGTATACCGGCGATCCGAACCCGAACCCGAACCCGAAACCTAGAATAAGACTGGAAATAAGAGGAAAAGAAGGAAGTAATCATAAATAATACATTTCTCGTAATTTTTAATATTTATCGATCTGATCTTCAGAATCTCTAATCCGGCCCAAAAAAATCTCCAAAGAATCCAGGGTATCACGGCGAGCGGAGACAAAAAAGTAGTCATCCCAGATCCAACGCCAAAAAAATCCCAGCGCCCCCATAAAATGACATAGTAAATAACAAAAGAAAATGCAATAAAACAAGATTTGGAAAGATTATTTCTCAAATCATCCATGCAACCATCCATCCAGTCCTTCCGTAAGAAATATGGAAGGAAAGGTAGTAATGCAAAGCAGGTCGGTTCGGTTCAATTTTTGGGGTTTGTTTTGAACCGTTCCATTTGAGCTGTCAAGTGTCTATGACACAAGAGCAGTGGGAGCAGCAGCCGGGATAGGCGCAACAGGACGACCAGAGTGACAACCCCGTTCATGACGCTTCATATTACTGCGCACAGAGAAGGCCTTTCCACAACCGGCATGTGTACACCGGAAAGGCTTCTCGCCCGTGTGAGAGTGGGAGTGTATGCGGAGCGAAGAAGGGCGCGAGAAAGCCTTGTGGCATGTGCGGCAGATATAGCGATCATGGTTCTGCTGGTAGGGAGTTGTAGTGGAAGGTGGGAAGTAGTGGTGGTGTTGCCAAGCAGGAGTAACGGGGGAGATGAGAGATGGAGAGCGAGGAGTAGGTTGTGCGTGTTGGTGGTGAACCTGTTGTTGAGGCATCTGCGGCGCGGTGACGGGCGTCGCGGGCTGGAAGCTTGAGGCTGTTGGTGGGCGGGGGTAGTACATTGGTGCTTGGGCCTCGATGGGAGAAGAGTATGAGAAGACGCTTGGAGCGGGAGAGGCGTAGGGACCGCTGGACATTGGTGCAGAGCCGGTACTTGAGACTGAGGAACGGTGGTGGGACTTCAGTTCTGGAGAACGGGCGTGACCTGATCCGGAGCCTGGACGGAGAGGAGGAGTTGGTGGGAGGTGAATGGTGTCGTAGACATCACGATCCCGGGACAGCGATGGGCTGAGACGTTGACGCTCTGGTGAATGTTAGATGATGTTTAATGTGGGTATAGATTGAAGATGGAAACATACTAGCTGCGTGCTGGCCGTCGGCACCTTCCAACAAACTGGAGATAGAAGGCAAAGAACATTTGACCTGATCCTCGACCGGTGGGGAGGGAGGCGCTTGCAAAGAACGCTTGTGGTAGGTCTCGGTATATGGCTTAGGAGCGCCAGTAAGAAGATTGGCGAGATCCATGATTAAGATACCTCGGTGTTATGGGGTATGAAGTTTGGGGGAGAGGAATACAGAGAAGTAAAGTATGGGGGGCACGAGGGTTTATAGTCAGAACTCGCGTGGATGATCGACGATGCCGAGGGGGAAAGCGAACAGCAAATTAGCCAGGGTGGGTTTCCTGATTGAATCTCGTACAAAAAGGTGAGACAGTCCGTTCTAAAGCTTAATTTAATTAATTATAATAAAATAATAATAAAAACAATTCTTTCGGAGATTAACCCTACGGTGGGGAAGATGACGATGCCATGCGAGCAAAAGAAAAAAAAGTCAAAAACGAGAAAAAGATCAAGAGAAAGCGAGGCCCCACAGGTGATGAACAAGCCAATCAAAAACTGGCGATGTGCCTAGCGTCCGAAGCCACTAGGCCCGATATGGGAGGCCGGAAAGTCCCCGTTGGCCTCGGTTAGCTAGTGCAGATCCTGCTTACCTGTCACATACGCCCCATAAACGGTCGAACCACTCGAATTACGTACTCAGCGCAGAGGTCAGCATGAACCAGAGTATATTACAGAAACTTTCATATAGCAAACTTTCAAATTTATTGTTCTCAGTCTTGGAATACTCACAAGGACACTGATCTGTCAGTAAGGGGCGGCCCCGGATTCATGTCGCGTGGAAGCCAAAAGGGAAGGTCATAAAGGACCCGCATTACGCTAATCCCGAAATGTACAAACCTCCGTTGGGGCCAGACACGCATACAGAATACATAAAAATTACACAATAAAATACTACATGACGGCGGTGGCGGCTCTAAGCGCTCGGGACCGCTGCCTCGCTTACACAAACCTTACAATTGATCGTCAAAGCTACAGATCCTGCATTTTCAATTAAGATTTAACTATATGGTCCACTATTACACGTACGTGTCGACGCAAAAAGTAAAACTAAAAATGAACCAGAGATGTCTTGGCTCCGCATTTACCAGAACAGAAGGTGCCAAAAGGCGATCGCAGGGTCTCCTGAAGATCCTGAGTCCCAAAGTAGAAACGATCTGATCGGCGTTCTGGAACGGGGCCGTTGTCTGGGCCCGTGCACGATTCTGCACAGGCGAGATCGGGGATTGGCCGTTAGTCCTGGATCCGTCCCGACCTCGTGGAAGCGAGGCTCCACTGCTCTGCTTTGGTCCACTCCAGGATCGCCTGCTCCGTGCGGCCGTTTTAGGGGAAGCAAGGGGAGTTTCACTTTCTCCCTGGTGAATATCCTGGTCAGTTACTAAAGCCTTCGTCAGCGACCTTTTTTTGAGTCTCTTGAGTACTGTCTTAGAGACATGGTTGATTATTGTTTTGACTTGTTTGACTTGTTTGCCGGAAGGATTCCGACTACTATTAATGGCCGTAATCAAGAAAAGAAAATATTGACCTGGTACTTCACTAAGATCAATCTAGACATATGCCGATGCACCCCCGACCCCCCAAAACGCGCGTGGAAAGGCTCGAGCGTGATCCACGGCGATCCTCCTGATCGGCCCTTTCGAGAAAAATAACAATTCCTTCCCCACCCATTCACCGCACACGGCACTTCTGTTCGGGATCGACTAGTCTCTAGAATCCCGGCGTTAGTATTCCGCCCGGCTTGATTGGCGTTGCGGCTCGAAGGGGCTGGGTCATTTTTTTTTTGCCTTCCTGCTTGACGCTCTTCATTTCCACACAAAACCCAAAATTTCCATTTACATGGTTTATATGGTACTTGGGGATAATATTCCCGGCAAAATGGGCCAGACGGGAAAGCTCGAAGGTTCTTTCCTTCTTTGCTAGGCTTTTGGTCTATGGTTGAAACGAAACTTTGTCGACAGGACATTCCTCTCCAGGACAAAACCTAATTTGCGGCAGAAGTGTGGCCCGGGCCCGGTGCCTTGGGTGAATGGGAAAATTTACCTAACACTAACAAAGTAACACGACTTTTCTAATTTCTCCTTGGTATTGCTTATGGAGTATCCCGTAGAATGGACTCTCTCACGGAGCACGGCAATCAGATTGTAAAACTAGCCGATCCGAGTGGACATCCGAGACTGACGTAGATCCCTTTCATTGTACTGTAATTTGTATGCGTCGCGTACTAATACCCTTTAAGCCATTCTCCCGGGTAGTGATCGATCGGGGATCATCCCGGCCCATGCGTGGCCCCATGGCCACGCGAGAAGTGTCTCACCCCTTTTTTCCCATATCACATGTGTGGGGCAATCTCCCCCATATTGTATTGTGTCCAACCACGCGGCGAACACATGGCACTTGCATGTCTGCATCTGACCTGAAGCTGCATGGAATTGACTTGAAAAGTAAATTATGAGCGACCGAAGCGAGATGAATTTTATTTTGAATTCATGCTAATCTTACTATGTAGGGATTTGTGTGGGTAGATGTTCCCCACGATCTGCAAAGGACTGGGCCCTGGGACCTTGAACCATCTTGGGAAGGTGAAAAGGGTGCTCGGCAGAGTTATGTCCCGACGGAATCCGTTCGGCATGAAATATGCTTCCCAATTTAATTTATGCTCTTGATTAAAAACGGCATCTCAATCCTTAATATTAATTAATAAGAATAATGTCGTCTTCTAGAATATTTATCACTAATATTTACTGGAATTATAAGTAGACTAGTTATTCTAGTGCATGAGGATCACTAACCCCGGATCCGATCCCTTTTCAACCATACAGCCGCAACTATCGAATTCAATCTAATCATAGATACCAATGTCTCAATCAGGTTTCGTAGACCCTCAAGACCCTCTCACACGTGGAAATGAGTCCCCTTGACGTGTCCAACTGACGCGGAAGCGGACCTGTCACTCTGCGTCTAACCTCCTTCCTGATCCGGCGGATCGCCCCGGTGGATCACCAGGCAACTGCTGGCCATAGCTCCATTCGGGCAGTCTCTCCGGTGCTGTTTTACTTCATTGGTCTGTTCACAACTCTCGATTATACATCATTAGAAAGCATCGGACAACGGCGGATTTGCCGTATACTCTATTGAACGTATTCGTATTGCCTCACCTCAGGGGCAAGGCAAGAGGCAACATTCCACTGTACCCCAACAACAACTGCAGACAACTGCAGAGCTAATCCCTACATTCTAGTCAGTATCATATTATGTTCCTAAATTAACAAGATCATATGCAAGTCCCAATGCAAATGCATCTAAATTTATCGGAAGCGCCCGTATAGAATACGTACAAAAGCAAAAGCACCACCAAAAGCAAAAAACGATGTCTACGTATACCCCCGTATCCCTTTACTATACAAAAGAGAAAAGTGCCCAAAATCCAGAACAAAGCTCAGTGTAGTGTGTAACACCCCTGGATCGACCGACGATCAAAGATCGGAGAAACCGAAAAGAATGTGTCAGCCGCGCTGAAACACGACCTGTTCGTCACTAGGATCGACACCTCCGGTCCAAGCCCCAACAAGCTGGGATCTTAGCGATATCGAACTAGGCCGGATAAGGTATAAACCCCGTGTTGCCGATCGGCCGGTGGTTTTTTTCTTTATTTCCCTTTTTACAATACATTCCTTTCGTTCTAGCGGGGGCGGGAGTAACTTGATTGGGGAGGTGAGGGGATTTCTTTGATGATTAATGTCGGCAATGGTTCCAAGGTTCTGAAGCTAAGCCCCGGAAGTTCCAGCTTTCAACTTTTACTAGGTGGTTGGGCTCATCTGATTTCGTAGATCATCCTGATCCTGTACATGTACTTCGTACATGCACGTACAAAGTACATGACCACATGATTTGCAAGATCTCAGCGCTTACCCGCAAAGGCGATATTTTAGGATCTGGAAATTCCGAGGTCTGTGACTTTGACTTTGCCCTTTCCGAGTTAATTCCGCAATGCGTATCCCCCGTATCACCTACTAGGCAAAGCAATATACAGGTATGATGATGTACCTGTGCACTATACCTTCAGACCAAGTTTTGGGTTTCTCTGATGGACAAACTTCTTGCCTAAAGTGGTCCTTGGTAAGCATTACAATATCTTGCATCCAACTTGATAGCATCAAGGACATAGTACCATAATAGGCGTAGTCTAGTGCAAGGATATGTACCAGTAGTTCGGGTCGTCATCTATTTGCAGTCAGCAATGGCCCCGTGTACATGACCCTCTGACCCCCTCGAGGGCGACTAAGGAAAAGTAAATTCTTTGTTGGCCTAGTCCAGCCTGGCGATCGTTTCAGACCCTGATGCGGGTGATCGGGTGCACTACATACAGTACAGGCGTATGTAGGAGACGTGGCGACTACGCACTAAAGGCAGATCCTGGATGATCAATTGACATTGATTCGAGGAGAGTTCGTTCCCGGCAATGAATTATTCCACGGCAGGGATCTGTATGGATTGTCGCTCGTAAAGAAGGTTTGCCCCAGGATTTGAGGGAATTCTCCATCAACGTAAACCTTGGTTAAACGGGGCTGTATACAATTTGGGCATATACTTTAGGTGTATGCACTTGCTACCGTGCATTATAATTTTTCAAAGCGCTATGCTGAGACCGCGTAGATCATCCCACGGTTGCATCAAGGAGGCGATTAAAAAAAAAACCAAATGCTGTTAATAGAATGGGAACGCATGTGCGATGTGATGTACTATGCATATTAATTCGCATACGCATAACTGCACATCCAGTCTGAACCCCAACTCGAGATGCAACAGTGTAATTGCACACAAACACGGGGTTACATGACTCCATCCTTTTACCTAAGCGAACCCGAACCCGAAACACTAGGATTCACATCCGGCCGACTAGATCTGAATCCTACCGAGGTCATTGTTACACGGCATCTAAGGAACGTGTTGGGAGCTCCGATTGAAATTGAAACATTGGGGGCCGTTAGGATGAGAAGTGGATAATGATTTTCCGGACCATACTTTGTTGGGTGCGAAATGCGATGTTGCGCAAACTTACTTTACTTGAGTTTAATGGCATTTCTTAGCCCCTAGACCTCGGGAATTAGCTGGGAACATCAAAACTGCGCCTTTTATTTTCTATCTTCTCTGTCGTCTTACTATGTTATTGTGCACCTGTAATCTAATCTACGCCGTAAGAGCGGTCTGTGTGCAAATTGCTTTGGCGGATGAACGAATCAGCAAACTTCGGCTGCTCCAAGCGCCCTCCACTTCCGCTTCCACAACCGCATCCGCTCCACATCACCTGGTAATGTGCAGGTTTTAGTAGCCCCGAGCCATTCCGTTGGGATAATCCAATCCCCGGGGTCCCGGATCCGGATAATCAAAGTGAGGAGGCGTTGACTGCTACTATAGTGTTGTTAGTTACCGGGGGCTGGCGGCGGGATCCTAGCCGTTAGCACAGGGAGCGGCGCCACGGTATCGTCCGCGCGTCATGGGCTTGGGGTATCTGTGGTTGAGTTTTGGAGTTGATTTTAGTTTTTTTGATTTCATTTTTTTGATTTCAGTTGACTTTCTATGCATATTTCTAGGGGCGATATGCGTCATACTCCAGTTTGGTATACAGGGAGAAGCGGTGAACTAGAAGAATCAAGAACCGTGAAGATCAAAAGTTTCTATGAACTCTGTGTGGGAGCTTAGCTTCCTGGGAACCTAATTCTTCAGTCAAAGCGTGGACAGCTCAGCATGCAAGATGAAATGCAACGTGTATGTGCATTCGTTATTTGGCCAATGCATCCCAGGTCAACTTACTGTATGTGGCCTGGTCTGTATCTATCAGGATCGACCATGCGGATCGTGGAATATCGAACCAATCACTTAGCTCCTCCACCACACAGATGAGGCGCAGTGTCGATCAGCCTTGTACGGTCACCCATGGGGTTGCATGATGCAGCCAACGAGTAACGCCACAGAGCAGCGGAGGGTGGCCGGTGAGGGGTCGAACAGGGGGACAAAGCCCATGAAATAAAGTTGGCCGTAGCGAGGGGATGCCCAACGTCGCCCAACGATTGGTATGCAAAACCTCCGAAATGGAGCCTGTGATCTGCGACGGAAACGCCCGGTGGTCGATCTGCATGACACTGCAGTTGGCTTTCCATTGCTGACGGTGCGAAAGAGGTAAGGGAGACCGATTCGACGCAGTACCTATTAGAGGCTGTTATTGGAGGTTGAAAATGAAGTTCTGCTTATTTTTACATTCCTTGAATGTTCAAACCTTTCCAATTTATCCGCTTGTCCTATCAGAGTATGGATGTGAAAATCCTTCTAAAGCCTTGGAAATGTCCATCGGAAGCTGCCGTCGTATTGGCAGGGCTACCAGCCTGATCGACAACAGTAACACTTGACCTGCGTTGGTCCACTCCACTCCGGGTATCTGGTTTGTTTCGGTTCGCGCTATGCCAACTACCGGGCAAGGGGCTGGTGCGAATAGAAAAACGGGCTCAGACACGGCATGTCCGATCATGCATGAAGCCCAAAGAATCAGTCTTCCGGAGTGGATACAACGTTCTCCACTGCAACGATACCCGCTTGGGCAGGTCGTTGATTGCTCGTTAAAATGTCCTTCCAAGGTTATATGCATATCAAATTAAATGCTACCTACAGAAAAGTGGACCGATTTCATACACCCCCGCTCCAACGGTTCCACCAAGCTTGATCCCCAACTCCAAAACATGATCCTCAAAACAAGGAAAGCACGAAAGCAAAAAATGGTATCTTAGGTCATTATGCTGTATTGTGTAGATCAGAGCAGGAAATATCAGTCACGAGAAGGAAAAATCCCTCAGGCTCGAACGTTGACTTGACTTCGACTTTCCAGCAGCGGAGGCCTGGCCGTGTCAGTGGTCCGTCCACCTCTAGCAACAATCTGCTTCATGGTGTCAATGGACTTGTGGAAGTTGACCGTTCCACTTTCGGGCATATGCTCGCCACTGTAGATGCAGAGGACTCTCATGCCGCGTTTGTAGGATAGACCACTCAGGAGTTTCGGTGTAATCAGGAAGTACTGGCCACCACCGCCGCCGACGACATTGCCCTCTTCGTCAATCTCTTCTTCGTTCGGCGCACAGGCAATATCCACCAGGCGACCGTGAACCATTCGCTCGTTTCTTGGGTCCATACCCTGGTTGATCTCGTCGACAACGCGGAAAGGGGAGGCCGAGAGCGATTGCAGCGCCATGAGATAGAAAATGGTGCTGACAGCACGCTCGCCACCGGATTGACGGTGGGAGTTCAACAGGGACAGGCTCTCATTTTCACGGAACTTGACCCAGATTTGAATGGACCACTGATCGAATTCGCTGCCGCCAGGCTCCCCATCTGCTGTCTCAGCTTCCACCTTGTCCAGACAGACTTGTCCAGCACAGCCAATGCGCTGGAACGAGTCTGAAAAGGCGTCGCTGATCCTGCTGATAAGTGCATCCAGCCTGGGCTCCCAGTGTGAACGAATTTCACTGATGGCTGCCTGAAATTCTGCCATTTCGGCCTGGAAATCAGAAAGTTTGTTGCGCAGTCTCTCGATCTGTCGTTCGCGATCTTCAAATTCTTTGATCATGTTGGCACTGCCACCTTGGGTCAAATCCAAACGGGCCCTTGCAGACTCCATATCGGCATTGAAGTGATCGATGTTGTAATCGGCCGGGCTCATCATTTCAGCGATCTCCTCACCACCGGGTCTTTCCTTAATCTCATTTGAGAGGCGTTTTGCCGTCCGCATCAATGTCTTGCCATGCTCCTTCGATTCTAGATACGCCGCCTTTATTTGTCTCGCCTCTACGGCCTTTTGTTCTATCATCTTGGCGTAGTCGCTGTGACGAAGCCTTAGAATCTGAAGCTCGGATTTTGCCTCCCCGTGTAGAATGCAAACTTTGCAGAGTTCTCTATATGCTTCGGAGATCTTCTCAACCGCATCCTTTGATGTATTAGCATACATTCTAACAGTAATAGAGAGAAATACTTACGGCATATTCAGCACCAGCCTTGGCCTTTTTATTGGCAAGCAGGTCTTGCTTGTTACGAGTATCAGTAACCCGTTCTCGCATCTTTTCGAAGAGAGTCGTAATGTGAGCCTTTTTAGCCATTTGGGCGGCTATATGGTGTTAGTTCATGAACGCGAAATAGCATATGAAGAGAAGAAACATACCCAGTTTATCAGGAATCGCACGATAGTGTGTGTAAGCAGTCTGCTTTTCGGCTTTCTCCTTTTCGACATCATTCTGTACGCAGTATTAGTATGTCACCGAGAAGCTAGCAAAGAAGGGTTCAATACCATCTCTCGGTTGAGTCGGTCCATGTCGTCCTTGAGCTCATTCAAATTAGCCTTCTCTTCTTCCATGCGTTTCTCAAGCTGTTCCTGTTCAGCTGTCCAGTCCCGGATGTTATCCCGGTGTTGCTGTTTGACTGCCGCATCCACAGGCTGTGATGTCCAGTGCCTCGCAGGATTGATTGCGCGCACGCGAGTTGTTTGAGCTCCTGGACCATACTCCTTACGTCGGGTGATATTGTAAGATTGCTTCCCAGCAACCCACGCGGTGATATTTCCGCTTTCCAGCTCAGAGTAGGCTTCGTCAGAAATATCTGTCAAGGAGACAGGTGTCCTATGCAGGTCTTTCTCGTAGCAAAGCATGGCAATGACCGGGTCGGGGCCCCGTAAGAAGTCTCTGGTGAATCCTTCGAACCCAAGCCGCTGGAGATTCTCGCGGGAAAGCTCAGGCCTCATCGAATCGAGCGATTTGGTGATAGTCTTGATGCTGATGTCCCAAAGATTCAACTCTCTGTTCAACGCTTGTTGCAGCGTGCGAAAGTCTTTTTTGCTTTGCGTCGTGAACGCCGTCAAGTCGTTTCTCTGGAACGCGGACTCAACAGCGCTGGCATAACGAGGATCGGTGACCGAACATGTTACGATAGGAGGGCCGAATACCTCTTTCTCGAACTTGTCCTGGTTTTCGAGAAGCCATTGGTAGGCTGTGTATGTGTCTTTGGACAGTGACCCAAGCTTGCTTTCTTGTTGACCCAGCTGCGAATCCAACCTCGCCAGCTTCTGCTCTTCCGTTTGCTTAAGGCTTTTCAACTCCACAATTCTTTCCGCCATGGGCCGTTTGCTGGCTTGGATTACGCTGGCTTTTTCTTGAATCTCGCGGATTTCTCGCCTTTTCTCATGCTATTCAAATAATCAGTGCTGCTTCTGCCTTGTACATATCAAGTGGCTTACCAATTGCTGATTGTAATCGTCAGGATTGAACTCCACAGCACCATTCTCTTGCTCGCGTGTCAATCTGTTGATCGTCTGCTGAACTAAGCCGGCTTCCTCTCTGTGTTTCTGGGCGGATTTCTTTTCAGCGTCAATCGTGGCGTTCAAGTCCTGTAATTCACGATCTAAATCTTCCATTTTTTTCCCGCGGGATTGAGCGAATGTGGATAATTGTTGGACCTGCTTTTCCCGCGCATCTTTCACGTCGCCGATTTTATCCTTGTACGTCACTTTGGCATTCACGGCTGCCATTGCAGGTGCAAGATCAAGTCTGAGTTGTTCGAATTCCTCTTCAGTTCGGTTTTTCTTCAACTTCAGTTCTTCAAAGCCCCGGTGCCAGTCTTTGTATTCGACAACCGGCCGAAAGAACTCCATATTCTCGATCTTTTGTTGGATCACGGCCCTTTCTCGCATTCTCTCAACATCTGATCTCTGCGCCTCCTGCCGGTTCTCCAGATTCCTTAGCGTCTCCTTGTCATCACGATTAACCATTTCAATATTCTTTTGTTCGGATCGGAGTTTCTTCAAGTTCTCATGTTGTTCGATCATGTCTTCTCCAGCGGCTGCTCTCTGGGTAGAGTGAAGGAGTTCAATGGGGGTGAGAGCAGCGAATTCTGCAACCTTGTCTTGGGGCAGGAACTGGCACAAGTTGTCGACTTGAATAGCGAATTCTTGTGCTAGTTTCAGTACCGCTGTCTTGGAAACAGCCTGCCCATTAAGGGTGAATGAACTCTTGTTTCCGTCTCGCTTGATAGTACGACTAATTACAGGGTTCAGAGTGCCTTTCGGGTGTTTTGCGAGTTCGATCTCGATCGTTGCTTCTCGACAGCCGTGCTTGACGAATTCGCCAAGATCTTTAGCACGTCCGAGATGCTATAGAGCGAGTCAAGTCAGTAGAACTCTATAATGAAACGAGTCCATATGCCATACCTGAGGCCCCCATCCAAGTCCAAGACAAATGGCACAAACCAATGTACTCTTGCCAGTTCCATTAGGCCCAATCACCATATTGAGCTTCGGGCCGGGGTAAAACTCCGCATTGTTATAAGTGACAAAGTTTGTCACTTTAATGCGCACAATTGCGCCAGGCTTGTACCCATTGAGGTCGAATCCTGCATGGGCTTTGAGTGGTTGCCGAGGAGGTGGTGGCATCGACTCTTCGCCTCCATCGGCCGCATCGTCTCCCTCTGCTTCGTCGCTTGAGGGCTCATCGACCGCATCGCCTCGCTCGGTTTCGTCGTTTGAGGACTCATCTTCACTAGAGCGCTCCAGAGCCCTAGCTGTCTCACTTCTCGCTTCATCACCTGAGGTTTCGGCTTCGTGTGCGGGGCTCAGACGAGGGCGTTTACTGCTGGCTGGTTGGGAGAGGCTGGATTCGACACCGCTGCCAGCACTTTCACTTTGATTTCGACGACGGGGGATCGAACTGCGGGACGACATCGTTCACGCAGATGGTGGGGGGTAATCCCATCAGAGTGGAAAGTGAAACCTTGATAAGGAGAAAATGGGAAACGCGACGCGTCTTTGATGCTCAATATTGGGTCCTGTCTAGGTAGGCGGTGAGTCAACCCCGGACATTTCTTTGTCAAGCTTTCTTTGATGTCACTTCAATCTCGACGCTTCGAAGATGGCGTCCCCTCAGAACATTCGTCGGGCAGTTCTAGCTGCTGCGGTAACCTCCGTGACTATTGCAGGCACATTGTATGGGGCTGGCCTAAAGACAAATGAGGAGATTGTCGAAGTGAGTAGCAATGCTTTCATCCCCAACCAAGCAGCATCTATGTTAGTCTGGGGTTTTCTATGATCACCTTGGCTTATTACAGGACTATGGCTAATTTTAGCTCTTCGTGGTACCATAGAATACCAAAAAACGCCAAGAAGCGACGTTCGATGAGCAAATGGCAGTTCTACAAGGCATGCGCTCCAACCTGACAGCCCGAAGAGGAATGATCGAAACTCAAATCCGAGACTTGGACACCAGGATCCAAGAAAAGAACCAAAGAAGTACAGAGGGAAGCGACAAAGAGCGACCGCAGCAAGGCCGTTGAAGGTTTGGTGGCGCCTCCAGATCTAGCCTGCCTTCAAGCAGGATTTCCTGGATCGATTGCTCAGCTTTTCACCCAATTGAAGCACTCCGTTGATCCTCAACATTGCTTAGGACATCACCTACTTGTTCCGTCACCCCCGAAAGTCCAAGGTCACGAAAATCTCGCCAATTGCCTTGTCATCAACCAAGCCGTCGACTGTTGACTCATGCCTACCCATCAAATGGCCAGAATGGACCAGCATCGACAATGCCTGAGAGGCCTTATATGCTTGATCGTGAATCTCAGGGGACTACTTCTAAGAGATAGTTGCGAGGACAAAAGCAGCTACTTCGGCACAACGTGTTCATACCCAAATTGATATGTATTTCTAGATTTTGAGTTTCCCAATGTATAAATGATGTGTATATATGTGACAAATTTCCCTTTCATATGTTCATTATTGACTCGTGGGATCGTGTATGATAGCCTGTCGCTGGTGTACCACAAGGCCATGTCTAAGCATCGAGATTCAAAGTCACCAGAAGAGCATCTAACTTCTCCATCAAAATCTCATAGTTCATGGCATCTTCGTCGAACTCGTCTTCAACCATAACTCCATCTAAGGTGCGGATTTCACGAATCTTATCGGGCTGCTGATGGTTACTTTCTTCCTTGCCATTGACGTTACCGTTCGACACGTCGAGTGCCTCAACACCATCTATGATTTTATCAACATCCTGCAGCTCTGGCGCATCACCATTCGCATCTCCGTTTGCAGGTTTGGGCGATTCATCCATCATCTCGTCAAGGCCTGCATCATCAAATCTCAACCGGAAGCGTTCATTCAGGTAGAATCGAATATCATCCAGTAGTTCAATAGAATCGGTCTCCTGACGCGCTTTAATACGCGATGCTGACTCTGCGATCAGTTCCGCAAACTCAGGCGTGTCGATATGGGCTTCCAGTCGGTATGCGAGGAATCGAGCAGCAAACTCTTCCAATCGCTGGACACGGGTCAACCAAGCGGCGCGCATGATGGCATAGATATCAATATCGTCGTCGTCCTTGCCTCGGGTTTTCGCAGCTTCGGCTTGAGACATGCCGCCACTGCCCAGAGTGCTAATTACAACGGCCGCCTTTGTCTTCAATTTCTCAATGAAAAGCATGTCGGCCGCAAAGAGAACGTCAACTGCAACTTCCAAGGGGAAATCAGCGCGCTCAGTGTACAGGAATGTGAGTACAATCTCCAGCACATCGGGGGCACAGTCAACGTCAATAATATGCAAATGATCTGTGATCTGAGCTTCGCGGAACGAGGACGAAAACATGGTTTGGAAGAACTCAGAACGGAGGAGCATTGCTCGGTGGCATGGGAAGAGTACCGATTTTGGAGCTTGACCCTTCTCGACCTCATCAGGCAGTTCATCTGCTTGCAGAAGAACATCGGCAAAGATTGTGTTGTTCCGATCCCACTTCACTTGACTGGATTGAGATGTGTTGATGACCATCTTGTTTCCGAGAACATTGGTGCGGAACCATTCTTCCATTTGATCCCGGCCCTTCGCAAGCTCTAGAGTCCTTCGCTGTCTGGCCATCCTCCTGTCTCCACTGTCCAGGATACTGTCCATCAGACTTTGAATTTCCAGATATTTGGAGATCTTGTCAATGGCCGCGAATACCTCTGATTCGGTAAACCCAGTACCAGGTCCACTCTTCAGCTCGCGCGGGGGCTCTCCCAGATATAAGTATCTAATTGCTGCAGTAAATGCATCTGGGGAAACATTGCTAGGGAGCTTCCAAGTTGTTGATTCTGGGGCGGCTGCGAGCTTTCCACGGAAATATGGAGATCGAGCAGCCAAAATAAACTTATGCAGGTGGACCGATTGGTCAGATGCCGTTACCTCGATATCTGAGGTTACCGGTGAAGGTCGAGTGAGAAGCGAAGAAATATGCGCCGCAAGAGGTTGCAGTGGATCGGTTGACTTCGAATAGTCATATTCAAGCAAGAGGTTTCGTATACGGTCATTCAGGGCATTATACAAGCATCTATGGCCATGAACACACATTAGCCAGTGTCAATCGTTGAGACCAGGGGCTCAGGATACCTCTCGCCTTGAAAAGTATCTCGCTCACAGAGTGAACCAGACTCCAGCAACAATTGTGCCACTTCATAGTGCCCGCACAGACTCGCCTGGCCCCAAAGTATTTAGTTACTGCACGTTCAAATAAACTATATACTTCAGCCATTCCCCGAACTTACCAGAATCAAAGGAGTGTAATCGTATGCATCACGGGCATTCACATTGACCCCCTCGGTGATTTTCTCCTGGCAGACTTTCAGGTCGCCCTTACGGCAAGCACTGCAAAGTTCCCGGAAGGGTTCACTCAGATCTAAAGGGTTATCATCCTTGATAGTACCCTCTTTGATCAGTAGCTGTTCATTTCCCAGGCTAATCTCTAGCTGGTCTTTTCGCAAGACAGTCCGCTCCTCCAGTTCCGCCATTTTCTAGACCACCGATGAAGCTTGCCACTCGAAGTGGGAGGGGAGGAATGCGGGACCGGAACTCCGAGAGCTTATCGATAAGGCTTGTCACGTGGTGGTCTGTCTCCAATGAGGCCATACAAAGTACTGTGAGCGACCGAGATTATCGAATAAAATATGGAGTCATGATGATACTTGAGTGGAGGCAATATCGTAAGATTCTATCTATCAGATTGGCAATCTTTTGGAACCCATGATGTTATTGGTGACGCTATCCCTACTTATTGGCGTCACTGGGGCTAAATGAGCGTTACGTTGACCGCTTACCGCAGTGGGGCAAGCGTGTCATAGTTTGTTGGTTGCTCAGCAACACGGATTAACCAAACATCAAAGGATCTCCGACCTCTAAACCCCATATTGCAGACAACTTTTCCCTCCACTTCTTCAGTCCATTTTACTAACAAAACAGGGACACTTGAATATCTCAGTGCTTATGCTCAGCATCTATCTTTCTTGAACATTCGTCTCGTTTCTTTCTGTTCCTCCATTGTTTTGTTCACATTGTCTCGCAATCTATAGCCATGGCGATTGCTTTGGCCGAGGCGGATAAGTATGAGATCCTGGAGAAGATTGGTAGGTCTCCCCATGTGCTCTGTACTCTCATGCTTTCTAGCAGCCTGAATACTGATTTTCATCAAGGTTGTGGCTCCTTCGGCATCATTCGCAAGGTCAAGCGGAAATCGGATGGATTCGTAAGTGGCCTTTGCATGTTGATGTGTGACAACCCTAACAGTTCCAGATCCTATGCCGCAAGGAGATCAACTACATCAAAATGTCTGCGAAGGAGCGCGAACAGCTCACGGCCGAATTCAATATCCTAAGCTCCCTCCGACACCCCAACATCGTTGCCTACTACCACCGCGAACACCTCAAGGCTAGCCAAGACCTTTACCTATACATGGAATACTGCGGTGGTGGAGACTTGAGTATGGTCATCAAGAATCTCAAAAAGGCCAACAAATATGCGGAGGAGGATTTCGTTTGGCGATGCCTATCGCAGCTGGTCACTGCTCTTTTCCGCTGCCACTATGGCTCCGACCCTGCCGAGGTTGGGTCTAATATTCTTGGTCCTCCCCCTAAACCCACTGGACTCAAGGGGAAGCAGGGATCTGTTACTATCTTGCATCGCGACCTCAAGCCCGAAAACATCTTCCTTGGCAGCGACAACAGCGTAAAGCTTGGTGACTTTGGTCTGTCTAAGCAGTTGCAGTCCCATGATTTTGCCTCCACGTATGTCGGCACACCATTCTATATGTCGCCTGAAATTTGCGCCGCAGAGAAGTACACCCTTCGCTCCGATATTTGGGCGGTCGGATGTATCATGTACGAGCTGTGCGCAAAGGAGCCCCCTTTCAATGCCCGCACCCACATTCAACTGGTCCAGAAAATTCGCGAGGGCAAATTCGCTCCGCTCCCGGACTTCTACTCTCCCGAATTGAAAAACGTCATTGGAAGCTGTCTTCGTGTTAACCCAGACCACCGCCCAGACACGGCTGCGCTAATTAACCTTCCCATCATTCGTCTGATGCGCAAGGAGAAGGAGGTTGTGGACCTTGGCCGCACCCTGCGCCGTCGGGAAGACGCGGCCGTTCAACGGGTTCGCGAGATGGAGCAGAATATTTCTAAGATGGAGAAAGAGAAGCAGCAGGCTAAGGCCGATATCGAGAGCACCCTTCGACGCGAGTGGGAGGTTAGGGCTCGATTGGAGATTGACAAACAAGTTCAGATGGAACTTGGCCAGCTTCGCAAGCGGTTTGAGACTGAGGTCCAGAGTCGAGTTGCGGTAGAGTTGGAGAAGGAGAAGGTCAAGCGAGGCAGCAATCCTCGCGAACTCTTCCGCACAAGTACACAGGGCTCCGACTCTTCTCAATCATCGTCTCGTACCAGCGGCCGTGCCTCTCGCTCTTCAGGCCACAGCACAGATGACAGTGATGCGCCTTCTTCCGCCGATATCACGCAAGTCATGCCCGAATCGCCAACTTCCAATGGTCGTAAGAAGCCAAAGAAGGAAGCTCGTACCCCCTTCTGCCGCTCAAAGACAGTTGTCGACTCCCCACAGGATGTTCAAATGGCCGAGCCTTCCCCCATCTCGATCGCCTCCCTCTCCCTGTCTCCTCGCCGCACATCCGGCACCGGCACAGGTCGTAACATCTTTGCCGAGGCAGAGCGTAACAAGGCCAAATGGGAACCTACACTAGCCTACTCAGATGACGAAGACGACACACCCGATCTCCCATCTCCAACCCGACCAAAGGTGAAGCCAGACCCATTCAAGGCCGCGCCACGACCTCTCCTGCGCCAAAACACTGCAGCTCTCATGCAAAAGCTCAGCACTCAACCACCCCTCTTCCCATCCAATGGTTCCCGTCTCCCACAAATGTCAGGCGGCCCCTCTTCTTCGCTGTCTGAAACCCGGAACCTGAGTGACAGCCGCTCCCGCTCGAAGTCTCCCCCACCGTCGTCTGTCCAAGATCCCTTCATCTGCCAACCTTGCTGCTGATGCTGGCTCTCCTACCCGCAAGAACAGCACCAAGCAAAGCCCCACCAAACCCACTGGTGGCGATGAGATGTTCAAGGCTGTCATGCAACGCAATATGGGTGGTCGTACTCTGGTTGAGCTTGCGCAAGCTCGCGCTGGTGGTCGTCCTATGGATGAAGTCAAGCGATGTGCTAGTGACTCGCGCGCTACTATTTCCTTGCAATCTTCTTCGCGGGACCCGCCTGCAACCTGGGACCCTGAGCGTGACGAGATGCCCAGTCCCTTCTTGGCTCGTGGAAAGAAGATTATCCGCAACCTGCGGTAGACTCTTCTTTGTCCTCCCCTTTTCATCCATTCATATCCATCTCGGTTACTTTTCTTCTTCATTCACAGCTTCATTCTTACACCCATACTGGAGCGGTTTCTCCTGGTGTAAAGGCGTTGGATACGGATGGATTTCTACTTGATAGACCGTCCCTGCTTCTTGACTATGTCCATCGTTTGACTACATTTTCTTGCCTCTTGCGCATACCTCTTTGCTTTTGCATTTTTGCTTTATGTCTTGTTTTTTCCTCTCGGAGTTTGATAAGCCAGGCTGGCTTTGTGCGGTTTGGGAGCTCACTTGCCATCCATGCAAGTTTTGACTCGGAGTTTTGTTTTGATTTGATCTGATTATCTCACCCTTTCGTCTTTACGTGGGTCTTTTTGAGGACTCCTGACTCAACTGATTCTTTTCCTTTGTTATGATTCATGCCCGTTTCCTAATTTCGGAGAGGAGTTTCTTGTACATTTATTGCATCGGTCGTACAATGGTGACTCGAGTCTATTTCACGTTTTTATTTTCATCTCTAACTTATTCTTTTGCATTTGCTGCATTTAATTGGTACTGGTATTGGTTTAATTTGTGGGTGTTGATTTTGTTCTTTGTATATATCGCATTTCAAGCAATCTTCGGCCTCGATACATGGACGGGCTGCTGGATACTGACATTTTGTTTACGAATCTTGGAACCTTTAATTAATGCCGTTGAGTCTGAACGTTGGAGTGTTTGAATATCCTTGGCTTGATTCATGGTCATCTATAGTACATTTTGGGTATATGCCTCGGAATTATTCGTGTTCCATTAAACCTCATCGACCTCGACACATTTGGGTCTATGCATCTTCATCCTCAACCTCCTCAATCTGAACGGTCTTTAGCTCGTTATTGAACCGTCGCTCTTCCTCTTCCAATGAAAGTTGCTCATCAGTAGGTTGTTGTGTGCCAGCCGAATACCCGGCTTTCTCAAGCCTATCCATCTCTTCCGGCTCAAGCAATTTTCCTTGGCCCTTGATCGAGTCCTGCTTCATCCGCACCGCAGCAGGAATAAACTTATTAACAGCCTCCTTTCGCAGATCCCGAATTTCAGGCTGTGCTTCATAGACCTTCTTTGCCTCAGGAGCAGGTGGTCTAGTTGGAAGCGCATGGGGTCCACGCCGTTCTGCCTCCCTATCAGCCTCACCCCGTTTCCGTGGCTGCCGGGGGATTGGCGGGGGTGTATCCCGGGGCATTGGTATCCGGCGCACATCCTCGTCCGTTTCGCTAGAATCGCTGTCTGCAGGTGGGGCAAATTCATCTCGTCTCCGCTTGCCGAGTACAGCGTCTCGCCCATCATGTCCGTAATCCCCTCCACGACTAGGGTGGAACTTAGGTGCCTTATCGCCGAGCGCCTCACGGGCCTTCAAGACCGCCCGTAAATCCTTCTCCAGTGCCTCAAGCACCTCTTTGTCCCGTGGTCGTAATTGTCCTCCTGTTTGCTCGACCGATTTCATTTCTTCAATCTGTCGCTGAATCCGGTCTGGGTTGCGGCGCGCAAGTTTCTCATTTCGTCGCGCTAACTGCTCAGCCTTTCCCTTCTTCAGACTTTTCTGCTTCTCTTGTTTCCTGTGCGCTGCCGCCGGATTTACGGACCGCTCCTTGTCCTTGGCCATACTGGAATGTTATAGGTGTGCTGGTATTGGTTCGTCGCAGTATCACCAGGGTGAAACCCGAAAGCCCAGGGAGATTCTAGGTCGCAATGCTTCGCTCGTCGGCAGAAGACACCAATCAGAAGGAATTGGCGTGACGTCGTCAGCTCAGACCCAGAGCCTCACTGGTAGTCTAGATTGCGGTGAGAAGACGAGATTCCAGGGCTTCTATGGCACGAGAGATCACGGGTAAACCCAATGACTGAGAAACGGGCTTAGCCTGCAGGAAAGCGTGATCAAAGCGTCAGCGCCGCTTCACAAGCTCGTCACAATCGCGTCAAGTCGGGCTGTCGGGTCGAGACCGTATGCAAGACGCCCTTGGAATTGGATCAATCAATGGACGGAGCTCACAGGCTGAGCCGGGATGCGCTGTGGCTTCTGCGTGGGGGATGGGGCTCGCGTCTGAGGTAGCTGCAAGCCTCTTCTGTGGAAGCGTCTGTGCCAATCAAGTGGTGAGATCACCGACTTTTTTGGGGGACAAAGTTGAATTCAGCCTCACGAATTAGGCAGCGTGGGAGGACGATCCCTGATTGGATTGGGTTGGAAAATCGGGTTGCGGGGGGTGAGGACAGAGTAAGGCGTGAAAGGGAAGTTGGGTAAAAAAGCGGTTGAAGCTAAGGCGGAGTGGGCGGAGAGCTTTCCATGGTTCGGGATGGATCCAGATTAGCGATAGCGATATGACAGACGATGATCCTATACTTCGAGGATCACAACTACTGACTATCACTGAATACTTCTGAATATACCACATATGCACTTGGGACTCTAGCTAGGCCAATTTTAGTTCCACTCCCCGTCTTCTCCCCGATCAGAGGCGCGGCCAACGGTACCTACATTGGTGCTCGGCAGTATACAGGAACTTCAATATATCACGAAACCAGAATCTCTCCACCGGACTTCATCCAAGAATCCTAGAAGATTCTACGTCTATAACTTGATTGCTGTCTCTACATGTACCTTATCCCTTGTATACTACCCTGAAGACCCAAGTATCATCAACCGTTGCCCAATCAATCTTCGTAGCCAAAATTCATTTAATAAAAAAAAAAAGAACCTTTTTCCCCTCCTTCTCTTTTCTTCTAGATCCCGTCCGAGGTATCATATTTCCCGGGAAAAAAAGCCTGTGCTCCCACCATAACTTGGAACATTTGAAATATATATCTCCAAAAGAAAAGAGAAAAAAAGAAACATCCACACCACCATCAACGTTGCAAAGCATATATAATACTCCACCTCTCTCCCCACTCTCAAACAACCTTGCCCAGGTGGAACTTGCTCCTGTCCTGGTGTAACGGAAGTTTTCAAGCCGCGCCAGTTGCCGCCGAATTCAAGCGGCTCCCACATCTCTTCTTCTCCGCCTCCCTTCCTCCCCATAGCTCCCCAAGAGTCGCCCATCTGCGCATCCCTTATCCCACCATGACCTGCGGGCCGCTCGGTCTCACCTCGAGTTTGATCGGCGCTTCGTAGACTCCGTCGGAGCATGTCTCTGCCGGGACCAAATGTCCGTCTCAGCCTCGATCCCCGACACCTCGCTTGGCCTCACCTCCTCCGAGATCCAGATCCTCCGACAACAGCAACAAATTGCCCTCCAGAACAGCCATGCCGGCAATGGCGCCTCCAGAGGTCGCGGTGCAGGGAGAGTCAGTAACTCTAGTTCGCGCGCAACCAGTGCCGCCAGCAGTCAGGGCCGCTTATTGCTGGATCCCGATAGTCTCCACGCACTGTCGCACCAGCTGGGCTCCTTGGAGCGTCGCATCAGTGGCCAGATCGACTATGTGAGTTTCATTAGCTTAGGGGAGATTCTCAAACCGAAGTCCCGTTTTCCTTTTCCAAGACTCTTGTCTAATCCGTTATAAAGCTCTCGCAACAAATTACAGATTCCGTCAAACGCAGTCGCAGCGGCGCATTGAAAACCATGCATGATGTCGAAGCGGAGATGGCCCGTACCCGCTCGATGATGGCGTCTGCGGACGACTTGGAGAACGAGCTGGCTAAGATCGCCCACATTCGGGATATTGTGAAATCCTTTCGTGGTCGAATCGAGGGCATAGATCGTCGCATGGAACAGTCCCGTCGTCGCCGCTGAGATATAAGCCCCACCTTTCCAATAACCTGTCACCACTTCTCTTCCGCAAGGGCAGAATTCCACCAAACCATGATGAGCTCCAATCCGCCACACATACAATCCTCTCTACTCCCCGTTCACAGAATGCGAAGACGCATCTCCGACATCCCTATATCCTTCAATTCCCGATTCCTTAGTCCCTTGAACTTCTCCCAAAACAGACAACCCAAAACAAATTATATACGACTTCCGTCCTCGCGGACACCTTTGGCTTCTATGCAGGCGACACGTGTTTTACTTTCTTTTCTTGTTTTTGACACATTGAATAATCGACAGTCGATTGAAAGAACTGCTTACATGCCTCGCGGCACTTTGGTCCCGGTGACTCCTCGAGCCTGCGACTTACCTCAGATTTGCAGTATATGGGCGGCGCAGGGGTTTCTTCTTTGTTTGTTCTACTACGCTGTTTCATTTCCACGATCTCTCCGCATTCGTTTCCAAATGCCAACGACCTTTTGACGAACTTTTTTGATGGTTGTTTGATTCGATTGGCGCAGATAAACATTTCATTTGTATTTGCTGCTTCATGTATTCTGCTATGTTGATCTTGTGGTTTCGATTCCCCCTCCCTGCATGTTCGTACATCGCTTCAGCTTCGATGCTTTGCTGGGCCATTGCCCAACCCAAGATGATCGCGATTTCGCTTCAAAATGTTTTGAGTAGGCGAATCATACTTGTAGCTCTAAAGTGATTGTTCAATTCGTTTAGCGAAGGTTTGGCCCTGTGCTGAAGAATAGTCAGGTGGCTCCGTGCCGAACATGACGTACCCGGGCCGCGGGGTCGACTATCAGTGATCGACACCAATGCCGAAAGTAAGCGTCTCGTAGATTCTAAAGCGTCCTTTCTCCTGGTTGAATCACGAAAAGGGAATCCCACCGGGTTGAACGAGCAGGTGCTGCAAGGAGGATCGATTGAGCGACTGACCCAGTTCATCGGTCTCTACCGAGGTTGCATGATTCTGGCGGCTGTCACGGCATGCCTTACTGGATTGATCGCCTCAGGTCACACCAAGATGGCTGCAGGATGGGCGCAGGCTTATCGATAAGGCACTGGTAACCTTGGAGTTGTGCATTGTCGCATGAATTCAATTCACTTCATGGTGCAGTAGGTTGTTGTGTTTGCTTTTCTTTCTGACGCGTCACAAGCTTTTGGCTGCGCCTGTCCGTCTGAGGAAATCGCTTCTCTGTCCCGCAGGTGAAGCATCGAACCACCAGCACCTCAGCCCAGGCTTTCTTCTCACCCCTGCTGGGATTTTGAGTCTCGTGTATGCAGCTAACCTCAGGGATAAGAAGGCTGTCACACCGCTTGCAAAAAGATCTCTTAACAGGTATTGGGAGCCGCGTCTGTGTTTTTAAGGAGACTCCCCGCATGTGGGAGACACAGACCCTCGAAAGATTGAGTAGAGAACCCTTTGTTTGAGGCTGATTTGAATCACCCGGGCGTTCTGTTTCAGTGCTAGGGGGCTTGGCTTGCGAGTCCATATCATTGGTGGCGCTTGTAGTGGAAATGTTCTTTGTTGTCGCACTACTTTGCAGATACAGTGAAACCCGATGTAAGTATTCCATGCGAGCCTTTATATGGCTCTTAGAGTTCTTGGCCTCCTTTGGGACCTTAAGTCTTGCCATCCTTTTTGAGATCGTGGTCGCGCCTGGGTAGTGAATTCGCAATTGAGTGTGTTGGCCGTCGAGACCAAAATCAGGGCTCCCGCACTAGTCCCAATGCGGCATCGCAACAGTCATGTGACTTTATTCACTCCCAATGGCTGACTCTTATCCCTCGCAGCCGCATCTCCCCCCATTCTTCCCCATTCACCTCGACGTCAACCCCATCCTGCCCCCCTTCACATCCGAGGCAGACCCGTCGAATCCTTTGTTCTTACCCATCTCCGTAATCTTTAGTCTCTTTGCTTCACTCCCCTTTGTTCCTTCACTTTCTTTGAGCTCAACAGAAAGCTCGCGCTGCAACCAACTCCCACACCTACCAACTTTTCCATCTCACCTAATTCACCAAAATGTCGCACGAGGAGGATTTGATCGATTACTCCGACGAGGAGCTTCAGACGACGACCGCGCCGGCCCCGGCTGCCGCGCCCGCTGACGCCAATGGCGATGAAGAAAAGAAGGGTGATCTGACCATCTCTGGTCGTCCCGACAAGAAGGGCAGCTACGTCGGAATTCACTCGACTGGTTTCCGCGATTTCCTGCTCAAGAGTGAACTCTTGCGTGCCATCACCGATTGTGGTTTCGAACATCCTTCGGAGGGTTAGTCTAACTCGTTTATCCCACATGCCTTCCTCCAATTATATTGCAAACCGCAACGTCCGTCCATCTCTACGAAATGTCCATCAATATATACGGATGCTGTGTCATTCTTGAGTTTGCAGACGGCATGAGAACCATTGGCTAGAGCCAAGGATTAAACGTCCTCTCGATTGGCTACTCAAGCCTTGCGCTGCAGGGTTCTCGGGCAGCTAGATCTACGGTCGTCATTTACTTCCACCTGAAGTTTATTTCTGTCTTTGCGAGGGCGATCTTAATTGCTCACGGTGGAATAAAAATGCGATTCGGATTGCTGGTACCTCGAAGATAGATATCCCTCATGCCGTCTGTAAGACTTTGATTGGGTCGAAGTCTCTGCTTGTCGTTACGACGACTGTGATAGTCGGTTTTTGGGAGCATTTTCAGGAAGAGGTGGAATATATACAATCTCCTGGTTTTCATTTCGGGGATGGACGGACTTTGCGACGCGAATTGTTTTTTTGCTTCTTCATCGAGTCGAACCCAAGTCTAACCACCACTCCGCCTCCCTACAGTGCAACAAGTCTGTATCCCGACTGCCATCCTGAACGTCGATGTTCTCTGCCAGGCCAAGTCCGGTCTCGGTAAGACCGCGGTCTTCGTTCTCACCACTCTTCACCAGCTGGAGCCCGTTGCTGGCGAGTGCTCCATCCTTGTGATGTGCCACACTCGTGAGCTCGCCTACCAGATCAAGAACGAATACGCCCGTTTCTCCAAGTACCTGCCCGATGTCAAGACTGCCGTCTTCTACGGTGGTACTCCCATCCAGAAGGATGTTGAGATGCTCGCCAACAAGGAAACTCACCCCAACATTGTCGTCGCCACCCCCGGTCGTCTGAACGCCCTGGTCCGTGACAAGAAGCTGTCTCTGCGCAACGTCAAGGCCTTCGTTCTTGATGAGTGTGACAAGATGCTTGACCAGATCGGTAAGTGAACAACAGTCCTATCCAAGGCAGGAACCTGCGTCTAATTTCCTTCTTTTTCAAGACATGCGCCGTGATGTCCAGGATATTTTCCGTGCCACTCCCGCCGACAAGCAGGTCATGATGTTCAGTGCCACCCTCTCCCAGGAAATCCGCCCCATTTGCAAGAAGTTCATGCGCAACCCTCTCGAGGTTTACGTCGACGACGACACCAAGCTTACTCTGCATGGTCTGCAGCAGTACTACATCAAGCTCAGCGAGCAGGAGAAGAACCGCAAGTTGAACGAGCTTTTGGACAACCTTGAGTTCAACCAGGTCATCATCTTCGTGAAGAGCACTCTCCGTGCCAACGAGTTGGACAAACTGCTGCGCGAGTGCAACTTCCCCAGTATCGCCGTGCACTCCGGTGTCAGCCAGGAGGAGCGGTAAGTCATGTTTCTCAATGTCAACATAAAGACATTACTGACGAAACGTCTAGTATCAAACGCTACAAGGAGTTCAAGGAGTTCAACAAGCGTATCTGTGTCGCCACTGACGTCTTCGGCCGTGGTATCGATATCGAGCGTATCAACCTTGCCATTAACTATGATTTGCCCGCTGATGCCGACTCCTACCTCCACCGTGTCGGTCGTGCTGGTCGTTTCGGTACCAAGGGTCTGTCCATCTCCTTCGTCAGCAACGAGGATGATGAGAAGGTGCTCAAGGACATTGAGAAGCGCTTCGAGGTTGCTCTGCCGTATGTACCTCCCACATGTTAACTCTCATAACACAGCTAATCTTTGAACAGTGAGTACCCCGAGGGTGGTGTCGACTCTTCCACCTACATGGCTTAAATTCGCCATGGGTGCGTGGGTGGCTCTGTCACCCAAGTTTGAATGTTTTCATATGGCGTAATAGCTCGGTCGTGGGTTTTTCTTCGTGGGGTTGCTACCTGGCAGATCCCCATTTTGTTTCCAGATAAGAATGGAATCCGTATTCTCAAAATGCAAATAAGATCTGTTCTCATCCAAAGTATGCATTCAAGACTTCTAAGGTACAGACGTGTCCAGGTACGCGTTCCAAGTCAATCTTGAAGCTATGTAAGATACACCTGGGTCCAGGCAACAGTGGGTCTGCAACTCCAGATCCATTCAAGAGTGCTTTGGAGATAAACGCCTCATCACATCGAAGAGATTGGAACTACGGAGTAACTAGTATTTAATTAAATTAATTTACACAATCACCTGTAAAAAGGTACCTGGATCAGGCCACAAAAATAAGCCCCCATCCTGAAACCTGCTCAAGAGATTACACTAATCAATAACAAACGAACCCACGATCCGCCAGGAACAAGCTAATTAAACCCTTCTCCACCCCCCACTGCAATCGATTCGATCAATCAATAGCCCCTCAAGCCTGTGGTCCGCGCGTCCGATCACCCGTTTCTTGCCAGCTACACCTTTGAACCGTTGACAAGTTGATCTATCGATGCTGTCAACCCAAAACAAGCAAACACCACGTTATAGCTGGTTGCCTTCTTCTCGTCTTTCGTCTGTTGAGTATTTTCAGGGGCAAGGTGAGGCTTTGGCTAGAGAGGAGGAATGATCGTATTCGTGTCGTGTGCTCTAGCCGAGATAAGAATTCAGGGTCGAACATGCCCCTATTCAGTGTCGCTAGTCCGAAGATGTAGACAGGTGGTGATTGGCGTGACTGCCAAGGCTAACGGTGCGACTTGGCAATTTATTTTGATTTTGTGCTTAGTTTTATCTCGATGCCTGATAGGTCTGATATTCTTGGGCCTGGATACAGTAGACCCTTCTTAAAGACGTGGGCCTATGGTTAACTCCGAATCTAATACATGTGGGCTTCTGGATGCATGCAGTAGCATTGATCACCATATATAGATCACGGAGTATCTTCCCGACCCCGACGATTTTAACCCCAGGCGGCTGCTTGCTGCTGAAACCTTTCCTGCGTCTCTCAAACACCATTCAAGCCTCCATGGCTGTTTTGGCTTTTCACTGGCTACAATCTTCTGGTCCATGGAAGTATCAGCATCTCCCAAGGCCTGAACAAACCCATCTAGTAGGCCGGGGTACGGATAGCCAAGTAAAGCCTACTGTAGTGGAATACGTCTCTCTCTATCCGTGTTGGAGATCATCTCTGTAAGCTCAACTTAAATGATGGTCAATGACCGCCTACATGTAATTCAAATTTGAAGAAATGGATCGATATGCAAAGCTGTAACTCCACTATATATTTAGCGCCTACCACCATTGCATTCCAAGGTGACTCCTGTCATATGTATATGAATGTCCGCACCCTCAGCAAAAGATGTGATACATACTATCCGCAGCCCACATATGGAATCGCCAGTTACCAACTCTGAAACCTACACATTCCAAGGTTATCTTCTCCAGGATAAATTTCGAGACTCACTACTGAGCAGCTGTAAAAGGTCTAGAATTGAGATCTTGACAGTCTACCCTATGTTACCTAAGGCTATTCTGATCTCCTTTGCTTTATAAAGAAGCGCTGAAGATTGATTGTTATGATGCCAGTTCATCCTCGGCGACATATATAAATCAGTGCTGGTAGCCTTTATAACGCACGGGTCACATATGTGAGTGGAAAGCTAAACCCGAGAGCCTTTGACACGAGGATGTATATTTTAAAGTTTATACACTCAAGAGTTCCAAGCTTTAGTATTCAGAAGGTGTTTAGCGCTGTATAAAAAAAGAACCCAAGCTTATGATATTCTATTGGACGATTGAGACAAAGTATAAGTACGAGGAGAATACATTAAAAGGAACTCCGGATCTACATTTCTAATTTCTCCAACGTCGATCTCGGCATCTAAGGGCCCAATACAACTCGCTCTCGCTCTTCCCTTCCGTCCCACAAGGTTCCATCCGTAGCCGCTATGCTCCGTCCAGATCAGCAAGATGATAGGATGGGTTGGCAAACCGGGGAACCCCTTTTCCTCGTGTTGACGTGCCCATGCAGGGCCACTGACAGCCGTTAGGGTTCCCCGTACGAATGAACGCGACTACAAGGAAATTATGATTACGTCGCGCGACCCGTTAGATCCAATAGGAGATGCATGCAGGACGATCACTACGGTAGCATAACATGTGATTCGTTTGGATTTGAGTTGGGTATCAGTGGGTAGCTACAGTAGAGCTGGAGCTATGAGCCGGGACTTGAGTTTACGGGAAAGGCACAGAAACCTTGGAATAACTTCAACCCTGATTTTTCTTATCAGAACCTTGAAATTGTGCATGTATGATAATACAGGTATAGTTAAACGCATGGATCCGTTGTCCGGCTGTATTTATACATGAAATCCCGTAGTTAATTTACACATAACCTCGAATCAGCACGAATAAGCGACCATTATTAATTGTCTAGTAATGGCCATAAAATCAGGGATATTTAGTTTACTTAACCTTGGAAATGGACCACAAGAGAAAGAGAAAGAAAATGAAAATCAAGGCAGCGGGCGGAAGCTAAGTGCCAGAACCCTGTCTCGGACCTCGCACACATCCACTTAGCGGCGCCCTTTGTCTTGCTTTAGCGTCGATAAGAAACACCTGGTTTTTGTCTCGCGGCAATTGATTTTTCAGTCAGCAGGACCGTACCAGCATTAGCACTACATTAGGTAAATTCACACTAGCCACTGAGAGAGAATCTTTGAGTCTTGGCGTGTTTATGCTGCTCGTGCTCATGCTCGTGGTCTTCCCGGGGGTTCCGTTCTGTCAGCCTTGCTATCCTACTATGGAATAGTTGGTTTTCGGGCGCGATTGGCAGCCGCCACTGACTCAAGTGGGATTTTGTGATTTGCAAAAGCCGATGCTAGTAAGACATGAAATGGAGCTAAGGAATTGGTGCCATTGCGATAATGTGAATGCAATTGATTGCGAATCATGTAAACTATACATAGTACTTTGTACAGGATTGATCCTCACTACGGAAGATAGATCGAAGGATCGTGCTCGAGACCGTAGTCTGGGCTTTGGACCCATCGAAATTCTCGACAGGTCTGAAACGCGCGAACCATAGTTACGGGGTAGTAGTGCGCATAGTGAAATTGGGAGAAGAAAATTATAGTTCAAAATTATCCAGGTACTGATTGACTCCCCTTGTCAAGTCCTAACTGTAGTTGGACTGTATTCTGATGTATGTGGCGTGGTTCTCCTGAAAATCATCTGAGGTCATCGATCGACAGCCAAGAAAAAATGTGGCGGAGTCTGGAGTCTGGATGCAATACAGTACAATTCTCCAGAGACAAATTCTCAACAAATGTCCGTTTCCGGGGACTTCTGCAAACGTGGCTCACGCGTTTCCCCTGCCACCGGTCGGCATGGCCGCGTGTGTTTCTCTTTTTGGGGCCTGGACTTAGGGCTCCACCGCGTTCGCGACGCGAATATTTACACTGCGGGTCTCTCCACTGAAGCTTGAAGAATTGTCCGGGGTCCAAGACAGATCTGCGTAGAAGTATATAAGATAACTAGAAATGTATGCGAAGTACCCAGTACACACGAGTCATTTACCTATAGATAGATTCAATTTAGTTTATCAGATTCCTGAAAATCCCCGGGTAATGTTAGGGTCCTGAAACATCCCTTGAGCTGCAAACAGCAGTCGGCACGCGCGTCGATCCCTAAGGCATGTCAACACCGCCCCTTCTACATCCCTGGAACTTTTCAAAGAAAGGTATTACTAAAAAAAAAAAAAGGAGAGACAACGGTGATTAGTTGAATAGTTAATGTGCCTGGAGGATGAACAATTGAAAAGCATGAAGCTTGGTAGTCTCAAGTACCGAGTACGTACGAAGATCGAAAAGCCGATCGATCGGATTGTAGGGGAGGATTGTGTACCTGTACAGATTTGAGCCTGGATACCAATGAAGTGGGGGGAACACCCCTCTTATCTACTTGTGTCTTCACGGTCAGATGCATATGCAGACACTTGGCAAGGATTCATATATCCGGTCCCTGTTAACGCCACTATCGGCAAAGCTGATTGTTATCCATGCTGGTGCACATTGGTGGCTTGAGTATGTCCAATACGACGCTAACCTTACGCACTCAAGCTCAGTCCATTATTCGAACTCAATTCCTGAGCATCTGATTTGACCATCCATTTATGTACAGTCCTTTTTCTTTTCCTTGCCCAATCTATGCATCAGCACTCTCTAGTGCCCGGCCGAGGTGGCCTGTGGGGTGGTGACGGGGTGGACGCGGCCTATACGCGTCGGGTCCATCGAAACCCGAACTTGATGGACATAAAGCACGGATAACTCGGTGCTGGTAACTAATAAGGGAATGGATAAACGTTGAATTACTTCTCATACTGTACTCTCTATATATATAGTCCTTTTTCTATATTGTCTGATCGTATGGCTGTCACAGAATTATGGAGAGCTTATGCAGATCAACAGACGTTGGTACGAAGTGGAGCCGGTGGAACAAGGAAAATTTAATTTTTAATTTTTTCATTTGTATCTAAATTAATAATCTACAGTTAATTATAGCACGGATTTATGTACATAGAAGCTTCAGGTTCAGATCAGAATCAATAGTTCTTCTTTTCTTTTGGACTGTTTTTGTTTTTTTTTCTGGTTTGATTTGTTTTGTTCAAGTATTGATGTTGCAGTACAAACGCGATAAACAAGTCCAGGCAATCCGTTCATGCATGTACGACCTGCTCTGTCATGAGGCGGACTGATTGCGTGGAGGGCCACGAAACAGTGATAGCGCGGAAAACCAGAAACTAGTATATGGAACTCCCCTAAATCATAGTCATAAGCATAAAGCCATATAGCCTTAGACTTAGAGAACAAATAAACTTACCTGCTGCATCCAGCTCTATCCGGTGACAATATCTCCGTTTCCGGATTCAGGTGGGGGATCCACGACCGTTGAAATCCAGCTATAATCAAGGGGAGAAAGCGGAAAGCGGAAAGTGCAATTGTTCGAAAACAAGACAACAAAAAGACTAAAAAAAAAAAAAAAAAAAGTTGAGGCTGATCTCGAACTGCCTGACTGGAAACTTCCCTTCCTTTTCCATCTTCCCTTCATCACTCGTTTCTCTTCTCCCCTTGAATCTTTCCCTCCCCTTTCCCTCTCCTTCACCCCTTCAGTTGTCGATATCGTGCCCTCGCTCCCCTTCCTAAACCCCACCCTGGCTTGTCGGTGGTAAATCTGCTCGGCCTCGCGCCGGACCATTCAACTTAGGTCCTTCCCGCCCATCACTTCCTGCCACATTCAGACCATGGCTCCCCCTCCACGATTGCGCATTCTGTCTGGTGAGTTTCTTCCGTGCAAGCCACCAGCAAATCAAATTCCATCACCATCCATTATGGGTCGACTGACGAAATACTGTTTAGTTGGCGGCAATGCGATTTCAGCGTTCCTGTCTTGGCGACTCCAGGCCACAACCTCTTGCGATGTGACACTGGTGTGGAAACAAGGCTTCGAAGCCGTCTCACAATATGGTGTCTCTTTCAAGTACGCTTCCATTCGATCCGGTAGCAGGGAAATCAGTTGACTCATGTTCCTCTTTTAAACAGATCAAAAGCATTCGGCAACGAGCGATTTAAGCCCCGGCATGGTACGATCACTCCCTGACTCCTTGACCAGCCTTCGGTCAAATCAAGCAACTAACTTGTGTACAGTGGTCCGGACCCCCGAAGAAGCCTCTTCTCGTGAAAATGTATACGACTATGTCATCCTCTGCGTGAAGGCGCTCCCGGATGTCTACGATCTGGCCTCGGTCATCGAATCCGTCGTCACCCCTCAGCACACCTGTATCCTGGTGAACACTACAAATACCCTGGGCATCGAAGCCCACTTGGAGCAACGATACCCGACCAATGTCATTCTCTCCCTGGTCTCCAATGTCGAAATCACCCAGACTGGCGCCAGCGAGTTCGAGCACCTGAGCTCGAGCGAGATTTCCGTGGGCGCGACCAGCAGAAAATCCGACATTCCCGCCTCCATTCAAAACGACATGGCTGCAGCCCTCTCCCTGACTCTGAACTCCGGGCAGGTAGACTGTAAAGTGTCGCCCAATATTCGACAGGAGCAGTTCGAGCGGATGATTGGGTGAGTGCTCTTATTCCGAAAACGGCGATCCCCTTTATGCTAACATTGGAATGTTTAGGCCGATCGCGTTCCACCCCGCGAGCATCGTGTTCGAATCCCCTAATCACACTCAATTGCTAGAGAAGGTCGGAGTGCGTCAATTGGTGACGGGTATTATTGACGAACTCTTGCAACTGGCTGCATCTTTGGACTGCAAATTCCCCGACGATTTCCGGGAAAAGACCATTCAGAAGATGATCACGGCCGATGCCCCAAGCCTCATGTTCCAGGATTTCCAGGCCCGACGCCCAATGGAAGTTGAGAACTTCCTGGGCTCTCCAATCAAATTGGCCACCGAATCGAATATGCCCTTACCGCGAGTTGAGGCTATGTACGCCATGCTCCACCACGCAAACGCTCTGAACCTGTCCAGACCCCGTCATGATTCACCCCCTGCATCGGTCATGGGACAGCCACCTCCACGATTGTCATCCGCACCTCCACCGCACCGACCGCCAATGAACGGGGCTGGAGCGATGCGAGGAAGTCGGACGAGTTCGAGCATGGGCGTCCCCCAGGCCCGTCGAGGCCCACCCCCAGGGATGATGCGGGTCCCACCAGGTGGACCGATGCCCCCTCCCGGGTCCCGGGGAGGCATGCCCCGCGACCCTTCTCTCGAGGGTCTCGAGGAGTTCAGTCACCTTATGAGCTACGGTGATGAAGGCGAAGCTGGGTTACCTCAAAATGGCGGCCACGGCCACGGCCCTGGACCGTCTGAGTTAGCTTTAAGAGAACGGGAATTGGCCCTGCGCCAGCGAGAATTGCAGATACGTGAGCAGGAGATGGGTATGCGCCGGGGTCCTCCTCCCGGTCAACGACGACCGCCCCCTCGGGCCCCTGCATCCGCGTTTGATGAGGAGGATGAAGATTATTTCGACCCGATGGACAATATGGGCATCCCCCATGTGGACCCCGACAGTGTAGACATGATGAGTCTTACATCACGCCGAGGACGCAAGACCCCGAGCCAGAGTCAGATACAGCAATTCCGCAAGAACCCCGAACTTGCAGGTGGTCCCACCCCCCAGAACCGTCCCTCCTCATCTGCTTTTGGCCGATACTTCGGCCGCAAGCGCGCCAGTGACCGAGTGATGCAGGAGATCCCCGGTCTCCATGACTCGCTTATGGAGCACCCCATGATGAGCTACTCATCCAACAGATACGGAGCCGTCGACCGGAACCAATTGTCCGCTGACTCGCGAGCCAACTCTATGACGGCCAGCCAGATGGGCGATTTCCCTGCCCGCCCCTACCCCCAGAGCCGGCGAAACAGTCAGTCCCCTGCAGCGCCATTCCCCGGAGGACCTCCTGGTCCCAATCCCCGCATGGGACGCCCGATGACGGCCCATGACCCGAATCTCGGCCCCCCTAGTGGACCCCTTCACAACGGCCACCCGTCGCCGCCTGGAAACATGCGGACCCCGGTCCCTCGAATGCCATCAGGACAAGGCCCGGTTGGCCCACAACAAATTGAGCAACAATATGGGGTGAGCAACCCGTATGCCGCTAAAGGCCCTCCCAAGAACAAGAGTCTGACTGGAAGTGCGAGCGCCAGCGCGGAGAGTGGTGATAGTGGCGCCAGTGCCAATCTCGATTCCGAAGCGTCGGCTCACAGCAGTCAGATCAGTTTGGGTGATCACCCACATCCACGAGTTGCACCTGCGCCGCCCGTTCGGTGAAACCTGGACACTGTTATGGGTTGATGACCCTCCTGTTTTACTTTCCATGACCAACAGGGTAATTGATGACGACCGAATTTCCTCCTTGACGTTTTCCATCTACCACACTACCCGGACGAATATCCCGTCTGCTTTCGAAAACCTCTTTGTCATGTTTGGACTTTTTCTGCATCGTTGTGTGCGTGTCATTCCACCGGGGAATATTGCTATTCGAACCTTTGTGGTATGAATTATCGGGTAATACTCTGCTGTTCGCTTCTTTACATATACATGAGGGACATAGGGGTTTTTATCGCTTATTTCTGTTTTCTTGTTCCGGAGTGGCTGGGGTATGGGTTTGTGTTTATTGTCTATCCTTGATTTTGTTCCTTTGCTCTGCATTGATACTCATCCTGTCTCCTGCGGCATCATTTCCTATTTTTTTTTTTGTTGAGACCTGCGTGCGTCTAGACTGGGACCGACCTCTCCTCATCTCCCTACCTCTCTCTCTCTCCTTTACAGCATGTTGATATAGCGCCCTTGGCCTCTTGACCATACCCAGTCGCAACCAGCCGCACCTCTCCTTGCATGACTGTACACTACGTGATTCGGCGCCTTTCCTTTTTTGTGGACCACCATTATACGGGCCCGTATACGTCGCCTTATTTATTATGTGCTGTTATCATTTCTGCTCCGGCATTTCCATCCTTCCTGATGTTTCGTTTTGCTTGTCCGGTCTGACGCATTGCGGCCTTGTCTGATTTCTGTGGTCTGGTCCCTGGCGTATTGCAAAAGAGCGGGGGTTCGATTTATTCGGTTGAGTTGTCTTGATCTGCTTTGGCTGGGTTTGCGCTTGACTGGGAATTAATGATGGTGACTTGCATCGCCCTTTGAACAGAATCGTATCCTATATGGAGCGCACGAATTGATAGACCCTTCCGTTATTCGTTGTATTCAAATGACTTCAGGTATTATCTCATTTCCATAACGTAAACACTTTCTGAAGTTGGTAATCGGAGTGGACTAGGAACGCCATGTAGAACAGGCCGGATCCCACCATCCCAGTCACATTCAAGTACAAGCCAAACTCTGCCAAATAAAACTCTGAGGGACCTAAACCACTTGGTCAGTAGGGCTCAAGTTTGAAACCAATCAAAACAAGTGAACGATAATGGAGCTTTCATTAATGCTTTTCTTTCGGACTGCATCTGCTATTGTATACACGTCACGTGCGCGATGTAAACAAATCCCGCTTTTCTCGATAACACTTTAATCTCCAACTATCCTATCAGTTCCTCAACTTCAATCAAACCCTCAATCAACCCAATATAGATCCCCAAAGCTAAAACAATCAAACTTAACAAAATGCCACCCCCATCCCACCGCCGTCTCGACTCCCAAACCCAAAATTACCCCCGCTCCTCAATCCTCCCAGGAAACACATTCACCCAGCCCACAAACAGCTACGGCTCCTCAACACCCTCAATGTCCGCCGCGAAGACCAGGCAATACGCACACCTGCACTCGCAGCTCGCGCAGTTGAATGCCAATCTGGCTGATACTGAGAATTTGTTGAGGATGACGGCTGTGCAGGCGGGGGATATGCGGTTCCTTGGTGGGTATATCGGGGCTATGTTTATGGGTTCTGCTAAGATTTTGGGGGAGGAGGGGGTTAAGGGGAATGCGGATAAACCTAAAGAGGAGGAGGTTGGGGTTAAGGTTGAGGATAGTGAGGAAGATTGAGGATTTGATTGTATGGTTACTGGGTGTGGCTTCTGGATATGGATACGCGGTGATGCAGAGATATGCATGTGAGTTTGTTTGACTTGGCTCTGGTTTATAATTGCTTGGGCTTCGCTAACTGTATTGACAGTTACCATCCGACAATGGCTGGGTTCACGCCGAACAAACACTCGAACCCTGCCGTCAGAATCTACTCAACCACGAACTGTCCACCCAGCATAATTGCAGGCTCGTCGATGTTGTGGTGCTCATAGCTATGATAATGATCAGCCAACGCCCTCAATCACTATGCTTCTTCTGTCACGCAGAAACAATCGCATCGACAAAACAATACAACATACCTCAGAGTTCCCACACTTCCAGCCTCAAGGATGAACGAAGTCTCCGTCAACGACTTCCCAACCCAGCGCATCGCAAATGCACGCAGAATATGACCATGCGCAACAACAAGGACATCACCCTTAGGCGAATCGGGATTCTCAAAGCATTGCCGCTGATGCTTTTCCCTGATCTCGGCAATCAATGCGTCCAGACGACGCATCACATCTTCGGGGGACCTAGATAGCGTTAAGCCTCAATGTTTTATGAGCACAGCGAGAATGAAATACTCACTCTCCACCAGGACATCCATCCGTCCAAATATTCCAGGGCCCCTGCCCCTTCTCTGCCCGGATAGACTTAATCTGCTTACTAGTCAAGCCTTCATAATCACCGTAATCCCACTCCCGAATCACATCCGTAACCTCAACCTTCGCCTCTGTGCGAATTGGCTCTTGGTTTTCTGGCTTACGGTGCTCGGTCCAGGGTAGTCGTTCACGGCAGCCGATTTCTAGGAGCTCCAGGGTTCGCTGGGCGCGGGTGCGGGGTGAGACGTATCTGGACCAGCGTAAGCAATGCAAAATGGGACTCAAACCGAACTTGTAAATTCCTCCCTATTTTTCGATTGTGTAGGGTATGTGTGATTCTGGAAGAGTGGAAGGATACTTACACATGAACAAGGTTCTTAGGAACGACCAATCGGTCATTCCCCACTAGCGCTTTGCCCGTCGCGATTATGCGTTTCTCGCCGTTTGCTGTAAGTGGGAGGTCTGTCGAGCCGGTGTGGCGGCCGTTAAGAGACCATTCTGTTTCGCCGTGGCGGACAATGAAGCACCGGGGAGCCATTTTCTAGAACAAGTGGGTTGAGGAGGAGGAAAGTACAGGTTTGTTCAGCGCTGTGTTGGGATATCCGGTCAGATTGGTTGCGTCATAGCGATAAGAGCTTATCAGGTTCTTATCGATAGCAATGTTTACACTGTTTACACTATAATCTTGAGGTCTACTAGGCAACAGACAGCGTATTTAGCGGATCTTTGGAAGTAAGAACGGGCTGATATAAGCTTGAAAGACTCGCGTGACGGATAGTTCTTTTCCTATTTAGGATGGTTCGTCCCAATGTGGTAGTGCTTCATCCATCCTATTGTGGCATAGAGCCGCGGTGATCATGGCTTTACTCTAATTCAGCCCCCAATACACCCACTATGGCGGATAAAGACCAATGCCATTGGTCATACCTTCGGTACATCCTTCAGGGTAATCAACATCCACGGGGCCATTTCGAAAACGTGGCACATATCAGGTAACTCTAAAGATAAAAACACAGCCTCGCCAGAATGAGTTCGGCCCCAAAGCCAGCAACAAAAAAAAGTCCACGTCCAAATCCCCCAAAGGATTCAACCTTCAACAAACTTCATCTCGACTCTCAAACCAAATACTGAGGAGCCAATATGGCCTTCGCATACGACTACATAATAATAGGCGCCGGCCTAGCAGGCACAGTCCTGGCTTCAAAACTCCACCACAAACTTCCCTCATCCAAAATTCTCCTCTTAGAAGCAGGTTCAGACCCCTTCAGCCACCAACATACAACAGAACCTCTAAAAGCACCTCAGGCCCTCAAAACAGAACTAGACTGGAACCTATCCACAGTCCCACAACAACACTTCGGAAACAGAACCTGCTACCAAGCAGCGGGAAAAGCCCTCGGCGGCTCAACGGCAATCAGCAACGGAACCTGGACCCGCGGACCAAAAGTCGACTATGACCGCTGGGCTACATTAGTCGGCGACGCAAGATGGAGCTATAACGCCCTCCAGCCATATTTCCCGAAAACAGAAAGCCGGAGCGCGGAGGAGGATGTTTCACGGTTTTCGGCTAAGCCTTTCGTGACATATACATCTACACCTTCCCAGTCGCATGAGAAGAGAAAATATTCGCTACGCGAACCGGTCAGGGAAGCGTGGATGGAATCCGGAGTAAAATTTGTGGATGATGTTAATGCGGGCTTTCCGGTAGGACTATCTGAAAGAGTTGAGTGTTGGAATCAGGGACGCAGACAGCATGTTCATCGTGTATTTGGTCTGGATGGGGTTCAGGTCCTTACCAAGTCGGCTGTTGCGAGGATCCTTATTACGGAGGTGGATGGGGAGATGGTTGCGACTGGTGTTGAACTTGTTGGTGGAGCGAAGTTCTTAGCGAAGGAAGTGATTCTTTCCGCGGGGGCTTATAATAGCCCAAAGATATTATTCCTATCTGGCATTGGGCCGAAGGACATGTTGAGGAGCGTCGGTATTACGCAGACTGTTGAGTCGCCGTATGTTGGGAGGAATTTTCATGATCATATTTCCGTGCCGATTGTGTGGAGGCTGAAGAAGCCGGAGTTGAACTCTTCTTTTGAGGCTTTGACGCAGGATCCGGTGATGAAGCTTGGGTGGCCGAGTGATTGGACAGTTTTTTCTGGGCTCGAGAGGAGTCTTGTGAAGACTTCTATTGAGAAGGATGGAGGCCATCTGAATAATCCTTCCAGTCAGCTTCTTTTGAACCCGCATTGTGTTTTTACGGAGACGGCCAACTATTATACAACCGTTGGTGCGCATCTCGCGGATATGAACACACCAATGGATGGGACGTGTATCTCTTCGACTGTGTTGGGAGTTTCACCTACATCCAGAGGTGAGATCACGATATCTTCAGCTGATCCTCTTGCTCCGCCGGTTATTGATCCGAATTACTATGCCACTGAGCTTGATCGTGTGGCTATTCGGTCTGCGATTCGGAAGGCGTTTGAGGTGTATCAGGATTCTGAGGCATTGAAAGATATTGTCCAATGTGAGGTTCCGCCGCCGGGATATGAGACTTTGACGGCTACTTCGACGGATGAGGAGATTGATGATAGGGTTAGACGTGTGGGGATCACTTCTTTTCATCCGGCTGGGAGCTGTTCAATGGGGAGGGTTGTTGATCCAGAGTTGAGGGTTCATGGAGTGAAGGGATTGAGGATTGTGGATGCTAGTGTTATTCCTTTCCCTCTTGCAGCGCATTTGCAGGTTGCTGTTTATGCGTTAGGAGCGAGGGCTGTGGATTTCATTGTTGCTAAACATAAGTAGTACTTGAGTATTCTGATGATAGGTAGTTTTTTTCTCTTCTAATAAATGTGCCTAATCCTTTTAATATCAATCAAGTCGCATCCGTTTGTCAATGCTAAAATCAAGATACACCCTTTCATGAACAATTGCAGTCCCAAATTCCGACTTCCCCCGCTCTGCATTAACTTGAAAATATCAAAAACGACTCGTCGCCTCCACTAAATCAAATTGCGCCCTATCAAGAACTGCCTGCACACATTCGATTTCCAAAATGACCTGTTCATTCAGCGATGGTTTTTGGTGAGCTTCCAGGATTCCCTCTTCTCCACCTATCACTGAGTTCAAATCTCGTTCGATCTTCTCCAATTCGGCAGCAATACCTTTCTGAAGGGAATCAAAATGTCCCTTCAAGACTTTAGCATAGTCTGTTTTTGCACGGTCATGATACTGGACGAAGAGTTGCGAGGTTTGCACATGGTTGGATATAATGTCTTTGCGCTTAAGAGTGCAGCCCGTTCCTTACACTTACTGTCAGTAATTATTGGAGAAAGAGTGGGGGTTGTATTTACCTGTGGTCTTGGTGCATTCCAGATAGGCAGGACGCATAAGATCTGCCATGAAAGAACTGGCATAGCCATCCGACATGTCTCGCATTGTGGCACTAAATAATACTTGTTAGAATTAAAAGCTTTGATCTCTGTTGGATATAGCATACAGTCATACTTTGTGCTTCTGCTGATTTCCAGGATATGACATTGAACCACGTAGCTGATATTCTGTTGCCTGGATTCCATGACGGAGAGAAGATTTCCCAATGATTGGGGAGCATGGTGCAAATTTTGTCGAAGCAAAGTGCAGACTTGCTGAATGCTGTTGCAGATCGACTTGTTGAGGATCTCGCTTTGGGATTTCAGCCACTGATGAATATTTTGCCAGTGCGGGATCAATTCTGCCCCAGGTTTGGCGATCAGCTCCTTATTCCAGCAGCGGTAACCCACAGCTCGGGTTTTCCAATCTCCATTGTGTCGAACAAATGTACCAATGGTAGAGTGATGCCACTGGGAGCTTTGAGTTAGTCAAGACGCGATTGGATTTTAGATCATCTGAGGTACTCACCTTGTACCAATCTTCACATAACTTGGCACACTGCGATGTCCAGGTGTCCTGCGACAGCCCTATTGCTGATGTCAGGGCGTCTGAGAAGAACACAAAAAGCTGCATAAGACTTACTAATCTTTTGCAGGATATCACCATCAAATAACGTATTCAGGTTGCGTTGCACAGGATCAACATAGCCCTGTGGTGAATGTAGATCCTATTCGCTATCAGAATAATTCAAAGGCCGGAAATAGCTCGCCATAAGTATCTGGGCTGCTTCGGATATATTTTACCTTTCGAAGACTGGCCGCAACTTTTGAAAGAACTGCACGAAGAGCGGGAGCTTCATTGGTGCTGACGGAATCAGCACCAGCCAAAGCCCACTGGCGAACAGATCCTAGATGGGCTGGAATCTGATGATTGAGGTATGCCGTTGTCATGCTTAGCTGGATTGCCGCGGGGATCAATCGACAATATTCCCGAAGCTCACGGATCCCACTCAAATCAATGTACGCATCGGCTAGACGTTGTTCGCCGCCGCAGTAAGTTTTGTAGAGCGAATTGCTGACACATAAAACTCCCGTTTCAGGATAGCTCTGGCTTAGATTCCGTTTGACTCGATCATTTCGTGTGGTGATCATGATTCTTTTCCGCCTGAGGTATCAATAAGTATATGCAACAAGATTAAGTAAAAAAGAAATCAACAAGGGCCTTACTCAAAGTCAAGGTCCTCAATCTGATTCCTATTCAAAGATAAGTTAATGTTGTATACAAATGAAAAAGATAATGCTTACATCAGTTCAAAGCCCCTCATGGCTTCCTCCATGTTCATGCGACTTGAAAGACGAACTTCGCTCAACTGGTCATTGAGTTCGTCGAGTTCGTCGTTCATCAAACCAATTTCTTCAGCATATGTGCCCTCCCCCCGAGCCTCTTCCTCGGGATAAATGGCCTGCGAAAGCACGTCAGAACTTTCTCAATTATATCTTGAATAAGGGCAATACATCAGATCTGGTGCAGACGATGTGATATGGTTTGTCTGCACATCTACCCTTAATATCAGGGATGGATCGGTCAGAGCAGCATCGAGCAATGCTCGAAACGATGAAAATCTCGTCACAACTGTGCGACAAATATTTGTTCGTCGCCCGAACTCTTGCATAGTTGAGGTCTCGAAAGCCTACAGAGTGTGGGGTCTTAGTCCGTTGATCAGCATTTAGGCGATATCAACTCACCTGGTAAATCTGCTATCACCAGTCCAGTGCGCAAGATAGGTGATTTGAGATAGACCCTATGAAGGTTAAAAGAGTTTGGTTGTTGAGAAGGAAATGGAAGTTACCTCAAGAGTTTGGTAAATGGCCAAAAAACAGGCCCACCACCTGTGTGCGAATCGGCTGCCAAATAATCAAGCTGTTCTATGCATCCCTTGAGATTATCTGAGACGACGGTATAAACCAGAGAATCGTGACTGCCTGGTCTGCGAGATACCTCGGCAAGAGCCCACCCTTCCAACTTTACCAGAATGGCTTTCTCTGCTCCCTCACTCTCATCTCGAAGAAAATCCAAGCCCCAATCAGGCTGACTCTCGAACAAAGATTTCAAGGTCCCCTCGGCGCGATCGGCCGCATCCATCAGGCTTTCTTTCTCGTCGATTGATCCAATATCATTGAAAGAGGATTCACAGCGGTACAACCGGAAGCTTCGCAATAGCTCTTCAAGAAGCTCTCTTATTTCCTCCGAGTTCATGAAGAAAGCTTCCAGGGTGTATGGCTGAGGGTGGCTGTTACTCACATAACAAAACTCTATGACCACAGAGGTGCATGCAGTACCACTTGCACTCTGGAGTACCAAGTCAACAAATAATCAAGATATATCGAAAAGGAGAACTTACTGCCCGAGCTATATTTGGTTGGTCCAGTAAAGAGTTGATGAGGGAACTCTTTCCTGTTTTTATTAGATATTGTGCTTTTGCCCACAAGCTATCGCAAGACCTTACCTTCACCAGAAGTCCCAATAAACCCAACAGTCCGAGAGTTCGGGTACTGGAAATTGGCCAATTTCTCTGTCTCATCTTTCAGTTCCTTGAGGTTCGAACTTTGATCACTCACAACCTCAAGACTCATTGTATTTAAAAGCCGAGCAAGTTGCTTCCTGACATCGCGGAGGCCACGTTGGAGACCATGGTCATATATGGGAGCTTTGGGTAGCGGCTCTGAGCCAAAGTCATCCAATTCATTTTCATGGGAAGGGACTATGGCTTGAGCCATTTCTTCCAATGGCCGGGAGGTTTCAGGTGGATTATGAATCGGTAAAGAGTCGGGCTCGGGTGCTTTATCACACAAGACGCTCTCCACTGGGACAGCCGTAGCCGGAGAGGATGGAGATGGTGTACCTTTGTGGGAAGCTATGTGCCCCAGGAGAATCTCACTGCTCCCAGCGCGCGATGAACTTTTGCGGCATTTTATCGAAGATTCGACAGTATCAGGGGCATGCTCGCGTTTTGTTGAGGGCTTGAGAGAGTGAGAGGTTGTTCGGCGCTTGGTTCTAGGGCAAGGGGCGGAGTAAATAGAACTTGCATTTCTGGAGCTCTGGTGAGCACGAGTACAACTCGATGAGTTATCATCCATTGCGGCGTTGGAGATAGATCTATTTTTGCGATGAAGCTTTGGCCATGGGATTTTGGGAAAGCTAACATTCTGCCCCCACATTTTGAGAAGAAGTTAGGATCTGTTTTGATTAAATCTGGGACACTGACGGGGCATGGTTGATGGAAAGGAGACAAAAATTGTTACGGCGATACGAACGGTGGCCCACGGGATGGAGAAGGTGTAAGATCAACTTTGCCGTTTGATAGATTGTTGTGGTATATGTAAGAAGTATTAATGAGCTCTAAGTGAGGTATAAGTAAGAGATCGAAGATTTAACCCAGTGCCGTTTGCCCGTGGCACATGGTGGCTATGACAAATAAAAATTCAAACGCTATGTATGTCTACGGTTCCTGATATTCATAGAGTCCTCGGCCCTGAAGTATGTGAATATCACGATTTTTGCCAGGGATATTACATGCCTGGCAAGTGGACCACATCGTCGGCCCACACAGGGGAGGCGCTCATGGTGCCGGCAAATTGAGGGAATTGTGAGTGGTTTTAAGGTGGAGGAGCTAAAAAGCGCGTTTTCGGGTGTTGTAGGCTGCTTGTGAATGACAGAAGCTGCACCAAGACGCTGTGATCGACTACTTGGTTGTGTCTATTTCTACATGATAGCTATTTGATCGGTAGCTGATAGCAATAGATAACGGATGCTACTATAAATCGAAGAATTCGAGCGAATTGACCTATCGAATGAGTGGTACAGGGATGAAGGCCTCAGGCATGCAGGAGTGGGGAGATAGAGGTGGTTGTTTGTTGTTTGTTTCTGAGTATTTCTTGTTCTTTATCCCCCTCCCAAATCTGATCCTTCGCGGATGGATTTGTCTTCTCTCTCCTTGAATCAGGCCTGCCATACCGCATTTCCTCGTAAATACTCAAGCATCAGATAGATACTTAGATATCGAATATAAAGTCTAAATGAGGATCTAATTGTTCCCGTATGTGCTTAATTAGTTTGTTGTTGCAGCAGTTAGGTCCATTTATATGTACAAGCGATCAACTGAAGAGAATATTATCAAGAGCTTTTGTTATACACAGTCATAGCCCATAGCGAGATTGGCTTCCGCCCCCCAGGGCTATACTATTCAAAGTTCAAGCTACTAGGTCGCACCTAGGTAGTACCAGTACCAAAACGCTCGTGTATATTTTCAATCGTCCATTGGAGAAACTTCGATACATACATAATACATAGCCCACAAACGGCACAAATAGTGGGTGATCAAAACATGCTACTTGTGCCCGACAAGCCTGTCGGTCATTTATATTGTTAAATTCAATTTTCGTAGAACATCTCGCATTTTCTTATCGGTAACCCCCAGCGAGCTCTGCGCATACTCAAGCAATTTTCCACGTTCCTTTGCCCAGTGGACTTCAAGCGGATCACCTGCCTTAATCAAATGTCTGTAGAATCGGCGCAAAGCCATTTTTGTCTTCGTATCTAGCTGCGACGTGAAGCCATACTCCTCAGCAGCTTCTTTGACCCTAGGAAAATTCTGTATCGGGGTATAATCATTCAAGGCAAGGAGGTGTTTAAGCCTTCACACCGAAGGACGGAGTCCATGCTTTTCCACTGGGAAGGACATGAAGTCTCTCAAATGAGGTACTCCACTCAATTGCCCGAGCCGAGGATCAATTTCGTACTTGTAATGTGAGCAAATAGGTAATTGGGTATGCACTCGAAACTGTTTCTCGCTAAATCTTGAAAATTGCGCTACTTGAATGCGGTCAGTGGGGGTGTTTAACTGATTTCGTGGTGTTCAATTAGAAAGCTCCTCTTCGATTCGCCTTAAACTCTTTAGGAATAGCAGCTTTACCTAACCTATGAATTTGCAGTTATTCCATCCATTTAGTTTCGTCTGAGTTGACATAGCGGCGAGCAGCCAAGTAATAAAGAAGACGTTTAATGGATGCCGCCTCGTAGTGGTTCTGTTAGGAAGTGATCAATTCGGTGCGCTGTCGTGGAAGAGACTCTTATAATGATGAATGCTGGCGTAGTGCTCTAATAAGATAGCATTGGGAATCAACAAGTAAAATTACCTCATCTCACTCAATCTGAGCGACGAAAAATCTCAAATCTGTACTTGACACTTGTGCAAGCTCGACAGAAGATGACAAGTATCTCTTTGAAATAATCATGAAGCTCGAGGAGTTATCGAGCCAATGATGTGGGCTCAGCCAGCCAGGCTAGCAAATACTGACCAATACAGTCAGTCTACCTGGCATTCTGGAGTGGAGAAAGTTCGAAATGAGAGATTGAAGCCTTGGAAAAGGTGTAAAGAGTAGTGAATGAAGACATGGTGCCTTAGGCAGTAACTTGCTACAAAAAAGTCTCGCAGGCCTTCCTTCTTCGTCTTCCTTTCTCTCCGCTATTCAACCGCTCTTGTTGACGGAATCTCTTAATTCCTCTGTTCAACCACCTGCCTCTTAAAGAAGCATACGCAACAATGTCTGACAGACAAAATAAGCATATCAAACGCATGCTTAGCAAAGTTTGGGGGTAATAAATTCTTCCAAAATATCTGAAACTTAGCTGAATGACAGAAGGTCTCGAGAACGAGGCGAATATAGTGACCTTAAGCTCGTCTGTGACGATGGCACCAAGTTCGACGTCCATAAGCTCATGCTATGTTCAAAATCCCCTGTCTTTCGAGCTGCGTGTACAGGCAACTTCAAGGAAAGTTTCCCAGCCTTCTCCTTGATATTAACTAACTTGGCTCGAGTACAGGAGGCGGCAGAATCCACGTATCATATGCTAGGTGAATCGACACCTGTCGTGAAGAAAATGTTGGAATACCTGTACCAGGGGGATTACTCAGAAGAATTGAGCGAGAGCCTGAGTAATGACGGGAATCTAAGTGATGAGTCGCTGAAGACGCCGGTGTCTGCGATGTCAGCTCTTCAACTGCATGCCCGATTGTTCGCCTTGGGTGATAAGTTCATTATCCCACAGCTTTGCGCCACAGCCGTGGCAAAATACCGCGACAGGATTAGAAAGCAGTTCAACGCCTTGGAATACCTTGATTCCATGCCCGATGTTTTCTTCTCAATACTGAGCCACAACGATAAACTGCAGTCGACTGCAGTCCAATTTGCAAGCACTCAACTCGAATCGGCTTTAGAGGATGAGCCGGTTCGCACGAAATACGATTCGATTGCCATCCAAGTCCCACAATTTGTGAAAAAAACGCTTGACTTTTATTTTGACGAGTCCCCACAATGTCATGATTGTGGGGACCAAGGCTAATGATCCCTTTACAAGCAAGGTGCAAGAGGTGCCATTGCGGAACATGGAACCCGCCAGTTTTGTAATTTAGACAATTACTATCGCTCTACGCAAAATTAAGGATAGCAAAATTAAGGATATTAAAGAGTTCAAAGCTACTATGAGCATTTCAAGAGGCATTATATTTCTGATTAGCTTCAAATTACTGTTTGTTATCATATCTATATTTTCTTCAAAAGGAGTCCCCAGTGTTGGTATCATAGAGGAAAGTGTGCAACGAACGATATAGAAGTAAGGATCAAGTAAGAAGAAGGGACATGTTAACGCCAGACAATACAAGGACAGTAAGAAATAAGGGTTCATTCAAGTCCATGATTAAGGAAAGCTCCTAAGATCATGCTACACTTTTCACTTTCTACAAGTATTCTGTTCGTGGGTCATGTAGCGCGCTCCCAGGCGCTTATAAATTCATGCTTTACAGACCCGAGACCTTTCTCCTTCCTTCCTATCCTTCACAGCCCCATTGCATATCGCGAATACCCTTTCTCCAGACCTATACCCATATATATGGATAATTCTGATTCTCGACTGAACTGAACTGGCTTTATATAGTTGATGTTCCCTTCTCATTAACCGACAACAAAATAACAAGACGCACGGAGTTCATCTGTGGAAAGGTCACAGAGTAAGACTTCCTCGGGAATTTGTGAATCTTGACTAAGACACAGCAGGTTATGCAAGCGAGGAGATTTACTGATCTCACAATTCTTTGTGATGATGGAAGCCACTTCGATGTTCATAAAATCATCCTCTGCGCTCAATCTCCGGTGTTGTAAGCTGCCTGCACCGGCGACTTCATAGAAAGTTTTTCAAGCTACCTTCTCTTTGGGAAATTCTAATTTGGTTTGATCCAGTACAGGAAGCAGAAGAGTCCATATATAATATGTCGGGTGAATCAAGCTTCGTTGTAAAGAAAATGCTGGACTTTGTCTACACTGGCGAATAGGATGACAAATTCGACGAGATCCGACCTATGAGCCACAGAAGACACTGGTGCTTTTACTATCGCCCCTCCGACTACATGCCCAATTGTTCGCCCTGGGCGACAGATACGACATTCCAGGTCTTTGCGACGCGGCGGCGGACAGATATGAGAGAGCAAATTCTGGTGTCCGTTTGAACCCATGCAATTTTTGGATTCTTTACAAGGCGTCTTCTTTGCGCGATTGGGCCACAATGCCAAACTCCAGAATCACGCTGTGAACGCCGGAAGATCAAAGCTCCCCTATATTTTACAAGACAAAGACATGGGTGCCAAGTACGAATCAGTTCTTGTCGAAGTGCCAGAGTTCGCGATACAAATCCTCGACTCGGTTTACAGAGATCAACAGGAGATTGACGCAAAATGGCACCTCGACACGGAAGGGGAGCTCGAAGAATGGTGGGCAGTGAAAGGATAAGTGAATGCCGGCAAGAAATGTGAACACAGGAACAACCAAATCAATATGAAAAAATTAAGTTAATTCGAAAAATGGTGAAAAGCAACAAACCTTACAAAAAACGTCGAAGTCAATAATCCAGACAAAAAAAATAATGCAAAGTTCAAAATTCCGACAACTCCTCGAAGATATTAGAGAACAAAAAGAGCCAGGATGACAACAATCAGTATTAGATACCAATGATCAAAATTGCTAGTGTTCGACAAAGAATTAAACATAGTAGAGGTAAATTCCTTCTTGAAGCTTCTGCATTATCAGAGGCAAAACAAATACAGCCTCTGGCGACAAGGAACTAAAAAAAAACGTTGAGCCGCATTGCTCTGGACTTGCCATTCCTGACATCCATCCCCAAACATCAAAGTTCTTGGCCGAAATTCAACCATCCATCATTATGAGCAGATCACCTTGAAGCCTCTGATGCGATTCCTCCTCACCGAACTACATTTGTTCGTCGTATCAGAATGAATAGAGGCAAAGTTGCGCTTCTTTGAGCATTTCCTGTCACTGAATAGATGGACGGTACAGTGAGGGTCAATGTCTACTTTGGCAAACCCCCATGCACCCACTCCACCAACACTCTGTAGACAGCCAGTGGCACCAGTACCAGTGTAGGTCTCCTCTACGCCAGAACACCCATGGGTAGCGTAGAGATGGAAGTTATAAGCACCGGGAGCCGCTCGAGGTGCCATGTCTGTGTGGACAATGGGGTAGGAGGTGGAATCTGGTATGAAAATGCCAGAAATGGCAGCTGGAAAGTAGAGCATAGAGATAAAGGCTGAGGAATGATTGAGTAGTCTCATTGCAGCGGTGGTACTCTTTGCTTTTGATGTATGTTTTGAAGGATCCGGGACGTTGTGTTGTTGACTGTTGACTGTTGAGAGACCCTTTGGATTCTTTTTCAAGTAGAGAAAAGGAGTCTCGGATACAGCGGATATGTCATCTTCACCATACTCTACTTCATGTCGATTTTGCGTAGCTATGACGGATCCCTTTCCCGCGCATTACCAGATTGATCGGCTTTAGCGGTAAGCTTACTTGGCATGAAGATAACAAAAACCTTGGAAGCACTTATATAATGTTTCATAAAGTTTTAAACCCTCTGTGTGCCGCGTGCTTGTCGAAACAATGATGTAAAGATGAAGCTAGTATATGACAGGTCACGTGGTCGATGAATTTACACGCACGGCGTGATGTTGTCGTCCTTTCAATATCCACATCTCGTCTGGCGAGAGAGGAGAAAACGAAATTCAGGACCGAGAAGAACATCATAAATCTTAGGATTCTTCCTAACCTTAGACTGCCAGGACATCAAATGTTGGCAACATCTCAAAGTGCCAGCCCGCAGGGTAATGGAGTCGATGCGTCCTCCAACGACAACATCGTGCCCCGCCACTTTGTCCACAATACGTACGAGCGTCTAAAAGACCGATATGCAAAATATTTGTGCGATCATTGGGTTGAGAAAATTGAGCCTGTCAAACATATCAATGAAGACCTAAGTATGGCTGCATTTCTGATTGAGCTGTGGCGCACCATGTACGGAGCAGTGCTGGCAGCCGAAACCACCAAAGAAACCGAGATCAACACCCGATTCCCCGGGTTCATTGATATCGCGTGTGGGAACGGTGTGGTTGTATACCTGCTTTTAATGGAAGGTTATTCTGGCTGTGGATACGATGCTCGTCGCCGCCAAACATGGAATATTTTCCCAGGTTCAGTGCAAGAGCGACTGATGGAGAAGATTTACGTCCCGAAACAATTCGCAGACTGCGTTGAAACCGACAGTATAGGCGTGGACATCCATACAGGAGACTTTCCACCTGACACATTCATCATCTCGAATCATGCCGATGAGCTGACCCTATGGACTCCACTAATGTCAGCTCTAGCTTGCCCTGCCTCCCCGCTTCCTTTCCTTGCTATACCATGCTGTTCGCATTCACTTTCAGGGTCCAGCTACCGCTTCCCTCCACCGAGCAAAACAGCCACCGAAAACTCAGGAATTAAATCAATTCAAATGCAAGATGATGTCATCGAACAAAACCCCCAGCCCGCATCAGGAGATCTGAGGGCCCTGAGAGCAGCAAAAGCAAAAGAAAAAACGGCAGACGGCAAGGCCAGCTCAATGTACGGCTCGCTTACAGCAAAGACCATGCAAATCGCCCAGGAAATCGGGTACGAAGTCGAATCATCCCAGCTCCAAATCCCCAGTACCCGCAATACGGTCATAGTGGGGGGTCGGCAATTAGTAGCACGGCAACGAGAAGGATCTCGAGACGAGAACTCGGCCCCCGCATCGGTGGACCCTCAGACCGACAAAGGTGCTGAGCTTCTACAAAAGATTCAGGAGATTGTCGAACGTGAATGCTTCAAGGATGGAGGAATCCAGCATGCCGCACGGACCTGGATCGAACGCGCTCGGAGCCTACATGAGGGGATGGGACTGGAAACCCATGATCTGATGTCGTGAAGATCAGCGCCAAAAAGCTTGTAAACATCCGGATGCTTGCTGAGTGGGGAAAGCGGCGCAATTTCGGGGATTCGTTCCTCTTCAACACGGGGTTTACGCCATGCTGTTCCCGACATTCCGCCGGCTAAATGCTGGATACTACCTACCCCGTGGGGACGCGGGGTATAAGTAGTATGATGGGTACCTTGATGCGAATGCCGGCTTTCTTTTCTTCTATGTTCTTTTGTACCCAGCAGAATGCGTGCAACTCCTCTCTTTCTGGCCATTGGGCTAGCAAGCGCGTTGGAGAATGGACTCGCGCGCACACCTCAGATGGGATGGGTATGTGACCTAAACATACGTAACAATGAACAAAGCTAACCAGACCAGAATACCTGGAATTCCTTTGCCTGTGACATGAATGAGACTGTCGTTCTACAGGCTGCCGAGAAAATTGTTTCGCTGGGCTTTAAAGATCTCGGTTACCACTATGTTGTCATGGATGACTGCTGGTCCGCAGGCCGTAACTCCTCAGGGTATCTTATTCCAGATCCCAACAAGTTCCCCAATGGTGTCGCAGATTTAGCGGACAAGATCCATGCCATGGGATTGAAGCTCGGGATTTACTCTAGTGCAGGTACATTGACCTGCGCACGGTACGCCGGCTCGCTAGGCTACGAAGAGAAAGACGCCGCGCTTTGGGCAAGTTGGGGTGTGAGTATATCCGTTCCTTGATATTCTCAGGGATTGCGTTGCTTACAATTGCATAGATCGATTATCTTAAATACGATAACTGCTACAATCAAGGCGAAGAAGGCACCCCGAAGCTTTCATACGACCGCTACAACACTATGGGCAAAGCACTCAATGCCACTGGTCGACCTATTCTGTACTCCCTTTGCAACTGGGGTGTTGACGGCCCATGGAATTTCGCTCCTACGATCGGCAATTCTTGGCGAATGAGCGGTGATCTGATCAACGTTTGGGATCGTGAGAATGTCAACTGTCCTTGCTCTGAAACTGAGGGTCTGGACTGCAAGACTCCCGGATATCAGTGCTCTGTCATGAACGTTCTTAACAAGGCCGTGTACTACGCCTCCAAACCGTATGCAGGTGCATGGAATGATCTAGATATGCTCGGTGAGTCAATTGCTTAACCCCAAACGTCGAAGGAAGCCACTAATAAAGTACAGAGGTCGGAAACGGCGGCTTAACAGACACCGAAGCAGTGGCCCATTTCAGTCTTTGGGCGGCTCTCAAATCACCCCTTCTCATGACAAATGTGATGACAACAATTGACGCGCCTACCCTTTCCATCTTGCAAAACACGGCAGTGCTAGCCGTATCCCAAGATCCGGAGTCGTCGTCCGCCGTGCGAATTTGGCGCTACTATGTTGACGGAGGTCAGATTCAAATGTTCAGTGGCTCGCTAAGTGGCGGTGACCAGCTGGTCTTGCTTTTGAATGGTGGATCAACTGCACGGAAGATGAATGCTACTCTGACCGATATCTTCTGGGGTGATGGGGCCGAGGGTACTGCGTCCGAGATCCAGAATAGTTGGGATGTGTATGACCTCTGGGCTGATAGGATGAGCAATGCGACTGCTAATGCGATTATCGAGGGTGGGAATGCGACGCGACCGATTAATATGACTGCTCTTGGTGGATATGAGAAGGTTTACGCGCAGGAGCCTTTGCCGACTTCTAAGGCGCTTATGGGGTCTAAGGTCGGGAGTGTTAAGGCTCGCGGGACGGTGACGGCTCATGTGGAGGCGCATGGTGTTGCTATGTTGCGTTTGAGGGAGGTCAAGAGTAATGATGAGCTTTGATGTAATGGAATATGAATATTTCTATATGAATGGCTTGATTGATATATTGTCAACTTTGCTCTATTTTGTAGTATCCAGCACCGAGCAGAGTGGAGGTTTGGAGGGAAGAATGACATAGTATACAAATTACAGAGATGAGTGAAATGAGACCTTCTCCAACTCCGTCTTTTTGTTGGAGATCCCGAAACAAGCCCGAACGCCATGCAGTCTAACGCAGTCAAACAGGTAGGTATAATGAAGTATGTACAAAGTATTGTATGAAGATCCTCAATAGACTTTGTTGCCAACGGGCTATTGAGACGTTTGTTTGTCTGCCTTGATACGTTCAGCATCCAAAGCATTTTCAAAAACAGAAGAACGCTGCGCTGCAGCTGCAGCAGCGTTTCTGGCCGCAGAATTTGCTGCAGCTGCGGCAGCACTCTTTCGGAGACGTTCGATACGTTCTGAACGAGCCTCGCCAGGAAGACTGCCCCAGACGGGTTCGATGGAATCAGCGCGCCAGTTCGCACGCTGTCCGGACACGCCACATCTCGTGTTCAATGGGCTCAAAGAATTGCTTCCAACGCCGGATTCGCCCCACATGCGGACACGCTGGAGTTTGCGTAGTTTAGCAAGACCGTAGACGCTGACAATTGCGGTGAGGGCGAAGCAGATAAGAGAGACGCCGCCGAAGCCAAAGTCAGATTCTTCGATGAAGTTCTTCAAGTTCATTCCGTAAAGAGCCGAGTACAGTGTTCCTGCTGCGAGGGATAATGTGCCGATGCTGAATTTGAGATCGAGAAGCATGAGGGAGTTGCGGTTCGCGTCGAGAATGGCTTTGACCCTGCTTTGTATTAGAGCAATGTTTCCTTCAGTAGATAGAACATAGGACTTACACTTCTTCAGTATTGCGGATGTTCGTCACCAAGTTACCACTGGCCTGAACAATTTCATCACAGACCTTGTGATATGACTCCAGCAACATCTCCACTTCCTGGTGGTCATCCTCATCTCGTTCCTTGCCCTTTGCTCTTTCGCTCAGGTACATGGCAGCAAGATCATCGTCCGCTTCGAGAAGATCATCAATAGCATCTCGGACCAATCGAGCTTTCTGTTCAAAAGTACCGAGCTTCTTCGAGTAAATCAGGAGATGTCGGAGCTTATCACGATCAATGTCCTCCTCGAGCGCTCGGAGTACCCGCACGACAGGATCCCTCACACCATTGAACTCCTCTTCCAAGCCAGTTGTGACGCTAATAAGCACAGCTTCCAGAGCGCGAAGTTCGTAAGGTAAAGCCGGACCAGCCTGCGCAACCTGCGATGTCTTTTGGCGTAGTTTGCCTTCGAGATCGTAGATGAAAAGGGACTGCATGTAAGAGTCTGTTGACCCGTAGGCATCAAATACAAGTACTCGATCGGCTTTGATTAGGACTCGTAGATGCAAGAGGTTGATGAGGATGGCGCTTGGTCGGACAAGTATATGGGGTAAAGTGGAGGAATCAATCTTGCGTAGGTCTCGAGGAAGAAGGCCGTACTAGACTCAAAAGTTAGCAAGATCACATTATAGCAGGGCAATATTTGCAAACGAACCTTGGCAATCAGTTCCAATTTCCGAAACTCTCCATTCACCAGCGTGACATTCCCGTTGCTGTCAAACTCCGTACATCGAATCCGCAACTCGTTCGAGGCCTTAGCGGCCAATCCACGACCAATGTTGAACATTCCATCTGTCCCCTCATCAATCCAAGCGGGTCCATTCTGTGTATTCTTGTATTCGGCAGTCTTGCTCTTCCTGAGATCGAGAAGGCGCTTGAGGAAAGGCCGACGGGCCGTGGAGGCAGGCCGAGTAAAGATTAATTGTTCAAGCGCGCGCGAAGAGATCTCGGCCTTCGGCCTGGCAGATGTGATCGATAGCTTTGCGTTGAGTGTGGCAACACATCGTGACTTGTCAGGGCGAGTCCAAGTCGAGGATCTTCGCGACGATCCTATCGCCAGGGTGTTATGGCTCGAAGCGCGTTTTGTGAGAGCGCATGTCGACGAATTAGCCACGGAGCCTGACTGTGAGTGTAAGAACCGCAGCAGTGATGCCGATGGCGCAGACGGCTTCAGCGGAGACAGCATGTCTCTGTTGGTGTCCAGACGCTGAGAATGGCCCGATGATCTCAATTGCGGGAAAAATGCCGCGTTTCGGGGTAAGGTTAATCCGCACCCGAAGTATAAAGGTGCAGGACCCAAGAGCAGGATGATTGAACCTAATCAAAGCAATGCTAACCTTGATATACTGGAAATTGTAGTATTTTGTATGTTAAAAACCCGATCATGATTCTCAAGCATTCGAATTCGCGAGCATGTGGATATCGGAACCGACCAATCCGCTCGTCCGAAATCTTATTCCCTGTATGACGGAACATAATTCCAGATCTTTGAATGATTAGCCTGGAATCTCGTGTTCAATTACATCTCTCAGATTATGCAGACTAAGGAGTATATTGCCATATTGAATACACAATGGGGAGGGATCTAAAGCGTTATACTAGTCAACTTTAAGGAATTCGGGATTGCCACGGAAAATGAATATTCCGTTAAGGCACTTCCTCAGCCAATGGAAATCGAGGCAAGTTCGAACATCTATAATGGAACATCCCGAGAATAAGTCAGACATTTCCCTAACCACATATGGTATTAAGTAGTAATACTAATTTAGAGAAAGTGCTACTGTAGTGGAATTGCCAGGTACCTAAGACCATAGGTATGACTGGCCTAAGACAAGTCAACATACAGATAACGCTCTAGTTAAGCCGTAATGTAGCTACACTTACGATTCTACATATTGGAAAAGGTGCTGACTCGTATCACTCTTTGCTCACCGTCACATTCAAGGGTAGCCTATTGTGAATGATTAGCTACCTGGGTATGTATTCGGTAATATACTACTCAGAGTACTGCGCCGTGCGGCCCGTGCCTAATCCTGTAAATGCAGTGTCTAGTGGGATTTTTGGGGTATTCAATTTTAGATGCCTGCAAACTTTGGCCTGGCAAATACAAATAGTCCGTTTAAAGCATCTTCTACAAAGTGCAGTATCATTTTCAACTCAATATGTCTCTTTTTCTTTTTTTTTTTTGCGTCGGCAATACTCAAACGTCCAGAACAGTCCTGCACACCACCACCACATAGATTCTAGAAAGATTGCACCGGAATAGGTTGGTACATAGAGTTGTACGATTTTCGTTCCCTATGTTCTTCTTCTCCAACGAAAGAGGTAACCTGACTGAGCAAGCCCAGGTAACACGGCTGGCAGAGTCTCACCTTCACCACTCGCCTTCCATATGAGCTGTGCATTGCGACACCACCGAAAGTGGCCCAAAAAGCCGTTTTGTGCATACTCTTTGTCTCGCGCCACGTGGAGCAACCTAGTGACGCCTGCGGAGGGAATGTAAACGTTCTGTTCAAGAGAAATTTCACACCCAGCACAAGAGATTCCACGTTCAACTTTGCCAGTTTTTTTATCGTAGTAAGGGAGTGCACATGAGCCCATAGAGTTGGCTTTTTCATTTCGTTGATAGACACTTACGATTATCGGTGGAAGTGTGTGCGGTGGCCGATTGACAACCATAGTAGCCTGATGAAAAGAAACCATCTGAATGCGAGACTTTTGTGAACGTTGACCCATCGAGTATGTTCCAGGCAATGACTTGAATGACCTTAGTTGACGCAACTGGTTAGTACTCGGGCATAGATGTCTTTCAACCGAAGCGAGACTCCGCACTTGGGTTTCAGGAGACTCCTGGAGGCATTTAAAACAGCATCGCTTCCAAGCTAGGATGGATATAAATCCACCGAATTGCCCACAAAAGATGCATGTCTTAGTACACAACGCCTTGTCAAAGTCGAGTAGAGAGATGTCGGTAGCAAGTCGTGTTCGCAACAAGGCGCAGAAAAGGTTCAACCCATGAGAAACTGCTCTCTGATACTGGCTGAGAGAGTCTACTGTCTGCCTTGATCTGAGATTTGTTTGTCGAAATTGGAACAAAGATTGCATGTCCAGAAGGTCCAATATGTCAATTAAAAGCTCGAGGGGTAGCCGGTCGAGAGAGCCAACTCCAACATTCGAACTCCGTTGAAAGGGTGTTGCGATTGATGAACGAATCTTGTTATGTTCGCGTTCCGAGAAGAAGATCACGGATTGAGGGAAGTCGTGACGGTGGTAGGCGACGGTTCGAATGATAGCTTCAGTTTGGTCTTCGTTGAAGCTGTATTCAGTGGCAGAGCGAGTATATCCGGGTATGAGGGTAGCCATTGCGAAGGTTTGGTGAATGAGCAGAAAGCAAGAGCAGCAAGATATAGACAAATACTGTATGTATTTCTGGGGGAGTGGTAAGAAAGGAAAAAGACGACCGACGAAAGTGAAGCTTGAGTGGTCAGGACGGATCGGTACTAGTCCAGTATAAAATTCAACATGTTGAAGCCATGGTAGATAACCTGTCTTGATCACCTATAAATTACGGGGTAATCTACGGATTACTGTGACCTTGTACATACCTGGGTATGTACTCAATACTCTTACTCTGAACATCAAATACTGCGCCTTATCTAGTACCGTTAATGTTGTGTTTAACCACAGCGCTGCTTCAAATTGCGGGAATACCTTATGATCGAGATCCCCCATAAAGTTCGAACAGATATTACCGGTCATGCTCGAAGGCATCAAGGGAGTTTGAATAGTAATATATACGCACTGTGTGTTATAAGTACATATGGAGCTGACATGAAATCAACATACAAGCCAAGGGCCTATATAACGCCACTCATAACCTACTCTCTGGTATGCACCAGCCTTCCCTGAACCCATACGTTCTTCACATTCCTATCATCACCACTCCACATCCACTTCTGAATCTGTTCCTGCCAAGTCTCATCCCCAAACAAATCAACATTACCCACAGGACCGGACTCAGCAACACTGCGATGAGCAAGAACATTTGCACTAGCAACATCCAGCGGGTTCACAGTGCTATTTGTCACAGCACCCAGCTCAATCAGCTGAGCATCCCATATCATTCCCTTATCGAAGCCACCAATATCATCTGCCATGTCAACGACTGCCGCTCCACCGCGCGTGGCTAGGTAGAGACTGTCCTCAACAGAGAGCTTCTCACTTCCATCTGATACCGCATTGCCTGTCATCGCTTGGTACTCGGCGCTGTATTGAAGCAATCTGGATACTAGGCAAGCCTGTCGTGCAACTTCAAGGATACTGGGGCTGTAGCCACCGCTAACGTCCGTGCCTAGTCCGACTGTGAGACCCTCATCGAGTAAAACGCGGACAGGGGCAAGGCCGGAGCCTAGGGCAGAGTTTGAGGCTGGGCAGTGCGCGACTTTTGAGCCGCGCTCGCGGATGAGAGTGCGCTCGTCTTTGGTAAGGTGTACTCCGTGTGCGAGGATGGTGCGGTTCGTAAGTAGATGAGCCTTATCGTAGACATCAGCATAGCTGGCCGCTTCCGGGAATAGTTGATGGACGAGATCGATCTCGTCGATTGTCTCGGCGATGTGTGTTTGGATGTGGAGGGGTGGACTGTAGGATGCGGCTAGCTTGCCGAGACCATCAAGGGAGTGGTTGGAACAGCTTGGAGCGAATCTGGGGGTGATGATTGGGTTGATCAATGTTCCGTTCGGGTCTAGGGTCTGGATATAGTCAATTGTCGACTTTGTTGCGTTGAAACCCTCGTCTGCAGATTGATCGATGTAGTAAGATGGGCATTCATCTTTGTTGTCCATGCAGACGCGTCCGATAAAGGCTCTTTGACCGTGAGAGTGGCAAAGTGCTGCGAGTGCATTGGTAGCCGGGACGTGGATGGTGGCAAAGTACGAAGCACACGTTGTTCCGTGGGCAAGAGTTCGAGCGACAACTTCGTCATAGACGCGCAGACCCTCGGGTGGTGTGTCTTTGGGGTCTGTTTCCTGGTTTTTTGGGTCTGATTTAGAGCCGAAGCTGCTTTCAACTGGGTATGTGTATTCATTCAGCCAATCCAAGAGGCCTGATGACCCAAACAGTCCGATGTTGGGGAACTGTGGTGCGTGGATATGGGTGTCTATATGGTCAGTATTGAAGTCCGACGAGGGATGAGATAGAGCTTACCGATGAATCCAGGAAAGAAGAACTCGTTTCGCTCATCGTTGGACTCCACAACCTGAACTTGCGTGGATGAACGGGTATGTTTCTTGGACGAGGCGTTGGCATCTGTCCAGCCGTGGCTTGATAGGAAAGATTGAAAGCTGGCATCATCGACGACTTGCCAATCATACCCTTTGATACGGCCATCGGCAGCAGAAACCCACAAGACACCTTGATTTCTGGCAAGCTCTGGCTTCGTCGAGCTAGAATTCAGACGCGGAAGATGAATGAAGGTACCGCGATAGACTGTGTATGGATAGGCCGTGGCTGTGGTGCCACAAGCATTGAGGAATGCAATAAACAGCCATACCGCAGGCAGTCCCGTGGCAAATCTAGAAAGATTCAGAAACATCGTAAATGAATATTGTAGTGTTTGGTTGCTACTACCTTGAGGACATTACAGGCTTATATAGCCTGTTTATACCTCTAGAAATAAGATGCGAGGGCGGGCTTACCTGTATCAGAAGAGGCAGTCATATCAAAGGAGCTGATAGTTTGAAGGTTGTACTTGCTGAATTGGAATTTGATATTCGCTGATGTAGTATCGTCTACTTGTTTGAGAAGTTCACCGCGAGGTTAAGAGATAAGAGGATCGGCAGGGCATGACGATCATTCGTGTTTTGGCCTCGGTGTTCGGCTGTTTCCGACTGATTACTTGTATTGACGCGATATCAGAGAACCTTCGAGATAAAATATGCGGTTGAGTTTAGATAATGGTAAGGTAAGGTAAGGAAGAACCGGTCGGCATTTGCACTCATAGGTATTTGAAGATGAGTATCAGGACCCGCATAATGCCCATGGTATTGGAAAAAAGAGCATGAGCAGCGTCAACAACACTAAGCAGTTGAGTCTATACGGAAAGTACTCAACTTTGCCTGAATCGATATGCCCAATCTCAAACAAGCCTCTCCTCAATTGACTCGCTTAACAACTGAACTAGCATATTATACAATGAGCCTTGCAATTTCCGTGTCCGAGTATGTGTTGCTACATCATTTAGAGTTCGATGAGGATAGCCACAGATTATGAGTCTTTGGGCCGAAAACGTTATCCATTCAATGCGTCTATAAGGTCCGATCTGTAGCTTTTGTGTTAAATTATACTCGTTGACGATACCCACTCCGTCCTTCTAGACCAGAAGTCGGGTCAATACGGCTGCAGATCCACTAGCGCCAGAATTAGTTTTGTGCAAATCCATTTATTATACTGGATTTTTTATGTGGCAAATCATACCAACTGCATCCCCGGGAATAAACCTTCCGTGTTGATCTACAGCCTGTGGGTTTTCAAGTCTTGAAAGGGGCGGTGCCAAAGGGTCGTGCACTTTTGCTGCTGCAAGCCTTGATGCGGATCCCGCCGTAGCCCGAGCACAATGGAGATGAGTCTAATGTTCAGGCTGAGAGTGACGGTCTGCTAGGATGTAAGAAGCATGTGTAAGTGACTCGGTCACAATGCCTATTAGCCCGATCGGAATAGTCCCACTCATAGCCCTTAGCCTCTCATTATGTCTTCAGCCTCTGCAATGATCGGCACGATCTTTGCTAAACATCTCCACAGTATTCTTGGAGGTTTAATGGTCCTTCAATATGAGTTTGCATCTGCCATGAACTATCCCCGAGCTTCATACTTTAACATTCAACTAAAGAACTGCAAATCTACTATGGCAACATTCAGACTATGGGTCTGAAAACACAAGAAAATTGGCCTTCGTGCCAGAAAATCTCAAAATCCTCACGTCCTCTGCCGCGGGAAACAAAACGAGTTGGGCTCTTCGCCACGCTTTGCCCATCCAATAATCTGGGGTAGAAGCGCCTTTCCGATCGATCACCCGGAGAACAGCGGAGGTCTGAGCACGGCTAAGACTACCAGTTGGGGTGAACCCCAGACTTACATGGCCGTAACCATAACTTGGCATCCGGGGAAAAAGTGTGGGGAAACTTCCGGGGCCGTCATTGCCTCCGTTAAACAGTGTGGCCAGGCTTGTGAATTTGACGGCGACCGCCGCCTACCGCAAACCTAACCATAAACTATGGTCAAAGCAACACGAGCTAAACCCGACAAATGTCTTCGCATTCTGACACGATAGTCTATATTAATGAAAGAGAATTCGCTTATTCTTCTGTGATTGTTTTCATCTCCACTTCTTCCAGCCTAGTCGCTCAATCTTGTTGTGCGCAATTCACGATTACACGATTTCACGATGGGATTGAAACCATATCTTGGCCTTCGTGGCAATTCACTTCTCCGAGCAGCGGTTTTCCTAGTTGTTTGCCCGACTTTCACGTGTTATGGATATAACATGAGCGTGGCTGGTGGCCTCTTGACACTTCCTACTTTCAACAACCAGTTCCCTCGCATGGACACTATCAATACGACTGGAGCATTGCAACATGAGAACTCGACTATTCAAGGTCAGTGAGAATCAGAAGGCCTGTGTTTTATTTCTAATGCATTTTTCTGAACAGGCACGGTCATCGCCCTCTACACTGTCGGCGGTATCTTCGGAGCCCTATCATGCGTCTACCTCGGTGACCTCCTAGGACGGAAGAAAGTTATCTTCTGGACCAACCTGATCAACATTATCGGCGCCCTTCTCATGGCAACATCCTTCGATTTTGCCCAGTTCATCGTCGCAAGATTAATCCTCGGTGTCGGCATTGGAGGATACGTCGCTACAGTACCCGTTTGGCAGTCGGAAATCTCACCAGCACACAAGCGAGGCTCGAATGTTGTTACCGACGGAATCTTTGTCGGTCTCGGGGTGACTATAGCGCTTTGGATCGATCTCGGCTTTTATTTCGTGAAAGAAAACTCTGTCTCCTGGCGATTCCCTCTCGCATTCCCTATACTCATGTCCGCCATAGCCATGGCTTCCATCTTGGTGCTTCCGGAGTCACCACGCTGGCTGATTAAGGTTGGTCGGGTTGAAGAAGCCCGGGAAGTCATGTCAGCTCTCCAAGAACTTGAGCTTGACTCGCAGACAATCACCGATAGTATCCAACAAATTCAGACCACCCTTTCTGTCTGCGGAAACACCTCCTGGACTGCGATGTTCACGAATGGAGAGCAGCGTCTCTTTCATCGTGCGTATTTGGCGGCCACTGGCCAGTTCTTCCAACAGATGTGTGGTGTTAATTTGATTACCTACTATGCGACCAGTATCTTCCAGGTCGGTTAAAACTCTTGATCCCTCTCGATGCTATTTACTAACATACGTCTAGCAATATCTCGGTCTCGACGCCGTGAAGTCCCGTATCCTCGCTGCATCTATGGGCTTAATGCAGCCCTTTGGCGGCTATCTTGCATACTATACAATCGATAGACTCGGTCGCCGACCACTCATGCTCTGGAGTGCCGGAGCCATGTGCATCTGCATGGCCATTCTCGCGGGTACAACATCACCCGGAGCAGCCGATAGCACCGCTGCTCTAGTGGTTGCTGTGATTGCACTCTTCTGCTTCCAATTTATCTTCACGACTGGATACTCAGGTCTCACTTTCCTCTACGCTGCCGAAATGGCTCCCCTACAGGTTCGGGCTGCAGTCAGTGCAGTCTCTACTGCTACAGTATGGGTGTTCAACTTCTTGCTTGCTGAAGTGACGCCTATCGGCTTTTCGACCATCGGGAACAAGTACTATATTGTGTTTGCAGTGGTCAATGCGGCCATTGTGCCATCTGTTTACTTTTTCTTTCCTGAGACTAAGGGACGGACGCTGGAGGAGATCGATGAGATCTTTGCTCAGTCGAAGAATATCTTTGATCCACCTCGAGTGGCACGTCGGATGCAGTTGCAATCGAATCGACCAGATTCGGAGAATAGTGGTTCTAAGAGCGAATATGTTCACGAAGAGGTCAAGGCCTAGATATACTTGACGGCATGGGAAATTGGAATGAGATGCTTACATGTCGTCTGCGGTTACCGGTGTGGTACGTGAAGACCATCGGCTCTTTTTCCTCTTAAGATTTGTTTTCCCTTTTTGTCAGGCATGAATATGAGTTCAATGATTGAACACACACTAGAGTAAATCCAGTTTACCTTCGTAATTAGATGGTAATTTTTGCTATTCGCCCCTATTCTGTGGAAAATTGTCAACCTGGTCCCAAATACAGTTATTATCGTCGGTATTACCATTACACACTAGGCTAAATATAGCTTGGTGTGGTGTTCAATTATTGAACTCCACCTTGGCAATTGTAATCCTGTTCTTCCCCCTAAAAGAGACCTCTTTGTTCTACTTCACAAGAAAGATTGACCTGACAATTCCGCATCGTTATTCATGTTCTTTTCTAAACTGACTTTTCTGTCGATAATACTTCATCAAAACATTCGCCGCTGCATAGGTCCCCAATCACCAACACTGCGAAATTTGGTATCAAAGAAGCCATGGAAGAATGGAATCAACGTCCCAAGCCAGAGGCAATATATGCACATGGTCTCCAAAACGGAAGATAGAGAAAAATATCGCCGGTTACGGCTCGGCGTTGGAGATGATCTTGAGAATGGATTTAAGACCCTCTTGTTTCTTATAAAAAATCCGGAGATTGCCGAATATGTTCGTCATCTAGAAGTCCATGGGCGTCGAAGTGTATCGCATGGCCACAATTTTGATTTTAATAACCCACCTGATAACCCTCGGGAGCTGGAGCTGAACGATCTTAGGAGATTAGAGTCAGCCATTAAGACAGCTGGGTTTACAGATGAAAATGAGCCACAATTGGTGCTACATATGCTGCTCCAACCATCCGGAAGAGACTTGTACGTGAATTACTCTTTTCTATTCTGCTTCCGTAATGATGTACTAACAAATTCAATAGACGGGACTCCTCTCACTTGTGCCATATGGCCTTCAAACAAGCCCTTGCAGCGCTGCTGATTGCTATATCACCGCAGCTACAGTCCCTTGCTGTATTTCATGTCGGAGAACCTAGTTCCGAGACTAAAAGTTTTGCTCTCCTCACTATGCTCCGTCGCGCAAACAGGAACTCTGAGTCGATTCCTTATCTACAGAACCTCAATCGGATTATTTTTCTACCTGACGACTGTTCCGTGGGTAATGATGGCTTTTGGTACAATACCGCTGAAGATTATCATCATCGACTAAACTTGGTGCGACGACTTCCAGCGCTGAAGTCCGTGTCTTTCAGTTTAGCCTCGTGGAACAATGAGGCCGGCTTGCCTCCTCCGCCAAAGTCCGCAAATTACAGCGATATCAGTTTTACCCACTCAAATTTAGACGAGTCTGAGATGTGCTACATCATCAATTCCTCTAAGGCCCTGCGCAAATTTACATACACTATTGGTGGGCGTGCTCAACCAGAGGGAGGCAAGGCATCTGTGACTCTTACACCCATTGCAAGATGTCTTTGGAGACACCGTCATTGTCTAGAGGAACTTGATCTAGATGTTGAAGACAATGTCTCTTGGGGTGAATTATATGGCAACGAGGGCATAGAGTCTACTGAAGGATTCGATGTGGATGAAGATACAGAGTACGAAGAATTATGGGAAGAAGAGATGAGCGAGCTCGATATGAAACTTGAAACAGCACCACGAAACATCTCTCTAGCGGATTTCTCAGACTTGAGAAGCCTGAGCCTAGGTGTTCATACACTCTGTTTTCTGGCAAGAGGAATAGGTCCAGATCGGCTCGATGCTGAGTCATTCTCTCTAGTGCATACCTTGCCAGCCTCGTTGCAAAGCATACGGCTTTATGGAAAAGGAGAAGAGGGTGACCCAATATTGGGCGGGAGAAATTACCCACCTGACCTGAATGTTGATTCTCTTTTGGAAAAGTTGGTGGCTGATAAAGATGCAAGATTGCCACTGCTGAGAACAATCGAAGGCTTTGACCCTGTCATTCCACGAGCAAAAGAGGTCCCGGAATACGCGGACGAGGATCATCCACTTCTTTGGCAGCAGCCCGAAGGATGGTTAGTTGATTAATACATGCCATCTTTTTGCACTTAATCTTTCTGGGAGGCATTATTGTTTATACAATATTGATATATGCTGCAATCGAGGTTTCTAGTAGTAATGTACAAGAAAATTGGATCTATGGCATAGATAAGTCTAATAATATTGTTTATTGGGGCTCAACCCAGAAGATATGGGAGTTCAAACTGGGCGCCGACAGTGTTTCGAGGTAATTCACAGTCAACATAAACGAGTAATGCAGCCCTGTCCAGCCACAGAAGTTTCCTTTTCACTGACCTATCGCCCTCCGCCACCGTATCAAAACTTCTATCGAATCGAGATTTTCATTGCAATATTGCTGTTGTACCGTGATCTACACTATGACTCAGGTGCGCCGATTCCTAGAATGGGATTAATTTGGCTAAGTTAGGACTCGGAAGGCATCACCGCGACCATTACACCCATGGACATTCTTTTCCTTACAGAAGTACTCAACTCTGCACCTTGAACTATTGCTGTAGCTTCAGACATTCAACAATTTGTCTAAAAATGCCAACTCTACACTTGAGTACTTTGCCGGTCGAAATTCAATGTCTTATATTCCGTCTCTTGGATCCCATCGGCCTCATTTCCATCAGCCAAGCCAGCTCTCATTTCCGGGCTCTCGTCAATCCACAAAAAGTTCATTTTGTAGAGAGACTTATGGCTATCGAATGTCGACCTTCGGAGAAGAATGGGCGTAAAACCGCCCTCACATATCACAGCATATATAACTACCTTGCCTTCGAGAGTCTCTGGGAAAGGCCACAATGGAACACGATGAAATTGGGCTGCTCTTCGTGTCTTCGGCTTCTTCCACTTACTTCATTCGATCCTTATTATTTTCTAGAGTTTTGCTATCGCAAACCTATCTCCGGCTCACCAGCCGCAGATCGACCCACAAGCTGGGGAAATATACCTAGTGAGCATAGGGCTCAAGAGGACTTAAAGCGCACAGAGGAGGAACAAATAATGAAGGAGAGATATACAAGCGCAGTCGCGCTCTACCGCTCGCGGAGAAAGAAGTTGCCTAACACCCCAGATCAGATGCGTCAGCGGTTTTATTATCTCCAGAAAATGGGAATTGCAAGTTTCATGGAGATGACTCTAATGGACTTCATGGAACTAGATCAATCCAGAGAAGACACCATGCTGGACAAAGACTTATGTGTAATCACTCTGGAGCACTGTGGCTTGAAACGCTGTTCACGCAAGTGCAAAGAGTGTCACGTTCCCTTAGCTCATTAAAATCATTCTATTGCCGGGCATGGAAGTTTGAAATATTGCAACAAATTTTCTGGGGTCGCTCATAAACTCTTTCCCATTCAAAGCCCTCGCCCAATTTTTCAAACCCTTCCAGCCCCGCATCACACAAAGCAATCTTCATCCACCCAACATCCTTCACAGTGTACCCTTCAATGGGATCATATCCATCATCAACTAGATCCTCTAATTTATCACCATCGTCAAGGTCATCCTGGCTGTAACCTTCAATAGACTCGGGTTTCCACCGCCCATTCAGCATATTCGCGAATGCATGTTTGTTAATGCAGTCCTCAATAGGTGCCTGCAGAACACTTTGTAGGGATTCTTCATCAACAAAAAGACAGAAACGATGACGTGTCACTCTAAAACTCCAGGACCCTATCATATCAAGCGAGCCGCCCTCTTCCTGTATAGCAGTCGTTGCCCATTTCTGGAAATCCTCACGGATTGTCGCTGTGCTCGCGCCTTCAAAGAGGCCTCGGTCCTCAAAGACAGTGGTCTGAAAGCTATCAAGCATATCTAGGCCATTTCAGAACTTGAGACTGTCAGAGATATGCCATCGGTAGTGAACTACAAAATTTGGCACAGTCGCGGAGAACATCATTCATGGGTGATGTTGGGAGGAATGGGAAAGTATCACCAAAACAGATGCAGCTGTTGGACACTGAGTCACATAACCCCTTCAAGGATCTCAACATCTATAAATGCACTTTTTTGTAGCTACTTAACTTCGCCTTCCTCCAAAAAACATATACATATGGTCCTCTGCTTTCTTTGCTATCTAATCGTAGCATTTAACAGCCGTATCCACCTTTAGCTGTGGCGATGCGGCCACACACATAGCTTACTCCCGAGTCCCGCCCGAATTTAATTGCCGGGATTCCAGTTGTGCATAGTGCTCAGTTCATATTAAAAGCCCGCCGTACTCTAGCGATGAAGCTTCCTATGTAAGTAAATAATTGGCTATAGTCAAGCTTATATGGCCAGCGGGGGGTAGTAGTTCGCATAAGTAGGCTGAAATAATCTCTTGTCAGAGACTAGAGGAGTGACAGCCTTAGCTCGAGAGCTTACCTTCTACTCAGGATCCCCATAGAAGAGTTTAGCCGAGAGCGCTAATCACAAGATGCCCATCAGGGACTAGGCCCTCCTCCAACTACGATGATGAACAATGACGCACGTGCAATCAAGCTGAAGCACAATGGCTCCAAGCGCAGTCTCCGCAATAGCAATGTCGCTTGCAGACGAGCTCAAGCCACGCACTCCAACCACGCAAGAATAACGGGAAAGGCGGGACGGTTAATGTACCCATTCAGGCTAGCCGTCGGATTTCCGCCGCCACTCCACTGGATCGCTTACTTCCCATTGTCGATGCTAGGCGACAGCATGCGACCTGTCAAATGTTAAAGTCCAGATGCTTAACTTGCGGGTGGATAATGTATGTGGTCCGCTATCTGTGTCCGTGGCTCATAACTGTAGCGATATTTGACGGAGAGATAACCGATACGGATATCGTACCACTTTGTTCGTAGCATAAGCAGTGTATGGAGCTTCAAAGGCACATGGTACGTGGAGAAGCTATGGAGTAGAGATGACCCGGATCTATTAGGTAAATGTATAAATGGGTAAATGTGTACACGGGTACGAGGGACGTGATGTTCTGGAAACTCGGCATTGGCTCCAGTCGATGCGGAAGCGGAGGATAAACCCGAGGCTCTAATAGAGTGGGGAATGGCCGACTTGGCTAAGAGTGCCGCCAATCATACGATCTGAATAATTAATCAATCTCAGAAAGCAGCATTTCAACGATCAAAACAAGAAACTGTCGTTCCTTGGGTGTTCCACAATTCCATCATCAAGGGTACCTGAACCAAGTGTGACAAGCCAATCACCAACCACTTCGGTGCACATGTGGTTATGTGCCCGGGAAACTCCGGTACTGCCACGGATAAGCAATTTAATCCCCACAGAATGTCCACTATTTACATCGTGTGGGTGCGTGCGTTTTGACAAGATCCCGTGCCTATAGCCCCCAACTATGGCGCTGCGGAGGCTAACACTAGTTTAATCTTGCATAAACCAATCGCTCAACCACCCAATTGCACGTGTAGAAGCTCTGTACCTTAGCTTATCAGCGACGCCCGAATGCACACCAGCACCTTAGCGGCAATGGGCGTTACAGATAAAAGCCGGCCCTGCAGCCGTTTGTTGTGGGGAGACACGAGCTCAATTTTCTTTCACCATGAAGGCTACCACTGCTTCCATCTTGCTGGCTCTGTCCGCCGCCGCCAATGCCAGTCCTGCGGTTGATCGCAGAACTGTGGACGAGCGCTTCCCCTACAAGGGTCCCGCTGTCCCCATTGGCGATTGGGTCGATAACACGATCAATGGCAATGGCAAGGGTTTCACTCGTCTGGTCGAGGCTCCCGCTGTGAAGCCTGCTCACAAGAACCCGACCAACAACGTCAATGTCATTTCGTTGGCTTACATCCCCGATGGTATGCTCATTCACTACCAGACTCCTTTCGGTCTTGGAAGAGCGCCTACTGTCAAGTGGGGTACCAACCCTCACCATTTGACCAACATCGCACGAGGCTACAGTCACTCGTGAGTTCCTTTTACAACCAATTGATCAAGGCTTATGCTGATCATTTATAGCTATGACCGTACCCCTTCGTGCTCGCAGATCAAGGCTGTGACCCAGTGCAGCGAGTACTTCCACGAAGTCTCCCTCCCCCACCTCGAGTCTGGTAAGACCTACTACTACCAGATCCCCGCTGCCAATGGCACCACCGAGTCCGAGGTCTTGAGCTTCACCACCGCCCGCAAGGCTGGTGACCCCACCGAGTTCAGCGTTGCTGTCCTGAACGATATGGGCTACACCAACGCCCAGGGTACCCACAAGTACTTGACCGAGGCTGCTAGCGAGGCTGCCTTCGCCTGGCACGGTGGTGACATCAGTTACGCTGATGACTGGTCCTCCGGTATCATGGCTTGCGAGTCTGACTGGCCCGTCTGCTACAATGGCTCCAGCAGTGAGCTGCCCGGTGGCATCACCGACGAGTACAAGAAGCCTCTGCCTGCCGGCGAGATCCCCAACCAGGGTGGTCCCCAGGGTGGTGATATGAGTGTTATCTACGAATCCAACTGGGATCTGTGGCAGCAGTGGATGGGTAGCGTTACCAAGAAGATTCCTTACATGGTTCTGCCCGGTAACCACGAGGCTTCCTGTGGCGAGTTCGATGGTCCTGGTAACGTCTTGACTGCTTACCTCGATGAGAACCAGCCCAACAGCACCTGGCCCACCGACAACCTTACCTACTACAGCTGCCCTCCTTCGCAGAGGTAAGACTACATCCAACCTCTATCCTTGCAAAAGCTAATCGATTATAGAAACTTCACTGCTTACCAGCACCGTTTCCGCATGCCCGGTAAGGAGTCCGGCGGTGTGAGCAACTTCTGGTACTCCTTCGACTACGGTCTTGCTCACTTCGTCTCCATGGACGGTGAGACCGATTACGCCGACAGCCCTGAATGGTCCTTCGCCGAGGATGTCTCCGGCGACGAGACCCTCCCCACCGAGTCCGAGACCTTCATCACTGACAGCGGTCCCTTCGGTGCTGTCAGCGATGTCGACGACACCAAGTCCTACGAGCAGTACAAGTGGCTCAAGGCTGATCTCGAGAGCGTCGACCGCACCAAGACTCCCTGGATCGTCATCATGAGTCACCGTCCCATGTACAGCTCCGCCTACTCCTCCTACATGAAGAAGATCCGCGCTGCGTTCGAGGCTCTCTTCCTTGAGCACGGTGTTGATCTCTACCTCTCTGGACACATCCACTGGTATGAGCGTCTGTTCCCTCTCGGTAACGGTACCATTGATACCGCCTCCGTGATCAACAACCACACTTACCGCATGAACCCCGGCAAGTCCATGACTCACGTTGTTAACGGTATGGCCGGTAACATTGAGAGCCACAGTGAGTTCAGCACTGGTGAGGGTCTCACTAACATTACTGCTGTGCTTAACACCAAGGAGTATGGTTTCAGCAAGTTGACTGTTGCCAATTCTACTGCTATGAAGTGGGAGTACATCAAGGGCAATGATGGGTCCGTTGGTGATTCGCTTTGGATGCTTAAGCCTACTGCTTCTAATGCTCAGGTCCCCGGAAAGGGTCAGGGTGCTGGAAAGAAGCCTACCCCGGCTGGCAAGAAGCCTCGCTTTGTTAACTACTAGAGCGACGTGATGTATTGATGTAATGTTTGTATGTAACCTTGAACTTTTATGCACGTGGCCGGTACTATCCTGGTAATCACGATTAGATGCATGATGAAAAGGCCTTGTCTATGTTAATCAATGTTTCAATACGATGGTCAGATTCATGATATGCTTTCGAGTTAGTAGTATACAGTAGTAGATATGCTATGGGCTGAGTCTGTTGAACTAAAGGGTACCCTCCGGCATGTAACACTTCGCCTCATACTTATAGATTACTAAGTCTGCACAGAAAAAACTTATCAAACTAAGCAACATCACTGGAGCTTCAAACTAATGAATATATACAAAGCATAGAATGCTCCTTCATGAACGCTCGAATCCGAACTTTTTACCAACCGCCGCAAGATCAATCAGAGGGAAATAATGCTTAATGTCCGCAAAAATGCTTAGGCAAAGGTATAGGTATCATGGATGAAAGCGATCCGATGCAAAAATGACAATAATCTACCAATCGTCGTCGTCTTCCTTCTCGTCATCTACATCTGTAGTTAGCACAAAGACAATTGTTCATGAAATCAGGACCGAGACTACTCACCACTTCCGCTGACTTTCTGCTTCCGCTTCTTCAAAGCATCCTGCAAGGCACCAGCCAAGCCACCCTGTGGAGCAGAACTAGTTGCTGCTGCAGATGACTCCGCAGCACCTCCAGGAACCATGGCTGCACTTCGGTCTTTCTTCTCCGAGGCATTAACTTTCCGCAACCCGCCTCCACCCTGGCCACCAGATGCACGAATAGCTGCCAAAAGATCGTCTCGACCACCTCCACCAGTCGAGGGCAATGGCGGAGCTGGCGGTGGCGGGGGTCCCCCTGGGCCAGGTGGAGGAGGCGGAGGTGGGATTGAGGCTCCACCTCCTGGGGGCGGAGGGGGTGGGGGGACTCCAGGCCCACGAGAGGGTAATCCCGGGGGTGGAGGAGGCGGAGGAGGTGCTCCGGATCCACCAGAGGTAGGTACTGGGGGAGGGGGAGGTGGCACTGGAGGGGTACTGCGCACCGGAGGGGGTGGAGGCCCACCAGCTGGACCGGGTGGTGGTGGCACAGCGCGGCCTGGAACCTGAGGTGGTGGTGGGGGAGCATGGTGTATCGGCGGAGGTGAAGATGGGCCCCGGGGTGGCGGCGGTGGGGGTAATGCAGGAGTAATCGATGGAGGAGCTGTCCGAGCTGGTGGTAGAGGTGGAGAGGTTGGTCCTCTGGGAGGCGGAGGGGGAGGGAGCCCTGGAGCCATTGTGTTTGGGATTTTGGGGGGAAGCTGGGGCGCATTGTCTCCACGAGGGGGAGGTGGGGGTGGACCAGGAACAGGACTACGAATTGGAGGTGCCGGTGGTGCAGAGACCTTGCGATCCCCGGCGAATGGGGGAGGAACTCCAAACCGAGGCTGGCTATCGTCCATCGGAGCCTTCGGAGGCCGCGGCGGCGGTGGAGGGACATTGGGAGCTGCAGCATTCGAAACGGCCCGTGGTCGTCTGCGTTCTGAAGGGCCCTCCTGGACAGCAAACTTGCCTGCATCCGCGAAGGGAGGCGGCGCGTTAAACCTGCGAACTGGCGGAGCTGGAGGCGATGGCTCTCGAGGCGGCGTTGGGATTGACTCTTCCGCAGCATCGGTTCGACTCTTCCGAGCTGGTGGTGGTGGGGGAGGACCACGTCGACTGCCTGAACTGCTTCCAGTGTCCTGGGGACTGATTGGAACGATCTTGGGAGCTGGAGGACCCGGAGGAGGCGGGGGAGCTGCCCTTGGCTTCTGTTGCTCCTCGGCGGCGGCAGTTGTTTGAGCTGCTGGCAAGAATCCTTGTTGCTTAATATAATCATTGATAAAGTCAGCATTCTCAACAATCTGATCCCCCGAAATGCCCATAGTGAAGAGCTCATCAACCAGCCATTTCCATTGTGGATCTTTGGGGTCGAATAACAAGCCCCCCTGTGGAGCCGAGCTGGGTGGTTGCATCGGTGGTTGCGCTGGGGGTTGCGCCGGTGGTTGCGCCGGTGGTTGCGCCGCGGGTTGGCTTGGTAGTTGCGTTGGTAGTGGCGCGACAGGTATTATTGACTGCGGAGTAGGATTGGAGTTATGAGATGAACGATGCAACAAGCTTCCAAACCGAGATTTGGTTTTCTTCTCGTTGGTAGAGTTAGGATCCATAAGAAGGGCACCATTTTCGTAGGTCTTGTATGGGTTCTTTTTCGTCTCCTTGCTGGCGATCTTCTCACGCTTTTCGATCGCGGCAATAAACTCCTTGGCCTCTTTCAAATCAGCGAACAGGAGTCCAAACAGAGCACCGTCGAAAACGAATGAATGGAAGAATTCTCTCTCCTTGACATAATCAAAGTTTTGTTCGAGCTCGAGGTCCCAGATCACAGTACCACTTCCACCGGGCTGTTCCAAAGCTATGTCAGTCTCTCATCGTTACTTGGAAAGTTAAGGGTCACGCACCGAGACATCGACCATTTTTAGCCAAAAGCAATGTCCAACCGTATCCTCACATAGGGCTATTACGCCTTGCAGTCCAGTATATTGCCATTTCGTGGGGTCTGGGTTGGCGACAAGGAGTCGTGCGACACCTTTTGCGATATCTCTAGGCAGATGTCTTTCGACAATGGTTTCCTCGGCCTTGCTCAGAAGTTTGAGGCCAGACATGGTAGAGTATAGCTCCAAAAATGGAGAAGACGGGTATGTGTGACGGTGTTGGTAGGTGTTAAACTAGTCGGGCGCGCATAGCAGCCGGGCGGAGCACTGGCGAGAATGGCCCCAGTTCACAGGGTAACCGGATAAGGGCTGTGGAGATAGGGGTCGAGCGATGAGCGAAGTCGTTGGGAACTGACTCACGGGGTAATCGAAGGTGAGGAATTGGAAAGGAGCCGACCGGCGGTTGCCTTGAAGAGAAAGAGAGAACAGTGTGCGGAAAGAGGTCAGACGTTGGCGGGGGGCGGAGTACTCGGGCGGTACTTGATGATGGCGCGTATCTGCCACAGGGCACGTGGTACCTTCAAAGTACTAAGTAAGGAGCTACCGGCGCACGCGGCAATTTGATGCTCATTCCATATACTTGACGAATGAAGTCTTCTTCTCTTCAAATAAACCGTTTTGTTATTTCTATCAGTTCTGATGCCTTGTTGGGAAATGCCGAGTGTTATGGACAAGTGGACTCTGAGCGCACTAAGAGCCGCCCTATGCTTGATAAGCCATATGAACCGTGGATGAACAGTAGACTCATAGACAATTACTTATAATCTCATTACCGAATATGAAGGTTTCTGTTATGGGCGTATGTTCCATCCTTATATAATTATCGAAGACCGATCATTAGATCTAGGCATCTGCTTTTCCTGACGTTGCCTCTGCGTGAGACCAAGCTTCCCGACCGCCGACGTCATTCCACAGGGATCTATAAAAGGGCAGGTTATCAGCGCCAAAACCTTGTCTTTCCACCAACTCATCTGCTTGTATCAATTCTAAATACAAATCTCAAGCTTATCCTGAATCTATCATCGTTGAAACTCTTTCGTTACTGCCTCAAAATGCCTATTATTCCTGAGCCCGAGAATTTTCCCACCGCCCAGAAGGGAAGCAGTGAGACTAAATCCGAGGACAAGCCAAAGGCTTCAGCTCAAGATCACATATCCAAGGGTCCACAAATTCCCGACGGTGAGTTATCAAATTACGGCTAGCGATGCAATAGCTAATCGTCGCCAACCAGAGATGCCGCCAAAGGCCTCGCATGAGGAGATCGAGGCACGCAAGGAGGAACTGAATAAGTCCAAGAAAGACTGATGCTCTTCAATAGCCTGTTTTTACTTCCTTGGGGTCACATAGGACTGTTTTAGCTCCTGTTTTATAATGCATACTTTTACGACTAGTTTGGTATTCGTTGCGCCAATCGCACTTCTTGCGGTGACCTATTAGCGTAGTCAGTAGGTGATCAAGGTCAAAATTAAACGTTGAATGCCGATATATTACTTCCCGAGCCATTGCAATCAATATCAGTATCACCCGACCATCCTGAGATAGTTGAGCGCTTGATGGAATGTTCTTGGTGATCAAAATGACCACTGAACGACCCCCGACCTCGGGATAACAGATCAAAGTCAACAGGCATTACTATTAGATACGGATCCAAGAGGAATGAAAAAGTATACACTACTCAATCAGGATATAATGATGGGATGATTATTGATTGGGTATCCAAGGCAACCGTTTTTACAGTACTCAACCAAGTCTGCCAGTAAACAAATCCGACAACAGACCACCGTACCTTCCCTACTCTTCTCTTGTAATTTCTACTGGCCATGAAGATAAGGGAATTGACATTCCAACCCAAACCACCTAGGATGTATGACCAAATTCTAAATCGCACTTCTTCAATACCGTCTTGGCGGAGATCTTGGGCCTGCAGATCGGCTAAAAAAGGAACACGCAAGGGTCCACTAGGCCCCTGAGAGTGGAGAACCCCATACAAGACTCTTTGAAACCGATTCCACTTCATTTTGTCATCTTCAACTTCCCAACGATGTTCCTCAAGGCAAAATTGTTTGCCCCGGTTGCTTTGGCGGCAGTCTGCGGGGCAAATATTGCACGCGATATTGAACCATGTGCGTAGATCACTAATATGGTCTCGAGCGCCAATCAGGCCCAAAGTAAGTGATCGGCTTGGTTTCGGATGGATACGGCTAATCATCACAGCGACCACTTCGATTACCCATGAATTGGCGTATCAATGCTTGATGTCGATGCCTTTTGATTCGGACCGTGCGGTTGTTTTTTTGACTCAAGTCCGGAAAATGCTTGAGTTTCAGTCAACGGTTGATATTCTCAAGAGTATGGAGCCCAATATTCGCTTGCTTCTTGGGTACTAATGGTCCTTAATAGATCCACCGTCTGGTTATGACATGCCTGCTGTCGATCTTCTAGGAGGGATTGACTCTATTCTAGACAATGTCAACAACGAAACCTATTCTAGCCAATTTGAGATGGACTTGGATGTCTCTAATCTCATAACATCTGCTCATGATGGTCACTTGGTATTTCAACTGTGTTCGCAGTCAATCTTCAGCTTTCAAATTGATTTGCCTCTTGTGTCTATCTCGTCGGATGGGCTTTCACTGCCGGAAGTGTACACGATGAGTTTGTCATCCCATCTGCTTTGAGTCTCGACATACATGCTGATTGATACTAGGCGATGCGAAGGCTCAAAAAGATGGTTTGAAGGACGTGTCACCTATTGAATCCATAAACGGCACTGCTGTTGCCGAGTATCTTGGATCATATGCGTTCAGCCAAAGTCTTCAAGACCGTGATGCGCAGTAAGTCCCTTCGCAGCTCCTTCCTATCAAGATGTGTCCCATGATTGACTTTCTCAGGTACAATCGAGTCTTCCCGGCACTGGCACGCACCTTTACCAATACGCCTACAAACCAGAATGGCATCTGGGTTACCAATAGTGCTTGGACTGAAGGGTCAGAGCTCGTCGTCAAGTACGCCAACGGAAGCAGCCATACTGTACAGAAGACCGCTACGCCAATGGAGCGATACTTCTCCTATCAGAATGGAACAGAACTGTACAATATCAACTGTCTTCCGCAAAGCTTGCCAACGGAGACGAGCTCTGACGCGGGCGCTGAGCAGGCATCCGAAGATACTGGGCTCCCTGGTGCTACATTGGGCAATCCTGAGAGCTCTATTGCTGGCTACTTCTCAAACCTTACTAGTCTTCAAGACACGGCTATTCTCTTCTTGCCGACATTCTCCTCGAGTCCAACCCAAGTGGCTCAAGTGGCTGTTGACTTCTTACAAAATGTCACAGCAGCCGGAAAGAAGAATATCTTGATCGACGTTACTGCCAATCCTGGAGGATACATGTCTACAGGTATAGACATGTCCCGTATTTTCTTCCCAAACTCATTCCCCTATACAGCGACACGATTCAGAGCCCATGAGGCTGCGAAGTATCTGACCCAGGCCTACTCGCGTGATAACACCAAGGATACGAGCAATATCTTCGCCTACAAGGAAATGGTCACACCGAACCAGCAGAATGGTTTCCTTTCCTGGGAAGATCTTTATGGTCCTCATGATATCTTGGGAAGCTCTTCATCTAGCCTCCTGGCCAATTTCAACTACACATCTTCCTCATCCAAGTCATTCCCGATTAATGGATACGGTTCTGTTCCGCTGAATCCAAACAAGGCTCTCTTCGCCGCAGAAAACATCGCTATCGTAAGTCTTTCTAGCCATCATTCTACTCAGCATCTAACCCCTTCCAGATAACAGACGGCGACTGCGTCTCTACCTGCGCCTTCTTCGTCAAATTGATGAAGCGCCAAGGCGTCCGCACAATCGCCTTCGGTGGCCGTCCCACAAATGAACCCATGCAGGGCGTTGGCGGCGTAAAGGGAGGCCAATCTCTTGGAGTCGACTATATCAACGGCTACATCCAGCAAGCGAACACACTGATTCGCAACACAGCCAACACATCCTCTCCACTCCTCACACGGGCCGAATGGAAGAGATTCAATGAGTCCAGCCCTAGTCTTGCAGAATCTTTCGCATGGAGCGGCAATTTGAATCTGCGTAATGAGTATGATCCGGATGATGATGAGACGCCGTTGCAGTTTGTTTATGAAGCAGCGGAGTGTCGACTTTTCTACACACTGGAGAATTACTTGCAGCAGGAGACGGTCTGGGAGGCTGCTGCTAAGGCGATGTTTGGGAGTTTTGGATGTGTGAATGGGTCTACCGGTGGGACGGGTAGTTTGGATGATTCGTGAATTGGTTTCTTATTCCTTCGTGTATTTTCTTTAGATTATTGCTTTACCGATTCTAGAATAACGAGCTGCTAGTTTATGATCCATTTCAAAATATTCTTCATTCCATCAAGATGCAAGGCTACTTTCTTGGGCAACTAGCATTAATAGTAGTCTCATATCGGCATACTAAGTAGGATAAGGTGGAATTCGTTTAACGATCATCGATGGTAATAGGTAATAAGGGGGGTTCTTATCCCTGGCTATCAGGTAAATACAGTTTTTGCATCTGGCAGCCTGGAGTCTACTAATAATGGAAATTACGAAGTAGTTTGTAATAATGATAACTATTTTCAATTCTTGTGACCTTTTTCATAACTCTATCACTCGAAAGGAATGGAAGGAAAGCAAGGCTAAACAGATTAAGTCACATAGCATTCGATGCGATGCAAGTACACAGACACACAGGTTCATCATGCGCGTTGCAACCACTTTTCTCTGTAGCATGATCCCGGGTGCTTTGCAAAGACAAATGGGAACTGAAGGAGACAATCGACCCCAGACACCCATAACAGCCATGCAAATCCCGAAACCGTGTCGTCGATTGCTTCATGTCCTGATAATTGTCGTAGCGCCTAAGAGGGGGTACAAAGAAGCCCTCATCCTCATGCAAAGCCGTAATGGGCTTCAGCGTCGTAGACTGGTTGACGATTGCTTTTTATACCCGTTCAAAAAACGAATGTAATGATCTGATGTCGGCCTCGTGGAGCAAGGAGGCTCGAGCGATCGGGAGCATTAGATCCAGTATACTGACCACCATCAGCGGCAGTGTAGGAGGGGTGTTTGGCGAAACATCTGGAGAGCGCCATGATGGCACCCTTGCAGGGCAGAGAGCATCGAGCTCTGGGGTGGATAGGGGTGAGCTTAGAGCTCGTCGACATCGATTTCCTTCTCATCCTCGCTGTCACGGTCTTCGTCGAACTCGACGTTGTCGTCTGCGCCCTCGGCGCCGTAGGTATCGGTCTCGTTGATCTTGGCGTGCTCGGGCAGCTCGCCGTAGGCCTTCAGGGAACGGGCCTCATCGGCGGTGTACTTCATGATAACATCGCCCTTCTCGTCTTGGTAGTCACGCAGGGAGAGGAGAATGATGTCACCCTGGTTGATCCAGACCTTCTTGCGAAGCTTGCCGCGAATGTGGGCCAGACGCTTCTCGCCATCGAAGCAAAGAGCCTCCAGACGGCCGTTACCGAGCATCTTCACGACCTGAGCGTACTCCTGGCCCTCCTCCTTGAAGACAAGCTCACGCTTCTCATTGTCGTTCTCGTTCTTTCCACGACGACGGTTCTTACCACCCTGTACTCAGTTGTTAGTATATGTGATCAAGGGGGTTTGTGCGAGGCCTAAAAACACCATAGTTGAAATCTTCACCCTTTTTCGTGCTCATCGATCCATTTTATGAGTGTGTGGCCACTCATTAGGGACGGTGGCGGGGTGACACATTCCAACAAGGAGGGGCTGAATATTTTGCAATCTTACCTTTCCCTTGTTCTTGGGCATAGTGGCGGGACGTGACCTTCACTGGACTCAAGTCTCGCTATGTGATGGTACTCGTGGTTCTTTCTTCGTCGGTGAAGAAGAAAAGAGGAGTAGATAATCCCCGGAGTGGTCGAGTGGAAAGAAAGAGAGTTGGGAGTGGGGGATCTGTGTCCTGCTCAAATCTGCGTCTTACCTAATCAGGCACAAAGGTGGCAATGTGGGCCAATTCTTTCAGGCTAGTTCAGTCCCACCGCCCGGTGTTGACTTGGCAGAAAAAAGATACACGCGATAACAATCAGGTGCGACCAAGCAGATCGTGAACGGTCTTGATCTTTGCGTCTGAAGCGGCTGCTAGCCTGCCTGTGTTTGACAACTTACTTGCGACATTCGGGCTTCAAGCCATACCTGAGCATTGCCCAATTTGGTACCAGTGAGACCCGAATCGCCGGAGCGCACGACCCTACCAGGTCTCGAGACCTTCATGATCCTCGACTTGAATTCGCTATGATACCGATGTGCTGCTGTTGCGATACTATTTCCTACCAGCCAATCTGGCAACTCCTTACAGTGCGAGCCGATTCATCATGAAGTGGTTAACCACTTCTTCGGTTGGCATGAACCTCCGCTATTGTCCGCAAAACATCATTCCTTCCATTGCGCAACGCTACCTAGGCTCTCCTACCCATCCGATCCGTCCTAAAATCGCTCATATGTGGGCCAATCGTGATCCGAATACTCTGTGGTGGCGAGTCTCAGTAGCACCCATCGGACATATGAAGCGGGTTGTTCGTTCCTGGTGCGCACGCAGGACAAGAATCGCGTTTCAACAAGCGCTGCGAAACCAAGGATATGATGAGTTGGGAGTCCCGCTACAGGATTTCCCTACGCCTCGAAAACACAATCTCACGGGCTCTTTGGAGGTGGTACTTCGTCCTGCATGTGTCGATCTTGACTTTAAGATAGTTCAGAAGGACGCCGATAACCTCTTACAAAAGATGCTGAAGCAACGGTCAGCGCTTTTTGAACGTACGGCCAAGAAACCTGCAAGGCCATTAAAAACTGCAAAGCCTCAGAAGCCTTCTACGGGGTCTTGATTGGCAGTGTACAATATGTATTATATCACCAGCCCGAGTAGGGCATACCTGTACATTATTGGAGCATCTTTGCATGGCGTTGGGAATGAATTTAGACTATATCCACTATTTAGTACATCTCTACTCAAACGCATTAACGTATCAATACAAATCAACTGCATTCTTGATCATTGTTGGTGGTTGGTGGAGCGCCGGAGACAAAGAGTAAATATAGAACAGCATATTTTAGCTTCCGCTGCCTCAAGCCTCGCTAAATGCCGATCTGGCGGAATCAACACGGGACTTGTCAACTACACCTCCTCCCATCTCCGACCACCACTTCTTAAATCCTCCCCATTTCTTTGATTCGATTTCGCCATGCTAGTCTCCTTGACTGTCGGCAAGGTAGACGCCGGCGTCGCTGTGCTCTTGACCCAGGACAACCGCATCGTAAGCTCCAGCCCCTGGTCGCCTGAGGCCTTCCCCAGACGGATGCCAAAGTCAATACAAAGAACCGAAGACCAGCTGTGTACTAATACAACCAAACTTAGATTGAATTTCCCTCCGTTCTCCTCCCAAATAACATTTCATCTGGCAGTATTGTCGACATCAATGTTGCGCGCAACCACGCCGCGGAAACCGCCAACGTCAACGCCTTTCAATCACTCCAGAAGCGAATCCTAAACACCTACGGCGTCAAAACCCCATCGCCGCCCATACTGCGTCTGCGCAATGCAACTCAAACATCCCTTGTACTCGAGTGGGACCCCATAGACCTGGCCACCGCGTCCCTGAAAACACTCTCCCTCTACCGCAACAACTCCAAGGCCGGCTCCATACCCCGCCCGCTCGAGACTCGCAGTACCAAGATTAGCGGTCTAGCCATTCATGCCGAATACACCTTCCATCTCGTCTTGCGCACTACCGCTGGCACTTACCAGTCGGAGAAGTTGACGTGCCGCACACACAAGATGACCGATCTCTCCGGTATTACAGTGACCCCTGGTATTCTGGACCCGGCGCGCAAGGAGGCATTGGGAGCTACACTGGAACGTATTGGTGGCAAGATGATTGATACCGTTCGCATTGATACTACACACTTCGTCTGTGCGGAGGGCCGTGGCCCGCTGTGGGAGAAGGCTGTTGAGATGAACATCCCGGTTGTGGTGCCGGAATGGGTCGATGCCTGTGAATCGGAGGGTACAATTGCTGGTGTGCGCGGATATTATCTGAATGCGGACCCCAAGACCCGTCAGCTCGGTGTCATCCATGGCTCTTCGCATCAACGCACTACATCAACCATGTCCTCTGCTACAACCGCTCAGGGCAGACCCAGTACCCAGCCACAACGTAGTGAACCAGAGCAGCCTCCTGCTGAACCACCTCTGACGCCATTCCCTGGGGGTGAGGCCACTGCTCAGCCACAAGCGCAGGCAGAGGAAGTTGGGTCACAAGATGAGGAAGAAGCCCCGCCTCCACCGCCGCCCAAAGATGAGTCCGATACAGAAGAAATTGCAGAGGAAACACACCAACAGAATGGGCACGCGGAGCCTGAACCAGAGTCTGAGAAACCTGAAGAACCACCAGTCCAGATAGACGATGCCGAAGAAGATGCCGAACAGGAAAGCAAAGAGAGTACACTGCCGCAACACAAACCCGAAGGGGATGAGCCTAATCCTAAGGGCAAAGGGAAAGAGGGTGAAGGCGATTTCAGCGAAGTAACACTCTAGAGAGCCTTTTTTCTCATTTCTTGATACCGATCCTTGTCCGGCCTTCTCTTGTCTGGTGGACACTTCCTACGATTATATCCAGTACAGTTTCACGTCATCGCGGTCTAGAGCCTGCTAGACAAGGTGCTTTAGTTACGAATATTCGATGTTTACCCTTCTTTTACTTGCTGCGCTTTGTGTACAGTAGATAGTTTCTTAATGCAACCTGATATTCCGACCCTTTTACATTTGATTAAAGAAAAGAACCAATATGTATTCAAGCCAAAATTCAGGATGAATTATAGCATGGCGGTCATGATCTATGAAGTCTATCATCAACATTCGTTAGTAGGTAAGGACCGGCAGCCCGCCTAATGCATTTCATCTCATCTCGATGGCCAAGGAGTAGGGCTTTTTCCCGCAATGCGAACCCGATATTTCAACCAAAATCACTTATATGTCTATAACGCAATTTAAAGCACGTTTCGAATGACGTCGTCGATGGCTTGTGCCACGTACTTGACGTTCTTCTCACTCACTAGATAGAGACATGATTAGTGGGATGTTCCGATTAGGTTTTGAATGCAGTATACTTACAGCCGCTGATAGATGCTCGGCCGGACTTGAGCAGGTAGATGTGGTACTGGTCCTTGAGAGCATAGACTTGCTTGGGAGTCAGACCGGTGTAGGAGAACATGCCGTTCTGGATAGACGATTAGTAACTTGTGCAACCAAAGCTAAGACCCAATGTTTAAAACTTACCTGCTCAATAATGTGCTCCCAAGTGCCAGGAGTCTTCAAACGAACCAACTCGTCATACAGCGCCTGGCGCATGGTCTTAATGCGGGAACTCATGACCTCGAGGTCCTGGTGCCATTCGGCGACCAATTCATCATTGGTCAAAATCTTCTTCACAATAGTAGTACCAATACGAGGGCCCATGGAGAACTCGCCACGGATCAAGTGGCACAAGTTGTTCACAACAATATCGCGAATAACAGTGGCACTGCGGTTGGTAACGTAGTGGAAAGCACCAACACGCTGACCGTACAGACCAAAGTTCTTAGAGAAAGACTGTGCCACGCACATCTCCATATCAGGCTTGTTGTTAAAGAAATAGCGAACAGCCCAGGCATCCTCCTCAACGGATCCAGAAGCAAAACCCTGGTACGCGGAATCAAAGAAGGGGAAAAGCTTCTTACGCTCGCACACGTCCGCAATGGCCTTCCACTGCTCCTTATTCGGGTCCAGACCAGTGGGGTTGTGTGCACAGGCATGCAGAAGAACAGCATCTCCCTCCTGCGCCTCGGACTCCAGGGTAGCAATCATGCCCTCGAAGTCGAACGACCGAGTCGCGGCGTGATAGTAAGGGTAGGTCTTGCGGGGCACGCCGGCCAATTCCCAGATAGTCATGTGGTTCGCCCACGAAGGATTCGACAGCCAAACGTTACGCGGCTTCATGTGGTGTGCGAGGAAAAGGGCACCGAGATGGTTTGCGCCGGTTCCAGCAACAGTCTGCACTGATGCGATACGTGCCTTTCCCTCTGCGTCGCCGGTGCCGTTCTCAAAGCCGAACATCAGGTCCCGCGCCAATTCCAGGAAGGGGACATCGCCCTCGATAGCGGTGTATTCGTGTCGCATGAGGTCGTTCTCGGCTGCCAATTGCTTCTCAGCCTTCTCCACGACTGGGAGGGGCCATGGCTTGCCGTCGTCTGTGCGGTAAACACCGACTCCGAGACTGACCTTTTGCGGGTGGGTATCGGCGAAGTAGGCGCCGTTCAAGGCGAAGATCTCATCCGGTGGGACCGGAGCAACGTTCAGACGGGTGGGAACCTTTTCCATTGTGAGGTTTATGAGGCGATTGAGGGCTCGGAAGTGTGGAGAGAATGCAATGGGAGATTGATGCGTGGAACAAAAGGAAACACCGGAATGCGGGCGAGGGTTTGGTACGCTGAGTCAAACCCGATATCGCCTTCAAAGATATTTTTTGCCCCGCGGGAACGGCCGCTTAATAACGGTTCCCTCACCAAGGATATTGGCATCATGTTTCTCTTCATCTTGATTTCTGAATGTCACGAGGCCATTTATGCCGTTGCTAGCCTTTGTTTAGGATCCATGGATGTGGAAATATTGAAGTTTGGACAAGTCTTATTGTTCCTGGGGAGATCTAAACCTTGTCATCAGCAAGGCACGTCATCAAATGCATGCTGACTCCTTTGGAGTAAGGATACGAGATAAGTACTCTAAAATTCTCGGAGAGAACTCCGTATTGGTGTGATAGAGAGTGTAAAAGTCGTATATCCCCATTCTAAAAGGGTTCTTGTGGGGGGTTGTCAACCAAATAGATCTGTTCATTGGAAATATATAGTTGGTTTCTCCTGCGGGTGTGGAGTAGATCTCTAATACTGTATGTGCCACCCATGACTGCTAACATGAACTCCCGGCCAACAATTCGAGATGAAATCATATAGATTTTACCATTTGAAAAGCAGAGGGAAATCGGATGGAATCGTATCATGATGGCCGGGGCGAATTGGGACAAGAGATCTGTGGACTTGGAGACTGACGACCCCGCGCCGTACAACCACAGGGGCCAATCATGGACTGATGATACAAAGATAGAGGTAGTTTCCCCTCACGAGATATTCATATATAATTTCTCCTTGGGAACCTCATTCCTCGCCCCTTTCAAAGAAAACAAACTTCCAGAATGTCCCAGCAAGAGTGGCAGACAGGCGACCCGGCCTTGCATGAATTTCAATTCCCAGAGATCTATCAATCTCTCCACAACAGTATTCCTCCAGAGCTGATCAATCGCTATGATCCTGTCTATGTTGAGTATTATAATAAATACAACGCTGGACGTTTGCATACCCACGAGGTTCCAATTAAGGACTTTCGCAAGAATCCAGCCAGGTATCTCATCGCGTACGGCCGTGCTCGTGGTCCCGATGTCTATCGCATCACTGAGCAAAAATGCCCCGTGAAGGGAGGCGAAATTACTATTCGCATATTTGAGCCGGCCCCAAAGCAGGAGGCTCAGGGTGAGCAAAAGAAGAAAGCAGCCTATATCAACTTTCACGGCGGCGGATGGGTATTTGGAAACCTAGGCACCGACCATGATTTCTGCAAGACTCTTGTTGATGGTCTTGATGGAAATCTTGTTGCATTTGATGTGGATTACCGACTGGCTCCTGAAAATCCGTATCCAATCCCCGTAGAGGATTGCTGGGCGGCCTTCAATTGGGTGCGAAGACATCCTCCAGTGCTGTAATGAATTCTAGTCGTTGGGACTAACAGCTATCTAGATCCGCACCGAAAAGGCAGCCGAGTTCAACCTCGATCCGGTTCGACTATCTGTAGGCGGTGCATCTGCAGGTGGCCATCTTGCAGCTGTCATCGCTCATCTTTGTCGCAATGAAGGGATCCCTCTTGGGTTACAAGTCTTGACTGTCCCCGTGTGTGACATGCACCAAGTCTTTACACCAGACGGCGAGTTCGACCGTGAAAATTGTCCATACGAATCCTATCGAGAGATGGAGTTTGCTCCAGCGCTTCCGGCGGCTCGCATGGCATACTTTCACCGACACTTCCTCGGCGTGCCTCGACCTCCACCATCTGAAGATGTGGGTCTTACAGTCAATTTTTACAACAAAATCTAAGCTGACCGTTCTTATAGGACTGGAAGATATCTCCCATGCTCGCACCCGATTTCACAAGGCTAGCTCCGGCCCTTGTCTCAACTGCCGAGCTTGACCCTTTGCGCGACGAGGGCGAGGTATACGCAGCCAAACTTGAAGCAGCAGGGGTTCGCGTAGAAGTCAAGCGATACCTGGGGGTACCGCATTTACTAAGTGCTCTGGATGGCATTCTTGAAGGAGGGCGACAGTTCAATGCAGCAGTGATCGCGGCACTCCAACGGGAGCTCGTGGAGTGAAGATCATTGATCAGATAAATATTATGGATGAACGTATAAGCGCTAGGTGGTAACCGTACAATACAATATATTTCCAATACAACGGGATGTCACTACAGTAACCGCCCACGGCAGATCGGATCAGCGTTTTGGTATTGTTATGCCGATACCGGGAAGAGTCGGCTTTGCGACTCGGTGTTCATTTGTTTCTTCTTTTCTTCTTCCTGTCGCTGTTTATAAAGGTAGCGTTCTGACCCCATACTCTTGTTCGTCTCCACTCAATCAAGCCATTGGGCACTCTAACTGGACTTGTGACACAGTTTAAAGCATACACAGGCACAAAATGAATCCCTCCACCTCCCGAGCCGCGGTGCGGTCAATGGCCACCTTGACACATGCGACCAGAGCTGCCAACCCCGCAGCCCGCAACCTTGTGTCGGTTGCTGCTCGCTCCCCGGCCTATGCCAGCCGGGCTTTGAGCTCCAGTAGCCGTCTCGGTCAATTCCCCCGCCTTCAGCTTGTCAACAACAACAAGCGAGCCTTCAGCACAACCATCAAGATGGTAGGAAGCGAATCAGGAACCCAAGTCTAGATGGACTTTATTGACAAGAAATGCAGTCTTCTGCTTCCCGTACTGAGAGCGATGCCTTCGGCGAGATTCAGGTGAGTTTCAATTTACAGCTGCTTTCCCCTCATCTACGCGGAGTCCTAATCCGAGTCTTCATTAGGTCCCCTCCGACAAGTACTGGGGTGCCCAGACCCAGCGGTAAGACGACCACAACGAAGTTCCAAATGGCATACTGTATAGGGAAACTGATGAGTTATTGGGAACAGCTCCCTGGGCAACTTCGACATCAACCAGCCCCAGGACCGCATGCCCGCCCCCGTGGTTAAGGCTTTCGGTATCCTCAAGGGTGCTGCCGCCACCGTCAACATGAAGTACGGCCTTGGTAAGTGAAACACTTGAAACTACAAGAAACATGCGCCCAAAAAAACTACGATACTGACTTTACAAAGACCCCAAGGTCGGTGAGGCCATCAAGCAGGCCGCTGCTGAGGTCGCCGAGGGTAAGCTGCTGGACCACTTCCCTCTGGTTGTCTGGCAGACCGGCTCTGGCACCCAGTCCAACATGAACTCCAACGAGGTCATCTCCAACCGTGCCATTGAGATCCTGGGCGGCGAGATGGGTTCCAAGAAGCCCGTTCACCCCAACGACCACGTCAACATGTCCGCTTCCTCCAACGACTCCTTCCCCACCGTTATGCACATTGCCGCCGTTGTGGAGCTCGAGAACACCTTGATCCCCTCCCTCAAGGGCCTGCGCGACGCCCTGCAGAAGAAGGTTGAGGACTTCAACCACATCATCAAGATTGGCCGTACCCACTTGCAGGATGCCACCCCCCTCACTCTCGGCCAGGAGTTCTCTGGCTACGTCGCCCAGCTTGACCGCAACGTTGAGCGTGTCGAGGCCAGCATCCCCCACCTGCGCTTCCTCGCTCAGGGTGGTACCGCCGTCGGTACCGGTCTGAACACCTTCAAGGGCTTCGATGAGGCCATTGCCGCCGAGATCACCAAGATGACCGGCACCGAGTTCAAGACTGCCCCCAACAAGTTCGAGGTCCTCGCTGCCCACGACTCCATCGTTGAGGCCTCCGGCTCCCTGAACACCCTTGCCGGCTCTCTGTTCAAGATTGCCCAGGATATCCGTTACCTCGGTTCCGGCCCCCGCTGCGGTCTCGGCGAGCTGAGCCTCCCCGAGAACGAGCCCGGCTCTTCCATCATGCCCGGCAAGGTTAACCCCACTCAGTGCGAGTCCCTGACCATGGTCTGCTCCCAGGTTATGGGTAACCACGTCGCCGCTACCATTGGTGGCATGAACGGCCAGTTCGAGCTGAACGTCTTCAAGCCCGTCATGATCCGCAACCTGCTCCACAGCGTTCGCATTCTGTCTGACGGCATGGACAGCTTCCGTAAGCACCTTGTTGAGGGTCTGGAGGCTAACGAGTCCCGCATCAACGCTCTTCTCCACGAGAGGTATGTCCCTTTCTCCCCCTTCCTACCTATCCCTTGCACTTACTAACTGGCTTTCTAGTCTGATGCTCGTGACCTGCCTGAACCCCGTCATTGGTTACGACATGGCCTCCAAGGTCGCCAAGAACGCCCACAAGAAGGGCCTCACCCTTAAGGAGTCCGCTATGGAACTTAAGGCCCTCAGCGAGGAGGACTTCGACAAGCACGTCCGCCCCGAGCTGATGCTTGCTCCCAAGGAGCTTTAAATTAATTGACAGCCCAGCTGTTCAACCGCCACTATAGAATAGTTCTAATGGGGCTTGTATACTGAATAAGAAGCATTGTATTCCTATTATCCACTCTTCAAAGAATGTAGACGTTATGGCGGGGCGATTGCGGGTTTAAAAATAGTAGCGATCGGGAATCGTGCACAACCCCTCTAATGTATGAAGATAAGGAGAAACAATCGTACCGATGTTCATCCAACATGCGCGAATCATAACAAAGTAGAAAAATATTATGCAGGGCAGTGCTCCAAGAATCCACTAGTCCGCCGGCATGGGTATGTATTAATAGCAAGAGCTCCAGGGGCAATGTTTCACACCCGAACCTTGGAACCATATTAATTGCAAATGTAAACCTCGATCAATTCTTCCCAACCTCCTCCAACTCTCTACATAGATTATTCAAAGCAAAGAACTCCGAATAAAGCCAATATTGGACCAATTTCCCACGTCGATCTCCCTTGCGCTAAAACCCCGCCGTCTCGCCCCTCCCCTGGATCAACAACTTTCAAAATCTCAAACCCAAACCACACCTCTCCAACGCTCACCAATCCTCACACAACCATAAACAATGGCAACTCCCACCATCGCCCAAGCCACCATTCCAACCGAACCTACCAAAACAATGTCCTCAACCGTCACCCCAGTCACAGACCTTGAAGACGGTCCCTTGTTCCCTGCCTCCCTGATCTCGCCCGAGGTCATCTCCCTCCTTCCAACAGACTATACCATTCGTCCCCTCCGCCGCTCAGACTACCAGCGTGGCTACCTCGATGTCTTGCGCGTGCTGACTACCGTTGGTGAGATCAGCGAGGAGCAGTGGGACAAGCGCTTTGACTGGATCAAGTCCCGGAATGACGAGTATTACATGCTTGTTGTGTGTGATGGAGCGGATCGGGTCGTTGGTACTGGGTCTCTGCTTGTTGAGCGCAAGTTTATTCATGAGCTGGGCATGGTTGGACACATTGAGGATATTGCTGTTGAGAAGGGTCAGCAGGGAAAGAAGTTGGGATTGAGGATTATTCAGGCTTTGGATTTTGTTGCGGCGCAGGTTGGGTGCTATAAGGTAAATTTCTTTCGTCTCTGGATCGCTTCTTTCCATTATATATGCGGGAGTTTCTTGTTGGGGTTTGTGCTGACTTTGTTCGACAGAGCATTCTTGATTGTTCCGAGGCCAATGAGGGCTTCTATGTTAAGTGCGGGTTCAAGCGCGCTGGTTTGGAGATGGCTCACTACTACTGAGCTTGGTCAGGGCTTGGAATTTGTTTTTAGATTTGTTCTTGCCCGTTTCGGGTCTGGCGTTTAGGGCATTCGGATGGTTAGCCTCGAGGTTGCGCTCTTGTTCTTGAGGCTATCATATGGGAACACACCCGCTCACCTGAGCATTCAACATTACTTGAACGCTTTTGCATGGGTTCAGCTGTGCATATAAATGTGGGATTGAACAGAAAGCATGATTTGAGATTGAGAGCAGGTCCTTGAGATCCTTGATCACTGTACTTGTTGTCTTTTCATCCAGATGTGTCAAGTATCGGCTATAGGGCTGTCTTGATCAGTCTAACTGTTTAAGCTAGAAATGGCTCAAGGTTTGCGTGGAAACCATGGCATCGAGGGATAGACACTGAAATAATGTACTACATGTATAGACGTGCTGCATTCAAGGGTTATATGGGCCAGTTGCCAACCACAGAAGCAATATATATTGATGGATCAATTGGCATTAATTAGGTTACGGGGTTGACTACTACTAAAAACATTATGTGTAGAGTTTCAAAATTCCAAGGTCGGTTACATTGTATAAGTCACAACCGTATAGAGAGCCCAAGGGTGTGTACCCAAAGGTAAATATTGCGGCTCAAGTATATGGGCTTGATCGACCCCTCCACAGGATTGGAGGAGACCAAACCCACATGTAGCCTTGAGAGGCAAGGACAATTTTGCCCAATATATCCATGGATGAAATACATCAATATGAGAGAATAGTTGCGGTGAATAATTTTAATTGAGATTCCTTGTCCCATTTCTGCATTTCATATCTGAAACAAGGTAAAAAAAATTGGCCTGGGGCCAGTCCTCACAGACAGTACTCCAGCCCATTGTCCGCAAGTTCCATCATATCGCAACCGTCAACGAATAAAACACCATCCAGCTTTTTGTCATGGGGTAATTTAGCGGGACTTGGCGGCGACCTTGGGAGCAGAGCCCTTAGCACCCTGCTTGGAGGCAATGCGCTGAGCACCACCCTTGGAGGCAGCGTTCTTGGCCTTGTCGGCCTTCTTCTGGGCAGCGGCGGCGGTCTTCTTCTCCTTGGCGTCGGAGATAGCCTGCTTGCGGGCAGCCTCACGGGCCTCGGGGCGCTGGGAGCGGCGCTCCTTGATAACGTCAAGGGAGGCACCGACGATAGCACGCTGGTGCTTCACGACACGGCGAGTGCGCTTCTTGGCAACCTCCTATATATTCGAGAAAGATCAGTATTCCATTTTGCAAATGCCCGGTTTTTCTTGATCCACTTCATTGGAAATGATATCATATCCCTCCTCTTGCGCCATCATCTCCCCAATATCAAAAGATTGTAGAATGCTTCCAATAATGGTTCAATAAGGGCCATTTCCATCACACAATCGAACAAAAGCCAAAGGAATTGATTGGTAACCGACCTCAGAGATACCCTTGCGGTGCTGGCGACGGTAAAGGACAGTCCAGGCAATGCGGCGGGGGTTCTTGCGCTGGAGGAACAGCGACTCGGACTTGCCGTTCTGGAAGCGGAAGATCTTGCTGTCGCCACGGACGTACAGCTTACCCTGTATCACCACAACCAATATTAGCAATCTGAGTTCCCACAAATAAACCCCGCATAAAGTCTGCGCAAAAAGTGTCATGAAACCGGCGGAGACAAGTCGAAATCGATATCGGTGACAAGAGGACCGTAGGTGGTGTCGTGGTGGTTGATCATCGCGATGTGTGGCGTTGTATCGTTCAATCTCGAATCCGCACAATTTCCATTTCCTTCTCGCGCAGACGGGGATCGAGGGACAGGAACAAAACGCACCTTGCCAGGGTAGATCTTCTGGCCGCTGAAGGAGTCGTCGTAGGTACGCATCTTGACGGTGGACGATGCGCTGACGGTCGGTTGGCGTTGGTGATGGTCGAAATTCGGGGATCGCGGTAGTAGCGTCGCTGGGTCCAATTGTGGTGCGCCTCGCTAAAGTGCGACACGTGACGCACGCTGCCCTTTTCGGGACCGACCCAAGTCACATGATGTGTGTCTCATCTATGTATCTTATCGCTTATCGATAAGACTTATCGTGGGTTTCCACAGCAGAGCGCCCGAGTTATGTTTGATGTTTGCTAATTTGATGTTTACTCGTTTGATGCATTTAATCTATGCAATAGGAAACTGCCCGATCCGAGATTCGATATATGCTTAGAATTCTTTGATCTCTTCTCCCTACGCCTGCTCTCCACCACTCTCCTAGTCAGATAGATAAGCTTAAATGATACGCCATTCAACTCCTTCTCTTTCCTTGGCTGAATTCACGCTTCAGCATCATTGTTGCCTACTTGATGTGGAATAGCGAAATCCTTTTTAATGTTCATAAAATCCTCGTCTTTCACCCGCACAATCCTTTTTTGTGGGTGTGAAACTTATCATTTATCAGCTTCGTTTCCAATGTTATGACGCTCAGAGAGCTTTGTTGGCACATTTCATGCTTTAACCGGCAATCAGGCTCACCAACCCAACTATACTGCATGATTTGGCTTCCAAAAGTTATGCAGATGGGTGTCGAGTGCTGTGGACATTTGGATGCCACCCGGGCGAGAGGTCCCTCTCCATGAGTCCCTGGATACATATATATATATATTTAGTTCATACATGTGTGGGCTCTCAACTCACAGGCTGCACCTACATGACCAATGCTATGTACTAAGGCATCTGACTTTTTGACTTTTGGTATTCAATACTCGTGGGCCTAGGCTATTCCAAATTTTCAGCTTCTGCTGGTCTCATATAATTTAGCCGTGGAGAATTCCACCTCTTATTGAAGATGTCTAGGAGCAGGACTCCAGCCTGTTGCTTCGAATGAGGCCAAGCAAATACCGAATCCAGAAACATGTGAACAGCTGCGACAGAGCCTATTGTTCAAAGCGAATGTCTTTTTTTGAATTGGGCTCATATTGGTTTGGTCATACTGATTTGCCCGATCATGCTAAACTCAGACTTCTGGAGCTGGATCTAATCCATCACCACCTCTTTCACCCATCCTTGATTCATAACTATTCAGATCCCACCAGCTCATCAATCAAAGTTCCATGAGCTTAGAGCTCAGCCCCAGAGATAGTTGTACTGAAAAGCTGCACAGATACGTCCCCCGCCTCAAGCAAAAACCCCGTATCTCGGTATCCGCATGCAGGAAATGTCGAAATCCTTGAAGCCCCACCAGTTTAAATCCTCCCTAGTTACACATTGTGTTGACATCTACACCCGAATCAACCGTAGCCATTGCCAGATGTCCATGCCAAGTGCCTCCATGGCTGAAATCGAGGCACGCATAGTCATAATTGCGCTTGTGAACATCATCCCAAGCATCATCAAGGGCAGCAGAGACAGTCTTCGTCTGTGCAGTGGTATCACAATTCTTTCCAGTAGTGGTTACCCAGTACTTGAAGTTGTACTTCTGCTGACCGTTGTCCGATTGTCCACTCCCTGAAATAGGACTGCAAGTGTTTTTAGAACTGTCGCTCTGGATCCAGACAACTACTGCTGCAATGGCTGAGGTTGCGCCTGCTGCCACAACGATCACATCCCGAGTGACTTTGAGGCCTCCCCTGACAACCTTCCAGTTGATTGCCGTCTCTGCCGCGTCGGTTGAGTCGGTCAGGGCGACTGAGCGCTCCTTCTTCAGGCCGATCGGAATAGCGCTAGAGAGAGCCAGGCCAGCCCCGATGCTGACACATACAAGTAGACGTCCAATGGCAAAAGCCCGCATGTTGCTATTGTCAAAATGATCCAGTTGATGATGAGGGCTATTGAGACAGATGCGTTCATATGAAGAACTTGGAATTGAGTGCTGGGAAGCGGAAGACTGAATTGGACTGGAGTGTTTGGAGCTATTCAAGAATTAGCTTTATTCTATGCTTTAAAAGGCCTCTCCGAGTGTGTACCTCAGTAAAAGAACTGTGCTGGCTGACTGATGCTGAGCGAGGCGAAGAATGGATTTGAGGTGGACGAAGAGTACATTATGTAGCCTTCTATCTACAAAATTTCTACATTGCCGTCTTGGCCTCATTGAGTCGTGTACATGTGGATTGGGTGGTATCAGCTAGAGAATGGGCTTGCTACAAGCAGGCGCAAAGCACCAATTTCCCAATCAAGAAAATGCCGCATATCTTAGACAGCGGAGTTGGATTTCACATTGCTTTTTTTTTTTTGCTTCCAATAGTATATCTGGTGATTCTTAGCCCCATAGTAAGCAGCCCTAGGGTACTGTTCTCTTGCCCCCATTACTTGAGTAATGATCTACATTATTATCAAGATGGCTCAGTAAATTTTGCTGGTAACCACAACTTTGAAATGAAAGCGTTGTATAAGGCGTACCTATACTCACAGGATGTTTGTGCATTATTTGAGGGCTTGATTCAAACCGACATGGAGCCAACTCCAGTGGTATTCGTAGAATAAAGGTCTCCCAAGGAGTCAGGGTCCAGGGGCTCCACAGCCTAGCGCTATCAGAGCCCTAGTGGCGGCACAGGCTCCACTAGCGATTTCGCGCTGAAGTAAAGCTTCACCTTGGTGCGGCCCCTTGCATACCAGCCCCACGGTAACATGGTCATCAGCGAACCCTCGGCCCGTGGCGGTAGATCTTCAATGTAACGTCTGTGCTGACCGTCAGCATGATATCCACCAATCTACTACAAGCTTCTTTGTAAGCTTCTTTTCAGGCAACTTGATGATCAAATCATCAATTGCCGAGGGGGTCTGAATGGCTCAGCCAAGCCTCGTGGTGCAGCCAATTTCGGCAATTCCTCAATTTCGAGTAATATAGATTCACTTGATGCAGGGTCTCCCGGTCCATAGATACCCATCGATCCTGGCCTCCTTGAATGTCATCAAAATACCGGTGATGATAAATCATCAAATTTAGGGAGACCCGTCCAAAGCCCTACTATTCATCCCCATAATCTATATTTCATACATTTCCTAAAGTCACCCCGTCGTACAAGAACCCTTACGACCCACGTTACGTGTAGCCTTGGTACCTCCAGAGACAGGAAATACTACTATTACAAGGGGGTCCATCTTAGCGTGTCATCTGACCGGGGTGTCAGCTTGGGAGGGGTCATAGGAGCAAGTCTCAAAAATGAGGTCTTTGCCATCCTCAACTGATGTTGGAACTCTAGAAGACGCCAATATCAACATGAGAATGAAGTCTTCGTCGAATCCCTACCGCTATTCTCAGCTACAAAGCTCGCGAAACGAAATCCGATTGATACAGCTGCATCCCGGCACTTTCTCCGACGACATTCACCTCAGTATTTTGCATGTATCTCTTCGGCCATCAGACGACTCCGCACCAAAGTTCAGCTTAGAGAAATTGGGAGCAACGCTACCGCCGGGCTGGGAGGTTCATGAAGACACAGACCAGAAGATTCTTTTTTATTATGAAGACTCAGATGGAAACAACTGCAAGTCCACGTGGACACATCCTGATCCCAATATTGATCCCAGTCAATACTCAACCCAGCCCAAGAAGTCTGAGGGACCCCGCTACGAAGCCTTGTCGTACACATGGGGATCGAGGGCAGACGATGAAGTGACCTACGTGATACCTACGCATGCATCCATGTCGAAAGAGTCGGCGACAGAGCTTCAAATTGGCCACAACCTCGCCCTCGCGCTTCGGCACCTCCGATATGAGGACCGTGCTCGCACCATCTGGGCCGACGCAATTTGCATGAACCAGCAGGATCAATCCGAGAGAGAGGAGCAAGTCAAGCGCATGTCATACATTTACAAGGAAGCGGACCAGGTAGTCGTCTGGCTTGGGCCTGGGTCCGTCGATAGCGGCATCGCGATGAAAACCCTCAGCTTTATAGGACAGCAGGCCGTGACAACGATGGACAGTTGGATAATAGCGTCCCCCGAGGCGGTTGAACCAGACTGGTGCTATTCCGCCGTCAGGTTGCCATATGAATCTGATACCTGGATAACCGTCAACTCCTTCCTCAGTCGCGATTGGTTCAATCGGGTATGGATCTTGCAGGAGATCCATCTTGCAAGCAATGCAACTTTGCAGTGTGGGCTTGACCAGATATCATGGACACATTTTCGTCGCTCTATTGTGCTGCTATGGACCAAGTTTAATGCATGCCCGTCTCTCTCGCGGCCCAGAATAGCATTCATCGAGCCCCTTGTTAATCCAATCCAGTCCAATACTCCAATCTCGTTAATCCTCCGCCTCACCAACAAGAGAGAATGCGCGGATCCCCGGGACATAATCTACGGTGTTCTCGGTCTATTCCACGAGAATTTTAGAAAGAACATCCATCCTCAGTACTCCTTACCCGCCGAAGATATCTATACTTTGTTCGTCTGCTCCCACATTAGACAAGTCGAAAGGTTAGAACTCCTCCGATACTGCCGTTCGGGATACCGTACGACCACTATCCCGTCGTGGGTACCAGATTATAACAAGAAAGACTGGGTCAAGCCGGCTGAATGGCAATTTTGCTCGGGATACTCCGCCTGCCACGTAGTGTTCCGCGAGCCCAATATTCTTGATGCTGAGGGCGTCTACGCTGCCACGATCCGAACTGTCCGTGGTCCTGTACCAAATTATCGACGCGAGGCAGATCGCATTAACCTTCTCGACTCGACCTCTGCCGCTCGGAACTTGCTTGGTGTTGATCTTTCCGGAAAGGGCGTGGGAGTAGAGAGCCAGCAGGATGTATTTGCTCGAGCAATAACCGGAAATTATCTGAAAGACCGGTTTCCAGAACCCCGGGTCGACACCCTGGAGCAGTGGAAGGAACGGATCCAGACGAACGATGACATTTTTGGGGAAAACCTCACGTTTCAAGAGGAATATTCCTTGGGTATACTTCTTGATCGAACCTACTTAACAACGGAGGAAGGCTATATCGGGCTTGGCCCTCCAGATGCACAACCAGGTATGATCCATGCTCCACCTTAGTCTTTCTCAACCGTGGACTGATGATCAAGGAAAGGCGATATCATAGTCTGCTTACTAGGTTGTGAGTCACCAATTCTCCTACGAAGACAACCACAAGGAAAGTTTGTTGTAATCGGAGAATGTTTTGTCCCCGAGCTGGACGACGCGAATGCTTTCCTTGGCCCGTTACCATCGCCGTGGAGGGTCCAGGCCTTTGCCGAGTCCCATAATAGATGCAGCATCTACCGTTATTTTAACACTGAGACGGGAATTTTGTCGGACCAAGATCCAAGAACAACGTCTCCCTCAGAGGATTGGGAGGTAGAAACGGCCGAGAGAACCGGATGCGATCCAGTGATATTTCGAGTATTCAGGAACAAGGGGACTGGGGAGGTCACCAGGTCGGATCCTCATATGACACCAGAGGCACTGAGAGAGCGTGGTGTTCCTCTACGGTGGTTCTCGTTAGTTTGATATACCTTAGGATGTGATCCAGTAATGGGCCTTCTCTTCTGGGTAGCACACGTCCTTGTTCGCCGATTGTTTTAGACAGTCAAGGCAATCCTCACAGCTGACCCAGATCATACACCGCTAACAATATCTGCAGTATTCTGTACGCTTGGCTTATGACTGAATTCTAGACTGTCGATTGCAAGTATCTCGTCGTTATCTTGATCGTGGAAGAGGCCCAGTAGACCCGAGTAATGTGATTTTAACACATTTAATTCTATGCAACGCCTTCTGAATAAGCCACCAACCCATACATGATGGATGTGGCGGAAGGCAACATCACGCTAAAAAGGTGAAAAACGAGCTTGCCCGTCCCAATGATCTCAGTGGAATGGATATCCCTTGCCCCACACTTTGTTACTTTCTCTTTTTTGCTTCATGGTCACATCACAATTGGCCGTATTCAAGTCATAGCATGAGTACGAGTCCACTCCTTTGCTGTCTGGATAGCAGCGGGCTCGTCATCCTTCCAGCGCTGAGCCACATCGTTGGCGAGCGGGTCATCCGGGTTCGGGGCTCCGAGGAGGGCTTGGATGGAAAGGAGGATAGTGCGGATCTGAAGGGCAGGGGACCAGTTGTCTATTTGCGGAATTTATTAGGCATTAAAAACACAAAAAGTTGGTAAAGTGAAGCTTACTTTTGAGGACATCCAAGCAAATGCGGCCGAGACGGTCGATGTTGGGGTGGTAGATCTTGGTCAAGAAACGAATCTTCGGCGGGGTCATAGGGTAGTCGTCGGGAAGGAACAGCTCAAGACGGAAGATGCCACCTGCAAGGAAATGAGTTATCATGTTTGTAGGCACGAGATCGAGTAATGCGTACCTTCGTAGGGAGACTGGGATGGACCGTGAATCGAGACATCGAAGTATCGGAGGTTGTCGTCGTGGGGAACAGCATTAATACCGGGGACGCTGGATGCAGCTTGATTAGTCCGAAGTCTAACATTTGTATCTGTTGACCAGAATTAAAACTCACGGCTCGGCCATCAACCGCTCGGTCTCCTTGATAATGCGCTTCGGCAGGGCCATGATTGCAAGGCTTATCGCTCACGTGTGGATATAGTTGTGAAGATATAGTGACGAGTTTTGCAGAAAAGAAGTCACGTTCAATAGCTAAATCGAGCAAGAAAGATCAAAGTGAAAGATCGAGGCTGAGAAAATGCCGAGCAACGTTTAATAACTGATGATAAACCAGAGGGGCATTACTGCACCGCGGGGTTCTGCCGTGTTCCGTAAACTGCGCCACACTATAACAGCCTCCAGCCACACGATCCACACCAGCCACACCCGTTGCGATTCCCGCTTCCCTTATCGGAGCTCCCTGGCACGCGAGTGTCTATCCATGCAAGCGTGGATATGCATGGCCAATATGGGAGCACCGGCTCCTCATGAGCTTCTACATAGTGCATAAATCTTTCACAGTGCAATCTCTACAACAACTCTGGCCCCGATTGGCCTACTGTCTCGATCGCTGACAAGATGTCGAGCTCCATGGAGCCGCGGCCGCTCACGTCGGCCTTCGAGAGCCCGACCTTCGATGAGGACAGCTCATTCCATGTGGAACAGCCGGTCGGGTCTATGTCCATTTCCCCATGTGGGCGAGATGTGGTACTTGCCTCCAAGGAAGGTCTGCATGTCATTGACCTGGACTCACCGTATTCTCCACCCCGTTATCTGCCTCACCATACACCATGGGAGGTCGCCGATGTGCAGTGGTCGCCTTTTGCCTCCCGCGACTATTGGGTGGTAAGTACATCTAACCAAAAAGCTTTGGTGTGGAATTTGGCCATGAAGACATGGCAGAACTCCATTGAATTTGTACTGCACGCACATTCGCGCGCGATCACAGACATAAATTTCTCGGCATTTCATCCTGACATTCTCGCTACCTGTGCCGTCGACAGCTTCGTTCATTGTTGGGATCTTCGCACACCGTCCCGTCCGGTGATATCCTTTTCGGATTGGTTTACCGGCGCTACTCAGGTGAAATGGAATCGCCAAGATCCCCATGTGATTGCTAGTTCTCATGATCGCTTTCTTCGTATCTGGGATGATCGCATGGGTGCGTACCCGATCCGATCTATCGAAGCTCATGACACAAAGATCTATGGTGTGGATTGGAATCGTGTCCGGCGGGGTGCTTTAACGACATGCTCCCTTGATAAAACTATCAAGTTTTGGGACTATACCTCGGAAACAGATGAACCCGAGAAGCTGATCCGCACTCCATTCCCTGTATGGCGCGCCAGAAACACTCCATTTGGATGGGGTGTGACTGCTATGCCGCAGAGGGGGAACAGCGATCTTCATCTTTATAGTCGGCGAGCCGGCGAAGGCAGCAGTCCCGACGATGACTTGCCTTTAGTGCACAGCTTTCCAGGTCATAAAGGTCAGGTGAAAGAATTTCTATGGAGGCCCCGCGGCGGGGTGGTGGATGGAATTGACCACCGAGAATTTCAGCTGGTCACATGGGGCACAGACCGAGAGCTGCGTCTACACCGTGTCAATCAGGAAATCTTTGAGCGCGTTGGATATGAAAAGGGCAAATCATACATCTCTACTCGAAATGTGACTCGCCTAGGCGCAGTCTATCGAAGTTTCAGAGATGTCAATTCGGATCTAGACCTGGAAGATGTAGACTCAGCATCTTCGATCCAACACAACACGACCACACAATTTGCTGGGGGACCTGGAATGAATGCCATTTCAGTCCCACATGCTCGCGCCTGGACAAAGGGTGCCCATGTCGATGCTCGCATGGGTATGCAGCCACGATCAAATCTCAGGGCAGACACAAATCCCATTGCTTGGATGCGTGGTGTGAAAATCTCAGGTTGGGATATCGAGACTCTGGGAGACGAGATCAGCCACGTAGGAGACATGTTTACAAAGGTTGTCTTCGAATCAGTTGATGTTCGCCAGAGAAAGATCACCATATCGCTGAACGGACCATGGGGTGCAAATGGGGATAGCCTTTTTCTTAAAGTGGATATAAAATTCCCGGTCAGCTATCCGAAGACCGCCATTCCAACCTTCAATTGTCAAAAAACTGCGGCTGTTACCGATGAATTATCTGGCAAGATCACAGCTGAATTGCGAACAATTGCTGAAACATACATGTCTCGGAAACGAGGTTGCCTGGAAGGTGCTGTGCGCTATCTTCTGGGCGAGAGTTCACTGGAGGAGAGTGTAGCATTGGTCCTGGGTGAAACAACTGACACGATTAAATCTCCGATCAACGGAGAATTGGAAGGCGAATCCAGCGACGAAGACGAAGTCGGTATGACACAAAGTCAGGAGCTGGGAATGAGCTCTGAGCTGCTCCGCCCAGTGAATGCCAATGTTATGGTCCCAGTAGCAAAAGGATGCGGTGCGCTGTGGGCAAACGATGGCCGCCTGATCTGCTTTTTCCCTGCTAAGAAGGACAAATCCATCGCTCTGTTTGACAATCTTGGGTTCAAAGAGATGAGCAGATTGTCACGGACAGACAAAGTTTTTGAAGGGTTCGGGCGCCTGCAGACTAGCTCCCCGGGACCACGTATGACCGGTACAATCACAAGCACGGCCGATGGTGCATCCGATGACTCCGATGATTCATACTCCGAGACCTCGAGCTCGTCAGGCTCTTCTGATATTCTGTCTGGACTACCTGTGACTCGTTTCCAGCCACCACAGACTTGGCGCAGTGCCGGTAGTATGGGGATTTACCGGCCTCGATCTACGGATAATTCGCAGCGATCCATTGGTGGTGCCATGACAAGCAAATCCGCCGATTCAACTCAAAATGTAGTTTCTATTCATGACTTCAGCGATCTGTTACCCGTCAAACGGGAATTGGCCAGCAAGTATCGCATTTGCGGCGAAGGGACAGTTGTATGCGCTCATAATGCTGCAGTTGCCCTGGATGCTGGATATTACGAACTGGCTCAAATATGGGGTCTGATCAAGCTGATCTTGCACATCCAGCGAAAACCGGTGTCTCCTATAGAGACCAAGCTGGGGACAAGACGGGCATTAAGAAAAGAACGCCTCGATATTAGCCAAAGCCTGGGCAAAAACGCAATTTACAAAGATGTTGCTAATAGTGTTATTCGATGGGGTGATCACCCCTTGGGTAGCCACTGGCTTGTCTCCGCCCTATTCGATCATTTTGAGCGTATCGGCGACGTGCAAATGGTCGCTATGCTCTCTTGTGTCCTCTTTGAACCCAACAAGGAAGGACGCTCAGAAAAAGTGAAAGGAACGCACCCCGAACAACAGGATTTCTCCTTGGACTTTGGGTCTGTGACCTCGACTGTACAGAACAAATCACTGGCCACTACCCCGGCTTCATCCGTCCCAAAAGAGCCCCAAGCCATACCGCCCCACACGTCAGCAAGGTCATCGAGCGAGCTTTGGCGTGTTGACTCCACACCCCCTTATTCTACCGGCACTACACCCCCTTACCTATCCCGCCCACGCGGCATAGCCGCTAATCGGAAAGCACAGAGTCAAAATGTATCCATTGCGGCTTCGCCTGATCAGCAGTCTCATCCACGAAGTGGGTCCGGGTTTGGCTCGGTCCTAGCATCTTCACTATCACGCTCATTCACATTCGGGCCATCATCGGCATCTCCTCCAGTAACTCACCTTAGCAAGAAGAAACAAAGCCCAGCCGAGAGCCCGAGCGTGGTAACTGTTCAAGCGGTTAGTGTAATGATACCTTGACCTGTGAAATCCATATTCTAACTATTATCCTACAGCCCTTTTCTGATACCGAAAGCGATCAGCCTCCTCCCAAGATCATGAAGCCTGCCGCACGGTTCAAAGTCACTTTCAAAAATCAAAGTGAATTTGATGGCGACGAGTCTACACCAGGCTATTGCCTTCTAGACCGAAGCAAAGAGTGGCTTTGGAAATCGTACCGTGCTGCGTATTCCGATATATTGTCGATGTGGGATCTGCCTATCCAACAAGCCGAGGTCCTCAAGATTGGCGAGGTGGCCGACGATATAGATGACATGCACATGAGCCATTATTGGAACAGCAACGGTTCCAAGATGTCCCCACTTCGTGAATCGACAAAGCGTGATGCCATGGAAGGTCTCGAGGGTCTTGATTTCCAACGTCACTGTGCGAATTGCGGTCATGCCTTGCAAACCTCCATTTTTGCTCCGACGCCCGTGGCTCCCGATACACCATCCAAGCACAATCGTCAGACTTCATTCCGCCGTTGTTCGAACTGCAATCCTCGACAAGCACTACCCACCAAGCTTCCTTGTGTGATCTGTCGTGAGGTTGTGGATGGAATGCTGGTACCATGTCTCAGCTGTGGCCACGTGAGCTGTTTCGACTGTCACCAACGCTGGTTCCTTCCACCTGCTGATCTCAAAAACCCTGCCGACTTCCCTCCTCCACCTTGTCCAAGCGGATGTGGCTGCAACTGCTTTGAACATGTCACAGCTGCTGTGCCGATGCCGGCGTGGGAGCCAACCTCTCCCAACCCGACAGAAACTCCTGCTGGTCCCACTCAGACACTCGCTCAAGAAAAGCGTCACCGTCGTCGGCAGTCTGAACCTGCAGGAAACAATAATTCGGGTCGAAGTACGCCCACCGTGAAAACGGCCCTGGGTCAACAAGAAAATGAATTGGATATGTTCCAAACCTCTTCACCTTTTGCATCTCTCGCACGAGGTATGGGCGGTGGACTCAGCCAGGGTCTACGCTCGAAGGAGGAGCACCGGAGAAAGAATCGCTCCGTAGCGATCGCCATGCCCAAGCGGAAATAATGTTTGACTTGATATAAATGTTTTTTATTGGCGTTGAGATGGGATCTTTATCATTGATACCAATGGCGTTGTATATTATGATTTTCTTCTTTCCAGATATACCTCTATGCCTGGATACATTGTGATACCTACATTAGAAGACATACTGCAAATTTCGCCCCAAGTACATGGGATTCACACAGGACATCCATCAAATTGAACAACATCGAGCCTCTTAGTGTTGTATCTGAAAACTTGATCTCATACCATTGAGAGTTGCCTAGCCCTGGAATGTAGATATCGCTAGCGCATCTGCTCCTGCGTTGGGATTCGCTAGGTCCCTCATTCCCAGGTTACATCGGTCTGGTTTAAAAGAGTCCCAATTTGTCCCTCTATGCACGTATCCCCGCCTCCTTATCTCGGAAAGAGTTGCTATATGACGAACCAAATGGCGGGCGGGGTAAGATCTGCAAGGTGTGGGAATGATGATACTTGTACTACATACTTCAGGCTCCACAAAACCTGTGGAGCCAGCCATCTAGAATTTCAGCTTTTTCCACAACCATCTGCTGGAAGATGGCCATGCTAAATCTTTTCAACTTGGCTTTCGCTTGGATCGTGCTTCCATTGATCCTCCTGATCACAAAGTACGCGGTTGCCAGCCGTCGACCCAAAAACTTCCCTCCCGGACCACCTGGGCTTCCTATTATTGGAAACCTACATCAGTTACCCGTGCGAAAAGGGTTCTTAAAGTGCGTAAAACCCTAATGGGCTCCTTATATCTTGGTAATATTTAATCAAAGGTTTATAGGCAACATGAATGGACCAAGGAATATGGAAGTATCATTGGGCTGAAACTAGGTCCTCTAAACGCCGTGGTGTTAAACAGTCATCGCCATGTCTCAGAGTTAGTCAAAGGCTTCAAGGCTCTGTGAGCGGTGACTACCCGGATATAAATGCTCACATAGACTCCTGGACAGGCTTTTCGATAAACGAGGCGCCATCTACTCCGGTCGACCTGAAAACTACGTCGGCCGGGAGCTCATCTGCCCAAACGAAATTCACATTCTGCTAGCACAATACGGTGCAGGCTGGAGGACTCTCCGCAAGTCCGTTCAAGGCTTGCTGAATGTGGCTGCCGTCGATGCGCTGCATCCCATACAAACAGCCGAAGCTACACAGACGATGTGTCAATTGCTGGACGACCCAGCTGGCTATTACGACCATATCCGTCGCTATTCCACTGCTGTCATTCTTGCTTCTGTATTTGGTCAACGAGGCGAGAGTTTCCAGTCACCCAAAGTGCAGGCTTTGTATCACGCACAGGACAGATTCACTGCAATTCTTGAAACTGGGGCAACTCCGCCTGTGGATGCATTTCCCTTCTTGAAGGCCACCCCGGAGTTTCTTAGCCCTTGGAAGAAAGAGGCTAATGGAATAAGACAAGAGCAGAGTTCACTTTATTTTAAGCTTCTAGATGAGACCAGGGATCGCATTAGGAAGGGGAATTCGACTTCTTGCTTTATGGAGAAGCTTATGGATGACCAGGAGAAGATCGGCTTTAGCGACGAGCAGGTGGCATACCTAGGAGGCATCTTGGTAAGTTTTCTCTTGGATGCCGTAACGCTTGTGAGATTTCATTCGCTGAGTGAGTTTCTAGATGGAAGCTGGATCTGATACCACATCATCGACTTTGCTTACGTTTGTGCTCGCCATGACGCAGAACCCTGGGGTTCTGAGAAAGGCACAAGAAGAGGTAGACCGTATCTGCAGCAGTGAAAAATCGCCTACCTTTGATGACATTGGACAATTGGAGTACTTATCGGCGTGTATGAACGAAGTAGGACCCACACAATGACGCAGTTTAATAAGAAGAGGCTAAAGAAACTAACCTATGCAGACTCTGCGATGGCGACCAATCGCACCTGGCGGTATTCCTCACATGCTAATCCAAGATGACAACTACGGGGAATACTTTCTGCCTAAGGGTACGATCTTATTTGCGAACACATGGGCCATCCACATGGACGAAAGCGAATACGAAGAACCTGATAGATTCTTACCGGAGCGCTTCCTCGGCAACAAATTCGGATCCAAGACTGAAGTCACTGATAAGCACCGTCGAACGACTTACGGGTTTGGCGCAGGACGACGAGTCTGTCCTGGTCAAAAATTGGCCGAGAACTCGCTGGTACTTCTTGAAAGACTGGAGTGTGATCTGAAACAATGCTAATCGATCACTAGATGCTTAATATTGCCAAGATGGTTTGGCTATTCGATATTAAATCTACTTCTGCAGCTCCGCTGGACGTTAGTATGAGCTCGGCCTTTTCTGATGGATTTATTGTTGCACCTAAGAAATTCCCTGTTGAGTTTGTTCCTCGTTCCGATAAGCGGGTGCAGGTTATTCGAGATGAATTCGAGAAATCCGAGGAGTATCTTGGAAGATTTGGGAAGGAGACTTGATGATGACAAAAAGCATTAGCCAAGTCTCAACTCGACCTTATCTAATTACTAGACTAGGTCTTGAGGTGTTGCAGTGGGGAGACACCCCATATTCATTCAGACATATCAGATAATGCATCAATATTCATTAATCACTCTTCCCCGCATCCCATACCCTCCCCTTGTCTTTGAATGTAAGTATGACCTTCAGTCTGAACGAACGGGGCTGAAGTCCTATTCATTCAGACTTGTCTCACATTGTGTCTGCGTCTAGCAAGCCAAGTTAGTTTATGATCTCAACGCAATAGCACTTAAATATGTAACATACCTGGGTGCTTGTCAACAGCCGCAATACCTTCCCGCTTCTTCGCCTTCACCTTATAATCCACCCCAAACCGCTCATCCCGTTCCCGAAGCAATTCGTCAAGTCCACCTGGACACGCCTTCTTCACATCATCTTCCGACCCGAAACTCCCCATCAACTGTGGGGGTCCCATAGGAACCACGTCTCCACGGTCAACTTGCCAGAAATGGTACGTCTTTCCATAAATCGGCGCAACATCCTCCATTTCCGCCGTCTCCGCTGCCTCCCATGCCGCGTTGGGCATAGATGCCGGTGCCGGCATGATGAGCATGCCGCTTTTGACTTCAAATTCGTGAGTGTGCCACAACTTGCGCTCTTCGGCTGGAAGGGTCTTGAAGACGCGTGGTGAGACCATATACTCGACGCCGATCAGGCGAGCTTTGGCATCCGGAGAGTCATAGATCAAGCACTGTCGCACATCTGGATTTGAATTAGCATGGTATCTCTTCTACAATAGAAACAGTAACCATGTTCATACCTTCGGTTAAATGCGTGCAATAATGGTTAGCTTCAACGCATCGAGTTCGGTCGTTGGCGTAGACGTGGAATGCGTTTAGATGAGCGCAAATCTGCTTGACGGGTGTAAAGTCCTGGACTAGACCAGCCCCTGTCTCGAGAACTTTGCTCTTTGTCGTGCGGTCACCACCTGCGATAGAGCTGTTTTCATTCTCCGAGCTTTTTGCACAAGCGGACATTTTGAGACGTAATTTGAATTTGCGCTTGCGGGTATTTGAACAAGTGGTCTACTTGGGTTTCTGTACGAAAGATTCCTGAGTAATGAGGTTATACTAAATTTTGTTGCTTTTTTCCTGTTCATTCGATATTTAATGCTTTCGGTTTCGTAATTCTTGCCTCGCTGTCCGCCTTGAATTTCTGACGTCATGATGATTTGAATATTGTCTATCTCAGCCTGGGTGAGCCAAGGCCGATGCTAGCTTCCCGGGTCATAATCCATCAATTGGCGGATCGCCTCACGAGACTACATAATATCAGCGTCCCCAAAAGGAGCGGTGCTGAGAATGCGAAGTATTTCAGATTTGACAAGGGTAGAGCGATAGAGATGATACGTGATTCAGCGACTCAGCATTTGGATCGTTCCGTTACATTTCGTAGGATACGCAAATAACATAAGATCTAGATGAGTTGCGCTCTCCGTCATCCTGTGTCGGGCTTCCCAGTCGAAGGCCACAAAATAGAGGTGAGAACGGCGAGCGTTGAAAGGGAAGGGATCAGTGGGTCAGCAGTTGACCAATCATGTACAAGATTCGGAGCTCCGAGTCTGCTTATCAAGCTTATTGGAAAATAAAACCCTCCGAATTTCGAACATTTGGATATTAAAAGCTCTTTATAAACATGATAACGACTATTGAGTCTGAGTATGGATCAAAGCAGAAGAAGATGAAAGATTTGGAGACGCGCGATGAGGTGCTCTGAAGCATTTACGCTTCTCATTTTGCTTCCGCTGCTGCGCTAGAAGTCAGTGTGAGTTCGGGCTTCTTTAATGTAGATCATACTATTACTGAGAGTTACTGGTCAAGTTCACTACTTTCAACCAGCTTATGAATGTCATATCAGATGAATTTGAGAAATCCGAAGGGATTCTTCGCCCTTATGAAATCTTTTACAATCGGAATTGTGGTAATCTATCTACTCATAATCACCATATTTATTTCAAGTCCTTCGGTTGATCAATTTCCATCATCTTGTGATTGCTGTATGAATTTTGGCTTGATACCTATAGATGAAGAATGTCTCGTGTATTTCTGAAGTATAAAATCCTGATCAAATCGTCTCCAAAAGGTCCCTTTAAGTGGGTCCGTGACGTTCTCAACGAAAGGGGTGATCTTGGAGCCGAACGCTTTACGCTCTTGATGAGTTATCAATTCGAATATATCGTTCCAGGAGCGCCTTTGTGACAGATGCTGCCGTCGCGGCGGCAAAGTCTTGCCAAATCTTGTTCTTGTGGCTATCCGCGTAGTCACAAACAGCCTTGACCACAATGCAGGGTAACTCGTCCCATATACCTGCGCCTTCCATCTCGAATGCAATGACACCGTGACTCTTGGCAATCCTGTCACGGTCTTCGCCAGACTTCACTACCGTATCACCTGACCCTATACGCCCAACAAATATTGAAGGGGCTTGGGCCTCCTGGCTACGCCCTTCTTGCTCTAGCTTTCGCTTGAGCTCGAGACGCTTCCGCGGTACCAGATAGTCATTGTCGCATCCGAGATCATCACAAGACAAATCCCTGGATTCCTTGCATATGGACACATAGCTTTCGTGACTTTCTGCACAGAGACAATAGGAAGAGACATGGTGTTTGTGCCTGTAATCTGGCCGGAAGAGTTTATCTTCGGCGGCTCCTGGATACTGGTATTGTTCTCTGTCCCACCTCTGAGAAGGGCTGCTCTGGATTTTCTGGAGGTGAATGGCAGCACTCCGCTCTAATCTGCCACGGCTCAGTTTTGTCTCGCATATAGCAAGCAAGCTGCGTATGTGCTTAGGGGCTCTACCAAGGCTATCTTCCACGGTATCTTTCACCACGAACTCGTCGGGGTATTGCCTGCCAAGATCGTATTGCCTGATACCCTTACTAAGGACTACGTCGCCGAGGAGAAGCTCTTTGTTTGGTTTCGGATGCGGTACGCCGCCGCAGACCCCAGTCAAAAAGATGAGCCTCAGTCTCGGATAGCTGGATCGAAGACTGGCGGATGTGCCAGCCGCGCTGACTTTACCCATTCCCGGAAGAAGTACAAGAACGATGTTGGAATCTCCCATTCGTCCCGTGGCGTACTCGTTCAAGTCTCCATCGGCCTTGCCATAGTGGTCGCACTCCTCGTCCCAATATTCGTCGATGAGTAAAGACACGGCATCATACTCAAGCGGCAATGCGCATACTATCGCAATGCCAAAATCATCGCGGCTAGCAGGGCGTACATACTTCTTGCCGGGCGGGTTGATGGCACGACAGGGTAGCACCTCTTGTGAATTTACATGTGGAGGCGACGAGATTGAAAGTTTTTTCGCCAGCGGAAGGTCTGACACTGAATCTCGTCGTTTTCGTTTTGAAATCTGGGGGTTCACCATGAGCTCAAGATTCCGGACTATTTGGTCGTAAATGACCTTCCTCAATACCTCACCAGCAGAAGTGATTGTTTGATCTTGTGATCTTGGCAGGGCCATGTGCAGATACAGACATCCTTCAACAGCTTTAAGGTAGCTGCTGCTCCCGTCTCTTTCTGCCACGTTAACGTAGGCACACATCTCACCCCAGTTAGACACATTAGCCTTGCTTTCAGGGTGTATATCCATCGGAATCTGCTCGCCATTATCAATTTCTAGCAGAAGCCTAGCAAAGGAAAGAAATATCGGGTTTCCAGGTCCAACTGCCTTCAGTAAATCGGGGTATTTGGGGCTCGACGAAGCTTTCGGCCTGAGCGAAATATACGGGACACGGCTACTCGCATTGGTGTCGGAAGAGCGCAGAAAATATATGCTTTCCGGTTTCCAACTATACGAGGCTAGTTCGAGGTCCTCGTCAAAGAAGTCCATCAGACATCTAGCAAGAGCAAGGGCTAGCACGGCCTTTTCACGAGAACCGAACTTCTCCTTTGTTGCACCTTCTAGGTAGTCCCGAGGGGTGATGCGACTGAAGACCTTTTGATCGAGCAGTTCGCCAAGGGACTCGGCGGTAAATCTATCCAAAGATGACGTCTTTGGCGGCATTTTATCCGAGATGTCGAACAGCCCTCGTTTGTCAACGGACGCATAGAGCTTTATACCCCGTTCCCGGGCTTTTTGGATTATCGTACATATGTTGGCCTTCTCAGCCACATCGATCGTTACACTAATCATCTGTCAAAAGAAAAGCCAGCAAATCAAGAGTGGTAGTGTAAACGTACTGGAATGAGCCGCACTTGGCTTCCTGCCAAACACTTCCGTCCGGACAGCAAGACACGAACATATTCAGAGCCGTTTGGTAAGGACTAGTTTGCCAATCGTCTGAAACTTTCAACTTGATTTCGTGAGTCTTTCCACAATCATATTTTCGAAATTCCTTGAATATTGCGTCTACCACAATGCTTGCCCGCTTTTGACGCAAGCCTAGCTGGTTCTGGGTTGATTCTGGCGACAAGAACTCCTCTTGCTGTGGGGATATATGTTGAAAAACTTGCGATTCCTGTGTGCTAGACGCAAGTTTTTCTAAGAATGTTTTCCATGTGATTACGTGGTCCATCGCAATAACGCCAGCCTGTCCTTGGGGCAGTTCAAATAATAGTGACCCTGGACCCGTAGCCAAGTTGAAGTGATCTGTTGAATTATCTAAGAAGGCGAGCAGGGCACTCAGTTGTGGGTACGTGTCGCCAAGTACTGTGATATCGTGAGCGTCTGTACGTGGGCACCTGGATGGTACGCTTCTGAAAGATCTGATTTCTTGACCGATTGATTCATCAGAATGCTCGATGATGTCTTTGTTGACCATCTCGTTTAGTGAGGCCAGAAGATTTTGTGCCACTTCATCCATATAGTAGTAGTCATCTTGTGATATATCGTAAACCGTGGGTGTTATCGTGAAAATGTGGCGCAGGTCGACCTCGAAGAAGGCTGCGTCGTTCTGTAATTTCTGCGGGCGACTACTGGGTGTTTTGTCTCTCGTAAACCTCTCTAGTCTGCCGGACAAACGTGATTTGAGAGCTTGGAGGCCGTTCCACCCAAGCGATTCAGTCGGTAGCATGGTTGGACTATCTTCGCCGCTCTATCCCAAAGACATGATTGTTGGTAGCATATCTCACTACCATTGGACCGCGCAGAAGAAGCCGCACGAGATTCTTTGAAGTGGACAGTAGTGAAGGGTTAATCATCAGCTCGAGATCGGGTGTTGAACTTAGTCAGGTGGGGGCTGACTCGGCTGCCCCGCACGTGCCGCATTTCAGAGTGGAGAAGTGCGGGTATTGGATGCAGTCACGTCCCTGTTGTCCTCGTTGAATCAGGGACCATGGACGATATCGAGCACAATGAACCGATTTTCGGCCTTGCCGAGGAATGTGAAACGCTATTTGCAGAACAGATCTCCAGGCTAAACAATGACGACGAGCCAAATGGCGCGACGATTCTTTCGGAGCTGAACCAACGATTCGCTGCTTGGGCAGCCTTCCTTGGTGTCTTCGCGGAATCGAGGATTTGTTTGGATCACAGGCTTCGGCACCATGTAGAGATCCAAGATCAGGTGCTCCTTCTGCTGGACCTCATGCAGAGAAACTTGACCTACTGTGCCTTATTCTTTCCTCCCCGCCCGGCAGGGTATTGAGTACTGACACGGTAGGTAGTATTCGAACCGGATCACTCACCAGAACGCGTGAAAATCGAGTCTTTCGACAGGCGCCAACAACTTCATATTAGTATTTCCAGCTTGGAGGCAATATCTGGGGCTATTGAACGCCTCAACCACCTCGGAATCGCAATCCGACAGTCATCTGTCACGAGCCAAACAGCAAAGACGAGAAAGCTCGCAGAAAGATTTGACTTCACGTCTTTCGAGGAGATTGCGTATCTATCTCTCAGAAAACTTTACACCGATGCCAGCGAGGGTCTCCTTGAACAGCTCACTCGATGCATGACGCAGACATACGCCTTGTTCCTTCGTCGCAAATCTCGTCAGGAACGGCTTCAATCCCCACGATCACAACGCCAAAACCGAATTCTGCTCCCTACAGAGGAGCAGTCAATTTTAGATGCCAATGTCGGAAGCCCCATGGATATCGAGATACCAGTACCTGAGCCAAGCAAATCTTTAACCCTAAAAGAGCTTCGATCTACGCCGCTTCGGGCAACTCACTTGTTGCCCCACTCTGAGCCTACATCTGTGGATACTCAGGAAGTCAGAAACAAATACAAAAAGATGTTCAGCCCCTCTTCAAAAGCCAAAACAATGTCGATCATGGTAAATCCGGTAGACTATCCCCAACCAACTAAAGGAAGCTTGACCTGCGACTGGTGCTTTAGCCCTCTCCCGACTAAATTGTTGGTGGGAACCAAGTGGCGGTATGAATTCTTTAGCTCCAATTTCCTACTCTTAAATGTGCATACTTATCTGAAACATCATAGCCAGCATGTGAATGAAGATCATAGGCCTTACGTTTGTATCTCAGAGAAGTGCGCCGAAACATTGCCCAGGTTTGCCACCTCGACGCAATGGTTACAGCACATGCTTACCACACACGGCCAAAACTGGCATCGGGAAGTGCACGCGCCGTCATCGTGGGTTTGCCCTTTGTGTATAGAAGACGCTAGCTTTTCCAACCCGAGCGACCTTACCGCGCATCTCAACAGTCTCCATGAAGACACCTTTACGGAAGCTCAAATTCAGGCTATCGTGCGACAGAGTAGACTTTGGCTCCCTCGTCCGCGAGATGTCTGCCCTCTCTGTTGCCTTCCCATAAAGAACCAACATGATATTCCGTCGAAGAATTTGGGCCGTAAAAGTGAAGAGTCATTTCCTAAGGAACCACACTTCATGGCAAGCTCGAAAAGTAGCCACAAGCGCACCAAGACAGAGATTGGTCATACACGTTCAGGACAAAACAGTGGAGATGGATTTGAAACGATAAAGGAGCAGTCAGAACCAGAGGTCATAGGCGATCCATCCTCGAGCAACCTCGTTAGCGTAGAAATGATTGCGAGCCATATAGCTGCACATCTACAAGGTGTCATGATTCTAACGCTACGTTTAATATCTATAGATGTTGCAATGGAAGTTTCAGCAGATAACCAGAGCGCTCCAGGCATAACCGACCACCAATCGTCATGGGTCAGCTCGGATAAGACTGATCTCAATCAGGAGGTCAACAATATGGAGATTTCCTCACTAAAAGGAGATAGTGACATTGATCTCAGCTCTATACATCCCTCGCAAGACACAGTCCCAGATTCTGAGTACATGGATTGGCATGACGTCCCCCGCCATTATGATGCCCTGATAAACCAAAAAGTCGCGCTAGAAGCGATTCCATCAGGATTCAATGACGAGTACGACCGCATTTGCGACGCAATATACGAGCAAATATATAGGAGAATGGAAAGGAAAGATGAAGACCAGCTTCGCTTTGCCAAAAATGGAACCGCCCAGAAGACTCTACGTCGCGACATTCTGCTACGTTTCTTTCGAAGCATTCTCTTGGGCCCTCATGTCCAAATTAGCGAGGGAGATTTTGTCAGAAGGATAAACGAAAGGAAGCTTCATGACTTCCTGGCCACTCTAATATTTGCAAAATGTAAAATGGAGCAAGCCCGGAGATTTACCACCCAGCTTATGGATGAGGAGACATGGCGAGTCCCAGACACGAGAAGGACAATTTATTCCCTACCTGTGTGTCTTGAAGACCTCGTGAAATTTTTTGGTGACCGGAGCACCGCGGAGAAGTTCTTCACGAACCAGGCTTGTTTTTGTCCCGCAGTGATTCGCCGGGGGAGGAAGTCCGAATTCAAGACCCTAAAACTCAGCGGTTGCCTTTCCTAAAACAGAAATTGCTTTCACACGGGGCATTCGGCGGTGTTTACAAGGTCAAGATTGCCCAGGGCCACTTCTATGACCCCCGAGGTCGACAAACACGCCAGGAGCCTATAGAAATGGTGCGCAAGGTCTACACCATCAACGAAACGTTTCCCACACGGCCCGTACAGACACAACGCGAGTTAATGAAAATCTTCACGGGATCGAATCTGACATGCAAAAATGTTATCGAATACTATGGCAGCCTTGATGTCGGCTCGACGTACAGTCTGTTCATGCCCCTCGCCATCTATGATCTCTGGACCTACATGATGGAGCATCCTGAGAGGGAGCCCAAAACCCGTATGGAGAGGGCAGAAGTTGTTTCTTCCCTCATGGGTCTTGCGCTCGGGCTGGAGTTTCTTCACAATGATTTAAGATCGTCCGATAAGGAGGATCTGGTCTGTTACCACATGAACATCAATCCTAGGAATATCCTACTCTTCCGAGAGACTCATAACTGGGAAACCAAATATACTTGGAAACTAAGCGGCTTCAGTCTGGCTCATATAGTAAGGCGGCGTCGTCGGCTGGGCGGCGGGATACGGAGAGTTTCCAGCAGCCGGTTGGAAGCAGATGAATTGGTTCCCAACGAGCGTGGAGAAAGCACATACCTGGCGCCTGAATCAACCTCATCGACTCCAAGCATGGGGTCAAAAAGTGATGTCTGGTCCCTGGGATGTGTCCTCAGCGTTGTTTTCACATATCTAGAAGGCGGCTCCGAAGAGGTAACTCGGTACACAGATGCGAGAACCAATCACCGTCTTGCAAAAAGCCACGATTCATTTTGCGTCGTGCGTGAGAGGGCAAGTTCGCCTCCAAAATCTCATCCGGTCATTAAGTCATGGCATACACATCTTATTGACCAAGCACGCAAACGGGATCCTCATGAAGGGAACGCTGTGGAATTCGTGTTGAGGTATCTTGAGACGAGCGTCTTTGAGATTGATCAAGCTAAAAGAAATAGCGCTAGGGAAGTAAAGGAAAAGCTGAGCATAACTTTTGGGAGATATCAAGCCTTGGGAGAAACAGGGCTTGAACCTTTCAGGAAGTCGAGAACAGAGAGAATGCAGGAAAGCTTTGGAGGAACACCGGGCGAGTCAACTTGGCGAAATTTGCTTTCGAGGTAGGAAATGATCTTTATCGCTTGCCCCAAGCACCGCGTCTTCATCAGATTAATTGACTGGATCATTTTGCAAATAGTAAGCCGAAATGAGAACAACATGCATAGGTCTTGCGAAGTCCCAGCGACTCGAAAGGGTTCTACTATGCATTGGGTGTTGACGCATTGCTCGCTTTGGGGAACTGTCATCTATCAATATTGACTTTATGGGAGGGCTACCTTATCTCAAAATTCCAGCAAGGGAAAACAGTGCTGAACTGTACATACTCATGTATAAGCTGCGAACAAAATAGACAGGACTTTTGTAGAAACCAAAACACCCATCCACTAGGCTTTTCCATACTAAGCCCCTGAAAACTGCTGACTTGCCGATCCCCACTAGCCCCAGTGATCCCCTCCCCGGATCAGATAGTAGAATGAGCGGGCACTGGCCTTGCGGACAGACCTCGTATGGCAAGCCCCGCACCAATCAGAAGGGCCGGGCTTTGCTGGGCTGGAAACAATGCGCCACCACGAAAGCTTAGCCCGTAAGTAGTTGATTTATGAATTTGAGTCGTTCATGCGATTCCGATTTACGACTACGAAGACACGTAACAGTGGAAAGGTAAAGAATGTCATAGCATCATTAGGATGTATTCCTCTATGTCGACACAAGAGCAAGCTAAAAGGAGCGGGCAATCTAAAAGAGGGCCCTGACCAACGACTCAAATACAATCCGATCATTCTTCAAGAATAGAAAGGCCGATTTGGAAGTTGGAGGACCCCGCTAGCCCGTAATCATGCGCTGGTCTAAGTTGAACCCATTTCTAAACGGTCAAAGCAAGCTTACAGCTGCTTGAGGATGTGGTCGGCGGAGGTAACCTCGAGGACGTTCTTGGCAGCCTCCTTGGCGGCGTAGGTGACCTTGCCGTTGTCAATGATGATGGCGTAACGGTAGGTACGGCCCTCAGCGTCGGCCCAGCCGATGGACTTGGAGAAACGGGCCTCGGGGTCGGAGAGGAAGAGCTGGAGAAAAGAATGTTAGTTGAAAATCGGTAATAGGAAATCAAGTGGATTGATGAACGTACAATGTCATCACCGGTAACACCGTTGGCCTTGCCCCAGGCGCTCATAACGTAGGCATCGTTGTAGGCAAGGACGGCAACAGCATCGACACCCTTGGCGCGGAGCTCAGGGAGCTTGGCGAGGTACTCGGGGACGTGGTTGGCGGAGCAGACGGGAGTGAAAGCACCTGTAGAGAGTGGCGGTCAGCGGGGAGAACCTTGGGGGAGCGAGAAAAAAAAGACACATCATAACACGGGGAAAGAAGCGGTGACGAACCGGGCAGAGCGAAGAGGACAACCTTCTTGTTGGCCCACTCCTTGTCGACGTTGAAGTTGATGGGGTTACCGCAGACCTTGAACTCGGCGCTCTCCTCAGCCCAGGGGATGTAGCTGTGGCAATTCGTTAGTTTCGGCAATTGACTCGGGAGTAGTTATGGAGGGGATGGAGGGGGGGGGGGGCTTGGGAAAAATGCAAGAAAAACGTACGAGAAGACGACGCCCGAGGGGAAGTTGTCACCGGCCTTGAGAGACATTTTGAATATGTGTATTTGGTTTGAGAAGAGAAGATGGGAAAGAATTGAATGTACGGGAAGGAAAGAAGTTTAAGTTTACAGAGATAAGGAAACGGTTCAAGGGGCGCAATGGCGGTATTAATATTCCGGCCTCCGGCGCTTACACATATCGGCCCATCGGGATCAGAGATATGACGAATGGGGTGGAACAATTGGACCGTTCTATGAGCTGATCCGAAGCAGAAAGATACCGAACCGCATGGATTATCAAGAAAGACCGAGCGAGAACTGCCCCGCTGACTTATCATGTTATCAAGGAGGGGCGATCAGTGCCTGGCTGCCTGAACCGTGCATTAAGCCGAAACTAAAAAAATTAGTTCATATTACGTAACGCCATGGAATCATAGAATTATAGAATCATGGTCACCTGACTGTCATCTGGACCCGATAGTGCCTCAGGCAGTATCGGGAGTCGATTCCCGACATCGGGTATAGTCCATCGCCTCTAATCCGAGTAAGACACAATCTGATTCTAGATATACGTTCTTGACAGATCAAACGACTGAGAACCCGGCAGCATATTGAAAATGACTCATGTATTTTTCCTTTAGTGCCTAGAACAGATCGACCAATTTTGCTCGTTCAAACACCTTTGTCACCAAACCAAGGTAATAACGAACGAAAAAGCGACGCACATTGTACTATTTGCTAAAGGTTTACATCACAGTCTTATATGTTTTCTATCAACCTGATTTTGTGCTGCTGCCCTTCCCCGCGTGTTATGCGAAGCCTATCTACGGGTAGACGGTAGACCATCCGACTCCGGACAAGCTGACGGTACGGACGTCTTCCCGGCCATGCTTATTCTGGCCACATGACAAAGAGATTCTCTTCCGAATTGGTAAATGAACCCGCCAGATTCAACCATGGACGTAACATGAATTTATTTGTCCCATAACAGCCCCTCGCGATGCCTTTGGTTGCGATAACCTTGTCGGATGAGCACCCGACAAGGGCCCGATACTGGGTTTCTGAAAGTAAATCTGGAAGATATCGCGGGGTGGACAAGCACAGGTGGGGTAGCAGGATAAACGATAAATAAACTGGTTGCTCGTACTCTGGAGGCTATACTAAATAAGAGTGCATTCTGATTGCCCGCCTCGAACAATGTCAACCGTGACTCTATGGTCTGTTGGAAAGTCTCCTGGTCCACGGGCTAGCGAGTTACTCGTCGCACGATGCAGCATACATCAACCAACCATCTCAATGTCATCTAAGCAGCAGCGCTTTTCATCTACCTTGCAAATGGCTGCGAAGAGCAGAACTCACACTGCTGCCCCGCTGCCACCTCTCTCGGCTCTGCCCACCAAAGTTCTTCTCCGATCATTGCTGGTTTCTACTATATCCTCTAAGCCACTTCTACTAGGCCCCTCTCTCTGGCTTATGTCAATCCTTTCCAAGCCAGACAGAGGCTGGCTCACGAATGTGGACCGCAATCCCATTTTGCATGGAATCTTGAAGAAGACATTCTACGAGCAGTTCTGTGCGGGTGAAACTGATACCGAGACAAGAGCCACAATCCGTGAGCTGAAGGATATGGGCTTCCGCGGTGTGATTATGACTTATGCCAAGGAGACTGTGTTTGATCACCGTACCAACACCCAGCAGGGGCTGGGTATTGCCGCGCTGGATGCGGAAAAGAACGATGATCCTCTACATCCACGGGTTGCTCACTGTGCGAACATCGAAGCATGGCAAAAAGGAACCCTTGAGACAATTAAACAGCTCAGCGATGGTGATTATCTGGCTATGAAGTAAGTTGTTCCATTTTTTCATCAACGGCAAATACATATTAACTGATTTCCTTTCAAGATTGACCGGAGCCGGTCCCATCGTTACTGACGCCTTCTCCAAGGGCGAACTACCACCAAACCAGATGCTCGACGCCCTAGACGAAATATGCAGGCGATGTGAAGAACGCAACGTCCGCATTCTCGTCGATGCCGAGTCCCACCACTTCCTATCAGGAATGCGTAGAACCACCCTCGACCTGATGCGGAAATACAACCACAATGGATACGCCCTGATCTACTTCACATACCAAGCCTACCTCAAGAGCACGCCGGCCACACTCGAAAGACACATGACAGCGGCACAACAAGAAGGTTTCACACTTGGACTGAAATTAGTGCGTGGTGCTTACCTCGCCTCCGACGAACGTTCCCTGATCCACGACACAAAACAAGACACCGATGATGCCTACAACGGAATCGCCCAGGGAGTTCTCGAACAGAGCTTTGGAAAGTTCGGCACTGAGACTACCTTCCCATCTGTGAACCTGTTCTTGGCCAGCCACAACAAAGCGAGTGTCGTGGATGCTCACCAACTTCATAAGCAGCGCACCGCTGCAGGATTACCTACCGTCCCTGTTGGATTTGCTCAACTACACGGAATGTCGGACGAAGTCAGCTTCTCGCTGCTCCAGCTTAAGGGGGCCGATGGAACGCCTGAGGTGTACAAGTGCTCGACTTGGGGTACTATGGGCGAATGCTTGGCTTATCTACTTCGGAGGGCTATTGAGAATCGAGATGCGGTTATGCGTACCAGTGATGAGTATGATGCTTTGAAAGCAGAATTTGGACGGAGGATTCGGGCTGCCTTTTCCTTTTCTTCTTCATGATTGGATACAACAGCTTCATAAAAACGACTTACAGTTTCATGGAATCGAACCAATTCTTGGGCAAAGTGAACCTGGTCCCCTTCCATATGGCCTTATTACGCTAGACATCGAGAATACCCATTGTAGAAAGCCAGGTACCACCTCCAAATGATCTTAAAGAGGAATGCTGAATTGAGAATTAAATACATTCGGGTCAAGGAAGTCATACAGGCACTCATCACAATTACATCCTGGCCTGATCATAACACCAACATCCCCGTCTTCATGCCCAAATATTCTCCCAAAAGCCGTCTTCATCACTTTCAACCCCATCCAGTGCATCCTCAGACTCCTCCGGCAAATACGGAATTACGTCCTCTGCAAATCTCGCGATCTCCTGAGAGTGCTCAATAATTGACTTCCAAGGCATCGTGTTGAGGCCTTCAACTTTTGACTCGGGAAATTCCGGATATCCAACAGCGATTCTGTTTTTGTTCGCCGTCTAAAAAAGGTATTCTAGAGCGGGATTGTCAAAAGCATTTAATGATTCGATGCCCTTGGACGAATACAACGGAATCGTTCTTTCTTCTTTTCGATCAGATCTGCCCATATCAAGGCATATCTTTCTTACATGTTTATGCAATACAATTCTTGGATCTCATAGTATATGTCAGTATCTTCAAGGAGCTTTACCGATTACTATGAAACATGTGCTTTGTTTTTGACTCAAAAGCTTAAGTCGAAGTTCTTGAGTTTCACCTACCTCGCATTGGAACGATATATCCCACGCGAAGACCGCGGCTGGCTCTGCCAAGTGAAGCAAGTTCAAAGATGACCAACTATGCTGGCATTGGATCACATCTAGCCCTGCATTATGCTATTCAATCGTCTGTCAAGTACATACGACCATAGGGCGCGGAGAATAGGGCTTCTCGTCCGCTCGGCCGTACTTGAGCCACAAGTTTTGCATGGCCAATTTTCGAAGCGCCCTCAATACTCCTTTTCGTCTGAAACGGCTAGCGAAAGTGATCGAGGGTGAGTGTGGGTGATATGGGTGAGAAGTCGGAGAACGCGATAAAGGGGTAACCTGAGGGTAATTCCGGATGAATCCCCTTCAGTCAGCGAAGAAATTACTACCTTTCTCCTTAGGCATCCACCTACGGAAATCCTATAAATAGATCGACTGTTATCCTATTATTTTGAATGTTCAAATAATAATTGAGGAGCCGCTTTATAATTGAAAAGGGGCCGGTGCGGCCCCACGTAAATTGATCTGCAATCTCCCCACTCTGTGGATGCACTGGACCGGTTGTGTGATGGACCCAAGAAACGCCAAGAGATCCGGCTTGATATACAGCATTCTGCCTTGTATCTATGTCCATGGATAGAAGTGCGGGTAAACGTCCGCGTTGCGTAATCACGGTCATTTATCATGACAAGCTTTTAATCAGTTGTGGCTGAGCGGGGGGAAACGTGGCCGACGTACCCGTGTTTGTCGCCCCCCGCGCTATTAATTCCCTCGTGGCTCTCCATGCGCCCGCATCGCGTGCTTATTTCTCTCCATTTCTGCGTGCAACCTGAACATCGCCAGGAATCATCATCAATCTTCTAACCGACAGGGATTATGCAGTCCTCAAAGATTAAAAAGCCAGCCGACCTTCCCCCCTCTTATTCAGCCACCGCAGACAGGATCTCACCTGCACTACATACGAATGCAGTCATCGAAGCCGGCCATTTCCGTGCTCGGGATGAGCAGGAGATGCAGTTTCTGCTACAGAATGTCCAGCAACTATCTCGCATCTACAATCCGGAAATCGAACCGGAACACGACACAGACTACTATTGCAACTGCCATATCCACCGGTATATTGGCAGAAAGATAAACCGCCTTAATGTTCTGGAGATGTGGTCAAGGGCTGTTATGTATCCAGGCGAAAAGTTCTATCATGACTGCTACCAAGTGAGCTGGTTCACAAACAATCCGTACTCAACCTTCGTCGTTTCTCCCTATGGATTTAATGGCGCGAGTCTATATGGGTCCCAAATGCCCAGTGCGCGCTACCATGCGGTCTCAATTCGGCAGACAATAAGTTTGAATGAGTCCCTGAATGCCAAGGCCCAGGCTGCTGTTCACGCCCAGGAACCGTCATTTAACATTTGGGAGACTAATTCACTTGAATCTTCGATGTCGAGCATGTCTATCGCTGATCCGGCTTCTAATTCATCTGGCCAGCCCTCGACGCGATCCAAGCTTTCCGGGCTCAAGCGGGCATTTTCAATCAAATCATCCAAGGACAAGGCAGCTATAAAAGCTAGTAAATGGATCGAGCTACGCCCCGCCATACTTTATGAAGAGCGTGGAAGATGGCCCGACGAGGCGACACGGAAGATTGTGAGTATATACCAGGAGGAGATGGGGATGACTGAGAAAATATCTGAACTTCGAACTCGCTACCCTCTTCAATACCTGCATTTACTTCGAGCCGGATACTTCGAACCTATCCCTGTATCTTGGGCAAACTTGGCTTCCAATCCACTCAAATTCTCGATTGACGCCGCTGCGGGGTGGAGAGGAATTACACCAGCGTGGAGAGGATACGAAGACACTGCCGAAGAACGCCTCTATTGGGTCTTGAATCATAGGGCAGGGAGTACCGGGGCTCGCCTGAAGCCAGATATGATATCTGCTTTGGATAGGGCGCGGGCTCGAATGGCGTCTGCAGTGGAACCGCCTCCTGCATACTTTGCTGTCGATGATGTCTGTCACGTTCAGCATACATCCAAGGGCTATTCACATCAAGTTATGCCTCCCGCTTTCAGACCATTTGACGGCGTTGAGACTCCTTTGGACGATACGATGATTTTGTTAGACGTTTCCGGCTCCATGGATTTCGAGCCTGTGCGACCAAATTATAACCAGTACCTTATCACTGGGTACTCGAAATCGACCCAACCAAGGAATAAAGGCTAGTGCGATACATCATTAATCTATAATCAACACTAACATTCTACACCGCAGACGTTGCAAAGGCAATAATTCGTCGCTTCACCGACGCAATGGCCAACCACGACAAAAATTGGCAAGGCTACGAACTCACCACATTCTCAAGCCAAGCAGATCACATCGGCGTCATAAATCACTGGAACTTGGATGAAATGTGGCGATGGGTCGCATTCGGGGGTCTCACAAGAGTCATGACTGGGTGGCAGAAAGTAAAGGAAAAGCATTTCCAAAAACATTCCGAATCAGCAACATACCATCCAATTTATGGCTGGCAAGCTGGTCCAGAGACCCCGAAACTGCGGTTACTTCTTTTACTCGACGGAGAAGCGCTCGACATGGATGAGTTTGAACTTGATCTTCTCGGTCTCTCTTGGGTCCATGTTACAATCTTCCTGATTGGCGTGGACGGATGCCCACACCATCATCGCCATGCAAACGAGCTGCAGCGAATCAGCGAGGTTAACCCTCATGTTTCGTTTGTTGATGCTCAGGGTAATACTCCGGAGCGATTTATCACTCATGAATTGCTTAAGCGACATCTCGGGTATGAGCTTTCGATGACGGAGTTTGAAGAGTTGGAGCATCCGCCTCCATATTCAGTTTCTGCAGACATTGTTCAATAGTTTTGAGGGGGGAGGTGTACATCAAGGAGCAATTTGAATTTTAATTCGATAGTGACGGCAGACCCATCTCACTAATTGCCATGTGGAACAATACCTTTGTTAAGCGCGACTTGGGTGATTCCCATCCTACTTCTCACCCTATCTATTGCGCACTCACATGTCTCACCCTGGATGCGCGACCCTATAGCGGCTCTTACCAAATTGCTCATGAGACAATACTATATTTTTTGGATAAATAATAATATAGTACATACGCCATAGGGTGTGGAGAACAGGGCTTCCCGTCCGCTCAGCCGTACTTAAGCCACGTATTCCGCACGGTCAATTCTCCACACGCCCTGGTCACCCATATTAGAACATAATAAATATAGACCATAACTTTTTTATTCTATAGATAAGAAAAATAGAAAATAAATCACTACAATAAGGTCGACGTTAGGGTGAGTGTGGGTGATACGGGTGACAAGTTTGGAGACTGGGTGAGAGAAGTGAGAACGGAGTGAAAATTCTCACCCTAGGGGGTGATTTGACTCTATGACTTCCCCTAGCCAGGTAAAAATAAATAAATGCTAGCTTAGGGGCCCCCGATCACTTGATCATAGTTTTCTTAATATTTTCCAAAATAATATATCTAATAACTTCGTTTACGTACTGTATAATAACCGATGATGAAAGGTTTGTTATACTTCTCAATTTGCATGTAGGGAATATAGAGATATTTATCGGCGTTCGTAGTTATTGCTAACCTCTGGGTCTGGACTATTGCATCCCCTTCCTCGTTCTCTTACTCTATTCTAATTTACATACTTTGATGCACTCTAGTTCTTCTTCCTTGTCCCATATTTCCATGCTTTAGGTCTAGATAAGGCCACTTCCAGCTTCACCTTAAGATACAAGTAATAATCTCACCATACTAACCAGATAATATCAGCTCCTGTGGGTACTGCAACCATGCATTCCACTGTGGGTGAAGATAATCACGAATCATCTTAAAAAGATACACTCCTGCATCCCTGACTTGCCACATGTTTCTACCATAGTGCAGCAAAATCGCATAGTACGCTAACAATATCAGCGCCTCTGGTCTCCTCTCGTAAAGCAAATCAATGAACTTTGGTGGAGCTAGCATTAACCAAGTGTAGATCATGTAGTGTCTGTATCCTTGCTGTTGCTCTGTTGCGGCAGCATCAAGGCCTACTTGCAGATGTCGAATCATGAGCTGACAAGCCTCTTTACCGTCGTGATCTAATCCTTCGCAAGTATCTACCAGCTCGAAAATACGTTGGCACTCGCAGCCTCTCGGCGAGCGTGATGTAAAGCGCGAACTTGCTGAGAGAATAGGTTCAAGCTCCGACTTCACCAGCTGCGGCCAGGCAGTCATAGCAATTGTGTGAATTCCTCGATGAATCTCAATACAATGGATATAGTTCCTCATGAAGGCTTCGAGGCCGCCGGGGTCCCGCTTCGCTAATGTGTCGGCAAGAAGGTGGTGACCAAGGATGGAGGAAAACAAGAGGATATCAACGCAATTTGTTTCGTTGATTGCCTTATACTCTGAGTTGAACATAGCCAGTGCGCGGCTTTGCAGAGTAATAGCTTGATGCCAGTGAAGATCTGACCGTGTTGGATTCAGGGAGGCCAAATGAAGTGCAGAAATTGCGAGTAGTTCATACAGGAGATATGATGACTTCAATCCCGCCTTCAGTGCAAGGGAAAGAGACACAGGGTTGGTGAAGGCGTCGTCACCAAGACTGAGGCAGATTACGTTATTGTCAAGCGTCAAGTGGATAAGTAATTCCATATGATCGATGTTGACGTCGGTCGATGATTCCTGCGCAGGATCCACCTTGTTTTCGGGGTAGTGAGTCGGTATAGGTTGCTGTTGAGCCAATGTATAATTCGATTTGGTCCCCGATGGTTCTCCACTGAGCGACTGAACTTCGAAGTCATGATCTCGTCTGAGGAAGATATCGTTGTTTGACTTGTCAGGTTGATGAAGCCTGGAAGAGTGCGAGGAACTAAGATCAAGTGGTGATTGATTAGTATCACCACTTGGTACCGCGTAACTGCACTTCCGATTTGACATGGTGCAGAGTATACATTCTGGGCGGTGCTCGTCGCACTAAAGGTGCCTCTATATTAGCGGCGGGAGCCCGATCGGACAAGGGAGAGTTCCATCTAAGAAGGGCTAGACAGCGAATGAGCTAGCAGGGCGTATTACCTTGACATGTCTTTTTTTGCTATGGGGGAGTTTGTCAATAAAGAAAAGGCCCATGAAGCGGGGTTGAATGGGCGTTGTTTAGGTACTACTCACCATGGTAGACATCCAGCTCGTGATTTCCTGTGGCTGCGACGGAGCATATAGGTGGCCGCGGGTATTCAGACCCGAGAGCACAGTGATACGACGTGGATACCGCTTTGCAGAGTAGATACCTCGTGTCGTAAGAATCTAAAGAAGGCATCCAATAGCCGTCAGATGGGGCCGCTTCCAAATACGCGTATTACGTAACATGGCCCGCTCATCGGGCTGAAACCGGAGGCCTGGGTGGATTTCATAGTCTCTGCTTACTATTTTAGCGCCTATAAGCTTCGGTTTGACAGTTAGGTAACACGCGTATTCCAGAATTTTTCTATCAATTTGCAGAGACAGGCTCTAGCTCAATTCAATTCTCATTTAAAAAGGAGATGCCAGTTTGGGTCCAAGTATCTTGGTTGAGGTACTTAAAAGAAATGAGTCGCTCCGCAAATCACGCTTTACAACATTTTGTATACCTCTTCCAATTCACTCCGCCAGACTAGTCTCCGTTGCGGTGCGGCCAACTATGCCAACACTTCAGACCTATCAGGGAGTGTACTTGTGGAGATATGTTCCCAGCCTACCACTCTCGGTGATGTTTCTCGGCCTATTTACCATTGTGACCTCATTCCACTGCTGGCGACTATACAAGACCAAGGCATTGTTTACAATTCCGTTCATAGTTGGCGGCATCTGTGAGTTCTACCACGCTCTTTCGCAGGATTGACTCGTGATAAAGTTCTTGAACTCTTACTGAATCTCTTGTCCGGGTAGGTGAGATATTTGGTTATGTCACACGAGCAGCTGCTTCTTCCAACACCGGTAGCTTGATCCTATACCTTCTACCGTCTATCCTCCTGGTTGTCCCTCCCATCGGCTTCGCCGCAACGCTCTATATAGTCTATGCTCGCATAGTTCGCGCTGTTCATGCTGAAGACCTCTCGCCAATTCCCATACGATGGGTCAGTTGGATTTTCATTACTGGCGATTTCACTTGTCTCATGATTCAAGGCAATGCGGCCGGGTTGTTGGGAAATGAGGACCTCACCTTAATTGCCGACTATATCATCATCGCCGGCCTTATTTTGCAGATCATCGTGTTTACTTTCTTTATTGTTTGTTGTGGGATTTTCAATAAGAGGATGCGAGCATATGTAGCAGAGTCTTGCCCGGTCATACACCTGCCCTGGCAGTCCTGTATCAACATGTTGTACATGACATCCACTACCGTCCTCGTGCGCAACATCTACCGTGTTGTTGAATTTGTGATGCAGTCTGTTAACAAAGATGGCTATCTCGTCATCACAGAGTGGCCTCTTTATGTTTTCGATGCGTCATTGATGTTTCTGCTCATGGTAGCCTTTTACCTGTGGTATCCACATGGGCTCCATCGTGGAGGAAGGGATTCTTCCATTCATGATTGATAGTGGAGTGGGAACCGGGAATCCCCAGTTATTTGACATTACAGGATAGACCGAAAGATGTTTTCCGACCTATATTATGACACCCAGTTCTCAGTACGCTGAATTGCTGGGCATGGGTAGTATATCTAGCAGCTCGAGAAAAGTATTGAACAACACGCTTCTATACCTCTCGCATGCTACATATATAGGTGCTACCACTTATATCCTATATACCCTACGGCTGCTTGTGTTATTATATTGTACGGCTGAATCGACCCGCATATCTCGGAGTGTGCTGCCTTCGAGCGGTCCCCTGTCCATTAGATATAGTATAAAGTGGCAATATTTGAAGTGGTTGACTTGCCGCTCTGATGGGGGAGATATATATCTCTATAGAACATGTAGCTTCACCACCTTACTAACTGTATATTAGCCTAACCATCCTTTATCGTTTAAAAACGTTATAATAAATCAAAGAAAATAAAGTAAGAGCCATAGAGTTTATATAGATCACACCGTTAAAAAGCTGACTTTATAATACCTCTATATAATATATAAGTAGGCTTCGGCATATAGTGCACCTATTATAAAAGAAAGGATGATTACCACTTTTCTAAGGCAGAAATCATAAGATACCTTAGAAATCCTAAAACGGCGCTAAATCAGAAGTGAATTAGCATCTAGATTAAAAGTGAGCTCTAGGCTTACCTAGAGCTAGTCTATAACGAGTGATACATAAGAGTGAGATTATTATAAATCGCTTACTTTTCTTTCACTCTGTTACGGCGTAACCTCGTCGTTAGGGCATAATATCAGGATAGGCCGAGACGTTACCTGATCATGCCCGATCTACTCCCGGGAAGCACCTGCATGACTCGCTTGATCAGGGCATTGCCCCATCATGTATATATTCAGCACGCTTGAGGAATTAGTTGATTCCTCAAGGATTAGTTTTTGTCTATTCTACGTTTGAATTATATGTGACACCTTCGACCTTGCCTAGTCAACCCTTATATCTTAACACGCTCTCTCTATATTAAGGAAGAAGAAGAATCCCTCTCTTTTAATTCTTTCCTTCCTTAACAATTAGTTTTGAAATCAATATGAACCATATTGCCTTAGACCCTAAATCCATGCTATACTAGTACTGCTTTATATTCGATTTAGATCTCTCTCACTATCTTTCTTGTTGGGCTGTCCGGGTGTTCAGGATTCGTTTCTGGCGCCAGAGTACCCGTCGTGTTGGACTGAGAGCCGAAGCTCAGCAGTTCCAACAACGGCGAAGTGTGACCTTTTCCTTGCACGTGCATTCTCTCAGCCGCAACTGTTTGGGATGGTCTCGGCAATCTCGGCAACACTTTCAAGGACGCAGCACATATCCATTGTTTGCGCTCTTAGTCAATGTTCTTCGATGCTTGAATCAAATTGTCTTCCAAAACCAATATATACATATATTCATATGAATCATCCCCTCATTGATTCTTATTACACTTTTGGAAGTTTAATTTACTTGTAATCTCAAAATGCTCTAAATCGTTCTATATTTGGATTCTCATACGATAAATATCTGCCTATATCTCTTCTCTCATTAACATGTATACTAGGAAAGATAGGACTGCTGTAACGGCAGAGCTAAATTATACCTTCTTTTTCCTTCTCTTTGTGTTCCCGCTCTGTTTCTATTACTTCCTATCTTCTTTTACCCTTCTTTAACTTAGTCTAGGATCCTCTGTTGGATGGATTCTTTCCTTCAAGGAGTCGATCAGCCCTACCACTGGCACAACGAGGAAGATGAACTAGAAATGGAACTGTGTTCTTCAAGATTGAATTTGTAGCCCTGGAGTGCGCGTGTCGGTATTTAGACAAGATCAGTGCCTTAAAATCTGCATTTCGTCTAAGAGATACCCTTCTGAAAATTTTCAAGTTATTGATAATTGGAAGCACTATATGTTGATAAATCTCATCCTCCATCCCGTCATTTTCCAGATTAGGTATTTGATTCCTATCCTAAAAGAGACACCTTTCGACAATAGCGTGGTACTCCGGACCCTTCTATGATGCTATATAATCTAACCACCAATTGTGACGTAAGAAACCGCTTATGCTCACCGCGAAGAGCTTGAATCCAAAAGAAATCTTTACCTTCCCTAACTGATTCTGATCCTGATCCTTTGGGGTTAGAAATAAATTTCAGCAATGTGGGCTGTCCTGAGCGTCGCGCTAAATTCTTCCACTAAGTAGAAATATGGAGTACACCAGAGTGCGGTCTTTTAATCCCCAAGCCTGAAAAAAGTCGCACATTTTACCTTCATTTTTCATATGTGGCTCTCGTCAGTACGAAGAAGACTGCTGTTAATTGATTTTAATCACTGTACTATACGTTAACCTAAACTGGTTGATCCAATCGACTCCTTCCTACGCAAGCGTGAAAACGTAAACTTTGAGTTAGCTATTCACTATCAATCAGTTTAAAATCCCCGAGACTCATGTTCGGAGTCATTATATGAATCCCAAAGTATTATTCCAATGGCTGCTCTACCCCTGGCGGTGCTAGGCGTCTGCGCGTACATATCACTCTTACATTCCATAATAACTTTCCAGTTCTAATTTCCAGCGAGGCTTATAGTAAGGCATAAGCAATTAACATATGGGCCCCAAAATAAATCAGCACCATTAGATAAAGTCCAGTAGCAGGTGTCCTGTAGCCTTTTTAACCTAAACAACTTGATCTACACAGTTAAACGACGGACTCTTGAAGGCAGTGTGACCAAACTTACAATTGATCATCCTTTCTTAAAGTCGATGGGAGACCTGAGAGTCTCTCGAGTAATCTAGACACTACGCTTTGAGGTTTTGGTAGAAGCTTCTGTATATGCATTACCTAGCAGCCTAGGCTTCCTTATCCCAACAATTGACAAACATATATCGAAAATTTGATTTGTGCTGGGCTTCTGCCTGTTCTGCCGAGTTCACCTTGTCGCCGCGATATCCTCCACGCAGAACGCCCAGCAAAATTTATGAATATGTAAGCTGTTTGCATCATTGGATGCCAAAACCGCTTTGATTTGCGGAAGAATTCTGTTGCGGAGTTTGCGGAGTTGCTTACGAACTCACGATCCATCAAAAGATGAAGATTATTATGACTTGAACAGCTGCAGATGAAATTCCGCAAAACTCCGCAAATTACGGAAACTCCGCAGCTACGAATTAAGGTCAATTTATGCATTCACAGTGACATTCGTTACTTCTGAACTGACCGCACCCAGCCTGACTGACATAATAGTCTCCAGATCTACTTAATATGTCTTGTTTCCGGGTGTAAGGATCCAACCAATCTTTAAGTGACAAAACAATTGTCTTAATTAACAAAAAGTCGCAATGGCCCCAAAAGTTCTTGTCATCCTTACTTCGCAAGCATTTATCCCAGCAAACAACCACCCTAGTGGATGGTATCTCGTGAATATTGCCTTTGCCCCTGATATGATGTGGCTCACGGAAGCGCTAACAAACTTATCAACAGCCTGAATTCGCCCACCCATTTTATATTCTGAATGGCAAGGTTGATATACTTGTGGCGTCTCCTAAGGGTGGAGAAGCACCTCTAGCTCCTGAATCTATCAAGCTTTCTCAGAACGATGCGATAAGCATGAAGTTTTTGAAAGAGCAGAAAGCTCTCTGGAGCAATACAGTCAGACTCCACGAAATGGTTCCCCGAGCAGATGAGTTCGACGCACTTTTTTATGTTGGTGGACATGGGCGTAAGTGCAACTCTCAGCTGAATGCTGGCTTAGACTGCACTAATGACAAAATCAGCGATGTTTGACTTGACCAACGATTTCGATAGCATTGCCCTGATTGAGAATTTTGTGGCTGCTCAGAAGCCTATCGCATCCGTCTGCCATGGACCAGCTGTTCTCCTTCAGGCAAAGACCCCATCCGGTCAATCCGTTATTGATGGTGTTGAAGTGACAGGTCTGTCAAATGCTGAGGAGGACGCTGTTGGTACAACCTCAGTCATGCCGTTTCTTTTAGAATCAGAACTGGATCGTGTATCCGGTAAATATATAAAGGCAAAGCCCTTCAGCGAAAATGTTGTTGTTTCTCGGTCGGCCGGTAACGGTTCGCTTATAATCACTGGTCAAAATCCGGCGAGTGCTGCAGCTGTTGGGGAGGAGATTCTCAAAGCCTTGGGCCTATGACTATAGGTTGAAGGGCTAATCACTATGACATATGTGAGCGAAATGAATGTCCTCCAATTCGATATGAGATCATGTTTTGTTGAACGTACCACGCAGGCCATGGTAACAATAGTGGTAGCCTACAACTATTAATTAAGGTGACTAGTTGTAGACATTCGAGAAGGAGTGCTTGCCTGTTTGAGAAGTCGCCTGCTGGGGCCAAATCAGCCAACCCTAACTATTTTTGAGGCGCATTAAGTCGAAGTCTCTGCGAGCCTTTCGGTCTTATTACGACTAGATAGGGCCCATAGAACTAATATGAGAAACGAACGTCTAGCGTAAGGAAGTTGGGCGATTAGTTCCCTCTAGGAATCCTCAATTCTTTGCAGAAAGTTTCTCTTTCCTTCTTCGTTTGCTACGTCTGAGGTACCTGAACCTGAAAGGTGTTGCCATCTCATCGGATACCTTGATTTCCGTGATGCACCAATCTGCGGAGACCATGGAAGGGATTCATTTCTGGAGGGTGGAGCTCAAATCTGGAACGTGATTGAAGATTAATTTGGAGACGGGCAAGTTGCCGCGCTTGAGCGACGTCATTATTAATCGCTGTGTGTACTCGGCGACAGGAACATGTGCACACTTGGATACTATGGGTGCCTTCGACGAACCTGCACTGGAGTGGCTCCTCCGCAAGGTAGACAGACGGAGACTCAGGTTCAGATACGAGCCTTTCAGTAAATGGACCATGGAGGGTGCTCACGAAATACCTTTGAAGTCCATTGCCGATCACGCGCAAGATATACAGGAATTACCTGAGGCGATTCGATCCATCACCATGTGATAGAGCACAATCTTATCATGACCCTCGCATATCGTAATGAAACAGGCCCCCAATACACAAATACACAAAACAGCTAGTATCAGAAATTGAAATCCACATGGACGATGAAAATGATTTTGGACACGAAATGCTATCTATATACAAATATGACTTTCGTAGGTATTTAGTGGTTGCTGGGGTAGGTGAAACCATGCTGAGGGAAGAACTCCTCTTTAATCAGCCGAGGGATGGTGAATCGGCGCAGAGAATCAGAGCTACCAGCCTTGTCATTGGTACCACTGGCACGGGCACCACCGAAGGATTGTTGGCCAATAAGGGCAGCAGTTGTCTTGCAGTCTGATAGATATGAGTCAGTGATGAGGGTAGAGAATGTACAGAGAATGTAAACTTACTGATATAGAAGTTGCCGGCAGAGTAGCGGAGAGCATCCTCAGCCTCACGGATAGCGCGGCGGTCCTGAGCGAAAACAGCACCGGTCAAGGCAAAGCCACCACCTGCCTGATCAACCTTCTTCAGAGTGGAGGACCACTCAGCGTCGGGGTAGACGTAGACGGCAAGGACGGGCCCGAAAATCTCCTCGTTGAACAGCTGATGATCTGCTGAGTCAACCTGGTAGACAGTAGGGTGAACGTAGAAGCCAACAGAGTCATCAGTAGTACCTCCAGCAATGAGCTTGAGAGAAGGATCTTTGTTGCAGTTATCAATGATAGATTTGATCTTGTCAAACGAGCGACGGTGAATAACAGGACCCATGAAGGCCTCCAGGTTCTTATCCGGGTTTCCGATGGTGATATCCTTCACACCAGCCTTGAGCAGAGCGAAGAACTCCTCGGCCCGGGACTCAGGCAGGTACAACCGGGAGGTAGCAGAGCATTTCTGACCCTGGTACTCAAAAGAACCGCGGATGGTGTGGTTGACTGCGCTGGGGATGTCGGCTGAAGGGTGGACGAGGTGGAAGTTCTTGCCGCTTGTCTCGGCGACAACGCGGGGGAACTCGCGATATGTCTTCTTCCCAACGCCCTCGCCGATCCTAGAGTACAGAGAGCGGAAGACATCAGAGGAACCGATGAAATTCAGACCGGCGAAGTCGCGGTGGGACAATGCGACATCGTTGATCGTCTCTGGGTCTCCAGTAACGAATTGCACGACGTTCGGGGGCAGACCGGCCTCGAGAAGAATCTTGTACACGATGCTGCTGGCGTAGACGTTTGAGGGTGACGGCTTCCAGATCACAACGTTACCCAGCAAAGCTGGACCGGAGATCAAATTTCCGCCTAACGCGGTGAAGTTGAAAGGCGAGATCGCGTAGACGAATCCTTCCAGAGGGCGGTGGTCCAGACGACTCCACATGCCATCGCTGCCGCGGGTGGGCTGTTTCTCGAGAATCTCCGCGGCGTAGTTGCAGTTCAAGCGGAAGAAATCTGCCAACTCGGCCGCGGCATCAATCTCGCCCTGCCAGATGTTCTTGCCCTGACCCAGCATAGTTGCGGCAATCAACTCATGGCGGTATTTTCCGGTCACCAGCTCGGCGGCTTTGAGGAAGATGGCGGCACGGTCGACGAAGGGAGTCTCTTCCCAATCTTTTTTGGCCTCAAGTGCGCCTTTAATGGCCTCTTTAATCTGCTCCCTGGTTGCAAGAGGGTAGTTGGTAAAGACGGTGGCATGCTCGGCAGGCAAAGGCTGGTCCCAGGACTGAGCGCTCTTTTGAACCTTGCCGTCGTAGATGATGTCGCTCTGGACAGGAAGTTGAGCTCGGAGCTTGACAAGAGCCTCTTCTAGCTTGATACGCTCTTCGGATCCTCTTTTGTATAATGGCTATTTTCATCAATTAAAATCACATACTATCATCCAATCATATTTGCCACAGGTACTTACGTTAGGTTCATTGCGAGGATCGGGAAGACGGAAAGGCGCGGTAGCCTTAGCCCGGATCTGAATTGAGGGCTTGGAAAGGTTGGAACGCAGACGAGGAGAGAAGACTCGAGATGAGCGCATGCTCAGGAGAGATGTAGAAGACATGATGTGCGTGATGTGTGCGATGAAGAGCAGAACGAATCCAGAACCCTGGTCTTTAAATGTACATCTTTATCGTGAACAAGGATTTGGAGCATCGGGCGCGCACCCGATGGTGACACGCGATACCCCGCCATCGAAGCTCTGGAGCTATGACGGACTCAATATGTGGGGTTCAAGATAAAGCTAGAATTGTTATGTCGGACCGGGAAGCGATCCCGATATCACCGGATCTCCACTTTTCCATAATGTAGGCGGGGAAACATGAGCTGCCCTGATAGCACTTGAGTTATTTGTGGCAATTTCCATTACGATGGAAGAACACCGCAATCATGCAGCACCGATCGGACGAAGAGGTATGGGATAGTACGCTTTTTCGTCGACTGGCGGGTGACGTTGGGGCCGCAATAGCTTCTGCAACTCTAGTCGCACCAGCGGTGACAATAATAGACAGGTAAATCGGTGACAAAGCTTGAGAAAAAAAAAAAGGGCGAACAGAGCGATTCTAATTGTTCCCAGGGCAATTGTCGAGAAATCTTCGTGGAACCAGTCTCTCCTCCGTGGATTAAGACGACATGCGCTTCAAGCATTCAAAAGCCCCGCGCGGTTCGTCTTCCAACTACCATTCGGCATAATCTGGTCCCTCTATGCAGCAACATACATCGTCGCAAATGGAACCGATACAATCAGCACCAAGCTCAAAGCCTCCGGGACAGGGATGATCACATTCGCAACAACAACCCTAGTGAACGTGCCAATGGGGGTATGGAAGGACATCCGCTTCGCAAAAATATTCGGCACCCAAACCTACGCGCACGACGTCGAAGCAGTACGGCCTGCACTCGTACAGAATCGTGGTGTTGCGAGAGCAGCTACGGCAATTTTTCTCCTGCGTGATGGAGTCACCATTTTCGGATCCTTCACACTTGCGCCAAAATTATCCGCTGCGATTCCTGATAGCGTCACTTCGCATCCACAGGCAAAACCGGTTATCTCGCAGTTGACCGTTCCAGTTCTGACTCAATTCGTAGCCACGCCGTTGCATTTGCTGGGGTTGGATCTTTATATGCGGCAGCATGCTGTGCCATTAGTTGATCGGGTTGTGCAGTCACAGAGGTATCTTGCTTCTACGACTGTTGTGAGGTGTATTCGGATTTTACCTGCCTTTGGATTTGGATGTTTGGCGAACTTGGAACTGCGGTCGCTTTTTCATAGAAATTTGAATGGATGAATTAGAAACCTCGAGATGTTCCATCAATAAATCAAGACTACAGATAGGGGTGGTTATTGGATGCTCCTATAATTTCTGCATACTTCTTAGCACGTAACATTATAGATCTTATCTATGTTTAGCGGCTCAATGCCGTGTATCGTTGACGTGCGAGCTTGTCTCCATAAGACGAGCCAGCGTGACAGACTCTCGAAGAGCCCGTCCAATATGACCCCGAACACCCGCCTCCTCCATAACCATCAAGCCACCAATAGTGCATCCCTCAGGAGATGTTCCCTGATCCTTAAGAAGAGCAGGGTGAATTCCAGTCTGAAGCATAGTGGCTGTCCCTTGCATAGACTGGAAGATCATGGTATGCGCCAAATCCCGAGGAACGCCAACCGCCACGGCAGCATCGATCATAGCATCGCAGATCACAGCAAAGAAAGCCGGAGTGGACCCTCCAACCGCGGTAGTCGCATTCATGAGGTGGGGAGGGATCTGCACTGTGCGTCCAATCCGCTCGAAGATCGCTGTCGTGATTTGAAGATATTCATCTGGTGGTGTGGGCTCCGACATCTCGATCGCGGTCAAGGACTGGGAAACTTGTGCAGCGATGTTGGGAAGCGTACGCACCACCCACGCACGACCGTCCGTGTTTTCGCTGGTTGTTTCGCTTTCATAAATTGTTTGCTCGAGCTTTTGACGCGTCCAACCGGCTGCGATGCTGATCAACAGCTTGTCCTTTAATGCCTCGCGGATTCCGGTTTGTGTCAACACTTTCGCGATGTCGACAGGATCCACGCCAAGAATGATCACGTCGGATTTACGGATGGCTGAGACATTATCGCCTTTGGTGATGGTTAATCGATCCAGCTGCTCGGAGAAACGGGCGGCTAATTTCGTCTGTGACTGTTGACTGCGAACACATGCAACGAAAAGTGTGAAAGGCAGCTCATTGTTTGACGCGCTTAGCAAGCTGTCAAGGATCGCAGCTCCCAGGTTACCTGAAATAATCAGTCTCTATTCTCGATGACTTTGACTGAATTACTTACCGCATCCTAGAAAGCACAGAGTGTAAGGCTTGTCTGTCATATTTTCGTATCGACGCAATTGGTCTGTCTGAGAATATTTGATATGAATCCAGTTTGTATGAAAGTGTCAATACTCATAACCCCCCGCCGATAAGATGAGTTTTGGCAGTCGGAAACCGCGCCGATGATGGTGGGGTAACCTGCACTTTGATAGAGTTTCCCCTCACGGACTCCACTCGGAAGCGTTGCCGATGCAGATGACACGACATATCGCAAACAATGTCGGAATTTGGTAACAGAACGCGACATATATGATTGAAGCTACAGCATTAAAACCGGCAGATAATTATTGTTTGTCATTCAATCATGGTGGTGTCCAAATCCGACGCGATCATCATCGTCGGCGGAGGTGCCTTCGGCCTCTCGTCAGCCCTTCATCTCTCTCGAAAAGGGTATACCAATATCTCCGTGTTCGAGAAAGATGACAACGTCCCACCTCGCTCTTCAGCAGCCAACGACTTGAACAAAATTGTGCGGGCCGAATATGAGGATCAGTTTTACACCGACTTGACCATTGTACGACCACCCAGTACGGTTCAACAAGACAAAGAGTCCCATTGCTAACAGTTAAATCTCTAGAAAGCGATAGATGCCTGGAAAACGCCATTGTTTGCTCCTCACTTCCACCAAACCGGCTTTTTGCATTGTGTTTCCGGAGCCGCCCCTGAGAAGGCCGTCGACACATTAAACCGATTTCGCGCATCAGCCGAGAATGATCCTAGGATTAAGCCCCACGTTCTGCCTCTGAAGGATGTGAACGAGGTCCGCCAGGCCTGCTGGCAGCTTGATGGAGAGCTAACAGGATGGCACGGTTACCTAAACCGCTTCGACGGATACGCCCACTCAGCCAATGCCCTGGCAGCAGTATACCGCGAAACCCAGGCAGCAGGGGTCCGTTTCTTCCTCGGAGAACAAGGTGCCGTCAGCGAAATTGTGTATGTGAGCACCCTTGGAGGGCGTAAATGCGCCGGTATCAGAACTAAGAATGGTCGCTTCCACCCCTCATCATTGGTGATCGTTGCAGCCGGAGCCGGAGCCGGTCGCCTAGTTCCCGAAATCGGCAAGGAAGTCGTGGCAAAGTCTTGGTCTGTTGCTCATGTGCATCTCACGGATGACGAGACCTCTGCTCTCCGCGGTATTCCTGTCACCTATGCGCGTGATTTGGGGTTCTTCTTCGAGCCTGATCCGAAGACGAACTTGCTGAAACTTTGCCCGATGGGTGGTGGGTATATTAATACCGATCCCAAGACTGGTGTCTCACATGCGCCTGAGAATGTGAGCGATAGCGCTTTCTTGCCTGAGGCGGACGAAAAGCAGCTTAGAGATCTGCTGCGTCAAACTCTTCCTTCGCTTGCGGACCGGCCTTTCGTTAGGAAGTCTTTGTGTTGGTTTGCCGACACCAACGACTCGGACTTTATTGTGGATTATATTCCCAGTACGTCCTCATCTATTATCATTATGTCTGGTGATTCGGGACATGGTTTCAAGATGTTCCCTATTGTGGGCTCTTGGATTACTGATCTCCTGTCTGCACCTGATAATAAGCAGTCTGTGGAGCGGTGGAGGTGGAAGCAGCCTGCTGCCGATGCTGAGAAAGCCGACTGGGGTGGTGATGTTAGCTGGCGTCTTGGGCAGTCTACGGAGTTCACTTCGATCCTACCTCCAAAGGCCTCGAAGCTGTAAATTGAATCATGGCATCTGGAATTAGATATGAATCAAGTTTGCATTCCAATGAACAATTACATTGTTTTTCAGTATCTCTTCTCTACTGTCTTAGACATCTTTCATTCTATTCTTCGTTACTTGATTCGTACATGTCTCATTTCTTTCATACAAAACAAAGCCGCTGCAAAATAGGACAATATCATTATGCGCATATAGAGTTGCTCTTTGTTGTTGACCTGAACCCTTCACAAAGACCATTGTGCACACAAAATCAAGGATCAAATGGCGCCTATGTATAAGAACACCGGGTATCTCCATACATGAACCCTGAAATCTATCATCAACCAGAAGTCAGACAAACATCAGTCTACTAACTCGACATCTCCCCAGCATTCCGAGTAAAAGCTCAAGGCAAGTCCGTATTCTAAAAATATACAGATAAAACCTTTATAATGTGCCAGCTCAATATACTCGACTACGCTAAGCTCCCCGGAGGCTGTGGCCACTTGTGGATTCAGAGTGTAGAGCAATGCTCTGAAGCTGAAGAAAATGCCACTCCCTGCAAGGTCCTGTGCGAAGACCTGACCCGCAAAGTTATTGTTCCGAAGACACCGCTTTTCACGAGAGTCAAGAAATTCTTCAAGGGTGGTGACGGTAAGTCTGGAAACTGCCCTTCTTGTGTCAAGGGTCTTACGACTCCTGTTACTGCTAATCAGAGGTAGGGTCACAAGCTGAATGTAACTATATCTAAACTTGTGGATTGATAGTGGTATGAGAATATGGTCTTAGTATGATGAAAAATTGAGAATGTCTTGGACTTGTGAAATTGACCTTCAGGAATCTTGAGAAAGCCAATACGGCTGTGATTAAATATAGGCTTTGAAAAACTGCCCAGAAACACACCACTGAGCAGCTGGCGTTTCTTTTAAGCCGATGCATATATTCAGTAAAACGTATCAATTCGCTAACAGTGAACATTAATAACATAGAATCATATCACATTACCAGATACCATGTTGAATCATAGCATTAGACATCCACTCCGTATCGATACTCTCAATGGAATCTGCAACGGCCATAATCTGCGCCGCAGTCAAGCCACTTGTCAAGTCATACTCATCATCATTCGTCGCCCCAGGATCCGTGAGCAGATCATTACCTAGAGCATGCGCAGAAGGATGGAAAGAGCTTGCAAGTTGAACACTCGTGTGGGGGTTATTGAGGATACTAGTTGGGAAGGAAACGGCTGCCGATAAACATCGGGAGTTATCTTGGGGAAAACAGCTCAGTAATTCGTCCAGGAGCTGTAGTTCCGATCGCCGGAATTTGGCGATTAGATTTCCGTTATCTATTATCTCTTCGAATATTAGGTAGGCTTTCTCTAGCCAGGCTGGAGAGGACCATCTGGCGTCGATTGCTGGGGCCATGAGGAGTACTACTGTTGAGACAAAGACGGATTCGAGGTCGAAAGGGAGGAAAGTTTCTGAGGTTTTATTAGTTGAGTCTCTAAAGGTGATCGGGTGGTGGTTACCTAGGAGGTCTTCGGACTGAAGGCTGTGTAGGATGTTGATCATCTTCTGAGATGAGTCAATGCACATCTGTATCAAGTTACGAACATTTCGGGATGTGTTCAGAGCTTCCAAGCAATGTTCGGGAGACTCGAAGCGGATCTTCAAAAAACAGAAGAGTAATGGTCGGGTGGCGAGAACGATACATCGGTGATATAAGAGGTGGAGATAGGCTGATGTCCTGGAGACCCCACTCATTGATCGATCAAGGTGTAAGGGGAAGCCTTCATGAAGCTCATCTGCAAGCCGGGCGATACTGGCTAAAGCGGATTTGGTGCGAAGTAAGAAGTTCCGATTAAGACGACCGTCGATTGCATAGACAGCTGTCAACGAAGTTAGTAAAAAACTGGATCGATAATGCTGACCGATCAATATTTACCACTGCTAATCTCTGCGATTATTCTGGAAATTTTAATATGCATATTGATGCCGGCTGTCCGCTGTGCAGATCCCGGAAATGCCGGCAGCAAGGTATTGATGTGATCATCACTGATGGACTGAGGTAGGCCCATGAGCGAGGACATCTCACGATCCAGAATGTATACAGTCCACCAAATCTTTCGACAGCGTTGGACTAAATCCTCTCCCAAATATTCGACCGGCATCTGGGTGTGCAAACCCTCCGCCATGGCCATTCGCATCGCTGAGCCGATCTGAAGAGTGTAATTAGTAGAGAACCTAAGCTAAGGAGGTGCTTAGATGACTTACATAATTGTGTGCAGATGATCGACAATCAAGCGCTTGCAAGTAGAGTGCAATGCAACACATAATCTCCGTTGACTCGATGGGTTCTTGGTGCAACACACTGATATCAGGCAATAGCTGTAGAGCCTTCACAAAGAATTCGGCACCGGGAGGCTTACTCCCTTGTACCTTGTGCTGGACGAACCCCTTTCCAAAAGCGAGCATGAGTAGGAAATGGACATACCATAAGCTGGATGTCGCATTTGGCTTGGATTGCGAATAGAAATCGTGTAGGCCACCCATGAATTCCGCTTCATCGAAGAGATGATAGAGCTGGCCACAGCGAAACTTCACGGTATTGATAAGATACATAGCATGGTCAAAGGTTGGTACGGTGGGGATATCGGGTCTCTGAGGCGTTCGGAGCCCATCCCAGCCTAGGTCATAAGTCGCACCGTCGAATGCCAAGGCCCCCGTTGGGAGAGCTTCCTGGTATATGAACTCGTGTGTTAGGCTCAGCACTCGACGGGTGAATGACCAATTGGAGGAAGTTCCAAGATAAACTGTAGTATGATTAGACAAATGCTCTTCCAGGATGAGGGGCTTAGCACACATGTTCGCCCGTTCTCGGCTGACATAAAGGCCGGCGGCCCTGTCGACAACGGATTCGTCAATCCCGATGCTGGATCTTCAAGCTCTTGCTGGATTTCTTGGTTGGATTGGACATCCTCCTTGTCATTCGGCGAGGACTGGGTAATGCCCGGTGCGTCATTGTGATCTTTCAATCCTGTCAGGATTTAGCAGTAGTAGTGACAAAGAACAAAGAAACCAACCATGTGATATCTCCTCGCCATATTCTGGACTTAGAGGAACAGACTCGTTATTTTCATCTCCTTGCAACCTAGCCAATTTCTGCTGTAGCTCATCGAGATAACTGCCCACACGTTAGAATATTTGCCGATATCTGCGGGAGAATTCGATTCATACCCCCTAGTGACAAGTATCTTCTGATCTCGATCATCAAAGATACATGTGAGCTTGCGTTTATTGCAGCTATCGCATGGTTGTGACCCCGAGCATTTGATCTTTTGTCTGCGGCATCGCGTGCACCTGCGTTGAGTCAGTCAGAAAGCTCGGGTGCTAGAGGGTTGTTCATACGCATTCAGCGATCTCTTCGTGACTCTAGCTGTGTTTCCTGCCATAAGAATACTTAATAATGATCGCCGGATTCAATGCCGTCTATCGGACGTCGGTCGTAATATCAATCATCCTTGAAATGCGGGGGGATTCGGAGGTGGAGCTTATCTTGATTCGGTAAGATAACGCGGCGCCACCACCATGTACTTGATAAGAATCATTTATAACCTTATGAATTTGGTGAAAAGTCAAGTTGTGAGAGACGTTTATTTTGCAAATATGCTGATCCTTTCCATATCAAACTAGTGTAGGCTATCTAAGATGGTTTTGCTGAAACTGATGATAAAATCGCCATACACTTCGATACCTCCCAATATGCGACCCTGTCTTTCTATTCCTGGCGAGAGGGGTGTAGAATGATTCATGTGTTATATCTACCCCAGATGTAAATTCCAGACAGATTTATTGAGGAGATCCGGCACGTTCTCAAGAAACTTTCTGGATAATTGGCGACCGGGAGGCCGCCCGGTCTGTTTGTCTTGTTTTGATAAGATTCTCGGGCCCGCTTCCCGATTATCCACCTCATCACAATAACCAGCATCATGCATGGACGCAAATGATTACTACTTTAATTCTGTGGTAGGCGCTTTCCTCTCCAGAGAAACGCGATCGGTCGGCCAAGTGGAAAGAGAAGGGAATGTAAATTCAAGGAATGCAACTCTGCACGATAACAGAATAGGATTTTAAAATGCCTTGTCCCATCAAAAGGGGAGTACGAATTCCCCACACTTTCAGTAAAGCAAGAATAGATCTCAACCTTCTTCTTCCCAGAAGATTTGAGTACATTCTCCCAATACCATGACAAATCAACCAAATCCATTGATCATGCCTTCCAAGCATGCTTGCGATAGGCCATCAAAAACCTCCCAATAGCCAAGTGGCCATTAGACAAAGCCAGTCTTGCCGCCCTCTTCCTCGTGATCTCAAAATCTTCCGTGTCGGGATGATAATCTAATAAAAGGCGCAGTGTATCAAGCCTGCCGTTCTCCGCAGCACCCTCGATTGCACTACGTCCCTCTTCGATAGCAGGCGCTGCATTGACCAACGCTCCAGCTTGGAGTAGCATGATCACGATGCGTATCTTTCCTTCAATGGCCGCTCCTTGTAAAGCACTCACCCCTCCGAATCGTGCTGGTGGAAGATTAGGGTCCGCTCCGGAAGCCAATAAATATTCAGTGAGTTGCATGAAGCCACTACTTGCAGCCTCCTGTAGTGCGGATCGGCCTCGGATCGGGCTTGGTAAGCCATTGACATCAGCGCCGTGGCCCCTCAGGAGCTTCACCATTACGTGGTTATTCTGGGAAGCTGCTATTTGGAGCGCAGTTTCTCCACCATGCTCGTTCGCAGGGGCATTGACATCGGCACCTCTTTGAAGAAGTAATTCCACGATATTGATGTTCCCTCTAGCGACAGCGCTTTGAAGAGCGGTCACTTCACCTCCAGATGTCTTTTTCCAGCGATGATTAATATTGGTATCAGCCAAAATCAGACATTGGACGATTTGGAAGTTGCCTCTTTTTGCTGCTCTTTGGAGGTTTGATATTGAATCGGAGTGCGGAGCGTTGCCAACATCGGCTCCTTTTCTGATAAGAAGTTCGAGCAGGGCCACATTGCAATTGTGAAAATTCAAAGCTTTCCCTATGATCTGACGACTCGTGACGGGATCAGATGATATGGCGTTGGGATCTCTCTTGAGGAAAAGCTGAGTAAGCCCAAAATCGCTTGAATAGAGAGAAGCTTCGATTGCAGAGACTCCATCGACTCCGGCTCTTTCTGCTTTAATTGTTGCGCCAAAGTCCAGCAGAATCAGAGCTGTAGTTTCGTGGCCCCGCTCAGAGGCTGCTTGCAATGCAGTGCGTCCACCAAGCGGGTAAGGTGAAGCATTCACTTCTGCTCCATGTTTTATCAATTCCTGTACGAGAACATTATTCCCTAGCGATGAAGCTCTCTGCAGTAGGGTTTGGTTTTCGAAGTTGCCAAATCCAATATTTGGGTTTGCGCCTTTCTCCAGAAGCTTTCTTGTCATTTCCAGATCTTGATTACTCACTGCAGCGTGGAGAAGACCACTTTGGCACTCTTGGTCGGATTTGATTACACCAACAGATACCCCAACACGCAGCAAAAGATGAACAACTTCAATTTTGATTGCTTAATTGGCGAATTTGAAAGCTGCTTGAAGACAAGTGACCCCCTCAGTTAGATCAGGATCAGTGTTGAAGATGGCCCCCGCATCAAGCAGCATTCTGACGCCTTCGATGTTTCCTGCTGTGATTGCTATCTGCAGAGAAGTCCTGCCGTAGAACCGAGCTGGAGAGGCGTTGACATCTGCTCCCTCGCTAAGTAAGAGACCCAAAAGCCGTGTGCCGGAATGGATTGCAGCGGCTTGGAGTGCTGTCCGGCCACAATAGACACCAGCAGGGGAATTAATATCTGCGCCCTCTCGCAATAAAATTCCGATAAGCCGTTCGTTGCCGACCATAGCAGCAATTTGAAGCGCCGTATGCCCATAATTGCCCTTCACCTTCATATTGACATCAGCGCCGTTTACCAATAACATACGAGTCATGGTCATGTTTTTTGCTCGAATTGCAGCTTGCAGTGGAGTGAAAACAGCTATTTCCGCTATGTCGAGCTCTTTTTCAAGGGCTCGGGAGGGGCAGCTTTTTAAATCAGTATTTACTGCAGCTCCTTCTTCCAATAAAAGCTGCACTGTCTCCCAATTCCCTTTTTCGGCTGCAATGAGAATGGGAGGCTTGAAGGAACGTGGGAGCCCAAATCCACTTCCCCAATCGTCTAAGACTTGGCTCGAGGAAGAGAATGTATCGCGATCCGCAGAAGAAGCTCCATCTCGGCTGGGGAATCTGCAACCAGAGCAATAATTGATGTCGGCCCCTGCGTTCACCAGAAGTTCTACCATATTGGCGTTCCTCGAATTGCCGTAACACGCCCTCTGTAGAGCAGTGCCACTCATAGAGGTTGTGGAAACATTTGGGTCCGCTCCATTGTCGAGAAGTGACTTCAAGATCTCAGGCTCTTCGGTGTCCGCAGCAAGTTGCAGAGGTGTCGATCGAGCGCAATCTTGCGATGGATTTACCTGTGCTCCATGCCGGAGTAAAAGATTCACAATATCGAGCGCTCGCCGAGAGTACCAGTATACGCAAGCACTGTGAAGTGGCGTGTTTCTTTCGACCACCAAATTTGGGTCCGCACCAGCTTCCAGTAACAGTTTCGTACATCTTGTGTTCCCATTTTGAATGGCGAGGTGGAGTGGTGTTGTTCGCATGGTCGTTCCGCTGAGAGTGTCCAGGTCTGCCCCAGCCTCAATGAGTATTTGACAGATCTTGGCGTCTCCCACGGCTGCTGCGCTTGCTAGCAGAGTGCTCATGAATATCTCATTACTTGTAGAATACGGTTCCACAAACGTCTTCAAACTGGAATGAGAGTTTGATTCTGCGATGAGCGAGACCAGCTGTCTTGTTGAAGCTAAAGCAAGGAGATTATTAGATGCCAGATAGACACACATCCGCAGGTAGTTTGAAGGGTTTGTTGGGGAAGAAATTTGATATTGAGTGTCTGCTCCTGTCGTAACCGGTTCCAGGGCTAAGACCAGATCACCATGTCCCCGGCCGCCGCAAGCAACAAACTGTCGTAGGAGAATATGAAGAGTCTCCTTAACCATCTTATGGTCGGAACTGGGCCAGTTTCCATTATGTGTGGCAACGGCGGAGGATGATGAAAGAAGGGCTATTGTTTGGTGCTTCACCGTAAGCTCGTTTGGATTGGAAATGACAGCTGGCTGCTCATTCCATTGAGAATGAAGACAGAAATCTGACGGGAATGGTTCCGCTATTTCGAACTGGAATGCAAGATCTCCATGGTTTGATGGAACCGGGGATAGAGCATCGAGGTTCAAAAAATCGAAACTTCCATTCTGGAGCCACTCTAAGGGTGCATCAAAGAAACTTTCTATCTCTACCCTAGGTGTCCCCACCACAACACCATCAGGAGTTGGCGGGTCTGATCAATCAGCAAGTGTGTTTTTGAATGGGCACAGCAAAGCTAAGCAGTCAATACATACCAAGATCGCCGACGTACTGGTTGGACAATTTGGAATGACGAGAGGTCTCTTTCCTGACTTTGGGTTCAGGAATGAGTTTTCCATGCAGTCGGACAGGACCTGGCTCTTTTCCTTCACGTTTCCGCTTCTCCCCACGCCTTGCGACAAATTTCCATTCCGCATCTGTCAAATTCTTCTTAAACCCCCATCTGCTGAATTGTCGAGTGAACTGACTTTCACTGAATGGCCAATGAAATGCATTAGATAATTTGCAACAGGGTCCTGTATGAGCTTGACCAACTGACCTTTTGCAGAAATTATGCGCCTGAGACATGTATTCTTTCACCTGTTTCAAGGTCCATCGTTTGTCTAACCACAGCGACTTGAGCTCATCGCGGTATTTCTCCCACTCAGCTGTCTCATCTTTCGTTCGCGCCATGTGTCTCGAGTTTATCTGATTGACAAAATTTCTGATTCAACGTTGGCCCATCCATTTCGCTTTTATACCTCGAATGATTGAGGCGGATGGCCAGAATTCCAGTAAAGGGGATAGGTTGGCCAGCTCTCCATTGGACGTTGCCAAAAGGTACAGAATGATTTTTCAAGCTGCTGTGTGCATTGACCTGGCCCCCCAATTAAGGCCAAAGTTTCCATGTAACGTCCAAGGCGAAACGCGTCGTTTCCAGAAGCGATAGCTACTTGTGTCGTTTCTGGTCTCAACAAATGACTGTACGCCACGTAGTCTCACGCTAAGCTCTAAATCATGTTTTTCGTCTCGTTAAGCCCTTTCTATTGGTCGAAGCCATTGGGACTGAAAAGGGACAACACATACTAATCCCTGTCAGGGGCAGTCATCCATAATTGCTTTTTCACTCTACCCTGCCACACCGTAATTCTGGCATCCATTGCCCCCCCTTTTTCACTTTCTTCTCAACTAGGTCTTTTTGTCAGTCTTCCAATATCTAACGTTGACGCAATTATGGTAGTGGAGGCAGTAGCCATTGTGGTACCGCTAGTCTGTATTTCCAAGCTGTCATTCAACCTCTTGCCCAATTTCAAGCCCCGGGCTTGCGATTGTGAGATAAAAATTCAACAGTCAGACCGATAAGTACATCCACTCGAAACTCCAGTCCTACCTGCCGAACTTCCGTCATTCTGCTTTGTTTCCGTGCTCGCGCAACACAATAGAAGAATGGCGAGATCAGAATGGCGAGATCAGCATTGATTCATCATTGTGAAGCAGCCAAATTCACCGATGGAGCGAGTAAACGCATCCCTGAAGCTAGAAAGATACCGAGCGTCACCATGGACGTCTTTCCTGGATTAGACATACATGGTGCGGACCATACGATGGCACCTAACAGAAAATAAGGCCTAATCCAGAATTTTCTGGCGAGCAAGCCTAACAGCCATTTTCAACGAACGGGTACTACACTAGTCGTATCCGACAAAGAGCATATGTGATTGCCTATTTAGAATGGCTGTATGAGAGGTTGTGCAATTGATCAAATAGTTGTTCTTGAGGCCAAACACGTATAGTAGGAGGGCATGGTCAATCTTAGCCGCTATTCTATTTCGTCCTTGTCTTACCTCATGATGGGTTGTGCCGACATTTGAGTGGGTACCTTGATCTTGCTAATCCATTGCATTATAGAGACTATAACCTCAGAGAATTTCTACAGGGAGAGCTGTAATTGAGCTCAAGGAAAGTTGGACACTTCGTTGACAGAATTCAGCGTAGTCTGGTAATTACCCGCTTTCTTTGAGGCCACCGATTTCCAAATGCTCTCAATGTACCAAATGCAGCCATCGTAAGAACCGCCATAATGACAACTCCAGCGCTGAGGCCGCCTTTAATGCCAGTAGCGAGTGAGCGGGTCCAGATCAACGCTAATGGCACTCCAATCAAGGCCCCCATTGCACCAAGTAGGAGAAGTGTAACCAGAACCCAACTAGGCGTGTGCCTAACACCTGAAATCAAGAGTTTTGGCAAGACGTCACGAGCCGCGGGGTCATAGCTGTACAAAAACGGAAGACCCGCTATGCAAAAGGCAATTCCAAGAATAGACAAGATGATGGGGATCTTGATACCGGGTTCAAGATCGCGAGTGCAGATCACGGCAATGGGTATTCCCGAGACGGCACCAATCAACAAGACAAATAGGATGGAAAAGCCGAATACATGCCAGGTTCCCTTTCCAACCCAAACACACTGTCTGAATGTCCATTTTACCGTGTTGATCATGCTGAGACCTAGCCTGTTCCCCAGCCATTGCATGATGAGAAGCATGGGCAGTGACCGAGATTGCACGGGCTGGCCGTGCTTTTCTGCGTATTTCCGGACGTCGTACTTCACTTCGGCTTTGAGGCGGGTAAGCCACTGGCTTCGCATTGTCATTCTCATCAAATATGAAAACGCGGTCACGGAGATTGCCACGACGAAGAAGTTCCATATGGGAACAGGGTTAGCGAAGGGCTCAATCTGCATGCCGAAGACGGATGTGGCGAAGGAGAGAGGGATAAAAACGAAAGCGAGCTCGGTAAGTCTCGTCACAGCGTGAGCTTCATCGATCGAGCGGCGACTTTCCAAGAGACCCATGTTTGAGGTTAGTGAGGCGGAAGTGGCTCGTAATCGCTCAATCATTTGGTCGATATCATGTGGGAGCTGTTGATAACTTTGGATGCTGTTGGATAGCTCACTTTGTGGCTCTGTGGATACAGTCTCAGGAGTGACTGTCAGACCGAACTTGTAAAGGGGTTCCAAAGAGTTCTTCAGCTCCGGCAGCTCTCTTTGGGCCCGGTGGATGATCTGGCGCCATAAAGCCAATCGGTCTTCCATCTTTGTGTCGTCAAGAATATCGACTTCTACCTCGTCGAGAATCTGTCGTAGATGTTGGAGTAGAGTGGTTGTATCTCGTCGGATGATGTCAAGCAGGGGCCCTAGGATCCCGACTGGGGCGCCACCTATATCAAGCGCCTCCCGGATGCCATATTGAGTTGACTTCGTCTCACTAAGTTTAGTACCAAAATTTTTTGTCGGACGCGTTGAGCGAAATATTTGGTTTAGATCAACATCCAAAGGCTTGCGGGGCGCCATCTGCTTGACGATGACCTTCCGCACTCCCTCTCTTTCCTCTTCATCCTCTTCGGATGTGTCGGTGGTTTCAGGGCGCTTTCTCCAACGTCCCACGATCATATCAGCCCAAATCCTGGAAATAGGCCGACCATCCCGTACACGCCGGGGTACGGCCAAAAACAACCCCCCGAGCCCTTCTTCAATCAAGTCGCTCTCTGGTATGGATCTCTCCGATGTCACATCCACAAGATGATGTTCGAATCCCCAGTCCGTTACTGTCTCCGATTTCTTTAATCTCCAATCACGATGGTGCTCGCTTATCACGGGTAAAGGATCCAGGAGTACAATCACTAGTGGTGTGTTAATATAGTCTGACCACTAAATGGCCGTCCATGGCTTACCAATCTCGGTATCTCGCCCCCGAAGTTGGCCTTTCCAAATCGATACCTTCTCTTCCAATCCACATTCCCGCTCCATCCTCACTGTTTTAGTCGGGTCTGTCCATAGCCCCCACTCTATGCGGAAGATATTCGTCATCACTTTAGTGGTGACATTGCCGTGGCGAGTATAATGTTCAGTCGACCCTTCAAGGAGGTCATCCAGATCTCGATGCGAAAAATACGTGGGCTGTCGATAAACAGGTCGAATCCACTTGAAGGAGATATGGGATTTTGGGAACGTCGCCGTCTTCCACGTTCGAGCTGGTGGCTCATTGTGCCTTGAGCCCGCATAGTTCGAGTCCAATAAGTGCTCCTCAAAGAACTCCGGGTTGATGCTGAAGGTAATCCCAAGAGCATCTATGGTTGGTCTGGAGAGATCTTCCACGAGAATAAGCCGCTGTTTGACAATTTTGTCCGCGTGCCCCATTACCGGGATATCATTATCGGTAAAGATCTGTCTTGGCTCAGATATTGTGTCTTCGGTATAATCGTAAAACGTTATTGATGTCCTGTTGTGCCTGGAGGAACGAAGGACACTGCCGTCTTTGATATGGTCCAGCACTTTGGCTGCATTATCAAGAATTTTTCCATAGGTAAGCCTGCCTGGTGTTTTCTTCCGTCGATTCTCAGCCCGCCTGCCTCCCCAGAATCCCGATGGAGCCACCACCTGGGGTATCTCTTCTGGCAGTTCGGGCTGTAGCGCTTCAGGGTCAGACACCGGAGGTTCTGGCTGAGCCTCTGGAGGCAAACCCAGTGAATTTTGAGACGCTGCGTCATCCCCAGAGCGCGCAACTTCGTGCTCGTCTTGGTGATTATGGCTGGCTATAGATACAGAGCCAGACTTGGGCAGGGGTATTGCTTCAGGGGCCACGTCTGGTTCAATTGGACCATGATGATCCATACCATCCACAGTATCTCCCGCCCCTTGTGGATTATTAACATTATCTCGTCGCTCTTCAATCACGGGTGGATCATCTTGCGCTTCGCGGGGCTGCTCATCTAAATCCTCTTGGCGCTGTTCGATGGGAGGCTCTAGATTTTCTGATTGATTCAGCCATTCCAAGAGTCGATCGGAAGGTTGTCCTCCCGCCATCCGGACTGAAATGTCCGTTCTTGAATTATTGAATGTTTGGTTTCAAAGACAATAGTTGTGAGGGTCCCCAGCCGCAGGGTTGGGCCGTGCATGTCAGCATTACCGAAATCGGACTAGGGCTGACCACGTCAATTGTGAGGAAATCAACCATTGAACAATACAGCTGAATGCCTCCACTAGCCCATATTTGGACTAGCGTAGTAAATAAGATGCAAGTAATTTGCTGCCTGGTAAATTGGGTATCAACAGCATGTGATTCGCTTCATTCAAGTCAAAATGCACAAAAACGTGTCGATCGACCCAGGATCATTTGTAAGGCCATCATTCGGTAACAGGGCACCTTGTGAGCATTCTAATCTTATTCTGAATTCCAATCGCTGCATGATACTAGATGTGGCTGATGTGTCAAACTAACAATATGTGGTTCCAAATCTCAATCCTCATCATCAGAATGGATATACTCAGCGTAGGACACATCGCTTCCATCGGTCATTCTTATAATCAGAGAGATACTCATGATCATGATGAGCAGCCCAATGGTGGTGACGCCAATAAGCCCGACTGCAAACCATCCCAGTACCATCGCAGCCGTTCCAACATGTCCCGAAACGGCACCATAGGTGAGGGTCTCTGCCATTGATGCCGTCGAGCTGCTATTTATATGTTGCCAGAGTACTGAGATAGAAACGAACGCAAATGAAAAGCTTGTTAGACACAAAGCGACTTGGGAGACAACTCGAGAAGGGAACGGCTTCACTTCTACATCCGATCCCTCCGCGGATGTCTCCGAGTGCCATCCGGGGAATGTCGACAGCAGTATGAAACATGCAAAAGCAAGAATGATAGCAATGTACCTGCGTAAACCTATTAGTATCTTTGCAATCCAGTGGAGTAAATGAATCGTGGAACCTCACAATAGGCCATCAAACACTATCTTCGTCCTAAACTCCTCAGCAATCATTATTAAATTAAGCGGATCGGGCGAAGTCTCAGTCGTCAGGTTGCCAGTGGCACTGCTTGTCTTCTCGGCCTTGACAATATTCGCCAGGATTTTGGCGTTGCTGGAACAGACGCGCCCCACGTCACCCTGCGATATGCAGAGCCCCATGTACCCCGCACGCACCTCAAATGTCGAACCAGAATTTGTCTGCGAAACATTGTAAACAGCTGATTGAATCACGGTGCTCACTTGCGCCGGTTTTGTTGCTGCCTCGGAATTATTTGTATATCGCAACGATAATAAGTAGACATTGCTGAGAGAATCAGAGGTCGTGCACCCGGCAAGTAGAATTGCTTTAAGCAGTGAGTTCAGAAATTCGAAAATTCATTCTCAAGGGCTTCTACTCTCTCTTACATAGCAGAATGATTGCGCTCATCGAAATCATCATGAGAACATGATGGTACCCGATCATAGGAACGAAACGGGCTATTCGCGTTGTGTCGTCAGCAAATGTTGGCTTCCACTTCGCGTAAATTAAACCTACTCCATGATACATTGAACGTCGTCTTCATGGTGTGCCAGGTGATAGCACAACAAGTTTGGCAATAGGAATATCCACTCGATGGAATCCTATGGCCTCAAGCCTTCCAAGGTTGGAAGTTCCGGATGCTGACAATCGTGGGGAATGCCTTGCAGAAGTCATGTCTGTCAGAATCTCGTGTTGTGTATGCAGCCTCATGCGCTAGGCAAATACAGGCTTAGCTGTGTATGCAGCACGAACAGTGCGTGTATTTTAGCAACCTGCCGTGGTTTTAATGTGATAAAGTAGCGGTAAGCCTCTTATCACGCCAGCATGCGGGCGGCCCGAAAAAACAACCCACTTTTTCTAATCTCCACTTCTCAGCCCGAATACGAAAATTTGGCGCCAGCATTAGTGAAAATGCCCCAAGTGGGGGATGAGACATAGGAAATCGCACTGAAACTGATCGTCGGAATTTTCTTGAAGCCTCAAAAAAAAATATTAAGGTTACTTGAGGTTCCAACCTCGTGTCCAATATTAGGTCTATCGTGAGATATATATTGGACAATGGGTGTGGACCTTGGCATCCGGAAGCTTAAGGTAAACCTCAAGAGTACTGGTGCATAGTACATAGCAGTGTTTAATAGCATCCATGAATCTTGGAGGTCAAACAAGCATATTGATTAGGTTTGAGATTCGTGGCGATCTATTTTGTAGTATGGAGCTACCATTCAACAAAACCCGTTACGAGAGTAGTGCTACTAGTGCAAATACCCCCCAGTCCTCGGGTGGAGGTTCAACAGCCTGGAAGATAGACAGAGAGCCCTTTATTCAGCAATTTTTTCCATTGGCTCGCAACTACTTCTTTTGAAATTGATTTCACCAGTGCTGTTCGCTAATCGGCACTTCGTTCACATCAACCCCTTCCACGAACCATCGTCCTTCACCATTCCCATCGGGCCCGAGAAGCATATCATTCCCACTCATCATACGCTTACGCATCTTTCCAGTCTCCCAATCAAAAGTCCAATCTTCCAACCCATAACATCTCTTCCAGCGCATTCCATCATCCGCATCCTGATACTCATACCAGAATTGAACAGCAATTCGATCATCGGTAAAGGCGAAAAGCTCCTTACGCAACCGATAGTTGTGCTCTCGCTTCCACTTGGCTGTCAGAAACTCGACAATACCCTCAGTTCCTGACAAGAATGATGTTCGATTCCGCCAGATGCAATCTGGGGTGTATGCCAGGGCAACGCGCGGGGGATCCCTGTCGCATGGTCAACTACGTCATTCACGGGTAACTGCACAACCAGGACAGCCTGCAGAGCAGAGGTGAAATCAAATGGGAATCAGATTATGTGCTACGCTGAAAAGGGCATGGCTGCATGTGCGCAGGGTCTTCGCACGGACAAACATTGCGGTGGGTGGAATGCAAGGGATGGGGATATTTATCGCCCTTTCTGCGGCCATGTGTCAAGAGATCAGGGTGAACTTACTGGGTGTTCCACATATTCTGAGCTGCCTTGACCTTTTTGTGGGCCGTCTCTTTTGTGAAAGGAGGTTTAATGTCCGCCATTTTTAGGAATTATGAAGTGTAAGTTGCGGGATGTTGAAGGGAAGATTGAGTCTAAGCGACCGTAGAAAGTATCGCGGGAAGGTTTTATACTCTAATCCTGGTGCCTCCAGGGCTGAAGTCTCTGCCGAAGATAACAGTACGGACTTACAGAATAGTCTGCTAACGATAGCAAATCCCATGTGGAATTTCGGGCTTTGCTTGTGGGCTTTTGCGGAGATTATAAGCACCGCAGCCAGTTATCGTGTGGTAATATCGTCAGCGCTAGTTACGATTCAGCGATAGTCTATTTGGCTCCCAATTTGCAGGATCCCAAGATAGTAGTAATTTATTCAGCCCTGCATTCAATACCTTCAAATTTAATAATGTTAGAAATTATCTGTTGTTGCACAGCCTGTGGCTTTTGTTATATCCTTCGAACATATAACGGAAACCTTGGGTACGTGGATATACTCGAGGATACATAGACGTGTCCCGCAAAATATATATTGACTCTCGCAGAATCCATAATATCGAACTTCGTATTTCGTTCCACTAGCCAGCCCAAATTTACACATGCATTTGATTCATATTACGCTGTTTTGATTTAAATCTAAGTCGGACCAAGAAAAGCAAAAATGTACTATTGATTAATTCATGGATTGTACAACATTGAAGCATACGAAGTTCGGTATGGTGGGGTGCATTTGGCGGAGTCTACGGGTAAGTGGAGCCTGTACCAAGCTGTCAAAGATTAGAATCAATTATCCAATGCCGCTCCAAATCAATTGATGGCCTTCGACTTCGGAAAACAGGATTTTCCTGTGACTTAATTTTAGATTTACTACGGACTGTAGGGAGTGGAATGCCCAACGGGTCGAGGGTGAAATGTGTGAACCCCTGGCCACGATAAACCCCGATAAGCTGTTGCGACATTGTTTTCCCCCTACCATCCATGGAATGTTTATGGATTTCCTCTCTCTGAGGAAGACCTGATTTTTTGCTTGCCGTCTATCTCTCATAACAACACTGACGATCAGTCGGAAAGGTTGTCTCGAGTGTCTCACCCGGGAAGTATACGCAGTGTTAGTACTAGCACAGTGAACAAATACTTACCCAGGACAGAGGTTTGATACATGAAGACTCCTAGGAATCACGAAGAGCAATTTCAAACAAGAAAATAGAAGGTATTAGAAGGAAGTATCCAGTCCGTTCTAGAGAAAATTAGAAGTAGAAGTATAGTTAAAGTGGAAAGTGGAAGTGCATTCCAGACAAACGATGATGAGGTGGAATCTCATCTCTTCGCTCATTCCACAACAGTGGTGCTGAGGCATGCCACACAACCGTTCCCTCCCACTCCTCTTTTGATCTTGTCCCCCAGAGCCACCATCTCACGACCTCTTCCTCGTGTCGACCACTTTCGTTGAACCGGGTATACAGCTCCCGCCTCTCGTTCTATTCTTCGACCCCGCGATGTTACTCTGATTAACCACTTGTCACTCTTTGTCTTTCGAGAAACTGCTCTAGCCGATCTTTAATCACAATCTCTTCAACAAGCGCTCTCCGTGTGAACCCCCTTTGCCGTTACTTCGACTTAATGTGAGTAGCTGCAAACCACACGTCGAACCAACCATGACTGACTTGGTATTTTAGTTTCAACTAACATACGCACCTTTTTCAGAACAAACATTTATGCCGCCGCTGTGAATACGAGTAGCCCCTCATTGCCAACATGGATCAAATAATGTTGGACTCGGATGACACTCTTCGGAGGCGTCAGCCATTCATGGATGCCTCGAGCAGAATCAATCACAGCAAATCACCAAAAGTGGAAACACCTCGCGTCAAAGTGGAGGAATTTGACCAGCTCAAGACCCCTGATCGCATGTCGGTAGTCATGAGCCCAACTCCCGGCGACAAAGAAAACCAGCGGTTATCAGTTGCTACTGATTGGCAAACAGAATCTGCACGGAACTCAGTTGTCTCTGCAGCTTCCATCTTGTCGGGCAAGGGAAAAAGAAAGACACATGTTGGTCCATGGCAGTTGGGCAGAACCTTGGGTAAAGGTGCGACTGGTCGGGTCCGATTGGCCAAACACGCGGTCACTGGGCAGACCGCGGCTATCAAGATCGTATCAAAGAAGTCTGCTGCCATGGTGCAGAGCGAAAGTATTGCGGCAATGGATCGGAACTCCAGCAATTTCGCAGGATTTTCGAATACCCGACAGATGCCGTGTGGGATTGAACGTGAGGTTGTGATAATGAAGCTGATTGAACATTCCAACGTCATCAGTTTGTATGACGTCTGGGAAAATCGTGGAGAACTGTATGTTTCCCCCAAGTCTCGAACTGAAGATCATGATTGACAATCTACAGGTACCTTGTCCTGGAATATGTGGAAGGAGGCGAGCTGTTCGACTATGTCTCTCAAAACGGACCACTTCCAGAGGAAGAAGCTGTTCGATTATTTCGCCAGATCATCGCTGGACTAGGATACTGTCATAGATTCAACATCTGCCACCGAGATCTGAAGCCGGAGAATATCTTACTCGATGGCAATCATAACGTCAAGCTGGCAGATTTTGGCATGGCTGCGCTCCAGCCTGCAGGTCATTGGCTCAACACTTCTTGCGGAAGCCCTCATTATGCAGCCCCAGAGATCATCTACGGTCGGAAATATCGTGGCGACAGAGCGGATATGTGGAGCTGTGGTATTATTCTGTATGCTCTTTTGACTGGATACCTGCCATTTGATGGCGGTGACTTGCCCAACACACTACGGCTTGTCAAGAAGGGCGAATACATGATACCTCAGGAGCTGAGTTGTGAGGCGGCCAATCTGATCACTAGGATTCTGCAGAAGCGACCGGAGGACCGTATCTCGATGCCGGAGATTTGGACCCATCCCCTCTTGACCAAATATGAGAAGTTGCACAATGCCATGGCCGACTACTATATTGGACCGCCTCCACCGTTGTCCATAAAGGACTGTGGTAACCCGGTGACTAGCCGCAGCGAGATTGACATGGATATTCTTCGAAACTTGCAAACTTTGTGGCACGATGTCAAGCCCGAAGGTTTGATACAGAGAGTGATGTCGCTTGAGTGAGTTAAAATACGTTGTCGTCTGATATAGTTTGCTGACATGACGAAAGGCCCACACACGAGCGAATGTTCTACAACTCCCTTGTCAAGTTTCGAGACGAACAACTGGAGAACTACCAGGGACAGCCGTTGGAGTATTCTGCCAGTGACTACCATCATATTTCGAGAATCGGCGAAAGGGCTCAACGTGGTCGAACTGAAACTGGAGTAGCAAATTCCAAACGACGCTCTCCTGCAATGAAACATCTACATCGTCGGCTAGGTAATACACAGGAACCGAATTCTCCGGCGAGCGTGCAAAGTTACGATCCCTTCAGGTCGCCCAAAGCTCAAGGAACGGCCGTCGAAGCCAAGTTCGCACAAATTACAGTCCACCATGCCGTCCCGGAGATTCCTGAGCGTGGTGAAGTTTCGCCAGTCGGAAAGCCCCCGCCTTCCATTATGGAGGTGGATGAGCCAGAGGATGAGAACGAAGTATCTGACTCACCATTCACTGTTCTGCAAAAACGAAAACATAAACCCAACTCTATGAAGTCTTTGCAGTCCTCGAAAATGCCTCATTCAAGCTCTCGTCTGCCTGGCCTGTCTACTCACTCAACAAGCTACCGCCGGAATGTGTCATTCCGCCACACGCGCAATCGCTCACAGGGATCGACCAAGCCAAAGCGAAGAAAGACTACGCTTACCCAGCAGGGTGAATTGAAGAGGTCTCCTAGCGCTGCGAGCTTGCAGATGATCGCGGATGGTCTATCCGTTCATGATATCCCCAGCAGTCCACCGCTCCCTGCCCAACCCACAGTCGTCCGAAGCGGAAACAAAGTCAAGAACTTGGACCCACCCAGAAGGTTCCGCCATCCAGACTTCGTATGGAAGGAGGATGCTCGTAAAGTGTCCAATGAGCTGAGCCAGATCTGTGAAGAGGCGTTCAATGGTAGCTCTGTGACAACCATCCGCACTGCTAGTACCAGCACAGAGATGGGTTACGAAACCCCCACAACGCCTGTCTCCATGGCGAGCCCGGGGCGCATTGATCAATCTTCAAAGAGGGTCAGCTATCATCCACCGAGAGAGTCAAGTCGATCTTATGGCATTCAGGAACTGACCGAGACTCGACAGAAGCTCGTTGAACACAGCTCGGGTCGCACCGATAATATTCCGGGCTACCTATCTGGTGTAATTGGCCACCTAGATCGGCTGATCGAAGAAGAACAGTCTCAAAAGATTGGTAATGGAGTAGGAGAAAACGAACCTCGGTTCGTTGATCCATTCACCATACCTACTCCTCCTACCAGTGAGCTTCCTTTGCCTGCGATCAGTGAAGAATTCGCTAGCCCCATTCGTGGTGGTCCAGATGAAGTGAGTCCAAAGCGGAGGCCCAAGTTGCGCCATACGACGACTCGCCATAGCGATGGCAAGGCCACTATCCGAATGGTCCCACACAGCTCGCTTGGTTCAATGCAGGAAGTTAAGCCATTGATGATCCGCAAAAAGAACCAGCTCATGGAGCCAGATACTTACACCACTGATCCCATGCGAGCCTTCTCCGCTACATCGAGACAGAGCCGTAACCCTGGCGGTCTTGACCCCATCAGCGAAGTCCCAGGATCCCCCAAGAAAGACGGAAAAGGTACAGAAAACAAGAAGTGGTCATGGTTTAGAGCCCGCTCTCAGAATTCCGACACGTTGCCTACTCTCCCACCGAAAGACATACCGCCAATCATCCCCAGTACTGGGACAGTCATTGTCAACCCCCCGCTAGAGCCCCAGTCTCCCACCCGGCCTGTTCCAACTCGCAAGACGTCAATGGAGAGATTTGGAGGTGCCTTAAAGAAGCTGGTGTCGAAGAAGCCAAGCAAGACTCCCGAGCCAGGGATTGGTAGGTTGAATCCCCGCAGCTGCACCGGAATTTCACTGAGATTGTTTGAAGACAACCCCAACCCCAAGGATCGCCGCCAGTCAGATGTACTTTGCAAGGGTTATCCTGAGACGGATAGTTCCTTCGAGACCGATGATCCGCAAAATCCGTTCCAAAACAAGCGACGCTCGATCGCAAACCACAATTGGTTTGCTCGTGTTTTCCAAATCAAACCTGCGACTCGGATTATTGCTCTAAATACCAGCAAGGTTAAGGGCCGAAAGGTAGTCCACCATCTCCTAGTGGACTGGGAGGACTATGGAATGGAAGATGTCCGTATGGACAAGGCCAACAGCATTGTTCACGGTCGTGTGGGCGAGGTCAACTGTAAGTTTCTATCCTTCATTTTCTCTACAGTATGCTAATTGATTTCAGTTCTCCGACTACGTGAAGTTGAGTTCACGGCCCAGTTCTACACTGTCCTAGAACACGGCCGCCAGGCCAACTTGAGTCTTGTTAAATTCAAGCAGGAGCGTGGTGCTGCGTCCTCATTCAACAAGGTCGTCGACACTGTCTATCAAATTATGAAGTCCCGTGGCCTCATCGTCGAGGATCCCGCGCGAGCAAAGAAGATGGCCCGCGTGCTCGATACTATCCCCAGCGCCTAATTTCCTACGTCCTCTGTCCTTTTGTCCGAATGATTCATCAGCTCACCCAAGTCCCTCGCTCATCCATTCCCCATCCATGCGTTCCAGCCTGCAAAAGCACTTACTGCATCTCATTTCATCTGTTTTCGTCTCATCACACTCGGTCTCCCTGTATCTCACGCTTCCTTCCCGCACGCCATCGAGTCTCACCTACTTTAGTGGGCTCATTCGTTCGTTCATCCGCATGGTAGCATACCAATCTATGTCCCCTTGAATTTCGTCTTATCTCCAACCCTTCAAAACCTCATATCCCTCGATCACTTTGCATTTGATTTTACTTTACGCGTGTTTTCTTTCCTGTAACGGCCTTGCCTATTGATCGGACTTTAATCGGGGTGTAATTCATAATTACCGCGCATACGTTACTCGCCTATCGGCGTGGTCCAGTCCTGCTCTTCCATCAGATCAGGCAGAAGGTTACTGCATCGACTACATGTAGCTAGCTTTGCAATACATTCACATTATTTAGGTTCAGCCGTCTGTTCAAAACTAAAGTACCTCTAATATGCGATTTCTTGACCATTTGCCCAATACTCAAGCTCCAAGTCTATGGAGCAGCTCCTCTTTCAACCCCCATCCAAGTAGAAATGCAGTTCCAGGCCCAAACACAGATGTAATCCCTACTAACCCACCAACTACCCCAAACCAAGAGAATTCAACACCAGATTTTCTCAGCTCCCGCAGTCGCAAACCAAGCCAAACGAATCCCGACGCCATTGAACTGACCTGATCATATTGCATGAACCTTGCAATCCCCTCCTCAAATGAAGCATCACCAGGCAACGCATATCCCCTCAATCCTGGCCAAAAGATATCCAGCATCGAAGACCCAACCGGTGCATTCGCACGTGCGTACACGAATCCCAACGCCGAAATCACAGCTAATGAGCAATACGCCACCCGGATCGCGATTAAGCTCCTCTTCCTGTTTTCTGCGCGCGCTTCAACGGATGCTGCGTCTGGATTAAGCTTAGACCCCAGGAATAGTGACAACGGGAGCTGGAGGAGGGGGACTGTAAGAGGGAAGATTTGCCATGCTGCGTTCCATAATCTTCTTTCTTGGAGGTCTGGGACGAGGAAGCTCGCATATGAGGGGATGTAATGGGCTGCTACTAGAGCTGCGAGGAGCGTGTATGTGCATGTCGGATCAATCTCCCGGTTATTGCTGGGAGCTGTTTCGTATAGTGAGACTTGGAGGTATTGGAGGGAGTAGTATAGCGGACCAAATGCAGCGACGGAGAGGAGTTGGGCTCCTTGGCCCATGATGATTGGGCTGTCAGACGTTAGCATTTGATATCTGAGGTTCTTGGAAGTTTGTCTCCTTCCAAGACCACTTACAATAATACTGCAGGCCAGGAATTTACTTTGCGATACCCTTCCAGCAGCCAGATAGCGTATACAGCGCCGTACTCCGGGATAAAACTGAACATCTGCGTCCATGATTGCGGATCTGTTCCTGTAATCGACGGAAGGAAACACAAGATGATAGGCTGGAAGATATCATCCAAAACCCGAAGCTTGTAGATCGGCTTGTGAATGCTGAAAGCTTCTCCTGTGCTAGCATTCCAGAATCCATGCTCTAATAGCGCTTCCGCATGTGGCCTAATGTTGAGTATCGTAGCCCCAACTGTACAGGCTCCGATACACATCAGGGCGAATAGTGGAAGACCCCATAATACCCGCTTCCAGAATTTCTCTTGAAGGACTTGTCCCAGATTCTCCTGACATTTGTATGGCATTGTGCCTGTAAATGATCTTGGCGGTAGAGGGAGGCAATCGATTCGCTCTGCTGCAGCCGCATATGCAGATCCTTTGTTTTGCGCCAGTGCGATCAGGGTTGGAAGGAAATGTTGGATGACTCTGTGCTTGAAGCTGGTTAATGTTTCAAGGCGGACTACCTGAGCTGCTGTTTGCCAGATCTGAGTGACTCGGGGGGTTCGAGCTTCTTGCCAATTCTTGAGGGAGTCGTTGATGTCTTTTGTATGAATTTCTGGATGCTTTTCGAGCATTGATGCTATAGTGTTGGATAAGGAGACTGATGTTTCTACAGCTGTGTCTCCGCCATGGCCTGAGTTCGGAGCCATCTGTTTACCATGTTAATGTATCTGGTAGATGTTGATTGCTGGAAGATTGTTCTTCAACGTACCTTGTGAGCTGCATCTCCGATGATGACAAATCGGTCTATACACCAGTTCTTGTAGAGTACCTCCTCTAATGCCAACCAGTTGCTAACCTCTCTCCTGTTGTACACCTCGGAGAAGGGAACAGTGTTCGAGACGGGGATGTTCATGTAAGGAGCGAGATGTTTGTCAATCTCGTCGTGGTTGAATCTTGGAACCTCATGGCTTTTGTACTTGCGGTCTAGTTTGGTAAAGAGGAACCAGAAGGCCTTGTCCTTTCCAGCGACCACGATTGTTGACCATCCCCGAGCATATGTCCGGTGGATATCCGGTGTTGAAAGTCCAGGGGTTGGTGAGGATATTCCAAACACACAATCGTACTCGCATGTCATACCTAGCTCATTATTAGTCTTAGGTTGCATAGAACGGGGGTAAAGCATACGATCACGCTCTTCTCGAGCTTCTGCTTGAAGCCCACGGGAATCCATATGACTCCACATCAACTGCCGGACAATGCTTCTCACACCATCCGCACCAACCACCAGATCTCCATCGAAGGAAGACCCATCAGCGCAGTGAACAGTAACATGATTGTCAAAGTGCTCGACACTAATGACCTTCTTGCCGGTCAGGACCGCGCCTTGTCGTTCTCCAAGATGTTTATACAAGATCTCAAGAATACTTTGACGCGCCAAGAAAGCTCCCGGGTATCCATGCCTGAGAAGAGCGTAATCAGTCACATCCAAGTCAAGTTTCAACAAAGGAACAAGGGCACTACCTCTTCTGGGATATAGCCGGTACTTCAGTATAAGCAAGGAGCTTGCCGTTCGAATCCCAATTGTACAACGGCTTCAACGGCTCCACTTGTTCCAGAATATCATCCAAAACGCCTAGCTGTTCCAGCGACAAACAAGCAGTCGGAAAGATACTGATCGAGGCGCCTTCTTGTGGAGCGATTTCCTCGCGCGCTTCCAACAAAACAAAGTCGATGTTGTGGCGCGCTAGACAGTGGGAAAGGGTTAAGCCGGCGATTGATCCACCGACAATAACCACACGGAAGTTCTGCTTCGGCGCCATGTCTTTTACTACTGTTGGGTGGAATAATTGAGAAGTATAAGCCGAGACAAGCTTGAAAAGGATAACAAGAAGGTCAAAGAAAAAAAGGAGTCGGGAATGAGTTGATCGATCAACTTTCTTTGTTCTCTTTACCGCTCCACACTAAGTGCGGGCGGCAGAGTGGGACCTTATACGAGCTGTCCAATCATAGCGAGTAGATATGGAGTCCGAGGGCTCTATACTCGTCAGCCGCAAACCAACCTCGATCTGATGTCATTTCGAGCAGGATGCGAGTGGATCATACAGATTCAGAGTCAGAGATACATATTGCGTCTACAGCCTTTCTCGTCGTCGCTAAATACCAGTACATTTTCTACAGAAACACCGGAACGAAGCGAACAAGCCCGGAGCGAGCACGAGACACTTCAAGTTATTAACATTCCAGTCATTCTATTTTGCAATGTGGACGTCTCTAGCAGCTCATATTCCAACCAACGAGGCCATGAATATTGTTATTGATACTACACCCCTTCGCTGGCTCTATCGGCTTCTCATCAAGGGAAGCGACGCCCGCCAACCCAACGAGAAAGAACCACCAAAACTATTCCTCGACGAGATCGAACTCTCACTGGAAGACTTCGAGCAACGCTGGAGCACGCCCGCCTCCCACCAACTAGACACCAGCCCCGAACCAGAAATAGTCTCTAAGATGACAGAAGCCCTCGCTCACGGTACACTCAAAGAAACGGCGCGGATATTCCATCAAACGTGCCCTGGTGACTGGACTCTGGACATGAATGTGGCATTCAGTGCCACTTTGCGGTCGTACTACGAGCATGGCGAAGGCAAAGCGCAGGCCTCGATGCTCGCGGCGACAATACGCTTTCGATGGGAAATGGGACTTCTCACAGATTACCTTGTCAGCTTGTTTGATCTCCCGATGCCTTGCAATGAGATTTGCATTCTTTGGTGTCAATTTGCTTGGCAAGATGACATGAATATGACTGATTCTGCTTGGAAGGTGCGTTGGGACAAAATCGAGAATGCCCTTGGCAAGTCTTTTGATGTGCTTCCTCGTGAGGACCAAGGTCCGCTGTTCTATCGCCCGCGGTGGTACTTGACAGCTGCTCTTGTTGAAGCTGATAGGTCTGAGGATGATATTCTGTCTATTGTTGCTGCTGTGGGTCAGTTTACGGAAATTTTGAAGGAGTTTCACTACGAGTGTTATGTGTATTAGTACTTGATTCCTCGCCGAGACTGGAGTGAGGAGGTGGCGCCTGTTCTTTCATATGAAGTTTTTATATTCAATCCCCTCGGAAAGAGAAGAGGCAAAGATTTTACTGTCGTTATGCCAAATCCTACTCGTATCAAACAACACATGTGCAACCATTGCGAAGGCCAGAGCTATAAGGCAAGCATGTCTCCAAGAGAAAGGTGTCGATGAAGTTGCCCGTGTACGAGCTGTACATAGAAACACAAGAAGCAATAACGAAGTAAAAAGCAATGGGAGCTACGCACAGGCGTGGTGCAGAGTCAGGCAAGGAGGATAATTCGAGGACCTTGTAAGGTGGTAATAGATTGAGCTACTGAGGCAAGAGGCAGGTATAACTTATAACAAATGGGCAACACCTCAAGCAAAGGTTGGGCCAAATGGTATGGAAAGGGTATGTGTAAGGAAGCAGGTTCAAAATGAAGCAAGAAATTCGTCCAAGCACTTGAGGATGCGTGGTCTTGCTGTTACCTTTCGCCCGATTGGTCGTTTCTGAATATAAAAGTTGATTCTGAGCAAGTAACCCTTCGTTTGATAGGCCGATTTACGCGAAGGGGAGTGATCCTGAGGTACCCCAGAGTCTCCACCCAAAGGTATAAACAGCCTCAACTTTTCCACCTTCTCCCCTCTTTCTTCCTTCCTCAACTCCCATGTCTTCCAAGTTCTGACTTCCAACTTTGACTTCCTTCTTCCACTTTGAACTTCGAACTTGCTCTCGTCTCTTCCAAGTTCCAACTTTCCTCTTCTTCTTCGTCTTTGAACTTGCTTCCATCTTCTGCAAGTTCCATCTTCATTTCTCATCATGCTTCAATCATATCTTCACCTTGCATGCATCATGAATCAAAAATTCATTCACATTTGACATCAAGCCATGTCACTTTTCCTCCTTGACACATGCCATCAACCTGATCACGCTGTTCAACAAATTTCTCAACTTGCCTCGACGAGTTCAAGGTTTGTTTGCAATCTTTATTTCCTGTGCCTCGCTAACTTTCCAGACTGTGCAAGTCTTCTACTTCCTCCTTCCAGATGACTCTCCACAATTTGCTTCTCCGCCAACTGAGTCTGCTGAACAGGCACTCTTCACTCTGAAGCTTCACTCATCTTGCAGCACACTCCGTGAACTCGTCGCCTCCCCCTCCCCCATTCCCTTGTGTTTTCAAGTTGCTTTTCCTCTCTGAACAGGCGTCACGAAGCTGGAACAGCTGCGTGTCAGGACAAATTCAGTGAGGACCTGGCCCTTGAACTCGATTCCAGCACCGAACTTCTTGGCCCATTCTTTTCATCGTGGCGTGGAGGAACAAGTCTCGGGTTTACATCATGCACATGTGGTGAAGAAGCACCAGCAAAAGAAACAATCCACAAAAACAAAACACTAAGAACAACACAACAAAACATGACAAAACATGAGAATCAAAACATTAAATTCAAAAAACAAAACATCAAAACACCACAGCATCAAAACACCACAGCATCCATCCATCACTTGACCCGACTTAAACCCTCTGTTTTGGTTCATGTCCTCTCTGAACAGGCGTCATTCAGCAAAAATTACAAACCACGAAGCTGAGTGTCAGGTCAAATTCAATCAAGACTTGGCCATGACACATCAAGAACATCGATCTTCGTGACTCATTTATCGTTCGTTGTTGTGCGAACGATTGTTGTGTGAAGGAGCAAGCTGTGGTGTTCCAACGACGCCAAGGGTGTGATGAAGCACCTACCTGATAATGAGTCCCATCTGGATAGGGGCCACCCGGGGAAGCACCTTGCCCATATTAGTGGCTATAGACTAGCGGCCGGGGCTAAGTGGCAGCAGTGAAGAAGCACTGGTTCTAAAGAAGACTTGTTTATGTTGCTTTGCGTTCATGCTGATACCTCTTCAAGTTGATCATAGTTTCATTCTTTTGTCGACCACAGGTCATCACATCAATCCATCAATCTTTGAAAACCATTATATACATGTAAATCTGTGATTTGTTCTTCCATTCAAGGATCAAGGAAGAATCAACTTAAGGTGTTTCTATCAAAACACAATCCCCTAGCCAAGAATAAGTACAAGTTCATTGAGTAGAAGGCCTTTGAACTCACCACTAATTGTAACAAGCAAATACTCCCCTCTCGTTTCATAGTGGCATGGATGCATAAGACACGGGTTTACAACGAGAATAAGCATGTAGTGAAGACTGACAGGTCGAAAACAGTAGTAAAAGCACAAAAGCCAAGGAGATAAGCCACCAAGCCGAACCCGTAGTAACAATCATTTCAGGCTCAACTGCTCCTCGCAAGTCAACGACAGAAAAGCTACTTTATCAATAGTTTCCATGTAAGTAAGGCCGTTCAAGTCACTTTTCACAAAATCCAATGCCCTCATTGACCCCTTACACTACAGATAACTTTACCTATGCATTTTCAACCCCATCTACCAGCCAGACCTCAATCACCAACATCACAAGCAAAGAAAAAAAAACTCAACGCCAATGTCCATAAAATATTCGCCTAACACCCTAAGCAAATAAAAGTCTCAAAAATTCACGCACGTTGATAGACGCGATAAGATTAAGTTGCGATAAATTAAGCTATTGACTAACTGCTCGGGCCAACGGGCCTTCCGCTCGATCGCGGGAGCCTCCCCTCCCGTCTCCCGGACATATTCAGGTTAGCTTAGCCCTAATTACTACCCTTGTCGAATCAGCCCTACGAACCCTTATGGCATCAGGGAGTGGTCCGTCCCGCGATCTATGAAGTGCATTATCTCGGGTCGGCTCGAATCTGGATCTTTGAGTTTGCGATTTTAGTCTACGAGATCTGGATCTGGATCGAATTAAATACAGTAGTGTAAATAAATGAGCCAATTACGTTCCAAGGCTGGTTACTACAATAATTTCCTTGCAGTGGATAAAGTTGTGAAGATAACGCAGGAGTTGATTCGAGCGATCGAGCTCAAGCGCTAGACGATAGATGGAGAACATAACGTGCAGTAAAAACTAAAAAGTGATCAAACAGCCTTCCCAGTAATAAGTAAACACTTGAAGAAACGGCAGACGCGCAGAGTACCATAAAATAAGTGCAAAAAGGGAGAACGAAGAACGGTAGCAAAGGGAACGGAAAAAGTTGACACAGCCGACCGTCTTTTGTCAAACAAACACGCAAAAAATCAAAGCTTTAAAGAGATTGCCAGCCGCATAAGATAGGATGTACCATAAACATGAGCATGAACGCAAAAGGACGCGAAATGATGATGGAACCAAACCAGAACGCAGGAATGATCAAATAGCCGCCCGAGATTGTAAAAAAGTATGTGAGCCACCTGTGATCTCCGAGTGGTTTATCACAAGGGGACGGGGAAAAAAATGGGAATGGGGATGGTTCGTGTATGCATGGAACCGATGAGCGCTAAGGCTTGCTGGATGGATCCAGGTCGTTATTCGAGGAATGTAGCTATTCTTCCCGAAGAAGATTGCCACATTGCGATCCGAAAAGTAACGACAAAAGTGGGTTCTCGCACTGCAGAAAAACGCACCCTCCAAGTCTAGTGCTCGAGACCCTCCACAATTAATCAGAAAGGCAAGGAGAAACGAAATGTATGGGTGAAACAAGGAAAAAATAAAATCGTATGCCGATAGGAAATTCGGTGCTTCAAAGTTCGTGCGGCTCGTAAAGCTCATGGGTCCGCGTTTCGTGTGGCATCGTGTCGGATCGGGGGACAAAATCCGAACGGTTTCATCAGCTGCCAAGATTCTTACGTCCAGATCGGGTTTTCATGATCGGAGTAATCTGAGAGCGACCCTTCCAGTATCATTCCTGGCATTTTCCCCGGAGTAATCATGTAGGAAAATGGCACCCTCACATTCGCAAGATCATGATCATCGAAAGGGGGTAGGAGAATTCCAGAGAAAACTCTCTCGGCAGGAGACGGGCCCTGAGAGACAAAAGAGGAAAGAAAACAAAAATAAAGGCACAAATCCAACTGGATTTGGCCGGTCCAGCCACGATACCTCTAGATCACCATAATTTTCAACACATGGTGCTCCCTAACCGTGTGGCCAGCACACGGATCATTCCTTCGCACTCCCCCGCATTCCCGTCGCGCGCGTCGCTTCTCCACAGGTCTCAGGGTTCAGACACAACCCAGCGCGAGATCCCAAAAAGAACACCGAAGAATTAGTGACCGGGTCCACCGGGTCCACCACGCCGGTTTAGCGCATTGAGCATGTCGCTATCGGCGGGACTGCGAGTGTGAGGATCGCCAGGGTTCAGCATGTCGCGTACATTCAGACCCGCACGAGCAGAGCCGCTGGGCGTTGACGCTGAGGTCGAAGGAGGTGGAGTGGGACCACTTTGCGGCGGCGCAATGGGCGGGTATGGCGAGCCGTGGGGCGAAGAGGAATGACGGGCTTCATAGCCGTAGGCAGAAGGCGAGCCGCGTCGATCCTGCGGGTGAGGTGCATAGTAGGGGCTGGAGGTCTGGTATCCCGGGATGGACCCGGCGGGAGTAACGGGAGCGAGATTTGTCGGATCGGGATAAGCGGGCTCAGAGCCTGAACCTCGTCGACCACCAGGTTGTCTCTGTGGGGAACAACATATTAGATCTCATGTTCGTGTCTTGATTATCGGTTCCTGGAATGACTGCCTTACCGGATCCGGCATCGATGATGCAAGGGGTGCTCCACCATAGTGCGGGTACATCCCTTGAGGCGGCGGCAAGGTAGATTCACCTTGCTGTTGCTGGTGAGGAGGCAGAGGCTGTCCGTGGGCTCCGTAGAGTGTCATAGGGCCACCGCGGGGGCCTGGTCCGGCGTTGCGTAGGTGAGGGTAGGCGGCATGTGCGGGGACAAATGCTTGCGCCTGTGACGAGACGGGTGTGAACATGCACTCTTGGTTAAATCGCACGCAGTTAGTACACCGCCCATCCGATGAGCTTTCAAACCCGGAGCAACGAATCTGTTGGGTTTCATTAGCTCTGGTCGCAGTCAATCTTGACAGATCTTTCCCCACGTACCTTCCGTCGGCGACAGTAGCGACACGCAATTGCTGTTCGTTGGCGCGGTGCTGCAGCCTGGTAGACGACTCCAGGTTGTCCATAGGGGTCTGGGGGGTAGCCTGGAGGCGGTGGAGGCAACTGATAAGGATCTTGCCTTTGGTGTTGGTGAACAGCAGCCATGGGGGGAGGAGGAGGGTATTGCGATTGCGCCGGAGGTGGAGGATAGTAGCGCTCGGTGTCTGGAGGAGGAGGGTATTGTCCCTGCGAGTACTTGAAAGACCATTCCAGGTCAGATTGGGCGCATTGTGGACCACGACGATAATCCTCTGTGTTCAACATACCTGAGGCTGATGATAAGGATCGTCGGATGTCCAAGTGGGTGGGTACGGCGGTCCCGATCCGGGGGGATGGCCCGACATTTGTATGATTTTTGGAGGGAAGAGGGGAGAGGGGAAGTACAGTAAGAAAAGAGAAACAAATGAGATGAGTCAAGGGTACAGGGATGTGACGTCGGGTTATGAAAGGGGGGGAAGGTCAAGTCACGCCAGCATAGCGCAGGGGAAGAAAGAAGGAAAGATCCAATCTAAATCCCGAAATGCGATAGTGCAGAACAAGGAAGAAAAAGGAAATCAAGGGGGAAAAGAGAAAGAGAAAAAAAAATAAAAAAGAAAAGAATAAGAGCCTCGGCGTCGACTATGACGTGAGCAGGAATCAGAGTCCTATAGAAAAAAAGACGAAGATACCAATCAGAGAATATTCAAGTAGAAAAAAGAAAAAGAAAGAAAAATAAAAAAGGAATCAATTTTCTCATTGGTAACGGATTTTTATTTTATTTTACGTAGAACGCAGTGGAGCCCGGGCACCGCGGGCTAAAGCGGCGCCAATTGACCCAGGATCCATATTGACGGACCCTCTTGAGACCTCAGCACTCTTGGAACTCAGCTGCGAAGGTCCGTGGAACCGAGAACGGTGTGGCAAGGGATATCTTATCCCTTTGAACTAGTTAACGCGTCCCGAAAGTATAACTCCAATCCTTTTTCAGCCCCCATTTAATTCCCCTCTCTCCCCACAAAACTAAGATAGTCGGTCAAGGATGTAATCATTAAAGAGCAGGATTTCCCCCGAGTCTGACCATATTTTTCGATCTTAAGATTATCGATATCATCTGCAATCAAGAAAAACGAATTAAAAAAAGACGAGATCCAGCTGACCCAGATTTCATGGAATAAACCCTGCCCATGGGGATCGTCATTCCTCTCGTCGCACAACCGCAACCGGCCCCGCGGAACCAGGATCCTCTACCATGGCGATGGGCGCGGGTCGGGACGAATCTGCCTGCATTAATCCATTGCAACCCAATATCCACCACCATATCCTGGCTAATAAGAAGACGAAAAAAATGGTAATGTAATTAATATATTATTAATCAAGTGGGAGGGGAAACAAGAAAAACTAAAATATAAAATAAACTGGAAACACAAGTCAGGGAAAAAGAAAAAAGAAAAAAATGTGGCATATCTTCTCCGGGCCATGTACAGGGCGCTACTGCAAGTACTACTGAACAATCCCTCGCCCAGTTGAGAGCGGTGTGCGAGGTGGCGATCAGACTTCAGCTGAACATTTCGAATCCACTTCTCAGCTTTCGCCACTCAAAGATACGAGTGTCTGGTGACGGAGAGCGGAGCCTGCTCTCTTCCTACCCGGGCCCGAAAGGTTGGTTTGGGTTCGGAAGGCCCATCAAGAGCCAAGGTAACCTGCATTAGCGCCGGCTGGCAACTGACAGGGGCGGGTTCCTAGAGGGAGCCACAACCACGTTGCACGTCTCCAGTCAGTAATTACAAGTCCTAAAAAGATGCCGGTCACCGCTAATCCCGGGGATCCACCTCATCTCGTTTTTTGGTGGACTCGGTTCCTTGGAAATCAGCGCTTATGATTTCATCTGAAGCGGGGACACCTAAATTAATTACCATTCTGGTTCGAACAGAGGTCAGTGTACTATACTAGAAGGGTAGGTACTCTCTACTTAATATTACTTACTAACCGTAAGCACAGTATACCTCAAAATGGTAGTATCCCGCCGGGCGAACTTTTGGCCTCGGGGTACTTGTCCCACGGGCCGCTCCGGCCTTCCCGCCGATCTCATGCATGTGTTCGACAAACAAGGAAGAACAAGGCTCGGGATGATTGCCTAACTCTGATCTAATTTATACGGGAAACGCCAGTGGATATCTTTCTAATTTTATTTCTCGATTAAATGATTTTTCTTTCAGGATCTAGGTCCGGGAGTCTAGAGATTAATCTGGGTCTTGCCACGTTTTTTGTTCCCTGTTTTTCCTGGCGAACCCAATCGGCGCTTGCATTCCCGTCCGCGTCTTTCCGTCCGCTGAACTCCACTTTGTTCTGTCGTGGCCTTTGCTCTTACATTTAGCGTACCAGACTTTGCACCGGAGTACGGAGCAACACCTCTTTTTTTCTGCGCTGTTTCTTGGATCCACACCCGACCCAAACTCCCTGGCCACTCGATGCGGTTTGTGCTAGGGACGCGCTAGTCCAGCTGGACCCAATGGAGGGACTGAGCGCTGACTTTAGGGATCCAACCCCGACCCGTGGTGCAGGCTACGACTTTTTTTTCTTTCTTTTTTGGTTTCGTTTCGTATTGGCAAGGATTTGTTGGGGTTTTTTTTTTTTTTTTTTTTTTTTTTTTTTTTCATTTCCCCCTGCTCGGCGTTCAAAGTGGACTCGTCGGGTTTCAATTTATATTAGCTTACCTGTTGTTTGGTTACCTATAGATGAATTTTTGGCCCCCAGGAGAGGAATTGAGGGGCCTGCCCCTCTTCTCCTTTTTTTTTCCTTCCTAATTTTATCCACACGGGAGCGCGTCTATCAGGATGGAGCCGGTCGGGCACTAATAGGCGCAGCCCGCTGCAGCCCGCATGGCACGACGGTCACGGGAACACGGGCCTATGACGAGACAGAATCTGACGTGGCGAGTTGGGTTTAGCAGGGTTTATGTGGCAGTGCACCAGTCGTGTGATGGGCCCAGGACACTTAGGACTGGCGGTGACACCGTAGGATTGGGATTTTGACTCAGAGCGAAATACACAAAAAGTAATTTAATTATCGATTTGTCGTTTTGTTTTTATTTGAATGTTTGTCGTACAGGACGGGTCGATCACATTGCTTTTTCCCTCTTTTCCTGCTGCTATCCGATGCATGAGCGATCTGACACCACACCACTTGCTCTTTTTCAGGCTTTTACTCAAAAGAAATAGTAAATACTGTCTACTCCATAAACTTTCATTGTAGTCAAATAATATTCTCTTATCATCTCAAAAAAAAAATAAAAAAAAAAGCCAGTTGATAATGTTGATGGGTGACATCACACCGTTCATTATGTAAATCAACCGGGGTCGGAGTGAACGGCCCCCTTCCAGACCACAGGGCTGACAGGGTGACCAGAGATCGTGACCATTGCTGAAGCTAAATGCTATCCTTCCGAGGGTCAGCAAACAACTCAAAATCATCAAGGAGCCGCTCAGATCCCGGGCTTTGGGCAGCAAGGTCTCGGTTATGCATTGCGCCTGCATGGGACATCATCTGTAGCCCGTGGCAGGGGTTCCCCAGGTGCCTTAACGTGGCTGGGCGCTGCGGGTTGGACCTTGGGGTCCGGGGCTCCTATTGGCCGGTGCATTGTATATCGAAATCGTGCACAGGGTGTGGGAACTAAACCATGTCAATTGTGATGAGATCTGCTGATTATGTAGGCTGATGTCATTCATCATTTACGGATCAATGATGCTTTTATCTTGCATGCTGGCATGACTTTGAGGACAACCTTGGAACAGAAGGGTGAGTCACAAAATACATACACTAGCAGTCTTCGCCATTGCGAGTTGCAACAAAATTCCGGTCTTTTCACGATGTCCCAGTCACAAAAACCTTGACAGACCAGGTGTCACATCCAAGGCCCTCTACTGGCTGACATTCAACGACCATTCCTCTGCCCCCAGCCACGATTTCATCGACAATCCTAATCTCAAAACCGCAGACTATCTTGTTGAGCTAACTTGCTAGCCCCATAAATGCTCCAAACTAAACCAAACAACGCCTGGCTCTAAGACAGGTCACAAATTTGCGACGAAAACACCAGATCCGGTACAGTCTGGCATCTCCATCTTTCCCAAAAGATCTCTGTACATGGAACACCATACCCACGAGGCACTGCAAAGCAGCCAACGAGATGTTGGCTTCGAATACAACACCTACATCCCAACTCATCATAGCCCCAGTCGGTGATTATCCAAGTCCGATAATCGAGAGACTACTTCGGACCTGGTTCTGGTTGGCCGGTGTGGAGGAAACTACCTCCCCGGTCGATCACAATCAAGATCATCACTTCTCTCTACCTTTTCCCCTTACTCCACTGATCTCTGCATAATGTACAGTAGACGGGTAGCCCTGCAATGATAATGCACTCAAGCATGTACGCTGTACCCCCTACATTGGCACTAAACGCAATGCACACGCACATGCATGTACATGTACATTAATCAGGCATCTATACCTGCAGAAATAACCACCAACAACAAGTACAGCTACCAAGCTCAAGAAGATAATCAAGCTCGAGAAGATAAAACAATCACGACCACAACGCCCGCACACAACTAAATTCCAAGCCAAAACTCATTTGCGTACATCTGCTACACACCGGGATTCAATCCCAAGAAAGCAGGTCCCCATTCGAACAGAATCTCCATCCATCCGATCCTACCGAATGCAGTAAAAGCCATTCCATACCAGGAAGGTGCTCAGCAACTACTGTACCACTGAAAACCTGGTACTGGTACAGACACCAAACTCTGGTACTGGAACGCGGCGGAGTCCCGACCCGACCCAATCCAATCCCATCCAGATGGAGTCACCCAAGGTTTCGCCTAGCGGGCATGCCCGACAACGGGCCGAACGCGGCGCGCGGGCGCGGGCGCGCTTGCGGTGGCGACACTACTCACTACTAGTATTCCACGGCAGTGTGGTTCGGGATTCCATTTTTCTTCCATGGCTCCATTTGCTACTTCTACGTTTCTAGTGCCTTTTTTTCGGGGACCGGTGGGACCCCAAAATGAGGAAATGGAGTCGGGGTTTTTTGATGTCTTTCTGGAAGGTTGTGGGTTTGACTGACCCAGTTTTGTTTAATAGGTATTGCGCTTTTGGGATTCGTATTCGGTCCGCTGCGCTCCTGCTGTTCTATTTTGGTGAAGAAATTACGAGGTGACAGTGGTTGTCGCAGATTGAACCGTTCTATCGGGAGAGGATCGGTTAATGTACTACTACTTCGACGGCAGAAGAGAGGAGTAGATAAAGTTTGTTAGAATTGTGATTATCATGGATGGAACGGGTTGAAATTGCGCTATTCCATTGACCCGTGGACTATTGGCCCTTATTGCTTGACAAGGTTCGTACCTAGTCTGCACATCGCATTTGCGGGTGGCTTTGATGGTGACTAGTGGGAAACAGTCGTGAAACCAAGTGAGTAATGAAAATAAGAAAATAATTCTAGAATTGATCAGCGCCTCCCGTTTCATCTTTCCGTGTTGAATTGGCGCTTTGTCTGCAGCTAAGATGTGACGAGGATGCAGTGACACTTGCTTCTGCATAGAAATGGGACCAGGAAATGCAGCTGTCTATGTTTGGGCATTAGGATGCACAAAGAACAACGAGGACAAGCTGCAGGCGCAGGATTCGAATTAGAGATAGAAATAGAGATCCGTACACAGCCTCGTAACTGTAGTTGCCTAAGACGGCCGAGGATTTGGTTAGTGGTTCAAGTTGATTTGGTTGCAGGCTAGAGATTCCCCGAAGGGTGCGGACGAAAATGACACGAAATAATCAGTAAATTGGCCGTGGAAATTCCCCGGTGAAAATGGATCTGGTGGATACAGTATCAATCGGCTTCGCCCGTGAAGAATATGCAAGTAAATTGGTGGTTTCCCCCTCTACGTATTTCCAATTACGTTCAAGTGATTTTTTTTTCTCCGCTTGGTCAGTGCCAGTGCGGAGGAATCGAATGCAGCAGATCCAGTCCAATCTCAATTACTGATCGGGCATCACAACACTGTTGAGATACGTCACCTGTTTGAGAGAAGCGGTCAGCAAATGTTCCAAACATGGCCCAACAAGAAGGAAGTAGCTCATCTCGCATTCGGTGAGGGGCATTAAAGGGGACGGGCAACCGAGCCTAAGTGGCTAGCTCAGAAGGGAAATGGGGCTAGTCAAGAGGGGGCAAAATCGGCGGGGGCAGAGGCAAGACAAAGCACGATAGATCAGAGAGAGGGGAACAGAAGGGGGGCTTACGAAGGGCTCCATAACCCCAATCAGCGCGACGATCCGGTCCTGCGCATCCGCTGCCATGATTTCCGTGTCAGTGATGGGTCGTCCGATCGTGAAGCTTCGTAATCGAAGCAATTCGATATTCTTATTGTCAGCCTCGTAGCCCTAAAAAACAATGTTAGTGACCATAGATCATTGTGCTCCTTGTTTTGGTTCCGGGGGCGTTCGGGGGCCCGAGGGACATTCTTCCATTTCCTCATGGCCCGTGGAGACTGGCGCCAGACTGAACCATGGAACCAGAAGAGACGGCGTGAGAAAATATTTTAATACGAAAGAAAAGGGGAAAATGCTCCCCCAAAACCCAGAAAAACAGAAAATGAAAACAAATAGACAATAATCTCTGAATCTCTGGTACGAGACCCAGGGCCAAGGTTGATTCCCGAAAGACTTTGTGCGGTTGCTTTCCAAAACACGGGTTACCCTCCCGCTGACACCCGTGCGCGGTCATGCTTTCCGCCACCACTGAGCTGTGGTCGGCGTTGAGGCCATCATTCCTTTGTGGAAATGGCTCGTATGATGCTGTCATAGGCCTGGGTCTTCGTGTTCCAGCGGGGATTCCTGAGTAACGCGCTGCGACCCAGCAGAACACCTCGAACGGCAGGATAGGTTTCCCCCGTTGCCGAGGTGAACCGTGGAAACCATGGCTAGAGAGATGACTTGACTCCGTGATGAAGATGGAAATCAGGTCATTTCGATGCCTGGGTCCGATCAGACGATAGAGCTTCGATCGCAGCGATCGCTTAACCCTCTGAAGCCATTTGGTTTCATCATCGAGTATGGCTAACGATGAACCATAGAAGGGATGAAGATGACCAAGGGTTGATGATAGTCTCTGCCCCAAAGCGAGAGTGCAAAGTATTGGATGATAGATGACTGATGACTGACGACAGATGGCAAACTAATGGAAGACACATACCTTGGGCTTGGTCTTGAGTGCAGATTCTCTATTGTGATGCGCGAAGGCTTTCACAACCGCGTCATCCTCGGCACGAGCTCCCTTCAAAAACTCTCGACGCATCTCGGGTGCTCGGAGCACCTCCTTCCATTGATCTGCGTACGTGTCAATGTCCTCTCGAAGCGCCGCCAGTGCATCGGCCTCAGGGTTCCAGAGACCACAACCTATAACAATCGATGCGAATCAGCCAGGCCATCATAAATAAAGGCAAAGCGCAGAGAAAGGAACAAGAAACACGACGATGGGAGACAGCATACCCACGAAGCTGGAGCCAGGTTGGAAGTGGACATAGTACGCTGCATATGGGCCCTTTTTGCCAGTGCGGGACCTGCGCTGATATGAGTGAATGGTCTCATTCCCTGTCGTGAACACTTACCATGCAGCAGAGAAGTGAATCTATTCGTCCGTTAGCACGGCGCTAACTCATCACAGTAGCACAAGGCATCTTCGCCACCCGACTGGACCGGGGGTGGAGGAGACCATTTCACCTACCTTGTATGGAAGAGGATTCTTGCTAAACCGAACATCCCGATGAATGCGAAAAATCTGAATGACCTAGTCAGCACTGGAAAACGGTGTGACGAGACCCCAAAACCATATGCGACATACCAGATCCTTCATGGGAAGCTCGGGGACAGTGCTATCCACCTCGGAGACCTTCGCGGACAACGTCTCAACAAACGTCTCAAAATCTTTCTTTGCCGCGCGGAAATCGGGATCATGCGCTAGCGAAAACAAAAAATCCCGGTCAGCGACATGATTAACCGCGTGGTGGATGCAACCCACCTTTCAGCCATTGGCGGTCATTGTTCTCGGCCAGGTCCTGCAGAAACAGTTTCGTATTCGGGTGCAGCGTCTCATCTTCATATGGCACGTCCCCAGCATCTCGGGCCTGGGGTTTTGCGATAAAAACCTCCTTCCCTGGTCCTAGTCCTGTACGAACACCTTCGCGCCAAAGCTCCTTGCCCTTGAGACTGCTGGCAGACGTGCCACTTCGTTGCTGCTTACCCTTGCCCCGGGGTTCTTCGTCGCTCTCGGAGGCCTCCAATTCTACCTCCGGAGTCGGTGAGTCTTCTGATTCTTTCTCCTCATAAGCGGAGCCCGAATCCCCACCGTCGGAGTCACTCGAATTCAGCTCCGGCTCCGCGGAGCTCTCTGGCTCGAAATACTTGCTTTTCTTGCTGGTGGATTTCACCGAGTCCGTCAATGCGCTATTTGACTTGATTCTTTTGATCTCTCCCTGTGGGGCGGACAGTCGTGCAGAGGCGCGTCGTTTTGGCGCTGACTTAGGCACTTCTGCGGGCCCGGGCCGAGACGATCGTCGGGCCATGATCAAGTGGAGTTAGATACTGAGTTGCCGGTGCGAGTTTTTTACTATGTGTATCTTGTTTGTCGGTGCGTAAATATTTGTAGGTATTTATTTGACCGAATTTGGAGTTGTGTTTTCCCAATCAAGTAGAAAAGATCGAGATCCAGGAACAGGAACACAAACTGTATCCAGACACCAGTCGAGTTTCGGGAATTGGAACAGAAATTTCAAGAGATTGACGGAGATTGAGAATTAAAAACGGATCCAAGGGGTGGGAAATACCTTAATGTAAAACCGGCTTTTTTTCTCGGTTTACTGCGTAATACGAAAGGAACTGATTCTCCGCCTTTTAGCTCCCCGAAACCCTTCGGTTCTTTTTCTGCCCTGAACTGGTCATCAACGCTATTTCCACTTAATTCCGGTACATTCCATTGTACATTTCAATTACTATAGCCCGTCTGATTCAGCCGACCAGCACGAAGCCCATTGAAAAAGCTTATGTGACAGAAGTTACTGCCATGTCCAACCCCACATCGAATATCCCCGCGGTGTTTGAGGCCCGCAAAAACAAGATCCTAGAGGAATTGTCATTGCCAGATGCCGAGTACACAGATGCTTCGCCTAAAGGATCGGTAGATGAGGGTATCCGTGATCTGATTCGAGATATCAATGCCCTGCCTGGCCTAGTTACGACCAGCAGCTGTGCAGGTCGTATTAGTGTATTTTTGGAGGGGAAGAAGAAGAGCACCAGCTCTGTACAGGACGAGCAGGTATCAGTGCAGGCGCAAAGACAATTTGCCCAATCTGGGGGTAAAGGTACCGGTCGCTGGCTGTATGTATCGCATGATCCCTTTGTTCTTCCTGAGAGCAATGTTTCCGCGTCTGGGACACGGGTGTTCCCACTGCATGAACGGTTTGGTTTGGTTCCTGGAGACGGGAAACCACCTACTGGAAAAGCGTTGCAACTTGTTCGTTTTCATTTTGAACCCTTGGTATGTACTAAATTATCATTGGGACCCTTGTCTAGAGATTGTTGCAAGTAGGGTAGAAGCTAGCATCGGCTACATATTTATGTTAGCCATCGTGTTACAAAAGCTGCGAAAACCTTGAAATGATGGAAATCAGATTACCCCAACTAACTAGATTCAGATCCTCCACATAATGACAGCTACCCTTCACCAGGCTCAACCAGTTCTAGCGGTGGCAGCTGCATCTGGCTTCCGTGAAAGTGGTCTGCAAGGCCTGCGCTGCTTGGAGGGTGAAGAAGGACCCAGCCCTGTTGTTGCAGTTCGGTCATCTGGTCTCTCACTGGAATCGGTGATTGGGTATTGTGATGACGACGACAGCGGTGCGGAGCCTGTGGTGCGCAGTTTGGTCACAGAGGAGTATCTCGAGATGCTGATTAAGATGGCTAATGAGCGATTTGCGGTTAATGCGGATCGAAGGGGACGTTTCCGGATGGGGTTGTTACAGTCCTACTCCCCTGATCAGATTCGATTGTCTGGTAAGGGGAAGGGGAAGCCGGCAGACTGGGAAGATCCCTTGGTTAGAAAGGAGAGAATGCGAGCAGAAGGGTTGATGAAGAAGAAGCTCCTGGATAGTCAGAAGGCATTAGAACCTACTGGACAGGATCTGGATAATTCTAAAGATCCTATGGACTATATTAGAGGGAATACTTATTAAATGGCTGGGCATTAGTGTGTCAATTTCAAATGAAGTTACAAATTCGTCCAGATAGCGAAGCCCACGGTTGCCATCAGCAAGTGATACCAGGTATAAGGCTGGTTATCATGCATTGTTCTTGAAACAGTTCATTGCTTGACTCTTTTTGAGAACAACCAATCGATTCGTCCTGATTTATCTGCCTTCGATAACGTGCCTCTCCATCATTACTGATTTCGCTCCTGGAAGAATCCAGTATGTCTAACCCATCATCATATATTGCCTTAGCTGGCGTCCCCCCACAGTTTACTAGAGCCAAGCTAAAGGTTTTTAGTGACGCATTCTGGGATGGCAAAATGGGCACTTTTTGATACTAGTCTTCTTTCGCTTAGTTCGTATATAAGAAGTTTGCTGGGAGTGACTCGGGTCGCCTAAGAAAACCTCTCAGTCCCGCAAACAAGAGTCGCCTTCTTTTTGCCAAGGTCAATAAGTGTAGGTTAGCTGTCGTCTTGGATATGGCATATGAGCGCAGACACGTGGAACACAATATTTCTGCTGGACTTCCTCGATGAGCGACTATAGTGAAAAGGTGACATTATAGAGTTACGGTAGGGTCATGAGGAAGCGTCCCGCTATGAACAGACTCTAAGACCTTTAGCATATTCCCGCTTAAGGTCGCTCTAATTCAAAGAGACGAAAGGCGAGGTGGTGCTTACCGCATATATGATCAATGATTTTATGATATCGTCCTGGCTTTTGTACATTCCGTATCCATGTATGTCTTTAGTATTTTCTCCCAAAACCCAGACGCATCCATCGACTGATAAGAGTGCATGGGACAATTGGCTTTTAGAATGAACCATAGAGACTAATACTATAATACTGTATATATAACTCAGGGCCACAGACAAAGGCATATCATTATCCGTAGAGGTAGATCGTTTATTAATTAGTTTTCGAGAGATTGACCAGCCTGAACTTACGTTATAATTATGAACAGTAACCCAATGATATCTTTTAAGATGACGATGGGTTAGGAATGTTGAGGCTGCGGGAAGACCGGCCAGAAAATATGGCCCTGGATCATAACATAAGTAGAAGTAAGCAAGAGATCTTTATGCAGCTTGTGACGAATTAAGGCGCCGATAGTTGTCGTCCAGCTGAATAATGGTGAACGTTCGGTCCTGTTCTCAAGCGATTGACCAAGGTGAAAATAAATTTCACGCTTTTTCTCTAGAACAGACACTTTCCATCCTTACCCGGGAGCTAAGCTGGCTGCCCACCTCCGAACAGTACTCTTTCAAACCTTGCCGATGTCGATTTCAAGAGAGCTCACGCGTTCCGTCCTTTGATCCAACACCTCGTGATGCTACCAGCAAGCAGTCGAGACCGTGTAACGTATCTCTAAGTCTTCCTGCTGCTGCTCATCAAATCGCCAACTAGAAAGGATGTAAGACTAGGCAAGCCAAAGGGCGCCAATGGAATTTGAAAGTCCTGTGCCTTACTTCCCTTTTTCTAAGATTTTGGATATAGGGTGCCGTTTAGATGACTGGCAACAGGAATCTGGATCCCAATCAACAGCGCTGCTTTCATATCCTTCTTTGCATCGCGGGTGCTGTATTCCTCTGCTTTGCTAGCGTGCAGCGATGATGATGCAGCGGTCAAAATCACTTTCGTGCCAGACTGATATGACTAGCACTTAGTAAAGCGCAAGCTGGCTGGCTGGTAATGCGGGAGCTCTGAATAGAATATCTCGTGATGAGATAGTTGGATGAATTTTTCCGTCATCAAGATGGGTCATAGCTTCATCATCGAGCGGATACCAGTGATTTCGAGCTTCGTCAGTCGCAATCTCTAGCTGTAAAGGGGCATGCTGAAGTCGATCCGTATAGTTCTCATCGCCAAACATAGAACGCATGGTCATTGTGGTGTATCGGGCTTTCATTCTGCTCATATTATGATCCATGTGACATGGTTGAAAGAATTGAAAACATTGCAAGGATGAGGGATTCTATATAGTAGTTATTGGTGACACGTGATTAAATTAGTATTTCCCAGTTCAATCACTGGCCTACCCATCACGGAACCACTGTCAAGGTCCCCAAGGGAAAAGAAACTTGTAAGCATATTTGCCGACAATGCTGGGCCCTATTTCAAGCTTTGATGCCTAGATCCTGGTACGGCCATAAGTGAGTATTGGAGAAGGGTTTGGATTCACGGTCAAACTGAAATATCATTGCCCGCCTGAGGTAGATGTACAGAAGTACCTAGATAAAGAGGAAAAGCAGGAGCATGCATCATTCGTCGCCAGGAAGAAAAGAACGCCATATAGTTTAGTCGAACTAGGAAGAGTATTAGCAACGGATCTAGGGGAGGGAAGACTAAGCCAATAATTACCGGAGTCAAGAAAGATTCAGCAACGAAGCGAGCACGAGCATTCAACTGCGTGATATTAGTACATGGTAGTAATTAACAACAGGGGAGTATATCGGGGCCACCACTCACAAACAACTTCATCTCGGAAATCTCCTTGTCGACTTCCTCCATGCTAAAGAGAGAATGACGGATTAGTGAAAACCAACTGGCGCGCTTGGTTAAGGGAACCATACAATTGAATGATAAAGTCTACCAATTTGTGCTTCAACATCGCTTCGACATGCACGTTGGTAATCAGGAAAGAAATATCATAGCCCTGGATGAGATCGTTAGAGAAAGATCAAGCAGGCCAAGCATACGACCATAGTATCTAGAGTATGCTTCACGATATGTCCAGTAAATGAATACGCACCTTGATAGGCTTCCGGCGGAGAATGAAGAAGGACTCAGCACGTTGTTGCAGGAAACGGGTGAACTTGTGGACCAGGACTGCCGGATTCATTAGCTTGCGAAACAAGGACATATTGCCAGGTTCAACATACTGTGCTCAATCTCATCCGCCTGCTTGATCCTGATCGAAACTCGGACACTGTTGACCGAGGGTTCTACATTTCACACTTCAGCACCTGGATAGATATAGATGGGGTTCCAGCTAGGCTCGGACCACATACCAATCAGAACCCGCTCGTCTGCATTACGCGATACTGTCAAGGGGTTCAGGATAAGCTCGGGGGATGTCTGCGCCTCGATCTCTGGGACGTTATGACGCTCGGATGTCTGAGAAGCAAAGTTGGAGATTGCCAAGGCTGCCGTAAGCGACGAGCGCACACTATAGGTAAGATACAATCAGCCAGTAGTTCCAGATGTCATAGGGCCTTGTAGAGCTGTTACAGACCATTGGAGGTATGGGCGGAGTGATTGAGACATGGTGCGGGAGGGGGAGGGGGTGGTTGTTATTGAGGCAATCCAAGTACGGGAACTTCGCAAATAGACTCTAGATCAAGATGGGAAGCTCAATCGCACAAGGCAGTATTCCTTGATATCCGCAACCACCGGTGGCAGAGGATTAAAGGCTCGGAGATCGTGGAGAATGGCTAGGCAGAGGGCGAGTTGGCGTCCCGCTCCCCGGGGGCGGTGATGATGACGGCGGTCCATGGGTTGTTTGGTGTGTTTGCAGGCGAGCGCCCCACGCCATCTTTCCATCTCCTCGAAGCTGTTTACATCCCAACCTTCTTTCAAACCCCTCTCAAAGCTTTGAACAGTTCCATCGGTTCGTCACAATGGCAGCCATACCTAGTACGTTCCAAATGCCACGACTTTGGTCTCTGTACCTCCTGCTAACAGGTGCTAAGTTATCATCAAACACGGCGGCAAGCGCTACGAAGTCGAGCTTGATCCAGCCTCCACCGGCGAAACATTGAAATATCAGCTATTCTCCCTGACCGGCGTGGAACCAGATCGACAAAAGGTACTCATCAAGGGTGGCCTTAAAGATGACACCCCCCTGTACTCCCTCAACGCCAAACCAGGCCAAACCTTCATGATGATGGGCACACCTTCCGGAGGCCAAGACGCTCTGAGCAAACCCAAGGAGACAATGAAGTTTTTGGAGGACATGACGGATGCTGAAGTGGCACAGCAAGAGGGAGCCATCCCTGCTGGTCTACAGAACTTGGGCAACACCTGCTACTTGAACTCCACCCTCCAGACCCTTCGCGGTGTTCCTGAGCTGCAGGCGGAGCTTGTTAAGTACCAGCCAAGCAGCAGCTCCGCTGAGTCGAATCTGTCACGTCTCAGCAGCTTTGGTCTTGGTGGCTTAGAAAGCCGAAAGGACATTGCTGCGCAGCTACGGAATCTGTTCAAGCAGATGTCTGAGACCCAGGAGGGCATTCCGCCCTTGGAGTTCCTGGTTGCTCTCCGAGAAGTTTTCCCCCAATTTGCTCAACAGGACCGCAACGGCCACGGCTATGCGCAGCAAGATGCCGAAGAGGCTTGGTCGCAGATTATCAACCAACTGCGGGCCAAACTGACGATCTCGGACGGAGAGTCAGGCAGTCGGACGTCGTTCGTCGACAGATATATGGCCGGTCAGTTCAGCTCCGTCACGGAGTGCGATGATCCCGCAGCCAAGCAGGTGGGTGAGGAACCCAACAAGTCCTCTGACGTCTTTTTCAAACTGGATTGCCACATCGGCAAGGACACCAATCACCTTCAGGATGGCATCATGGCCGGCTTGGAGGAGCAGATCGAAAAGCAGTCCCCAACTTTGGACCGCAATGCTATGTACACTAAGCGATCGCGGATTTCTCGCCTGCCGCAGTACTTGACCGTGCATTTTGTCCGCTTCTTCTGGAAGCGCGAGACTCAGAAGAAGGCCAAGATCATGCGTAAGGTAACATTCCCGGCTGAGCTTGACGTGGTGGAATTCTGTACCGATGAACTTCGGGACCAACTTGTCCCTGTTCGTGACAAGGTCCGCGAAATTCGCAAAGATGAGGTAGATGCCGAGCGCTCTCGCAAGCGTCAAAGACTAGCTCTTGATCGGGAAGAACAACAAAAGAAGAATGAAGCTGAGGGCGGTGAAAGTGCAAACTTGGAACCGATGCAGAAGAAGAAGGTGGTTGAGGAGACCAAGGACAAGAAGACCGACAAGAAGAACGACAAGGACGGTGATACTGAGATGGAGGAGGAGTTCAAGACCGATGCTCAATACGAAGAGGAGAAGAATGCTGCGATCAAGGCTGCCAAGATAGAGCTGCAGGAGCTTCTCAAGCAACGCGGCTCCTCGGATAGCGGGACCAACCAGTCGGGCCTGTACGAACTCCGTGGTGTGATTACCCACCAGGGTGCGAGCGCCGACAGCGGTCACTACACAGCATATGTCAAGCAGCAGAGCCGAAAGGCCGACAACCAGACTGGTAGCAAGCGTCGTGAGGAGGAAGACAACAACAAGTGGTGGTGGTTCAATGACGACAAAGTCACCGAGGTCGAGGCCGAGAAGATCGAGACCTTGGCTGGTGGTGGTAAGTTCCTATCTCACGTCCTTTATAAACTTTGCTAATTTGTCATCTCAGGCGAGTCCCACTCAGCTTTGATTCTTCTCTACCGCGCTATTGAATTGCCCACTGTGGACTGATTGGACTATCCATGACCAAAAGACATGCCTCTAGATGAATAGAAACGAAGATCACGAGTGGATGTTTATGGGCACAAATGGATGTTATTTTTTATCTCAATTGCGGTAATCGTACTATGAATTCAGTAGTTTACAGATTGCGTGTAGTTCAAAGCTCGAGATCTTGCAGCGCAACGTATCATCACGTGATGATAGCCTCGGTTGATCTGCGGCTCTGTATCGCAGCAGCTTCTCTCTTCTAAAATGGCAATGTGACCACCATGCATTCCCGGGTACTACAACTACCACTGCGTACGCCTATCTTAAGGCTTCCGATTGCTGCCCGATTGTCTGTTAGACATGCCTCCACCGCCGCGCCCCAAACCCCTTCCGGTCGTTCGCGATGGACCCGCCGTCTAATTTACGCCAGCATATTTGGAGCTCTTGGAGTCGCAGCTGGCGGGGTTCTGGATAGCAAGATTTCATTGCCTCCTCAGCCTGGATCACCGGAGGACCAGATATTCATGAAGGAAATTCACCGTGTCTACGAACGGGGTCTCCCGATCGTACAGGAGCTACGAAATAACCCTGATTATGAGGAATCGGGTGTATACCAAGGCATGCCGGAGACAAGCAAGGCCCATCGATTAACTTCAAGCGCATTGGCTGGAAGTAGAGGAATAGCATTACAGGTAAGTTGCCTTGGCTGTCAGCATACGAGCCCATTGTCGTGCAGGGGCAGCCGCGCCAACCTTAGAAAAACAACTGCCGAACACCTCAACTACCGAACCTCGGGATGTCATCTTCTAACATTTATGGTTTCCGATAGAGAGTCTTCTCAAATGACAAGGAGAAAAAGGTTGTCAGCGTGGTTTACCTCGGACCCGGTCTTGAAGGATGGCCCACCATGGTTCACGGTGGTGCTTTGGGAACTGTAGTTGATGAGAATATGGGACGAGCAGCCATTCGACACTTTCCCGAACGAACCGGAGTGACTGCTAACATGAATATCAACTATCGGCGTCCTGTTTACTCGGGACTTTTTTACACCTTCCACACACGGCTGGACCAGGAACGGAGCACGGACCGAAAGGCTTACACCATTTGTGAGGTACGCGATCTGACAGGCCAAGTCTGTGTTGAAGCCACGGGTCTTTTTGTCGTACCCAAGAAGTTCAAGCTTGCATCCATTGGGGACAAATTCTAAATGATGAGCCGCGTGGCAATTCAGACCTGAGATTCAAGTCTGGTGACTAGCTCTTCCGGTGGGAATACGATAGATTACGATCAGGAGTCATTTGCCACAGATCATCTACCCCACCGGATTTTCCCCATGTACATATAGTGATACTTCCGGATAACCCGTGGACCGTTTCATATCTCTGTACATCTTTCCCTAAACATAGATCTTTACGCACAATGACATCGAACCCTGCATCTCGTCAACTGATGCTGTAACTAGTCGGAAGTTGTAACTAGTCCCATCGGCAAGCATTAAGCACAGACCCTAGAAAAGGAAGGAGAATACATTCACGAATGACAAAGTGTTATGGTTTCGGGGCTGGTCCTATTATGGGCATTAAACCGGAAAAAGGGCGAGACCCGCGTTCATGACATCCTCGACAGCTCCATTCTTTCCCAGGATCCACCTTCTCCACGCTTTCCCCCGCATTTTCCGATGTACCACAACCGGAATCGCCCCCAAGACTACCCAAGGATCCGAGGCTGCCTCGGTATTTTCTGGATTTCTGCTCTTTTCTCCCGGCTATCGCTTATCTGGTCTCGCTTTTTATTGCGTATTCAGTGCAGGATAATTCCCCATTATCGCCACTGCATCCGCTGATTGGTGCGTTACAAGCCCAGCAACCAGCGGAAGGTCCCGACAATGGAAAACAACGGGACGAGTGTGGTTATTGGCTTTTGGCCCCAATCATTTGGGACAATAAGATCGTGCAACCTTGTCGAAGCGATGTTACCGGAGTATATACTTCTCCTAGCCCCCATCTAGTGGGGATCGACAATCCATCTAACTTGGGTGGAATTGAAATCTGTATCTTTTTACCTACCCCTTTGTTGACTTCCTTATTATCCTTGTACCCCGCCTTGATAGCTGTTGTGCTGTTTACGATTTTTTTATCTGCCCATCTCCATCATGACGGGTTCAATTGAAGACACAGGCACGGGTCCACCCCGGATGGACGAGAAGAATGGGATCATGCCGCAGGAGAGCAGCGACATTTATCGTCGACACAGTCACCAGGAGGTGGCTGATTTGAGCTCGACTGAGGCTGGTCTTACAGAGTCTGAGATGGATCTTCCGGTAAGGCAAACACTGTTGTCTGTTGTGTGAATTATCCTAATATGCGATCGATTTCAGATGACTTTCCGGCGCTTCATGGGATTTGCGGCCATGGCCTTTTTGTGGACAGGCAGTCAGATCCCTGTTTATCTATTTGGTAAGATAAACTTACTTGTCTATCACAGGGGCCCATTCTAACTGTTTTCAGGAGGAATTCCACCCTATATTTACGGATCCATCGGAGGAGCCGATCGTTGGGTTTGGTTTGTATGTACATCTCCTACCAAGTCCTCAACCACATATTGATTGACTCATCTACAGGTTCTCGCGAACTTACTCGGTCTTGCAGCAGTCTGTCCCTTTGTCGGATCTCTGTCTGATCTGCTTGGCCGTCGCTATGTTGCCATTATCGGGGCTTCCCTTATTGTTATCGGAATGATTGTCTGCAGCACGGCAAACACCATGAATATTTTCATCGGTTAGTCTGCTGAGTAACTCCAATTCAATATTGAGACTAACAATGAAATAGCCGGTATGGCGATTGCTGGTGCTGGCGCCGGTGTGAATGAATTGACTGCGCTGGCTGCAACCTCAGAGATGGCACCAACCCGCAAGCGAGGTGTCTATGTCGCCGTCCTGATCTTCACCATCCTCCCCTTTTGCCCGTCGGTACTCTGGGCCCAGCTCATCGCATACTACAGTAGCTGGCGTTATGTTGGTGCATTCAGTGGCGCGTGGAACGCATTTGGTCTTCTGATTACTGTCCTGTTCTACTTCCCTCCTCCTCGGGAAAATTCAGTCGGGCTAAGCCGAAGAGAGGTCATCAAACGCATTGACTTTGTGGGTGGATTCTTGAGCATTACAGGACTTATCATTTTCCTGGCTGGATTGCAGTGGGGTGGATACATGGTATGTTGTTTGACAGTCGGTGTACTAGCGCTTCTACTGACGTGTTACTATAGTATGCCTGGAGTTCAGCCCATGTCCTCGCACCCCTGATCATTGGTTTCCTGCTGTTGGTAGCTTTCGCATTCTGGGAGATCTATGGCGCCAAGTACCCAATCTTCCCAACACGTTTGAAGCAAGAGCCTCGGACTTTGGGTCTTACCCTGGTTATCACTTGCATTTCTGGCTGCAATTTCTTCTCTGTCCTGATGTTCTGGCCCACTGAGTCATTCAATGTCTACGGTCACGACCCGGTCGAGGTTGGGCTTCGCAGTCTGCCTATTGGATTTGCCATTCTTGCTGGGGCTTGCATTGTCCTTGTTCTGTTGAGTGTTTTCAGAGGACATAATAAAGAACTGTTGATTGCTAGCAGTGTCCTGATGACTGCTGGTAAGTGCCTCCAGTCAAACAATATCTCACAGACACTGACCCTTGTTCTTCTTAGGCTGTGGTGCTTTATCTATTGGACGTGTCGACAACATGTATCAGATGTGGGGACTATTGGTTCTCGCTGGTCTTGGAATCGGTGGTATTGTTGTCCCTGCTTCGATTATCACCACCATCATTTGTCCCGATGTAAGTATTGACCCCTGAAGCCATGAAGTGGGGCCAATCACTGACCTCTTTAGGATCTCATCGCTACTATCTCTGCTCTCACTCTATCCATTCGTGTCGTGGGTGGCGGTATTGGCTACACCATCTACTACAACGTCTTCATCTCCAAGTTCGTCCCCAAAGCCACATACTACATCGGCGGTGCCATGGAGATGTACCTTAATATCACGGATGTCGAAGTCATCACCGAAGTTATTACACTCACAGGTGCTTCTCTGTTGGATGAAATCAAAGAGATCCCCGGGATTGCAGGCAATGAGACTGCCTATCAGATCGTGGTTGAAGCGGGCCAGCTGGCTTACGCCGAATCATACAAGTATGTTTATTATGTGAGCATTGCCTTTGGTGTGATCTCTATTATCTCAGCTTGTTTCTTGGGCAATATTTCCAAATACATGACCAACCATGTTGCGGTTGTGATGTGATCGGCAGCGTTGTGGAGGATATATATCGTGAAAGTGTACCTCGATACTTGTCATACCTTGCCTTCTTACAACCATTTAACTTGACTATTGGAATCCATATGATATGTTATTATTCCATATATTAATATCAATTAATACGATCAAAGTTTTCCACTTTCATCCCGAGGTCCTTTAGAGCTAGATACCAGAACTTGGTTCCTGTAAGTAAATAAAGTGTAGCGTGGGGCCGCCGATCAATGACGCGCCAAGCCCGACAACTTTTTTAATCCGCACTTGCGCTTGACCTCCGCACCTCCATCAGCTGTCACCATGGCCTCCAATCTCGCTAAAAGGAAGCCCTTTGGCGCTCCAGGCCCCCATGGATCAACAGGGGCATCTAGGAAGCGCGCAAAAACATTCGACGCCCGCACCCTAGCCGTCCAGTCGACCGATGCCGCCCTCTCAATAACAGGCGAACTCGATGTCGCCGCATACGCAGCTGCCCGCGCATTCGAAATCCAGGCTCTAGAAAATGGAATGCAGCGCTCAAGAGATGCACTCACAACACGAGCATTCCAGAAAGTGCCCCGCTCCCTGCGGAGACGAACAGCAAGTCACAATGTGAAACGGGTCCCACGGAGGTTGAGGGCGAGAGCCAAGCGGGAGGTAAGTGTTGCAATTGCGAAAGTTTACTTGCGTAAATTAATTTTAAATTGCTGGAATTATTAGATGATCGAGGACAAGACGCCGACTGTTACTGCCCGGAGACGCAAACCCACGCAGATTATGCGCATCCGACTCGAAACTGCCAGACGCCTGCAGAACCTCAATGCCAAGTCTAAGGCGAGACGTGCGACGAAGAAGGGCAAAGCGGCGAAGGATGCGGCTACGACGCTGAAAGAGGAGGGAAGCCATCCATTCAATACTGCGCCAAGGATACCTAAGATCAAGAAGAATAAGCTTTCGCGGCCGCCTCCGCCGGAGGCTAAATATAAGAAGCGTCAGCGTTGCAAGACTTGGTTGCCGACTCACATGTTTCATGCGAAGCGTGCTCATATGGCGACGACTAAGAATCCTATTTGGCGATTTGCGATCCCTGTGTCGCCTACGGAAAAGAGCTATAGACCTACGCACAGAGCACGCGGGTCACGAGGTGCGGTGGCATGGGATATGAGTTACATGTCTACTGTACAGCTCGAGGGAAAAGAACCGTGCATTGAGGCTGTCCTAAGGGCTGTTGGTATCGTTGGCGATGAGGCCTGGGGTTCCAAGGGAAAGAAGTGGAGGGCTGGTACTCGGTCGTTACAGGCGTGGGCCTATGAGAAAGCTAATTCGACAAGACCACTGGCGCCTGTTACACTGGTCTGGTGCGCACAGCCAAAGGACGAAGATATTGAAATGACCAGTGCCGATCAAAGCCAGCCAACAAAGGACCCGCGACGGAAGCTGTGGGTTCGAGTTCATCCATCGGCATTCCTGCATCTCTGGACAGATCTGCTCGAGTCTTCGAAGAGACAGAATCCTCCTGTTATGATTGAAGATTTGCGATTTGACATTGGCAGCATTGAAATTACTGGACCGGGATCTGCAGAAGCCTTGCTCGCAGCATTGCGGCCTGTTCAGGGCTCAGAAGGCCAAGCCCCAGGACCTCAGAGTCCAGAGACGACCTGGTCCTCTTTGCTGGGAGTATCAAACCCGTGTTCCCTTCCCCAAAATGCCCTTTTGTCCTTTGCTGTTTCCGATCCGCGCCTTCAATTCCCACCACAAACCCTCCGAGTTCCGGATAACGAATCCCACATGAATGATCTGGCCATGTTGCTCGCCAAGTGGTCTCCTGATCAAACACAAGGACCTTCTCTCCTATTCGAACGCTCCAATCGCTTAGCAGCTGCTCGTCAGCTTCCTAGCCAGAAAGCCATCAACCGTCGTCGGGGTCTCGCTGGCCCGGGCGTTCGTCCCGCTCCGCAGCCCAACGACCCACATATTCCGGTCATGATCCTGGCAAACAAACCATCTGCCTTATCCAAGCGGAACAGCGCACCCGGGTCCTGGACTGTGCTTTTACCATGGAGGTGTGTCGTTCCTGTTTGGTACTCTATTATGTACTACCCGCTTTCAAGCGGAGGAAACCCGCGCTTCGGCGGCTTGAAAGAACAGCAACAGCTTGCCTTTGAGGCGGGCGAGCCGTGGTTCCCTGGTGATTTCCCTGGAACCCGAGCTGGTTGGGAATGGGGTCAGAAGGAAGCGCAGAAATCTCAAAAGGAGTGGGAACGCAGACCCAAAGGGCGTCGGCCTGAGTTTGATAGTCTCGCTCTGGGCGCTGACCGTCCGAAGGGAGAAATAGGACATGGTTGGGCGTGTGATTGGGAACGACTTCTCCAGGGACCATCGCAGGAAGCTGTTAATGCCGCGCCTTCCAAGAAAGCAGCTGATGCTAATGTTGATGCTGGTTCTGACACCTCTGTTTCCCCTCCTCTCAACATCCACAACATCCGATACCCTCCTAGCAATACCGATCGCATCCTCAGCAACCTCATCAAGTCTCCTCCAGGCTCTGGCGCCCTAGCTCCAGTCTACCTTACACTTTGCACTCGTGGTACACCCGTTCCCTGTGCCCGTATCTACCGTCTCCCAACCGACCCTTCATTGCGTCAGAAATGGTTAGATCTCGCCTCAACAACTAAGAATGCCGACCAGAAGCCCAAGGGCCGGACAGCTTCAGAAATGTCAGACGAGGAAGCCCGGCGTCAACTTGCCGAGTCACTGCTCTCATGTTCAGCACCAGTGACAGCCTCTGATTGTTTGGAGGTCCCCACCGAGGACGATTTGATCGGATTTGCGACCTCTGGAAACTACAATCTTTCCGAGGGCAAAGGCACTGGTATTGGATCGATTTTGCTTTCGAAGGTCTTGATACCCGATGTCAAGCAACATGAGAGAAGAATGTGTATCGTTCGTGCGGCTGGGGAGAAGTCAGGACGGTTAGGCACGTGGGAGCTTGTCTGATGTTGATACCCTATGATCCACTGCCATATAGAAGATGATGAACGAACCACGCTTATATGATATGCTCATACCTTGCTATTGGATCACCGTAAAACAGTCTACGTAGAAAGCTAGCAGTAGATCATCATTCCAGGATCAATTCCATCCCATGCTATTCATGGCAAACAAAAAGCGCTATCTATACAATACAGTACAGCAGCCATGACAGTCCAAAAAAAACTAAAAGAGAACAAAAAAAGAGACATCTTTATGCAAGGCAAACCCGCGGCTTCGAATTAGAACCGAATCAGATCAAACCGAATTTAACCCACAATCCGATCCACAAAAGCAGTCTCCATCTTAGCAACCTCCTGCTTGAAAGCCTCAACCTCCTTCCAACAGTTCAACGGCCGACGGTCATTAAGTCTCAAACAACCAACAACATCAGACTTAGCCTTCTCAACGCTCTCATCGAGATCAACAAGCTTCCGACGTCCATCCAACCGGGTCCGCAGCTTATCAATCTCGCTGGAAACAGAGTCCCGCGAAATCTCGCGGTTGGCAACGGGCGCCTGCTCGGGTGTCTCGACAGGCGCAACGAAAGCAGGAGCGTCGTGCTCACGGCCTGCGAACGGAATCCGGGGAGCGTCCAGGTTCAAAGAGCCGATTGGGTAGCCTTGTGCCACTGGGCCTGTGGATGCGGTGATGGGGGCGGCACCGCTGTCTTTGGACTCGGAGATGCGCTTCTCGATCTCGGCGAGGGTTTGCTTTTCGCGCTCGTGGAGGCGCTTGAGTTCGGCCGCGACGCGGTTTTGGATTTCGAGCTCGATGGCTTTGGAGCGGGAGGAGTCGGTCTGCTCATTTTGTGATATGTTATTTTCATTGCTTTGCTTTAAGTTGAGATTGCGGTTGGTATCAATCACGTACCTCGGAGGTGGATTGGAGGGCGTCCACTAGGTTGGAAGAGAATTGGATGGGGGAGTTACTATGCGGGTTTGGCGTTAGTTTGGTTTCTTCTCTGCATATGGCATTGTATGTGCTGGTGGGATTGAGTCGATGGCAGGCTGGTTATCGTCGCAATTGATCCATCCCCAATAACCGGAGCCATGTTCGTTTCCCGCGTGTCGTGCTTTCGGAGGTCTAGGGAGAGCGGGTTTCGGGGAGGTAATACCTGGAGAAGACATGCTTGGAGTCACCCGCAGCCTCGGGCTTAGAACTGCCAGCACCCATGATTGTATATGGCCGTGATTGCTGTCGAATCAAGTCTAGAGAAGGGCGGGTGTGTGAGATGCAGTTCACCCGAAGCTCCGATACTTCAGGTCACGTGAACTTAGTCATCACGATCCTAGTCGCCAGTTGACCATCTTGACTTGCAGGACTGGCACGCTTGTTCGATCAACTTGGTATTTGGAATTTGGAATTGGGCAACTGCTCAGATTAAGTAGTACAACTTTCAAATCTTTTGTTCCAATCCCACCTATACTGTCATTAGTCTAAATAGTTAGACTATGTACTAGAAAAGAATATGAGGGAATTGAGAAATACATAATGCTCCTGAACAGTTCATCAGCTACGAAAGAACGAATGTTGTTTGTCTAACAGTCCGTCTTCCTGCGCAACAGTCATTGTCTCTGCGTTTGAACGCTCTTACCTAGTGAAACATCAAATTGCTAGTCGTCATTCTAGCTCTGACATCAAAGTCTAGCTTACAGATTTACTTATCTTGCCTGCATTGCATCGCGCTCTGCACGTTTTACAGTCGGCTTATAGGCAACTGTCCGCTGGCTTAATCTCGTGGAATCAACTGTAAGATTCCATGGGTCTCGAACGCGGTCTTGCATCTCTCAGGGACTAAGTGTATGTCATCCTCCATGTGCGCATAGGTATGCATGTCTGTATGACATAGATGCGCCCTCCACCACCTAAAACCTTAAAAACAAGGTTTCTTGTTCAACATAGGCATTATTGTCGGCGAGACAAGCCTCAGTGACGTCGGTCAGTTGACCCTGGATCTACTTTTTTTTTTTACAAAAAACCTCCACATGGATTCTGTGCAGACCAATTTCCAATCTAACCCCAATGAAGAGCTAGTTCCTCCCATAATTAAGCCCAGTTCCGTTGGGACCACCTTTCTAGAAGAGGTTTGGGGTTATTACTGAATCCACCCATTTGGTAATGAGAACTGTGCAAGCATTCTCGGTATTCCGTACCACTCGGGCCAATCCACCCGATTTCAGACGGAAGCCGAGTTTGTGATGCCGACCCATCCCGAATCACATTGACAGGCCTTGGTATTGAAGGGAGTTGATCCAATCGCAAAAGTCTATAGTACTCAAAATATACCCGAATCATACATGAATCGGGCATCTAACGGAGATTCCCCGTGCACCTGCATACGACACTGTGCAGCCCCTTCCCCGTGATTCCTTGCCTTTCCCGTTCCCTGTTCGAATTCCCCCGACCTCCCGCTTTGTCTTAACCACTGTGGCTCACCGGTGAAGTCGGGGAAAAACGTGCCATGGAGAGCCATTGACCATTCACAGCCACTCCCCACATCTCCGTGGTTTCAAGGAAATTTTATGCCGTCATCGAGGAAAAAATAAAAAAAGGGCGAATAAAGCGCGAGAGGGAATGGCTGTGAAACCTCGTGGAATGCAGGAGCACCTGCGCAGACTGTTATTTAAATCTAGGTATAAATGTAGAGAAATCAGGGAAACAAAGCGACAACTGCCGATTCTGGGGAAAAAGATACAGCCAAGTCTCCGGTAAACCCGGTGTTTTAGTGTGAGAGTGATTTAGTGGCACTACGTAGTCGAGTCTCGTACCGCAATCGACCGCCAAGGGAACTGACCTCATGGAAAGTGAACCCCTCCTCCCACTTTTTTCCTTATTTCCCTTCTTCAAATCCTCTAAAGCTCATTCTTACACCATTCTCTCCATTCCGAGTATCCTTATTCTTCTACTCTCCATCCTTTTCTTCTCTCTCCGCCAGCATCTCTACTTTCCGTGCCCCGCCATGTCCTCCCCGCTGTTGGCCGAGGCCACGCGCATTGCGCGCGAGTTCGATTACCCCGCCGCTCAGGTCCAGCGCGGGGTTGCTGAATACATTCGTCAGTCCAACGAGGGTTTGGCACAGGAGAACACCACTTTGAGCCAGATCCCAACATTCGTGACCGCAGTGCCCAATGGCACAGAGAAGGTATCGTGATGCGATCTGACTGTGCCCTGAAAGACCCTTTCAAAACTGACACTATGCAGGGCTTGTACCTGGCTGTTGACCTGGGTGGCACCAACTTCCGTGTCTGCTCCGTTGAGTTGCACGGCGATACCACCTTCTCCCTCACTCAGTCCAAGATCATGATTCCTCGGGAACTCATGGCCTCCGGAACCTCCAAGGACCTTTTCACTTTCCTCGCACGCCAGATCGAGGCTTTCCTGCGCATTCACCACAACGAGCACTTTGAGGCCCACCAGCGTCGGAGACGAGAGGGCAAGGGTGAGGAGGAGCTGTTCGACCTCGGTTTCACTTTCAGTTTCCCCGTGCGTCAGTACGGTATCAACTCCGGTACTTTGATTCGGTGGACCAAGGGCTTCAACATTCCCGATGCAGTTGGTCACGATGTGTGCGCGTTGCTCCAGTCGGCCATTGATGATCTCGACCTGCCCGTTCGCGTGGCTGCGCTTGTCAACGACACTGTTGGTACTCTGATGGCTCGTTCCTACACATCACCCGGAGAGACCGGTACCCTTCTCGGTGCTATTTTTGGTACCGGAACCAACGGTGCCTACGTTGAGAAGATCGATAAGATCACCAAGCTGAAGAGCATGAAGGATGCGCACTTCGATACCTCCACCGGCGAGATGATCATCAACGCTGAGTGGGGTAGCTTTGACAACCAATTGGGTGTGCTGCCCAGCACCATCTATGACCGTGAATTGGATGCGGATAGCAACAACCCTGGTATTCAGATGTTCGAGAAGCGGGTCTCGGGAATGTTCCTGGGTGAGATCCTGCGTCGGGCTTTGGTGGCTCTGCACAAAGACTCCAAGGTTGACCTTTTCTCCAACGTCTCGATCACTCCTGAGGGCCTTCTCTACCGCCAGTGGGGTCTTGACACCAGCTTGCTCAGCGTGGTTGAGGCCGATAACACCTCCCAGATGACCGATATCAAGACTGCTCTGAAGGACCACCTGAACATCGAGAACGCCAGCAATGAAGACTGCCAAGCAGTCAAGATCTTGACCCACGCTATTGGTAAGCGTGCCGCTCGTCTCAGCGCTGTTCCCCTTGCGGCCATCCTCATCCACACTGGCAAACTCCAGACAGATGACATGGTCGACGTTGGTGTTGATGGCAGTGTCGTCGAGTTCTACCCCAACTTCGAGGCTCACCTGCGCGAGGCCCTTCGAGAGGTGAAGGAGGTTGGTGTCGAGGGCGACAAGAAGGTCCGCATTGGAATTTCCAAGGATGGCAGCGGTGTTGGTGCTGCCCTGATCGCCTTGGTCGCTAGCAAGGACGAGAACTTGAAGAACCCCCGCGAATAAGCCCGAGGTCGTCATTTGCTGTCTAATCACCTCAACATTACCACCTTATTACGATTTCACTTCTTTGGGCTGTTACTCACTGGCTGGGCCAGTAGCTATTGGTGATCTTGAGCTTGTCATTGCGACATGTCAAAAGCGTACTTGGTCTTGGTTTAAGTACCAATATCTGTCTCTCATCTCACCTGCCCATCGTTTACCCATTATCCTTGCATGGCCCATTCCAAGGCAAAACTGCTCAACGCAAGCAGGCCAGGAAATAAACAGGAATTGTTACCTGTGGGATCAGCAATTTCACGCGCCACGTCTTTATAGTTTCGTTTATTCACCTACCAATTCTGCTCTTGCCTCGCTCCTGCAGCAGAATGTATCATTAGCTTTGATCCGGTCTTATGGAGTTGCGCCACCTGGCGCGGGAGGGCATCCAATCTCAGTACATTTTTGCATATATGGATCAATTTCCAACCAGACATTCAAGCAGAGTTTCTTGATTTGCCGTAGCTCACGCATTGCTCCTTTGAAAGACGACCAAGTAGAGAAGACATGCATTAGGGCCATTGAATAATTCTCATTTCCCATCATATCTCCAGGGCTACCTGCAGACACCAGCTAGACCAATGGTAAGGCGCAAACGTCCCCAGATTTACCCCAACAGCCGGTTAATCCCGTAAAGACTAACCTAATATGGCAGCCTGACACCGATCGCCGTTTCGCAATCCTCTCTAATCCAAGAATACGCGTATCGTGCTTGATTTTACTCTAGGGAGCGAGAAGTTGCCTTGTTGACATGCAAGTTGTATTAGACGTGGACTCTAGATCCCTCTATAATATAAACCGGCTCAGTTCAAAGACCCGCTATAAAAGACACAATTACATAAGAAAGACTAGACCGCTGCATAAAGACTCAGGTAAATACCCCAGATGACCCCACAAGCACTGGCAAAAACGACCCGACGGTCGACTGGTATGACGGTATACATCAAAGTAGAGACAACAGGACGATACTTCATTCTTGCAATCATGATAGGACGGAAATCCTACATAGATTAGCATCTGAGCCGGTCAAGAATGGGGGCAAGCAAGACATACCTCTAAAACCAAATCCCACAACCGCTTCAAGGTCTCCCCCTTCAAGAAATGGATCAGGACGATGAATAGCACAATGTTCATAGCGCCCGCGACCGTCTGATCCAGAAGGAATTTCATCATAAAACTATGCAGACCAGACTTCCTAGCTCGAGGTGCCCATTTCTCCTTATCCTTGTTGGACGGAAGGGTATCATCCGAGGCGGACGGAGAAAATAAAGAACGAATGGATGAAAACACTGATTTCAACGAACAAGACCGCGATGAGCACCGGAAGACATTGCCTATCTCAGCGCGCGATGGAAAACCAGGGTAACGCGCCTCCAGGGCGCGTTGCCAGTAAAAATTGATTGGCACGATCAGGATGCCATATGTGACAAACTGCAGTAGCGCTAAGGTGTTAAGCGCGAAGGGCGTCTGATTCAATGTTAGCACTGTGCTTCTTCTGTAGTTTTACATATGCCTGGTCATGTTTTTCTCCGTCTATGTAGTCACTCACGGTGTTGTTGCGCTGGTCGATTAGCTGTGCTAGGATGTTCGACAGGGCATTGAGGAATGTCGACTGAACGAACGTCACAGTCAGAGGCGACAGCATAGTCCTAGCACCATCGGGTCAGCCATAGAATACTCAGCGAGGAATCCTAGGCGTCTGGATGGGTTATCTGGGGTCTATTGAGGTTGTCGAGTGTGACCTTGGGGGCTGCCAAGACCTCGCACGCAAACGTGTCCTGACTAACGAGATAAGGATCGTTATCGCTACTCCGTACTGATCTACAGCCTCGTTTACAGCTTTCCCTTACTTTCTCTTTATTAAATGTTCAGAAAATAATATTGATTGACGGAAAATAACTGCAAAATTCCTATGCTGAAATCACTTTTTGAAACTCCACATTTGGCCCGTTCTTCGCACTGGTAAAGTGGTCTACGAGCGCCAAATGGCCGCCTGCGTCCTCGCCAACGCGATCAGCCAATGTCATATCAAATAAGAAAACCAGCCTCGCCAATGTAAGGCGCATCTCCATGAAAGCCATGCTCTTTCCAATACACCCACGAGGTCCGATACTAAACGGGCAGAATGCCCGACGAGCGACCTCAATGTCCTCCTTGGTAGTCGTCCATTCGGCACCAGATACAGAGCACGTCGCGCCCTCAATCCAGCGCTCGGGCACAAACTTTTCTGCGGAGCGGTAGTACTGCTCCTGTCTGTGGATGGAGTAAACAGGTGTACCGCAGTCCGTTCCAGCAGGTAGGAAGACTCCGTCAACCATTGCGCCGCCTTCCATTACCTGGCGAGGAATAGCACCAGGTACAGCAGGCGCAAGTCGAAGTGCTTCGTCGATACATGCTTTCAGGTATACCAGCTCGTTAAGTCTTGAACCACTGATGATCTCTTCGACGTTTGTAAATGCGTCACGAATTTCCTTGCTTAGTTTGGCTCGTGCTGCTGGCGACCGGACAAGGTGGAAGAGGGTGGCTGCGAGTGTTGTGGAAGTCGTGTCACTGCCCGCGATCATGAGCACATTTGCTTCACCCCAGAGCTCTGGTGTTGTGAGTCCTTTGCCTGTTTCGGGGTCTTTGGCGTTGAGCAGGTAGTAGAAGAAATCCTTTTTCGCTTCACGGCCGGCTAAGGCTCGTTCCTGTGCTCGCTTGTTCGCTTCCACGCGGGAATTCATGATGAAGTTCCATCGGTCTTGTGTGAGTTGTCGGATGAAGATTTGGTCGAGATGCCAGCGATCAAGAGGCATCCAGAGACCACACTGAATTATTGTTAGAGTCTATTCTCACTGAGCAAAACAAAAGCTGGGGTTTGCACTTACCACATAGTGCCGGTTCGCGGCTCGATCCACCAAGCCGATCATATGTCTCTTTCCGTCGGCAATGAGCATATCGAAGCTTTTTCCGAAACACAGCTCTCCCATCACATCATACGAGAGGTAGCTGAACCAATCTCCCATGTTCCGCACCACACCCTTGGAGTCGGGCGGGCTATTCTCATTCGCGGTGTAACCCGCCAGAGAGGCACAAAGCTGTCGCACATGCAGCAGCATCACATCCTCCATGCCCTTCAAGGCCGCTTCCGAAAATGCTTGGCTGAGTACACGTCTCTTACGTCCGTGCATGGTCTTATCAATGGCGTTATGCGTGTTATACACACCCTTAATGGCCGGGAACGCATTGTAGAAATCGGCTTTCTGAATTCGCTTGCCATGACCGTAGATATCATGCAGACCACGATCGCTATTCACCGAGACGAAATTTGGCGCAACACGCACATGCGTTCCGTACTTCTTGTGTAAATCATGTAGCCACAGGTGTCGATCACCTTTTAGACCGTGGTAGAGCTGGACCCAGGGTGTGAGAGAGGCGAGGAAAGGGCCAGGAATTCGACGGAGCGGATGAACGAGTCGGTTGTATAGCGCGAAGGCGACTGTCTGGTCATTTTCAATTTCGCGTTAGAGGTGCTTTGCAGTAAAAGTAAAATGAAGCCCTGCATAGATCTTCCGCCGATCAAAGCGGCTGAGAATAACAACATACCAAGACACCTAGCACCGCAACCAAATCAATCGCCAGCCCCTTCAAACTCATAGAATTTAATACTGGTTCGACGAGCATTATGTCTGTTCACACGTCATCTGTGATTAGTTTCACGCTGCTTATCTTTGGTTGCGTGGGACTTTATACTTGCACCTGATCTGTCACCGCGGGTATCCGCGCCCAGCCGAGTTTGGTGTCAATGACGATGGATCCCGCCCAAATCCACTGTGTTTGGTCTGGAATGCTGACGTTTAGGGAATTTGATGTCGTGTTTATCCTATCTGACGGGTAATATCGGATATTTGGTGTTTCACCGCGGGTGGTTTGTGAAAGGTGAATGAAGGATGAAGCATAACACAACCCCACATTGTTTTCGGGTGAGTTATGCTTAAAACACTATTCGCTCGTGGTATTTGTGGGGGATAAATTGCTCAATCTGCGGGATTTTATTCAGTGTTTGAGTTTAAAGTCGGAGCTTCTACGTTTAATCGCTTAATGCTAGGTTATGCGTACTCTTTGGTATTTCTCTTTGACGCCTATAGGCACTTACCCACACAAAAAGTAGATCACTTCGGCGCTCCATCTTCCTAGTAATCAGTACTATTTGCCCCTCAATTGATACCCACTGCGGCTTACAGTGGTACTTTCAAGGCAGCGCACCGCCGATACCCGTGCCTTTGGATACTCCACTGGTGGAGTACATTGTCAACTACCCATGTCGAGGAACTCGAATAAGGAGTTCGCTTTGGGTAAGGTGAACTCAACACTTCAAGGTTAGAGAGCTGTTGTTTATTTTTCACCAAAATAACTAGGTTGCACGAGGCAGCGAATCTCTTCAGCAGCCTCGGAATCATATCGCACGACATAATAAGTGGACTATTGAGATCCCACAACTAAGATCCACACGGTTGCCGGCTATTGTCATCATTGTAATCCTGTATGCGTCAATATCGCCGTTTTCGCTCCGAGCTCTCCGGTCTCGCAGCTGCCTTGTCTTTTAAGGCGGGCCATGCAGGCAGTATTAATCTATCAGCAAGAAGCCGGCTTTAACCAATCTAGTGGACGCTAGCAGACTCATATAGGCCGTCAGATGAGCTATATTAGGTTTCAGTGGCTTTGACGTTGGATTTGTAGCGGTCCACGGGTATATTTGTATACCCGCGAACCTCTGTCGCTCCTCAAATATTATGGACGCTTAACGACCTCGGGAGCATATTTTCGGTTTTTGGTGGTTACGGGACGGTAATAGTAATTACCCTTAGGAGAGCAATATGTCTTATCAGCTTGGGAAGATTGTTTGTGGTGAGGCTCGGATCCGTGGGATATTTACTCGATGATATACTGTATGTTGTTTCATATGGTCGGAGAACATTGAAATTTTGGAATATTGATACTTAGAATAATGGACAAAAAACTTCAAGTATAATCAAAGAGATACATCCGTATATTGACCTTGGAAAATATCGATATATTGCTATATCTTGGGGATACACAAGCTTAAGCTCACGTAAATGGTAAATATTTGGAAGGAGTCAGCGGACAACATCATGTTTGGATATTACCAACTCTGCAAGAAGCTTCCACAGGGAAACTTCACTCGTCCACTATCTGATGATAGTCTAGAAGAAATTAAGACCGCCACACATCGTGTAGACTGGGCTGGATAGGGCAGCCAGTGGGCACGACGGACACCCGATTGTCGCCGGATTCCCAAGTAACCGTTCCATTAGGCTCAATCTTGTAGTACTTGTACTCGAATGGAGTACCTGCAGTAACCAGTTCCAGAGTGCCAAACCACAAATTGTCCGTCTCAGTGTAAAGCCCTGCGTCGAGCGCAAGGCCATCACTTGTGTCCCAATTGCCGAGCGCACTGATGTTACCGGTCATGTAAACATTCTCCCCATAGTATGTGTTCTCAATGAGGTAGAATGTGATTGGCACGACATCAGTCGCGGGAACACACCCAGCAGTGGAAGTAGGGAATGTCGAAGTAGCAGCCTTATAGGTGCCAGTAACAGGTGAAGCGGAGCAGGTGGTTGGGACAGTGTTGGCAGACTTCTCGCCCCACGAGCCAGGCACGATTGATTCGCGGCGTTGGATCGCCGTCAAAAAGGAAGCAAACGACCATGTCAGATCATTTGCTGAGAGTGGGACACTGGTGTTGCGGTTGTACTGCTCAGCCAAGGAGCCGTTAGCAGGGGTGTATTCCTGGACAAGGCCAACAAAGCCGTCGGCATAAGTTCGGATGGCAGATGTGAGCGTCTTGTAGGTCTGGCTATGTGCCGAGTAGGAACCAGTCTTCACAGATGAGTGGAAATCCTTGAAGAACGCCAGAGAAGTCTCGGTAACATCAAGGCCGCCAATCTTGTTCCATTGATATAAGGCATCGTAGAGCAATTCAGCTGATGCCAGAGTGGTGAGATACCTATATATTTGATTATTAGCTTCCTAGATCGGTAGAGGATGAAAATTCTAGAGAATCAACTCGCCATGGGTTACCCCCTTGATAGACGTCTTCTGGGTAGCGGCCAACATTGGCGGGAGAACCCTCGGCAATGCCACTGTTGATCTTGTAGATTGAGCGGAAAGCATCAACATAAACCTTGTGATTTGCCAGTGCTCTAGCTGAGCAAGGCTGGAAAGTCGAATCATCACACGCAGCTTCGGGATCGAAGGTGTGAATGCTTCCCAAAAGGGTGTTTGCATCAATACCAGTACGGCTGGTGTCGAGATTGATGTTTGCAGTGATGTATTTTCCGTTCCAAAAGCTCTGCAGGAAGCAAAGGATCTGGGGCGCTTGAGACGAACACGCAGTGCATGACTTGCCAAGCTTCTGTGCTAGAGTTGCTCCCTGCACCAAAGCACGGTGTTGAACGGCCAATGTGAAGAACGAAGATCCGTCAGTCTCTTCCCAGAGGTCAAAGCCGGTGTCATTCCAGTACTGGCCAACATATGCCAGGTCATTGGAGATAATGGGCCACATGATGTTGACTGCCTCGGACTTTTGACCCTTGGAAAGCAGGTAGTTGGTGTAGGTGATCAAAGCAGTAGCTCGGAGAGCGGGGCCATCTCGCTGAGGCCGGCCCCAAGAGCCAGTGAAGGGATTCAAATCAACTTCAAATTTGGGCTCACCGAGGCCCGCTCCATTCTCTAGAGTCCCAGATGGATTGGATACATTCTGCAGAACTGCCTGCGAGGAGACATAGTTCCGAATATCGGTTTCCAATTCGCTGTTCTTCAAGCCAAATTCGGAACTACCACCATCGAACAGATCAATCAAGCACTTGAAAGTCAAAGCAGAGTCACGAGTCCAAGTGTAAAAGTCTGAGAATCACAGTCAGAATTGCATAACTAATTCTGGGTTGTTCACTTACAGTCTGGATTCGCTGTGTTGGGACTCGCAACAAACAAGCCAGCAGCTGTACCAGGTGCTTTAACACCTTTGTTTCCCAGATTGTCGATTATCCCTTGATAGGACCGCGCGCCCTCCTTCAATATGAAAGAGTCTAGGGAACTGAAGGGTTTAGCAGCTGCTACCTGTCCTCCCACGAGGACTCCAGCAACAGTAAGGAAGGTTGACCTCATTTTGAAGGATAAAACCCCAGGATGAAAAGAAATTGCAATTGGCTGATTATTTGAGTGGCAGCTAATCCTGAGCAGTATTTATGTTTTCGGCTATTCAACTAGATCATGTCCGTGCAATGCGGAGAACAAGCTTCTCCATACTAATTCCCGATAATTTCCCGACCTCCGCGAGCTCCACTCATACTTGCCGAATAGTCCAGGCCTCACGGTTCTTAACGACATACGCCCTCGTCCTACGTCATATACAGGAAATCGAGTTTCAAAATACCAAGAAACGTCAGAATGGATACGTTTCCCGGAATGCAAGATGTATGGGGACAATTACCTCGAATGAAAGGATACACCCACCTTGCCGTATTTTTCTCACAACCAGAATCATCCCGAGAAACGATAGCCGCACATCTTCAAGCAGCAACCCATAAAATCACATCAGCCCTCCCATGGCTCGGTGGCGCAGTTATAAATTTAAACACAAGCCAAGGATGCACAGGCAATTTCACAGTAATTCGGTGCCCACAAACAGAAAACATCCTCAAGGTCCAAGACCGATCTAAAGACTGCCCATCTTTCAACAAGATCCTCCATGCCAAAGCTTCAAGCGACCAGCTAGATGGAAGCCTACTCTCAGCGGAGACGGCCATGCCAGATACATACACGGAAGCAGAAGCCAACCCGGCACCCGTGCTGACACTGACAGCGAGCTGGATACAAGGCGGCGTGGTGCTCGACTGCGCTGCACAGCATAATATCCTAGACATGGGTGGTATCGATCAATTCTTTCAGCTACTAGCCATCGCACTTCAAGACAAAGAGTTCAGCGATGTGGTCATTGCAGCTAATACCCAAGATCGCCTGAGTATATTTCCCCTTCTTGGTGCTGGGGAGAAACGCTATGATCACTCGAAGATGCGCTGTCCATCCTCATTCACACCAGCGCCACGTCCCAATCCCCGACCAGGTCCCAAGCCCGCGTTCCACTACTTCCGATTCAGCGCATCCAATCTGACTCGACTTACTGTTCTCGCCGAAACGCCCTCAACAGACGATGCTCTAAGCGCCTTTATCTGGAAGCGACTAAGTGCAATCCGGCATCGTCACCAGAACCCAGATTCAATAACAGGATTCTCTCGCGCAGTCGATCTTCGACGAACACTAAATATTCCAATCGAGTACATGGGCGTAGCAGTTATGAAAACTTCCTCGCGGATGACATTCAACTCGATGGAACAATCCTCCTTAGCAGATGTCGCAGCACAGTTGCGTCAAGACGTCCGACGAGTCAGAGATCAGCATTTCCTTCGCAGTCTTGCTACTTTGATTGCAGAAGCGCCAGATAAAAGCACCATTAGTTTTGTCGATGGGTTCAATCCTGATACGTGGATTAATGCATCGTCGTGGGCTAGTGCTGCGACGCACAGGCTCGACTATGGGCTACTTGGGAAGCCGGCTTTTGTGCGGAGACCTAAGGCGAAACCTGTGCAGGGTTTGCTGTTTTTCTTACCTATGATGAATGACGGGGATGTGGATGTGCTTTTTTGTTTGAAGAATTGGGAGATTCGGGGGTTGTGTGAGGATTTGGAGTGGTGCCAGTATGCTACATATACTGGCTAAGTAGAAGTAGACATTAAACAATGCCTGGGCAACTGCCCAGTGTGGATCATGCTACCTAGATCATACCTAGTCTTACATTGTTCTATACAAAGTCCTTGTTATATGTTGATTTCAAGTCAGTCAAGCCCATAATGACTATGCCTTGCGATTATGGAGTAGTAATATACAATCCTGTCCCACCCGATTCATCACCGTCATCTATGCAAATTCTTGGATAAAACAAACCCACAGACGCCATAACACGAAAGAAGCAAACTTGTAACGCCTAAGACACCCAGATGACCGAAATGAAGCACAAAGAAATCGCCTAGTTCACGCATCCTCACTCTTAATATCATCCTCGTGGTCTTCCACCGTGAACGAGTTCTTCAGCTTGCTAGGCCCGGGCTTATTTGAGGACCCCTTCTTGGACGTATTCAGCTTCTTCTTCTTGGTTGGGCTGGGACTGCCTTCATCCTCGTCGGTATGAGCACGTTTTGGTGCAGAGGAGGTGGGACTGTTGGCGCCACTAGCGCCGCTGTCTGTAGGTGTTTTATTGCGAGTGCTGTTGCGACCGGAGATGTTCATGCAGCGATCCAAATGCTGGGCCACGCGATTCATGACAAAGTACCGGGGACAGACGGGACACTTGCTTGTCGGGACTTCGGGAATTGTGCTGTCCTTTTCCGTCTTCTTTTTCTTGGGATTTGGCATGATGGCGAAGAGCTTGCCGTGGACGTCATGGCCTGGTAGTACGATCATCGGTCCGTTCTCACAGTATTTGCGATGTGGATCGGGGGGTGGTCGGAATCCGGCGCCGGTAGGAGGATATGAAAGGCGGGGCAGTCGACATTCAGTACATATGATTTCCTTGACTGTATGCAAAGGATTTCCCTTCAGATACACTTTGCCGTGGTCAAATGTGGCGGCATCGGTCTCGAGATGCGTGCTCGCAAGTTTGACTGGGTCGATGACCATTTCCCTAGTCTTGCTATCGACGATCGACTTGCTAGGCGACTCATCCGGCACGTATGCTCCTTCCTCGGCCTTTTGTCTCGCGAGCACCACGGCAGAGCGCATCCGCGCCACCTTCTCTTCCCGGTGGACTTTGGCGACTAGATCATGGATGATGTTGTGGAAGGTTTCGTTGAGAATATCGGTCGACTAAAGATGAGACGGTCAGAACTGTCCTGCACGGGGAATATGAATCCCTGGACAGATACATACCACTTTGGCGACAGTGCCGGCAGGGTAGACCGGCGTCGCAGAATTGGAGCCGGCCATCTTCGGAGCCGTCGGGGAAGTCCCCAGATTGATTGACTGTTCCTGTATGGCCGACTGTGTCTACCCGCGACACAGTTCAAATCGTAGTTTCGCGCCAGTGTATTGTCTTAGTCCTCCATGTGCAGTAAATCTATGCAGGGAGGTGCGTGCAACGAAATCGGAGTCGGCCCGAAAGCAAGAGGAGTGTCGGACATATGAAATCCAACCAAGCACACACCCTTAAGTAGGCTTGTCACTACCAGGAAGTGAATGTCAGCAAGATTGAAGAGGTGAGTAGTCTCGGATGCGGGTTCAGTGAATTCGGGAGGTGGAATGAGGTGATCCACTCTGGTTTCCAATCAGGGGAATGACTCCGAAGGGAAGGATACGGATGAATGGATACCAGTGAATTGAGAGTAATGCAGGGAAAAAAACTGACCAACTGAATAGAAAGCTGGGCCGAGTCCAGCTTGTGGATACAGATGAAAGAAGAGAACGAGGCTGGAGCAAGTTGTTCACTGTCTTATCTCTTATCGCATCTCCGCATTCGCATTCAACTCGACAACTTGAACTTCAAAGAATCCCGTGCTTATATTCTTACTTTCAAAGATGGCATATCAGTTCTTTGCTAAGTCAAAGTCGAGGACCTCATCCTCTTCTCCATCGCCACACCGTCCGGCTCGTCCGCATAAACCGCCTAGCTACCCACCCCCTCTCCTGTCATCCGCTGTCGCAAAGAGTGGCCCGCCTATTGTCAGCCAGGACACTTTCCTGCCATATCCTCATGAGATTCCCACGGGCTACGCGACGGGGCATCCCTACATCACAGTAGAGACTGTCAAAACCGTACACATACCTTCTTTGACGCGTATCACGACTGCACTCTTGCCTATTCGCTACCCAACTTCGTTCTACACAAGTACTATCACTGACCCGGTCATCGCGTCGCTTTCACGCGTCGCAATATATCATGACCACCCTGTCGCCGCGGGACTATCCCCAGGATATGTGCCAGGCACAGACCAAGTGATCGGCGGTATTCGGTGTAAGCTGGAGAAGCAGGATCCCGGACAGGTAATCCATGGACGGGAGGCTACGAACCTGTACATCCAGACTTTACATCTTCTATCAGCTCATCGTGGCCGTGGTGTTGCGACCTCACTGCTGAACTCATTGCTCCTTGCACCGACCGTGGAGGGGGCCCCTGATCAAGTTTCTGATTTGGTCAAACACTATAATATCACCTCTGTTACTGCCCATGTTCATGAAGCGAATGAAGATGCTTTGAAGTGGTATGTGTCTAGGGGCTTTAAGGTGCAGGAAGGTGTTGTTGAAGGTTATTACCGACGTTTGAAGCCCTCGGGCGCCAAAGTCGTTCGTTTAGAGGTACAATGGGAGGATGTGGAAGCTGAGGGCAGGTCCCAAGTGTCCATAGAATGGAAAGAAGCTGCCAAGGACTCATCCCCGAATGATGCAGATGATGAGGACTGGGAGAAGGTGGAGGCAGAAGATGGAGAAGAGGAGGATCATGGTGTGCAGCTACTGAGTGACTCACGAATCCTCGATGGTGATGAGACACCCTCAAGGAAACGCAAGGCTGAGGAAGAGAAGGGAAATAATTCGCAACGGCGATGAGCATGCTGGGCCCGTTGACAGGCCTGTTTATAAGTTCGGATATAGTTTGGATACCCCCGGGGCCGCTCATTAATTAGAGTTTTGCCTGCATAGCAGGTTCATTTCATGCATCAATGTGATACGGTGGCTATATATGAAACAAGCATAATGTTTATGACGGCTTCGAATGAAATTATGAAATGATTGCTTGATTGAAACAGCACTGTCCTAAGACTCGATAGCTAAGTATCATAATTATCTTCATAACAGGATTAAAAACGCCAAGGGTATCAACAACATGAAAGACAAAATTATACAGGAGCCCGCTAGACTAGTGGTTATAGTTTTCCGCGTGCAGGAAGATCTCATCCTTGGAGCTATCAGTCAGAACCTGCAGCTGCAGCTTGGCCACGGTATTCGACACCTCGACACGCAGACTCGGTGGGCCACAGACAAAGATACAAGCACGACGTCCGAAGCTCTTTGAGTACTCGTTTAGCAAGCTGGAAACATCAGGTCGGAAATAGTCCGTCTTCCAGTTGTCTCTTCGCATAGAAGGCTGGAAAGACGCAAACCGTGGCGTGGGTTGTATCTGGGACACAGGTGTTGTATTCCCAAATCCAAAATCGAAGCCAGGACTACTGCTTGCAGGTGAGCCCAACATATTCGGCGGGATATAATGCCGAGGTGTGGGAATGTTGTTCACAGTATATGCGCCTGGGAGAGCAGCAAGTCCATCTTCGTTCTCTCGACGCAGCTCCTTCTCGCGCTCTGCGTCGCCAGCAGCTTCTTCCCGGATGTATGCTGAGTTTCGTTTGTCAATGCCTTGGAGCATACCATAGATCTTCTCCTGGACTAGGTCTCGGCCGGCTTGATCAGCTAGCTGCATACCGGTAAGAAAGAAATGGCAGTGCACAAGGTTCGCTGGTGCACTATCGCGACAGATTCGGAGCTCTTCTGAGAACCACCCCATGGTCTCGGCAGACCTCAATGCCCAGATGACCTTGATTGACTTTGTGACGGCTTTGCCATCTCGAATCCGTTTAATGAGGTCTAGAAGCTGGCTGGCAATCGCGGTGATGCCACTTCCACCAGCGAAAAAGACTACATCGTCGAATGCCGCCATATTGCGTTGCATCCCGCCATAAGGTCCTTCTAGGTAAGCGGTATACGTTTTGAATGGACCATATTCCAACGCCTTCTTCAGAACGTTTTGAGTGAAACCTTCGAATGGGCGGAAGACAAGTGTCATGTCGCGGTATTCTTCCCCATAAGCAGATGGGAAGTCATCACTGCAGAGCGACGCAATCGTGAAAGGATGACTCTCCATAAATCCAATGCTGGGCATGCGCAGGTAGACATACTGACCAGCTCTCCAGCGCATTTTCGTGGGGATTGTCACTTTGATGGCATTTTGCGGGAGCAGTGTGATGGCGGATTCTTCACCGATCATGAACGATGATGTCCGGAAGGGATTGGACCAGTTCAGGTAGAACAGTCGAATGAGGTATGTAGAAACCCAGATAGCCACAGTTGTCCAAAGATAAGCCCATGACTTAAGATAGTTCTTGCTGTGCCAGAACATCATTGCGACGAAGATCCAGGAAACAGGGATATGAATGAAGATGAAAAGCTCATACATCCGATGCCGAAGGATAGGAAGCGAATGAACGCAGAGAACAATCAATGGTGCAAATGCTGCCCATCCATTTCCATAGTAGTAGATACCTGATGGAATCCAGTTTCGATAGTTGATCAGAGCATCACCCGTCCAGATTGGTGTGATATAGAACGGTACCACATGGACAATGCAAAGAAAAAGACAAATATACGACAACCAGCGGTGCAATCCATTCAGTCGTTCATGCCCAAGCCCGGTCATCATGGTGATGAAATTGGCTTTTGTGGCTAGTGCGACAATCCATGGGATCATGGCGACGGCCAGCATGCCTGCACGAACTGCAAGCGGAGGAGATCCCAAAGCAATGTACCAATAATACAGAGGCTGTGGGACGAAGCAATATAGAGTGACGAAGATGAAGGTGGCTAATACTATGCCCACCACAGCCAGAGATGGGAACACAAATTCTATGCCCAGAATGCTTAGAGTAGGAATAGGGCGATAGAAGATCCATCGGAAGAACGCGATCACTTTATTCAAGCGAATGACTTTTTGAAGAAGTGATTCGCGCCTAGGGGGCGGATGTGATGCTGCTGTCGGGAAGAAGTTCATGCTTGAAGCATCAGTGCCTGCACTGGGAAGTTCATATTCGTCCGGTGTCGAGGTGCCATAAAAGGTTTGAGGATTGCTCTCCTTATGCAAGATAATCCGTACTTTGTCGCTATAGCCGTGATAGAGTCGAATCAGAGTAGTAATGAACAACAGCACAATTGCAAAATAGATGAATCCATATCCGTATTTGGCGGCCTTACGGAAAGAGTCTCGTTGCATTTCATTCTGTTCAGCTGTGGTTGTCGAGGCGGTGACCTCGACATACACGCGCTTGGCGAGGGAAAGAATTTCCCCCGACATTGTAGTCACAGTAATGGACAAGATCTGTGATTCAAATTGTCTATATCTTTGCCATATGATAAGTTTGTTGTTTGTCCACTGGACGACTGTGGAGCCTACCTTATTCACCAAATAGAGTTCAAAGTTCAAATATGAAGAGCTCTCTCTTCCAAGTCCTAACGTTGCATCAAGTTCATATCGGCACGAGAGCACGAGGATATCATCAATTCACTAGTTCGAAGGCGAAACAGGAAAAACTGGGGGGAACCCCCTTCTAGATGTATGTAGTGCACCAAAGCGGGGACCCACGCCGTCTTGCATGGTCAGACTGTAAGTAAGATCAGCCACATCATAATTCGAACGGTTGGCTAGCAACGACCAATCCAAGCTGTACGATCCGTGAGTGGTCAACTTACGGTGTCGAATCCCTCGAATCGGGCGTGACGCCAGGGCGACCGCAACTTTTGGGCCTCGTGGAAAGGGGATCTTCCAGTGATAGGTGACGGTTTAGCGCCCCCAAGACCAATCAGCGGGAACGTTTTGCTGACAAGGTGACTGGGGTGATCGGGCCGCATTAGTGTGGTGGAGATTGCTGAAATAGTACTGCTTCTCTGCACGGTTCCTCTGCTAAACTTGCAAAGTCGGAATTCGGTTCGTGCCTGATTGCTGTAGTGCTGCATCGTTATTCGTTACACTCGACTCGGAGAATATGGTTCATCACCCCTGACGCGTTCTAAGTTTGTCCATTTGGGCCGAATCTCCGACTGGGTAAAAATAGTATTACCTGGAGGATTTGCGCAGGGAAAAACGCACCTAGAAAGCTGTTAGCGAGGGAAAGACAAATCCCGGGGCTTTGGAGGGGCTTTCTAAGGTCGGTGCTTCCCATTCCCTCCCCCAAATAGAAGCACAAATCACCTAGAACTTGGTGCTTGTGGCCCCTGTTTGAGTTGGACAACAGGAACTTCCCATGAGGCCAGAAACCATGAATTCATTGTGGCCGGTATTCCTTCTGGGCAGAGTCCTGTGTTTCCAAATGTGAGCTATGTTAAGTGAGGTGGTGTTCCATGGCGAGTCCGAGGAAGCGAAGCCTATGACTTAGCTTCATTGAGCCAACAGTGAGCGAAAATAGAATCTATCTATGCAAGTACCATCACAGTGATCAAGTAATTATCTCAAAATTTCAAACTTTTGGGCACATGCAGGTCTGTTGTTGGCAAAGTTACTTATACTTCGTATTTTCCCCTGTGGCGTTATACAGTTCATTGCAAGTTCCTTCGGGTAATCCGTGTAGCGTATCAGATTCAAGATCTTATCACGACCAATAGAAATCTCAATAGCAGCTAAGAACTTCGATAAAAAACATCCCATTTGTGCCCATACTGAGATAGGTCACGTGCACTATATAGAGCTAGGCTGCCTCAGGCAAGAGTGACACCGCCTCTAGGCGGAAAGGTACTGCCGAATCAATCGATATCACTTTTTCCTTGACGATCGGAAAGATCAAGCTACAGATTGATATAGCTATACCTTCTATATCAACACGCTGTCATGACTTCCTCGGCAACGGCGGCACCTTCGGTGCCTCCATCTCTCTCACTTCCTCCTTCACAATTCGCTCGCCTTCAACCACACGCCTACCTCCTCGCTCATCTTTCCCCACCACCAGCAATGAACCAACCCTCCGTCCGAGCTAATGGCCGCGCTGCTTCCCAATTCCGAGTCACATCAGCCAACGCAGGCTCCTTGACCCACACAAATGGCAGCGCCGTGGTGCGCATTGGTGACACAGCCGCCGTGTGCGGTGTCCGCGCCGAATTGCTACACACCGAGGACATTGCATCGTGGAGCGTATCTCAGTCTTCGTCCGCTACCAACCAATCCAGTGAAGCTGGTGGCCAAGGGACTGACGTCGAAAACGAGGAGGATCGCGCTCAAATCGAAGACCTCAACTTGCTCGTCCCCAACCTTTCCTTGAGCACCGGCTGCGCACCGGGCTTCATTCCCTCCGCCCCACCTTCCGCGCTGGCTCAGTCGCTTTCACATCAGATTTTGTCGCTTCTCCACAGCACACGCCTCGTCAAGGCGGACGATTTGCGTGTTTGGTACCAACCGCCGAATCTAGAACATAATGAGAATGAGATGGATGTGGATGGCGGCAGTGAGAACCGCCACCCTCGCGAGATTAAGGCTTTCTGGGTACTCTACATTGATATCATGATCATTTCACTTGCGGGCAATGCTTTCGATGCGGCCTGGGCCTCTGTTCTGGCTGCCCTGCGCGATACAAAATTGCCCAAGGCCTGGTGGGATGTGGATAACGAGACTATTCTCTGCTCGGAAGATATCAACGAAGCTCACAAGCTTTCTCTGCGTGGTATGCCAATTGCCAGTTCTTTCTGTGTTTTCGAAGCCGACGCTGCTGCGGGGTGGCGAGCTATTGTTATTCCGGATGCCGAGGAGCAGAATGCAGAGAAGCAAAAGAAGAAGGGCTCCCAGAGCAGGTGGATTCTTGCTGATCCTGATGGATACGAGGAGGGTTTGACAATGGAGAAGGCTTGTGTTGTCGTTGATAAGGAGAACGAGAAGACAGTCATCCTGAAGATGGAGAAACTTGGTGGTTGGACCATCGACACAGAAGATCTCCGACAATTGGTGGATATTTCGGCGCAGCGATGGGATGAGATGAAACAGATACTAGGATGATTCTGAAAGCATGAAAAGAAGACATGATACCACATCTTTAGAATTTCGAGATAATGAACTAAGTTTTTCAATATTGAATTGTTTCATTTCTATAGCACATGAGTTGTTAACTTTAAACAAGGATCTAGCGATACAAAGGCTCAAGTGCGCTTATGCTCACTCCAAAGTCGGCCTTCTGGGAGTTCCGCGCCGTTTCTTTAATGGGCGCTCATCATCGTCATCGACGGGACCGGGAATCATAACCAGCCCTTCATCTTTGGTAGGGATCTCATCATAATCAATGCCACGTTTGGCGTGTTTCTTCCCGGGGAGGGAAATCGAGAATGTAATCAAATCCAAGTCGTCCTCGGCATTTTTCGCTCTGGATTTCTCAGCTGCAGACTCCTTGGTCTTGCTTGCCTTGGATTCTTTCGACTCGGTCTTTTCATTCACATCCTCCTTTTTCTGCTCGGATTTCGAGCTGAAGACTGTCGTATCGCCAGACAAGATACGCATGAAAAGGCCCTTCACTCCATCCTTGGCGGGCTCAGCTTCCGCATCTGCCAATTTCTTGTTCGAATCTTTCTTCTCATTACCTTCTTCCTCTTCATCCTCCTCAGCGTCGCTGAAGTCCAGCATCAAACGGACTTCACCGCGGGCAAGCGCCGTGCCCCAAAGTGAGATCAATATACCAGGAACCAAATACAGCAGAGCAGGCTGGGCGTGATTGAATTTTTGCATGACGACAAGGGTTGCAATCATGCCGGCGACATAACCAACAAGGCTGGCAGTGAAGTAGACCTTCGGAAAGGCTCTAGCATCGTGATATGGCGGCTCAACTTCTGCTTCTTTCGTTCTTACTGACGGTGCCCAGAATCGCTCACCCCACAGACCGGTTGCTCGCTGGTACTCGGGTTTGGCGATTTCGCCATCCAAGCCTTCAATCTTTGCCTTTTGAGCCCCCTTAAGCCGATAGTAAAGGAAAAGGTCAAACCGAAGTGCGAGACAAACCATCATACCCGGGATAACAATATCTCCCAAGCCTAGCATAGCATGGGCCGGTTCACCAGTTTCATCGGTTCGAGGAAACATGAGTTTGATGGGAACATCCAGGTTCTTGGCGACGTGGACCATCACGGGGGTGAAGAACACAAAGTAGATATCATAGAAGAACAAAGATGTTAAGATAAGTGATCCAGTCCCGAAAGTTGTTGGGGACATCAGCTGCATGGTCCCGTAGGAGAAACTGAAGCCAAGGAAATTGGTCAGCCACCATGGCTTCTCCACAAACTGGAAGTAGGCCACGGCAACAAGAGCAACGGTTACACTCAGAAGGTCAAGAAGGCCCACAAGGGGTTTGATATTGAACAAGCCACGAATGTGAAACCGCAGCCTTAGCTGCTGATAGGAGGCATTGCGACAGGCCCAGAGTTGGTTCAAAACAAAGCCTGGAAGTGGGACTCTGCCAAATACGCCGGGGAGAGGTGAGTTTCGTACATGCCCAGGGCTGTTGACTTCGTCTGTCGTTTTGGTTTTAAACACTCGCTCGGACTGCTTCGCATGGAATATTCTCCCTTGATGGCGATAGTATTTGGGGAAGATAAAAGACCGTCCAAATAGGAGGATATCCTTCAGAAAAGCCACAGCGAAGAACATGCCCATTTGCGAGAAGTAAAAGCCAAGGATCTTGTTGACAATGGAGGGATCTTTGAGCCATTTGAGGGCCGCGTACAGGGAGCACAGTGTGAAACCTGCCATTAGTGGGAACATCAAAGCATCTGATGGCTGCAATCCTTCCAACTTCTCTACAGGCCCCTCTTCATCTTCGTCCTCTTCGTCTTCACCATCCTCATCACAGTCTTTATCGGACTTCTTAGGAGGCTTGGCGGCAGATGATGGCCTTGAAAGAGCAGCATGCGCGGCGATCCAGATGGGGAAAAGAGCAGAGACCAGTAAATGACCATATAAGGAGAGTTCAGGTCCCAAGCGAGGGAGATAATAGAACGCGTAGGCAATGAAGTCAACGAGGGGATTGATATTGTCCTCAGACATGACATTGGCCGCAGACATGGTGTTTCTGAGCCTTAGCCTAAACAAGGCAGGCAGTCAAAGATGCGGTAGAGTCAATATGAAAGAAGTAATGATTGTAAACAGTACGGATTTAGTTCATGGTGGTCTGGGTGACGTTGAAGTTGGAAATCATGCAAGTTGTTAAACCGTGTAAACTGCCGCGCCAAGCTCCGCCTTTGCTCTTCCATCTCTCCAAAAGAACTGCGCAAAGCACCAGCGATCGCATCTTCCAGAAGCCAGCCTCAAGATGTCGACCGAAGTAGCATTTGATACCTCAATGGTAATTCATGAAGTGATCATCATGCCCGTGACCTATTGCTGACTCCTAGTAGGGTACTTTCACCGTTGAGCTCTACAACACCCATGCGCCCAAGGTGAGCAACCACCACCCCACACTCTGTCGCAACGATCCAAGACCTAACACCAAGCTATCTAGACTTGCAAGAACTTCGCGACGCTCGCACAAAGAGGCTACTACAACAATGTCATTTTCCACCGCATCATCCCCAACTTCATGGTCCAAACCGGTGATCCTACCGGCACCGGCCGTGGAGGCAGCTCAATCTACGGCGAAAAATTCGAGGACGAGATCCGCGGCGACCTGAAGCACACTGGAGCTGGTGTTCTCAGTATGGCGAACAGCGGTCCCAACACAAACGGCAGTCAATTCTTCGTTACTCTCGCACCCACACCCTGGCTGGATGGCAAACATACAATCTTTGGTCGCGTGAAGAGCGGGATGCGGGTTATTCAGCGCATGGGTCTAGTCAAGACCAAGGGAGAGGACCGACCTGTGGATGAGGTCAAGATCATCCGGGCCAGAGTGGTGGAAGAAGGGGCAGAGGAGTGAAGCCATGAAGGCTCAGCACCATCATTTAATACCGCTGCCATTGCAGGGAGGGTCTTTAGCTTGTTCTCTACGCATTCTGTGTGATCGACAGGAAGCGCAGACTATACCTTTGCATTGGGATCAAAGACTTGTCGAACAGGACAAGAGCAAACACAAGCGCAGCACCAGTTCTAAGGCGACGCTCCGCCGGAGCGATACAGCCATAGTTGTGGCTTACAGGTTTTGGCTATGACCAGATCATGACTATTTCTATCAATACTACGAGAGCTAGGAGATGTAGACAACTCCTAGCTATAGACAAATGAATGTATCACTACAAAACGAACCGCTTCCATCAGATGTTACCATTCCGGAGCAGCAGATACAGAGTGAAGTCTCTCTAGCACTCCCACGACGAGATCCAGTGAAGGCTCTCGCCATAAAACCCAATTTGCCATGGAGGGCAGTCGGGCTGTGCAAAACACTGGGAGCGCATGAAGAGGGAAAAGAATTGCTGGGCCGTCGAATTTTGCTTAAATGTGGGTGGCTGAGTAATCGGGTCACGTGGAAATACAGCTAGCTTCATCGCAAGATGAACCCTGGGCATCCAGTCTTGCAGACTACGTGCATATTCGGAATATAATGCTTATAGGATTGCGTGGTTCAAACTGGACACATCTGTCGTAATATCTGACTGGGTAGTATTGTGGTACAAGCTCTGTACTAGTGGCTAGCGATAATAGTCGACGTCACTGTTTACGAAGGATCGAAATCATATAGTGCATAGAGATGTGGATGTACACAGAAAGTTAAAATACGCCATTCAGTCATTCTCTGGCCGCAGCTATTAACAACCAATGAGGCTATTCAGGGTCCGAATATACTACGGCTGTCGATCTCGCCCCAAAGTCAACTTTCGTTCCCAACTTGGCGCTACGCCCCGCCACCGGCCGGGTTGTCAGCAATGGTTCCCTATATAATACCAGCACCGCCTGAATCCATCGACTTCAAGAAGTCATTATTCTCTTTGTCTCGAAATCATCATGTCCAAGGCGGTGTATCGAGATGCCTCGCCGCCGCCCTATACAGAGAGCGCCCAACCATCGCACCAGGACGTCCCACCATATGAAACTCCTTCTTATGACGAGAAGGCAGATGGCTCCAAAACAATCCAAAGCTCTACCAAGTTTCCGCCCGTACTGAACGGCTATTTCCAATGGAAACTAACCAAAACATTCCACTTGGGACCCTCTGCTGAGGAGAAACTATTTGCGGTGACAACCCACGCGAATATTATGAGTAGCAAGCCCTTGATCGAGCTACACGATGGCCCTACAAACGAACACCCAGTCATGGCGACAGTCCGTGCCGATAAATGGGGTCGCACCAAGCCAGCCACCATTACTCTTCCCGCCCGCCCTGGTAGCCCCCACGTGGGGTCGATCGAGGAACAATTGGTTCCAGGATCGTCGAAGAGCTCCATGTCCGCTTCATCAACCTGGGCTTTTGAGATTGATGCGAAGGATAAAGGTAGCTCACGGGAGAGGTTTGAATGGCGAAGTAGCCATGGGAAAGAGATAAAGGACCTCGCTACTGGGGTCTCTCATGGATGGAAGTTGGTACGTGTATCTGGGCCTGGAAGCGATGTTGGCGGGAGCAGAAAGAAGCGGGCCGCAGGTGTTACTAGCGATGGCTACGAAATAGTGGCTATAATTGCTCATAATGCTTCATTTAGCATGACAAAGGGATTCAGATTTGCATTTATGGGTGCTGGTCTTACTGGGACGCTGGGGGAAGTCTGGGAGATTGCGACCCTCTCTTCGGCTTTGATGCTGTGGTACATTGATGTTCAGCAGACTGCAGTAGCGAGTGCTGTGGCCGCGTCTGCTTAAACGCTGGAATGCTTTGATATTCGTTTTTCATGATACTTTCGGTGGCGATGGTCTAATGTATAAAACGCCATGACGTGGATTTCGATGACCATAAAGACTCCCAAAAAAAAAAAAAAAAAACTGCTGGGCTTCAAGGTTTATAGATAGCTAGATATAGAAGATTATATTCTCGGTTTATATCATTTGAAATAACCACGTTTGATGTTCCCGCCAATGGAAACATCTGCCACTCATTGGAATAGGCTCATCTTAATTTATGCAGTACGTACATTTTGAAATCTCATGTCCCGCTTCTTCTCCTCTCCCCTCCCCCAGAAACTGATGGCTGATGTGTCAACGCTCTTCCAACAGCACTACACACCAACAACATTCCAATAAAACTTTTTCCACCCTTTGGTGCCTGGTCAGAGTTATTAGGCGTGGATGGGTACCCAATAAACAACCTGAAGCAGTGCAATTTATGTCCGTGTTTAGCTGCATCAAAGGATGCGACAGGGAAGAAGCATGGGAGGAATGGCCTAGCGATTTCGCTAACCGAGCTCGAACCGAGTACGATCTCCTGGGTCATATCGTTGATCGGTTGCGGACTCTATCACGGAGCATCAATGTGCGATATATTGTATTCAAAAAGGAAGACTCTTGGATGAGTGCAGACAGTTGGAAAAAGACACCCTGGAAAAGGAAGCTGCTCAGATAGCTGCGGAGAAGTTGGAAGAGCAGAGACGTGCTGACGCAGTTGTTTCACCGTCTATCTTTGACATACACTGGACGAACAAGTCAGAAAGGGCCTAGCCTTCCTAGCCAATTAAGCAGTCACGATATTAAAATAGTCTTGTCATTGAAAATGTTTTCTTGATGAATTATGCCTGACCCAGCCGATCTGGCGAGGTTTCTGCCTGAAATCGCTAAGATGCCATGAACTGAAAGACGCAAACTATTATGATGTGATTTACATCCGGGAATGGAGCAATTCAATGGGTGTGGGCGCGTTGTTATGGTAAATTCGTAAGGAAATGCCGACTGCATCACAACATCGTTGCAGTGTTTTGGCAGCCAGCAGAATGTGGCCGTTCAAAGCTGGCCCTGGAGTGTCCGGTGTTGAAAAGTCAATACCCCCCGATTCAACTGACGTGGGATCCAGCAGCCTTCCTTCAATTGCCACGTGTTGCAGGTTTGGAAACCGAGTGTCACAATCTGCAATCACCGCACCAAGCTCCAAGACTAACATGGAAAATAGTTTGTGATCGCAGCCTTCGATGTGAATTGATTCCAGTGACGAAGGAAGACATTCAAAGAGGGGCGTGGCCGGTACGCTTCTAAATCGAATATCGAGGAGATTATGCAATGGGATGCGGAGTTCTCGAAGAGCAGTAAATCCTGCGAAAGACCCAATCCATTGTTTGTAGGTCTGATTAAGCCCGGCTGCGGTATACGGGTAATGCTTTCCATTATGGTCCAGCCATAATACCTCTAGAGTTTCCCTGTGCCGCATCAAGGAGTGGTAAAGCCTTTCTGGATGATACCCGATGGATGCAACAGGCAAATCCGAGTGCTGATATTTGAAAGATCTGAGGGCCGCACACGAGAATATGAGTTTATTCATACCATTGTTGGCGCAGCTTTCGCGCAAATCAATGTCTGTGATGGTCGAGGAGCCCATGGGGCCCTTATACTCCGTGCCGAGTCCGGAGCTTGGGTCAATGAGGTTGTTAATCAAAATTGCACGCAGGGATGGCATTTGAAAGAAAGGCATTATGAGCTCAGAGAAAGCCTTTTCACTGCCAAATTCAATTTCATCATCATTCACTCGTGGGCAGAATTGAAACGAGATCTTTTCAAGATGTTGAAAGTGGCATTTGTCTCTAAATCGGCCTTCGGTATTGAAGGCACCATGAATCATGCGACCTTCCCTGTTGCTCCATGGGAGAGAGAGCTGTCTGAGCTGGCTCATCAACGGCAATATCAACATAACCCAGGCATCGGTGTGGCCTTTACCAAGGCCGGTTGTGAATTGTCCCAGGTTATTTTCATTCTGTGAGACTAGCCGCAAAAAGTGTTTTCTCACAGCAATCGAAGCCTTAATTTCTTCCTGTTCCTCTTTGCAGGGGGCTGGCTTCGATATCCAATCTCCGAGATCCAGTTCACGGACTGCCAAGGAAAGCCTTGTATTTTTTCTAATTGCATAAAAAAACGACTCGACTTGCGGCCAGTCGCGCAGCTTTGGAGAGCGATAGAGCACAGGTAGCAACACCTGATAGAAATGCCGGCAAACAAATATCAGATTCCACCGATCATTCTGTTCACCGAGTTGCTCTCCTACTAAGACGAGCAGCTCGTTCGGAAGAATTGAACCATCCATGGGATTCGTGCTGGTCTGGTTCGACCACTGAACAACAAGTCGAGCGGAGAAAGGCCTTGAGGATTAGAGCAGCTTTATAGCATATGAAGAATCATCTGCACGGGTGCAAGCAAACAGGTCCCTTGGCGTTATAGTGTGGGATTCTCGAACAATGTCAAGATAAGCGTCAGATGCAAAGCAAAAAATAATGCGCATAAAAATATTGTGCAATTTCGGAATTTAAATGAATGGAAAACATAATATGGCAAGTGGTGATGACAAGGAAGGTAGAATGTAAGGACAGTAGGGCCTCAAGGTGAAGAAATATTCAAAAATGTATCCACTTCGGAAAGCAGAGCCATCCACTGATAAACGCATTAAAGGGGGATAGCGCGGAACTTCGAAACGGTTCCTGAAATACAACCAACCCTAATCTGATCCACCGGTAGAAATTGGGAAGGATTGGCCGATGAACAATGGGTCACGTAGGAAATTTCGAGAAAAAGATGGTCCACCATGCGTATGCCTTCAACAATGCAGCGATGGATACAGTGGCATATATATGACACAATTCGATTTGAGAATCATGCCCGGACCACAAGTCTTATGGTGATCTGCTAAACTCAGTGATTTTGCTATATGCACTGGAAGATAAATAGTAGCTAACCGCGCGTTCCGGGCTTCTATTTTTCACGCATCTTTTCAAAAGCGAGCCATAGCTATATCACATTAAATCTAAAAATTTATAATCTCTGAGAACTTCATACATATGTTCCCTATTATATGTTGCCCATAACACTTTCAATCATCAATTTCTCAACAAACCCCGTGGGTCTATCTTCAAGCAAAGAAAATATTTAGCCGAGCGTGTATGATGCTTATGTAAGATTATCTTTTTTTTATCGCTACCTACCAGCTCTATGAGCACAGCTGCTGGCTGTTTGTTGTAATCAGCCAGTGAGGCTATAACATCAATAGCAATATGTAGGAAACAAAACATTTGATTCACGTAAAGCTTATATACCCTGTCTCAGGAAGTAGAAATTCGAATTATAGAAACTTAGAAGTTGAAATTGATCTCATACAAGTCGTATTGCAACAATAAACCTATACATCAATGATCATCACCTTTGCCTCGATTTTCCATCACTTCTTTCTTAGCTTTCAGCCACTTTTACATCTATAGCCAATGCATTCATCTTGCCTACTGACGCACTCACAACTCACTTCATAAGTACTTTCAACCTTCTTGAAACAGCAACTTTTTCAATTATCCTCGAATTCAAGCTTTCCAGTCTTGCTCTACCCTCAAGGATGCGTCTTCTCGGGCCTCGTGAGTGGATCTTGACTGTATCCATTATGCAAGAATCGACACAATCATTCGATGAAAGACACCCTGCACTCTTTGACGAACTGAAAAAAGAGTTCAATATCCAAACCATCAATGACCCACATCTAGTCGTAACGCTACTGAAAGACCCACCGGAACGAAAATCATCCCTACCAAAGGCGGTCTTTCTCGTGGACAAAGCTTTGCTTCTCCCAAGCAATCATTTCGTTTGGAATACAATCCTGGGGTACGTACGCAAGGGCGGACTATGCATCACTATGGGTCATTTCGCGCTCTGTAAAGAGACCGACAATTCATTCTTCAGGAAGGCAGGCTTGAGTTGGGGGCTAGGTAGGTGCGATCGGGTTACATTGACGCTCAATCAAGCCACTGCTCGAAGCTTCATGGATGGATGTCTACCAACCACTTTCGACATGCATGGTACAACTCTTACGAATGTTGATCCAGACCATCGATTGTATAGTATCGTTGGATCTTTATCCAAAGACTTTAGCCGCAATGATCCGGACCAGTCAACAGTTGCAATGGCGCTTGTTGGGCATGGATGGCTTGCTTATGTCGGTGATGAGAATATTTGCAGCGGATCACGTCAAGTCATTGATGCTATGTGTGGCCTTTTCCGTTGTTTTGCGCTTTGACAATGGTGCTTCTGGTGAGGAACGGGAGGTAACCAAACGAAGTGGTTTCTGACTCTCTTCTTGGACCCTTCTCCTGGTCAATCTCTTTTAGTCACTCAACTTGCGTGCTTCCTGGTGATAATGAGATGTCCATCGCATGTCTGCCTTCTGAAATCCACAAAGAGAAAGGAAGATATCTTCTCATTATCATCTTTATTTTGCTAGTATTGATTATACATATGCAGAAAATAACATTCTTTAAGCCGCCCCAAGTACCTAGATGTCTATTAATTCTTCAGTACCTTCCTCATCCTCGGTACCCAACCCACCATGATGACATATTTAATATCCTGTGCTAGTGATGCACCTACATAGACACATGGAAAAGGAGAGACGCAAAGTATGCCAGTTGTTGACCCAAGGTTGTCGTTGTTCTATCTTATATCTATGGAGGGAATATGCATGAAAGAATCTTACTTCGATCTCGCGCGAATGGCCAAGTGGATAAGCGAATAGTCCCATGGTCTCATTTACAGCGAAGCAAGCACAGCATCAGCTCCGGATTTCTGCGAAAGTAAAGTTTATTAGATATCTCAAGCAAGAAAGACTGAAATCCACAAAGGCGGTCTCTTACCTTGACGGCTCCCCGCTCGGTCTCAATCTGGGCATAGCTAATCTTGCCGTGGTCAATGACAATAGCATACCGACCAGTGCGTCCTGAGGCGGCATCGGCCCATCCAATGCTCTTGGAGAACTTGGCATCAGGGTCGGAAAGGAAGAGCTTTTCGAAGAATGTAAGTGGCTGGTCAAAAGATGCAAAATCGTTGGCACTCACGATGGAATCCCGCACTCCGTTCACCTTGCCCCATGCGCTCATAACAAAGGGGTCGTTGAAAGCAAGAACAGCAACAATATCAACACCCTTCTCCTTCAGCTTGGGGAGGTTCTGGATGTATCCGGGAACGTGGTTGGCGGAGCAGGTGGGGGTAAAGGCACCGGGAACCGAGAAAAGGACGACCTTCTTATCCGCCCACTCCTTGGAGGCATCGTATTTGATTGGGATTCCGCATGAAGAGGGCTCGCTGCTCTCCTGGGACCATGGGATGTACCTATTGACATTCAATTAGCGATGAGCTTGTTTCTGTACCGAGTTCAAGAGCTTACTGGAAGGTCACATCGGAGGGGAAGGTGTCGCCGGGTTGGAGTGTAGTCATGATGGGCTATGGTGATTGTAATGGTGAAGTTATTGGAAAACAAATGGAGTTTGGGCAGAAGAGCTTCGGAGGGGATGCGGGGCAGACCGCGGTATGATTGTACCGCGGTCCCACAGGGTGGAGACGACCTTGCGGGCAAAGCTTATTAATGGCCGGAGCCCGCCGATGCAAGTCGCATTCTAGTGCTGTGATTAGTCTATTCCTTCGATTTAGCGGTCAAGAATCGTGTCTACTTCAATAGAAACGTTTACTTTGAGTCCCAGAGGGATTTAAGTAGACTTCGGACCGCAAGTTGAAATGTCCTTAGAGTATTCCTGTGGCGGAACAGTCCGATACTGGCCTTTTTTCTTTATAAGACCTATATTGAGATAGATATTGACTTCATCTTGTTATCTTTCAAGCATGATTCCGGCACCTAAAATTGGTATGCTCACGATCTGGATGCTACACCCCTTGCGTGCTCTTGACAACCGTGTGACCGGACAGACTTACCTATTCCTTGGCCATATAGACTTCAAGCACAGGTTTGTTGATCCTTATCTAAATGATGTAATTTATTATTTGTTGTAATCTAAGAATTAGCGCGAAATCTGAACGCTGGCAGTCAATATTTAAAAAAAAAAAAAAATTATCTGAAAGAAGAATTTCATTTCCAAAGGAATCACTGTGGAGCTGGAGGTACGCAGATAGATTGGAGCAACTTTCATGTTGATCTATGACGAGATAATGCAAGAACTGATCGGGTTTCGAGACCTGTTCGAGCACCACGATGGTACAGGTCGAACATCCAATGTCGGGCTCCAGCTTGCGGGATATGGAAAGGAAAATGAGATTCTGATTCAAAGATCTAGATATATGTTGGAGAACAAGTTGGCGCAACTGAAAGCTTCGTCATTCGCCTATTTGCCTCGATTCGATTTGAAAATAAATGCCTGAATCTTCCATATCGCGCCTCAATCCCTAGATTAAAACACCATGCAAAGTCGGCCCTTCAAATCTTTGCGTTGGTAATGCTCGCACATCTCATTGATTTGCTCCACCCCATAAGTCTTCTCAATATGCACCTTGCATCCATTGTCCGCATGAAGATTGATCATATCCTGACTCTGCTCGGGTGTACAGATCAACCGTCCCTTGATAGTCTGTTCTTTGAAACTTAGTGCAAACGGATCGACTTCGAGCGACCACTCCGATGGCAAGCCAACATCAACCACGACGCCGCCTTTACGCAAGAACTGCTGCGAGAATTTGATAAGACCTCGCGCCTCTGCGTTGATAACCACGCGGTCCACACCCGGATTGGTTTCATAGAAGGAAGACTGTAGTTCTTCGATGACTTTGTTCTGTGCGTCATCCGAGTCGATCACGAATGTCTTATCCGGCCTGAGGTGTGATGGAACAGAGAGAGCCGTGTCAATACCTTCTTGTCGGTTGTCAATGGCAATTACATTAGCGCCTAAGGCTTTGGCATATTGCACGCCCAGGTGCCCAAGGCCACCAATGCCGACTATCGCTAGCCATTGGCCTTTCTTAACACCGGATGCCAGAAGAGCACCATAAACCGTGGCACCCGCGCAGAAAAGTGGCGCAGCTTCATCCCACGGAATAGACTCTGGAATCTTTGAGACGACACGGGCATCCGCTTTCATATACTGGGCAAAACCACCGTTGATAGTCAAGCCGAGCATGCCAACCAGCTTCTCACAGAGCTGCTGGCCCTGGTGTTTACAGGCGCTACATTCTCCGCAGAATGCATAGGTATTGATCGAGCCAACACGGTCGCCAACGTGGATGTTTGATTTCGCTGCGTCAGATCCGGCCTTGACGACAGTTCCGGCAGGTTCATGCGATCCTACAAGGCCAGGCTTTGCTCCTGATGATTCGTAGACGCCTTGCAACACTTGTAGATCGGTATGGCAGTAGCCTGCTGCAGCAATTTTAACGAGAATGTCATTTGGGCCAAGGTCGGTGGGTACGTCAATGTCGCGGACTTCGTAGCCTTTGTTGAAGTCCTTGACGACGGCCGCCCGCATGGTTTTGGGGATTTGCTCTGTCATGATTGGTTATGGTGTGAATTGAATTGAGACTGAGGGACCTTGGTGGAATGTCGAGGATATCATGTTATATACGCGATTAATATCTATGTATAACAGGTTAAAACTAAACGTCATCCCAAGGTAATAGGACATTAAATACAAATGGAATGATGTTCGTTTGCATCCAGAATCAAATGTACATTGAAATCATGCTGTGGTGCCGTAGTTGATTCTTAGACATGACGTCACAATTCGATAAAGAACTATCATGACTGCTCTACATCACCATTGAACTTTCTTGGTTTGGTCTCTGAGAATCCTGTTATGTTTTCATTCTCGAAAAGAAGTACGCACCTCTTTTAGTTAGCGCCTTGCTTGGACCCCGCCCCCGGGTTCCTCCCGCTTCATCCCTATGGACCCCACCCGACGTCTACGGTTTACAAAGCGCTCAACACATAACCTAACTAAATGTTTATTGCTATTTAGCTACGAATCTAGACATCTTTTGAAATGAGTCAGGGTCTTTTGTTTGACCAGTGTGAGCTTTTCCCTCGCTTCTCTTTACTTGCTGCTTCCTTCTCCGCGCCCGATGCCTGTGGCTCCTCGCTCTGAGGCGGCGACAGTAGAGTTAAACTATATAGGCTTTGTTTTGTGATGACATCATCAATAGGCGGTTTGGCCGAGTGGTCTAAGGCGATTGACTAGAAATCAATTCTCTTCGGAGGCGGCGGTTCGAATCCGCCAGCCGTCGATTTTTGCTCGAAATCGTTTTTCGTCAACTGGCCACCTTGACTTATTTTTGCTATTTACAATTGCACAGATATATAAAACTCCGGAACTAAGCATCTTCCCAATCAAGGGCGAACGATCGAGACAAGGCGTTGCTTTGCTTCTCCGGACATTGATGAACACAAAAAAACAATAACTACTACTACTACTTCGCGGTGACCAGCAAGCCTCAAACAGAAGGCTAATGTTAATGCAGTTGTGCAGCTGCTTAGAATTTGTTTCTCATATCAAGATGAACCGCTGTCGACTAATTCTCGAGATGTCCACACAGTACTAGTTATTCCCTTGCCAAGCAGTTAGACTTCTTTAGAGGGCAGGCATAGTTGTACATGTGGATACACAGACCTCTTGTAGATCTCAAATAAAGGGCATGTGTTAATTCAATGCTTATGGAGTTAACAAAATTGTAGTCATGTGCCCATTGTAAAACTCAAGACTGACAATTCCCACGGCTGCTTCGGGCAGTAGGCGTTGAAGCCAGCGGCTCGTATACAGCAACAATGCGCAGTCGGTCTTCCCTCCTAGATGCCATGAACATGATGCGAGGGGCGGAATCCAATTTTAATTTCATCCGCTCAGTAGTTAGCCTTTATCCGCCCTTATTTCCCCGCAAAGGTAGCCCTCAAAAGGTGTTGTCGATAGGTACACGCTGCCTCTATGTGGATCCAATGGCTGCATGCCCCCCGGCGGAGAAGAGCCCGGCAGATTAAAAAAGGCCCCGAACTGTGGGGGTGGAGTACCCGGAGCAAGACATGACGGATATTCGATCACCCAGTTTCCTTCTAATAGCGACGGTCGCACGTCCAAAATTCCTCAAACCAACAAAAGAACTATCACCATGTCCTCCCTGTGGCCCCCTCAACAACCAAACGAACTCGGCATCGCCACTCTCTCTCTCGGCAATTGGAGAGAGCACAAACTCACCCCGCGACTCGAAGCGGCCGCTAAAGCAGGCTACCAATGGATTGATCTCTTCGATGAGTGCTGGGCCGCATACCTGGTTGAACATGGTCTCTCAGGTGAAGAGCTTTGGAAAGCTACCCCGGACAATCTGCGCGTTGCCCGGAAGTTGGGCGATCTGGTGAAGTCCCTCGGGATGCGGATCGCTTGTACACAGCCTCTGCGCATGATCGAGGGTATTAAAGACCCGGTTGAGCGTCGTGCGACATTGGATCTGGTTGCGAAGCGGTTCCCGTTCATGCGCGCTTTTGATACCGATCTAGTTTTTATGTGTGCTAGTATTCGCACAGATAGCGGTGTTACGTCTGATCTTAAGGTTGTCGCTAAGGATCTGGGAGAACTGGGTGATATGGCAGCGGCATATTCTAAGGCCGATGGTGGGAGGATGCTGAAGATTGGGTATGAGGGGTTATCTTGGGCGACGAGGAATACTTGGTCTTCGTCTTGGGAGGCTGTGCGGTTTGCTAATCGACCTAATGTTGGTTTGATTGTTGACGCGTTCAATATTCTTGCTGTTGAGTTTGCGGACCCGTATAATCCTGCCGGACATGGACGCATTTATCCTATGCTGGAGGAATCGTTGGAGGTCTTGACTGGGTCGCTTGCGTCCTTGGCCGCTACCGTTCCTGGGGATCGAATCTTTTTCTTCCAGTGTGGTGATGCCGAGTTGATGAATCCTTCAACATTTTTCCCTCCAGAAGACCCTAGCATTCCTGCTCTTCTACCTTGGTCGCGCAGTCACCGGCTGTATCCCCTTGAGCAGTCGCGTGGTGGTTATATGCCCGTTGAGCTTGTGGCTGCCGCCGTACTCGGAACAGGATATAAAGGACCTATCTCGCTCGAGGTTTTCAATGCTTCTTTAAACAAACCTGGGGATGATATTGCGACGACTCATGCTGTTCGTGGTATGGAAAGTCTGAAAAAGTTGTATAACACAGCAACAAAGCTTGCTCCGTTTTGGAAAAGCCAAGTTCATGCCCAGCAAGCCATTTCTCAAGTCATTCAGCGCTTACGCACGACAAGCCATCGGTTATGATCAGTTTGATCAAATTTGTGTATTGAGAATTAGGTGTTGATGAGTTACTAATTCTTCTACTTTATGTACAATGTCAATATATATCATAATTCATTTCAACGTCAAGCTCATCAAAACACGCCTCCGAAGCCTGGTCCGAAAATCTCTCGGAATAAATCTGCAAATCCCTCCTCGGTAACATCACCAAGCAGGGTAGCGTTTGTGAGAAAAGGATCATAGTCAGAGACAAATGGACCACTCGGATGCCCCTCTTCGCCATCCTGAGGCATTTGCTGGTTGTTGCCAGAGCCTTGAGGATAAGACAACTCAATATCTAGCTCTTCCCTTAAGGCCACAGATTTAGCTCGGAGTATTCTCATAATATGCTGGCCCAACAAGGCCGCAATCCCGAAGCGATGAGAAGGCGTCTGCCCAGCGCGTTCGAGTTGTAGAGCAACCTGACTCAGTAGTGCAAGGAGCTCAAGCTGGCTTCCAACACGAGATCCATATATCGCAGGGAACAGTTTTAGAGCTAGAACTGCAGCGTAAGAAATCATCGCCCAAGTCGGTGCTAGCATGGCATATAATGGCTCTCCTATCACTTCAAGATCATTTACGGCCACTTCGCACGCATTTATGGCAGCTTCAAAACAATCGTTACGAATGCCAGCCTGGTTGCCGCTCTGGTCTTTCGAGTTATGAAGTGCAATCGAAAGGGTCCAAAGCCTTCCATGCAGGTAAACATATCGAAGGAAGGTATTTGAAAGTTGCTCGGTCGAGCAGGACGCACTGGTAGCCACTGTTCCTAGCCACGTATTGCACCAAGGCTGAAGTTTATTGTCGACTAGATCGCGGACCCAGTGTGGATCGGCGTGGTGTGCTTCCTGTTTATCTCGGAGGTCACTGTTAAGAGACGCTAGGATCCGTCGTAGGGCGATGAATGCGCTCGTATGCCTATCAGTAGGATCTGCTAGTGGATGCATCCACCATCGCTCAATTCCTTTGGTCAGTGCTGTTTCAGGGAAGCTATGAATCCGACCATATGCGGCGCTATTGGCTCTTTCCCATAGAAGAATTCTGAACCACGTTCTTTCTCTATTGCGGATCAACCGCTGGCCATATGAGGTATCTTTTCCTTCGTATTGAGGAGAGATCTGGTTAGTCATCGCCTCTGAGCTCCGTGAGATTGCTGATATCCCCCGATCCTGGTGATATACAGATAGACCCAGGCTATTGCGAGATTCCTCAGTATCAGAGTATTGGTCCAACCCAAGTTCTGCAGCTACACCAAAGGCATGCATTGTATACAGCCACGAACGTTCCTTAGCCAATGTCTCGGCGGGAGTGGCGGAAAGTAGTGAGATATAGTAGCCTTGGACGATCTCCACAGACTTGAAACCGCGGGTATGGACATGCTTCGATAGCTTCTCCCCGTGTAAACGGAGTCTTTTGGCGATTGAAGCAGACGCATGGTCAAATTGTGCTGTCAGGGCAAGGACCCACGTGAAAAGCAATGCAGATCGGGAGCGCACAAATTCTGGGGTATGAAGGACAGGGTCAAGTATTCCATTTATTGGATGTAGGCGGGTAAAATATCTGAACATGTAAGTTAAGGACGCTAATATGAGCCAACAGAGGATAAGAGACTCACATTGGGAATAGGTAATATGCCTCCTCCATAGTGATCAATCCCAGGTCGACGGGGTCAACATCAGGTCCGACATCTCGAAGTGAGTTCTGAACAGGTTTTTTAAAATAATTTGAATATCTGTCCACGTTTGGTGACGGTGTGAGCAAAGCATCTAATGCATGCTCCATGCTTTCTCTGCTCAGTTGTAGCCCAAGTGAAACGTAGCCAGGTCGACGAAGTAAACGACCAAGACTTCCACTTGCGAGATTATCCCCCTGGGCTGATGATTCATCCATAGAATGTGGTGTGTGGTCAGCCGGTATCGAATGGTGTTCAAGTGCACGAGCAGCATCTGATGCGTCTGCCAGCAGCGCAAGAGGATTGCTGATTGGTTCTTGGGTATGATGAGGCAACGAATAACCTATGGGCAATCCGCCACCTTGTCGCGATATGCTTTCTTGACCTTGGTGGAATTCTAGCCCCGGTATGTTATTCGTAGTTGGAGAGGACGTGCGATATATTGGTTCGCTGGGGAGATACGGATTTGGTGTTGCTTGCCCGCTGGATGGAAGATGAACAATATCCTGCAACTTTTCTGCTTCAGGTTCCATTTTTTCCTTCCTCATCTCCGATCGCAGTTTGCGTACTGCCTTCTCGAAGCCTGAATACCGACCACGCGCGCCCCGTTTTCGCCCCAGTGGACGCGGCTCTGGGATCCTGCAGGTCCGGTTCGTGCGCATACATCGTTCACAAGGGCTTATTATTCGACCTTTCGACTCGTTTGTGTCTGGTCGAATGCATCTCATCTGTCAAGGCTGTCAATTTCATTGCGGGCAGATTCCGATGTTTCAGTCGCGTGCTTACCTTCATCTTCCGGCATGCTTCACAGGCAGCCGCGGCAGCCGGGCGAACCGAAGCCCGGCCAGTCTCGGAGCCAGTGTCTGTGACATCCATCGTACGATTGTTGCAGATGAACCCTTGCGTGGGTTTCAGGGTCCATCCCGGAATTGAGGCTGAAAGAGGGGCAGTTCCAGAGATCCTGCGTGGCGGGGAATTGAGGCTATTTGAAACGTTGATCGGACCTTCCGAGCAGTTCGGCGATTAGCGATCACGCAACTGTCAGTTTGATAGCAGCGAGCTAGCATTCAGTCATAGTCTCGCCATGTCTTGATTTCCTGTCGGGTGAGTCTTTGCATCGATCCTTGAGCATTGGATCGACGGAGTGGAAGCCCCACCCGGTCAATTATTCAAATGGCCGGCTCCGAGGTACAGTACCAACCAAGATTTTAGATTTCTTATAAAGCCCCAACAGACTTATAAGCATTAGTTGTTTGGTCATTGCTACTGACATATTCTTTTGAAATCATTTACATCGCCAAATACATGCAAAATGGAAATACTCAAAGTGGACACCTTGGTCTGTGGCGGCGGAATGTCTGGCATGTCATGCGCTGCATTTGCAGCAGGCGCAGGAGCCAAAACACTGGTGGTTGAGAAACAAGCAGAGGTCGGCGGATCATCGGCCCTTTCAGCAGGCATGTTGTAAGTTTAAATATTCTTACTCAAGCTCATTCAATTGATTTGGGTTCTCATCATGCAGCTGGGCTCCTCACACGTTCGAAAAATTGCGAGCCTGGGTACCAGAAGGTGACCCAGTTCTTCAACAAGCATGGATGGACGAGTATCTGTCGGCAGTGCAATGGATGCGAGACAATGGGATCCCGACGGCGCAGCGATTCGACGGCATCATGACTATCGGTATGCATGCTTCTGGCCCCAGCCCAGTCTGAACTATCGACTAACAGCAAGTCCACGGGAAAGGAATTGGTTTCCCAATCAAGATTCCTCAGCTTCATGAACTGCACCGGAAGCGCATCGAAGGAAGCAAAAATGGTTCTCGGATTATGACCAATACATCTGTGGTAAAGCTCATTCAAGAGAAGCCGGGGGTACCTGGATCGCGGGTCACAGGTGCTATTGTTCGTCAACATACCCCAGGACTGGCGGAAAACTACTACGAAGTTAAGGCAAAGGTGGTTGTTTTGGCCACTGGAGGATTTCAAGGATCTCCCCAGATGACAGCTACATACTTGGGACAGGGCGGAGACAACATTTTCGTGCGGTCCAATCCAGGATCCGTGGGCGATGGCCTCAGTCTTGCCTCCAGGTCAGGTGCTGGAACTACCAGGGGTATGAATACATACTACGGTCACCTCTTGGCGGCACCTGTGCGGGCACAGGATGTGGACCCGAAGGATTACCTTCCACTGGCACAATACCGTAAGCAAACGAGGCTGGCCTTCTGTTGATCAAATCTCTAATAATCTCAATAGAGAGCAAATTCTGCTTGTTGGTCAACGAAGCTGGAAAGCGATTTGCTGACGAGACGACTGGCGATGAAATTGTGAACCAATATTTGGCAAAGCAAGAAAAGCGCAGAGGATTCTTGCTTTTCAAGTAAGTTACGCCCAGATCGCGGTTTGACAGTGGGAGACTAATCTCATGCCCTTCGATCATACTAGTGAGAAGACTCGCCTTCAACACACCGTGGGTGCACCGTTCCCCAATGCCGGCTCTATTGATCGTCTGCAGAAAGCGCGTGATTATGGATGCAATGTCGCAAGTGCGCCAACTCTAAGCGGCTTAATGGCAATACTTCGTCAGTGGAGAGTAGATTCCGCTCAGTGCGCTCGCACGATTGAACAATATGACCAGGTTGTGCGCCTCGGAAAAACGAATGTTGGACTCGATGCTCCCGTTGGTCGTGGCGGCCCACCACCTGCGTCCCTAGTTGATGGCGAAGGGCCATTCTACGCCATGGAAGTTCAACCATCGTAAGCTTGTCCTAATACTCCTGTTTTTCGCTTTTGTTGACACTCGTCTTTAGAATTACTTTCACATACGGTGGAATCTCAATCGACAAGCATGGGCATGCCTTGACCCCTGACAAAACCGAAGTTCCTGGCCTTTTGGTTGCTGGAGTTGATGCTGGTGGATTCAGTAACCTTGGCTATGCTGGTGGTCTTGCTCTTGCATTCGTGACCGGTTTGTGGGCTGCGAGGGTGATCGCGCAGGAGCTGGGATTACCAGAACCTCGTCTGCCGGCTGCCGATGCAAAGGATGCGGCGCCTATGAACGGTCGGCTATAAGTCAAAGCAGCCTCGGATGTATGTTTCTGCCAAAGAAGAAGACTTGAAAGCAAGAGAGGGGTCAGTGCTTTCAGGGGGTAGATGGAGACACAAGTTTACCTAACAATCTTGAGAATTAGCACCTGACGGGCAGGTGGATTATTTGTGTTAACACAAGGTTACGGAGTAATTATTTGCATGTTCTGATAAGTTCGGAAAATTATAGTAAATCGAATCTTTCGAAAGGCTTCGTTTTAGGTTTGGCAGTGACTGGATATATATTCATGTGAGGCTGTGGATATCGGAGTCGCAACGTTGGGATTCGGGACTCCCAAGGTCCTCATTTGACATCATTGACAATTATCATTCAAATAACACACAGCTTCCAACTTCCCGTGTGGAAATGTCTGGGAACTTTTCAAACTCGAAAAAGCGAAGACCAAGGGTACGCGCAACAGCGTTTACTTGCCCGCGACAAGAACACCTCGGTAACGCATCTTGCCATCCTCCAGCGTCTTCAGACTCTGCTTCACTCCTTCCAAAGTCATTGGGAAAGTCATCTTCACAGGCTTGATTTTGTGATGAGCCGCAAAGTCCAGCATCTCACGGTGCACCTGTCTTGAAGAAACAATTCCACCCTGCACCCGGAGACCCGTCGTCAGCAAAGGCATATACGGAACCTTCAGTTCGCCCGAATCCACCGACAAAGGTGAAATGACGCCGCCAGGCGCCATCACGTTGAAGTACATCGACCAATCCGGCTGACTGCTGGTAGTGACGAGTAGGTTATCAATAGGCCTTTCCAGCTTCAACTCCTTCAAACCCTTGGTCGCATGGAATTCCGTTGCTCCCAATTTGGACGCCTCTTCTTTCTTACTATCCGTACCAGAGAACACAACAACCTCACAGCCCATTTTAGCAGCGAACTGGATGGCTAGATGTCCCAGTCCTCCAATACCGACGATGCCGACGCGAGATGTCGGTCGCACCCCGGCGACATTCAGAGCATTCCAGACGGTGGATCCACCACACATCAGTGGAGCCGCATCCTCATTAAGAAGGTTGTCTGGGATCTTGAAAAGGAAGGCCTCACGCCACACAGCATGCGTCGCGAAGGATCCTTGATCCAGATCGGCCGACCCGTACATCTTTCGCTCGGAGCATAGCGTCTCCCAGCCTGTCAGGCATTGGCGACAGTGGCCGCAGCAATCGTGTTCGTATCCCCAGCCTACTCGGTCGCCTTTCTTCAGAATGTGGGCATCGGGCCCGGTCGCTTCTACCACACCTGTTCCCTCATGGCCAAGGGCCATGTCGGCGGTCTGATAATGGAGGTCGGTGCCGCAGACGCCTGAGTGAGTGACGCGGACGAGCACGTCGTCGCGCTTCAATTCATCTTTGCGCGTCACTTCTTCTTTGATACCATCTTCGGCACCTTTATATACGGTAAATTCGATCGACATTGTGGTGAACAGGTTTGCAATTGGATTTGTTATCCATATTCACCTTCAGGAACTCTCATCTTTTATAATACCCAGGGAACTCTTACATCCTACGTCATATGAAAAGCAGAGAAGCAGATGGAGACCAGAAAATCAGTTGCAAACTTCCGTTCTAAGACAATTTGCTGGTGATGTAACCTGTTTGGCTATCTAGGGCGGGTCAAGCTGGATCGCTGATATCATCACATTTGGCCTCTCCGGGTCCCGCTTTATCAAGGGAACTCTATTCATGACCGAGATCCAGAACAAGACCTTCCGACTCTGAATCATGATCTGACCCAAGGATGGTAAATCTTGGTTTGATTTCTAATCATTGATGCAGCCCTAGGAAACTTTTGTGGATACTTGTGCCCAGGCGGTCATGCATGTGCCTCGGTCGGTGACTCGGTCGGCGCGAGGCTTGATATTTGAGCCCACGGGCGGTAAGACAAATATGACTCCGCCTTCCTATCATATGATACCGCTTATCATATTACTGTCAAGTTAAGGCATGATATCATCCTTATATCACAGAATCCGACCAAATACTATGATATGCTACTCCTCATCAGGTAGCATGTTAATAAACCTTGCAATCCATAAATTCACCAATTGTATGCATGTTCGATATCTTCCAGACTCCATATCCTGCGAAATTCCATAGCTATTTTGCAGACTTCAGTATTTTCCAAATACTCAATATACTCCATCAATCCTACAATCTCCATTCCAAGGTTATGGACCCCCCTTGTACCTCGACGCCCCACATACCACCCTGAGCCAAGTATCAATCCTACTACTCTAGCGCACAGATATCACTGAAAGCAACTTGTCCGCGACCGACTCCAAATCATTATCCTCCGCGAGGATGGCTGTTCCAATAAGCATATTGCTAAATACTTCAGTCGGTCAAAAGCTCAGGTTCGCAATGCTTGTTAAAACCAGGGCTAGACCACAGAACGGCCGAGGTCGGCGTCATAAGTTATCTGATCAAGGTTTGATTCTGTGAATGAGTGGACAATATCACACAGAATGAGTGGACAATATCAAATTTGAGAATCGGCGTAAATTGTCCAACGAAGTGGTGGAAGAGTTACACTTGGATATATCTTCTGTGCAACAATCCGAATACCTAGCACATAAAGCTTGCAGAATCTTAACAATGGGTTACGCATCCCAATACCACATCCTTTGTACATTGTAAAGACAGACCTGAAGCGAATGAACGACCTGGCGGACTACACATCTCCGATGCTGACCGGTTCTGCCCGTATCCGGGGCGGTGAAGCGCTGGTTTACCCGCGATATCGGGTCTCCCAATTGGGAAGTGTGGAAAAGTCAATTTCGTTGGGATTAACTTTCGCAAAGTTTTTTTGTTTACAATTTAGAAGTTGAGTGAAAAAGCCGATATTGTCGTCGTGACTGGGAGCAAGATGATTCAAGTTCATGGCATTGGTAGCGGGAGCGACCCCGCGCATGATACCGAGAAAGATGCGGCCTTAGCGGTAGTTGGCGATGTAGCACAGGATATTGATCCAATTGTTGCAAAGAGAGTGTTACGCAAAATCGATCTTTATTTCATGCCGGCGATGCTGATAGGTATGTATGCATGCTTCGGGATTTGCATAATCATAACTGACCGAATTCTATCTCTATCTAGGCTATGGTATTGTCTATTGGGATAAGGTATGGATGGCTCACATCTCTACGTGCAATGGTGGCGATTAACATCCTTTGTAGGCCATTCTGGGAAGTGCTTCTCTCTTTGGAATGACCACCGATCTGGCATTGTCTGTGACTGATTATTCGACCACCCCGGCGACAACCAGTACTGAGCGTCTTAGCTGGGCAACGTCGATTTTCTATTTTGGAATGCTGGCAGGATTGTATCCTATGACACTTGTCCTCCAGAAATTCAATCTGCGCTATGTTTTTGGTCCTGTTGTTCTGCTCTGGGCTGTTACCTGTGCGGCGACTGCTGGTGTGACATCCTGGCGAGGATTGTTCGTCCAGCGGTTCTTCCTTGGTACGTCTCTATCGATATCATTATTATTTTGAAAATGGCCGACTTCTAACACTCCATAGGAGTCATTGAGAGCGTGATCCCAACCGGATTCATGACTATTGTCAGTGGTTATTACACCCAGGAAGAGCAGACCATGCGACAAGCTTGGTGGTTCTCCGGTGTTGGTTGGTTCACAATCATTGGTGGAGCACTTAACTATGGCTTTGGTCAAATCACCGCAGGAGCTCTGAAGAGCTGGCAGTATATCTACATTTTTGCCGGTGTACTCACCTTCTTGTTCGGCCTTTGGTGCTGTGTCATGCCTAACTCCCCCGTCACTGCCTGGTTCCTCACCCCTGAAGAGCGGCTGGTTGCTGTAGAGCGCCTCCGCAGGGGACAGACAGGTGTTCGATGCCAGCAGATCAAGTTCAGCCAGGTGAAGGAGTCGATCACCGATCCAAAGATCTACTTGGTCGCTCTGATGATGGCAGCAGCGTGAGTCTCTTTGACTTTCCAACACATTCCACATGCTAATTTTACCAGGTACACAATTAACGGAGCCATTTCTGGATTCGGGCCCTTGATTGTTTCGACCTTTGGCTACGATACCCTAGACTCAATTCTGTTCCAATTCCCCGTCGGCGGGATTTGCATCATTTTCATTCCGCTCTGCGGATACATTCCCACCGTCATCCCTAACACACGCATTCCCATGCTCATCGCATGCTGTCTCCCTGTCATCGCCGGCTGTATCATGATCTGGAAGTCTCAATGGGGATACCACCCGGCTACCCCAGTCGTCGGTTATGCCCTCACTGGCTTCTTCGGCCCAGTCGTCAGCTTGATCATTACAATTGGTGCCAGCAACGTGGCTGGAGCTACTAAGAAAACTATCATGGCCGCTACTACCTTCGTCGCTTACACTGTTGGAAACATCATCGGGCCTCAGCTCGTCAAAACCAAGACTAAGGCCCAGCATTACCCAGAGCTGTGGGAGGGAATGATTATTTGGTCAGTCTATCATTTCTTCCCTTTCATTATACATGTTACACAACTTACTAATACCATTATAGCTACTGCATCACCATCGCCGCGGCTGTTGCGTTATACGTAGTGCTCTGGCGTGAGAACAAAGCGCGTGAGAAATTGGAGCTTGACGAGGTGCTCCGCGACAAAATTGCTTTCGATGATCTAACAGACAAGGAGAACCCGTTCTTCAGATATGTTCTGTAAAAAAGTACACCCAACAGCCCTCAGACGGCAATGTAATGAATGGTCTGCCGATTGTATGGAGACCCATTGGCTCATGGCCAATAAAAAAAGACTGTTTTACTTTTGTCAATACATAATTATTCACTGCACAGGCAGCCCGGCAAATTTAGTGCAATCACGTTCAATTTAGCGTCACGGAATCTTAAGATTCCGCACATATTTTACCCCGCAAAACCCCGGCTTTTATAGTAGCCGAAACGCCCCCAGAAAGGACCGGCAAGCACAAGATCCATCATGGAGGAATCAAAATCCTTTGAGATACTCCCTACTCCAGAAGATGTTGTGTTGCAACGCGATCCCCAGTTTGAGGTGACATGGGAAGATGGAGATCCCGAAAACCCGCGGAATTGGTCCGTTTGGTATAGAAGTTTTATTGTGGCGGCGATGTCTTTTTCGACAACGATAGTGTAAGTTTGACACGATTTCAAGTAATCCGGATTAAAGAGTGGTTATTAACGATGCCCAGGGTAATTTATACGACAATGTACACCTCAGGCATCGCAGGTATTCAACAGACTTTCGACATTTCATCCGATATTGTTGTTCTTCTCGGCTTGACGACAAACCTCTTTGGTCTTGCTATCGGCTCTGTGATACTTTCCTCTTTGTCAGAGATATATGGTCGCCGACTAATATATCTCATCTCTGTCACACTATTTGCCCTGATGATCCTACCCGTGGCTCTGGCGAAGAACATCGAAGCCGTTCTGATCAGCAGGTTTTTTGGTGGCTTCTTTGGTGGTGCTTGGATTGCAAGTGCCCCTGGTAGTGTTACTGATGTCACTGATGACAAGTATCGTGCTTTGGCTATAAGTTGTTGGAGTCTTGGAACGATGAACGGGCCTGTTCTTGGTATGACTCCATCTTATTCCAAATTGTCGCTACTATCTGACGTGAGGCTGCTTCAAAGGTCCTATCATTGGGGGCTTTGTCTATCAGTACCTCGGATGGCGCTGGATAAACTGGCTCGTCTTGATCTGTTCCGGGGTATCTTTTGTTTTGATGTTCTTAGTTAAAGAAACATATGCTCCAGCCCTTCTTCGACAAAGAACAAGACGAATTCAGAAGGAAACGGATGACGAACGATGGTGGTGCCTATACGATCATGAGGAAACGGGGTTTCAAATCGTCAAAACAAACATGATTCGACCTTTGAGGATGGCTGTCCTCGAGCCAATCTGGTGAGCTAACAGCCATCCAAAACAAATTGCAGTTGGAGCTAACATGCTTTCAGTGTCTTCTGGAATCTCTACGTCGGAGTAGTGTACGCAGTCCTGTTTCTATGCTTCGTTGCGTATCCGATCGTTTTCGAAGAGCTTCGAAGCTGGTCTCCAGGGTTAGCCGGGCTAAGCTATTGTGGAATAGGAACAGGCACCGCAATCGCGGTAAGTCTGGAACCATTGATTAGACGGATCATTTCCATGCATCCCAAGAATCCTGTTACTGGTCGACCAGCCCCCGAAGCTGCGGTCTTTGCTGTCTGTGTGGGTAGTGTATTAATCCCCATCGGCGAATTTTGGTTTGCATGGACTGCTCGGCCACCCGTTCACTGGATCTGCCCAATATTGGCAGGGCTTCCTTTTGGACTGGGCAATGGCTTGGTATTCATCTATGCCACCAACTACCTAGCGGGAAGTTATACCGTTTATGCCGCCTCGTCTCTTGCTGGGAATTCGATCGTGCGATACGGTCTCGCGGGAGTCCTTCCTCTAGCAGGAAATAGAATGTACCATGCGATGGGGGCTGAGTGGGCTGGAACCATGCTTGCGCTGATTGAGGTTGTTCTCATTCCAATTCCCTTTATATTCTACAAATATGGCGATCGGATTCGAATGCGGAGCCCTATGATTGTGAAGGGTATTTGAGGGGTAATGAATTTGGTCAATCAGAGATGACCAGAAATGGTCAAAGGCCCTGCTTGCATATGATCATATAGACTGCCTTGACAGAGGTCAATATTATTGCTTAACTAACCTGATTCCACGTTAATCAAACTGCGATTGGATTTTTCAATATCTTGTAGGAATTCAGTCCCACACTGGAGGAAGTTGAGTATCTAGCCCATTGACAAACAGCGATTGCAACCATTCCATCCCCCCATCTATCATCTCACCAGAAAATGACATGTCTACATCCAATTCGTCCTGCCCCGTCTGGACAGTCTCAGACGAATAAGGATGTGGCCGTGTCATTTCAAATTGACTTCGGGTATTGGGAGCACTCGCTTCTGATACGGCATGTATTTCAGATATTGGCTCAGCCTGTTTATGTTGATTGTTCTCGACCAGTTGTGCTCTCTCCGAATCCCGCACGATGCTAGCGTTCGGAATGGGACATTGCTGTCCAATTTCAAATCCAGTGGTGAAAGGTTCATCGAGTCCAGTGAAATCATTTGTTCGCGCAGCTGATGGCTCATTGGCACTTTGGATATTCCGATGGCCCTTCCTTTTATATATGGCATTGTTTTTTAGACCTTGATCCCCACCGTTGGACCTCAACATAGGTGAAGATTCGGAGCCTGTGAAAATAGGCGATGGCGAGTGCGATGCCCCGTTCAGAACAGACTGATCCCTATTATGTCGAAGTTCGCCAACCCTCTCCTGCAACCGCTCGCTAGGATGGCTGAGAGTTGCATCGGCCATCTGATTCAGTTTCCAAACTGTCCGTGCCATTTTTCCAGAAACCCAGGTTTTGCGACAATGGTCCCATAGCGAACGTGTAGCTTGAAGAGTAAGTTGGCCATAGGCTCGCTTGAACGAAGGCTGCTTAATGATAAGCCCAAGGGCAATGATTGTTGCATTGGTGACGTAGTGTAGGAATGGAAATGTGTATTTTGGATGTTGTTCTGGCATGCCGTTGAAGTCGTCAAATATACTCTGGGCGACACGCATGCAAATAACTTCGTTTTCGATAGCTTCCGGAATTGGCTGATTTGGCGTCCAGGACTTTTGAAGCATCGGTTTTCGAATCAGTAGATATAAGGACGACCACCTCTGGATACGTATGTTAGCCTCTATGAACAAAAGTGAGAAATGCCTTTCTTGTCACATACGATTCGCATTATAAATTTCTGTTTGATCTTCCACCAGGGCACGCCATCACTTTGAACTCTCCCAGGGTTCCGAGGGTCGTATGTGAACTCTGGGTGAATGCCTCTTTGTGATTGGGTGATGAGGTGCTCCAAGTACTCATTGAGAAGAGGGCTTGGGGTGGATTCCGATGTTGCGGCACCATAAAGAGCTTCCCAAACTTTGCCCACTACCTTAGAGTAACTTGCCATGGCAATAAGGTAGGGAACGGGAACCATCTCGGGGTCGTTAGTTGATTGCTCTGAGTGGTGTTTTCTTAATGTACTTTGAGACCTCGTGAGCCATTCATCGTCCACGTTGCGCGGAAGGCCCACGTCGACATTAACATCCTGAATAAAAAATGGGCGGCCAGTCTCTATGGCGAGTCTTCTATCCATAATATATTGACACCACCATAAGCGCCGAGACATCTCGCTCTCAAAAGGTGTCATAGACTCGACCACTCGGTTTCTGTGGAGACCAAGATGATGAGAATGCGATATCAAGAGCGCGAGAACCTTTTCTGCAGACCCATGGGAGTCGATACGGAAAAGATAGACAACCTGAATCATGTCAAGAAAATTTCACGCGATGTGAATAATTACTTATGCTTACCATCAGAAGAACCGTTTGAAGCACGAAGATTTGATCGGCGCACTGGGTGAATCCATCGAGAAGATCTCCAAAAATATCTCGGGCTGCATTGTACAAGCTCCAGCCTGCAGAATATCGCCCCTCGTCACCTTCAAAACGGGAGGATTCAACGCACCTACCATTAGCAAGGCATAGTAAGATATGAGCGTACTGGACACGGACAGCACCGTTTCGTTGCCGATCGTTGCTTTCTGGCTGCGCCTCCAATGGGGCTTCCCACATTCTCTCATACAGCTCCCAGAGGTTTTGTAAATGAAGAAATGGCACAAGAACGTGCACTTCATCGCAAAAGGTACGCAGAAGTCCATCCCATTGCTCTCGGTCGGGAGCCAATCCATGAGCATTCAGAACCTGATTGAGAAAGGTCGTTCGTGTCTCTGTATAGCGCTTGGCTGAGCTTTCGGGGGAAGGTGTCAGACAAGACCGAAATTCGCGATTGGGTGATGCAGATTGAAGCCGGGCATACTGGACACCCATCTGCTCAAGGCGACTCTCAACAACTGTCAAATTATGTGTAATGGATGTTTCTCCAGAAAATGTCGGGACTTGCGTAGAGCGAGGGCAGGGTTCAGAACGGGATGTCCGCTCTTCTCTAGAGTCTTTCACGTTGCGTTGGGCTTCCGGTCGGTCGAGATCACTTTGACCTTCTGACGTCTTGTGAGGATAAAATTCCGGATCTGTCATCGAACTCATCCGGGGCTCAAATTCTTTTAGTAGTGAAGAAGATTCATCACCCGAGCCACTTGTGCGATCTGTATTCCTCCATTTCCCGCGCATGTCGGTTCCAATTCGCTCGCACTTCTTTCCCTTGGCTATGCAAGATTGGCATGGCGCATCACCATCGCACTAATGAGTACAATGTTAGCAAGGTATTTGTATGAATTGTCTACCTTTCGATTCATACTTTGATTTTCCGCCTTTTGCACTGGGTACTTCAAGATGTTAGGCCAATGCGGTTGTCTTGGTTCTGGGGCAAAACAGACCAGGCTTTCGAGGCATATTTTGCTCTTTTTGGCCTTTTCGGCGGCTGCGAAACATCATTCTCCTGACTCTCCTCGGGATCGACATGACTTTGTCTATTTTGTGACCCTGAATCCCTCATTTTAACAATTGGTGAAGATACCGAGCTGGCCCGGGAAAGCGGAATTCAGGTGGAAGGTGGGTCTTTCGGAATCATCGGAATCTTGGGTCTGGGTCGCCGCCTTTGCCGAATATGTAGATTCCTCGGTATAGATTGACTCATGTCGATGGGCTTTCAAAGTCAATTAGTAGATGATGTGAGTTCGAGTAAGAGAACAACAAAGCAAGATGGTTCAACCGTATCCCAGCGAAGACCTCGGCTTCTGGCCTGAAATATCGGGCAACCAAGATGCGTGCAGATCCCGAGACTAAGTAATACTCCGTTATAGGTTGTGGACACGACATGAACGTACTATACAGCCCCAGTAACTAGAACTGGATTTCAATCTATGGATTTTTAAATTGCTGAAAAGGAACACAGTTCTTGATTTGAAGGCCAATTCAAACAGCTTCTGCAGATACAAGTGAATCTTCGAAACATCCACAGTACTGGCTCTAAGGCCCGATGAAAGATTTTCCCTTCTCAAGAGTAGCCTGAGCCCTTTTTTCCTTCAACGCCATCCAAAGAAGCCACCCATGGAGCACTGCAAAGAAAGCATTATCCACTAATGCCCAACCAAATATTTCGTAAACTCCCACTAACCCCATCAACGGTAAAGACAGAAGCTTCTCAAACGGGATGATAACCAGCCCTAACCAGGATATAGGTAGTATAATGTGGATCAAAAGTTGGCTAACAGTTCCTGCGACGCTCCAAAGTGAGGTGGAATCCGGCCTATATTGGTTGACTGAGTCATCGACCACATACACTGTAACACAAAACACCGCAGGGTTAATACGCAGCAATAAGCTGGAAAATCCTAACAGAGTTGTCGAACGACCTTTCCCACCGGTGGCGAGAGGGTGGAGAGAGACAAATTCGCAAAACAAAAGGAGGCTTATGATCGTCAACTTTTTAATGAGCGGCAGGAACGAATAGCAGATGTCTGTAATAAACCTGGTTGTAGCAATTACTATCAGCGTGTTTCTCTGATCACGTTGGACTTTAAATGATTAAATTGGTGGCGTACAGAATAGAAGAAGCTAACAACCATGCTGCAGTTGCATAGAACAGATGCATCCATTCTGACGACTGGGCTGTTAGGCTATGCTTTCCTGTCATCGAGGAAAAATAGTAACAGAGTTTTAGCTGCTGCATTGCGCTGATGATACTGAAAAGTAGTAAAAGGACAGATATTCTCGCATCGCTTTTCAATCGGTATAGCTGGCGAATCTGTGGAATGAATGACAGGGCATTTAAACCTAACAACAGACTAAACAATCCAATGAATTGTTAGGGAGGTTTTCAAGAAATTGGGACAGAATTATTTCACCTGCATAACCAAACCGACATACTGGCACTGCTTGGAAGTAGATTAACGGAGGAACAGAATTGGGCAAGATAGGAAGAGAAAACAAAATTGCCTAGCCTCTAGATTCTCACGCTAACCTCTTTTTGACCTCGACTGTAGCCTTGTCTCGGGGGCCCACTAAAGGGTCTAAAGGGTCCAAAGCCTCCGGAACCAATCCGGGTCCGTACGTCGCTTATAATTCAGGCAGCGACATCTCGAGAATTTAAAAGGATGCGTTGTAGATTCTCGCAGCTCCAGAAACATATTAAAAGGAGGTTCGTATTCCTCTCAGGCTACCCCTTACTTTCCCCAACCTTGGAAGAGCCTCCAGGGTAGCTCAGCTGGCTGATTCTGTCTCTACCCGTTAGTTATCGGATAACATTACATGAATTCTCCAGCAGTTCTTATAATGACTACAGTGAAGCTTATCATCAAGAAATAGCGAATAAGGCCTAAGCCGCATGACTGTGAGGCGGTAGACCTAGCGATTTAATTAAATTTCAGAGGCTAAATTATTTAAGGAGAGCCGGAGTCGACGATGCGGGCAACGCCGCGGACAGTGCCGGAGCCGGTGCCAAGAGCCTCGATGGCCTGAACGTGCTCATAGCCCTCGGTAACCTCGCCGAAGACGACGTGCTTGCCGTCGAGCCAGCTGGTGACAACAGTAGTGATGAAGAACTGGGAGCCGTTGCTATTGGATAATGGATTAGCTCCGCATTTCAACCCGATGGACGAGGACAATGGCACGTGACTCACGTGTTGGGACCAGCGTTGGCCATGGAAAGCAGACCGGGCTTGGTGTGCTTGATCTTGAAGTTCTCATCCTTGAACTTTTCGCCGTAGATAGAGCGGCCGCCGGTACCCTAAGGTGGGGAATGTCCTAATTAGCTCTTGTCTCAAGAAGAAAGACATGGAAGCCAGAGAAGAGAAAAGAATAGACCGAGCCACTTACGTTGTGGTTGGTGAAGTCACCACCCTGGAGCATGAACTGGGGGATGACACGGTGGAACTTGGAGCCCTTGTAGCCCTGGCCCGCGGGCTTGTTGCAGAGCTGAGCGAAGTTGTCGGCGGTCTCAGGGACAACATCGTTGTAAAGCTTGAAGCTGATGCGACCCTGCTTGGCTGGAATGAGAGAGAATGAGTTAGCACGGTTGCATTTACTACTTTGGAATATTGAATAGACGAAAGGCAGCAATTGAGGTATGATTGCTGGCCATGGGAGATGTTTTACAATGCTATTGACACTAAAGCGACAGGAGGAGGGTGGGTAGTGGATCCAAAGGTGCTGGGAGAAAGGGCACTCACTGTTGTCCTCGGAGGGACCGTACTCGACGATAAAATGGGCGGAAGACATGATGGACGACTTTGTTGTTGCTAGTATTGAAAGGAATGAGAGAAGAGAAGGAAATCGGGTGGGGTATAAGGGCAAGGCGGAAGAAGGCGGGGAGTTTGCAGCTTTGGAGGGGCACTCGCAATTGCCCCACTCGGTGCCACGTCCCGAGGTCTGAGCGCGTCCTCACGGAGTCAACTACACGAAACCCTTGAGCCTGGAGATCAATTATTCAATGTAAGCCCTCATGCTACTTGGATGGCAATGAAGTGTTGGCTTGTATAGCTCCGCGCGATCAATTAATGCTATATCTACAACAATATCAGTTTCGTGGCGGCATACAGACTGTATATCTCGAAATCCAAGACAATGTCATTTAGGTTGAGGGGGTACAGTCAGCAACTTCCGATTATAGCATATCCCCCGTCTATGAGGGATCAAGTAGTGAGTACTCAGTGCTAATAAAGCTACTCGACCCAACTCCATAAGAGCTAGAGCTTCCCTATCTTCTTCAATATTTCTCCACTCCATTATCCAGCTAGCAATTGTTGCACTTAAAGTAGCCACGAGCGGTAGAATGAATGCCCGGGTAATGCCAAATTCCACGGTATTCTTCACCTCCACCTGCTCTTGAAGGGTGTTGTTTTGTGACCTGCACGAATGCACGAATCCCAGTGGTCAGAATGGAAGTGGTTTTACGGCTAAAGGCAGGGAAATACTAGCTTGGGCTTCGAGCGCCATTGGCAAGTTGGCAAACTGGCAGAGATGGCAAAGACGGCAATGACGGCAATGACGGTAAGGACGGTAAGGACGGGGTGACCTTCCTGCTTGATATCATCATCTTTCATCTATTAGCTCATACTTCCCTTTGTCGATTTGTATTAAGCCTTATTTTGTTCATGAGGGTGATGGTAACGCTCAAGAAAGAAAATTGTAGCGTTTCTTCTTCTTCTTTTGATTGACGTATCAAATCATTACGCGGGGCCTTTTGAATTCAAGAATTTAACGATGATCAGGTCCATCCATGCCGCTCAAAGGTTGGATTCGCGGGGAAATCCAACTGTTCAAGTCGATATTACTACGGACAGAGGTAAGGGAATATCTATCTACACCACAAAAGTATCGGTCTGACATTAGTCAGGTACTTTTCGATCTATCGTCCCTTCCGGTGCGTCTACAGGTGCGAATGAAGCTATAGAGCTGCGAGATCGGGACAAGTCTGCATATGGTGGCCATGGTGTTCAGAAGGCTGTCTTAAATGTCGGACTCGTTATCAATCCTGCGCTAGTAAAGAGTGGGTTCAATGTTGATACGGATCAGAGAAAGATTGATCATCTTCTTAAGAAGTTGGACGGTACGAAGAATAAGGCAAAGCTCGGAGCGAACGCTATTCTGGGCGTCAGTATGGCTTGTGCCAGAGCTGGGGCAGCCCATTCAGTAGGTGGAGAACCAGATAAAGTACGGTCGAAACGTGTGACTGAGGCTTGTAGGACATTCCCTTATACGAGTTCCTTCAACGTGAGTCTGGCGCGCAAAAGCCTTTTGTGATGCCAGTTCCGTTCTTCAATGTCCTAAATGGAGGTGTGCATTCGGGCAACAAAATGGCTTTTCAAGAGACTATGATAGCCCCTGTTGGAGCGTCGTCTTTTATGGAAGCAATTCAAATGGGTAGTGAGGTTTATCAACAGCTGAAGAAAATCATCGTTGACAAGTTTGGACCATCTGGTTTGTGCACCATTTCCAAAGTCACCTAGGTAAACATCTCTATCCTGATCATTACTGATAAACTCCTCCAAGCTGCCGGTATTGGGGACGAAGGAGGTTTTGCGCCACCAATCTCGCAGCCTTATGAAGCATTAGGCCTCCTAGTTCAAGCAGTTTCACTTGCTGGATATACTGGCAAAATCAAATTTGCGATTGATCCAGCATCAAGTGAGTTTTTCCGAGATGGAAACTACGACCTTGGGTTCAAAGACAAAAGGCCGAACGCGCAAAGCGCAAAACAGATGATGGACCTGTATCATTCACTCTTGCAGGATTATCCCGTCGTCCTCTTGGAGGATCCGTTCGCCGAAACTGATTGGGATAGTTGGACAAAGTTCAATGAAGGATGCCCAGTCGAACTGGTTGGGGATGATTTACTGGTCACGAATACGCAATACGTGCAGGAGGCTTACGAGAAGAGAGCGTGCAATTCTATGCTGCTGAAAATCAACCAAATAGGGACTATTTCCGAAGCGATAGACGCGTGAGTCTTTTCCTTCGCAATAAACTTTGCCAAAAACTTCGAAAAACTTCGGTGCTAACTTTTCGTAGGGCAAACCTGGCCTTCAGTTTTGATTGGGGCGTTTTCGTGTCTCATCGATCTGGTGAGACGACCGATGACTTCATTGCGGATTTGGCAGTGGGCTTGAGAACAGGTCATCTCAAATCCGGGGCACCTTGCCGGGGCGAGAGAGTCGCCAAGTATAACCGGCTCATGGATATTGAGGCAGAGCTTTTGGCAAAGGGTGAAAAATGCATTTATGCTGGTTCACAATTCAGGGTGGCATCTAAGTGCTAAAGCCACGTTTTGTCTGATATTAACGAGGGCCTTCTTCATGTCGCGATAGAACAATGACACCCTTGTCTTAAAGCGTGAAATGCCTATACAGGAAGTATAGGCCTAAGAGGTTGGAGATTCTTTAGCGATGCTTGGCTCAGATCTATGTTGCACTAGAAGCCTTGTGGGCCAGTCGGACCCCAAAAATGGCCACCATAAGCAGTTCCAAGGTCGAATTCGCTACTGTAAGCGCCTACTCATCAATGCATGTTAAATATACAAGAATTGGGCTGTCAGCCTTTGAATGAGGAGGTTAATCTCGGCTTAGCGCAGATCATTCCCAGCCTTAGCCCGGCAGTGTTATTGTTTTCAATGTCACTAGATGAAGCAAGGCTCCAACCTATCTTCCTTGCTGAGAATTTCCAATAGCTTTCATGAAAGCATGATGAAAACCTATTGGGTAGGTGGGAGGGCGCGGAGGAGGAAACGATTTTACCAGACATAGTGGTAATTGTGACTTAAACCCCCACACACTCTGCCAACATTCCGGATCATCACAGGGGACTTAGTCTTTACTAAAGCAAAACTCTCAAGTATATCCACTACATAATTTATTAAAGGTAATGAGCGATATACGGCAGCATGTACAGGTGTTGCACATTGCCTGCAGAACTGACTTTTGACGACAAATCCAAGATATTATAGACCCGAAGGCCAGGTACAGGACTCGAAGAGGGTTGAAGAAAGAATTATCGAGTGAAGGGCCGATATCAACATGATACGCTTAGATATCTCCCTTCATCAGACGGATGTTGCGCTGTTCCCCCGTCTTATTGCCTTTCCACGGGCACCGGTTCTGCAACCTCACACAAAGCTTCACATCCGTTCCCATGGTCGGCACTTGAATGGGGCGTTTGTGACAGGCGTTGTTCTAAAGAACGACGATGTGCCAATTCCCCTTCTGAGAGTCTATCCACGGGCTCGGGAGCTGCAATTTCGCTAAGAGCAGCATAAGAGCCACCATCGGGATCGTCAAGCCCTTCATGAGGGTATGATTTTCTCACGTGCAATGAATCGGCTTTGTCGTCATTCTCGGTGATTTGATGAGAATCTGCATTATTGGCCTTTTGCTTTGGATGTGCAATGCCCGCCAAAAAAGCCCAAAGCTTTTCGAAAGGGGCTTTCATTTTGTAAGTGTGAGCGTAAGCTGGGAAACAAATTTGCCGACTAGTGTAAGGCTGTGTTTGGCAAAGGGAAGAAGACAAAGCGACCATAAATCTATCCTACGCATTTAATCCTTCTATCTCGGATGGCCTTTCCTGGTTTGCCCGGCTTAGCCTCTTTTCACTATGCCCAAATTTCATGACCATGACGTCGTATCCGAGTTTCAGCATTTCTTTTCCCGTCCACCGTAGAATGCGCATACATTTATGACATTCTTCAGAGGCCTCTGTATGACCACAGATCATCAAAGGAATTACCCAGAGAAACTGGAATGTCTTCAAGCTTTGAAATTGAGACGCTGCAGATATCGGAAAGCGGAGAGGATTGCCTGTTTTTCAAAAGCAACGGTCAACAAATCTCACCGTGGCACGATATTCCCTTGTTTACAGACGACAAGTGCGAGATCTTGAACATGATTGTTGAGATCCCTCGACATAGTAGGGCGAAAATGGAGGCAAGTTGACTGTCGATCCAATGCAATAAACACCGCTAATATTCGCTAGATATCCAAGGGAGATAGGTACAACCCTATCAAGCAGGACATTTCCAACGGCCGACCAAGACAGCTTGCAGACATTGCTCCATTCCAAGGCTACCCCTGTAACTACGGTGCTCTTCCTCAGGTAAGTTTCCTCAGTTACACTCCGATTCTTTTCGCTTCAGTTTACTAACTTGAATTTAGACTTGGGAAGATCCAAATTTCATCGATACCCACACAAGACTTGGAGGAGATGACGACCCGCTCGATGTTTGTGAGATTGGTAGCGCACTTGGCGCGTGTGGTCAGGTGAAGAAGATCAAACCTCTGGGCGCTTTTGCTCTGTTGGATGAAGGACAAACAGACTGGAAAATTGTTGCTGTCGACATTGGCGACCCTCTTGCCAATGAGCTTTCGGATATATCTGATGTGGAAAGGTACCTGCCAGGTTTTCTGGATTCCCTGAAAGGCTGGTATTGTCGGTATAAAGTGCCAGAGGGAAAGGGCGAGAACAGGCTCGGACTGGACGGGGAACTGATGAGCCGCCAGTAAGTGATATGCGCCCATTGATTGCGATGGCATTAATGAAAGACAGATTTGCATTGGATCTCATAAGCAATTGTCATACTGCTTGGCAGCCTCGGAATGGTTACCCAGATGCGTAGCTCTCGTGTTGGAAAGGTGGTCCCGTTCTGAATAGATATCTGTCCTCCATATTCGGTGTGGGAGACTCCTCTCGAGGAAGCATAATTTGGTAACTCACCCATCCTTCATTTTGGGCTTTGTCTTACTTCTCCGTCGCATTGGACTTGCCAATTCTTACACATAATAATGGAAACATCTCTGAGGTAGAAAGATTCAGCATCGAATGAAAACTCGTTTGCAAAATGGAGGCTCGATTTCTGACCTTACGGAATAAGATTGATATTGACCATGATTGACATGTGGTGGATGATAGCAAATGGCAGCCTTTATCCATGGTCTAGATGCACTACACTGGTGGATTTACCAGCTGCTGCGGAGATGGATACAAGGACAGGCGGAATATAAAGAAATGCTGTCATGTATATTCTGTATAGTGGGTATAGGACTTCAGTCTACAGCCACGATTGCCCGAGCGCAGAGCATCGCCACTACGTGAGAGCACTCTGGTTTTAAAACAAGAGAATCTGAACCCTTCGCTTGGCTAGCAGGCGCGAAGTTTTTGACGCGGCCTTCCAATGTTTTCCCCTTCATTCAGGAGTTGTGGCTTTGATAACGTCGCTAATACTGCGAGCAGTGTGGTCTATATTGAATTTGTTGAGCCCCCTAAAGGCAAGAAGTGTCAGCTCAGCGCTTGTTCCCAGAGTTTGCTCATTCAACATACGCGATGGATATTCTCCCAGTATCTTGGAGGTAAACATGATGCTCGTCTCGGAGGAGAGTGACTTGTTCCACAGAAAGTCCAACGTATCTAAAGAAAGTTAACAAGATAAATCTGGTTGGCACCAATAAGGGTAAGTCTTACGAGAACATCCCGTTCTGATCGGTAATGTGCTGCCAGTCTCCCGGTGTTTCCAACTCCTCCAACCTCTCCCTGAGCGCAACTCGGCGCTGCTTGAGTTGCTTTGCCATCTCACGCACTTCTACACGCCACTGGCGCTCCAAAGTCTGATCTGATAGAACAGTTTCGATTATTTTGGAGCCAAAATCAGGGGGCGCTCCAGACTCTGCACGCGCTAGTAGGCTCAATTGCTTCTCTATTCTCTTTCCGACTTCCTCGCTCGGAGCAAGAATGGAGAGAATTCCAACGCGCTCGCTGTAAAGGCCAAAGGATTTTCCGTAAGTTGAGACAAAGATGAGCGGGATTTCGCGGTCGGCGAATAAACGAACACCTTCAAGATCCGTGTCAATATCTCCAGAGGCAAAGCCGGGATATGCAGCATCGAAGAATGCCAGATGACCACGCTGGGAGAAGATTGAGGCCAGCGCTCGCCACTGATCTGGCGATGGATCACATCCTGTTGGGTTCTGGGCTCCAGACTGGAGAAGAACAACGGATTGAGCTGGCAATAACTTGATAGCCTCTGAAAATCTCTCAAAATCGAAGCTGTTTGTCTTGCTGCTGAAATAAGGCAGAAGGCTAGGCTTGATTCCCGCGTATTCAAATAGAGGGGCATGATTTACTTCGATTTAGTTAGCATTGATTTCGTGTGTGATAAAGCGACTCCATACACCAGGTCTCACTCGGAAGGAAAATCTCGGAATTCCCAGTCTCCTTCCATGGCTCATAATGATTTTTCAACATGACTGCGCCCACATGGCATCCGCCACTTGCGCCAAGTGTCTGTGTGGAGATAACCCTAGTTCATAAATCAGCTTTAGAATCATTTTTGGAATTGCATCATTTATATTTTACCTTTTCTCCCGCAAAAGACGATGATCAGACCCAAAGAGTAACTTGGCGCTCAAGTTCCTGTAAGTCAGGGATCCTAGAGAAGAAGGGCGATACTCATGATGCCAATCAGGATCATTCAATATCCTCGTCTTCGCCTGTGGTGCGAAGTTAATTATTGAAGATGTTCCGGCATGGACTAAACTTTGAGAAGTCATACCTCTTTCACACTTGGTAGCACATAGGCTTTTCCTTCGTTCGTTTTGTAGACACCGACCAGGAGATCAGTTCTGCGCGGATCGGTATCGGCTCGGAACTGCGTTAGAAGAGCCTCGAGGTTCTCTGAAAGATAGGTTCTTAATGCTGGTTTGCCAATTATCAAATGTATCATTTACCTGTTCGGCCCGCTGGCACATTTTGAAAAGGATTTGCTGCTATGCTACCCATTTTGTTACTGAACCTGATTCTTGGAAGTCGATTCAAGAAAATAGGATTACCATCTTGAGCTTTATACTTTGGTTCTGCGGGGAAATCGATAGCTTGAAGTAATACGTATCTAGGAGCACGCCATTGGCAACTCGCGTTAGTAGCGGCTGTTACGCCATTATGTCGCAATATGAGAAACATAGCAAGTACTCTGCAGTGTCCCTTCTCCAGATCATGATCAATGGTAAATAAATTTAAGCATAACGTTCAGGTCACTAATACTGGGATAATGGGTGAAGTTCTAGCTGATGAATAATCATTCCACCAATTCATTGGGAAGAACGAGTATCATCCTTCAAGCTTAGCCGCGTGGCCCATCTGCAATGGACTACTTCTAGTCAAGTCCAATTTTCCGATCCACAGCTGATTTAGCTAGTCTCGCGCTTTAGATGGCTACTGAGTCATGAGCAAGTGGACCAGGCCACTTGCATAAGGTACACTTACCTAGCTTATGAAAAGAAGTGATGATTATATAACACTAAGATTCGGTCTCATATTGTGTATATTGACATATAAAAGGAAAGTAATCATTTGATCCGATTCCTCTCAATCCTTTCTTTCACACCATCAGTATCAACTCGCTTACCAAGAAAAGGGATATAATGAAAATTGTAAGGCTGACAAAAGCACCCGACTTAGGAGCTGCTGAAGATGTAGCGGTGCCTTGGGATGCTTCTGTTGACTGAGGACTGCCACTTTGTTGAGAGGAAGTACTGCTTTGCGAGACAGTAGAGCCGGTGAGGTGAAATCCAGTGGCTGTCGGCGTGTACGAGAGCTCAGTGGTGACTGTCATGGTATTTTGTTGGCCTGGTCCTTCTGGCCGAGCCGTCGCCGTCTGCTGGACAGTCACCCCACCAGAAAGATGCCATATTTGGTCGCCAGAAGATCCCTGAGCGTCAATTTCCACAACATTAGATTCGTCGGTTTCAAAAATGGTCGGAGCAATAGCGATCTCTTTGCGGTCTAGATTGTACACAACATATGCTGAGCGAAGGAAGGAGTCGCCTAGCACTATCATGCCACCTTCCTGAGCTGCTTCAAGCCCAAACCAGCATAATGTGTTTCCATTTGAAAGGGTTATGGGCGCGCCATCTATGTCCACCATGGGAGGGCAAAGCTCGGAGAAGAGCACTGAGATCATAGGCCCACTGGAACCATCAAACCCAAAGTTGAGGGTACCTTTATACGACTTCATGACCTCGCACTCAACATAAGCCATTTCTTCATAGTAAAGTACGTTAGCAAAGTCAGCGACTTGATCATATATATCCTGTGGGACAATAGAGATCGATGACCCCGAATCAAGTACTGCGGGCTCCGCGAAGTCCTTTCCAGTCAGGCTCGTCGTGCCTTCGGTAGGATCTGTAATTGAAAGCGATGTCCATGGGACGGTCATAGACGTAATCTTGCCACTTTTTGCGTCATCTTGGATGGCGATTGGGGTTAGATTACCCTTGAATTTGGCCGTGTCATAACCACCAAACAAAATATTACCCGTTCCACTTTCTGAAATAAGATTGCAAAGTCAGCTGGCGTTAACTTTTGTTCTTTTCCGACTTACCAAGATCATTGAGCCAGAGGCTGTAGGAGCGCGAGTTGATCAGATCTTGATCCACCATCGAGTCCATGATATTCTTGTAGGACTTCCCACCCGCATACGCGATCGACTCCCCTGCATCAAAGCCAATGCCCATAATGCCTATCGAGCCTCCACTTGTTTCTCTAGCAACAGCAAATTCTAAGTCTTTGATTGTAATTGAACTGAACCGGAAACTGTCTGACATATAATCCCCGAAGACTTGCGAATTATCTCCATACATTATTTGGAACCCATCCTTATCGATCAAGCTAGCGGTGCTGGATTGCGATTCGTCATCTTCATCAAGCTGGGAGTTAACGGGAATGCTTCAAACACGGAAATGTGGTGGTCTTGCTAACTTACAATGTTTTCCATAGCACTGTTCTGAGCCACACGAGTCTGGTCCGAATACCCAGACATCACTGCTTCCAGTGTCGATTTGAAGCTGGACTGGCTGTGGAGGGGTTCCAACAGTAGCATTCAACCAGAAGAGGTTTCTCCAATGGAAGTAGGCTAATGGCACTTCTGCGACACTTCGTTTCACAAGAGAGGGTCGGGCATTTCTGTGCAGCTGCAGCGAGACATATCTGGGCCCTGCTGTTGCTGACGCGAGTAGAAGAAGGTTGAAAAAGAGAAGTGCTTTGATTGAGCCCTTCCAAGTGAAAAATTTGGGTCTAGTCTGATTCCACAAAGCCATGATCTTTGAATGCTGTAACGAATCCCGTTCTCGTAGAGATGAAGAAAGAAAAAGTATATACCCCGTAATGTGATGGCGCGGGAGGCTTAACTTATTGTCCAGGGTCTTGCGCTCCAAGTGCCGAACAAACAATTGACATGCAATACGAGAGCTCAGGCAAACGGTCGATCTTGGCATTTCGGTATTCAATGCCATAAGAAGCTTTCCTCCGCTGATTAGTGGCTTCCTTGGCTTGGCAGCGCTGTCAGGGTCTACGAGGATGCAGCTACATAGGAAATGATTTGCACCAGTTGGACTTTGTATGTAGGAGCTCGCCAATGAGATGATCGTTATGAGCAAGGCTGACCAAAGCAATGAGGCTAGTTACTTAATGCGCCTCAATGCTACATCGCTAATTGAACGGATCCACAATCGCGGTCCGTGGGAGACGAATACGAGCTCGCGGATAACTAATCCTCTTATGGCATTCAATGTAGCCAGAAATTCTATCTTAAGAATGATCAGCGATGTCCCTCACTGCTTAGTGGAATGGCAAAGAGACGATACGTTAGAGAAGTACATTGTAACTTATAGAGAGCCTGACTGGCTGCTCCCAGCCAATTGCGTCGAGTCAAGCTCTTGAACATCGGTATGAAGTTTGAGATCTCTTGAGGGCATTATTGCCCATCAGCATCATAAGCAACATAGGTCTCATTTGCGATAATCTTCGGTCTCCATACGCTCTTTTTCAAGATGATCTGACTCTTCTTTCCTCTGACGCTCGAGCTCTTCTAACCTTGGAACTTTGATACTTGTCTGGATTTCCAATATTGAACGTGAACAACTCAATACGCACAGAAACAGGGTCTAATATATATCTATCCTATCATATCTATGGAGACGCTCTCGCCCAACGGGTGTTAGGCCAGGTCGCGAGTCCTTGTCCTAACTCCTCATACTTCCCGAAAAACACTTCGCTGGCAGTCTTCTAGTAGTTTGCAGTTGTCTGGCGTATCACAAAGGTTGTTCAGGTAGTTGAATTTAGGCATGATAAACCGATATACTCTGTGGAACCGTTATGTTTTCACCGAGAAAGGGCTTCCATGAGACCCGCTTTGACCGGCTTTTCGTGGGCCTGTCCGTGGGTCGGCGAAGTTTGTTCGGAACCGCACCAGCCCTCGAGTCCAGGCATATAATAATCATCTTCGGAGAACGTTTATCAGGGTTAAAGTTTTATCAAATGGGGTTGTGGTTTAGTGGTATAATGTTCGCTTTGCATGCGAAAGGTCCGGCGTTCGATTCGCCGCTGCTCCATATGTTTTTGTTTTTTTTTTTTTTTTTTTTGGCCGAGGGCCTCTCCCCCGGAACATCTCCCTGTGAAACGACTGCCATGTCAAAAACAGTGTAGCCACTTGCTCCTACAACAAGCCAAACTACATAATTGCAGTCGCTGTGACATTCCAGGCAAAGGTTATGAGCCCGAAACACCGATTAATGACCGCTGCAGAAAGCACCGCGGCCACCATGCTCTAATCCAGCTCTTCGTGAAAATTACTTGAATACTCACAATCAACATCAGTGCAAATATATTTTGGTTTCGTGTGGTATAGGCCAGTCGACGCGACAGTCGCATCTTAAGCCAGCCTTGTAGCGGGTCTCGCAGCAGGAGCGGCTTGTCTGTATTGGACTTTATAGAAGACTTGTGTGAGATCTTGTCGTTTCGCTTCAGTATAAGAGCCGGTCACTATGTTCATCTATTGCCTGCCCTGGTTCTCCCCGGTTCTATTCGAAAACTCGGTAGGTAACTCTCTATGCACCGCTATATCCGACCGTACATATCCTTGGGATGTTGAAAAGAAATCCAGAAGCCTGCTTAATAATATTGAGTCCACTGGTCTAGTTACGATGCTAGTTTAGTCATAGGTTTGAAGATACAAGCCTTCTCCAGCCTGAGAGAAAGCCAACTCCTTCCTCATATGTGAGACAATCCTGTCAGGAGGTTAGCATGAACCAAAAGTGCCGTTTTATTTAGCGGGTTGCATACCATTCTGTTCGACGAGAGCCAGGGTATCGCTCAACCGACTCGAGGCCACGAAACACTTTCAAAGTAGGATAACCACGAATCCCATAATCAGAGCATAGCCTTCTTTCCAGGGTGCAGTCCACCTTGGCTAGGGGAATGTTGTCGGTTTTCAGCACTGTGGCCGCTTCCTCGAATCTAGGGGCTAACTCTTTGGAATAATGACACCACGGTGCATAGAAATTAACCAAAACCAGGTCATGCTGCTCTATGAAATCGTAGAATGAATTGTGGGTCAGAGACACAACATCCGAGTGCGTGGGATTGGTAGAGGTGGGGAAAGCAGCAGCCGTGGCTCCGAGGAGACTCAGAGCAAAAAGGGTGAACGATCGCATGATTTCACAGTGAAGCTGAAATCAGGGAGTACAACAGCAGTACTATATATCAAATGAGTGAATCCTCAAAGAGAATTCAGAGATGTAAAGGAATGTGGAAGACTTACCAAGCCTCATGGGGAGAGATTGTAAATGCCAAGGAGTGCGGGATGACAGTGTGATAAGCTGGAATTAGGCAGCAGGGTCCAGGGTCCTTTTAGCCCCCAAATCCTTGGCTGTGCTACTCTAGGTAAGGCTGTGAGTTGCCCCCAATCGCATCAGCCGCAAGAACAATTTAGGTTCTACGAGACTTTCCCCGTGTTCAACTACGCCCATCCGAAAGCTCTATTTGCTCATGTGGGCAGCCAGACTGATCTAAGGGTCGTCGATGTCCGCACCTTTAAAGTAAATATAGTGGAGGCTCAACATTAATCATCATTGAAGAAAGTCTATAGGATATTGAACAATCTACAGAGTCAAAGATCCAGTCAACTGGATATCCAACACACTCTTGCCCACATAAATTGGATACTTGCCCTTCTGCAAGCCCCATACTTGTTTCTCAGTATCCCAAGCACTGAGATCACGACGCGTCAGGTCAAACGTGAAGTTCTTGTGTGCACCAGGCTGGATGAGCTGTTTTTCAAACCCACGCAGAACCTTCACGGGACCTCCAGGAATGCCAACGTAAAGCTGAGCAACCTCCGCAGCCGCCACAGATCCAGAGTTAGCGACGGTACAGGTGACAGAAGCGACAACATCCCACAGCGATGGCAAACCACCTTCGGCAACAACGCTGCCAGGAGGCGTGTAGCTGGTGCTCACACCGCGTGCAAGTGAGACTTCCAGGTCCGAGTATTTGAAAGTAGTGTAAGTAAGACCATAGCCGAATGCGTACTGAGGCGTGATTCCCTTCTTTTCGAAAGCCTTGTAATCGATGTAGACACCTTCAGTGTAATTGGCTTGAGGATACCAAAGGTCAAGGTCGCCTGAGGGAACAGTCGGGTTGAGAAGGGTACCGTAATCCGCTGCTTTCTTGGCAACGGTGTAGGGGAGACGGCCGGAAGGTGACTGCTTGCCGTACATAACTTCCACCAGGGCTCGGCCACTGTCTTGGCCGGGGAGATGGGCGTAGATGACAGCCGTGATATTGGGATTCTCGATCCACTGGTCAACAAGTCGGACTCCAGCGTTGTGGATAACAACGATAGTGTTGTTGCATTGGGCTGCAACATTCAAGACTAGCTCATCGGAGTATGGGTCGGCCAGGTATGGGCGGTCCCAACCTTCACTTGACTGCTCGTTGATGAAAACAATACAGGCTTCAGAGGCAGGGTTGACGAGCGGGTCTTGTGAAGTGAAATCCCATGCAAGGAAGGTATCATCTTGGTATGCTTGGCGCTGGAAGGCATCAAAGGGTGCATCGATGTAGGATGGCGTTGTGGAGCCGGAACCTCCACCGGAGATCATTGTTCCGTTCAGGGCAACACCGGGGCCTTTGGTTGTTGGATCAAGGCTAGATAGGAAAAGATACTCAATGGTAGTCGCTGAGATTGCAGAACCGTTGGACCAAGATAGAGTGTTGTCCAGACCGAGAGACCACCCGTCAAGAGAAAGCCCGTCTGCAGTGTTCTTTGATGCGGCCACAGCATCATAGCCGAAAAGGGAAAGAAGCTTGGGCTTGTTGAGTGGCAGGGTGTTGTCAATGTTCTTCACGAGAACATGGCCTTCCACAGCACCTTGGAAGATAGTCTTTTTGGATTTCGGGTCCCGAGCGTCTACCAGAGTGTGCGGCTCAAGAAGACTCAATGGCATTCCGTGACCTGGATCTTCCAGCTCGGCGTATTTGTACCAAGAAGCCACGATGCGGGTGGCCATATCATCGAGACGGCTCTGGGGGAGCGATCCATTGCTCACCGCCAAGGCGAGTGTGCCGTTCTCCCAGTATGTTGATGACGGCATGACCATATCCAACCCAGACAATGTGCTTGCAAGGCCAGAGTGCTGGGCACTCCAATCCGTCACAACGAAGCCCTGGAAACCCAATTCGCCCTTCAGAAGACCATTGAGTGTCTTGCTATTTTGACAACCATAGCTGTTGTTGATTCTGTTGTAGCTACACATGATAGAGCCAGCGCCAGCTTTGACCGTGTCCTGGAAGGCCCAGAGGTATTGCTCATGCATAGTCTTGTCATCGATATTGCTAGAGTAAGACTGGTTGTAGCTGTCGGCCAGCAGCAAAGCTTGGTTGCGATTTGTTTCCTGTTCATTGGTAATGAAGTGTTTGACGCATGCAATCACGTTCTCTTGTAGACCGGTGACTGTCTCGCCGGCCAAGGCACCACCCAGGTAGGGGTCATTACTGAACCCTTCCCAGTTACGACCGCCCCGGGCTATCCGACCCGAAGGGCCGACAACTGGACCCAAAGCTACATTGACACCCTTCTTCTTAAATTCGGCACCCATGTGGCTGGCACGCTGGTATGAGAGCTCACGGTTCCACGCTGCTCCAACGTGAACGCCTGAAGGATAACCGTTAACCATGTCGGTACCCCGAACACCATTCCCGGCATCCTGCAAACAGATTCCGGGGAAGCCCAGACGCGGGGCACCACCTGAGTTTCCACTACAGCCATTGGTTGTTGATGTATATCCATAGGTAAGGTTGTTCTTCTCCTCATTTGTCATTTGAGCAACGAGAGCTTTCGCTTTTGTGTAAGCGGTCTTCCAATCTCCAAGACCCTTCGTTTCAGCTGGGCATCATATTTGTTAATCCCATCATCCATTACAGAGAATTAAAATGGAAGTGGAGGCAAAAAGCTTACGCGTGGGATACACAGGCTCAGATCTGCCATAGGACCAAAATTTCTCCAGGGCAGCGGCCTTGGAAGATTCACTCTCTGCCGAGACACCCCACACCAGCAGTAACGCTGCGGCAGATACCGTGTTTAGCTTCATCCTCCTAGGTTGTCGCAATAATAGAGAGAAAGAGCGGGCAAGTAAGGGAATGAAAGTGTATTGTGTTCTGGGTCAAATGCTCTTTCAACGGGCAAGCAGTCATAGTTTATATACCCCGGGCAGTAAGCCACACGGCAATCTGAGCTTCATAATTGCAGCACGGATCGGAGGTAATGAAGTTGGCACTCGACAACGCCTTGATTGCACACAGCCGGTTCGGCCAATTTCCTTAGAAAATAGTGGGGCTTTCTTTTAGCACGGGTTAGAAAGCGGGGCCCCGCATTTTTCTGGCATTCCCACGCGAGCCATGTGAGCCATGATTGAATTAGAAAATTGCGCATGATCCCTTCCTCGAAACGTCACTTTCCTCAAGCCTTTTAAGGATTTACATTTGGATACTGACAAAATTGAATGTCGATAGAGTTGTGTTTATTGTTCCCCGCTCACTTTGGTTTTAACTTTCTGGGGTACCAAAGTTGGCTGCTGTGCGGGAAAGAACCACGTGCACACAGATGCTAAAATCCTAATCCGTCTTAGTCTAGGTTTATAAAGATGTTATGCTTCCGATGTTTAACCGGTATTCGCGGGGCAATGGCTCTATTCAGTGCCACTTTTTAGCCCATAGGGAAACATTAGCCGATGAGGGACAGCTCGGATGCCAATCACGCTTTTGCCTACGGAGCCGTGTCTCAAAGTAGAAACGGAAAAAGGGATCCCGGAAACACCGCCAAGGTTCCCAATCAGCAGACAAGATTTAAGCCTAGAAAGTCTCTTATTCGGCAGTCCGGTCTTCAGCACAACACCGATCGAGCACACGGCAAGGAACAAATCCCGAGCGCCAGGTTCCTTGTTGATACGGTAGCTTCAACTTCAATGACGACACATAGGCCTTTCCAGTAGAAACTCTCTGAAGACTCAGAGCACCGCCAAGATTCCCTACTGAGGAGCAAATTGAAATTTGGTAACGGAAGCCCGTTTTGATGATATGATCACGAGATAGGCCGCGGATAAATCATATTCCTGTGCAATTGTGATATGCTCAGTGGGTTCCTTCATGCAGAACAAGTATTTCGAGGTTACGAAATGCAGAACTAACTGCCAGGGTCTACCGAAAAGCCATTGGCGTAGCGGTGTATTGAATTGCCGACAATTGAGCGAGGCCCCACATGGACTGCCATGCTTCTGAAAGGGCACCACCTAGAATACACAACATATGGCCAAAACGGGTTTAAGAACCTTTTAGATACTCCACTAAGGCAGTTGGGATCGGTAGATTTCTCAGTCAATGGAAAGGGAAGTTTGCCCAAACGTAGGCATTACCGCGGTATTTTTGGGCAGATACGCCTTGATAGACGGCAGAAGTGTTGGGTTTCTAAAACATCTGTAAACAGCTAAATTCCAACAGCTCTATATCTAAGCAGGAGACACCGCATAGGTTCCACATCTCTGCCGCAGCTCCTATATTGATTCTGTTGGCGATATGCCTGACGTAACAAGCCGAAAGCGTGATGTTGGTGCCTGAGGCTTTGTATCAGAAGGGTGTCCCGCACTCTGTGATGATGAATCTACTGACGATGTGTCGTTCCGTCTTTGCCAACCTATTTCCTATTTCACAGTTTGGGTGTGGTCTTATAGCGTGGTGAGCCGAGACTCAACAGCGAAGTAAAGTCCCCCACATAGCTTGACTCAGCCTTCATATACTTCTTGTCTCCTAACCCAAAGGACCAGGCTAGACATATGGTTTGTTGCCTATCGTACGACGGTGCCGCTTCCAAGAGAATAAGAAGCCTCTCCCCGATAGCAGGTAATCTATCTGTTGACAGGTTCAACGCATAGAACGCCACTCGTGTCACAGCCCCTGTCTCATAATCCATCGTAATAGCGAAAGTAAATCCTTGGTGATCCAAGAATGAACGCATATCTTGAAATTCTTCCCTGGTGGGAGGTTTGCATTGAGCTAGTGCAGTATACTGTGCAGCCTGGGTCTCGGAAATTGGCCCTGGAGCAATGAAATATATGTTCATTGTTGAGCTTTCGTAATCAACGGCCACGAAGCTTACTAGCTCCAGGCCCAGGCTTCGAAATGTTGGACCATGGCACTGAACGGAGTATGGAACTCCTGGCGCATTCAGAATGTCATTGACTGGTCGTCCACGTTTCAAATTTACCCAGGTCTTAACCAGGCCTCTTTCGGGGTGGAAATCGCACCACTGTTGGGACTCTCCATTGTATAATGCACTCCAAGATGTGATCAGTCGCCCCATTTGATTATCTGGCTCGATGTAGCCAGCTTTTATGGCGATTTCGACTGTGTTCAGTCGCTGCTGGAGGAAGAATCGGTAATTCAGAGGATCGTTTTCTCGGTTGGTAGTACGCCAGATCACGATGCTGTTCTGAAAGCAGCTTTTGAAAGTATTTAGCGTTTCCAGTATGGAGGGCTCGGAATAAGAGGCACCGATAGCATCGGAGGTTCTCTTGAAATCGGTCAAGAACCGCATAGGGTCAAACTTTCTAGTGACTCCAACGGCAGTCATGGTCACAATAGGAGCGGATTATTTTGAAAGATGGAATGTTTTAAGTTAGTATTGACTTACAGTCTATGCTGGAGAGAAGTCAGCCATTTTATATCTGGGTCCCGAGTTCCGTCGCATTGCTCCAATACGGGGGTCTACTCGAAAAAATGGAAGTGACTTGAAAGGTTTGTTCAAGTGTAGCTAATGATAGTAGAAAGATGCTTCATTGGCTCCTTGACTTCGTAAAGCACGTTGGATCCCGTAACTCCATCTTGACACTATCCAATCAAAGTCTATGCCAAGTATAATCCTAAAATCGGTTGGCCAGGAAGGGTTATTCATCCTCGATCACGCATAAAATATTCAAGGTCAGCTTACGGTGGCTTGTGAACAGAGCCCACGGCTCCGATCGAAGGTTGCCTGAATTTGCCTTGATCTAGATCGGCCTAACTACATCAGAGGGATCATGTACGCTCAACCTGATTGAGAAAGGAGTACGATCGTCCAGACAATATCTCGGAATATTTTCCATTATGTGAGCGGACTCAATTACATTTTTACGTCGTCAAATGAAGCACATGATTTGGTGGCTCGTGGAAGTGGGTCTACGAGCTCAGCCTTGAGAGGGGTTCTGTACGGCGCGTACCGACGCGCCCCGTAGCCATGGAACGGACGCCTCAGGAATCGAGACTTGGGAAAGATCACACCAATTAGCAGTATGTGCTAGCTATCGTCAACTGAATCACACAATACATTGAAAAGTCAGGCGCTTTATCTGAACAAAATATGCGCCTCAAGATCCTGCCATTCTTTTGCTTAAGACGCATGGGGATGACGGCTTCCGCCAATGACAATCCCCTTCTTCCCCCTGCTACTACGTGTTCCATCATGGGGCTGAGCCCCCCTGCAACCGCCGACTAATTCTCTGTCTTCCTCCACCCTTCCGACTTCCCTCTTATTAATATTGGCACGGGTTGTCTCCGTGACTTGGCGTCTATTACACTCGTGACGAAGAGACTATCAAATACGCAGTGTGCATAGCCGACCTAAGTCCAGGCTCATTCACTGCCGCTACTCAGAGCTTCTTGTTCGAAATCATGTCAGACCCAACGAATTATACCGTGGGCTGGATTTGCGCCTTACCCGTGGAATACATTGCCGCGCAAGAACTTCTCGACGAAGAGCATGAAAAACCGAACTTTGTGTCGCCAAATGATTCCAACGACTATACCTTAGGGAAAATGGGTGAACACAACATTGTTATCGCTGTCTTACCGGATGGCGAATATGGAACGGCTTCCGCCGCCAATGTTGCAACAAATATGCTGAACAGTTTCCACAACGTCAAGATTGGCCTCATGGTCGGCATCGGTGGAGGTGTACCAAGCGAACGCCATGACATTCGCTTAGGTGATATTGTCGTTAGCGCACCTCGTGGTGGTGAAGGTGGTGTGTTTCAATACGATTTTGGCAAGTCGGTCCAGGGTCAAAGTTTTCAGCATACGCGGTTCCTGAATCAGCCACCAACTATGTTGCGCACTGCAATGACGGGAATTCGGGCCCAGTACGAGAGAAAAGGGCATCAGCTTGAGGAATCTATTCAAACTATCCTTGAAAATAACCCGAGACTACGCCGAAGGTATAAGCGGCCAGAACTAAGCACCGATCGGTTGTTTCGGCCCGAAGTTATCCATAGCCCTGGAGACTGTGCTATATGTGCGGATGATCCGTCGAAGCTAGTGCTACGACATGAGCGAGCCGAAGATGAAGACAACCCTGCTATTCACTATGGGCTAGTCGCTTCTGGTAATGGATTGTTGAGAGATGCTCTGCTTCGAGATAGACTTGCCGCGGAAAAAGACGTTCTCTGCTTCGAAATGGAAGCCGCTGGGCTGATGAATTCCTTTCCCTGCCTTGTTATCCGGGGCATCTGCGACTACTCGGATTCGCATAAGAACAAGGGATGGCAAGGGTATGCAGCGATGGTAGCTGCTGCGTACACGAAAGACCTTCTACAAAGGATCCCTCTTAACGAAGTTGAGGCGGAGAAGAGGATCAGTGTCATTTTGTCTGGTTAGTCTAGAGCAGCCTGAGACTATACGGAATTATATTGACTAAATATATTACTAGACAAGCTAGATGGCACCAACTTGCGCTTAGATCGACTGCACGATCAAAAGGAACAGCACCATTACGAAGGTCTGAACCAAGCACTCACAGATAAGCAGCATCTTTGCCATCAAGTTTTCAAAGTCGCAAACTACACTGAACAAAAGAACATCAATCCAAGACGAGCAGAAGGGACCTGCCAATGGGTTCTACAGAGCCCTCAATATATCCGTTGGTCGGAAAGCAACTGCAATGAGCTCATCTGGGTATCAGCTGATCCTGGTTGTGGAAAGTCAGTGCTAGCCAGGTCTATTATTGATTATTACTTGGAATGCCCTAGCCCGGACTCAGAAGTGACGATTTGTTACTTTTTTTTTCAAGGACAACAATGAACAGAACGATCTTGCCACTGCGCTATGTTCGATAATCCATCAGCTCTTTAACAAGAGACCCGACTTACTACAGTTCGCGATGCAACCGTGGGAGAATAATGGAGAGGCGCTTCGAAAGGACGTGAATGAATTATGGCAAATTCTGATAACGGCAACCTCAGCTATATCATGCAAAACGATCTGTGTCTTTGATGCACTTGATGAATGCCGGGACAATCACCAGGGGCAACTGATCAGGTACCTCCAGTGTTTTCACCAAGATGCACATTTATCAACACAGAATACCTATCTGAAATTCTTGGTCACCAGCCGCCCTTACGATCATATACAGCATCACTTTCAAACAATCACGGATTTATTCCCGCATATACATATCAAGGGGGAAGAAGAAAACGACAGAATCCACGATGAAATCAGTTTAGTAGTGAAAGCTCGAGTGAGGGAACTCTCACTACCTCCTGATATTCACCAACGAGTTGAGCAGCAGCTTCTTCAGATGAAACATCGTACATACCTATGGTTACACCTTGCTATCGATGAAATCCGCACGACCTTTGAGCGCAGCCTTCGGCCAGAACAAAGTTTGATTACGCTGATACCGCGTTCTGTCAACGCAGCATACGAAAAGATCCTCTCTCGAGCCCCAGCCGATCAAATGGAGACAGTCAAGAAGATTCTAGAGATCATTGTCGCGGCACGGCGTCCTCTAACAATACAAGAAATGGCTATGGCCCTGGGCATTGCCACCTGCCCAGAAGCCCGGACGACAAAACAAGCCGGCCTAGATGAATCTCATTTGGATAAGAAAATTCGGCATTTATGTGGGCTTTTTGTCTTTACTAATAACTCCAAAGTATATCTCATTCACCAAACAGCCCGGGAGTTCCTTATCAAAAGACAAGATTTGTCATACTGGAGCAGTCTAAATGATTCGGAACGTCAAATGGGTCGGATCTGCTTACGATACCTTTTAATGGAGGATCTGGAAGAAGAAGAGGATCTGGAAGAAGAACAGGATTCCTCGTCTCATATTCAGTGCTTCTTAGCATACTCAGCAATTCACTGGGCTGACCATATCCGGCAAATGGCTTTGGAGTCAGACGAAGAAGTGTCCAATTTACTACATTGTGTATATGGAATGAGTGAAGAACGCTTCTTACTATGGTTTCCACTTTTTTGGAAGAGAGTAAGCCCATATAAGGAAGATCCTGGAATGCAACCGCTACACCTAGCAGCATTCAATGGCCATGTGGAGGAGATTCGCTTTCTGCTTTCACTCGGAGAAACGGACATCAATACCACAGATGATTCATCGACGTCTCCGTTAAGCTGGGCATCGCTCAATGGATATAGGAACGCCACGCATATATTATTAGAGAATGGAGCTGACATCAACGCCCGGGGTGGATTTTATGAAAATGCACTCCAGGCTGCTTGTTCTCGTGGACATGGTGGGATTGCGCAGATTTTGCTAGAGAACGGAGCCGATGTCAACGCGCAGGGTGGTAGATACCATGGAAATGCGCTCCAGATTGCTTGTCTTCGAGGACACGATAGTCTCGCACCGATGCTGCTAGAAAATGGAGCCGATGTCAACGCCTGGGGTGGAGAATATGGTCATGCGCTCCAGGCCGCTTGTCTTCGAGGGAATGATAATATCGCGCGGGTACTTCTAGAAAATGGAGCCGATGTCAACGCCTGGGGTGGACATTATGGAAATGCACTCCAGGCTGCTTGTTCTAATGGACACGATGAGATCGTGCAGATGCTTCTAGAAAAGGGCGCCAAAGTCAACGCCTGGGGTGGACAATATGGTAATGCGCTCCAGGCCGCTTGTCTTCGAGGGCATGATAATATCGCGCGGGTACTTCTAGAAAATGGAGCCGATGTCAACGCCTGGGGTGGATATTATGGAAATGCACTCCAGGCTGCTTGTTCTCAAGGACACGATGAGATCGTGCAGATGCTTCGAGAAAAGGGCGCCAAAGTCAACGCCTGGGGTGGACAATATGGTAATGCGCTCCAGGCCGCTTGTCTTCGAGGGCATGATAATATCGCGCGGGTACTGCTAGATAATGGAGCTGACGTCAACGCCCAGGGTGGAGAATATGGAAATGCACTCCAGGCTGCTTGCCGTGAAGGACACGATACGCTCGTGCATATGCTTCTGGGGAATGGAGCCGATGTCAACGCCCGGGATGGACATTATAGAAATGCGCTCCAGGCCGCTTGTCTTCAAGGGCATGATAATATCGCGCGGGTACTGCTAGAAAATGGAGCTGACGTCAACGCCCAGGGTTTAGAAGATGGAGATGCACTCCAGGCCGCTTGTCTTCGAGGGCATGATAATATCGCGCGGGTACTTCTAGAATATGGAGCCGATGTCAACGCCCAGGGTGGATATTATGGAAATGCACTGCAGGCTGCTTGTTCTAAAGGACTCGATGAGATCGTGCAGATGCTTCTAGAAAAGGGCGCCAAAGTCAACGCCAAGGGTGGAATACACGGAACTGCTCTCGAGGCTGCTCGTTACTTCCATCGCGACAAGATCGCGCAAATGCTGCTAGAGAACGGTACCGAATTACTGGACATCGTGCCTCCTCCTCCCAAAAGGCTATAAAATAAAAAGCTCATGAGCCTCGGAAAAACGCAGCCTAGAATGCTTTTGTTCCTGGTTTCCCTATCTCTTAATCCCATCGCAACCTTAGCCATTATGCTCCTGTTTTAACTATTGGCATCCATCCCCAGAAACAGAGGATGTACCCAGTTCACTAAAAGCATGTCCAAAGGTCTTCGTTGCAAAGTATTTCAATAAACAAAATCTACCTCGCAAACTCAAAAGCCCAAGCCGTACTAGTATCAGTCTGATAAATGGGGAAAGTCAACGTATTCCCCGAATAAGTATGCGAAACAATCCCCCGATCACTATACGAATCAACCTCTTCCCAGACATCGGTGCCAGCAAATCCCCAAGTCTGAATATCAATCGTGCCCGACTTCGGAAGTCCAACTGCACTCATGTTATCAACCGTAATCTGCCAAGTACCTTCGGTAACTCGGACACCGCAGAGAATGCGGACTTTGTCCTTATCTATGGTCGCGTATACGTCCATTAACCGGTCGCCTGTGCCAGTGGTACTCGCCCGTTCACCGGTCATGTTGAGGTTGTAGTATTTGTAAACCTGGTATTCTGGAGCGGAAACGTAGTCCGTCTCGGTGCAGACGGTTGGATCGACGACTTTTGTTAGGAGGTTGGCGAATAGGTCATGTAGGACGCAGAGACTCTGCCAGTTTCCTCGGAGTCCAAGTGTGTCGTAGCGCTCCAGTCGTGAGATCCACCATGCTGCGCCAGCGGGAATCTGCTCTGCGAAGTTGGCGTACTCGTTGATATTAACTTGTCTTGAGGGCAATTTGTATGTTTTAAGCATGGCTGTCAATGTTACATTGGTGTTTTGGAGGTCATCATAATAATCGGTGGATACTCCTTCCAGGTGATATGCGTATTGATCCGGAATTGTTTTGTTGCCGGCGACTTGAGATAGCCAGTTCGTCCACCAGCTGTTGTCAGTTTGAGGCGAGCCAGCCAGTGTAGGTCCCGAGATTTGGACCTTGTTGAAGTCCGCATCCTCTCTGTAGAAAATCATTAGTCACATGTCATATATTCGTGAACTTGGGAAGAGATGATACTTGCCTGAGAAGTTTGTGCGTCCGAATATACAAATCAAGCCACTGTTGCTGACTCCGAACCCAGAAAGCCGTCAAATCAGGCTCATTCCAGATATCCCACACCAACCCCTCAAGCGCATTATTAGCCTTGAGATCGGCCATCAATGTGCGTATAAACAGATCATAATTTGTCCAATCGCCGTTGTCACCCGGCCAGACAGTCGACGAGTTGGCATGGTCCGTTCCCCATATATCATGGGGCAAGATAATAAAGTCCGCGCCATACTTGCGACTGGTATCATAGTTCGAAAGAGTCGAAGCAAGACGACCTTTGTATTCCTTCAAACCCCAGATCCAACCCCGATTTGGAGCTTCTAGCTGCGCGCCTCCAGCTCGACCATACCGGAATCCCATATCCGTGTACCAATGGTCTGGGATAAAGTCCGCCGTGTCAGGGATTCCGTAAATGAATCCGGAGGCCAAGTGCTTGGGAGGTCCTTTTGTCACGGCAAGATTGACAGTGGCAGTGATATTATCTGCCGCTGCCAGCGATGTGGCCAGGAGAGCTGTCAAAATCCCAGAGCGAATCATCTTGAAGGTTGCTCGGAGGAATGGTGTGCACGAGTCGTTCCTGGAATGCGACGCGTCTGGCCTTTTATCTTTGTCTCGCCGGAACCCCGTTTCCTCTTTCCTCTTGTTCACGGAGTGTAAATTCCATCGTCCGCTCTCCACGGGATTTAAATGTGCATTGTGGAGCTCCGTGACAGATCGTATGTTTATTTGTGACGAAATTGGGCGCAGGGGTATTCTGCAGCTACCTGCAGCCCCGCATTATTGCGAAGTTTCCCCGGATTTGATCGGTTGATGGAATTTCAAATGTGGATGCTTTTTTTTCTTCCGGTGGGGAGTGTGCATACGTCTAGGCTCATTGTAGAATTATTCCGGTGGACCAAATGTGTGTTTACTAAGATGGTCATGGTGGTCCTGGAAGTGAGGTTGGGTAGTAAAGCCGGATCTGCCGAGGTATTGGTGAGCAAAAAACGGAAGCTGAGCAAGAGTACCTTGCAATCGAATCGAGAAGGCGAATTTCCTTTCATTCCAGAAATGTCAACAAAGAAAGAAAGGTACCATTTAAATAAGCGAACGCTATGTTCTCTATGATCGTGACTTCTTTTCCGCGCTGTGTACAATAGTCTCGTGAACAACCTTGATCCCACCTCCGTGGCTCCCATGGCTAGCCGTATCCCAGTCTCCATCCCCAGCCGAACAAGTCGGGGGCTGTTGGCGTGACGTGGGTAGTATCATTTGTTCATCGCTGACAGTATTCCACTGCGTATCAGCCGGAAGCGATAGGGGGTGCTTAAACTTCTTCCGCTTGACATAACCGCCTCCGGTATCTCCTTCGGACAGCTGGTAGCTTTCGGATGCACCGGTTCTTGTTGTGAGGTATAGGCCTGCGCGACGGGCGAGGCGGCGGACGAGAGGGTATATCATGGGGACGTTGCCGATTACGACGGCGACGAAGGTTTCGCGACAGGCCCAGCTGCCGGCTTGTTCAGCGCCGTTTGCGCCAGCCTGGAGAGAGCCAAAATGTTAGCAGGCGTATTTGGAGCGGGTAAAGGGTTGTATTTACTGTTAAAATTAAGACACAGCGGAGGATGCCGCACATCATGACGAATAGACCTCCACTGAAGAGGACGAGGAGTTCGAGTTTTTCGCGCCAGTGTAGTCGGGCTTTAAATAGCATCTGAGGTGATGTTAGGGTTGGCCGTGAAATTGACTTCCAATCGCATGTGCTTACCGGGGCGGGGATACTGATGAGGTAGATATCTGTCACGACGTTGAGTACAACAGTCACGTAAATGTCAATTTTGGAGACAGCGGGCTGGCAGTGATCTGGAAGGTTCGCATAATGTAAGCCTATTTCCAGCGATTCAAACAGTTCATCAGTGCTTACTGCCGGGGTCTGGGTTGATCTGCCAGTTTTTGTGCATGGGATGGCACCCAAATAGAATCGAACAAAGGGTCACAATATAGGTTGACGCAATCAAGACATAGGCAACGTGGATTCGTACACGCATGTTGATCAGTCCGGCACTAATCATCAAGTTGTTAGGATTTTTCAATACCTAGTACCAGTCTATTGGGTCTACTCACGTCAATCGCGAGTAAAAAATAGCCATGCATGTCTTTAACAGCCATAACAGCAACGTATATAGCGACCAACCGGTCACCTGGACCTTGGAGCCTCCCACCCGCAAATGATATTCATGCGAGTCAGGAGATAGGGTGGCTCGTTCTTCGTCTGTCATAGAATTGTTTGCGAGACCATCAAACCACGCGCCGACCATATATGCAGCAGCGGTTTCCAGCCCGTACACAACCTATAATTCGTAGTTGTCATTAGCAAAGTCCAAATTACGTCCACGTCGAGTACTCACACATGCCACCAGCATAATATAATCATCCGCCTGGAAGTTCTTAGGGCCGACCATAATCCATCGTGCCGTGGTTCTGAGACCAATAACCACAATAGCGACACCCAGAAGAGTGAATGCCTCTGTGACGAACTCACTCATGATGAAAGGTAAAGATAGTTGGTTATTCTTTCAAGGAGCGCAAAGAAATGAACTCCGTTTCGAGGGGTTACACCCAGATAAAGAACCAAATCAACCCCGACTAGGGAGATGGACAACTCATGAAAGAAAGGAAAAGAAAACAAAAAAAAATGGCTGTAATGAGTGTACTGTTGGGTTATTTCCCCTTCACCCCTCTGCTTGTCAATGGAACCAGGCCAGACAAAGAAGCAAGTCCGCAACCCTAGTCGGTTTATGAATAAAGAAAACCCGGATAACAAGCCCGCGCCATCGAGGCGCCACTGGCAATTGTGGAATCCACAAAATCAAGTAAGATACCAGCTAGCGAGCTGGATAATTCGGAACGAATTCTGACAGTTCAGAACGCCCCAAACGGGGATGATAAACCTAACGGCTTTGACGTGTGCCGCCCGCGCCGTTCCACGGTTCGCTGTGTTTTGGCGGCACACAGGTCCGCAATGGATCCATCCCGGGCGTCGGGAATAGTTGAAGATCCAGAAGCCCCATCTTCGGGGATTGTTTCTGAGTCCTGGTTGGCGGGTTTACTAAGAAATCCACAGCTCTTCTGGCTAAGTGGAACTCAGCCTTACCCCATCGAGCGAGCGATCGCCGTTGTGGAAGTGAAGAAAAGCTCCTGACGACTTGCACGTGCTAGCAAGATGACGACCAACGGACCTGACTCCTTCCCTTTTTTCTCTCTCTATGCATGATTGGTTACACCAAGGGATATCGCAGATCGTGATGGCGTCGAACTTTCTTTGTCCTCTGGTCAAAGGTTGCAAATGCAGTGCGGCCAGAGCGTCTGCGGTTAACCGGTCCAGTCATAAGCTTTGTAGGTCATACCATTTGCCCTACCGAGACGTATGCATCGCTGATCTTTGTGGTCGGAGATTCCCCCTCGATATCGGCTATTCAGCATGGACTCCCGTGTATACCCGTGGGTCAATCTGCGATCAGCCTACAAGTGTACCGAATCTCATTGCTTTTTTTGCCTCTGTTAGTCTCATTTATGATGTATCCGTTTTTGAAGACTTTGATTATGCATGGTGTCAATCTATAGATCTTTTGTTTTTTGTAACTCTTTTCCCTAGTTGAATTAAAGCCAAGCCATGTTTCTCCGCGGTTGAAGACACGGTTCCCTGTTTCAGTGCGGCCGGAAGTTCGGTTTGGTGCCGTTGTGAAGTGGGGCTGGTCTCAGGGGTCCAGAGCCGGGACTCTGCGACTTCTCATCTACCGTGGACGATTCATCGAATTGTTGGAAATAGTCCCAAGGCTGTGTAAGTTCAAAGAATTTGAGTTTATCTTTCTTTGATATATGTAGCATGGCTGCATGATCGTCGGGCAATCAATAGTTTCTTTGGTCCTTTGGCAAGCTGCATACTCCGATAGGGATGAGTCAAAAGTACAAGCGCAAGAATGCATCTGTTTGGACAGTCCGCGGCCTCAGACTCGGTGGAGTGGATCACATCACGTTCTAATGGATCAGACAGGTTAGCGGCTCCAACGCCTTGACAGTCTAGGTTTGCGCTAAACGAGCATGTCAAACGGCGGATAGTACCTTGGACTTTGGTGGACCTTGCGCCGTTTACTGCATTGGTATGTTCCCCCTTGACTAGCTTGAAGGTCGCACCAATAATAATCCATCACTTGTTGTACTATCGGTTTAGTCTGGACCGGAAATGATTAGTTGCATGTCGTACCAACCCGATTCCATGAGTTGTCCTCTTTTACGTTTTCTTTGTCAAAAGTGGAGAATGTATGAGTACGATTAGAGATTGTACGATTTCATTTCCCCGGTAATTGCCATTGTGACTGTTTCCATCCCCACTTTCCGCGGCCCTTGAATTCATTCCAACTCTTTCGCGACCTTGATTTTGTTTCTTTGTAGTTTTACTTCTTCCATTGGTTCGTTCATTGGGAAAAGTGTCATTCCATTATATTATATTGGACAAACACCCCTTATTCACCATGGAGAGCGTGGATCTGGTAGTCGTGGGCGCAGGTAAGTTTAAAGCAATGCGCGTCAGGCGCATTGATCCAACAACTAGCGATTGAGCGGTAATCTCACATCTATCTAGGTTGGAGCGGTCTCGCTGCTGTCAAGACCTACCGCGAGGTCAATCCCACCAGCAATGTCCTGTTATTGGAGGCAGCCAGCTCGGTCGGTGGAGTGTGGGCAAAGCACCGTCTGTACAAGGGCCTCAAGTCCAATAACATGCTTGGAACGTACGAGTACAGCGATTTCCCTATGGATGAGGCCACATTTGGCGTGAAACCTGGGGAGCATATCCCTGGTGACGTGGTGCAGCGGTACCTTGTCGCGTACGCCGAGCACTTCAAATTCCTCGATCGCGTTCGGTTGAACCATTCTGTTGAGAGTGCTGAACACAACCTGGATGGATCATGGAAATTGATCGTGTCGCATGAGGAACAATCACTGACGATTGAGGCTAAGAAATTGATCGTCGCGACTGGAATCACTTCGCAGGCTTATCTGCCTACTTTCAAGGGCCAGGAGACCTTCGGCGCACCATTGTTCCACTGCCGGGACATTCTGCAGTATGAAGCCGACGTCTTTAAATCCGGGGAGCGAGTCACCGTCTTTGGTGCTACCAAGTCCGCATGGGATGCTGTTTATGCGAGCGCAACATCGGGCATGAAGGTTGATTGGGTCGTGCGGGAGTCGGGACACGGTCCATGCTGGATGGCCCCGCCATACGTGACTCCACTGAAGAAGTGGCTGGAGAAGCTGGTGACAACACGGCTCTTGACCTGGTTCAGCCCCTGTATCTGGGGTGAAGCCGATGGGTACACTCGTGTGCGGAGCTTCCTGCACGGAACTTGGCTGGGACGGAAGATCGTCGATGCGTTCTGGGGCGTGCTAGCAGATGATGTCGTGCAGCTGAACGGCTATGACAAGGATCCGGAGATGAAGAAGCTCAAGCCTTGGGTGAGCCCATTTTGGATTGCTTCATCACTAAGTATCCTGAACTACCCAACCGACTTCTTCGATCTAGTCAAGAATGGCTCAGTCAAAATTCATGTCGCCGATCTGGACCATCTCTCCGACCACACAGTTCATCTGTCAACAGGCGATGAACTACCCACCACAGCCCTCATCTGCGCTACGGGCTGGCGTTGTACCCCAAACTTGAAATTCCTTCCCGAGGGCATCGACCGCACACTGGGATTCCCTTGGAGCAAAGATCCAATTGATGCCAAAATGGTGGAAGCCGCCGACGCAGAGATTCTGCGCCGTTTCCCTCGCCTCAGCGACCAACCTAACCCCAATCCTAAATATCACCCCCTCGATGAGACATCCGAGGCAGCGGCCCCGCATCCCTTCCGCCTGGCCCGTTTCATGGTCCCCTTGTCAACACTCAATGAGCGATCATTGGCCTTCATGGGTGTCCCTATGACAATCAACACGACCCTGGTGGCCCAAACACAAGCCCTTTGGATCTCAGCATATTTCTCAGATCGATACACACCTACTTCAACCGAGCGCTGCCCTCCCGCTGTCCGCGCATGCTCCGACTCCAAGTCCGAGGATGATTCCGAGCTTGACTTGGCCTGGGAGACGACTCTGCACTCTGAGTTTGGAAAGTTCCGATACCCGGCTGGCTTTGGCAAGCGGAATCCTGATTTTGTATTCGATGCTATCCCGTACATTGATCTCATGCTGCGGGACTTGGGCTTGTCCACGGAGCGCAAGAAGGGTATGCTAGCACGATGCTTCCAGCCGTATGGGACGGAGGATTACAAGGGCTTGGTGGATGAATGGAAATCCAAAGCATAAATTTGTTCCCTCCTTTTCTTTCGATTTTGTTTTCCTTCGCGCATCCCGCGATATACCCCGATGTTCCATACAACAATCCGATATGGTCCTCATTTGGTTGATGTCTACCTTGGCACCAGAGACTTGCTCAACAAATCGATCCTGATATAGACTCAACTCAATCTAATCGTGTACAATCCTATATACAACTCACAAAACAATACAATCCAAGCTTTCCCGGGCCAGAATATCCTTGGAATCTCCATGTACAAAAACAAATATGGATACAGATATCCCCAAAAATATACAATTACTCAACCAAAGCGAACTGCTCAAAAACAGCAACTCCACTCCCAGCATCCGTCACCATTCCCTCAGTGTCGACAACACTCCCCACCAACTCCCCAGACCACCGCATATAGTACTCCCCATCCCCAGTAACAAGCGTGACAATCGTAATATTAACCTTCAACCAACCCTCCTCACCCAAAGAAGCCTCAATGGTAAACCCGTCCGGAATATCTCCTGCCTGAGGCGGATATCGTCCCCCAGTCGGATTGGAAGTCACATTACCACTCACTGGACGAACTGTGAGGAGCGTAGTGTCACACGAAGATACAAGGACCTGGTCATCTCGAGCGACGTAGCTGCTCGTGTAGGTGATGTTGTCCATTGCGATGGCACTGAACCAGACTATAGAGTAGTCTCCGATGCGGCCGTGGCCCCAGTACCAGTTTTGGACGCTTTCTGTGAAAGGGAGATTTGACCAATTCTATTGCTGTGAGTATGTGTTCGCTGGTAGAGTATATGCATAATTAACGAAGAAACTGCAGCTGCAGCTATATCTTTCAAGTTGCATAAAATGTGCAGCGCATAATGAAATGAAGATCTCAACTGACCTTATCATGGTACCCGCGTCCCTGGAAACTCAATGTCGATCCCTTAATATTCATATCCACAGTGGCTAAAGCATCCGGAACAAGACTCGCCCAACCAATATCCGGCATTATCTCTAATGTCGATGTACTTTCCTGAATACCACACGGTAAATGAGGTTTATGTTGCTTCAAGAAACTTTATGTTAGCCGCTCATCCATTCATTCTCTATTATACTCAAAACAAAAGCATGAAAAGTAAAATAACTCACGGAGCTCAACGAAAACCTTCCATAGACACCCATTTCCTCCGACGCAACAACAACACTATACTTCGAATCCTCATCTCCAGCAACCCACTGAAACCCACTCCCATCCCAAGCACCAGAGCCCTTCCCAGCCGGCCCCTCTTCAACAACAGCTAATTTCGCAGGAACATACTCCTGAAACACGGATCCATTCGCAAACGCCGCCCACAGGTACGCGATCAACACAGACGATTCACTAGAATCTAGCCATGGAAATGCGCTCGCTGCGGACGTGAATAGGATGATCGTCAAGGACTCTGCTGGAGTTGTTGTTGAGACGGCATCGAAGTACCACCAGTCGAAAGACGTGGAAGTCACTTTTGATATTTGGGGGCTGTCTAGCGCGAGGATGGAAGTGTCTGAGAGGGTTTTGTTTGGGGATGCGATGTTGAAGCGGGCGGTTGCAGTGCCGGTTTGGATTTTGCTAGGAATTCGGTAGGTGGTTTCTTTCTGGCGGGGTGGATGGAGGTTTGGATTTGGAAGGAAATTCGCGTGTGGATGAGATGGGATTGCATATGTTTGGATCAGGAGTGTTAGAGATATAAGTCCTGTTAGGAGTTGGTTTAGGAGTCTTTGATACATTTTCTCAAGATGATCGGATGATATAGATCGGGGCTCGGGTAGGTGGGAGCTACCCTGGTATATAATACGTAATAAGGTAGTATGAAAGGCAGGGGACAAAAGTCGGAGTAACAAGCTGCCAGTAGGGATAATGGCACATATTAGTACCTCTAGTAGGGGTCCTTGAAGCCATGGCTTGTAAAAGTCATTCTCCTGGGCCCGTTCTTGGCTGATGACTGTCGTCAAAGACTGGATCATCCTGTTTAAAGTTTTTTTTACCGAGACTGGAAACGACGTTCTTTGTCAGGTATAGTATAGACAAATCAATTACAGGGCGTCGTGCTGCCATGCATGGGGCGAGTATCAGCCATACGGGTGAGGCGCTACTAAACCGCCCACTTCAAGGTCCAAGAGGACCTTGGCGGCAAAGATGAACAAAGAAAGACGGCGATAAATTACGGTTCTGGCTTAAGGGATTCTTGATATTGTTGTCATTGTCTTATAGTAATATCGAGCCGTGGGTCATCTGTCTAGCGTGCGTCAGGGAATTAAGTTGATGTGGTTGTATTATGGATGCAAAGAAGAAATCCAGGGCTTATAAGCATGTTTGGAATTGTAAGTAGATGCTATCCATTATGGGAACATTCATGCACAGTTGTTATATACCAAACACCGAGTCCAACTCCCGGCAAAACAATCAAACCGGGCTCGCTTGTAAATCAGAAAAAAGAGATCAGTACACACGTCACACGTCAGGCTCAGAAACAATAATCAAACAGTAAAAAGAAGACCGTCCCAATATGCCCATGTCAACACACCCTTCGCCAGCGCGAAAATAAACAGCACAAGAACAATCAAAAGTGGATATAGACCTCACCAACTCCTAAGCCGCTGTAGTTACAGGTCCCCTTTATCCTTCGCCCCGGATATACATACAGAGATTAGGGCGCGTAAATAAGGGACGACGAAAATGCCACAGGGATGCAGAAATATAGTGGTACGGGTTAAACTCGTCCGTTGAGTGTGGGACTGCCGTCCTCACTTCGTTCGCCTTTGATGGTGTCCCCGGTTTGGTTGTTGTTTCCGTCGGAATCACCATCCTTGCCGCAGCCCTTGACCAGGATGTGCCGCTGTAAATGATTAGCCGGAGCTCTGGATAGTCTTAATCTGTAGAGTTGGATTACATACCTTGAGCGCATCTTTCCGCGAGAAGCTCTTGTCACAATGGGCACAGGGGAAAGGCTTCACCGCCAAATGAATTCGCTTGTGTCGCTTGAGATCATGGTTGCGGTTGAAGCTTTGTGGGCATTGATCGCACTTGAACGGACGATCTGGGGCTGGCGCGGGTAGACCATGAGGTGGCGGGTGACCTCCATAGAGGTGCTGGGTATTTGCCACATGACCGCTGTTGAATCCAGATAAATATCCCGGCTGCATACCCCCCATCATAGCCATCGGACTGTTCGGGCTGTGGACGTTGGTCATCACGGGTCCGTTCATCGCGGGAAGGGAGTAAGAGGGCCAGGGCTGGCGTGGAGGATAGCCCATGTGCGGTTGACCTGGCGGACTTTGAGCGGGCATCCTTCCTGAGTGGTTCATTCCAAGTCCTCCGCCTCCCAGGGACGGCGCAGCGTAGATGGGAGAAAATCCAGTCTGGTGAGGGCTCAGATGCGGTGGAGCGCCATATAGTGAAGGATGTTTGGGTGCATAAGGGTCATTTGATGGCAACGGTGCGGGAGATGTGGCGTGCGCCGATGAATATAAAGCCATAGTGGCGGGGTGTGAAACGTGGGGCGGACCACTGGATGGTGGTGCGGGCAACCCTTGTTGGAATGAAGCTAATGACGGCGCCTCAAAAGGTTGGTGATGTCCGTCCGTCACGGGAGGAGATGTCACGTTGTGACGGCCTACAGTCCCCGGGGAATAGGCCGGGCGTCCCTGATAGGCTGCGTGTACCCCAGAAGCCCAAGCCTGAGTCGCGGATCCCGAACCTGGAGCGCCGTACGGACTATTTCCTGGCCAATATGTTGGGGGCAGCTCGGAAGCTCCCGCAGATGACAAGTGGTGCCCGGGGTGGATAGTCTCCCCCGACTGGTTTGTCGCGGGTGGTGTTAGGAGATTCCCCACGCTCACGTTGGCGGGTGGATGCGAGACTGGGGGGTGGTTCTGAAGAGTCGAGAATTTATTGGCGACACCTCCGGGCAATCCAAACTGCGGTGGCGGAAGCTCAAAACTCGGCAAGGTCGGGGCTGCAGGTCGTCGATTCACCAATGGCTGAGTGGCCAGCGCATCCAACGCCGTCCCCATGGGAGCGGGAACCGCGAGAGTTGCCAGGTTGACGGTGTGATTATTCGGGCCGTAAAGATCGGAGTCGGGTAAAGATGAATGGAGATGGATCGGGATAGTGGCAAAAGAATTTTCAGGATTCAAATTCCAGTCTCGACCACCAGAAAGGGCCCCCGAAGGGCTCGAAGGATCCAGGAGGGGCGAGTGTCGATCGCTGGGTGTTGCGATCGTAGAGTGGAGCAACAGTCGAAGACTCGAGTCGATCTCAGCTGTTGATGGAGTTTGGCAGTTGGAAATTGATGATAGGCTTTTTGGAGGGGAGGTAGAGGAGATAGAAACGCCTTAGTAGATGGCGGATCTCGAGGGGCGTCAGCCCGTGAAGACTAACGGATTAGAGAAGTTGAAAGTTGACCAGCCCGCGCGACATGGGGTGGGAAGATTGTCACGGTCGACGTAAGCGCGGAAATGGCATGGTATCGGGGATAGTGCACGATAATGCAAACACGTGTAACGAAGAACAAAAGCTTCGGTGGGGGGGGGAAACAGTCAAGATAAAGAAAACAGCCGTGGCGTTGGGGGAGGCGTAAAGGCAAGCGCGGGGGGGGGGAACAGGTAATTATAGTATAAAAAGGCCGGACCAAATGGTAAATAACCAAATAGAAAGGCCACGGTCGACTTGGGTCTGGGCCAAAGCGTGGGGAAGAACGATGCGAAGACTCCAGAAGATGAACCAGAGAATAATCAAATCGCGGTCAATAATAGCGAAATATGCCAAAAGTGGATTTTAATCAAAAATCGATTTTTTTTTAGTTTTTTTTTTTTTAATGAAAAAAGGAGGGAAAAAAGGCAACGTGGTTGACAGGCCCTAAAATCAAGTTCCCCTAGTGTCCTGTCCCCGGTTGGCCGTTCCGAGCTTTAGGAATCGAGATCGACTTGTATCACTCGATCTGATCGCCACTTGAAGATATGAGAGATGAAAGAGAGAATGAAGGAAGAATGAGACCGTTTGACAGTCCTGCCTCCCTGCAGTTAGGTTGATAGATAAGCTAGTCTCGTTTTTTCCTTTCTTTTGATATATACGGTACTTTGGGAAAATCCTATAGATTTATTATTAAACTCGTACATATAGGTGGGAAGGGAACCGAGGGAAAAAAAAAAAATAAGTGGGGAGGGAAGTACTCCGTAGAAAGAGAGGCTCCTTGCGTCCCGACTGATCGCGTGAAAAGGAAAGACAGAAAATTAAATCAATTAAAAATAAATGAAAAGGGATCTAGCGTAGGGACTTCCGGAGAGTAAAAAAAAAGAAAGGAAAAAGGATTGGTTCTAAGATGAATTTGGATTCTCATCCGGTAATCTATCAACTCACCTCTCTATCTTACCCCCTTTAACATACTTTAATATTGATATGGTCAAGCAGAAGATTATATCCCATTCGGCATTTGGCGAGATTCCTGCCCAATGGGGCGCATGTCAGAAGCAGAACGCACGGACTAGGTCGGAATGACTAGAATACGAGACGATGGGGGTCTGGAGCGTCCGGCGCGTCCCCGGGTAGAGGCAAGCGAGCTGGGCCGTTGGTGATTCGTTACCTTCCCGGCGCGCTAGACCCAATTCCCGAATGTAGTTTAGCTGCGAGAAGAAAAAGAGGGGCTAACATGCTCCGGGTCACCTGCAAAGCGAAGAACTAAAGTAACTAAAAGAAAAAAAAAACCCCCTTTCAGCCCCCACCGAGGGATCAAAAATACCAGAGAATTAATATATCTATGCTCATCGGTTAGCGAGAAACGGCAAAGGCATACATGTAGAAAAAAAAAATACAAATCAAATTTAAAAAGAGGTCTAGAATAAGAAACACAAAAGAGGGTCCCCCCCGGCAGATATTGATTAAATCTGTTTAATTTCTTTCTTTTTTTTTACGGAGTCGGTCAACCCCGGACTCGGTTGTAACTATCTCTTTCACACACCCAGCGTGAGTTTTTCATTGGTTCAGCCGTCGGAGAAGTCCCTAGGAACGGGAATATCTGTAGCGTGGTCAAGAGCGTACCAAGGGTACCAACTTTGCACCAACGAAAGGCCCAAACTTATTTTGTGCGCATCCATTCCCCCGGGACCGGTCTCCTTACGATACTCGGGAAATAACCACAAACCTAGGGCTTAGAGCTTCTAGCTTTAGTCTCTTCACCTGCACATTGGCGCGTGCGATCGGGGTGGCGCTCGGAAATGGCACCGTGATAAACTCCACACGAGTCAAAATCATATTGACTTCGCTTCCATGGGACCAGCATGGGCGCCTCCCTATCAACCAATAGAAGGGGAATCCTTCGTTGGTCCCCGAACAGCACAGACTCCTGACAGATGCTTATGAAATCGGGGGCGAAAAGAGCACGGGTACAGATACATGCCCTGTCGATCCCTGCTCAACATTCATAGACAAGGAAAACGTACCGAAGTTCATGAACTTAGAGAGATAAATAAAAAGTAAAAAGTTAAAAATGCAAATGCAAATGCAAAAGCTCAAAGTGAAGTTCAGCTGGATGGACATACTCGTACTGGAAATTCTCAGATGAAACTCCTCCCCCCACTCACCCTTAAAATTGAAGAAAACAACCGAGATTGATCCATCGGATGTTCCGGACACATCCGTTGTCTCTAAAGCACTATGTCTTCGCTTCTACTGACTACTGCATTCTACCGCATCGGATATCGCGATCGGGTCCGCATTGACTCCTTAGTCTCCCCGCCCCCGGTCTAGCTCATAATCCTCGAAGGGGGAAGCATGTGAGGCCGATACTTTCCCTTTTACCACGGTCACATTCCAAGGGTAATCCTATGATAAATATTAAGGGTAAAGTCTAGGGCAAATTTTAAAACGAATTGCCTCCGTGCTTTGTTCCCGAAGGAATTGTAATGGCACATACTTACACTAGTTCCTAGTTCGATCCGCGCGTACTCCGTGGTGGACCCCCAATCGAGACAGGATAAGACGGAGATTTCGGACACTCGGAAGCGCTAATGATAAATCGTAATGAAACTAGTATCTCACATGAGCTTGAGACATGCAAAATGAAATCAAAAATAATAAGACATTGGTGATAGACAAGACTTGATGCACTGCACACTGCACAGCCCCTCCGGCAAGAAAGGTTGTTCATCTCGACCTTCTAGACCACTCTTTCTATTTTTCCCCCCTCCCCCTTCAAGAAAAATAAAATTGACTCCCCTAGGACCCTCATTCTAATCCGTTTAAACCCCCTCTCGGGACCACACTGCGCGCTGTGGTTCGCAGCCGATTTGCTAGACAGCCCCAGTCTCATGCAAGGCGGCTCCCGTCAAAATGTGACAGTGCGAGTGGATCCACCAAAGCTGTTCTATCCAGGGCTCGAGCCATGCGATCGTCGCCTGCGTCGGTTCCTGCCGGTTGTGGCTGCGCGGTTGGCGTTCACCGTGGGCCTTGAAATCAAGAATTGATCCCTGGGGTTGAACGGTGATCGACTCCAGGGCATCCAGGGAGGGTAAAGCCTAAAAGATGTCTCTCGGGAGATCTACGTCCATGAGGAGAGGGTCTAATTCTGTTCTGCAGGGCTGAGTTTGAGTGGGAATGGGGAGAAACAACACCTATGGACGGTTGTTTTCTTTTTCGGTCTCGCTCCCCGAGCTCGCACCCCTATACCTTATCTAATCGTTCTGTCCTGTTATGTGCGTTCGGCAGATGTATTTGAGCCCTTGTTTTTTATTTGATCCTCTATTTCTGGTCCCGAGGAGGCTTTTGCACTAGGAGTTTTTGGCGTTAGTTTATGTTGATTATTGCCTGCTATCTTTGTTTCAGATTAGGTTTTCTAGGCCTAGATTCATCTTGAGGCTGGATCCAGACTGGATCGACGTGATGTATCGTCTACTATACGGAGTACATCGATAATGAATACGGAATACGGATGGTCAGTGGATAGGCAAGTGGCAAGTGGCGAATAGCAAGTTGCGAAAGTATGACACCTTGAGCCGCGATACCTATCATATACCCGTGGGTATGTAGTTGGATCTAAACAGCCTTGGGGTTGTACAGTAGTGCAACCGAAGCTGACTGACTTAGTGACTTTAATGCATATGCTGAACATCTATTCGGGATGTATCATTCCCTTTAAGAAGGCTGCTCTCTGAAGCCGTGGAAGAGGGAGTCTGAAAAAGATCTCAACTTGGATGCTTGAGTCGGCTATACGCTTTCCCCAACACAACTTTGCAAACCACCTTGCACGATCGCAAACCACCTAGATCGATCAGAATAGTGTAGCTTTCTCTGTGGGGTATCTTGCTGCTGTGTGCAACGTTGCATTTCAGCTTTCAGTGCATCTATGGATGTTTTCAAGTAAGGGCATGTGGTGATAGTTGATCGGATCGATCTATATATACCCCGTACCTCGGCGAGATTACGATGCGACCGTAGATAAAATGGACATTCAATTTACGTTACATATATGTTAGCTCTGAAGTACATTACCGAGGCCAATAAATATGACATAACTCAATACACTCTGGATCATCATCTGAAAGACAAGCTTGCATGGATATTATATCTTAGAACATCCATGGATTGTTCATTCACGGAATGTTTTGAATTGCCGAGCTTAGTTCCGATGACGTCGATTCGGCGGGGTTCTTCAAAACCCTCCTTCTACTGAGAAACTTCTCCTCCCCAGTTACCAAAAGCTTGAATTTCAAATTGTAAAGTGAACTCCTTGATTCAATCGCAATTTATTTGTGTTCTAACAAATAACCATCTGAAGCCTTTCGCACCAAAACGCCTTATTTCACAACCTATCCACTATCGGCAATCATGTCTGGAATTAGCAAGGCTTGCTGCTCGTTCGTCGACACCTTCTGAACATGGGATTGGTTAACGGTGGCTGACTCTCTATAGTATCCCCCCTGTCGTGTCCAAAGGATACCAGGCCAAGGGCTCCTACCAGAAAATCAATGGCATGAAGACATGTAAGCCGAGGCCGACACGACACGACTCAGATCAAAGGCTAATCTGACCAATGCAGACGTGACTGGCCCCGAGACCGCGACCAAAGCCATCCTTGTCGTATACGGTGAGTTATTATGCGAAGTCATCAGACACCAGAGTCGCAAGCTAATTGTGGATTGGCTGTCCAGATATCTTCGGCTTCTTCGACCAGACCATCCAGGGTGCCGATATCCTGGCCCACTCTAACGAGCAGAAATACCGCGTGTTTATGCCCGACTTCTTCGAGGGCAAGCCCGCCGATATTTCGTGGTACCCGCCGACCACTGACGAGCACAAGAAGCTCCTCGGCAACTTCTTCCAGAACCAGGCCGCCCCGCCCCTCCACCTCCCCAAGCTTCCCGAGATCGTGTCAGAGGCCAACAAGCTGGCCCCCAATGGCGGATTCGACTGGTCTATCCTTGGATTCTGCTGGGGTGGTAAGATCGCGGCGTTGTCCGTTGCTGGCGATAACAAGATTTTCAAGTGCGCCGCTCAGTGCCACCCCGCCATGGTCGACCCCAACGACGCCAAGACTATTAAGGTGCCTTTCGCCATGCTCGCTTCCAAGGATGAGCCCCAGAGTGATGTCGATGCTTTCAAGGCCAATCTCGTCGTCCCTAACCACGTTGAGACCTTCTCGACTCAGATTCACGGCTGGATGGCTGCCCGCTCTGACCTGGAGGATTCTGAGGTGAAGAGCGAATACGAGCGTGGCTACAAGACCCTGCTCCAGTTCTTTGGCCAGCACGCGTAAGAACTGCTACCCATATCAAAAATAATTTATCAGGGTAGTTGATGCAATTTAGATCCCCTGTGCCAAAGAATCGTCTGTAGTTCTGCACGCTATGCGGACTGTAGAGAGGGTTAGCTCTTGAGCTCAGAAGATTGATATTGGACTTTCACCTAGCCGTTCACTGTATATAGCGCAATCTAAGAATTGATGGTTTTGGTTACTTTCCGTCATTAGTGCTCCAGATAACCAAATTCGGGTGATCCCCGCTTTCATTGCCGTCACCCGTTGCCAGGGATCCGCCACAAGCCGAGTGACCCGAGATCAGCGCTCTAGGTCTAGTGCTTATCTGCAGCTACATCATCTTTGGAGCTTTGCATCTTTCCTGATTCTTTCACCATTACTCGCGACATAAATTCATGATTCATGTCCTATGCGTGTCAGCGCATGCCAGGCACATGCTTTAGCCTAGACAAGCATCTCGTCTAATGACGTTCCTCACTAGTCGTCGCCGTTCCCAATCAGAGGTCGCATCGCCTGACTCTGTGCAGGAACCGGCGACTGATTCGGGCTCAGGCATTTTCCATGGCTTGTTTCGAAGGAAGAGTGAGAGCTTGCTAAAATCAGATTCGTCGAGGCCGAAACCTGGGACATTGGTACGCTTGGCACTTATGTAGATGGTCGCATTGGGAAATCGACGGCACAAAGGGACGAAATCGCTAATCGTGATTACAGAGCCGGGGCCCTGTCCCCCGAATTGATACCAGTCAGTCCAGGCCTGACAGGGGTCGCGAAAGTAGCCGACATAGCGATCGCTCACGCTCTCACTCTGGATCCTCAGCTCCTAGAACGCCTGGAACTCCAGAGCCATCTTCTGCTGTTTCGCATGGTGAGCCGAGGCAACCGAGCAATATCCAGGATTATTTGGAATTCCGTCTTGATGAAGCGGCCAAGCTCAAAGATGGACAGTCACCAGATAAGGCGGCTCTCACGAAAAAAGATATCAAGGCTATTTTCTCTGGAGCTCCCCATTTCTTGCTCGAAAGAGGCAAACATGGTCGCTTTTACCCGCAAGTCATTTTTCCCTGGGATGAACATCATCCACCTATTCTTCGCATGCTAGATCGCAAGCCGCTGCCTCATGCTTCGTTCACCCTTTGTACTCTCCATGCGCATTTACCAGTGCCAGATGACTGGGCCGTGAGGGGCGGTGTTCCTCTACACCTACACAGCTGGCAGCGTACTGGAGGGTTCAAAAGAGCTTCATTCGATGTGGGCGTCTTTGAGGTACCAAACATGTTGGCCAACAACGGGAGAGAGCCAGGGACTGTCGGGTACCGACATTTCTTGGAATTCGATATCGCTGATATGAAACGGTATTCCGGGCGTCTCGAGCCTAGGGTAGACCCGGAATTCCAGCGACTCGGGCAACTTCCTGCTACTGAAGCGTTTGGGCTGATGGATGGCTATAGCAAGCCGTACTCGCAGTGTCTCAGTGGTGCTGTGCTTGACCGACACCAACTCTTTCGAGAGGGACCTGCTGCGTGGAAGCGTATTGGGGTACGAGATATCAATCTTCGGACTCTGGTGCAGCGCTTGACACACTTGCGACAATTGCGCTTGAAAATCCTCATCGATGGATCGACGATGACGGTTTTGGACATAGAAACGTCTCATGAACTACATACAATTTTGCATACCCAGTTTCTGTATCCTCATCCTCCACCCGCAGACCTGATGCCAGGGCATCCGGAGAGTCTCAAATCACAGATCAAGACATTGACGACTGTCCTCGCCACACGCGGAGCATGGATTGATTTCAGTCTCCCAGAGTGGCGTGTTCGAGCTGGCCAGATTCTATGGGAAGCACCCCCGCACGCAGACGGAGACTGCTTCAATGAAAGCGAAACCGGTTCATCACAAAAACCATGGATGAATCCAGGTATGGAACGAAAGTGGCTCCTGGTTCAACTGTTACTTGCAGCGGAGCTCCTGATCCGTCTCGATGCGTTTGTTCGCAGGGGCATGTTACACGACCCTCACGGCGGTCTGATGACAATGCAAGAACTCGAACATTATGACAGGATGCGAGAGGGAAAAGTAAACTGGGATCTCATTGTTGCGCGGCGATTCCTCGACAATCTTGATATTGCTTATGGTTCGACTCCAGCTGAAGCTTCACCAGTTGGCACCCCGTCATCCGCACCATCCGACAAACCAACCAAACATCGCTTTTCGTTGCTTGAGTCTATCAATCGTCGCCTCACGTCGTCCACTGAGCCTGATTGCCGTTCAGCATGGCAATGTCACATCAGTTCCCCGCATATCCGCCAGCAGTTGGAAGGACTCTGTGTCTTTGCGGAAAACATTGGATGGCCGGATATCGACACACTCAAGACTACTTTAGAACAGAAACTCCGCAACGGCAGCCAGGCTTTAACTTTTCCCCCAGTCGAAACTGAGGGACATCAACCAGCATCGGAAAAGACAGCAAGCAACCCTGCAGCCGCAAGAGCGGTGCAAGAAGACATGTACACACGAAGCCAGTCTAGACGGTGCATCAAGCTGCGCAGTCCCTGCATAGAAGATGATGATCCGCATGCATCCGAGACTCTAGGCTGGATCTCTCGAACCTGGTTATCAGGGTTTGTCATACCCGGCGAAGGAATAAGCCACCTCCTGATCGGTACATTATTGGAGAACGACACCAACGCAATCGAGCAACTAGGACCGACAGCCAATCTCTACGGCGGCTTTATATACGGCAGCCGCAGCTGGTGGAGCAAGGCATGCATCGTCGGCCGTGTCTTGTCGGCTTTAGATTGTGCCCAGACCTGTATGGGATGGGTCGGCAGTGACGTGCTTCCCCGCGATGTGAATACCATGAACCCATTGGATCCGGGCTGGTTTGAGGTCCCGGTTCAGCGGTTTGAGGCCCCAGTTCAGCGGGTGTCGCGCACGGGTTCGGCTTCAGCCGCGTGCCGTCCTCGTATCAAGCAAGGAGGCAGGCTTGCACTGGATTCAACCCCGCTCGGCACGGGTGATATCAGTGCTGATGCTTTTACGTTGCCGGTTGATCAGCCTGCTACGAGTGGTTCCGCGCCAACCGTGAGGCTAGAGGCGCTTATTTTGCCTGTGCATACGCCTCGACGGAGGAATATCATTAAGAGCGATGAGGCTTCTATCTCTTTTGCTCTTGAGATGGAATCTGAGTCTAAATCTGAATCTAAGGCTCCAACTACGGTTACGTTGCCACTCAGGTACAATGTGCGCTTTATATCCGGCCATGAATGTCGTCCACCACTCGGCTTCCTATCCCATCACCAGGACAAAGGTGACAAAGCAGAATCCTCAGAGTGGAGTGGGTTCAAACGCCTACCAGGCCATCCACTGCATCGATCATATACATACAAGAACGTCTCTCTCGAGTCCCTGCCTCAACAACCAGCCCCATCGGCCAACACAGATGGACCCCATGAGGTCATCGTGATTGATGCGCGCGGATCCCGAACCAAGGAGACGTTCGTCCGAGCCTGGTGCGCGTCAGTAGGAAGTCACGCGTTAATCGGTCGCGTCGGGAAAACATGCATCGCATGTTGTGTCCGAGAAGCACGTGCGATCAATGTGCAAGTCGTGGTTCGAGTAGGAGACTACTAACATATCAAGTATGTGTAGTAAAGATGTCGTCATCACACGAGCACGTTGCTGCAATCTTGGCAGATATCTGAGATGATCGCGATCTGCAGATGTACAAATGTCATCATACCGTTTAAGGCGCCGCGCATCAAAGCTGTAATAGGAGGTTGAAGATCATTGCAGAGGTCGCGTGGCGTTTACTCTTTGTAATTAGCATCGGTAATTAGTTGCCATTGCCGGTATAGCTCGAGGTTTCCGTAAGATAAGTAGTCGAAGATAAGTAGTCGAAAGCATGGCGGTATTCAGGAGTTGCCCGAGTGCCATGTACATCACCGGGGAAGAAGTTCGGCTTTTGATCGGGATTCGCCATTTCCACGCAACCGAGAGGAGCCCCCTTTCCCAACATCCCAAAGATTTTGCGGCTTTTTCTGCAATGCTGAAATTGCATAGATAAAAATAATACGCGAGCAAAAAGGAAATGAGGATGGAAAATAAAATTAAATAAAATCTCACGGGCACAGCCACGGTCGGAAGTTTGAAGTCAGATACCACCTTCTCTTTCTGCTGGACACCATGGAGAGCAGTCCACAATCCCAGCTGTAGGGTACAGCCAAACCAAAATCCCCCCAGGGTATGCTGATAGGGCGAACAAGGACGCCCCAGCTGAAAAAGGAAATTTTCAATCCTGGATCCGATTTCTTTTTTTGAGGGGATTTTTTTGCTGATTTTCTTGGGAGGACGCGTAAGGCAGGTTGCAGGTTAAAGAGGGAGACCCATGGAGAGGAGCCCATTCCTTTAATAGGTTAAGGGCCCGAGGATGGTGAAACAACCGGGGAATTGGTTTGGAACCAGTGAGGTCCCTGCATCTGGGGTCCACCGGGAGTGGGAAAGTCGAGACTCTGAGATCGGGTTTCCCACCGGGAGATACCTCCGTTGAACAGTGAACGGTACAGGGTGGTGTTCTGGTTGGGGTGATGGTCAGGAGATCAGTTGCTTATCGGTATCCTCTACCTTCCTTGATTTGCTCTCTAACTTCCAAGGTTGAACACGCAAATATTCATATGCGGATGTTGTTTTCTCCGCAAATACTGTACAATGGATTGTGGATGTCTAAAACCCCCCCCACGGATTAAAGAGTTATGTACATAGAAATAAATTATGGTGGGGGGGGTTGGGAGGCCAAAATGTCTCATTTTCGGGTGTTTCGCTACCTTTTCGGGTGGGCTTCCGAGCTGTAGCACTTTATAGTCAAGACTCGACAGAAAAAAAGTGTTCCAACGAAGTATACAGTAGGGCTTAGGGGGAAGCCCGAATTAGGACAAGTTCCGGAGTACATCTGCCTTTACTTGAGAGATGTCGGTGACGGAGTCCGGGATGTGCGCAATGCAAGCCCTGTCGGCAGTTGAAAAGGCAGAAAACTTGGTTGCCTGCTAAACCACACCGGGTCTAGCGAGGGGGTCAATGTGAATCCCACGTCAGACCGGACAATTGGTGATTGGAAGCGACAAGACACAAATCAATCAAAATCCAAAAAATCGCGGATCCAACCGAAAGGGATAAAGTGATTAAATACTAAAAGCGATATAGTTCCAAGGATGAAAAACGTTATGTTTCACTTCAATCTTAATGTCTAAATTTTAGATTCTTGCGAAACAGAGATCTGAGTCAGCCTTGGACCCTTGTTTCATCCAACCAAAAGCCGATCGCACGTTGCCCAATCGCCCAACCGAAGCCGAACTTATGCACAGATACATCCTAGACCCATGCGATCGGAGCAAAAGTCTCTTTGTGTACAATGGTACAGTGCACAGCCGAGTGGAGCATCCTATTTCCGCGCTACTGCCAGATCTAATCGCGTGCTTGTCAACTCGCCGCGTCAACACATGCAAATGCACCCCGACCTTTTTTCTTTACCCAACTGCAGATCCAATCGCTTTTTGGTTTTCGGATCCGATTCTTGACGATCATCCACCAGATGCGTGTTAGAGGTGATATGCTGCGGGGCCAGAGCTGAGCACGGAGTCTCGAGAGCAAAGAGCGGTCGAGCGCTGAATCGTCGTTGAGTTGTTGCTGTATGGCTTTTAGCAATGATTGGTTCTCAACGACTTCATACGAGCAAGGTCGTGTCCACAAAAAAGCCACGCTGGTGGTGACACGTTCCTATGGACAGTAATTGCCCCTTTTCTAGTGATTGTCTCTTTCATTTTCTCTTCCAGCTTGATCCGCTCCACAGAGGCGATAGAGGGGTTGATCCCTCACCAAGATTCTCTATGTAGTCTTGATCGCTTATGATCGTCTCAAGGCCCTCTTTTTTCTCCTCTGTTCCTCGTTTTCTAATAAATAATTATTACTATTTTTCGTTGATTTCTCTATTTTTATGCTCCACAACCGACAGAGTGGTTCGTAGAACCTTCCTTTCTGCTCCATTGCTCCATTAGGCATCGCTCATGGAAGCTCGCTTGAGGCTTCGAAGAACAAAAGAATCTTGATCTGGGGCCCATTTCTCGTTTCCGACGGGTGCCAAGTCCATCCTCTAACACGCTACTGCGTCGCGATGATCCTTAATCAAACCTTGAGTAAGGCCCCACATGTGGGACCTTGTTACAGAATGGCAGTTGGAGCAAGATCGCTTCCTCCATTTGGGGGGCTTGGCTGTTCTTTTTTGCCCCCGTCTGCCCCGAAAGTCTTCTTGCATCACTGTGTTCTTTAAGCCCCTCGGACCAACGTCCAACTCGGGTGTAGCTAGATGCATATTATGTCATTTTTTTTGGTCGGCCACTAAGTATACTCCGTGGCTTTATAATTTTTTATTTTTTATTATTATTTTTTCTGCTTCGCCTCCTACCAAGTCAGTTCTCGTACATGATCGTCTAATACGATTCTAGTCTGGGAGTGTCGCGTAAATCGATATGATTAAGATTGTCCTGATTAACCGGCTATCGACTCCCACCCAAGGTACCGGGGCACGTATCCTCATGGTACACTGCGGGTAAAATGGATCAATGACTAAGGAAAATCACAATGCTCATTGGCGAGCCAGTGAAGAGATCATTTTTGCCGAAGGGGGAAAAAAAGGGGGAAAGAGTGCAGTTACAAAAAAGAAAAGAAATGATATCCGATGTAAGAGATTGAACCTCGAAACGATATAGATTATCTGAAACGATGTCATCGGTATACTAAGGAGAATAAGCTACGCCCCAGGCAGTTGGGGTCAAGATCCAACCAGAAACAAGGCAACGAAAAGGCAGAAAAGGGGGGAAAGACTTTAAGAAAAAAGAAAAAATAAATACAATTTGACAAAAGAGGAAAGAATATGAACTGAAATGAAAAAAAAAAAGAAAAAAAAAGCCGAATTGCGTGCTGTCCACGGTATAAGCTGATACGTGGACCCTGAATTTCTGTTTTTAGAAGCAATCAATCTGTGGTTCGTTCCTGTTGATACAAATCGGAAATTGGGTTGGAAAAAAGTACATGAAAAATAACGCTTTTGATATGTATGGGTTCAATGGAAATTAAAGAAATCACGTTAGTACCTCTCAAGGGGGTTGTCCTTCGAGAAGCCCTCAAGGTTTCCGATGATCACCTCCGAAATGCCCAGAGACAGAAGGTTCTTTCGCAGTAATGGACCCTATACCCAACAAGCTCATTGGTTCCAGCTGCCGACCCAAGCTTCCCGACCCCAATCAGCTCGCCGGGACTTGGAATGGATGAATTCCCCAGTTCATCAAGGATTGACAGGTAAAAGGCCTCCTCTAACCCCAAATCGTCACCTACCTCACATCCACTCTATGACCCCACTGTGTCAGGGCTCCCAGACCATGGTTCCTCGCCTCTGCCTCATTTGCCATGAACCAGCCCTGAGGGGGTATAGTACGCAATCAGGGGTTGCTTGGGCTGGTTTACCTAATCCAGGTATATGTGGCCACTGAACACTGGTACCTAAGTTTTAAAAAAAGAATTGAAAAATCAAGGAAGAAGGGAAAGGAAAGAAAAAAAAAAGGGAACTACATTGTACTAAACCTGTACAGTCTTTTAGCATTGGGAAAAATAAAAGAAAGTATAGAACTCTATAGAGTCTGGTCACGAAGTTCCCCCTGAGTGAGATCATCATTGATTTGGGTTAAGTCGATACATCCCTCTTAGTCCTAGTGTCGGTCTGATGCAGAGCCACTTTGTTCCACGTATGGATTGAATTGAGTTAAAAAATTAATTATTATTATCAAAATCATTTTATTCCAGAAAAGAAAAGGTCAGAAAAAAAATAACACAAAACCAGCCCAAGGGCGTTTCACCCCGCGATTAGCTCTTTCTCGACTCTATACGATATTCTTCTCTCCGATCTTCCTACACTTCATTCACTCCTTTGGTTTCTTCTTTTTTATATTATTTTATTATTTCCCTTCCTACTAATCTTGTTTCGGTGATTGTCGTCAATCGGGGTCGACATATTGGAAGCCCATACTTTATTCTAGAAGTCTTCCGATCTTCCCCTTTCATGAACTTCCACCCGACACTCTAATTTACTATAATTACTCTCGATTAATTCGCCTGGGGCTCAGGGCTTGGGGACCCAAACGAAATCCAATCTATCCTCGACCGTGACGACCCTTCCACCACGAAACACGCATACTGCGGGCCCCTCCCACTCTACTCTACCACTCTACCATCCCCCTACCAATCCAACCCCCGAATTACCTTGCGACCCTGCTGAAACGCGCGCAATATCCCTGTTGGTCTAGTGGCGCGCAGGTGGAACCGGCATCTAAAGAACGAAAAAAACGTCGGGGCGTTTTACTGTCGCAGCGTCATATCCGACCCTCTCGGCCTCCTCCGGTTCAGAACTCGCTGCGGAGGTGCCTGCATGGCCGGGCCTCTTTTGTTTCTCGCCATTTCATCCCAGATCTCGCCTAAAAACCCGGCTTCTATCATTGTTTCGCTGGAACGGCGCTTTTGATGCGCTGAGCGGAGCAGTCATCTAGATCGATCTTGATCTGATCTTTTGTGGGGAAGAGCTATGCCCGCGGCTGTCGAGGCGATGGCAACTACACCGAATTCACAGAGCGCTATGGATGCGAGTAACGCAGATAAGAAACGTAACAAATTGGGGTATCATCGGACGTCTGTCGCATGTGGTCAGTTCACTCTCAATCTCTTATCGATGCGCTCGCGCTTCCTGTGTCGCCTGTTTTGTTCAGGACCATGTCGCATTGGGCGCATTTGCGCAGATGTACAGGTTACCATTTTATGGACTGGGCGATGATGCGGAGGGAATGCGCTACCAACTGTGGGGGCCGAACTAGTACTTACTGTTTTTGGTTTCTAGTGCACTGCCGACGACGGAAGATTCGATGCTTGGTAGCCCCGGACGATTCACAAGGACGTTGTGAGAATTGTATTCGATTGCGAAAGGAATGCCAGTTTTTCCCAGTCGATCAACAACCTCCGATTGAGAAAAAGTCGAGGCCGACTTCGCGATTGGAGACGCAACCGCCGGCGGATCACTCGACAACAATTACTTCGTCACCAACAAACGTGAAATTCGATTCCGCGGAACCTTACTATCCGTATCCGCAAATTCCTTTGAATGCGTCGTCCGGTCAGGACATATCTGCTTTTAATCCAGCCGTCTATGCTGGTCACCCCATGTCGGGCTTTGCGCCAGGTAGGTTAGCCCTTATTCTTGTTGGTTTTGGGTTGCTTCGGCAGTTGAATGCGCGGCGCAGAAGGAAACAATGGGAGCAAAAGAAAAAGATTCGGATTATTAACAGATCATGTACTATAGATCGACCAATGGGCGGAGAATTCCCGACACACCCCACGATGGAAACAGGGGTCCCATGGGATGAATTCACAACGATATCAGACCCCCAGATGTTGGCTACAATGGCTGCCAACAAGAACCAGATGATGAATCTATCACCAAACGTCTGGACTCCCGGCTCCGTACCAGCCGGCTTATCACCCAGCTCACCAATGTCCGGCGCATCTCCAATGTCTGGCCAAGCACAGCCTATGAGCGCTCCCACCTACGCCATGCAACCCGACGGAACAGTCTGGCAAGTCCCACCACAACAACCATCAAGAGCGATGAGTTACCCCGGTCAGGAAATGAGCCCTTCATACCAAAATCAATATCAACCTCAAATGCCTCCAGACCTGAAGAGGAGAATGACAACACCCGCTCAGTCCCTTTCTTCAAGTGCCGGTGCACACAGCTCACCTGGTTCAGCTTCCGATATGCAACCTCCAGGCCCGGTACCTTACCCGCCTCAACCGGGCATGGAATATGCCCAGTGGCCCATGAATATGCAACCGGGTATGGGCGTCGTTCCATACCCCATGTATGCAGGCGAAGCGGTTCCACAACAACAATACTCTACCCAACCCCCTCCAATGGGACATCCGGGGGCAGGACGCTCAGGACCTTGATGTTCCTGATCAATCACCAATCGCTACCATCCATCCGCTTCATTCAACTTCATCTCCAGGCAAATCTCTTGCACTTCACTTCTCGGGCCCGGACGACTTCACGTTTTACATACCACATTCCTAGACGGCCTTGTTTCATTTCTAATACCCCGTGGGATATATACAATTATGGGTTTTCCATCTGCGTTGACTATTTTCTTTATTGCTCTTTTTCTTTCTGCTTTTTTGCACTGCTTTTCTGGTTTTTGCCTCATCCTCATATACCGTTGCGGGTCTGCTTCGCAGCTGTCATTAGCGGGCGCAAGGGTTCCAAGGTTCTCGGGTGGCATTTTTCCGTTTGATTCTATCATGGCACGGCCCAACCTTTATTTTTTTATTCTCTCGCTTTCAACCTTTTACTACTCTCCTGGCCGAAAGATCTGGCATGCATCCGGTGGTGTTCCCATATGTAACAGACATGGATGCATACTGGGACCATCAACGGCAGCATTCATTCTATTCAAATGGGGGCTTTGTTTTGGGCATATAGACTTTCGTTTCACCCCCTTCCCAACCATTGACATTCAACCCTACACTCTGACCAAGGGTCAGGCCTGGGTTTTCTTTTCTTATCCTCTATTCTATCCCCACTATTATCACATCTCATTCTGATCCGAACCTTCTTTTCTCCGGTGGAAACATCTTGTCTCATTTGCATGGTCAATCGCGTGTTCATTATTTTTTTGTCTTTTTGTTTGGGAATACCTGGCCGGGGCGCGAGGGGACGCGGGTCTCGATTGATGGGCGAATGGGAAATATATACCAGGTGGGAGGACAGGACAGGGAACTCGCGGATCTAGTCGTTTTTCATCCTGGACCACTGCTTTCACGTTACGACATTTTTTTGGGATCGAGCCTGGTTTTTCATGAAGATTGCATACATTGTATATATTATATTCTTCTACATGAAACTTGATCCGCTTGTCTATTGATTTTGACTATTCAGTTGCTTTGTATGTCTATTGGGATATGGGCGATGATCAGGAGTTTTACCCTCACAGAAGGAAATAACGTTAACATGAAAAAATGCATCTCGTCCATAATGCCAAGAATTTAATTTGCATCTCGCGATCTACAACCCGCAACCTTGGGGGAATCGAATTTTAGTGTCATATTTAAGATCGCAAAAGTGACAGGCCAAGCTCCAGGGGTTTTTGTGGGGTTCTAAGATGTCGGTAGCGACAAGGAATACCAAGGCGCAGGGAAATTTCTTCTTCTCTAAGCTTTGCTTGGCATCTCTTGGTAGACTATTTGCTTTTGCGCTCAATTACCCACTTTAAGTGCCAGCTGATATTACATCGACTCACGACCTTTGGTTTCACCAAGAACAGATAGCATACGTCTTACTTTCTGGTATCTCCATGTGCTCTGAACGTAGTAATTCATATAAAAGATTCAAACTGGTCTCGCTAAGGATCAAAACTAATACGGTGGAAACAATATCACCGGAAGTGGCGGCTTGACTTTTCAATCCCGAAGCCACACAGCTACCTCCTGTATCTACTCGCGGCAAGCCTAGATTTTAATGAACAGATAATATTCTACTTCTTTCACGATGTTCCAGGTGCTCCTTCGTGATATACAGAAATATTTGCAGAGAAAATATGGAACCCTCCACTTTTCGGACCTATAGAATATCCGGACAGTGATGATCGTGAGGGGACACAGCGCACAAATAATGTGGGAGGTGTCCACTCATTATGTGATTCCACTAAAGCGCAGGGTTTAGGCCTATGACTCTTCAGCAAATGTGTTCCCAAGTTAGGGTAGTCTAATAATCTGGTGCTAGATTGCTGGTTGCTTCAAAAGCTAATAATAATGAGCTCGCTCCAATCTCTCCTCTATCCGTTTCCACAGAGGCATAACACATCCAGGGGGCTTATACAGGACCCATACCTGAACCTAAGGCTTTTCAGTCATAGTCACATTGCACAAAAACCTTTTCACGATTGAACAATCCACAAATGGAGCTCCTTTGCCTGACTAAAGCCCAAACAAACTCTACATTTCCTCTTTTGGAAAAGAAGCCTGGTCAGCTCGCGCCTTACTTAACAGTGGAGGCTTAATGCTATCATAAAAATGTCAGATTTCCCTGGTTTTGATTCATTCAGAACTGGTCAAATCTCCTTTTTTGGAGACCGAGAAGCCCCGGGCACCGTAATAGCTGAAGGACGGGATCGCGTCCACACTAAAAACGCCTCCAAATAGCCATGTGGAGTGTACCAGATTGAATGAGGCTTGAACCTCAGCCCTCAGACTTTTGACTATTCCAACCTTGACCCTCATCTGGTCGATCTTACACTCAGATGGGATCTTTGGGGGCGATCTCTTCCCCAGACAGAATTCCGATGGATCTCTTGTGGTTCGCGCTTTCATCACTCGGCGATGCCCGGGTCATCTCAGCCTATCAATTGGTCATTCTTGACCCCAATGGCCTCCTCGGATCGCGTCGGTGGTGGATCTGAGGGTCCCTTTTCCTCTTTACGGAAACTCAACCATCCTGACGGGGTATGGCCGACTGGAAGATGATCGATTGTTTTTTCCCTCGCTTGCAGATCGCAAGAAAAGGAGGGTATAAATACTGCTTTAGATCCCGGGACTGGCTTTCTCGTCTCAGTCTGAACATATTTTGTCTAAGATCAGTTCAAATCTATCACAATGAAGGTTGCTGCCACCATCCTCCCTCTCCTGACCGCTGTGTCTGCTTCGTGCCTTCACGGCACTTCGCTCATGCCCCGTGCAGCTGACGGCACCGTTGATATCAACCCCTACAACTACACCAACGCTGGCGGTCCTATGGTCTGGTACGGTCTTGACTCTGCCAACCATGCCTGCTCCACCGGCAAGAACCAGTCCCCTATTGATATCGTCACCGATGATGTCGATTACTCTGCCGCTGGTAGCGTGAAGTTCCACGTCCCCAACGCCGACAATGCCAAGTTCGAGAACCTCGGCTCCGGCCTCGAGGTTGTCCTGACCAACGGTACTCTGGTCACCAAGACCAACTCGTACAAGCTTGCTCAGTTCCACTTCCACACTCCCAGCGAGCACCGCATCAATGAGGAGCACTACCCCATGGAGTCTCACTTCGTCTTCGAGAACACTGGTATGTGAATGACTGCTACGATTTGCCCATATCATACTAACAGTTTTATAGCCGGTGACATTGCTGTCGTTGCCTTCCTCTTCGAGCTGTCCCAGTTCGGCTACTCCACTCCCCTCTTCGACTCCGTCTTTGCTCACATCGGTGACATTGCCACCCCTGGCACTTACACTATGACTGATGGCCTGGACTTCACTGGCATCACTGAGCACCTCAACAGCCACGGTATCTACCAGTACTCTGGCTCCCTCACCACTCCTCCTTGCTCCGAGGGTGTTTCTTGGTTCATCAGCACCGAGCCCCTGCCCCTGAACGTCCAGAGCTACAACGCTGTCAAGCATGTGCTCAAGTTCAACGCTCGCTACACCCAGAACGCTCTCGGCCAGGAGAACCTGGTTGAGCTCGCCTCCGCTGAGGTGACCAACTCCACTTCGAACTAAATCTTCTCCTAGAGAAGATCTTACTGGTGATGTGAAAAGCCTGGAGTTGGCGGCTTGTTGATGTTTGTCAGTAGTACATAATGAATAGAGTACATACTACAATAATTAATAATAAATGGTGGGATACTCTTACACAACCCACACATTCCAAACAACGATTGTGCAGACTTTAATCAGGCGTACCGGCGTTTTGGAAACCCCAGTACTAGAACCATGGACCCGGGAACAGGGCTTCGACCATAAGATTGAAAATTGCCGATCTAAACCGACATACTTTGGATTTTCAGCTCACAAAGTGAAAGTCGTCTTGGCATCACAAATAATATCTCGATCTAGCTAGCTCTCGCTAGCGCGAGATCTAAGTGGAGCCTTTGTCCGCGAACTCCGCGGAAGAAATCTCCTCTTAGCCGAGCAATCCCTAAGAAACAGAATGAACAGAATAGCTGGCTATTTGCCAGGTGTATTGTTAAGATTAGAAGTACTTGGACTTGTATTCAGCTCATTTTCGTATAAATAGAGTACGTATGCTGTGCGATGCGGCCTTCTCCACACCCCCTATCGTATGCACGAACCTTCTAGTGCAATTTCTCGAACTTCTCCGAATTGTGGAGTGCATGTCACTTCAGACCCAGTTTAACTTCCCTGTAAGGGAACTGGCAAGTTTCACTCCTTATGCCGATCCAATGCGCAATAATGCAAAGCTCCACTTGGAATCTCTATGCTTGAAAGCCCCGATTCACGCTAGTATCCCGTGTTAATCCGCGATCCATGATTTGGTGTTAAAATTTTCGGCGAGGCCGCGATTTTTGATCAAGCGTCGTCCGGAACTTTCATCTTCAACCATGTTTACATCTACCGATATTATAACTGTCATTTCTTGAACCTCCAAAGCTAATCATTGTGAAGCCAAGTGCTACTGAAAGGATCGGTGACTTCAAGATGCCAAAAGTTCATGCTATAACCTTATGAGATACGATGCCTTCGCACAGGAAGAAATTACATAAGAAATAAGCATTCCAAATTGGGCCTTTGGGGCGAAATGGCATGCAAACTTGTCGATAAAGCTCTTGTCTTGACTATTTAATGAGTAACGAAGGCTAGAGCACGCATGCCATTGAGCTAGACCATCTGAAATCAGTAGAGAAGATGCTGAGATTAGCACTCGAGATGTGAGGTTGCGGTCTGAGCTATCTATTTACACCCTACAAAGCTTAGTGTCATTGGGTACTTTTTGAAGGTTTTTCCCGCCCACCCGGTCTCGCTTCTAAGCATTGACCGAAATGAAATAGCCCGTGCCTCTAAAAGAGAAGAGACTCAGAGGATACTAGATATGCCTAATTGGGCAGAAATCCCATTTCTGATTGATGTTAGCATACATGAGTTCATGCAGGAAAGTGGGGTAAAGCAGTTCCAGTGCAGTATTTCAATGATTCCAAGGCGCAAGGATCATCATTGTGATATATACCATTAGGGCCGTCGGGATTGACTTTCACCATTCATGGATACGACCTTCACCATACATATAACTTTGTGCTCATCCCGAATCTCAACTACCCGCAAGAGCTCTTTGCATATAATTGCACACAGTCTGGAAATGCACGGAATGGCGACCTAACGGCTCTATTTGTAAGAGTAAGAAGCCAGTCTACGCTGGGAGATTCTCCGATATCTTCGGCAGCAATACACCGAGAAGGATCTCCGAGATAGATGGTCTCTATTCTATATATTCTACAAGCTGGCGAAAGTCAATAGTAAAGACGAGATCGGAGCTGCTTTTCGCTCATGATTCCAGTCAGCGTAGAGAGTAAGACTAGGCAATCCAATAATTGACCAGCATCGTTTTCTCTACTTTACTTCTCAAATTTGCAGCACAACCTTGGGGGTGTTTTGTCATGGTCCGAGGTTATAGGGCGCTTTTACGGAGCCCAAACACTCAAATCACCTTCCAAAATTCGGATATCCAAATTAAAGTGATATTTTATGGCTTGGGACTTGATGTAAGCGAGATAACACCAAGATTCTTACACCCTCATTGTGCCAGACAAAATCCATGTGCGACTTTATGCGCTAGCGCTCAAACTCTCTCCCAGACATAATCGAGATATTGAGCGAAGCCCAACCCACAAATAATCGTCTACTCAAAAAAGCTTCATTAGTCTATTCAGTCGTCAAAATAAGCGTGAAAGCTGCAATCTAGAACAAAGGTACCTTGAGGGTTAGGTAATGTGTCACTAGAACTTGTTTTCATATTCTGAGTACCAATGATAGTGCAGGATGCATGAAAGTCCCCATTTAATAGGCTAGAAGCAAGGCAGAAAATGTGGATCCCACCCCACCACTTTGTTTTATCACCTTATTTTTTCCTATTACCTTTCGGCTGCTGTATTGACATCATTTCGTATCCGTATGGTATGCTATTTTAGTGAATTACTATATGAAAACTCTCGGGTGTAAGCCCATACAATATACGCGATTAGCGCGCACTCTATGGTCCGACGTAGGTACATGGCGGCTGGATCGCTACTAAATTCTACAACGGACTACCTCAAGTAACTCTGGAAAATGGGTATGCAAAAGGCGGGATTTTCTTTGGCTAACTATTCTATATCGTGACCTTGAGCTTGTTCTAAATCTCCAAGTGAGTATATTCCAATTTTTCTTTGACTTGAAATTGAAATGGTTGCGACTCGTGTAGCCATTGCTCAATCATGACGTACAAATAGAACGAAATCTTTGGTCATTTGCTTCATACAAACCCTAGCGAACGTCTTGCTCTGTGGGAACTGGAAGCGTTGGAGTAAATTGCCATGCCACATAGGTATTCAATGACGCAAAAGTCTGAGTCACCCATCTTGGGGGCCGTAAACATTGATTCATGATCGACTGTCCACCAGGGCTAGAAGTTGACTATTGCGATGAGTCAATCTCTCATCCTAGAGAACTAGAGAACAGTAGACAATTTTGCCGGATCCTGAATGTTCTCAGACCTCTTCTCGGTTCTGCTGGATGATGTCGAGTTTCGTGCCTTCAGCTGCGCTCCCTGATGATTTAGGTCAAACTCATGTTCCCCCAATCGAGTTGGCAACGGGCGCCACAAATCCTGTAACGCCAGAAACATGGGTTCTTTTTCAAATCGATGAATTGTTTTCCCCGGAACCACTCATAAATGGTCCCGGATGCATCCACTGAACAGTTATTTCTTTCCTGGGATTGTCGTATGAGTTTGCTTGCGTCGAGCATCTTAGTAGACTCCTGTCACTCCTTCCTGAGTCGAATTCTTGATTTGACCATTTTGGCAGATGAACTCTTCAAAACTCGGGTCTTTCCCTCTTTTAGATCTTGCCCTTTGGTAATTTTTTTTGGACTCTCTCCATCTTATCTCCAGCAGCTTCGACGCCGGCAAACTTCTGACCGGTCATTGTACTTCATCCAGGTTCAAGGCCATCCGCATCTCCAGTGATGCTGACGCCAGTCATTTTGGGCGATTGTCGGTGAGAGAAGAGAGAGTGAAACATACCGAAAGGAATATATGCTCATATATATGGGCTTTTTAGCTGCCTCAGTAATGTGGCTTGCCTAGCAGAATGATTCTTATGTCTCCCCGTCCATGTCTCAAATCCTCAGTGCCTCCAAGCAGAGGTCAGAGGAATGTAAGAAAGAGGAAGACGCAAGGGCAGAGATAGGAAATGACAATGCATTGATCAGGACCATAGCTTGATTTGGATTGTTTCAAGTCCCACTGACATCAAAATCCATCACTCGAATTTTCGAGGGGTCTTTGGGAACCCGCAGACCCGAAGAAGATTGTTATTGGCTTCCTGATTGGAGGACTTTGATTTTTGACGGTAGGCTTTGAGGACACTGATGTTGCTGGCTGATAGAGGGCGTGGTTATCCTCGAGGAGGGAGAGTAGGAGAGAATAATCGTGATAAGAGAAGAAGAGGGATGGAGGGTAGGTAGTGAAGGAGAGGAAGAGGAGAAAGAAAGAGACGGGAGGTCTTTATATAGCGCTGCTGCCTGAATAAGATTCAGCCAATGAGGGGAAAATTTAGCAGTGGGTGATATGTTTATATATAGATAATGTTCAGGAAAAAGGTGGTGGGTAAGAAAGACAACTTTTTTATGCACTCAATGTCGTCATCGTCAATTGGGCATGAAGATGACGCAGTAGTTTCTAAGGCTCAACCGAAGAATCAAAAAGCAAACATGAATGATCATGTGAGCATTGATACATGTTAAATCGACTTCATCAAACAACGGAGGCGGAGAAATTCCTTCATGGATATAATGGAGGTGGAGGAAACCTATGTAAGGAGACAAGACTCTTGCATCAGCCATGGGCCTTGAATCAAGGCTGGAAACAAATGGAGATTATCTTATCCCAACAATCTATCATTGACAAATGAGAACCCCAATCTGTGAAACAATGTCATTGATTAGATTTGGCAGGAAGATAAATTATCCCCTTACTTGTACAACCACAATAAGCGAGGCGTACATGCTCAAAGATACAACCCATATCTATCAAATCGCGGAGATTAGAGATTTGGTAGAGCGAATCGCATTCCAGAAGGCAACTAGAAGGCAACTTAGTTTATAATCAAGATAAGAATACATAGTAAATAGATTGCTCCAATTCGATTTAGATTGACAAAGATAAGTGCGGTCGATCCTGGAGCACGGAGCTCTTCGGGACCCAATTATTAGGCAAATCATTTCCTACTAAACACACTCCTTAGGCTCTTTGCTCTAAGATTGGCCTATGATGAATCGCGCATAGAGCATACGTATCTTGCATCTTGACTACGTGGTCCGGGCGCTGTTCATGCTTACGATGTACGTTCGTGGTTTCTGAGATGTGGCTTCATGAGGCACCTACCTATACCTACATGATTTGGTCATAATCGTAAGTGGCAATGGGTATAATCTGAGACTGGGGCCAAATTTTGGGAATTTGTTCAACCGCTGCTTGATACTCCACTGGGTATGGAAAATTGGGG